CTTTTACCGTACACTTTCCTCTGGCTTCTTTTGGGTTTCGTTCGAATTTTAAAATTCTCTAAGTTTATTTGGTTGGCTAATAGTAAAATAAAATTTCTAGATTTCTGACTATTTTCAATTTAACAACTTATAACGTATTATAAGATTACTTTTTGTTACCCAATCTTCTACAATATAATTTGAGACAACTTCACACATATTGTGATATACATTTATACTTTTGAATTGTATTTTCTAAATAGACAATTGCCGTTACAATCCTTTGTTTCCAAGTTGAACTCATTTTCTTGTGATATAAAAGTACAAGTAAGTATATACACAATACTAACATGTATGGATTTGAAGACACAGGTTTTTAAGTGTCCCTTTCACTTAGCGGTTAATGTAATTTTACTTTACTGTAACTTAGCTACATATACCATAAGGTGTTTTATTTAGTTATTTTTGTTTAGGGTTTCTACGTCACAGTTCGTACTTAGGAAACTGAATTAATCATTGTTAATACCCTTAAACTCTATTTATATCAAGGTCTATTTTGATGATGTAATAGGTTTACAAAAAACCTAAAACTGACTCTGTAACTAAACTTGTAGTAGAATATATTAAAGCTGTAAAAGACCATTAAACTCCCTGACACTCATATGAACATGCCGACCTTCCCATGTTCCAGATCGCCCTGAAGCAATAAGTTTATAGGCATAACAGCTCATAAAGCTCTGCATAAGGTCGTCGTGAGAAGCGACTTTATTAGTAGGACCTCCCCCCTCAAGTTTCAAGGCTGAACGTGTCCCATCTATCGTTTACACCTTTTATGAGGTCTTTCGGAATAATAAGATTCGCTCAAGATGACACACCGGCTGAAGCTCCTGATCTAATTTGGGGATGACTGTAAAGTTTGTCGATTGGACCCTCTTTCCGGTCTCAAGCCCATTACATTTACATGTAAGACAAAGCTCATCTGCATAAATTCTCCGGTCTTTTTCTCATTATTTTATGAATTTCGGTGAAAAAACTGTTTTGTTTCATTGCATCTTGATGGTGTACTGTAAGTTTGCGTGGTTTTGTGTAAAAAAACATAGTTTTGTTGTGTAGAATATTATGTATCATGTCATTATATAGTGTTCTACTCTTGGCAACAGTTATGTTATCCTAACTTTTTTGTTTTTGCAAAGAATTTTGCAGTAGATACGTTTAAAAAGCGAGTAGATATGTCAAAAACAATATCATTACGCTAAAAGTTGCAAAACTTGCTAAACAAAACTCTTGGCTTAGCATAACGTTTAATCTTTGAGCTGAAGCAACATGCCCTGTGGGGTTGTACTCTTGATTTCAGTGTGATGGCGAGCTTATGATTTCCGAGACAATCGACTGACGGTCAATATTAAGTTGCACTCGGCGTGCAGGGCCTCAGGGCGGGGGAATAACAGTTGGCGGCGGTTCTTGGTGAAATCGGATCCTCGGTCGGTCGATTTCTTCGAAACATTTCGAATGTTTAAAAGCCTGATTCTCAGCCGGATGAGTAAGTGGGCGCCATTAATAGCGGTCGCCCCTTTTGGCCCCAAATTTGCATATCCATTCAGAGCATGACTTGGCCTCTCGTGTGGTCCCCTCCTACCGTAGTCGATCCACTCCGTCTTCCGAGGCTGAAGCCCCGTTCAGTTGATTTTCCGAGCGATAACGCGAACCACAGTCCAAAAAGTTTTGTCCTTCTGATAATCATCTGGGCGCCAAAACTGGCGTAGCGAATCGACGAAACTTTGGAACGTTTTGTCGATTCGACGAGGCACGGCACGTCCGCCGTTCTTGGCACTTAATTATGTTGATGGGTTTATCTGATGGCAAACAGTGGGATCTCGAAGGTTACTCATTTGAATATCAGGTAGTCAGCTGGCACTTAAGTTGGCAGTTGAGGCAACTTTTAATGGGTTACTGTAGTCTATGAGTTTAAGATTTTGTATGTTTTGAATTAAGCATTACTGTAGTTTTTAAAATTTCAGTTAAAAATTTTTTTTATATTTTGGGTTTGGGTAGAATACTGTAAGTTAAATTTTATGATAACGTAGATACTGTATTTTTTATGTCTAATTTTTATTTTGTTGATGGTCGTCTATGAGTGTATATTGTTTTGTGTGCCAAGACAGAACCAGTTGTGCCCTCTCACATCATGTAGACTGGATTCCTCTAATCCCGGGTGAGGGTGGGGCCTTTGGAACGTTGAGATTAAGACATTCCTTGTTAATCTCCCCCCCCCCCTTAAGGTTTCTATTTCTCGGAAGACCTTAAGCTTCTGTAGCCACTTTACGAATCCGATGGTGTCTTAATTGCCTGTTATAATTAAACTTGATGATTAATTGTACACTGATGTCTAAACCTTGCCACTTCCACTTACTACAAACATCTTCAAATTTACCTTCGTATCTTTAAATGTACCGTGGTATCTTTACAATGTAATGGCGTATATTTAGTATTTATATTTCTAATTATTTGCATATAATGTACCTTTGTGGGTATATATAGCTTTGTACACGACGAATGTAGGTGGAAGATGTGCAAAGTCGCTACGTGCTAAATTTAAAATTTGATACACTAAAATACGTTAGGGGGTTTATAACTGTAAGGTAATGTACTTGGCTTCCGTTCGTTATGTCCGTAGGGACTCATAACACAAGATACCACGTTAGACGAACGCTAACTAGCAGGTCGTGTATAAACTGGCAGGAATACGTTTTGTCTTAAGTATTTATGTACTGATATTTATTGTTTAGGTATTAAAATTACGTTATTAGGTATTATTTTTTAATTTCAAATAGTAAAAGTAAGCTTGTTTAGTTTGTACAAGAGTTTCAATTTACAGTCCGGTATTGTAGTTAAAGTTACTGTAACTTTAAATTATCTGCCACTTAATGCCATTCCTTTTTGTAAATTTGTTTAAAACTCTTGAAAAGTTTTATCGTCGCTGATAACAAACTCTAAGAATCACGAGAAAATGTGACGTTTCGTGGAAAACAAACAAGTCTTCGTGGTGGGACCATCAATTATCTTTTTTACAGTAACCCAAAAACGTCATTTTTGAAAACTTTTTTTTACCTAAAAAATTGATAAAATACGTTTTTTAAAGTAAAAATTCAGAAATAATTTTTTGCAATTAGGTAGTAGTAATGATTAGTCAGGTACCACACACGTGTACCTTGATGTACCACAAGACAGCACAACAACATTCTTTTGTTCGTCACATTTCTGTGACTAACTTTTTATACAAAAAGGTCACTCTCTAAACTATAACAGTGTGATAACACTTATCAGAAGGTTTCCGGAGGGTTTCTGTAATTTCGATCCTTGAAATTTGGCAACGAAATTGTTTTTTCATATGACATTGTCTTATCGATCGGTCGTTCGAAGTTGGGGGATTATTATGCTACAGTAGTGTAGCATTGCTGTTGTGACAGCCGGCTTTTATGATTTTTTGAATTTTAATTTGAGTTTTATTATTATTTTATAGTTGGTCTTAATAGAGAAGAGTTGGCTTGGTCAGTTAGACGAGTGATTGGCTGATCTAGGCCTGTTTTATAGTTAATCTAGACCCGTCTTATAGTTGATTTAGTCCTTTTACTGCGATCAAACGGCCCAACTCAACTATAAAACGTTGGCTGATGGGTTAATGCCATTATAAACCCCCCCCCTTTATGATTATTTATATTATCTTAGGGTCGATTATCGGTACACTTAGTCACTATTCCGAAGCGGTAACAGACCAATAACTCGCCCTTTCGCAACGTAAATTATCCGCCAGATGGACGATAACAAACTCGGAACGGTAGAACATTGAACCGTTCCCAAAATAACTGCCCTTTCTCGGAAATCACAGTCCGATGTGACCCGAACACTTTTCTCCTGGAAACATGTTCGGCGCGTGATTGCTGTAACGATGCCCAAAGCAATTACTTTACTGTTTAAGGTGTTGTTGTAGTTTTGCATAAGTGACTTCCATTTTTGCACTTTTTTGGTCATTTTGCAACTTTTATGAGTAGAAAGTTGCATTTCAAGGCTGGAATGCAACTTTGCGGAAGTTTTAGAGGATTTCCTTAAACGATGGCTGTAACTTTGAGTTATGACATTTAAATGCCTCTCCATTGTCAGTCTTTAAACTATAGTCTTAGCCTTTAAACGGTGTTCTTCCCCTTAAGTATCTCTTCCAAATGTTTATGGTACCAGCTCCTGAAAGCGGACCATTGTAATCATCTCACTTTTATTTGACAATTTTACAACGATTTCGCAACAAAAACAATTATGGCCGCGAAGGGGCGGGCCCTGAGGGGATCTAGCTATAATAACACAAATACCATCAAGCCAATCTGTTTTTTGGCGCTAAGCCGGGCTTAGCCGGTGAGGGTGGAGGACTTTCTTTCCAAACCCGCAATGTTTTGTGGCCTCGGGCCGCCGGTTTTCTGGAAATAATTTAAGAGTTCAATCTTAAATGGCCTATTCACACCGTCCCATTCAATGGCACTCTGGTGTAGGTGGTGTTATGTGTATTGTAAGAGGCATAATGTCTTGTATGAAAGGGGTTAACGATAATGTTTTGGTTTATGGTGGTTTAGTCAGATTGACAACTTTTTGGCACATTTTTGTACTTTTGTATATTGCGAAGATACCATGGTAAAAAACATTTGTCTTACGCTCACCATTGTCTCTGGGAATTATACCCTAACTTGGCCGTGCCGTACAGCAGATCTCGATTGTTACCTGCATGACGCGCACCAAAGACAAAGGTCGGGCAGGAACACTGAAGGGGCGGATCAAAGGGTATGCAAATCACAAGAATGGCTCATCAAGTCATTCCCGAAACAAAACAAGTTTGCTTTGTCTCCGGGTTACCGTATGCAAGTCAGGCACGGTATTGTTATCTTTTCGTGTATTTTGCTCGAGTTCGTGCTCCGAATCCCTAATACGTTTCCAGTTTTATAGAGTCGTGTGTATGTCCAATTGACAGAGTCAATTCAATGTCATTGCTACCCTTGAGCCCGGTCGATTCGTGTATTCGCATTTTGTTTTTGGACGACGAAAAGAGCCTCAAAGGTACTGTAATGTTTGGTAGTACCATAGCTTTGCTCTGGTCTTTTTGTCTCGTACTGTAGTTTTTGAGACAGTACTTTTTGATACTTATATTTTTGTAGTACTGTAACTTTTTTTATTGACGTACTATAACCTAGACAAAACATGATGATTTCGTATGTTTTTCGAGTAACAGGTGATAACATACAATCGATTACAAGATTATGTAACCGAAAACAATACTGTAACATTGATAACCAGCCTCACAGACCAACCCGGTTCAATAATATTTACTAAACATTGTTTTTCCCGATTCTCCAGAATTCTTCCCATTGTAAACGTTTTTCGATAGACTGTAAATTAGGGAATTGCTATGGAAAAACAACTGTAGGGGCAAAGGTGACTACCTGGAGGGACCCGGGCGCTGATTTCCGGGTAATCGCGCCGCTCTCGGGCTCGGCTCGCAACCCTCGCCGCTTTTCCCGAGGGGAGTGGCAACAAACGAGTTTTTTTGGGCGAGGAGCAGACGTTTTTTCTCATTTTGATTGCTCGTCGAAAGGTTTCGGGAAAAACAAAAACATACCCAAAATAGAGGGTACCTGACCCCCAGATTACGGTCCTTTGTCTTTCCTTATCACCCCCTTCTCCATCATTGTCTAACTCATAACTGTTTTCAGAAGAACTGGTCTACGCTCATCGTCAGGTCCTGATCAAATCACCCTACTTCTTGGCCTTAATACAACAGAATCCCCTGAACGCCGCCTTCACCCTCGATCTTTCATCGCTGGATCGACCGGTCGAGTCGTTCAAAACCGTCCTGAGCCACCTCTACACCGGTCAACTGACAACGAGCTGTGGAGCCAGCCGACCGTCGGTAAGTTGAGTCACTCGATAAGGTTCGAACAAAAGTGTCGTCTTATCAGTCTCCAGCTGACATTGTTTTTTCTTTTCCGGAAACTAATAATCGAATTGTGATTCCAGCTCCACTTTCTGGCTCAGCTGCTGCAGTTACCCTCCCTGAAACAGTTGTTGACCTTGGAAAAGATGGCCGACTTCCCTGCCAATCCGAAGCCTAGTCCTACCGTCGAGAATGAGGCTTCTAATCCCCAGTTTCCAACACTACATCCGGCGTTGTGTGCTGGTGAGTACTATGATGGTTTCGAAAGATAAGCGAACGATAATGATCATTTTTTATATTGTAGTAGTGATCACGTATATTTTGGTACAATTCTTTTATAATATAATACCTTAATGCTTTTTTATACCTTAATGATAATCAATAGATATTCTGATTCCAGCCTACTTGAGCCTTCTACAGAACCAACAAAACACCCAACTGCTACAGGGTTTCCTTCAGCAAGCTCAGGCCAATATGCAGATGCTGGCTAGCCAAAACCACTCCACCTCGTCCATCTTTCCGACCACAAAAGCCGTGACGCCATTGACGGAAATGCGCACTTCCGAATCCGAACAGTAAGTGATAAGACGCTAATTACATAACTAACTACCGCTTTCAATTTGTCGAAATTTCTATGTTTTGATGCTTTAAAAACTGATTTTTCTCAAAATTCAGTTTATGTTAAAAGTACATTCTTACACTTTCCAAGAAAGCCCTCTTCTGTCGATTCCAAGAAAGTAATATCATCGAGATTCTAAGAAAACAAACGCTGTTTTTGTATGGAAGTTACTACAGTTCTTACTATTGTAAAGCGGAGATACCTTTTTGTTTACCGCCCAGACTTAAAAGGGCAAAAATAACTATCGGAGAACGTCTAGGAACTTTTAAATTTGTTTGAATTTGGGTTGAAAAACACGTGGATACGGTAGCTGTTAGCACAATAACAACATTTCGTTATGTTGTAGTAGGGAGATTACAGTTTGTTTTGTACGGTAACACTTGTTTGGGCAATAAGTGTGTAACGATCACTGCTACAGTTTATTCAGTATAAAATATCATTTTTGGTCAACAAGCTTAACAATGTAATCAGTTTTACACAGTAAGTTTTGAAGCCATTACAGCTTTATATAGTAATGTCTTCGAGTTACTGTGATGAGCTTGCCATTAGCTGCTTGTCCGAAAGCCGATTTCTTATCTGCAGCCCTAAAGGTATTGGGATTCGTGGAGAAACCCTTTTATTGTGGGCGCCGAAATGTAAAAACAAAACGCCCTTAGGCGGATTTGGGGTGAGGGTGGGGATTTCTTTACAACGGTAATAATAACACTAATACTACTTAGCACAACTAACTGAACTTTAATTAATGAAACCACTAATCTCAGGTTCATTAAGTGAACACCGATATTACTGTAGTTTTTATTACAATAGATTAAAGTAAACTTTGGACTGTTTCGAAAATCTTACAGAATTTCAAAATTTTAAAAATTTAAAAACTTTTTTTGATTTTAGCTGAGCTGTTCTTCCAGTTAGATAAATCAGTTTGAAAGCCCAAAGCTTCCTGAAATAAATACCGTAGTAAGAATGAGCGATTACCCTTGTTACATTACTCACGAGATACTGTAGAAAGTACTTCGCCGGAAACCGAGATGACGCAATTATTGGAATTAAAGTTTCGGCAAAATGATTATTTTTGGGAAGATTATAAGCCTTGTTTACGTAGTATGAGTTACGCAATTGCAAACGTGAAACATTAAAAGGAATGAAATACATTTCAAATGTCAATGTACTTAGTATTAATATGTCATCTTCAATGTATCCTCTTTTCAAATATACAAAATGGGTCAAACTTAATGTCTAAAACCTTAAAAAATCATTTTCATAAAATGATAGACCAAAACAACTTAAAATTTCAAAAAAATTTAATGTTAAATTCAGCAGTTTCAGATCAGAAGCCCCAAGCGTAGCCTCGAGCTGTTCGGCCGGCTCCAACAATCCTCCTTCAGTACCGTCCTCCTCCCCCATCGACAGCCTTAATGACATTCTGGTACCCTCGAACGAGAAGGAGGGGTGGTGCAGAAACAAAAAGTACATCCAAACCGTGCAGAAGGGCTACAGATGCACAGTATGCAACAAGGTGTACGGCAGATACAACTCGGTATCATACCACGTCACCATCTACCACCGTAACCCGCCCATAAAATGTGAAGAACAGGGGTGTCAGTTCACGACGAGGGAAGCACGGTACATCCACTTCCACAAGTACTACCGTCACGGCGTTCCATTGCCAGAGAGCATCGATTTGGGTATGTTGTAGTAGACATTGTTTGACCAAAGTAGCCTTAAATTCTTTCGAAGAACAGCTGATATTACAGTAGATTACCCGTTATCTTTATTCTAATTTCTGAACCCTCAAATCGAACGTTATCACATTGTTACCGTACCCTTTCAGCCTCCCGGAAATGCCCATTCTTTTCCTGTAAACATGTCAGCAAGAGTCCGGCGATGCTTGACAAGCACATTAACCGTCATGTGGCCGATTGCACCAAAGATGGCCAGAACTACAACTGTCCCAAGTGCCCCTACGGTACCACCGAGCAGCGCGAGATGTTCTCCCACTTGAGAGCACATCAGTTAGGGACACACGTGCCTGAGGCTGGAGGGCCTTTGAAGGGAATAAAGTTGGATTGCGACAAGTGCAACTTCAAGTAAGGATAATACCTGTTTATAGACAACGCTAATACCTTTATACGAATCATATTAATGACTAGTAGTGTATTATGCAATTTTATGACTAATAAATACCTATACACCACTAATGTTTATCTACAACAATATAGATAAGTCATCATGTATACTTGTAACAGCATCTTATAGTACCCATTTCAGAGCAGTGACAGAACATGGGTTGGAGAAGCACAAGACCACCAAACATATCAAGTCTGATGTAGCGCCGCTTCACTTTGGAGGCATCGACTTGGCTACAGCGTTGAAGGCGCTTCCAGCCTTCCAGAACAACTTCTTGAATCATTTCAATCAAACTGGCTAAGCTACGACACAGTAAGCTGAACTAGTCCATCAATATGGTTAGGCAACTGATATCTAGCATTATCACTTCTAGTGACCAAAGAAACCTTTTCTTAAGCAGATACATTAATTTTTTCGCATTTTTCAAAAATACAAAACATAAAAACGAAAGAATTAATGGATCTTACTAACACTTATTATAATAACCTGTCTATCGTAATCTATGCCGTAAAATATGTGCACGGTAACTTTCTACTATCTATTTCTACCATACCCTTCAGTTTAACCTATATATCTAACGTAACCTTCAGTTCAATATACAAGTCCCAAAGTAATGTCGGTGATGTGTGTTGCCAAAGTTGTGTTGTTACTCGACAGCATAATCAGTTACTGTGTCTTTGATGTTGTATACCTTTCATGTTATCGTAGCTTTAACCACTTTCTAAGGCATTTAGTACCGCTTTCTCTATTTAATCAGCTAAGTTGTGACATTCTCTGTCAGTTTGGATTCATTGTGACATTTTAGTTATGTTTAATATTACAATATGTCGCTTTTAATAGTAATAAACTTGAAGTTAAACTATATATTTAGTAATCAAAACTAAATTTATATTAATGTTAATCGTCAATTATCATATTAAGCTACATTGGAGTACTTTATATCCAAAAAAGTCGAGTGTTTGAGAAATAAAATTACAAAAAACAGAATTAAGAGATAAAGTAACATCATATACAGTGGATATGATGCGGGTTTGTCATAATTAAGGCGGATAATACTCGTAGAATTAAAGCGATAAGTACACTTTGTACAATCATATAGTTACTAAAGCATTCTAATACGGTACTTCAAACTGAATAGTACACAAGAGACTCCGACGTAAGTACATAAACAACTCTGAACTATTACATTGTACTATGTATAAGTACAAAGTAGAATATATACACAGTACGAAAATTCAAAGCCTTCAAGTACCGCAACATATAAAAAACGAAGTAACCATACAGTAATCCGTAGCCACAACACAATATATACTGTAACCTCACACTATAAGCACATACCGTAGCCTCATACTCCAGGAGCATTCTCGAACCTTCCTTTTGTCTGCTTCATACCGTGACAGTAAAAGATGGTACCCAGAATGATGACAGCCGCCGCTGACAGTACCACTGGTCCTATAATGTACAACACAACATGTTCTCTGATGGTCCGACGCCGATCGTCGATCCCACTCAATATTACCGTAGCTGTCACCTTCTTCTGTTCCTCTCGTCTGTTAAACTCTGCCAACGTCATTATAGTACAATGTTCAAAGTTGGCAGGGGTGCGGAAGTAAGGACAGCCCTACAATCGTATCTTTAGGTATTTCCACGTTAGTTTAATACTACAATGTCATTAAACATATTAACATTAGTAGGTGTTACACAAGATATATATAAAACTTGCGTCAATTACTTATAACTACATTTACTTATAGAAAGTCGGCATTACAAAATAATAATTTATCATCATATTGTCAAATCAAAATAATCTAGATGGCAACTATCAAATTTTTACTATAGTACTAGTAGACTAAGAATAAGAGTCGATAGGCCAACTTACAACTGGAGGACAATAATAAGAATCTTCAGATAGTGGTACCTTAGAGGCATTGTACTTGGGACCAGCTACCATTCTATTCCAAAGCCATTTGGCCGCGTAAGTATGACCCTTCCTAAAATTTTAACTTTACTATACTTGACGTGTTAACTGATAAAAAAAACATTCTAAATGTATTACTTAATATAAATTTATAGTAAGAAACTATAAAGTATAGAGTAGTTTCTTCACAACTTTTTGCTACAATAAAAGTAAAACTGATAAAAATTGACAATACCTATTCAATAACGGTTTTCCAGGTACAAACAACTGCTCCGGCTTCCTTGAGTCTATCTTTAGTTGAGGTAAAGCCAATAGTGTAAAAGTACTGTAGTTTCTCGCTGTAAACTCCATCTCTAGATGTAAAAACTCTTCAGCCCATCGCTGTTGAAGTTCTCGCAATTGTGAGTTAGAAAGTGGCTCCAGACATTTACATCTTGGTCTAAAAACGATGCAATTACTGCATCAAGTAAGCTTTTCACAAATATTCATTATATAAGCCTTAAAAAAATCTAAATAAACGTATATTAACAGAGATTACAATGTGAACTTACTTGAGTAAATTATAATTCAACTGCGAAGACTTGGCCACATGAACAGGTCCAATCAGAACAACCAAAACCTTCGGAATCGCCCTTTTCAATCTGATAATACTCTGTCGTAGCTTTACCATATTTGGCACATCACACTTGGCGCACATCTCCTCCGTTCCTACTGTAATGAACACCAATACCCACTTGTCGTCGAGATTACTGTAAGTTTGCTGAAGTCGCTGTATCAGTTCGATCGATTGACTTTCCAGATTATCAGTTTCTGCTCCAGTTGAGGCTACATTGAATTGGTTCTGAGGTAGTTGGTCAGCTGCTCCCATTCCATGAGAAATACCCTCAAGGACTGGGTTGAATTGGTGGAGAATATCTGAAGAAACCAACTTGTAAAGACTTTATAACAGCTAATTTTACTAAAACCTTCAAAAATATTGAAAACACATACTCGGAAAGGTTACCAGCCCATCGATCGTCGCATCTCCACCAATAGTAAAAGCAGCACCTCTAAATTCAATGTTACTACCTGCCCACAAGCCAATACCGGTCGATATCGCGTCGCCCATCGCTGCCACAATATCAATGTCTTCAGGAGAGATGTTGGCTCCAGAATCCCCTGACCTTAACGCTCCTTTCACCAACTGACATTGAAAGGTCCGCCTGTTATTGAAGGCATTGTCGATGAACGATGTTGGTATGTTGCCATAATTAGAATCGCTGATATCGATTTCTTCACTGAAATTCGGTAATTTTAAATATTATTATCCAGTTTGCTTTATTTATTGTGTAATTTCACAAAATTGTTCGACAAAAATCTGTTTTTCTCGTTGAAAGCTTTGTAACGAAGTGTCAAATTAATTTGTTGATATTTGGTTTTTCTTGTTTTCCTCGATAAATTCCTTGGCTAATGGCTAATTGTCAACTAATCTAGACTGAAAGCTTTTTTGGAACGACCGTTTACTATTTTGATGAGGTATAACGTCAACATATGTAAGTTTTTCTATTTTTATGGAAATTTAAGTAAAAATATTACGATATTATAATGAATACTTCGAATTACGAGGTGTTGAAACGTTAATTATAAGGTTAAATTCAAGCGGATAATTTATGGCCTTGTTTATGGCTATTAGGTTTCTATTTACCTGCTGTCTTGACTTGATACATCTCCGTTCACAAGTGTTGCCTAAAAACAAAAAGTTAGTTGTTTGTTACCTAAAGATGAGAAAACAACAAGATTTTTTGCTGTAATTTCGGAAAGTTGAACTTGTTGGCTAAAATCATAACGAAAACAAGTTTTTCGTCAAAACCTTGAGAAATGATAAGATGGTCACTTAAACCAATTAAAGGACCTTGTTACCTAAATCACTTTAGCTTACAGCAAGCGTGCCACTTACCGAAAACAATATTATACCTAATGTCAACTTCATTGTTAACAAGGCTTAACATGAGACTGCAATTCGTTTGATTTCGAATTCAGTTAAAGGGTTTACTTTTGATCGTTCAAGTTGTTCTCGCCTTTTACAAACAAAGTTATTTCACGCTCTTTCAGCCAGCCGACTGACAATGTGATCAAGTATCACACTCTTATCTCATTGTATGTTTATTTAATTTATCAATTAGCAGAGTTCAAAGTAGTAACACAACTTTGTGAATGTGTTAATAGGTGTTAAGAGGTGTTTTGCTATCTAGTTTTCTATTGAAATCCAATTTAAATTCATTTTAAAGTTATTTTACAAGAAACTGGCGCTTAATTTTGTATGAGCAACATTTTAATGAACTTTTAAAAAGCTTTTTATGTCGAAATAAAAACAACTTTTATCAGAAATAGTTAATGCAAAGTACAAGTAGTAATACCTCGAAAGCAATAATTCTTTATTTTATATTACACTTGTTAGATCACGAGTAAAACTATAGTTATTTATGTCTGTGAGGACATGACTTCGTGCGTCTTCTGTTACCATGCCCTTTTTGAAGCTTCTGGTTGATGCTCTTAGGTGGACTGGTACCTTCTGTTGCGATGTGCCACTTTCAACCTGGTGTAAATTGGGTCTGACGAAGCTGGGATTGTCAAAGGAGAACTCATTCGTCGTTTTCAGAGCTTTTTCTTTGCCGATCTCATGTAAAACTTGCATAAAAGTTTCAAATCGCCGCTTGAACTTCTAAAATAACAAAAATTGAAAAATTTTGGAAAGATTTTAGTTAATATTATGCCGCAGAGCTTATAAATAAAGTTAATATTCTTATAAAACAAAGCCAGGTATTACTATAGTGACTGTCTTCAACTTACCACAGGCATCAAGACAGGACACATTTTATAAACAATCAAAGGTAACAGGAGTAAAAACACCACAATCGACACTAGAACGACCAAGGGGATGACTACCCATAACTCATCGTAACTAGTCCGTGCTTCTCCAGTCCAGGTATTCCGCCAAGCCCAGGGATCACGCGGATCTCGAGGATCTATAAAACCCATGGAGAATATAATAAAGGTCGAATGGACACTGCTCGACCTTATAGTGGCCTTGCGCGAGGTTTCTATGACAACTCGAGTTTGAGCGAAAACAATTCAAGTGCAAGTAAATCATGGGCAATATTGTAGAGTATTGATGTATGTGAACGGTAATTGAGACGTTTGACTTTTTAAAATGCATTCAAGTTTTGGTACACAATTTCAAATTTGATAAGTAATTGTCCTTGATATGCTTTAAAGCGTTGTGGTCAACCATGTGACCGCTGAAATGCCCATTCATCGTTCTGTAAAGCGATGACAGTCAAAACAAGCCAATCTCTCATGACTTGGAACGATTTCACTGTGAATTTAGTGGAATGAGTCAAATCCGTCTTTCTTTTCGTATTATAAGAGTACCCCGAATGTGACCTTGCGAATAAAGCGACCTGATTCCGATGAGACACACCGCAGCAAGCGATTCTTGTGCGTATCGCACAAACCATGTCTTCTGAAGCCGAGAACAGTCGGCGTCGGGTCAGGAAGCCCTTATTCGAATACCCGGCGTTACCTGAGTTCCCAATCTACTTCTCGATCACGTTTGTCGCGTTAATATACGCATGGTATTGCGTCTACAACGCCTCCACCAAATGGACCTTCAGATTCGGATTCCCGGCTAGCGTGTCGACGTTGCCGTTGTTGGGGGAGCGCTTCAGGGTTGGTTTTGAGTACAAATTTGAAGAGAAATAGTTTTTTTTAAGTGTATAATCAGTAAATCTTGTACATACATTAGTAAGGCGATCACTTGTACTATTTTATTATTTTTCATCATTAAAAAGTTGCCATTTAGGATGAATTCGACTGGGAATGGAACCGTTGGGGCCCTATGGCTGTCAAGTCCTTTCCTTTTATGATTCTCAACAGCATTGTCTTCAACATGACTTCAAGATATTGTTCTGAACGTGTTTGGATGTTCTCCACAATAATCGTTTCATTGATTACATCGACGATATTGTTCACCCATAAATTAGTCATTATTTCTTTGATTCAAGGAACTTTCGTGTTTGTGTTAACACATTACTTTAGGTATTTCTGAAAATTTTCTTAATATTTTACATTATTTAGAGTGTTGTGGTCAAAAACTGTGTAAATTTTTAAATTTTTTGTTGTTTTGGACTTTTCTTACATGTCTTGCAAACGTATTCATTTTTCAGATCAGTATATACAGTATGGATAAGTTCAATGCCCATTCTCTACTTCATCATGCATCACACGATGGCTTTGTCACCTGACGCTTTCCTGGTGTTACTCTTCGTATCTTACACTTTACTCTCATACATATCCTTCAATATTGACAGAGTTAAGGGTTTCTGTAGGCAAAATGACAAAAGCCTGTTTGATCTCTACATTCGTATGTTGTTCTACACATTCTATCATCCTTATTTGGTATCGTTGATTGTTTTGTACCGTGATTTTGAAGCTCAGATCAAAGAACGACCTAAAATACGAAGGAATTGGACGGATATTACTGTATTTGCTTTGAGGTTGCTGTTTTGGGTTGGTGTTATTGAACTTATGTTAAGGTACTTTTACTTTGGAGCTATTTTAACTGATGTAAACTTTGCGGCAAACTTGCCGAAGAATGAGTTTGTGGTAATGGGAATGGCAATAGGTATGTGATGGTTTATAGTGTATTTAATGTTTTTCTCATTTTATTATTTTTTTTAATTTTTAAGGTATAAAATTTGATGTTTTATGACATTACCTGTCATAACCAGAGTACCGAATACAATCTCTTGCTTTCAGGAAACTTTTTCCACCTAAAATACGTCATCATTTTTGGAATACCATCGTTGTTTGCTAAAATAGACAAGATGCAGCCGTTGGATGGTCCTATTTGTATATCAAGGATAGCATTGTACTCAAAGATATGGAGAGGTTTCGACCGAGGCTTGTACATCTTCTTTAAACAGTACATCTTCGTGCCCATTTGTGCTCCGACCTTCAGTCTGCCGAGGAAAATAGTCGGAGTGCTGGTATCGTACTCGTTTGTACTGTTGTGGCACGGATTTCAGCATCATAACATTGTAAGTCTTCTTGTTTTGTACTTTCTGACATGCGCTTGATGTACTTTTAATAACTATACCTACAATTTGGGATGTGATCCTAACAACATCTACAATTTAGACCTAACAACTAATTTACTCAATTTGTATGAGACTTACAATCTTACGAACCTAAATACTAGTTGAAGATGTTTTGTCTGTCAATACCTACAAGTTAAAGATACAACACTTAATCTATAGTCTTTGAATTTAAAAAAATTTAAATTTTAGGTCTGGATAATGCTGAACATTATCGAATTGTTCATCGAATTCACAGCCAAAGCCTTGTACACAGTGCAAGCGGTCAAAAACTTCCGCGAATCCACCATATCCGACCGCAACTTCCGTCGGATCCTCGGCTTCTGCCAGATCGTGCCTTATGCCTTCGGGCTGTATTCAAATTTCTACTTTTTGGGAGGATCCAAGGTCGGCTGGCTGTTTGTACAACGGATCTTCTGGGAAGAAACAGTAACACTCCGCTGGCCCTTCTTCTTACTCATCTTCTGTGGCTACAACTACATGCACGTAACCATGGAAGCCGAGAAGTGGCTGACGAAACGAAAAAACACAAAAATTGATTGAATCTTATCATCGGCAAAACGTGATAGGAGTAGTTTTGTAATAATAAGATGATAAGAGGAGGTGTCAGTCGGCTGGCTTCCTAATTAGTACAACGACGATCTACTAGGTTCAGTAAGACCTATATTAATATAAAAGACTCAGTGATAAACGTTAGAAATATGATTTGATCCATCTTATAATACACACCCAACTCATTAATTGTAAAGTAACATCAAAAATGTAAAAATATTTTAAAATTTGGGAAGGGGAAGCGGACGAGGGTAAGCACGCTGAACTGAATGACTACAAACATTGTCAAGGCTGGCTGAAAGAGGCGGGCGATTCCAACTGAACACGTCAATAAAAATAGGGCACTGCAGTTTAAAATCACGGAAAGAGCGTGACGAGAGAGGAGAGGGCAGACAGCGACGTGACCTTGTGTTCCGGGCACTGATGGACTTCTCGGGGGGCTGTGATTGAACAGAGAAAGACAGTTGTGTGCTTTCGAAACCCGACCTTGTAACTTGGGAGCCTTTCTCCCCCCATCTAGCTGGAGCTGTCGGTCGTCTCCGCGTCCGCCCCACTCTCTCGCCTCTCTTCATCACAAGCTTTTGTAAACAAGAGCGGCCTTAGTACGAAGAAGAGCCCGAGACGCCAGGCGGCGTTTCCATTCTTTCCACCGTGCAAAAACGATTTTCTTTTTTCGTTCGCTGCCTCGGGCTCTCCAGCTTTCCTCCTGCCTCCCCTTCTCTGCGCTCTCAGCACTTGTGTTATCCTAGAAATCAGAAGATCTTTCGCTTTTGCGCGATACCCTTAAGTTCCCCCTCGATCCCCCGGCTTCTGAAGTTCTGGCTCCACGTCCGTCGCATGGCGTCTCTGTGCCCCTCCTCGTCTGACGCGATCGCTGCGACGGCGATCGTTCACGGACGACGGCGATGTCGTCTTTTATGTCCACTTCCTCAACGCTTTTTTCGAATCGCCCAGTGGATTCGGTCGATTTTGGTGAAAGTTGTTGTAATATGGAGCGAGTCAAATGTCAGTTGGCATCTGATCGGGGTCTTTTCCTCCCATATTTTCGTATTTTGCGGCCGGGACAGGCGGTCCAGGGAGTCTTATGTCGCGTCACTTGTCTTGGGCGAGGTTGTGAGATACCTGTTTGGCCTAATTATTGTCAACCTTTTTGACCATTCAGAGGCTTTTTGTTATTTTTGACATTTAAGGACCTCTCAAGGTGTTCTCTATATGTCATCATTACGGGTTTTTTATAATTTGAGTGAGATTGTGCCGGTTTTCTAGCCATTATCTTATCAAAAGGTGCGATTCGTGCTTAATCAGATGCGTTTTCCGCTTTAATTTGAATATTCTGACTGGTTTGGTGTTAGTTTACGTTGTATATATTTATATAATGCGTTTGTCGAAAGACCTGGCTACCTGACTTTGTTAAACTTTGCTTTAAACAAACTATCAGCGCCCTGGAAGACGTTGATATCTTGCTTTATATCGTGTGTTAATATTTACTTAAACCCGGGTTTTGTATGATTCCGCATAATCCGAGCTTAGATGGAACTTATGGGTTGGTTTCTGATCTTATCAGATATTCGAAAATAAACTACCCATTACAGTTTAAAGGTAATTGCAGTTTAAAATGCAAAAGTGGAGAGTGTGCATCTAAAGACTAGAGCCCAACATACGACCATTCTCACTGAGTAAATCCGCATGGAATGGTCAGCAGCTTCTCCAATAATAAGTCTCAACTCAGCCAGAAGGAGAGCCGACACATCGAAGTAGCTGGAATCCCCGAAGGCACGTCCACCGACAGTTTGGTGGCCTATTTCTCAACGTTAGTTTCTGCCCTATTTAAAATAGTCTTTTTAAAGTTAAATTACATTACTCAACCGATAATCTTACTAGATTAATGATAAAAATATGTAAAGAAGACGGTTTTTTTAAAAACATAGACCGGATTCAAATTTTCTAAACCTTCTTTTTGCCTTGCCTAGTAACATACTTTCCCACCCTTGCTATATCTTTGTATAACCTTAGAATAACTTTTGATTCACCCATACCTATAAAAAACGTTACAGGTTTGGAAAAGTGCAAAAGGTAGAACAAAAAGACAACTCGGATGCCCCAGAGTTCATCGTCAGTTTTATGGATGTACGATCGGCCCAGAAAGCTCAGAACAGCGAGCTCCAACTACAGGGCCATGCCCTCGGCATCAAAGTGCACGACGCCGTAAAAAGGTAACAAATCCGTTTCGAGACCCTACAAAAACAATTTCAAAACCTTCCGTGACGGCCTTATTTGGCACGCCGAAATACAATTTCCGCCATTTCCTCATAAATGGTCCTAATCTCCCGAAAGCATGACAAACATCAGATTTTGGACAGTTTAAGAGGCGCTGTGACAATTTAAAGCAAAGTCAGTCGAGCACTTTGGAGAAATTAGAGTATGCGCGACGAGAGGTGCAAATACAATGGAAACGAGGTGACCGCGGAGCACGTCGTTTAACCTCCCCCTGACCCGAGAACGCGCTCTATTTCGCGACTGTTGCGTTCTCGTAGCTGCCACGACGATATTTTCTTCCACTTGTTGTTTTCGGGGTCGACATCCATTCATGTTTTCCATCACCTCACCGCTCTCCGATCCCGTCCCCCCTCCGGCGACCTCACGCATCCTATTTTTGAGATCGAAAGGGGCGAGATCAGATATTACTCCCGTTTTCCATCCCATGCCATTTTAACCCTCAAAAAACCAAAAACCTTGCTTTTCGAATCAAAATAAGCTCCGAATGTGTTGTTACTAATATTCCCGTGCAATTTGACTACAAGACTACGTTTCTATGAGCAGAATCTATCCTTTTACCAAAAACTACAATATTGTTACCTAAACTTTAAATCTATTTCTAATTAAATTCTATTTAGTCTGCATGGTGGCTCAACAACGTCAGCATCGACCAGCGCTGATAGTTTCGACACCATCGACCAAACACGCATTCCCTACTCCCAAACCACGACGGCCAACTACAGTCGACGTAACCTGGCATCATCCACAACCCCCGTAGAAGGGCGCAAGTTCAACGGCCTTCAGGGCATTCTAGTGCAATCTCCCCATCGATTGCCAGAACACACCTTCAAACAACAACTCATCAACCTCATCAACTCCAGCAAGGTCAAGAGTAAGCTGATCGATGTTTCCATCGACTCAGCCGACCCTTCGAACGCGCTGATTCTGCTTCAGAAGTCAGTTGATTTAAATTAAAATAGCAATGTTAATATTATAAATGACCTACGCTTAACTAAACCACTTTCAGTGTCCCTTACATAGATTCTCTGGTTCTGGAAATTCAGCGTAGCACATTGGCCGCGTTACCTCCAGACCAAACCCTGAATGCTAAACTGGCTAGCCACGTTGCTGTGACGGAAGCGCACAACAACTACTTGGTTGCCACCGCCGGAGCTTTAACCGACTCTCTACCTCCCCCGCCCGCAACCCCCACTCTAAAAAATGTACCGAGAGAATCGAGCACGGACCGTGATGCTCGACAAAAAGAAGCCTCAAGGACTCTTTACGTTGGCAGTCTAGAAAGGAAAATAAAGGAAGACACGCTGAAAGCAAGGTTCTCGAGATTCGGCCCCATCGTCGAAGTAGACATAAAGAACAAGGACAGTCCAGCACCCTTCGCCTTCATCCAGTTCGCCAACATCAAGTCGGTGGTCGATGCCATCTCAGCCTTCCAAAACAACAGTGCAAGCATGGTCGGAGCGAAAGGCGAGAAGCTCAAATTCAAGGTAGTCGAACACATTGTAATACAAACTAATTTGATTTACAGGTTAATTGGGGAAGACCTATTCCGACCGCCAAACTCTGGCTGGGGGACCTGCCACGCTCGTGTAGTAGCGAGTACCTATTCAACAAACTACGAACGGTGACAGACAGTGTCCAAGACATCGTATACGACGCCACGCACAACGAGGCGTTGGTCATCTTCAAGAACGTGGAGCAATCACAACTGGTCCACACAAAAATAAAGAATCGACAATTGTAAGTCAATTGTGGGCAACGTCACGGCACTCCTCGGAGCTCGGAATGAGGGCTGCGAGGAGACCCGGGGAGGGTGTGGCCTTTAAAGTGAGGCAGCTCTGCCAAAGACGCCTTCTCTCGCTTCTTGGGACCCTCGCCCATTCCCGCGCTCTGTGGGGCGCGCAAGAAATGTCCTGGTGAGAAACGGCAGCCATGTGGTTGGCATGCAGGGCCTCTCTGCCGGGCCTGCCGCCATCTGTCCTTTTTCTACAACCCCTTCCCCCCTGCTCCGAACGTGGATTTCTCTTTCCTTTGCTCTGCGCGCCTTTTTCGTGGGACCCCGATACCTTGGCGTCCCAAAACTCCACCCAATACTAGTATCACCTAAAGTTTTTACCAGTATTACTACGAATACAATTATATTTACCCTTAAACCCATGACTTTTTGTCCGAATACGCGTCTTCATCCCCTATTCACTTGTATATTTTGTCGTCAAGAGCGTGGCCACGCTCAATTTCACGTCTCACGTACTGTCCTATACCTATATTACTGTGCCGCGTATTCACTCACTTCGCGGTCTGTTATATAAAATTTATTCTGTCAAGTTTCGCGAAATTTTATATTTTTTTCGATTTTGACGCTTGTGTTAGCATAATTTGCGTGATTTTTCCTCCAAAAACCGTGCTTCGACTTTCCCCCTCCCAAACATAACAAAATCCCCTCATTTCTGGTTGTAACAGCTTTGTTTCATAATCTCGCAGGTCGTTACTACAAAATCTCTTGTAAACTACCGTGTTTGTCTCGACCGTAATTAGTCTGGTCACATGTTTACCGGCATTAGGTGGCCACGATAATTAATTTTTAACGTCATCTGAAGAAAAACCCTCAGATGTCGAACAAAAACTATAATTTTTGAAAAAACACTTATAATTTCAAACAATACTCGACATTGAAAAAGTAAAGTGTACTATAAATATCTTTGTTTTTGGCAATTTTGTTTTACGAAAGATTAGTTTAATTGTAATATTTTACACTTTACGTCCCCACCACGATTATTCGGTCAAAAAGTGCGCAGAACGCCGTTTTATACACGATCTTTGTTTCTGTTTTACGTTGCCTTTTGACAATACGTGACGTATAAGCAGTTGGTCGTAAATTGGATAGGATTCCCATTTTCGTATTCGTTTTTTGACACAAAAACTGTATCTAGGTCAGAAGCGTGTAGAACCCTCTTTTAATTGCGAGTTTGGTTTTCTTTATTGTTTTCTTCACCGACCATGCCTTTCCTGGTTTTAGATTGGTCTAAAAGCTCATTCACGAGTTTCTTTATGGCGTTTTTCCTAGACTAGAATTTCGTCTATGAAATGCGCAGAACCTTCTTATCTATGCGAGCTTGGCCCCCTTCTGACGTTTCTATTTTCTTTTTGACCAAAAAGACAAGCCACCGCCGTCGGCATGATTTAATATTCTCTCGTTTTCAGAATTATTCCGCCTGAACGGCCACTGAAAGAACAACAAGTGAACGTTCAACAACTGGTCGATTACGCCAGCGACAAATTGCACGACTATTTTGTGGACAGAAAGTTTGGCCGAATTCAATTACTTTCATCGGTCCCCTCGCCCATCTCCTTGAACAGCACCCCCGTCTATCAGCGGGCATCTACCTCAACTGAAGAAGCCTTCCAGACGACGTCAGAAACCAAAGATCCTCGGCCATCTTCGGACCCAGAGTTCTCGGCTTCACATGCACCTGAAACGGCCGCAGCGGTCCCAACTGGAGCCGCTTCGTTGTCGGGAGTAAAAGAGCCCTCGGTCCTGCTGGTCCCTCCACCCGATCCGCCCAAAGATCTCACTAACGATCTCACACAAATGTCATCGGAGTAAGCTGAAAACCATAAAATTTCATTAAAAAATGTTTTTTTCCTTGAAGCACAATGCCAAAAAGATTTTTGGCGACTGAAAGTTTCCGTTGCGGGATTATTTTTATATTGTGATGCTTTTCTATACATTTTTATAGAATTTACGTGATTTTGTGGCCCTATGTTTTTTAGTAAAAACATAAACACCACAATAAGGCTGCACAGCAAGTCATAAAATTAAAATTAGCAAAGGGCTTCAATTTGTTACCTAAATTTAAATTAATTTTTTATCTGTAAATATATTTTCGTTAAAATACCCTTAAAATAATACCAAACAACTTACGCTAACTGTTTCAGCCTTTCTCCCTTCTCTTCACGACATGGGGAAGAGTCGTCCAGTCAACGCCAGGATGAACTACTGGCCCGGAAGCGGATCAAACGAAAAGTAAAGCTTTCGGCTTCCCCCGCCGGGTCCGGTTCATCTGAAGAGAAGCTGGGTTCCTCAGACTCGTCCCGCCACTCTAGTCCTGATCGCGAATCGTCTGAAGCCAAAGGGCACAGCGAACCTTCAACATCGTCGGTCGGGTCGATTAACGACCAAAAGCTGGGAACGTCACCCGACCCTCTGCACTCCTCAGTTTTTTCGAAAGTTAAGCACGCTGACGATGTTTTAAGTAAGTTTTATTACATTACTCTAAAATTCTTCAAGTTTTCCGTATTTTGATCATAATTTCATGTTATTGTAGATATTTTTTTGTGTTTGTTACCTAAAATGTTTCAGAACCAAAAACTAAATGTTATTTAAAGTAGAGCTTCGTCAAATACCCTTGTACTAATCATTTCTTATTTAGCGTCACCTACAACGTTGAGAGATATCGATTCCCCTGACAGTTTTCCTCTGCGACGAAGCTCCAACGATTCAGGAACACCTACAACTCCTAACATGAGAAATTTGTCAAGAATAGAACCCCTTCATAAAGAGGATATGATGGATGCTGAAGATTCGTTTATTGACAAGGAGTTTGAGCATTTAATACCTTGGGAAACCAACTCTGATGTCAGTGATCCCCGAAAGAATTGTTCTAATTACACCACGAACGATGAACGAGGACTATTCTTTCCCAGTTTCTACACAGAGGACGAGAGTGGCTACCGGTACTGTAGGCATCTACACGGTAGCAATCGGCGACCGTCTCAGCCTCTGCCAGTAACTCCACAGCATAACAAAGACGAGAAGATGTCACCTCTCTCACACAGTGGTATAACACGGACGATATCTAGTGGATCATCGGAGAACTTGGCTAGTCAGGTATTAGATCTGTGCCATGAACGACCTCCGTCGACATCGTCCTCGGCTGAAGACGGAACGTTGCCTCCAATGCCTCCACCACCTGGCCACCCGGCTGCCCTTCCAGCTCATATTGAGCGACTGAATGCTCTGACATCCAGAGTTGACTCGATCTACGAAAAACATTCTACCTCCCTAACTCCAGCACAACAAGCGAGGTTAAGTGGCTCGATCGAAGACGATTTGTTGCGATTCCGACAACGGAAAGCACAGTCAATGTCAGGGATCACAACCCCGAGCACAACACCATCCACACCTCAGGCATTCGACACAAAAGAGGCGAAGCAACAACCAAAGTTGACCATCAACATTCCTCCTACAAGCTCAGCTACATCTTCGTTAGTGTCATCACCTGCGTTGGCTCCATTTACTGCTCCTGTAAGTCATGCACCTTTGCATAGTCCTATGGGAAGTATTAATGGTTCCATGGGACGGTCGATGTCATTCAGTATGGAGTTACCGGCTTCAACCAATATGCAGCCAAGGTCAATGTCTGTAAGTGGAAATCAGCCTTCGCCAGCATTGCCGTTACCTCCCCCTCCACCGCTTTTGGCATCACCAAAGACAATGTCTGGCAGCCCTGGAGAATTGGTAAGATTTTAAAAGTTTTGTTAGATTTTATTTTTTTAGTCTATAAATTTAAGATTTTAGTTACAATATTAAGGTAATATCTGTTTGTTTTTGTCATATCGTTTAACTCAAAATGCATTTTTAGTCAAGGCATGGGTCATTTTCTACACCAAGACCGGCTTCACCTCCACCTCCTCCAACCAAGGCTACTATACCCACCGTCGCTGCACCATCGGCTTCTTCAAATTTAGATCCACACTTTGCGTTGAAAACAAAACCTCATTTAAATGGTACCAAACCTGTTACAACACCTGTTAATGGGACGAAACCTTCATTAACAAAGCCAGGAACCGAAGTGAAAGAACACAAACCTCACAAAGCGGATTCAGAAGATCACGAAGAGAAAAAGCTGAAAGACAAGAACAAGATGTTACAGTTTATGCAGATCCCGAGAAAGAAGGAAGGTCAGAAGGACAGTATCACCTTTGTATCTCCACTTAATCGAGGTCATATTAACAATACTCCTGGCACTCCAACTACTCCACCAAATACGAAAGTTAAGAACAATGAAAAGAAACATAATGTGCATACTCCATTGCCATCTACATCCAAAATGGAGATGAAGATGGAGAAGAAGCCAGAAAAGAAAGAGAAAGACAAGGAGAAGAAGGAGAAACATCGACTGTCAGTCGGGAGTGTTAAAGATCTACCCCCGAAAACAATGAGCAGCAAAGAAAGACAAGCCGCATATATTAGTGAAATGGAGAGGATCAAGGAAAAAAGCATGAAGAAATTCCCTGAATCCAAGAAGGACCGTGAACAGTACATCAAGTTGAGAGAAGCCAAGCTTAAAACCAGGTTCGAACAACTTAAGGCTGAACACGAGAAGGTGAAGAAGGAAAAGTTGAAGAAACAGGTGAGTTAAAGTAGAAAAGGGCACTTTACTATTCGTTCTTGAAGGAATTACTTGCCATTTTTGGATTTACTTGAATTTCGCTTCCACTTTTTTGTAAATTTGGTGAAATACAAAAAATTGTAGGAAAAGATTTTTCTTTGAAAAGGACGTTTTATACGAAAGATTTGCGTAAAATTAAATTTTTGCAAATAATATTAATTTGCAGGAAGAAAAGCAAAAACTGGAACATTCGAAACAGAAGAAGCTGAAAGAAAAGGAAAAAGAGAAGGAAAAGGAGAAACACAAGGTAAAACCAGTCGAAAAGAAAAAGTCAAGACAACGGACGCCTTCAGAAGCTTCTTCTGATGACGACGATTCGGAGGATAATAATGATCCATGTCGTGCTGACTTCCTATTGGTATGTTTATCGTATCTTTTCTTATATTGTCTGCTTTTAGAAGAGTAACGAGATCGAAGCACAGAAGATATTGTACGAGGCAGCGAAGAATGGATCGTTGAACTTGTCGATGTATGAGAGGATTAAGCGGAAAAGAACTGCTCCAAGACAAGATGAGAACAAAAAAGTTTTGGCTTTGGCGAAGCTTCGAGAAAAAGCTGAGGCAAAGGTAAGCAAAAAGTTTATTTTTCTGGTTTAAAATTTTGTTTTTCCTTATTTTTTGAAATTAACATATATTTTTTAGAAAAAGAGAAGAGTTCACTTGTCATCTTGTTCCGACGATTCTGACACAAACGAATTCTCTAAGAAATCGCAAGCCGATTCTAGCGCCGATGACTCAGATGCAGCTACGACAGTGACAAATGCATCTGGAAGTTCAGCAGCAAAACGAGCACGATCTTCGAGCACAGCTTCAAAGAAGGCTTCTACAGATTTCATAAAGAAAGAAGGAAAACGAAAGAGCGAAGACAAGGAAAGCAAGAAGGAGAAGGTAAAGAAGATTAAACAAGAACCTGTCTCAGATGCCGAATCTGAAGCTCCAAAGGTAACGAAGGAGAAGAAGCCGAAAATTGAAGCCAAATCCCCGGTTCCAGAAATGGTCTCCGAAGAATCAGATGGAGAAGCAGCGGTTAAAGCGATGCACGATGAATTTGTTTCTTACAAGGCTGATTCTGATTCTGACGACAACAAAGTCAAGGAAAAGAAGAAGAAGAAGCAGAAGAAGTTTGACACCAACTTTGATGACATCTTCGCTGCTAATTCTGACGATGATTCTGAGAAGAAGGCTAAGAAGAAGAAGCTGTTGAAGCAACAGAAGGCTGAGAAGGCAGAAAAGCTTCCTCCAGTCGTTCATACAGGCAAGCCAGGAAGACCAAAGAAGGTGAAGGAAATGGAAAAAGAGATGGCTGAATCCAAGAAGAAGAAGAAAGAAGAGAAGGAGAAGGTCAGGAAAGAGAAGACCTCCAAGAGGTCGCTGGATGAAAGTTCTGGCAGTGAGCCGGCCAAGAAGAAACACAAAACGGACGAAAAGAGACGAGTTTCTGATACCGGGTCCTTGATGTCTTTGTCGAAGACGCCGCAGTCAGAAAAACACAAAGCGTCGCTACAGTCGCCGCTAAGCTTAAACCTGTCTGCTTTGGGACCGTGCTCCTCTATGGACATCTCACCCACTCCATTCACTGCCATTTCACCTACACCCTCAACTGGAAGTGATAATGTTCGTCTCGAAAACTTTGTCACACCGTGCAAGGCTACGGATACAGCCATGTTCTCACCATCACTCCAATCGACCAATTTTCAAATTGTAAGTTTCTTCACTTTGTTAGTCTAGTATCGTTAGTTGAGTGTATTTTTGTTTGTTGATTGAATAAGCTTATCTTGGTCGCGATTGTATGTTGTGTTTTGTCTTTAGATGCCACTCGAATCTCCCAAATCTACCCCTCTACCAGCTCCTGTTGACGACCAGTCGAAAAAACTGCTGGATGTTCCGAAATGGTCGGAAAGCAGGAAACGATCATCTTCTACTAGCTCCTTCAACTCGAGCTCGACTTCTGGTACTTCTACCGCTTCTTCTTTAAACGCTTCACGTGCGGCTTTGGAGAAAGCTCCTCCGACCATACAGGAAGTTGCTGAAGAGCCTTCTACAAAAAAATTAGCTCCAAAAGATGAGAACGATCTCAAGGAAAAAGCAGAAACGTCGACTGAATCTACTGGACCAGCCGTTAAAACGGAAGAAAGTCCTGTGGCTAAAATCGAAAAGGTTTCTGACGAACCTGTACCAGAATCTTCGACGAAGCCTATGTTAACCGAAGATAACGGACCTGCTCGGCCTCGCTTCATCAATCTGTCACCCACACGGCTTCTGGAGGAAATCAATTTTGAAGATTCGAGTAACGTCGAAGATGACGATGACGACTTGGAAGAGGAGCTTCTACGTCATATGTCTGCTGACCCTAAGCCCGATACTACCAAGGCGGAGCCAGTCATTGATTACAGCAGTCAGGACACACAGGTATATTATTGTGCACTTGTAGTTGACTGCACGGTTTTTATTGTTGTAGTGCTGGTTTTTAATGATATTATTCTCATTTCTGTCTTTTTAGGAAACCGAAGATGCCATTGAATCGATTTCTGCCTTCATGGAGAACAAGTCAGACGACGAGGACGACGACAGCTACTCTCACTCTATGTCGCGAAGAATCAACGAGTCAGATTACAACAAAGGAATGCGTACTTCTGGATCAGAAGAATTTAACGACGAGCCTACTGTTTCTACTGCTACACAGCTTGACAAAGAAAAGGCTGTAGTTAGTGAATCAGAAGAAGCGCATAAGCCTCAAGAAGTGTCAGACAAGGTCGATGAACCACCAAAACCAACCAGAGAAGAGCCTCAAGAAGACAAGATATCATCGGTCATTGCGAGTGTAGCCAGAGGCGACAGTTTTGAAAACTCGGCAGTCAGTAAGCCTAATGTGGCATCGGCTGTTTTGGTGCAGAACAGTGGAGTGTTTTCTAACATTTCGCATCTTCCAACTCCACCACCGTCACGGTCTTCTGGTGGGTCGCCTCAATGTACTTCTCAATTCCAATATCCTGTAGCCCAGATTTCACCTCAAATTTCGATCGCGGCCAAGAAGGACGAGCCAAAGATTGAAACATCTGTGTCCGAAGTGGTTAAGGAATCTGGAAATAAGTTGGAAACTACTGACTCGAAGAAAGAGCTACCACTACCCACTTCTAACACTTCTAACGGTGTTTCTGTGGCGGCTACACAAGTGCCAGTAGCTTCAAAATCAACGGTATCGCATCCAAGGACTTCTATTGTTGCTGACTTCCAACTTCCGATTCAGAAGGACACGGAGACTACGCAACAGATGCTGGAGAGATTCTACAAACAGACCAACACCACTATCCCTTCAACTGTATCCTTGGCGTTGTCGTATCCTCAACAACAGTCTACTGCGACGGCTGCCGTCAGACCGTTCAATAGCCAGCCATCTTCTGTAGCTACTACTTCAGCTGCCGTTCCCAACCAAAGCTCCGCCCAAACCTTTGGCCAGAACTTGCTGGGACAACAAATGGCCAAGACCTTACCTCAGAATATGAACAGAATCCCGATGTCACAGCCTCAGATGGCACCTATACCTGCAGAGAACATTCTGGCTGCTCTTCAAGTTGCTGGTATTGGACCGAACGCCATAACACCTCAACTGCTGGCTAATCCCAGCTTGTTGATATCAACATTGGCTTCGACCAATCCGGCAGTAGCAGAGTCGCTTCAAAAGTTGTTGACACCTACGGATGTATCTCGATTACAACAACCTACTGATCTTGCTAGGCTGCAAATGCTGCAACAACAAGTCAAACAACCGTTTATGCCTTTATCTAATCCATCTCTAATGGCATTCATGCAACAAGAACAACAACGACAGCAAATGGCACATCTTCAACAGCAACAGATGGGAATGACACCTGAACAGACCTACATGGAGCAGTTGAAGATGTTGCAATTGCAGCGCGCCATCAAGCCAGAGATCGTTCAAAGCCCCAAGCCAGTGTCTCAATTGGTCGATGTGAAAACGGAAAAGGCAAATGGCTATGGCTTCAACAGGAACCGCTACCCTCTATGTTGGCAAGGGACTTTGGCTATGAAGAGCAACGACGCTACAGTACAACTGTTTCACATCTCAGGATCTCAATATCTGATGGATAAGACAACTCGAGAGTTGACTGATGTTGAGGATGGTAATCAGACTATCAGAATCAACCAAAGAATGCGGCTAACTAACCCTCAATTACTAAGTAAGTTGCATAAACGAATATCAACCATAATATAGAGTATATTTCTTGTTTAAACTACTGATATTAATCTTCAATTTTTCAGCCATATGTAACCAAATGAAGAACGACGATGAGTTTGTGGCCATGGCATGCGTACCATGTGGCCAGAATACTGAGCAATTACATCATGAAAGCTCCAAAATGACAACTCAATTCATCAACTACTTTAACACCAAAATGACAGCTGGTGTTGTTACTCACTCTACTGTAAGTTTATTTACTATGCTTTTTTCAAGACTTGCTGTTTTGCATTTAAATTCTTAACTTTATGACTTAAAAATATGTTCTGTTGCTTTAAAAGGATTGAATGCTTTGTACTTGACCAAAAGTAATGATACCTTATTTTAGGCTAACCAAAGCCCCTCTTGCATCGCCCACTTCTTCCCTCCATGTGACTGGACTGAAGAACAAATGAATCGACTGTCTCCGGAATTCGCTACCGAACTGAAGCGCCTGGTCCCAACGTATTTATTTGTGGTGGTGACCAGAAGTGACCTGAACTCGCCCAAAATCGAATTGGAACAAAAGCCGGTGCAGGTGCCGGTGATGCCTCAAGTGTGTGGAAGGACGGTGTAGCCTTGCCACGTAGAATTTTACCGTTTTATCAGTCATATCAGACATGTAAATATTTAACCAATCGTACTGTCCGGTACCACTCGTACTGTTCAGTACCAACGTTGTTGTCCTGCCGTTCGGCACAATTGCTTAGCTTCGACCCGGTTTTGTATTTTTTTGGCAATTGCTGGACCCCTTTACTATTTGATGCAGGTACCTTTCTCAACCGACCACCACCTCATTTGGTCGGTTGGTAAGTCTTCCATTCTCTCACCTCGGATTCTTTAGATTTATTATTTATTTCTCTGCTCTTGTACATTTATATTTAGGAATATTTTTGTTATCTCACATTTTCGTATACTAAACGTATATACACATATATATAAAGAATAAATGAATATAATTTATACAGTTGGGTGTTTATTTGAAAAAAATAATTAAAAGCAAGACATAGAAAGTAAAAAATTTTTGGAAAAACAGATTTTGTGAGTTTGGTCGCTGATTGATTGATTATTTGTTTGAAACTATTGATTTTCGTGTGGGAAACTGCTGGAAAAAAGAATTTCGAAAAACTAAAATTTTAAAGTTGTTCAAACTTAATAAAATGGCTGAAATTGTTTTTCTTATAATCTGTTTTTTTAATAACTTGATTCTTAAACTTCTTAAAAATGCACTGGTCATTATAATAATAACCAAAAATGTTTAATTACGTTAATATACCGGTTTAAACCAAAATTTCGCTAACAACGAAATACATAATACTCAATCTAGTGATATGCAAATCTAGAGGTCGAGAAGCCTGCGGCCGTTTTAAAACAAGGTTAATTGTTGTGAACAGCTGTGTTCTTTTCTCGGCCGCTCTAGCTTCTACGTCGTGTCCATTTGGCAGAGAGTGGTGGCCATTGCGCCTGAGGCTTTGGCTTTGCATTGCCAAGACGCGCACTCTTTTTGTGGCCATTCTCGGGCAGGGTATTATGTCTGTAATACTCAAAACAAAACTTTTTCCCATTTCCGAGTTCAAAATTGGACAAAAAATAGTTTCTTTATTCCCCCTGATTAAGTTGGTCCACTTTTTAGGCAACAAAGAAGCTGCTAACTCGATTCGAGGCCATAGATTTAGGAGATTCGGCCAATTTGGGTTTCTTTGGGATTTGGGGGAAGCGGCTGACCGCCTCCATTTCGAATATCTGGTTTTAAAACTGTTATGAATTTCGAGGGTCCGCTGCGTCTTGAGTTTGTTTTCTGCAGTTCCTGTTGGACTGGTGATAAGATTGGAATGGCAACGACCGCACCTTTGCCCCCTCCTAATCGACGGGTTTTAAATAGGTCTAGTATAATATTTACACCGATTTCGTGGCGTTTGTGTTTGTGATTGGAATGATTAGGTTAATATGAACGTCAGAACATGTAGTTATTTTATTAATAATATTGGGTTATTTCTTATTGTAGCACTATATTTTTGCAATACAAAAGAAGCAGTTGCTTATCAAAAATCTATTTATAATATCATTGTAGTATATTATTCACAGTTAAGTACGATGAGTTATGTTGAAGCGAGATCGTTGAACTGTGGCGGATTTCTTGATTCAAACTGAATTCATCTGTTTTTGAAACGTTTACTTTCAGGCGGCTTACATGGGAAATGTCCGGTAGTCATGTAAATGTGAAGGATCTTGCGAAACGGTAATAAATATTGATAATTACATTAGTTTTTGATATTGTTACAGTAAAAATATGTTGTATAGGATTTTTTATATATTTGAAGATGTTGAACTTTGTGTATTGATCGAACAAGTAATCTATGACAATATTTTTAGATTTGAGGCGTTAAGTCCTCCAAGTATAGCTGAGAAAAAGGATGACAAATCGGTAGTCAAGTCGAAAATGTAAGTTATTTGACTGTTTGGGTGTCTAAAATCTGAAAAAAGTTTTATAATATTATAGTTATTTGTTGCAAGATCAAAAAATTCAAAAATTATGAAGCGAACGGCACAGTCTGCCACCAAAACAATAAAGTACGCCAATGTTTACAGAACACGGGTGAATGTTTCCGTTACCGCACGACCGCGGTTTCCTCCGCCGATGAAGCGGATCCGAAGTTCGCGACGACGTCGAGTGTTTCAAAGCTCGGTCGAACTGAACAGGTCATCCACATACTATGTGTGTACCAAGTCCAAGTCCAAGTCCGCGATCGAGGGAGTAACGTGCAAAAAAAGGGAGTAAGTGGTCATTTGAAACGATTATATTACAGCTTTTCACTTTGTTTCCGCGGCTATCTTCCCTTTGTTCTTGTTTACTTGACCCATAGCTGTTGTAGTATATTGTAGTTTCTGCTGCGTATCGTATAGTACAATTTTCAAATTGTAGATCTTATTATAGGTATCAATAAGAGCCAAAAAGTTTGTAGACTGGTTTTTTGAGTTAAAATAGCAGTATACTGTAAATTTTTTGGGAGGAGTGAATTTAAAGGAAGAATAGCTTTTAAAACATACATTACATACCAAATGTAGTTTTAAAAAGTATTCCACAAAATATGCATAATGTAAAAGCATGTTTTGGCGTCGGAAATGAAATGCTTAATCCGATCATTACCCACATCTTTGCTGATCTAGGTCATGGATGAGCCGGTTCCGTTCTTTTTGGTTAATTCCCGGTAAAAACGTCACGCTTTCACAGATTTTAAGACCATTTCGCGTGAAGCGACTGGACTCATAATAATCTGCGGAAACCGCGTACTTAGCGACAAACCCAAACCTAAGGGCTAGTCGGAACGTGACTTATGTTTCAGCATACTGTAATGTTTTGATACGTCACTTTTTAAACATATTTTTAAAATTAAGGTTATGGTTTTACAATTGTTTTTAATATACATTGTGTTCTGGGGTTCACTTTTTTCAAGTATAATATTATAGGTTTTTTCCTTACAATAACATAATAACAAGCTCCAAACCCTATTGACCAACACAATAACGCGTTTTTTCTATCTCAACTTTGTTTTTATGGAGATCGCGTAGGATTTTCAGTAGTTAATAGTAATAGTAACGTCTTTCTACTTTAATTTATGTGCCAATTCGCCGCCATTTCTCGCGCAACTCAAACCATCGATAGAAACCCATCAATTTGTCTTTAAGGTCGTTCCTGCCGTTCTTTACTTTCCTTGTGAACGTTGGATTGGGGTGTTCTGTTGACTCAAGCCCTTTTCATGGCCATAACCGGTCATTGAAGGGGGCGCGGTAATTGACGGTCAGGGGCCGGAAACGGACTGTCCTCTCCACACTGCTAATTAATTTCCGCTTCTTTTCCCATCCATCATATAGGAAATAGTCTAATATTCGCGGAGTATCCAGATTTGTTTAATAAATTTATTATTTTATTAATTTGTTCGTATTTTAGAGAACCTGGGATAAAACAAGAGCCAGTCATGACGTTGGGGTTAAAGCCGGCACCTCCGCCAAAGCCGGTCCATCTGAACAGTAGTCAGACATCTACAATAAAGAGACCAGTACGTCCTAAAATGGTGAGTCTAGATTGTTTTTAACTACAAAAATACCTCTTTTTGCCCAAAATATCTTATTTTAAAGCAATATGTTTTCCAGAAACCCCCCTCACCCTTACCCCAGCCCAAGTGCCAAGATCATGAAGATCGTGCGGGGATCGTGGAGTCATCTCCATTCAAACGCTCTGACCGTTGTCGGTACGTTTTTTATTTGTTTTTGTTTTGATGTGACTGCTCGGGCACTTGAACTTGTTGTAGGATCATTCGAAAACCCTCGAGCCGTCCGCCGCCACCGCCGAGAAACAACGAGAACATGATCTACCAATCCATCTCACCTCCAGATTCCCCCACGTCGACGCCGAGGTTCAACAATCAGTCGCCACAACTGCCAAAACTACCCACACTCCCACCACCGCGACCTCCTGCCATGGATTCTGAATCCGACCACGAACCGGAACAGTTCGAGAGTATGTACGAGGGGTTGTACGAGGAGATAGAGCAGGAGTTCAGTGTAAGTACTGCCAAGTTAAGTCTACTAAAGTAAATTCAATTCTATATAAGTTAACTTGAGTAGTTTGGTCTATGGTTAATGGTAGTAAAACCGTCTTTCGTATGATAATTAGTTTCAATCTTCAGAAGTCTTTCAATGGGTTGTCGAGTATGAAGATACAGCCTCAGCCGTCGACGTCGTTCACTCCAAACTCCAGAAGGAAGAACAATGTAAAGTAGGTTAATTTTGTGTTCGAATTAACAAATTAGACCGACTTACGAGTAACAACAAGAGTAAATCAAGTCATAACAAATACTAAGAATAAAGTCTAGACTTTTGAGAATTTAAAAATTCGTATAAACTAAAATTGTACCATAAATGCTTTTACTTTGACGTTTTAATTTAAAAAGTCTGTACTCACTTAACTTAAAGTAAGTAAAGCTCTATTTAGTAACTACTACAAAGATGAATCTCCTCAAGATTCGTACGACTACATCCAAACGGTCGAACCTCGAGGAACCCAGACGTTGGGTCGCTCGACTGCCAGAAACTTTGTCGATCAGATGAAGCAGCAAAGGTCACGGGAGAACGAAGCTCGCAACAAGATGTTCACCTCCATGTTCACCAACCATTCCAACGGTTTCGGAACGTGGGCTGGCCGTAAGAAGACCCGGAGGCCAGTGTCGTCGCTAGAGTTCGAGAATCTGATGAGAATCAAGAGCGATCTCCAGAACAACATATCACGTAAGGTATGTCAAAGCGGAGCCAATTTGATCGTTCAGGTGGGGAAGTTGAGGAAGAAGGTGCATCTTCATCACGACGACAACAACCTCGGTTCCAGTCGCGTTCCCGAGTCCTCCAACGAGGCCCAACTGTACGGTGACGATTGGTCGTCGGACGAGGAGCAAGCGAATACAAACAAGTACGGTGAGTGTGTTGTTGTCCTGTTTATGTTATTCTTTCCTAATCAGCTGTTGCGACATGTCACAGTTATTTGATCTTTTATCGGAGTCAACAATTTCAAAATGGTTTCGGAATTCAAATCACCATGATTTTTGAATTTTAAATAATTATGTTTTGATTGTTTTGGACGGTGACTTTTCGGAGTTTGTCACATTTTGTTATAAGACCACCTATTAGTCAAATACTATATGATTTTGCCAATAAGTTAACGTTTACGGTGAAATAAGCTTACGTCACTCTTTATAGTGCAAATTGATTACCTTTGTTAAAACATACCGTGCAGGTTTATACGAAAATGTAACATGTCGTGAGTGTTGTGTCACGTGTTGTTTCTTTTCGTAATCGTACAGTGGTTGTTTGTGATTGTCTTTGTATGGCCGTCTCCCCTCTTCTTTGTACGTTTGACTCAGAGTTAAAGCCTGGGACCGAAAAGTGGCCACTGTTTGAAACGCCTTCGGATTCGGCGGTTTCATTTCGCGCTTAATCAGAGCAAGATTAATCAGATTATCCGACCCTCGAGCTTGTCTGTGCGTTCCCGAGTGTACACAGATTTTAAAACATGTACACTTTTGGGTTTACACAAAGCGAGGTACACGGAGATCCGGCTTACGCTACGTAAACGTCTTATTTTGCATTTAAATAATATTTTTATGGTGATTCGCGTAATGTCCCCCTATGTTCGGGCTCTGTGTCCTCACCGTCCGTGTCTTATGTTGTTTGTTTTCAGAAACTGATGCCAGCCATTCTTTGTTGAAAGAAATCGAAGACGAGTATCAGGAGTTTTGTAGCCAGACCTCCAAAGGTAACCATTTGTTATTTTTAGTTTTTTAAGTTATAAAGACATTCCTTTTGTCACATTGTAGTGACCTATAAATAGCTTTGAGTTCATTATCTATCCAGAACTGTCTAAACACTAAACAACAGTTTTAACTATTTGAAACTTTTGAAAAAAGTCATTAATAAAACATTCCAGACCGAATGACCGAATCTCCATTAACAGCACAGTCTTCCTCTTCTGATAACATGTCCCGACTGACACGACAATCACAGAGTCTAAATGACGACCATCGTATGTCAACTCTACATAAAGAGTTACATCGCTTGAAAGTAGACGTCGATCTAGATGCTCAACCGTGCTCATCGTCCTCAATCCTGGATGACGATGACATTCCAGACATAGATGAAACTAAAATGACAGAAAACAGTTTGTCACCGTTACCAGACATCACGGATTCTGATTCCTTGTCTGATTATGACAGAAAGAGCTTGTATCAGTCAAGGTTACCTATAGCTCAGCCTTTGTATCAGATCTACATGCTACAGGAACAACAGAAGCTACTGGTAGACGGTGGTCCCAGAAGTGTAAAGGCTTCTGATCTGATGCTACAAGTTCCTGGAGACAAAGATGAGTCAGACAGCTTGTGTGATTCCAATGATAACGAGGATTCCAAAAGTCTGTCCATCAGAAGACAAAGTTCTTCAGCCTCCACGGATTCTGGCAGAGGTGCAGATACAGTGTCGAGAGTAACGTCAAACACGTCGATGAGAAGAGAACGACTGACAGCCGGCTCAGTGTATGGCAGTCAGCGGTCGTTGTGGTGTGAGTTACCAGAAGTACGATCAGCTGGACTTCTGGATACGCTGGACAACTCTTCCAAGAAGCTACAAGAAGCCTTCTTCGAAGTCATCACATCCGAAGCATCGTATCTTCGCTCAATTAACGTCTTGATCAGCTATTTTATGGCGGCTCCAGAACTGCAGGGACCAAAGAAGGCGATGAGTGTGATAACAAGTGTAGAAAGAAAGCATCTGTTCAGTAATATTGTAGCTATCCGTGACTGCGCAGAAAAGTAAGTTGGACTTTGGTAGTGTTAAAGACCTGATTTGTCTGGTTTTACTGTTTTATAATATATATTTTGGTTAATATTGTAATAATTATATTGTTTTAGGCTGTTGTGTGATTTGGAAAACCGACTAAAAGAAAACCTGGTTCTAACAGACGTGTCTGACATTCTCTGCGAACATTTTGAGAAGCACTTCGAAGCGTACACAAAGTACTGTTCGAACCAGGTCTATCAAGATCGCGTATTGAAACGATTAAAGTAAGTAGCGTTAAAGGAACCGTTCATTGAATTTTTTTGAATGAAATTTTTTCGCGGGTTTTCCAATGTTTTCTATTAATTTTTTGAGAATTTTTACTTCCAAAAATTATTTTCATTTGATTTATTCCTTACGAACGCGGTTGTATATTTTGAACCGTATTGAGGTTTTCAGTTTATATTTTACTACTTTTACTTTAATATTCTACATATTATTTGTTCTAATCTGTAAAAACATGTTCCTTATCATAATGAAACCATTTTTAAACTTTTAGTTCAGTAAAACTTCTAAAGAATAGTGTAGGTCTTACTTTACTATTGGTTTAAAAATGTCAGGTTTCGTTAGAGAGTAAAAAGCAGCTAATTCGACGTCAAAAGTAAGTATTTCCGTATGTTTTCGTTTTCAGGACTTTAGATCACATATAATGGTATTATCCTTGAGGTAAGCGAACGCCTAAACCCACATCCACCAACCTCTCCAACTACATGGTCTCATTAATCTTACAATTTTCGTATCTTTAGTAAAGTAATATTATTTTTTAATTTCAGAATGTATATTTATCCCCAAATTGGATTGTTTCACCTTCTTGTTGTTAATAAACCTTTCGCAAGATTAGGTATTGATGGTTTCAAAGTGAAAAAGCCTGGTATCTTGGGGGTTTTGATGTGTTAACAGTTCGAATAGGTAAGATATTGTCTGTAGAGTAATTTAAGACGAAACAGTAGATAATTAAGATATTTTTAAGCTGCAAAAACACTAAAAATCTAGTATAATATCGCCTATAAAGCTTCAGAAGAAAAAAAGGCTTGTGTCTTGGATGTTATGATATTTTAGAGGTCTGAATAGGTAAGAAAACCTCAATACGGTTCAAAATATACAACCGCGTTCGTAAGAAATAAATCAAATGAAAATAATTTTTAAAAATAAAAATTCTCAAAAAATTAATCGAAAACATTGGAAAACCCGCGAAAAAATTTAATTCAAAAAATTCAATGAACGGTTCCTTTAAGTCTGGTAAAACAATGTAAAATGATTTTTACTAAAGTCATTTTACTTTTTACTAAACAAAAAATTTAAAATTCGAATAAACAACACTAATCTTCAGATTAAGCAACTCCCAGTTTCTAACGACGATACAACGAATAGAATCTAATCGTGAGTGCCAAGGACTGGACATGAGATCTTTCTTGATGTTACCCATGCAAAGAGTCACTCGCTACCCACTCCTAGTGTTCGCTATTATGGAGCGAGTGGCAGAAGGCAGTCCTCAACAGAAAACGGCTACAAAAGCCTTAAGTTTGGCCAACAGATTAGTCCGTGACTGCAACGAAGGAGCCAGAAAGATGGAACGGACGGAACAACTTCTGGAGATCGAAAGACGATTGATCTACAAGTCTCCTGATCTCAAGTCAGTATTGGCGCAAACTTATTTTTTAACTTACACACTTTCAAGGCTGAAACCTATTATTTCAGAAGGATTCCGTTGGTTACCGCAGGTAGATATGTGGTTAAAAGTGGACCAGTAGTACAACTTCTGGAAAGGAAACCAAGACCACGATTAGGTGGAGTGTTACAATCAAAACAGAAAGCCCGATCGTTATACATCTTCCTGTTCAGTGATTTGTTGATGATAGCCAAGAAAAAGCTGTAAGTACTTTTACTAAACATAAGGTTTGACAAAAATATGAAAATCAGCTGTTTGGCAAGAATTATCATGGCCACAAAATTTTTATACAATCAAACGTTAACATCACAACGTTTTAGGAATGGGTGTTTTGAATGCAAAGACTATGCTGCCCGTCGTTTCGTAGAGATCGAGCCTGTAGAACCTCACAGTAACAAGATTCCCATTGGAGTCGTAGCCAATCTACCGTCCAAATCTCATCTGTTTCTCTGTATTTTGATGCAGAACGCCAGAGGAAAACAGGTTGAGTTACTCTTCAACACAGAGTCAGAATCTGACCGAGAACGATGGCTGTCCGCCATGAGACCGCCAACGTGCTCGAATCCAGATGAGAAAATCTACGCTGAATGGGACTGTCCTCAAGCTGTAGCGTGCCACAACTATGACGCCGTTCAGGAAGACGAGTTGCCGTTGGAGGAAGGGGATGTTGTCAACGTGCTACGGAAAATGCCTGACGGTAAGTTTATTATATTTGGTTAGCTATTAATATTTGCCATATTGCCATACATACGTAATATGACAGACTGGGCTTTGTCAAGAGCAAAAACAAGTTTACTGTGAAACCATCATTAACCATCAAAATCATGATTTCAGGGTGGTTTTACGGCGAACGAGTCCGTGACCACAAAAGCGGCTGGTTCCCGTCGTCGTATGTTCAGCAAGTAATGAATGACCACGTCCGGGCCAACAATTACCGCCAAAGGCTTCGGCTCATTCAGGCCGCTAATGGCTTTCAACATCGCCAGATGGATAGGATTATCGAAAAGCGGGGGTCCGTCGCCCCCACCAGTATACCACCCTTGAGTCGGCTTCGGCGTCTATCCAATCCCAAAGCTTTTTTCACTTCCCTAGATTCGTGAATCTAGTTCACCGTACTTCAGTTTAGATGACTGAAATACGTAGTAATCAGGGCCATAATCATCCATATCTGAGTGTCTTTCCCGAAATGATTCTCACCACGAAATCCCGTGAATTACCACAGAGTTTTATGTGTGTAAATAAAGATATTAATGTAGCGTTTACAATACCATAAACATATTTTATAAACTTCAGAATATTATTGCAGAAAATTCAAATATTTTGAATATTACAAATTGAGATACAATGTATCATAGATTGTGGTACAAATATTTATTCCTAGAGACCGCTGAAAACAAATACAACAAATGTAACAATAATAACATCTAATTCTCTCAAGCAGCTGTTGTCGCGGCAGCGGTTTCTGGCGGCGTCTGAGATGTCGACGGTGTAGCAGGTTCAGGCTTCGTTGAAGAGCCCCATAGCCAACTAAACCATCCAGAATCAGACGGTTGTTGATGGCTGGAGGCTGCTTTCCTTCTGGCATTTCGCAAATCTTGTTTGACCTGTTTTAGGAACGTCTCCGCATATCTTCTCACATTATCCGGTGCAGTCCTGGCCATCCTAACTGCAGATTCCGCGTATTTAACGGCCTCATCAAAGGATTCTGTGTGAAACAAGGATTCGGCGTAGTTACAGTAATACCCGACGATAATGTCAGTGTTTTCTGGACTGTAAAGTATCTTATCAATTCCAACGGAGAGATACTTCCGTGCCGTTTCGAAGCGGTTCCTGATCACACACGCTGCTCCAAAGTTGTTCAAAATATGCAAAAGTTGAGGATGATTAGGACCAAAAACGTGGTAAGTCAACTGTAATACACAACCAAAATTATACTAAATGCTTTGTTAATATAAATTACTTCTAGCAGTAAGAAAAATGCAAATGGAGTTTAAGAAATTCATTGAAAGACAATAGAATAGCCAAGAAAAAGTACTAAACAAGACCAACCTTTAATACCTCGTCCATAGCGTCGCAGGCTTCCTTCTCCCGAGACTGGTCACGGTATTCAATGATAAAGTGAGCAAATTGTTGAAGGCACATGGCAAACAACACGATAGGATCAGTATACTCCTGTCCAAATTCGTCTACCTTATTCCCACGTTCAACCGCAGCTCCGTTCGAAATAAAATATTTTGAAAAGTGTTTGTCGACCACTTCCATCTGCTTCGTGATACAGTGGCGATAGCCTATCTCTGCATTATCAATTTCACCTTTGTTGGCCAGAATCTCGGCCATTTTCAACGAGATCCCAATGAATTCTGGGGAGGATTCGTTTTTGTGGTGGAACTGGATCAATCTAAAAGACAACATTCTAAATCGATACAAAATAACTATAAAAATGCCAGAAATTAAAAGATATTCAATATAAATTCAATATAACTTTTTCGAAGCACGTACCTTTGCACCACAGCCCTAAAATAATCCAAAGCCAGATTCCAGTCGCCTTTGAAGAAGTAAGTGTTTGCCAATTCATCGAGTACTCTTGTCACTTCAATACTGTTTTCTCCCTTTTCTTTGACCTCTGTTAATACATCTTCTAGAATCCGTATAGCTTCGTCATAGTTCTTGTACTTCCTTTGGAGCCATGACTGTTTGATCTGGTCTTTAATTGGATCTTCATCTAGCCGCACTTTGTCCAAACCTATTGTTTCGCGGATTATTCCCCATGCTGACAAACCAAGCAATGGTTTGGCAGTGTGCTCTCCCCACTGATACCTCTGCCGATTCGTCCGTTGACTCGTTCGGGCGGTATAATCATCAAAAATACTAAAAGTTTTAAATTATATAAGTAATAAAACAAACGTTATTTATAAAAATTATTTACATCTATTTAAACTAAAATCCCACTATGAACCTTGACTCACCTGCGTCTCTGTCTGAATAGAAACCGAGCCCGTGTAAAGCACCTGTTGAACATTGGCTACGAAATAAGTTAATGTTTAAAAACCAAATTCAAGTATTAAACCGGATTAAAACCTTAAAAACAATTCGGCATGTTCGATAGAAGTATATTTGATATAAGTTTCTACAATATAATATAATCAGCTAAGATCCTTAGGCGAGAAGCTAGACCCGCATGAACATCCTTGTGTGGCCAGAGGGTTGTCCGTTATCCTGAAGGCAGCCCGCATTAAATCTTCCGTAAAGTCAATGGTTGAGCCTTTGACAAATTCTAGCGACATCTGAAAATACCAATAAATGTAATTATAACAGAAAAAGGTTTGATGTAAAATATTTAAAAAACCAACCGTATCAACAACAACTCTGGCCCCATCTTTCTCCACAAGTACATCATCGTTGTTCTCCTTGTTATCCAACGACAACTTGTACTCGAATCCAGCACAGCCGCCGCCTTCAACTGTTATTCTCAAGTGTTCATCCTCTTTAGCGATCTTTTTCAGTCGATTTACTGCCCTTGACGTTAAAAGTAAAGCATTTGAATCTACTGATATGCTCCTAGTCAAAACTTTGCTGGTCGACGCCATTGTTCGAAACAACATACCTACATCAGTCTATATGAAGTTGCAAATATTGTTCAACTAAAATAACAGCGAAGAAAACGCATAAATCCCAAAATAAAACTAAAACGTGTAGTTAGCTGACTATTTATTCTTTGGCAGTGAATGTGTAAGAAAAAAAATAAAAATATAAAATCATACAATTAAAGCTTCCAATCTTTGTACAGGTTTAATTCACTTTTGAAAGTTAGGTGGGCCTACTAAAAGAAGGACTTTGTTGATGTACTCGTCGCCTCTGTTCGTCAAAACGCCGCTCCATTTCGTCAAGTAGTTTAGGTGTATATCTAACTACCAACTTGACTGTGCCTTTGGCATTTTTAAGAAGATGAACTGCGGTTTCGTGGGCTTCTCGTTCAACATTCTTAAAAGCAAATAATTATAAATAATGTGTAATATTCGGCTTAATTTTCCATAACAAAAATTATATTAAAATTAACTTACAACTCCATTAACCCCAATCAATTGATCTCCGCGTTTTAGCCCTCCATGACGATCAGCTACACCTCCTGGAATTATTCGAGATATGTAAATAGGAGAGTTTTGTTCCTTTCCGCCCATAACATTGAATCCCAGTCCTTGGTCAGTCTTTGGAAGTTCCACAACTCGAGGATGAGCAAATCCCTCGGCCGCTGCAAAAGCCGCAACTGTTGCTTTAGCTGCTGCACTAGCAATCAACTAAAAATAGAAAACTTTGAATAATATTAACTATCGTCACCACTGTAAATTCTGTACCAAAGTAACGAGTACAGAGTAATTTAATACCTAAAATTTAAGTCTTAAACTAAGAATACCTCTGAAGAAGCGTCGAGATCAGCAGTAGATTTGTAGACATTCTCATATACCTCCCGGACAGAATTAAAGAACTTTGACTGCAATACCTCTTGAAATAAATCCAGTTTTGGACTGTTGAGCTCTCCTGTCTTCTTTAGATAGGCAATCAAATCATTTATTCGTTGAATGTCTAAAAATAAAATATAATACTAAGCTAAACCCACATACCTCTTTCTAATGCCAATTCATCTGAAAACGCTGTTGGCCGAGACATCCGACAGATCTATAAATCCTTTAAAATCAAGTTAACACATAAAAATTACAAATTTCAGATATACCAAAAGAAGTAAACCTTTAAAGCGCCGTAAAAAATACAAAAATAAATTAAAAATTTATTCCTAAACTTCAGAAACAAGTTTGAATTTCTGTGACATTCGTTTCTGAACAACGTTAAAATGAAGCTTCTCCAGCCCTTCGACATTCCTGTCAGAATAATTTCTATGAACTAGCTCGTTATCCATCTTCAAGTCAACCTTCTCTTTCGTAATGTATACAATGCCGTCACATTCAGCCTTCAACAGTAGTTGGCCTCTGTCATAGACAACGCTTACCTAAAAAAACTTGCCACAACTAATAAACTACTTTGAAAAACTATACACAGTAAAACTATAAAACCCCTAAATTAACTTTAAAAATTTTGTCTTAAAATCCATACATTTCTTCCCGGATGATAGTTTAGCCTCCTTTGTGCAACCAATAACTCATGTTGAGCAACACGTTCTCCGTCTTTTCGATGGATTCCACCATAAGGAATATTAGCAGGTGGTCGGAAAAGCGTCCTTGTTATTGTTTTGTTTGAATTTGAAAGCAGCTTCAGCATCGTACTATTTTTTCGAGATCAATCTTGAAGAAAAGTAAAAATCTATTTTTCTTAGTATTTCGACGAAATGCCACAACTTTTATTCTACTTCGGCGGAGTGTCACAATTGAGTTCTTGATGGACTTGTATGTTTATTTTCTCGGTTTTTAAGACTTATCCTTTTACGGAATTGTAAACAAACGTTTATTCTTACACAGTTTTTCTCTTATACATCGTGTAACGGCGGAGGGATAATTCATCTTATTGATCACATGTGAAATGCAAATGCTTTTGGAGCGTAGTTGGAGGTGATCGAACGTTGATTATTCTGCCCTTTTTTACCAATGTTATGGCCTTTAGTGAGAACGTTTATTACACGTAGAATAATTTTATTGTATATTTGTTTTCGATCGAATCGGGAGCATAAAAGGACCTTGATGTACACGTCAGATAAAGAAAAGAGAGGCTCGATCGGCGTGCGTCCTTCTCCACCCTTGGGTTCCCTCGTCTCACACAAATATAATGAACAAGCTTTGTTTTCTGGATAAGGGAAAGCCACCTGGTTCTTCTTGTTATGCTTCCAACGTTTCACTGTTAGAAGTTGACCTTTCGATGTTACTCTTACTTTTCGTTTCATTTTGTCTTATTTTTATCGTAAAATCAAAGATATCGGTTAGTTTTTCAGTTTGCAACGGCTTGAGCTCGGTCGAAACCTACACTGTCACAATGTCTGATCCCTGTGAATGTATTTTCAGTCAAGAGGCATTGATGCGCCGTTTGTTGAGTGCCGTAAGTCTAGAGAACATTGTATTAAAGTGGTTTAGTTGAGAAATTCGCAGGAAGATTGTACTGACACAGAATGCGTAGGACCTTCTGGAGATGGTTCGACCGGTGGCATGACCCTGCCGATGTTGCTGGCACTTTGGGGAGTTGTAGTTATGATCTTGTACATCAGCAGGCCCACATCAATGCGGAACTCGGATCGCAGAATTAACGAGAAGCCTCGCATGGACAATGTGGGTGGTTATTATTAGTTTATTGATCGGTTTCGTTCATCCCGGTTTATGACTGCGTATAATAATGTATTATAGTTATTTAAATTGCAATTTCATGATTATTTGAGCTCTATTTATGTAGCTTATGCATCGTTATTTCAGGACAGAAGTCCACCTCCTCCACCTTCCGCCCTTTAATCAAGAATTGAACAATCGGTTCATGTAACACCCAGGTCTACTACACTGAACAATTCCAACTTTTCGATTTATATATTTATTGTGCAGCATAATACACTCGTTTAACTTTGGATCGCGGGTCCGATTATTGTACAATATTCATTCGATGCATTATTTGTAGCATAGAATATATATCAAGTTATATTGTAAATAAAACATTTATTACATATGTACAAAAACAAAATAAACTTTTATTTTTTGTTGTATCGTTAGTATACGTTAAAATTGAGCAATATGTTAAAATTCAAAATCAAAAAATTAATAAAATACGACGAAAATAATTCAAAAACCCATAATACCATCATCGAAAACAAATATTTTAGCGGGAGTAGTTCGTTGCGTGACACAGCCGTTCTTCTCAATTAACCTTCGACGGAACGGTCCAGGGCTCGGCTGATAAAACAAGGTGGGAGGATGCAGTGGGCTGTTAATGTGCGGTGTTAAAGGTCTGTTCTCCTTGCCGAACAATTGATGAGCTCGCTTCCTCAAATCATAACGTCGTGCCAAACTGCCTGGCATTTGGACTGAAGTCATCGTCGGGCTCTAAATTTTAAGAAAACTGTAAAACCCCCACTGTTAGCTATTAGACTTTATTTTACAATATTCTACGAAATTATACACTAAATATATTACACTAGGCTATAAATTCCTTACATTTGCTTCACTCCTCTCGTCTGGTATCCATAATCGAGGGCTTTCCACATTTTCACATCCAAAGCCGGCCTTTAAAGCGTGTGGAGAAGTGACCTGATCGTAGGTAAGGTTCAAGTCCTCGATGGTGTTCTTGTTTATCTGGGTAGTCAACTCCCTCACCACCTTCTTCGACAAAAACTTCTTCTCTCCACTATTACGGTCTTTGGCAATGTCAGCAACCTTCTTTTCATGCTTTTCAAACCACTTCAAGTTCTCGTCCTCTGAGTTATCTTCTGGTAGGCTGTAGAACAAACTGGCACCGAAGAACTGTTCTCCTTCTTCAATTTTCTCCAAAATTTCTGGCGACAAGTCACTGGATTCAAAGAATGCTTTGCTAAAATGGCATAGACTTATAAAAAAACAATTAAACAACTATTACATAAATCTCTCAAAACTGATACTGTAACATACCGAGCAGTTTTACTTGACCGTCGTCTGCCAACCGGAAACTTTTCTTTCTTTTGTTCGTACTTGAATGGAATTTCTTGTTTCTCCTCGATCAACAACTTTTTCGACTTCCTAACTTCCACACCATCCAAAGAAACAAATCCATTCAAAGCTACAAAAGGTGGGGTAATATTAGAATATTTTTGAAACAAATAAAACTGTCATCAGAGCAACACTTTTTCGTAAAATAAAGACTTGAATGTGTAAAACTTACGAAGACGATCCCCAAACTTCCCATCTGTACATTTGCCACAACGTCCATTCTGCGACTCTTCACAAGTTGCGTGGTAAAACAAGTTACAAGTGATACATTGCATTGGTAACTCTTGACGAGCATAAGGTTGCAAACACTCTGCACAGACACAACCCGACTGACATTGAATACAAACGTCTTCAGCTTTGGAATGAACGGGCATCTGACATTGTCGACATAAATTGGGAGAACAACTGAAATATTAGAAATTCAGTGTTAATATAATGCCACAAACTCATAGACCATCTAATTAAATAGGTAATGGCTTCTACAACTATGAACAATATGCTTTTTTCGATTATACAAGCATAACATCTACAATAAACAATGTCATGTTACATACAAATAAACTCATTACGTCACACAAGATTACAGTAAAAACCAGTAAACAACTTACTATGAACAAAACCACTTTTCATAAAAATTAGTAGGTCCTGGAGGCACCGGAGGATCCAGACAAGAAATGTGGAAGTTGCGGTTACATCCATCACAAATGTAAGACACTTCATTGTCGTCCTTCTTGCAGTAGAAACACGGCTCGCAAATGTAGCAGTGCCATTTCTCAATTTTATCCAAATCCTAAAAAACAATTTCAAAAACAGTTTTAGGTAACAACGATTAAAAACTAGAAGAAACGCCATGCATAGCCCTGTAACACCAAAATTTTAAAGGAAAAAACAATTTTAGGTAACAAAATACAGGAAAAACAAGAATTATTTCAATTCAACAAAAACCAACCTCAAACTATTTAGGCAACAATGTTAGTTCGTAAAACGCACTATATAACACTATATTCTGGTCAGAAAAATCCCTGTTTCAACTAAAAAATTAGGTAACAAAGAAAGCCAACGAGCGAGCTATCAACGGTCTATGCCTATCATAATAAAAGTGTAAAATTTCTCAAAGAATTCTCAAACATCCGCTTGTTTCTCTATATATACGCAAGATACGACATTCAATATACAAAAAAAAACTTGCCGTCTTCTTGATTCCAGTGCACTTCAGACTTCTGTGGAAGGCTTCTGAACATCTGCTACATTTGATGAAGTTTTTATTCAATTTAACTTCGCATGTTGTACACCCGCGCCCTGTCATTTTAATACCGAATTCATAACGATCTTGATCAAGGTTTCTTGGCCGTTATGGATCGATCCAGAATAGAAAATCAGCTTTTCGCTGCAAAACCCAAAGTTGATTCTATTTTTGGCAAACTTCTGTTTGATTTATGAAAAATTTAAAATATTTGGCCCGATTTGCTTGTCTCATGAAAAGAAGTGAAACTCTTGAAAGTTGTATCTTCAAGAGCTAAAGTTATCATCTTTACTCGTTAAAACACAAGTTACACAATAGTTTCTCAAGTAAAACACAATCCTTTACAAATTGCATAGTAAAATGGTTAAAATGTCAAACATTTTGAACAGCTACAAGTTAATTTAAGACATATACCACAGCAAACAGATGTATTTTTGTTTCTCAATTTACATTTATTACCCTTTCGGACTAAATTAAATTAATACATTACCTCGTCGTGGTACGTTACAATAATTACTTTACCTGGGGGTGTTTTCCGTGAATCGATTCTTTAATCTTATTTCTATGGGGAAATTAGGTTATCATTCTTTTTACAATCTCGGAAACGTGGTATAAACACACGTTATCTTTGCCAATATAAACTTTGACTTTAATCCTTATTTTAGCATTACCTATTTTAGCAAAGAAAGGATTTATTTAGTGTTAAAAGACTAAGAATTGTAAATAATAATATTTTAATAGTTTTGGCATACGTGTAAATCAGAAAACTTTGTCTTTGTTACTTTTTACTAATAAGAATTCATTAAAATGACTGTTAGTCTATCAGTTATGACTTGTTTTTGGCATCATTACGCGAGTTACTTTCTTTGAACATGAACAAACAAACGTTTTGCAAATTTGCTTTTCTTCCTTTACGTGGACATTTAGGCCTTGTATAGTTGATAGGAAATTGAAATAATATCCTTTTGCAAATTGTAATGTTCAAAATTGGCAATGTGAAATAATACAATTAACATCAAGTACAATTTGTATCATATGTAGAGGTTTCATTTGGATTAATTTTGCTTTACAGCTATCATTATATATTACGTTAGTGTCTTCTATATCCTATGATTACTACTCAAATGGTTGTGTTGTTACAGATCAGCTTTTAAATCGATCGAATCTGCTTGAAGGTACGATGGATTCAGAAGGCCCGTCTCTGGCAGACCAGCTCGAAGAGTTGAGGGCATTACCTGACATTCCTGATGCCTTCCGGCTGTGTTTGTTTACTCTTGAGATCATTGTGTCGGTATTGTCATTATGGGTACTGTACCTTCTGACAGTGGTGCTTATACGATGTAAAGGCTTACATTACAATCTACGAATAGTGTTTGTACACATGATTATCATACAATGTGTCGAAAGAGTCGTGCGTATTGTACGAGTATCTGACATCACGTTACATTGGATGCCTACATACGAAGGTCAGATGGTCGAAGACATACGACGATGGCTGTGGTGGTACTGTAACTTGGCCTATGTTTTTGTGATATTCGAAAGAGTTATCGCAACATTAAACTTTAGTGAATACGAATATTGGGGCGTTTCGGCCGCTTATTACGTCTTGCTAGCATCAGTAAGTCGTATTTTGAGTTTGTGACATTTTTTTTAGTATATCAGCGGTGGTGCCTTCTACTATGTCAGCCAGTTTGTTTGTAAGTTTTAATTTTAGAATTGCTAGCTCATACTTTCAGTACTTAATATCTCTTATCAAGTTTTAAGTTTAATAAAAGTAAAGTGTTATCTTTTAGCTGACAACTTCACTCAACTCTTGATGAAAGTGATATGTGTTATGTTGCCATGGTTTGTAAGTCAATGTGATTCGTATATTACTTTTATATAGGCTTTGCACGTCTGTGAGCGAATCAACGGTGATTTGTCCTCAAACAACTTTGACTTGTCGTTGAGTGCCAGATTTCAAATCAATGAGAACATGTCGACCTGCTTCTCGATAAAGGCTTGGATATACGTTAGTGCTGTCATGAATGTCTGTATATCAAGTATCATGTGCATAATATGGTATTACATCACTCCCAACCACCTACTGTACGGATTACATGTCATATCCAATCTGTTTGACTTGGTCATAGCTATATACGTATTCATCTTCCCGGTGGTCATAATGTACTCAAATGCCTCGATGCTCAACATTCTAAGGTAACTTTCGTTTTGTTTATTAAACAAAATATACAGGATGTCGTATCTATTATATTAATTAGTTTTTACAGAAGAATGTTTCGGAGGAAAGACAAGAACAAGTTGTTCCACAAGAAGAATACAGTATCCATCTCACCCATGCCCTTCTATCCGCCCACTACTGACGATTACTTCAAGGTGCTCAACGATCGTTGGAATCTGTTGTCGAATCCCCAGCCTCATCGGAAGTGGTTTAACTTCAAAACAACTCCCAAATGGATAAGAATATTGTAGTTTGAATGGATGAGATTAACTGCAAACGAAATGAGATGACAATGATAATTTTACAACTCCTCAGGAAAACGTTTACAATGTTACTGCAAGTTAAGAAGTTGAAGCACTTAAAACTAACAGCCTCGACTACAAATCGGGATTATTTATAAATATAACTCTAGGCTAATAAAATTTAAATATTGGAGCTTTGTAGATAAAATATTATAAAATACACGTATTATAGGTCATCATCAAGATGAGAGGTATGTACGGTGGTTTCGTAACTGTAAGTTTGGTCGATCTTGGATGTGACAGGTCGACAGCCAAAAGTTGAGAATATTGGCTCGGGTGTAGGATGATACTGAAAATACAAGTATAACGATATAACTATAATACATTTTTAGTTATGGAAATTGGAAACACAAAGCAAAAACACAAACACATATGGCAATGTACTTTAGGAATAATTAGTTAGGTTTCTCTTACTTTTAGCATATTCACAATGTCATTTACTCGCTCGTCTGTCACCAACAGACGCCTCTGTTCCATGTAATACTTGACACAGCTGGCTACATGACTTCTTTCCAAAGGCAGGAACGGCACAAAAGTGTCGATCAGATGTCGAGTCACCATTTCATTGTTCTTTAGCCCGCTATCTTCTAAAATTGTGAGACGGTGCTCTTAAGCAAAGAAACAAAGAATAGGTAATACAAAATGAAGGTTACATAGAGCAATAAAATATTGTTGTAACTCACAAATTGTAACATAAAGTTTCATATAAAAGTCCTACTTTCATTAAAAGCAGAATTCCTTATGACATCTTCAAAGTCGTTTAATGTCAATGTCTCTCGCAATTGTCCCGCCTTGTGATGGTCGTATGTCTTCTTGATAATACCATTAGCACCAGCGTTACTCAGAAACACGTAGATACTTTTTCGAGGATCTACTGTCCCTATATTCTCGTAGTGATCCATGAAAGGCCGAACTGCATCCAAAACGCCCGCAGGCATTTTGTCGATTTCGTCGAAAACAAAAAGTTGCCGTTCACAGTTGGTCAAGTTGCCTACGATCCAGTTCCGTATCTGCCGCTGAAATACTCAAATGTCACATTTTTTAATACATTTATTTTTAAAAAAATCAAAACATAAATCAATATTTAAAAAAAAGTTGACCACAACCATACCTGATACTGTGGTACCAAATCGGGTTGAGTGAAGTGCATTGTAGACACGAACAGATGAGTGTACGCTGACTTTTCGGCCTTCTTGAACATAGCATTCCTTATCATTCCTGCTACATAATTCTTGCCCGTGCCAGGTGGACCATGAAAGCTTAATGTCAATGCTTTCCTAGGGTTACTGTAACAATTCTATTAGACCCACAAAACAAACGAAGGCAACACAACATTATGAAGACTTACGGATTACTTAAGTGAGCATTCACAGCCTTCAGTACGTTTTCTATCGCGATGTGCTGACCATAAAGCGCGTTTTCCATTTGATTTCGAAGACCTAAGAAAAACATTAACTATAACAATATACAAAACAAGTAAATATAAAATATAAATATGATCAGTACCTTAACATACATGCTACTTACGATATGTAATCCTGTCATGTATCCACGGCACTTCACAGCACTCGAAATAGGAACATTTTATGTAGTTGAACGAGTAGATACCGTAACCCATAGCCCCGGCAGCTGCTGTCCCAACACTTAAACTTATAAAATCAGCGTAAGTTGAGTAAACCAACATTAGACATAGTATGGCTGTCAAATACCTCATCTAAAAATATTTAAAATAATCAAAATTAAAATTTGAAGTAATAAAGGCATATTTTACCTAAAAATAAAAATATAGCTCTACAAAATTCAATTTATTCAAAAATATGTATAATTTAACAATAATGCATAAACAAGTTATAATACAATACACGGTACTCGTCCTCTTATCAAAAGTTAGTCTTCAGCAGCACAAGCAGCCACGATCTTGACATACTTCAAAGCTGATTCGACGTGATTTTCGAAACAACTTTCACCCGCAATGTTCCATACTGTAAGTTCGTTGGCTTCTGATTCCACTGTGTAACTAGTTTCATTTTCTAAAAAACGAACAATTTTCAATTATACACTCATAAAATTAAAAATGTTACCTTTTTTACAAACGAATATGTGGAGATCTTCAGGTACTGTCACTTTCTTTGGTTCGATATGCACTCCTCTGAACAAGACTTCGTGTTTAGAGTTTGAAGGTAGAAACTTCTTGACCGAGTCAGTAGGTCCTGTGTAGTCAAGTTCAAATGGCATTAAATTAACACTGTTACTTTTAGGCAGAGTTTCGTTCTCTGTTTTAAAACCCGTAATTTTAAAATCCGATTCTGTCATATTCACCCTCAATTAATAACTAAAATATAAACAATTACAATTGATAAGTCCTGAGATGCTTGTAAATAAAAATTAGCTATAAAATCAAATAAACTAAAGACTGTCACCAACAGAAACGTGATCAACACCAAACTAGAATTCGTAACAACTTTATGGTAACGAAAAAACAACAACAAAACGTAACAATTATAAGATAAGTTTGTTCAGGTTGAGGTAACCAATTCCAACACATGTTACCAGAGCTTTATTCTGCGACCCGAATCCTTCTTTCTCTTCAAAATCTTCTGATTGGTCTTCTGATTCCATCTGGTCTTTTAACTCGTCAAACTTGAAACGATGTTCAAAAAATGTCTGGAGATTCCTCATTGTGTAAACTCTGAAAAAAGATTTTTAGTCAACATAAATTTCTTAGAATCAATCATACTATGTAATCAAATTAATCCTCCACACATAAATGTAAAATATAACTTTTTATTTAAAACTTACGTGTAGAGAGACGGTTCTCCAAGCAAATACTTGTTGACATCTCTGTCATTCATGGCCATAAAACTTAATGCTAACGATTGCGCTGTAGTGTCCGTAGCTCCTCCCTAAAATAAGAAACTTGTAAATTTTTAGTTCTAGAAAAAAACGCAATTAATAACTAATATCTACAAAGTTACTGTCAATCATTACCTTGAAGATTTCGGTCAGCAACATATCAGCAGCGCTTTCTCCAAGATCTTCAGCTGTTACCACATTGTCGTCTTCAGCAGGCTTTGAACAGCTTTCTCCATGATAAAACACACCTTCCGTCGTCTCTGCTGTTAAAAATAAACCGAAACCTGGAGAGTTTCCGGCTTGAGCACCTTTACGTTGATCTACTGTCACATAAATATCAGCTATGTATCCATGTAAACGTTTCTTAGCCGCTTCGATCATCCGGTGTGCCAAAGAAGAATTGACTTTACAAACGTAAGCCAGTCCTCGTATCTTACACACTTTACCTTCTTTTAACCTCTAAACAAAAAATAAATATATGACAAAGTCCTTACCTTAACAGGCCGTAGCTTCTTAACAACAGGTGAAGTAAAAGTCACCAATCCTCCTCCATCAGGAAAAAATCCTCGCGAGTTAATCTAAAATTAGAAAATATTGTGATATATTAAAAGTATAAAAATTGAAACAAATACTTGCGTATCTAAAAATAATATCAACTTACTTTAATAGATAAATTCTCATCGTCTAAAATGAATTTATTAAAAACAGGCAACCAACAAGCCCTCAATGCATCGACACTCAACTCTCCATCCTTATTTGTCACACCTGTTAATTTAACGTTCAGAGGATGTCCACAGAATGGAGCAATGTATAATAATGCCTCCAGGAAATAACTGACAGGCCGTTCATTTCCACAATCAAACTCCAAGTTTCCTCCATTTAGCATTCCAGGCTCAAATCGAACTTGTGTACCTAAAGACAGACTGTTTAACAAAAATTTAAGACTGACCTGTCTTATTGATCACAACATTGGTTCCGTTTGTTAATTCTGATATCAACTCCAACAATTTTACTTCGTGATCTGCAAACACATAAAATTATAACTATTACATGTCGCTAATTTTATATATTATAACTGTGAGAGTCAAAGTAAAGAATATGATATTAGACTCATACCTCGAACTCCAGGATTCTCATCAAAGGGCCGTATTTCAACAAATGTGACAGGTTTACCACTTAACAATGAGTAACATATCCGTTGTTTAAACAAGTTGCAGCCTTCAAGCATTAATTCTGCTGCATTATCAACCTTCATACTTACAATCTTCCTTCAGAAAATTTTTTTTAAAAAGAACACGTTCGGTCCGCTACTAAAGAGAAGGATTTTTAAAACGGCAGGGAGCTGCGTCCTAACCTTGCGACCTGCGCGTTTTTGCGTAAGACATCTTATACGATGTTTGTTGCACGAAAAATTATTAAATTACTGTAACTTTCTACAAAGTACAACAAAAAACAAAACCGTATTACAAAATTAAAGTAATTTATAGTAAAAAAAGTCACTTAAAAACTAAAATTTATACTTTACTTATTTCGGCCAACACTCATTGAAGTAACTAAATTTGCACCGTATCAAAAACTTTAAAATACTGTAACAATTTTTTTAAGAAACAATACAATAAAATGTTTTACTAAGTTTATGTATGTTATAGAAACAACGTTTATACAAAATATTAAGTTAATACCTTGCATGGTTAATTTGGTATCTATTAAAGTGCTATGTGAAGTACCGTAAAAAACGTTGAAATACTGTAACTTTTTTTAAAAGTCAAAATTTAAAAATTTGTCTTGCAGAATAAAAGTAAACTACTAAGTAACTGTCCCTATAAAATCTGAGGCTGAGTGACCGCTTGGTTGTTCTAGGAACCTCCGGAGCAGTTTTTTTTGCACTGAAAAAAGCACTTAAAGTACTGTAACTTTTTTTAAAAGGCAAAATCTAAAAATCTGTCTTGCAAAATTAAATTACACTTTATTGGCAATATTTAGTTAAAAAATGAAAAAAAGAAGCGGCTTGGTGTTTCCAGCATCCTTCGGAGCAACTTTTTTTTGCACTGAGAAAAAACACTTAAAGTACTGTAACTTTTTTTTTAAAAAGCAAAATCTAAAAATCTGTCTTGCAAAATTAAATTACACTTTATTGGCAATATTTAGTTAAAAAATGAAAAGAAGCAGCGGCTTGATTTTTTCAGCATCCTTCGGAGCAACTTTTTTTGCACTGAGAAAAACACTTAAAGTACTGTAACTTTTTTTAAAAGGCAAAATCTAAAAATCTGTCTTGCAAATTTAAAGTACACGTTATTGGCAATATTTGGTATGAAAATGTAAAAAATCAGTGGCTTGGTGTTTTCAGCATCCTTCGGAGCAACTTTTTTTCACTGGAGAAATGACTAAATATTTAATTTTTTTCGCATAACACAAGTATATTTTAACAATATTAAAATTCAAACTATTACAATTGGTAGTAGAAATCCAATATTTCTCTGTATTATTCAGGCGCGTAAATTCTGAACTAAACCATGTAATATCGCAGATTACACAGCTGGAACATTTTGTATGGGACACAACGAAGGTTGAATATCTGATCACAAACAAAATCAACTTTTTCATGTACCAGAGTATTCATAAATAAACAAAAACTAAAAAAAACTAAAAACACATTACTATCTCTATATAAGAAACCCGAAGAGACCAACATTTTGTGTTTACTATAGACGGTGTTAGCTTTACAGAGTGATTTTTTGTGTAAATTAACTTTTTATTTACTGTAAAGCGACTTGCTTATACAGATTGTTCACTATAGAAAAACCACTGTATTTCACTAAACACGTTATTGAACATCGTCCCTCGGGAATCGGTCACCTCTGGATAGGTCTCGTCCAGGAATAGGTTAACATAAAAAGTGGCTTACCTTACAGAACAGATCACCTCTAACGTACATCCAAAACTAAAGTCATTTTAGCCCTACCCAACTTACCTCCGCTTTTTTGGGTCAGGGAGAGGTAGGAGTAGGGGTAGAGATAGGAGTAAGAGCAGGGAAAGAGGTTGTGGTATAGGTCAAAATCAGGGCAACGGCGGAAGAAAATAGAAGAGTAGAAGTTAGGGTAGGAGTAAGGACAGAAGCAGAGGGGGGGGAAGTAGACCTAGCTCCCAAGCTAGACTTAACATAACTTCAGCGGCATGGTTTTTGGCCAATGGGCCGGTCAGAGATTTTGGTCCGATAGAACGCGGTCTTGGTAAGGGCAAGGGCAGAGGCAAGGGCAGAGGCAAGGGCAGAGGCAGAGGCAAGGGCAGGAGCAAAGTCAGGGGCAGGGGCATGGGCAGGGGCATGGGCAGGGGCATGGGCATGGGCATGGGCATGGGCATGGGCATGGGCATGGGCATGGGCATGGGCATGGGCATGGGCATGGGCATGGGCATGGGCATGGGCATGGGCATGGGCATGGGCATGGGCATGGGCATGGGCATGGGCATGGGCATGGGCATGGGCATGGGCATGGGCATGGGCATGGGCAGGGGTAAAAAAAGCGGGTTTGCCTTCTTTTGGGCTAAAAAAGGCGGGTTAGGCTTGTGTTGGGCTAAAAATGGCGTGTTAGGCTTATGTTGGGCTAGAAAAGGCAGGTTAGGCTTGTTTTGGGCTAAAAAAGGCAGGGTAATATTTTTTCAGCAAACTATAAAAATAATTTAATAAGACAAAAATATTTTAAAATTTTTTCCAAGAATATTCAATACGGTGCAATGGTCATAATCAATCAATTTTAAAAATTTATAAATTTTTCTATACACACAACCCCGCAAAATATCCTGCCACGAAAACAAATAAGCGCTAATTTATTTGGCATTCTGTTTCTCTGCCGTTTCAATTTCCAAACGGACCGAACGTGAAGAAGCAAAAACTCCCAAAAAAAGTTTTATTTGTCCGACTGCGCCCGACCTGCGCCTTATTTAAATTCAATTTATACGTGGTAAAGAAAAACGAAATTTTGTTTTGATATTTAATTAAACATTTATTTATTTATCTTTTCAGATTTAGCATTAACAGTTTTAATGGTATTGGCGTTGGTCTTCTTTTTTTTGGACGGTGCGTATTCAATGCTGATGACACAAAACGTGATCCACAGCATGCCAAGAATGCAAGGGATGTAGCACAATACCCAAATCCTTGCAACTTCATTAAAAAACAGGTCCTTTGGTCTCATCTCTGTATAAAGCCTTCCGAATTCTCTCAGCTCTTCGGCTCTGTCATCTCTTGAGGCTGCCAGCTTTTTAGGTAACCAAATCTTGGGCTAAAAATGAGTTAATCATTTAGGGTTAATTTTGAAATAGGATATTATACACATTATGATAAAGGATATTATCCTGGTTGTCTTTGGGTAAGACAGTTAAAGATAACTCACAATTTTGAGTTTTGCTGCAAAAGCAGTTAGGAGTATTAGTTGTCTTATTAAACTCAATTCAACCTCTGGATCGTTCTGAAAATAATTTTCTTTATTCGTTGTTTTAAAAACCTTGTTTAATATTGGTTATTTTGATGAAATTTAGTTTTTCAAACTTGCTTTAGACGCATATGTAGAAGCAGTTCCGGAAGATGAATACAACACTAACATATCGAATACTTGGTTATGAACTTGGACTCCATCTCGAATCGTTTCGTTGTTGAAATTGAACTAAAGTAAGGAAAGATGGGAGGGAGTTTTATTTGGATATAAATTATAAGCCTATATTTATAGGTTCATTAATGTTTGATTAATAATTTTTTTAATATTTTTAGGTAACAGTTAAAAACTATTTAAAATAACATACGTTACTTTTAGGGGTTCCGCACTTACTTTATGAAGCATCAGAAACGGAAAAAGTTTGTTAGATGGTTTATACGGGCATAGTTCAGGTATTTGGCCATCCATGTCGTAAAGTAGCATGGCAAAATTGTAGTTTTCTGAATTCTAATCATTATGTTTTGCATTATTTTGTACTTTTGACTTACTTTGTGAGCGGTGTCACATATAGCACTCGGTTTTGCGAGTTTTGTATCAAATGTCAATTTCATAGTTTTTAACTCGGATTTTACATTTTGTGCTAAGAATGACTTTTCCTGGTTTAGAACCACCAATACTTGCTTCTTCTGGTTACTGCCTCTAGTCTGAAAATAATGTTTATTGTTATGTGCTGTCGGTTTCTTTAATAAGCTATACCAATTCAACATTGATATCAAATTCGCTACCTGTTGAGGTGTCGGTAATTGGGTTTACTGATAACTTACTCATTTTTTTGTTGGTATTTATATAGGTTAATTCGCGGGCCTAACTTTCCACTAGCCAGATAGAGAAACATATAGAATGGGATTAAAATTAATCAAAAAATCATGTTTAATATAAAAATTTCACTACAAGAATAATAATAAAAATATTTTCGAAGTGGCATACTTACGTCATGTTCTTGAGCAGAAGTTGGGAAAACAATCAACGCGAAAGAGACTATAACGATATACGACCAAGCCATAAGTAACAAACTAATAAAATGAAACACTTTTATTCCTAAACCTGTACAATATTCAATTCAAATCAAAGACAAATTAGCAAAGTTGACAACTGGCAATGCATTCTTGTTTCTTCTGTTCTAGTGATATACTTTCGTTCTCACAGTATCCTTCGCTTTTCCATTTTGCACAACTGAAAATAGCGATTGTAGGTGATCTTAACAGTGTTTATATTATGCTTATACGTGGTAGTCATTTAATATTGATGTTAGGGTTTAGTGTGTTCAACTTACTCTGTAGTGGTGTCTGAACAACTTTGGAGTTTGGTGGTTAATCTTGGAATGTCCTTCATGTCACACAGATTACACGTCTTTGCACACATGTGGTACATAAGCTTTTGGTAGAACTGAAATGAAGCTGTTAGATTAGCGTATAATACTTAAAAATACAGTTTTGAGACATACTTGGTTGGTGCATAGATGCTTGTTTCGGTCACATTCACTTATCTTGTCTTGACATATACTACCAACGGTGGTAATTACTGGTGTGGTCGATGTGGAAGAGCCTTGAAAAACGCATATTATTTTAGGAATGTTAACTTACAGCAGTAGAACTTTCCATCTGTTTCTTGACAGGGTATGTCGAAGCTGTAGGGACAAACGTTTTGGAGGCATTCTGAAAAAGTGGAGGTATTATTTATACTGTAAAAGCTTTAAAAAAGTTTAGGATATTATGCATAATATGTAAATTACCCCTTGCTGCTGTCCCATCACCACATGTTAGTGATGCAACTTCTTTTGTTGTTTTAGCTTCTGTTGTCGTGCTTTCTGTTGTGGTTTCTTCTGTAGTAGTTGAAGCCGTTGTTGTGGCTTCTGTAGTTGTAGCAGTTGAGGTCGTGGCTTCTGTAGTGGTTTCTTCTCTCGTTGTAGGGGTTGAAGTTGTGGCTTCTGTAATCGTTTCTTCTGTAGTAGTTGAAGCTGTAGTTGTGGCTTCTGTAGTGGTTTCTTCGGTAGTTGTAGGAGCTGTAGTTGTTTCTTCGGTAGTAATGGGAGCTGTAGTTGTGGATTCTGTTGTGGTTTCTTCGGTAGTTGTAGGAGCTGTAGTTGTGGCTTCTGTAGTCGTTTCTTCGGTAGTAGTTGAAGCCGTTGTTTTGGCTTCTGTAGTTGTAGGAGTTGAGGTCGTGGCTTCTGTAGTGGTTCCTTCTGTCGTTGTAGGGGTTGAAGTTGTGGCTTCTGTAGTTGTTTCTTCGGTAGTAGTGGGAGCTGTAGTTGTGGCTTCTGTTGTCGTTTCTTCTGTAGTTGTTGAAGCCGTTGTTGTGGCTTCTGTTGTGGTTTCTTCTGTAGTTGTAGGAGCCGTAGTTGTGGCTTCTGTTGTCGTTTCTTCTGTAGTTGTAGGGGCAGTAGTTGTGGCTTCTGTTGTGGTTTCTTCTGTAGTTGTAGGGGCCGTAGTTGTGGCTTCTGTAGTTGTTTCTTCGGTAGTAGTGGGAGCTGTAGTTGTGCCTTCTGTTGTCGTTTCTTCTGTAGTAGTTGAAGCCGTAGTTGTGGCTTCTGTAGTGGTTTCTTCGGTAGTTGTAGGAGCTGTAGTTGTTTCTTCGGTAGTAATGGGAGCTGTAGTTGTGGCTTCTGTTGTGGTTTCTTCTGTAGTTGTAGGGGCCGTAGTTGTGGCTTCTGTAGTTGTTTCTTCGGTAGTAGTGAGAGCTGTAGTTATGGCTTCTGTTGTCGTTTCTTCTGTAGTTGTAGGGGCAGTAGTTGTGGCTTCTGTTGTGGTTTCTTCTGTAGTTGTAGGAGCCGTAGTTGTGGCTTCTGTTGTCGTTTCTTCTGTAGTTGTAGGAGCCGTAGTTGTGGCTTCTGTTGTGGTTTCTTCTGTAGTTGTAGGGGCCGTAGTTGTGGCTTCTGTAGTTGTTTCTTCGGTAGTAGTGGCAGCTGTAGTTGTGGCTTCTGTAGTTGTTTCTTCTGTCGTCGTAGGGGTTGAAGTTGTGGCTTCTGTAGTGCTCTCTTCGATAGTAGTGGCAGCTGTAGTTGTGGCTTTTGTAGTTGTTTCTTCGGTAGTAGTGGGAGCTGTAGTTATGGCTTCTGTTGTCGTTTCTTCTGTAGTAGTTGAAGCCGTTGTTGTGGCTTCTGTAGTTGTAGGAGTTGAAGTTGTGGCTTCTGTAGTAGTTTCTTCGGTAGTAGTGGGAGCTGTAGTTATGGCTTCTGTTGTCGTTTCTTCTGTAGTAGTTGAAGCCGTTGTTGTGGCTTCTGTAGTTGTAGGAGTTGAAGTTGTGGCTTCTGTAGTAGTTTCTTCGGTAGTAGTGGGAGCTGTAGTTGTGTCTTCTGTAGTCGTTTCTTCTGTAGTAGTTGAAGCCGTAGTTGTGGCTTCTGTAGTTGTTTCTTCTATCCTCGTTGGGGTTGAAGTTGTCGTTTCTGTAGTCGTTTCTTCTGTAGTAGCTGGAGCTGTAGTTGTGGCCTCTGTAGTAGTGATGAATTCGAAATCTGGTTGTTTGTATGGACAGCAATATGGTTCAAAGTCAATGAGTTCACAGACAAAGGCATCTCCGAGCAGACATGTATTGCCATCACAAGCTAAAATACCTTGTTTTTAAAATATATTACGTACCGGCTGGTGACGGAGTTCCATCGGAGCATACGTGAACGGTGTAAGTAGTTGTGGGAGCTTCAGTTCTTGCTGTTGTTGTTGTAGGCAATGTCGTAGTTGGCATAATAGTGGTTACCCATTCAAATGGAGGCGGAACGTATGGACAGCACCGAGGATATTCATCAATAATCTCACAAATATAATCATCACCTAGAGGACATATCATACCATCACAGTCTAAAATTTAATTTTTTTTACTTTTGGGCTGGCGCTGGTATTATGTAGCAAAGTAAGTATTTAATCTTGCCTGTATTTGATACTGATCCGTCGCTGCAGTAGAAAGGAGATATCGTAACAGTAAATACAGTATTGTCTGACATACGTGTTGTTGTTTCGAATTCGGGTTTAAAGTACGGACAACAGCGTGGAACGGCATCTACGATCTCGCAAATATAATCTTCGCCTAACGGACACACCATGTTATCGCAATCTAGAACAAAGTGTTGACATTACGTCGCGTTTATAAAGTCTTGCCTGCTTTGGGTTCGCTTCCGTCAATACAGTATCTCTGAGGAGCCGATGTTGTAGTTGACGCGTAGGTGGTCGTGGTAATGAAATTAAAATCAGGAGGGATATAAGGACAACATCTAGGTATTTCATCTACGATTTCACAAATATAATCATCACCTAGTTTACATACCATGTATTCACAGTCTGTAAACTTTGTTTGACAATTTGCAGTTAATATTGACGTAGTGTAGTATGTTAGGTTAATATGTTGTTGTTTGTAAAGGTGTGTTGAAAATTGATTAGTTAATTTGCTCGGGGTAATTTACATTTTCCGTTATTTTTATTACGGTATTAACAGTGTTTTAGGGAAGCGCATTACCGCTTTTTTTGGTTTCCTTACCTTGAGGAGATTGAGTCCCATCTGAACATGTGACACTTGAACTGACTGTTGTTTCTGCCATAGTTGATGTCAGGAGAGTTCTCGCTATGCTTGTCGTTGTGTCAAACTCGGGTTTGAAGTAGGGACAACATTGTGGCAATCCATCAACAATCTCACATATAAAATCTTCTCCAAGCGGACATACCATGTTATCGCATTCTGTAAGATTAAATTACAGTAATTTAAGTTACTATTATAATATGAGTTGAATAGTGCTAGTGTGAACGTTGAGTTGTTTTACCTGCTTCTGGCACTGTGCCATCTATGCAATGTCCCACTAGTTCTGATGTTATAGGTGGTGTAGCTGTTGTTGCCGTAGTTGGTTCTTGAGTTGTAAGGACCGTTGTTTCTGCCATGGTTGATGTCAGGAAAGTGTTAGCTATGCTTGTGGTAGTGTCAAACTCGGGTTTAAAGTAGGGACAACACTGTGGCGACCCGTCAACAATTTCACATATAAAGTCTTCTCCTAACGGACATACCATGTTTTCACACTCTATAACAAAATTTCACTGTTATATGGGCTGGGTTTACCTGCTTCTGGCACCGTGCCATCTATACAATGTCCGACTAGTTCTGAAGTGATGGGTGGTGCAGGTGTCGTGGTGGTTGTTGGAGGTGGTGTTGTGACAAAGTTAAAGTCTGGCTGATGATAAGGACAACAGAATAGTGATTCGTTGATTACTTCACATATGTAGTCGTCACCCAAGGGACACGCATTGTTTGCACATGCTAAAAGAATGAACTTTTAGTTTTGCAATTGTTTTTTTAAACTTTAGATTGTTGGTTTGGCTTTTTAACGTACCAGCGGGAGATGTGGTGCCATCTGAACACGTCTCAGTTGGTGGAGGATCTGTCTCCAATCTATATGTCGTTGTCGCGGCGTTCGTGGTAGTTAGAGTTGTGGGTTCTGTTGTCGTTGGAGCTTGAGTGGTGATAAAGTTAAAGTCTGGCTGATGATAAGGACAACAGAATAGTGATTCGTCGATCACTTCACATATGTACTCATCACCCAGAGCACAGACATTGTTCTCGCAGGCTGAAGAAGTGCGTTAGCTATACTGTCATAATTTATCACATTTGTAATAGTGTTATAAGTTATTTGCATGAGCAATAACCTGAAGTATGTTTGGCACACTTACCTTGGGGTGATGTGGTGCCATCTGAACAAACTTCAGTTGGGGGTGGATCGGTTTCTAATTTGTATTTTGTTGTTGCAACTACTTCTGTAGTTGTTGTTGTGTCTTCTGTGGTGGTAGGTCCTTGCGTGGTGATGAAGTTGAAGTCTGGCACGTGGTAGGGACAACAAAATAGTTCACCTTGCACTAGTTCACATATGTAGTCATCTCCCAGTGGACATACGTTGTTTTCACAAGCTAAACAACGTAAAGTGGCACTATTTAAACAAACTTTTAGGCCCTTTTGCAATTAGAAAAAGAGATATCTATAATACAAATGGTTAAACATACGTAAGGGGGGTTCAGTGTCATCTGCGCACTTTAATGGAGGCTCACTTATTGTAATAGTTGTTGCCAGCATTGTTGTTGTTTCTAAAAACGTTGTTCACATTTGTGCTAGCGGGCTTAAAAACGTTGCAACTTTTATGAATATATAATAGTAACACCCGATAACCTTAGTAAACATTACCTTCTGAACCGTTTTCTTCATCATCAGGAAGACCTGAAACATAACTTTGCTTTGTTTTTCATATGACAAGCCACTTACAACAAAACGTTACTGCATCAGTTGGGTTGTGTATACACTCTATTGAGGCATCTCCGTCACATACGTTGTCTGTGCATCCTATAAAGATCGTATAGTCTAACGGTGTTATGTTACCGAATACCTGATAATTGAGAGAAGCCCTCGTCCATACATAACTGTGATTTTGTTAGTAAAATATAAAAATTAAAAGAAATAAGTAGTTTAAACATGGTATGTAAGTTGTCTCTAGATATGTTGTGTGGATTTATTTAAAACAAAGGAACAAGGCTGTACAAATAATCGAAACACATTGTCATGACGGAAACAAGGTACATTTGCCGATGTGTAGGTGTCGGTGCAAAAATTGTGGCTTAGCAGTAACCACAAGTCTGGGAACAGTACTGGGGATAGCCACTGCAGTAACTCTGTTGACAACTGAACCACATGTCATAGCAGGATGAAGGTGGTATGGCTAAAACGGTTTTGAGATAGAGTTAGATTAGTATATATATCTTACGGTAGGGCTTGTAGCTTGGATATAGAGGATACTGTCCTCCGGGTTGTGGGTATCCTGGCTGTGGAATGTACGGTGCTGCATAGGGAGACGCCGTGGCAGGTACTGGTGTGTCGTTTCCAAGTGGTACTATGTTTTGAAGCATAGGCGGGAGCGTTGCTTAAAAAATTACTTTAATTTGAAGTTTTATTGTTTTTGGAGGTAATAATTTTAAAATCTATTATCTTCATTATTTTATATGATATTTTTGAAGTTACTATAATACACGTTTCTAAATATCATTATTACTTGTTTTTTCGTCAACTTTTTCAAAATTTTGTAAAATAGGGCGTCGTTCATGTTCATCAGCTTCGAATCCTTTATTCATCACCACGCTACAGGTGTCTTTGCATCGTTTCTGCATGAATTCACCAACGAGGTCGTGTTCACAAAGGGTTTCATAGTTTTGGCAATGGTGTGATTCACAGTAGCCACATGTTTCTGCACACATAACCTATAATGTTCTTGGTTTTTTTTGTAAAAGTTGCTACTTGTAATGGTTGGAAACAATGCTTATTTTGTGGCCGACAATGGTATAAAGCGATTCTTCTTACGGTAATATCTTTATCTTACCTTCAAAACGTCACCTCGAATTCTACCTTCACAAAACGTAGCTTCTGCTTCACAATCCTTGCTTTTGTCTCTACATGTGTCGAGCATGTCGATCTGTGCTATGTCTGCATTGACATGCTTGCCACCTTTCTGTTTCTTGTCCTTTGCTTTCTTCCCTGCCCCACAGAAGTTACAACTTTTGGCACAATATCGTTTAAGAATGGGTTCGAAGAAGGGTTCAGGACATAATAACCGTGACTCTCGACACACGACCTTTCCCTTCTTATCTTCACATGGCTCACAGTAGCCACAAGTCCTTCGGCATTGTCTTTTCATTACGTTTTTATAGGTGGGCAACTCACACAGGTCAGGGTTACAGTTTAATCTCAGGTCTTTGCAAAGCACTAAATTTAATAACACATGAGATTGAAGATGTTGAGTATGGCTACTACTAACGGTACAATATGAAGGTTATATAATTTAAAAAATATTACATTTATTAAATAAAAAACCTACCATCAAGTGAAAGTAAACATCTACAATACGCAATGATAAGAAGTGACAGTCTTAACATGTTAAAAAAGTAATTTCTGTCAAAAACCGTTTTTATTGAACATATTATGGCTACAATAAGATACCACTACCGCAAATGAATCACACCACGACAAAGACTTTATTCTGTTTTCGTATTTTCTTCACACAATCCACAACTTTTACCGCAGAATAAGAGTTTCGTTTGTTTGGAGTAGAAGCGGACGTTGCAGAAGCCGTTGGCCACAAAGGCTTTGCATCGGCTGTCTCTGTCCATACATACACAAGAGCGACATGTAGTTGCACACAACTTCTTCATCAACCGAAAGTAGGCCGGGACGTGACATTGGGCACGTTTTATCTGACAATCCCAAGCACGGTCGTCGTCGCATTCTGAAAACCATTAACTAGCACAATATGCAATTTTAAAATATTTTTCTTATCACAAGATACAGTGAAACTGTGTTTTAAATCACTTTAAAACCTTACTGATAGGTGTGGCAGGTGTAACAGGAGAAGTCACCATGACAGAAGCCGTAGTAGCCCACATCACAGATTCCGTGACATTGATTTGATCAGTAAAGTACTTGTAATGGTATGCTTCAGTGTAGGTGTATCTGTCATCATCATCCACAATCTGTCCCTTCTTACTCAACGCCCAATCAATCAGACCTCCGGTGGCATAGTTAAGATAGAGAACTAGAACCAGACTAGTCAGTAGGTTAGCTGTCATACCAACGGCGTGTTTCTGGATGTCATTCGACTTAAATGAAACGTTCCCATTTGTTTGAACAAAGCGTTTCCTTTTATTAGAGTAATATGTACAAACAATTACAATCGGAATAACGTTAAACCGAGCAACAATGTTAACAGAGATACATGGGTAAGATAGCCGGCGTTCTTCCTATAATCAAAATTGTATATGACTTCACAGGTCTTGTCTCCGTTATCGTATGTCGTGACGTCAGGTAGAGTTACCAAGAGATCGTGGGCGTCACAACTCCACTTTCCATCATCTTGTCCAGTCCAGCACTTCAGAATCTTGTAAATCTGGAATTTTAAAGGATAAAGAATACATTAGAGTAAGAACCTAGAATATAAAATGGCAATCAAGATCACCAGGCAGCTTATAGATAAAAATACCATTTTCCTAGCTTCGACCACAGAAGCTGGATCACAAGTGTTAGGCCAGCGTAAGTCCAAGTGATGAGCGGCAGCGGAGATGGTTATGTCATATAACTCTCGGTCGATCGCATCCTTATGCAATGTGGGTCTTCCAGACCTCCACGGATCAAGTTCTCCTTGAGTCAGTATCATCCTACTCGACTCTTCAGCGTTCAGTCCGTACAATCTCTCAATAGCATCGATATCAAACATAGTAGTGTTATATCCCTCAAAAAGATCCCCAGCTCCTTCACATGGTTTTAAAATAAGATCCGTTCTCGTTTGATTTCCAATTTCATCCCAGAATATGTCATTGGGCCATCCAGCAGCAGCCATGGGCATTCCGATCTCAGTACAAGTCTGCCAGTACCAGCCAGGTAGGTAGCCGAGGTTCTTGATTGAGGGATCTCCACATACGCTACTGACTACACAGCTTTCAGTCTCATTGTAGTATACAACAACCGACTCATACAGGGCTTGGACTAGCTTTTGAGGAGTGTCTAGGTCGGGTTGGCTCAAAGGTTTGCATGCTGGCTAAAGTGTATATAATGAGTGCTACAACAAGCATTGTAATGAGTAATATATTGTAATTTGCATGAGTTACTTAAACTGCTAGTTTAAATTAAAGTAGCATGTGTGGTTCAAACTAGCCTTCTAAATGATTAAACACTTACAACAAGATGCCAAGCAGGTAGTCTGGTGAGAAAGTTTGCTGGGTATGGATATACTGTCATCGCTCCGTATTCTAATGCATTTCTGACATAATTTGTGACCAAGTATCTGTCAGTATTATTCTTCAATAACGACTTCTGTGGAATGTTGAAGATCTTGTTCAACTCAGTGTAGTCCACTAAAATTCAATTTTAACTGTAAGAACATAATAAAAGATACAATAATCCGTTTCAAAGTCAATACAAAGACTACACCTTTGTCAATGGCCAACAATGCTTCGTGCGTAGTACTAAGGTTACATCCAAATTTGGCCAAAGTCTCTGAAACCGCGTGTGTAAAGCCTTCTGGAGGATTGTCGGAATTCCTGAACTGGTTTATGGGAGCAGAAGCGGCCCAAACACCGTGCACCAGATGTGGGAACTTCTCTCTCATCCACACGGCCAACATGCCACCGTAAGAGCCTCCGAATCCGATTACTGTAGTAAAGTTGAACTCTTTTCGAAGCGTTTTGATAACCACGGCAAAGTCGTTTATAGTCTGGCCGGTAGTCAGATACTTGGCGTGTTCTGTTGTCTAAAATAAATTAAATAATTTTAAAAATTTTTTTGCAAAATTTTTTGACCTTTTGTTCTGTTGATTTTATACTTACGTTGTAACTGTCATGACCAAAAGGCATAGAGGTGCCATTACCGTAATACCTATGTTCAGCAAACACAATCAAGGCATTAAAGCTTGGTGCCATACTGTACATAATGCCTGTGTTCTCGGCGAATCCTTCAATAACACCTTCATTCCCCATGTAGAAGAACAAAGGCCCTCCGGGTTTGTAGTGAGTGCTGTTTACCAAGTACCTAAAACATTATTCGTCAAATGTCAATTTAAAACAATATAAAATACGAACAATTAGGTCTTTATAACTTTAAAGTGTTAAGCCTTAAATAAACGTTATATTTTACTTTAGAAAAAACTGTAAGACCTACTTCAAACTGAAGTTCTGAATACTTGTAAAGTCAGTGTGGTCAATCTTAACATCCAAGTACTTAGTTTCGTACAGTTCTTGCTTCTCAGTACCTTCATCTTGCAAGCTTACAAGCCGAGGCAAGCCTAAACATACAGAAAGATGTACTAAAAGAAGGAAGAAGACCTTCATAACAGCGGCAAAAGTGACCAGAAGCCGACCGTAATGAAGTTAAATAAGGAACATTATCTGCGGCCCTTATCACTGCTTCTTTTATTACGAACTTTTGTTTGAAAAGCGATAATAGGAGAATGATATTTACTAAATTCCATGTAAAATGTCGCCATTATACGGTTTCAGCCTCTCGTATAACCAGAATATAGTAGAGGAGTTGGTATTAGCATAGAGGAATCGGTATCGAATCAACAAAATACATAACATCACACAAAAAGAGAATATGATGAACAATAAAGAAATCAAGTATATTTCAAAGTATTTGACATTTCCAACAGTCAATGCATTGAAAATGGCATACTTCTTAATGTTGTAATATTCAGCCCACTCAAACATTAGCTATCAATAGATTAACATGGTTGGTTAATGTAGTGTTCAAGTGTATAAATATATAAAAAGCAATTTGCATTTTAATTGGTACCTAATTTCAAGATTTCGTTTAAACACCGGTGTTCTGTTAGTCATGTCACTCTGAGTCCGTTGTTTACAAAAATGTTAAAGTACAACATAAAAAACAATTAAGAAAGATAACAGTTTAACGAATCCACTTCAGATTGCGCGGTAAATACCCCAAAAAAACGTTAAGCACAGTAACCTTTTGAAAAAACTATCTATTATATAAATATAGCTAAAAATACGATAACTCAATTAAACTGACTCAACCCTTATACAGCATCGTTTCCTATACATAATTTTAGATTATTACAACTTATTGTTAGCTTACTCATCCCTTCAACTATTAAACTACAGTAAAAACGTGCAAAATTATAAATAAAACATGTTTGCTTCATTTCCATTTGAGTAATACTTGGTTATGTATTAAAATAACTACATTTATCTCACCTGTTTGATACTATTTAAACCCTAATGTTGCTGTCCAAACCTTAAAATGTCATTTTTCACGGACCTAGAAGACTTTTATGTATGTTCTTACTACAATTACATAGTGGGTTCGATACTGTTAGTTATAGTGATTTTGGCTACAGTAGGACAATCTTTGCTAATATATGTAAGTTCGGATTATAAGCAAAATAGTGCAATGAACATTTTTACTGCTATTTGCTAAATTAACAAAAATGTGTTTGTTTAATAGTAGTATAGTAGTACAAGCTATTACCGTAATGCCTAATACTTCAGTTTATAATAACGTCACCCCTTAAATACCATTCATGCTACCAAACCATGGTCTTCATGGGAATCTTTAACCTATTTCAACTATCAGCCCAACTACTTTACTGTGTCTATGTTCTCAATTGTACGTTAAACCAAAAACAAGAATCGTCATGGTTAGATATGGTAAGTTGATGTACTTCTATAACCATATGTCAAAGACAAAAAATTAATACTGTAATACGTATGAAAAGCCATAATATTACCGTTTAGATAATCGGAGCGTTCAGCAGTATATACTTCAACATGGCAGAGTACTATAACTGTGTACTAGCTTTGAACCGGTTGATTACCTTCGTATCTTACCGTCGATCTATTGTAGACAAAGTGGAGATCGTTCAAAAAGTAAGATAAAGAAAGTTACTGATAACGCAACGTCAAATATGATTATTGTCAAACGCAATCTTAACAAAATCACCTTCCAGATACTGAATATCTTCATCTTCCTATCTGCCATACCTTTTTATGCCTACCATATGGTACCAGGCTGTCATTCTTTCTACAGTCCGTTCCTGTGGGAAGTCCCTGATCCTTGTGAATACTGGGACGTCTTCGACTTCTACACTACACGAATCGCAGAAGTTCTGTTCCTCAATCTTCTCATATACCTGACCATGCTACTGAGAATGATTTACCTACGGGTTACTGTATTGAATCAGCAAGTTAGCGGTTTGAACTACCAAGAAAGAAGGATCGCCTTCATCGCCATCATTCAGTTTCTGAATTCTGGAGTAGCCACCTTCTACAACCGAGTATTCCCCGACTACTACAACTATACGTCCGCTGGGAGATTGATCTTCAGGTTCCTTTTGAATTGGATGAGTTTGTGCAACGTCTACTCTGTCTTTTTGTTAATCAGGTAATGGAAAAGTAAATCTTTACTTTACAATAAGTAAAATTACTGTAATATAAAACGAAACTTTAAATTACAGACAATAATCCTACTACTATTCCAGTTCCATCAGAAGTCGCCTAACAAGCTTCACATCATCCAAAAACAACAACAGCCAAATCTCGACATTGCAATCGACACAGTCCAGAGGTATTCCAGTCTTTGTTTCTTAAATTCATATCCAGATTTCGACGCAATCGAAAGTGCCTTCTAACCTACTACGCTGAGCGTGTTACGAATATGTTATGCATGTTTTACCCGGGTCACTGCTTACTCACTCTGCGAGCCCTGAAGATCAAAGAAAGCCCATCTCGCCTCGAGGTCAGTTCGAGAGCCTCTTTTTATAAACAATTCACATGAAATATCTATCTTATGTCTTGGCAGCGTTAGTAAAATGAAACCAAAGTTACTAATTTTAATTGTAATTTTGATCCACTTTGTTTATGGCCAATACGGTAAGTGTACCAACTGTACCAGCAATCTTTTAGATGGCGCTTTAGGTCCTAGAAAACCAGAAGGGACAAGATACGCAGATCAGCTTACAAAAAATAATGTAAATCTGACTCCAACAACACCAAAGACACCGATTCCATACGGTCGATTTGATCCAGAGCCTACTGTAAGTAAAGCAACTCCATAAAAATGTTAATCTTACAGAGAAGTACCATTTTGTCGGCCAGAAACGACCCTCCCCTAGGAACACCAAATTTGGCTTACAATCGCGACAGAAATCATCCTTTCTATGAACGTAACAAACTCTTTGACCGAGCCAACAACCAGTAAGTTATATTACGATAACAATATAATTTGAACCTAGACATACGCAACAACAACCTCAATATCCACCAACTCTAAATCAAAATCAACAAACCCAGTATCAGCGAATACAATATCAGAATCAAGCCCAAGGATATCAGAATCAAATACACCAGACTCACAATCCAGTAACACAATTTCAAAATCCAGTGCAACAAGTTCACAGTACAGTTCCAGAAAACCATGGTATCAACGTCCAAGTAGGCTCGAGCCAAACACAAATGGCCATCGGAAGATTCTCAACCAACACTGACAGATTCGCCACATCAGACAATGTAAGATACTGTAACAATCATACGGTACACGTTTTCAGGGCCAAAACAGAATAGTACTGCCAATTGACATGTCCAATGCCTCCCTAGACACCTTAGTAAAGAAGACCCAAACCAGCCAAGTAACAACACAACAGCAACCTGAACCCATGGAAGCCAACAGTCGACTTCTTGTTAACCCTCAACAACCTGTCAGCAAAACCCCTGACTTTATAAACAACTTCCAGAGTAAGTGCCCACCTATCATTCATAGTATAATATTCAGATCCCACACCAACAACCACCCCCTACCCAGCGTACCCAGATCATAGAGAAGGTTTATTCCCTAAACTGGCAAACTTCTGGCACGAAGACCAAAGACCGGCTTCTGGAGATCGCCTCGGACCTCAAGGAAGGTTCGGTGGAGGTACCAACGAGTACCGTGAAGACATTCGTGGAGCCATCAACGACAGGAGAATGCCCTGGGAAAAGAACCCAAGTTCCGACCTCAGAAATGACCAGAAACCATTCGAACCACTAAACAAGTACAACAAGAATGTAGCCATCGAAACTATAAACTACCCCAACCCAGTAGCCCCAGAATCTACCGTGCCAAAGTACGGAGACAACAAAATCTTCACGGATCCATTTTCTACACTGTCCAAAAACAGGCACGGCAAGGAGTACCCAGAATTCACAACTAGAACTCCAGAAGTGCCAGTGAAGAGTTCATACATTGGTGGTAAGTAACGTAACACGATATGTATTATATGATCATTTGTCCAGTTCCACTGTATCCCGAGTATGGAATCGGTCATTCAGGAGTGCAAGGGTCAGGCCCAGCTGTAGGTCTAGTTAACTCAGGAATAGTACGACCAAGAGAAGACGAGAAGATTCAGATTCCACTAAATGTACCTCAGACGCCACCTACAACTTCAAATGACAGAACCTACTACGGTCCAGAAGAGATCACCCGAAGCAGATACAGAAACATGGACCAATCAGATGACCTTATCGTCAACAGACATCGCCATGTTAAACTAGACCTTTTGAACGAATAATTCGAAAATATGCAAATAAATTTCAAAAAACTTTATAAAATTTTGAATAAAAATAAAAAAAAATTTTTATAAAAATAAATTTGCATAAAACGTGCACGAACTCACTCAAACATAAAAATGAAAAATTTTGAATGTTTTCCATTATTACTTTTTTACAATGGACCGTGACGGGGATTTAGATCTCCGTCCACGACGACGACGCCAACGTGATATTCTAGGAGTGAACAAGTAAGACCTTTTTATAATATTATCCTATATTTAAGATATATAGCAATATTACCTTATGTTTCTGAATAGACAAAAGTTCATTTGCAAATGACTTTACTCTAAACTATTATTTAGATTCGACAGAGTCCCAATCGATGAACGTCTTCCACTGCCCTACGAAGTCATTTTCAGACTACAGACAAGTCAAGAGGACATTGAAGTTGCTCAACATCAATTTGAAGCGGTTATGAGTGAAGTAAGTCGTATTGTGTTAAGCGACGAGTGCCTTACATTACCTTACATCTTAATAAAATATAACAATAATTAACAGATCTCCTCAACAGTACGTTGTTTTAGCTACCCTTCGAACGGTACCAACTCGAATCGATCATAAACCAAAACCTGGCCTCCTTCGAACGACCTTGGTTTTCCCAACGTGGCACAGCGTACCTACGTGGCATACTATCAGAACTACCTTGTCTGGCGGTAGCACTAATCGACAGATTCATCAAACTCACTGGAATCGGATTGGAAAATCAGATTCGATTGGAGATTATCAACCTAGAAGACTTGTTTATGGTGCTCGAGAACCCAAGGTAAACCTAGTTTTTTTCTATATAATTGGTTCTTTGAATTCTTTTAAGTTGGTACATAAACTTTATTAATTTGTTATACCAAACTTTTAGAATTGTGGACGAATCATTAGAATGTTTATCATTTGGGATTGGAAACATGCCCAACTTGGGCACTTTCGTGGAGAGAATGACATACGATTCGTTTGAGAACTCTTATTCTAATGCCAAGATGATCAACAACGATCTCACGACAATCAACAATGTCGCAGGTAACGATTTTCATTTCAAACCCCTTCTTTTCAAAAACTATCTTTGACATAAAAATAAGCTTTCTTATTTCACATAACACACCTAAACGTAAATTACGTTATAGGAAGCCACGTTCTAACGTGCTGGTGGGACACTAACTTCTTCAAGAAGCTTATCCATCTCAACTTTGCTGTTCCAATCCAAACAATCGACGAATCTGGCCTAAAATACGACGGTTACCGTCTCACACTTCCTTTTTCTTCAATTCGAGAGATAACCTTCTGTTCTGACTTCGACGAAGAGGGACATCTTCTCCTCATCAGATACAAAGCTCCACCTCAACTATGGAAAGCAATGCCAAAGTGTCAACACAGCAAAATCACATTGAACTTGACAGACTGTAGAGAATGGACGAGAGTCTTGGAAGTGGAAGACAACTCGACTGTGAAGTTGACAAAGACCCAGCTAGGGAATTCGTGTATTTTAGGTATCAAAATACCGAAAAAACCTCCAATCCCAGCCGATGCTGCTCCTTATGAAAGACAAATGAGTGAGACAAACGAACACCTCATGAATGTAAGTGAATATTATATATATATGTCTTATAAAAACATAGCAATATCTTACACAACTCAATATCATACTTTAGGACATGATTTACCGGATATACAACTTACTCGGCCGAATCCAATCGTTTGCCAAAGTCAAGATTTACTTCGTTGGTGTCCAGAAAGTTGTCCTGTTGGATGAACCGAAGATCGTGCTGCCAATCTACGACTCATTCCGAGCAAATTACGCTATTCATGTAAGTTTTGGTCCAGTTTATGATCTTCCCGTCGCTCATTTCTGTGAAAAGACCGTGAAAAATGGTAAAACCGAAATGTGACGAAATGTCACAAAACGATCGCTTGGTCAAAACGAAAATCAGTCGGCTTATTTTGTAAATTAGAGATCAAAATTAATATTTTAGGGACTGATTGAACGAGGATATTCAGTGATAGATCAACTCTACACCTCCGATTCTTCTTCTTCGTTTATACCTCAATTCTTTGAACATGTAGCTGCTGCTCTCGAGGTAATTTAACTTTTATTTTTTTTATTAAAGCAATTGTTTTACTTGCAGGAGAATCAAGAAGCTTGTGAAGAAAGCCTCGAAGATCTTTTGGCAATATGTGACGATCAACGGCTTGCTTCTTTACATTTGTCCTTCTCAAAGCTATATCAACAAAAAGTAGCATCCTCAAGTTCAGATGATTACTATGTGTCTAGAAAGATGGATATCCCGAAGAATTGTGTTTTGGTCAGAAAGGTGAGTTTTGAGGAAGTGGTTTATATTATAACTTTAGTTATTTATAAGTTTAACGTTTTTTAATATTTTAGGTAACAATTTTGTTTTAGGTAATTGTAACGCCGCTTCGACGGGTTTTCTTGCCACCGGAAGTCATGATGGCTAACCGTGTTGTGCGAAACTTTGGGGAAGAAGGTGCTATGAGATGTTCTTTTAGGGATGACAATGGGCAAAGACTGTCATTAAGGAACTTCATGAGGTTTGGCGACAATTGCGTGACCGGACATCCAATTATCGAGAAATTGATCAAGAATACATTGTTAAAGCCGTTTGAAATTGGTGGAAGAACGTTTCGGTTTTTGGCTTGGTCAAACTCTCAGGTAGGAGGTATTATTCTCGCTGTTTTGAAATGGTTTAAAATGAAAGGTGACCGATTTTAAAAAATATTTAATAACAGAAACTTAATCGAGGTGTTTTTGAAGTCAATAAAACTATTTGATTTTAGATGCGTGATCACGGCTGCTACATGTACGCTGACATTTTCCATGAGAATGCTTTGACTGGAGCTACAGAATTTATTAGTGTAGACACAATTAGGACGTGGATGGGAGACTTTTCGAAGATCAAAAGTGTGCCTAAGCTAATGTCCAGAATGGGTCAGTGTTTTACTCAAGCTCAGCCGACCATTCAGCTGCGCAAGAGGTACTGGGAAGTTGTGAATGACTACGAGAGTCGCTACGTCGATCCTTTTAGCTACAAGAACTACGTTTTCTCTGATGGTTGTGGGTTGATCTCTTTGAAGTACGCCAAGATTGTGGCCTCTATTCTAGAAGTGTATCCAGTTCCGTCTTGTTTTCAGGTAGGTTCAAACTAGCTTTATTTATTGAATAACGTAATTTTAATTTTGGCTTATGAATTTTTTAAACTATTACAATTTAGGTACGATTCAAAGGTTTTAAAGGGATTTTGGTTTGCTGGCCGAACAGATTAAATGTTGAGAACGAAGCTGAAATCGTGTTCCGTGAGAGTCAGAACAAGTTTGAAGATGTGAAAGAGGATGACAAGGCCACGTTGGAAGTAGTAAAGTACTCAATGCCATCTCCAGTTTGTCTCAACAGACCCTTGATCATGATTTTGGATCAAGTTCTTCAGAAACAGAACATTAAGAGGCACAGAACTATGAAGAGCAAGATCATTAAGATTGTGGAGTCGGAATTGGATACACTTGGAGGTAAGAAAAAGTAAAACGTTAAATAATTATTTTACAATTCAAAATAATCAAAAACATAGGACGTAGGAAGATACATAGGAAGATACGACTTAATTAAGCTTTTATTAATTTTGAATAGTTTATATGTACTCGAGACGTTTTAGCCATGTTGTATTACGACACCATTGCCTCAAGTCAGTTGACGATGAGAACGGCGAGTAAAATTGATTTTGGAGCTCTACTGGATTCTGGAGTTTGCTTGACAAACGAGCCGCTTTTCAGAAACATGCTGATCTCAATCTACAAGTATTGTATCATCCAGGACATGCTCAAAGTAAGAAATATTTAAAAACAATTTAGATTTATATGTGTTTATAAAACTTGTTTATTTTTGTTTATTTTCAGTTGAAAGTACCAGTGTCACCTTCAATGGGCCGAACTATGTACGGAGTTGTGGACGAACTGGGTTACCTGAATCCTGGCCAAGTGTTCTTCCAGTACTCACCAAATGTAACGTCAGCTTCCTTGACTTGTGTACCGTACGTTGGCGAAGTGCTGGTCACAAAGAACCCTTGCCACGTACCTGGGGATGTTCGTATGTTTGAAGCTGTTGACATGAAGGAGTACCATCACTTGAGAGATGTCATTGTATTCCCTCGAAATGGAGTCAGACCTCATCCCGACGAGATGGCTGGCAGTGATCTTGATGGAGATGAGTATGCTGTCTTCTTTGACCCAGACTTGTTCTTTGACTACAACGAATCTCCAATGCACTTTCCAAAGAAGACGGCTTTGGAAACTATTAGTACTCCCACTGTAAGTTTTTATATTAGAGACATATATAATAACATTTTTATTATATTGTAATTAATCTACAGTTTGTGGCTGTGGTGACATAATGTTGACTTGGTTGTAGGCTGGTGACATGGTCGACTTCTTTTTGAAATATTTGGAACAGGATTCTATCGGGCGTGTCTCGAATGCTCATTTGGTGGCGGCAGATCAATTGGGAATATTTCAGTAAGTTTAAAATCGTTAATAAGTATTTTTACTGAGCTCAGTAAGTTTATTGAGTTTTAATTGGTTATTTGTTTGTTTTCAGTCCAGTATGTGAGCGTCTGGCTGCAAAATGTTCGGATGCTGTGGACTTTCCAAAGACAGGTGAGCCGGCTGAGCCACTTACTCAAGAAGAACGGTTTGATGTGTTACCGGACTTTCTTGGATGCAACAGTAGGAACGTGTATCGTAGTAGGTGGTTATTGGGATCCTTGTACAGGTAAGTTATCATATATTGGATTTTTATGTTTTATTTTAGTCATTGATGTTTTATATTATATGTGTAAATAATGCATACGGAAATTTTATATGGTCTACGTAAAAGGACTGTTTATAGAAAGGTACAAGTACTGAATGAGATCTTGGACGCAATTCAGCAAACAGAAGCTGAGAAGTTGTCATTGGCTGATGATTATCTGATGGACGAGGATTTGAGACATACGGAGCCAGAACTGTTCCAAGATGCCATATTTCACAGAAACGTGTATTATGCGAAGTTACAACAGATTCTCGACGAGTACGGTATTGAAAGTGAAGCCGAGATGCTGAGTGGACATGCCATATCAATTAGAAGAGTCACAGAAATGGAGAAACAGGACTATTCTTTCTATCACGCTGATCGGCTGGTAAGGTTTAGTACAGTATAGCTTGAAGAATTGAAATATATATTGCTTGGAAGGTTTGATAACATACGTATTAAGCTTTTTTTTTAATTTTCAGGTGGAAATGAGGGTAAATCAGATAACCGAGAACTTTCGCCACGAATTCTTTGACCAGTTTGGCGGGGAGGAGAACTGTTTGGAGTTTGAGATTGTCGGTTTAACTAGATTTATTGGACCAGCAAAAGCATTGACTAAGGCCAAGTGTTGGTATACTGTATCTTATGGTGCAGAAGCAAGTAACATCAAGTTCAGATCATTCCCGTGGATTGTGTGGGATGTTGTTGTTCATGCGCGCAAACAAGCGGTACGGTTTTTAACGTTTTTTATGGATATTATACTGAAAGTTTGCTGTAGAATGTACTGAAAGAGTCATGTTTTGTTGTATCTTAGCATGTAATGTACGGTACTTTAGAGACTTGACGTTCTTGCCAGAACTGGAACTATTGCACCGGTCTTCAACGTGGTATTTCAAACTTTGACAGAGTTCATTGTGAGTTACAGTAAGCGGTGCAAGGACGATGTTCTGGCTTTTCAACATGTTCTGAATGGCAGTGCCAGCAAGCTACAGTGCTACGAGATCTACGTGTCCGTTTACGGTGCTAAACTTGGTTTGTGCATCTTTTTCTTGCACAACTGGCTGAACGTGGTAATTACTTTTTATTATGGTGTTACATAATTGTAAAATATTTACTTTCATTTACTTGTCTTTTTCAGAATCTTATTTACAAGAAGACTGGCTTCCAGCTGAAGCATCTGATTCTGATGCTACTCAAGTTCGCTCTCGGAATCCCGATTGGAAACTTCACGAATCGCAACATTTATTTGCATCGGAAGATCGAGACGATGGAGGAAGCTCGTGCCTTGAGGCAGACTGACGAAGTCATGAGGTTTGAGAACTGTGGTGGTCTGGTGTTGGAGTTTGTTCGATTCCTTGGAAGCACGAGTGTCTCTTTGGCCGAGACCCTCGACTTCTCTTCTGATGAAGGTCTGACCAACTTGACCGAAAAAGGCGACCGTGAACCTTGTACGTTGAATAACGCTAAGGATTGGAAAAGCCTCAGCGAGGTGAGCTTTTAAATGTTTTTGCGAATTATATTGAAAATTATTTTAAAAAGTGAAGTTAACAAAGATATTGTTTTAGCTGGCCTACCGGACTTTCCACTTCGTCTCGCTGACACGAAATTTTGAAATTTTTGGGAAACCAGCCAAGGAACTTCTGAAGTCCTGACGGACATAACGTTATTATATTTAACGTAAAAACTGTGATGATTAAGTAATTAGTATTGTAATTAGTTATTAATCAATAAATAATATTGTTATAACTATTAGTATATGATGAACAAGTAAGATTCTGTAGTTTTATACTATCTGATATCGATCGTAAAGAACACCGGTTTATTGACTCGGATAAGTTAAAACTCTTGCGTGACACAAAAATACAGATCAGTTGGAGTACGAGATTGTTGGAATTGCGAGAAAGATTTGTGGCCCGGCCACCGACAACTTCAAGTCTAATATCCAGGGGCAGTCCGAGGTGGAGGGCAGTGGTCGCAGCCGCCTTGAGCTCCGGCATCTCCGTCAGGTCCCTTGTCTCCTGGAAGACCGTCCTTGCCTGGCTCTCCTGGAGCACCCTTGTCTCCTGGAGCTCCTTGTGGGCCTGGGGATGAGGTACCTGGTTGACCGGCTGGTCCTGGTGGTCCAGGCTCTCCGGGTGGTCCTTGAGGTCCGGCTGGTCCTGGAAGGCCTGGTACTTCGTGGAGCTCTCCTGGCTGTCCAGCTGGTCCCTTTTCTCCTGGCTGCCCTGGAGGTCCAGGTGGGCCTGGTGGTCCTTGAAGTCCTTGGCTAGCTGGCAATCCTGGTGGACCGTCTTCTCCTGGCTGTCCTGGTTGTCCGTTAGGTCCCTTTGGTCCTGGTGGGCCGGGTGGTCCTTGTGGTCCGACTGGACAGTCGAAGCAGAAGTCGGCTGGAGTTGGGCGGTGTCCTTCTGGAGTGTCGGCTCCATCTTCTCCGTCTTCACCGGGGATACCGTCTTTTCCTGTAAAATTAATGATGGTTAATATGGGTTCTTTCGTTTCTGTATCTAATCTTAATAGTTATTGAAGTATTTTACTTACCGTCCTCTCCGTTTGGTCCTGATGGTCCGGCAGGTCCAGCTGGTCCAACACCGCACGAGCAAAGTTCACCACCGGCTGGTCCGCCGAGGCTTGGTCCGCCAACGCTAGCTCCGTTGTTTCCAGCGTAGTCACCGGCTCCAGGAGCGGCTCCACCAGCTGATGGGTTGGGGCTTCCGGCTCCGTAGCCGCTTTCGTCACCAGCGTAGGTGCCGGCTCCGCGAGCGAGATGACGTCCGCGCTTTCTGTGTCTAACGACGGCGGAACGCTTCTGACGGAACGCCTCGTTTCCGAAGATGGAACGGTAACGTTCCCAGAGCCCGTCGGAACGGTGGAGACAGAAATCGAGCTCCTCTTCCAACGACGATTGCATGTGCTGCATGTAGTTGTACAACATGGGGACGACGATGATGGCCGTCAGAGTGGCGACGGTGGATACTGTGATGGCGAAGAAGGTGACCTTCTTGAAGGACTCGGCCTCCTTGACCAGCTCTTTGGCGTCCCGAGACTCCCTCCGGACAAGTGAGCTTTCCATACTTTTGGAAAAAGCTGAAATCATCTGAATTACTAAGGATTCTGAAGTTGTAGGTAACGACTAAAGCAGCTTCTTAGTTGAAATCAACTACTAAAACGCTTCAGAATTTGAAGGTAACGATGAAAGTTTCAAAACTATGAGGTAATCACAAGAAAGTTTAAAATTAAGGATGAAAGTAAAGTGTTAAAGGCGATTCCAGCGACAGCGTCGCCAACGAAAACGAGGAATCAGATTGGAGTGAAACACTGGTTATTTGCACTTAAAATACCTTGACTTTTATACCTGCAGGCTGACGAAGAAGATCAACACCCCTCGGGACATAAAAAGGTCGCTGCTTTGTCCTCTGCGCTTTTTCATCACGGTCGCCGAAAAGTGTCGTTTCAGTGTGATCGCCTAAGCAAGCGAAAAGAGATCCGTTATGCGCGACTTTTCGAAATTCGAGTTAATAATCGACTGACATAACCTGGGGCAATGTCGAGAACGGGAATCGAGATTATTGTCGAATACGGTAGTGAAAAGATTCAGGAATTCATGGCGAACAACAATTACCATGTACTATAATTAACAAGCGTTTCGTTGCACAATTGTCATACAATAATGGTATATAGAGTTATTGTGGTATAAGTTGTCGTCTCAATGTCTATATATTGCAAACGATGACATTCCTTTACATGACAATTTAGTTTGTTCTGATTGAGTAATAGGCACGTTCATCTTTCGCAAACTTCAGCGATGATATATCACCAGTTCGAGAGATTTTAATTTTATTAAAAAGATTTTCTTTATCAGAGTCAAATTACATAGTTAAAAATGACTTCATGAACATGGTTTACATCAACTTTCTTTAGAAGCGTACTGATTTTAAAATTGTTTTTTGTCTAAAAATCTTGACAAAGATGATCTTGTAGCTGCATTCTAAGTGTCTGTTTTAGCATGCCAAAACTATGTTACTCATACTATTATTAACGTAAATTTATCAAAATATGTTAATTTTAAAATACGACTGACATTCCTTGAGAGTTATTAAAGGTAATTGCTTTGGTTTCCCTTTGAATTGCCACCTTCAAACCCGAATCCGATGTCAGTCGCACTTTTTATCTTTAAAGAATTTTTTTATGTCATCGACGCTACGTAACCAGTTTGCGAAACTTTCATTTGTGTTCCTCTGAGTCGAAAATCGAAAGTTTAAGTCAATGTTTTATTTATGCAAATTAAGGGAAGGCGAGGGTCGGACCCGGGCGGGCCCGGCCGCTCAGCTGAGAACTTGGATCGAGGAGTGCACTGAGTAATATACAACAAATACATTAAATAGTTTAGTATCCTGGAGCAGTACGTGGTGGTGGGCAGTGGTCGCAGCCGCCTCCGTTGCCGGCTTCTCCGTCGGGGCCAGCTTGTCCTGGGCCTCCTGGCTGACCTGGTGATCCTGGGGCTCCAGCATCACCGGGTGGTCCTTGTGGTCCTGGAGATGAAGATCCTGGTCCTCCTGGTTGACCAGCCTGTCCTGGAGCTCCTGGTGGTCCAGCTGGTCCTGGTGGGCCTGGAATGCCGGGAACTTCGTTAACTTGACCTGGTTGACCAGCTGGACCGGCTTCTCCTGGTTGTCCGTCGTTTCCTGGTGGTCCGGCTGGGCCTGGTGGTCCTTGGCTTCCTGGGTTTCCTGGTTGACCGTCGGCTCCTGGCTGTCCTGGCTGACCGTTTGGTCCCTTTGGTCCGGCTCCTCCTGGTGGTCCAGCTGGGCCTGGTGGGCAGTCAAAGCAGAAGTCGTCGGCGGAAGGTTGGTGATCAGCTGGGGCGTCTGGTCCGTGGTCTCCGTCAGGTCCGGCGTTTCCGTCCTTTCCGTCTTGTCCGTCTTCTCCAGGTGGTCCTGGTGGTCCAGCGTTTCCGACACCGCATGAGCATGAGGAAGCAGCAGCTCCTCCTCCGACGGCTGATTCGCCTCCGTAGTTTGCAGCTGGGGCAGCGGCAACTGGAGCGGCGGCTCCTCCGTATCCTGAGGCTCCTTCGTCAGCGTATGAAGCGGCTCCGCGAGCACGGTGTGGAGCACGACGGCCGTTTCTCATTTGACCGTTCTTGCGGACGGCGTTTCTCTTCTCACGGGCCATCTGCTCGCCGAAGATGCCCTTGTACTGTTCCCAGAGACCGTTGGATCTGTGGGTACAGAACTCTAGTTCCTCGTCCAAAGAAGATTGAACATGTTGCATGTAGTTGTACAACATGGGGACCACGATGATGGCGGTCAATGTGGCCACCGTGGAGATGGCGATGGCCAAGAAGGTGAGTCTTTTGAAGGACTCGGCCTCCCGAAGCTGCTCCTTAGTATCACGTTCCATCTACAAGTATATAATGTTTATGAAAGTAATGATACTGTTACCAAAAGTGTGAAAACTAAGCTAAGGATACGGCAATTAAAATAAATACAGTAAACTTTGAATGAAATGTTATACTTACCTTCCCGTCTAGACCCTCGATTAAAAACGAAAGTCCCTGGACTGATGACTTTCAACCCCTGGCTGAGGTTATATACCTGTAACATTTTTGGAGTAGAACAATAGCTATATACACCTTACCGCTACCCTCACCCTCCGCGTACAGCAACGCCCAATCGCTCCACCTTCATTGTAAAATTTCTGAAAAACGAAAAAACGACAGAACGAAGAGAGCGCGGCAACGGAGGAGAGTGCAGACAAACGAATTTAAATTTACTCGTCAACGGACTGTCTATTGTCTGCCGATCCCGTTACTGAACTCATTGTGATATTGCAACTTATGCCTTTTTATGGAATTCATGACACATTTCCATTATTTTTAAGACTCATAACACGTTACCGTGGTGTTTTTATTTACTCCACGCAGAGTCACTTCCGCCAGCGACCTTCGCCTGTTACAGTAACCAAAACTCAACCATAAAACAGTTCGAAGGACATGGTCATGACTTATTGTAGGGTTTGTTATCGATATCTACACGGTGATCCCTCTGCTTGTTCATGAGAAGAGAAAAAAAGGAAGCGAAACCGCTACAGCCGAGGAACAGACTGGGTCCACAGAAAAAACAGGTTGTCGTCGTATCTTTTCTTCGAAATCTCGACTGATAACACAAACATGACCTCAAATTACCTGAATCTCAGAAAAAGAACAAAAACGCTTAAAGTTATTTCACTAGCCCGTAAACAAATTATTTACTTTACAGAACGTCGAGACGTTCGTTTTCCTGAATTTCATGTAGGTCGCTGTTGATAAGGGTTCGTTGACAGGAATACAAGTGCCAAATTCATAAGTTTTTCACTTTTTTTAAATTGTAATACAGTGAAAACCCTGTATAACAAAAATCCTATAAAAAAACTTTTATAGCCCCAGCTACATTACGCAGTGCATTTAAAACTCCTGTATAAAGAAACTATTTTATAACGAAAAATTTGAAAATTTTCGAATAATTCGTTATAAAAGAGTTCTGTAATTATAAAAAAATTTAAAATATTTATATTGCAATAAGATTTTTTATATTTTTTGTACAAAGTTAGGCTATAAATGTTTTTTTATTGCAAATCAACATCCTTCGGCCTGACCCATTCGAACTGATTTTGACAAGCCTGGCTTGGGTCCTTTACTCCGTTTTAACTAATTTTTCCTATTTTGAAGCAGCAAAAAGATATTATTTAAAATATAGAAAAATGTTCTTCAGACTGTTTGTACTTTATGTTAATGTCTCATACAAAATCCGTTTCACCAATAAAGACCCAAAAATGTTATTTTAAGATTGTATGAGGTTTATAAATACAAAAAGTATAACTTTCAGTTTAAATACTTTATTGTTATGATCGATAATTAAACGAAGTTTTTTATTCGAATCTGTTTCTTATTTATACATCATTTTATACATTCAAATAGAACGTATATTTTTAACTTTTCAGGAAACCTTTTAAAACATTGTTAGTAATAAAGTCTTAGCCAAGTTTTTGCCTGTTTGAAAAGTACGAATAGTAAAAGCGTTGTTTTTTCGATTTCAGGTTCGTAATACGCAAAGTTTTAGGAAAATAAACTTTCCAATTCGTAAACTTGTCTTTTCATTTGCTGTAATATAACAAATATTTTTACAACACTTGGCGCATTTTAATAGCTCATTAAAATTAAAGTTAACTTGCTAATGAAGCGCTATTCCTTTGACAATTAATTTTACAAAACTACAGTAAGAATACAATAATCAATGTAAATGTTTCGATTTGTAATGCTAATTAGAACCAAAATAGACTGTCTCATTAACTGGTTGATGAGCTGCTCCCGTGTGAACTTTTAGTTTAAACCGCGCACAACTTCCCGTTTTGGCTTTGTTTCAAACTGGTGAAGCAAACCTACCTACCTCAACACCCCCGGCCTTCCCGGTAGTATATAAACACGATGGGCCTCAGGAATCAGCATCCAGTCGTCAGTCATGGACTCCAAGGAACAGATTCGGGAGGCCGAGTCCTTCAAAAGACTCACCTTCTTGGCCATCGCCATCTCCACCGTGGCCACATTGACCGCCATCATCGTGGTCCCCATGTTGTACAACTACATGCAACATGTTCAATCTTCTTTGGACGAGGAACTAGAGTTCTGTACCCACAGATCCAACGGTCTCTGGGAACAGTACAAGGTTCTTTATGGAGAACATGCCTTCAGAGCCAAGCGTGAAGCCACCTTCCGCCGTATGCCTCAAGGTCAACGTGCCAACCAACGTGGACGTCGTGGCAACAAACGTGCTCGCCAAGCCTACGGAGGAGATGCTGGATACGGAGCCGCTGCCCCAGCTCCAGTAGGCAATTACGGAGGAGAATCCGCTGTCGGCGGAGGCAACGCCGCTGCTGGCGGAGGATCATGCTCATGCGGAGTTGGACAAGCTGGACCACCAGGACCTCCAGGAACTGACGGAAACGACGGTCACGATGGTGCTCCAGGACAAGACGGTCAACCAGGCCCAGACGCCCCAGCTGATCACCAACCATCTGCTGACGACTTCTGCTTCGACTGCCCACCAGGCCCAGCTGGACCACCAGGAGGAGCCGGACCAAAGGGACCAAGCGGTCAACCAGGACAGCCAGGACCTGACGGACAACCAGGAAACCCAGGAACCCAAGGACCACCAGGCCCAGCCGGACCACCAGGAAACGACGGACAACCAGGAGAAGCCGGTCCAGCTGGTCAACCAGGTCAAGTTAATGACGTTCCCGGCATCCCAGGCCCACCAGGACCAGCTGGTCCACCAGGACAGCCCGGTCAACCAGGACAGCCAGGAGCTACAGGGTCTTCATCCCCAGGCCCACAAGGACCACCAGGTGACTCTGGCGCTCCAGGTACCCCAGGACTTCCAGGAGGCCCAGGACAAGCTGGCCCAGACGGAGAAGCCGGCAACGGAGGCGGCTGCGACCACTGCCCACCACCACGTACTGCTCCAGGATACTAAGCGGTGGTTTCCCATATTTAATTACCCTCAGGAAGCGGATCTCGTGTGGTTGAGATTAATGCCATGTCTTTCGTTATTCGTTTGTTTCCAAGAAAATAAACTCAAGCATCACTGTTCCAGTTATTATTGTGCAAACCCGTTGGCTACTTTCGCAAACCGGTTTCCTTTATATTAAAACGTTTTTGTAAACTTTGCTAGCCTTAACGAGAAAAGAAAGAAACGTATATACTAACTGTTAAACTGTTACAAATACAACAAAGAAGTAAATGTGGGAAGTGAAGGGTAATACCTGAATAAAAACATAAAAGTGCATCAAATTAAAAGTAAATGCTTAAAAAACAGTTAAGAATCATTGAACACGACTAAATCTTACCAAAAATTGTTCCAGCTTTTGACATAAAGCATAGTTAATCGTGTAAACCGCTTCCTCAATGCCAACTTCGATGATTCCAACACCTTGAAACTTAAAATAACATCAAATGTCCTGATTTTGATTCTCAACACATTCATTTATTGTTTTCCGTACTTTTGTAAAGAGGTAAACTATTCTGATAAGGTAGACTTCTTGAATCTGCGTAATGAAGAAAAGAAAGAAATTGTTTCGATCACAAAATCCATAAAACCCGTCATCCAATATCCATAAAATCAGTCATCAAACATTTTTTTTGTGAAATTCATTTTTTTAGAAGCTAGAAGAAGGTTATTTGACGGTTTGAATATATTTGTTTAAAATTTTGTGTTTGATTATGTTGTTATATTATTTAAAAATTGTTAATAGATATTAGGATCAGTCAAATTTTGAAAAATAGGACGGAATTTTATGAAAAAACTTTCATAAATCTTCTTTTATAAAACAAAATTTTAAAAATAAGTTAATTCATGTTAGGGATTTTATGCCTAACTTGCCAAACTTGCTTTTGAAGTGGATTAAAGCTGAATAGAACGGCAATACTAACTACTATAAAGCAATATGTCAAAAACGAGAAAGTTGGTTAGTCCATTGCTCTTAAAATCGTGCCGGATTGCCGCAACAGCTTTTAATTGTTGTGGTATTTTGTTTGTCTATTTTGGGAACAATCTTCGACTTGATCTGAACGGTTCAGTAGCAGGAACTTTCTCCGAACGGTAAGCATGGGTTATTTATCGACTTGTTTACTTTGCCTTTTTCAGAAAATGTACTGTTTCGGTGTTACAGCATCGTATAATGGTTTAAGTATACCGCCTCTTTTTGTTTTTCTCCACTGTTTTTTATATTTGGACGCAAAAAGGTTTAGCGCGAAACCTGGTTTTTGTGTGTAGGCTTCGTGAAACGTCTCAAAAGTAATGAAGAGGCTTATTCCGGAAAACGGGCCTGCTTACGGTTTAAAGTGTACACCATAAAGAAGCAACATTCCACTATATAAGCCTGATCGGCAGTTGAGATAGACAGAGCAGTTGACTGTCTTCGCTTCGACAGCCATGGACTCCAAGGAACAGATTCGGGAGGCCGAGTCCTTCAAACGACTCACATTCTTGGCCATCGCCATCTCTACCGTGGCCACATTGACCGCCATCATCGTGGTCCCCATGTTGTACAACTACATGCAACATGTTCAATCTTCTTTGGACGAGGAACTAGAGTTCTGTACCCACAGATCCAACGGTCTCTGGGAACAGTACAAAGCTCTCTACGGAGAACACGCCTTCAGAGCCAAGCGTGAAGCCACCTTCCGTCGTATGCCTCACGGTCCAAATGCCCGTGGCAGACGCGGAATGAAGCGCGCCCGTCAAGCCTACGGAGGTGACTCTGGCTACGGTGCCGCCCCAGCCCCTGCTCCAGTCCAATCTTATGGTGGAGCTTCCAACGTCGGCAGCTACAACCAAGGTGTTGGAGGTGGCTCTTCTGTCGGAGGAGGATCATGCTCTTGCGGAGTCGGCCAAGCTGGACCACCAGGACCTCCAGGACAAGATGGTAACGATGGACATGATGGAGCCCCAGGACAAGACGGACACCCAGGACCAGATGCTCCAGCCGGACACGTTCCATCTGCCGCTGACTTCTGCTTCGACTGCCCAGCTGGCCCCGCCGGACCACCAGGTGGCCCAGGACCAAAGGGACCAAACGGTCAACCAGGACAGCCAGGCCCAGCCGGTCAACCAGGAAACCCAGGAACTCAAGGACCACCAGGACCAGCTGGTCAACCAGGAAACAACGGACAACCCGGAAACGCCGGACCACGAGGTCAACCAGGACAAGTTACTGACGTTCCCGGCATCCCAGGCCCACCAGGACCAGCTGGCCCACCTGGACAGCCCGGCCAACCAGGACAACCAGGTGCTCCAGGATCCTCTTCTCCAGGCCCACAAGGCCCACCAGGTGACTCCGGTGCTCCAGGTACCCCAGGACTTCCAGGAGGCCCAGGACAACCAGGCCCAGACGGAGAATCCGGCAACGGAGGCGGCTGCGACCACTGCCCACCACCACGTACCGCCCCTGGATACTAAACAGCGCGTGCAGTACGAGTATTCCCATGATCTTTTGCAACGTACCTCAGCTGAGATACTGCCATTGTTTTTATGTAAATTGTTTGTTTCAATAAATATAAATACTTGAGGAAGTGTGTCACAGTAATCAGAGCAATCGCATGCAAAGTACAATATGAGGGAAAGTAGAGCGGACATTAATATATAAAAGTAGCTGTAGCAATCAGTCGTTAAGTAGATCATGATTACCAAAATGATTCCTATTATTCTTGTATATTTGCTTCTTTCAACTTTGCACGCTTTTGAAATACAGGTATAGTTACAGTAACCTTGAAGGTAAACTTTAATAGTCTCTTCTCGATGGAGTAGGATCAGCATTTAGTTCAGTCCAGCAGTCAGTATCTGAGTTTGTGAACAAGGAGACAGATGACTTTGCACAGATCCCATTAGAGATCGGAGATCGGCTTGCATGCACTCCGTGTTCTCTGATAGCTGGCTACATCATGTACAACATTAACGACAACACTATTGTTCAGTCGGTATGGTTGTTGACTTGTATAATTTTTATTGTCTGTGTTAAGTTCTTCTGTAATAATTGTAGTTAATAGCACAATACCCATGTCATTACTATGTTTACAGCTTATGATCGGGTCTTGCCCAGCGATATTTTACGGTAATTGGCACAAAATGTGGGCGTGTGAGGTTCTGATGGTGGGCGCAGTAGTTTACTCTCATTTTGGGGCATCTAAGTCGTTGTGTCATGCAATGGGCATGTGCTCGAATCTGTTCAAAGTAAAGCGAAGCTTACTTCAGAATCAGACGCCACCACAAGTGGACTTTAACGAGCTAGTGCAAGTGAGTAAAAATGTTGTGGTAAAAATAAAAGAATGCTCCAAAAGTAGTAGAGTTTTAAAAAAATAGTTTAGCACAACTTTTTTGGATCAGTCTGATATAAAGTTTTTAAAACAGAATTTCAATTAGAATTTTGCTTTATAAGTAAACCGATCTAGTCAGAGTTTTTACACGAAAAACTTTAGTTACTGCCACTGGACATGGACAATTTTGACACAAAGTTGTCGCAACTTGGCCCTGCTGAGTACTCGAAAGTCAAGGAATCTGTGTCCCGAATTCTCACGCAAAGACAGAATCTGAAGCCTGTCGAATTCTTGGAAACTCTACGTGAAATCTCGAAGTTTTACCGATAGATCAATCTGTAATTGTAGTTGAAAAACAGTTTGTGATTGTAGTTGAAAGAAACAATTTGTTATTGTAGTTAGTATTCCTTAAATAAACATTGACAAATCACCACTGAACGTTGTGGTAAAAGTCACGTAGCAAAGAGCGGGAGGCAATTACATGAACTTTGTATACGTGACTTTTGCTTCCCAACAAGGCACCACTTTAAACAAATTGTTCAAATCTGCACGCAGTAATGTGAGAATCCCTCCTCCTGTCGAGGGATCAGTTTGTTTAGAGCAACCTTGACAACGCTTATATAAGGGTCCCTCTAAAGGTTTTTGTATTATCGACAATTGTGCTTCCGACTATAATGTCCAACCCAGCCACTACTGATAGAATCTGTGCAGATGCCACCGACATGGTGGGCCATACACCTTTGGTCTACTTGAACAAGGTGACGAAAGGAATTAATGCCAAAATTGGTAAGAACTTTACATTGTATTATATCTTTACAAACTGATCTTGTATACTTTTATATGTTTGCGTGCACTGCTATAAACTTTTAGTATATACTTTGTATTCTTAACAATTTTTTAATTCAGCTGTGAAATGCGAATACATGAACCCAGCCTGCTCGGTCAAGGATCGTGCTGGTGTGCAAATGATTGAAGTCGCTGAGAAGGCTGGCCTCATCAAACCCGGAGACGTCCTGATTGAACCAACTTCTGGAAACATGGGAATTGCTCTGGCCTTTGCCGCGGCCGTAAAGGGATACAAACTCATATTAACCATGCCTTCTTCAATGAGTTTGGAGAGAGTAAGTTTAAGTACTTTTATTACAGTGGCCTACTCTACTACTTTTTCTTTGTGATCAATGAAATATTGCTTGAAACTTTACCAAAATATTTTTCAGAGAACCTTGTTGAAGGCTTTCGGAGCCGAAGTCATCCTAACAGACCCATCCAAGCAAGTACTTGGAGCTATGGAGAGAGCCAAGGAGCTACAAAAGCTGATTCCCAACTCATACGTTCTGGATCAGGTAAGCCACCTGAACATCTACAATAACACAATATGTTTAGTTTTCCAACCCAGCCAATACCGAAGTCCACTACCTGACTACCGGCCCCGAAATATGGCAGCAATCGAAAGGAGAAGTGGCAGCCGTCTGCTTCGGAATCGGATCAGGTGGTACGATGAGCGGAGTCGGCCGCTACTTGAGAGAACAGAATCCTGAAGTCAAAGTATACGCTGTAGAACCATTCGAGGCTTCAGTCATCAACGGCTTCGAACACAAGCCCCATACAATCCCTGGAATGGGAGCCGGCTTTGTTCCCGACCTCTTGGACAAGATATACACCGAAGCTCTTCGTGTTCCGTCACCTGAAGCCGTGACAATGGCCAAGAGAATGGCCAAAGAGGAGGGAATTCTGTGTGGCATCAGCGGTGGAGCCAACGTTTGTGCTGCTATACAGGTATGTGTTGATGTATAAATCTGTTATTTATTTGATTTTAGTTAGCCAAACGCCCAGAATTCGCTGGAAAACTGATTGTGACAAGTTTGGCATCTTTTGGTGAACGGTACTTGAGTACCATCCTGTACAAAGACATCAAGCAAGAGTGCGAACAGTTGACGGAAACTACTTTGGACCAAGATCGAAAGTATCTGAACGAGAAATGGGGTTTGCAAATCTAAACCGAGCTTTAACTACTTTTTACTCTGTGATCTTCTATCTTTCCAACCTTAAAAAGGCCATTTTTCATACAATAAACATCTTTTTAGCAACTATCGTTTAAGATTAAGTTATTTAGAAGTGCAACGCATAGTTAATCATTTTAAAACTGTAATTTTTAAGCAGTTTTTCGAAAAGTAAAAACAGTAACAAGAATGTGACTTTCTTTAGCGACGCGTTTCGTTCTGAATGACCTTCGAAGGCGTCGCTTCTTTTCGTTCTACTGCCCTCAAACTTAAGACAGGACCTGACCTTTTGTGCCCGCCGTAGAATAATAATAAAAGCCCCTTCTATTAAATGCCCGGCTCTCTTTGTTTAGAGACAATTACCTGACCTTCCAATGGTATGTTGTGATGACATGTGTTAAACGGTGGTCAAAGGGTACCATACAAATCTGAGCATGGAAGGAATGGTAGTGCAAGATTGTTTGTTATTGTATTGCTGCTTTTATCTTACACTTTTATATCTGATGACCTTCAACTTGGTCGTGTTTTTTGTATTGATGGAGTTAATAAATATTGCGCGTCAGCTTCCCGTTAGATAGGTTTTTAGTTTTTACGTTGCTCCGTCTTCCAGAATTCACTTGTAACCTTGTTTTACAAAATTCCGAATTTGGACTAATGGTTTTGCATTATTTTTGTGGTTGTGGTGGCCTCCATGAATTTAAGAATTCTTTCGGTTTATTTCGTTTCTTTACGACATCTTGACTTTAAAATAACTTTATGTAAATTTACAACCCTTAGGCTGACCTTCAAGACCTTGAAAGGCTTGAAATCAGAAGCCGCTCCATTCCCCAGCCGTCTGCTATTGACAAGTTGTAAAGCGTGTTTGAAGATGCCGCGCGAGGGATTAACACGTTCAAACAAAACTCGAAAAGGTCGACCGGTCAGCACTGTCCATTCGGTCTCGCGCGTTCGGTCATTATGTTGACAATAACGAGCTTCCCATTTGGCTGTGATGGCCTTGGATGGCGGAGACTTCCTCCCTCGCCTACCTGCGAGCCTTTTTTGGAGCTTGAAAACATTTCTGGAAAGGCGACTCAAGCGAATCTGCGCACGATGGCGTCGTTTCTGGTGTCCGGTTTTGGTTTTTTATCAGGTTTTGTGGAGAAATATTTGAATATGTTATTCATGGTTGTTTTGGTGTTACTGAAAGCACCTTTGTCTTACATTTTAATGCTATTGTCGACTACTTTTATCATAAAAAAAGGTATTACCTTTAACATTACTGTACGCTTTTCACTTTCCTCCTTCTTCCGCTTTAATCTCCTCAAATCAGAGGCAATTATGTTGCGATCAACGGGATTCGAAACTCTCGACATGACGTCTTCTGACTCATCGGCCTTGGCTTCATTATCGCGCCTCAATCTCTTCTCAACACCTGAAAGTCAACAGCGACGCTTAAAGCGATGCCCCTCTTTCCTGCACAGTTGGAAACCGAATCCGCCGGTTTTCCTGATTTTTTTTAAATATGCGTGCTACATTTTTGAAATTCAACCCTGTTGATCAACTAAATTCGTTATCTTTTATTACCTATTTTAGGAATGCACGGCTTCCCAGAACCGCCGTTAAGATCCAGTAGTGTTAACAAGGAACAACAGGTATGCCATTTAGTTCCGGCATTTTTATTGTAAAAATTATTTAGATAAAACTTGAAAGTATATTATTTTTGCAATTTATTTTGCATTATTTACCACTAAAACGTCAGTTTCCAACAACATTTCCACCCTGTAATTCAAACACTTTCAAGGCTGTGAAAGGCTCTCGAGTTTTAACTTGAAATTAACCTAGTTTTCAACCCATAAACTGCGAATTATATCATGAATTATATTTTAATTTTACAGAAATGGAGAGAAGCAATTGGGGTGGTATTCGCGGCGTTATTGGCACTCGTCGTCGTGTTTTCAGTGTTAGGTCTCTTTCTGTACGCACGACGAGATTCGAACTTGTACGAAGAGTTGGTCGACTATCTCGACAAAACAGTTAGCATCAGTAAAATCAACTTCAACCCGGCCATCGGGACATACGAGATTAAAGAACGAGAGGTGCAGACGCTGGCAGAGTCAAGGAAGGTGGGCACATTAATAATAACATTTAAAACACAATACAATAGCTTAAATTATTTAAAAAAACTTACAAATTCTTTTTAGTACAAAACACTGATCTACTTATTCTTGGGTTGCGATGCAGTCACGTTGTTCTTTGTTAGCGTGTCCATCATGTTGTTTTACACGGCAGATGTAGAAAAAGGAACGCTACACGTTGTCTTCTGGCTGTTCTTGATCATCGGATCTGTGTACTCCATTCTCGAAGCATCCGCCTTCAGTTTCTTCATCTTTCCGTACAGTGCCGAGCTTCCAAACGCCACGGAGTCGTTGTTAGATCACGCTGTGCCTCACAACCCTGGAGGTCTGATGCAGATGGAGCACAGACTCGGATGCACATTCGATCAAAATCTATATCAGACATTCCAACGGAAACTGAACCCAAGGGTGAGAAGATATTCTTTTTGATAATTTATTATTTTTCATTTTGTTCTTTCAATCAAAGCGAAATGAAACTATTGATTTCATTGCGAAACAAGTTTCTGTCGGTAAATACAAACAAAATTACCCTAAATTTACAAATAAATTACAGAACACATGTGACCCAGCAGTGATTTCTACATTCATTCCCCAACCTTTGTTGATAGCTTTTGTCATATTACGAGTGGCAGCTCTCTTCATCTTCTTGATTTTGGCAGCATGCAGAAGACCGGTTGGCGAACCTTTGGCCAATCTCATCAACAAAACTAAACCTAAAGGAGGATATAAAGCCAAGTGAGTAGACTTTAGGTTCTGCGTTACAATGCTATTAGTGTTATCGCAATATTACTTGTGAAACCTTGTTTTAGATACATCAAAAACAAGAAATCAACATCAAAGATTGACACTTTGCACACTCCAAAGTCGACTACTTTTGGGACAGGAAAACTGTAAGTAAAACGAGTTGTTGTATGATTATTGTTTGCAGGACTCCACAGATTTCTTCTCCGGTCTCAAACACATCTGTTGTTGACCACAACATCAGGTATAAAGCGATGAGCTGCTTAGCTTAATCTGTTTATGCTTAATATTATCGCTTACTTTTTTGATATTCTTTAATATTGCTTGTTATGTTCGTACTAGATTGCTTTTTTAAGGCTTATTATTTTAACAAATGTCGCTGCTTTTTAAGCTTTTATACTGCTATCTTGTCCTAGATTACTTAACGCTTGCTGGTATAATATTAGCATAACAATTTGTATTTATTTTTGTTTTTGCAGTTACAACAATGCTGCCTACTTTGCTGTAGCGCATGCTACCGTTCCGATAGGATCTTCAAGGAGTAGCGACATCTCCAGAAGCGACGCCGGTGATCTCTATAAAACGTAAGCTTTTTTTAATTTTAGACGAACTTTGAGTTTAAAAAAGCATAAATAATGTATTTCTAGTTTTATCTTATATCAAGGTTTCAATTTACTTCTAATTTCAGTGGAAGCATTCACACGCAGAACAGTTTGGTTTCAGAAGTCTGAGAACTTTTGGGTTTCTACGCATTTCAGGGATTTATGTAAATTAATTGCCGTTTTCACACAATTGTTTATGCTCATATATGTTGAATAAATGTATTAAGATATGTAAATTTATCTTCCGTCTGTTATGATTATTTTTATCCGTAGCGTCCTCTGAAGCGACTGTAGTAACTGCCTTGAGAGCCCTGTCGCGTGTTTCCGAAGGCGCCACGATACGACGATGATCCGTTTAATATAAGTCCTCCTGAACTGCTGCCGCACATGTAGCTCAGGAATACGTTCTTTAGCGACGGGTCTGAATATTGTACATTAAGTTGACTACATACATAATTTATACTACTGTCGATATATTTATAATGCTATTATATCGTTGCTGTTCCAAGTTTTAAGAATAATACTTCAATGAAACCTTACTTTCGAGTAGCAACATCATCTGAGGGAAGACTTCTCTCAGATTCTCCTTGACTTCTCGCTTCTCGTATTCGTACATTGTCTTGATGGTGTTACCTCCTCTCTTTACTATAGTTGCAGCATTGTCCATGAATTTGTGAGTAGAATTGGACAAGGAATCAACGCCATCTCCAGTCTTTTCATGAAACAATTCGATCAAGTTGTCCAAAAGGTACTTTAACCTCGGGCTTTCTTCTGTCATCACATTTTGTAGCTTCACGATCGACCGGTATTCTGGCCAACGGGCAGCAATGTTCTTTATAGCCTAAAAACATTTTTGGTTAGACAACAAGATCAAGCAATGTTTAAGCTTGAACACTTACTTTCAAGTCCGTAACAGTCAATTTATTCAATTCTTCGACCATTTTCTCTGGCATTTCCTTCACAATGCCATCTGGGATAAGATCTGTGATGCGCTGATACTCGATGGCTGCAAACACCAGTAGCACCGTAGTCAGACCAACAACCTTTCGGAGCATGATTACCATACAAATGAACGGCCGGATGTGTTTTATTCAACATGACCATAACGTCATGACATTTGAACAAACATGGAATTACAACAGAACGCTTGAACACTCTCGATTCCACAAACATCAAGTTGGTGTGCAGGATTAAGAAATAACATCAAAAGGTAATCAACCTCTCTGTGAAAGATAATCTTAAATGTCATAAAATGTTTAATACTTAATGTCATAAATAAACAACATAGTAATATCCTATCTTATGCACCATTTTATTTTACAAAATTAATTTAAAATTGAGATTCTTCAGTTCGCCTTCTCCGCCTCTTCAAAGTTGATGGAAACGCTGTTGATGCAGTACCGTTCTCCGGTTTCTGGTGCTGGATCGTCGAATACATGTCCCAAGTGAGCGTTACATTTTTTGCACTTTACTTCGGTCCTATTGAGGTTGAATCGAGTATCTGGGATCCTGATGATGTTCTTGTCTTCTCCTACGGATTCACTGAACGCCGGCCATCCACAACCCGACCAGTACTTTGAGTCAGATCTAAAACATGGAATCGTTTTTTGTCTTGAAATATTGTTTGATGAAGTATAATATATTATGTCATAACAAAAAGTCATAACGTTTTTTTGAATTTTAGTTCAAAAATAAAATAAAGAAAGGCAACTTACACGAAGAGATCAGCTCCACAACATCTGCAAGAATACTTTCCGGGAGCAAAATGTTTGGTAAGTACACCACTGAAAGAAGGTTCAGTACCAGCTTGTCGACAAACGAAGAACTCTTCAGGCGTCAACACTTTAGCCCATTCTTCTTCAGGAACATCAGCTGGAGTTGGGTAGACACTGAGCAACTTCTTGACAGCCGCCTCTTGCGTTACTACTGGAATCTTAGGGATACGAGACTCGTCCGCCACCATGGTCAATGAGCTATATTAGACTTGGCAGACTGAGTGGACACTTTTGTATGACCTAAATTGCATCAGACTTGATCAAGGTCCGCCCAAGAGTTATCAGTTATGATTGATAACATAATCTTCACGTGTTTCTGTGAGCGATACGATGAAACTGACGCAATTCCCAGCTGAATTACATTTAAAGCGGGAATCACCGACTTAAAAACTTCTTTTATTACTTAAAATATTGTTTAATCTATAACCCAGTAATATAATTCAGAAACTTTTACTATAACATATTTATTATGTTAGAGTTTAGTTAATTAAGTGTATTTACGACCCTTGAGTAAACTTGTTAATGTAGGCATCAGCTCAGGACTACATGGTAACGGTGATGTGTCGAAGTAGTTGTGTAGTATGCATTCTGACGCTGTAACCCGCTTCTTCGGATCGTAAGCGAACAATTTGTACATTAGATCCAGACATTGTTGTCCGTGTGCACTAAAGTGTTTCTTCAAGTTGTTATAAGGCTGTTCCACAAACTTGAACCCCTCCGGCAACCTTAGCTTGCTCATTCCTGGCCATATTTGCTCGTTCGGCGTCCCAAACATGTTAATGATTTTTGTTATCTAAAGTTAAATAAAACTTTAAAATTAAAATAGGTACTTTAAACATTATGTTATCAGCTCAAAAACAAATAAAGATACACTTTACAACAATACTTAAGTAAAAACGTTGCACTCGATAAGTGATAACATTAAATGATAAGACTGCTCACCTGCTCGATTTCCGATTCTCCTGGCAAAAAAGGTCTGTGGAGTAGAAGTTCAGCCATAATACATCCACAAGCCCACATGTCCACTCCAGTATCATGGAACTCACTGTCCAGCAGTAGTTCTGGTGCTCTGTACCATAAGGTTACCACTTGATTAGTCATGGCAACAGGGGGATCTCCAAACAGTCGAGTTAAACCAAAGTCTGCCACTTTTAACACTCCTTGACTCGTTATTAATAAGTTTGATAACTAAAAATAAAAAATTTTAAATAGAAAAACGATGCTTCAGGTATTATTGACAAATAAATAAGTTTAAAGAATAAACACCAAAATAATGGAAAACACTTACTTTGATATCACGGTGAATAAAATGATTCCTATGTAAGTACTCCAACGCCTCGAATAACTGTAATAACAGGCACTTTGACTGAGATTCCGTAAAAGGAAAGCTCATCTTGTTCAACATAAATGCCAAATCCTGAAAACAACTCAAATAATGTCCAAAAAATGAATTTACCACCATACCAAATAATCTCTAATGCTCTATCAACTTTCACAAAAAAATTGAAAATCATATTTAAGCATATACTATCCAAACATACCATATCACAATATTCCATGATCAAAAAGATCTTCCGACTCCTCCGTCCAACAGCCACATCCACCAGCTTCACTATGTTGTCATGTTGAACTGACTTCAATGCGAATATCTCTCTGATAACAGAAATGTTTACTTCTTCATTTGAATTCAACCGCAACTTCTTCAGCGCATACTAAAAGTACAAACATAAACAAAAGTCACATTAAAATTGCAAAACTTATTTCGAATTACCAATATACGTCTACATATTAAGAAATGTAAGCTAATATTTATAATTATGCTTTCCTTTTACGGTAACCTTTGACTTTTACGTAAAATCGACCAATTATCATAAAGAATAGTTAACTATCAAGATTTGGAAATCCCACGTGCAAGACTGTCACTTTAAAACGTCCTGCCCTACAAAACTCACGCCCTTTTAATCACACCCTCAATCTATACCTAAAACAGTTTGTTACCTCTTTGCCAGTCTTTATCTCCTTGCCCTTCCATACAATCCCATACGAGCCTTCTCCACAAAGGTCGAGCTTTTCGAATTCGTCTACATTTCTGCACTTCCCGTATCCGACCTTCTCCTAAAACGTTAATTTAATATTATTTTAGACATAATTTGCAAGGAAACGTGTTAAGTGTAACATGTTACCTTCTTCTAATACTGTCTTGTTATGTTATAGAAATATAATAGAAAACTTCCTATTTTGGTCAAATATCACTAACAGCTTCCTATTTGTTTTTACTTCCCAGAACAGGTTGTTGACAACATTTATAATATGACAATCGCATGACATCCTTATTTATCATATAGTTAGTTTAAAAGAAGCATTGTTAATGTACTTATCAAATAATTTAGTCACTTACATCAGGAACTACGACTGTTTCCAAAGAAGCGAGAGAAGTAAAGACCAAGTCGTTATCCATGCCTTTATCTGAACGTTTGATCTGACTTTTGATTTAAGTAGTAGAACATTGAGTCTATCTGAAATGCGTAAACATATTTATATCGTTTTACCTCCCACGCCATGTTTTAAAAATTTCCTGTGAATTACTCGAAATATTTTTTTAATTTTTAGAAAAATATTTTTGAATAAAACACAAGGCCAAACATTTGGCCACGTTCATTTTCGTGTCGGGACCAAATGGCCAAGTTAGTATCGAAAAAATGTCAAGAATCTCGAGAACCCGAATAATTCTTATAACTTATGTCCACACGTGCAGTTTTGTGCTTTTGCCCTTTGTCAACTTGGTCGGGATAGCTAGAATATTATTTACCCCGAACTTTTTTGAGGAAAATAACAAAAAAACCGATTTTTGATTTATTCTTATCCTCTCGCGTCGAAACATACAGTTCAATTTGTGGTTTCAGAATGTCTATGACCAGGATATTGCCGTTAAGATCGTTGGGATCGAAAAGATGCTCATCTTTCTATGCGTAAGTTGCATGTATAATATAATAGCTGTGTATTAGTGGCCTTACGTCGGCGGATTTTATGAAAAAGCCAACCAACGAACCAGTTCTTACCTATAAGAAAGGATCTGAAGAAACGAACGCATTGGAAAAGGCATTGAAAGAATATGAGGGCAAATCCGTGGAGGTACCTCTTAGGATTGGTAAAGAGAAGATCACTAGAGGATTGGAACAAAAACAGGTCATGGTACGTTCTAACAGAAACTACGTTTTAAGAATGAATTTTAAAAGGAAAACATTTTAAATACAAATGCTAAACTTAAAAATGCTCTTACAGCCTACCGATCATCAAAAAGTTGTGGCAAAGTTCACACATGCTACAGAAGCTGACATCAAAAACGCGATTGAAGTAGGCATGGCCGCTCGGTCAGCCTGGGAGAACAAGCCTTTGAAAGAAAGAGCTGACATCTTCCTTCATGCTGCTGATCTTTGTGCCAGCAAGTATAGAATGGCCCTGAATGCTTCCACGATGCTTGGCCAGTCTAAGAACATTGTGCAAGCCGAGATCGACGCTGCTTGTGAATTAGTCGACTTCTTCCGATTTAATGCCTTATTCGCTTTGGAGATTGCAAAATATAAACCTATTGACACTCCCGGGTCAGTGAACAATTTGATCTACAGAGGTTTGGAAGGATTCGTGGCTGCTGTAGCTCCGTTTAACTTCACTGCCATTGGAGGAAACTTGGCTGGAGCACCAGCTATGATGGTATGTGTAATACGTTACGAGAATCGTACTTTTTAGGGAAATGTGGTAATGTGGAAACCATCTGATACGGCTGTTCTATCGAACTACATTATCTACGAGATTTTGGAAGAAGCTGGTAAGAATCTTTAAAGATGAAATTATGTTTTTATACCTAAATTAATTTTAAAATTAATATACACTTCAAAATATAACGAGAAAAACAAACTTTTTATAGAAAATCGCGTAGTTTTTGTTAAGAAAAAAGTTTACTGATTGCAAAAGAAAAAGCGCAGAAAATGACAAGTTTGGTTTAATAAAGTAAATAATTTGTTTCAGGAGTTCCCCCAGGTGTCATTTCCTTCCTGCCTTCCGATGGTCCGGTCTTTGGAAACGCCGTGACAGACTCACCTCATCTAGCTGCAATCAACTTTACGGGTTCCGTGCCAACTTTCAAGTACTTGTGGAAGAGAACCGGACAGAATTTGGACTTGTACACCACCTTCCCCCGACTGATCGGAGGTGTGTTCTCTCTTTCTCTTATCTTTTGCTTTTAGAATGTGGTGGAAAGAACTTTCACTTTATTCATCCGTCGGCTGATGTTGAAAGTGTTGCTACTGGTACTATCAGATCTGCGTTTGAGTACCAAGGCCAGAAATGTAGTGCCTGCTCGAGGGTGTTTGTACCCGAAAGTTTGTGGAGCAAGATCTCGAGCCGAATGACTGAGATTGCAAAGGAAATTAAAGTCGGGGATGTAAGTGGTTTATATTCAATTAAAAACTAAGAATTTTTGTTTTTTCTATTTTTTTAAATAAAAATGGTTGGTGGAATATGGAATTTGTAAACATATTTTTTTAAATATTACTTTCAGATTCGTGATGGCTCGACCTTTGTCGGTGCTGTAATTGACAAGAAATCTTTCGACAGAAACAAGAGTTATATTGATTATGCCAAAACAGGTGCTGATGGAGCTAAGATCGTCTTTGGTGGAACATACGACGAGTCTAAAGGTTACTTTGTCCAACCAACGTTAATTCACGTGTCTGATATCAACTCTAAATTGTTGAAGGAGGTAAGTCAACAGTTTGAATATGTGATCTTTGATTTTAGGATTAGTTTTGTATCATTACTTGTTTCTACAACTTACTAAATTGTTTTAAAATGTTGTTTTAAGGAGATCTTTGGCCCCATTCTGACAGCTTACGTGTATCCTGACTTGGAAGCCGATGATCTTGTCACAAAGATCAAGGATATGACTCCTTATGGTCTTACTGGAGCCGTTTTCTCTCAAGACAAGACTTTCCTCAACAAGGCCAAGAATGTCCTGAAAGACGCTGTGGGAAATCTGTATTTGAATGACAAATCTACCGGATCTGTGGTTGGACAACAACCGTTTGGTGGAGCTAGACTTTCAGGTATGATTAGCTAATATGAACAATATATTTTGTGTTTAGGTACCAACGACAAGGCTGGAGGACCTCATTACCCACTCAAATGGGCTTCTCCTCAAACCATCAAGGAGACCTCAGTGCCTTTGAACGAATGGCGTTATCCATCCATGGATTAATACGTTTTACTTGTCTTAGGATTTAACATGAACTTTTCGGTCACATTGATCTTTATTTTGTAAATGCTAATAGTGCATCGATTTTCTGATGCAAATAGTTCCCGTCGTGTATATTAATCTAGGTGTGTGAATTCAGAAACCGGTTTGCTGTGCCATTATTGTTTACCGGTTACGATTGTATGAAAATAAACTTGAAGCGATACGAACTTGGAACTGATCTTGAAGTTGTTTTCTTTCAAATATCTATGAGTTGATTGTTTGTTTTGAAAGTATAGTTGAATTACAAGAGTACTGATTAATGTTTTAAGTCTCCTTCAACAACATGGAAGAGATTGATTGGACAGAGTGTTCGTACGAAGGTAAGGCAATTGCGACGGGCTTGGGTTACTGTATTTCTATGTTTAGAAGCCAGAAGTGTGTTAAAGAAATGGAGAGACGAACACGAGAGGCGATCGGAAGAGACAGTTGAGATATGGGAGCACATATTGTCATCTTACGACCAATCTTTGGGTGATGAACTCTGGGCCATCCTGGAACAAGTTACGATTGCTGCTTTGGACTCAAACAGGCAGGACTTAGCCTTGGAGTGTCTTCAAACACTAAACAAACAGTTTCCTAATAGTACACGGGTCACTAAGCTACAGGCCTTAAGGCTAGAATCTCTGGGAAAGTACGAGGAAGCTCAGTACTTGTATGACAACTTACTGCAGTTGGATGATACGAACATGGTATGAGTTATGTCCATTTATTTGTAATTTCAATGTTTAGAGTATCCGAAAAAGAAAAATTGCCATAGAAATCTCTCAGGGGAACCGATTGGAAGCTATAAAGATGCTGGACGAGTACCTACACTCTTTCGTTAACGACTCAGAAGCTTGGGCCGAACTGGGAGAGCTTTATCTTCAGGAAAATGATATTTTACGCGCAATATATTGTTTCGAGGAAGTTCTTTTGGCCGCGGTACGTTCCTTTTTTCTCTTATTGTCATTTTTGTGTTTTGGCTTTGAAATTTGTAAAATATTATTTTTAATTTTTCAGCCCAACAACAGCTCGTTGTACTGTAGATTGGGAGAGTTAAGGTATACACTTGGGGGCCAAGAGAACATCGAAGTGGCCAAGAACTACTTTGAAAAGTCAATTAAACTCAATTTAAATGCTCGATCTCTTTATGGCCTTATTTTGGTAAGTAAAACACAATTATTTTATAGAATGGTACTAACACGCCATTTTTACTCTTGTACAATATATTTATTATAACGTTCATAATCTCTCATTCAGGCTTGCAACTCACTTCTGGGCAAATCGACTGGTCAGAAAAAGCGGGAAATTGTGGTAGCTGCTCAGAACGCCATTGAAAGTCTGGGAGAATTGTATAAAGAAAAGGGCGAGAACCCCAATTCCTCTGTTTGTAACAAAGTGGTACAATCCTTAAAGTCGTCGTTTGTTTAATATTTATTTGGTTCAGTTAATCAATTCATGTTGTGAATAAATCAACCTCTTCGTAACTAAAAAGTTCATTTTAATAAATATTTCAAAAAGTTAATTTGTCTTGAAATTTGCATAAATTTGAATAAAATCCACGGGAAATCACAGCTTCTGAAATGGGTTCATTCATTCAAATATACGTAGAGGTGGTGGGCTGTTTACATCGATTGGGTCTGATCTGAAGTGATATTCTATAGGAGTGCTTGATCAGAATCCGCAATGAAAGCGTAAGTTACCTTATTTTATTTGTTCCCACGAGGTTTGGTACGATACTATCCGAAAATTGTACTTTGGATTTCAGTCCTCTAAGTAAAGGGAGAAAACAAGGCGGCAGCCAGGAGGAGTTATGCTTCAGTGGACGTTCACAAGGTCGCGGACCTAGGAAAAAGCCGGGCCTGCTCAGTGGCCGCGAAGATAAAAAGCTGACTACAGCCAAATCTGATAGAGATGTCTACTACGGAGGGGCGGCCGAAGTACAAGAAATCGCATCCAAACTCACATTGCACAACTGGTACCACGGCATGATGCCACGAGAAGAAATTGAAGAACTGCTCAAGAACGAAGGCGACTTCTTGCTTCGAAGAACAGACGTCAACAAGAAGCCGCGCATTGCCATGAGTGTATTCGCAGGGAAACGAATCCGCCACATTCTAGTTATGTACGGCGACCACAAGTGGTGCATCCGCGACAAGAGGATGGAGTCCCTCAATGAACTAATCGAATTCCACATAAAGACCAAGACACCCGTACAACATGATGGCACGATCATCAGCACGCCCATTCCCCGCCCAGACTTCTACATTCTCCACGATCACATCACGATAGGTGCACGGCTAGGCGGCGGGGCCTTTGGTGACGTTCACAAGGGTACGTTGAGGATGAAAGATGAAACCTCACTCGAGGTCGCCATCAAGAAGTTCAAAGGCACGATGCGGAAGAAGCACCGAGGCGAATTCGTTAAAGAAGCCAGAATCATGAGACAGTTTAATCACAAAAACGTCGTCAAAATCTACGGAGTAGCACCACAAGTAAGCTTTTACTTGAAACAAAAGCTTGAGTTGGTAAAACTTGGAGTAGCCAATGTAAAAAATGCTCCATAATTTAGTTTCTGTGGAAAACTTTTGGCAACCTGCGTCCGGGCCAAAAAAACAATTTTATACGACAACAATTTCGTGAATTATTTAGTTTTAAAAGTAATTTTGTAAACATAAACTTGTCGCAATTGCAACAAAATTTGGTTCATAATTGAAATGTTATATAAACGATAAGTTTAGGAAGAGCCAATGTTAATTGTTCTCGAGTTCTGTCCCGGCGGAGCACTGAATGGCCACTTGAAGAAGAATCCGGACATCTCGGTGGACCGACTCTGTAATTACTCGAAGGATGCGTGCCGAGGAATGTGTTATTTGTCACAGCGTAAGGTAATAACTGGTTTGCTCGAGATTTAACCGGCATTGGTCAACAAGGTCAATAAGTCTATATCCACGGGAATATTTGCAGATTATCCACCGTGACATTGCCGCCCGCAACTGTTTGCTGGGAAAAGAAGACGAAGTCAAGATCAGCGACTTTGGACTGTCGGTAGCCACAACTGAACTAAAGTTGGACAAGCTGAACAAGATGCCGGTCAAGTGGCTAGCTCCAGAGACCTTAAAAAGTGGGGTATTCTCCACTAAATCTGATGTCTGGTCGTTCGGAGTTATGATGTGGGAGATCTTCTCGAGGTGCTCTGCTGATCCCTTTCCTAATGAAACGAACCAACAGGCTAAAGCCAAGATTCTGAGCGGCAAATCGCCTATGGATGCACCACCCAATACCCCTCCCAATATGACAGCCATTATGCAGTTGTGTTTTACACAGGCAAGTTTTAATTTTTTTGATTCTGATTAAATTTGTTAAGAACGGGTTCTGAAAATTCAAGCAGTTTACGACAAACTTTTATATTGTTGTAGGTGGTTGATAAAAGGCCCAACTTTGAAGCGTTGTTCAAGATTATGTGTCCGAAGGAGATGCCACCCGAGCCCGAGAACAATGATGAGTTCATGAAGGAGATTGAGAAGTTCAAGCTTGAAGCAGCCGAACAGAGCAAGAACAGCAACGTGGAAGGGACGTCCAAGAACTCGACCAACCGCATGCCTACTTCAACATCTTGAATAAATGTTGCGATCTCTAATTATCCTATTGTTGCTGCTTGGCCATGGGAAGGGCGCGCGGCCTTGAACAGCCGTTTTGTGAACCGATTAAGGGTCGATTTGAGATTGACTCCACTTTTCGACCCAGTCCAAACGGCGCCGATCGTTCCGACAGCTGCGCAGCCGGCTGAATTTAAACTTTTTCTCATAAAATTCAGACAGATCGGCGCCGTTTTTCAGACCGTTCTTATGGCCCACCACTTACCGTAGAATAACCGTGGCTTTTTTAAGCAATCTGGAAGTTTTTTGGAGGTATAGGTATTAAGCGATGCGATTATTGTAGTCTTAACATTGTGTCTTTAAGTGTAAAGTATTGTAGATTTGACATTTACTACAACATCATTAGTTGGCTTTATAACAAAATTTGTCTCTTAATTTTTCTTACCGTATTATCGAACTTATAAAACCCGGTAAAGTGCAATATTTAATAATAAGGTGATGGTAATTGCTCCACCGTCTCTCCTTCCGGCTGTCCCATCAGAAGTGTTTTGTTTGAGAGTTGCGTAATTAATTATTTGCGACAAGGTATATTCTCCATCAATCTTAATTAAAATGTTTTGAAAAGCAAAATAAGTAAAGTTTGTACACATACAGCGACCTAGAATCGGCGATATCAGGCCTTGTCAGTTCGGATTAGGTGATTGGCAGCCCAAGGCTAGCAACCGGCTCTGGTTACTTTACAGTTGTGACGCATTCTTTTACACTTGTTTTCTTTGTTACCTTGTGTTGCATTCTTTTTGTCTTTTACACCCTTCATGTCGCTCCTTATTGTATCCGATTACAGTGGCAACAAGTTATGTAAAGGTATCATAGCTACGTATAATCTGTTGGTGAGCAACACAACATGGCGGTATATGTTTGTTACATCAATGTAATGGGCCAACATTAAGGCGGATTAGGTTGGTGGGAGCGATCGATGAAAAGGCCACGACAAGTTGATTGGCATCCGGTTTTGGCGGCGTTTTAACAGTAAAGTGGCGGCGGAAGTGGTCGTTTGAAGGTTCTCATGACCACTTGGAGCGATTTTTAGATTGAGCATGTTATTTGAATATTTTTTAAGCTTGTGGGTCAAACGTTAGGGTTAGGTTTGTGTAAGACATTAGTTTTTTTTAACTTTTGGAATTTGAAGTTTTCAGAATGTTTCAATGAATTCTTGATTTAAAATTCAAAAATTTAAAACTTTACTGTAATAAAAACAGCAAAAACATTAAAAATATTCTAAAACATAACCTTAAGATCCAACTTCTACTACTGTAACCTTAAGATCCAACTACGTCTTTGTTTATGCGGTTACTGTAGACGGGGTTATAAATTTTGTCGCGCAACAGCTTTCTCGAATTGCTTTGAATCGCTCTCGAATTGCGTCAAGTCTCGCATTATTTGCAGATTAAGTTTATGTTCTGCCACAAACATATAATGCCGATATTACAATTATCTGGCAGGTAATCTCTTTAGACTCCGAACTTTGGCGGCCTTTTTATAGTGTAAAATACATTTTGTGTTTACAAACATTGGCCAGCTGGGGTTGGACTAAGAGTACTTGAAGTCTTGAAGGTAATGCTAAGGTATCTATTTTAGTATTTATACTGTAAAATACGTTTAATTTTAATTTCTCTCAAAAGAGAAAAACATTATTTTTCAGTTAGTTTTAAGTTTTTTTACTTTGAATTTAAATTTTTGAGTTCTGTTCGTGCCTATTACAATATATCGATTATTGTTTACAAGCGCGTTGAAAGTTGTAAACTCATTTCTGGAGATTAATTCTGTCGTTTTACAGCTCACAAGTTGCGGGAATTGGCCAGAAGACAATGTTTCAAATACGACCAGTGAGTTTTACAACTTTTTAATTAAAATACGACTTGATCTATTAACGTATATCTATCTTATTACAAGTTCAAACTCTGATTTTACTTCTTATAACACTGAAGTCTAATAATATTGCTATAACTGTGTGGAAATATTTTACTCTTTTCTTCTGTTACTTTCTGGTTTTGTAACAGCATTACTACGATGTCATTCCTATTAGTACACAATCCAACATTACCAGCACGGTAATGTAAACTGTTATGAGTTGGGTTGTTTAAACTGTTTTCAACTTTTCACTTTGAATTAGCGTTTTATCAGATGTTCTGATCAGAATGTTTGAAAAGAGCGCGCAAATATTTCCAAAACTTCTCAAACTATTTGCGTGAGCCGCTTCGGGTTACTGTAAAAATATTTTCATAGCATGTTTTTGTAGTTCCGGTCTGGTCGGGAGGGGTGGGTACTGTTGGTTTTGTTTTGCTTCAGAGGTTGTAAAATAACATTGGCATATTTGGGGTATTGAGTGTTGTATAGTTGAGATAGTGTGTCTTTGGGTGGGGATATTACATTAGGTATGTTGTTATTGGGTTTATTGGTACATTACTGATAAAATTTTTTGAATTATTTATACCAATTTGAGATTAAAGTTGCTTTATATAAATACTTAAGAAAGGCAATATTATATATTGTAGACATTAAAAACTGAAAAAATGAGAAATTTAGTTGAAAGTGTATGTTTAGTGCAATATTTTGTTATGACGTTCTTAAGGTTTTGTTTTTGATACCATAGTATAACTAGTTTACCTTTCTCATAAGCAATTGTAATTCAATTTTCTAGTAAAGTAAATGACCCAAGATTAAAAAAAAATTTTACTTTTAAAAACTATTTCTTATTTCTATGTACTTTTTGAACAAACTTATTAAAATTTTTTGGAACTTTTTTTTATTTTTTCAATTTCACTATAGTAATATTATTGTACTGTGGTACAAACAAACATATTGTGGTATTGTATCGTACAATTTAGTAAGAACAAACATTATTGTTTTAGTAATACCTAAGCTAAACGCAAAACATACTAGGTCATAATAGTACTAGGTTACCGTAACCGTTGATTGGGAAGGAAAATGTTTTCGATCGAGATCAGATACCGAATCCTCTCAGCGATCATTTCCGATTAGGGCGATTAAACGCCTGATTGACACATTCTTTGGTACGCAACAAACAAGGTGTTCAAGTGCAAGATATTAGTAAACAGATTTGAATACCAAATGAGACTTCAGAAGCGGATAAACAAGTGAGGGCGTGGGAGAGGGACTAGCTTTGTCTATTGGCATTGGCTGACATTGTTTTGTTTTGAATTGAGGTAATGTAACGTTTGATAGTGACAGAAATGACTTTGGACTAAAGTTATGCGAAATTAATTAGCATAATACTGGTAAGCATGGACTGTTAGTTAAGAAAACTTGGTCTAGATTCAAAGAAATTCTCACAAAGCATTATTTTGCCATAACTGCTAACACTATTACAATATCCACAAAACAAGGCAATCCAATTACCGTAACCCACTTTCCCTCTACTGTACTCTTAATTGGCGAAACAGTTGGCGGCCTCTTGACCTCCTCACAGTAACTGACCATTACTATATTATTATTTATAGTTTCCGTTCTGTCGCGCCTTTATTTCCTACCGTAACCCTATTATGCGCTTTAAATGGGGCTTATTAGTAAATAAACATCTTTTAGGGAATATCTATGACCAGAGTATTGTATACGAGGAAATATAGTAAATATTGCTGGACCGCAGTAAATATTTTGGGTTGGGCCAATTTGATTTATTCAGTTAAATCAATAACTGCTTTACACTCGGTGGGACCCAAAAACAATTCAAATTTTATTTTCCATTTTATGAAAACTGTTATGACTCTGGCAGGGCGTACGGTAGTCTGAATTTAAAGAATTTATATTTTATGGTGGCAGTTAATATGCTTTCGAGCTGGGGGAGGCTGCTTTCAAGTTACTTCTTTGTCGAACTTTGGCTGCGCTGATAGTGTCTGAAGATATTGAGGGGTACCTATGCTTAGCTAGTTTACTATATGCTCAGCTAGTGTGGTATATGACTAGCTAAATAGTTTACTATAAACTCAGCTAGTGTACCATCGTCTATTATTAGCTTTTTAGAGAGTTTAATTCATACGATTTTATATACTGTGATCAGGGACGTCGCTACGGATGTTCTCTGGGGGAGGGGGTACCCCTCTCCCCCTCCCCCAAACGACGTCCCTGACTGTGATCTAAAACATAGTAACTACAAGGTTACATAATGATTCAGTAGCATTATAGCGTCGCATAAGCAATAACTATTCAGTTATTAGTTTAAGTCATCTATGCCTTCAATTTTGCATATTTTGTCAGTTTCTATATCAACTTTTTGACCGAAATGATATCTTCTGCTTCAGAGCTTTTTAAATCAGATCCCACGACAAGATTCAGCTAATATTTACTCAGAATGTCGTCGCTAAAGAAATGTTTTGAGAAGTCCGTCGACGCTCTGAATCCCTCGGCTACGGTGTCATAACGTGTCGCTTTTGATTTAATCGATTTACTTAAGCGAAAATTCGAGTTTCCAAATTTAACGAAAGTCTTACAAGTTGTGATGTTATAGTAGTCTCAATACCGTGTTCAAAAATACAGTATAACAACGCCTATGTTTTATGACATTTTAATATGCCATTGAGTAGATTACTGTAAAGTACTAAGTTGCACGCGCTATCTAGTATATCACTACTTTAAACATAGCCAGTTTATAGTATCTGAACAGTCTTTCTAGTACAAAACGCTAATTTTCCTCTTACCGTAACCAGGCATGGGTATCATGACATTATTATGCCGTAATATTGTGCCAATTTGGGCTGATTATCGGCTAAACAATTAGGGATTACCGATAGTTCGACGCATTCAAGTGGAAACAATCGCTATTCAATGGCCAAAAAACATTGAATACAGGCCCCAGATTATCCCCCCCCCCCTAGCTTGGTAATTAGGGTTACGGTAGCCAAAAAGGGTATAACAACCACTTATCGCCCCTTTCGAACAACTTACAATACTATTAATTAAGGTTTTTGTAACCGCAAAAATTATTTATACTCCTTATCAGCCTTAAACCGCGGAAAACTGGCGCCGCTCCTGTCCGACCGCACTCCCAGCTACTCCAATAATATTATTCTTGGCCTTATCAGCGGCTTGCTAGGTCGTTGAATGAATGGCTAATAAATCTTGTCTTCAGGCAGGGGCTGGCCTTCCCTTGCCTAACAAAAGGTTTCCTTTCCTTTGGACGGCTTGATCCTTTGATTTGGCCTTTCTAATCCATTGGTTCGGCTCGAAAAAGGGGGCGGGACTAGCCGTTGCGCAGCCAATCAGCGAGGCGGAAGCGAAAGGGGCGGAGTCGGATACCTTGAGGCGAGAAAGAGTACATCAGGATTCCAAAATATTTCTTTTTGGTTTGTAAACTTTTATGTTTTGGTCATCTTTGTTTGCATTCTAATTTATCTTGCATTAAGGGTGAGGGACCTCTTAAAAATTTTTTAAAAATATTTTTTTTTGAAATTTTTAATATTCATGTAGGTAATGATGTCGTGAGAGTCAACTTCTTGGTTTGTAAAACATATTTTTGCTTTGCTTTTAGAAATCCTTGTGAAAATTATTAATTTTTTGACTCGTATTTTAGCAATTTACGTTACAAGTTGTAGTTTAGATAGTTACATTATATACCTTTTGCTATTAAATTTTGTCATGTTTTAATTGACAACCGCTGATTGTAAAACGTTTTTCGCCAAAACTTGATATTAACGATGCGATGCACAGCAACGGTGCTTGTGTTACAGTAATGTCACAGTTAAAAACACATTTACTCGGCTGTAAAAACATTATGATCTTCACCATGTTTTCGAGTTAAAAACTTTTGAAATTGGAGCGATTCACCGTGTTTTGAATGGTTATTGTTAAATTCAATAAAGATTTTGTCGGGCGAAAATTGGCGACGTCGCAAAGGTCGCGCCAATTGGCGGTGCAAATCGCCCTTTTACGGTATGATGCCAGTTTACACAAGGGGCGTATGTTGGGTTGTTGGGGAGTATAGCAGTATGAGGTGATTGTACTGATACTTTTGCTCAATTTATGATTTTTTGGTTAATATATGAAAAACTTAAATTTGCTTCAATTTAAAATTTTAGAATTTTTCTAAATGCCATTTTAAACCTAATACCTCATATCAAACCATAACTCTACTGTCACCCAACCATAACACCGACCCCAACACTCTCGCCGATATATGTCTTTCGAACCGCCAAACAAATCAATTTCCTTGAGTTTACTTTACCCATCCTTAACATGATGAGAAAACAAAACTGTCTTAGCTTGGCCTCGTTTCGGGCCAATCGACGCCAACTGCACTATCTTGTCAAAATGTTTGCCTTCAATTTGTCTTCCTGAATGTCAATTTCTCGAGCGCTATTAATTGGAAAGCCGGAGGAGGCGATAATGAACCCCAGGGCCTTATCGTCTGATCGACTTTTTTTTGAAATGCGCATTCAAATTTCGATCGATTTCGATTTATTTTTTAAATATTGAAATATATTTTATTATTATAATTTTGAATGTTTGAGAAGCATTGGATTTTATCTTATTTTCAAAACCTACTTGATATAACCATTGATTTCAGAGTACGATACTCTCATCGCCTTCAGAATGCACTTTTCCATGGAGGAGATCCTTCGAGAATCTTCGATCAAAATAACACCGCCTTCTCGAAAACGAGTTCACGAACCGTCTCCAGAATCCTCGTCTACAAGTGACCACAAACAAAGTCCTAGCGTTTCTGACAGCCGGGCCAACTCTGCCACTCCTGATCTCAATGTAAAACGGCAAAAACTAGACGAAACGGCGCCAAACTGGAACGATAAGGACGAAACTGTACAGAGCTGGACAAAAAAAGACGAAACAGTACCAGACTGGACCAAAAAAGGCCAAAAACAGGCTAGCCAATCCCCAGCTCCAGATTCCTCGGCCAAAGACCTGAGTTTGGAGAGGCCAAGCACTTCATCTTCCTTGGGATCAGATGACGACGACGATGGGTAAGTGAGACAATATTAACGTAAGGGCTATTAAGTCTTCGATTGGAGGAGCGACAAGTGGAAACACGTATTTATGTGTTTTCAAAGTTTTGGGTAACATTCAAACAGTCTCTCTTCAAAAATAATATTATTTTAGGTATGAAATTAATAGAAATGATTTAAAAATACGAAAAATTTGTTAAAACATACCTAAAACATTATTATTTAGTCAAAACATGAATAAAAACATTTAAAAAATAGAAAATTAGTCTAAAACAACATTATTTTAGATAAAAAATCATTAATATCAGTATGAGATATAGGAAAATAAATAAAACGTGAAGAAATGTCCAAAATTTACCTGAAAATATTATTTTAGAAGTAAAAGCAACTCTGCGATGAGATCAAAGTCCCGGCATCAGAAGCCAGCCATGAGTTACATCGCCTTGATCACCATGGCTATCATGAATGCTCCGGACAAGAAGATGACGTTGTCACAGATCTGTGAATTCATAATGAACAAATTCGAGTATTACCGAGAGAAGTTTCCCCACTGGCAGAACTCGATCAGACACAACCTTTCGCTGAACGACTGCTTCGTGAAGATGCCTCGAGAACCTGGGAATCCAGGCAAAGGAAACTACTGGACGTTGGACCCCAACGCTCAGGACATGTTTGACAACGGCAGTTTCTTGAGGAGGAGGAAACGGTAAGTAGAAACTATTCAGCTTTTTAAAATGTTGTTTTCGACAATTGAATATTTTATGTTAATCATTCTGTGTAACATCCAAAAGAAAGTTTATATAATGTTGTCACATCTTTTTATAACTTACTTTACTTTTGAAAATAACTTATTGTATTTTAGATTCAAACGGGAGCCAATCCAGCCCAGTCTAATGGGATTCCCCTTTGGTCCCTCTCCATTTTTCTCCCCCGCCCTTCAAATGCCTCCCTTCGCTCTACCCCCGCCGAACCCAGCGGCAATGATGTTGGACCAACAAATGAGGGTAGCTATGTCAGCAATGCAATCTCAGATGGCAGGTTATCCCTACCCAAACCTGCTTATGAACCCTGACTTCCAATCCCAGCTCCAGTCTAATCAGAAGGCCTTATCGATGATGGCCAGTGCTCTGAATCAGAAGGAGGCGGCTTCTCCATCACCTAGCAAATGATCTCCATGTGTTACTGTATGTAATGTTAAGTTACTGTGCGCGTAATACTAGTTACTCTGTAATGTAAGGTTACTATCGCATGTAATGTATAGTTACTGTCGTATGTAATATATATAGTTACTGTCTATATTAACTTATTCGAGCTTCCTATCTATGCAAACTTCCGGTACGAGTTATTGTACAAAAGCATTTTATCTCTTGTAAGTCTTGAATCTCATCTTATGTATCTTGTATAAATCTTGTAATAAAAGGTATCTAACTCTAGGTTTTAGGTTTATGTTATCATATGTTCTTGTACATTTCCTATTTGATATAAAAGTACAATTTTTGGTTGGAAACGGCATTATTTTAGGTTTATATATCGTGTAAGAAGGTTTATTGATCTTGAAAGACTATTCCAATTTAAAATATTTTAATATACTACAGTAAGTTTTATCATTTTTTGAAAAATAACTAAAGTTACGGTAAAATACGATAATGTAATTTTATAAAAAGGGGAAATAAAAGTTTATTTTATGCCAGATCCGAAAGGAATTACTGAGATTTATTGCGCTGTTTAAACTCGATTAGCGATCCATCACTCTTGGCCTAATTGGCCGCTGTCTCGATTACGACGTTCTTACTGATAAGGCATATCAACTAATAAAAGGGTTATAAATCTCCGAGAACATGCCTTTCACGACCATTACGTTAAGCAAACAATGTCAGTTACTGTCGTATGTTTGTAAACATACCATGAAATTGCTATGGTATGTTCGTGATGTGTACTACATAGACATTATATAGTAGAGAATAATGTAATTTAATATACTTAATGTGGTATTTTATATAACTAGTAAAAAAGAGTAGATTACCGTTGTTAAGTGTATACAAATGTTTTTGAAAGAATAGTTTCTCGGCCCAACAGTTGGCCAAACAATTAATTAATCACTTATGTATCATAATATATCCTCTATTACACTATAACGCGTCTTAAACAAAAATAAAAACTCACACTTATAACGATGGTGGGGAAGGTAACTTGGGTTTCAATGTTAATAGGTCGTTCTGTAAACGTAATTCTGTATCTAGAAAGCCTTTCGATAACTTTATATTGCTTACTTTACTATAACGAAGCATATTAAGATAGTTAAAGAATATAAAGCTTCGATAAAACACAGATTGTATGTCATGCTAATATAATATCAAATAATAATTACAAGAGGTGAAAATAAGCTAACCTATCTACAACCCTTGCTACAGTAACCCCTTACGCCCGCTAACACCCCATGTTATGTGGCTTGTTCGTTGTAAACCGGAACTATGAAAGGAAGACATTTACCGTAGCAAAAGTGCCAATTCGACAGGTAGAGTGGGCCATAAAAATGTCGGATTTGGCCACTGGACCGGGTCGCTTTGACACCTCGCCGCCCAGTCAGTTGTTCCGACAAATTGGATTAAGATCAAAGGGAAAAGACAAACATAACCTTTGCCAACCGTGCACAGATTAACATAACCCAGCTCATGATTGCGGTAAATCAAAAGCGCTTGATATGATAACAAGTGGGTTGATATACATGCAATAGTGGCTAATCAAGCTGGTTTTTATGATTATATTGATGTTAGGGTAACTTTTTATTATGATTTGTGATTTTGTTATAGAGATCCAATAATTCGTTCGCATTCTCAATTTCAAAAACTAAATTTTTAAAAATTTTAAATAAGAGTACTTTAACCTTCAAAACGTAGCCTGCATTAAGTTGTATATTAATTTATTATATGACAAAACATAATATACCCGATAGTCGAAGCAGAACCTCGATTGCGATACCTGTATGAGTTAATGGCTGAGATCAAAGAGTAATCAAAAATAGAAACATCAAGAAAGTAAACCATCTTACGGTAATATAGTTATTAGACAGTAAATATGAATCTACTGTGGAAAAAAATGTGTACAGTAGTAATAATTAGTATAAGTTTAGTATTATACAAAGGTTACAACTTGAAAGTAAATCAACAAAAAGTCTGCCTCAAGACACACTTTTTACATTTAGATGTGACAGAAGGAACGTTTTCCTATGGTAAGATATATTTACAATGATAACAAATTTGACTCTACAGAGATAGTAATCCTATAGTAAGATATATTTACAGTAATACATCCCTATCGTCCATAAACTTGATGGCTGAGTTCTCAGACTTGATGAAGGTCGCTGATGGCATTCTGGAGCGGTACTTCTCCTGGAAACACTGGAGGAAGCACTTGAGAGTATGTCGATACTGAGATGAGATCAGAGGGTACAGTATGAAACAAGTGTTACAGTTGATCAACGAAAGTAAGTCGAGCATGTCACCCAGAGACAGGTACACGAACTGGTGGATGTCATTTGGGAACAGTCCATTCAGAATGGCAAGAACACCTGAAAATGCAAGATTAGTTTTGTAACGTTTATTTTAATATTACAGTAAGCTAAAAATAGATCTAGTAATAACAGATGTAGTATAATATACGTACAGTGATATATATTATACTACAATCAGTTCAAGATACAATTTCTAATCCTAATTACAGCGACTACAGTCAACTGACGTAGGGTAATTTTAAGGTTACTCCAGACAAAAACAAAAGTTAAAAATAGGTAATAACCATATACGAAGGTAATGTAATTGTACCTTGTGGGAACTCCGTGCACATAAACACCATCAACAATATGATTAGCAGCTTGGTAGTCCTATCTGAGTGGACTTGGTTCCTCTTGGAGGCCAGAGAAGTACCAGAGGTAATCAGTCGTCTCCTTCTTCTACTCACGTCAAGTTTGTAGAGCAACGCCAACGTGAAGAACATCAAAAGCCCGCACGGTATCACTTTAAAGGCGATTCCAGTCAGCCACAGGTTGAACTTGAAGATGAAGCAAGTGTTGAACTGACTGAACTCGGCCAGGCCCACCGTGAAGAGGGTCTCGTCTTCTGAATCCACCCTGACGATGGAGTGGACGAGGAAGGTGGGAATGCATAACAAGATGACGGTAATGGAGATTATCACGAATAACGGCCTGAAATAGCACTAACATTAGTAATGTAAGGGGGGGGGGGGGGGTGAGAACGTGCGTAACATCTTATCTTAATGTAATGTCGTAATGTATGTAAACGGAAGTGTCAACATGTTTGCCTACGCTAACATGGCCATTTCAAAAGTTGAAAGATGTCATAATATAGTAAATACCATGTCATAGAAGGTGCAGTACATCTACTGTATACCTATTATGTATAACTACTTAAAATATCTGCCTAATCACCCTATGTTAATTGTGACATTGTGGATGTAATTAAACGTATTTCCGCCGAGTAAAAATAGATTATTGTACAGTCACCTGGCCGTCCCCCGAGGATTAGTGTAAAGAGTAATTAACCACGATTAGATTTGTTTACTTTGTTAATGTAATCCCTTCGCCGAACCCACTCAAAATTTTAAATTGGACTAGCTATCTGACTCTGTTATCTCTTAATATCTTCCTGACACACCGTGACAGCAACCAGCTTAAGGAAAAGTTGAAAGGGATTTACATAGTAATATTGTTCATGACATGGCTTGCTTATGGTGACAAATTTAACTATAAAGTGTAAAGTTTAGTATCTCCAAGTAACCTATGTTTACAACAAAACCTCCATAAAAGAATAAAACAATACAGTAATGTAACTAAAAGTAAGCTGTTCTTACCCAGCAATGTTCTCATGCATCCATTTTGAACCGATCTTATCTAACACCTTGTATCGTATGTAAGCTGTAGCTACAGATAGATACAGCGTGATGGTATGTAGAGCAATAGAACATACAACATGTCCTAGTAGGAATATTATCCATGGTAGATCATAACCAACAGGTGGTTTGTGTACATCGATCATGAACGAGAATCTGACAGTAAATACGAGATACGATGACATCGTGATAATATCACAGATGGCCATAAAGCTGAGCTGAAATTGACCTTATTAATACGGTGATTGACATAAATACTGTAATTTAAAATTCAGAATACTGTATTTTTTAAAATGAGTTTAACTTTTAATAACTATGGTTACACTGCAACAAAATATTAAGAAAAAACGTATAAAAAGTTTAAAAAACTGGTTACAAAACATAACTTACCAGTCGATTTACCGCGCTTTTGTACATAGCCGGCCTTGTAAGTACAAGTACATGTAATATATTCATTGTGATACCGACTATACATATACATAGGGCCAAGTATTTGTGAACCGATCCGTATCGACTGAAATATTCAAGTAAATAGTTGTAGTAATATCTTAAAATAAATGTAAAAATAAAATGACACAACTTTTTACATTAAAAGTAGTAGTAAAACTTTACAATAGTAACACTCATTTAAAATTGTAAAATCTTACAGTAAATGTAACCAAAGTCATTAAGTTTCCGTGTCCCAAAATAAAACCGGAAGTTAATTAGTGCAAAAGTTTTCGGAAATGTCTGTTATGAATGCAGACATGACATAGGTTTATAAAAAGAATGACATAAAACTTTTATATGACTATTAACTATAAGGTGCAGAGCTTCAATGTAATAACTACAAGGTACAGAGCTTCTGGTTTAATGAACAATTTGAGACATAATGTTGTCATAACTTTGTCATAACGTTTCAGATGGGTACGACAACATTTTGTATCAAATTTTAGTCATACTCAACGTTCTATGATATTATACACAAGAATGTGTATCCAATTAACACATATCACATCAACTTACTTGCTTACGTTGATGAGTGTCTCGAGGAAGTTCAAGGTGGCATTGTCGGTGAGATCGAACAGTTCCAGCTCTTGGTCGCATATCATTCCCTGCAAGGACATGAGTGTGAAGAGACATGCCAAGATACGAAACGCGATGATTAATGTAAAGTAATTGGATTAAACGTGAATGGGCGGCCCTTATCTCTCCCCCCCCCCACCTTAATTTATAATTTGAGAGTAATCTTTGTGAACGTTCGGTCGACGTACTTCCGGACGACTTTGTCCCCGACATACGAAGACACAGACATACGGTGTTACATAGACATACAAACTTTTGATTTAAACTGTCATACATATATAGGCGTTTACACTTTTACATGACACAAACAGACATACGAAGAAATTGAAATAAGAGGAGTAACATACAAAGATTCTATGTTACACTGACACAAAACACACTCAGACATACGAAGACATTAACAAGACAGTGTATGTAGATGTAATAGTAACGTAGGCGACTTACAATATTGTGATTAAACAAGTTGAGACAGTCGGCTGTCAATAAAACGAAAGTCGTCTCTTTCTCTGCCGTCACCCCCTCTCATGTGTACTCTCTCAATTGTCAACGTCACACTTATTTTTATGTCATTATCACGCAATTCCTGAGAAGATGGATACTATAATATGTAACTCCTTGCTCTAGTATATGGCTATAATATGTGAATATCTCCACTGTCAACTGTCGTATCTTGATTGAAGTGACCAGAGTGTCAATAGTAAGCAAACATACATATATTAGCATGGTAAACACACAAAAACATACGACGACGTAGCGACGCGTCAAATCATCTCAGAACTTTACTATCAAACCACAGTAAAGTCTTGAGATGTTGTGTCAAACCGTGGTAACGTCTCAAGATGTATATCAATGTTTAACATACATCCTTTGAGATACGTCGCCTTACATTAACAGTAAAACAACATTCAAGTTTGACATTAATGACAGACAGTTGCCTTTACTCCGACAGTAACAAGCCAGAGTAAGTTGAATTAGACAAAAACAAATTAACATAAACAATAACATTGAACGAACACGAAAAAGACAAAGTAATTGTAAGAGGAAACGTGCAAAATGTCATCCTCAGATACGAGACAATTAAAAGAAGAGTAAAGAACATACGAAGTGAGATTCGATACGACCACCGAGGTTATAATGACATAGCACTTCTCCTTTTTAGACTACACTGCTTTCCAGCCCTTATATCCTACACAAATTAACATATCATACCTAACATATCACATCTAACATATCACCACATTACTTAGAGAACATCCTACTCAACAAACATACGATTAGATACACATATTAAATGTTAATCTAGTAAACATTTAAATTAATTGAAATTAATGAGTTCCTACCAAAACAGATTACAAGATACCACGAAACTTGTTTTTAGGTATGTTAGTGTACCTAGAAGAGTATTTTGGTTAATTAAATGTTGTTTATAAACCAAACTCAACAACATATTTTAATAAGTAAGGTAGATTTATATTATCTATGACAAATTAAGTGATCAAACCCCCCCCCCTCCTCTCTTCAATATACTAATAAATAATAAAAAAAGTAACGTCGTTCATATAAACCCTAAAACATAAGATACCATTAACTGTACAGTAAAACGTCATGTAACATGTATCTTCACACAACGATTAATTACCAGTAATGTAATTTGTACTTTACAATTTGAAATAAATAGTTTCGAAGATTACTGTTGACGTTGTAGAGAGTAACCGTACAATTTCCGTAATAATTATTACCTTCAACTACACAAACTACTCTATATCACAATTGTAACTTTAGAGTAAACTCCGTATAATGTATCTTTTACTATCCCAAACATCATATGACATTGTGATATGTAAAAGCTACAACAACGGATACTGTTTACATCTTATTTACATTACATTGTAAACGTATGTCGACTTAAAAACGTTAATACCGTACAGAACAAAAGACGTAAAACTGAACAACATTCTATTAGAAACTAGGTACAGTAAGCTATTGTACATGCTGTTAAGATATACAGTAGCTAATTGTATAGGTTGTTATGACAAGCACAATAGACAACGTTTCGACATTATTTTACTCACTTAAGACAATATATACATAGAATAACAACTCATAAATTACTCATCATAATATAATACACGTGATTACGTTTCCAAGATACGACAAAAGCTCCCATAACATACATATATGTACGTAGAAAAAGTTACTTTCATACATTTAAGATATATAAGCATTGTAAGACAAAGTTGATAATAAGCTTATAGATATTACACTGCTAATACAATGACAATAACAAGATACCAGGAAGTTTGTAGTAAAGTGTCAGATGCAACTTCTACTGAGCAGTCAAGTTGTAAACTGTTACCACGATAATGCCACGTTAACGTCACCTTATTAATATACAATGACATTCGTGTAACTCTCGTGCAAAGATTCCTACAATTACTCTGCACAATCTACATTTACATCGTATAATGTAGTATGACAATATACATTATGTATCTATAGTGATATGTACGATCCTTATCTACAGAACGTATATCTTCATAAATATACATATATGTATAACTAAGTAATGTGAATACCGTCCCCCCCCCCTCCCCCAAATGCAACTTTATAACACAAAACATATTATACGTAAGAAGACAACGTAGTAACTCACAATATCTTCATTACCTCAAAGACATCTTGTATGTTAGACATAAATAATGTCAACATTACTCGTCCAGGTGTTAAACGTTAAAGTCACAAGTTATTTACATGTTATTTATATCAGTAATTACACAGTAAAATTTATGTAAATACAGAATTACAGTAATATAAGGCTACAACATATAATATGTAAATTCAAAAATATGTCATAGATAATATACTAGTAGACAGACATTGTATCTTCAAAACAAGGGTCTATATACGACAATATGTTATTACTGTAGCTACAAAAGTGTTTTTAAAATTACAGAAAACAAGTTGTTACTATACTTAGTTACTATACCTAGAAGTCGTTACGTCAAAATTTAAAATTTACAAAAAAACAGGAAAAGTGAGTACTCGAAAAGGAAAATAAGTGCCCAAACAGTAGTTGATTACTTTTATTAATTTAGGTATTACCCAAAAACTAAGCTTTAACCATTACTCTATGACTTTAGATTAAATCTTCGTAGTATGACATTGTTGTAGTCTCAACAGTTAAAGCTATTAACAACATGTTAGTTAAGACAATAAAAAAATTCTTGAAAAACATACCCCCTACCTACAGTGGGGCAGTTATCAATCGACCTTTCTTCTATCGATAACCGTAAGGATCAATTCTACGTATATTTTGACCAAAACAGTGCAAAGTAAAAACGATATATATGCATGTTTGAATCCAGTATGTCTATATCATATGTCGACAGTATTTTAATTACAAAAAGTTATTTATCGCCGAGTAGCCATAACATAATATCCCAATGCAGCCAGTCCAGAGAGACCTACCAAAATAATTAACAAAGCTCAGCTAATTCATAGTCTCAAAACCAAAATAAAATTAACTTTAAAAGGCTTCAGGTATACTAAATAACACATTTAAAAATCTAAAGGTTTACAGTTTCAGCCACATCTTAAACCAGACTAAAAATTCAAAAACATAGAACTCCAGCCGAAGCCGAGAATAGAAGTTATGTCTCTAAAACAAACACTCTTTTTGTCGACCGAATTGAATTAGTTTACTCTGTTCGCCTCTTAAGTAACTCCAAATTAATTAGTTATATCCCATTTAGAGCGCTTTAAAGTGGAAAGTGTGATTAATTTAGACTAGGCGAACAAACAAACCCGAGATGTAGCGGTTGTTATTGGCATAATATGTCATCCGGCCAAAGTTAGTTTGTTTTGGCCTCGAATTAAGTTCGTTTTGCCTTTCAATGTATATGTAATAAGTAAACAACAACAGTAGCCTACGACAATGCACAATGAAGAACAGCGGAAATGGTAATTACATAATCAGACGTGCGATTATAACATAATCGTATGCTGCCTTAATCCACACGCCTCGTCATCCTTTAGGAGTACGATAGGATGTGGCAAAGTTACAACATGTCACAAACTAAAAGTACAAGAGCATGCAAACATGACATGTACTGACTATTTACAGTACAAAGCTTAGCAATAGTTTTTTACAGTAAAAACATAGAACTACGGTCAATACGCTACGCATAACCCCACTCTCCATGCAATACCTCCCTATTATCCTCAACCCCTCCCCTTGCCTTCATTACCGATTCCCAACGACTTCTGAAACTTCAGAAGACGTACGACGACAATGTCGTAACCAAAAGAAACAACTGAAGGGCCGTTCTATCGGCCACGACCTCTCAGCGGGAGCACGGCCATTAAATAGCCAAAAGGCAAAGTTGAAGGCCGCTCATTCGAGATTAATTCATAAGAAACAAGCTGAACCAGAATGCCTTTCGCGCTAAATTAGTTATGAAGAAAGGGATTCTGGAGACGGCCCTCAACGTGCAAGCCGAGACCTAATGTAATTTGGATCTGAGATGATTTCATTTCGAACAAACAAGAATTATACTCGTTAGGCCGGTGCCGCGCTTAATAGTGCACTGTTCTGCAAGGTACAGTATTATGAGTAATATGCACCATGTCTGGTGGTGGCTAAAGACCAAACTGTATGACAAACGGCTTACTGTAACATAAGAACCTCTAACCAACAGAATGCTCACCACACAACAGATAAATTAAGCATATAGTTTTAAAGCAGCATTTTAATACTAAATGACACGGGTATCTTACATAGTTACTTTGTAAATAAGCAATCATATATTTACTCGATATAAAATAAGAGCATATATACCTTTATCAAAATATGCTAACCAATTAATTAGCGTAGACGAACTCTGCATACTAATAAGTGCTTTGGCAACTGTGATAATTACAAAATGTGTAATCACCAATTAGCTGCAAGTTCGTGTAGCATACTTTACTTAAAAGTACATCACCTACACACTTACCTTAATACCTTCATTGACATTAGTAAAGACAATTCTAAGCATTGCACGTGCACAAACTTTACAATTTTTTAGCACTCGTCAAGCAAAATCTAGCAAGACAAAATGTGTGAGGTTTTACACTGTAAAACATCAAAAAATGTTACAGTATGACAAGTAAATCCAACTAATTTAATTTACAATTGTTGTACCATATCCAACTACTGTAATTTGGCCTGAATTGCAACTTTTTTCCCTTTCTTTGCTTTTCATAATGTATACCGACGTGAATGGAACGATCAGCCTCCCGATTATCGGCCAAGAATTCACATTAACTAACCTTGTTATCTACAAAACAGGCCTTCTGGTCGAGCCGACCTTATTGTTTTGAGAGTGTAACATACTGATAAGAGGTCGGGCTGAACATTTACAAAGAGCTTAAAAGAAACGAGTAAAGAAACATTCACATCAGACGCATGACAATGTGGTTGAGGCTTCTATTTTTGGCTACAATTACTATAGGCCATCACATAGACACGGTAACAGAGGATGCTAGCCATACTAAGCTGAAGATCTTTGTGGATTCACCTTCCATTGGATACTCACACATGCAGTTCCAAGGTAGACTAGCTGATTTGCTGGTCGAAAGAGGTCACCAAGTAGTAAGTTTATTATCAATTCTAGTTCTAATATCTTAAATATTAGTCATTATTACCAAGTTCCGTTTCATTGATTTAACTACTTAGAGTAAGTTTACGTAATCCTTTAGGATGTCTACATCTCAAACTTTAATGCCAACGAGAAGAGGACGGCTACATCAAAAGCACGAGTGATACGAATCAACGCTACGACAAAGACAAGGTTCGCTGAACTAGATCTGTTCACTGATCCTTTCAACGCTGGCAACATCTTGTTCCAGATGAAAAGAGCTGATCCATACAGGAACACCACAGCGCAGTTATGTCAAGGTAGGACTATCCACTTAGATGAGATACGAAGTTAAACATGAACATATCCATATGAATATAAACACAGACATACGTTCTGAATCCATTAAACTCTAAAGACCACAAATTACCTAAACATACAAATACCATTTGAAGACAACAAGAGTACGACAATAACAAAAAGATACTCAGCATGCCAACCAGAACAAAAAGACCGTAACGTACTATAATATGTTATTTTCAGACATCGTCAACCATCCGACCTTAATCGATCAAATAAAGGCGGAAAAGTACGATGTAATTATAGCCGAGATGTTCGATCCCTGCATCTTCTACTTGGCCGAGTATGTCAATATCCCGACCCGGATACTGAGCAGTGCAATGCCAACCCCAGACCTGGTCGCGCACTCTCTCGGCATACCCGTTCCCCGCTCCTACATACCCTGTAAGCATTGTTTTTGTTTATGCTCATCCTATTTACAATTTCAGCGGTATTAGCGTCAAGTGCAGACGTACCAAACCTCGGGTGGACCGAACGGTTGTTCAACGTCATAACCGACTTGTATCATCCTATCGTACTGCACGAACTGACCGGCAGAATGGTATGTTACATATGCAATACCTGAATGAAAAACCCCATATCTACTGTAAAGTTTCATTGTAAAGCTACTTTTTACCATGCTTATATACAGTATACCTATAATCCCTAACAAGTTGAAATCTAAAAGCCATTGCTTTAGCAAAAGATGTACTATGACAAATTCGGAGTTGAAATGCCAGAGTTCAGAGATCTTCTGAGAAAGAGTTCGTATGTTTTTGTAAACGTACATGATCATCTCGACCATCCTCGACCCATCACGCGCAAAATGCACTATATTGGAGGTATTGCTGTGAAGAAACCCCAATCCAAACACACAAAGGTAAGTCAATCATATCTATGTACTTAACCACAAGTTACAGTAAAACAGCTTAACAGTAATACCCAAAAAACATTTATGAAATTAATACTATATCATATTAATTATTTAGTACAACACACATATACTATAACCAAATTAAAGCCTTCCAGCTTTAAACGCTCCCAATAACAAAAACTTATAGGAAGTGGAACAGATAATATCCAGGCCCAGTAAAGGTTTAATTTTGTTTTCGATGGGATCCTTAATTGACAGCACATTGATGCCCAAGTTCGTTAAAGAGGCCTTCATGGCGACGTTTGCCCACTTCAAAGATTACACTTTCCTCTGGAGGATTAAGGTCAACCCCAACGACACCCAAGAGTTCGAGAACATCACCAACTTGTACACCATCGCCTGGATGGATCAGCCCACCATTCTCGGTAAGCACACAACCTATTAGGCTTATTTGGAGAACCGGAGTAACTAATGACTAACTCTGTAAACACTGTTTAACCAAATTACCGCTTTGAACTTTAGCTGACACCAAAACAAAGTTGTTTATCACTCATTGTGGCCAGAACAGTGTAATGGAAGCGGCCTACAACGGTAAGACATTAACACCCAATTACGAACAGGAAGTAATCATAATTGTAAAACAGTAATCATAGCTGTCAACACCAGCACATCTATTGCATTATTTACAAAAATCTATTTTCTTACAAATTGTTCACCAAAATAGGTGTAAATAATACAAAAAAAAGTAATTAATACCCAATGAAAAGCTATCGTTAAAATATTATTTTAAATAATAACATTGTTTTAGGGGTCCCAGTCCTAGGCTTACCATTATTCGCCGACCAACACTACAACAACGCCTTACTAATCAACCGAAGAACAGGTCTATATCAAGATGTACACGAAACGACAGCAGAATCTCTGATTAGCAAGATGACAGAGTTGTTGAACAATGAAGACTACTACAACAAGGCCCAGCTTCTGAAGGAAAAGCTGAGAGACGAACCCTTTAAACCAGAAGATAGATTCGTTGGCCTAGTGGAATATGCGGCCAGACACAAAGACCTAGGAGAAATGAACTTATACGTGAACGAAATGAGTTTCTACCGAAGAAACAATCTTGACATCTACATTCCCATGGTCATATTATCCTATCTAGTGTATCAGTGGACTAAAGTGATATTCCAGAAAGTTTGGAGAACACTTAACTCAACTTCTGCCAAGGAGAAGATGTCATAGACACATTGCTTCGCTTTTATCGGGTCCCAAATTGTATCATACTTGTTCAGAATTACATATCATAATAAATTGTAAAAATATTTGCAAAAAACTGAAAGAAATATCTTTTTTAAAGTAAAATTAAAAGAGTAATTGTCAAAATAATGCCAAAATTATAAATAAAACACAAAGATCGAGCGAAAACAACCATTTTTAATATTTTAAATGTAATGCCCTTTCCCTATACCACTAAAATAAACATATAAAGGTTAAGCAAAGGTATTTGAGCAACCTTATTTTACCATTCACACGTTCATGAAGCAGAATAGGTAACATGGGCAAATAGGTATCAGACGGATCACAAATAATGTAGAACGAGAGCAAACCAACCTGAAATGCAGAATAACACCCGCATAAAAACATCAATCTCAACTTTTGACGCTACTATTTGATATGTCTGTTTATCGCATCAAAGATTTAAAACTTCGAAAAAATAATTTAGCATCGCCGAAAAGCAATCTGTCTCCCGCAACGAAAACAAACTCCACTTCCGCGATCTTCTAAAGTTCGTCCGGAAGATTTTTTTCTGAATAAAGGGCATTCTACAGCGTATTCCCAATTAATATGTAAAAAACATTTCAACTTTTATCTCTTTACTTTATATTACAGGAGCCACATCTACTGTAATATCCTAAGTTACTCGAAAACGTAAACATTGAGTTCGTAAGTTCAAGGAACGATCGATCCGCTTAGTATCGACCACGTTTTGTTTGTTTTTGTTGCCAATGTTAATGTCATTCTGTTTGCTGAAGCCATGTGGAGACTTGTGCTTCTGGTCCTGGTCGCCTCTTCTTGGAGCCAGCCGGTTGACACTACTTGCGATGAAAGTGAAGGTGTAGCAGGTTCGTCGTCCTTTTGATGTCAAAAGCCGTTTGTAGCTTCTTTGTCGTTGTTTTGATTAATTTATGGATTATATTGTAGTAGGTTTTTATTAATTTACAAAAATATTGTTTTAGTTTGTGGACAGCCGGGGAATACATGCCCTGGGGAAGCGTTGTGTTATGTCAAGAAGAACTGGTGTTGTTATCATAAATATAAGAATACACGAAGGCCTATCCTTTGATGTCAGTAGCGTTGTTGATGTATTTTTTGTTGGAAAGTAAATGTTATATTCAATTTACTTTTTAATGTAGGAAACGTACTCTAAAGGGTTTATAAAGTACTCTAAAGGTTTATAAATAACAATTTTCATATTACAAACTATATTAATATGTGTATACTAATCGTGAGACCAAGATTTTGTTCCGGAATTAGGTATAAACTACGCTGGACGGCCAAAAGTAACCAGATTGTACTGTAGTTGGGCTGTGTTCAACATAACTTGGTCGTGATTCATTTCGTTGAGCTGAAGATTGAATTGTGTATATTTATTTAATTTTTGATAATATTTTTTGACAATTAAAGCTATTTAAAACTGTAGTAAAAATTAATTCTTACGGGAAAAGCGGCGTCTTGACCTGGAACGTTGCTGGTTATCGTACCACATGCTTGATATCCTACTTTGTCATCTCCAGTTGAATATATTGAAAACACTCTTTGTCCCTCGTATCTTCCTCTGTAACATAACATAGTTTGCTTTATAGTACGTTTCTTTACTGTTACAATGTTTCTGATTGCAGGATAAATAGCCTGATTTTAATTTTAAGTGATATTTAAACCAGGTTATTACCTTGAATTGATGTCGTTCAAGAAGCTAGAGCCACATCCGAGTCCGTTGTTCATATTGCAACTTCCAAAAGGCAGAACACAAAGAAATGACCCAAAGTTAGCACCAGCAACTGACACAAATGTATGGACAAGATGGGTCAAGGGGGGTCCGAGTTGTTCTCCTGTATCTACACAAACGCCACCCATGATGGCCTTCCTGGCTACGGGAGACCCCATTGAGTAGCCGATGATGTTGACCTTAGAACTTGTGTAGTCGGCTACCACTTGGATGAAAGACCGCAACTGTAATTACATAGTTACGTTCTTATTCTGTACATTGGATAAGTATAATATATCTTAATTAGTAGGATAATACGTACTATCAAGTATTTAGATTGTTATCCCTGTTACTATGTGTAACATGGGCAACTTACAATTTTCATGTAATGACAATTCATGGTGAACATGATAGCATTAGTCTTTCCTCCGTCGCCGTACGTTGTTGCATATACCTCGAAGTCACGGTAACCATGGGTATTGAAGAACTCTCGTATCTTCGCAAAGTTAGAAGCCGTGTTGGTGATTCCGTGCACTAAAATTACCGGTCGATGTCTGTAAACAAACAGTTATAATACAGTAAGAAACTTGAGTATTAGTGAAATGACTTCACTAACATTAATATAGAGTTGTATACTTTGAAAGTACAACGTACGGTGTTGGTTGCCTCGGTTTATGTCTGTCACCTCCACCTCCAAAACTGGCATGTGGCCCAAGATCTGTCCTGGCCATGTTGTCCTCCATTGCCTTACCGTAATTATTTCTCAAAAACATTCGGAAATGGTCTGATAAGAACGCATTTGAAGTCGTCAAGGTTAATAATAGTACGAATAAGGCCTTCATGGCAAGGATATTAGACCAAAGTAACCAATATAGATAATACTATGATACCTTTAATAGGTAACAGCTGCAGAAGTTGATATTTATGACCAAACTGAACAGTTTCAAGAGAAAAACAACCAAAGTGTTCCGTGTTACCTTAACAGTCAAGTGAAGGTGATGGATGAAGATTCGAATTACTTTGTTCCATGACCGCGACATCAACACATTTGACGTCAGAGGAAGAGAGTTTGTAAGAATGGTTTGGAGTCAAGTATAACATAATGTATAATAAGATTTATTGCATTCATCTATAGACAGTCACGGTAAGTTGAGGTATATTCGAGGTTTTATGTTGTTTTTCAAATACTTATATTGCTTTAGGAGTATGATACTATGCCACAGAGTCTCTGTCAGCGTCTGCCATTTCTTTCACCGAATTCATTATCCTGAAACCCGTATTTTACATTTCATAATTTAAATTTTTATTTGGTATCAAATATATTTGAGTTAAAAAACTACAGTATGAAAACCCACCAAAAGATAGCAGCTCCAAGCAACGGGGTCATTACTGTAGCAGCGCCTACAGCGTCCAGATGCCTGAAGGCATGTTCTTGTTTCCAAATCGCAGCAACAAGACTTTGGGACAGAGTTCTGGCCATATTACCGTTCGTTCTTGTCGTATTTCCACCTTCACAGCTCAAAGCCATGTTCACTACCTAATCAAATGATAAGTCTTCGTAATATAGGAAAAAACTTCAAACTGGCTTCAAAATATCAACAATTATGATGACACAAAACTACACAACAAAGTAGTTATAACTTACAGTAATAGCACCCATACAATAAGCACTCCTAGTTGTTATAAATACAATAACAAATAGCAAGGTAGTAACTACCTCGAGAGACAAAGTTAACTCGAATGACATTACTGTCTCGTTAATAGTAGTGTTACTTGAGGGTATGATTTGAATAACAGAGTGAAGTACTTGACCTATAAAAGCTCCAAACATCTGAGACCCAATTATCGAAAGTCCCACAAAGACCGGTCGCTTCAGGCAAAACAATTTGCCAAGTGAAATCGCTGAAATTTACGAAATCAAAGGAACTGTCACAGCATAAAACGTCATTTTAAAATATTTTTTAGTTGGGGTTTACAATCTTATATATTCTCACCTGGATTGAATTCAGCGTCACAGATCTGGCCAAACAAATTCATTAAAACGTATCTTACACATCCCATGGAGATAACTGCCACGGTAGAGTTATGAGTGTAAAACTGTAGAAAGTAACCACCTGTAATAGTAATTTAAATTGCTTTGCAGAGTAAACAATTTAAATTAAAGATACTAATAATAATGAATACTCAACTTACCAAAAAATGTCAATATCAGAGTGCCACAAAACTCTCCGAAGACATATCTGAACATAAAATCGCATGGCTCAATCACTCTCGGCCTTTCTAAAATACGATTAATTTACAGCGTAAGTTCACAAGTTTCCAGGATACTTTTACAGCCCAGTAAAACCTTACATTTTCACAAAAAATTAGTAATAACATAAAGTTTAAAATCAAGGTAATCATCCTCTCAAAAATTAAGTAAAAATCAAAAGTCCCCTAGGAAAAACGAGCACGTTCAATTGTCAATTAATTAACCGTACCTTTCACAGTCGGACCTGGCAGTTCTTCTTGTCTCAGCTCCTGCATCTTGTGTATCCTCATGTCATCCAAAGTACACTTCCTTCCGCTGACCATTCACTGTCCTATATCTCTTTTTACGGCCGAAACCGGAGATTTCCATGGAAACGAAAGATTTCGGTGTTTCGGTTATGTAATTGCGTGTCTTTAGGGTATTCTGTTATGTGAGCACCCAATTCTATTTTGTTGACACAATGGGATGGCCATTTACTCCTTGTCTATCTCATGCTTTACATTTTTGCTATCTTTACATTCATTCCACAATATTTACCGCATATTAACTGTGAGAAATTTTACATTAAAGCAATTACAAGCTGAATGTACAACAAAACACTTAAAATTAGTTTCCGATTTCGTGATATCAATCATAACAATGAGTATCATTTCTTATGATAACAAACACTTAACATTGTCAGATCCGAACCAATCACAAACTCTAATGACACCATTGTACATATAACATCATAAAACAATGCCAGTCACGAACATAATTTCATTCAAATCCAATTCCAACCAAACTACAACAATATCCAACCTCGGACAAACTAGAATCACCGTCCCCTCGTACTATAGTTTCTACCTTGGGGCCGTGTATTATAATATGAGCGGCTTTAAGCTTTCTCAATTCTCAGCAAAAAAGACCTTTTTTCTTGGCCATCTCCCCCTTTTGTCTGCCGTCTCCCACAAGCCCGTGCTCTCTCGGCAGCGCCGTTTCGAAAAGGCGTTTTATAATTTTGGGAATGAATTTGAGTAATTTCTTGTAGTTTATTCACCGCACAATGTACCACAATGTTCAGACGGTTCGAGTAGACGTCACTGTGATATCTGGAATAACATTATCAGATCGTCTCTCCACCACTTCCCGAGTCTGCACTTCTATTCGGTCGACTTATCAAAGACCGCTTCCACCAGATTCTGAATTTAAAAATGCAAATCACTGTCGCTGGATTTGTCAGCGATCTTTTGCTTTACGTTGTGTATTGTGTCGTGTTAGGGTAGAAGAACGTCAGGTTTGTCAAATTATTTCGAGAATTTCAAAAACTTATTTTTTGGATAGCTTTTTGTTATTTTAGCCTCTTATCTTGTTTCTTTCATTTTATTAGTTATTTCGTATCTTACATCATATGTTTACACTTGTTCTTGCTATTTATGGTTATTGTAGTATTGAACAAGTAGTTTGAGTAATGTACAAGTAGTTTGTACCTTACTTTACATTATGTATGCACATGTGGATATATAAAGGTTGGCCAAGTTTCGCAAGCCCAAGTTTGTTCTTTTTGTCACTTTATTTGCACAAACCAATGACCTACAAAAGAACTTTTAGCTTCATGTGGCCACAAAAAGAACACGTTTTAAAAAACATCTTTTGTTTTCTTATGTTTGTTACCTAAATTATAACATAATGTTAAATCCACTAATTCGTTCGCTTTTTCACTATTATAGAAAACAATCGACCTAATGAATATTTAATGTTATATTACCTTTTTTCCCTGCATTTTACCGCGAATCATTACTTTATATAAATGTAGATGCAAAAATAATGGCGCGTCTCGACCGGTATTAAAACGCGACATTAATTTCGTATCAATACAACTTTTTAAAATAATAAAAAGCAACTAAAAATTTGCATCTCCAAAAAATATTTTCCCTTATTTTCGAAATTTTGGCAATTCAAATTTGTTGCGCGCGTTTTATTGACAAAGTGTCACTATTGATTGAAATGGAATAATAATTCAAAAAACAAAATTTTGTTTTTTATTTTTCGCACTGTAAATTTATAAGTTCACTTTAAATGTCAAATTGTTTACAAATGTATTTCAGAAGCTCTGAGTTTTTAAACCAAGTTCTCCACATAAATTGTAACATACATTACCATCCCGACGTTTGGTTTAGTCTAGAGTAATATTAATATTAGCAATGGAGTCCAAGGAGATGGACGACCTTTGTGGAGACGTCTTCTGGGTATGTTATCTTGAAAATTTTGTTAATTTCATTAATAAAACAGAACTTTTGGTAGAATCTATTAATTATGTTGTTTTAGGACTCTAAACAGTTCAACAGTTCTAAGATACCTACATTAACACCGTGCTTTCACTACACTCTGCTCACATGGCTTCCAGCCTTGTTCTTCTGGGTATTATGTCCATTTTTTATTGCTCAACTTTACATTACAAATAGGAAAAGGAGGTTTGAACCTCTGCCATGGACAATATTGCTGGTGATCAAAATGGTACGTCTTGTTACCTAATTTTATTATTTATACTTGTGTGTAAAAAAGGTTTTTTAAAAGTAAAACTTTTATTTTAGGGTTTAACGATAGTTTCTGTGATATCGTCGATACTGGGATTGGTTCAATATTTTGGATCAACTGGGACTGAAATCTACTTCTGGTACCCTTTGATAAGAGCTCTTACCTTTGTTGGACTGTTGGTCTCACAATACTTTTGCAAGGTTGTGGGTATAGTGTCCAGTGGTATCATTTTCAATACCTTGTTGATGCACGTTTGTTGTGCACTGCCGGAAGCGTATGCATGGATTGATCGACTGGTCGGAGATGGAGTATCTTTTATCTATAAATAATTTGATTTTTTGTGCTGAAGTTCGTTTTTAACGTTTTTTATACAAATAGGTAACATAATATATAAATTCAGGAGCTGAATGATCTTCTGAGTGGCTACAGATGTTTCCTGTTCTTTGTCTTCTACTTGTCAGTTGTTACCCAAAACATTGTTCAGTTCTGGGCAGATCTTCGCGATGGCTACAGGGAGAAGTCAGACATATCTGATGGGATTCCGTCTCCAGAATTGGACTCTTCTTACTTCTCACGGTTGATTCTGTGGTGGTTCAACAGAATTCCTATTATTGGGTCTTCTCAAGCCTTGTCAACAGATGATCTTTTCGAGCAGAATAAGGAAATGAGGAGCAAGCATCTGATACAGCTGTTCGACCATTACTGGAAGCCTAAAATTGACTGTATGTTTATGTTTATTATAATATTATAGTTGAATTGAAAGGTATAATATATAAACCTTTGTTTCAGCTTACAATGAAAAGAAAAGAAAGTTGATCCAAGAAGGTACAACAATAAAACTGCTGAATGGAGATGCTAAAAATGGTGGACTCAATCGGTTAGTTTAACTTTTTAGTGTTGTTTATGTTTAAAACATTAAACAAATAACTTTCAGGTAAAAACTATAGTTTTATATATTATAGTAGGCTTTGATAATATATAAAATATGGTTTCAGAAAGTTGTCATCAACAGATATTGAGGAAAAAGACCTTATCACTAAGCCGTCAATCGTTTTCACACTTTTCCAAATGTTTAAATTCGAATTTTTGGCAGCCGGAGGTGTTAAGATGTGTGCCGATGTACTACAGTTTGCCAATCCGATGTTGTTGTCTCTTCTGATAAAGTTTGTTTCATCTGGAAATGGATATTTGTGGCAAGGATTAGGACTGGCCATTGCTATGTTTATTGCCAGTGAAATACGATCATTGATGCTGAACTGGTACTTCTACATCATGTTTAGAATGGGAGCCAAAATCCAGTCGACACTTACTGGATCTGTATATAAAAAGGTACATTAAATTTTTAGTTTCACATAATGTTAATGACTTTTTTGATATTTTTACTTACTATTAAAGATAGTAAAGGCTAAAATACGATTTCTAGACTTTGAACTTGTCAAGTGCAGCACGGCGGAACAGAACGGTGGGAGAGATTGTGAATATAATGGCAATTGACTGTGACCGTTTCCAAATGTTGACAGCTCAGATTCAACAGTATTGGAGCAGTCCGTTTCAAGTAACTTTGGCGTTGATCTTGTTGTTCAATACTTTGGGAGTGTCTGCTCTACCCGGTGTCTTCATCATGGTGGTATTTATTCCATTGTCAATCTACTCATCAATCTGGTCACGTAAATTCATGACAAAGCAGATGAAACTGAAGGATCAGAGGACAAAGATGATCAACGAGATTCTGAATGGAATTAAAGTCATCAAATTGTACGCTTGGGAGATACCTATGATAGAGACAATCGAAGCTATAAGACGAAAGGAGTTACATTGTATTCTGTCGTCCGGAATGATCAGAATGGGTGTCGATACCTTCAACTTTGCATCACCGTTCTTGGTGGCTTTGGGGTCGTTTGCCACCTACACTTTGATCAGCTCTGACAATGTTCTAACACCTGAGATTGCCTTCGTATCTTTGACCTTGTTCAATCAGCTGAGGTCTCCGATGACTATGATTGGGCTCTTAATCAATATGACAGTTGGCGCATTGGTATCTAACAAGAGAATCAAGGATCTGTTAACATCAGAAGAGGTCGATACCAATTCTGTGCATCGTACAAATGAGAAAAAGGAAGAAGCTGTTGTTGTTGATAACGCAGACTTTTCATGGGACGGTCTGAGTGGAGGTGTACCTACATTAACTGACATTAACGTCAAGGCCAAGAAGGGGCAATTGATTGCTGTTGTCGGAAAAGTAGGCACAGGAAAGTCCAGTCTTCTCTCAGCGTTGTTGGGAGAGATGGAGAAGTTGAAGGGAGTCGTTGGAGTTGATGGAAAGGTCGGCTACGTTCCTCAACAGGCGTGGATTCAGAATATGAGTCTACAAGACAACATTACCTTTGGAAGACAGTACAACAAGTACTACTACAACAGAGTGGTGGATGCGTGTGCTTTGAAGTCGGATTTGGACATGCTGCCTCAGGGTGATAGCACTGAAATTGGAGAAAAGGTGGGTAGTGACTATTATGCACTGAAAATATTAAAAACATTGGTGATACATTCAATTTTAGGGTATAAACTTGTCTGGAGGTCAGAAGGCTCGAGTATCATTGGCCAGAGCTGTCTATCAGAATGCTGATTTGTATCTTCTGGATGATCCACTTAGTGCTGTAGATTCTCATGTTGGAAAACACATCTTCGACAAGGTTATTGGGCCAAATGGGTTACTACGAAACAAAACTAGGATCTTGGTTACTCACGGTGTCACGTTCCTCAAGGATGCTGATCTGGTTATTAATATTGAAGGTGAGAATAGCAAGTGTTGACATTGTTATCAAAAATTGTTTATTAATAGTTAACGATACTAACTATTTTTAAAACTAATAAAATTACGATTAATCGTGATGTTTTAGATGGGCAGATCAGTGAAATGGGGACATATTCAGAATTGATGGCATTGGACGGGCATCTCACGAAGCTGATTGCTCAATTTAAGAAAGGACATGACTCTCAGTCGATCAGTTCTGCTGACACTTTGAATGTAAAGACTGGAAGAACAGCTGACGAGATTGGAGGTAATCAAAATTTAAATTTTATATTCAGCGAACATACAATAAAATCAAAGTTTGTTCATGTAAACTTATATGAACGTATTTTTCGTTAAAAATTTAAATCTAAAGGTAATTTTAACTTATATTTCAATTTCAGACTTTGATGACTCTAACTTGTCGATTGTGGAAGACGATTTGGATAACAATGTGGGATTGGAAAGACAATTCTCAACTATATCAACTATGTTCAAACGAAATATGACTGGAAAAGAACTCGGAATGAATAAGAGGATATCGGAAAGTGAACCAGAAGAGAGACTTATCAAGAACGAGAGTCTCGAGACAGGCAGAGTAAAGATGACAGTATACTGGGTCTACATCAAGGCAGCTTCTATCTTGTTGTCGTTGTTGTTTATCTTCTTGTTCTTCTCATTTTCTGCTCTACAGTTGGGAAGGTCATTGTGGCTATCAGCTTGGTCAGATGAAAACGACTACGCTCTCCATCACCCTAATGCTACATCGTTGACGTTGGGAGTGAGGCTGGGAGTGTACGCTGGATTTGGATTTTTGGAAAGTAAGAAGTACATTCTTTATCTATATCGCTTGTTATTTTATATATTTGTTTTATTTACAAAATATCATTTTTGATATCTAAAATCAACTTTCAGCTGTGGCCTTCTTGTTCTCCATTGTTTGTTTGTTGTACGGAGCTCTGAAGGCGTCCAAGAATCTGCATTCTCCTGTTTTGACCAGAATCCTTCACGCTCCGATGGCTTTCTTCGACACAACTCCGACTGGTCGTATCTTGAACAGATTCGGTAAAGACGTCGATGTATGTGACGTGAACTTGCCAATGAACTTCCGTTACTTCTTACAAACTATCTCTCAAGTTGCGACAACTTTTGTTGCCATTTCAATTAGTACTCCGGTCTTCATCATATTGGTAGTGCCATTGACAGCCATTTACTTGTACGCTTTGAAGTTCTACGTACCTACTTCTCGACAACTGAAGAGACTCGAGAGTATCAACAGATCTCCAATCTACTCTCACTTCAGCGAGTCTATCCAAGGTGTTACCACGATCAGAGCCTTCGATAAGAACAGTGAGTTCATCACTGTTAACAACAACTTGGTGGATGCTCACCTGAAGGTCAAGAGTTTGAGTTTTGTTGCGAATCGATGGTTGGGCATCAGATTGGAGTTGATCGGTAACATTATTACCTTTTCGGCCGCTTTGTTTGCCGCTCTCAGCGTGGAATGGGGCTTTGTGCAGTCGGCTGGTCTGGTCGGAGTTTCAGTATCTTACGCTTTGAATGTAAGTTTGTTTAAGTTTTATATGTTAGTTTGTTTAAAATGGAAAGCATATATATTGTTAATGGTTTGGTTTAGATTACAGAGGTTTTGAACTTTGCTGTGCGACAAATCAGTGAATTGGAGACGAATATTGTGTCAGTAGAACGTTTGAAGGAGTATTCTGAAGTGGATACGGAGGTAAACTTACATTTATTAATATAAGATAGAAAAAATAATGTTTTGTGGTATTTGAAATAAGTTAAATGTGTTATTTTACTGTGTAAACTGGATTATTTAAGGCCGACTGGATTGTGGACAATAAGCGAGTGCTCTCTGGCTGGCCGAACAATGGAGAAGTCACATTCAACAAGTATGCGACGAGATATCGACCAGGACTTGAACTGGTCATCAAGAACATCAACGCTGATGTCAGTCCGAGCCAGAAGGTTGGTATTGTTGGTCGAACTGGAGCAGGAAAGTCATCATTAACACTGGCTCTGTTCAGAATGATCGAAGCTGCTGAAGGGGATATTACGATAGACAAAGTAAACATATCAGAGATCGGGTTGCACGATCTCAGATCTAATATTACGATTATACCACAAGATCCGGTCTTGTTCAGTGGTACTTTAAGGTTCAATTTGGATCCGTTCAATAGGTACGTCATTGATGTTTTGAAAATAGTTAAAATTAACTTAGTTTTGGTTATTTAAAAAAGTTAAAACGCTTGAAATAAGATAGTGATGTCATTGTTCAACATGATTTGTAGGTATTCTGACGAGCAATTGTGGAAATCGTTGGAACTGGCTCATCTGAAGGCGTTCACAACATCTTTGGCTGAAGGACTTGAACATCCTATCACAGAAGGTGGAGATAACATCTCTGTAGGACAACGACAACTTGTATGTTTGGCCAGAGCTCTACTGAGAAGGTCCAAGATCCTGGTGTTGGATGAAGCTACTGCTGCTGTGGATCTGGCTACAGATTCCCTGATCCAGGAAACGATACGAAAAGAGTTTGCCGGATCTACTGTGTTTACCATCGCTCACAGGTTGAACACCATCATGGACTACGACAAGGTCATGGTACTGGACAAAGGAGAGATCAAGGAGTACGACTCACCTCGGGCTCTTCTAAACGATAGGAATACGGTATTCTACGGTATGGTGGCAGATGCCAACATCTCTCAGCAATCCTCTTAACGTACAGCTTTGTATAAAACATATTGTTATCTTGTTGTTGCAAGACGTTACTTTGTTGATATTGTGTTGTCACACACAAAATTTATTGGATTCATTGTTATTATCACTCATCTCGACACGACACCGGTTACCTTATCAAATTGTAATATACACCTTCTCCTCACTTATATCATGGTATGATGTCACGTTTTATAGCATATGTTGTCCTATAATGGTACTTTTATCTTAATTTTGGTCATATGTAGTACGGTTTCTACCGTTTATTGTACGTCTGCTGACTTCAGTATTCTAATTACTATCTTTACATTACGATTCATCAACTACCATCAGCAGTAGCTCTACTGTCACTAAATCGCACGAGTAAATAATAATCTCTAACTACGTGGTACCTAATCCAGTTGTTATACGATGAATAAAGACCGATCAAAAGTCTGATACTTTAATACGAAAGAATATGTTAAGGATGCCTGCTGAGGTTACTGTTCGTCTTCTTCTTTGATCGTTCGTTTCGCTTTAACTGGCAATGGGGCGGGGTAGGCGGCCGGGATTGGAGCGGCTACTGGCGGGGCTAGTCCGATGGGTCCTGGAGCAGCGAATCCGACTGGAGGCGGGGGAGGGACGGCTGGTCCCCAGTTCAATGGCTTTGGTGGAACGTAGTCGAAGAATGGGGTGGCTGGTCTCCAGGCGGCTCCGTATGTCGACCCTATAAGTATTCAAGTTGAAAAATTTTTTAGGTCGATTAAGAAACTTGAGGTTTTTTAAACGAAATTTTAAATGATTATTCAGACTAAAAGTACAATTTTTCATTTTTAAACATTTCTGTGGCTTTTCGACCCATATAAATTCAGTAACCTAAACTTACAGACAGGACAACAGAAGTAGGGCCCGATGTCGACACTGTTGGTGGCGTAGCAGTAAGATTGAGGTGGACATTGAGGCCATGGTCGCTTGGGGTCACACTCAACTGGCAGAGATGGACCTCCAGGGCATTGACCGGTCGGACCAGCTGGTGGAGGTGGGGCAGGGGCTAGTAGTTCTCCTGGTGGTGGTGGTAGACCTGCTCCTACATACTGTCGTCGCTTTCCTGGTTGGTTTACGATGTCAGGTGTGGAAGAGGGGGCTTCGGATGGTGCTGCTGGTTCAGCCAAAACTAAAATAAGGTTCTATGACGTTTTGCATAACATTGAAATGATAATGTAAAACCAAGCTAAATAAAACTGTATACAATTTATATACAGTAAATTATTATGGTAAACCCACCTTGTTGACTGTAAACGATCTGTGATAAGGAAAGGAGCACCACGACCCGCATATAAATGATACGCATACTGAACCCTGTAATTAAACCAATTTAAAACAAAATTTAAATACTTAATTACACGAAATGATATTGTAACATCGCCCGTTACTACAACAAATTGCACGGTCACAACTGAAGCCTTTTGCGGGAACCAGACTAGTCCATTCATTCATTGGCCATTTGCTCGGCGGTCGTTGAAGTGCGCGAAAGAAGGAGTAACAATTAAAATTGGACAAACAACTTCTCTTCACGTCAAATATGACGTGAAGGTGGGTATTGTTGTCACCAACTTTCTTACTTTAGCACATCATGGATTGGGTATGTTGAAAGGGAATATACATGGATGTGAACAAAGTGAGAACAAGAATATAAATTACAAATAACGTGACAAACTGAACTATTTTGTAATATAAAACAAGGTAAAACCCATGATAACTAAGTGCTGACCAAACCCTATCAATGACAAGATCGTAACATGAATGAGTCCCATCTCTTCTCACCTCTCATTATAACACTCCTCAAGCTCTGTAAAAACTTAATCGCCCAGGATGACGTCATTTACTGTTTTTATTTCTACCGCGAAAGTGACCGTCCCATCTCGAAAGACCGTGTGAAGAGGAGAGACGGCAGAGACAAAGCAACAAAAACTGAGTACTTAGCGCGGTAAACTTTTTATTTGTGAAAGTGAAAGCAATTTAAGCCTAAATAAACTTGCGAGGATTGACAAATCGACCGCCCACTGGTCAATCGGCCGTAATCCGATGCCAAACCCAAAAGTTACACCACAAATTGCACATCAACCGGATTCTATTACGGAAATTATGGAAGCACAACATACAGTCATCAATAAAATGTAACTTATTGTTAATGTTTTTTAAACGTATTTTAATAAAAACGTCAGTTATTTTAGATTATGTCGTAGTTGTTAAACATAATTGTTATAGCTAAATTCTTGATTCATATTGACTTGCAATCCTTGGAGATTCTTCTCACTTAGAGTAAGACAAGATCAGGGAGCCATAATCATATAAGATACTAGAGAACAATTCAATTTAGCCAAACTTGGAAAACCGACTTCAAAAACTACTTTTTAAATTTACCGCCAATTTGGCATTATGAAGCAATTTTAGAATTTTCTCGATATTGAACTTTTATCATTTTTTTCTTTGGTGTCACAACGTTGAGTCCACTTGATTTTAAAAATTTATAAGTAAGAGTTAATTCTAACAAAAGATTTGGCTACACAATGCCAAACTTTACACATTAGCAAGAATTTTAAATATTTACATGTAATCTCTTGTACGTACTATTAAAAACTATTTTCTTATTCCTTTTTGATTTTCACAATAATATGTTATTCGAATTTGTTTGAACACGACGTTTCACGATGTAAAGCACGTCGTTCCAATTCAGCGCAGCACAACAACGGTCAACTAAAATAAAGTGGACGGCGATCTAAGCAGATTAGGACGAATAAATAAACAAAAGGGGGAGGGAACGTGCACGACGAGAGATTCTGGAGAAGGTGGAAATGGTTTCCACGGATTAATATTAATAATCAGACAACAAACACCACACAGTAACCGGACAGCAGGGATAAAAGACGAGGCTTTGAGACACGTTATCACTTGGCTCTTCTCACGTCGGCTTCTGAAGCTGCTTTCTTTACTTGAGGTTGTTTGGTTTTACTTTGTTTGTTAACTATTTTCTTAACTAAATGATTTTTTTATTATTTTTAAATAAAGTTATATAGTTTTCTTATAAAAATCAGTAAAGACTTTATTTCCAGCACCATATTTTAACTTTTTAAAATTATTTTAAATTTTTTAAACGTTACTCATCCCCTTGTCATCCTTCTGGACATTTTATATCACTTCACGTTGCTCTATTTACCTATATTTGGCGTTGAGAGCTCCGCGGAATCACTTGAAATTCGCGTAATTTAAAAAACATTGTTCGCCCCTCTGGCTGTGGTTGCTCGTCCACACTTCGTTTTTTAAGTAAATACCGGAAGTGAGAAGTGTAAGTGAGATGGGAGATCAAACAGATCCACTGCAAATACGAGCCCAACGTTATGGGATCATAATTTATTCGTTTGTCTTTGTGATTACTGTGTATGATTAAGTGTTGATAGTATTTACTGTATCGTAACGTATTGCATTTAGAATTTACTGTATTGTAACTTATTGCGTGTTATTTCAAAAACGTAATTATAATAATGTTTTAGACAATTTTTAAGCTTGATTACTCGTTTTAAATAGCATTTTTGAAGTTAGGATAACATTTACTTCTTACAGTAGTTGGGTTTACTCTGTAGCAGATCACGATGTACAGTTCAGTGCGCTGTTTCAGTCGACGACGACAAATCAAAGCCTCAAAGATTATTGTTGTAGCATTTTTGTCTATCATCGTATCAGCAGGTAAGCTATAGGGTTCCTTTACCGCTACATATATATATGCTTGCCTTTACCAAATTTACCATGTCATCAAAAAAAAATAAAATTTTGCGCCAACCGGGATTCGAACCCGGGTCTCCGGTTTGGGAAACCGGCATCCTATACCACTGGACTATTGGCGCTGCAGAAGTACCAGTATTCTGAGAATATAAGTATTGGGATGGTATTGTTCCCAAGTTCATGAGAAAGTGATATTGTTTACAAATTTTTGTGGGAAAATTCAAATTTCGCTGGAAAATGAAAAAATTCAAAATAGCTGCTAAATAATCAAAAATTTAAATCAATAAATTGCCACCTTTTTAGTGACAGCCAGAGAGAACGTATTTACAGTAATAGGACCACAAAACCTAGTAGAATCGACCGGTGCACGACACGAAAGAAGTGAGAATTTTTGACTTTTTTTATTAATTGTTAAGTCCAATTTGCTTACTCTAATAACATTTTTAGATGTCGACTCATCAGCCATGGCAGACGCAGAATACGCTTCTGAACCAGAATTGGCTCCAGTAAATGCAAACACAAAACGACGCCAATATGTACCAATAGCACCAGTAATGGCTCCAGCAGTACCAGCTCTGCCTCCACCACCTCCCCCACCCCCAGCCGCTGGAGTATGTCCAGGTGGACCATCTCTCCCAATTGAATGTGACCCCAAGCGACCATGGCCTCAATGTCCACCTCAATCTTACTGCTACGCCACCAACAGTGTCGACGTCGGACCTTATTTCTGTTGTCCTGTCTGTATGTTATAACTTTTAAATTAAAAACGTTCATTTCTTAATGTATACTGTAACTTATTCTATACGTTTTACAACAATAAACATGATTTCTTTCAGGGTCCACATACGGAGCAGCTTGGAGACCAGCTACACCCTTCTACAACTACGTCCCCCCTCCACCACCAAACTGGCCTCCTGTCCTGAGGGCAGCCGTCGCTCATTGGCCAGCTTCAGCTGTTGGATTACCTCCTCTTCACAAGGCCAGACGACCGGCTAGACTAGCTGCCAATGACACCCCGGCTCCAGAAGAGCTGAAGAAGATGCTCGGAGCTATGAACGACTGGGTGAATCGAGAACAACGTGCTCAAGACGAACTAGCTGCCTCAGGGGCCGATCCAGAGGAGAAGATATAAGTATTGAACCAGATATAATATTATTTACTCGTTATTATTATAAACACAGACCTATTAATAATGTCAGCAAAGGGAGTAACGCGGTCTTCAGGATGTTTGTATCGTTGAATTCGTCCACGAACTTTAGAAGACTTGGATCTAAAATATTGATCTTAAAATTGTGAATACAAAGATAATATATTGTAACATTCGTAATCATTTCAACATCCTAAGAGAATCTCCGTAGCATTATTCAAAATATAAAAATTGCCTCATTTACCTGACAACATGTTATCAACTTCTGGAACATGTTGGAATAGCGTAACACGATCAGCATCCGGCAGATCTTGATACTTGTTTATGAAAGCCTTGAACACCTTAGCAGCTTCTTGAGCATACGTTGTGTAATCACCTCGAGCGCGGCTCTCCAGCGCCTTAATCATGTTTGGGGCATTGTTGTTGAACTAGAAATGGCATAAAATAATCAAAGTTACCAAAATGTGATACTGTAACACAAAAAGTTCTAAAAAAACATTAATATTTGAATCAAAATTTGTACCTAAATCAAGTTTAAGCTACTTACTTCAGCCAAAAAATTCTCCAGTTGTTGACTGGCATTCTGTTGTCTAAACTGCTGTTCCAGGTCACTCAGAGTTTGATCTTTCAAAGAGTTGTTTAGACTAATAACTTCATCCTCGATCCTGGTGGCATTACTGTTAGCCGTGCCATTTGTACCTAAACTATTAGAAAAACATTGAAAAGTAACCTTACTTGACTGTTTCCCCAAAACAGTTAAAACGCTAATCAGGAGAATCAAGTAATGGTAATTAGTCATGTCTACAAAGCGCGAGAATGTAAAAAGCCACAAAAAATAAGTTGGAAGCGGTAGAGCGAAGTAATTGCCTCAGGAGAAGTGCGATTGTTAATAACTACACGATGATCGAGAGTTCAGCACACTTTCACTGCTGATCCATATTAAAAACATAACATAAAACAACAAATGTAACATACGATATGACACTGGTCGTGTAAGCAAAGTTTTATCATTTTGATAACATATTAATACTACAAAGTTTTGACAGCAATCTTTACTTTTGAAAAATTTATGTTTTGTATTCTAGATATGTTACCGACATCTGACAGTACAGTTTTGAACATCTATTAAAACACTCATGTCACCATAATTCCTTTCGTATCTGCTCCCTACACGTCTTGTAGTCTCTCGCGATCGATTCAGCTTTTCTTACAATTCTAATTTCTCAATCCAACATCAAAACCGTGATTTCTTGTATGAAACAGATGTTTTTTACCTTTATTTTAGTTTTTACTGTAGTAAACTTTATATTTTACAGCAATGTCGGCTCCTCCATCAAATCCGCCGCCAATCCCAGCGCGCCCAGCCCAAAGTATGATGCCATCTACGGCATTCGGCTCTCCATATAACATGGGAATGGATTATGGCTACAACAACAGTTATATGGGCAATTCGTTTGGCTCTCCATACGGAATGGGCTACGGTGGTGGATACAATAACATGTACGGAAACTCAGTGTAAGGAATGAAATCCACTTTTTTACCTTATTCATAATAGATATGTTTTATATACACAGTTTTTAAATATTTGAAATGATTTTTAACTTTTAGGTACCCATCCTACAACAATGGAATGTACGGTCCTTCTCCCGAAAGCAACTTCATCAGAGTCGCAGAAGGTAATCTTACAACAATCCTACAAACTTGTAAATAATGTAAACACGTTACCATACAAATCTTACTTTACTGGTTTTAGAATCGTCCAGAAATGCATTCCAATCAATAGAATCTGTAGTTGGAGCAGTTACATCCGTAGCCAACATGTTGAACTCGACACACAATGCCGTATTCAGTTCGTTTAGAGCTGTCATTGGTGTAGTTGAACAGTTCGGAGGTATGAAACGACAGGTAAGACTAAGTATAACATCACAATTTACGCAAAAATATTTTTATCAATGTTTAAGTTCGTAACCAATAAAAAATAGTATGAAAATAAAAATAACCGCTAACAAATACCCATTCAGCTAGCCGCCGTAGTTTCGGTAACATTATTCAGATGGATCCGAATAATCTGGAGAAAGCTGCTAGTCTTCCTTAAATTGAAACCAGCCAACTACGCATCTGTAGACTCGATCTGGACTGACATCCAATCAGAACGTAAGCCGAACTCAAGTTTTATTCATTCTTTAGCATCTCAATCCATCGGAATCAGCTGGCCCGCCATCTTATTCTGGCTGGTAGCCCTTGGTGGACCCTATCTGATCTACAGGTGTGTCTCTCAGATGGTGAAGACACTAGAAGAAAAGCAGAAATGGGCTACAGGAACAGCTGAACATTACACAGCAGAAGCCTTGTATGACTTTGCTCCTCAATCACAGCAAGAGTTGGGCTTCCAGAAGGGAGATCACTTGAGAATCGCCCCCAAAAGTGAACAACCCAGAATCAGCCAGTGGATTCTGGCTGCATCAGAAGACGGCCAAAGAATCGGGCTAGTCCCCATCAACTATGTTAAGGTTACTCAAAAACCCACAAACACTCCTCCTCGCAGTATCTCTCCCCAACTCCCAAATAACTCTGGTGTTCCCTCTATGTCCTCTACACAACCTCCAGAATATACTCTCAAGCAAGCATACGAAGGCGTCTTCAACGATCAGCGAAATTTTTAATGTAGATAAACATCAGATATTAAAATAATTGTTACCTAAATAACAAAAATCGTCATTAAATTTACTTACGAGTTTTGCTTCTGCCTTTGAGCCAAACTTCTCCATCAGCGTAGCCAATAGCCGAGTTCGTTGATCTAAATCTTCACCTCTTTCTCACCTCCTTTGATTCAAGCACATAAAATTAAAAAATTAACTTTTTTAAACATCAACTTACTAATACTTATCATCACAAAACCAACCTACTGAAAATTGTAACAGCTCCTTCAAGTATTACCCAAAAAGAATTATGTCAACTGACACATGTTATGTTATTCTGAAAAATATTGGTTTCCTGGAGGATGATCTCTTCAAAATTTTTTACAACGTCTTTTTTCTCTATATAAAGTGTCATTATGACGCCTTTTTATCAAAACGTGTCAAAATTACAGGTTTTATAAATTTTATAGAAAATACGTCATGATTTACAAAATATGTCACAAATCCCAATTTTATAAATTTTGAAAATAATATCTATAATAGATATTAGGCCCAAAAGTATGTGCTCAATTTCAATTAAAAAATGCAAGTTCGTTTCCTAACCATAAGTTTATTGGCAAAAGCACAAGTCTAGGCAATAGATGGAGATCAGCAGACGTCCTTTTTGTACTCCTCCACAAACTTGACGTAGCGAGCATCAGCCGGGTCGTAGTTCTTGTTGCGCTCGCAGAAGTAGTACAAGATGACACGGTGGACAAACAGGTATTGCTAAAGTGAAACATATTACCTTTTCATCTATAAAAATAGTTTTACACAATAAATTAATAAAATAATCATTTTAGGTAATAAACCATGTTATTTTAGGTAAAAAATAAAGAAATGTTAAAGTCTCAGAACTTACACCTTCGTTTTGGATCGAGTACGGGCGCGAGTTTCTGATCTCGCGGAAGATCTCGGCCATTTCCTCACAAGGCTGGCCTATCTGAAAGCGCTCCATAATGTAGGCGATCGGCACAATCGAGCCAGTACGACCGATGCCGGCGGAACAATGGACGACAATGGGCTTATCGCTACCTCTGACGGATGACAACAAGTTGAACACCGTGTTCAGTCCAGTTGGTACTCCACGGTCAGGCCAGTCCACCCACTGGTAGTGGCGGACCTCACGTTCGTTCTGCTTGCCATCCAACTTCCACTTAATTGTCAAAAAGGTACGGACAACATTTTGTTCGTTAGGTAATAGATTGTTATTTGTATGGGTTACGGTAACTTTGTCCCCATCGTACTGTACCGTCTGACCTACTTGGGTGGGCCAGTACGGGGCACACTTGTCCATGCCCTTTTCGATGCAGTTGCACAACATGATGATGTTATCGGACTCTTCTTGAATAATCATCCGCCAGAAGTCGGCTACAGTCGCTTCCAGAGGCCCCTAAAGGTACAAAATGTAAATAACATTACAGTATATCGTGTATTTCAATTATATTATACTGAAACTGTAATACTTTGTAGTAGACCTACCTGCGTACAAATGTAACGCTTCTGAGAGCGTGGAGTTGCCACGTAGTTGGCGTGGATAAAGTCGTACGGTAACCCAGGCCACTTCAAGACGACTCTGGCTGCTTCTTGGCACGGCACGGGTAGCGACATCGGCCGGCCTCCCAATTGACGTTGAATTTCTTCACATCCATGTCCTTGGGGCAGTAGCGCTTCAGCTCAGCGAACTCGGCCTGAAGAGCTGCAACTCCACGATCCAGAGTTCGGTAATACCACTTCCTGACATGACCCGCCGATTCTGGTGCCAAAACGGCTTTCTGCTGAAGATGTGAAACATTAACTCAATTTTTATTTGAAAATATTCAAAAAGCAAAAGATCATACCTAAAATAAACAAAAAATCTGGGTTAAAAGCAATTAAAACCCATGAACTAAGAAAATAATACCTAAAATAACATTTATAAAGGAGTAGGTATAATTACAAGCTGCGGTTCATCTTTGGTTGTTTTCTCCAGTCGAGACTTGCCACCTTTGGAAGAAGGACCTCCCTTGTTCTTACCTCTGAAAAGTTTAAAGTTCAATACAGTACACAAAATATAGCCTACAATTAAAATTGACACTCAGAGAAAGTAGGGCACCAAAACAAAAAGTAACCCACACTATACTACAGAAATCGAAAATGTTACAGGTATGTAAAATACATAAAATGCTAACAAAACAGTCTTAATATTGTCAAATATACTATAAAATAGTAACAAAAACTCCACGAAATGAAAGGCGAACATTAGATATGAACCCTACCTACATCATGGTATCTAATACACACAGAATACATAAGAAGATAGTACTTGCCCTCCTCCCTTTGCGTCCTTTTTCTTCATTCTTTGATATCAGACGTGACTGGTTTGTAATTCTGTTTAGAATGAGCAGTTTTCCAAAGTGATCGGTCGATTAAATACTCCCGTCATGCTAATTTTCGTACTCTATTTTAGTGCGATTCCGGGGCATAAAAAATCCACAATAACATTTTTAAATACTTCTAAAAATGTTACATTCCACTAAAACAATATTTTTGCACTTTTTATTGTAATTTCAAATAATAAATTATTTATTTAGACTGAACAAATAATCAGAGATCCGTGAAGACGGCTTTGAACTCCTTCAGGAAGACAATCACGTTCCTGTAAGGCGTTAGCCTGTTCATCGTCGCGCTATCTGGCCTTTTGGCCATACTCATCATGGCCCGCTTCTGCTCACTCGTTTCGTACATGTCACTCCCACCTTGGAGACATTTGGCCTTGGAGTTGACAATGTGAACGGCCAAATGTTCTTTCAGAATCAACGATGCAATGTTGATTAGGTACAGGTTGCAGCGCTCACAAAGTTGCAAAAAACCACAAATCTTCTGAAAGTTTAAACTGTTACTGTAATTACAGTAACTTTTATGTATTTTTAGGACACACTTTTATTCTTACATGCCTGTAAGCAAGTCTGATTAGTATTATATACAACTTACGTGATCATCAAAAGCTTCGTAGCAAATCTGCATCGACAGTAAGATCAGAGAAGCCGCTACGTGCTTGATGCGATCCAATGTTATACTTCGTATCAGAATCAGGAATATCGTGTGCATAAATATGATTACTATGTAAACGTACAACTGATCCTTTGGCAGCAATATCAATGTGTTTTCCTGTAAATATACCAGAAAGTCCAATAAGTTGTGTTAAAGGATAAAAGAGTAATAACAACTATAACTTACGTCAAAAACAATATCAGGAAACACCGAAGAAACGCCATCCAGAACTTTTGAGACTTCTGACTCGTTTTCGAACAGATCCACAAAGATCTTCAAAGCACTTGTGTACCTTCTTAATGACACATTTACCTATAAGCATACTGTAAACCTTTTAATCAAAGATTCGACCGAAATTTTAAAAAGAAAAGATGTAGTACTATAGTTATTTACCTGTAGCAACTGAACATCCAGCAACTTTTGCTCTTCTGAATTCTTGGTCGTCTGAATACTGAGCTTGATAAACTTGTCAGCCAGCTCCATCTCCCCACCAACCATCAAAGCCTGAGCCACGACATGAAACCCGTTTTTTACGTCATCTAACAGCAAAATGTTCCGTAAGTTTGGCTCAATCTGTAAAATTAAGCCTTTTGAAACCATTATAAATTTACACACAACTTTTTAGTAAGATAGTAATTACTCCCAGTTGTTTATTAAGCCAGGTATCCGTGCTACCTGTGCCGATTTTTTCGACCCCCGCCCCCAGACCAAAAGTCCCCGCCCGGCACTGGTTATAATTATTACGATTGTTTCAACCAAACCCTAGTCTTAGTTTTCTCTTAGGCCCAATAATTGCAAAAAGCCTTACCTGAACAGTCTGTAAGTTGTTGTACTTTTGGAAAGCTTTAAAAACATTCCTTGCTACAGTTAATGCATCTTCGTATAACCTAGACACAGCTCCCAATGTCTTTTTTGTTTTGATAGGTCCAGGTTTAGACTGCATTACCACATTCTTCCAGTACGTTTCAATCGCTCGTAGTGACATATCGGTGACATTACCAGGAATACATACAAAAATGCCATCCTCTAAATAATAAATTTTAAAAAAATTAATTTAAAATCGAATAAAACATAATAAAAACTACAAATAGACCTACCTTCGCATGCAGAATGTACAAAAGTTGCAAACTGAATTAAAAACTTAGAAAGCTCCAAATCCAAGTGTACATCAACATTATTAATCAAGGCTTCGCTTATTTGAACATAACTAGATGACTCCAAATCAGTTGACATTAGCTTTGCCATCTGTGAAGGTTGTTCTTGGCTAAAGATACAACAACATAGTTTCAAAGGAATAGTCCATGAATCCTTAAGTCTGGGAATAGCGAAACCAAATTCATTAATAACATCAAAGAACGACTCCTTCAGAAGACCAGCCGCATCGGCAACACAACATTTGAGTAGCAGTTGTTGAACAAACAAAGCTTCGTCTTTAGTATAATCTCCAAGGTTCTGATCCATCAGATGTTTATGTAAATGAACTAAAAATAAAAGTAAATGTAACAAAAACGTCAGTGATAACTTACACCAAATTAAGTCTAATGGAGATGTGCCCAACACAAAGTTGTTCCCAAGTTTAGCTCTTTCAGATATGTATTGATCATACAAAGCACGCTAAAGTTAGAAAAATCAAAAAGATAACAGAATAACACCTAAAAATACACATAAAAACACAAAAGCTACGAAATAACGTACTCCAACTTTTTTGAAACCGACAGACGGATTCATAGCCAACAAAACCAGCTTTTTGATTCTAGAAAAAGAAGATTCATGTGTTTGAAGTAATGGATCCAAAAACACGTTTGGATTCAAAGAATTCTGGAGTTCTTCCAAGAACTTTGTCCCCTTGTTATTCTGCATTGCACTATTTATCTTTTCTGTGCATAACTTTCTAAAGTCAACCTCGTCTCCGTGCATTTTGTACAAGTACTCCGTCAGACCCACAACATCTTTCACTGATTTGTGTTTTAGAGCCATTTCCAACTCTAAACTCTAAAAACAAAACAGTATATAAAGTATGCCAACTTACCTTTATCAACTTAGCAGGAATAGTCTTGTCTGCTTGAGCCGTGAGCAGCTTGGCCTTTGCTGCCCAGTAATTGCAGTTTCCATTTAAAAAACTTTTTAATTGTCGATATTGTTCATTAACCTTTCTCTCCTGATTTTCTCTCTTTATCTTGTTTTGATGTGTTATTTCGGCATTCAATGTCATCGCTAAAATCTAAACTGATGTACAAGATCGTCTTTATACACGGTTGCACGCTAAGAAAATAAAGAAAAATCAGAAGTATTTAGTAAAATTCTGTTCGTAAATAACAAAAAAACCGTAAAAACAAATGAATCTTTCCTAAATATATTGATAAAATTTTATTTTTCTTTGTTCTTTGTGGTAATTGTGCTATAAAGTTAATTTGTATAATAAAATTTGTAAAAATAATCTAACAAAATTTTGTTCTGAAGAGACAAAATGGGCGCAGATCGAAAGAGACCTTGTTATACGAAGAAACAATTCTTCTGTCGAAATAAAACTCGACAAAAAATTGTTACAGATCAAATTAGAATTGTCTAGCAAGTTGATGGTCTAACAATGGATTTGCAGTAAAGGTCGGTTTAAATAATTGATTTTTTATTATTTTTTCAAAATTACGCGGCACATTACGGTTTATAGCACGAAAGCCCAAAAACCTTTTCAAAAATTATTTACCAAATATTTATGTACAAATAGTAAAATCAGTGGTACAAAATAGTTAAAAAGTTTAATATCTGTTCTGTCTTTGGCAATGTGAAAAACTGAAAAGTGTTATCAAAATATACAATGGATAATATAATAACTATGATATGACTAATAAGTAAGGTAGCAATGCTAGAATCTCTATGGCAGTATAGGTACATGACTAACAAGATCTAACAGTCCGAAGGACCCAATGAAGTTGACAATGTGTTCGAAATGACGGTATACTTTGGACGGATTAGGTATTCTGATGTCTTTGGAGGATTCTTTGATAAGTAGCAGTAACTTCAGCTTCGCGGCTTCTGCTTTCTCGACCAGCATCAGAGCGGATTCTTCTTCCTCGCCTGGAGTCAGGAACACGATGATTCTCTTGTTGGGATGGTCAAAGTACCTGCAGTGCATTCCCAGGTCATTGGTCGATTTGACGTATTTTATAAAACGAGTGAAGTTGAGGTCCTTCAGAAGAGCTTCAACCCGTGGTTCTTCGTGACCAATCTCTTCCACTCGTACCACATTCAGCATGGCTTCCAGTTCGTCGAATGTCATGTCTGACATCAGAGACTTGAAGGAACTTGCATCACCTCCAGAATCGTTTTTGGTGGTGAACAATGTAGTTGTGTGTGGTTTCCTTGTTTCACTGGCAGTTTTAACAGAATGTAGTCGTTTCCAAAGGGAATTGATGTAGCAGATCCGGTCGGCTTCATCCCGGACGAAGGCATTCAATTCTTCCTTTTTGATTTTGGCACTTTCTTCAAGTAGATGTTGTAGACGGCGTTGTTGATTCGATAGGTAATGGACATAAGTAACCTGGAACAATGATATTTATTGCTTTCGGCTTTGATCATAACTGTTAATAACATTTCTTGTCACATTACACTTACCTGTTCTGGCGGTAGGACAGCATCACTTTGTCTTTTGAGTAACCCATCGAGGTAAGCTTGGTGATGTCTCCTCATAGGTGACTTCTGGATAGATAAACGTTCTTTATCGTGGCTAGAAGCATCAAACGATACGAAAGAGTTGTCCGAGCCCTCAGGCTGTTTCCACACTTCATCCATCTTGTCTGAAAAGTTGAGTTTTGTCAATGATCCTCCGAAGCGTTTAGATGCGGCTACAGTGCTGAAGACGACGTCACTGTTTCGTCTTGTATCTGGCTTCCGGGTTTCTGCTGATACTGATCGTAACGTCATTTTGGACCCAATCAAGGATTCGTGTTTCTGGAGATTTCCACGTTCGATCGGGGGTTCTGAGCCGTTCTTGGCCCTCGCCTTTGCCATTTCTTCTCTGACAGCATCTCCACTGAAGTGTCGTCGCTGTTTTGAGGATGAGGACCGTTGTTGTTTAGGTTGTAGTCCCACATCGTACATAAGCTCGTCTGTGGAGAAGGCTATCAGTTCATCCAGCGCTTTGATTTCTTTCTCTTTCGATATCTGATTCCGGAAGATTTCCATCCTGAAAAATTGATAATTATACCTCTACCGTATCTATAGATTCACAATGTATTAGATTTTATGTGTCTTACCTACTGACATGTGTTCCCGAAGGAGGTTGAGGTTGATCTGTGAGAACGTTGGGACGTTCCACTCGAGTAAATTCACCTCCAGTACCACTAGCATTGGAACTGTTGGAACCAGAATAAGTTTGCTCCCTCATGGCTACAGAGTAAGCTGTTGAAATGCTTTCAGTAGATGTCGCCTTTCGTGTGAACTCTCCACTACCAGCTCTTCGCCGCATTACAGCGTCATTTCCACTGAATTCTGAAGAAAAGATAAACTAAATATTGTTTGGTGGTGAGATTGAGCAACAACTGTTGTGTTATTTTAAGTATATTTTTAAGTAGGATTACTTACTGAATTCTTCCGCTACCATCACTACATACAGCTTCAGGTCAATCCTGTGAGAATGAAGAAACTCTGGCTTGGTGTCGTTGAATATTACGGTGATCAAAGTGTATCTGTGGCCAGTGATCTCACGCGACTCCTTGGATACCAACATGTATTCGTTGGCTTCTATGTTCTTTATTCTCACCACCTCCCATCCAAACTGAGCTTCGTTGTTGAGGAAATACTCCCACACAATATGAGCTGTTACCTTCAGATCTTCGAACGATGCTCTCTCTTCGTAGATACAGTTCAATGCGAATGGAGGGCGACAACCATAGTATTGTAGGAAGTCGATCAAGAAAGCATTTGTGTTGTAGCCACGATTGAACAGGACTTGTTGACCTCCAGTTAGGTACTTTGATACCATCCGAAGATGGAAGTCATAGGTGAATGAGTGGACATGACAACGTGCGATGAGGTCGTTCTTGATTAGTTCAATCTGCCTCATGTCATCCAGTTGTTGTTGAGGTATCGGTTGGTCGGATTGGAAGTAGTCACCGAGTTGGGAGGCGTTCCAGAACAAAAAACGTACCTAAAATAAGTTTTTTTAGTACTATTAAAACAAATGGTATTAAAAACGTTTAAAATAGGTAAACATTCCTCAACTTACCGCAAAGTAGGGCTCGACGAATGTGACGTGAGCAAAGATGACTCCACCCGGTTTTGCCAGATATAACCAGACATTTGGAGCTTGGGTGCATTCGGCTGTGTACCCGAGATTGTAGGATTGAGTGTGAGCTTCCGAATGGATTCTGAGAAGTTTAAGACCGATTAGTTGGAGGTAGTTGACATAGTCTTCCACCAACATGTACTGTATCTTGATCATGCAAAACTCATCTTCGATCTTCGGATGGCTGAGTACTGAATGTAGTGGTGCTGAATTCACCATGTTGACTGGCTTCTTGTGGATTTCATCTGGTGGCTCCAGGTTCTTTTCGGTATGAGAAAACCTACAATTTGTTAATATTACAGTAACTTGGACTATGTTGATTTTTATCTATTAAATTACGGTATTTATTGTTAGCCAAACTTACGTCATTGTTTTCGACCGGTTCTTGGGAGTTGAGTCACTTGAATTCTTGACTCGGAACGATGACTTAAGAATGCTGACGTTCTGTTTTTCGTCAGGCACAGCCTTTTTAGAAGTTGTCAGGTTGGGGTAGCTCGTTCTGACTCCTCCGTCGGCTGCTATTCCTGATATATCAACATGGCTAGCGAGGTTCTTTCTGATCTGAGCAATCTGATATCTCCAACTTGTGAACAACAACAAAGGAGATTGGACAAAGTGTGCGTGATGTGAACGTGACGTGATTCGTATTAAGGCGTCTTCTTTCAACTCTCCATTGCCATTCATCAGTCGTTTATGAATTTCGTCGAATAAACGATGATCATTCAGCTTGGCTCTCACATCTTCTCTTAAGGTTAACATCTGTTGAGTTTGGTCTTCGAATGGATCGGCTGAGAAGTTTTTGGCCACAAAAGCGGAGTCTAAAACATGAGATACTGTTTTAACCGTTTGGCACATATTATAATCTCTGTCAGCATCATTAATAAACCATACTTTGCATTTTTAAATAACTTACCAGAGAACCTGTAAAGCTTTAGCAGCAACTGAGCGTATTTCTTGGGTATTTTAGAGAAGTCTGGGTATTTGACATCATCAGGCGGATAATCGTTTCTGACTAGAGTCTCAGGGTTCTGCCACGTTAACGATAAGTAGGTATTGTAATCACTATTCTTCAACGTATTCAGGTGAGTGATTCCCATTTTGTGTAGCCCAACTTCTCGTAACAGGCGACTTCTGGCATTGTGCCACAATACTGTTCGCTTTACGACCTCTTTGGCTTTGGAACACAAGTCTTTGGTGTAGTTGTACAAGAACATGGTGATGGTCTCGCCTCTTGCGAACAGGTACAGCATTCTCCTTCTAGGACAGTTACTTTCTTGGACTGGATTGAAGCGTTGGATTCGGCCTGCAAACACGGACATTGATTGGGTTACAATTATGTAACCTTTAGATTATAGGTATAAAAAAATATATTTGAAAACAACAACGCGTTTAATAATACTTACCCCCAGTGCCATCATCGTACATTCTGTTAGAAGCGTAAGACTGTCGGTTGTCTTTTGGTTTCTTGACCAAGTCAGTTAGCTGTTTCTCGTGGTATCCCACCAACACCAGCTCGATCTCTTCATCTTCATCAATGTTAATGGCTCTTCCCAAGTCAACTTCTATCGGTTCTAACAAGTTGTTGACCGAATTCAGGGTTTTCAACTTCCTGCCTGAGGGAGTAACGTATTCTGAAGACTGTACTCCAGGAGTTGGGGCCACACATTTGCATATGGCCAGCCTTTCGGTTTTGAATATTGGCCGTAATCTGTCGTACACAACCTATAAAATAGTATTTTGGTTGACTACTGTAACTTAGCATTTAGCACGACACAATATAAAGATCTTGGTCTCGTTTCTCTTTACCTGAACAATTTTTCTGGCTGACCCATCACAGTCCAACATAAGAGCACATCTCTTGACCGTACTCTCCATATGTATCTCATTTTTGGTTTCATTAACCGAGAATTCCAGCCAATCAGCAGCAGTTTGAGCAAAGTCTACTTTCATCCAATCCAAAGGTATAGGAGACGCAGTTGGGGACTGACGAGATGGAGGCTGGGGTGGTGGAGTCGCTATGGCAGTCTCTTTTTGAGTGGATTGCCTCGGTCGGGTAGGGGATTGCTCCACCTTAGCTAAATTGGCTACAGCATTCATAGCTGCCGTTACTACGTTTGAAGATGCATGGGTTCCCATCGAAGCCAGCCGAGGAGGAAGTTGCACTTGAGCTTGGAACTGAGATTCGTCCATTGACTTGCCAAGAGTTGCGGATACAGAAGCGTGGAGTGCTGGCGATACTTGTCGTGCATTATCTCCTCCCCCGCTTCCACTCGAACTTCTGTTCACGTTTGTGATACCGATTGTGCTTCCAAAAGGACTTTGGTCTCTCGGAGGTGCATTACCTCCACTTGTATTGGGTTGGTTTCTGCTTATAGAAGATGGTGGGGTCATGTTGTCTTCGTGTTGGTAAAATCCATAGATACCCATAGCTGTAGAACTAAGAGCCGGGGTAGATCCTTGAGGTGGTGTCGGGTGAGAACCATCGGATTTTACAAAATCGTTGGAACCACCTAAAATGATATGCAAATTATGAATTATATAATAGCCGAATAATATAATAGCAAAGATGTGAACCTTAATAAAAGTATTTCACGTTACCTGATGAAGGATTAGGAGAACTGGGCTGATCGTATCTGTAGTCAGCAACAGCTGCAGCGGTGACTTTACTCATGAATTCGTCATCAAGTTGTAATGCCATCCTGTTAAGCGGTGGGTTCGGCTGACTTTGAGGGTGTAATTGGTGAACTGGAGATGGAGGACATTGCTGTTGTTGATGGGACTGTAGATTGTGATTAGAAGTGTCAGCTGCCAGTCGGCGACGATCCCCAAGTACAGTATGTCTTCGATGCCCCCCGATCTGTTCAGGTTTTGACTGAGAGATCTGTTGAGCTCTGATGGCTGCGATTTCCTTCGGATCTGTAACACCCTTCAGAAGCTGTGTGTTTGTGTTGTGAACATTGAACGACCCCGAGTGTGATATAGCTCCAGTAGGTTCGAACATTGTCATAGCCAGCAGCCCGTACTCTGTTAGCACGTCACAAACTGCTTGCTTTATCGTCACCATGAACTTGTCGTTCAATTCTTCTAGATTAATGTTTCCATTTTGCCAAACATTCAGTTGGAACATGCCATTATGACCAGCTTGACTAGTAGGATCTTCTACTTTTGTACAAGTAGCCAAATTTCTGAGATGTGCCATTCTTTGACGGAATGTGAGTTGTAAAGACTTCTGAAGGTAACTGTTCAAAGGATTCATATTCTCGTCGTCCGATTCAATTTGAGTTGGATTCGATACCCATTCCAAATTTGAGTTCAGAAGCTTGACTTCAATACAGGCCAGTCCAACATCTCGTTTGCCTTCGCCTAAAATATTGATTTTTAGTATGATTTAGGCATTTCCTTACTCGTTTAACATGTTTACAACGTAAAAACAATCATACCCGGAGGTTTGTTAAGCAAGTAGAACTTGGGAGTGTAGTCAGTTGGGTTCTTCGGCATCCCCTTAAGCACATAAGGACAAAAAGCCCATGCCATTGAATGATGATGAGTTCGACGACCAGAAGGATTGGGAGAATGTGGAGCCATAACACTGAAAGCTCCACTTTGTTCTCGAACGTGTGGCGGAGTACAGAAAGTCTCAAGTTGTTGCTCAACGTACCCAATGAGAGCACGCTGAAAGATGGTGACTGACTCTGGAACGGCATAGAAGTAAACTTGAGCTGGCTGTTGAGGTTCACGTTGGATGAACTTAGCGTCGCTAAAGTCTAACCGTACTTGTGCGTTCTTGGACAGTACGTTCTGTATCTCCTCCAAGGTCTTAGTGTCGAGTTTCTTTTGTAACATATCTCTCATGCCTTCAGCCACATCTTGGGATGGATTCTGGATACCGTACACCGCCCACAACACATGGCTGCCAGGCCGTGATCTTAATGGCATTTGGGGCCGTTTATCAGCAGTTACATTCTCGAATTCTGATGACAACTGTGACTCGTCACAAGAGAATATCTTCATGTAGATCACATTTCCATTCTGTTCTTTGTAAACATACATATTAGGTCGATTTCTGACGGCAAATTGCTCCAGCCCCATCCGAATGGCCTTTAGCCCTATATCGGTGCCGCCACTGTGTAGCCGATTCGTCGGTTGCAGTCGAGGATGAATTTCGAACCAGTGATGCCAGACAAGATCACAAGCGAAGTAGCCCGGAGGGTATTTGCATCTGGCATAGTGCATCCACTCCGTGTCCAGGATGCCTTCATCGTCGTTCTCTGACACTGGAAAGTCTTCTTCGTCTGAACTCTTGTCGTTTTCCGTCTCTGATGGCAGCCGCATGAAGTTGCGGACATGATTGCCCATCCTTTCGTGGGTAAAGAATGTCACTTGGCGCCGTTGCTGAGGTTGACTGTTTGCACTATTATGCTTTTCGATCACGTCTGGGCTGTCGAGTAAAAGCTGATCGCACTCTTCTGACTGGTGCAGTTGATTCAACAAAAGTTGTTGATTAACAACTTTGATTTGCTTTTCTACTGCTGAGACAGCACAGTCGAACAATGTTTTGTGTGGAGAGTTGTAGCGACAGAAAGAGTAGACCGAAGTCTTGTACTGATCTCCACGACGAACATGGACTAGAAGCCAGAAGTCGTGGCGGTAAGCTTGCTTTTTGTCATTCAAAGTCTTGTGTGAACATTCGTCAGAACTGACATCTGAGTTCTCATCGTACACTCCTGATTCCTTCAGCCAGTCGATAGGAAACCCGTCTTTGACTTTGCCACTGCCTCCAGAAGTGTTGTTTATGGTGTTATGGGGTACTATTAGCGCCGCTTCTCCTAAAATATTGGGAACTTTAAGCTATAAGTGACAAAAATACAAACAAGAAAGATAATCAAATTTTAATAAGAATTCTTAGTATCAAACACCCACCTGAACAAACTTGATCTTCCGCTATTAACGTGCCGCAATCACTTCCTACAAAAAATCCGTCAGTCTGGCTCATTTGACTGTCAGAGCCTGAGGAAATGACACGAATGTCATCTTCATCTTCGCCCGACGTCTCCCCTTCGGCTTTCGACGCTACAGATGATGTTCTGTAGAAGCTGTTGGCCGAATTGTATCGTTTCATTTGTCGTTTCAGCCTACTTCTTCGTCCAGCCAGGTCGTTACCTCCATGCTCTGTGTTGTTATCTTTGTCATTCAGAGGCTGTACCATGTCGATGGTTTCTGTTTCGCTTTCAGAAAATTCAGATGAAAACTCACTTGACGACTTCTGTTCAGGTACGTTTCGTACTACAGTTTCCAGTACCAACCCGCACGATGAAGCTCTGCTTTTTCGTGTAGCCGAAGAGTTGGACCGTTCCTCCAAAACTTCCTCTAGCTTCTCAACGTCGCTAACAGAAGAAGCGTAGAAGACAAATGGATTCGGATCGTCGTCAAACAGAGTCTGAGAAGAAAAATATTCTTCTGGCATCCGGAAGTCAGAACCCGGATTCTGAGGATCGTATTGTCGTAGCTTTACGTACTCAATGTTTAGTCCATTAAGTCTTTCTCCAAGTCTTCTGACGCCATCTTCTACATCTCCGATTAAGACCAAACGTTGTTCATAAGCTTGGAAGGTGGCTTCTGGGTAGTTGACGATGGCAAAAGGTTCGGATTCTGTTGGCCGTGCTATTTGGCTAATAAAGCAGAACATTGAGGATAACATATCCCATGTTGGTTGTGGTGCTGGAGAAGGTTGTTCACATAGTCTACCGTAGTCAAAGAACAACTCGGTCGATATTAATCGTTTCAGAGCTTGATGAAGTTGTGTTATGGCAGCATGTTCTACTTTTGGCAGCTGGTTCAAGAATTCATTGGCTCTTCTGAGACCTTCTTGACGTTGTTGTACAGGCATATAGTCTGCGTCCTGAATAACTACATTACATTCCTCCTTGTTGCTGTCATTGTCATCTTGATGTTTGCTGGAATGTCTTGTCTTCGTACCATATTTGAAGTCATCCTCCATCTCTGCCATGTATTGTTGGTTCTCTTGATATCGAGCATAAGTCAAGTGAGGATCCGTCAATCGAAAGGGTGAATTTGTAGGTAACGGCCACGACAAAATGTACATATCAACCATGACCCGTAGCTCAGTGTGTGAGTTGATTCCTTCACAAATTGGCTGTAGTACTCTGATGTCACACTTCTCTGATATCTCTCGTAGACAATTGGGCACATCTGCTACTGGGAAGCTGTCCATCTCTCCTTCTGGTCCAATAACGGCGATGGAGAACTGAATGAAAAGCGGCCAGATGTCAGCAGCTGACAACTGGATGACATCGTCGTCTTCGTACTGTAATGATGGGATCGTATTCCGAGCGTCTAATCTGCTTGTGTGGTCTCGTTTGGCATTGTCTCCAACAGCACGGAATACGTCTTTGAAATAGCCTGAAAGTTAAACGTTTCTTATCCTTTTACGACGTTTTGCGGAATTAAAACTCTGTTATATTTTAAGATTATCTTACTTGAAACATCGTCTACATTCTGAAACCTGATCACAGGCTTCCCATGAGGCCAAAAATAGTAAAAGTCTTGTAACCCTGGAACCTTCTTGAAGTGATACGACGACAATAACCGTTGGAAACAATCCTTCCATTCGTTGAATTGTGATAAACATCCGTTGAGTAATCTGAAGTACTTCCTTGAATCCAGACTTCTCATGATTTCGGGGTCAGGCAATGGAGTTAGAGTAAGCGGGTCTAGGTCCACATTGCAATTAGTCAGTTTGTTCGGGATGGTCTCGTAGATGTTCATATGAATACACTTGTCCTTCATCATAGAGTGAATCTGTCCGACCTCCAGAGAAACGTGTTCCGACCGGTATTCGGTCGTTTCTTGAAGCACCGACTTGGGGACATGAACTTGTTGACCGATAGCTACAAAAGTTGCGGCCACGTATGCTTTCGTAAACATGTACTCTTCAAATACTTGTTCCGCATAGCTTTTGAGGTCGAAGGGCTGAAGAGTAAACTCTGGACGTTGGGAACTTGGCCTAGTGTCTATGTCCAAGCCTCTCAAATAGAACTCGTCCAAAGCTTGAGCTAAAATTGATATAGGTTATGTTGCAGATCATACCTCGTTCAAAGCGAATTAAGGCCTACTTTTATAGAAAGCTGCTATATAAACTCGATCAATTTTTCGTAACTTACAATCAGATTCTATTTTTTCCCGCAACTGTTGATTCAGTGATGCCAACGTGCTTATCTTACTCTTGTTGATGAAGTCTTCCACGATGATTTCTGCATTCTGTAGCTTCCCAAACCCGTCTTCTACAAACCGTTCGGCCATACGAAGCTTGTCTACATAATACGCCATTACTGGGAAACCAGTTGAGCAATGTGGCATTAGTAGACGAACTGTTTTGGCATTCTTTGGCACGGCAAAGAACACCAAACGGTGAGGATTCAGCTTTCGAACGTAGATCCCAAAGCCGCCCAAAGGACTTGGGAAACTGTCGCATCGCTGTTTGATGTTGCTTTTCCAGATCTTCGATGGTGCGTGTTGGTTTGACCATACTAAAATGGCTTGATTGGAAAAATGTTTTTGGAAAACTAAAGTCTGTCTTAAAATTTCTAAACCTATGTCAATATTCGAACTAAATTACTTTTTGTGAACTGGAGATCCAGAATACTTCCTGTCCTTCTTCTCCTCCTTCTGTTTCTGACCAGATGCATGTCTGGACTTGTCCCCCGGTCCACTCGGCTTCCGTGATGGACTGCCTTCATCGTAGCCCGCTGACGACCCTGATCCAATATCATTCAAAGAACTTGAAGAGTAAGCAATGGCATCGTTAAATGCCTCCAGCAAGCTCTTATTGACCGTCGGTGAGTCTAAAGTCTCTTTTACCGGCTCCGAAAACGCTGGCACAGAAGTGGACCTCTTCTGAGATGACAGTTCACTTTGAAGACTGGACATGGTCTGGTTTCTGGTGAAGGTTGAGTCTTGACTGGGGTCATTGGCTACTGCGGAGAGAGATCTATTCAATGGAGAATCCACAAATGGATCTGTCTTCTCCTCATCCAGACCTGTGTCTGAATCGTTGGAATCCCTCTCGTTCGTGTAGCCATCGGTTGAGTACTAAAAGGTCAAACTTGATTTCGTTTTTATTTTTCGATTTTAAAAAGTACCCGACCTTAAATTCCATTGTGCAGATTTATAACCTAAGTCAAGCCTATCAGATCACTCCTTAGCTTAATTCCTACCTCCGATCGTGTAGACGTGGCTACTGGACTTCTGACGATGCGGTTGCTTGGTTTTGTCAGCTTGAGTGTGTTTTCTGCATTGATAAGCGTATCAACATCAGACTTGTTGGGTGAATAAAACCTGTTTATCCCAAAATGTTGTTGACAATCTTCCACAAAGTTCCATAAGAATGCGTCATCGAGAGCGTCTACACAACATTCAGCATACGCCGTGAGCTCGGATTGTACATACTTCAACAAACTCTCCAGCCTCGCATCCGCAATCTTACGGTCTTCGTTACTGTTATCAGCTAAAAGTTTTATTTTAACCTAAAACTTGGACTATATTCACATTCCTCAATCACAATATTCTTTCTGATCATCATATGTGTTAATCTCAGTAACCTAGTTAGGCTAAAACATACCGTAGCCCAGAGATGGCATCAACATGAACTCTCTCTGATCTGCGTGATCCATCAGTGACTTGGGATCAAACACTTCTTTGTAAGAGTCCACAGCTCCTGACAGATGCTCTTTCGAGTTGGGACTAGCCACCTTGTCCAAGTTGTGGGCCTCTTCAGCGTACAGCCCGGATTCTGTAGCGTGCATAAGCTGATCGAAGGTAAACAAAGCTCTGACAATTGAGTCATCTTCTTTCAGCAACTAAAACAACATTATTGGTATGCCAATTCTGTGATTGGGTACTTTGTTTCTTATAAAGAAGTAGAGTTTATAAGAAAGTAGTTACAACATAGTGAGGAATGTAGCTTTTAAAAGACAATGTAGGCAAATAAACCAGTTCAAATGAAGAAAAAGAATCTCACTAGCCAAATCCGAGTACAGCGACATTCTTTCCTTCACTTAGACTAGTCCATCTGTATTTCACAGTATTAGATTTAACACTTTTAGTCCACAGTAGATAGAATACACAGAACAGACTCTGTTAAACTAGCAATATCATTCCACCTCTCAACTGCACCCTCTCTCACCTACAGCCAGCCGAAACTAATTTGGTTTTAAATTTAAACAGCCCATGATTCGAAACCAAAAATCATTAATAGCTATTGAAATTTGATCGAATTTACGTTACGAACATTGCTACGTTTGGAGGTATCATTGGGGAGATCTTCCAAAGTTCTTGTTTCATATGCCGCAACGCCTAGACTACACTAAATGTTACATGACTACGTCAGATGCTAAATGTTGCATGACTCACACATGATATTTTGTGACATACCGCCTTGTCTACGTTACAGTACACATAGGTGCACGTCTAAAGCAAGGTAATCTAAACTCTGATTCGAGCCAAACGCCGCTTATTTAAATAAACTCCGGGAATTCAGGGAACGAAATGAGGCTTTAAAAGGGAAACTCAAACCGATCAAACAAAAATTTGAATCAGCGCTTATTTCTCTTCTGTAAAACAGTCCCTCTCCCGAATTGGCCTTTTCGAGAATCGAGACGAAACATGAGGGGGTTACTCCTCGTATCATCACTCTTTCAAGTTATATAGTGCGGAAACCGGAGAGATGCCGGATTACCTGGTTGTTAAGCTGCGGACTTTCACGACTCAGCTACTACAATATTTGGAAAGCACTTTTAGTTAAAACCATAATTTTAAAAGTACATGGCTTCTCACCACCCCAACTGCACTATGGATGGTGTAGCTAATATGCATGGAATGATATTCCTAACAAAACACTGTTATCAACCGCCACTTCTTAACAAAACAAAGTCAACTAAACCCTCATCTCTATCGACAAACATGGACAAGAATGGTTCGGAATGAAAGCGCAGCTATTCAATTTCAATATTCATACAGCCGCATCACAGTCCCGCCCCATCATTTACATGGCCACATATCAAGATCGAGAGTAGCCTCAGCCAACTGTAAGTAAACCACAATGTTTTGAAAAACAAAATAAATTATTGGAGATAAGAATCAAGGAAAGCATTTGCAAGCGACAGACGAACACACAACTTATCTCGCCCTCATTCCCCGCATTCCATTGTCCTGAACAATATCACTCCAAACTCAGTTTTTTAAAATAAGTTTGAAACGTTGCTTCCAAAGATCACATTATTATTATGCTTGATTGCAAAGACAAGATCAGACATTACATTAAAGTACGCTAAATTTGAGAGATCCTCAAAAGACTAGTACAATAATTTGTCAGGCAAAACTTATATCAAAACTGACCTCTTCTCGCTTCGCTCTGTCGATATCAACCAAGTTGATGCCCGCAGGGTCTGAATCTTCGTCATCATATTGGTCTAGGCGACTTTTCGGCTCCAACCAAAGCTCTGTAGCAATCCTTGGCCACAGTTTAGGTAGTTTATCTTTCATTTTCTTTACATTCACACACTCGAAGTTGTCTTCATTGCTGGCTTCCTTGCTGCAAATTATTTTATTTTATTCCTTCAAGTTCAATATTGTTTGTTTGTACGTAATTTTTTAAATTTATATGTTTTCGGTCCAGCTTTGCCATAAATAAGCAAAAAAATTAAAATTTATACACGCTGCATACTTTGAATATTGATCCTCGTATTATTACTGTAATAAGACTCCGTTTTCAATTTTAAAACGAAAACGCGACCATTCCTTAGCCATTTTTTATGTAAATTTTATGGCCAAAAATCGCATTCGATCTGCATTTAAACCGAGAATCGAAATTATTCCGCATCTACTTACGTTTTGTTTGCCAATTCAGTATCTGTATAAACAGGGCCGAACAACACACACTGCTCGACCGTAGTCAGGCCGGTCGTAGCGTTCTTTAATTGGCGCGTCAGATTCACAATCCCATTACAGCCATAGGCAACATTGAAACCTTGTTTTAGCCGTCGACGAAGGACGATTTCCAAAATGAATTCCATCGAATTGCGAGACACCTTCTCCAGCCGAGGAAACACCGGCTTCAGTTCCCAGATCACTCTCCGACAACTCATGTACTTGGCCACGGCATTGTGCATCACCATCTCTCGTATCTCCCAACTGTCGGTCGTATCTTCCAACCGTACAATGTTCGATATGTCAGTAGGTACCCTGCTGTATCTGACCAGTATTCTCTCCAACGGTCGGTTGATTACACGAGCTAACGGGGTTTCGTACGTTCGTTTCGTCTTACTGTATACTAGCTTGTTTCTGTCATCGCACATCCACAGTTCAGCTGATTTGGTCATCAAAATAAAGTTCTTTTGGCCGGACAAAGCACAGATTTTTGATGACAATTCACGAACAACCTAAACAGCACGATTACTCATAGAACCATGGTATCTTTCACTAAAAAATTGAAAAATAAAATAATTGGCAACTACTGCTTACATCTGTTCTTCGACGACTACTCAATCCACCTAAAAATGCTATTTTCAAGATAACACATGGCACGTCAAACACAGCTCTGATTATGTAGAAGTAGTCTGGTGGTTGATCAGGTTTCCTGAAAAACATAATTTTAATAAAATAATAATACAAATTAATCTTAAATAATACCTCAAACAGTCAAATTTAACTTACGACTTGATGAACTTGACAAAGACACAATCCATGACCAGAGTGAAGCTGGTCTCTTTTCCCAAGAGCTCAATCACTCGTCTACTAGAGGTCTGGCAAGTTATTTCGTCCATCGATTTCATTCTGTCATGTTTCGTAAACATTTGGCGAGGTAGAAAGTCATCTTCAGTCAGTAACAATCTTATCGTATGCATGTGAACTAGTTTTTGCCTAAAACTCTTTACAATATTACAAAAGAAAAGTAGGTTAACAAAAATTGAATGACAATCAATACAATAATTTATAAAATAAAGGTAGTAAATGTATCAACATACCACAAGTTCTCATCCACATTGCATGCTGGTGCCCAGAATTTTGTAAAAACTTTGTTGGCTAGCCTTTTCGAAGACTCAACGATACTCAACTGTCCTTGTCTGTACTCAAACAATGCTGCGTTACCGCCATGTAATTCTTTTGGTACTTGATAAAACGCTTGTTGACGATTGAAAGAATGAAACCGGACCAAAAGACCGTCAATTTGCAATAACCTACAAAGCATATTTCAAAAATATAAATTAAAAATTAAAAACGTTAAAATAAATTCAAAGAACTTGACTTAAAGCTAACTACATACCGTAGCACCGTGTTTTTCAAAGGGTCAACATCATTGTGTTCCGTGAAGAACTCCATTTGACCATCAACCAGACCTTCCACAAACATTTCAGCATAAATATGGGCTCTGAACAATAAATACATTATTTTAATTCAAAAAGTAATGTCAAATAATATATGAACATATTCATATCCATAAAATACACAAAACCTACAATTCTTGAAAGTTTTCGACCCACGGAACCGAGATGACATAATCAATGGTAACTCGAGTTTCCCACAGCAACGACAACTGTACCCGCAACATCTCAACATTGTCTCGCACAAACTTTGACACATTCTTGATCGTATACCCTTCTCGTAATCTAATATACAGTAACTTGTACAATGAAGTAAAGTAAGTTTGAGAAAACTTTCGGATCCTGGTAGTTTCGTTGCTCAAGCTCAACATTTCCATTGAGTCCAAACAGCTGGCTTCCATGTCATAAGCACGTTGGAAGTTCCACGATAGAAAAGCACGGTGATAGAAGCTCAGAACTCCGTTTTCAGTATCCGATAGATCTTTTTCGTACAAAAACTGACCAAAAGTAGCTCGGGCAAGAAACCTGAAGTATTTAGGGTAAAGAGTTCGCTTTAAAAGTAATAGAAAAACTAAAAAAAATTCAATTTAAAACTTACTTAAACAGATCAGTAAAGCCGACGTGACCAAGAGAAGGCCCTTTGAGTGAGTACTGTTCTAATTGGATAAAGCTACAAGTAATCGTAAGACTGCGTAACTGTCCTATTAAAGTCTGCAAAGCTTCTCCGTCAGGTATTGCACAGATACCATCAGTAACAATAACAAGATTCGACTGGGTATGTTCAGGTAACATTTGCACGGCCATCAGCCCAAGTCTTATCATGAAGATCAAGGCCCAATCTGACTTTATGAATCCAATAGCTGAGTTGTCTTTGAATTCTTGCTGAAACAATTTTAGTAACCCTTCTCTTAATCCTTCTTTAATAGTTTGCACTTGATTTTCATTATATTACGTATATGCATTATAAAAACTATTGTATTTAATAGAAGTAAGTATTATAAATAGTGATTTATCGCCCCTAACATAGCTTACAGCGTTCTTTGGAAATCCACCGTACTGTCTCAACTGCTCCTTCATACCACCTTCATCATCGTACAAACAAGAAGCTACTTGATTCGCAAACCTTCGAAACTTTCTTCTCTCCGTTTGCCATTCATTCAGATAGGGTTGACAGTAACTGCACAAACCATTGACATACGAATTAAACTTTTTAACAAGATTATTTACAACAAGATCAATCGTCTGTTCAGTCAGTAGTACGCCTTGCAACAGCACCTAAATTCATAACAATCAGAGAATAAAAACTTACACTTTCGTGAGTAAAACATAAAAATGGAGAAAAGGCACAAAAAGTAACGTAGATCTGAGGCCGGAATGGCATGTTGGTACCGGGAAATGTAAACTAAAATCACTTCTTATGAGTATGTATTATACTATGTTACCAATGTTAACTTAACTTGTTTTTTTACTTGCTAATATGAAACCAGGAATCCAATTACCATCACGATGAGCTTGCTTAAACTTACATTTTTAACAACATTTTCTAAGCAAACAGTAACTGTCTTCAAAATCCGCGTATAAAACACGCTTCCAGGACCCGTTTCATCTGTAGAGAACGCTGACGGTGACAAATCCATAACAAAAATCAGCCGATAACAATTAGAAAAATAGGTAACAACAGTTTTAGAAGAAACCCTGACTTCATTGCTTTCTTGATCAGGTTTCTTTGGCAGCCCACCAACCAGTCGAACTCCGTCCCAATCTTCCTGATCGTGAACTTGAGTTAGATCAAAAGTCTTTCCCAAACTCTCGAAAAACCATTTAGCCCTGACGTTCCTAGATACCCGCTGGTTTCCTTCCATCAACATGAACAACTCCTCCGCATCTTCATCCGTCTCCTCCAACCCACTTTTCATTCTGAACAAGGTTGGCCCACAACTCATAATATCATATCATCAAATACATCTTAAAATTCAAAACCATAAAAGTTTTAGTTAAAATATTTATTCGAAAACTTTTCACCAACAGTTATAAGTGATAAACAAGTGGCATTCAACCACAAACCTTTAACAGTGCGCAAAATATATAATTTATTTAATTAAAGTTACAAAATACATGAAAACCACATAAATAATCGTAAATCGACTAGCTACAAGCCCTTGTTATCCCAGTCCGTTATCTTCAAACAATCCTTGTTCTGTCTCCTCATCTTGTAATAAATCTTGAGCACTTATTGCCTTCAGAACTTGTTTCTTACTGCTTTCTTGCATCTCCCCAGCTAATAAAAACTCGTCCAAAATAAAGTACGCCTTCTCGAAGTTAAAAATGATATCCAGCTCGCATACCTGAAAAAATCAACTAGTATCAAACATTAAGTTATTTATTGTCAAACTTAAATATTCGCAAATAAAGAAAAATAAAACATAATACTAAGACTAAGCCTTACAGATCCAAAATATCGATCCAGAAGCTCAACATATCGGTGAATTATCTCCAAACTCAACAGCTCATTATCTGATTGTTCCACAGCGCAACAGAAGTACAACGAAGCATACCTAAACATTATAAAACATAAATAATCACACTTACCTCTTATATACAACCTTCAAGTCTTTGTATTCCAAGAAAGAACACATCTTCGGCTTTCGTGACAAAATTAGAGCCACAAGCTCTCTGGTTATCTTCTTTTTTACCTATAATTTGAATAAATCAAGGTAAAGGGCCGTTTACCTTGTCTGGATGTGCCACATACCACTTCTGAAGCCTTAACTTTCCTTGCCGACTAAACAACAACATGTAGTGCATCATTTAGTCAATAAAATAATATTTTAAGTTGTTGTATAAAACAATGTAAATATTATTTTATAAAATATCGAAGAAATACAGAGATTTGTCGTATATAGGGCGCACTTTGAAGAAACTAACAGAGCCACAACTGCACGTGACATTTTATATTTTGTTTCTTTATTTTACAATTTTCCGGTCGATTTCTGATAGATGTTTATTGAACTTTTATATAAATTTATGTTCTGTATTTTAATTTGATGTTATCCAAGCCCGTTGTCTTCGATGAATCCATGTTTGAGCTCTGCCTGTAATTATTGTTGTTATTGGTTTATAATAGTATTTTTGTATTTGTCTGTTATAATATAACTCTTACATCTTGTTTCTCGTCTTGTGCTCGTATTGCTGTAAGTATTAGACGTTTACTACTCTCTTGTACTTCTCCACCGACCAAAAACTCGTCCAATATAAAGTATGCTTTCTCAAAATTGAAAATAATGTCAAGTTCACATACCTAAATTACAAAAAGGAGTTACGAATGAAAATCCTTTGCTTACACTGCCAAAATATCCATCTAACAACTCCACATATCGATGTATTGTCTCTAAGCATATCAGCTCGTTATCCATCATGTCAATCGCACAGCAAAAGTAAAGAGAAGCGTATCTTAAGGTTAATGTTATAGTAAGATGATTATTTTGTAACTGATCTGCTTACAGTTAGATACATACAAGAATTCATATCAAACTGACCTTTTATAGACAACTTTCATGTCTTTGTACTCTAAGAAAGAACACATCTTTGGCTTCCTCGTTAATACCATACCCATTAGTTCGCGTGTCAGCTTCTTCTTCATCTGAAAGTTCATCAGTAAATTCCAGCACAAACAGAACGTGATATAGGTAGGGAATGAAACCAGTAAACTCTTTCAAATTAAGAAAACAATCTATTACAACTTATTGTTACAGTAACGTTAGAGCTAATAGTATACCTTGTCATTCTGAGCGATGTACCACTTCTGTAGCCGCAACTTCCCTTGTCTACTAAACAGTAACATGAACTGCATCATGTTGGAGATAACATCAAATGTAAATAAAACTACTCGAATACTGGCTATGTTGTCATTTCACTTTTCAAATTAAATCTTTTCGGTTACCATGGGAGAAAAGATACGAATATGGCTACAAACCGAGTAATGTTGAACTATGTGAGTAAAATATCGTTATAATGGTTGTTGACAGTAAAATTTAGTGATTTCACAAGTAGAAAACTTTAGTTAACGGTTTTGTCTTGTTGTAAAGTCAAAACTAGTATTATTTACATAAAATGTGATATTTTTACTGTGTCTTTTGAGCTAAAAAGCGGAAAAAATTCTGATTTATTTACAAGTGTCAACGTTAACAGGGTACACAATTATGACATTAAGATGATAATGGTATGTATAACATGTTAGTGATATGGCTTCAGCTGGGTTTTGATCCAAAAACCGGTTTTTTGGTCTGAAAAGAGGGCATAAATCTATAGAAAACTGTAAAACAAGAGTTACTGAATCTGTAAATAGGAACTTACAGAAAGTTTAAGAACTCGTCTTTTAGGTTGTGTGGCAGAGGCATTACTGGCATTAGAAAAGAAGGTGGACTTGAGAGTTGTCTTAGTGTCCACAACTTGAGGTTCAGTAACCAAAAGTTGGGACGAAGTAGATTGTGAACTCGTAGAAGCCTGTGACTGCGAATACATGTTTTTGATAGCCATGAAGTCCTGGTCCGACTTCTTTTTCTTCGCCTCATCGTCTTCTGTAGCTATCGTCAAGTGAGGTCGTTTGCAAGTCGACTTCATAACAGCCAGATTCCTTTCGGCGAAGAACCTTCGAATGTCCGCGAAGGTCTTCTTGGCCTCCAGCTCGGCTTTAAAAGACGATCGCAGCCATGCTGGGTATACGGTAGTTGGCATTGTGCCGTATCTGAAAAAAACTTCGAGATGAATTTCTTGTCTACTAGAAACATTAATCCAATGTTTTAAAAGTAATCTCACCGAGAATCACACAGCAAAACTACCCCGAAGTCGTCTTTGTGTCTGATTACCCTGCCCACAGCCTGGTTCACTGCCCTAATCGCTTCTACACGGTACCACTCTTCTGGATTCATCTCCTTGAATCCTTTGGCCAACCGTTGACCTAGAAACTTCTTCTTCAGTATCACAAATGGATCCTTGACTGGAGGGAAGGGTATTCCCACGATGGCTACAGCTCGACAATGACAGTCCGCGAAGTCGATTCCTTCTGACATCTTTCCTCGACATACAGCAAACAGAATCGCACCCATACCCGATCTGACAGCTAGATCGAACTCTCTCACAACTAAGCTGACTTCCGTTCGATTCTTTGGCTCTACACACAGCTTTTTACACGACTGTAGCTTCTCCCATCTGCTTTGAAGGCCTTTTGAAGGTTTCTAAACTAGGTTAATACGTTAACTAACCATAGGTTGAAATACCGTTTATATTTAAATGTAATACATACCTTCCAAGCATCCAAAAAGTTGTTCATTTGGCTGTAAGAGGGGAAAAAGACCAACATTCCTTGAGGCACATTCTCGGCTAGTCCAGTGATTGCTTCTCCTACTCCATTCAGGTATTCAGCAGAATCTCTAGAATAAAAAACAAGATTATTCTTTAGTTTATGCAGTACATCGACAATTTAATAATGTAAGTTTAACCCACCGATTCTGAAAAGTTCCGTATAAACTAGCTTGATTGAAAGACTTCTGAATTGATCTGACCACAATTTGAGACGATTTGGCAGCGTGATCGTTCTCCAAAACAAATGGAAATGATCTAAAATTAGTTGAAATTATTGTTAATATTTAAAACACCTAATAGCTTTATTTCAAAATATACGTTTTAGCCTAACCTCCCTCATGTCAAACTTAGCCTTACATTCCCATTGAATCCACGAAGTTCTTGATAGGAGCCAACGTTCCAGAAGCCAGTATAATAGACAATGGCTTCAGATTCGCCAGATATTTCATTCCAATCTGCGGGGAAAAACACCAGAAGTCGAGACGATAACATCCAGATTCTGGTTCTGTGAAGTACAACTGGAACAAGTCGTAGACATCGTCGTTCGGAGACTGAGCACCAATTGAGAAAACCCGAGACAAAATCGAGGAAAAGTAGGACAGTTTGTCTTGGCGTTTGGTCAGTGCACCACCTTCGTCTTCTGAAATGTACTGTTTAGTTAGGTTTTTACTTTAAAACAGCAAAATTTATAAAACGTGAGCTAATGTTGTTTTAGATTATAAATTCCTACCCATTTTAACGTTGAAAGATCCCATTTTGTCGATTAAAGCTCCAATCTGAGACGAGTTTGCTGGACTAAATCCACTGTCGTACAATATTTTGACAAACTCTCGTCCTGGAAACACCTTACCAGCCAGATCTGGCACTGTGACACCATTGCCAGCTTGGTCGCTGCCAAAGTTGTCAATGTTTTCCTCCAATTTTATCAGGAATTCTAAAATAATAACAATGACTAAATATAGCCTGAACGTTCAAAACTAATTTTCAGATTGAACCTACTGTAACACCTTTCATTTTGCAAACAGCATACATAGGTTTACAAACAGAAAGTCTTACCTAAAAAGAAAGTAAGATCCTCCTTCGACGGACTGTAACTCTCGTTATCCTTCTTTGAGTCACCTTTCTTATTCTGTTGTTCCATCTGATGAAACATAACTTCTGAATTCTCAAAAGCTTCACGCTTCTCTTCTTGTGCTTCTAGTACAGCCTCTAAACAATCCTGAGCCTCTTTGATGCACAACGCTACGTCTTTAGAAGTTAAAGTCATCGATACAGACGATTCTGCTATTTTACCCTATAAATGTTTAATTTAAAATAAAAAAAGTTTCATTTACAATATCTTTATCAATTCTGAAGTAACGATAAGGTTTATAAAACAAAAAATCAATATACCGTACCAAGTTGTGAGCTTCATCAAATATGACGATGTTGCCAGCAACCTCCAACTTGAAGATCTCTCTGATCTGTGGATCCAGTATGTAATTGTATGGCATTAACAACAGATCTGCACTCTTCTGTAGTTCCCTGGTCATGTAGAATGGACAACTTCTAAACTAGACAATCGCTGATTTTGCACTTGAAAATATTTTAGGTAATATAAAAAGACTTTGGATAAAATAAATAGTTCCCGGCACATTAAGACTAAACTCACCGATGTGTCTGGCCAGCCTTCATAAGATCCTCAATGTCAAGGATATCCCCGTTCCCATCGGCCATAAACTTGTCCATCATACCAGCCATCTTATCAGCCTCATTGTGATAATGACACTTTCTACTGCGAACCAATTGGCGACACATTTGACTCTAAAAAGGTATAATAGTAGTCGAATTCAAATACGTATTTTACACAATACTTATAAGTTAACTATCAAAAAATTTGTTATTCGTATATATTACATACTACCACACGTTAGCTACCACAGTTCGTCAACAAACTGTTAGAGAGATAACTATTACATATAACTACCTTTAAAGAAGAATTTGGTTGTTTCTGCACTTTCTCATTCAAGCATAACTGTTCACGTCCAGCTAAGAATGCAACCCGAGTAGTCCTGAAAGAAATAGAAATTTGTATTTTACACATACAAAGTTAGGCCTATTTTGAGCCATAAGTGTTCCAACTCACGCTTTGTAAATTGTTTTATTCAATTCTCTAACAACTTGTTTTAGCTGAGAATGAGTTCTAGATGCATAGATAACTTGAGGAAAGAATCTCGTCTCCATTATTCCGCCCTTGGCATCTACAACAATATAATTTATTAAAACCTTTAATTTTTACAAGACATCAAAAACCTTACAAAAACATATTTTACATCCAAAAAAGTCAAACCTCAACCTAACCCAATTTAACTCCCTTCTGCATCAACTTCTCGACCTGTTCATGATCCAACCTGAACTTGTTCTTCTGATCTTGAACATAACCAAGCGCTGATACCAACAATGACAACGTCTTGCCTGTTCCTGTCGGACTTTCCAGACATGCATTTTGTCTCTAAACATTCTTGATCAAGTTGTCTATGAATAATTACCGTTTTCAGTGCCATCAAAGCTGTCTCCATGAACTTTTTCTGACATTCGTAAGGTTCGTAAGGGAATTCTAGTGAAACTTCTTTCAATTTCAGCGCCATTTTGAAGGTATTTACATGGATAATATATTTTTTCTTAAAATTTCCTCCAGAAAATCTTTTTACAGATTTTTGTTTTCAAAATCGATTTTCGCGCCAAACGAGTTTCAACTATCGAACGAATGTTAATTTTGACCCAGAAAGCGATAAAATATTTTGTTTTTCGTATTTACTTATCATTTGTGTTATATACCAGATGACACTAAAATTCGATTGATTCTTTCGCTTTGAATTTTTGAATTTTGCGCGCGTTTTTTTTAAATTTTGTTTTTGCTTTTCGGAACGTTGGGGCTACCGTGCCAGGCCGTTTATTCCTTCCGTTTGCAGTCGTACAGGAATAACGTTCGAAATTTGTATTTTATTGACCAATTTAACTGTGCTTCCTTGTTTTGAATAGTAGGTTAATTTACTTTCAGACTATCTTTATGGTAACTACAATTAGATGATAACATTGGTTTTTTACTATAATATCTGCGCTTGGGACTTTTTTACAGATAGGTTTTTTTCACGAATAAGTTAATTGTAAAAAAAGTGCCATAACAACATGATACTTGAGTATTGGTACGAAACTTTTACATTACTGTAACTTAAAAGTATTATTATACTGTAAAGTATGATTAGTTCAGTATTTGATCATAATGCTAGCAAATCTCTTTTTATGTCCAAATTACTGTAGTTCTTCATAAACCACACATCTGATCTATGATATAGATTAATACAGTCAATTTCTTTGTGGCGCAACCTCGGTTTGCGCAATCCAACATTGCAGTAGGGCACCATCTGGTCGTGACGCAACCGCTGCCAGAGTTTAGCGCCAGGTTTTCAACGACAGCACCACCCCTGACCTCGAACGCGTTTTTGAGGTCATTATGGAGCGAGCGAACAGCAGGCGAGGGCGATGCGCTTCTACTCGCACTCACTCAATGCACATCGATTTGAGGCCGAGGCGCTCGTCGCAAGACGCGCACCCCCTTGGTCCATTGCACCGCCCCACCGCCGCGGAGAGAGTGTGCGGCCGGGGAGGGGGAGGGGACGAGAAGGTGTTGTCCTTCTTTTCTTTGGTCAGTCGTCGCGTTCGCACTGTTCGACGCCGGTCGCGTCCTGCTTCTGCTCTTCTCGTCTTTCGTCGCTCTGCACCACAAAGTGCAATGGACCGTCAGCTCTGCGCTGTACCCGTTTTTTCCTTGGTGATTGAGCGTGTCGCGACCGTTCTCGTGTCGTGCTCAGCAAAAAGCGAATCATCAGTAAAAAACGGGTGCCAGGCGGTGCGATCGGGTCACTGCGACGACGGAACACTTTACCGCCTTTAATTCGGTTTAAATTCGAGATCTTGCGCTACTTTTGTTTGTGCTATTGTACGCCTTGACATGAGGCTCTACTTCAACGTAAGACTACTTTGATAGTTACGACATTCACTGATTTACAGTGATTAAGCAATCTATTGACTAACTACTAAAGATGATTTTTGAAAGATTAAATCTAAAATAATATTATTACTACCAACTATTACTCTTGGCTGGAGGAGCACATGCTTTGGCGATTCTCTTGTTCGTCCCTTGGTTACTGTAACTTTTTACTAGTCACCGGGTTCGAATCGGAGCTTTGACAAAGTTTAATATTCCCTTAAGTATTTTCTCGATAATAACTTCATTCTATAGTTACAAGCTTCTATCGAAAGCAAGCTAAACCTATCTTCATATGACAACTAACATATTTCTAATTAAAAGATACTTTGAACTCTTTATCTTATTACCTACAGACCTTGTTTTCGGTAGTACAAAGTAAGTTTGTTTATGCCAATACGACGTCACAGCGTTACTATGATTAACGTTACAATGACAAGGAACGGTGATGTTCCCTTTAGTTTTATGTTTCTGACGCTGTAATAATGGTCTTCTGAAAGCGGTCTTCACTTCATTCTCAGAGTTTTGTACCGGTCGGCGGGGCGTAACACCTGTTAATGTTGAAAGAAGCCGGATCTCTTTCGCTCTTTTGGCGCTCTTTTTGTAGTGATGTTAGTGCATCTGTTTACGACCGTTTACTTGACAGGACTCATCTATTTACTGCCACTTCATTTGCTTATTTACTCCACGAAAGGAATGTTTACTTCTCCAGAACTTGTCCTAGGTGTTTCTGGCTGGAAACGGGTGATACGGAGCAGATCAAGCACGGGTCTTGTTGTTTTCACAAAAACGGCGGGAGATTTTGTGAGAAAAACTTCCAATTTCGAACAAAAAACTCGGTTTAAGGTCGTCGGGGAGAGAGCAGGGTGATTGGAGAGAGGACAGGCACTGCTGATTGCATTGTCTAGATTCATAAAGCAGACTCTCGATGGTTTCTTCTGGGTAACCAGGTTTTGTTGTCGTATAATGACATTCCTGTGTTGATGTCTGACAGTGTATTAGTGCATTACTGTATTATTCGCATCAAGTATTATACTTTTAGTTTTTTTAGTTTCCGGTATTACCTTTTAGTGATAACTCTGATGTTTGTTTAGTGATTAATGTGTTTCACGTGCAGCTTATGTTATACACAAGGCGTTCTGATCACCGTTCTGATGTTATGAATCACATTCTAGGATTACAAGATGAGAGCCCTGTCAGTAGCCCTATTCTTCGTGCTTCTGGCTACAGCCTTCGCCTTAGAATGTTACACAGGATTCTCGGTGATCCGTGGTCGATCCGTTGGCACCAACACTGAGACCTGTAAGAAGTCATCGGACCAGTGTTATAAAATGTCACTCGAAGTGAATGCGGCCTCCAAGGTGAAGATGGCCGGGTGCTCTACAGTACGATGCATGGTGAGTATGGTCGGATTGATGTGTTGCTTTAACTTAGCATGTTTGTTTGTCTTGTTCCGAACCGTGATCTGGCCAGCCATTATGGCACAAGCGGAGTTTGGAACGGCCGCTTACATGTCTAGTCTGTTGAGTTATCGATAAATCTTTTGTATATTATAGTAGGTTGGGGTGAGAAGGTGGTTCACTATAGAATTGAATCTTTTTTAAAACCCGCCATTCTCTTTACCACAACCTAATGTGCACATAAGCACACTTCATGTACATACACAGTTTTTTATGTAAATATCACGTTCGGGTTGTTTCTTTACTGGTACGCAAATCTAATACCATTGATCTTGTAGTTGTGTGACATTTGTTGTTGTTGGTGCTACAGAATAAATTTTAAATGTTTTGCCGACTCTTTTTGTACAATTGCTCTGGTTATAGGTGGCTAAGAATACCTGTACTTCTGCTCCGATCAGTGGCAAGATGGGGCAGATCTGTTGCTGTTCCGGCGATCTCTGCAACGCCAATCAGCCAAAGTCGACCGGTGACAAGATGGTCTCCTTGTTGAACGGTGTCATCGCTGGCAAGAACGGATAATCTTGAACCATGTTTATTCACTACTATTAACCAGACAACGTTGTAAATAAAACTTACAAAATATAAACAGTACGGTACTAAAACGAGAACGGTAGCTGAGAAATTAAGATGCTAAGTGAGAACGTAATGTTACCAATTATAAAGTAATCTAAAGTTAGATTTTGAATTAATTTGACTACAGTAATGCTACGGTAAACATAATAAAATTGAGAACTTTGTAGGAGAATACTGTAAGTGCGACAAGACTAAAGAATGTTTCGTAAAGAGCCGGCCAGAAGGTTAATATCAGATCTTAGTGAATTGACAGCCAACATCAGGGATCGTTTGTTATTCAAAACTTCGATCGATTCTGTGTACGGATTGTACCGTACTACGAATGGGCGATTCATGCTGTTGGTGAATGTTCTGAAGTTTGTATTTTGTTTTTTAAAAATTTATTTTAAATTACAAAAACCTTTAATTGCATTAATTTGAATCTAGATGGCATGTATCAATTTTGATTTTTAATAAATCATGAACATCTAATAATTCGAGAACTGGCTTACCGTAACTTTTGTTGCACCTCGTCGAAACTACGAGTGTAAAAATAATTGTCTTGGAAAGTGGTTATCAAGCATTCTTGTTGAACTACTCGGTCCGGGTCAAATCGCAATATCTTTTCCTTGGCTTCAACAGCGTGCTAAAATAAAAATTTTTTACTTTGTTGTATATTTATTTTGAATTATGTATATTATTTTATATGTTTATAAATACTGCAATCAAACTTTCCAGAACACTAAAACTTACAACAAGTTCCCCAGCACTAGAAAGCAACCCGGCTCCATAGACCTTGTGCCCCAAGCTGCCTGGTTTGGGTTTGTCGATGGAACAGAGACCAAACTCGATGGAGAAGAAGTAGAGCTGAAAACACTAAACAATTCTACTTTCACTTACCGTAGCCAGCTTCTTCAGATCTTCCTCTGAAGCGCCCAACGACGCTAATCCCAGTTCTTGAGAGAATTGGGCGAACTCCGGGTCCGCAAACAGTGCCATGTGCCCCATGAGTTCGTGCACAGTATCTCTACAATAAAAGTAAAGTTTTGGAGGTAATGATAGGCATATTAAGCTAACAAATCAACCCATATGAAATTAAAAGTTAGATTATGATGAATATAAAGATATACTGTGATTAGAGCAAGTACTTACGGTTCAGGGGTATAAAAGGGATCTGCTTCGTGTCTCAAGTACTGAGTACAGTTAAATACCCTAAAGGCTAAGCCGGCCAAGAAGTCACGCGCAGAAAGGTATCCGGCTACTGGACGGATTCTGAATCCAGTCTTCTCTAAAATTTTAGTTTTTCTGTGAAATAAATATTGTTTTATCACTACAACATAACATTTCTTTTAAAAATTAGTTTATATTACTCTAACAATGTTTTCTATACCTTTCAAGAAGTTGCTGACATCTTCCAACTGTGGTATGTTATTCTCCGAGTATCCGCAGTACTTTTCCAACAATTCAAAATTCTCCAGAAACTCCTTACAAGCGTGCTGTTTGTGTAACTCTCGCAATCTACGATAAATCATACCCCTACAACAGTTTATGTCACGTAAAGTTCAGATCAACATACCATGTTTTGAGTTCACCCTCGGTATAATTGATGCGTGGTATTGGATCTCCTCTAAAATTTGTTATTTTAATGCCACTTTTCAAAATTATTTTATATAATTTAAGGTTGCTTATGGTCCCTTACTGTCTGTAATTTAAAGCGATCTCGGCGAACATCATGCGACGTTTACGGTATTCTTCATCTTTGAATCCCTGAAAGAAATCAAGCCAGTCAATGTAACAACTCTGTTAAAAAAGCTGATTGTGAATTAACTAAACTAACAGTTAATTTAGAGAATAAAATACTAAAACCTACAGGATGATCAGCGTCAAGCCCTCCAGCCCCGTACATGATGACTCTCTTCCCACAAATATCCAAATCTTTTATCGCCTTAGGGAACCATGGACATCCGGCCAAAGCATCTTCTGATCCAGGATCCCTAAACTCTTCAGCTCCAAGTGGAATCTCGGTTCTAGAGACTTCATGGACATCGTACCCCTTGTTTCTCAAATCAGCGGTTACAGAGTCAGCATGGAGATGTCCAGGCACTTCAACTTCTACAAAAACCTCCAATTCTTCACCATGGCCATGCTTTGGATCTCGGCTTTCTATATGTTTCAGCGATACTTCCTTAGGTAGCAACGACAAGATGGTAGCCAAATTAGCAGAGGTCTTCTTGGTGGTAATGATCATAGCCATGAACAAGATTCCATTCTCATCTGCCAGCTCTTCGATCGTTTTTTCATGCTAAAACCATATTACTTTAGGTTCTCTTGACTCACTTTGAGTTCCTTAGCCTCTTCTTCAGATACAAATGGAACTCCGACGCTTCCGCTACGTCTGAAACGGCGCTTCACATCTTCCAATCGCTTCGTATCGCTAAAGTAAGTTAACAATAATCAAAAAAAGTATTGCCTAATAAACGATACTCAAAAAGTTGTTATTAGATACACATAAGCTAACAATAAATTGAATTTGATATGTAAAAAAACAATCACCGTAGAACTAAACTTGTGTCTTACTTGTTGTTATTGTTGTTGGTCATCTCCTTATGGCCCTGATTGTAGTAGACAAACTTCATTGTAGACGCCATCTCCTCTCCAGATGCCAAACGTAGACGTTCTGAAATGCGAGGAGTACTATGGTATTTAAACCGTCCGGTTTTAAGAGTGTTCTCAACGGAAGCCGCATAACTAATGTAAGTACTCGTACTCTGGTTACGCAAAAACCGATATACAACTTGAATAAATGAACATCACACTACTGATGATACCCTTTAAATTCCTAATACCATACTATTTTTAGCACTGGAGTGTTGTTTCTACCTATCAAACGTATAAATCATAAATGTTTTTACAGTGTTACTGTAATACCGTAGACTAAAACCACAAAAATAACCAACATAACAATATAATATAGTCAAAGACAAAGTACTTCTTAAAAAAGAACATCCAGTTTTTCAGGTTCACTTTCAGTTTGACACATACGAGTATTGTTTGGAGGCACTCGAGCACAAGTATTACTTACAACAACGTCAGATTGCCAAATCTCGCCTACTTTTAGTCGCTCAGCTACCTAAGAATAAACACACATTGTTTTGAGAATGATACCTAACACTATTAAACTGACACTATAATCTAAACAAACCTTTAGAACAATATAAAATTTTTAAAAAATTTTAGGTAATAAAAATTTTTAAAATGAAAAAATATACTTACCAAACTGAAACTAGATATTGTATCTTTAGAACAAACTTCTGTTGCTTCTATTAAAGCCAGTATTGCGTTGACAAGCATGACTAAACTCCATGGATTCCCAGAATTATTTGATTTATGGTCTAAATTGTGTATCATCCGCTTGTAACATAAAATATATTATTTCTTCAACTTTCTACGTCTACACTTGTGAATAATACACGTAGATGGCAGAAACGTATTTTTTTTATTCTTCTAAAATAATAATTTCCAAAGGATAATTAGGATTTTTTGCGACAAATTTCCTTTAGGATTTTAGTCGATAGTGACACTTCGTTTACCAAGCGAAAAATTGTTTTTGAAAGAAAATCTCGAAAAGATTTATCATGATAGCTAAAATCTAGTTATCATACGATAATTTATTTCACAAACATCTTCTTCAACATTTTCACTGTGTTGATGGGATGAAACTAGACATGAGAAACGGGCCGGGCCGGCCTTGAGCAAAATTTAGATCGGGCCGGGCCTTGGAAAGTCGGGCCGGGCCTGGAAAAAAAAATTTCTAAATTTTTTAAAATTTTTTATTTCAATCCCCGTTTATGTTTTAGATTTTATTGGGTTCTATGATCCATAAATGATCTAAAAAAACAATTTAAAGCCAATTTTCCGTTTAGTTTTTAAGTTTTAAAATTTTCAAAACGGGCCGGGCCTAGAAATTTTCTGATCGGGCCGGCCGGGCCTGACCAAAATAAAAAACGGGCCGGGCTTGAAAATTGGGCCCGGCCCGGCCCGTTTCTCATGTCTAGATGAAACGGCTTTACAGGCACTTAGTTTTGTAATTCATACCATTTGGCAAGTCACGTAAGTTATTTTGATAAATTATATTAATTTTAACGTCAAATTATGAGTTTACAATCAAACTTCTTTATGTTTAACGTTCAAATATAGGTATAGTTGGTTTCTGAGCGATATGCGTTAAATAAAATTTTAAATTTTTACTAAAATAGGGCTTAGTAATAATAATAAACAGGTCAACCGTAATTAGTAATAATATTAATTGACCAAAACAAGTTATTTGAACTTTTTATTTAAAAAGGTTATCAAAAAACCGGCGTATATAACAACAATGAATGGTAAAGAAGACATGAGAGTGATAAATGTGATACATTTTCAAGATTAACCGTACCTTTTCAAATAAATCGGCGAGTATTTGTGAGTGTTAAAAGTTTAAATCTGACAACCTACAATCCCTAAATAACCTCCGGACACCTTTGTACATAAATTTAAATACTACGTAAGATATAATGGGGGTGCAGCTGAGTTCATGTTGTTACACTACAATATTCTGGTTGTTACACTGAATATTGTTGTACTACAACATGATCTCTTAGCCGCACAACGCTTTCTTCAACTACATGTTCATGTCGTGTTGTAGAGGTGGGCTGCGGTACCAATGGGGCAGTTCCAAGGCACAGCCGCTTTGACGATGTTGTTCTACGATCTTGGTGAGGTCTTCGACGCGGTTCCTCATGAACTCAGCTCGAGAGATAAGGTGCACGTTCTTTTCTCGTTCTTGTTGAAGCTGAATCTCCAACTCCTGGATTCTCTCGAGTTTCCTTTGGCGACATTTTGAAGCTGCCATCCGATTCCGAGCACGTTTCCGTTCGAGTTTGCGTCTTTCTTGCTCGTCGAGGTCCAGACTGAAATTGAAAAGGTAATATTGTGAAGATCAAGATCACTTTAAAAATGTTATTTTTAGACTTTCTCAGACCATTTTAACCCTATTTTTTAGGAAAATAAGTTTTTAGATTTCTTTTAAAACTGAAAAGTGGGCATTCCTATCAAAAGCCACTACTTACTACATATATCCGATCTTAAAATTAGTGTTATGTTAGACAGTCTAAGCAAATGACCAGAGTCGAGAGCAGAGCTGCACCCAATTCCGTGAGTAACCTCCCGAGTTTCGCAAACCTCACCCCTCCTTCTCACTGTTCTCATTCGAATCCCTGAATCGAAGGAAAACGGTGAGAGGTGACGTAATCAAGATTCTGAGTCACAACATATGATTCAAGTAGATGTAAACGCTTTAGTTTTGTTGGCCCCGTGTTTAAATGATATAATTACGGGATCAAAACTAACATATGGTTGAAACATAGTGAGTTTATCCATTAGAGAGTTATAACGTTCAAGAATTGATAATCATTCTTACCTTTCGTTTTGATACCCCATGAGGTCGCTGGAAGTTGACGGCGCATTCAGATGTCGTTGAGGCCCTCCACTAGTGTGTCGTTGAGGTTGTACTGGATTCTGATGCATCTGAGTTCCGTAGCTGTTCATGGCGGCCGCGGCAGCGAGGGTTGAGACGGCGGCCGATAGTTGAGGGTCAGATTTGACCTGGGCAGTAGTCGACATTGGGTAGCCGTTGGGCTGGGCATGTTGTGATACGACCGGTTGGGAATGTAATTGGGGAGGGAGGTGGGTAGGGGGGATCAAGTTGTTGGGGTGGTGGCCGATAAAGTTGCTGAAGCCGCTCAAGTCGCTCTGTTGGAATATGTCCATGTAGCTGAAAGTATTAAATGTTAGGAGTTTATAAAGGGTTTAAAAAGTTTTTATAAACTTAGATTTAGTGTTTTAAACCTCAATTGAGATTTAAAATCTGAATCCTTGATCCAGAATCTGAATATAACTTTACTTGAATCACACCGCTAGTTTACACATGTCATCTACTGCGCTAATCACTATTTACGTCTCAGCTACAGTAAGTATTTCGTCATCGCTTTGTCTCGCTACTCTTCAGAACGAGTTATGTCTACATACGATTGTGCGAACTCTTTTGACATGACTCATATGTTTGTTCAAGTTTTTCGACGTTTTATCCATTTAATAGCAACAAAAGTAACCTATATAAAGCTGAAGCTGTTCCTAATTGGAGTTAGCTAGGTATCCAACTGTTCTGTATGAAATACAGTACACTTTACAGTAACACAAATCGTACTTTTGAGAATCGCTATCCCAATCGAAGTCGAAACTGTTGGGTTCCTTGTCCATTGGCCTCGGGTCATCTGGCAGGAAGGTGGGACTGAACTGGTCTTGGCCCGACTGGACTGTCTGACCGGCCGGACCGCTCCACATGGGAGTCGATGAATAATAGTGATGACGATTATGAGGGTTGAAATGCGCGACCATCAGATCCATAGGAGAAAGGGCGGGGCCGCAGGCGAAAAGAGGGAAAACAGCTTTCAGGTAGTCCTATATACTAAAATCAGCCCGAATTTAACTCGGAATTAGCGACACGTTCTCCACGACACTTGAATGTTGCGTTACCTCGAGACAAAGGCGGCACCGCGTCTTTGATCTTGCCAAGGAACTTTTTATGCAACAAATATTAGATTAGACTGTGCAAGACAAATCCAAACGATCTGATAACTTTACAAATTACCATGCTTTCGGCAGCTGTTTGGTAGTATGTAGGTCAGGTATGCAGATTAGAAGGGGTCTTATCAGTTTTCAAAAGATCATTATGACAATGGTAGTAAAAAGATGAAAAACTACATATATATTTGTGTTAAAAGTACTATAATATATTATAAAAACAAAATATAATATCCCAAAAACCTCAACAGTACAAAAATACTTTTCGCTGAAATAAAACTTGGGAATAGCAGAATAACACATTCGCCTCGCCGATATTCAATTAACATTTTACAAAAACCGAGATCGTACAAAAGATCTGTCCATAAAGAGAAGCAATGCCCTTTCACGGCCCATTGCTTCTTTCAACACCACTAGATCTACTACAATATACACCAATCAGCACAGAACTTTCCCTCGGACGAGGAAAGACCGTTTGAAATACGTGACTCAGTCTGTGTAAGGCTCAACAAACTTCTTATCTGATTTCCTCCCACCAACCGGCATACGGTACTGATAGGGTTGTCGGAACGGAAATGGTTAAATTAAAGCATGTTGGGGGTAGATATGAAGGATGTTAACAATGATTGTAATGCAATCAACACCATATCCGCTAGTGAGTGGATGTAGTGTTGACTATACTACAATACGTTCATTAAGCTAACACAATATATATGCAAGACAAAACTAAATGAAACAATACTAGACGATTAACACAATAGTATAATGTGCAATGAAACAATATTAAATGCTTATTAGTATATGTGACACTACTAATCAGCGAACCCCTACAAAGGCCCTTAATACGCAGAAGATGGGATTAGGGCAGTAATCAACCCCACGATCACAGCCAACTACTCTAAAGGGCAACCCTAGCCTTAGCAATCGAATAAACGATCACAACATTGTAATCAAATAAGGACAAAGCAATGTCATTTTGGGCGGATCCGATCATAAATCTCTGCAAAACGTCTAAATTTCAATTTTTTTGCGGTAAAGTGGACTCAGAATCGCTCTTCAAGAATCCCCAAGCAGATGTTTTCGGTTTTTTGGCCGAACTCATCTCCATAATAAATATCTGATTGACGGCCTAATCTGTCGCATATGGAGGGACTGTTTGAACTAGATAGGATATCATTGTCAACTATGGCAAGTCTAGATTATACCCAACTAAGGTGACTATTATATCCTTTTCTTAGGTTACATACATTGCTTTTAGGCCATATATCACGTCCAAATGGAGGATCAACTTGTTGCGCAAAAAACAGAAAGCAGTACATTAAGGATGACATTAGGACATTCTTTGGGTCATTTGTCGCCGAAAAACTATAGTAAATTCAGCAGTTGTTATTTAAAAGACAAGATGACAATATATTGTCTTTGGCCACATTTAAAAATATAGTCCAGGTAACTTGACATACTGTCTCTACTTACTTTATGTCATACGATGGAGAAAAGAATCTGAATTCTTTGCACAATGTCATCGAACTGAGCACTAGTAGATGTACTCAATACTATACTGTAGCCAGAGCAAGACCGTAGTCGATCGGAATCCTAGTCTGTAGCCGTACTGAATTCAAAACTGTAGCTGAACATACTGAATGAACAAGTTATATGACGGTTTAGTATTAAAACAGTTATATAATCCGAGGGCAGATTAGCCTCGGCTAAGAAGGGCGGTCCAAAAAACGCAAATGACGGTGTAAGGAATTCATTACCGCTACAGTAATTGCTGAATCATCAGACAGTTTAGCAGATACAAGTCCCAAAATTTGCATAAACTACGATAATTTGGCCAAGAAACCAGGCAAACGGCATTTTTTTGGAAAGCGCAGGGGATGTTATAGTAAGAAGCTATATAAGTAAGCATGTGAAGAGTCTGTAGACAAAGGGTTAACATATATAATGACAAAAAAGAGGTCAGAAGTGCCTATACTATTCAACTCTAGCACGTTTTTTGAAAAATTCTGGGTTAAAGTTAAGTGAAAAAACTAAAAATTTTTAAAATACGAATTCAAAAATAAAATACCTTTAAAGCCTTTAATTTTGACCAGAACACCCCTGAAACAGTACAAATTACCTATACCAAAACAAGAAAAGCAAGGTAAGCCTGAGGCGAAACACTTGATGATAATGTGAGAGAAGACTAGATTAATTTCCTTTTATACAAGACTCTTAATTTGATCCCACTTCCACAGAATTTTCTTCCAATTATCCCCAATTACCATTTCGACGTTCACCGTCGCCTTCTGACGGTAGGCCGTCTCCATGGCGGCCGGCCGTCTCTCGTATTGTTTCGGATTAGCGAGACTTCTTAATCGGCCGCTTATCAGATTGCATTTAAAACATTTCGTTCACATGGCCGCAGGCATTCTACGTCAATCGATGTAATAAAATCCAATTCTCGGCGGATAATCGGGCGATAAGACACATGGGGATAAGTTAGGGCTTCATTGTCAACCTAATTCCATAAGACTAAGCCAATTACAGGTGAACATATCACTTACAAATGCCACTAATGTTCTCCCAGGTCTTGCAGGTTCGAAGGAATGTTGTTAATTTTTGGGTTAGGAATGTTAGCTGTTATGATACGATGCTATTTTACAGTATGTTTGTCTTTTTAAAGGTAAACTTAATCATTTCCTTAAACTATTTTTAGAAGATATTCAAGCTAATGACGTATAAATGTAGTATTACTGTACTTTTCTTATCCTCTAAACCCCTTTTCAACATCCATAATGACCTACATCATACCAGAACCCTAGTAACTCTCTGAAACCGTAATCTTTACTCTCAGTAAATCCCGAATTTCCTCATATTGTTACGTAAAGTGTGCCTTACAACGGCGTTTAAACGTCAACGTATCTTAATCGCCGTTTGTTCGCGGATTCCAGAAGATTAGGGTTAATGTTAATCTCACTAAACGTATGTGATTCACAGTATAAGATAAGGTATGGTAGAAATTTTGAAAAAGCGTACCATATAATTATATTACAATTGTATTTTAACTACTGTTATATTATCTTTTACTAGTTTAGTCCAAAAATAAGTAGAAAACTAAAAAAATGAAAAGAAAAGTTTTTCTATAAACTTTTCGACCAGAATTGTAAACCAAAATTTTGAAAAATTTGTTTCAATTTATAATTTGAAAAGTCAAACAAACAGTTCCAAACCTACTTTTGAGTACCAGTCAATTTCCGTTGAACTTCGGCCAGGTTGACTCCAGAAGTACTCGACGTTGATGAGCACGTACTCGTGTTGATCAAAGACCCCCCAGACTCGTTGCTCAATGGTGATATTGAGGATGTGACTACAGCTGTGGGGGACAATGTCAAGGTCTCAGAAGTCTTGGTGTCGGCTTCAGAAGTCAACGGTGACTCGAGCGATGCCGACGAAGACGGGATCAGGGGATTCTGTGGTGGGAGGGTGGGAGTAATGGCAGCCAAGATATTGTAGATGGTCGGGAGATTGCGATTCGTCGGCGTAGGAACGAAACTGTTCTGTTGTTGTAGTTGTTTCAGCGCTTCTGGAAAGATATTCACGTAACTTTTATAATTGAGATTAGTTGTACAGTTTTTGGTTTACGTAAAACTTCAATATAAAACAATTTCAAAGTTTTTGATACTAACCAGAGCCGAGCAAAGGTCTTGATTAATATCTCTCAGTTATGTAAGAGATAGTTGTAGTATTTTTGAAACTAAAATATATTCAAAAATTTAAAAATTTTTGGGTTAAAACTCACGTTGAAAGCCTTCGGCGAACGATTCCTGATCTTTAGTAACAGACTTTGGGAATATGACTTTGGTGGGTGTAGGAGTTTCGAGAATCTCGTTTTGGGTCTGGGCGAAGACTTGTAGTCCTTGCAAGTCGATATCTAAAATTATTTTGCAAAATCAAAAAGGAATTAACTGTAAAGAATATTTCAAAAATGTAGTAAAATTTACAATTTAAAAGTAAAAATCTTGGTTTAAAAAATTTTTAACTTATTTATTAGAAGAGAAACTAAGCTAAATTTACATCGTCAATCTAAAAAAAGTATTTTTAAGTTTTAAAATCCATTATATTACCGTGCTGCAAGCAGAAACTCTAACAGAAACCGAAAAGACGAGAATTATTTCGAAAACCTTGATTTCGAAACACTTCCTTTGCTCGTGAAGAACATCGCGAGTTTATGATTACAGAATGAGAAACAAGTTTTTGAATATTAAGGAAATTATACTAATCGTCTTTTAGGCTAATTTTAGCCTTGTAGGCTTTCAAAATAATTATATTAGGTTGTTCAAATAATTATTTGCCCCCTTTTTAAGAAAATTTGCGAAGTTAGGGAGCACAAAATTATTTGGACTTATTTAAACCTAATACAACAGAACAAAGTTGTAAAACCATTTCTTTTCAAAGTTCCTCATCTAATCTGTTCTATTGTCAAAACTTTGTAATCTGTTAATCGGTTCAAACTTCAAAATACGAAATTTAAAACTAAATTTTTAAATTTGAAATCAAATTTTAAAAATTGGAACAGCAAATTCGAGAAAAATATTGATTTTGAGTCGGTTTGATTCATGCATAAGGAACAATGAAACTGTCAACAATACAAGGAACAATTATCCATACAACACTATCAACAACACGTACAATATTGACAATCAACTATCTAAAATTAATGCAAGATACGACAGTTGGAGTACCGTAACGGTGAGAGGAAAGAATGGATCATGTCGTGATCTGATTCATGCAAACAGGCCAAGAGTCTCTTTCTCCGTTTTTGGCCGTTCCCAAGTACAAAAAACAGACGGCAAAAGTTGAAGCGCTTCATTTGCATATTAATAAAAGACAAGTCGACTAAAGCAACAACTGCGCGGTGTCTCAAAGAGGTAATAAAAGGTAACACAACATGGTTAGTTATAATGCGTTTTGTGGTCAAGAAGTTTGGTTTTAAGCGACATAGAGACATATTAGACTGGATTAGGCTATAAAAGTTTTAAAAAATTACAGTAAACTTACTGCCTCTGAACCTATCCGGCGATATCAGCGAGCACACAAAGTCCATCATGTTTTTGTCGACCGGGCTGAGGATCTCGCTAGCCGTCGTGCCGAACCTCCCTCTCTTCTTTGTGGGGTCCAGCGCCAAATGGGACCGGTCCCTTATCATGGTATCAGAGGTACTAGTTGTGGTTGTGACAGTTGTGGCTGAACTAGCCGTGGTTTCGTTGGTTGACTCCACTTTTACTCAGTAGATGGACATACGAGAGAGCAGTGGGTATTTAAAGCGGAGTTGAGATCAAAAGTTATCTGAAATAACAACATTACAATAACAAGGTATTATAGGCGGGAATGTAGTCGTATAAGGTGAGATTGTACAACGCAATGTTGAGGTTGTGTAATTGTATATGTCAATGTAGTTGTACAAGTGACTTTTGGTTGAATAACAACTTGTAAAACTTGCAGTTTATTTCCCGTTTTGAACTGAGGATACGGTGGGTTTGTACGTTGAGGTAATGTGTTTTCGTTTCTACGTTTTACAATTTGGATTCTGTAAAATGTAGAAAGTCACCGGGGTTTGTATCTGAAGGTAATAATATTTATCTTGTTAAACGTTCGTATAACATAATATAACTCGAAAACACTCGATGGTGAGTGTAAAGTAACATATTGAAACGTAAGCGAACAAAGAACACCTATATAAGTTGATATCAAATGTAACTTTGAAACTGCAGAATCATGTTATAATGAACAAGCGCAAAACATTGACAAAAACACTTTCTATAGTCAACAGTTTAAAAACTGATCACAATTAGACTTTACTATATTAACATTGAAACAAACGACAAGTCTAAGATCGATATAATGCAGAGTAATTTATAAGTAAGAAGGTTCGGAGCGTTTCCTAACGACCTCCAGATGACAGATTAGTTGACAAAGTTTAGTCATCGACTGTAATTGTTGTCTACCTTGTCTATTGTAAGGTTAATGCTATTACAAGTATAAATGTAAATATAGCTTTTGAATTGTGCACTTATATCTATCTACACATCAACTACAATCTATCTTTACATCAACTACAAGTATATAATAAGTACCCAAAAGTTGAAAATTTAAATGGAAGTAAATTAATGTACATCAAGTAATGTAAAGAGACAGAGAAATGTAAAACTAGTGTCAAAAGTACATGTTCTGATTAATGAACCGAACTACCGTAAGCTCTGGAATTGTATGTAGACAGAGTACAATTCAGTCGATTACTATAACAATCCGAATTCATTTAAAGTGCTTTTTAATTATTTAAACGATCTACTTGATATTTCACTCAGTAACAATATTAAAGGCTGGTAATCTAGTTTGTAGTCCAATAAAGGTTGAAAGTGGAAATATTTTGAAAAAGTATTGAGTTTAAAATACTGAACATAAAGGTTCTAAAGAGTTTTTTATACAAGAGATAAAGATCAACACTTAGGATAAGAAAGTTGACATTAACCTTAAAGTACTGACCTCCAACCTACCCTCTCTCCTTCCCCTTTACCCATACTTTGACATTCTATCGTGCCTCACAGATAGTACTAAGACATTAAGTCGTTCAAATAATTCTGTGCTCCTTGGTCTGAAATTTTGCTTTGAGAGAGAGCACACAATTATTTGAACAATCTAATTATATTAAAAAAACTTTTAGTTAATTTTTTGCAATTTAGAATGGGTATGGTTAAAATAAGACAAAAAACTATGCCAAATGCCTAAAAAAACAAAAAAAAATTGAAAAATACAAAAAAAAATAAAAAACACTTAAAACATGAAAAATACATAGTAAACAAAAATAATCCATTACATTACACATACCATTAACCCGATTAAACAAAGTTAATTGGCCTTATGTGTATGTATTGTACGTATCATGCACAAAAACACGTGATATATACTTAATACGTAGGTGTAGACAGCGCTGTAAAATGCCATATGTATATAGCCAAGCGTAGTTTTTAAGCTGTGATAAGAACACAGACATGTAATACCATGTTGGCATTCTTTCAAGTCCCAAACATCGAGCTGTGGTATTCAACGAGATTACACTATTGTAAACTTAAAGAAATACGTTACTGTAGACGTTGGCATAAACGATTGTAAAATAAGATTGTAAATACAGTACTGTAATGCACAAAGAAGTACTGTAAAAACGTATAGACATAAAGCAAATGTACTGTAAAGATAGATATAGTACTGTAAATAATAAAAAAATAACTGTGAACGTACTGTAATGATTAATTACACACAAATTTAAATTAATGTAGAAGCGTAGTGTTAATCAAAATAGATTTGACACTGAGTAAAACGACTGCTAATCTTGGTATGTTGCGTTAATCTATTACTATATATAACTCGCTCTGTAATCTGTAATTGTAAGAAGAAGTGTAATGTCAGTTAATAAAAGTACATTAAAACATGTCGTGTTCAGATTGTTACAGTAAAAATGTACTCAAAAACTAAGCACAGTACCTAATCGTATCAAAAAAGTACAGTACTGTATAAAAAACGCTTACAGTAGCCAAATGTAATTATAGGAAACAAATGTAATTATGTAAATGTAAGGTGTTAGAATGTAGATAGAGGACTCGTATAGTAGATTAAAAGTACAAAATAGTTAATTACAGACTCGGAAATATGCAAATTTCGGGATTAAGAGGCCGAAGATGTCAGTTGTCACGGGTTACTGGACAAGGCAATTTATATTCCATATCATTGTTCTCTTCGACAAACTTTTTTTGACTATTTAACTATGCGGATATGTTACACATTCAAGTAAGTTAACCATGGTAATAGGTATCTAAACAATTCGAAACAAAAAAGTTTTAAAATAAGTTAAAAATAGACAATCTACAGACTTTTTGACCGGTTATAGTTTCCATACTCAATTACCGTCCAATTACCCACAAGCGTGCCATACTATCATACACCATGACCTCTTAGACACGCGAAATACCACAATTGCGCAATAAATGTCAGCCGTCTATTTCAAAACAAATGTGGCCAAAGGGCAGTAAATCCGCCCGGCTTAATGATTAAAACTAATTTAGAAGTTATACATTAAAGTAAACATCCGCGCTACGTAAGACAAAATAACTAATTAAAGCAAGCAAAATCAATACAGCACAAAACTTGTTGATTGATAAGACGTGATAGCGACGTGATTTGACCCTTTTCCGTCGCAAAAAGAGATCTCCTCTTCTGAAGTCATGGTATGTTGCTACTGCGAAGGTGGGAAAGCGACTTGTTAGTGATAGTAAATCAAGGAGAAGATGTTTTCTGCCTTTGAACTTAGAAAGTCGTAAAACTAATCATAATATCATTAAAACAAGATCAATATAATAACAACTACCCCAGTAACACCCCCAACACAACATGTGTAAACTGTAAAATACAATTAAATAACAAAAAGTTGAGTTATGTTCATTCAGCTCGACTCTTGGCTGGGCTAGGAAGGAGGAAGAAGGAGCGGGAGAGAGATGAGCGGAAAGGTCGAGTCATGCACTCTTTCCAAGCTCCAGACACCGTGCACGCTGCGGAGACGGCAGAGACACGGACCTGGAGTTGAGTTGTTTAAATAAAAACGTGAAAATATTTTGTTTAAAACAGCCGAGAACGTTGACTCAACCCGACGTTCCAAACGGTCCTTTTCGAGGGAACGCTGACCAAGAAAGCGGCCAAAAACAAGTTTTGACGTTTTATAAAGTTGGGAAAGTATTATAATGTCTCTCAGATGTAGAAGGGCTTTAGACAAGGTTCTGAAACAATAGAAGATTCTGAATTCTTTCAAAAAACGACCTAAATTACAAAGTTATAAAAAAATTTAAAAAAGATTTTCTAAATTTGACCCAAAAGCAACAAGGATGTATCAATAGCCAATGACAAAGTCAATGAAACAAGCTCCCAAAACATCGTACAGTAACCAGGGATTGAATTCGAAAGACCCTAAGGCGAGTTTGAGCTGAAACTCGCTGGAAAATTTGAGAAATCCGTAATCCGCGGACTTAAAGGACCTTATTTCAAACTCTGGAACGGCCAGAAGAGCACTTTTGGGCCCGGAGGAACGTGCCTAAAAAGGAAAAAAGAGACGCGTTCAATTGAAATGTGGAGAAGAACACTTGAGGGCAGAATCACACTGATTCACTTGTTGTTCTACTACACTCTGCAGTAAAAAGGGTTCAGAAGCAAGTGTAACAATACATAGGTATTACTCTAATATAAGTATAGGTATTACTTACAAACAGTTAGAAACAGAGTAAATTATTCATGAGATGATAAGCATGTTATGGTAGAATGAGTAATGTAGTTGATTTACAAACATGCCCTCAGAGTATGAGATTCAGATAATCACATTGTTTATCTTTCAAATCCCCAAAATCTTAAATCTTGTACTTTTAAGTCGTCTGGCCCGAAATACCAAGAGTATGTCTTCATGGCAATGTAAGAACGTATCCTACGGTTAACGTATCATAAGTTTCCTATTACATTGGCATAATTTCACAACGTACGGAAGCATAGTTCGTATGTCTTTGTGATGTCATAGATGACATAGTGGTATCTGCAGGAGACAATGCATATTAACAGAACAAGGACAGTACCACGACGGCTAAATATAGTACTAATTGAGGAAAGATTTGGTATTATCTGACAGAATAATACTTCTTTGTAAGGCTTAAGATTCTTCTAGTAGCTTAGGGACTAGATACTTTGGCATTGAGGGTTCATTAGTTACAAAATGTATCTCCAATGTTTAACGTATCTTCAGTGTACAAAGTAGTACCAACCAATGATAAAATGATAAAAAAAAGTTATAACTTGCAGCTAATGTTTGAACAAAGACTGTTCTGACTATATAACTACAAGATATATGTATAGAAAGTTAAAAACAAAAATATAATTAAAACACTTTAAATGCCCTCAGGGATATAACACATACTAACACCACAAATGACATCAAATTCCAAAAGCAAGTGTATATTAGTGTAATATATACATCACAAGTATTACAAAACCTCTACCGTAAGCAAGTTGCATGTAAAAATAGAAATATTGACGTATCTTCATTAGCTGCACGACATATAGAACTTGAAATACTAAAGTTACAACTTAACTAGCACGTATTACAAAGTTACATGTTAAAGGTAAAACAACATGTAACAAAACTACAACTTCACCAAAAATATTCATAACCAAACATAGTAAAGTTAATGTAACCAAAGTTACAAGTTCAAGTACTAGAATTACACCCATAGCACCACACCCGCAGCCTGTATGACAAAAGTTACAACTTAAAGTGTGAACAAAGATATAACGGATTACTGAGTAATGAATCATTGTTTTTATACGGTAGATTAGCTGAGTGTAATTATTCCATAAACACCATATAAGAAGTGTGCAATGCTATCACAAAGAAAGCAAACACTAACTACATTAGCTGATTACGTATACGAACATGTTGGGAAAAAGACATTGGTTCACACAAAGTAAAAATAAGAAACTGATGCTAACTGCAGAGTGCTAATGACAATGTAAAGTAATGTTAAAAAATAAAAATACCAGGTTTGTCGTGGGAACACGTTCAGTTTGAGTACATTTGGGTAACTATGTCTATTTTAAAACAACATAATACCTAAAACAAACCTTAGACTTTCTAAAATTAAGCATTTGTTACCTAAAATATTAACAATCCTTTATCACTTACAATAGCTACAGTACCCCATCTTCAGCCAGACCCAAGTCAGACCCAAAGCCCTGAATAGCCGGATATAAAAGTGCAAGCATGTACACATACACACATGTACATATGTGCCCGCCCTCAGTAGTGAAACTATTGGAATGTAAAAGTACACTCATTTCGTATGTTTTCACTAATAAAATCCCAGACAAATTACTTTAAAGGCGGCCAAATTGAATATAAAAACACCGACTTTAATGTCATTTTAATTATAATATGTCATGTACTACTGGGAGCAACATATACAACAATTAGATACTGTAATACAAATATGTAAAAAGCTTAATGTAATAGATGTAAATTACAGTATTTTACAGTATTGTAAGAAGAATAAGACTAGATAAAAGTTACAGTAAAGTCGTTTATACTCTCCAGACAATAATAGTAACACTACAAAGCAATACTTTCAACAATGCATCTAAGTGGCTATTTAGTATTATATCAAAGTACAATTAGCAAACGTTTAAGTACAACTGGTATTTCCGTTAATTAAACACTTGCAAATGTAGAGTCTGGTATTACTGTAACATAATTACATTACACCGAAGCGGATACGGCTAGACAGGAATGTCATAATCTCGGGACATTTACTTAGTAAGGTGATATGTGCACTTTTAACGCGTTATAAAATATTAATCAGAGAGTACATAATCAGAGTATTTTGGGCTGTTATGACACGCCATTCGAGGTGATACCCAATAGTATTACCGACCAACATGTTGGCTACATTTTTTATTGTCTTAGTGTTAAAAGGTAGCCATACTATACTATTAAACCTAAGTTTAGACATGATGACTACTCGAATACCGTCCTACAAGTACCACTTGTACTATTAGCTCAACGTGCCATTTGCAATTAAATGCTTATTGAAAAGAGTAGGTAATACTTAACATACACTTAAGGTTACTATAATCAAATGCAACCACACGCCAGTAGTAAGACAATAATTAATTGTAGTCAAAGTGCACGAGCTCTTCCTCAAGACATTACACTCGGTAAAAGTGCAAACTTTTTAACATTACTATATAACATGAGACTATCTTCAAGATACGAAATCCATTACGCTACAAAAGGAAAGACCCAGTAGAAATGGGTACAAATTGTAAAATAAAGCAGGAGAAGGTTGTAAAACCTTACAATTAACAATAAGAGATGTAACACTATAAAAAGTTGGTATATATTGTTAGTTATTTTAATAAAATACAAAAAAAAAATTGTATTAAAAAGTAACAAATCTTTGTCAATTTTCATAAAAAGTAGTAAAAAATAACCCAAAGTAACCCGAAATAATATAAAACAAGATAAAATAATAAAATGATACAAGTATCACAAAGGTGTCCCCAGCAGAAAGAAGTAATGATAAGAAATGATAACGTATTGGAATGGAAATAAACTGACTCAGCCCCTTCTATATCCAAAATCAATTCGAATATAATATAAACATGGTAATAAGACACCTGACCCTGTGGCAGATTAGCTGTTCACGTAGCCGGCTGACGTCACGAACATAATCAAGACGAGTAAAACAATATTATCTATGGTTGTTTATTGGAGCGTGTGAGAGTCGCGCAGTCTTCTTCACTTCGACGTCGCTATGACTCACCACGGAACAGAGAAAGAGAGATCACAAACTCTCTTATCTCTCGCCAGCCGGCTGTCAAACCGTTTCCACGTGACGTCATCGTTTTGTTAGTCCAGCCCCCCAGTTTGTTTGAATTTCGATACCTTAATCAATGCAAATTCCCAATTTCTGATATTAACCATAATGGCGATGGGGGAATAGAGTTACTTTGAGTTACTGCGTGTAATGTGTCAAGTAAACATTACGCTCAATGCATACGCAATCAAAACAAATAAAGGTATTTACTTTACAAACATTTCAAATGTCACAATTCAAATATTTAGTAGACTTGGTAACTCTTTTATATTATTCTTATCAGGAAACACTTTAAATCAGTATAAATGACTCTACCACAGCTTCAAATAATAGTTTTACACTTTTTACAACGCAAAATTCAAATTATAACCCGATATTTACATGTTATATACAGTAATCAGTAGTCCATTACAGCTGGCTCCATCGCCCAGTAATTGCGACATTTGGGACAAGATGGTAGATGGTCGTTGGTCTTTTTGTGTTCGTTCCACTGATCTATACACTCTTTACAGCCCACCACACTCAGACAGTACATACAGATCTTAGGGTCGGTTGGAGTGGAGGTCAGGCATATACTACATCCATCTACTTTTACTGTATAGGGGTGTTCTTCATGACTGTAAAACAACTTGTTGTAGTAATATTTTAGTGATTATTTTATCTATATTGTAACAAAATTTTAAAAAACCTCTACATAATCACAACTTACTACCGAGAGCTGCTAAACCACTGTACCAGCTCATTCTGGGTGTCCAATCTCTTGTACAACTTCGAGTAGACATCAGCCTTGATGCCAGCCACCCATTCCTTCTTATCCTCGTCGGCTTCGTATACCCTTTCGGCTTCGACCAACAGTTTTAGGTACTCCTTGAGCGTCTTCAGACTTTGTTGTAGTTCATTTCTTCTTTCTTCCATTAACTTGGTCTTCAGAGCTTCAGCTCGCTTAATTTGAGCACGAAGCTCTTCTACAGATGATGTCATTCTCAAGACTCTAAAGTTAATCAATTTAACAATAAAAATCAACCAGTAACTAGAATCAACTGTAGGTACACACACAAACAGATCCCATCTATTATGCTAAAGATTTACCTGTATTTAAAATGATGATTTATGAAACAGTGATAACTTACTTTTAGCGGCAAACAAGTAAGTAGCTAAGGAACAAAAAATGTTTTTCTTATTTCGATTTTCTCATGATTTGGATAAGAAGCCACGATCAAGAGAGACAACAGACGGCCGAGAGATTTTAAAAAGCTCTCTCGGACCTCCGCTTGCTTATATTCACCATCTTTTCTATACGTATACAAAGGTCTGTACGCTACTGTTTTGCATAAAAACGTCCTGTAAACCTAGAAATGCATTACTATTTTGCTTTACAAATAAATTCTACATCTTATACCTACAAATAAAGACGAAAACCATCAACACAATTAAAAGGAACAATCCCAGAACTATGTCACCCAATTTATTAAGCCAAAAATAAAAAGCTGCACGAGATTACATCAGAATAAGTAGATGTTAGTAGTTAGTTTAGCTAATTAAGCCTTTTCTTGTTCGGTAGGTGGAGTGTAGCTGTCGGAACGGAAGAAACAGTACCACAGCGAGTGGATTACAGCAGGCAGCCTAAACCTCAGGTAATAAATAACAAAGCAAACACTTACCAAAAGATGAACAACAACACGATACTCAAACAGACGTGTACATTCAACTGGTCGTTTCTGATGAAAATAGCAAGTGGCTGAAATCGAAAAATTAAAAAATATTCTCATTTTAGCATATAAACAGAGTCAATAGCATCAGCAAATAACAAATTAGAATCCAATGTTTTCTAAAAGAATCATACCGGTAGGACAAACGACAACACCAGCCAGATGAGTTCCCGTACTCCGAAGTTGTCGACCATTCTAATATAAACCAAACGGTAGAAGCAGATTAAGTCGACAGTGCTCGATTCCCTCCGATATTTGTTTTGAAGGTCTCTCTCTCCTGAATATGGATGATTCACAAACGGCTGACCTTCATCGCTTTACGCCCTCAACGCTGCGCAACTCCGATGATCGCAGCATGAGTAATGAATGGGCAATAAACATTCGTACATGTCACATTGCAAAGACAACAATTTTAAGACTAGAAGCAAGACAAAAGTGTAAGGATACCACCTTATTTCCTAGAAATCAACAATACCATGTCCTATATCACTTGACTGACCCTATATAAACATATAAAAGATTCAACTAGAAAAATTTATTCAGTCTTCGACAATCTTTTTGAGTTCTCTGACGACTTTGGCCATCGTGATTCTGTCTTCGGGCTTTTGAATCCAACACTCTTTCATAACATGAACGCCGTAGTCTGGAGCTTCTGAAGGCATTTCCATCGTTTGGCCATTTGTGATAGCTGCTCTGGCTTCGGCGTTGGTCTTTCCTGGCCAAGGATCCGTTTTACAGCGAGAGTACACTTCCCATACCATCACACCTGAAAACGGATTACTTTTAGTTTTAAAATACATCACATAATCTTGATATTCATAAAACAAATAACAGTACAAAGGTTACTGTACCATAAACAAAACATTACTCAGCTTGCACTTACCGTAACTCCAAACATCAGTCTTAAGACTGAAAGTACGTGATATCAAAGTCTCCGGTGCAAGCCATCTAACAGGCATCTTCACCAGCCTAAAGCAAAAAAATTTAAACAAGTTAAGGCAAAATAAAAATACAAAAACTAAACATACTTGTTCTCCTTGAGATTTGATTGAGCTACCGAAAGTCCAAAGTCACTTATCTTAACAGTGTAATCATCTGACAACAAACAATTCCGGGCTGCAATGTCACGATGAATCACTCCGAGTTCTGCCAAGTAAGCCAAACCTTTAGCAGCATTGTACAAGTAACTAAAACAAAATATACATTAAAATATAGTATCATAACACTTAGTATCTTATTAATAATAAAAAATCATAAAAAGATGTAATAAAACACCTACTAGGTCAGTTGAGATACAGTTAGATCAGTTTTGGTTTTCACAAATGTCCTCAAAGACCCATTTGGAGCCAGCTCCAGCACTACCATCATAGGTTCCAGTTGAACAGCGACTCCCAGCAGTCTCACAATGTTGGGATGGTTAAACTTTCTGTTGATTGAAGCCTCCTTCATGAAAGCTGACCTCTCCTTCTTCCCCATCTCTCCCTTCAGTATCTTCACGGCCACATCAATTACTTTGTTCTCCAACTGTAACTCTGCCATGAACACATCCCCGAAAGATCCTCCCCCAACCTTCTTGAACAGCTTGATCGAATCATGCAGAATGTACCACGATGGTCGCAGGATTGGTCTCTTGAGCATCGTGCCTTCTTTGTGCAAGACAGTCTTGTTAGCCTGAAACCAATGATAAAATACGTTTAAATCAATAAATTTGTAAAAAAGTAGTTCCTTACCACAAGATTCTTACATAAACACTGTACATACTATATCGTCAATAGAACTTACTATAAAAGACACAATTAGTTCGTCAATAGTAGCAAAGCCTTGCTCCGTCTTCAGGTACCATTCCTTCTTCGTATTCATACCAATAACCATGTGGCGGGCTTTGTTCTTCCACATGATGGACATGATAAAACGAGTGTTATGTCCAACATCACTAGTACGCACACAAAAGTCCCCATCATCCCTGAGCATCTCCTCGATCTCATCACGAGGCATCAGTCCGTGGTACCTTTAACAATATTAAAATATTTTTTAATTTTTCCAAGTAAAAACTAAACAATTCTTTTTAAAAATGAGCTAAAAAAATAAAATGCTGACAAAAAATTATTGAATTGTACCATTTCTTGGTGGCCAATCTCTCGATCTCGGCCTCCTGTACCTTGGGATCGTACTTTGTCTTCTCCCGGTTTGTGTCGTTCTCCTTTCCTTTCACAGTTTCTTTGCTGCCTCTACTCTTTTCTTCCTTGTGGTCTGCACTTTCTGTAGAACCCTTCTTTGGCCGTCTCGACTTCCTCTTTCCCAATTTAGCAAACAGATCAGAAACTGCAGAATTCTGGTTTTCTTCTTGAGTTTGTTGTGATGCACCTCCATCCTCACTCCTATAGCAAAAGTGTAAAATTAGGTAGAAGAAGACAGCATTTCGTAAAATTTACACAAATAAATATACCTACCCATCTTCTCTATTCAATTTGGAACGAAAAGTCTTCTTCTTGCTCCTCTGTGCTGGTTTCGTTTCATCTGACTGGTGCTCACTAACTCCACTCGACGTTGACTGTTCTGCAAGTTCTTTCGGTTGTCTTACTGGACTCTGAGCTCGTGGAGTACTGCCAGGCTTGTTAAGCAGAGTATTTGACTTCGATGGCTTCGATTTTTTAAACCACATTTCTGTTGATCTGGTTTCTCTGATGAAGCAACAACGGCGACCAAACCAAGTCCTGACAAAAATACAAAATGAGAATTTAGAAGAAGAAAAAGTTCAGAAATTTGCATACAAAAGCAATTATACAACAGAAACTTACATTGCACTTGAAATATAAAAATGGTTAAACTATGTTAACAGGTTCGTAACTGATTGTATATGTAAAATCGTCAATTGTATTAGAAGTGTCATTTAGAGCACCTAGTCGGCTTGCTCTGCTTATAAATGGTACTAAAACAAAAGTTAATAAGATAAACTCCATTAATAATTTTTTAAAATTTAGAAGTTGGATAAATAATTGTAAATAGATTGACTAAAACAATACAACAAACAAAATACAGTATAACAACATTTATTACAAACGTAAACCGATGACAAAATAAAACTCTTGTTAACATATATGTACATTAATAGTTAAACGCATTTAGCAAGTTAACATCACGATTAAAAAATATAAACATCTAATTAATATACCCAATGGAACAGAAGAATAAGTTATGATTTTACAATGAAGGTAGAGTTGGATGAGTTGTTGTGGAAAGTTACTACAATATAAAAGAAGTTGTTAAACAACCTGAATCTTCATCTTGACAAACTCCTCAATAGATACATTCCGCCTTCTCATGAATCTGAGGTAGACGATAAACCAAGCAAGAAAATTGATAAGAACAAAAAATACAGGAATCACAATCCAGACCACCTGAAATAGTCAGAATTAAAACATGATTTTTAAAGAACAAAGTTAAAAAACAACAAATTAAAAAGTTTGTTGATAATATATACGCATTCTATAGTATATATTTATATTACAGTATAGTGAACAGAAGTTTAACACCTACCTTTTTCCAGTTAATCGTAGATACTCTATCTAAACATTCTGGATCATTGTAGTCACAGAGTGGTTCATTGCACATGGGTCCAGTAAAGTCTGGTCCACACGGACCTCCACATAACGTTGTATTCCTAAAAACCACAATAGAATATTGAATACAACGAAAAGCCATGCAAAAGTGATCAAAATATATCAATTTATACGAGAAATCAAGGTAAAACTAAATTGTAAACATGAACAATTATAAAAAAACAAAAGCTACTTACTTTAAAAAGGACCAATCGCATATTTCATACAGTGATCCTTCTTGGGCGGAGATTCCTTGGTCTGCGTTTGTCTAAAACAATATACAATTAAAAAATTCGCAAATTTTGAAAACGCGGAAAATATCGAGAAATACATAAAATAAACCTAAAAACACTGTAAAACGTGAAAAAAAGTTCTTACCGAAACTGTGAGTGCAGTGAAAACTACGAAAAACGAGGTGAAGTTCATTTGGAGTATTGGTCTAAAACAAGATAAATATGTTATCCACGATTCACTAAAATGGTATTGTACACGATCCTATGACGCGCAATCGGTTAAACTTCATATTACCGCGGAACATCTTCAAAAATCATACTAAACCCTCTAAAATGTACTTGAAGTTAGCCTCCAAACAATAAAAAGATGGCATAATCAGAAGTGAAAACGTTGAAATTACAAGAAAAACACAAAAACTGTCTATGAAAACATACAAATGTATTTTAAAAACATTAAAACAAAAAAATCAAGTTGTTTTTGAAGGTAAGACAAAATCTTGTCACACAAACAAAAATAGCCATATTCATGTCAAGAAAAAACGATTTTGCTTTTGCGTCTTGAACAGATTTTTGGTGTTTCGCAACTAGCGGAAAAATATTTTATTTTTTTTTCAAATTTTCTTTTTCTAAAATGTCTAAAAACTTGAAGTTATGTTTTTAAAGTTGAGATTGATGGTCGAAACATGTATGTTATAGTTAATGTTGTAAAATCTTGAGGCAATTAAAGTTTTCGCATTGTAAGTTTTTTTAGCGCTACTCTGCGCTGCTTTTTACGTGCTAACGTGTAGCTTATTAGCGACAATTTAAGCATTTCTCTAAAAGTATTTATCGCACTAGAGATTATTATAGAGATTGATGTTTTATTTTGATATGAACTGTTTGTTTATAATGATTTGTTTAATTTTGTCGTTTATAATGATAGGAAACATTTGATCTCCTTCATTGACCTGATCATGTTATCAACAGGATTTTTCTTTCTCCTCTTATTAAACGGAATCAATGCTTTAGGGCGTATGCAAAGTACGGGTGTTAGAGGAAATCTTCAATGTGACAACAACCCTGCTTCCGGTGTTGTAAGTTATCTTTCAATGTATATTACACTACTGTATCGCGCTGAAGAAGTCGTTCTTGCAACTTTCAAAATTTTAGATGATCCGCTTGTACGATGAAGACCGAACTGATTTGGACGATCTTATGAAGGAAGGACTAACAGACAAAGATGGTACTTTCCAATTGTTGGGACACGAAACAGAAATCACCAAGATTGACCCCAAGATCAACATGTAAGGAAGATAAACAACTAACGACACGTTTCAGTTATCACACTTGTGGCCATACTGGTCCATGCAAGAGAAAGTTGACCATCTACATTCCCGACAACTACATCAGCGAAGGAGAAACTCCAGGAAAGATCTTCGATATTGGACGTCTGAATCTGAATGCCCGTTTCTCAGGCGAGTCCAATGATTGTATTCATTAGAATATCTAACAGTATTCTTTCTGATTTCCGAATATTACACTTTACATTGCATTAAATAGTAAACAGAGTAATAATGCTTGACCTGTTTATTGCACACAAACTCAATATTAGATCACTTTTCCCAATCGTATGGAAACTCTTTGATTCCCATCTCGGTGTAGGCCTTTCGCATCAGCGTGTAGTACTTCTCGTAATCTGGAGGGTCGTAGAACTTCAGAGAGTGGATGTGGGTAGCGATCTCGTTGTAGCCCTTGGGACAGGACTGGAACACCTCTAACATGAATGGCATTTTTGTGCAACGGCGTTTGTAGTCACCGACCTAAACTTAGTAAGTGTTAGTCTATTTTGCAAGTAGATTGTTCTGTTATGTAAACGAATATAGTAGACAACATACCTCATTTAAATCCTGGATGGTCTTCCATGGTAGATTACCGTGAGTCAGTTCGGCCGCCATGTAAAGCCAGGTCTCGACGTCGTCTTTCCTTCCCAATTCACGTTGCATGTGACATGCGATGCTGGCGTACCGTACCGTTCCTCTGAAGGCGGCTAACTTCCTGGGCTTCTTGATGACTCCGTTGTCGTCCGTATACTTTCTGCACATACCAAAGTCCAAAATGTAAACTTTTCTCAATTCGTTCAACTCTGCACGTCCCACAGCGTAGTTGCCGGGTTTGATGTCACGATGGAGGTATCCGATGTTGTGGAGGTCTTCTAAGGCTTCGAGACATTGCATAGAGACACTGACAGCACAGCCGGTCGTCATGTAGCCGTTTTCGTTGTCCTAAAGTTATATTTTCCAGTTTATTGTATAATGTTGACAATGAAATTTGAATAGAAAATTATACGTTTAAAAAAATATTGTGTACCTTTCTGAGGTCCTGCAACGACTTTCCGACCAACGACATGACCACATAATTAAAATTTGCAAACTTTCCTTTGCCTTCCAGCTTACAATTATGACGGCCGTTACGATCATTCAATTCCTGAAACCAACATTATTGTATCACGGTTTTACTACAGCCTATAATTAGGTAACACGACTTACTTGTAGAACATTAACTTCGATTTTTAATACTTGAATCGGTTCGCTGACACCTTCGACCTTCAGGGCATAAAAATCACTGGCGTCTTTCACCTTGTAAACAGCTCCTACAACACAAAATATGAATCAAACACACCGTAGCACGTATTCTACCAAATAAAAACAAAACTATAATGCATTCTGTCATTTTCGTAAACTATTATTGTATGCATATATTAAGTGCTTTAGTAACTTGGCCTAAAACGACTTACCAAATCCTCCTTCGCCCAACTTCTTGACCACTTCCCACTTCTCGACTGGCGTGCCCGGCTCCAGCTGGATTATCTCCAAAGCAGCCATCGTGCAGTATCTAGGTAGTTTTTGGCAAAACTAACAACAACTGCGATCAACCGACCGACCGGATATGCTTGCTTTCAACAAATGAAGTTTATTTACCGTTTTCCAAATCTAAAAATTTTTTGCCATCTTTTGAGACATGGAATTCATCTTTCTGTGTGCTTGCTTTACGGTAATTTCTTGCCAATGTAACTAACGTTCATCAATTTGAATACATCATACTATCATTCAAATATATTTTTGTGAATCTGTTTCTAATGTTAACAATGTACTCAACACGTGGCATGCTTTTTTAGTACCGTGAGTGTCATTGTCGTATGATAAATCATGAAGAGTTTCGTTTTATGGGTTTACACGGTTATCAGTGCTTATCAAACAAAGGCCTTTAGAGGTTAAGCACAATATACTCCACTAAACCAGCCAAACAGGTTCATAGGCACAAGCACGTGCCCTATGGACCCGTTGCTCATGTCTATCTGCTATAACTGACATTATGAAGAAGTTCGTGTCAAAAACATCCATTTTTCTTGGAAGAATATCATTTTCCTTCCAGAATGCAGCTCTAGAATGCCATCCTTCTACCGAAAATGCCCTCTGACAATTAATTGAATTACAAACTCTGAATGTGATACAAATTAATCGTTTACTTTCTGGATGCTGAAGGTCGGGCGGCTAGCCTTTGAACCGTTTTTGTGTTCCATTTACCCTCTGACTGCCTCTCTGATTGTGGTGTTTGTTCTGCAGTGACTTCCGATTCAAAAACCGGAATGATTCTGTTTTTATTGTCGGAAGAAGAGATTACACAAGAGTTCTGTTGGTATTACAATGTGCGTATTATATCTAAAGAAAGTCAGGGTTTAGCATGATATATTACATTTATGCTTTTGGACTTTATAACTTTTTTGGGTATTCTTTATCTCTTGTTTGTCAAAACTTATCAATTATTATCTAAATTTTTTTCTCGCTATAAAAAACTTCATTCTCTTTAGTCGTCTGTCCTTCAATACTTCATAATAGTTACATTTTGTGATTATACGGTCATTTTTCATGTGACTGTCACTTTTTTATATTATCACTCACAATATTTGACCTCCTTAACACCCACCAGTTGAACTCTGTTTGTTTAATTTCTAACTTTAATAGCAATTATTCATCATAATGACATAAAGAACTGTGTGATTCCATCCGTCACAACCTCCCTACATGGGCTTATCTACAGACTTTTTAAGACCGGGAATAGTTTCCTCGCTTAAATAGAGACCTTTTTGCACAACAAATTGATAATTTTATGGTTTTAAGGTCTTTTTTCTGTCTTGCCTGGAGGGACGATGTGGAGTCGACAAGCACTGAACTGTTACTCTCGTATCATATCAGTTTATAAGTAAAAAGCTATTACTTGTATAATTGATATTAGAAACATAATTGTTATCCTTGATATCTTTGACCTTTATTCTTTTGATTTTTTCATATTTTAAAAATTTACCGTTTTTCGTGGTAAAACCAGACCACCTACAGTTGTTTTTTATGGAAGCTCTTGATTACTCGCTGATTGATTGGCCACAGTTTGCTGATGACTTTGCTGTTATACGACATTTCATTTCGAGTGTCTATTGTTTCGTCTTCTTTGTTCGTAAAACTGGGGTCAGTAACGGTACGTGATACGACAACAACAATAAAAATCAGAAGTCGGTAACAAATCACGTTGTGATAAAGGAGCTTTCAAATTGCGAGTCCATTTTACGTCTTTAAAACTTAAATAATGAATAAGCTTGAGATTACGTAATACATAAACCTATGAGTTATTTATGATTACAAAAGTAACTAAAGGTTGTTGACCTAGTTGAGTGACTCTCGAAAGGTGTGAAGGAGGGATGCGAGCGGCTCGATCTACTTGTTAAACAAACATTGTGATTGAATTGAATGACCGTTACTTCCACCTTGCTGAACCTCGCTTGAAATGGAGCTGGAATGACCTTGTCCGTAGTCTCGCCCTGGTTCCCCCTACCCCTTCCTCCTCAAACGTGACTCTTTAATTTCGAATTTCTTTCACTATTCTTGTCGTGATTCGTAATTTAATTCAAATTATCGTAAATAGTATCGCGTAACAAACCAGGTGTCAGATTACTTTCCGCAAAAGTAATTATAACTCTGTTGCACAATATAAGATCGATTTGAGCTCTGATCGGCGGAGGGATGACAATTCCGGAATGAAAATTTGGGAAGCTACATTTTGGCTAAGCCTAAGCGGCGAAGCCTAATCGGTCTAAGCCCCAGCTGCTAAGCAATTATTCAAATCTGGAATCGTCAGGACACGATGGTCTGCCTATCTTTTTTTAAATATAAATTGCAGTTTTATTGAGTAAAAGCCTATTTTATACTAAAGTCTTAATAAATAAAACCAAACTTTTACTGTAAATTTACTGCCACCAGTGTTACAACCTTCTGTTACAATGCATACCACATCATCTGTCATTGAGTGTTTCTATCAAAATAATTTACGGTTTTCACTAACTACACTGATGAAAGTGACTCTTTACACTTTCAATTGGTTTACTACTTATGTGAAGTCTTGGCTCCACTTACTATTCCTTTCACAGTCAAACGCAACAATACGAATTCGAATCTTTTGAATCAAACTTCTCCCAAATCCCCGATTTCTCTTCTGAATTGCAACCTTTCACGTACAAGGTCTAAATTAGTTTCTCGGGTCTTCTCGTCGCTGTTTTACGAATTCCGTCTATAGTTGTACATATAGATGTCAATATAACTGCCATACACATGTACCAAAACTGCCTCATTAATACCTATGTACTTGTCGACCTACTTTCACTCACAATTTTGTACTTTCAGTAATTTAGACTACATGTACTTTCACTGTGAGTAAATCCGAGCAGATTATCGGCTTGTCTTTTAAGGTTTGGCGGGGCGCTGTTTCAATCAGATACGGGTTTCGTCCAAAAATAGTATCATTGCGTAGTTAAAATCCATAAAATTAACGGTTTTCGTGGACGTTCCTTATTGTTAGACACTTGTCGTTGATAGTGTTTTATTACAAAAGTTGTTTAGCTTTAGTTGCAACGTCATTCTGACAAGTGTCTTGTTGTCTTTGTCATTTGTAACGCGACGTTATTTACTTGTAACTGATTCGAAAACAATGTCACCCATCTTTCACTACTTTTTAAAACCGTGACAGTCGACAATCGAATGTCACAATTTCTTTTTGTCACTCGCTTCCGCAGACGAGCACGTGATCGATCGCCGACTTCACCTTTGCCCATGGGATTCCAGGATCCCTGTGGAGTTATCTGAACATCGTCACAATCATGGGTCGCGGCGAGGGAGACGGGGGGTTTTGTGATGAGAAACAGGTTCGTTGATACCACCATCTTTCGTTTCTCCGTTACTTACATTCCTTCACCACGAGAAACTATAATGTAATCAGGTTAGCGACCGCCATTCTACCTCGTGTTAGACTCGGATTCTAGGCCATTGTACTTATCTTGCTAGATCATACTGACTTGCAGGATAACTTTTTAATATACCTCAATTTTGTTAACGCTTTTGTTACCGCTCCTAACGTATTCAGAGCTCTTGCAACGCGTAATATCTTTATCATATTTGTTGTGTCAATTCTCGTTGTAAGGTCAACCTACCCTTAATAAATGCAAAGCCCTTCGTATGTAATCTTTTGTGGAAACCCTGATAACCGACTATCATAGACGGTTTGTCTTGGTGTTAAAAAGACAATAAGTCCCCATTTGTTGACGAGGTCCTCTTCTTCAACATTTTTATCATTCAAACTGTTTTTTAAACTTAATTTGATTTACCGTTGTGTAACCGAGTCGAGCAAGGCGCGTGGGACTGAATAATATTGTAGTAGTTTGCAGAATTGGATCGAATAGCGCCGCCCAGATCGTGCCGGTTCCTTCCGACAAGTTAATCGACCATGCACTGATTGGGTCTGGACGGCATTAGAAATAGCAAGGAATCAAACTCAGTGTAGTCACTCACCCTACTACTATTTCTGGCATTCCTACTACGTCATTACTGTCGGACGTCATGCCGGCTTGTACACCGGCGTTTAATCGCATATTGGACGATTTGGCCAAGCGTCAATTAAAATTAGATTTTGAATTTGGCGGGGAACGCGCCAATTATGAAGCCTTGCGTTCTATAGGGAGTGGTGCATTTGGTATTGTCTGTGAGGCCAAAGACCGACACAATGACAGAAAGGTACAAAAACTTTCTTTACAATAAATATTCCACCTTCGTGTATTAAACAATCATATACATAATAGTTTATCTTCAGGTAGCTGTCAAGAAAATAGGACATGCTTCAGCAACTCCAACATTAGCACGACGAACACTAAGAGAGATCAGAGTACTACGGTACATCAGACACCCCAATATAGTCTCGCTCAGAGACGTATTTAGGACCAATGGAAGCCTAGGAATGAACGTATTTCTGATAATGGATCTCATGGAGTGGAGTTTACATCATGTCATTCATGGTAGTGCAGAGCCTTTGGACTTTGACTTGATTGCTCATTTACTTATGCAAATTTTGCGAGGACTTAGAGTGGGTTTTACCACAGTGCATTGAAACGTATTGTCTTTCCCTAAACGTAGATGTAATTGTTCAATATTTGCTGACTACGCAGTTCTTTGTGATAAAATAAAACTCATCGCAACTGATAAAAGCTTCCGGCAATTGATAAATTTTAATTATGTTTTAGTATCTCCACGCCGCCGGGATTGCTCATCGAGATCTGAAACCTTCCAACCTACTGGTCAACAGCGATTGTCATCTCAGAATTGCTGACTTTGGCATGGCCAAATTGGCCTTAAAAGGCCCAATCGATGAAGCTGACGAACATTGCTTTTACATGACACAACACATAGCAACCCTCCCTTACCGAGCCCCAGAACTCTTGTTCGTCATGCCAGAGCACTCGACAGCCGTCGACTTGTGGGCCCTCGGGTGTATATTTGCAGAAATGATTTTAAGACGAGAGCTTTTCCCAGGTCGAAGCGTTGGCGGTCAAATAAAACTTGTCATCAATCAACTGGGCACGCCACCAACAGAGGTGAGTCACTTTACAAAAGCAAACCGTATCGGTAAAACGAAACTAATCGAGTTAATCAGTTCAGATGATCGATGAGATCTGTTGTGACAAAACAAAGAATTACTTAACAAGTTTTGGACAATTGTCGCCCCGCTCGTGGGAAGAAATTCTCATATCAAAAGACCATGAACCCAATCCAGCAGCCGTTGACCTCATCTCAAGACTTACCCAGATGACTCCCCATGACAGAATCGACGTTCACAAAGCTATGACACACAGATTCTTCAGACCGTTCGTGCAAAATATACCAAACGAACCAACCTGCCCTTTTAAAGTAAGCTTTTCTGAAAAGTATTTAACATTCGTAACCACATTTATATCGTTAACTGAAAGTTGGAATGTCATATTCAATTACAAACTCGATAAAAGCCAATAAACCAACCTTTGTTTAGGTCAAAATGGACATGGCAGCAGTAGAATCACTAAACCACAATGAACTGGTCAAAATGCTAGAGAAAGACGTACGGTCAGCCGAGTCTTCTGATTCGCATGATACAAAAGACCAACACACTCGACTACAGTCTGGACAAATGGGTTCGTCGTCAGGCGCTTCCTCTAACGGCTTCACGTTAAGCGATTCATCTGGCGACCAGATGGATGACAAACAACAAAGCCGTCGTTCTCTCTCCTCAGCGTTCTATTCCGAAGACGACGAAGCACTACGGAAAAGAGAACGATCAGTGGAAATCACAGCCTTGTAACTTTATAACCTAATCCTTCTACAAGTCGAAATTACTGCCTTCCAACTTTGACATATACCACAAACGGGTCTCAATCTACACACAGTGTAGGTCCTCCTCCTTTCATTCCGCTATCTGTTGCTGCCTTAATCTCTGACTACCAAATTTGTTTCAAATCATTTAAAATTGCACCAATTATTAGTTGGCAAATAAATAAATCATATACTACACATTGCAATCGCGATATTATTTAACAACTTTAGAGATATAGGTTATCCGTTTCTTTAACGACCTCTGTAATAAAATGCTTTCAACGATTTGATAACAACAAAATAACTTTTATGTACACAAACTAACTAGGACTAACTAACAACAAAATAATCGCTAAAATCAACAATAAATACTAATCTACAATAATAACTTGAGGCTTGGTTATGTCCACATTTTCCAAGATTAGATCGTTCACACGCTTAACAACTGCATCAACTGAAGCCACCATGGTTCTCGTGAACTCCTCGTACTCTTCTCTCTTGCTTTTCATACCGACTTCCAAACCAGACAAATTTGTGTTTACTTGCTTTAGTTGAACCTAAAAGAACATCATAAGGAGTATAACAACATCAAAAGATGTACATTTTCAAATAAATCTTGTTAAAACTTTGACGAAAATAATCAGCATAAAGAAATATTACCTCGAAATCGTAAACTTTGTCCTCGGTATCCTTCCAAGTCGCAATCTCTCGCTGAATTCTTTCGTAAAATGTCACAATACCTTGCTTCTTGTCTCTGAACACATTATGAATTCTTCGAAAGAAGGTCGTTGCCTTAAACAAACCCTAAAACAACATAGATCAGATCAAAGCACCAATTCATACCTCTGCTGGATCAGAAAACCTCTCAACACGCGGTTTCTTGACACTAAGCTTGGTTGTCGATTGACTCCGCTTCAAAACTCTGCTTGGCGACTTTGGAGACTGCTTCAGCGGCCTTTCTGAAGAACGAGGAGATGGCGAAAACCTGGCACTAATTGGATTTGCTTCACGTCTAGGAGTAAATTCCTACAACGTTTCATTATAGTGTTATCATAATAATGTTACAAATTAGTGCATTAAACTGAAACCAAAACACCTACACTGTACTTTATCATGCGATTACAAATATTTGCATCAAAAGTTACTCTACACTATATGGTTTAATTATCTCCTCCCACAACTTTCAAAAATCATATTATGCTTTGCATCCGAACGATGCGTCACCTAGTTTCCTTATTAAATTACAAAACAAGACACAAAATAAAACAAAACTGACCCGACTATTAGATGCAGAGCTCTCTTTCCACGTCACATGCTATAAACAACAATTACAATATATATTGTAGTGTACTCTCACCTTGTTCGACTTCTTCTCTGGAGTCTTGAGATTGGAGCGAGGGCTTTTGCCATACATTTTACGACAAAACAGTTCAAGATTCGAGTCAACTCTTTTCAAAAAATTTTAGAAAAACCAAATAAATAAAATTCAAAATCAAATTTCGAGGGTAACATAATGGCAATCGCGTCGGGACTCAAAAAAGCCAGAAAATTCGGCAATTTTCTAGTTTTCGAATTTTCTGTAAACAAATTGTGAAATCTTCCCCGAAACGACGAGTGTAATTAGCAATCGAGAGTGTAATCGACTATACATATCCAAAGCAGCTTATGATTTCTTGTAATACTTAATCGCATCCGCTGGGCAACAGTTAAAAAATAGTGTTTTATCGCATTTTGATGAGCAATCGCTTCTGAAATACGATATTACAAAACTTGAGGTCAAAGTTCCGCCCCCTTTACGAAAAGTGGCCGGAAGCTCCTGGAAGCACGTGTAGTTTATAGTCCGAGGAAGCTGTGGTCATTTTGAAAGTTGTGGTATATAAAGCCAATCGTTTTGTTTTATTTAAATAATTTATTTTTGAAGACATCTTTTTCGACTGAACATTTGTGAGTATGTGCTAAATTATTCTAAACACAGGTAGAATTTGGTTTTGAAGTAATTCATCAATAAAGCTAGAAAATGTCGTAAGTAATACCTAACATCAAACTTTTGCTGCAAACGTTTAGTGAATTGTAATCTTTGAAAACTTATCGCAGCCGCGAATCCTTTCTACGTTTTCCTCTTTTATTTTCGCCCTTTTTAACGAACTTTCGGGAATATTTTGCACATGACGCAGCTGGAGAAAGAGGACTGCGTCTCTTTTGACCAGAGGATAAAAATATTTTTGTCGCGATACTGGTAAACAATTTCTATCGCAAAAAACAACCTCAATTTTAATTTTAGGGCCATGAAGGACGACGACAAGTCGCAGCCTTATAAAGTTGATCCCGAAATGAGTCCGAAAACGGAAGAAAGCCTTCAACAGGAGCTGAGGTCAAAGAACGTCGCTGAACTTTGCAAAAACGAAAGCTCCGGATCTAGTTTGGATACCTTACCTTCTAAATTCAGTCCATCGGCCTCAGGAACAAGCGACGGCAGTCAATCGGAAGAACGGAAAGCGGACGATGAATTCAAGAACCGGTCGAAGCTGGGACACAGTAGAATGGCCATCAGAAGCTTGATTCTGTCAGAGTATTTGGCTGGTCATCGTCCCTCAGAAGCTGTCGAGAACGTGAGAGCCAGAAGTACTCGAAAGAACCTTGGCTACGACACTGTTAGAGCATGGTACAAGAAGTTTGATGAAGGTGACACCAACCTCAGTGATGGACCTCGTTCTGGACGGCCTGCGCATGTCGACGTTCAGAAGGTAAGTTACTTAAGATGTTTTATAGTGAGCCGGTGCATTCGTAGGTGAGCTGTGTGAGAATATATTTGAGTAATTTCTTTTTTGTAACTTTAGCTAACGAAGGACATCAAGCACCATCAGATGAAGCTCACAGTTAACTCTTAGACGAACGGGGAGAATTGATGCCTATTTACGGTTTGTTTAGGTGAAAGAGTATATTACTGAGGATCCACGTAGATCTACCAGAGAGCTGGCAGAATACATGAATTGCCATCATAACACTATCGAACGCATTTTGCATTCGCAGTTAAATCTTGAGTATTCTAATGGTTGTTGGTTGCCTAAAGCTACTTTACCCGACCAGGACGACGAGCCAGCTCCGAGTGGTTTGTGTGATCTCAATCGGACCTTGTTGAAGTTGTTGGAAGACAAGAATCAGGAAACTGAAAGTTCAACTGAAGGTGGCGACTCAGGTGAAGCTGGAGGCTCGGATGAAGCTCTTGATTGGCGCGGTGATGAAAGACTTCCTGAATCCGGTAAGCAGGATCAGTGACAATTCAAAGCACTTAATCAGGTCTCACAATTGTCGGGTTTCTTTGTTGTTATTATTTTGTCCTTTTATGGCAAAATAAATTGTTCAGTTTTTTATTTTAAGCGTAGTTTCACATTGAAATGTAGTGTAAGATCATAGTTTGTTACCTGAACATGCTTTGTGTTTAAGGCACGTTTTTGTATTGTTATAAAAGACTTGCTACTCTACCAATTGTTACCTAAAAGCGACTTTTAAAAGCCGTTTTATTTGTTATTTACAAGTGAACAGTTTAATGGTCAGAAGAAAGAGTTGACCATAAATCAAAGATGTGTATCTATCTCTTCTTTCCACCTTGTTTATTTTTTGTTTCAAAATTAAAAACGATCGAAAGATTTTGCGATTTTTTCGTTCGATCCATGCAATTTCCGGCCAAGGGAAAGATCGGATACGTGGCAAAATGGCCTGTTTCTACTCATTTTTTGTTTGTTTTATCTCTTTTACGTCAATATACGTGGTAATATCGCTCATGTCAGGTCTTTATACCATATTTATATAAATTTAAACTTGCTCATAATAAACGAAATATTTTTGAAGTAGAATTGATTGTTTTTATTGTTTTGAGTACTTGAATTTAATTTCGATAAGACTTCTTTTTGAAAACGGGGTTTTATCTTGTTTATTCACTGATAATGTTTTTTGGAAAGTGCTTGCGAAACAGTTTTGTATTACTGAAAAATAAATGTGTTCTGTTCAAGGTTATCAGTCATTTTGGTCGGCCTATCGATATATTTTTATCACATTTTTGGTTTTTGTTTACTTTGTTGTTCAACTTACTTTGTAAAAGCGTCGCGCTTCCAGAAAGTGCACGTTCTTTGGCCGAAATAAGCGTTCCTCTTTTCTGGCCATTCTTTTTTGAATAAACGTTCGTTTTCTAGGCAACTTTTTGGAAGATGGCTCAAACACAAGCGACGATTAAGGTTGTGGAGACGAAACCTTACACTGGACAGAAGCCTGGAACTAGTGGTTTGAGGAAACGTGTAAGTGTATACTTTTAATGTTTTAATAATAATATATAAGTTCTATCTTTTCTATTATAAAATTATTTAAAAGTGTGGACTTAAATAACAAACACATCGCAATATTGTTTTAGGTACCCGAATTTCAACAAGAAAATTACACGGAAAACTTTGTTCAATGTATTCTGGATGGAGCTTTAGGCAACGAGAAAGTTGGCGCTTGCTTGGTTGTTGGAGGGGATGGCAGATTCTTGTGCCCACAAGCTATTAGTGTTATCATAAAGATTTGTGCGGCCAATGGTGTAAGTTTAACTTTGCAAAACTGTTTTACTTTTTAATAATAATAAGTTTAGGTATTAAGCATGTAAAATCGAGAGTTTCTAGAAATATATTTTAGGTAGATAAGCTTATTGTCGCCAAGGATGGTATTCTTTCTACCCCAGCTTTATCTCACATTATCCGTTCTCGCAAGTACAACAATGGACAAAAGATTCATGGAGGTATTATTCTGACTGCTTCTCATAACCCAGGAGGTCCAAAGAATGACTTTGGCATCAAGTTTAACAGTGAAAACGGAGGACCAGCTCCCGAGAAAGTTACCGACAAGATCTTCGAGTTGACAAAGTCTATCAGCCAGTATAAGATCTGCCCCGACTTGAACATTGACTTTGGACAAGTCGGAGAAGCTGAATTGGTTAGGGAAGGGTTCTCGAGCATGACAATCCAAGTCATTGATGGAATCGATGACTACGTTTCCTATATGGAGGAGATCTTTGATTTTTTGGAGGTAGGTGCTCTTTATCATTTAATCATTGTTTTTAAGTTTTGAAATCTGGATTAGTTAACTTAAGCGCCGAGTATGTTTATTTGTCAAAAATTGCTTTAACAAAGGTGAATAGCAATGCATGCCTTCTCTGGGTCAATCTTGTAGTTCTCTTCTTCAAGCCAGTCAGCCAACTGGTCAAGGGCCTTCTCTGAGAGTTGTTGGCAGAGTTGTTCTAGCTTTTCGATCTTGCCGTAGTAGGTGTGACAGTATTCCTAAATCAGCATAACTTTATAGTAACATAAAATAAAATTTATTATTCTGTAGTTTAAAAAATGTTGATTACGTAAGATGTAAGAAACATTCTTACCTTTACAGCTGGCTTCAGGGTTTCACGGTCGTATCTGTCTAATTCCTCTAACTTGGCCTTAACGGTGGTTAAAAGTTGCTTGCAAGGAGGGCACAGTCTGGAGTCAGCGATTCCTTGGGCGTGGGTATCGAAGTCCTTGTACATACTGATGTCCAGAGGATTTCTGGGATAGTCAGCCAATGTCTTGGACAAGGCGATGCCAGTCAGAACAGCCAATACAACCAAAACTTTCATGTTGTCCGCTTACACTGCACAAGATGTAACATTCTAGGCTTTTATACTTTCATTACTGATAACAAAGGTAGAATTTGGGGCTTAAACCGGCATGATTAAGACCAAACAAAGCGGGTTATGGGGAAGATAACGACGTTCTAAGGGCATAGTTTGGTTTCCGCCATGATGCACGTCAAAATAAATAGCAGTTTGTAAATTTAGAAAATAATTTACGGACTTTGATCAATGACAAAATCAATATTTACAGATTAAACGATTCATCTCTGGAGAAATCACTGGAAAACCTTTTAAAGTGTTGGCCGATTCTATGAATGGAGTCACTGGCCCTTATGTCTCTACTATTCTGGTCGATAAACTTGGAGCTTCGTCGGATTCTTGCCTTAGAACGAAGCCTATGCCCGACTTTGGAGGTGGCCACCCTGACCCTAACTTGACTTATGCCAAAGACTTGGTTACCCGTATGGAACGAGGTGAACACGACCTTGGTGTAGCATTTGACGGAGATGGAGATCGTAACATGATTCTGGGAAAGAACGGATTCTTTGTTACTCCAAGTGATTCTCTTGCAGTTATTGGTGCTAACTTACAGTCGATTCCGTACTTCCAGAAGAATGGAGTTAATGGTAAGGATGAAAACTTGATTACAAGGATTATGTAGTATTACACAAATCGTAGTTTTACATAAATATCAATGAATTTGTCAGTATAAGAAAATCTAAGTTAAATAATCTTAGGTTTTGCACGGTCTATGCCTACTGCTTGCGCTATTGACATTGTAGCCAAAGCAAAGAACCTACCTTGCTACGAGGTTCCTACCGGCTGGAAGTACTTTGGTAACCTGATGGACGCCAAAAAACTATCACTCTGCGGAGAAGAATCGTTCGGAACAGGGTCCGACCACATTAGAGAAAAGGACGGAATCTGGGCGTTCTTGGCGTGGCTTCAGATTCTTGCCAGAAGCCGCTCCACTGTCCCAGAATTGATCAAAGGACATTGGAAGACTTATGGCCGAAATGTGTTCACTAGATACGACTACGAGAACGTTGATGCTTCTGGAGCCAACTTGATGATGACTTACCTGACGCCAATGTTGGGAGGATTCGCCGGAATGGAATACAAAGCCAACAACCAGGTGTTCAAGGTTGTGAAAGCCGACAACTTCTCCTACACCGATCCTGTAGATGGTTCGGTAGCCAAGGATCAAGGAATCAGAATCTTCTTCGAAGGCGGGGCTCGTGTGATTTACAGGCTGAGTGGTACTGGATCTGCTGGTGCCACTATTAGAGTGTACGTCGAAAAGTACCTTGCCAACAACGATCCTCAGCTGGAGGCATCTTCTGAAGTAAGTTTTTCAAGATTCTTTAAAAAATTTTTTTTTTGGCACGTAAAAGTATTATTGTTTTAATTGATGTTAATATTAGGTGCCGGCAAAAGTTTTTCCACAATTTTTCTAAAATTTACCAAAAAATTATAGACAGTTCTAGAAGTTTCTGTTGATAACCTATATAAAGAGTTGTCTAAGGACTAAAAACTATTGCATGTTCAAGCATTCTGTTGTTTACGATGGTTCAGGAAATCAAGGTGAAACATGACCATGTTTGAGCAATGTTGCTTCTCAAATTCCGCAATCCCGGCAACGCAACAAGAGCGACGAAGGAAATATGCAGTGCTGTAGGGCCTTCAGTTGTCTCTTACGACATCACAAAAGTTTGGTTCCACAAGTTCAAAAACGGTGACATTGACATGTCCGAAAAGTTCGATATGGTAGACCATCAGCGTTGAAGAAACCCCACCTTCTGAAGCTGATTGAAGAAGACCCCAGACAAACCTGTACTCATTTGACTGTAGAGCTTCAGTGTGATCCTTCTACCATATTAACTAGACTTCACGACCTTGGAAGATCATGGAAATATGGTCAAGAGGTTCCACATGATTTGAACATCGACCAGCTGAAACGCTAAGTGGAAGTTGCATTTATTTGTTGATGTTCCCAAGGACCTTTGCATGACTTGGCAATTTGGTTACTGGGGACGAGAAGTGAGTACTGTATGTTAATCACACCAGGAAGAAACAATGGCTTGAACGTGGAGAACAAGGTACACCAACCCCAAAACCTGATCTTCACCCACTGGATAGTATGATCAGCGTTAGCTGGAACTCAACAGGTATTGTGTACTAGGAAATGGTACCACATGGAACTACGATCCCTGTGGATGTCTACTGTAGACAAATTAAATCTGTTGCGGCGGCATTGCATGGTGAACAGTATCGAACCTTCTTCATTCATGATGCTGCTCGCGCCTATGTGACAAACTTGACCCAGCACAAGCTGAAAAGCTTCGGCTGGGCTGTGATACTATATGCACTGTACTCAATTGGTGTTGTGCCTACAGATTATAATATGTTCCACTCTCTTCAAAACCACCTGAACGCAACACACTTTAACAATCGAGAGTACCTCAAGAGATGGTGGGCTAACTTTTTCAATTCTCAAACTCCAGGTTTCTATAGAAGTTGAATCCAAATGCTGCCGAAGGAATGGAAACAGGTCGTTGATAATAATGGTACATATATTTGTTCATTAGTTGATGTTCTTTTTTTTAAATATTAAATTTTGGTAAAACCAAAAATCGTGGAAAAACTTTTGCCGGCACCTAATATTATCATAATATTATTGTAACTGTTCATATTTAGCAAAGTTTATATTTTAATAATTGAACGTTCAGGAGTTGTTGAAGCCAGCAGTCCTTGTAGCCCTTCAAATCTGTAAAATGGAGCAGTTTACTGGCCGCACTGCCCCAACTGTCATTACTTAATTTTGTCAATTTCCAACTTTTCATTTTCAGTATTTTATAGCAGAATTTTAAGTGTAGTGCCTTGCTAATATGTGATAAGTATCAAATAAATATTATCAACCATGTGCTTTTGTTGTTGCGGCGGTCGTCGGGGGTCAGGTAGTTTACTTTGCAACATACTTTGAGCGATCTTTAGCGTATATTGAACTTGTTAATTGAACTGTTCTTTGACTTGTCGTAAGGCCGCCTCGTGTCTACTGCCTTCAACGGATCGACAGCTGATAAAAGAGCAATTTACTTTGTCTTTGAGCAAAGAACGAAACATTGTAACCGCCTGGTATATAAACGAACATATTAATTGAGGCGATCTCTTCCTTCCCCTTTTCATTATCTTAAAGGTAAGCTAGTTTATAAACATTTTCGGTGTAAACAGTGGAAGAGTTGTTTAGTTGTAGTTACACTTATTTTTTATTGTTTTGCTTTGATAATCGGTTGATTACAGTAATCTTGCAACCTTTACCTCGTGAATAACCTCAATTGTCATGTCGGCCGACACTTTTGTTGAAGTCAGTGGAGCAGGGAAGAAGTTAGCAGAGAAGAGTGTCGCCACCAAATTTGCCATAGACTTCTTGGCCGGAGGTGCATCAGCTGCTTTGGCTAGGACTATTGTGGCCCCGATTGACAGAGTGAAGTTGCTGTTACAGCTGCAGGTTGGTTTACCTTCTTTAAAACTATATTTGATTTAGCACGCTCAACAAACAATCGCTGAAGACAAACGCTACAAGGGTATCGTGGACTGTTTCGTACGGGTATTCAAGGAACAAGGTCCAGTTACCTTCTGGAGAGGGAACGGTGTCAATGTCATCAGAATCTTCCCTCAACAAGCTCTCAACTTTGCTTTCAAAGACGCGTACAAATTAGGGTTTAACAAAGTAAGGACAAAGTTAAATATTTTTTATCAAAATTAAGTTTCAATTCGTCAATAATATTTTAGGATGTAGACAAAAAAACTCACTTCTGGAGATTCTTTGCGGGTAACCTACTGTCAGGTGGCTTTGCTGGTGCCACTTCCCTTTGTTTTATTTATCCCTTGGACTTTGCACGTACTCGACTGGCTACAGACATTGGAAAAGGAGACTCCCGAGAGTTTAGAGGATTCAGTCACTGTGTCTCATCGATTGTTAAAAAAGACGGCATTAAGGGACTCTACAGAGGCTTCAGCTCTTCCGTACAAGGCATCTTTATCTACCGGTAGGTTTTTGCTTGTTTATTTTACATTAACATACTTATTGTTTTGATTCTAATGGTCTACAATGTTGTTATCTCTTTGAAAGAGTGACTCTTCTCTTGTCCGTTCCCGACTCTTGACACTTCTGATAGTGCCTCGTCCATACAACTAAATGCGTGATGGTTATCTATCTGTAGTTCCATCTTCTTCAAGCCATCCAGGATGAAGTCTAGAAGAAAAAACAATTAATTTGAGAATTGCTTTGTCAAGTTTGACTATAGAACATCTGTGTTATCATGTATATATACCACACATATATGTTACCTTGCATGGCCACAAAGTATACAAGACATCCTTCACTCCTCAAGTCTGATATAACTTCCTTCAAGTTTTTCAGACCAACGTAGTCCACGTCACACATGGCTGAGCAGTCGAAGATGAATATCTTTGGCTTCTTATAGTTGATAGGCTTAGGCCACTTGATGTAGGTCTGTCTGATTTTCTTCTTGAAGATTCTGGCGTTCGTAAACAATAACATGGCTTCTAATTTGAAGACGGCGACATGTTCAGATTCTGTGTTCTTATTGAACTTAGCAGACCAGTGAGGCCTAAACATGTTTCTGTTAGTCATTGACTGTATTCATTTTTCATACGATTAAGTTGACCAAGGTAATCAGCTACCTCTGATACCGATAGTTGCTCTCAATGCAACATACCATTGTGTACGTGCTGATACAGCAAACAATTCGAATATGACTCCCATAGCAAGTCCGTAGATAACGTCAGATAGTACAGTAGCGCAGAAGGTGACCAGCCAGATAGAAAAGTCCCATTTACACAATTTCCACAACTTTGGTAATTGTAAGAATCCCATTAGTAATGACCTGAGGGCAACCACAACTATGGCGGAAAGAGCTGACTGAAGAGAATGATAAGTGACTCGTATGACTTACTAAAGGAAGATAGTAAAGTAGAGGACCGAAAAATAACAGTACTATGAGCACCAGTGCTCCACTAACAATGTTCACAATCTGGAATATGAATTCATGCTCATTCCAGCTTATATCATGATGACTGTTTGTACTTTACGTGATCAGTTGATGAAAAAGGTAACATTTATGACTAAATTAATGCTCTTACCGGAGATGTTCCACCACATTCATCGATGATAAATGGACGTCCTAGCCCAGTAGCGGGCGGGAACACTGGAGCCAATCCAACTAGAGGCAGTGTGAAGCCATACGCAAACAATTCCTGATTATCGTCACATGTATACTTCTTCTTGACACACAGTATACGCAGTAAACTCAGGTGGACAGCAATAATGACTATAGCCAAGGCAACTGCGTCAAAGATCAAGTCTTTAAACAAAGAAACGTGGGGGAAACTTAGAGTAGGAAGACCGGTCGGTACAGGACCGACCACATTCACATGGTGGTTCACGTCTACTTGGAGAATATACGCAGTACATATCATGGTGATGACCTAGGCTTTGTGTATTTAGCATAGATTACTTACTAATATCAATTCGTACGGAATCACAAACTTCTGATTTGGCCAGATTCTGTTGAGTATTGCTTGAAGAATAAACTTACAAAAACAAAGATATAGTACCGACACCACGAAGATACCCAACGTTACAACATTAGTTTCTGGTATGTGTTGTGCGACTTGGAATATGTTCTAGAATACGATAGGTATTTTAACTTTGAAGTCACTAATAGATATACTACGTCTAGTTTACTTACCTTAAACATGTAACCAAATCCATGAGAGTGCGGTTTCGGAACTCCTAAGATGATGTCAAGTTGAGTTACAATAACCTGGATGACAGCACCAGTAATGAAACCACTTACTAAAGGCTCAGAAAAATACTCTGCCAGGAATTCAAGTTTTAAAAGTGCAAAGACGATCTACAAATGAAAATACACAATTGACATTGTTAAAATCCTACATAAATATTATGTGAATATGCATTGACTTACACAACATATTCCGACCAGAAATGTCAGAGTCGATACAACTATCGATGGATTCAGATCTTCGATTGGTGCACTAGGTAATAGTGATCCATTAGGGAACTCGTACTTGGCTAAAGTTTGTTCCTGTGCTGCTTTGCACATGACAGATACGATGGCAAAAGGTCCCAAGGATCCGTGCATCCACGAGGTAAAGAAGGGGAATATCATCGAGCCAAGGAACGTGGCATAAAGACCATTCACAGCCGGAAGACCAGCCAGGATCGAGTAGGCCATACCTGATTATGTGATTTGATTAAGCAATGACTTGCCTTGTGTTATATTCAGAAAAGCTGTCATGATACCAGCCATGACATCCCCAAACAGCTGTTCGGAAGGTTTGTAGTTGGGAAGCCATGAAAGGAACGGGAATAAGCCTAGGAACGACTGCAACAAGTTGTCGAGCGACCTGAACGGTCTGACGTAAAGTCTAGCAACTTTTCTGAAAGTATTATCTCACATTTCAAAAGAAAGGCACATTTTTAAATGAGTATAAGTCTTACCTCCATGCAGGAGAATTCTTTGATCCGATAAGACCGAATTCTTCTGAATCCACAGGCTTATTGTTAATAGAAACTCGTCGCATTGTTTTAATTCATGCGCTTCGATGCCAGTTCCAAGTTGAATAGAGAGAATTATCTTGTCTGAATGTATGAACGAAATTTATGCAAATCCTGTAAAACACAATATTACGTTTGGTTGAATTCGATCAATTTTGTTTTTTAAAAAATCTGCAAAACCTTTTGGTGGCTAAACTTCGTCACGAGTTGCATTATCAGCTATGTGAAGCCACAATAATCATTAAAGATCGATTGCTAACTTTTCTTATCAAAAAACTACAAATATACCTATATACAACTTACCTTAACATTTTCAGAGCTGCTTACTTTGGATTGTTCGACACTGTAGTTGGCACGGTGGTAGAAGACAAACGAAACTGCCCTTCCTCGCGGCATGGGTAATTGGCCAGTTCAGTGTGGTTAGTGCTGGTCTTGTGTCATATCCATGGGACACGGTAAGAAGAAGAATGATGATGCAGAGTGGCCGAACAGACGTTTTGTACAAATCGACGATGCATTGCTGGGTCAAAGTCTTCAGGGAAGAAGGCGGATTCAAAGCCTTCTACAAAGGAGCCTATTCCAACGTGCTCCGAGGAATGGGATCAGCGCTGGTGCTGGCGTTCTACTCTGAAATCACAAAATACGCTTAACGGGACTTACACTTGAAAACAAATAAATTTATTGAGTTTGAACATTTGGTATTGGTTTAGGTTTAATTCAGCTCCCTTCAGCTCGAGAAAAGGTCAATTTCAAAAAAATTCGACTTATTTTTCTCGAAATTACACATTTCGTCAAGAGAAACACATTTTGGTCCTGAAGTAACACTTGGCACATTTTAAAATTTTGAAAATTATTTTTTGGAAAAACGAGAAATTATTTATGATTTTACTGTTTCGGACGCTCTTGACCGACAAACTCGTTAACCTTTGAACGTTTCTCTTATCAAATACCGAATCTTGTTACTTTATGAGAGCAAACGAAAAGGTCTGATTTGAAGGATTATTTGTATATAACTTCAGGTCTACAAGGTTTTGTCGTGGTAGTTTTTATTTCTGTTTGTATTTTTGTTACAGTTTTACTTATCAATTTTTTTGATTTTTACGTGTTTTTTACTTGGGTTTTTTTAAATTTTAGGTAACAAATAATGTGTTTTATGAATTTCGGGTTAGAGATTTAGGTGGTATAATGTTATAGCTGTGTTTATGTTTTTACTGTGTTTTATATATATATTCTGATAGACTTTGCCATTTTTTATTTAAAAAATAATATATTGTGAAAGACAAATTTGGACGTGTATAGTAGTGAGCCTAAGTTTATATGGAGGACCAGAGTCTCTGTCTTTGCCTCTGTTTCTGGTGTCTTTGAAGCAATCCCCGCTTTCTTCGGAGGCGCGCTTTTTAAATGACCAAAGCGTTTTCCTGGATTGTTTTCCTCGGATTCTTCGTTCAGATGTTATCAACCAGCAGATTCTCGGGGTTTTTGTTGTTTCAGCGATTTGTCAACCGGATATCACAACAAAACATAACGACGTGTTATGAAAGTGAAAGCTCTAATTGTTTCGTGAATCCGCAACTTTTATTGATATTAATTGTCGTATACACCTGACCAATATGGTTATATATGGCGTGTAGCATGTCAATTTGGTTTGTTAACACTTTGACTGATAACTTAAAGTTGATAACTGAAAACGTAGGAGGACTGTTAATGTAATGGGCACTCCTATACGATTCTGAGTCATTTTCGTAGGTCCAGGACAGACAAATGCGCTTTTAAAAACAGGCTTATGATTATGTAAGGTATACGGCGTTATTATGGTCTTCAGAGCTGTTTGTGAGAGAGTGTAAAGAACGTATGTTAATATAGGTTAGACACTAACTTATGCTGACCTTTGGGTGGAGAACTTTAGTTAGTTATTGGGTTACAGTGTTTTAGTGTTTTTTATTAATTATTAAGTTGTATTTGTGGATTATTTCAATAAAAGTTATGTTAAGTTGTTTCGCGGGAAAGGAATAAAAGTTTAAAAAACGTATATTAACATAGATCGAAAGGGATAGAAGAGTAACGTATGTTAATAAAGGTTGGGTTTTTCATAACTCAAGTTGGGGTTTTCTCAGAAGCCGCGTCAGGGGAAGCGTTCAAACCGGGTTAAGTACATCTTCGACAGTTTCGCAGATGTCCTTAAGATAGTTTGTTGGTAAAGGAGAGCTCCGGTTCAACTGAGGAAGATGTTTTTTGATGGGCGAGCGAGTTTAATGCGTTTGTTTTCTCTGTTTGTTCTATTTAAATTTGGAAGCCGGTTATGACAGTCGGCTGCATTGTTCCCTTTACTTGTGACAATACGTTTTGACAAAGTTTCTGACAATACTTGGGAACGGTCTGGCTGATCAAAACGGTCGAAATGTCGGAGTTTGACCTTGAAAGTTGACTTTGGAACGTTGGAGTTTGATGACTAATTAATCTTTTGTGTTTCTTTGAGTAGTGGCATATGTTACACTTTATAAGGTCGTTACACTGTTTAAGTTAGTTATAAGTCTGTTACACTTATTATATATCCTTGAGAGACATTGGACTGTTGATCGTAAAGTATATATACGGGGTGAAGGGTATATAAAAGGTTTTAAAGTAGATTAAAATAAAGTTAGAATTTGTTTAACTGAACGTTCTTACAAGCTTTGTCTATTATAGACTGGGGAAGGGGTAGATTTATTTATTATTTTTGTTTTTTTCTTTTTTTAGGTGGGAATGGCATTTGTATACCATGATATACGATTGTACTGTTGTTTACTATGCTTGTATAATAGTTTATCGATAAAACAGTAAAGCTGAACCATGTACTACCGCCCTGCCCAGTACGCGTTGTGTTGTTGTTGTGGGAGAGCAAACAAACAACAGTTTATCGAAATTATGATATTATAAACGGGTATGCCCCGAATCTTGTTTTGCGGTTTTGGTTTTGATTTGCAAGAGATCGTTATTTAATTATTTGTTTTTAAAGGTGAGTTTGAATAATTTTGCCGCGGGACTTGAAGCGGAAAACCCCAGTTTCTGTTTGATTTTCGTTTGATACGCTTATGTTCGGTCAGCTTGTGGGTATGGTTATGGGGGCTAGACTTTAAACGCGATATTATAATGGCTGGCTGAGGTTGCTGAACGGTTTCTTCTTGTTTTAATTTCACGAGCAGTGGTTTTATAGCTGTAACGAAGGTGGTGGGGGATTAGTTTTACAAGTAGGTGCGTTTACGGTGTTTATACTCAAGCTAATATCTTATTTTTGAGTACTAAAATAGTGTTGTGATGAGCTACATTTATGTTCGGCAAAGGTTGCCTCTTTCAGTGTCCAAAGTCTTCTTTTAGGCACTGGCTGTAATGATTTATTTTTTAACTGCAACTATAATAATGTTAAGCCGCTGTCTAAGAGTAAAATGTAGTCGGATGACTGTTCTTGCTGAATATGTGATAAAGCTCATTAAGTTAAGGCGATAATTTGTTCCGGGATGAGAGCACAAAATGGTTTTGTTGAGGATTTTCAATTAAGATTCGATGTGAGTGAGGTGATTCGATTAGACCGTCTTCTGATGTGATTAATCCTTGAGGGCATTTGGGTAGAGCTATGTTAACTGATGGGTTACAATTTAGGAGATAAGCATTGTTGTGATCAAGAAACCTTTAGGATGGGTTTTAATGGTCAATTGACTTACTTTCGATTGTTCAATCAACTTTTTGACTATAGTAATGATAAAAATCAAATCTCTTTTCTTGAAAACTGATAACAAGGTTGCTCGAAAACTGATAGTGCGTAACTCTTAAAAGTCACAATAACTTTATTTACAATGCTACGTAGAATGTTGTATTCTTCTTGATTCCCATTTCATCTTTTTCGCTCTAATCGGGACTCAACGGAACTCCAAATCCCTCCGGGCTTTTCCTACTTTTTTGTCACTTTTTGTATTTCCTGTCGTTTAATTTTCCGGCTGATAAGAATTTATGCTCGGTTAACAAATTTAATAAGTTTCATATGTTATTAAGTTGGGTTATTCTGATTCATGGTCGATTTGCTTATGTTTTCCTTGTGTAACACTACTATAATATGATTTATAAATGATGTTTGGAGCTAATGTAATAACTAAACTGGACATGATTTATATTTCACGCGGATATAACGTTATACTTAAAACGTTGTTAGCTTTCAAAATTTGATTATTTGTTATTTTAGATATGTTTTGGTCTTAGATAACATTTTGTAACACACATTGACATGGAGGATTTGTTTAATATTTTCTTGCGCGAATGGAGTTTGCGGTCGATTCAGCAGGCGTTTTATCAGTTATGTGTTAACAGAGGAGCCGATCCTACAGATTATGCAAATATTTATGAAAAGTAAGTGTCTGATTTATAAAAATTAAAAAATTTTTAAGAAATGGTCTATAAATTAGTTTGAACTAATTTCATTAAATCTTATTAATAAAAGTTTTCAAAGGTAATTTTTATCATTTAAACTTAATTTTAGGTTAAAACAAGCAGACCGTTTCCTAGAGCCATCTTCAAAACAACGTACTCTATGGGGATTACTCGACAAACGACGAGCTCAGAAAGAGTACCAGAACCAACAAGTATGTCGAGGCATGAACATTCTAGTCATTGGGGCAGGCCCTTGTGGATTACGAGCAGCGATCGAAGCCGCGTTCCTTGGTGCTCATGTTATTGTTGTTGAATCTAGGGACAAGTTCACGAGGAATAATGTCTTGCACCTTTGGCAGTTTGTCATTCACGATTTGAAAGCCTTAGGGGCTAAAGTGTTTATGCCAAAGTTTTGTACTGGAAGCATCGAGCATATCTGTAAGTACTGTCACTTTTTGTCATGTTTACTATTTTGGTTGTTGTTAGTATTGATACAGTATTTTTTTTTGTTTTTACTTCAAGAATAAGGTGACACTGGACTGTTAAATTATTATATTTTTAGCTATACGAAAGTTGCAATTTATTTTGCTGAAGATTGCCTTGGTATTGGGAGTTCAGTTGTACGATTCCGTGAATTTTGAAGATTTGGTTGAACCTCGAGATGGTAAAGGCTGGAGGGCTCAGTTTGTTCCACGGGATCATTTACTAGCTGATTATGAGTTTGACATGATTATCGGAGCTTCGGGAAAGAATATGTGTTTACCTGGTAAGAAGATTACTTTATTTTCGAAAGTGTTTTACAATTTATTGAGTTTGTAACGTTTACCTAAAAACTTTTTTACCTTATTTTGATTTTTTGAATGATTTAAGGCATTTCGATATTAATTCAAAATACTCTGTTAAATCACAATATATGCCTTCTGTTACAGCATTCCAACAAGTAGTGGTCAGAGGAAAACTAGCTATTGGGATCACTGCCAACTTTGTTAATAGACATACGAAGCAAGAAGATGCAATTCCAGAAATTCAAGGAGTTGCTTACATCTACAGACAACAGTTCTTCGACCAACTTCAGGCACAAACGGGTGTTAAACTGGAGAATATTGTCTATTACAAAGGAGATACACATTACTTTGTTATGTGTGGCGACAAGAACAATTTAGTTCAGAAGGGAGTGATCAAGAATGACAGTGATGACATCAAAAAGATGTTGAGCAAGGACAACATTGACAGTGTAAGTTATATTTGATTTAGAATTTGTTAAATTTTATTATAAGTTGTTTCAATTTAGTTTTTTTTTCTAAAAAAAATGAGGTGTAGAGCCGAACTTTTTTTGCTTTTATTATTTATACGATAACTTTTTTATTGAAAAACACTACAAGTTTCATTATTTTAGGAAATGCTGTGCAAGTACGTGATGCAGGTAGTAGACCATGTAACCGATGGCAAACTATCAGGTGTTCAAGTTCAATTTGCTCTAAATGCTCGACGTCAACCTGATGTGGCACTATTTGACTTTACCGAACTGTGTTCGGCCGATCATTCAACTCGTTTTGTCAAATTTATGGAGCATCCTTTGGTTCTGACGGTGGTGGGAGACCTTCTTCATGAACCTTTTTGGCCAACCGGCTCTGGATGTGCCCGAGGATTCTTGGGCGTTCTGGATACGGCATGGTTGATGCACGAGATTGGGAAAGGCAAAGAACCAGTATCAAGGCTGTTGTCGGAAAGGGAGAGCGTGTACAAGTTACTCGGCCAAACACAGCCAAATAACTTGTCATCGTCGTTTCACAAGGTAAGAAATCGATTAAAACAAGAAAAAGTACTCAGGCAAAGGCTTTGTCAGTTGGTTTATAGTCGAATGTATATTTTAAAAAAATCTTTTTTGAATTTTTAAAAGTTGATGATAGAACGATTATTTTAGTACTCAATCGATCCAAAAGAACGCTATGTTTGTTACCAAAAAACTTATTCAGATGTTACTCATCTGATGGGGACCGGGGATTCAGATGAAGACATGATGGAGAAGGTGGTCATGACTATCAACAGAAACAAAAGTGGGCACAGCGAGTTTCAGAGGAGGGCATCTTTGTTCAAGTTCTGCTATATGGGAGCAATATCCCTCAAAGTAAGTTCTATTTTTAAATAATATGGTTTTTGTTATATTTAATACTTAAACTTTATGTAATTTACTTTATTATATTTTAGGTAAAGATAACCAACTTCCGAACTGGCTCTTGGGGCGATTGCAAGGCTTTGGCCGCCTTAATAGCCAAATACATTAAAGACTTCGAGGCCGGTAGGAAGCTGGAATCAGATTCAACCTTCTCCAACCCTGCGGTTCTTTTTAATGATGTTACGGAATTCATTGAAAATAGACTGTCTGTCCCTCGGCCGTGCAAGACTCACGCCGAGTGGACAAGTTTGAGTGAAAAACGAAGAATCGAATTCTTACAGACTTTGGCTGATATTTTAAAGTAAGTTAATCCAAAATCTTTATCGTTTTATAGCTGTATTCACTTTTTGATAAAGAATGAGACTAAATATATTGTTTTAGAGCGGATCCCTTCTACAGTAAACTATGCATGTCACCGACATTGTGCCAGAATTACGCTAATGATAAGGCTACTCAATCAGCAAAACAAGCTAAAGTACTCAGACAAAGGCAGCTACCACCAGTCGACCCAAGAGATACTGTACTCAACTTTGATCCTCTGAGTAGAGATTCTCATGTTACAGTAAGAAAGAAGTCTGTAGGCCAGAGAGTGAAGCGACAGATTGTGGAACCGTTGAATCCTGAATTGTTGTATAAGGTAAGAGATGATGATTGATTTAGGTAGTGTTTATATTTATAATAGGGAATAATTTTAACATGATATTGTAGTCGAAAAATTGAAAAGAGCTCTAACGGCTACTGTATTGTTTAGGTAGATCGTGTTGTTTCGGGGGTGCCGATCAGGCCACCACGCCCTTCAATGGACGGGCCGAGCTGTTTGGAGCGGCGAAAAATGCTAATGGAGGAAGGCAAAAAGGTAACATGTTATTCGAATACTTCGGCGCCAAAAATCTAAAGGATGGTTTAAAGGCATTTGCATTTAGTCACGATGTTGGACTTTCAGTTTAATATTGTCGAATTTATGTTATTTTAAAGTACTAATGGGTTGATTGTTTAGAATACGAAAAAGAATAATTTGGATAGTAGTTTCACCAACGGATCTTTATTTGGAGTACAAGCTGTGTCACGGTTCAGATCCAAGTTTGACACTGTACAAGAAGGTCAGCAGAAGCAAGAAACTGTTAAGCGACAAAAGACCGTTTCCAATTTGTCTACAGAATCTGAATATCCTTCTGATCCCATGAACGTGAGGGTTACCGTAACAGAGACTTTGGTCGAAACTCCGAATGGAAAAACGACCAAACAGTACAGTAAAGATCAAGAAGTTACATTTAGGGTAGGTTTTGTAAAATATCGGTTAACATATTTTGAGTTTTTTTAGTTTCAGTAATATTTTTTTGACTTTCAGAACCTACCAACGACGCCAGTTCGACCAATATCAATGCCTGTAAGAACCGGTTCTTTCTGTACTGATAAGCATGGCCCTGCATCTTCTCTGGCTCATCAGAATTCAGTCAGTGCTGTTTACAATACAGTATCCCAGCGCAGAATGAGGCTGTGTTCACTATGTCAAGAAGAAGTGTATCTGGCTGAACAACTTCTGGTGGACCGAGTTTCAGTGCACAAACAATGTTTCCGATGTTCTTATTGTGATCGTGCTTTGACCGTGAGGAACGCTGTGATCGACAAAACGTTCCAAAACGAATTCGGGCCTCGCTGGTACTGTGCACAACATCAGGCCTTGTGTGCTTCTGACAAGTTGGCTAGGTTAAGAAGATCGGCTGCGAAACAACGTATGTTACTTTATATTATTTTTAAATTTTTATATTGCTTGTTGTGTGATTCTTTGTTAATCGTTTTATGGTTTTTGTTATTTGAGTCATTTTAGAATCGTGGGTCCAAAATGTCGCCGTGATTCAGCCTCAATCCTCAGTTGAACAAGGTCGGCCGAAATATGCTTCTCACACGTTTGTTTCAACCGATTCTACAGATTCTTCTGATTCCGAAAAAACGAAAGCTCAGAAGGAAGATCAGAGTACAAGTACTGATACCAAGAAAACATCCAAATACAACGCCACACGATTACGATCGCCTTCTCCAGTAAACCGACCCAACCCTTATTTGAAGCAGAAAGAGCAAAACAAGGATAACAATGATCTGTTGGCGTTGGGAAGGTCAGAGCCTCATCGTCAAGTCATTCAGACGCGAGAACCTTATCAACGACGGTTAAGTGACTTTGATTCCCCAACACAACTGATCAACGCTTGCAAAGAGAGAACGGCCAGAAGGTTGGCCGCTATTGGAACCAAAAACAATGAGAACAAGAGCGACGGAGTCAAGCTGTCATCAGGGTCATCTGAAGAGGAAGAGTTTTACGGTCACAACGGCTTCCATGACAGAGCTACACTAAAGTGTTCTGATGACGATGAAGAAGAATTCGAGGAGTATGTAGATGCTGTTGATGATGAGTTTGTTTTACAATCACCAATCGAAGAGGAGGAATCTTGGATTGAGTTTGTGGAGTATCTGGACAGAACTCTGAATTCTGATGCTTCTTCTCAGAATACTTCGGCTACAGAAAGCCAGGCGAAGGAGATGGTGGAAGCGTTCAACAGAAAGTCGCTGCTGAACCACTTCTCCAGTCCGACTGCCCAGAAGTCGAATGTTGTGCCGGAAACACCATACTTTACACCACGGCAGAACCGAGCTGAGACTGTGACGTTACGGTCTCCAGAAGAGCGGGATTCTGATTTGTTCCACACTCCGATGACTTCATTTAGGACCAACCGGCTTAGAGGTGAAGGACCAAGTGGACTGAAAGAGGTTGGTTTTCTTACTTTAATTATAAGTTTCGTTTTAAATATACTTCTTAAAAGTTTATTAACTAAATGGAAATCTATATTAATATTGGCAATTTTAGCTTGTTGAACAGAATGCTACTGGTTTTGGAGACAACGCGACTCCAAGAAGGGTAACCAGAGTGCGACGAGGACCTCGACGAGCTACAGTAGCCGTTGACCTCAAGCGAGAAAGCTTGACTCCCGATCACATTGCCAACGATTTAAATGGTAATCAGGATGAAACTCTTACCTTGCCACAAACTCCATCACGAGCTACAAACAAAGGACGGAAAGAATCGGGCATTAGGGCCGTTCACATTCAACCAACAGTTCAGAATTTGGAACGGGCTTTGAAGGAGATAGAACTGATTAAAGAGAGACGACAGAGAGAAAGACAGCGACAACTTCAGGTATCTATTTTTGAAACGTTAAGTTCAAAGGATTGTGCGATATTATTAAGATTATTTTTTGTAAAATATGTTGTTGTTATTTTTATGTACATTTTTAGGGTCTACAAAGAAGGATGCAAGAGGTCGAAGTGCGATTGTCAGATGTCAAATCAGTTGGAAGTTACTTGGAAAAGAGTTTGGCTAAAGATCCCAGAAACAAATGGGAACTGGAACAATGGTTAATATACGTACAGCAGTACGAAGCACTTCGAAGTGAAGAAAAGGAGCTACATCTGAAGTTGAAGGCTTTTAAGTTACAGGAAGACTACGGTAACTTGAAGGCGAAGCTACACAAAGCTCAAACTGACGAAAATATCAGTAGCGGGGTAAGTGATTACTGCTTTATGGTGATATTGAACATGTGTTATTATTCATGTTTGTATCTGGTATAAAAGTATCTTTTTTAATAATCGTAGTAAAATAGAAGATAACTTATTTATCATATTCTGTACTTCAGGCAGAGAAACTACTAATGGAGAGGCTACTGGAAATACTCAACACCAAGGATACGGTAAAAGCGGAACTGTCTGACATTACCAACACCTCCAAGATTGCAGAGTCACCGGCTGATCTGATCCAAAAGTGCTCGGACTACAGCCTTTACGACCCCGTGTTTCTGACTAACTTGACTATAAATAGTTTTGTATAATGCAATTGTATATACGTAGATGTAATTAGTAATTGTTATCATTCTTAACATGTTAATACTTTGTTTATTACGACAATATTGTTATTTGCCTTATATTATTTCCAACATTCACAGCTGAAATAGTGTCATTTCGTGTGTTAATTATGAATAAATATTGACTTCTACCTATATATACCTATAATAATATATTATGAATTATTATATTTTTGAGCTGCTTTTCTGTAAATTTATATTTAAAATATTTTTTTCATAAAGCGGTAGTAAAGTCAAAGTATTTTTAAATTTTATTGATCAAAAAGAATGTTAGATAACTAAGATTTAGTATCAACAAGTAACATATTATTACGAGGCTTGTAAACCTTCTTCATTGAAAGTTTGGAGCTTATATACGCATTTCATCAATGGAGAAATAAAACTTACAACAAGTAAAAAATTTTTGACAATATACCAATGGGAACCGAAAGAAAATAATTCTGGACCGCAAATTTTTTAGCAAAAAATCTAAAGATTTGAAAAAATAATCCCCGGGAATTGATGGCAAACTAATTTTAGAGTCCCGACGCGAAAACAAGCTGTATTTTCAAATTTACATTTTTTATTTGACGAAATGCGTAATTTAGCGTTTGATGCCTCTGTGAGCGTAGCTGTGCAATCGTGGATACTCTTTCTCTAACTTCTTTGTACTCTCTTTCAAACACTTGGTCATTTCCACCATAAACATCTCATCTGTTTCTGTGGACAATCCTGCTTCATTGCCACTTTCTTTTGACAGCTTTTGAATAATTTTGCTGAAAAATATAAATTTTACAAACTACATAATTAAATAGGATTTACCCGTACAATGAAAGTATAATTACACTAGGATTTACTGTACAATGATTTGATTCTCTGCCTTTAAAAACTTACATAGCATGTTTTAGTCTGACATACTCGTTGTACGCTTCTACAGTTGAGTGGACTGATGTTCTAATTGAAGACATGGTAGAATCGAGGAATTTTGATATCATCTTCTCAGTGTTTCGGCTTGGTTCTTCCACATTATCATCGAAACTTTGGTCGCTTTCCGTGTTCGCCGTACAATCGGAGCATGCTTCAGAATCCACAAAGCTCGAGATGTCTCCATTGACGTACCTCGTTCCCACAAAGCAGTCAGCATCTTTTTTAAGGCTATGTTTGAAGACGAGCTTTGGCTTAGCGGTGGAGTGTCTTCTTTTGGTCGTTAATGGCAGTTTCTTGGACTCAGCGGATTTTTTGGCGTTTAGATGGTCGTGTCCTCTGATGTTGTAACATCGTCGCGGCTTCAGCAAGCGGAGCAGTCTTCTAATTACGGTGAACATCCTTATATTGAAGAGTTGTTGCAGAATAAAGTGTTTGGAAATGATTAATGAAAAACCTTTTAGAATCAGTTTGTTTTTCGGTAGAAAAACTTGATACTGTTTTTGCTTACAGGCAGATTTTACAATTGCGCACACAAATCAACGACATTTTTCGACCTTTAAAGCAAAACATATTATGTTGCGCATTTGATTTATTTATTTGCTTGCAATAAAACCTTGTTATAGGACTTTTCTTGCAAGGGGACCATGCTACTGCTGCGTGGTACCAACTTCAGCCTTGAGATTTCTGGAGAATTTGATCTCTGAACTAACGTATTTTAGAGCAGTAACTCGTTCAATAAAGTTATCATTGGGCTCTATTGTTTTAAATAGGTTATGCCTAAAATTTTCATCTAATTCGTCTTTTTCCTGTTCTGTTCTAAGCCAATCATTTGATCTCTTTCTTTACCTCTTCAAGGTTCAAAATTCTATTTAGGGTTGTACCAAGCTTACGATACAGTAAAAGATAAAGGAAGTATTATCAGCTATCAGCCAAATGTTTAATGTATTATTGGAAAGTATGATCCGGTCGTGATGTTAGTCACATAGTTACCACGAACTACTAATACCTCTGCACTGAGAGTATGTGTACTAATCTGTTCTTTGTAAGTGTTTCGACTCATTTAATGACTTGGTTTGAGTTTAATATAACTTTACATTACGTCAAAAAGTAATTACTCATTTAGATTCCAGTCAGAGTTTGCGCATCATACTCATGTTTCACACTCGTACTCGGTGGGTACTGCAAGATAATTAAAGTGGTCTTAGAAGGAGTGAGAGCAAAGTTAAGTTTAATTTTGGAACAAACTTATGGGTTGGTCGATAAACGTGTTTAAGGGTTTCTTTGGGGTCATTTTGAGTAGATATAAGTTTTTTATTGTACTTTAAAGAAGTAATAAGACATGGTTAATATCTTTTTATATTGTTTATTTTCCCCTTAATTACTACACTAATATGACATTATAATATCTTGTGGCAAAAAACTTTGTTTTTGGTCAGTGAAAGGTTTCGTTACGGTCGATTAAGAGCCCCTTACTTGCTTTGGTCAACAAGTACTACTAGAATATAATTTATTTTTAAATGTTGTGGTAGATGCGTGCTGGGGTTCTTATTAACTTGTAATGCTAATTAATCCAATAAAGATTAATTTTGATCCAATTGTGAGGCGAGAGAGTGTGTGGGAAGAGGAGACGGTTATGAGGCAGGGAAAGTGCCGGAAAAGGAGGCGGTTGTCGTTTAGCATATCGCTTAACATACCATGGTTAATTAGTGGTAGTTTAGGGGTTTAATGGGCCCTTTGTTTTAATAGTTTAGTTACTTTACAGTAGAAACAACTATTGTAAATTCTATTTGTAGATTTTATATATCAAGGTATATATTGTGCCACACAAGATACATACATGATGATATGTTGAATTTTGTCTTGTAATCGAATCTGTAGTATACTAATCAATGCTAAACACCTTGCAATAAGCGCCTTACTGTGTCTAAATCACTTGTTGTGAGAAGTGTTTTTTGGTCAGATGTGTTTAGCCATATGTAATCGTATCTTGGCACTCTTAGCTTTGACGCAGAGTGTAATATCGCTATTTGGAGATACATATTACAATTATCATATCATAAATTGGTTTTGTGATTGTAAAGACATACCGAGGCCGACAGACAGTAACATACGACGCGTTTTTGGTAATCAAAGTACTATGATATACGTTAATATGTTGCACTTTGGGAGATATCTTATTAAGTCTGGTATTACTCTCAGACGACGTGAATATATACCAATTTAAGACGGTCACATGGTTCGACATGTATACATGTTATTGGCATGTATGTGCTTTGGTGTGGGGTACTGTAACGTTGCTAGCAAAAAAAGTAACTTGTCCTCTGTAATTTATTGTCTGAATTGGGGTAATTACAGTGTAGTAGGTTTAGCTTTGAACCGTGTGACTTCCTCGATGGAATTTCATTTCATTGACGTGTTGTTTACAGTGTATTTACTGTACATTTACATTATATTATGTTAAGAAGGCGGGGTAGATTACTCTGTTGATCTATTGTTACATTTCCCAAAACATTTTACTGCGTCATGCTTAGTAAAGCTAAGATAGTGTATAATAGTACTATATAGTTGATGTCTTGTCTGTTGAAAGTTAATGCACTATTCCTGATGAGTTCAGACCTTATGGTAATGTACTGATTTTTCCTCTGATAGCTGGTGCACTAACTCGGAGCAGGAACTCTTTTTACAGTACCATACTCATTGTTTACGGCAGTCAAAGACGTTAAGTTTTGTTTTTCGGAAATCAATTTAATCAAAAGATGTAATCGTATGTTACGTCGACACTTTTAAACTACAGTCGGACTGCTGCTGGCACGTTTACTCTACAATATAAACGTATTGAGCAGATTCTAAGCCTTACTTTATATAAGAAGATCTGTAGTTACTGCAATATATTTAAGTATGTGTAGCTGCAGTTTGTGTAAAGACTGCAGGTCATATAATGCTGTCATCTTTACTGCAGTGTAACATTCCCAGGTCCACTTACTGCGCTGTAATAATCTCAGATAAGCGTCTTAAAATAGTCAGAGCGCTTGCTGTGGCTAAGATGATGTTTCAAAAGACTTTTTTGTAGCCAAAATACATCTCTGGTAAATCCGAAGGACGTCAGTGTAATGTAAAGGTCGGTATTATCTAGGTCTCAACCTCTGCTGTGGTATCTTTGGAGGGGTTTCTTTGTTCCTCGTACACCGAGCTATTAACTGTGGGTATTACTGAGCAATATTGGTATAGTATGTAGGCCGTTGTTGTTTAATATTACTTCTTACAGTGCTGGTTATTTCTACTATCTTTGAGTTTTTAATATAAGATTTAGGTTTTGATGATACTATGGTCAATTTTATTGATAAGCAGTATCAAAAGTGCCTTTTTATTTCATCATACCATAAACTTTACGTTGAACGTTAATATATACTTACATGTGTTCAATATATTATACTTTTGTGCTCCCACATTACCGCGTATTTTCACCATATTATGCGTAGTCTTAATATCGTATGTTTAGGTCTAATCATGTTGATGCTACGGTTATGGCTAATGGTTGTGGTGATAGCCATGGTCAGAAGTGAACGTACGTTGAGAAGAATGCGAGATCTTCTAGATGAGAGTCCATCTCAAGAGAATCTACTTCGAGTTTGTGCCAATATATTGTCATCAAGGAATGGTGAGTTTTAGTATCTTTACATTCAAAATAGTCATTTAAAATTGGGTATTGACATAACAGTAAAATTTATGATAGTTACAATAATATAAGTTTATTTGATATTAGCATTCCAATGATAAGATGACTTGTTTCAGCTCAATTTTTTGAAGAAAATGTTGTCTTAAGTCCCAGCGGCGATGAAATTCCCTTAACACTAGTGCAAAGAGAAGTGCCAGTCAAATACGAAGTAAGTTACATTACATTTTAACTTCTTTTTGTCTATTAGGAATAGGTTTTGCTTCAATACTTTCTCTATAAACTCCTCGTTTAAATTAAAAAAGCTAACTTGACATCAGATTTTGTAATACGCTTTTAAATTTTATCACATTATACTATTCTTTCAGATGGTAGACCCAACTGACCGACTGGAGAGAATAGCTCGGACCTTGAGGTCAAGTGTGTATGCTCCCAAACTGTGTGAACCTGAAAGTTTCTACCCCAAAGTCGGGGATCAAGAACTCAATTGTAAAGAAGTAAGTTATACCTATAACTTATTTCTTTATTCTATATACATGTAGTTAATACGTACAATCCGTCTTAGCATGGTAGAAACTTTTTGAAGCTTTCTGTAGAAGATATGCCCTATCTTTTCACAGATCTATCTTCTTTTCTTGTAAGTCTAATGTCATCACAGTAGTTATGTAAACAGTACAGTATGTCATAATTCCAGTAAAAAACTTTTCGATCTGTAATTCGCGTGACATTTCACAGTATTTTACCACACCTTATCATACATCTTGTCCCTGTAATCGCCGTATTTACGTATTTAAGAGTATTTTCGAAAAAACGACAGACTAAGGTTAATCTCGGTGACATTCTGTAAATCGTGTTTTGGTAACTTACAATTTAAGCCTTAACCGTGGATTCTTTAGAAAATGTTACAGTAGGACAAACAAGTATGACATACTTATTATGACATACTATACTATAATATAGCCTATAACTGTTATCTTTGAAGTCTCACAGTCGATGACACATTAAGCCCAATGTCATTTCAATTGAAACAATAACAATTGTAAACAGATTAATGTCCACGAATTGTCACGGGACGGGACAATGGATATTAACATAGATTAGGGTGTTTGGCCATTAGAAGACCGTGACATTCGGGTTTAAAAGTCGAATTTCGAAAGGGTAGTAGGTGTAGGACAAAGACGTCTTGTTTACTGAAATTGTCATAGAAATGGTGTTGCACATCATAGTAATTGTAAAAAAATGTCGTAATACCAAGACATCTTAGAGATCGTGTACCAACGGCACGGTAATCTTGCTATAAATAAGGCCACAGTATAGTACAAACAATATGTCTGTTTTTGATTCTTTTCTTCATAATCCTTGACTACATCTCATCCTGTATATACTCAAATCAACAAACATTTAACTCCAACCAACCACCAATGTTCAGATCTGCCAATCGTGCGTACCCGGCTCGGCCGCCGTCTGCCATCAACGGAACCACCGCTTTCCAGGCGTAGCACAAACCTGCTTCTGCACGTACGACACCGACAGACCGCTACACAACGCCGTACTGGTGCTGAAGAACGGCGTGTCACAGATCTGAGCTTAATATTAACAATAAAGTTGCCCAAAGTCGTTACCAAAAATGTACAAAGTAAACTTGGAGTAGTTGAAGTTGGTCGTTTATTTACTTAAAAATGTCAATCTAGGCTGTATTTGAATACAAACATTGTTTATAACCAGGTCGTTAACAATAGAAATCTAAATTGGCAGTAAATCGTCTATGTTGTTAACTACAGATACCTATACGTTACTTTACTTTGATGACAATCTATTTTTGACCTGTCGGTTTCAAAGTTCATCAGAGTAATGTAGCATCGAATAGGCCTTATTAATCTTTAAAGAGAACTGTTTTGACTGACAAAGTAACAACCATCGTATGATCTGCTAAAGATCGTTCGCGGTAACGACCGGATCATCGCTGCTTCGCTATGACACTGTCTCTCTCGATGGTAGGTAGCCTGCTACTGCCGTCTATGTATCATAATTGACGAATTTGTAAACAGGATCAACCTCTGAATTGCACTAATCCGTTTTGGAACATTACTCGACCACCTATATAAGACTCTGTCATCGTCGTATCTCCATTCAGTGCTACGGTAGAATGAAATCTGTTGTCGCCTTCTCGCTCCTCTTCGGACTCGGTACGGTATCTTTTCAAATTTTGCAAAAAATAAGTTTTACTACATAAAACTTTAAGTAATACTAAAAATAAGCGACATTATGATGACAATAATGTGTTTCAGCCGTGAGCCAAGAGTTCTCCCTCCCTCCTCTCGGCGGATCTCTTCCTCCAGGCTTCAGTCTGCCTCCAGGATTCAGCCTTCCTCCAGGCGTCAGCCTCCCAAGTGACCTACCTACAGAAAGCCGCAGAAAGCGGGGTTTGTTCGGTGGTGATGCCCCAGAAGGCTTCAGCGGAGCCCCACAAGGCTTCAGCGGTCCACCAGAAGGATTCAGCGGCCCACCAGAAGGCTTCAGTGCTCCACCATTGAGAAAGAGAAGAGGACTATTCGGCGGAGACGAGTCTGTGCCAACTGGGCTACCAAGCATTCCCGCAGACCTAGTCAGTGGCCTGCCCGAGGGTGTCAGCCCACCAACCGGTCTCCCAGAAAGCCGTAAGAAGAGAGGATTGTTCGGAGATGACACTCCATCCCTACCTACTGGACTCCCCACTGGTCTTCCCGAGATCAACGCCTCCGACCTCCCATTGTCAGCACCACAAAAGAGACAGGTCCTACCACTAGCAACTGGTGTCCCAACTGGTCTCCCAACCGGTCTACCAACCGAGATTCCATTGTAAACTGATAAAGGTAAGCATGACAACAATAAATACTAATAATAATATATTTAAAAAAGCAGACAGACATTTCAACTTAAAAATATAAAAAATTCATTCCAGAACGAGTCCCATGACCCATCCAACCACCACCCAACACTATCGACTATGTCAGATCCACATTCATTGTCATTCCTTTTACTTACTGCTAGTAAACATATCACTTAAGGCAATTTATAAACCATTAAATCATCTTAAAAACATAAATTTTTAAATAAATGATAAATTATACAGTAATCTTAAGAATATACTCAGCATACTAAAGACAAAGTAAACCGATTGTAAAAAAATTGTAAACCCAAAAAACTAGTCGGTTTACCTAATCAAAACAGAGTTAAAGCATTCGAAGTAAAGAGAAGAACATGGAGAAAGCGGGCGAAGTAGAGGAGAATATAGGTTTGTGTTCGGCAAAGTGAATGGCATGTAGAGGATGAAGATACCATGGTTCCGTGTTTTCCTCAGGCTCTTCGATGAACCTTGGAGCTAGTTCGATCTCGTCCTTGTATGTCATTATAATATCCAGGACAACTCCATTCGTCCAGCCAAATCCTTGCTAAACAACCGGTCAATAAGTAAGTAAAGCTCAGTAAAGCTTTTCATTTATATGACATGTTATAGTAAAGAAAAACTATAGATCATTTAAAAAAATATATAAAAGATAACCTATCGTCCTTCTACTACCTTACCTGAACCTTGTATTCTCCACCCGACCCCACCTTCCGTCTACCTGTAGCTTCGTATTTCTCAAACATGTACCCGTATTCTTTAAAAACCTCGTAGCTGTAGGCTACGAACTTTGTTGCCAAATCGTAACCAGCTTTCTTCAATCTAAAACATTTAAAAATTAACAAATAACATACTAAAGAAAAATACAAAAAACATTACATTGACTTACGTTGAATCAGATGATTTACGTAATGCTTCAACAACCATGTGTACAAGAGGTGGCCACACATTAGGAAAGTCCCATTGCTCCTGTGATGTTGTCAAACTGAAATGAACCATAGAATTCTACTAAAATTATGTTTAAGTAAATACAGGAATACATCATAGTATGCCCAATATTGTATATAATAGAATAAGGTTATTGTATACTGTCTTCTTCATTTAAAATATTAAAAGAATATTACCTAGCTGGTATTCCACCAACATAGTCCCACGCTCCCATCTCTTTCATCCTTCTGAAAGTGTTATTCAGAATCTCATCGTGAGCTTCATCGTCAAAAAGCTCACAGAAGAAGGGAGCAAAAGCAATAGGGTAAAACTCTCTGTTGTGACACCCCTTCCTGATGTTGTAATCCAAGTAAGTTCCAGTCTCAAAATCCAAAAACACCTTATCCATCATTTTCTTCATAGCTCTGATTTCCTTCTCCAACTCTATGATTCTGTCTCCATTACCACCAACTTCCTTGTACAAATTCATCAAAACCATCTTCGAACCACAAATAAATGCATTCAAATCAACAGGTAATATACTGGTAGTCTCGAGAGTACTCAAATCGTCATTGTTTCTCAACCATCTTGTACTGAAATCCCAGCCAGATTCTGCTGCTGAAGCCAGTTCATGCCAGATCTTGTGTTTCTGGTCTACTTCAGTCACATTCTTTGTTAGATTCACATCTTCTTTGTGAGATTCGGGTCGAGGAAAGTCGCTATCAGCGTTACATTGGTACACTCGGTAAGAGTCATCGTCTATCTTGAGTATGCGACTTCTGTTCTTGTCCCAAAATTCGAATTCCTAAAAAATGTCAAAATATATTTGAAGTTATCATTGCATAAAGCATGTTTTGTAAACTTTGACTATAACAACTTGACAACTCGCTCCTTTTAAGCCTACAAAACGACCATAATTTTAGTGTTTTACAAAAAAACTGACTTTTTCGAGAAAAGGTAACAATTCCTTGACCAACTCCACATCCTTAGTCTTGTCAAAGTATTCCTTTATCATAAAGCCAAACAAAGGTGGCTGTGATCGTTGTAGGTAATAGATCCTTCCTCCATTTGGTATTAACCCAAACTTTTTGATCAAATCGGCCATGTTGAGTAACATAAACCTAACAGATTCATACATTTCAGACACCAGAAGCCCCTTGATGGTCCAGTAAGAGTCCCAATAGTACATTTCTCGGAACCTGCCTCCAGGCACGATAAAAGGATGTTTTAGATAGATCAAGGAAAACCTATTAGGGTTGTCCTCCACATTCTTGGTCACAGAGCGACACAAATCAGTCCACTTCTTGTGAATATCAAGGGCAAACTCTCGAGATGACTTATCTTGAATCTGGAGAAATGAAGGTGGGATCGGCTTCCAATCAACTGGTGTGCATCTAAAACATTATGAAGTTATTTTTAATAATAAGACCTTATGTAACGTAGAATGTCAGAAACATTTTTAATTGAAAAAATACTACAAATGCCATAGTTAACTTGGCTGAATTAACTTACACATTAAGTTCAACAGACCTTCCTGACTCCAAACTGTCTGCACTGTAAAAATTTTCTTCCACAAACTGTTTCAAAGTGTCTTTACTGATCTGTTCATCAGTCGGAAACAGGATGTTAAACTTGTTGAGAACATCTTCTGGAGATAACCTCAGTGGCAACTCAGTAAACGTTTTTGAATCGGAAAACAACGAATACTTCGTGACAGCCTAAAACTGTTGAATTAGAATAAAATAAACAACTTGAAATATTACGAAAATTATTATAAAATTAATTTTAAAATGTTAAAATTAAATATTACTCACATTTAGAATCCGCCCATGACAGTAAACATTATTGTTGGTCGATTGAACAAGATCGCGACATTTAAGTACGTAATCAGTTGCGACCGGTAAAGAGAATAAATAACATGAAAGAATTGCAAATAGTCAAAAGTACACTTACATGACGTCGAACAGACCATGTGATACGAAACACATTGTGTTCCCCGTTTTGTTTTCTCAGACATAACAGAAGAAAAAATCAGCGTACTTTAATCACTTGAAGTGATCTTTAGAAGCTTAAACGATCAAAATAAAACTTAATATTAAGTTAATAATATTTCAAAATATGTGATAGCATGATTAGTAAACAATTGGAAAAAATCTATGTAACATTTACATCAATATTTCACAATTTTTCCTTGATTTACATAAAATTCACACTAGCTTTGCGTAGGTCCCACCACGAAAGCAAAACATTTGGCGTAACGTAATTAATTTATTTTTTTAGAAAAACCTTTGATTTTAGGTTTTTTAGTTTTAAAATTCGTTGATATGTTGTAAAAACAGTATATTTTTTATCAATTAAGTTTTATTTTTATAACTCTTTTTATTAATATACTGAAAATCACGTATTCCAGAAGATGGAAGAAGGTGAGGTCATACGAAATGAAGATGAACCTAACGAGTCTAAATCCGATGGTTTAGTTGATGTTAAAGACACAGAAACTGAAGATGAGCAAGACGATCGTTCGTTTACTTTGAAATCTGAAGAAATTGATGATTTCTTTGAAACAGAGGTTGAAGCCGACTCTAACAAAGGAAGAACATGCATAATATGTGGACAATTCGTCTCTCACTTTCAGAATTACGCTAGACATGTTAGGAACAACCATAGAGGAGGTAAGTTAACAAATATTTGCTATTATATGTCTTCGGTTCTTAGAGAAGCATAAATGTGTCTACTGCAACAAAAAGTTCTTTATTCACAACCAACTGAGAAGTCATATCGCCAATGAACATCCACAGACGTATCTTTGTGATATTCCGAATTGCACCTACAAGAGCGACGCTTTAAGGAACGTAACTCAACATAAAAAGAGAGCTCATTCTGGTAATACAGTAATGTGCACGGTAGAAGGCTGTCTGTTCTCGTCTAAATACAGATGTCTTCAGAAGCACATGATAGAGTTTCATTCTTCCAGAGAGTCTTCTGTGGTAAGTTCTTTTATTTTATGTTGGAACTTCTTTTTAGTTTGATTTATGGTATTTTTCACAAAATATTATTATTATTCGTTTTAAAATTAATATAGTAAAAGGGGCCATAAATATCTTTTTATAGAATCCGGACGGAACGGTGGTGAGAAATAGCCTTAATGTAGTCTGTACCTATTGTCAAAAGCCTTTCCTTACTGCCAGTTTGTTAAAAAGACACATTGGAAGGGTTCATGAGAACAGGTACAAAGAGAATATACGAGACAAGATTTACAAATGTACGAAGGAAGGTTGTGACAAGAGTTACAAGACACCTGGGGCTTTGAACGATCATTCGAATACTCATTCTGGTAAGTTTAAGTTTGTTGTTGTTGAATTGATCATGTTTTCATTGAAAAACGACCGTGTAGTTTTAAGAAATTATTTTGAGTTCCAGTTAAAAAAGAATTTATTTTAGGTGAGAAGCCTTTTGAATGTCAACGTTGTGATAAGTCCTTTTACGGCAGAGCTCTGCTTGCGGTTCATCTTAGGCGTTATCACATGATTAGTATAAAAGATATCACACGTGCCAATACTTTATTACTTCCCAAAGAGGATCCGTTGTCAAACACTCAGGAGCAGAACCAATCGGTACCTACTGCAACCGATGACTTGTTATTGTGTCCTAAACTGGAGAACACTGATGCTTGTTAGATACTGTTTTATAGAAAAATTTGTTGTTTTGTGTTGAAAGGATATTGTTATAGATGTTTTCAAAATTTTATATGTAACACTGCCTGTTATTACTTGTTAAGTTTGTTGTACATTTCGGTGCTAAGATAAATGCTAAAGCTGAATAGGAATTTTATTGAATAAACAATCGATGAAGGAACAGGGCCTTACATAAGGGACTTGTTTGCACATTGAGCTTACTCTCCAGACATCATCTCCATGAACTCGTCAAAGTCGACGGTGCCGGAGCCATCTGTATCAATTTCTGCGATCATTTCGTCCAATTCCTCTTCAGAAACATTGTCATCCAAAGCGCGGAGGATTTCTCTCAAGTCCGAGACGTTAATGTAGCCGTTTCCCTCCTTATCGTACAACCTGAAGGCTTCTCTCAATTCTTCTTCCAAACCTTCGTTATCTTCTGCCGTCACGACGAAGTTGGCAACCATAGCAGCAAATTCTTCGAATTCAATCTCACCGGAACCTGAAATCAATATTTGACTACAATTAAAGAGCTAAAACTTTGAAATAATTTAGTTTTATCAATTTTCTCTTCCAGATTAAAACGACTTTTACATTAAATGCATTTTCCAGATTCCCTTTTATGATAACTTACCATCAGAATCGAATTCTTTGATCAGTTGCTTCAGATCTCTTTCTTCGAAGGCTTGACCCATTGTCCTAAGGATCTGGCCCACTTGGTTTGCCCTAATAAAGCCTTTCTGTTCCTTGTCAAACATGTTGAAGTACTTTCGGAACTCTGTAAGAAGTGGTCAGATAACCATTTATGTTACTTACGTTCGATTTGGTCAGCAGTTAGCTGCTCGAGGGCTTCTGTCACGGCGTCCGCCTGAAAATGGCATAATTATAAACTTTATTACTTTTGTAAAAGATTTAAAATTTTAAAAAGTTTAGTTACCTATGGTTATTTTTTGTATATTTCTAGCTTTTACTCATGTTGTCATAGGTAAAAGGTCACTACAAAGTTGTCGAACTTACCATAGTTGCTGATGTCGCAGTACACGCAAGAGACAGAGGCTTCCAGTGGGGTGGAAGAGCTCGTTTCTGCGTAGGAGTATCAGATCCGGACGATCTCGAGTCGTCCCCCTTCATCTGACGTTTGCGCTTTTCGCGCACCCTCCAGATCCTCAGGAGTCTCTGCTGATCGCCTAACCATTCGGCCGAACTTTGTTCTTGTCTCGGGGCCGCAAAACTCGTGCTCGACGGCCAGCCACTGCTGTTCGGAGGCGGATGCGCATGTTCAGGCACCGCCAGCGAGGTGGATTGGGTCCCGCCTAACCCGCACAGCCAAAACCTGGACCCGTCCCAGAGGGCAGCCAGCCAGCTGGACCCCATTTTAGTGTCGGTATCCGGCTTGGACTTGAGCTTTTGTTGCAGCCTTTGCTGCTTCGCCTCCCGTAGCATGGTCTCGGCCTCTTCTACGTCCAGGAAGTCATCGTCGTCGGTGGAGAAGTCGGTCAGGGTGGAGTTTGTGAGGGAATCCATAGAAGTGCAGGAGCTGGCGCCACTCACCAGTTCATCTAAGTAAGCCTGTTCTCGAGTCATCTACGGACAAATGGCATCGTTCCTATAATTAAACGAGTACAGTAACCCTCTGATTCATGACTCTCGAATTTCGAGCAAATAAAGGCGCTTCTCTTCAAATAAATAAAACACTTTAATTACATTGGTAACGCGCACAAAGGCACAGTAACTAACAGTAGAGGTAACATGAGACTGTAATGGTATCATGACAATATAAACGTATTAAATTAGAATAAGTCTCTTAAATTAGAATAAAGTCTGCCTTGGGCCGAGATGGTTTAATCAGAGAGCGCCTTTGTGCCCTCGGGGGATTCAATTAAAGGTTTATGGTTGTTCTAGAATGGGTAATCACTACTGTTTATGCTGTTATCTTCAAATACAAAACAATTTCCGGCCGAGTAAATTAAATATGAAATCACGTGAAAGTATCAGAAAACAAACTTGTTGGCTTCTGGAGTTTCGGTGGGAAACTCAAGACTCTCGAGAATGAGAGTTTGCGAATTCAAAAGGCCTGTTAATTTGCCAAAAATACCCCAATAACCTTTTTATATCATGTTAGAGCGGACATCTTTAAATGTCACTCGGATTTGGAGCCGGCTTCGTTTCACAGGAAATCCGGAGTCCCTTACCAGCCTCAATCAGCCGAATTAAGGGTTTCTGATACAGGACTAGTCCCAGTGATAACATAAAGCAATGTAAAGTTGTGTACTTTCGAGGGTAGAAAGACAATAAGCAGATGGTAACAAACCATGTTGACATAACCACGCTCTCAGACATGTTTCACATCAAACAAAAAAGCTTTTAGTCAAATTTTAGTTTAGAGGAATGGGTAGAGAACATACGGGATAGCTATAATACTTTTACAGCTTTTGTTTAAAGTTTACAGTAAAAGAAAATATATAACACTAAAGCAGGACTTATGAACCATGTTTTGAAAGTTTTTACCAACGTAGCCATAAGTTATGTTTGACAGTTTTAAGACAAAATATTTCTCATTTTCTACAAGTTAAATTGCAAAACACGCATAGTCAACAAAAAAGTTAGTACAATCACAGTGATAATATGCAGGAAACACGTGTTATGACATGGAATTGGATGTAAAGCTATAACCGTACTGACCGCGAAACAAAACCCTGGAGGAGGCCGTCCCTCCCCGCCAGAAATCATTTGACATTTCTAGAAACCAAATAAATCTTGGAGCGGAAGGGAACTGGTTCCTCTTAAACAGATTCAATTTTGGCCTCGGCTTCAGAAGGAAGGTAAATTAAATCAACCAGAGCTGTCGACCGGCAGAAAAACAAACAAAAGTCTGAATGACTTTGATTCATTAACCCATGGTACGGTAGGGTTGGGAAGGTACAGTACTCATAGACTACTAGTTAGGTTAAGAAGTTACAGTACCTATAGTAACAGGACTTATAGTTATAGTAAGGTAAATTAAGAAATCGTATTAATCATGATACAGCTCATAATAATATAGCTAATATTCAATTCTCATCATTAAAACGTATTAAAGATACTATAACAGTACGTAGAACCCCCCCCCCCAATATATAGATAATAAGACTACAATAAAGAGCAATATAGTGTTGTACTTAGTCAGTCATTCGACGCACAATTACATGGTCGTATCACCAAATCTCATCTAAAATATTTATTAGCCTAGAAAACAAAGATTGTTTTTCGCTGTAAAGTCATCTATTAAAATATGTAGAGGCTCTTGAGGATATTAAAAGATACGACGATGGTGGTAGCACTTCCTCTTCAGGATAATTTAATTTCACTGTTATTTGTAAACAAGCTGCCACAAGGTAACCTAACACGACGAAAAACAGCCCAGAGTGGCAGAATATACGACAACATGACCTAGCTTATTACGGAGTAGCCCGACATACCATAATAACATACTTCAAGCCATCTTAACGTACCGCGAAGTGACATAACATACCACGTTTTTACTTTCACGCCTCAGTTAAAGTAGAGTAAATGGTTCGAAACTATCGCAAAACACATTATGTATCCAGCACGATGACATTATATTACCGAGTAAGAGGCCCCAACTCAATAACACCAGAGCTTGCAAGACAACTTTTGATGTAAATGGCATTACAGGGTTTGTAACTAAATTACTATACCTTAAAATTAACTATCACTGGCCTTGCATATCATTTTTGATCGTTAGTTAAGTAACATACTGAAATCAAATTACCCATAAGCTATTATAGTATAAGGTGATTATCAAAGAAATTACATTACTAATTAGGTGGGTTAAAGCAATATACCTAACCAGGTTATTAAAACTCCAAAGGTTAGATGTTTTACTGGTAAATGTAAAGAAAAGGCTACTGAGTGTTATTGTCGTATGTGCGCGGCAAATAGAATATCGCGCAATTAAGATTAGATGAACATACCAAACAAATAACAGACAAAACAGATGCTATTCCAACCAAATCCTGTTACAAACTTGGATTAAATTTAGAAAACAACACTGAATTCGGCCAAAAACTACCTAGAACTGAACTGATAATCAAGAGATAAGCTTGTTATAAGGTTTTCCTTAAACTTTTTGACTCTTTAACCTCCCTTATACTCTTTTACTACATCCCTACAACCCTAACATATACCAAAACTTAAGTGAATATAGTTTATTCTACGCAAGCTAAGTCTCTAATCTCCACTTGGCGGCTTCAGATTCCAGCGAAGCCAAGCGATGGGCAGGAAGATGTTGTTGTAATGGATCCCTTAATCTCTTCAGGTCCGCCTTAATCTCGTGCTGTAACGTCTTCAGGTTGTTGTACTCGGTTATGTCGAACTTTTGTTTCTTGGCCCTCTTGTGGAACTGCTGGGTGAACACCCGTTGTTCGGCCGACGGATACTCAAAACTCTGCAAACATATCACATATTATAGTATACGTTACTCGACGGCACAAATGCTACACAAATACATGTATCCTGTTTCCGATGCAATAACAACATAACAATTTTTGCATATATCGAAAACAATCGATTTTCTTATAGTAAACACTGCTGTAGGTATAGTGCAACATGAAGAAAAGTAAAATACGAGATCAAAAATTGACCAATATTACCCAAACCCATTATTTCTTTCGCAAACATCAAAAAATAATAACCATCATTCAGTAAAACATATAAATCATAGTGTGCTTACTTGTTTCGTGTGGATGTAATACCCAAAGGTAGCGATTACTGTAGAAAATGTAGCAAAGTATGTACATGGCTCCACTATGTCCCAACTGTAGTCGATCCACGTTAGTCGAGCAAAGATTCCAGTCTGGACTCCCATAGCAATCAGCCCGCCCCAAAGCACCTTTTTACTGTACAATTCACATTCATTCTCAATCTGCTTTCGTATCTAAAAAGCTTTCGTATAAAATGTCCTCTTGCAAACTGCGGAATAATCTAATATTTGGCCACAAACTGCGCCCTATAATTTAATTATGTTTCCGAAAACGACGAGATTCCATCTTACTACATTTATGTATTATTATCCAGCGTGCTACCGTTTTAGCGTTCTTTTTTCTCGCTTAGCTTTTAAAATTTCGTACTAAACCTAATAATATAATACTCACCTTCTCCATAGGCTTTAAATTAACTTCAACGTCTTCTAATGCCACCATCAACTTCCGTTCTCGCTCCATCTTGTAGCCGTCCACGTTCAGCACGGTGTAGAGTGTAGCCACCGTCGCTTTGAGTTGTTGTAGTCCTTTTAATTTGTCTGAACTCTTCAAAATGTCCGTATCTCCATTCGTAGCCGGTGTTTCTACGTCGAATATCTGGTCGTTTATTCGAATTCGGAAATGGGGGAAAAGCATCAGATTCTCGATTGGCACGCTCGTCGATATACGAGTTCCATCTATAAATTAAATAAGGTATTTGTGTTATGGTATAATATATTTTATTTCCTCATGGTAGTAGTCTCTATAGTAGATGTAACGCAACATACCGATCTTGTAGACAGCAGCGATCTCGACCCCTTTGTCTTCATCCTTGAGCTTTTTACAGAAGGACCCGACAGTATCACTAATAGGCCTGAGGATAAACAGACATTTCTCGAGCCGAGATGGCAAAGGCACCTCTAACATTGGCAGACCACTCTCGACCTCGACCTTTATCGACTTCTCGGGATTGACCTGATATGTAGCCATCTTGTGATTGAGATCTGTAGACGTCGATGGAAGCTCGTCGATCGGTTTTTTCGAAATCTGCAACACTATATGTTATGGTATAATTTGTCATTTTTAGCGTAAACGCATGCTTTAGAGGGCGCTGGACACCGTACCGTAAATTATTTGTCATATAAGGTGCGAAATATTATGTTATATACCAAAAAAGAGATCAAAATGCCTATAAAACGTTTATTCAAGACTTACATTTCTGTACAACACACACGGTCTTTTGGCCATTCCATTTTGTAACAAAAAGTGGGCCAAAGGTCCGACACTTTTCATCTTATGAGGTATTCAAATCAAGTTATGTTACCCGTAACCAACCGGTCACATTCAAGAAAGCTACAAATACAAATGACCTAATTAATCATCAAATCCGCGAATAAATAAAACAAATAATGTTACAATTTTGTGAAGAAAAGACAGCTTAGAGAACACATTAAAATTTGAAGAAAGAATGAAATTTTGGAGAATCAAACCGTTCCTTATGACGTGATAAGTTCAACCCTGCCATTTCAGTTTAACAAAAGTACTCGAAACTTTCATTTTTGTTTTAAAAAGTTACCTCTTTCGCTATTTTAAGTACATCAAAGTTAAAATTTCACATTTATAATATATTTACATTTTTTGTAATTGAAAGTAACATTTCTTGTCGAAGCTGTTACTCCTTAAGTTTAAAGATCAATCTGCCCAACCCTGAGTTAATTAAGATCAGCTTACCCATAGTCTTCTTCCCAAAGGCTTATTTTGTTTAGCGATGTACAAAATAAAAGTAAATAAACGAATTTCGCCCGAGGAAAAACAGCTGTTCTTATGAATTTCGAACAAATTCAGATAAAAGCGTTTCTTTTTTACAAAAAAAGCATTATATTATGCTGCCCAGGTGCTGCTTTTTAAGACTTTTAGTGTTAAGAATTAAAATGAGTCTTTAATAACCTCAAAATAAGTTTTAATAGCCCTGAACCATGTTTTAGCTAACGCAAAAAACAAACATTTGACGAGATACTCGAGTTCCTCCCAACAAAAAATACAATTTCGTTTCGCAGCCAAAGTTTAAAAAGTAATTCCGACAGATAAAAGGCGAAAATAGTAAATAAGAAGGGCAGTAAACAAACGACTACCTCTGATGTGATTAATCAAGGCAGTTGGTGTATCATTGTTACTATAACGTTTACTGCGAGGAAAAGAGAATATTTCAAAAATACAGATTCCATGAGGCTTTCCCTTTGTTATTCCCATTTCGCTGCCGGAACGTTTCGAAGAGCGAGGGACGGCCACCAAAAACAATATTCAGATGCCCATTACTTATTAATCCTGCTGTCCACAATCGTTTTTCAACTTTTTTCGAACTGGAACCGGATGTTCCAATTTAAATAAATAATACAGGCTTTCCTCACTGTGACATGGGGATTAAACGATGAATAATAACATTACTACCTGCACAAGCTCATTTAGATAAAAATTAAATTATGCAAGAACATTTGGAAGAAAGTAAAATATGGGTACAGCTCTTTTTAAAATAAGAACGTTCTGTTATGAGCGAAACGTGCCGTCTTTCAGTTCTCCTTTTTATTAGGTACCAAGAACTTTACAAATCAACATAAAACAATATTAAAACGTAAAAACTAGTAAAGTGAGATTTAATAAAACTATAAAAATTTGTTAATAGTGAAAGCTCTTCAAATGTCTAATGAAAATAGTTAGTTCTTTACATCAATATTTCTAAAACGAATCTCTACGTCCCCTGAGCTGTTCTCCTTGTCTCTAAAATTAAAAATTTTAGAGTTGAAATTGAAAATCATGGTACTGTACTAAATGTGAAAAACAGTAAAAACGACAAAGACTGGGTTAATTTTGCCAGGTTTGCAAGTTTGAAACGATCACCTTTAAAAACGTTGGCTCTACCTTAACATGACCACTCTAACACTCACCCCTCCTCATCCGTATCCATAATAATCTCATCGATCGTATGCCACACGTCAGTTTCTGCTTTTACACAGACATTCTTGACCACTTGCTCCCCTTCATCGTCATCTTCTAGCACTATAATGTCCTCTTCGCCGACCATCTTCGGTTCTCGATACAGAGATATGAACTGTGGAGTCACAAGTCCAGCTGCAATCTGCTTCATAGTGTGAATCCTTAAGTTACTGTAAAGTGGTTGGAACGAGTTCATTACTGTTACACAAAGGTTTTTCCCATCCTCGTCGGCAACATGACAAATATCCTAAAATTTCAGTTTAGTTATTGTTGGTAAGCATCTACTCATTGTAATCACCTCCAAAATAAAATAAAATTCAAAAATATAATGACAATTCCACATAGGTACATTAACTATATACATAAAACTTTATAGCTGAAGCCAGAACCTACCTTGTAGAGATCGTCACCTTCTTTCTGTAGAATAAAGTTGATGTACACGCCTATTTCGGTAGGGTACGGGCATCTACTACAACATGAAAATATTTGATTAAAAAATATTGTTTTAGGTAATTAATAAATTAATATTCAAGCTGACAACTTACTATGGGTATTCTTCGTAGAAAGTGAACATGATATTGCACAAGATGTCAGTCTTATCTTGGATCGACAAGCTTCGTTCCCGAACCTTCTCAATCAAGTGTTTCCCCTTCTTCTCCAGAATCTCATTCAAAGTTTGTGGGTACGAGGATGGGATACTTACTAATGGTGCTCCACCGTCTTCAATTCTCTAAAATTTTAGCATTATAATCTAAACTATAATATACTGTAACAAAGTAATAACTGCATTAATATCAAAGTAGTAATTAATATAAACTATAATATATTGTGACAATGTTATAACTCAAAAATAAAACACCAACCTTGACAAAAGTGATGAACGCGTAAACGTTGTTCTCAGAGATCGATTCCGATGTTACAGTATCGTAACTTCTCCCATCGATCGTTCCCAGCCAAACACATTCGACCGGTTGTTCAAATCTCTTGGCCAATCTCTCCAACAATTGCAACGAAAAGGTATGATTGTCAAAGACAAAATTGTCAACCCACTTGTTGTCACAGGTGACGACATCACAAGTCTAAAATGAGTTAAATAATTTAAAAAATTAAGTTGGAACTTGCATTACACTATGTAAAACATCCATTTCTCATACTCTAGACTTTAAATAGTAAAATTTTTTTTATAAAATATCGTTATTACAAGTAAAACACGCTTCATTGTCCTAGTAACATAACATAAACATACGAAAGCCTTAGTCGCCTTCCTGCTGGCCTTCTTATCATCCATCGAAGTGTGAGAAGAGAAGAACACAAAGTGGGGATTCTTCTCAAAGTTCGTGGATACCTGTTTTCTACTGAGCTTCTGAATAGCTTGTACTCGTTGGTGATACACTCTCATATACACCATGTTCCAAGCAAAGTTAAAGTAATCTACGTAGTAATCACGGATTTTACATTCCCTGGCCTTTAGGCGATTCTGAAAATAGGTGAGAATATAAAATACAGTATAAATAAAATTTAAAAATATACAAAAATTTATATACTTTTTGACTAACCATACCCAACTTCATTAAACTATAACCTACCTTAAGTCTCTTCGAGAAGTTAAAGTTGTAGTTGACCAACATCTCCGACTCAGCATCGTCAAAGTTCTTTCTCAAGGTGATGTAGGCATTCCAACAAACATAAAACGCGAGCCTCAGCAACTCTTTCCCATCAACAGCGACATTATTCTTCAGATTCTTGAGCAACTTCTCCTTGTCCGAAGAAGTGTTCAGAATATTATCTTTAGAGAACCTTAGCATGTCCGGCAACTTTTCGAACGATTTTTGATTGTTCAGATCTTTGTACTGAAATTAGGGTTAATAATCTAAAATCGTATATACTTTTAAACGTTTTATATAATACATCTTTTGCGTAAACCCCCATACATAATAATATGATATAATACTTTACTTATCCCACATATTCTTATAACCTACAGGTCCATTGTAGATCTGAACAAACACTTCAGACAACGTTTCCAAAGCTTCACATTGTCTCAAGTTTACGATTTGCCCATTCCGAACATAGAAGATGCCCATTATATTGTCAGCATAGAGTTGATAATCCTCTTTGACACAGTCCAAAAGCTCGGAAACCATCAGATCACTTTCGTCATATGTGAACATAGTCAAGACTTTACAGTCTTCGTCCATCAAAATGCACAAACTCTCTTCCATCTAAAGGTATTTGCTAAGTTGATATAACAATTGAGTAAGAATAGAACCAAAAAGCATAAGAATTTAAAATCAAAAGTTACAATTTATAATCATAAGTTTGACCTACCTTCAAAGTCATCGAGTACTCGAACTCAGGGTGCACCAACCGATTCCCATCGATACTCACAAGTTCTTCTCCATTAAAAAACGACATTCTGGTCAGATGTTTACTCTCAAACCCTCTCTTCCGTCTGACCACAGCATTAACAAGGTCGTTGGTTGTGACAACCTCATTCACAGGTATCTTCATCCGCTGTACATTAAAGTCTGGCAGGTAAACGTGAACGATAACCTCCATCCGTGCCATTCTTTTTGTATCCTCTACTAGCAGATACCGAGAGAAAGCCTGGTGAAAGAAGTCGATCAGTTTGGTCTTGTTAGTTTTAGTGATTTCAATGTTGATTTGTTCCGCGAGTACCAGTAGTTTATCGATAACCTCCTCTTTGATAAGCACAACACCAACGTGCCGGTCCTAAAAAATAAATTATAAATAGTTTAAATCCTTGGTTTCCCGCCATTAAATTGGTCCCAGCACGAAGAGAGTATTTCAAAGATGATGCCAAGTAGAAGGATACATAAGTATTCGTAAAATGAACAGAGCTGCTACAATCTGAGATTTTCTAAAGGTATGGGAGCTTGTTCTGGATGAGCCCCGACTGTTTTACACAAAATGACTCACCTCCAGATATTCAGCCAGTAGGTACAAGAAGGTCATTAGTTGAGTTCGGTTGAGGACTTTTCTGAAAAAAGGCAAGTTCCCTTTACTTTCAGACCTTACTTTGGAGCCAACTTAGCAAACGGTTTCAAGAATTCGTCATGGAATATGTCCCACTCGTCGTTAGTAATATCGTTATTAGTAGTAAGTTGTTTTATTAAAGATGGACTTTTGTATACAGCACTGCCCATATCAATAGAATCCAGGATTCCTTTGGGTATGTCATCAGATGTGTACATGGTTATTTCGGCCTGGAATCACAAAAAGAAGATAGCTTTTTAATTTTAAAGGTAACGCGTTAGTTATAACGTTTCGATAACGAAAGGATGATAAAGGTATGACAAGTATAAATCAATCTAAACCAACTTACCTCCAAAGCCACTACAGCTATCACCGTTTGCCCCCATATCTTATAGTTGGAATTCGTATCCACTATATCTACAAACTCGTCTCCATCTACTATAACAAAGTGAATGATCATTTCGGAGCGAACATTCATCAACTTCAGTGTGGCCATCATCTCCCTCGGCGACAAATAGTTGTCCTCAAAAATTTTTAGAAATTTGTATTGATCAGTAACTATCAGAAACCGTGTTTTCTGAAAAATAACACGGTTTAGAACAACATGGACATCGTTATGTTAGACTTTCCATAAAATGTTACCTAATCTTTAAAAAAAAGTCTTCAAACAATAACAAAGCTAATGGAACACCATTAAAAGTGTCTAAAAACTTGATTTACCTTATTTTTTCAATTCACTTTAAGATTATCTAATTTTAGGTAACAAATCAACTTACGGCAGCAGTGTCGATAGTAACCTCGATGCTGTAAACGTTATCCTTTGCCAATTGTGCTACTTCTGTCTTCGGTTCGACCAGGGAATACTCCCCCTGCCTCCAGCATCTTATGTAAACCACGATCTCCGACTTCACTTGATGAGGAAGAATGGCAGAAGCAGCGTCGGTAACAACATCAGCCACCGCGCCCTCTACGTACGACACAAACTTGCCAATAACGTAACCAACACGGTCAACGAAGTAGACAGTTACCCCCATCTGGGACAAGTTTTGAGGATTGTTTGTTGAGGAAAAAAGAAAACCGAGCTAGCTCGGGGGAGGAAAGGTTCGAACCCCATTTTCGCGCCAAATTCAAACGGAAAACAAAGATTTGTTCGCAAAATTATTTGGACCGTTCTTGGAACAGAAAAAGGCCTGTGAAGAGCACCATTTTGTTAAAACTTATGTTTTAAGAATTTTTAAATCTGTAAAAAGCTCTGAAATGTTACATAATAACTTTCTAGTAATTTTAAAATTTTAAAAACAAATAATATTGAATTTTCGTAAGTTTGGGCTTAAAACTATTGTAAAATACGGCGCTATGACAAATGCGGTTTTTGGACATTTGCGGATTTTTTAAAGGGGTTTTTTTTATTTTTTATTTAATTTAGTTGTAGTATGGTACTAAATGGTACTAAAGTTTAAATTGGCACTGTCTTAATATTTCTTAATGTTAAATAGTACTAAATTTTTAACCGGTACTGTTTTTATATTTTTGGTACTAAATAGTACTAAAAGCCCAAAAAGGTACTGTTATGTTAAAACCGTACCAATTCAAACTTTAGTACAATTTAGTACCATAATACAACTAAATTAACTAAAAAATAAAAAAAAACCTTTAAAAAATCCGCAAATGTCCAAATTCGCAAGTGTCCAAAAACCGAAGATCCGCAAATGTCCAAAAACCGCTTTATTTGCAATATTTTTTTTATTCAAAATGACTTTGTTCCCGAAAACGGCAACAATCCGATGACAATATTTAATTAATAAACATAACATTCAAGGCCGTTATTGTTGACATTACCGTGCCGTTCCGGGAAAACTTTTTCCGATCTAATATTATGCATGGATTTTGGGATGCGCCACCTGGCTATAATGGAACACATGGGCGGAGAATATCTTTGACCAGCACATACATCGCTTATTATACATGTGTTTTGGAGCTCGGGTCACTCCTCGGTCGTGACATTATTTTATGGAGCCGGAAGATCTCGTTTACCTCACAGTTTCACTACTTTTTAATTGGGTTTCGTTTCGAACTACTGTCGTTGAGCTGACTTGTTATGAATATTAACATAGGTGGTTTAATGTGTTTGAAACTAGTTGGGTGACAAAATGATTGAGTGCCTCTTAAAATATCACTGTTACTAGTGTTATGATTCTTTATTATTACTGGGCAAGAAAGGTACAAGACTATTATACATATCCTATATTGTCATTGAGAACACTATAGACCCGACTTCTTGAGTAACCTAGCAGTCAAAACTGTAGGCGATTCAACGTGCTAGCTCTTTGAATCACCGTAGCGTGACCCATTAACTCGAATATTCAGGTATGTTGTCCCTGAACTCGACCACCACCCATCGCGATTGGTTAATTCCGAAAATGGGATTTGTTTCGATTCGTTGGTTTTATGATTCAGAAGACCTCCGTGGCGTCTGTTTTCACTAATCTGGGTTATTAATTCGAAATTTAACTTCTTTTAAGTCTTTGCAAAGAGGGTTAATTATTTCTAATTTTATGCTAATTAAGGCCAGGTAAACAGTATTTTAAGCCCGGAGGTAGAAGATGCGTTATTCTAAATTCGCTATTAAAGACAACTTTAGAATCCTTGTAAGTAAATTATCATTGTCGGATATTAAGCCGAGTTGATCATAAGCAATGTTCAATTACCCTACTCACTAATCAAACTTTTTTTTGCAATTTCAAAATAAAGATGCAACTACTTATAAATATTTTGACAGTTTACGAATACTTATTCAACTTCTGTTTACCAGTTTGTACAATGTGGCCGAATCCGGTCTGCCTGAATCCCGGATCTTACAGTAGGTATCTAATGAAAGGATGAGGTAAACCCAGCCTGAATGACCTTTTAGTCGGTTTTTCTGGTCGATCCGCGGGGAAACATCCGGTTCGGGTTCCTTAAAGAAGCCGCCTCCCAGGACACGCTCCTAATGAAGGATCCGTCTTATCATTACTTGTTGACTAATCCCATTTCAATTAAATTTTATTTTCCGATTTACCCAAAGAAAGTTGAAGTTGTTTTGATTCTGGGTAATGGTAGCTCGATGAATGGGTATTTGTGGGGATAACAAGGTGTTTTACATTCATCTTCAGCTTTATTTCAATTTTTGTTATTTTTAGATCGAGAAATTTCAAAATTCTAAAAAAATGTTGAAAATCTTTTTTGTGCGCGAGAGTTTTGATTTTTTTGGTCGATAAAATTAACATTTTGAGGTAAAGTAAGTTTTAATTTTGATGGATTGAATGTTTTTAGCTGGTAGAAAGTTTTTTAAAATTTATTTTTTTAATTACGGCATTTTTTCGAAAAAAGTTTTTGTTACCTAAAATCTGTATGTTTAAATTTTCCGTCCTTGGGCATGTCTATGTTATGGAAGATGATGACAGTTTTAAAATGATTGAAGATTCATTTTAAAATGGCATTTGACTTGTTTTGATATTTTATTTTTTATTAATACTCATTATATTGTTGTATAGTTCATAACTCGGAGCTCAAATTTGTGCGAACTGCGTTAATATGTTGAAGAAAATTCTCTTTTTGTTAACTTACCGTACTGTTTTCCTACGTGTGTCACATTACTCTCGAGTTATGACAATATAAATGACATTATAGTAAGGCAGGTGGGTGAATCCCAGACAGATCCGCCTACCTTCCGTGCTTCTTGTCCTTTTATCAGATTAAAGGTGGTTCCAAACTTTGAATGGCGCGACAAAAAAAGTGATTAGCGACGTCGCGGGGCAAAACAAACTCTTTGGCCGTCTTGGACTAGTTTGTTTTACTTTTTTGGCTGGGTTACTTTCGGTCTATATTACTTTAGGTTGTTTTGCTTTGGCTTACTTCTACTTTACTTTGGCTCACTTTTGCTTTGCTTTACTTTACTTTCCTTACTTATTTGTTTATTTTACTGTCATTTCACCTTATCCTACTTTAGCTCTTTCTTATTTCGTATTGGCGAGGTGCGCGGTCGTTTCTCATGACAGGATTACTGTAACTTTCTCAGATGGGCACTTCTGACGGACTCATACAACGAATACGACGTTTCATGACTAAGAGCGAATACGATACTCAAGCTACTGGTAAATATTGTAAGTTCTTGGTGTTTTACATTTGACAATTATACAGAACGTTACGCATGGGTTTTACTGAATACCTAGTTCAAGGTTTTATTACGACGGGATATCAGTTCTATAAATTATATTTTTAAAATAAAAATACGATTCCAATAGTATATTTCATAATATTTTAGCTTCCGAACACAGAAACCGGCTTCGGATTCGGCCGAAAAAGGTGGAGCGTCTGAATCCGAAGTTTTCTGTCGTGTACGATGAGCCGAGTACGTCTACAGAAATTCCGTCATCTACTTTGCACAACGACTTAACAGCTTGCCCAGAACCTTTTAATCTACATTATTGTTACAATCAAGGAGAATGCGTGACATCTCATCACTTTAGGTAGGTTATCTGCAAATATACTTGACTACTTTTGGTTTTATCATTAGTTTATTAGGGTTATTGTGGAAATAATCATTTGTTTATGGATAAATTTACGTTTATTTTGAGTTTTTAGCTTCAATGTCGCTGTTAGTCTTGGTTAGTTAATAGATGTACTAAATTTGTATACTAAATAGTCGATAATGATAAAGTGCAAGATTGTTAAGCTTTAATTACTCCAAAGGATTTATTTGAACTTTTGTTTTGAGAAAGTGAGAAGCCGGCGTCGTTCTTTGAGATTTTTGGTCTGTCTACAACAATGTCGTCTTTGTTCTACAGACGGCACTTGTCTGTATTCGTTTAATGCTTTCTTAAAAGGTTTTTTCGTTGATAAGCAAGAGGAAATAATCAGAAGGAGTATAAAAATCATTTTTGGGCATAAATAAGTTTTTTACGTATTTTTTGACCAGTTACCGAGTTTTATATATTACAATTTTACAGTATGCATTAACTATGTAGGGTCTGTTATGTCATTCTTACTAGTTTAAGTTATTATATGTTGTTTTAGATCCTTGAACAGCGTGGACGATATGTTTTGTCAGTGTAAGAATGGCTACCACGGTGAGCGATGTGAGTACTCGTTTAATGGTGATGTCTATGGTCACGACCTCTTCCCTCCCGGCCCCAAACACCTACAGTACGAGTACGAAACAGAGCTACAGAACAACCGAGTGACAGCACCGTTCTCACTGGTCTCGAGTGCGGCGGCGTCACCGTTCCTGGTAATCACGGTGCTACTGATTGTTATGATGCTCATCGTGCTCGTTGTGATTTCAGTTGTTTGTTGTAGAAGGTAGGTCATTTTTAGTTTTTATAGTTAGTTACAGTAAGCATTTAACAGTTTTTGTTGGTTTTTCGACATTTAGTTGCCTTTCCTATTTCAATATTACCTAAACTTTCGAAAAGATCATGTTTATATGTTTATGCGGATTATGAGTGACGTTATGTTGTCAGCGCAAACCGCCACTTTCTAAAGACATGTCATTCGGATGTTTTATATCGACATCTGTCCCGTTTATTACCTAAAATACAAAAGAATAATTTCAGAAAACCCGAAAGTCGGAGCTCCGAAATGTTTTCGAAGGAAAGCGACGAAAATACAGTATCCGACGGTCTTTCCACAATATCTTATAGTAATCCCCCTTTCGTGCAGCCATCTGATGAGTATCGGATATACAGGAGTACGGTAGAGTCGGATACGGTAACATCGGACAGTGATTTCACTCCTACAAGTTCTCCCATCAAACCACTGGTACGATGACACTAGCACTAGTGGTACAAACTGATGGTACTGGTACTTATGGTACGACTGGAATGGTATTGTACCGTGAAGATACGACCATCTTGCACTAATCTCGCATAAATGTTATCTCCTAACCTAAGGGCATTAACTCCTGTGTCTAACTGTTATTAATCTATTTGTTGATCTAATGTTAAGCTTGCCTTATTTCATAGCTTATTTTGTATCTAAAATATTGACATATCTCTATTTATATTGTTTGACTTGCATATCTTCATATTTTCATATATTTTATAGCATCTTTTGCATATTTACATTTCGTATCTCAACTTTAATGAAATTTATGGTGAATATGAAACGAGTATTTAAATAAAGGCATCGATTGTAGTTTGTGGCATTAAGTTCTTTTCGTAGTATCAAGTATCCTACAACAATATCTTCAAACAAGGATATTAATGTTGTTAATCATAATATTAAAGTATATTTATTATCAGGACAAGAAATAGTATTATCAGTACTAATAATGGCATTAACAGTGCTTATAATATTAGTAGTACTAATTAAGTATAACGAATAATACTGGTAGTACTAATTAAGTACCATGAAACGTGTCTTTTTACGGCACTTTTAATTATTCACCTTTTCCGTATGCAAATCTCGAAATAACACGGAAATCTGGGCTAAAACTATAAAAATGTTGTGGATAAAAGATTCTAAGCCTTCAGAAGCTGGGAATTCACAAGTGTTTCTCACTTTTAATCCTCTGTAAACTTAACATAACGTTGCTTTGTTTCAAGCTTGATATAGTGGAAAAGATTGTTAACCTGATTACTTGTTTCAGTGATGGTAAGTTAAGGTTAATACTTGAGTAATTAGTTTAGTTTGGTGTCATACACGAGTGTATCAAGCAGCTGTTCATCTCACTACGATGTGAAGAGGCTTACAAGGAAGTACTGTAAGTTAGAACCATTAGTGTTAAAAGTAGTTGGTCTAGATACTGTTTTATCCTAACAATAAAGTGATTTTTTAGAAAATTCATAAATATTTTTACATATTTTTTATTTCTTCATACTTTGTCAACGAAGTACTACTAAATTAAACCAAAATTGTTTAATGTTATTGTACACAATGGCCATCATCGACAATTTATACGCGTTTCAGGGCGCAAGCCGGCTTCGAAATGGGTAAAGAAAACATGTTTTTTCATTACTACGAGGACTCTGACAGTATGGCCATCATAGACAATATTTGCCTTCATACCAGTATGTTTTGTCATATTTCCAAATATTGTGCATTATTATATTATCATAATTTAAAATATATTTATCTTTTCTCATTAACTCAGTTTTATATTGAAGCTCTATAGATATTACAATCGCTTTATGTCTAGTAATTGCAAGACCATGATGACAAGTATTGTTGCAGAAATGGGCCGAGAAGAGATCTGGGAGTTGTTCGGAGCCTTTTTCGTGAACTGGATCATGGACCAAGGGTGGGGTGGTCTTCTGCGAACTCTTAGTCCAGACTTGAAAGGATTCGTCAACAATCTGGATTCTCTTCATTACTTTGTAGATCACGTTGTCTACAAAGCCAACTTGAAAGGGCCTTCCTTCCGATGTGAGGTCAACAAGGATGATTCGATCACTTTACATTACTTTTCCGAGAGATCTGGACTATATCCTATTGTCAAAGGTATGGCACTTCGATTAAGTATTGATTAAAAGTGTTATTTAGAATATGCAGATATGCAATTGTACTTCTTCTATGCATTAGAACTAGATGTTTACTTCTACAGTCATTTTGATTTTAGGTATTATTAGGGAAGTCGGGAAGAAATTGTACAAACTCGATGTCAATATCACGCTGCTGGGTAGAACACAAAGAAGTGTGCAAGTAGGACAAAAAGAACGGCTGGAAGAACATGTTATTTTCTTGATCAGGGTATGTTAAAGTCATAAATATTTTAAATGATTCATAAAAAGTAGAAGTTTGTACAAGTACTACTAAAAAATGTATTAAAACAATGTGAATAAACCCAGAATTACCTAAAACATTACTTTAAAACAATTTAGAGTAACACGGTTGCTTCACTAGACTCCAGAGCCAGTAGTGCGTTGAGTAACTACAACTTGTTTGACGTGGAAGAGATCATCAACCAATGGACGATGAGGATCAGCCAGAAGGACTTCTGCACGCTGCAGCCTTATCACTTCATCATGGACAGAGATTGTCGTCTGGTTCAGATTGGCAACGAACTGATAAGGTTCTACCCTCCGGATTCCATCCAGCTGGGAATGCCGATTCTGAAGTTGGTCGAGATCCAACGTCCTCAGATCCCGTTGGACTACGATAACATCCTCAACTTCATCAACGCTGCTTTCGTGCTTCAGATACGGCCACAGAGAAGTACTGACACGGATGTTGCACACAGCAGGTCACAGTAAGTTGGCTCGTTTCATACTGTCATTTTTATGATTTTTGAAGTTTTGAAAGCTTATTATCTTCTTGCTTTATCTGATATTACGGTCCTTTAGGACAGAATCACGGTCTCCTGAAATAGACGCCTTCCGGTATGGTACCGTGGTGAAGTTGAAGGGTCAGATGATGCCGTTGAGTAACGGGGAACACATGATATATCTCGGCTCTCCGTACGTTACCACAATACCTGAACTTCTGACGAACTCCCTTCGATTGAGTTCTTTCCCGTTGCACGATGCCACCAGAGATCTGATTCTGTTGAATCAGCAGAGACTCAACGATGTGGATGACAAGTAAGTGGGTTTTGAAGTAACTATAACAGATGTTTTATTACGTAACTATCATAGTGTACATGTTACTAACGGTTTGTTACAGCATACAATTAGAAGCCAACAACGAACGTCTAGAAGAGATGGCTTCTGAAATCGAGTTGGAAAAGAAGCGAAACGAGACACTGCTAAAGGAAGTTCTGCCTGTTTCTGTAGCTGAACAGCTGCTACAAGGTGCTTCTGTTGATGCACGTAAGTCTTTTAGGTCATAATAACTGGACTCAAATGAATTGTCATCATTACCTATCAAACGTTCATCACGTTAATCATTTAATAACTTTTTAGGAGAGTATCCACTAGCTACAGTTATGTTTGTGGACTGTCCCAGATTCCAGACGATTGTACCATTATGTCAGCCACGACAGTTGGTGTCTCTGCTCAATGACCTGTTCACCAAGTTCGATCGTCTTGTGTCCATGCACAATGTAATGTTAATACTTTTGTAAATATACAATGATGTATATATGTTGTTGTAGTTCATATACAAAGATATAGATATATGTTAGGGTAATTCGTTTACTTTAGCTTTTCAATCCTAACTTCAGGTGTACAAAGTGGAGACAGTTGGAGACTCCTACATGACATGTGGAGGTCTACCAGACGAGAACACTGTCCATTGTGAGCAGATCTGTCACTTGGCATTGGGTATGTTGTGGGAGGCGCAAGAGACGACCGATCCGGTCGAGAATCAGCCACTTTCTGTCAGATGCGGAGTTCATTCTGGAGCTGTCGTAGCAGGAGTCATCGGGGTCAAGATGCCACGGTACTGTCTGTTTGGAGATACGGTAAACACGGCGGCTAGAATGGAAAGCCATTCTTTGGTGGGGAGGATACATTGCAGTAGTGCGGCTAAAAAGTAGGTCGAGGCATATCTATATCTACTACAACATTGGGGACTGAAATTATTTGAGTAATAATGGGTATATATGTTGCAAAACATATAGTAATATTATGGTAAGTGTAATATATTTACAGATCTGCTGAAGAGTTTGGTAGATTCGAATTCCACTCCAGAGGCACGATACCCATCAAAGGCAAAGGTCGGATGGAGACCTACTTCTTGGCCAAAAGTCTCAAAAAGTCTGTTTGGGAACTGATCGGCCGTCCAAGAAGTGAGTATAGCGGAGCTGTCTTACCGAGAGTAATACAGTATATCTTAAAAAGCGTGGAAGTCTAAAATACTCTCAGAAACGTATCTTTGATTACTAAATGACTCAACTGTAACGTTTTAGACCCAAACATTCACAGTATCGATGGGTACGACGAGCTGATGCACGGTATTGAATCAGACTTGAAGACGGCACGCGATGATACCAAGAATACAAAAACATGCTCCATACTGTAACACTTTTTAATTTTCAAGCACTTTTAAATCCGATATTAAGTACAATTATACTGTTTTAACATCAACGTACAATTCAAAAGGCTCCAAAAAATGTATTAAACTTTAATTTGAGTATCGCAGAATAAACAATCAAAAGTATGAAAAAGGAAGATCACACATATGAAGTAATAGATATATTAATCTTCTAATTGACAAGCAAAGTGTTCTACCCGCCCCGATCTGATTGACTTCAAACTTTTTAATAGGAAGATCATATAAATAGAAGGCCTTCAGCAAACTACTAAATCGCGCTATCCAGGAAAGCTCCAGTAAATCGAGAGCAAAGTAACATTTTGAAATTCCCGCCAACTTGGCATTGTGTAGCAATCTTGAAACTGTCGCATTTCTTGACAAATTTCCTTTCATATACTAGTATGAAACAAATGGATCTATATTTTGAGGATTGTAAGTTTTCCTGTCTGGAAAGTCGAAAAAAGTGCTTGAAACACCATGCCAAATTTGCTAAATTGGCGGGAAATTCAATTATTTAAAATTTAAAACTCAAAAGCGCGGGCTAAAAGTTTTTATGGGTCTATTGGTGGTACAAAGGATTCATATAGAAATTTTGAGTGGGAAGGTTGGGTACTTTCCGAGTTTCTTAAATTTTGTATATTTTTTTATGTTTTTTACCAAAACAGAAATGAAGCTTACCTTTGAATAGCTAAAATTAGTTACAACTCCAGTATCTAAAGTTAAGTGAAAGTGCAACTTAACTTTAGATACCTGAGTAAAGCACAAAATACTGTTCGTACAAAATGAAGTGTGGTGGTCTGCTTCATGGTCAATAACAATATTTGATTTGCAGTTCTTGCAATTCGAATTGGACCAATTGCTCGAAACGACAGCTAATCAGAGGAGGGACTGATCCCTCCATATTGACGTCACGAACTCCCATAAAAGCTGCGAATGGGCCAATTGAGGGCTCGATCTGATTTGTGCTTAATCTTCCTTGTTTATTGTTTTTGCCATAGCGGCCGTATTTGTCGAGACTATAACATAGCTAATGTATACGGCTGAATGTCACGCAATTGGAAACCCAATATTCGGATCAAGTTTTCGTTTCTGGCACAATATCTGGTGTTAGAGGTATCGGAATTCAGAGTTTCTTGCTTTTAATGTGAATTGGTCGCTATGACATTAGTTTTTGCTCGGAAATGGCAATTCTTGCCTATTACAACATAATTTAAATGTTTTGATGTTGTTTTATCTATAATACAAGACTTGTTTTTGAATTGGCAGGGGAAGTACGTGCTAATGTGGACAGTTAAACAACTTTGTTTCTACCTCATTAACTTTGGTTTATATTGTTTTACGTTTTCGTAGATTACATTATAACCTAAAACATATTAAATGAACTTTGTGTAAGCCTAACAAAAGCTGGGGCACGCATCTTAGTGTAGGTGTATATGTTTTTGTCAGATATTTACTTAATCTGTAAAGTCATTCAAATGTCACTCGTATTTCCTGGGATTTGCAAGCAAATAAAAGGATTAGCTGGGTCATGTTTGTCAACGTTTACTTATTTAATTACTACTATAAGATTCGAGATGGAATTGCGTTTTAATTAATTTACATAAATTACCGTCGGACTGCAAAACATCAACAAGATGTGTCCTGTAATTGTTGATCGTCTCTCGTGTAAATTATCGCTGTCGGAAGGTGCTCATTGTATGTTAAGTTTCTTTTAGTTAACTACAGAGTTTTCGGGGTTGATTTTGGTTTTACTTTGTTAACCTGCTTTGTTTGTGATTATTTTTCGAATTTAAATTGTTTTTTATTCGTCTTTGCTTGAGAATTGTCCCTACCTTTAGGACAATGTTATAGTACATTTATGATCGCTGTTATATTGTGCCTAATGTAAATTTGATGTTTACATTGAAATTTCTAAGTAGTGAATCTTACGTTATCATAGAGCTTTTTATCTTTCTATTAGTTAACATCAGTGTTTTAGTAAAAGTACGATACAGAATTTGCTCTTATTGTTACCGTATTTGTCATTCTTTTATGATATGACATGTCATTTTGTAAACATCAAAGCGTCTTTTATATCCATTGTAAGGTAGTACCACCTTTACAAAATGTTAATTTGTGATCTTGAAAGCGAAGTTTGAACCAGGAACTGTCACGCTGTTGAACAAGCCATTATATTGTCTTTGACTTTGTATGACACTTTTTATGTATGGCTTTGCCAAATTGGCGTAAAATCCGAATTCGAAGAATACTTTTCTTTAATACTTTCGAGTATTATATCTTGGATTGTTGTTGTCAGTTCTGTCAATTATTTCCAAATTTCTATTCAAATTTGAAATTTTGAATTCAATTTGAATATCTTTGAACCTGTCGAAACTCATGTTTTGATAACGCTGATAATGTTTTGTCCAGCATTTCCTGAGTTGGCCAATGTGTGATTGGGTTAGCCGAAGCCGGATTCACGGTGAAGACTTTATTTTGGGACGGGATCTTCCTAATCCCACCGTTCTGCAGCCCAGAATACACCATTTGTCTTTGTGTCCTAATCTCGAAGTCATCGGGATTTACTTCGCTGTCATTTGGTTTGTCAGTAAATAGCTATTCATAGTATGTGTGGTAGTTTGGTGTCGCTGTGAGTTTGTGAAAAGTCACAAAAGGTACATACGAAGCTCTTTTAAGTCTCTTACTTGGTATGTTGTTGTACTCGGCACTTGGGCGGATTTGTCACTAATTTGCTGCCACCATGTTCTAATCGTGCTATTAGGTGGTTTGTAGTCGTATGTTTACAGGCAGAAGCGGGGGTTGTCTTGTTTTGTATAATATTATACTATGAAATACGAAGATTTAATGTTTTTTAACATTAGCAGCTATTTTTTTAGATATTACTTTGTTCAATATTGTTTAGTATAAAATATTGTAAGATAAAACGCTTTTCTTATCAGTACGATGCTAGGCTTGTCATACTGCTAACAATAGAAACACTTGAAAGACAAAGGTTACTCGTATGAATAATTCAGAGTATTATGTTGTCTCGGCCGCTAATACCATATTACTGTGCGGTAAGGTCGTATTCCGCGGAGTTTTGCATTAAATCTTGGGATTTGGATTACAAAAGTCTCTTTTCTGGCTATGTTATACACTCTTTAGTATGACCCTTGGTGTGACATCCTCTTTAGAACGACAGCTTTGTTCCCGTCTTTCATAATAGAACTCCTATCAAATGTACCCTCTGGGCAGTAAGACAATCAACTTATAATGACACTTTGTTCAGTAGTGTCATAGAGCTTTGACTGTAGTTTAAAGTCTATATCCTTGAGGACTCGATGTTGATGTCTGTTACCTTTCTAAGGCGATTTGCGGGTGTTTACGACATGCCCTTAAGGCATTTAAAGGGTTTGTTACGATACTTATGTTTAGCCTATTAAATGGTGATTTTAAAGATGCCATTGATCTTAATCCTGTCATATTGGTTTTTACACGGAACATACTTGACTTGTTTAGATGGATTTTTGCTTAAATGTACATTATCTTATTGCTTTAATATTATCGTATTGCTTCGATGTACTTTATGTGATGGCTTAACTTTTCGTATGTTATGGCTTATATTATGTTATCCTTTATATACCAACATTTACTTTGAATTTTGAAACTTTGTGCCAATATTTCTTGTCTTAATACGTATTAGGGATGATGAACAAGTTGAATGTCATAACTACAGTAATCGCTAAATACCTTGAAAGTAGTTTGACATTTGAAACTGTAATCGTGACTTGTTTGTGTGGTATGTTATTGCGTATAATTCGTGATGAGATTAACCTTTGGCAGTAATTTGTTTGTGGATTAAGTGTCACAAATGCCTGGAATTGATTAATTTACTGTAACATAGGGTATGTTTCTTAATTAGAGTTATCTCTTAGTGTTTATCATTACATAATATTCATTTTTATGTAATTTTTGTGTTCAAGATATCATGTAATGTTTACAGTTGTTCATTGAACTTGAGATTAAAGTAATTAACGCTGTGTGGTAGGTATTCTGATGGATCTCAAGACGAGATTAACATCTTCTGACACTGACGTTCGGAGTGTTTGTATCCAATTATCTCATGTGACTATCTTCTACTAATAACTTTATACGCTGCTAATAACCAATATGTGACTGTAAATTAATTGTTTGTTTAATCTTTGTACATTAACATAAGATGGTTGTGTTTGTATTAACTAGTCGGCAAAATAGGAGTGTTGGACCAAGAAACAAGACCTATCTCATGTGAAAAAAGAAAAACAACTTTGAGGCTCCACAACTAGTACCAATGGTCATATGGATAGCTAAAAACACTTGATATGACCATAACTCTTTTCAGGCCTTTTTACATAATATATGTCTTGTTTTGAGGCCCAGTACTTCATTTTTGCTTATCTTTTCTAGGTATATTAAGTTTGTGATAGCTACTCAAGACATCTACGGAGGTTGTCGTACCTCTATGTCAAGTATATTGAGTTTGCTTCAGGGGTATAGTTGAAGTATTTAAATTTTCGTATAGATATTCAAGTTTTAATATGTGGGTCCGCCTGATGTAAACATTTGAAAAGTAGTTTATATGTTTTCTGTGCTTATGTTTATTTAACTATTTAGCTCTACGTTAAATTTCCATATTTGTGTTGTTAACGGGAAGTAGTTATTGGCCATATTTATATTTTTTACTATATTAACTATGTTTTTCATCGTACCAAGTGCAAAATATTATAGTAATGTTCTTTAAACATGCGATTTTAAGCGTTGCTTCAACCGGAACTTTGTCAGTTCTCTTATATTGTTTTTTGGAGAGCTAGATAACTGTGGCAATACCTAATTTGATCAGACTTTTACTACAATATATAACCCTTGATGTATATACTTTTCATTCGTAGTTCAGACGAAAACCTTGAATTTTTGTCCACGAAAAATCTCTCATAATTTTGCGCGTTCTCTAGTTTTTCTCTAATGCCGACAGCAATCAGACAAAAAGAGGGAACATACAAAATTATGAGAGCTTTTTTCGTGGACAAGAATTCAAGGTTTTCGTCTGAACTACGAATGAAAAGTATATACATCAAGGGTTATATTACAAAAGATGATAGTTTTGATTTGAGTCGTAGTATGAAGGATTCAATATCAATAACATAGATACGCCTTTCCTTTACTTTCCTTGATTCTTTATCCTAACTTATTTGACTTTGCTTTATCACCAATCCTTAGTACTTATTTTTGATTACTTTAAGGTAGACCCCATTGTAATCTATAGATCGTATAGAACATTACTCTTTACTTTTTAAATTTAGAACATGCAACGTATTGTGTGCTATTTTAGCACCAACCCAAGATTTTCTATTTCGGGCGTTGGTCGATTATCTCGTGTAGCAGATGTAATTCACGTTGCCAATCTCGAACACAAAGTAAATCCCCTGAGGAAATTGCGCAGATCAGACACGGCGAGGATTACATGTAGCATGGTGCAAATGAGTCAATCGTGCTTATTTTTATGCCGGACTGGGATTACCTCGGCATTGGAGTAGAGCCGCTAGTGCATCAGAATTAAGGGCCGTTTCCATTGCACTAGCTAATCCCGTCACCGCTTCTCTGCCGTCTCCCTCATCTCCCCGCTCTCTCGCTTATCAAAACGGGGCGGGTCGATTTAAACCGCCAAGTAGTGGTGTAAGTGTAGAGTGCAGATTGTAAGGATCTTCTGTCTTCCCAGTGAATAATGCCGCTGAAGGTAACGTTCTTGTGTTATATGTTGTTCATGTAGTATATTATTCATGCGGGAATCTCTTTTAAACGCGATGGACTCGGCTTGTTGTTGTAGTAGTTTTATTTTTACTGTAAGAGCATTTTAATGTATTATGTTAATGTACGTTGTCTTCAAGTCATTTTCGATTGGAATCGCATTGAATATATTAATGTTGTTTGTTACCTAAAGTCGTTTTCCGAGAATATTTGCGACACAACTGTTATTACCTTATCAGTATTGGTTTTACAGGTTTTTTGTTTCCAAAATTTATCAGAACGGTGCGTGGCTAGCTGTGGGCCGCTCTGATAACGCGGCCGAACCCGGAATGGAGCCGCCTGATGTGCTGACCACCTGTGTGGTGGCCTCGGTATACGCATTGACAGTGAAAGTAGGCCTACTCGGTAACTGCTGGGTAGTCAGCTCGGTCATGAAAAGTCGACGGCCGAGGAATACGATGGGTTCACTCAGTCCTTCAGACCGCCTCAGGACATATATTGGCCTTCTGGCCATCCTCGACCTCTTGGTCATCGGATCATTGGTCATCCGAGTTGTATATATTCTACTACCTTACACTTCTACTCGTAAGTAAATATCATTTTAAAATTAATAAATCTTTATTCCTTATATTGCTGATGCATAATATCATATTACATGGCTTTTATTGTATTTATAGTAATTTATTTAGAGAATATAAAGCATAATCTTGTCCTTGTTAAGCCGCTTCTTTATTTCAGAAGAAACCAACTGCCGAGTAGCCTTTGTGATAGATCATCTCGTCAAGCTGGCTTCCCTAACATGCTTGGCCTGTATATCTATGGAACGATATATCACTATCAGAAAACCGTTCAGTTCCAGAATCCGCAAGAGATTCATCCAACTGACGCCAGTCGTCGCGTTGACCATTCTGGTCACGGTACTCATCGCCATCGGAATCCTGGCCTGCAACGTGGGCGTGGGAGAGAACGAGGTGGACTGCCAACAAAACAACTACAACAACGTGGCAGTAAAGACCTCCAGATGGATCATATTGTGCTCCTTCTTTGGCCAACTCCTCATCGTCTCCGCCAACTATGGCCAGATCGTCCGCCACGTCCGCCGAAAGTTTTGGCAACGGAAGGCGAGAGTCGTGGCCAACGCCAAACACCAGAGCAAGCAGCCACTGGTGTCACAACCTCGGTACATGCGTGACATGACGGCCGCCATCGTGAGGATCGCGTGCTTCCACGTGATTTGCTGGCTACCTTATTGTGTTATGCAGATGGTCTCCGAGTACTACGGCACTGAGCTCCGTTCCACGATGCCCACAAACCTGAAGTCGCTGGAAGACAGACAGATAAACTCGTGGACCTGGACAGTGTTTGTGGCCGACTGGCTCACTTACGTCAACTCGGCCGGAAACTGGATTCTGTATGCGGCGATGAACAAGGACCTCAGGTCGATTATTAGGTAAGAATTGGTTTAAAAACTAATGTTATGTTATTCTTTAAACACCGCTAGTATGTATAATATTCACTGTAAAGACTGTTTATTAATAATCTCATTTCAGAGCAACGACTGAACGCAGGAAACGGTCAACGATGTCGCAGAGTTCTCCACCGTCCAACATACACAGGAGCCTGAGAAGACACATGGCCCAGTCGCTCCGCTTCTTCTACTCCATCAACTCCTACAGATCCAACAACAACAGTTTCGACGATTCTCTTACTACGTGCCACGCCAACGGCTCTCTGGATTCGTCTCCCATGGCTGTGGCACGCTCCATCTCCAACGCTGGAGCACATCAAGGAGCTGAGGTCGGGTTGTTCGGAATGAGGAACGGCCGTGCCCATACCTACTGTTCTCCACGGTCTTCGAACGGACTGTCCGTTGCCAGTTGTAATGGGTCTATCCATTCTCCAGCTAATTTGCATAAATATGTCATCGCCTCCAGAAACTCACCGTGCTCTTCTCCGAAGCCCATTCTGAATGCTTTGCTTGGGAATTCGAATGAGAAGTTGAATTCCCAAGCACGGTACTTGTAAAAGTTGTTGTATACTCTTGTTCAGCATATTATTATTTTTAGTTTCATTGTTATTGTACAGTAATATCCTTCAAGAATTCATCAAGTACTGTAACGTCTTATTATCTCAACTCTTAATTTATCCTTAAGTACTATAAGATATCTTATGTATCAATTCTACTATAATATCTATTCTGGTAACTTATGTATCCCACTCTACTTGTATATTCTCCTATACGTGTATCTTGTTCTAATACGGGCCTTTGTTGTGTTTATATAGACTAGTCTCTGCCATTCTAAACTGTCACATATCTGATCTCAGTTGGTAACATATGGGTAATCGTGTATGCAGTACATAACTAATAAAGCGATATCTGAATACATAACAGCCTTAATCTGAACACGTTTGTTAATCGGAGACTATAATGACATACGACGACGTGTGAACGGGATTACTATGTCGTCCTTTAGTGAGGTCAACCAAATTATCCCGTCTTAGCTTACAATACTACGTTAGCGGCGGCTGAAACAGCGATGTTCGACGTAATTTTAATCGTATTACAAAACTATTATCTTCATTATAGGCTTATTGCTCGGATTCTAATTACTCGTGGATTCTAAAGGTGAGGCCGAACGAAGCCAACCGGTCGTAAATGGAGGTGTTCGTGAAGGCGGAAGTCGTCGTATAACAACCACCGCTGAAATTTGGAAATTAAACTTCAAGAATCTCAAAGATTTTAAATTGCAACTAGCTGTAAACCCAAGTTTCCCACCACGATAGCAGTAAAATTAAGCCTATAATAATGTTATCACAATATGATAATCGGCTTACTTGTCGGGCATGGAATCTTTGTCCTTAAGTACGGTGAAAGCGGCTGATAGAATACAACCAGCTGTGCCAATGTAGCCAGAGTCTGGACCATCACATCTCGCTATGACAGTCTTTGATGGCTTCTCGTCTTGCGATGATGTAGCTGACCATCCACTTCCCATAAACCAGTAAGTGAAGGTTGCCTTTAAAAGTGATTTCGTAGCCAACATTAAGTTTGAAATATTATTGTTTATCAATAATGACAGCAAATTGTATTAGTTTTTATACAAAATTAATAAAAATTGCTCGTCTTCACAATTTGTGAAGAACTTCGCTTTCAAAGATTGGTCCTACCACGAAAACAACGACAATATAAAGCCACTTACCTGTTTACATTGCTCCCTGCTTGGTCCTTGTGGACTGAACATTCCACAACTGAAGATATAAGGGTACTGTTGAGCCAACTTGCGAGTGAAATCAAACTTGACCACATAGCTGAACAAGGTCATCCACAAGATACCCATGTAGGCCCAGAAGGTGTTTTGTGCGGCAAAGTAAGTCTCAATAGGCACAGCTGGTCGTCCATTCACGGTAGAATCGTAGTACTGTGACCTTTGTACAACTGATTTGTCGGCACCAAGGAATGGTACTGCTGCAGCTCCAATTTCTGGTACACCCCAGACAGCTGGTCTAAAGGTTAAAATATCTTTAACTAGAAGTCTTTTACATAAGATATTATATTTGAAAAAACAAAAATAAAGTTTTAATTCATACATTTACTAACAAAGTAAGTTAACATACCTCTTTGGTGGTCTGTATTTCGGTTTCTCCAGCTTTTGTGTCATTAATTGTCTTCTGATTCCGCCTAAATTGTCGGTTTTGGCATTTTCCAGTCCCAAGATCAATGTCTGGTATGTTCCATCGTTGAATACGTAACCCTAAAACATATAAAATGATATAATTCCTTTCAATATAATATAACTTTTAAAATCTTATATGTTTTATGTCTAAAACAACATTTAAACCCTACATCTTCTCCTCTCTTGATCTGAGCAAAGGTCTCGGCGTAAGCCAAAGTGCCATTAAAGTTGTTCTTCAGGAAGTTGATTCCGAGATCACAAGGGATAGAATCCCATCCACAAGCTCCCACCACATAGGCTCCGGTCTCCTTGGCCTTCTCATGGTATGTCAATTGCATTCGCTCCAAGAAGGCTGGTTCTCCACTGATGTCTATGTGAGAAGTGCCGTTCTCAACAGCAGCCTTCACGACAGCTTCACCATACAGTCTGTAAGGTCCAACAACATTGATGATGACCTTGGTCTGCTTGGCCATCTCATCCAGACTCTCTGGCCGGGAAGAGTCGGCAATGATAACGTCCAACGAGTTCAAGTCCTTTCCTAAACAAACATCACATTGCTTTAGTCTGATATTATAGTATTATATTGATGTTTAAAAGTACTTGAAGCTTCAATGCCTTTTTAAACTTTATAATTAGAGTTTGATTTAACTTTCGAACATTAAATATTTGAATCTTGATATCGTTTACAAATGTAAAACACTCGAAATTCAATTAAACTTCCAAAAGTTGTAAAATCTTTTAGTACAAGTTCCTCTAATCCTTACCTGTCAACTCCGCCACCTTCTTAATTACTTTGTTTAATCTCTGTTCATTTCTTCCGGCCACTGCAAATCGTATCTTGCCAAACTCGTCATATTTAACGAACTCTTCCAGCACATAGGCCCCGGTGAAGCCGCTAGCCCCGTATAAAACAATGTCAAAACGCCGTTCCGCCATTCTCGAAAACAGAAACATAGAATGCGAGGGAACGGTGAAGGCAGGGCCTGATAAGGGCCCGATAAGAACGTTCTCTGATGGTGGACTGGCTCTCGGCCCATCGCTTGTACTCACGCCATTCCACTACATAAACAAAAAACTGTAGCTACAAGAAAAACATTTTGTTTGGTTTCTTTTCTAAAAACACAGAATAAAAAACAAAAATCAAAACAGTTACCAAATGAAGCCTTGAGGGTCTATCTCAATATCTTTCTTGTCCGATATATTGTTCTACTTTACAAAATGGATTCTTCGAGTCTATCTGAACATATTGGAACACGGAATTTGTGTTTATACTTAATATTAAACTTACTTTCACATTATTTTCACTTTTTTTTATCAATTTGACAAAAAATAATTTCAAAATTATTTATTTTCCATCTTTGGGACAAGTTTTTGTCCGACAAAAAAGATAATAATAGCTTGAAACAAATTCTTAAAGTTGTTTATACAGTGAACTCCCGATAAATGTAATTTTAAAAGTTATGTTGCAATTTGTAAAAGCAGTTGAAGTAGTAACTGTCTATAGTGGAAAACAAGAAGGCCTCGACGATTGTTTATGATTAATGACACCCTTGAACTCTGCTGAAATGTTCCTCTTTCCGTTTCTGTAGATTATCGGATTCACTTTTGAATTACCCAAAAACATGTTTGGAGGTTTAATTACCTGGGAACCGAGTCAGTCAATTCAAACGCTACAATTTGGTTTACTTTTTACAAACTTTGTACTTTTTTGTTTTAAATTTAAAAGTTTAAACTATACTTAAAAAGTTTGAAACCGAAGTTACATTATAACGTCAATTTTAGTTATTATTATGCGATGGGTGATATTGTTACCACCAATTTGCATATTCTTCACAGCCTTACAACCCACCACAGCTTGTATCTCGGTGTTGCATAAAAGGTCAGCGGATCAAGTTGATGCAGTACAACAAGATCGCATGAATGCTCTTGTAGCACAACGAGCTGTCAAAACTTTGGATGTTAGTGATGATGTTACCATGATAGTAAGTTGTAACATGTGTTTGAGCATTTCTACCTTTTTTATTTCAATTAAGTGATTTGTGATTGATCTGTTATAGATTAGTTTCTATAGTTATTAGTGTTAAGTTTATTTATATCATTACTTTTTAAACCTCTTACTGTAACACCACTTTTAGGAGTACTTGTCATCATTTGGGTACTTGAGAGCTAAACAAGAACTCAAAGATGGGTTACGGTAAATTTTAAAATCTTTGAACTAGGTAATGTTGTGTACCTACAACTCGTCATATTGACTCCAATAAGTTTACTTTCACAATTACAGCCTTTTCCAACGATACATGAGATTACCTCAAACTGGAGAAGTCGATTCAGCTACAAAGTCATATGTGACACGTAAAAGATGTAGTAACCGAGATAGTACGACTAAGAAACCAAAGAAAATTTGGGAAAAGACGAGTATCAACTATGGTATTGCATCGTACCCAAAGAAAATGAGATTCACGGATGTCAGGTAACAAGCTTCATAAATAGTTTATTAAATTTATTAAAATGAAGGCCTTGTTTTAGACTTTTCCCTTATAAGTTCAGTTGTTTAACATAATATTACAGAGAACTGGTCAAACAAGCCTTCTCGGCGTGGGAAATAGTGATAGCCATCGAATTCATAGAAGTTCGAACAGCTCACAACGCTGATATTGTGATTAGGTTCGAGAACACTAACCCCATTAACAACACCGACCATTCATCGTTCTCCGTGGGATCGGCTACAGGGCCAGTGAAGTCGACCATCTGGCTGAGAGAATCAGAGAAGTGGGACGTCTTCCAGAAGCAGGAAGAAGGCAAGATCGACCTCTTCTTGGTACTGGTACACGAGATAGGGCACGTACTAGGGTTGGATCACATCAGCGACCCCAACTCGGTCATGTTCCCTGTATTTCAACGTAAAACCGGCGATGAACTGCCAGTTATCAATTCTGACGATGTGGAACGGCTGAGGACGATATACGACTCGCCCAGCAACGTGAAGCCTTCTGGAAAGCTGAATGCAGCTAGCCACGAAGACGATCCAGACCCTAAATGCCCTGAGGCACTGTGGACAGTCACCACTGCACCATCAGGAAAGATCTTCATTTTTGCGGATAATTCAGTCTGGACCTTCAACAGTAGTCATGAGTATGTAGATGGACCTCAAAGACTGAGTAAAGTATTCCCAAATGCTCCAAGTAGGATTACGGTAGCTGTGTCAGATGGTCTGAGGGTGGCGTTGATAGAAGACAGAGATGTATATCAATATGAAGAACACGAAGATGGCTTCAGAGCTGTAGAAGGCAATCCTTTCAAGCTTCACGGTAGGGTTCTGTTCTTCCCAAGCTCAGCGTTTCCACTGACCAACACTAGTGTCATCTTGATGGATGTAAGTTTACTTCTGTTAGCATTGTATTTTTTGAAATGACTTTTTTGAAATGTGGCCTTCAGGGCAATGTGTACGCGACATATAACCTGAGAACCAACAAACCCTCCTTACTGGGTGATAAGAACGTTGTCTTTCCTCATCTACCAGAGGATATGAGAGCTGGTATAATGGAAGGACGACATACCACGAAACCATCGTATTTTATGTTTACAACCGATGAGGTAGTACAATATGACATGAACACCAAAAACGTAGTAAAAACGACAAAACTAGCATCATTTCTGAAGTGTAAATAAACTATTCTTTGCTATAATAAAGTAATGTTAGATAAGCATTGATAAGAAACAATGTTTTGAGTTTTGCAAACAACATAAGCTCTGAACTAGTAAAAGTTAAATGGAGTAACACTTAAAGCAGTAAAGACCACGTATCCAAGATTCACAAGTTGCTTGGTTACCGTAACCAAACGGCTTTCGCAAATCTGTTATAATAGATAAACAAAAAAGGTTTGTAAGATATAGAGAAAGGACTTGCAAGATGTATACGATGAAAGCATTGGCTGTTACAGTATGTTTGGTTTTACTGAGTACAGTAGACTGTAAAGGTAAGTACACATATGACTCAGTTAAGTTGTTTTAGCTACTAAAAAAAGTACCTTCAACTTGGCAAACGCTTCTACCACACAACTGACAGATCATAGTACAGAAACGACTACAGTGTAAGACAAGATAACACCTGTTTCACTAAATTGAACCAATACCTACGTTAAGATATTTATATATTAATTTATTTTCGAAATCTGAAAACTTTAATTTGAAGGAGATTACTGTAATTTCAGAGGAGAAAGTACCAAAACAACTACAGAAACAGTCCAAAGCATTAGCCGGGCAAAGATTGTATTTGTCATCGCTTTCAGTAAGTAGCAATAATACTACCGTAACCTCATTACAGTAACCGCCACTATCTTGATCATATTACTGGTCATCTTAATTGCGTTTAATACCAAGACTGCCAAGATTCAACGGAGAGAAAAGCCAAACGATATACGACCATCTACACGATGAAACGGCATTTCATGGAAATAAAATGTATATTAACCTTAAAACTGTAAATACATGTGTATATGAAGTTTAACAACAAACATAAAATAGTAAATGTAATGATCTGATACTTTACTCCAAATATTTTTTAAACAATCAGATTCTAACCTCTTCTACGATCGTTATTGGCTACACATTGCTCAGCCATGAAGAGTTCCACGTCCTTAATAGTACCTTTTCTTCTCTTTTGGTGCACTTCCAGCTCTATTTGTAATTGGATGAGAACGCCGTTTACTGTAGCATTGAGATGAATGCCAGAAGCATGGTCACTCTTCTTTTCCTTTCCCTTTGATCTAAATCCACTGCTTCTAGAATCTGCGTTCTCGGATCTTGTAGCATCGGATTCCGATTCGAAATTCGATTTTCTTATTCGATATTGTGGTAGCGGTACAATGGCATTCGTCTGTAAAAATTGCATAAATACAGTAATATTAAAATAACATAATTTACATAAAAGTTTACAAAAAAGAAAAAAAACTCACCAAAGCATTGCTGATTAATGGTCGAGAACGTTGGGGCTCGCTACTGGCTGTAGTCTAAAAATGTATCGGCATTAGAGAGATATCGGGGGATCAGGAACTTTGTGAGACCTCACTTTGGAGAAGCTCTTTTTGGGGGAGAATCTATTTGGGGGCGCTCACTTTGGGGGAGGATAACTTTGGAGAGGGGATTTCGGGGGAGGTTACGTAATACCCCCAAAATCGTATAAATTAAATCCAGAAACAGTTCCAGAGAGGCAAGAATGATGAAAACATTTTAAAATTAACAATTTTTTTATTTTATTTTCTAATTTTGGTTGAAAACTTCATTTTAATTCTTTTTCCTTGATTCAACTTTTTTTTGCCTGATAAGTAAAAGACTCCAATAAGTACTGTATTGAATATTTATTTTAGGGAAAAAATCAAAAACGAAATATACAAACATAATATTTGTAATACGAAACTGAAGGAAAGAAAATAAACTAAAAAACTTAAAAAAATTATTATGCAATGTTGTTAGCAACGCCTGACAGAAAAGCGATCGGATCGGAATTATAGACTGATAAAAACTGTAATTATAATTAAGAGTAAAAAATGCTTTCGGACGCATGAAGGAAGGGACGTTTCCGGCAATGGCATGTGCGATGTCCAAGTTGGCAATGCTTCCTCTTGCTTCAGTTTCTTGATCAGTACCTCAATAGTGAGGTGATGTTGGCGAATAGTTTGCTGGATAGCGTTATGCCATGCTTCGACATGATTGTTGGTTCTTGGCAAATCTTGTACGGTGTACTGACGGCAATTCCAAAAATCTGTATCAAACAACGCTGTCCTACTGGGTTCTCCGGGTGAGATGCCACGTGGACCAATCCAAGTTCGATCCATGTACTCAATCATTGGACCCATCAGACGAGCAGCGTCACGGCCTAATTGAACACGGAAGTGTTGAACAAGACGATCGTAGTATGCTTCCACGTCTTCAGGTTTCGCGAACGGCAAAGCCATTAAAAAGAGGATGAAACTGCCAAAATCTTCATTTTGTTGGTACTCTGTTTTGGCGTATGCCTCAACGCTTCTCTGTAAACACTGTGTGTAGTGGAAGTGGCATCCATGGAGTTCAACCTCATAACAAGACCGAAAAACTAAAATTAAAAAAACCCTCTTGACCTCAAATGTTTAAAAAACCCAAATGAATACTCACAGTAATTCTTACCCGCCAACATTTTATAATCAACAGAAAAAAGATTTAAATCCCCCTCTACACCTGCGAGGCATATCCATTGCGCTAAATTGATAAACGAACTCATTGATCGTCGTAAAAAATTGTAAAAACACTAAATTATGTAGAAAACAAAACAACGTAATGCACAATTAGGCAAACATTGCATACATTTTAATTTAATTGTTGATATCATTTTGTACTTTTAAATTTATATAAAACTACTTTGAGGATCTAAGCAATTTTAAGTCTATTTCTTATTTTTAAAACTATATTTAAATATTTTTTCCAATTTTTAAAAATTTTTATCATGCTCGACACTCTCGAACTGTTTCTGGATTTAATTTGTACTATTCTGGGAATATTACGTTAGGGTATCGGACGTGGGAATGATACCTATACCATTTGAAAGCGATTGAAAAGTTAGTTGTAGAGCTATCGGTCTAGTTTCTAGGTCCAATAACCCACTTTTTCTGGCCCCTTGTAAAACAAAAAGAGCAAACAAGTCAAAAGCAGTAAAACAATACTGTATGTAGTATCACTTACATTAGAAGAAAGATCAGAAACACTTGAAGATCTGCTAGACATGACCAACCGTGTACGAAAATCAACATCCCAAAAGTTAGTGCCAATATTTCATCAAAATTTGCATAATTTCACCATTATTAAATTTAGTTTTTGCCTTTGTTTCAATCTGACTGGATTTGTGAGCGGTTGGCCATGACAGGGAAGGAGAAACCTCGTCTGAATCGAGTACTGTGCAGCAATGCTTTGGTAGGGTACATTTAACTTATTTTTTTACAAAACCTACAATTTATACCCAGATATAAGTAGTAAATTAGCAATGTAAAACGCTATTTGTTACCCAAAATTGGCTGCGCAAAAACAAAAAATACTTTTTGATCGAATCAATTGTGGCAATTCGCTATGTGTCTTTTCGTGTCGATAAAATGGGCCGAATGTCATCTGACGGGACCTGTTGATATATCTTATTATCTATATATGACATGACTTTATTTTTAGACCAACTGTCCGTCCGCTCTTCCTGGAGTTCGTCGTGTAGCCAAGATTTCGGAGACCCACCCTTCTGAAGCCAGGAGTAATCAGTCGCTGAATGAGTCTTCTAGATCAGAGTATCATGGAATGGCATCGTCGCAGAAAGTTGAATCTTCCAGCCTTTTACGTCGAGCTGAAAGCAGTAGGAAGAATAAAGAACAAGTAAGTTTACTACAAGATAGGTTAGACAGTCAGGTAAACCAACACTAAAGAATTAAAAAAAAATATTTTTGAAATAATTATTTGAAAAACAGTTTAATGTTACTTTTGAAGCAGAAAGGCTCATTCAACAGAAGCACAGCTCCGAAGAAGGCACCAGGCCGAAGTTTGAGTCAATCTTCAATTAAACCAGCTGTAAGTTTTTCCAAACTATTTTAGTTCTTCGTCTCACTATGTCCTTTAATTATATACCTAAACCAACGTTCAAGAGCCGTGATATGACTTTTGATTACATAATATTAAGCCTAATGCTTTCCATCAAAACTTGTCTTATGACATTAGTAGTAATACCTATAAAGTTAATTTTACAGAAGTCTTCAGCTGCTGAAAGACAAACTCCAGGAACAGAGAAGAGTTCAAAGAAGTCCGCCGTGCCTTCTAAACAGAAATCATCAGCTAAAGGAGTCAATGAAACAAACTACTTCTCTGCCAACGATTCTCTTGGCCCACGTGGAGCAAGCGGGGCTAAAAGAGATCACAACTCATCGTTGAGTCAGCAGGAGTTTGAGGAAGGATCTTTCTTCAATTCGACTGGTATGTGCTATGTTAGAATGAAATAATCTTTTGAAACGATCAATACTTTTTGTTATATAAAATTTTAATTTTAGAAGTTGACAATCCGTTGAACAGCCGAATCAGAGAATCCAATGAATCTTCCTTCTCGAGTTCTACTGGAGAGTACGTTGGGCGTGGTTATGGTAAGTCAGTAATGTTATAATGACGTAATATACTTTAAGATTCGAGAAGATCGTTCAGTGACATGAGTTCTGTTTCTTCTGAACGAAGTCTTGGTAGAACTCGAGACTCTCGACACCGTTCAGAAGCAAAGAGTTCAGATGCTGACGATGGACAACTCCGCAAGAAGCATGCTCGCCAAGATCACAGGCAATCACAAAGTAAGCAAATTTTTAAAATAATATTTGCTGTGAAATGAAATAATTTGTAAACATAACTTATGTAATGTTATGTTTACATTTTATAGAAAGACAATCGGATCAGCATCGTGGTCGAGCAGAAGAATCTGATTCTTCTGTCAGCCAAAGTACCAGTAGAGACCCGCAGCCTTCCGGCCAGAAGCGACGCCAGATCAAGATGAGATTGAACCGTAACGGCGGACGGCCGAACGAAGGCGAGCACATTCGGCACATTACCTTGAAGACTCTGGTCGATGGAATCCCGGTCGAACACAATCTGGAGGTGCTGGTCAGTGGCAGACGCTCCACCAAGGTCAAGCTGACTGAACTCTGGATGGACAACAAACTTCTCTACAAACTCTAAGAACGGCCAACTCTACTTTCTGGACATATGCTGGCCTACTTTTACTACTGACAAATAAACTGAGCATCCCATTTGTGATTTACTCTAACTGATTTTTTGACTTCGTGCAAATATTGTATTATTACAACTGATTTATTTGTTATTAATGCAAATAACAAGTCTAAAAAATGCATTGACAAGTATATTACACCCGGAATCCATAACAATATAAATATATACATAGAGCAACAACAACATATAGGATTCAGGCTTGAGTGTAGTAGCTCAATTATGCATTCGGGATGGAGTAGTTGAACTTGAGATGAGGTTTCTTGGTGGTTGTGTCTTCTTGAGATCCGGGTTGATATAACGAGCTGGCCATGTCTGACAACAGCTGGCAAGTCTCGAGTTCCTCGTTTTGAACGACTTGATCGACAATGTGAAGAAGAACTTCAGCAACTTCGCAGTAAAATGGTGATGAAGCTAAAAATGTTTATATGTATATTTCTTGTATCATCAATCGCTGATATAAGCGATCACTTTGAGAATACGTACTACTGTCAGCCTTTCGCTTCCGAGGTGCGTAGACTCTGCTTCTCCTGACATTCGGTGTCGTGACGTGCTTGCTAGCCCCAATCACAGACTGGACGGCTCTTAAGAACGACTTCTGGCGTGCCTGGTAGATGGAGTTCCCTGAATGGAGGAATGGATGACCCCAACCAGCACCTTCGTACTCGAACAACTGTTTCTGAAACATTATAATGACAATTTATCAATATCAAAAATATCATGAGTAAACACTTTGAAAGTCATCTGTATAAAACGTTTTGAAAACATACCTGATCAAACAACCCGTACTGCTTCAAGAAGGTATCCAAAAACAAGGTATACTCTTTGGTCCGTGGTCTTCGTCTAAAAAGAGTTAAAACAATACAGTAAGAATGACCTACCCGAACACAATAGAGCTGATCTCACTGACGACCGTTCTCACCACAATCTGCCTAAGTCTCTTCTCCATTACTGCGCCCTTCTCTAGAACGTCGATGATCTCCCGTGCCTCTTCTGCTGAACTCCTGTACTTCAACATCTCGAATAAGCTTTTGTTTCTTAGAGGTAATGGCAGTTCCTCTAACATGTCATCAGCTGTAGCAATGTATTCCGACTGAAAAGTGTTTATAATGAGAATACATGAGCTAATACTAACTAATAGCAAGTTATCAATGCTACTGCCTTGTTCTAACTTATAATTAAAGACTCACCTCGCCTGTGTAAATCACAGCAATCGCCACCGATCCCTTGCCGACAGCACTTTTAACATTGGTTGGCCTCACACAAACCTCATATGCTGTTTCGTGTGCCACTTTAACGTCGATGATGTTGCCAATATTGCAGTGCAACTTCTCACAAATATATGTTTTGACCTCCGACGCTGTGACTCTTGAGGACAAAGTGAACCGTTCAATCACAATAAACTCGTGGGAGATACAGTACACCACCGTATCCTTGTTCTTTTGGGCGTCTAGCTGAGACACAAACTCAGACGTGTTCAGAGACTAAAACAATATAATAAACAAAGACATAGAACTACAATTTATATTTTAAGCAATCTTTAACAACTCTACGCCACAAGTTACGTTAAAAATAGCTTACTAAGCTTCCAGCAGACTCATCAAGATTCTCGGATTCTCCGTTGTGAGCCCTATTTACAACTGAATTGGATTCAACAACAACAGCTTCACTCATGTATTTGTTGATAAAAGAGTATCGTTTCACCTCGTTCTCCTTCATAATCCCAGCTACAACAGGCAGTATTCGGCTAGCTAAGCTTGCCGGCAAGTTATTGGCCATTTCCAAAGCCAAGACTGCCTTCTAAAAATTAATCTTTTAACAATGCATTCAACCCCCAAATATAACATTTTTACATATTACACATGAAACTTACAACGTCTGAATAATATCTGAAGATCCATTGCAAAAACGTGCCTGTTTCCTCCAAGGTCGGCATTCTTCTAAAAGTTTACATCATGAAATCTTGAAAAATAGGTTTTGAATTTAGTTATCAACTGCCAGTTTTATACTTACGTTCTGAAAGCAGTGGCCAGCCTTTCAGAAATCGCATCTACAACATGTAACTTGGAATCTTCTGTCGACAAATCAATGCCTGAAGTGGCATTAGTCTTGAATGACATACAAACTGGGAACTCGTTGACAATGTTATCAACGGTCAAATTAGGAAACATATTTGATGGACTGAACTCGGCGTTCGCGTCCATAATAGAGCTCTAAAACGTAAAACAACTCTTAGAAACCTTGCCGATTACAATTGAACATTACACACCCCACAAATAAAACGACCAAAGAAATTATTTTACCTTCCAATAACCTTAGTAAACATACATTGTTCCAACATTACTTACATCAGCATCCCTCATTTGAATGAACATGTAGCTGAATCCAAATGGCACATGATATCTGTTCAAAGCCTTGATCTCTCCGTTCGTTTTCACACCTTCGATCCTAATCAACTTATCCAGACGAATCTGACCTTCAGCCTTGAGTTGAGTCAAGAACAACAACTCTTCCACCGAGCAACCAGTGAAAGGAAAAGCTGCCGAAAAGATAAACTTGTAGTTCTCGTCGTATATGACACAGCGAATCATACGCTAAAACAAAAGACAATGTTTTAACGTTTACAAAACCTTTGTAAATTAGAATACTGTAAATTAAATCAAAATACTAAATATCGAAACTTACATCCTTGAACTGGATGAAGTATTCGTACTCCGCCCGCACCACATCTTCTGGAGTCACGTCGAACATATTTCCCTTGTGGAAGATCCCAATTCTGTGAATACTGTCACTTTCGAAGGAACTCGACATTTTGGTGCACAAGATAGTCAGACACTTGAAGAGGTTGTAGTAAGACGGTCGATTGAATGTTACAGTACACTCTGACCGCCCTGAACAGTCAAACACTTTAAACGTGATCAAAGGACCTTCATCTATTGGCTGGTTCATAACTCGGATCTGGTGATTCAAAAGACGACTGAATCTGTCGCGACGTTGCCGATGCCACAAAGAACACAACTGCTCGAGAACCAACATGAGCTGAGTGAACACACGATCCTGAAATTTCATATTTTCTTTAATGGACGCAACATAAGACAATATATACTACTATTTAAATTACTTTATACCTAAAAACTTACATTACATTTGACCGAAGCTTTCAGAAACAGGTACTTCAAGAACACCTCCCTCTCAATTTTCAGTGGTTCTCTTCTAAAAATAGGTAACAATTACAAAAATGAATACTAATAATCTTAAAAACAACTTAATTAAATATATTAACTAGCCTTACCTAAAATGATATTCCGTCAACGCCAAACCAACGGTTTTGGCCAACTCTTCAGCATAATTCTGATCAAATGAAGATTGATCTATCCAATTCTGAAGTTTGGTATTGAAAGAAGGCTCCAGATTGTACAAGTACCGTGTTAATGCTGTGGGCACTGTCAAACATGGTGTCACAGACGCACTTCTTTCCTAAAATATAATTTGTTACCTAAACTGATGATTTAAATTCCAAAACTCTTTCTTCAAAACCTTAATATGGTTTTAAAAAGTGAGGTTACTTACATTAGAAACCATGAAGACAATAGAAACAATAGAATTTGGCTTGATTATGTTGTTATCCGCACTCATCACATCAAATCCACCATTGCAGAAGCTGTCCATGAACAAGAACCTGTCAGGTTGAAGTCGTTGAGGGTGTAGGTCGCAGAGTAACTTCAGAAGATTCGCCTGGCTAGACGAATTAAAGATAACGAATTCTTGGAACATCAAGCGATAATTCTCGTCGTAGATAAATATTTGTATGTTCTAGGATAAAAAACATATTAGTTCGCATATTTACCAAATTATTACCTAAAAACTGTCCATTTTGTGTTATTAACTTAATATTTAGATAATTCTTAACGTATTACCTATAATAAAGTCCATTTTTATAACGCCCATTTTTATCGTTATTACCTAAAAATCCTCAAACACAAAAATAACTTGAAAACATACATTTCCAAAGTCCATAACGATCTCAAAGTTATCCATCTCATTAGTGATGAAATCTGTAGTCTTGAGCCTTCTGAATCCTTCTGGTAAAGTTTTGTCGGGCACTCTGATCTGCTTGATGCAATCTTGATGAAAATGCCATTGTGTCAGCACGCAGACCTCGGTGATCAGCTCTGACACCAGAGCTCTGGTCTTGACGGATATCCTGGTCCGGCGATATCCATAAGAATCGAATAGGTACACCGCCTTGCGTCGCATTTAATTTACAACTGTTAAATTTAATTATTAAATCCACAACTTTAAAAACCAGGAAGTTGTCGTTTAAAAAAATGTTTTCGTTGTGGGACCTATAGCGCAAGCAATTGCAAATTAGAGTTTTTTACAGAAGCTAGAGCATCGTTAGCTAATGTTTATCAGAGCATGTTTTATTTGTCGTTTTGCTGATATTCAAACTTATTAATACTTTTTTACTACATTTTCGCGCATTAACTTTTAATTTATTCAAAGATTGTGAGTCAAATACCTTTATAATATTAACGTAACTTCAATGCCAAGGCATTGCACAAGGAATGTCGTAGCTGTCCAACTTTGGCAGTGAGTTCGACTTGATCAAAATCGTTGTCGGCATTCTTTTTTGGGTTTATGATATCATTTTGAGCAAGGAAGATGTTGACAGCCCGCATAAGGTCCATTATGGAGTCGTGGTTAAGTTGAGGTAGCTGAAAAGGTTTGAATTTAACTATTTTATGCGGAAGTTTATACTTTAAGAGTCTATCTACGTGTATACAACAAATACCATAGAAAGCGGGTTAACATTACTTACATCCAAAAACTCGCTGGAGGTTGGATCCAGAAGTTTGCTCATCTGATCGAAGAGTACCAGTTGGAAGTGAATTGGCGCTGTGCCGAAGCGAACAAGCTCGTACAGTCTGGTAGCCGCTTCTTGAGCTTGTCCATCCAGAAGACACCTCCTGAACTGATAAAACCTTTGAAGCAACATCAGAATTGGATACTGATAAAACGTGTCGACCGGAGCATCGAATATCCTCAAGTTTGTGATCGTTTCCGCCGTTACATGTTGTAGCAGTACGTTTGATACTTCTTCTATTAGATCCGTGTCTTCTGATTTCAGGGCCCAACAAAGGGATTCATTCAAACTGATTTCGTTGTTGTACCTACATTATCAAATTTGATGACATTATTGGTGGACAAAAGTTGTTCTATGATTAAAAGTATACGGTTTTTTGTGCACAGTTTTCGATTTTTTGAAGGCTTAACGTCGTTACCAAATAATTCAGTTAAAAATTACTCTTTTCAGAACCAATTTCTAAGTTTTTGGTATTTTCGGTCATTCTTGAGACAAAAATTGAACCCCCCCCCCCTTCCTTGATGGCAAATATTAGCTAAAATTATGGCATAACATACCTTTTGACCATCGTTCTGCATATCTTTTGCTTGGTCTTTTCCAAGTCGTATCTTAAAGTCAGATTCCAGAACCAGTCTGTCTTCTTGAACTTGCTGAAGGTCAACTTTTCGACCTTCTCGTCCAAAAACTGCTTTGGATATTCTGTACCACAATGATACAAGTAGTCCGGAGCCAGATTCCAGTAGTCTGAATACAGAAGCGAGTCTCCGTAGTCAATGACAAGTTGAGAACGGACATTGAGTTCTTCAGTTTCATCTCCATTTTCATCCACCTGGTTTGGGCTAATAAGATCAGCCAAAGCATTCATAGTGTAGGGATCGTGCTTCTGGAACAAGTCACACAAGTGGACAGGGAACCACCAGAAGTTGCTTGTCCGACAGATTTCAGACAACATCTCCTGACATCGTTTAGACAGGATGGAAAACATCAACTTGTCCAGCTGAGTGTTCAGCTTTTCTACTTGAGAAAGGGCCGAATTTGTGCACAACGCATCGTATATCACCTAAATTCAAATAAAATAATAACCTCGGATATCTTTAAGACGTTTTGTAAGTAATATACTATGATAATGTACTTTCAGCGTAATAAAAAATAAAAAATTCTTTCAAACAACTAATTTTACTACAAAACTCTACCTTGGCAACAGTAGCAATATTGTCCAGGTCGCATCCAGGCGTTGAGAACAATATATATGCCGGTAACAGTTCATACCACGCTTCAAAGCAGTACTTGGTGACCTGAACGTAACTTTCGAGGTTCCCTAACAGAACCCCAGCAATAGTTTGAAAGAGTTCAGAGTCAGCAAAGGCATTAGATCTGACGGCTTCTCGGATTTTCTAAAAAATATATTACTTAATCACTAAATTGGCATATAATCGTAAAAAATATTAACTTATTAAAACGTGAAACAAAACCAATTTTATATTTAAATTAATCATAAACCTTGAAAAACAAGTAATGTTACCTTTTGAACATCGATGAAGTCTGAAGGACTAAATTCTTTGCTTTCCATAGCGTCTATGAACAACTCCATGTACTGGTTCATCTGTTGTAATTTCAGGTCCTTCGCGTATTTAGAGTTGTTCTTCAAAAGCTTCGAAACTGTGTAGAAATCCCCTTGGAAGATAGAGTAGAATAACTAAAACATGCTTATAAACGCTTTTCTTGTTAATATTGTTATGTTATACAAAAGTAGTAGTAGTCTAAAACAATGAAATCACAATTAAAAAATAACTAACCGCGTGGACATAAGAAGGATGAAGATCTGGGGCCTCAGCACCATCTGCTGTCAAAACATGAGCAACCTTATCCTTGGCGGATTCTCCCATTAAATACTCTGCCCAACAAATCAGATCCTTTACAATAACACTGTCCTTGGGCTGAAAGTACACTGACTCTACCAGTGACCATAGTGTGTCAGCACTTTCCAACTCAAGCTTCAGTCGCTTCTCTTCAGGACGGAGATCTGTTTTCAGTTTGAGTTTAATGATAATCTCTCTTATCAAACTTCTGTATCGTGCACTAATCTCGACAGTCCTAAAAACTATTATAAGCGTCTTTTAAAAAAAATAAATCCATGTTAACTCTAAAAGCAAGATTCTTTCCTTAGCTGTTTTATATTCATACCTAAAATTACAAAAACATAAGATAATTACTTACAAATCCAAAGGTAACATGTGGCCATGTTCGACTGCTATTTCTTGTGTTTCGCAGAAAATACCTAAACGCAAACAATAACTATTGTACATGAAATAAAATAAATAAATAACTATTGTACCAGCAAACTTACGATGAAATTGGTATATCAACCTCCTGGTTAATAAAGAATCCAAAAACGTCGAATTTACAGAATTAGCCTTTAAAATAGTCTGAGCACGATGTGGAACATTGTACTTGAAAGTTTCTCCGGATTCTGTATTCATGTTGCACCAGAGTTAGAAAAAACTATTTTTTCCAAATTACTTATTATTTTTAGGCGCCAAAATCTTCCAAAAATTCCGTCACAATGATGGGATTGAAGGAATATAAAATGTTGCTTGAAGCCTAAAAATAAATTTTTCATACTTTTAAAAATGGTATCAACAGTTAATTTGCTAGATACATAATTGCAATGAGAAAATAAACCTATGTCATGGTGACATGTTTAATCAAAACGCATTAAAGCAAAAAAAAATAAATCAGCTTGATTATGCCTATAAATGAAAAAAGCGCGACAAAAAGGCTTTATTCTTTAAGACACACGGGTATTTGTGTTTTTTTACGGGTATATTAGTTTACAAGATGGATCACAATATCGAGGCCAACATCCAACTTGGAGAACGTTTCGACGAATTTTGTAAACACTACATACGAAGTACGTCCAAGATCAGCGATTTAATGAGGCTGCGGGTAAGCTATTATTTATAGTTGATTCCTTATAAATTTCCAATAAGTCTATCCAAAAGAAATTAAAAAACTAAAGTAACATCTTCCTTACTAGTTTTCTAACTCTTTTATGACATCGGTTTTGACAGTTTTACACTTTAGACAGTCAGTAAACGCGGAGCCGTATGGGTTTACCGTTTGGTATGCGAAATCAATGTTATTGTTCACGAACGGTACGTGGAAATATACTCCGGTCCGACGAGCAAGTTCAAGTTTGCTTCCAAAAATGGCAGTTTCTTTGAGTTTGTGGACTTTGTGATGCACAACCATTGTATATTGGTGGGGTTGGATGCCAGTGGTTTTGTAAATCCATTCGACTATGTTGCTGGATGCAGATACGACTATAAATGCACGAAATGTAGGTTTAACTATACTCGTTATAGCTTATTTAAAGGATTAACTAAATAAACAAAGAGGAACAACTGATAGTACTGATTAAAGGAGAGATTTGCATTATATTTAGTTTTGTATTATTTACTCTTAACATTTACAGACCTCCCGGAGCCTAGAATCAACAATGTAACAGTGATAGTGGCGGTGTTGTCTTGTCGTTTGAGTAGAGCAAGGGTACCACCTGAAGTTGTGGTACAGTATGAAGGATATAGTAACCCCATTGATCTACCTCCTTTAGTTTTTGAAGAATTGATCATCGATATGAGTAGGCAGTATGTTTTCCAGATTGCTTAACTGACTCAAAACTTTTAAAATTTTAGTTCACGACTGATCGGATCAATAGACCACCATGAGGTGGAGAGGTTAGTCTTGGAACTTAATCCTTATCTGAGTTCTGGGTATTCTGTTGCTCAATCTATTAAAGCGTAAGTCAAATTTGAAGCATACTTTTTGATAGTATGGTCAACGTGAAGTTACGCACATTAATTCTCTTTTAGGGGTACTGTATTGTCATCCTCATTGAAACACTTGACACTGTTCATGAAAATGAACTCTGACTGCTACGTTTACAATGGGGCTAATGTTTTAAAAGGCATGGTAGACATCTTAGAAGCACGTGGAGTTCGTTTAGCTTCTTTAACAGTCAAACTGCACGAAACGGTAGGTTACTGTAACATAGATTAAGATTTTTAGGCGTGTGCTACAGTAAGACAGAACTTCACTCACTGGATGTTTAAAACCCTCATGTTAGACTTGGATCAGCTGTTGTCATACCCACTTCAGATCACATTTGAAGTGAAACTGAAGGTGAAGTTAGCTGGACCTTGGGGATTGCCACAAACAGCCGGAGCCCACCTATCCCTTATTTCTAGTAATTCAACTTTACAGAGTGTAAACGCCAAATTACTGCCACGGTACACCACATTCAAACATCAGAAGTATAACCTCACAACTGACTTTAGTATAGAAGCAGTTTAATTACGGGAGTAATTGTATATGTTTTACATTAACACATCATACGTGTAACATCTCTTTATACAACCAGTTTAATTAAAATGACAAAATATGACAAAAGTAGTGGTTTTACATAAAAGTAGATTACAAACAAGTAGTTGAAAGAGAGTTTAGTATGTAAAGCTGAGGTCAGTTGTATTTTGAGAACGGCACATTCTGTCGTGCCTTTACCTTCAGATATTGAGGCTTCACGTAGCGTCGGCGGAGAGACGCCAATGTTGAATACATAGGGATTTCCTGTAATATTGTACCTTAAAAACATCCAAGCTTAAAAAGGATGATTAAAATTGTGACATCACTTATATTATTAACGACAGTAATACAGTATCTCTTACAGCATTGATCTGAAGTTTGTCGTTGAGGATGAAGGTCATGTCAGCAATGATCATGGTCTCGAGTATATCCCGAGAGTCGATTCCAGTATGTTCCTTGATTTCACGTAGGTTTAATGTCTCAGTATCATACAGTTTCTCTCGTAGATAACTCATGAGTACAGAGAACCAGTATTGTCGGTAAGTTCTGAGACCGGCATCACTTAAAGGATGCTCAGGAGAGCCTACTTTGCGTTCTCTTATCGACAGTTGGTAGCCTAAAAGAGTTAGTTTATACAGTATCAGTACGATAACGTGTCAATAAATAAAACGTTTAAACTAGTATGATACATTATTATTCTCTTGATAAAGGTTTAACAATATTAATGTTGCCAACCTACTGAGATCTATCAAAAATAGCCCATACTGTTTACGTTGCATCCATGGTAATACCAATAGGCAGCTGAGGTTGTTGTTTGTTACTGGTTTGATCTCCTAAAGTTTGTCGATAACATTCAATAAATGATAGTAAGGTACCTTTGAAAAGTAACCAGCCACAGTGAAGTCAGAATCCGTTTTTTCCGTCAGAACGTAGAATTTGAACCCATCGGTTTCGAAATGAACAGCTTTAGATCCGATAAAAGTTTTGGCGAACAGTGACAGCCGGCGACAATACAACTGGAAGTAACCATTAACATGTCATATAAAACTTAAAAATATTTAAAATCAAAAGTTAACCCTAATCTTACTGTTTCAGTCTTTCCCTGTATTTCATACACATTCAGGTTGCCTTCAGAGTAAATTAAATCGCCTGGGGGTGTTTTCATATCACACATCTCGATATGCTGTATTAACTGATTCAAGGAAGGGACACAGGCCAGGCATTTGTGGCAGAATCCTATTCGATTTGTTTGTGGTAACATTGTCTTCAGAAAGTCATAGAATCTTGGACGGTACGCTACATTGCCGCAGAAGAAAACGAGCCTAAAGCAAAAGTATAAATAACAACCCTACTTCACATATGTTCGTCATATCAGCCTATAGTAAGGTAACCCATGCGGCCCATATTAACTTACTGTCTATCCTTGAAGGTTTGGTCAGTGTTTTTGCCAACACTGGCATAAGGAATGTAGGCCATATTGTCAGCGTGCTTGTCCTTCTCAACGTCATCCAAAGGTTCGTTGTTCAAACTCGAAAAGGAGGAATCAGAAGCGCCCATGCAACTAAATTTGTATGGATCCGGCTTCAAGGAAAGTGAGATCTGGGAGATCAACTTAAGCCGGCTGGCTTCGAATTCTTCATCTGTCACAGTTTTCGTCTTTGGGGAAGGTTTCGACTTGAGTGGCGAGAGTTTCCCGGCTTTTGCCTCTAAATATCATACATTTACTCATTCAAATTATTTTAATGTTACGGTAACTTAAAGATAGTTTTATTTATCAAATCAGAACTTACCGGCCTTTCCTTCCTTTGACCTACCGACTTTTTCAAACTTTTTCTTTGGATTCCCTGTTTTTGCGTTACTCTTTCCTTTCTTTTTGTCCTCCACCTCAGTACTACTGCAATTTAAACATACATACTTCTTGATAAAGTCACAATCATCACGGTTGTCGGGCCTGCACTTTCCATGATAAGCATCTCCACATTTAATACATTGCACGTTTCCTGGATCAAAGATGGGTTTGGTACACTTAGTGCACCTTATGCATTCCTGACACACAAATGTCTCTGGATTATTTAAGGCCAGATTATGTAGCTCAGCTTCATCGTACACACAGACGAGATGGAAATGCTTCAAGCATACTGAACATCCGAGAGCTGGATCGTCCTCAAACGTCAACACCGATGGATCCACCTTTGTTTTCTTCTTCTCTAGCACATCATCTGCTCTGTTTGTTCGTATTAGAGTAGAACACTTGCAAACAGCACACAAATAAAAGTCTAGCTGGTTTCTGACAGTGGATTCTGGGTGGAGCGGGAGTCTTTTAATGTGAGCTGATGGAGTAATGTGCTTGTCCTCGATGTGAAGGGTTTTATAAGAGCCAGAAGGTCTTCCGACCGGTCGATTTGTCTTCATATATCTAGATTCAAGACTCTTCTTTTCCTGGTTTTGGTCTCTTTCACGCTTCTGATGTATAACTTTGGCTATGGGGCTCTTATTAACTGTAGACGTTGAGCTACAAGGCTGTGGTTCTGGTGTTACATGCCTTCTACTAACATTGTTCCTAATGTTAAATTTCCTCAACCGCTTGCTCGGTTCCACCTTTTTATCAACTTCTTTCTTTGTGCCATATCTTGATCGTGTAGATGAGGATACTTCTTTAGAAACAATTTCGACGGAAGCTTCTGTAGACTTTTTTCTTTTTCTCGTAGGAGACAGAGTTTGTAGTGTGCTTCTTTTACGAATAGGTGACACATCTTGAAACGATTCATCTGATGTCTTCCTTCGACGCTTCACAACAGGCTTTACCTTCTTTCTGTCCTTCTTGTCGATCACAAAAGTTACTCCTTTCTTGGGAGACCTTAAGCGACCTTTAGCCTGTGACCTAGTTGTCCTACCTTCAGTTCTGTTATTCATACTACTGAAATTATAACCACCTTTAAAAACCACTCACAACATGTTGCAACATTAAAAAGGATAGAAAACCTCCTCCAAAAATACGATCCTCAATAAAGCTTCTTTATGCACAAAATAATTTAACTATTAGGACTAGCTTGAGAAATTAAAAATATAAACATTTATACTCCTTTTCGTTTCGTCGCAGTAAATCTTTCTTGGTATTCTTCATAGCCATTCAAGTGCTGGAATTCGGTATCGTTGAGTAGGTTTCCGCTGTAGCATATAAGTGATAAACTAGATTCCTTCAATATGGCCACAGTGAAAGCCGTCTTATTCAAACAGTTTTCCTCAACTCGCAGAATCCTCAGCTTCTGACACTTGGCGAGGTTATCATGTAAAGTATTCAACCGATTTCGATTCAAGTTCAACTCTGATGCTTTTAGATCGCATATCTAAAGCAAAAAGTAAATATGAGAAAAATTTTTTTAAATAAATAGACAATCAACAGTTATGATTAATAACTTACCGACTCTGGTAAACTATCTATTAAGTTTCCTGACAAATCCAGAAACTCCAAAGCTGGCAGTAAACAAGTTCCAGAAGGGAAAGACGTCAATTTATTGTTAGATGCATTTACACTCTTCAAGTTAATACAAGCAGCAATCGAATCGGGTAGTTCGTCCAGTTGATTATCTGAGACATCAAACGTTTCCAAGCTTTTCAGAGAGCCGACACTGTCTGGTAGCTTCGTCAACTTGTTTCCATGAAGATTCAGATGCTTTAAAGCCGTGAATCGTTTGAAATCAAAGGTGATCTCGATGATCCTGTTATCAGCAAGATCCAGATTCCTGAGAATTTCAGCGACCTAAAACAAGAAACATAATAATATAAACATAACATTACCTCGTCGATGGCTTCTGGAACTGTTTTGATATTACAGTTTTTCAGCTGGAGAATCCGACTTTTCTTAGCATTCTCTAAATGACTTTGTACCTTAGAATTGGAAGGGCCACCTTTTATGACACCTAATCCTTTAGTTATCGCTTTTTTAGAACTAGAAGATTGCTCGTTGCCCATATTTATATATAAATTTCTCCAATTTTGCGAAGGAAATTTTCCAAAAAATATTAATGTGCGGAATGTCACTTATTTATCGGAGCTCCTGTTGCGACGGATCTCAACAGAATTATTTATTTTCTACTTTTATTCTAGCTAGAACAATCTTTCATCACCTCTAAAAAGTCATATAGTTGACAATCCGGGCTCAACTTTTAAGTCGCCCGCTTTTATTTTAACTCAAGTCCAGCCAGATGATAAACTCGCGCCCGTTTCACACCAAGAGCTTACTAGATACTCCTGAAGTTTTTGAATTCATTTATTGCAGGACTTTTGCTTTTTGAGCAGTCCACAAACTTTGCGTAATTCACTAACCCAATGTAAAAATGATATATTGCTGTGAAAACCTCTGACAATTCATAACAGTAAAACTTCACACGACAACGATGTAAATGCTAATATAATTTATATCTTGACAATTTTAAAAGAATAATTTAATAACTTAGTAACAAATAATTAATATATTTAAAATTACTCCTACATAAACAGTGATATTAACTTATATACCAGCGGTAGACAACAACGTATAATAACAGAAAACGCCCAGTATAACGAAGTCACACGTTATAACGAGGGTTTTCATGTAGTAAAAATTTTTTTGACAAGATTACAAAAACCTCCATTATAAGAGTACTCGTTTTAAGCGAAATCAACCGGGAGTTTACTGCATACTCTTTAGACATCTTGTCCTGTGAAATCACCGTAGCGCCAGATGTTGCGACGTTCACGACGTGCGGTGGCTTCCGCTTCTTCGTATTCCTTCACCTGAAAATAAAAATAATTATGTTGTACTAAAAGTTGAATCAACAAGAATATAAAAAATTACTAGAGCAAAACCTTACAAGTTTTTGGAACCTTGGTTCGCGACGGTGCTCAGTGAGAGCCAGTCCTTGCTCAACAAGGTACTTGCCCAAGTCCACAGACTTGTTATCTTGTCCTGGGAAGTAGAGGGTAACAGCTTGAAGAGTTCCAATTCTGTATTCAGGATTCATCTCCACGTACTCAACGCTTCGCGTGATATCTTGGAAAGCGGCGTCAGTCTCGGCAGCAAAGTCAGCATCATTTGGAGGTTGAACCAAAGCTAGTTTGTATTCCTTGGCCAACGGTTGTTGTGAAACCAAGGAAGTCGGAAGAGGAGCCAACAAAGAAGTTGGGACGGTTTCTCTCTAAATTTATAATGTTTACAAAATGAAAAACACTTACGTTTCCAAAGTCAACGTAGACAATATCAGCATTGCCTCCCTTGATGCTCTCAACCTTGACTCTGTGCCATAGGTTAATTTCCTTGAAGAAACCAGCACAAAGTTCGTTCTTTCTTGGAGTGTAAGATGTTGTGGGGGTACCGACCTCACGTTGCAAATCAGCCATCAATTTTTCAATAATTGGACCTAAAATTATAATAAATAGAAAATGTAATCAAAAACTTCAAAAATATCATAATTGCTACTTACCATCTTCGTACTGCTGGATAAAGAAGTGTAGGTTTCCTTTAGCAACTTCACTGACAAGGACCTTCTTCAAGTTCAGCTTTCTTTCGCTTACATCATTGGCTTCAACTTGTGCAGAAGATTCAGTTGCAGCGTGTTCAACGTAATCCTTCCACAAACGAAGCTTTTGGTCTTGAGCTCTCTTTTCAGCGTTCAGCAACTGATTGTAGTACTTGGTCTTCTCAGCAGTGAAGTGGACAGAAGCCAATCCTTGTTCGACCAGCTGTTCAGCTAAATTGACTTGTCCTGATTCTCCTTGGTAGAAAACAAAACCGATGAAGCCACCACTTTTGTCGATCGAGTCAATATCAAGGTGAACTTCTCTTTGCAGAACATTGCGGCGTGTAAAGTTGTATGCTTCTTCCCCAAATGGTTCGCTTTCTCCTTGTGGTTTGCCTTGGATAAGCCTGGCAGTTCTTGGACAACTAATTCCACTAAGTACTACAGTAATAACGGCGTTTTCCTTTGGAATGTATACTCTGAGTCTGGATCCGCTTGATACAAATTCGACAATGCCAGAAGGTCTTGACCCACGTTGGAAAGTGGACAAGTACGTCTTAGCTCTAGCCAAATCATTTTGAATCTCGTTGACACGAATGAGCCCGGTCTCCTTCTGATTCCATATTCCCTTCTTTTCTTTTTCTGCGTTAGATTCAGCGGCCAGCAAATCGTCGTAATGAACCGACCTGTTTTCGTCATCTTGTTTATGTCTCAACACTTTGGCCAAACCTTCTTCAATCAGCTTTTCAGCAATGTTTTGTCCATTGTAGATAACAGAATAACAGTGCTTTTCTGGGAACTTTTCCTGTTGAGGTTGAATGTAGTCCAGAGTAAGTTGCACCTTCTTTCCAATCAATCTCTTTCTCAAAAACTCACGAGCTTCGAACATCCAAGGAGTATCATACAATGGCCTCTTGGCAGTACCAGGCCTTGGAACACCCTTCAAAGATGAGAAGAAGACTTTCTCTTCTTCGCCGTTGTCCTTCAGAACGGTAATGTTATCTCCGAGACCTACTTCAATGACCTTGACGTTAGAAGTTTTTCTTTGACTAGCTGGCAAAGCTGTGCTAACGTAGTTCGCCCAAATACGAAGTTTGGCGGCCTTAGCGCGTCTAAAAGCAAAAGTTATACAAATCATAATATCCAAATTATAATATAGTAATACAACAAAAATACAAATACTAAACAGCGCAATAAATTAAAAACCTACTTTTCAGCTTCTCTGTACTTCTGTGGTCCTTCAGTCACCAAGTTTAACGTCCATTCAACACATCTTGCGTAACCATCTTCAACTAGAAGCTCGGCAATGTTTCCTCGTGGATGGATTACGCTTCCAACAACGTTCTGGTTAGAGACACCTTCCAAGTAGATCTTAACGTCACGTTGAAGAATACGAGACTCAACGAAGAACTTGGCTTCCTCACCGTATGGTTCATTTCGTCCGTTCTGTCCGACTTTGGCAGCTGGAGCTTTGATTCCACTGATCATAACAGTCAAGTACTGGAAGTCGGGTAGAAGGAATACTCTCAACGTACTACCGTCACGGACTTGTTCAACAACTGCATCGAAAGCTTTGCCTTTGTTGTTATCAACCAACTCTCTCAAGTCTTCCACTTGCCAGATAATGTCACGAACATGAGCTTGAGAGTTACCGTCTTCAGCCCAACGTCCCAGTTTTGAAGACTTGGCCTTCTCTTGGGCGGCCAAAAGCTTCTCTGTGTGTTCACTAAAGAAACCAAATAAAAAAGAAAACAATATACTTACTCAACTTGTTTTCCTTGTTTAACTTCTAACCATCCGGCTAATACCGCACTTTCGGCGATGTTCTCGGCATCGTCAGGAGAAGTACCGCCCAAGTAAATCCTACCGTGCTCACGTCCAGAAGTCGCAAGGAAGTCTCTGATGAAGACAACTGTTTTTCCAACAATCTTTTTTCTTATAAATTCACGGGCTTCCCAAGCATAAGGCTAAAAACAGATTATTATTGCAAGTTTGAAACAACAAAACAAAAAAGCTCCAATCATCCCACAAAAATTACGCCATTTTTACCTCATCATTCGACCCTTCAGAACCTCCTTCAACAGGCCTTTTGGCCAAGCGTGGAGCAGCAACATTACTCAAATAAATAGTAATTTCCTTGGGAGGACCATTTGTAGCTGGACCTTGCAAAACCACAGAATCTCCGCTCAAGACTTGCTTAACTAATCCTCTTTTTACCAAATGATCCTCACTCATATTTAGCCTCTAAACCTTAAAGATAATTTTAATTATTAACATAGGAACAAAAATTTTAGGTAACAAATATATCACGCCAAACCGTTTGCAAAAAACAACATTCATAAAAAAAGTTGCAAGACAACAAAAAATAATTGCATATGTCCGCGAAGGATACTGTAACGTTTGTTTCTCTTATAACCCTAATTATGGTATAGCTCGATAAAACCAGTAGGTGATAAAAGAGTAAAAAAGTTTATTAATACAACTTTATTTTTAATACTGTACATTCATCAGACTGTTCTGACAACAGAACCACGTCGCGACGAATTATTTTTTTCCTTCGAACTGCAAAGTTTCACGAATTTATGAAACTTCCTCTCCCACAACGCTTTTTGGCATTTCGATTGAAAAAAATTATTTTTTTTGGTTTACGAGACTTTTTCGACTTTTCGTTGAAAGAACAATTTGTTTGCGTGTTTATGACAAACAGTTTCACTAGTTTATTTTTCAGCTTCTTAATTTTTTGATAAAAATAAAATTATTGGATATTGTTTTAGGTAGTCTTCACTTCATTGTACTTTCATCATGTCTGGCCGTAAGTTCTTTGTTGGTGGAAACTGGAAGATGAATGGAGACACTCAGTCCATTGATGGCATCATTTCCTTTTTGAACGATGGAGTCAAGGATGATCACGTTGAAGTAGTTGTAGCTCCACCTGCTCCTTATCTTGCTTATGTTAAGAGCAAGGTGAATGGTAACGTCAATGTGTCTGCCCAGAATGCCTACAAAGAAGCTAAGGGAGCTTTTACAGGTGAAATCAGCCCTGCCATGATTAAAGATCTCGGATTGAAGTATGTTATTCTTGGTCACTCTGAACGACGACATGTCTTTGGAGAATCTGATGATTTGATTGCTGCCAAGACCGTTCACGCTCTTGAGAATGGATTGGTTGTTGTGTTCTGTATTGGTGAGAAGCTGGAAGAACGTGAAGCTGGCAAAACTAAGGAGGTAACTTAATATTTGTCATTTTAATTTACTTTTTAGGTCAACTTCCGTCAATTGCAAGCTATCGTGGACAAGAAGGTTGACTGGAGCAAGATTGTTATTGCTTATGAACCAGTCTGGGCTATTGGAACTGGCAAGACGGCGTCTCCAGAACAAGCCCAGGAAGTTCACGGTTGGATTCGTGAATTCTTGAAGGAAAAGGTATCAGAAGACGTCTCCAAGAGCACCAGAATCATCTACGGAGGTTCGGTAACTGCCGCTAACGCTGCCGAACTCGGTCAGAAGCCAGACATTGACGGATTCTTGGTCGGAGGAGCTTCTCTCAAGCCCGACTTTATCAAGATTGTTCAAGCTCGTGGATAAATTCTAAATATGTACTTCAACCATGACATAGCTAATTTCATATTGAATTTCGCAACTGTAGATATCTATTCATGTAATAAAATATTAGGTTTACGTGTGGGAATCTATGTTTGGGTATAGTTCCTAATGATATAGAGTCTTTTGGTTTAATTCAATTGTATAGAAATAAAGAAAATGTTATTTGAAGCATATTTTTAGTTAGATGTCGACTCAATACATAAACGAGCCGGCTACAGAAGGGAAGGTGTGTCTTCACACATCTGTAGGGGATATTGATATCGAGTTGTGGAGCAAAGAAGCTCCAAAAGCATGTAGAAACTTTGTACAGCTGTGTTTGGAGGGCTACTACAACAAGTGCAAGTTTCATACTGTAATAAAGGATTGCATCACACAAACTGGAGATCCTACTAACACTGGAGAAGGTGGAGAATCTGTGTATGAACGCGATTTTAAGGTAAAAAGCGTTTTGAACTTGATTTCAAATTAATTTTTTAATTTTTAGGTAGAAACACATCAAAGACTTAAGTTCAACAGGAGAGGATTGGTGGCCATGGCAGCAAATCAGGATGGCTATTTGGCTTCTCAATTCTTTATCACTTTGGGAAGTACTCCAGAACTGAATGGAAAACATACTTTGTTTGGAAAGGTACTTGTCAATTATATTATTCTATTTACGGTATCTTATGCAATTTGGTATTTCTTAAAATACATATTTTCAGATTGCCAATCAGACAGTCTTTAACATCATGAAATTGAATGAGTATGAAGTTGATTCTGATAACAAACCTATCCGGTCAGAACTTATCAAGAGAGTTGAGGTGTTGAACAATCCGTTTAATGACATCGTTCTTCGAGAGATCAAGTCGAAGGAAAAGAAACACAGGAAGTCGAAGAAAGACAAAAAGTTACTCTCACACAATGTTGGGTTACTGTCATTTGGCGACGAACACAACGAGGAAGAGCTTGTTTCTTTTAATAAGGTACGTCATTACTTATTGGTTTTATGTAGGGATGAGACTCTAACCAAAGTTTTATTTAGGTCAGGTTTGTTGATCATTTATATTTTTATGGTATTTATATTTTATGTCGTTTTTTTAAATAAAAAAGAGTAAAAATGTAAACAATTAATTTTCAGAAGTTGAAGGGCAAAAGTGCGCACGATGTGTTGAAAGATGACAAGTTGAGTAAGGAAGTTGCCGTGAAACCGGAAGAATTGGGTGACTATATGGTAGGCTTTTACCAATTGTTTATTATGGCTAATAATCTAATTATATTTTTTACTTTTTTGCTTATTTTAAAGGAACCGTTCATTGAATTTTTTTAAATGAAATTTTTTCGCGGGTTTTCCAATGTTTTCGATTAATTTTTTGAGAATTTTTATTTTCAAAAATTATTTTCATTTGATTTATTTCTTACGAACGCGGTTGTATATTTTGAACCGTATTGAGGTTTTCTTACCTATTCAGACCACTAAAATATCATAACATCCAAGACACAAGCCTTTTTTCTTCCGAAGCTTTATTGGCGATATTATACTAGATTTTTAGTGTTTTTGCAGCTTAAAAATATCTTAATTATCTACTGTTTCGTCTTAAATTACTCTACAGACAATATCTTACCTATTCGAACTGTTAACACATCAAAACCCCCAAGATACCAGGCTTTTTCACCTTGAAACCATCAATACCTAATCTTGCGAAAGGTTTATTAACAACAAGAAGGTGAAACAATCCAATTTGGGGATAAATATACATTCTGACATTAAAAAATAATATTACTTTACTAAAGATACGAAAATTGTAAGATTAATGAGACCATGTAGTTGGAGAGGTTGGTGGATGTGGGTTTAGGCGTTCGCTTACCTCAAGGATAATACCATTATATGTGATCTAAAGTCCTGAAAACGAAAACATACGGAAATACTTACTTTTGACGTCGAATTAGCTGCTTTTTACTCTCTAACGAAACCTGACATTTTTAAACCAATAGTAAAGTAAAACCTACACTATTCTTTAGAAGTTTTACTGAACTAAAAGTTTTAAAATGGTTTCATTATGATAAGGAACATGTTTTTACAGTTTAGAACAAATAATATGTAGAATATTAAAGTAAAAGTAGTAAAATATAAACTGAAAACCTCAATACGGTTCAAAATATACAACCGCGTTCGTAAGGAATAAATCAAATGAAAATAATTTTTGAAAATAAAAATTCTCAAAAAATTAATCTAAAACATTGGAAAACCCGCGAAAAAATTTCATTCATAAAAATTCAATGAACGGTTCCTTTAAATGTTTAGGATAACGGAGATGAAGACGAAGATGGTGGAGAAAGCTTAAACAAAGTAAGGGAACGTCTAAAGTCCGGAAAGAGGAAAAGAGAGGTCAAGAAGGAGGAAGACGACCCAGAAGTTGACTTTGACGGTGCTCTGGATGATGTCGACAAGGCTAAAAAAGATGCTGAAAGGTAATTGCCATCTTACTAACTATTTATTATTGGTGCCTACTTAAATGGTTTTTTCATTTCATGACTTTAACTGACCTTTTTAGGGAAGCACTAATGGCCGAAAGTAAGCGATTGCAAAAAGAGTATGCCAAAAGTTTGAGAGGGCCAAAAGCTCAAAAAGTGGCAGAAGATACGACGACAGACACGATGAAGGAATACAATAAGATGAAACTGAAGTACAAGTCCAAGCATGATAATGTTGTGAAGGAACTTGATAAGAAGCGTGAGCAGCAAACAATGATGTTGGTGAATAGGTTCAAGAACAACTTGAACAAGGAAACGTCTTCCAAAATGTTGAACAACAAGAAGATTGACATGGCAGGTCAAAAGACACAAGCAGAACTTCTGAAGGAAGGAACGGAAGCTGCACCAAAGAGAAGATTTGATGACAAGATGGATATAGATGAAGAAAACGAAGGTGAAGCCACGCTTCTGGAAGTCGGCGAAGAAGTTCCGAGCACGGAGGTGAAGATTGATCAAGATGCTACTGACATAAAAGGCTCTGAATGGATTACTCACAAGTTTGTGGCTCCAGAAGACAAAAGTGGAATGACGAAGGCAAGGGATGCTAACTTGAGAGAGGAGGATGAGGAATGGTACGATATCAGCGATCCTCGCAACAAAATGAATCAGAGGAAGCGAGAGCAAATCTAACTGTGGAACTGTAGTACGTTGACTAATGTTATTATAATTTATTAAATCACGCAGCTTTATACACTGTACACTCTCGCAAAGTAATTGATCGTATAACGTGTTGTGAAGTAGTCGTACAAAATAAATGATACACTTGTATAACCAAATATGACGAAATACACGTTAAACTAGATACGACCATCAGGCTAAAAGAAATTACAGTATTCAAACTGTACGGTAACAAAGGCAAGAAGTCTATTCTACTCGGGAGTTGATGAGGTATTTACAACAATGCGTCAGGAGTTGTTTCCCGTTAACTGGTGGCTGTTGAGCGTCGCGGGTGTAGATGTCGAGTCCGTATTGTCCCTCGTCAGGGAACTCCAGGTTGATGATGACATTGTCATCTTGCACTTCGGTGTGGACACAACCATGAAGATGTCTGTCATCTGTCCCGTTCCTGTGTAGTGCTGCTACGAACTCGACCAATGGTTTGAGCATTCTGAAATTATACGCAATAATTTGTTCAGGAATGTATTATAACTGTTATATTATATTAACCATCCATTCATGACCTGTAATACTGAAATTGCAAGGTATATCTTCTCAATCATTAAGTGTTGGCCCTTACCTGAACCTAACTTGACAGTACTGTCCACAGTTTATTATCGCTTCTTCGTGGGACAATGGAATCAAACCAAACAGTCTGTAGCCCTTGGCAGGGCCCCACTCTCCACTGGCACATTCAGGCAAAGGTACCATAATGACGTCGAGCCGATGACATGCAATCTAAATTAACATAGTCAATCAAAGTTTTGTGACATTACTCACAATAATAAGATAAAAATATAAAACTTACCTTAAATTTGCAAACTGATTTGAACTTTATGGGTTGACCGGTCAAGTAGTGGTCGGCTGATACAGCATTCGCGAACACATCCAATAGCAGAGGTCGTGTAGTGGGGACATGAATCCTGAAGACGACAGAATCACTGGTACTGCTTTGCATCACGAATCGCTTCAGATTGTAGCCGTCAATCTCCGACTGGTCGCTGTCGTAGAAGCGGAGGTTGTAGTGGAAGATGAGTGTGTTAGCGGATTCCTTGTCCATATCGATGGTGATCGTGGCCGCTCCACTCTCGTCGGCCTGGATGACCGAAGACAAACGTTGGTCGTTGAATCTAAGGCCATAGCGGAAGAAAAGTGATCGTACGAATGGAAGTTGCTCGAATTGCGGTAGCGACAAAGGTCGAGGAAGAAGTTGCCAAGCTGAGTCGTTAGGGAAGAATTCGTAGATAAACTCCTGAAAATATATTATTTTAGGTACGGCAGTATAGTAAATGTAACCCAAGCAAAACAAAGCTTCTGATTTGGTCATCGCATAAAGTAGTTCGTGACAAAAAGTAATGATGACGATCTATGTTTTTTATTACAATAGCTATGGCTTATGTAATTCACCTACCTCCGGGTCAGTCATGAAGTAATGGTCATCGTACTCATACCGAAGGCTGTTGTCACCGTTCTGTGCTGGTTTCTGTCCTTCTTTTGCATTTACAAGATGTCTGGCACCCCAATTGCATTGTACGAATCTCCACGAGCCGTCTAGATATACCGCATTCCATGTGTTTCGGAACCTGTTGTCTTCGAAACGCAACCCTGGCTGATAACCGGCTGATTTCGAGTATCCCTTTATCACTACACAGTGCAGACCCGCGTAACTGAAACATAGAACTTCTCAGTTGAACATAATATATATGTAAGGACTTTATGAAATGACACGTGAATAAGTCATTTTAAAAAACAGATGTAAGAACTAGTACAAGATGGACAACACTTTGACAAAACGTACCTGCAAAGACGTTTAAACAGTACGTGGTAGCTTTCTGTACCGTATTTGATACCTCGTAGTAGTCCCATTGGTGTATCTTTGTCTAATTCGTTGTCGAATACCATGACGTTCAGGTTTTTTACCGTAATCCAACGATATATCGCTCTGAAATTAAAAAATATGTACATAAGCTAAAAAATATACTGCAACCTCAACAATGGCGAAAGATAATCAATACAAAGTTTTACCTAGATTGTAACCTTAACTAACATAACAAAACGTTACCTTGCTTTGTCCACATCTGACCGAGCATTTATGGTCAGCGTTCTAATCAGATCCGTGAACGTGGCGACTTCGGATTGTGCTACACTGATGGCTACTTGGTCAATTTGTTCGAAAACATTGACATCCGTGTAGATGTGTCGCTTACTGCAAGATGGGGGCATGGGTGGGGGCGGGGTGGATGGGTAGGATGAAACTGAGCTGGCGATACTCTCCCCCTCGTAGTAGTTGTCGTGATGTACCTCTCTGTTCTGCTTGTTCTGTTGCCGTGCTTGGCGGAACAGGTCCAGCATCTCAGAAGCCTGCTTCTCGAACAATTCTGTAGTTTTGTGACGTTCTCTCTCCTTCCTTCGATGAGTTATAGTCTCCAGCTTCTTATCTCGTTTTATCGTCAATTGGCGGATCAGATCGTCTTTCTGGTTCTTGTCAGCGTTACCATTCTCGAAACGACGAGCGAATTCGGCCAATGCTTTTTCCCATTCTTCCTAAAGTAATATTGATATTATAGTTTGTTTCTGTGATATAGGCAAGCATTTACTTTCAGAATAATACCAAAAAGTGTACCAAACGTACCTTTGTTTCCTCCTCAAAGTTCTCCAGCTCCATCCTCCGTTCCTGGGTGAACTCTTCATACATTTCATCTTCTACTTTCCTGTGTACCAACTCTAACCTGGTTTGGTCATCGTAGTCTACCAGGTACTTGGCCCCTTCGTGTTTGATCTTCGGATAAGGCTTGGCCACCTGTGTAGCCTTCATGGCATGGGCGATCTTCATGTCGGCCAAGCCCGCATCCACCCATTGTTTGTCGTTGTTGTTATTGTTGTTGTTACTTCTTAGCGGCTTCAAGGCCGGCATCGGATCGTGGGGATTAGGGTTGGGCACATGGTTGTTACAGTATACCTCTTTGTCATCAATGTCATTTCTGTTGTTGCAATAGGTCTTCAAGGCCAGTCTGGTACCACAAATGTAGCATTTGAAGCAGCCGTTGTGGAAGAAGGTACCATCTTTGAGTGGTCCTACTTTGTCTGTGGGGTACACGGGCTTGGTGCACCGATGACACAGTTCTTTAACCATCTGCAAAAACACAACCATACTTGATATCTTTTGTATTTACAGAATTATTTCATAGAATAACCTCAATATAATAGCAAAAGTAATCGTAATAGTAACAACAATAAGATAATGGGCTAATATTTTAGTAGTAAAGTAGGTTTATGGTAAATGAGCAGTAACTATAGTAAAAATGTAATTAAGCGCCTTTGAATATATCGCGAGACAGATGTTTTTACCCGACAGTAAAGTTCTCCCGACTACCATCAGCGGTCACTCGCCATGTTATGTTGAATCAGCGGCCAAAGAATAAACAGGAATTACGAATATAAATAGCTAAAAGAGTACGAAAGATAGAAAAGAAGTGAAAACAAACAGCGATAATAGCCGAGAGTAAACTTGAAAACAGCGAATTTACAGAGTAATCTCCCCAAATTGGCGAGAACAATTACCCACAGATACCACAACACTATCACAATATACTGTCAGCAAGTTTGGAGATGTATTAAGGGCTTTCACTACATAAAATAACGAAAAACCAGATAAAAGTAGGCTTAACAAATGTAACAAAAGTTAACTCGCCGGAATCCGGGTCAGCCGAGTGAGTCAGCCACCTCTCGCTACTACATAACTAACTCTTGTCACAGATAACATCTGACCGGCTACCTGACGTAAACTGGACTGGAACGAAGGAGATCCGCTCAATTACGCATTTAACACAATATTAAGCCGGTAAACGATCTAAAGGAGTTGGAGGGGCACTTCCCTCCCTCCCCCCCCCCTCCACTGAAATGGCGCGGCGATCAAGCTCTCGGTTAATGACAGTCGAGATCCCTCACTCCATTGTGTGGATCGAACCTGCCGAGGAATGAGTTTATTATTGCGACAACTTTGCCACCGGACTTTGACGACGAGTGTCATACCAAGGTCGGTAATGGGAATGTCACGGAATGTTTATTACCGTATAGTATCAGGTTTGGCGCTATATAACTTATTAATATAATACTACAACAATTTTTACATATAAAACATCTTTGTTATTACAATCCTTTCTCAAAATTAACAAGCACACCAAGTTCAATTGTTTTTTAAAAAAAGTACTACCCCCCCCCCTCTCCAAAATTAGCCTTTAGTACAAAACAACACATATTATCTTACTTCCAATAAAAACAAAGTGATACAACACAAAACTATTAAACAAAGTACCGCTTCGCCCAGATATTCTTTATACCCATGCAGATAGACAATATTTAATTAAAGCGTCTCATCTTGTACCATAACTGTAACACATTACTCACGTAGCGAGCAAAGAGGATCCGCCAGAGAGGAAGCGCGTCATAATTACTCTTTAATAAAGCAGGAAATCTTCGTATGACTGCCAGTAGTAATCCCATGTACAATATCGACGGGTCAGTTAATCTGTCGAACAATCAAAAAACGCGGAGAAACACGTGTGGGGGGAGGGAGTACAAGCAGGTCATGTATTATGTAACGAAGCCCCGAATATTAATTGCAGGAAGAGTTGCAGTAGTTTGTAATGCTCAGCTGCGTTAATTCTGGCGCCAGGTTTATTATCCGGCGGCAATTAAAACAACAATTCGAACCGTTACCCCGCAAATTGGACCAAACCAAGTTGAAAGACAACATACCGCAAGTTTCAAACCTACATACGACAACCCCACTATCACAAAAACGACTTTACCACAGTAAAACCACAAGTAACCTGATTAATTTGAATCATCTCGCCCTGCTGGTTTGAAACAATAATATTCAAGTTACCTTCCTTAAGAGAACAAAAGGAACACGGAAAAGATTTGAAGCGGTTCCAGTGTTCTTGAAGGTCCCACAAAAAGAACTGGTCAAACACTCTCGGCGATGGATACTCGAGAGCGAGCCCAATTTACATGAAAAGATCACTTCATAAAGTGTTTGCGAAATAGTGCCATGTTTGCTCAAAGATACCACGGTAAAACGTCGTATGAATTAATGTACTATGATGGAGCTGGTAGTAAACTTTTTTTTAGCCTAGTCTTACAAGATTAAAATACTAATTTGAACGTCTAGCTATTTAAAATGAGGTTTTCAATTTTTTGTTTCTTCAACTAGACAAAAGGAGCTAAATCTATATTAAAATACGGCCCCTTGTAACAATTCAATCTCCCCTAATTTTTTACATTAAGATCCTATTTCTTATAAACATAGTAACTCTACAATAGAAACAATATAATAATTGAAAAGAATGATAACGCTACACGTCATACACGTTACTCCATAAAATACGATTCTCAAGGATGATAATGTTTATGAAGACTAAAGACATTCATGAATATACACAGAGTGAAAAGATACCGTGACTCACCAACTTAATTCGCAAAAGCAAACATAGACAAAAAAGGCGCGAAATTAACATAAAGGTACGTAAAGACTTACCGTTTGGAAAAGAGGAGCCATCCTGAAGTTGGCTTCACCGTGACAGTCCTACCACAATCTCAGAAGTGTAATTCCAACCGGTAGTATATCAGAAAAAGGTCAATTGTTTGCCGATAACCAAATCGAAGGCAGTAAACAAAGCTTACTTCATGAAGTTCTAAAACGGATCGATTAACAAGGTTAATTGTCTTAATTAAATCAGATCGATATCCGGTTGGTAAGACGAGTCAAACCCTATCACCCCGCGGAGTTAAAACCCCTATCACGCACGAAAACCGCCTCGAGGAATGTGAGGAACGAGGTGAAGAACCCAAGAAATTGGAGGAACGCCATAAAAGGGGACAAACCCCCCACCCTTAGCAACCAGGCATGAGACGCGCGCGGGCCATTAAGAGGACGACCCAGGCCATGAATCAGACTCACAATAAACACTGATAAGCGCGGTAAACAGCAACGTGGAGCTGCAAGGAGAACATTGGGGGAAGCAACATGGATAGTGATAGGGAGAGAGATAAGTTTATATTACTTTTTACTATCAAAATTAAGGTTAATGTTACTTTTCACAAAAAATATTACCTTTTTAAACTAAAAGGGAAGAAAACACTAATTTTTATTTCAAAAAATGCCAAAAATATTGTAAATGAATACATAGTTATGCATAACATAATCGTACCTCTCAAAACCATTTATAACCATTTCAATACTACCGAAAGCAATATGTCATTTGGAACATTTATAATTTTAAAACCATAATTACAATGTTTATACGTTCCTTTCCGCTCCAACACTCTTGCCCCTTAACTGCCAATAACTTGTAATCGCTTTCCATAACCTTTACTTAAAACCTTTTGTTTATGATTGACTGTACAGCCGGCTAGCGAGCGGATCCATCTTGAGACAAAGTTATGTGTGACGAACAATAACAAGCAATGACTAAACTTCAATTAAGCGTTTGATCCGCTTCACTATTGTAAACCTATTACGGACTTTGCAAACATTTGCTAAGTACCTGCTCACTTACTCAAACTCGTTTTTGACTAAAACAGTCAAATTTTAAATAACTGATAAAGTTGTTTACGGACTTTTACCAGCAGATAAATGACAGGCAGTGTCGGGAAGCAACTTAATATAGTAAAAGTAATAAATATATGTTTAATAGCTACTTATTTACATATTTTAATCAATAAATTATAGTTTCACCGTCGATACGAAGACTCCAACAAACATTGGTTCAGCTCGTTTTTGAGTTGTAAAGCCTAAAACAAACTAATTACTATGTTATTGTAAGAAACCTTTTATGTAGTGAGAAAGTAGTTTAGATATATTTTCATAATAGACTTTACTGCGTAAAACAATACAATATTGTACTGACACACCTCTATTTTTAAGCTCTGATAGTCAAATTCAGCTTGTCTTACGACCAATTCACGTTGAAGTAGATCTCTTTCGGCTTCCGTTACCTCCAATCCTTTCTTCAACTCCACAAACTAAAAGTTAAATAATTACCTTACTGATGAGAAACTACTGTGTTATGTACGTACGATACTGTACAAAATAGATACCTTTAGTTTGAACTTCAGTTAAAATTTTATTTATAAATCAGTTTAGATAGTAACATTTTTAGTTTACCTTATCATACAAAGCCATTGACTTGGCCCTAACCTCAAGCTGTCTAAATTGTTCTGTCATCCTGTCCAGCTCCTTGTCCAATCCACTCCTCTTATTAGTGACATCGTCTCGATGATTTTGTAGTGACTATAATTGTTTTATGTAAATACCAACTTTTCTCAGTGTATCTTGTAACTTAATGGAAGATCAAACATATTAGCCTACCTTGAGTTCGCCTTCAAGCGTAATTTTGTTGTTTTCAAAGTTCTGCCATTCATTCTCTGTCTGTTGATTGAGCTCATTCTGCTTCTTTAAACTCTCCAGTTCTGTCTGATAATGTTGTTCTGATTCCTCTAATCCCACCATCTCTTCTTGTAGCCGAAGATGTACTGTAATATAAAGTGTTAGCAAAATAATAAATAGTAAAACTTACAATCCTGTAACTCTTTGGCATTTGCAGGCGAATCCATTGTGGCAATGATAGCGGATTCATCCAGTCCCGTTACAGTAGCCGCTAATTCGTCACGCTGGCAATTGACAGAAATCAACTTTAACAATGATACTATCCTGGTTTGGCTTTTGGTCAGAGAAGTAGCCAGCTCCACTTTGTGAGGTTCGAAAGACCCTAGAAACTCATCTAACTGGCGCTCCCTCAACTTCAGATCTCTGTAGCGTTCACTATGCTTCCCTGCCATCTGTTCGGCTTCATTCTCAAACTCCCGAAGCTCTTCCTGAGTCAGCTGAATCTTGGCTTCGATCTCTTCGGTTCTGCAAAACATACTTACACCAAATATCATGTTAACATATTTTTAATATTAAACATATGTTTAATATTAAAAACATGTTATGCATTAAAATACGCTTAAACTTATTTTTGCCATTCTATTACACTTTGTTTTTTAAAACCGATATGTTGTTTTTGGTTAAAAATAAATATTCTCCAAATTTTGGAAAGTCACGCTGTTTTCTGCTGCCGTACGGTAGCCAGCAGTGAGCAAAGAACGATGTTAAAGAACCACTCACTGTTCTCTCATGCTTGAGATTTCCTCATTGTTCTTCTTGATCTCTTCTATAAGCTCGTTCTTCTGGTCTTCAGGTGTTTGTCCCGACATCATTTCGTTCTTTAGCTGCTCCTTCTTCTCCTTTAGGCTAGCTATTTGCTCTTGTAGATTCACTGGAAATCAACAACATGATAATCGTCAGATCTATGTCTATTCTTGGGTTCTGTCAATTAATTTTAACAGATAAGAAAGATTTGTCAAGAATTCTTTCAAAATCAACAAAAAACACATCTTATATTATCCTTACTAGAATGTTGTTTTAGAGGCGATTTAGCCAAGGATAAATCCAAGTTTTCCTTTTGTTTGGTCAGTTCTTTGATCTCGTTTTGAGCTTTCTCTAGCTTGTCCCGATACTCTTCCATCTCGGCCTTCAAGGTTTCGTACTCTTCCTTTTTAGAATGACCGATTTCGTCCATATACTCCATGTTGCTCTTCTTGCTGGCCTCCAACTCCTGTTCAAGTTCATGACACGCGTCCTCTTTCTGTTGCCTTTCATGAAACAAATCCTGAACAACGTTTGTTAATTCCTCATTCGTTTTTTCTTGTGTTTCAATGTCGACCTCGAGTTCTTGGACATTGACATTAGTGTTTTGGCGGTCGATTATCAAGTTGTAATCGGCAAACTCTCCTTGCAATTGTTTTAGTTCGTTCGCCTGTTCTTCAGCTCTGAAATAAAGTCATTCAGGAAGTATAATATCTTTTGAGATTTCGTAAGAAAAATGTTTGGAAATCTTTTTCGAACAATAAATTGAAACATTTTTCCTCCGACCGGCGTCCGACGAAATTTCGGTCGCGCAGGCTGCAAATCTCTAAGCTTCTTATTACTTTTGCTCATAAACCAAGAGATTCCGTTGCTCTCGTTCAGCTTTCTGTAATTCATTCTCCAGCGAGCTAATTTCTTCCTCTAATGCCGTTAACTGAGTGTTCAAAAGTCCAATGAAATATGTTTTGTCAGCGATTTGTCTTCCGCTCACGCCGGCTGAAAGCAAAAAAACAAGTGTAGTTTATTGATAAGGTTAAATGTAACTGTAAAAACTTCAAAACACGTTTTTCGAATCATCTCTATTTGTTTTTATTGCATTCCCTTTCGAAAGGGACGATGAAATGCAAAGCTATTGATAGAACAACATGTGGTATACCGTATCATACGGTTTGCAAGAGTTTTAAAGTAAAAGGCTGATTAAAAGGTCAAGTTAGTTCATTGACAGTTAGTGTAAAATAACACTGAATATTTTAAAAGCCGTCCTGAATCTAAATTTTTATTTTACGTTTCATAGTGTAATATAATGTTGACTTACTTCGTAATCTGCTTCCTGGTCTCTGTGCTACAAAGCCTTGTTGTGTTGTAGGCCTAAGGGTTCCTTCTGGTATCTGTCCAGTAGCAATTCGTCCTTCCAAAGCACTCAGTCCAGCCCTTGAACCGGGCATGGCTGAACCCAATCTACTAGCTGATCTGATGGCCTAAAATCTTGTTTACCTGGCTGAGAAACCTACCATGGTTGTGTTTACATCTAAAAACAGCTCGTTACTTTACACTTTTACATTTGTGTTGTGTGGCCATAAAAAGCAGACTCACCTGATTGCGTGTCCTCTGTCAGGACGGAGCGTCGGCTGGACGGACGGCCCAAAGACGAAGGTGGCCGAGCTGCTGAAGGTGGCCTAGGCACGATGGTGCGGGGCACAGAAGAGGGAGGACGGCCGGCTGAGGTCGGGGGACGGCCTGTATTAGTTTTCTTTTTATGATAGCGTTTTGTTGTTTACTGGTCAACAAGTGCGGAGAGCAATTATAATATTTTCGGTTTATTTGTTAATTATCACCAAAACAGATTATCTTCAAAGCTCTTCTACACTAAACCAAAAAAGTCTCAAAACCAGATCAAACCTTGGGAAGCCGTCTTCGGACGTCTGGAAGCCGGTGTTCTGGCCCTGGACGTTGGGGGCCGTTCGGTCATCGTTCCGGAGCAATTTGAGGCGATTATGTGCAATAAATATGGTTTATGTAAATGTTTTGTGGAAGAAAGGTTGTCATAGTGACCGAAACCTCCTCCGAAGGCGAAACCGATGTAAAGGACACAGGACGTTCATGTGAAAGTCGTCAGCCTTATTATTTTTTGTTTTGATTCCCGTCGCGTTCCTTGTTTGGCGGCGGCTGCAAACGTTCAGCTAGACCAAAAGTCATTTTATCTATTGTTTTATTTTGGGATATCTAATAAAACAGTTGCTGTGCACGTGCGATTCCATGAGAAATTCACAAAGCGAAGATGGAGGTTGTCAATGACATGTTCGTATCGAATCAGTTCATAAGAACAGAGGTCACGGCTGCTTGCAGGAACGCTCGCAAAGCACAGTTTAAGGCAATTTGCAGGGAAAACGAAAGGAGGTGCAGCCAAAGAAAGATGCAAAAACATTAAACAGCATGGTCAATACCTGTTCAGGGGTTGCAACACAGATTACTGTTGAAATATGGTGTTTTGGGTAACAGAAAAGGCACACTACTATACAGCCCGCCCATACTTAACATCTTATTATCACCAGATCTATATAAACAATACAAACCGTGGAGAACAGTCTTTTATACCTTTAAAAACTACTGTTTAAGGCATTCAAGCCCTTTTTGCTACTGGTTTTCTAGTATAATATCGCTAAAACCTTTTGCCTTTTTTACTAATTTTAAAAATTTAAAAACTACTTGTATAATATCTACTGTAAACTATTATATCAATTTTGACTAAAAAGATTTTAATTTTCCGACTACTGTTAAACAAAATTAGTTATTACAAAATGATTGGTCGCAAACCAGTTCCGCTTACTGTAACATCGATTACAGTACGCGAGAATATCGTGCAAACCTCGAAGAAGGTAAGCTACGTGTCGAATTGTCTGAATTTCCAATTTTGCGAATTTGTGAAAGCATTGCGAAACCCTGAATTCATGCAATCGAATGTCTTTGTTTTGCCTCTTGATTTCTCAATTTGGAGATAGACTAGACTGGAATTAGCTTTTTAAAACCATTTTTTATAGCTATATTAGTACTACAATATACTCGCCTCGTAAGCCTAAAACACTTTTGCATGGCAGATTAATTAGCAAGATATTAAATGAGAGCAGAAGAGCACTTTGATGCTACAGTAGCCATTCCCTAGAAAAGAGCACCCGCTTCACGTGTTGCCCATGTGCCCGCCTTTACAACGAAACTGAAGACCCGCCCCCTTATCGCACGCTGCTGAGCTTTTAAAAGTGATCCTACCCCCAATCAGGCCATTTTACAGAGCTCGTACTCTTCTACTCTCGAAGCCAACATGCTTGCCTCAGCCGCCGCCTTCTTCGAATGCACCGTTCTGTTCGTCGCCACGATGACCGCCCTCTTCAGTATCCTCAGCCCCAAGCTTCGTACTGGCGCCTACTCGTTGTTGGTGCTTCTGCCCATCAGTCTGATGATCTCTGGCACCGAAGCCGCCTCGGACGACTTGGACGACTAGAATCCTGGATACTGTAAGATCTTGTCACAGTTTCCTGACAAAGTCTACATGATCTACCACAATTAGAGTGCATTTTTCACTCACACGACAGATATCATGGCGCGGGCGCAACCATATCAAGCAATACTACGGCCTATGTTGTTAATTCACTTATTTGGTATTTGAAATGGAAATAAATATTATTGAAAATATGATTTGAATTCTTTCGTATCTTTATATCAGTAAAGAAATAACTTTTCGTAAATAGTTTAAATTTAGTAAAGTCAAATGGAATTCTCTCAAGATTTTCGAAAGAGCTTATCAAGTTGAAGTAGGTAACAGAAATAGTCTTTAGCCTGTTGCAAACATTTGAAAACGTGATTCACGGCGAATGTTCCTGTGAAGGACGTTCCGAGGTCAAACACGGAAATAAAAGGTCTGAACCACGTGGTTGCAAAAACATACATTTATTATCAAATAACATATACAACAACTGATTGTAATCAGTAACGTGACTTCTTCAGCACGTCGGGCCTCCATACAATCGGATGAGTCTCTTCGGTCTGAAAATAAAGGGAATTAGCGGTTAATGACAAAACAATAGCTATTATCACAATAGACATTCCTGGTGATGACAAAACAGTAAACATACAGTTCAAGCTATTTATACCTATACTTCTAAAAATAGGCACAATGTTGTTAACATAGTTTTTAACCTTTTCAATGGCAGTTATCTATATTATAATAGTAAACATGCCACGACTATCACGACGGCCCCTCTCCCTTCTACGGTAGCTATTAAACTAAAGATCAATTCGGAGTAAAAAGATGACCTTAACATTGTAAAGCGTGATAAGACACAACATTTCTAATTGATTCCATTCACAAAGCAATATCAGGCGTGGTTTTACATTTCCTTAAAGTAGACTACACCTTCAGAAACTTAACAATCTTAACCCTATTAAGCTTACAATAAAATATTATTATATATTAAATACCTAAAATATTGAATTTTTTTTTGACAAGACCATGTAGATGCACACAATGTTTTAAAAAACCTACAGCGTCTGGATCCTCTTTCCACATTTTGATGGACTTGTCGGCTTCAGCGGAGATCAATCTTCTGCCAGACTTATCGTATGTTAATGCGAAGATACCACTTTCCGAGTCAATAGAGCCTGGTTGTGAAGGAGGATGTTCACGTTGGTAACAGAATCCAGAGTCCCAATCCCAGAAATGCATGGAACCATTATCTCCTGCAAAATACAGATTACTGAGTCCTTAAATAGCATTTTCTTCAATTAGATACTATAGTATACCAAAATCTTACAACTATTTGTATAAAAAAGGTCAACATTCATTAAGTATCGCTATCATAAAACCGCTTTTGTCATCAGATACGTTTCAGTAGTATACTGTGAGCACTGTTAACAAATACTTTGCTTTATCGTACTCAATCAATCACACAATTTACAGCGTAACCAGCAATCCTTATCAATTACGAACTTCTTTAAAAGTTTCGCAAATATTTACCAAGACATTCAATTTCCACACAAAAACACTCTGTTTACTCCTTACCTCCAGATACCATGACACCGTCTTCATTTACCGCCAATGTGTTTATCATGGTATTATGACCACTCAGGTTTTGGAAGAAGGTCCCGTTGCCACTCTTCCATTGCTTGATGTTATCGGTTGAACCTGATGCAAACATAGCCAGAGTAGGATGAAGACAGAGAGATCGAACGCTTTTCTAAAATAAATATATTATGTTTTACTGTACAATACTTAATTATCTTTATAAAAACTATCATACAATCAATTACAAATTAAAATAAATATTCCAATAAATAAAGTTCTTACCTTGTGATTCGTCAACGTACAAACACTCTTTCCAGCAGCCAGATCCCACAATCTTATAGTAGAGTCGTGACTTCCCGTAATTACTTGAGGATTCATATCTTGACATACTACTGAAGCTACAGTATCTGTGTGTCCACTCAAACAAAATACCTGCGCTTTTGTCCTGATGTCCCAGACTCTGGCTGTTGAATCTCTGGCTGTAGATATCAACAAGTCCAACATTGGATGTAAAGCCAGGTCTTGCACCGCACTCAAATGTCCATGATAGTGTCTCACGACTTTGTTATATTCGAGATCCCAACATTTCACCTAAAATTGACTTATGTTTCTTAAACGAACTTTGGAAATATAATAAATATCCGAAAAACGACCTAAATACTATAAAAATAAATTAGAAAAGTACCTGTTTATCTTCTCCACCGCTGAACAAGTATGGATGCCTTTGGGATACCTTTACCGCTCGCACTGAACTAATGTGACCAGTTAAAGATAACTTCAACTGTCCTGTAGCTAGATCCCATATCTGTAACATAAGTTATTAGTCACGAGAAGCACATAGAGGCAAAATAGATAGTTTCATATTATCATAGACATTCAACAAGCACAAAAAACACCAATCCCTAGATCGAACATGTAAATGCAAACATAAACTATTATAAATAAGTCTAAACACACCTTTATAACACGATCCGATCCTCCAGTGGCAAACCATTCATTGTTAGGCTCTACATCAACACATCTGACCCAGCCAGTATGTCCCGAGATTACTCTGTAAAGCTTCCAAGGCGGATGCCATTTCGGCTTCACAATAAGCGAAGATTTCGAAGGTAACAACGCTCTGATCGAGTTGTCATTATTCTTCTTTTTGTCTATCGTACTTAGAGCACCACTTCCTCCAGATCCAGCTGATCCTTCAATCGAAAGCAGTTGATCCCTCTTGACCTTCGTACTGTCAAGAAGACTCGGCTCATTCTGTGGCAGATTCAACAGTTCCTGCACCTTTGCCTTCTTGGCTTCCTTTTCTGCGTTTAAGACAGCTTTGTATTCGTTCTTCTCCTTGATTGATCTCCACAGTTTGTCTCTAAACAACAAGTTAAAAACAATATTATACTTACGAAGACTCTGGCCCATCAAAAAACTTCTCTTTAGAGTGAGCGAACATGTCGTGAGATCGTTTCATCGACCGAAATACTCCATTGTACAACCTCCGGGTCTCGTCTGACGCCGCCATTCCTATATATTATAATAGCTGGTTTTAATAATTAATGCCTAAACAAGAAACAATTGAAAAGTACCAAACCGTCGTGTAAGAAAGAATAATAATTAGTTAGGCTACCTTCAAAGGTTATTTTTTAGAAAAATTATAAAGCGAAAAAATATTCGCAGTTTGCGTCCGAATTAAAAGTTTATAAATTGTGTCATGATTACAGTTTTAAGTAGTTCTTAAAACTCGAAAAATCGTGTATAATAATTATCAATGGTATAAGAAATGTTTTTGTCAATTTTTTTTATTAAGCGTTAAGGTATTTAATAAATATTAATTTGCTGTAAAGTTAAAATCGTATAATTTGGTAGTTGCGAACTGCAACTTATCTTTCCTTTACGAAATAATGGAATTGCGAAGTTTGAGAACAAAATCTTGTAAATGTCTTCTAAAAGTTGTGCTAAAATTTTAAAAAGTATATTTATGTATATAAATTGTTATTTTATACTTCATTAGTGACTTTTTAAAATTTTTGTTAATAATGTCGCATTTTATAGACATAAAAATTTTTTTGCGCTTCGCCGACGACGGGGCCTAGGGCAAATAATTTGAAAGTAATGATGAATCGAAAACTTCAATTTTCGTTTTCTTCGGCTTTTTCTACAAGACATTGTGGCCATGTTGCATGATAACTTAAAGCCTCGGCATGATCCACGATCTCCGTTACTGCACGGTGTTAAGGATGAAGATTCATTGAACAATTTGCTTCCTCTTCATGTTGTTGGAGTCGTGGAGAGTTGTGATGAACACGGCTACTTGTCGCTGTCTTTGGTTAAGCCCAGATTTGATATTAACGTTCTGCAAAGGTTGACGAGGGAATATTACACTGGATGGACGTACGAGACTGAGGTAAGTTGGTTTTGTTATTGTTTTGTTGGTTTAGGTTGTTCAATACTTATTTTCGGACTTGTCTCGCTTATTTTTGAGACCTATTGTTGGTTTTTAGGTTGCGGTAGGCGACTTTTACGTCCACAAAACAACACTAGACGAATGTTTCCGATGCCGAGTACTAGATGTCAAGGATAAGGTCGCTTTTGTGAGATACCTCGACATGGATTACGAGCAATATGTGGAAGTCAAGGATTTGTACCGTCTTGAAGACAAGTTTATTCAGGGCGACTATCAGTACTCTTTGGTGGTTCCAGCTTATACCATGAGTAAGTTTTCACCTCAATCTATAGTTTTTGTGATTTGTAGCTATTGCGATTTTTAAATATATTTTGTATTTTAGGTAAGAAGACTGTGTCTTCTGTCAAGTGTCTTCACTCTTCATCACTACAAGCTGGCATGGTAGTCGATATTCTGGTCCTTCATGTCAACATCCGTTGTCTTGTATTGGTAGCGCCACACAGATTTGGTCATTTTACTTTTCAAGCTCAGATGCTCCGATACTACAATGCCTTGGCGGACAAAACTTGGTTGGAGTTCTTATCTGGAAAAGAGTTTGAGACACCTTATCAAGGATCTTGTTACCCACAGATGAAGCTCAATATTAGCGAAGGATTTTCCTTTGGACTAGTGACAGCTGTTGATGGACTGGATTCTGTTTACATTCGCGATCTGAGTAGGTTTTACTTTTCGAATTAACATCAATATGTGGCAAGTGAAGTAAAGTTTCTTTAAATCTTGTTTTTATATTAATATTGGCGTTTTATTGTTTAATTTTAACGTTTTGCTTTACAGAGTCGTGCATCATGGTGTACTACATTCACAGAAGGCTACAAGAAGTGTTTGCGTGTTCTGAAAGGCGATCCAAATTTGAATTGAAGAAAGATGAAGAACTTTTTATTGACCAACCATCCGTATTTCATGATTTTACTGCCAGTGTAAGTTACTTTTTTTTTTGTTAATTTAGGTACACAATATTCGGATTTTTTTATTTTGCATATAAAGTGAAGTGTGTTTGCTTTTGATTTATCAGACGTCTTAACTTTGTGTTTAGATGTACTACAGGTGCAAGCTAACTCGTGTGACTGGACATTATTTTGATGCTGTGGCTATCGACTATCCTAACAAGAAGTTCTTCGGAGTCACAATTGATGACAAGGTTTTGTATCGACTTCCAGAAGGTCTTCATCTGCCAACTACGGTAAGTGTCTTTTTTTATTTCTTAAAACATTCTTAATGTTAGGTTAGAAAAATTATTTTTTAATTATCTAATTTAATGCTTAATTTAATTACTATACTTCAGACTTATCCTGTGAAATTGGTGAATGAAGTGAAATGTGAGGAACAACAACGTTACACTCAACTACTTCAAGGTCTGCTGGAGGAGAACACTCCCGTTACCTACTCTATGTTTGTCAAGTCTGGGATGGTGGACATGAGGTTGTTGTCGAATGCCAATGTGCTGGACGAGATCCGATACCATGACGTAAGTTGTCAGTGAACACATTTTTAGAGGCCATATTTTCGATGTTATTTTCGACCGAAATTTTTATAAATTATGTTTGCTTGAAGGCAATGGGTTCCCTTGGTATAAACATTATTTCAGAGATTGGCCAGAATGGATGGTTGGTCATTCGGCCGAGCCTTCAACAAGTCCAGAGGTAACACTGAAAACTTCAAGTCATCTCTGTCAGCTTGGGAAGCTATGCAGCACACTAATCAACAAGAACGGAGTGCATTTTCTGATTCCAAGAAGACCAAGAGAGTCAGTTCTATGTTCGAGAACTCGATGTTACCCAGGAAACCTGGCTGCATTTTGAGGAGAAATCCAGTGCAAGATGCTATGGAAGTAGAACGTATCTTCTCCATTGATTACAACTGCATCTACTACAGAACCTTTGAGCAGGAGGAAGAGTTCAAACGACTTTTGGTTGATATGAACAAGACTGTAAGTATAGGGCGAATACAGTTTTACTACCGGGTATACTTAGTATTATGCTTTAAGGTATATTGGTTGTTATTTTTAAATACAAGACATATTTAGGTAACATTCCCGGACATGTACACAGGTGGCTATACTGTGGGCAAGTGTTATTTGATCAGATCTCGAGTCGACAGAAATCTTAACGTTCACAGAGTAAAGGTCGTGGAGGTGAATAATGATGAGATCTGTTATCAGTTTGTGGATTCTGGAGCTACCGTGAAGCAGAGCGCTTTCGACTTGAGAAAATGCACTCGCTCATTGTCGGACTTTGAAAATGCAAGTGGTTATGACAATATTATTAAGTTTATATGTTTAGTTCGCATTCGAGAAGGTACCACCATTGGTCGAAGGTCCATTTAGGATGGGAGGCACGGTCATGGATGACAAGCTGGACAAGTACAAGGTTATGAAGATGACCGCCGGCTTAAGAAACGTGTTGGAGCAGATTGGCACGGCTTATGTTAAGAAGAAGGATGATACCGTATATATCTACAGTAGAGATGGAGAAGATGTCAACGAAAGCTACTTCAAGACAGTTAACAAGATCTAGAAACACTACTAATCTACAACAATATTTGAATACTAACTTGTGAATAAACTATTTGTACTTACTATAACTATACTGTTGTAATGTTGAAGACGTTGTTATATCTGGACATGATCTGAAGTGTTGTACAAGTTACATAGTAGTTTCATTGAATGAGTTTGTGATGTTGTAGCAATTTAGGGATGGACTTGCTGAATGTGTCACGCTTGGCCGTTGTGCAAAGTCGACATGTCTCTTCAAAGTATGTCAAACCTCATCCTCGGCCCTTTAACCGGCGATTGTACGAAGCTGCTCTGAAGCCGGAGATGCCGGAACAGGTTAAAGAAGGCTGTATTTCAAATTTTGAGTGGCAAAGAAGATACGAACAACACCTTTATGAAGTATGTTGTGAAAATTTTACACACAAATAATAAATTTTATCCAGTTTAAGCTTTTTTCTTGAATCACTTTAAGGATATATTTTAGTATACACCGATTGAGTACGCGTTGGTGGATAAAGTAAAAGAATATATCAGGGAGGAGAAGTTCCGAGTCTTCTCTATATGTCAGTTATTGTCGACCAAACAGAGGCCTTTACATTTCACAAAGAATGCGTAAGTCAGTTATCTACGTTGCACTTAAACACAATTTAACATGAATAATATGGAAACGTTTAGGCTGAGGTTGAAAGGATTGGAGTATAAGACGTATCCTTCTCGAATAATGTCAAAAGTCTTCGAAGGAACACCTTTTGATGTACTGAATTCTCTGTACCTAGATCACTATTCTTGCTTGTTGTTTGGCAGAGATATCAACGCCGTTAAGACGATAGTGACAGAAACCAAGAAGATTCCTTACATGTATCCATTAGGTCAGTTTATCGATTAACAGGAAAATATTGTAGTATTTTAACGTCTTTTATTCTTATGTTTGTAAATTAGATTTATCTTATATTATCTTTTGCTTTCAGTGATTACATACGATGACAAGGTACTATCACTTGAACAGATCGAGGAGTTGAGTACGGTGTCTGATCCCGATCAACTTCGTGCCCAGACCGTCCAGATTCTGCAAACGATTCCACAGCAGTTGGTATCGACCCTCTCCCACCCAGCCCAACATCTCACCTCACTACTGAGTAACATCCCCAAGTAAACTCACCTTGTTGGTTTTTTGTTTTTGTTATATAAATTAGGCCTCTGAACTTACCCGTGGAGTTAGTCATGTTGGCAATCAGTAAAATATTTTTTTATATTAAAGTAGGCTTAAATAGTGTAGATATGAGGTTTATGTTCCCGCGGAGATGAGTCTAGTCTGATCTCATGACTATGACAACATGGATATCAGCCCAGACCCATAGTCGAAGGTTATAAACGTAGCGTAATCAGTAGATACCCTAACATTAGAATAATGAATTTAGATACTCTTCAATATTAATATCAGAAATAAGCAGGTAATCTGAAGAATTAGGTATGAATTCACCGAAACGAAGGCTAACTTCACATTCGTCGACGAAGGCGAGTGGCTGTAGCCGAAGCGGGATTGTAGGAAGACTGACTAGATAGAATGGTCAGTGGTGCCCTTGACATGATTGACAAGGTCAGCGCTGCATCGCGTACCCTTTAATAACAGGGAATTGGGTGGGCTTATCAGACTGATAATATCAAGGGACGCTGCAGTCTGAGCGTCATCAGGAATCGAATGAACGAATGGAGTAGAGGCCTGTCTTGATCAATAAAAAAACAACAGGGCTTGATTCATTGGAGCGACCGACTGACTGAAGGAATGAGAGCGAGGCCAACTGGCAGGGGATTGCATCGTCGCTGCCCCTCCCGGTTCGAGACCCCAAACCCGACCGATTTGAATCAGCGCTCTCGCTCTCTGCGTCCTCTGCCTTCAGCTTGCTATCTCTCTTTACACCGTTTCTTTCCCCGTTACACTGTGGTGTTTGTCTATCTTGTCCAACACATAAATGTACAGATTTGGTCTGCTTAACAAACACCCCTTATAATGAATTCAAATGGCGTTGTTTTACAGTATTCAACTTTAAAATACAGTGTTTTAGGTATAGTTTAGTACAGCCAGAGTAAAAAATTAAAACAGTAGAAACGGTTTAGCTTTCAATTGCATACTTTTTAAAGTAAATACATATTATTAGCCAATTTGATTTTAGTTTTAGTTACATCAAGTTGCGGTACAAAGATACAGTGTAACTCCTGTATAACGAACTCCTTTGATTTCTGTATAACGAGCAAATTTTAAATCCCCGGTCAACACTACACAGGGCATTATAACGAAACTTTTTTATAACGAACAAATCTTGAGAAACAGTATACGAAGCAGATGTCTTACAAGGTTTTACAGTAAAAACGTAGTAATTCTAATTTATTGGTATCTTAAATAGTAATCGAGACCATTTTTTACAAACTAAATGATACAGTAACTACTTTCTCATTCTTCTAGCTCTCTGAGGGAAGGTCTTCTCGACTACGGTAACACTTTGGTCACAGTCTTGGCAGAAGTGTACCAGTTCTTGAGTGGACCATGGGTAATATGCGTGCATGTACTTCTCACCAGCTAAAGGTTTTTTACGTTACTTATGGACAGTGAACTTTACATTTTTCTTTGTTTTAGCTCTTATTCTTTTGATATTATTGATATTTAGTCACAGTATACTTGTGAGTATACCGTTTCTATGATATTAACTTACTTTTTAAATCGGCAGCTCCTTGAGCGAATATGAGTACCCATTCCCCATCTCTGACATCCTTTACCGTCTCTCTTTCTCCTTCTTGTACCTTGTTGAGTTTACTGTAATCTAGCACTACTCTGCACATCATACGTTCGTCATGTCTGGCAGCTGAGTCGATTGACAGCAAGTTTGTTGACGCCTGAAATTAAATTCTAGAAAAAGTCTTCTTGTTTGATATAATTTGAAGGTATGACACAGTAAATAGTTATAAAGTTACTGTAAGGAAGTTGGTGACATGATATATTAGAGTTAGAGTTTAAATTAACTAAGGAGTGTTACTATCATGATTGGTAAGCGACATATATCATGTCAAAAGCGTACAAAGTTGTCCTAGGATAACCTTATGAATTGCACGGTTAATATAAGTTGTTTTTCAATCCGTAATGGTCAGTTTTTAACATTCCTTTGTAAGATTAAGTCGTGTTAACTTACGTCGAATAGTTGAACATTGTCATGGTGGTCGTTGTAGGAGATGAAGGCGTTTACTTGGTTGTCTTCTTTGAATACACACTCGATTACTGTATCATTGTCCTAAAATTTACGCAGTTACAGTAGCAATTTCTTAGAAGTTACTTTCTAAGAGTTCAATCAAACTTCTCTGTCATTCCAAAATAAATACGTCATTAAACTAAGGGTTTGATGAAGTGGTTTCACATTACAGCGTAGTTAACTTACCATGATAGCATCTTCGCTGATTCCTACGGAAATGTAGCGGCCGACATCAGCTGAGTTGTCGAGGTCTTTGGCCTAAATTACGAAATAGGAAACAAACTAGGCCTACTTGAAGGTCGATGAACAGTTTGTCGTCTTCCAACTTCCATCTCACGATGCCGTGGCAGGTTTTTGGCTTACAGTTGGTTGGGAACGACCAACAGCCGAGGGATTGGCCACAGGAGTCTGTGTTGAAGAAGTCTTGAGCGGCTGTCTGGAAAAGTAAATTACTATTTTTCCGAATACTATTGAGGGTTTTACTGTAACATAATCTTTTTTGCCGCTAATTTAACATAAAATCCTAAACTGCAGTCTCAAATTGTAAATGTAGCCTCTAAATGTAACGCTAGCTGTAGACCATACCAGAGAACAGATGAGCAGGAATGCAGCAAGACCCCGGGGTAACATTTCGCCAAACTGAACACTCTTCCTTACTACCTGAGCGTTCCTACAACGTCTTCGAAGTAAATAATATCAGAATAACCTTGAGAGAGTAAATTTAAAAAACAGGCAATTTATTCTCGGGAATAAATACAAAAAACAGAGTTGTTGTTACTGGTCCTCGGGAACAGGTTCTTTACATTGCTGGGCAAGAAGCTCCCGCACCTTGGAGGTGAGGGCTCCAGTCGCCGAAGGGTGTTTGGCGTAGATCTCGAGGTTGGGCTTGCCTTTCCAGATCAGGCCGAACCGGAAGTCGGGGTCGTTAGTCAGCAAGAACTTTCTGATCTTGTTCAGCGAATCGTGGACCTGAAACATTGTAATCTCATTGTAATAGTTTTGCTTATATTAAATAATAATGGTAACGTTGGTAATATACAAGTTTGATCACAAATTTGTGTTAAACCCACTGTATAATTATAGTAACGTGAATTACAACGTTGTAAAATTAAACGTTAAACCAAACATCATTCTTTAAACGACGGTAAACCAACGTTAAATCGTTCTTAAACGTAAAAACGTACTTTGCTGAGAACAACATACGGCAACGGCTTCATCAACTTGGAGATCTCGGTGAGTGGGTAGATGGCCGGCTTTCCGAAGTCACCGTTCCCTTTGAAGAAGCCGACGATCTCCTGATCAGCGGCCGTGAAGAATAGCTGTGCCCACGTGAAGAAGGGGAAACCCGCGCCTTGAGGATAAGTAGTCAGAAGTTGTAGAGGGATACCACGTAGCGTTTCACCGAACTCGATATATTTAATGTTTTCGTTTTCCGAGAACTTTTGGGCCTCGGGCACTTTCTCTGGGTCTTTGGATGGGTCTCTGAAATTATTTTACATTGACTACAGCACCATATTATCATGTCTTTAATCTTCTGTTCTAAATATGAACGTCAATATACAATATTTATATGCGTTTCTATGCCACTCGTCTTATTCAAAAGGTAAAGAGTAATAGTTTAAACTTACGGATCAGCAGCACGTACTGCAGCATAATCAGCAGAATCTACTTCGTATCTAACTAGGATTTTGAAGTCTCCGAACTTGTAGCTAACCAACTGAAAGAAAGGACCTGTCGTATGTTTGGACCGAGGTTTGTTGATTCTGGCTTTCAGGTTCTGATCAAAAGTAACATGGCCAATTTCCATTAAGTCAGACGCTTCCATTCTAAATTATTTTTGAGTTGAGATACTGTATTTTAAATTATAATTTTGTTTTTTGTCATATGTATAAACTAAAATATTTTCAGTTTTTAAAAATTTTTAGCATTATTTGCAACTTTTTATATTCACCTTGTCATCAAAACGGTCTTGCCAACCCTTTCACAGTCGATTCTGAAAAGACCTTCACCGGCTTCCTGTGCAAACGCGAACAACTTCTGGAGATTAACCGCATCCGTGATAAAGTCGTACTCGTCGAAGTTGATAGGCTTCTTTTTCTTTTCGGATATGAATCTGGCAGCCAAAATGGCAGTGTCCAAGGGACCGTCTTTCACCTAAACGGATGAATATTGTCACAAAGATGGCCTACCTTAAGATGATTCACATCGTAGACTAGGACACCGTGGTCTTGAGACAGCTTTCCTCCAGGCCAGTAGCCTGATTGCATGGGCTGTCCTGGCACCTAAATGCCATTTTTAAATACTTACAGTATGCTTAAGAACTTGAAAATATTTTTATAACGGCTGAAGATTGAAAATAATTTCAAAATTAAGTTCAGAGCTCTTACAAGAATAACAGGGTCGTCATCCTCCAATCTCCACTGGTACGACCCGATCCTCTCAACGTTCTTGGTCGATGACGCTCCACCCTTTGAATTTAAGTTAACTAGCGGCAGAAGACCGTAGGGCACGTCTTCAAGACCGTCGAAGAGCCAGAATCCGTCGGCACTCATCGCAACTCGAGAAGGTCAAGCCAAGTGGTGTGAGCTGATCTGGACTTGGCCGGTGTGGGCGTTGGACAGCTGTCCCATATTTCTCGTCTCTCATTCATCTCAGACATGGGATAAACTCTTGAAATTCTATTTAAACAATGCCGTTGGTCAGCTCGTGCTTCAACAATTAAAACAAATGTGTCAAGTTTTACTGTACTGTTAATATGACTGTTACAGTAGTTGATATTACTGTAATAGTTACTGTTTTTAAATGTAAATAATTTTTTTTCTCTAATTTTGAAATAATTTTGCCTTAAAAAACTCAAAAACAACTTTCTACATTCTCTTTGAGTACTGACTCACGCCAGGAATAATTCGTGACACAATCCAATTACAAAGTGTAACCACTAGTAGTAACGGCTACAAATGGCAACTCGGTGTAAACCTTGAACCTTATAAAAAGCCAAGATAACATACAAAGAACACTTGGAAACAATTACAAAAACTTTTACAAATTTCTCAAAAAAATACATTAATAATCCACAAAAGTGTGTTGTAACAATGGCATTCTTGAGTATTTTCATCACAGCATATTGAGGTGGTTGTAAAACAAAGAGATTACATGCACTACATACTGAAATGTACATGGGCGTACGATAATCTAATTCCATTGTAAAGTGTGGTGTCATATTTACGGGTTTCCCTTCCCTTTCCTTTTCGAATATTTGGCCGTCTGAAAGGGGACGGGTCCCGCCACGAAAAAGAATTTTGTTTTCGTTTGGCTAACGGCCAAATAAATCCGGCTTTTCAACTCGTTAAAGAGTTCAACTCACATCGAAATAAATAACGGAGCGACGTTCCTTCCTCTATATATTGACTTTCGTGTTAAACTGGTTGTTTGGCGGTTCGAGTGTTTGTATTTATCGATCTCAATATCAGTTTCTTGTAGCTTAATTATCTACGGGCCCAACACTGCCATGACTGCGGGGTTTGACGGGTTCTGGCGCAGCGGGATTGGAGTGAACTAGAGACATACTTAATGGCTAACTCTTTGGACGACGACAGCAAATGTCTGCTGACGCCGTCTTCCGCCAAACTCTTTTTTCTTCAGGTAATTTTAAATATTTTAAATTAGTATTTAAAACTTCAAAATAGATCAAATTATAAACTAAATTATTATAAATTAACCATTAATAAGTTTTTTTTATATAAATAACATTTGCAGCAAGAAAACAATCAAGATGAGCAGCTTGGCCGCTTTTACTTGGGCCAAGGGCTTATGAACAGTGAACCCGTACTAGCCAACAACTACGCAGTTCAAGAAGTGCGCTCTAGTGAAAGTGGAGCCTACACCAACATCAATTATCCTTACTTTTCGGAGACTGCTTTACAACAAGTAAGTTGATGTACCTTTTACAGTTTCTTTGTTTAGTTACTGAGTAACGAAGAACAACCTGAATATGTGGAGCCTGAGTTTGAATGTAGCTCAGCATGTGTGGCCCAGAACACGACCGATCGTAGTTCACGATACTCGTTCTACCGCGGTCACACTCCACGATCATCGTGCTTTTTCTACTCCGAAAGTCAACCATCTGTGGTCACTAATACTGGGTCTGCCGTCGTTTATACCGGAGGGCATAAGCAATCTTTCAGTACTAGAGAAGTACGTGAACAACATATGCAAATGCAGAAAAAGTACCGACCACAACGCCGGCGACACTTTACTGATCCGGTTGATTTCGAAGGTGTGTACCAGTCTAACATAAAATAGTTTACATTTTTAGTTAATATTTAGCATAAATTTCGTATTTTGTAATATGGGGCACATTTAGGTATACTTAACATAATCGGTGGATGTTCATGGTGGCAAATATGGGTATATTTATTAATCAGTCTTCAACAAATACCTCATGCAATGTTCAACTTATCTGTGGTGTACATGATGTATCAGCCTGATCACTGGTGTCAAGTTCCCTCCTTCAACGAAAGCGATCCCGGTTACTTATGGTCTTTGAATGATGTCATACACAACTACTCTATCGTATATCCAAACACGGGTAACAAACAGCGAAATACGATTGATTTTCATGATCAGGTAATCTTTTAGTAACCTGACCTGGTACTTTTACAGCCTTTGTTTATTATGATTTTCTTAAACTTGCAACTTTCAGTGTCATTACTTTGACAGAGGCTTCGAACGTTACGATCAGCTTCGTCGAATGCCTCTTCACGACGCTCAGAAGGCGGTCAAGAACGAGAAGGCTAATATTGTGAGATGTAAGCAGTGGAGTTATTCTCAAGATGTGATGGAGGCTACGATTGTGACAGAATGGAATCTGGTGTGTGATGACAACTTCAAACGTGCCCATTCCCACCTCTTCTACTCTCTCGGCTTTCTGTTTGGCTGTTTGTTGGGCGGATTTGCGTCGGATCGCTTTGGACGGAAGCCTACGGTGATCGGCTTTGGTATATTATCATCTATGTTTGGTCTCATCCTACCGTATTCAACTTACTTTCCCATGTTTCTTTTTGTTCGTTTCTGTGGGGCTGTTTGCAACGAGGCCGCTGACTTGGCAGCTTATGTTCTTTGTATGGAAATTACGGGTGAGTTACACAAACTTATTTTTATAGTAGATTTAGGGTATTTTATAGTTTTTCGAAAACTAAATTGACATTTAGGTACAAAATTCCGTGCAATGGTCGGGAGTATGCTCCAAGCTCCGTGGGCCGTTGGCTACGCTTTACTTGCACTTATCGCATATTCGTGTAAATCATGGCAAACTATTCAAGTGAGTGTTAAAGTAACCTTTCGTATCTTTTGAGTTTAGTTAATAACTGCAGCGTTGCATACGATCTCAATTTGCTTGATCTGTGCGCTACCTGAGAGTCCGCGGTGGTTGATCGTGAACAATCGAGTGGAAGAAGCGGAACGCTACATCAGGAGAGCTTGTCGTGATCCTCCATTCCCCTTCAACTTATGCAAATTCAACAAGTCTTCTCTTCCGTGCGATCTGGAGCTGGTAAAGCACGCCGAGCAACGCAAATGGGTACGGCAAGATCAGCGTGCCAACATTGTACATATTCTCAAGTCGCGTATCTTGTGTGTTCGTACGATTATAATCAACTTTGTTTGGATATCTACGGCTTTGGTTTACTATGGTTTAGTCATTGGTAGGTTTTGCTATCGATTCATACGCAAGGTGTAACATAATTTTTGTCGGTTTCAAAAAATATGGTGTTGTTTTAGCGCTTTCCGACCAGTCAGCTCCTGGAAGAGTTCTGTTCAGCGGCAACTTCTTTGTTAACAATGCCATTGCTGGTGCCATCGAGCTTCCTACTTTGATCTTTTGTGTCATTTTAATGAAATACGGCCGGAAACGTTCCCAGATGATCACTTTAATCGGCGCAGCTTTATTCATATTCGCTGCCATGGCCGCCATCGGAAAGAAGAATCAGATGGTGGCCTTAGGGTTTTTGTTAATTGGAAAGATATTTATTCAAGGAGCTTTTAACATCTTGTACATCTTCACGTCCGAACTTTATCCTACTGTAATACGAAACAGCGCTGTTGGCTTTAATTCTATGGTGAGTATATTGTTTTAAGCACTTAATTGTTTAATATAATAGTATGTTAATAATTTACATTTGTTATTGAGTTTACAATCTATATTTTAACCACTGACTGTCTTTTTTATTTTAGATTGCACGGGTTGGGTCTGGTGTAGCCTCTTACATAGCAATTCTCTCTGATGTTACACTGGCCATCGTTCCAATGATGATTTTCTCTACTTTTTCTTTGGTCGCTGGGTTTGTGGTGCTGTTTCTACCGGAAACACGAGATCGACCACTACCTGATACGCTGCAAGACGCTGTCACTTTCTTAGAAACCGACGGTAACTACCATTGTTACACGTTCGGAGGTGGCAAGATGAGCTTGTCGTTGGTGGGAAAGGATTCCGCGGCTTCTGTAGGTGCTACACAGTCGGCGGCTTCAAAAGAAGGAGCCCTTACAGCAACTACAGCCGCTTCTTCGATGAAACTCAAGGAGGAAGAGCCTAATGTGACGGCGCCAGTGATCGGGAAACGGTCGGAGACCTTTAACGAACTTCCGGCTATCCCAGAAGTTCCTGACCACCACGAGGTCGAGGGACCAAGCCCCTCGACGTCGATTATCAAGCCGGAGGAGAAGTCTCGACCTCGTGTTGGAACCTCTCCAAACAATAAACTGGTCGGTTGCTTGTTTGTTTACTGATTGTACTTTTTCGTTTAGGGTCCCAGTACTACTGGTTTCATCTTCAGCGACTTGGCCGCCGTCTCGATTCCGGAAAAGCTGCCCGAGCCCTTCGACTAGTCCAGCTGCTTGCTTCCGTCCTTTTGTAATATTAGAATAAACGATCATAACTATCGTATCTTTGTTTGTTTAATGACTCGACCATTGCTGCGGGGTCTAATCAAATCACGACCGGTTCTACTTTATTTGAGTTGGGTCCGTTCCGGTCTGGCCATTCAGTTGACCCCAAAATGTCTACAACTTATTCCTACTTCTTTGCGTCTACTGTAGTTTTAGCTGTCGTTACAGCTCAGTATTACAATGCCGGGTCTATGACAGGCATCGGTTGCGTTATTACAGTAAGCGCTGTAGTATTTAATAAAATTATTATATAATTTTTTTATATTTTACAATTTAGAGTCTTATTTTAAATTAGTGTAAAAAACCATTTAAAATATAGTTTATGTTATACAATACGTCTTGTTTGTTTAGGGAGACAAACTGTTTTCTCACGGTAACTACATAAGGGACTTGAAGGAAGATGAAGTTAAGGACCTTAACAAGTACAGAGAAGAGTTAACAGTATTTCAAAAAGTAAGTTAATATAGTAACATACATTACTTTTGATTATATAGGCTATAGGTGAAGCTTATGCTCAAGCAGATATATACAATGGGACTGCTGCTGTGCTACCTACTTTGCCACCAAGACCTACTATCCCATCATTTTGTACTGGCAACGAAACTACTCTATATGTTTTGGGTAAGCATATATCATTAATTGCAAGTTTATAGTGACCAAGTAGTCAAAATTGGATAATATTGCTTATAAACCATTCTTTAGTCTCATAACTTATCATCTAATTAAAATACACGAAAACATACTTTAGGGTCATGTACCGTACAAAACCACAAAGTCTACGTGAGCGGTAAGTTCGCCCGAGAGTTAAATGACGACGAAAAGGACAAACTCTACGAATTTAATAAGAAATTGGCTGAGAATCAAGCTTATGTGGCAGAAGCCGAGAACGAAACAAATTCGACGATGACAGAGACTCCAGTTGCACCTCCAGAAGTCCCCACTCTAGACTTTTGCACCGAGTTTTAATCGAGATGGAACAGATCGTCGGCCGACTCAAATTGAGATTGTTCCGCGTAGTAATTCACCTGAAATGATATCACCTTACTGACCCATCACATTGTAAAAACGGTATAATATTATCATGTGTCACTGTAAATTGATTAATATTGTTGTATACATTGCTAATACTTTGATAAATAAATTAACTTACCAGCTCTGTCAGCGAAGAAAAGGTATGTTTTTGAATAAAGTAGCGGTAATCTTCTGTCATATCGACTAACAACGTGTGACATTCCCCATCTACTGCACGGTAAATGAGCATCAGAGGTGAGACGTCTTCTTCTGTCTAAAATACTGGCTTGATTCTGTTTTCAAAACGTTGTACAAATTATCTTTACTATAACTTTTACAACTTTCTATTATAAATCACCTACCTCAATATCGTATGAATGATAGAGAAAGAAACTTTTTCGTTTTGTCACAAATCTGCTAGCTTCTCCATCTGTCACAACTCCGATGTAATAGTAGATGGCATCCCCATGTAACTTCGGAGGAGTGACTTCAGGTCGGTCTTCAACTTCACTCGGCTCGAACTGGATGGAGTAAATGGAACTGTCATCTACCGTACTCGATTGTAGTAAACTGTCGTCTAATGTGTCAAGCTCTTCAGACGACGTCTTTAGTAACGAGGGAACCAAGATGTCATCAGATTCCTCCGAGGATATTGTAGATGTCATTTGAAGGAAACTGTTTTCGATGTGACTGACACTGTACGATTCAGAGAGTTCAGAGGTGGTCGGGAGTTCTGAGAGCATTGTAGAACCGGAAATGGAACATTAGGTAATAACATGTCACGGTGTTGACTATTTATAAATCTTTGGCTATCTAATATGCTATCTATGGCAACATACCTTTAGACGTAGGATCGGAAAGATACACAGGCGAGTTCATATCGACCAACATACCAGAGTAACAAAGTGAAAGTGAAAATGATTTCCTTTTCAAACTTCATGATGAAATTAGCATAAAACAAGAACGTATCCACTTTGACTTCATTATATTATTTTAAATTTTTCTCGACTGGTCGATTCAAAGAACTGGCCATGGCAGCCTTGGCGGTGGATCCTCCTGTTTGTAAGGTGACTGCTGCCGGAGGCTCTTCAACTCATCAACTAGTCAACTCAGGAGCTTGTCGAGTCGCTTTCAAGTTTCGCTCATCCAACAACACTTCTTATCGTCTGAAGCCGGTCTTCGGCTTCGTGGAACCGTCGTCCTCAACTGCTTTTGATGTTACAAGATTAGTAAGTCATTTTTTCACTTTTTGTAATTAGTGTATGATAAAAATAACGTTGTTTAAAATTTTTTGACTGTAAAAATAAATTTTTTCGATTCTTAGTTTATGTATTTTTAGCCTGGACCGGCCAAAGAAGACAAACTGGTGATACAATTCGTAGAAGCTGCTGCCGACGCTACCGATGCCCAAGCCTTGTTCAAAGATGGAAAACCCTGTGCTACAGTAACCCTTCCTATTTCGGCTGCTTAACTTTACCCTCGAATAAACTAGATAGATACTGTTGATGGACTTATGAACTGTATCAAATTAACTTTGAACTTTCATTATTAACTTACAAAAAGCATTGTTAGTTATGAAATACAATAAGCTTCTTCTAGGTTTATTAATCGGATAAGTTAGTTGATTGTGTGACAAACATAATATAAAAACAAAAATCGACAATATTTAAACAAGCTTGGTCAAAAGTTTGTAGAATTGTGTAAAATTAACATTTTGATTATAAAAATCTGATAATAACAATAATATTGAGCTAATACTCTAGTGTACTTCGTATGTTAGTAGTAGATATCTGATGTATCAATGGTCAAGGTGGGACACTTGGCCGAGATGCGGTTGCTCAGCTCAATGTGAGCTTTCTTGTTCATGTGGTTGAGATCGACGACAGTACAAGACCCTGTCATCTCCAGCTTCTTCAGGTACTCCAGCTTCGACCTTGTTTTACTTGCTTTCTTATCAGGATTCTGACACTTTCTCTTTGTGACCACCATCTTTTGGGAATCTGGGGTTACTGTATCCCCTTCTTTCTTTCGTTTTTTGTTTTTCTGGCTCCAGGTAATGTAAATGGCTTCCACCAGCTCGTCCGACCGGTAAACAGTGCATGAATTGAAACTCAGCTTACGTAACGGTTTCTGGCTGATTGGGGTTTTATCGTCAAATGTGATGTACCACTCTCTTTAATAAGATACTGGGAATTGAAATAGATTTTTTTAAATTTGAAGTAATATTATATTGTTGTTGGCGTTTGTCACTATGAATAAACTTAGTACTGCTTACCTGAACGAGACGTTCCTAAATGACACTTTACTGTTATGGAGAGATTCTGATATCAACGGAACAGACAATAGAGCACAGTTCAAAGCCGAACACACCAATTTCAGCTTGTTTACTTTAATATCTTGTAAGCAGTTTATTTGTTGAGCAATCTACAACAATATAGTTTGATTAAGAATCATAATTTTAATATATATTGTAATCATTACTTACCTTGGACCCAGAAGATGCGTGTATTTCAAGATTCAAAATAAGATTCGGCCTTCTAGCAGTAAAGATGGATACAAGTTGAGCAATCATATCCATCGTATCTTCACTGACATGTACTTGCAATGTCAGAGTTTGTAAGCTCTAAACAGTAGTAGTTAGGTGTGTCTTCTGTTGTTAAGAAAAACTTACCGTAAACAGAACTTTCTCCACTCTTTCGATCTTTGCCAGCATATTTTTGTGACATTTTGCTACAACTAGCCACAGCGACTCTACAGTATTGAAGTACTTTTGGTGCACTATTTCGATCTAAACTTTTAGTTCATTTTTAAAACATATTCCTTCTCTCCTTCTGTTTTTATCAAAAATCTTATGAAATTGATGATAAACTCTTAACACTTTCACTATCCTCACATTAGTGCTATTACAATACCCCTCCCCTATAGATTAGAACCCGCATGTTTATATTAATTTTACCTTTGATGTTGTGCACAACAATGAAATATCACAAGTCAACCGTTCCAACTGAGGACATCGCCGTACTATTCCAGATAATGCTTCGACACATTCTCGAGATGCACTTACTGATAATCTGTAAAAAGCTGTTTGTTGTAGGGCTTGTAGTGATGAACCGGTCTGGAATTGACACTTCATTAAGTAATATTTGCTACAGTAATAAAGCAAGTCCAATTTTAAGCAATTGGTTGTAGGCAAAACCAAATCTTTCCTAAAGTTTATGGCAGGGTAACCTTACCGATTCCACCACCAATTCTTTGATTTCTCTGCACTGCTTGTGCAGAACCAGCCGTTGCCATTTCTTCGATACCCTCTCTACTCGACACTGGTCTTTGTAGTCCAAATAGTTGAAGATCCTGGACAAAGCTTTGTCTGGCAATTCGACCGGTAGATTGGAAGGCTTTACATATTTGGGTATTACAACCTTGCGTCTTGGCCTGATCCTGGCCAGAGACTGAGCCTTGGCGATCTTCTCCTTCTCGATTAAGTCTTCAAAGAACTTTCGCCGTTGGCTTATCATGTTAACATCAGATTATACTTGACATCAAAATTGTCAGAATAAATTTAGTAATTTGAAGAGTTTAAACTTGTCAAATGTTAAGACAATACTCAAAACTGTAATCGAATACAAAAGATTAAAACTGCGAAATAGATAAGTTTGCTCTTGGCGCTTCAAGTTTGTTGTTTGTCAAGTTTTGTGAGTGGATTTTGCTTGTATTTAAAGCGTGGATCAATGTGCACTGGAAAGTGCTCTACCAATTTACCTTACATTTTCTGGTCAAGAGTTTATATCCAAAATCAAAATTAAAATTTTTTCCGCAAAATCATTTTGACCTTTTATTAAACTAGCATGACTACTATAAGATTCTGAAAAATTATTTAAAACTCCTGCTCAATCTTATTATTAAAATTTATTTTAAATTCAAAATCTACCGAAAGTTGGAGAACTTTCGAATCGCCGGTCCAACGTTCAGCTTCATGGATTGTTTTCTGTTCTGAGAGCTTGGCATAGAGTTTCGTCTAGAAAAGAATTACATGCCAAACCTGATTAACATAACAAAAATTATAAGCATTTGTCCAATGACACAGTAAGCAGATGATCGCACCAGTAATTGAAAGGATACTCACCGATTGTCTATTCCAGGAGTAAATGTTGATATCTTTCTTCGTTGCATTCGTAGCTCTGTCTCGAATCCGTCTCTAATGTAGTCGATTACTTTTGAAATCATCAATCTCCATATCTTACTGTAAATATTATAATACAATGTTGTAAAAAAAACTATTATAAAAATTAGTTTGCTCTCTAATGTCAGCAAACCCATAAAAAATACAGTAACCACAAAGTAGAATCAACCTACGTAGCTTCTTTACTCTGGCGTACCCCATCCAACTTGAGCACTACTTCTGCTATCAATTCCCCCAATCTTTCGAGCTCTGGAACTCCGATCCCGCACTCTTCGTTCAGAAATGCATGCCTCGCACCAATTTGACGAAGATATACATCCAGATCCTGAAAACAAGTTTACTCTCGTGATAGCACTACCTCTTCTCCGTCCATAATCACGCGATGAAACAGACCCACGAGGAACTTTGAATGTTCAATCACCGTTTTCGTTTCGGATTCCGAATCCGGCCGGTCTGTTCTGAAGCCAGCTGATACAGCCGGATTTGCACTTTCCAGCTACAAGATAACAGTCATGAAAGAAAGCATCAAAAACCAAATCATAAATATTATCTATTCATAGAATCCAAAATGATGACAAAACCTACTCGCTGGAAGCATCTTCTGAAGACACCGTTAAGGCCTTTGGTGTTAATGTGCTTCCAAGATTTTCGTAAAACCTGAATTTGAGCAGCTGAGAGAACAGGCAGTAAAGGGATTGTCGTACGATTGTTGGTCAAGGAGTTCGACCGTTCCAGTTTCTTGCGACCTGTAAACGTATTACTTTCGACAGAAACGTTTCTCGGGACAGCCTCCATCAGAACTGGGAAAGACACACACCGAAATCATAATATTATAGGCTTATATGCTGTGCTGGAATCCAATAACGACGTCATCACTTACTCTCGCGATCGCCCGCACGTCGCGGCGAAGGAGACGTTCGACCATCGGCGCTGAGAGACCGAGATGCCCTGGGGGCATTCAAATGAAGCGAAGACTGGGCCACTTCTCTCATCTGAAACCATATAATACGAAGCCTCAAAACACAACCTTCAAGTGTACTTGACAACTCATCCCCGTTAATAAGCCATGAACAATATTCCGAGTCAACAACCCCAAAGACGGCGTGAATGAAGAGGCTGTGTTTGGAAAATGATTACACATGCTAATCTAATACCAAACGTTGATTGAATCCCCTGGAGAACTTACAGCTACTAATATTTGGACCGTCGGAGGATATTCCAAATCCTTCATCTCCCTCACGCATCGAAAACAGCACTTGTTTAAGAAAAACGAGCGTTTTGAGTGAGAAATGAGTACGCAAGTTCCCGATATGCTTATTCAATTGTTTCACAAGAAAAAGGTCAACTTAATCCTGCTAGTAAGTAGTTTAATACATTTTTGAATGTCCTGTTGACCTATTAAGTTCAAAAAGCGTATCAAAATATAATAAGGTACTACAAGGCTAATTATTAAGCAACAAGTTGCCATCATTCTCGTCAAGGTATCCATACTCGGTTAAAAATATATATCCTGCCCGTTTCCTAATCAAAAACAACGTTATAGATCAAAATGTGAGCAAAGTAAACACGAATAAAACCATTTCTCGTAAGAATTATGAAAAACTGATTTACCTAAAATATTATCAGCCTATCCTAAGTAAAAGCAATTTTTTTGCACCCACAAACATCAATTACACATTTTTTAGGGTTTTAAAGGTTTATTAAAATCCCGTTACACAAGTAACAAGCAACAAAAATCATAAAAATAAAAAAACAACCCAAGTCACATCAGTAAATTACTTTTCTTTGTTGGTCATATTCTTCCATCCAAGAATGGCCTCTTCGCCGCAAGCGCTGGTTACAGAGAGCAAGATACCATTGTCGTCCTTATCAAAAGCCTCTCTGATTGCGTTGCCAAGATCTCCTTCTGGGAGACGAAGATCATCCTTGGTCTCGCAGTTCTCATCCAAAAGGGAGACGAAGTTATCGTCGTTGATAGCAAGGAGCTAAAAAAAGTAATTAAACGTGATAAACACGCTGTATGAATAAGCTAAATAGAAAAAGCTCAGTTTAAAGTTAACATCAAGGTTTTCAGACGAAAATTACCCATATTATCACATCATAGCCAAGAGAAACTATAAATAATACTAAAGTAGGTCGCTAACCTGGTACTCAGACTTCTTGACAACTGGGACATCCATGTTGTGGGTTGAGGGGCAGATATCTTCAAGTTTCTTGTTGGTGAAAATGTCAATGGCGACCATGTGGACTTTAGCGTGACCGTGCTTGCCAGTTTTGGAGGTGCTCATCTCAACAACCTAAATCGATAAAACACTAAAAAAGAATTTTTAAAACTCACCTTGCATGGTCGGCCCTTGATCATAACGTGCTCATTCTTGCGAATAGCTGAGCATTGCTTTGGGTACGTAGCGGCGGCTCCACTCTCTCCAGTGGCGAAGTCATGATCATCATGGTCGGAGTCAGCCATCTTTTAGGTAACCTGAAATAAAAACAATCAATAATGATAAGAAAATATGTTTACAGCGAATAACAAAGTTAGAAACATGAAATATTCCATATAAAGCAATAAAAAACCAAAAACAAACTTGCGAATATGAATATAAACAATGGAAAGTAAGTTAAGATTGCAAAAAAATTACAATCCGATCAGGCGGATTTTACCAAAAAAGTAACGACACAAAAATCGCCAGTTCCGAAAAAAGAATAATAGGCCCAACGAAACGCAAAAAGACTCCACCTTGCAACGATTTTCCCTGATTGCAGTCTGCAAAAGACCCGCGATTTCAAACCAGATTTACGTCTCCACTATTGACATCGCACAACGAAGTGTCACACATTTAATGAATTTTACCTTTTGAAACAGGCATGATGTAAATAAAACCTACTCAAAAAATGTGACAATATCGGTTTGTGCTTTTATTAGTCTGAACTGTAATATATCACAACAAAAATTGCATATTTACGTTATAAATGGGTACGAAATTCAACCTTTTCAAGATACTATTTTATTTCAAACATAACAAGAATGTTCAACCCGTTGCTGAGAATATAATTTGAGGTACTGTGAGAATGATTAAAGTTTCCTGTATTTGTCCTTCAGTTGTTCGTACTTTAGTCGATCAGCTTTCGTGACAGATGGGTTGATCCGTTTGCTGGCCAATGTAAAGTGGTCGAATGTGATGGCGCTAACTTCGGGGTTCTCCAGGCGTTCCCGGAGGGCGAGGATACCCGCTTCGTGAACGAGGGCAGAAAGATCAGCACCACTAAAAGAAGAGTAAAGATTAGGTATGAGTTTAACTTACGTGTAGTCTGTCAGTTCTGGCAACGATGCCACTTCCTCGAACTTGATGCTGGATGAGATCTTTGGATGCGTTCCATCTCTGGTCAGCTTCTTCAAGATGTCAACGCGATCATGTTGGTCTGGGAAGTCCACAAAGATGATCTTGTCCAATCGACCGGGTCTCAAGATAGCTGGGTCCACAATGTCAGGTCTGTTGGTGGCACCAATCAAGAATACCTGTTTCCTGCCTTCAACTCCGTCCATTTCTGTCAGCATCTGATTGACCAGTCTGGCAGAGCCAGATGTTTCGTTGTGATTTCTTTTTGGGCACAAAGCATCGATCTCGTCAAAGAATATTACACATGGAGCTGAGTCTCGGGCTCTTTGGAACACCATTCTCACAGCTCTTTCACTTTCTCCGACGTACTAAATAGGCAATGTTAAATATAGTAGTATGAGTTTGAATTTTACAAAACATCAAAAAAATTTAGTATTTTTAGGTAACAAAAGTAATATAAACTTCAGCAAATCCAGCTATAAAATTTCTTACCATGCTCAAAAGTTCAGGGCCTTTAACACTGATAAAGTTGAGTCCCGATTCATTGGCAATGGCCTTGGCCAACAACGTCTTTCCACATCCAGGTGGTCCACACAGGAGAATACCTTGAGGCTTATTGTCGATGCCAAGGTCTTCAAAGTCTTCTGGTCGTTTGATGGGGTTCAATATCGACCATTCTAATTCTGATCGTACTGAACTCAAAGCTCCGACATCGTCCCATGTGACATCCGGAACTGTAGCAAATCCTTCTCTGATTGATGATGGGCTGATTATGGTCAGAGCTCTTGCGAAATCCTTAAGTTCTACTGACATCAAATCCAGCTTCTCAGATGTTATCTGTTCACTAGATTTAAACCACGTCAAGACTGAAAGTAAAATATAAGTGTCATACGACAGTTAAGGAATTAAAAAATAATATCAAAATTTCAATCAAAGTATTAACAGATATTTTAAGCAATAAATACTTACTGTTTTGGATCTCTCTTTCAACTTCTTCGTCCGTCAGTTGTCTCTTATCATGTTGTCCAGGAACCAAGGTCTCGAGAACTCTATTAACAGCAGAAACCGACGCTTCTCTAGCCAATGCCACAAGATCTGATCCGACATAGCCAGGTGTCAGTCTAGCTATTTCCTTGAGAGAAACCTTTGGATTCAGAACCATATCTTTGCAAACGACCTTCATGATCTCGATCCTGGCCTTCTCATCAGGTATCCCCAACGACAATTCCTTGTCGAATCTGCCGGCTCTTCTCAACGCCATGTCTATCGACTCCAACCTGCTCGTTGTAGCCATTACCATCACTTGTCGTCTTGTAGAGTTAGGGTTCTCGATTGAAAAGGCACCGTTGCTAGCGAATTGCAACTTTAAGGGATTTAAAGTGCTACTGCATGGCTGATCATCGCCTCTAGCCAATTCTAAAACAATTTTTAAATAATAATGATCTTTCAATTTAAAAATATTTGACATATTCTTCAAATAGAAAACTCCAAATATCAGAATAATTTACTTACCATCCAAACAAGCAATCAACTGAGTGACAATCCTCCTCTCCATCTCTCTCTGAGCACTGTCCCTTTTGGATGAAATGACATCAACGTCGTCCAACAGTACCATACAAGGACTATTCTCCTTTGCTTGCTGGAACAGTTGTCGTATTTTGTTTTCACTCTCGCCGCTGACTCCCGAGATCAGCTCTGTACATGAGACCTGAATCAAAGGCATGTCCAGCTCTCCAGCCACACTTTGAGCGAATCGTGTCTTGCCGCAGCCTGGAGGCCCGTGAATGAGAATACCGACAGGAGGTTGTACATGGAGTCTGTTGTGGATCTCGGGGCGCTTCATATGCATTAGAAGATGAAAAACTTCCAGAAACTGCCGATTCACTCCACCCAAATCACATCGCTTTAAAGATGGCACCTGACACTTGACCGTGCTCTTGTCAGGTAGAGCTGAAGCCTTTCGGATACCTCGTTTCTTCATAGCTGGTTCTTGGGAGTCTTTTATGGAATCTTTTTGAGCAGACGGCAAGGGAACCGAAGCTGGAACAGGAGTGAACGTAATGTTGTTGTTGTTGAGAGACTTGTTGTTCACGGTAGGAGATACAGTTGCCAGTGCTGAATTGGGTTTGTTTTGGCTGTACAACGATAATAACGCGTTGTTTCCAAAGTTTGTGTCCTAAAAAGTAAGTAATATCAACTGTTAATTAAACAGCGATTTTTAAGTAATATAACCCCTGATAAAGTGTACAAATGTAATGAGAAACTATACTTTTACTTACTGGATATGGCTTTGCCTCCTGATCGCTTGGATCCGACGAGTCCGACAACGTGATCTCGTCCTTACTGAAAGTATCGTTAGGTAAGTATAAGGGAAGATCTTTGTAATTCTGCAAGATTCCTTCCAAAAACTTTGTCACATTGTCGTCATAGACAACATCCTGCTGGCTAAATGTACAACTACTGGTCTCGCTGCCACTTAAATGGCGCCGCTTTCTAGAGACCTTTTGTGACTGTCGTGCTTCGTCTTCTATCCTCACAATCTCGTACAAGTCGGGGTGTTTTGCTTTCAGATGCTTCTTCGAATTTGTCGTGTTAGGAGGAGCATTCAATTTTTGTCCACAATGAGAGCAGACTTGGGTTAGGGTTTCGTCGTCGATTTTGAAGAATTGCCATACAGGGTTACCATACCTTTGCTGAATGGCTAACGAGTTCAAGTTTTGGACTGCCGTCATGGCCAAACCTATAGAAAAAGACGATAAACTGACGAATTTAGGTAACAAACGCCAATAAACTTTCGAAAACACGAAAATTAATAAAACGACAAAATAAAACTAAACAAAGGTTAGAAAACTAAATAAGAACGTCTATATGACGCAAATGTGAAAGCTATAATAACCTATCTTACAGGGCATCCTCTACCGAGGGCTAAAAACGGCAGAAAAAAAGTTGCGCAACATTTTTCGCGTCCAAAAGTGTCGTCCCCAACGTTTTTCGGTGTAAAATCGCGCCGAAGCGAACAAAAATCAATTCAAATTATAAAGAAACGAACGATAAACATTTGCGAAGGATGGACAGTGGCCACTCTCGAGAGCAAAAGAACGGGAACGCGACGAGGAGGAGGGGAGCGAGTTTGGCCCACTTTGGAGACCATTTCATGCGGAGCGTAACAAAACTAGGTGGACATCGTTCCGCTCTGTTCCCAACAAAAGTCGAACAGAGCGGAGTACGTTCGCAAAACAACGCGCAAATCTCCAATTACTACAACTCAAAAGTACAGAAAACACAGTTAATAGTCGCTAAACTATGATACATCGTATTCATTACCTGAAAAACAGGAATATTAACGTATTGGCCAAAAAATTAGAAAAATCAAATTTATTTATAACACTAAAGTATATTTTGGCCTTTATAGTACTAAGGTACGCGTTATTGGCAAAATTATTAAAATCAAAAGTACGCTGATATTACAAACCTACTATACCACTTCTCCGTATAATAAAGCCACCAAGCGAATAATATAAAACTTAATTTCAGCGTTCAAAACCTGCTATAATATGCCAAAGTATTAACGTGGTCAAAGCAAGAACACCTTCTATGAACATTAATGCGAGATCCAAAAAGACGAAAGCGCAGAAGAGCAGAGCGCGTGTCCACAACGACTCTGAACGTCGGTCGCGTCCGACTGACCCGCTGACCTCTGAGAACGGAGAACGCGCGAACGAGCCACACTTGTTCGTATGAAAAGAGGCAGGGGGACGGAGGGAGGAGAGCGGTGGTCAGGTGTCGACCGGCAGAACGGAGTGGACATCGTACACCCCCACCGACAGGGGAGCCAGTTTAATTGCTCATCGAATTCCCACAACACCTACATATACCAAGAGCTGAGTACTCGCTCAGTACGAAACTGACAATCGTTTTAAGAACGCTATATAAAATGTTTTATGTCAACCATGATAAATGTACATTAGAAACGTTAGTTGTACCTCAAGAAAGCGCTTTTAAAAGAAGGATGCAGTATTAACAGTCAATGAGTTTACAGTAGTAGTACATTAGGCAGCATTATGTTGTTTGACACCATTAATATTAAGTTTTCAAGTTTGATTGATCAGTAGTTGTACATTCAGTAATATTTTTAAAAGAATAATGAAACATTGCAGATTACAAAAATAAATTACAATTTAGGCAAATGCATCATGCAAAATTCAAAAATTTTTCCATATCACTTAAAAGTATACGAAAAACTTACACAGACTTCTTGTGCTTCCGCTTTCGCTTGGTATCCCCGTTCGAAGATGGTAAAACTTCTACCTGTAACCCTTGAAGTGCCGTTGTCACCATGCTAACAAACATTGGGTCTTTGTAGCGCGTATATTCGCTGAAATAGGGTTTTATATAAGAAATATTAAGAAGAGAATTAAGTAGCATCCACAACGAAGTTGACAACCAAAAGTAGTATACTATTCTAGCTTTACTACTTAAGGCCAAAAAATGAGTATAACAGAAATAAATTTTTAAGTTATTTTTGTTACCTAAAAATAACTCTATAAAATTTAGAAAATCCTATTGTAACGTTGGCATACCTGTAAGAGTTCTTAAGCTCCGAACAAATCATTGATATTTCTGGCAACGTCCCACCCTCAATGCATTGTTTGATTCGCTTTTTGAGGAGAATTTCAGCAACTCTTGGCGCCATATCAACAAAATATCTATAAAACAGTGACATAATTACATTACTCCATCAAAAGTAGCCTCGTTAACACACGAAAAAAAACAAAAAAAAAACGTTGCAAAATAGACTGTACAGTGCAATTACTAACATTTTATGAAAATAAAAAAAAACTTGAAGGAATATTGTTATGCGATTGCACTACAAGAATGATTACCGTATACCGTTTTATTGCCAGTATAACTGTCACAATCAACAAAATTTTAGTTCTCTTCTTGCACCTAGCTTACAACTACATGCAAATAGTTTTATTCGAAATTACTTATCTCTTAATATTAACAAAAACTTCCCATTCACTTTATAATAAAGCTCAAGAAACAGTTTCCAACTTTATTTGAACAGTTATTCTTTTATAATGTTGTATATAATTAGCAATACATAATCACAGCCATCCCGGACTTCACAGTTACAGTATCTCGCGGAAATCAACGACAAACACCCAAGTTACAGTAGTTCCGATAATATTTAATAATCGTTTATCCATTACAACATCTTACAATGAACACGACACAAGTAGGTAGGTCCATCGCTTAACAGTTAGTAAAATAAAAAGACACAATATATAAGTATAGAGCTACGAATGAATGTGAACAGCTTCAATATTTACATTACGAGAGGAGATCAGATCCATGAGAAACCGGATCTACAGAAACTGTGAATTTGAAACATTGCTGTCCGAAAGTAACAATTATGCGTAAGGAGGCGTAGTATACCACTTAGTCTAAGTGCACTACCAATATCTGTAGTAAGATACAATAAAAAACTGTTTTCCGTTGTAGATACCAAGCGAATAAATATTGTGTTAGAAGTCAAATAGATCATATGCCAACAATAATATATATATGCGAGGCTGCTCACTTCAGGACCTTGAAGTCTTCTATTAAGCTGGCCTTTATTTTAGAAATCTCCTCGTTTTCTGTTCTGGCCCCTTTTTCAGAATGGAAGTTTGTACCAGCAAAGTCGATCAATGTAGAAGTGTCACCTCCAGAAGTCGGTGTCATCTGAGCATTCTGAGGTGTGTTCTGGGCGCCAAAGTTCACATTAGAGTTGGCAGCTCCCTGTTGAGATTGAACTGAATTCGGGCCATGTAGTTGTGTAGCAGAAGGAGGGTCGTTGTTAAGATGGGAACCAGGTCCGACATGTTGTGGAGTGCCTCCATTAACACCTCCAACCATATTTGAGGGAGATTGCTTGATCTCCATCTTGATATCCATCTCGTTCCCATTCATCATGTTGTGATGCCCCCCTGGCTGGTTATCGTTCTGACAGCCGACTGACGCCGAAATATGATGTCCTGAGCCGACGCTCGACGGGTTTCCCATGTTCGGTACACTAGCCGGAGCACCATTCATATTCGGTACACTTGTTGGACCGGCTGATGAACTAGTCGGTGTTCCGGCAGAATTGTCCATCATAGAGAACTAAAACAAGAAAATGAAAATTGACCACCAGAACTTACTTGGCCTGGATGTAAATTCGGATTCATCATAATGTTAAAATGCTGAGAAGGCATATTGTTCGCGTCTGTAGGCATTGGCCCACTTGATCCTGGACTAGGCATCATCGAAGGTGTGGAACTAATAGGAGCTCCGTTAACCATCCCATTCTAAAATAGCTTTGATAAAACCCGAAATCTTAGATTAAAATGTCACAAAGTTTTTTGTTTTCACACAAAATAATTACAAACCCTAAAATAACTTACTCCAAATGTAGGTGTGCTAGGCGAGTCCATATAGGGTCGGTAAGGTGGTCTAAAGTTCATTCTAGTACCATTCGTCTGCATATGCATCATTCTGGGATCAAAAGGTGCTCGTGGAAATTGGTTAGGCATTTGTGCTCGCGGAGGCATGTAACGCGAAAATCCTTGGTAACCTAAAATAACAATAAACTAGTTAAAAAAGATTTTAAAAATTCGTATGAATAAAGTTGTTAGATAGAAATTAAGGTAAGTAAAAGTAGTGTATTTCAATGGTATGCATTTTTTTAAAATACATAAAATCGTCAAGTGTATAAAATTTAACAAATTATTACCTAAAATTAAAAAAAGTGATTCAACACAAAAAATTACCTGGTATAGCTCCTGGAACTGGCGAAGCCTGATTAGACGCATTAGGAGCTTGTGGCCGATAATAATCACCTACGTTCGGTCCCATTCCCACGCCCATTTGGTTAGGAAACTGTAAAAATAAAACTAATATACAAGAACTATACAAAATTACTTTTAATAGATGAGCAAAACTTTGATTAGCTTTGTTTACTGCACAGAACAATAAATAAACTTACAGGAGGTACTCCTCCATTGACAGAAGAATAAGAATACTCCATGAATGCTTTGGCTTCTGCTGTTGGGGTCTCCTTATCTCTCCGGTCTGGAGTGGAAATGTATAAATCCCAAAATACCCTAAAATCAAGTTAAATAAACGATCTTCACTACTTACATCCACCAATTCATCAGGAATCCTGGACTGTCTCCCACTGGAGGTGACGCTCCATTCAACACTTCCGTCCCAAACACTTCAGCTGTTTTAGGTGCATTGTAGCAAAGATATTGGTACACATAATTGGCCAACCTAAACACATAAATACAATAACTCGAAGATCGAACTTACTTATTCTTGGCTTCCGTTTCGTTAACCGAGGCTGGAGGCATGGAAAACGGTTTTCCAGGATTTCGATGCATTAAAATTGGGAACTCAGAACATGTGCCTAAAATACGTCAAATTAATTATGAAGCGGCAATCAAAGCGTCGCGCCATTCATGGATAACCAGCCAACAGTCCTAACCGAAAGGACGGCGAATAAGGAGACAAAACAGACGCCTCTACTCATCACGTCCACCATGCCAGCGCGGAAAAGATGCGAAATAAAAGAGCATATCCTTCTCACATCGCTTTATAAGACATTAGAGAAATAGAGAAGACAGAGAGACGCGCCCTCCTCCCCGGTCGAGTTCCAGCGGGGTTCGAGGACAAGCAGCAGCCTAAAAGAAATCGTCTTTCTTCTGAAGAATAAAGGTTTACCACCAAAACAAAAAAGAAAAGAAGGAATGAACATATATCTTATTTTCGTCCCTCACCTCCCTCGCCCTCCATCATCTTTGCATTGTCTCCGCGTCTCTGGCATTCGCTCAAATTTTCCGAACGTAGCGGATCTTCCGTTTCTTCTCTCGAGACAAAAAAACGAAATGTCCTTTTTGTCCAATGCAAGGTAGACGAATTGCCACAAAGTGCACGCTGCGGAATACTGGGCGCAGCCAATATAATTATTAATTCTTAATTTCGTAAAATAAAACAGATAAAATGCCACGGTGAGCCCACTTTTATTTATTTTCTAGATGAAAGTGGAATCGCGGGCGCAGGTCGAAAAAAAAGCACGGTTTCAAGTCGCTTTGAGGTTTACAGCGATATAACTGTTAAACGATAAGAGGTATTATCAACAAAACAAAATTAAAAGATTAAGTAGTTATTCTAATTTACTCTGTGTTAAATTTTTTTTTATTTAAACGCATTTTTAAAAAAGTTATGGTCTCTCGAATAAAACTCGTGCAAATCAACAAAACTAACTTAAAAGTATATAACTTTAATTTTAAAGAAATAATTGGTAAAGTTAAAACGTTAAACTCATCAAAACAAAGTATACTTTAATTTAAAGAAGTTTCAGCTGAAAAACTTATCTACTTTTTGAGCTACGATTTGAAAACTTTTTTTAGGCATATTAACACTACAATAACATGTTTTGGCCACATAACTTCAAAGTCAAACAAATAAATAGTAAAGTAAAAACGTTAAACACACCTAAATTATGTTTTCTTTGTTTTTGGAAAGTTCTAGCTTGAAAAATGGTCTACTTTTTGAGATACAGTTTGAATGCCTTGTTTTAGTCACCAGTACCTAAACCAAATATTGCTACATAAGTTGTTAAATAGGTAAGAAGTTGTCGATAAAACATTGTCACATTCATTATAATTGCTATTTGGTTATTTTCGAAAGTTTTTAGCTGTTTTGAATACATATTTTTCTAGATGCTTTTCGAAAACTTTTTTAAGGCAAACTAGCACTACCTTAACATAACTTCTTGCTAAAACATAACTATTTAACCAGGAAATGTTAGTTAAATTGTAGTATACATATAAAAACCATTTTTTGGTTATTAATGATGAGTTTGCGGTCCAGTTAGAGTATGTTGTTTAAGCTAAGCGCCCTTAAGCTGGGGCCGGGCGAGGGCCCATTTTCACGATCAGTTACAGGGCCGGGCAGGGCACATGATTGTAACCGGGCAGGGCAGGGTTTTTTTTATATTTTTTTGAAAAAAAAATTAATTTTAAATTGTTTAGTGTCTAATAAGTAATGTTACTTACCTCACTTCACTCCTGAACATTTTAGCCCAACTCGGCCTCACCCCGGACCCTTTTAGCTCTACCCAATTTCAGCCCCATCTATTTTAACCTAACCTCACCCTACTTAGGGGTGAGAAACGGGCCATCTAGGCCGGGCGGCCTTGATCTAAAATTGAAACGGGCCGGGCTATAACATATTGTACCACACCATACTGTATCATATCTTACCTTATCCAGTCTTATACAACGCTACTGTGTACTACCCATAGGTAGGGTAGAGTAGGTAAATAAAGCAAGGTAAATGGTATAATATAGCCAGGTATAGTATGTTAGGGTATGGTATTTTATAATATGGTAACGTATTGTAGGGTATGGTATGGTTGTCTGCTCTGCCTTACGTCTAAGCCTGCATACACCGCAAACAACATGAATTTAACTTTGCAAACGAAGGTGATGAAAACAGTTATATGTGCTATATACGTTTGGCCAATTTAAATCTTGCTGAACTCCATTATTTTTTCACCCCTGGCCCTGCACCTGCTCCTGCCCGTGAATTCCAACTGTACTATAGTTTCACACTAACGTATCTTCAGATTACTACCCTACATTTAACTCTACTTTAGCTATACCCCTACTCTATTCATACTTTAGCATACTGTAAATCCATGAAATCCGGTCGCCATTTTTTTCAGGTCCGATTCAGTAATTTCGTAGGTTCGGTCTGGACGGAAACACTGATGGGGGGAGGGACGGGGGGGGGCATACAAAAAGAGATTTGAGTTTGATGAATTAAAGTAAGAAAGGTTAAGTTAGGCCAAGTGATAAGCTAGTATAAAATAAACATATAGAAAGGTGGGCTAGAAGGTAAGGTAAGTTAGAGTAGGGTGAGGTAAGGAGAGGTAAAGTAGAATAGATTAAGATAGGAGTTAGGGGTAGAGGAAAGTGTAAGATTTTTATAAAGAATACTATTTGTTAGGAGAACCTATTCGCCCTATGTAAATGTAACATAATTCAAAGTATAACGTGAATTTTGTAATTAACTAAAAATTGCACAAAACATAGTAAAATAATTTTGAAGTGTTATGTTTAATATGTAAATTATTTACTTATATAATTATGTTTTACAACCATATTAATATAATATTGTAACATCTTAACGTCTGAACAATAACCTACAGCTTTAAATTAATGTTAATATAATTGAGTAAAACAACTTTAGTTAAATTTTAACTTGTATTTACGTTTACCGCGTTATTATAAGACAGTATTATTCAAAAAGTTGAAGAAAACATAAGAAATGCTACAAACTTGGATAATTTTCAATAGAAAAAATAAAAATTAAGAATTAAACTTGACGCGAAATGAGAAACTTGACATGGTTTCTGCAGCCTGCGCAAAAATCGAAAAGACCATTTATTTCTAGCTTTGGGCTCGCCGTGAATGGCCATGCTGTGACAGACGTACCCATTATTTGAACATGACGCATCCGAACTATTATGTGAAGGTTCTAATAGCTGTGGGATTGTTTTTGGCTGGACAAACACTGATGTCATGGAGAAGTTTCTTACAAATGAGCGAGTCCAAGATGACAGTCGAAGCAGAAGTTCAGATGCTAAGCAGAAAAAAAGACAATCTTCTAGAAAGAATTCATGAATTAGAAAGAGACAAACATCGACTGGAGATACAGGAGGATAAACTAGACTTGCAGTAAGTTCTTCTGTTTGTTACCTATTTTTTACAATCTAGAGTCCGAGATCTACAGGACATGAACAGAGAACGATTGCATCTGCCTTTTATCTTTTTTATTACACCAACAAAGAGAACACCAACTCAAAAAGCCGATCTCACAAGACTGCTTCACACCTTATCTTTTATCCCTAACTTAATTTGGATAATCGTGGAGGATTCAGCTCAAACCTCACCTTTATTAGATGACATGTTGAAAGACTCTAAGGTTAAGGTTGTGCATTTGAATTCTGAAACACCAGAGAACATGCGATTGTCGGAAAAAGATCCGAATTGGAAAAAACCTCGAGGCGTTGTTCAGAGAAATACAGCATTGGACTGGATTAGGTATGTCAATGATGACGTCTTTAACTCTGTGATTTAGGACAAATTATATGAGCTTACGCAAGGGAGTCGTATACTTTGGGGACGATGACAATGTCTACAGCTGGGAATTGTTCGAAGAAATAAGGAAGGTTAGCTTGGTTGGGGTTTGGCCTGTAGGTTTAGTTGGAAGTCAATTGGTGGAGACGGCGATAATAGAGAATGGACGGATCAAAGGTTTTAACTCAATTTGGAGGAACGACAGACCCTTTCCTATCGATATGGCCGGGTTTGCTGTTAACATTACTTTACTTTTGGACTTTCCCAAAGCTGAGTTTTCCTTCGATGTTCCTCGAGGGTTCCAGGTATGTTTTACACATTATGTTTGCAATTGTTGTTTACGTTAATCTTGATATAAAGTCAAAGCAGTATTTAATGCTATAACTTCAGGAGTCCCATTTCTTGTCAGGTTTGAATTTGACAAGAGCATCTTTGGAGCCTTTAGCAGAATATTGTACAAAAGTCTTAGTATGGCATACACGAACTGAAAAGACGAAGCTGTCTAACAACGATTGGAAGAGATTCGCTAGTCATAATTTGACAGATTTGGAAAAGTCTGCCGTATTTTAATTTATTAGCATTTTCATATTTACACGGGTATATTACTATGATTATAAGGTGCATAATAAGCATTTAAGCTAACAGTATTTAATAATAAATGGCATTTAATTATCTTTGCATTACGTTGTATGGTTTTGTGACTATTTCATATTTTACAAACCAAACTGCCTTTGTTGTGACAATAGTTGCCATAACTCATATCACTGTTTACAATTAAGTTTTAAGACATGGGTGAACGAAAGGGTCAGAACTTTTACTATCCCCCGGATTTCAATTACAAAACCCACAAGAACTTGAATAATTACCATGGCACCCACGCGTTACGTGAACGTGCTTCCAAGATCAAGGAGGGGATCTTGGTCATCAGGTTCGAGATGCCATTTAATGTTTGGTGCTTGGGATGCAACAACCATGTTGGAATGGGAGTACGGTACAACGCTGAGAAAAAGAAGATCGGCATGTACTACACGACACCGTTGTACGAGTTTCGAATGAAATGTCATCTGTGTGACAACTACTTTGTGATACGAACGGATCCTAAGGTACGGTACTTTTTTATCACTGTTTATGTAAAATGTTTTACCTGTTTATATATTGTGCTTAGTGTTACATTTTTTACGCCGGCAATAATTTTAGAACTTCGACTACGAGATGGTAGAAGGCCTGAGGCGGCAGGACAAACGATTTGATCCGTCAGACATCGACAATCTGGGAGCGGTAGATCGAACGTTCCAACAAAAGCTGGCTGGAGATGCCATGTTCAAAGCAGAACATCAGACGGACGACAAGAAGAAGGCTGGCGATGAAGAACATCAAATAGAGAAGCTGATCAGGATAAAACAAAGAGATAAAAGTTCATACGATGCCAATTGTGAACTCAGAAGGCAATTCAGATACCAAAAAAGGGCTTTGAATGAGCAAAGAGCTGCTGATAATGACTTGAAGCAGAGGTTATCCTTGAACATTGACTTGATGCCAAGCACCAGCGAAGATCATGTTATGGCACAACGAATGCTTCGACTTAAAAATGTGAAATGTAAGTTTGCAGTTGAAGGGTTGTACAAAATGTGTTTAAAAAAGAGTTTAATGGTTGCTTTTTTTTCAGCGCACGATGAACATCGTGAAGAAGAAAGGCGTGAAATTGAATCAGCGCCCATATTTGGAGCAAAGAGGAAAGGCTTACCGATCAACTTGAAGCCAAAAGAATCGAGAGATAAGAGTTTTGATCTCGGAGGAATTGTTCGGAAAAAGACAAAGCGTGAAGAAGATTCCACGAAAGAGGTGACGGAGACCAACACCGAGTCTGCTAGCGAGCTTACGCTAATCGATGGTAATATTACGAAAGAAACAACCGTAGTTGGCACAACGTCGGAAAATGAAATTACCGTAAGGAATGATGAAAATCCCAAACCAACACAATCTGGTACATCTTCAAGCATTGGGTTGGTCGATTACGATGACAGTGATTGATGGAAATACCCCATACACCAACTTCAGGTATAGTAAATAACAAATGTATATTGAAACAATAAAATCAACAACTTATTACATCAGGTGAAGTGGATACCGGCTTTGTTGAAGGCCAACAACAAGGTCAAGAAGTCATCGATGGCCATGACTCTCGCCCTCTTCTCTGCGTATCCATTAGTGCGGAGGATGTTCTCGATGTGATCTTTGGCGTTAAAACTTGGGTCAATTTCCTAGAAACAGATTTTCAAGCCTAGTATATTTTATAAAGGTTACGTCACAGACATGTTACCTAACGTCAGGCTTCATTGACTTACAATGTTCTTCAAACTACAGTATGTGCGGTAATTCTTGTCGATCAGCTCGATTACTTGTTTTTGATGAAAAATCGCCAACAAAGTTTTGTTTTTCCTCAAAAATGCGAGGCGTAACAGACCATCCCATTCCTGAAAGATGACATTACTTACTATTTTTAAAGCATTATTTAAACAAAAGCATTATAACCATCTTTTGATTTCATTCCCGTACCTTGTAGTTGATCTGTGGAGGTGGGTTGATAGGTTCTATGCGTACAACAGCAGAGTCCACTTTCGGGGGAGGTCTGAACTCTGTTCTTTTCACTTTCATCAAGTGTTCTACCTTGGCTAGTAACTGAACCGATGCTGACAATCTACAGTATAGTTTAGAACCTGGCTCGGCAGTTAATCTGTCAGCGAATTCTTTTTGGAACATCAGAACGGCATATCGTGGCAAAGGACGTTGTAGTAGTAATCTGAACACAAATGGCGATGATATTTGATACGGTAAATTGGCTACACAGACGTCGAAGAATGGCCAATCATCATGTCGTAATACGTCCCCAATACGAACTTCTAACTTGTGTTGTAGAGGCCTAAACCAGTATTTTGCGAAGTGGCAGTCAACATAAATGTTTTGAGAGCACTGCTTCTATGACATAATCAAAAATCATTTTTCTAAACAACTTACGTTCCCATAACTCTTTTCTTGACTTCGGCAACCATCCTAGGATCGACTTCGAATGCTATCAGCTTCTTGCACTTCTCCAATATCTTCACTGACAAGTTTCCTGTACCAGGGCCAACCTCCATAACAAGATCTGTGGGTTTCAAGGCTGATTTCTCGACAATCGCGTTAACGATTCCTGGGTTCTTGAGAATGTGCTGACCTTTGTCTGTGTTGAATGGAAGTGCTAAACAGAACCTGTTATAAGGAAATCGGTAAACTTGCATTGAACTGTTTTGGCGTCAGGTGCTGACGGTTTCTTTGGCTTCATCTTCCGTGTTCGTGCCATTTTCCTGAAAATGTTATGGTAAAACTGAAAGTCAATTCTTCATAATGCAAAAAGAAAAACTAATTTGATTACTGTGAAAGATACAATCCTGTAATTAACAGCGAAAAAAATCCAATTTTTATAACAACAGTTTAATAACAAGTAACAATGAATCAACAAAAACATCTACTAAACGCTACACATTCTTGTTTTGAAACAAAGCTACGAAGAATCCGGTAGTCAGATCAACCTTAGGATCAGCCCTCAGGCACAGTGAACTGAACTCGTAGCCGTCCTTTCCTCTGCTTTTCCAAGATGGCATGGGATCCACTAATTCATACTTCTCTTTCACCCAATCCTCGGCCAACACTTCTTGAACAACACCTTCATTCTCTTGTTCATAAACAGAACACGTTGAATAGACGACTCGTTTTACATTTGGCATTCTGAGAGCATGTTTCAATAACATTGATTGTAGATTTGCCAAGGATTTCACTCTTTTTTTCGTTAAATTCTTCTTTTTTGTAAGTATTCACCACGCTTCACCATCCCACTTCCTGAACACGGTGGGTCGACAAGCGCGTAATCTACCTAAAAGTAAAATTTCTTAAAAGTCATCTTGGTAACGAATTTTTGTTCTTATTTTAGAAAACCTACCGTTGCAAAGTCCTCCAAAGGCACTCTTAAGAAGTCAAAGTTTGTAGCATCTACAATTGCAGCTTCACAAGCCTCCATCCTTTTTTGTAATGTCTGTAGTCGCGTTCTGTCTTTGTCGTAAGCCCAGACTTCTCCTTTACCCTCCAGCAGTGCCACAAGATGTGAAGTCTTGTTTCCGGGAGCAGCACACGCATCTACGCAAACAGATCCTGGCGTTGGAGATAACACAAAAGCTGGCAAGCAACTCGCTTTGTCTTGTAATATCAACTTAGAATCCACAACCAAGTCACATTCGTGTAGGTCAACATTTGGAGAAAAGATGAGCACTTCTGGCAGATGTCTATCGACGAAGAACTGATACTTTGTCATTCCTTCTACAAACTTTTTGAATTTCGTCCTGTTTGTGATACTAACATCGGTCAAGTATTCATATTCTTGTGTGACTAATGCCTCGATTGCTTCTTCAACTGTGTTCTTTAAAGTGTTTACTCGTGCATAACGCGGTAAAGTAATGGTATCACTGCTCACAGCGGTTTCAGGATCTACTCCAGAGTCAATCAAGTTCTGATGCTAAAGACAAAAAATTAAAAGTGGCTTATTTAGACATAAGAATAGAAGGTTGACTCTAAATCTACAATAACATTATCAAGAATACCTACCTCTGTTAAAATGTCCTTTTTTGCTCCCAAAATGGCTCGTTTTATTTGTTTGTCTCCGATGGAGATACCTTTCCCAAACACAAGTTCGTAAACCAATATTAGACACAATTCTCTTTGTTCGCTTAGCCTTTGACACTTGATAAGATGCCTCATCACATTTTGACAGTCCAAGATCTTATTCAAATATGCCTTGTACTTCAATGTTTCGCAGCTCAAACGCAAAAGTTGCTTTTTGTTCTGAAAAAATAAAAGGATACGAATGTAGGCTTATAAAGGGAACGGGCCCAATTTTCGGCTCGACTCCTAATTCATTAAAAATGGATTGTATTAATCTAACAAATATTAAGTAATATTAAATGTAAATATTAAAACAAAAAAATTAGAAAATATTACTTTGAAGGCATGATTGTACACTGCTGTCCGTAAGCTTGACTTCTTTGATAATGTTAGCTCCAATACCTTGGCTACGCTTGAGTATAAATTATCCATTATTAAGAACAACTAGTTGTTTCATATACATTTTTTTCCAAAAAATCTCAAATAAAAATAAATAAAATTATGCGAACACTTGACTCGTTAGGAATAAATGGGTCATGACTTCCTTTGATCAAATAAGGAAACCAAAACTTGTTTTTGCAAAAATTTATGCAACAAAAAAATGTTGTCTTCAGATTTTAATATGCGCGCAGCCTTACTAATTTTGTTACTCATTTATAGTGTTTTCAGTTTTCTGATTGATCATGTTATGCCTGGGGATATTCTCTACGGCTCAGCTGCCGGCTTTATGTCAGTTGTTCAAGTCAAGGTGGCTATTGTTCTCACGGGAAGCCAGTTCTAATGGCGACTCGATTTGGAACATACGACGATGATGCCGTCTGGACTAGAGGAACGTACGAAATGAGGCCGAGAAGTCCAGGACCAGTACCACCATCTAATATGAACAATGGAGCTGGCTACTATAACTCTCAGGGAAATATTCCTCATACAACGATGGTTCACTCGAGTATGAAACCAGTTCCTGATTCGGATATTTACAAGTATGTTTTTTTTGGTATTTTGATTTTGTTTTTTTGGAGTCTATAAGGAAGAGAGGAGGTTTGTTGTTTTAAAAGCATGAAAGTGTTACCTAAAATTTGTTTATTTCTGTTGTTTTTATCTATTTTGACATTTTTTGTTTAGAGTCGGGATTTACGGATGGCGGAAAAGGTGTTTGTATGGATTTATTGTGTTGTTGACGATTGTGATTGTTGTCAATCTGGCTTTGACATTGTGGATAATGACAGTTTTGGACTTTAATTCGGTAAGTGCTCAATTTGTAGTGTTTTTATTCTTAGGACGGAATGGGAGCTATGAAGATTAATGATGAAGGTATTCGAGTTGAAGGGAAAACGGAGTTTGATCGACCAGTCAAGTTTTCGGAATTGTCAACACCGGAAGTGAGTTATCTATAGTTAAGATATTATAAAACGTATATTGTTATAACTATTGTCATTTTGATAAAAATTATTTTCAGGATGAAGCATTGTTTATCGATTCAGCTTCTGGAGTCTACATTAACGCCAGAAACTTGAGTGGTCAAACCACAGCTGGATTGAGTCTGAATCCGGATGGAAAAAGTTCAGTCGTGTGTGAGAGGTTCGAAGTCTTGAACATGGATCACAAACTCTTGTTTTTCGTGGATTCTGACGAAATCGGGCTCAAATTGGAAAACTTGAGGATTCTGGATGACGGTGGAAGTGTATTTGAAGGAGCGGTTCAGACGTCTTCTATTCAACCAGAGGCTGATACTCCCTTAAAGTATGTTTTAGTTGCTAATTCGAATGTTTTTAAAACATATTTTGTAACACAGTATATCTTTGTTTAGAAAGTGTTGACTAATCGATGTTTCATGAAGTAAAGTGACTTATTTTCAGATTGGAGTCTCCCACAAGAAACCTTGAGGTTGATGCGGCTCAAGACATTGAACTTTTGAGTGGAGCTGGGGAGATTCAATTGAACTCTTTGTTGGACATTAGCTTAAATTCTAAGAATGGAGAAGTAAGGTTAGATGCTGGCAACATTTACATGGCCGGCTTGGAAAGAAGCAATGGAGTTGGTCAATCTCAACTTCAACTTTGTGTTTGCCAAGATGGAAAGCTGTTCTTGGCCGCTCAGCGAGCAGATTGTCGGGCTGATAGAAGTATTTGTGAATAAAATGACTAGAACTTTGCTGATTTGGTTGTTTCCTCAGTGTTAGAACACTTTTGTATTGTTATGCTGCGTAATATTGCAAAGTTTTTGTATAATATTCATTTTCTGTAATTGTTTTTAGAGTAGGCATAGTAAGATAACAAGCATTGGTTATTCTAGTTGATGGAGAGTTCAGCCGGCGACACATGGCCAATTCAAAAGCGTTTTATACCTGCATTTCTGGGACGACTGTTTCTAGTTGTTTACGCTAAGTTGCACGATTACTTGTTCCACGTAAGTAAAAAACACTTAAAAAACATTTGTGGTTTAGGTTCGGTTCACAGATATAGATTATGTGGTGTTTACTGATGCTGCAAGGCACGTCTACAATGGGGAGTCACCATTCGCTAGGGACACCTATAGATATTCTCCATTCTTGGCGTGGATCTTGGTTCCAAACTTGTTCTTTTGGGATTTTGGTAAGTTTTTGTGGTATGATTAAGATTTCAAAGCATCGTTTGATTGGGTTAATATTCCATTTAATTCAATTATTTAAATTGTTTTAATTTCCAAAATTTTAAATTAATTTTGTAAAATAAGCTAAAATTATAGGAAAAATACTGTTTTGCATAACTGATGTCTTGGCTGGATGGCTGATTTACGAAATAGGAAAAGATACTCAGCCAACTGTTCTAATTGGTGCTCTCAGTGCATGTTGGTTGTTTAACCCGTTCACCGCTATTATATCAGCTCGCGGTAATGCTGATGTTGTAGTTTGCACCGCGGTTTTGTCGGTACTGTTATTGCTCAAGAAAAAGCAGGTAGGTATAAATATAATAATGTTTATATTGCACGTTTTTAATAAAAATAGAGATGAAGTATTATATTGTAATTTTAGTGGTTACTGGCTGCGTTGGTGCACGGTGTTGTGGCGATTCATTTGAAGATATATCCGGTCATTTATCTTCCATCTGTGTTTTTGTATCTTGCCAACCTGAATAGATCAGAATCGTGGTGTACATGGATCAGAAAGAGTATTTGCAATTGGAAGGGATTCACTTATGTCTTTGTAAGTTTATATCCTCAAATTAATTCTTTTGGTTCCATGTCAAGGACTTTGTTTAATTTTTTTCAGAGTAGCATTCTCGGTTTTTTGGCACTTCTGGGTATTGGGTTTATGCTATATGGAGAGACTTTCTTGGAAGAATACCTGTTTTATCACGTTCATCGAAAAGACATCAAACACAACTTCTCACCGTACTTCTTGCCATTATATCTGGCTAAAGATGATGAGTTTTGGTCAAAAGTCATCGGATTTGGAGCTTTTGTTCCTCAAGTCTTCTGCATAGTGTTGTTTAGTGTCAGGTATGTTTTTCGAAAGTTACAGTTGTTTGTGAAATACGTTTTACGGTAAAAACATATTTTATATATATACTGGTGCTGTTTTTAGGTATTATAATGATTTACCGATGGCTTGGTATTTGACAACATATACTTTTGTGTCCTTCAATAAAGTTTGTACTTCGCAGTACTTTATCTGGTACATATGCTTCTTGCCTCTTGTGGCTGCACGGATTAACGTATGTTTTTAAGAATTAGTACTAATTTTTAAATTTAAATATTTCAAAAACATTAACATTAATGTTTTAGTTATGTTCATCTCAAGTTCTGGCGCTCATTGCTCTGTGGTTCATCGGTCAAGGTATCTGGTTGTTACCTGCTTACTTCCTCGAGTTCAAGGGAATTCCATGCTTTGAACTGATCTGGCTGGCCTCACTTGTATTCCTTGCTATTAACGTTTATATTATCAGCAAGATCTCGGTCAATTACGTGTCTACTGAACGATCTCACAGTAAAGTCGAGTAACGCTCGACTTGTTATTGTATTTATTAGCTCAATAAATTATTTTATTTTAAACATATTGTTTCAGTTAGTGGTTTGTATCCGTTTACATGTTTTTACAATTGTAATAACAAGTTTCTGTAAGTATGATTTTGTATAAACTTAAATTGAAACGTATAGTAATATATTATGTTGTAGATGGTGTTGTATTTGATTGGTCTTGGACTCGGATCAGAAGATGATATTACTGTCAAGGGATTGAGAGTGATAAAGGCTTGTTCCAAAGTTTATTTGGAGAGCTACACGAGTATATTGTCGTATGGTTATGGAGTAGATAAGGCCAAGTTGGAAGAGTTTTATGGCCGAGAACTTCTGGAAGCTGATAGAGAGTTTGTAGAGCAAGGCTGTGGTAGGTGTTTATGGATTATGAAAAGTATCTTATTATTTTTTGGTTTAAAAGTTGTTTTTAGATGATATGATTAATGAAAGTAAAGAGAGTGATGTCGCTCTACTGGTAGTAGGTGATCCTTTTGGAGCTACCACTCATGCCGATCTTGTCATACGTGCAAAAGAACAAGGTGTCAAAGTAGAGGTGATACACAATACTTCTATTTTGAACGCCGTGGGTTGCTCGGGATTACAGGTAATCTTTATTTATTGAGTAGAAATGTTTAATAGACATTTATATGAAGCTAAAGGCAAAAAACTAGTTTAGTTGTACGCTTTTGGAGAAGTTGTGTCAATTGTAATGTGGACAGATACTTGGAAGCCCGAAAGTTTCTACGATAAGATTGCACAGAACAGAGAACGAGGACTTCACACTTTGTGCTTGCTGGATATCAAAGTGAAGGAGCAGACGGTGGAGAACATGATAAAGTGAGATTTACATACATATTAGGTCATTTTTCGTTATTTTACATTTAATTTTATAATTTGTATAGTTTTACAATTTATTCCGGTATTGTTGTAGAAGAAACAAAAAGTTTGAGCCACCACGGTTTCTAACTTGTTCTCAAGCTGCAGGACAGCTGCTGGAGATTCTCAAGAACCGAAGAGATTCTGGAAAGGAATTGGGTATGTTTGGAATTCTTATTATCTTTTATTTACAGCATTTGACGAGAAAACTACTGTAGTTGGTATGGCCCGAGTTGGATGGCCTGATCAACTGATCAAAGCACTACCTTTGCAAGAGATGGCACATTTTGACATGGGATCTCCTCTTCATTCTCTGACTGTACCTGGGAATCTTCATCCCTTGGAGAGTCGGATGCTGGAACTCTTCTGAATTACTGATAACGTGTTTTCTCAGATTGTTATGCGTTACTTGTTTGACCGTTTGAAGTTTACACCTTATCACTTGAACAATTGTTTTACTTGTTAAGTTTTGGCATTAAAGAGTTATTTGTTGGGGTTTTATTGTTTTGCGTTGCGGTAGTTGTTTCCGTCACTTTCTTTCTTGTTTGATCGCCTTTTAAGTAACGTATCTTTGAGATTGCGTCATTTTTGAAAATCATGAGTTCCCGAGCTTACTTCGGGATGCAATGCTTCTGGGGTGAGAGTGCCTTCGCCAAGATAGATGGTGTTCTGAAGACTAGAGTTGGTTATGCTGGAGGGAAACAAAGCGATCCCACCTACGACAACATCAAGGATCATACTGGTATGTTGCTTGAATGATTTAGGTTTTTTGTACGACTAGTCTCTATGATTCTCAAATTTTTGTATTTTAAAGCATACGGTTGATAGTTTTAATTTTAAGAAGTGACCGAACTTGTGTTTGACGAAAACGTGGTAAAATATGACAGTTTACTGGACTTTTTCTTTTCTCATCATGATCCAAATGCTCGGAGAAAGACACAATACAGAAGTGTCATCCTTTATGTTGATGACGAACAAAAGCAGCAAGCTGAAGCTTCTCTGGACAAAGTTAAGGTAATGTATATCTCACTAAATAACATTAATATTAAGAAGCGCTACCCAAACCCTGAGACTACCGTAGAAAAACTGGACAAGTTCTACCAAGCGGAAGATTACCATCAGAAGTATTGGCTCAGATGTCAGCGTGACGTCCACAGAGCCTTGAAGCTGAACGACAAAGAACTGGTCGATTCTGTCCTGGCAGCGAAGATAAACGCCTTCTTGGCTGGTTATGATAGATACGACGTACTCAACGACCTCGCTGCTCAACACAAACTGGAGCCAGCTTTGGTAAATAAGATCGAAGCCATTGCGAAGGCTGGCGGAGACCCGCGATCTTGTCATTGAATCACTTACATAAAAACTTACAGTATTTTATTTTGTAAATAGTCGATTTTCAGCGTTACTACGGTAAACCTAATCATTAAATCTATTATTTACTGCTTCGCTTTGTTATGTTAACTATTGTGGTATCTTCCAACTAATATGATTATTTATACAGCAGTTTAATTACCTCTCGTTTACTTTACTATACGTGCTCTCTAACTGATTCTTAATACCATGGCAAAGTAGTGCAAATGGTGCTGATTTTGCGTCTTTTTCTGACTTCAGAACTTCAGTCAGCTTCTGTAGCCCATTGTGCAAATGTATATTCTTCAGTCCGATGCCGGTAGAAGCTAATGTAGTCAAACATACGATAGCTTTGTACCGTACTCTTCGATGGTACTCTGCTCGGTGAGTTGGTGGTACTGTCAGCATTTGTAACAGTAATGGCACCGCTTTTTGAGCAACTAACACCTGGTCGTAGCCACAACTAGCTAGTCGAGAGAAAATGGCTGCTGTCTGAACATTGAATGTTGATTTGATTATTTAGTTTTATATTGTGATGGACAACTTTTAACTGAAAACGGTTGACTTACCTGTTCGTACACAAAAGCACTGGCACAGTTAGGACGTTCGGCTGCTCTCACTAATCGTATGACAGCATTCTTCTGGTACAACAACTCGGTTATATGATCACTTAAAGATAGATTGGCGATAGCTGCAGTACACAATAGTACGGACTCTGAAGTGACACTTTCATCCAGCAACTCCAGCAACCTTGATACCACAGTAACTCCAAAGTTTTGAGGTTTGATGAACGGCCGATTGGCATTTGTGAGCTGAGTCAGAATGCCAGCAGCTTCTACTGCACAAGAAGTTGGGCTGTTACAGAGTATGTCGACCACAGTGTTTAGGCCACCAAACTAAAGTAATATAAGTTAGGCAGGTTAGAATTCATATTAGAGGTTTAAGAGATCTTAAGAAAGTTGAAAGTGTGTCGCATATAAACAAATTAACCTTGTGATGTTTTTGAACATTTTATCACTTCGAACTATTACTTACAGACATTAGCTGTACACATCCTTTGGTAACTCCACATAACACTGCCACAGCTCTTAATAGTAGTCGAAGAGTGTCGTTTGGGGTGGAAGACAAACGACAGAACGATAACAAACGTTCTATTGTTTTGTGCTAAATTCAGAGTTTTATATTAAAAGTGACGTGACTTGAATCAAAATCATATTGACCTTTACATTCGTTTGAATGCAATGTTTTGCTATCTATTTATAGCAAATTTACAAATATTTTTTGTTACCTAAATTAAAAATAACGTTCTTCAGGACGGAAAAATATGGAAAAAATAAAATACTGTTTTAATCAGTCGCTTTTAAGCTGTACATCTTGCTGAATCAATAAAATTTTGGAATAAAACTCACTTTGATGGCCTCCAGAGAAATGTCATCGCCGAAGAGAAGCAGATGGATAAGGTGTTCTAAAGCAATGATCAGAAGTCTGTCTCTGTTCACACAATCTTTCAGGTATATGGCTATCACCCTCACGAACACTGCCATACTTTGTTCGATCATCTTCCTCACGTAAATGCCAAAGTATTCTGGAATGTCGTTGAACTGTACTGGGAATCCCTTCTGGTCTAGTCCATTCAAAAGCGACAATACTGGTTCGTAGTCGTCATCCTGAAGAAAAGGCCCACACTGAGATTGTTGCGTGATCTCGATGTACACCTTGGTCTTCTGAATGAGTTCTCTCTTCAGTTTGGGGTCCGTGAGGTCGGCGTCCAGTAGCGTAAGCACGGTACTGGCTATTCTGAGTACGTGGTCGATGGAGCCTTGAAAATACGATTATTTTTACATTGTGGATAATACTTTCTTGAAATTTGTTATTTTACAAACTTAATTTTCGAAAAATATAAAAAAGTTTCTGATTGCGTTTTCGTGGTGGGACCTAATTTTATATGTTGGTATTCCAGTAAAGTTCAAAAATTAGAATTTATGAACTCACTAGCGATTCTGGGATACATAGGTAAGTGTTCTTTAGAGAAGATGGAGGAGGTAGATGATATCATGGCACTGTTAGCTTCAGTACACGATATTTGTTGATCGTGTAGCCCTGAATTGCCAGAACATTGACCAGAATCTGCAGACACGTTCGAGATGTTGGAGCTTGACGCCGACTTTAAGTTCTTCATCGATGTCACAAGCTTTGGAACAGCTGGCGCGGCTCTAAACTAGCGTAAAACAATGTTATTGTAGGTTACCTTGATGTGATAATTGAGATTCTGTTGTCCGGGCTATCGTTGACTCTAATCGAATGTCTGTAGACAGCCGGCTTCTTTTTGCGACGTCGCATCAATGGCATTCGGATACTGTCCTAAAATACTTTTTTTTTTAAACTAATTATATTATTGTATCCTAACCACCTTATCTTACCCTAGCATTAGTAAGCGCTTCGTTAGGAAAAGAGTTGGCAAAGAGTGGTTGTTGAGTAGTATTGTCTATTTTATTATCAGCTATAGCTAAGCTTTCACATGAAGTTGAAGGTACCGACACCAAAGACTTGTAGTTGTTGTCTTGTTCTACCTTATCCGATGGCACCAGTCTGGCTATACATCGTGACCTTCTGTTTTCGTTTTGTGATTCTTTTGTTTGTCTGAATGGTAACGTTTACCTTTGACGCCCACTTACCCTATAAACAATTTCGTACAACCCCACGCTTCTGATACTGACTTGGCGAACAGGACTGACATTGTCTCTAACTCGACCGCATACTTGAGGTCGTTCAGCCACTCCAGCTGAGGACTGGGACAACTTTGACGTTTGTCTGGCAACATTATGCTAATTAGATGTTAACATTGATGGCATTTTCTATAAATATGTAACACTATGTCAATACAATATTATATATCTTTAGGCAACAAAATAAAAAAAATGGGTCAGGAAAAAATTTTTCTAAATTTAAAGTCCAAAAGCATTTTAAAAGTTGCCGTTTGTTCATATCCTGCCACGCTAATACGTAAGATAAAAGAGGTTATTTACCAATCCTATCAAAGATAAACAAAAGATATAATGTATAATATCAGGATAATAAACAGATGAAACGATGATCATGTATAATATAATTGCTTCGCGCAACACGAGCTCCCTAGATGATAAACGGAAGGTGATTGATGAGACCCGACTTGGTTTCATTACCCTCCCCAATGTGGGGACTTGGATTGAAGTGACCTCTGGGCAGCTTTACAACACCCATCACTTCCGCCGCAATATTACGGCTTTGGCACGAACATACGAACACTTTTGAAAGTTGATATCTATGTGGAGATCACTCTCCTTACGTTTTCATTAAAATTAATGTTTAAAAAGTTGAAATTATAACAGTGAAAACATAGGTTTGAAAGAAAACTTGATTCTACGTACTTTTGGACCGAAATATTATATTTAAAATCTTTTTCCTGTTATGATAGTCATTGTTATAAGGTTTATTTTCTTGGTAAAATTATTTTATACATAGAAGTTGGTTGTGATAGTATCATACTATCACAGTTCTGATACTGTATCACTTTTAAAAAGAGGAATTTGCCAATACCACTTCATCGTCACAACTTTTGGAGCGAGGTCGTTCTGTCTGTAGCTCGTTCGCTCGTTCTAGCTTCTGATTCGTGGCCAAGGACCAGGTGGAGTTCGTATACTGTGGGATGGGATCGGCACAAACTTGAGGTTGTTTGCTGTAGTCGATGAAGGGATCTGTCTTTTCTTCTACTGGACTCTGAATCTCGTCTTCGATTTTGTGCACAAACGATCGTACTAACAGTTTCTCCCACATTTTCGGTGCTGTTTCTTTCTAAAATACGGTTTTTAATTTTGAAAATTGAATATTATTAAATAATCAATATTTTTTTGAATTTTTAAATTTAAAAATGAAAAAATTAAAGCTTACAATTCATGTAAACTCTAAAATAAACCTTTTTATCCTATTAAAATGAATTGATAACATGTAGAAATAAGTGAAAGCCTTACTTCCATAAGTTCTCCATCCCTGACCTTCCTTCCATCCTTTAGGTAATCTACTTGATGACTTAGTCTCCTCTTGACAAACACTGATATTCTCTTTGACGACTTTCTGGACCAGCTTAACTGTTTTTGGGCTGTTCGTGGACTAGGTAATGATTGTGAGGTAGAGGTCTTTGGGGCCGCGTAGAACTCGGTGGGAGATTCACACGGAACGTTCATCATGCCGATCATTTTGAGGCTGCAAAAACATTTATAATCTTAAAAATCACTAAAAAAAATATTGAAAATAAAAAGTCAACTAGAAGTTGACAAAGCGCGATATTACAGCCATAATTTGCATATTATTAAGTATCTTTAAAAAAACTGTAAGACTAAAATATTAATATTGCTCATACTCTTTCCCACCCGAAAACACACTTCTTAGACTAAATCAAATCTGAATACACGCTACTCTGATTCCCCTCAATTCCAGAATACAAAAAACAAAAAGTGAAAGGAAATATGTACAATGGGCCTTCAAGTTATATTAACGCTCTTAATCACGCTATAAATCACGGCCCTCGTACCGTGCAAATACTGATAACATAATACCACCGTCCAAAGCGTCGCAAAACCGTTATAAGGGGCTTTTCAGGCTTAACCAACTTCAATATTGTAGGTGTGGCAACGGAAACGCGGAGGAAAGGCTCGATCCTCACACATCTTCCACTTTTATTCCGAATATAAAATCAGATGACGTCAGGCTACGGTCTGATTCACGGAGTTAGATTCTGTGAAAGTGCTCCAGAAGGTGTGTAATACATAAATCTGCTTAATCACCTTCAGAATTCACATACCAATCTCGGCTACGTGACTTTTCGCAATAACTTTTCGTAGTAAGGGGTTTTACAGGCCGCAGGTTACAGAACTCTGTATGGCATTGCCTAAAAAATTTTTTTTTTCGCTGCAGAATAGTAACAGCGGTGACGCACCGTGACTATCCCGGCTTTCACAACATGTTATAGTAATGTGACTGTTATCATGGTAATTGTTGTTGACATGTTATAGCAATATTTATTTAATTTTTGACCCTTCAAAAGCAGCCAACTTACTTTAAACGCCACTTTTAAACAAAAATATGCCACAAGAAACAAAAACTTAACTCTGATTATATTTTAATATTTATTTTTTACTTTACAGTAAGTTAACTCCCATATCCCATTAAAAATGGTACAGTAGCCTTCAGAGAGATTGTTTTTGTGATAAATTCTTGTAAATCCCGTTCAAAGCCAGTAGCTGAGCGTGAGTTCCTTGTTCCACGATCTGCCCATTGTCTATGACCAAGATATGGTCAGCATTCTGAATTGTCGTCAGTCGATGGGCAATGACAATAGTCGTCCGACCTTCCTGAACTCGGTCTAAAGCTTCTTGAACTAAGAGTTCATTAGCTGAATCTAACGCTGACGTGGCTTCATCTAACAACAGAAGCTTGGGAGATCTGATTATGGCACGAGCAATGGCGATTCTTTGTTTTTGCCCTCCAGAAAGCAACGATCCCTTCTCGCCAGCCTTGGTCTCGTATCCCTGAGGTTATTTATATAAAAGACTGGTGTATTTACAAAAAATTAACTAATCTATAACCATTTTAATCTAAATCAAGTTTAAAAAAGCAAATTCCTTACCTCCGGCAAATTGGTGATAAAATCATCAGCATTGGCTAGCCGAGCAGCTTCTTGTATTTGCTCAAATGACACTTCATCTAGACCATAAGCGATGTTTTCTCTTACTGAGTAATTGAACAAGATCGGCTCTTGACCAACCAGAGCCACCTTCGACCTCAAGTATGCCAGACTCACATCACTGATATCAACCCCATTCACTTTCTAAAAATATATCATTGCGAAACATCAAACAATTATGACGAAACACCACAAACCTCATCGAAAATCAATATTGGCATTGTGCTAATACAAAATTTTGTAAAATTTCTGATTAAAAATCTTTAAAAATAATTCTTAAACGTGAATTTCCACAAAACTCACAATGCATCCAGAATCGGGGTTGTAGTAGCGCTCCAGAAGTTGTATGATGGTGCTCTTCCCACACCCACTAACACCCACCAACGCCAACGTCTTCTGTTTTGGAACTGTGAAGGTGATATCTTTTGTTATTTTCCTGTTTGGGTTCGTTGGATAGGCAAAACCCACGGATTCGAAACTCCAGTCGTCGAATTCAAGAGCCGGCTGGTAGTCTGGGTATTTGTAGCTGATCGTGGGCTTGTCTTCCAGCATCTTGAAGATGATGGCCGCACTCAAACGTGCTCTAACGTACTCGGGGAAGTACGTGGCAAAGGCCAGCATTGTCATGGTTGAGCAGTTCAAGGCTTCGATTACTCTGAATATTATATTTTTAGGTATTCGAGACGATTTTTCGATAAAAATTACTATTTTTGGTAACAAAAGGTTGCTTTTTTTAATTAATAATTAGATTATTGAGTCAAAAATAGCGAGAAACTTACTGGAATGTAGTGTAGGGATCGATAATATTCTCCTTGATTAAGAACACTCCGTATCGATAAGCTGCAGCAAAGTTGAAGAAGACGTAGCTGGCATGTAAAGCATAGGTAAGGGATTGGATTACCCCTCGGAACAGCGCCCTTTTATGAGGTTTCTCGATTAACTTCTGGAACAGGGCGTCGAAGTAGGCTTCTCTGGTTAACGCTTGCAACGTTCTGTGTTTCTCAATGGCTTCAGATGCCAGCTAAAACAAGGTTGAGGTTTAGCACCAAAATTGCTCAATTAGCACAAGTCTTATTTCATAGTTAACAAGTTTTCTCTTATATTTTAAATGTAATATTGAAATACTTACTCGTGCAGGCTCCTCCGCCAGTACTGCATCAGTATGTCCTCGCTTCTTCAAATACCGTGAGAGTAGAGTTTGTAGCAAAACCAGAAAACTTGAGGTAGCTATTCCGATTGGTGCCATTGCCGGTCCATAACAGAATGCGATGGTAACTCCTGAGATCATGGCCGAAAACGAAGCTACGACATCGGCCAAACGTTGGTCAATCGCCTATCAAGAAACATATATCAATATTATTGTCATATTCGTGACTTACCGCTCTGATGTTTGGCGCATCTGTAGCTAATCTGCCAGTCAACTTTCCAGGAGAGTGCCTTTGGTCATCAAAGTAGGGACCGTCCTGAAGCGAACGAGTATGATAATATATTCAAAAAAAGTGATAAAGACTCAATCAAATAAAACTGTCTTCTTCATAATACTAAGTAAACCATACCTGATACACAATATTCCTAAACAGAGCTACCCTCAACCGCTTTGTCAGACTTTCACCAGCTTTTCCAAACAAATAACTGCCAAGACCAATGGTGATACCTCCTCCAACGCCCAGAATACAAAAGTAGATACAGTTCCAGACAGCCTGCTTCATCCTCTCATCTGGACTAGACGTGGCAAAGGCCTTGAAAGCTTGGCCATAAATGATTGAGAACAGGGGGAACAGTACTCCCCTGACTAGGGCTGCCATCACTGCAAAAATCAATAGTTTCCATTCGTTTCGGGCAAAAAGGATAATCGTTTTGAAGTCTGATGGCTTGATGTTGGATTCTGCCAGTTCTTCCTAAAACTCATACCAAATGTTTATTCATATATCTTCCTTTATATGCAATTTGTAAAAAAAGCTATAAAAAAAGGAACAGGCCAATATCTTACCTTCAACCTGTCAATGTCGTCTTCTTTGTCCGCTGTGGTGGATACGTGTGACATTGCTCGACTCATGTGTCTTGTTGATCTTCGAAGTCGAATACTTCGTTGTAGTTCATTAGGTTCAATTCGTTCTTCTTCTTCTGAAATATTTACTGCTTATATCTTATAAATTTTCTAAAATTCCAGAAATTATTTTATTCAAATTAATTGCGACTAGTCTGAACCTTACCAACCAAATCATCTTCAGTCTTCAACTTGACAATCTCTTGTGCCTGAACCAATGAGCTGTAGACTCCGTTAAAGGCCATCAATGAGTCGTGGTTACCTTCCTCCACGATCTCGCCTTCGCTGAATACCAGAATCTTGTCAGCGTGCTTGATCGTAGACAGTCTGTGTGCTACAACGATCGTCGTTCTCCCAGTAGAAGCGTTCTTGAGGGCTTCTTGCACGATCCTCTCGGAATCCGTGTCCAACGCAGAAGTGGCTTCGTCCAGAAGCAGAACTTTCGGATTCCTGACCAGTGCTCTGGCTATGGCGATTCTCTGCTTCTGACCTCCAGAAAGCTGAATCCCTCCGTCGCCGATCTGGGTCTGGAACTTGTCCTTCAGATTCATTACGAAGTCGTAGGCGTTGGCTGTTTTGGCGGCTTCTAAAACTTCCTTCTCGTCGATCGTCGGATTCCCCATTCTGATGTTTTCTTCAATGGTACCAGAAAATAGTACTGGTTCCTGAGCGACTACAGATATGACATTCCGAAGTCCGTGGACATTTAATTCTGATATAGGAATGTCATCGAGGAAGATGGTACCGTGCTCAAGGTCGTAGAATCTCCTGTAACAGGTTTCTGCGTATTAATACTACGAATAGTTTATCTACTTACTGTAACAGCGAGATTACTGTAGACTTCCCGCTTCCACTACTGCCAACTAAGGCCACGGTCTGATTCTGGTCGGCTGTGAAGCTGATCTTCTTCAGAATCTGGACTTCTGGCCGTGTTGGGTATCTGAATTCAACGTCTCGGAATCGTATATTCCCTTTGATTTCACTGTGATGTAACACCGTGCCGTCTTTTGACAAGCTGTCGATCTTTGGCACCTGAATAGTTTTAATAAAAAGGTTAGTAATTACTTGTTAAATTACAATATACAGTAAGATATAAAAAATTTGATACCGTACACTATTGATGACATTGAAAACTTCGGCAGCAGCATTGTGGGCAGCCATTACTGCAGTTATTTGAGAAGCCATCTGAGCCAAAGCCAACACTCCAATCATGAAGGCCCAGAAGACAGCGAACACAGTACCAGCTTCCATTCCATCATTGACAAGTTTGGTACCATACCTAAACAATGACAATATAGCATAGAGACCAATTACCAGAAGGAAAAACCCATGGATCCGAACAGAAGGAAGATCACGAAGCCAGTGCCAATTCCCATCACCATGCCCTTCTTCACACCCACGGAAGCGGCTAGTCCAAGGTACTTTGAATACCTATAACAGCAACAATTGTGAACAAAATTGAAACAATGACCAATGAAGTTACTATAACTATCGGAACAGAATAAAAACATAGCTTGTTCTTACCTTTCAACTTCTCTGTCTTGACCATTGAAGGCCATCACCGTGCGAATGCCGTACAACACTTCCTCGGCTACAGAGCCCGCTTGACCGTAGAAGCCTTGTTCACCTTTTATGAACTTCTTCGAGAAGAACCCAATAGCCAAAACTGCTATTAAGATCAAAGGCAGAAGACCTAACATGACCAAACTCATCTTCCAACTGAAATTGTCGTTACCTACTATAAAATTCAAGTGAAAGGTAAAAGTCTTACATAAAGTAACTAAATTACGTAATATTTTGAAAATACAATAAATATATATATATATATATGTTACAAACGCCTGTTACTAACCTGTATGTAAAAGAAACAGTCATTCCGCCTATAAACTGAGCCAAAAACGAGCAAACCAGACCCAGTTTGTCACCACTGCCGTCCTTTATTCGGTCGATTCCACTAAAATTATTAACTTTGACATTTCAAAGACTACTGTAACTAAAAGCGCTTGTAATAATAGTCTTACTCAGCCATCTTGGTAGTCCAAACTCCAGAATCGTGTTTGTCAAACCAGCTACGGTCTTGTCGCAACAAGGCTCTAAAGAAGCGCATTCTGATTTTGTAGACTTGTCTTTCTGATCCAATGTTCCAACAACTCATCTGCAATGAGTTTGCTTACATTGTTAACATAAAATATTTCTAAATTTAAAAAAATTCAAAAAATAAAAGTTAAAACTGTGCCATTCTATTATACATAGTTAGATTTTTTTTTATAAATAAAATAGTAACAAGACAATGTACGACAACTTACACCAAAGAATCCACATAGAAACACTCCTAGACCGAAGACCAGGTACTTCCAGATTGCCTTCATGGCTTTATCGTGAAAGTCATCGTAGTCGAACATTCCGATCTCCCATCTGTAAGCGCCTTCTATTAAAGCGTTGGTGAGATCCTTGAAGATCATGGGATTCATGGAGTAGAACGCTCCTTGTGTCAGACTTAATGCTAAAGCACACAACAGTACTATAAGATCCCATCTGTTCGCGTAACGATACTAAAATAAATACAAAGTATTTAAAGACATAGTAGCTGAGAAATTTATAATTTTAAAAATATTAAAATAACTACAGCTTTAACTTACAATGTCGAAGAATGTAGCTCTGCGTTCTGGTTCTTCTTTGCCATTTTTTTGCGACGCTTCTGGTAGAGGACTAAAGCTATATAAATTTACACTTAAAAGTGCTCTCTAATAATTTTTGTTTGACTCATTGTAGCCTGAAGTTAAGCTTACGCTGATTTTCAGTAAAAAAATCTTTTTTTAAATTAGCACAAAAAAATGAAGGTAAAGACAAACAAGGATACCTACATTTGGCTGGAGTCCTTTATTCGCACCATTTCGACTTTAAATTCCTCGAGAGTGAAGTTGCCTGACTCTCGACCTTATCAGTGCTTTTGTTCTTGTCATTATTGCTTTTGCTCTTACTTGACTGGCTTTTTTGGATTAGACTATTGATAACTCTCGTCTGTGTTAGAAGTATGTTACAATCTTTCTTTTTGATTTGTGTTATGTACATCTACAACAATATTCTTTGATATTTGTGGTGTACTTTCGGTTTTTCGGAATTATTTGAATACTTTTTGTGAACAAATGACTTTTTGTGCTTTGTAGTCACAATCGTTGTCAAGCTTATCAGTTTCAATACAATTTAGTTTGATGTGTTACTTCTTATTTTACAAGGCGGTTATCGGGATGACTGCGTCATATTGTTATTATCTTGCAAAGTCAAGTTTATTAGATCGAAAAACAAAAGATGAGGCATTTAATAGAGATATCAACATTAGTGTTCAGCCGGCTTCGCGGCGATCGCTTTCTGAACAACCATTACATTGGGGTCGACTAAAACAATGTTTAAAATTGATGTAATATAACGTAGTTTGTAAATATATTCAAAAAATATATTTTTTCCAATAGTAAATTGATTACCGTATCAAAGAACGGCACTTACCAATCTTGAGTCCGGTAGTAAGAGCGTTAACCATTCCTTTTTGGGCGTGGTCGGCTACATTATGAGCTGCATTTTCAATTCCATGACCAACAGCTTTCGTAGCAGAAACTCCAGCCTTGGCTACCGTTACCGTGGTATCTTTTACTCCTTCGGCCACTGTTACAGCAGCATCCTTAACGGCCGTTCCTAAAAAAATCAATTTTTATGTATATAATGTAAATTAACACTTTATTTCGTTTAAAATATACTCCTAACCCGCCACTTACCAGCCTTCACGGTAGTATCAGCTACGAAACCAGCTCCAGCTTTAGTACCATCTACAACAGCACCTGCTGCCTTAGCAGTACCATGACCAATAGCCAGTGCACCAGCCTTTGTTCCTTGTCCCACAGCAATGACACCAGCCTTAGTACCGTCAACAACTGCACCAGCAGCATTCACTGTACCTCTGCCAATAGCCAAAGCTCCAGCTTTAGTACCATCCACGACAGCACCAGCAGCGTTAACAGTACCTCTTCCAATGGCTTCGGCTCCTTGTCCAATAGCCATAACTCCAGACTTGGTGCCATCAACTACAACACAAGCAGCTCGCGAGGTTCCGTGACCGATCGCTTGGGCTCCAACTACAGTAGTACGGGCAACGGCGGTAGCTCCCGAAACGACAACATTCTTGGTACCAGTTGCTGAAAAAGATCAAGATATTTTGTGGATTCACAAAGGTTTTTTACATAAAACGATTTAAATTTTGATCTTTTTCAAAGATCTTGAAGTTGAGTTATTAAAGATCTTTCTTACCAACAGCTGAAGTTGCTTGTGCTACATCTTTTCCAATAGCAACAGTCGTGTTTTTGACTCCAGCGGCTGTCTTTTGACCAGCCCTGACTGTTCCTTTACCAGTTCCAACAAAGATATCCTTAGTACCCAGAACTAAAACAACAATATTGTCCAATATAAATTACATAATATAGTTCTGCCTCTTATATAATAAGGGTCAAAATAACTTTCATAAAACGATTTTACGCATTCTTCTGATCTACGAAACATATTCAAAATTTGACTACGTACCAATCTTAGCTCCACCAGAAGCGATGCTCTTGAATCCTCCAAGAACTCGTCCCTTTTTCTTCTGTTTGACGGAAGAAGTGTCACTGTCATGGATCGAACTGGCGTCATCAAGACTGACCTCATCGTAACATCCACCAACATAATCCGAATATTGGTCTTGAAGGTCTTCATACACAGGTGCAGAGTCTAAAGGCAAAATAAAATAACAACCCCACAAAAATCAAAAACAATAACTACTAAACAAAATAACTACAAGAAAACTTACCACCCGAGACAAAGACAGAATATTGATCTGGAAGTTCATCATCGACAACTATAACATCTCCTTCAACTGGAACCAAACCGTCTTCAGTCTGGATAAACACTTCGGGATGTTCGGCCGCCATTTCTGATGATACCACGACCTTAACCTTGTTAGCGTCTTCAACGTTTTCTAGCATTTCTGGAGGTACAACAACGTTAATTACATCTGGAGCTTCTTCTACGTTCTCTGGAAGAACGGCTACGGGCACAACAACTTCAATCACACTCGGAACTTCAGCAGCTTCTGGAGTTTCTTCGTTAACAGCAGCATCTAAAGCCTTTTCGTCTTCTGGAGTTACCGTAACTTCAAGCTTAGATTCTACAGTAACTACGTTGTCTGAAGACACTTCTCCTGATACAGCTTCTGAGATCTGTGAAGCCAACTCTGCAGCTCCAACAGCGGCTAAAACAGCTACGCTTTCACCGAGCTGAGCCTGAACTGAAGGAACTTCTTCATTCTGACCTTGAGATTCTGACGACTGATTAACAACTTCAGCTGATTGTTCGGCTGGTTGGGTATCTTCATTGTTGTTGGCATCAGGAACGCTGCCTTCTACTACAGGTTCGGATACTTCAACCTTGTTGTCAGAAGTTTCCTGTGATTCAGTCGGTTCACCTTCCTGACTTTGAACATCATAAATGTTCTTCTCAACGTTTTCAGTTGGCGTAACACGATCTCCTTCTTGTGTTGTCGCCTCAGAAACTGGACCAGCTGCATCTGAAGTTTGAACATCGTTTGGTTCTGAATCCTTAGCTTCGCTGCTTTCTTCTGGTTTAGTTACGTCCGATTGATTTTCTTTAACAACGGCATCACTATTCTCAGCCACTACTGGTTCTACAGCCGGTTGTTCAGAGGCTTCTGTCGATTCAACAACAGGTTGTTCTACCTCAGAAGTCGGTTGCTCAACTTGTTCATTCGACGCACCTTCAGAAGCTTGAGCTTGAATAGTTTCAGCGACAAGAGCTGCAATAAAAACCAAATTAACAACATTTTGAAGCCACATATATAGTTAACTATACTTACTAAGATCAGCAACGGCCTCAGTTAACGCAGTCGACAAAAGAGCGCTCAGCGGTTCACCTAACAATATAAATTACTATGAATTTCATTACCTGATGTTGCGTTATCCGTGAGTACCGGAGCGGAAACCTCAGGGTCGGCCATATTTCAGAAGAAACAAGCAAAAGTGGTAACAAACCCTGTGATCCGGTTGTTTTGAACGTTGAAGCAGTTGGCCGTTCCCGCCCATCACATCATCTTATCCATGGCTCTCTCTTTCACAAACAACCCCCATTTCTACCCTTTGCCCCGAGGCAGGTAATTCATTTCTTTAAATTTGGCACAAAAGAAAAGTTATTTAAAGCATAATGAAATTCCAAAAAATAAAAAACGAACGAGATCCCTCTGACACTTTGTTATCTTTCGAAAGAACTGATAAAGTATATCATAGTAGATACATTTGTCAGCTTTTTACGAATAAAAATGAATTCACAAAGAAAGTACTCAACTGTTAAGATCAATAAAAACTTTAAACGCTAAATACTTACCTCTAATACAAAAATCAAGTTGCTCTAATGTAAAACTTACCTAAAAGCAATAATAATAATAGGGTTTCGCTAATAAAAATTAAACAAAATTATTTAACATATTAGTATTTCTTCCAAACATCCCACTAATATTTCATTTTATTATATAAAATTAGACACGAGGATTGGGCCGGGCTCTTCGGGACGAGCCTTGATTTTCCGGCCTCACCCGACCTAAATTTGGGTCAAAGGTAACAAAACAAAAAAAAACACGAAATTGACAAAAACGAAAATTAGTTGTTGTACATCAACTTTTTAATATATTTATTTATTATTAATTAATATGCAAAGCTTTGTTTCAAACATATAATAGAACCCTATAAACAAAAAATTGTCTTTCTTTCGCAATTAGTTTATATTGTCTATAAAATGAGTTACCTAAATTTCCATAAATTCACGTCATTCTGACTTATTTTTTAAAACCTTTTTTGTAAATGTTTGTGGGTACCGTTCTTGTACATTTGACGTATGTCTTTCGTTATGATGCATTGTAATCAACAAAATATGAAGTAAGTTATCAGAAAACCTTCCAAAATCATGTTGGAACAGCGAGGTTGTTGCGGTAGGTCATTTTAACGTAAGAATTGGTGTGAAAGTTGTGGGGAAAATAACATTAATTGGATTTTGAAAGGTAGCAATGTAACATTTCGAAACATGTTGTTGTAGGTTAGTACTATCGCCCAAAAACAAGTTAAAAATCACGTGTACTTTACGTGAAATAAGTGGAAACATTGTAATTGAAGTAATTAACAAACAGGCGGCCCAATCCGAGCCAGTCTTCCAGCCACGAGCTGGGGGAGGGAAGCCTTGAGATGTTGATCTATTGGCCGGCATTGTTCCCTCCGGCTTTGACCCTTTCGAAGCCTTCTCAACCCAATTAGAGTCTGTCCATATGTCCTCGGGCGATAGAATGATCGTTTGTCACGATATTATCATTTTGATTTTTATGAAGCCTTATGATTGGAATAAGTGTTGGCAAAGTGTTGGGCATGGTCGTATTTTTTGTTTTCACTAGGTTTTACGATTTAGCTTGAGATTTTTGATCTTGAAACTTTTGATGAAATCTTGTCCTTATGTTGACTAAACATACCTTCTAGTATTACTGTAACTAAATTAAAAAGGGCTAAATCTTGATTTAAGTTGATTTTTGATTAGCAAAATTGAAATTACAAGTTTTGCAAAGTAAAAACAGTGCGCGGATTAAGAAATTACAAAGCAAACAATGGAAATCAGTGAATCCGATCCATCTCGGGTTACTCGTGGGTCCTCTTAACTGCTTTAGTTTAGTTGTATCTATGTCGACGTGATGGAGGCAATATCACCTTCAGAATTCGCCGAAGGCATGGCGCCGATTGGCATCACGGAATGGCCACGGATCACTAGGACAGACTTCAAAGTAGGATTTTTTCAATTTTCATATTATTTTTTACTAACATAAGGCTTTTTTCATGCTTTTTACCGAAAAATTTGTAAATATTACCCAAAAATGAAAAAAATTTATATTTTAGGTATGAAAATAATTTTATGTATTTTATGAGGATAAAAAGTTTTAAACATGCACTTTTAAATTAACATGACAGTACTTTCAATCAAGAATAAAACTTTACAACGATTGGCATCGTCTGACGTATGAGTAATAGTCCACATGTTGAGTCGGGGCAATCTTTGTTTTAATGAAGCCTTCTCCTTTCTTAATTCCCGATAATTCAGAGGACCACGATGCGACGTTCAGCTGTCCGAAAAAGTCGCGCAGCTTCTCTGAAAGGCGACATTCATGCAGCTACACGGAATGGTTCCATCGCTACATCCAACAGCGTCCCACCGCCGAATACAGAAGGCGCGGCTAAGAAACCGGCGAAGGAAATTACAGTACGACCCGGGTTGAGAGCTATGTTGTACGGTCTAACCATGAAGATGTAAGTTATTTACAGAGTAATTGTATTCGGAGTTTAGGGAAAGAGAAGAGGCCAACCTGAGGAAGCTCCAGAAGAAGATGCACGGTACAGTTTTGCCTTTTTTGTTTAAAAAAAATGTTTTCTCTAAATTTCAAAAATTAATGAGATTTTTGTAAAATGTCAAAGCTTTTTATGTAAATCCAAACCAGCTGACTTGATGACTCTGGAGATTTGCTTAATCTAAAATTCGGTCTTTGTTTCCGCGATTTGCATGTTGCATAACAATGTCGATATTATTTATGCCATCCCTCTCCTGTTTCCGAACGTGAGGCCTACCCAAGCAGAAGTTCTTTTGGTTTGTTCGGAGTGTAGCCGAGGATTCTGAATGGCTAGCAGTTGTTTATGATTGTGTCATTGTTGTTTGGGACAATGAGTCATAATAACATAGGTGTCCTTGTTCATTATAATGTAGTTAGACTTAATTGTATTGACCTTGAAGTGGCCACTTCATTGCCTCGGAATGGGACGTTTTTGACGATTGGGTGGGGCTATGACCTCAGGCAACTACAGGTCCCTGGGGGCGCATTCCCCCGGCCTTAAAAAACTCGCGCGTCCCCATTTTTGTTGAAAACCAAAAAACGTGGTCGAGCAAGGCGGCATTCAAGTTTTTGCAATGGATGCGAACTAAATGTGCTTCATTATTCATGTTTTATGACGTCACGTCACCGGCTACAGTGTCTGCAAACAATCCTTTTGGGAGTTTTTTAAAATCCTAAAAGGGAGATATTACAGTAGATACTTTACTATAGGATGTGGAGAATAAACAAGTTTGTTTATTTGCCAAATTCTATCAAAGTTGTCTTATTTACTGTAGTAATACTGTAGTTTTTTATAATGGTCGCTGATCGTTTCCAACGACTAAGCACGGCCGAACTTATAATAGAACGTGTGCGTCATGACTGTCCATTGTTAGAGCACCGGAAGTCAGTGGCGGGTGAGGGAGTCTTCTGCCCTAAGTCATGAATCAACGTGCCTTTTAGGGTCGAGCTGTCAATCTCGACAAAAGCAATGAATTAAGAAGGGCGTGCTTTTATTTTCCATTTGCCAAATAAACCTGCATTTTAGTTGGGCATGGCATGACGATAAAATGTCAGAATTCGGCTACGACTGTCGCGCTTTGCTCCAGCCACCGGAGCACGAGAGTCGTTCCGCCCTCAGGAATGTGCAGCGTGCCAAAATGCAGCGTTCTACGAGCTCCGGAACGCCGACTTTGGCTAGTCTGGCACAGAACGTTCGACGGTCGATTCTGCAGGTCGGACAACGCAGCTTCAACGATGACCGCCACTCTTCTGTCAGCAACTACGGTATTCCAGATGTGCCACCGAAGAGTGTGTCGTTCCACGATCTGGTCGAGTCACGGTCGGTGCTCCAGTTTGCACTCAGAAGTCTCAGTCCGAATCGACATTCGGCCAACGCATCTTCTGAAACCTTGTATGACTCAAATGGCAGCCGGCTGTCTTTTAGGAAGTCGATCAGCTCTTTTATTCTGTCAAGTAAGTTGTCAGTGTTGTTCAGTGTTTCCTGTCGTACTGTGTATACTAGGTTAAGTATGGAACTCATTGTCATATAAATGCACGGTTGGTTCTTTATTCTTGTCATTCTATAGACTTTTTGAACAATCTATAATAACAAGTTGTCTATCGACCAAGTAAGTCGTCTGATGGCCAAGTAAGCAGGGGAACTGTCTGTTTGCCTTAGGGGTGTTTGTTTAAACCTGTTTGAGAAACACCTTTTCGTGAAGCAGGTCGGCTTCTGGACGGCTAGAATTTCACGTGGGAATTGGCTTGGAAGATCCTGGGGAATAGTTACTTTGCATATTTAATTGCTACGAAGTTGATGATACAGGACCTGAGGAAATGGTGGAACCGCATTCTCTACCCTCCGGCTCTCACACCCGAAGGTAGGGTTTGGGCAAATAGAGGGTACTCGAGTACGTACTTGATAGGGGTGATGTCTGAGGTCGAGAGGCATTCGGATTAATAAGTTGAACTTTTATTTTATTTTTATTACTGTTGGATCTAATTTTAAATTAATTATTTTTAATTACCAAAAATTTTTTAACAAGATTTTACTGATAATATTGTGTTCTTACTCGAAGCCATTTTTTAAATATTTTTTCAAAAAATTAAAATTTGTTCTTCTAAACCTAAGAATCCTAAAAAATTGGTTTTTCGTACCCAAAACCCTTGATCCTGCAGTTGTTTTTGCGCAATCTTGTGCACTTGTCTGTTACCATGCTTGATATCGTTGTTGTTTCTCCAACTTGTTCACAGCTGTTCTTTATATCTTGTCACGACGCGCCTGTCACCAAGCGTAGAAAGATGAGGGACCATGAACAATTTCAAAGGTCTGAGTATGAAATTGGATACTCGTTTTATTGCCGTCAGTGTTAATCGAGTGCCGTTTGTGATGCGTCTTATGGTTTACTAGAGTTACTGTTCCCAAGTTCGAAGCCGTTTCCCGTTTCGAGACTGTGTGAGGCAACTTCTTGGGGCCAGTATTTACTTTGGAAGACGTAATTTCAGATGGGTTTATCTCTCTCATTCTGTTTGATAATCCGAGAGTCCGATTTTGCCTTTAATCATTGCCATCTGGGCGTCATCTGAAGTTTGTTGACGCTGAATAAAGTAGGGATAATGTGCGCTCGGGTGGGGCCTACAGTACTTTGGTTTTACATAGTTGGGTCTCTTTGCTGATATTGTTTTAGCCGTTTTTCGAATTATTCTTTCACTTCTGCCATTCTTTATAACAGCTCACCTTTCGCCGTAATTTAATTTGTTTTACACGCCACCATTTCGAATAGCTATCCATAAATTTTACACGAAATTTAATCACCTCAGGACATTTAATAGACATCATCATATTTTTGACCTCACTCTCGCCACAGCCCTTTCCGTAGGTATTGGCCTTCGGATCGGGACTTTTGAGTTTTTTTCGGCCGCAGCTAGTGGAAACATCATTTGATTGACTGGAATGTCTAGCGAACCTCGTCCCTGCTGCATCGATCCCCAGAGTCTTTCGTCTCACCTGCTTGCGGCATAAAAAGCCTGGTGGCGATCGCCGGCCGACCTACCGGCCACTCTCTCCTTTCAACTTTTGTGCCCTCAGGGGACTTTATCTAGATCTTGTCAATTCCACAATTTACACTTTTACTTGATGACGTCACGGCAGAGCTGATCGATCAGATGTATTAACTTCTATTCACCCACCGTCCTATCTTCAGTCTGCCAAGATTCCGGCTTCAGCGGGCTTTGTTCCTGTGCCTGGCGCAGGGCATCGGCCTTCAGAAGTCGACCTTCGCTCACCGTGGTGGCGATGCTGTTGTCCGAAGCGACGGAACAGGAAGGAGTACTACTACGATGAGTCGGACGAGTACCAGCCTCAACCTTCAGCATCACTGCTACCCGAATCGGTCCATTTACAAGAGCTATCGTCTCCCAACCATCTGACTGTCCCTTCTACATCTCAACGTCATCTTATACACCAACAGAGCAGTAGCTATGCCAGCAGTTCCGTCCTCAACGCTATCCCATCGACGGCTTCCAACGACTCGTCGCGTCTTTCGTTGCACGACATTCCAAGTAAATTCAGAAGATTCCGTCAGAAGAGTGCCAGTGATTTCAGTCTCGTCTTTGATATTATTAGAAGTGGCAGTGCCGTGGATACGACCGGCCACAGTCTAGTCCCACGACACAACCGGGCCTCGGCGTCAACGGGTAATCTGAGTAAACGAAAAAGTCTGCGACGAGAGAAGAAGAAGCATTTCGAACATATGCGACCAAATTACATACACAAACAGCTACAACTTGGTAAGGCTTTCTTTAAATTGGAGGATCCTTAAGAGAGGTTTAGGTCTATAGGCTTAAAATGGTTCCTTCGAGCGTTTAGGTCTTTTCTGATTACAATTAGGCAGCTTTTGTCTTTTAGTCGAACAATGTTGAAGTAGGCTTCAGAAGACGAACGTATGCTTGTAATTAAATGTATTGGGGTTTAAAGGTGCAAGACAAGAGTGCTTAAAGTTTGACAAAGTGCTCTTAACCTGAGGAAGAGTCTTGTAGGCGAACTTATGAGAGATCTTAGCTATTCCTCTCTTCGAATCGGGCTCTCGGATATTATTTGTGTTATTAACGTGCGGTCTTGTTCGAGATGGAGTCGCTCACTAACTCAATGTCGATACTAACTTTCCCTTCTTTCGATGACAACTTCTCCTTCTACAATTCGGTGTTAGACCAGGACAGTCTAGACCGGGAGGAGGAAATGAGTCAGTTGAGCGATATTAAGTATAAGCCCCGGCACCGGGCGTCCAAGCGGGTCGCCAAGGATAAGCAGATCCTCAGAGGCAAGTCAGACTGTGTCATTCTGTAGGCTACCTGTTTTGGCACGGTAGTCTACAGGGATTCTGTAAATTAGAAAAGCATACTGTTGAACACTAAAAGCAATTACTAGATAGGTTAAGCTCTCTGGAATTATCAAGGGCCATTTTAAATGTTACCGTACACTTTTTAGTGCAAGAAGAGAAGGCCATGCAATCGGCACCATCAGCACCAATTGACGCTACCAAGTTTGTCGCATATGTAACAGAGCGACGGAAAAAGAGAATTCTGTTTAAAGGAGAATATTTGGTCAGTTTAATTATTATATAGTATAGTAGTTTACTCTTTATATAGTAAATAGTTTACATATAATATAGTGCATTACATATTATACAGTGTAATATAATGACTAAATAATCAAAGTGTTGTTACCTCAATTAGACTTTACCTTTGAATTCCAGATGATATTAAGGTCGATAGACCCGGCCAAGTGTTCCACGGAGATCGGAGCTCGTATGGGTGACAGAAACCAATACAGTGACACGTTACCGTATGACAACACACGGGTTGTATTGTCGACGATCGATGGCGAACTAGACTCACATTACATTAATGCGAGTTATGTTCATGTAAGTTTACTAAGTGGTTATAATTATTGAAAGTTACCTGTACAAACTGTAAGTATTATTGGGTCTTTTCTGACTACAATTATTGTGTCAATAATTATATTAATTATAACATTTTAGAGTTGGTTGAGGGAGAAGGCTTACATCGTGACGCAATCCGTGAAGACGAAGAATGCGAGTAATGACTTCTGGAGGATGGTTTGGGAGCAACGGTCTAACGCCATTGTTATGCTTACCAAGGTGTTCGACTTCATGAGGGTATGTTATCACTGTCTTATTGTGACAAGGAGTTTTGTCCCTTTTTTGTTTTTTATTTTGTCAGTCTAAAGTTTCCGGATACTCAACTCATGCCACCTTGTTTTAGGTAATGTGTGTCAAGTACTGGCCATTGGAAAAGTTCCAATTCCGCCATATTGAAGTAGAAATGCTGGAAACAAAGACATACGCTCACTTTGTAAGTACCCCTCCTGTGTTGATTGACACTGCTTTAGGTGATACGAACATTCAGGCTGCGGAATCTGGAAGATTCAGATGCTAGTAACACGAGGATAGTCAAACACTTTCATTTCACGGAATGGGAACTCAACTCATTCCCTTATGTCAGCGCTTTCATTGAGCTACGACGACGGGTACGACAGTGGGTAGACGCGAATCCGGCCGACGCTCCACTCATCGTGCACTGCAGGTAGGTGCTGTATCAGTTGAGCATCGTGAACATGCTTTTAGTAGTATCATTTGGGCAATCTTTTTGAATATTTTTTCAAAGGCAATAACATAAGAAAGCATATTTTGTGATAAATAATAACAGTTTATTATTATTAAGAACAATAACTAGAGGGCGGGGACGTATGTACAATTTTGGGCATCGAACTGTTCGCAGAACAGCCTTGAACATGTCCGAGGAATAACCTGAGATACTGCCTTTTGCATTTGCTGCGCGCTGTCTCTTATCCACGTAGCTACCTAAAGAAGCCTTATGTCAAAGATATTGTGTTAGTCATAAGCCAGTTATATATTCTGACCTTACCTGAACTCTGGTGTAATCTAATAGGAACTTGTAAGCCCGTAGACCTGCTACTTGGCCACAGTTACCTATAAGAACACTTTGCATACATGTCAGATCACACAGTACACTTCTACATCGTTTACTGTAGCCACTTAACGTCAGCTCCAGTTCATCATAAGGTCCACATTTCCTGGCACCACAAACGCGTTTCAGCTGAGGAGCTGCGCGAGCGTAGCACGGTAGATTTACTACCATCTAGGTGATATAATTACTGTGCAAACTACACTCAATGTCATATGGTACTCTTATTTTGAAATTTTAAAACGTAATTTTAGAAACTTGAGCTAAAATTAAACGCTTAGAAAGCCATAATTTGACATTTTGGTCTACTAATGTTTTCATAATATTATCCATTCTAAACCCACGGCCTGGCTCTTGTTGCAAAAATGTCATAAACTTGGCCATGTGGCCAATGCTCACCTCCTCGAACCTGGCTTTGCAAACGTAGTCTCTCATATTGAACTGGATCTCGTAGCCACATTCCCTCAGGCAGCGGTCGTTTTCTGCGTCGAATTTGCAAAAGTATATCAGGTCTTCTTTCTCTGTAACTGATGGTACCCCAACACTGCCGAAGGAGGTATGTGCCTGAAACTTGTCTTGCCATTCATCGAAATGTAATCAGATTACAGTTTTAATTTTATAAATAAGCGGTTATTTGCTAAATCAAAGCCAAGTTTTGGTTAAATTTCGTAATACCTTACCTTCACCATGTCCAAGGACGTCCTCAGCTTTTCATTACATGATTTCTGACATTTCTCATCATCTGACAAGCCGTCGTCTGCAAGTAAAGCCTATTTATTTGTAGCATATCATTACTCACGTCTTGTCATAACACATAAATACCATTATATTGGCAGAGTACATGAAAGAACATTACTTTTTGATACAAAAATGTCAATGCCAACAAACCTATGGATCGGGCGTTGAGCCGTTGCCGTCGGCTGAATTCGTCTTCGAACCGTCGCTCGATTCGTAGCAGATCAAACCCTCCGGGCCCGCGTTGCGCAATTACAAAAGGAGAAAGAAAGAACAGAAGGACGAGCATCCGGAGGGGCAGGAGAAGAACCTTTACCTCCAGAAGACAGTTCTGCCTCCCGAAAGGCCAAACCCGTTCTCGATGTGATATGTTCTTGTTTTGTTGTTACCATCACTCTCGGCCTCTTCCCTCACTGGCACGCTCTCGTCTGTCACACTCTCTCCGTCTTCGCTTTAAAATCAGTTTTTTTCGAAAAAGAGTCTCGATTACCGCAATTACAAGTTACTATGAGCTGGCCAGGGGAAACCGGAAAGAGATGACCTTTGTTAAGTGTTCTCTTCCCGCAGAGATGTTCAGACGTCAAATTGTTAGGTAAACAAGTTGTTTGACAAGATATGTCAAACACAAACATCGAGAGTTAATTATGCTCCAAAGTGAAAGTTACATAAACTTGAATCGCTACTTTACAGTCGCAACTTCGTCGTAAAAAGCGCGCCCTAAATAAAGTAGTAGTAAAGTAACACTTACTGATCGTTAACTATTACAGCATAAGCGGAAAGACACTTCTATAAAAAATATATTGTTAAAGCATTTTAATTTTGAATACAGTAATGTAGATGACAGTGACCATACGAAAAACTTTAATTTACAGTTAAGTATTACCTAAAAAATATAGCACAAAGTAAAGTAAATTTAGTTTATTAATTACCGTATCAACTTTTACATTAACTTTTTACAGTAATGGCGGTGGCCGGAGTGGTGCCTTTCTGGCATTGGATGCCAACCTCGAGCTTCTCAAGAAAACGGGCCAAGTTGACATCTACGAGTACGCCAAAACGATGGTGAACTGTAGGCAACACCTGATAGACTCAGTAGAACAATATATATTCATATACGACGTGCTGTGCGAGGCTTTACTGTGTAATATCGAGCCGATTCCAATATACAAACTGAAGCAACGATCGAGTATGTACAGGTCAAGGAAGGACAGAGAGCTCATGGAGCTGCAGGATAACCATGAGAACAAGGTGCGTTCAATGTTTTTGGTTTACAAGTTGAACCACATGAAAATTACTGTAATATAGAAGAGTACTTGTACTGATAAAGTAATTCATTTGACTAATGTAACCAAATGTAATCTAATTTTAGCTGCTGCTTATGTTAACATCATCTCTTCGTATCGGTGACTGTGCTGGTGGACATCGTTTGGAGAATCGTGGCAAGAACAGGGATGTCATGGTCGTACCACGTATATTTTATATCTTAACTCTTATACTGTTTTAAAAATTAAATACATAAAAGTTTTTTTTACTATAATATGTTCTATCATATACTACATCACTTTCAAACCTTTAGCTGACCACGCAAGACCATATCTCCAAACGTTACATGGTGAAAGCAAAGACTACACCTACATCAACGCAGTAGAAGTGGACGGATTCACGAGGAAGAGTGAATTCATCGTGACCGAATGGCCGAAGCAACAGACCGTGGACAGCTTCTGGACCCTGATCTTCGACCACAGCTGTCACACCGTGGTGAATCTGACGAATCAGAGCAACGACAAGGTAAATCCACTAACTAATCTTAACGTAGTTCAAAAGCAGATGTATCCGTCGTTTATTCACAACAAGGGCAAGAAGAACTACGGACCGTTCACGGTGGAGATCCTCAACTACCAACAGTACTCGGGTATGACATCGCACATGGTGAAGATCATGAAAAGGGTAAGTTTGAGACGGAAGATCGACTAGGTACAGTATATGGTTTTAGGTCATATACAGTATGTTGTAGAAGCTTATATACAGTACATTGTAGTAGGTTTATCGTACTTTATTGTAAATATAAATATTGTAGTACACAGGTAGAATTCTACTCTCTGTCTTATAAGGTAGTCTATAGTGTTAAATTCACTACCATTCTGTCACAATGATTATACGTTAAGTATTACTATGTAAAACCGGTAATGTTATACTATGAATGTCCTTTTTTCGAACTTTGACGAGCAACAGCAGCCGAAGCCGGCAACATTGTCGCAATATTGTTGTCTTCGGAAGAAGCAGGTTGCCCGTCGGCCGACTTTAAAAGAGTTCCTCAAGGACGAGGTCAAGACCAACACTGGCCTGCCAGCCGGCCAGACTTTCAGGATGGACCAGCGGTACTGGGGCAAGATACGATCCGCCAGTGAGACGCCCAAGGTGCACGCCAAAGAGAGTATGCGACAGATGAGTCAGGCCATAAAGGAGGGCGGCCAACGGATCGTGAGGTCAGCCAGCAAACTAGCCAAATGGGCCCAGAAAGGACCACGCGCCTTCAGCCAGCCCAACAGCGACACCCTGGCACAGTTCGAAAAGGTCGTTACTGTAGTTCACCCACATGCTAACTAATTTTATCCTGGATTCTCTTTATTTTTGTTTATTTCGGTTCCTAATACTACGTCTGGCGACGCGACAACACCTTGATTCACATTTTACAGTACTTCGTAATTGAATTTGGGGATTCGGAAAGAGCATTCTATGAACTTTTGGACCAAATTACTATAACATATGAAGTGTCGCGTCGCCGGGCCTTTCTGGTTTCCAATCTTATCGCTTTTGTTGTTTGAGTTCCTTAGTTCGAGACTATCTGGTGGTGTGCCACATGTGGTCGGAGTTGTGTTGTCACACCGGCCACAGACATTCGAGGTGATCTGATTCCCCTAACCCTTCCTCACGTCCCTTCCACATGTGGCATAGGCCTCTGAATACTATCGGTTAGTCTTATCAATACTACTATGTATTACTTTCAAGTCGTCTTTACATCTTCAGGTTATCCATCTATATAAACCGCCTTTCACTATACCTATGTCAAGGTTTTACTAATACTTTTAACGTAGTAGTAAGACTTTTTATATCATAATAATTACATTATCCTAAGATCATCTACTCTTTTCCTTTCGTCTACAGAATATATAATGGGTTACTTTTCGACAACCCACTACCGTCGGCCGTTCATACCACTGTTACCAACCACGTCTATTCTAATTTCAGCCCTCGGAACCGTTTAAAGCTGACCCGGAGAAACAGTCCAGGGGCGATGTCAGCAAGCTTGTAAGTGGGCTGGTCTTCCACTAATACCGTAATATCATTGTAATGTCTTTGACCGTCCACTTTAGATCACCTCAGTCGTGTCGAGGATGGCAATGCAATGTCCGTCCTAGTCTCGTTCTATTGTCCTGTTGCTTTTGAGGAGGTTAATGTTACTTTAAGTTATTCCGGTTTTGTGTTATTATCTTGAGTTCACTTATACTTTATGTTACTTTCGTTTAAACTGATTTACCTTTACGTATATGTTATGTACCTTATGTTAATTTGTTCTTTTATGTTACACGTTACCACTGTTATGTTGACGTACGTTGCAGAGAGGCGGAGATGAAGTCCGCAGGTTGTTGGCATTGACCAGAAAGTACAACGACCAGCCAGATCGAGAGACGGAGCACATCCAGAAATTGGTGTCGTATTTCGTTGTTTACCGTGTTCTTCTTTCCTGTCATTCCTTTAACCACACTAACCTGTTAACATTGCCTATCACTTACAACGGTGTGATATCCTCCATTTACTGTGCAATCGACCACTCTTTTCAGACCTTCATGATCTCCGAAATCATGGCAACCGGCGCAACTCAGCAACAGATGGAAGCCGAGATACGCATATGTTGTGTCATCCAAGTGAAAATGTGGCCTTTGGAGAACAAGGTACCACTTTCCACCAGTTCCATGATAGAACTCATCAAAATGACACGAGCGTGGAGGAAGAGGGCTCCAGACAGACCAGAGACAAAGCCTACTGTAGTCATGTCACAGTAAGTAAAAGCTTATTGTATATTATAAAATGATTTAAAGAGTTCCTCTGTTGAAGATGTTATTTTAAAGCTATCTAATATGGTTAATAATTTTAGTAACGGAGTCAGTAGATGTGGCATATTCATTGCCGCAAACGTATGTGTTGACCAAATGGATATGGACAACGAAGTAGATGTATTCCACGCAGTCAAGATGATTCGCATTAACAGACCTCAACTCATAGATATGAAAGTAAGTCACACCCGACCGTAAATTTGTATAAAGGTAACACTCTGTCTCGAGAAGACAATACTACCCTTTACTTATACCTACAACATCATTTTACATGACATTTCAGGATGAATACAAGTACCTATACGATCTCATGCTGCATTGGTACATGACCAACGCCGAATACCGCATCAACGAGCCCCAAGACCAACAAGAACTTGACGAAGACGAGGATGAAGACGACCTCGACCAGTACGCGGATGCTGTCGAAGATACGAACCTGAGTCCGCGACGACGCTCGACCCGAAGATCATCGTCACGGAGCCGACCGCGAATCGACACCTCCCAACACAACAACGTCAACAACCGAAGATCTCGTTCTATGATACGTCGAGAACCCGTGTATCTCAACGACTAACCATATCAGTCCTCTACGGGGGACACCCTTCAATTACATTCTCATTTTACTTTCCTTTTTAACTAACTCAACTTCACTTGTGCACCCAAACAATGCCACGTGCCTTCACTTTTATATTGTTCTTGTTATTAGGATGTACATATAAGTAAAATAAAGTTTCGACAACTTTTAAATCATTTTTTATGTCAGGATTTTGGAAAACTTAACAAAAATAAAAGATTTAAATCTGGGAGTAAAGAAAGGAATTAGCATCCCTCAACCAAGTTTTAAAACTATAACAAAAGTAATCAGTTCCGCCTTGCAACCTCGAGTTGTTGAATGGCAAAGTGATACAAAACGGGATTCCTTTCCTGTAACACAACTCCATTCTCTATAGCTGCTGAATACGCTGCTAACAACAAGTTGAACGGGTCTGTTAATGTAGCTTTGAACAACTTTGTCATCGAGTCAATGTTTCTACTGACATAACTAGTCACTGAGTTAGCATCGTCGAAAGATAATGGCATTTGTCTAACAACTTCACTATGCTCCGACCACAGTAATATCCTTATGGTCAAAGCATCACTTACGCTAACGTTCATGTAAGCCGGTAGTAACAACATCAAGGCGAAGTTACTGTCTGACACTCCAAACTCGGTATACCTCTTCAACAACTCTTCGTAACTAAAAAATAAATTTAAAAAAATTTTTTAAATAAAAGATAAAAGCATATTTTATACATTCAAATTCACCTAGATTGAACTTACAATGGAAAGAAGGCATCCAATCCTGATATACTTTTGGTCAACTTCATTGATAAAAATCCGCTTTCTGCTTTCTTTATCAGATATTCGTTGAGCAAACGGTTAAAACCCAATAAGACCGTTTCCTCTTTAAATGCCTCCGGGCCTAAAAAGCAAAAAAGTTTACAATACATTTTAGATATTATTATAAATTTAGGTAACGACTTTAATGCAACAATAAATTTAAGTTATTATCTGGGTAACATACCAAGCAAAAACAGTTCAGCCAGATGTACATAGACTTCTCCTGGTGTGTACAAAGTGTAGAACAAGGTTTTCTGTTCCTTCAACAATAGAACCGAAAACAAAATCGACAACGTCACTATTTCTATGTCATCTTTCGTCAATTCCCTAAATGTCATCATTTAATAACGGCAAGTATTTTTATATGCAACAAAGCAATATACTGTTACATGATAGCAACTTACCCTCTCTTCTCAAATGCATCAACGACCCTTCGGATCGGCATCAGACTCCAAGCTCCATCAAGCAACGGGTTAACACCATGACCAAACCTCTTTTCATGCTTTCCTTGTTCTGTCACACTAAAATAGTTTTATATTAAGGTCTCAAGACCATTACCAATTTAAATATACAGAAAAAACAACATAAATCACATTCAAAGCATAAATGCAACAACTCTAAAAACTTACAAATCTTCCAAGAACAACTGACTGATGTCATCCAAGCGTTTCCTAGCCAATTCAACTAATTCATCTGATTCTCCAGCATTTCTACAAACATAAACATATGTTTAATAGCAAGATACCTCTTTTCAAAATTATAAAAAAATATTACCTAAAAAACTGTTAAACTCACTTTGGACGGATCTTTAACTTTTCAAAAAGCACAACCATGTTTTGTTCCTGCCGTGGTAAGACAGCTTTCATATATTTAGAAGCAAAGTCCATGTGCATGGGATCCATAGCCAATCTCTCTACTGAATCCGCTGTTTCATGAGAATCTGTCACTTTATCAGAAATCACTTCCAAATTTTTAACTAAATTATCCTCAACTTTAGTAGTGCTGGTAGATGGCTTCGTCAATAGGCCTTGACGTTTTTGTTTGAAGAGAGATACTAAAAACATAATCATTTAGCTATAAAATATTAAACAATATCTTTAAAATACTTTTAAACTAATTAACAATTCCTGAAAGCTGACAATACCTTTCTCCGGCTTCCTTTCTGTAGCTCGCTTCTTTAAGAAGTCGATCGTCTCTTGGCTCAATCTCTCGTATATCTCTTGTCTGGCCTTTTCTATCTCATAATCGTCCATTTCCTTGATCCTCCTTATGTTTTCTGCTTCAATTTCATTGTAATCCTCTGCTTCTTCTTGTGGATTCACATCAAATATATCTAAATTGAAAACATTTCCAAAAGCTATATTAACATACCTTCTTTAACCTGCCCATTCAATCTCTCATATTCAGACAAAAATATACTTTTTCCAGCTAAACTGTCCCTTGTCTTGCTGTCACCATAATAAGAACTTAGATCCAGAACTGCAGGAAACCCGTCTTCTTGAGAATATTCTTCGATCCCATTAACAAACTCGAACCGTTCACATTTCTCTGGACAGTCGAAGAAGCCTGGGTAACGTTCCTAAACAATAGATTGAGTTAAATCTAACAAGGAATCTGAAGAAAGTATAACTATAAACACAACTCTACCTGAACGAAAGATACGACGTTTTGAAGAGGTTCTTCTACCACATCGTCTAGCTCGACATTGATCTTTCCTCTGTTTGGATCGTCCAATTTCACAGTATTGTATACTTTAGGCTTTCTTTCCTTGTTTTCGGACATCTAGAAATCTTAAAAAAACTGAAAAAACCTTGAATTTAAAATCAAAAAAATATTTACGAGTTTTTATTTCCATAATTTTTATCTTTTCAATTCGGACGCAGTCTGTCGCTGATCATCTTATACGATGAAAGATACAATTCAGTTTGCGCGGTTTGTTTTCCTTTAAAATTAAAATTTTTTGTTTCTGACTGCTGCATGCAGTATCTAACAGTACTATCAAAAAATTGATGTCTACAATTTTTTTAAATCGGTTGAGTAAAACTTAAGGTTTGACTTTTAACATTTAAAATTTATAATTTATGCTGATTTAGGTAATTTATACATTTATTAGATGCTTTTAATTATTATAGTGTTACAACTTTTAACTAGAAATTATTATTTTATTATTATGATTTAATATATTACTATGACTATCGGCTATCATTGGCACAGGAAAGACTATTTTAAACTAGTACAAGGTCTAACAGGAGTGAGTTAACTTGAGGTATGATACATACTATGAAGGAACATGGAATTTCTTAAAACAATCTACACACAGTCCTACGTTACATTTTCTACAACTAATCCCAGTGTTTTCTTTACAACCGACACAACAAGATTGACCGGTTCTCTCGGGCCAGTGGGACAACATGTCGTATCGACCGTTGATGTTGTTCAAGTAGTCCGCTTCCTTCGTATGTTGATTGTTCTGGATTGCTGAGAGTTGTCGTGATGTGGTAAAAGCTTTGACCAACTGGAAGTACGACTGTAGCAACATGTTGTTGATGGGAGGTTGCTTCTCGAACAACTGTGTGAACGAGTATGCCTGAGGCATAAAGTTGAGATTAGTCTTGTGAGAGTCAGGAGATGATGGGGATGTTGAACTTGATGGCGTAGTCATAATCTTATCTACTCGTCCCTAAAAATACTTTGTTACTGACAAAGAGAAAGATACCTTGGTGGCTGTAAAGATTAACATTCTCATGCACATAGGACCCGTAAAAGCTCCAGCAAACGCTTACAGATTAAACAATTTTGAGCGGATTAATTGTCAAGACTCCCGAGTTTGCAAATCCAAAGAAACCCGTGTTACCGTAACCCAGCATGGCCGAAATCGTGGGAAATACGAAGTGCGCAAACAATTTTACGACATACACAAAGCACATTAAAGACAGGGGTATTCAAGTATAAGGTACAGTAGAAAACCTACAGTATGCCTATCTCCTTGTCCCCGAAGTTCTTGGTACACATCAGAGTGCTTCAGTTTCAGATGTACCCACATTGTTTTAGTACTAGAGTCCCGTCGTCTTCGCAAGTCTGAACACAACAAGCACCGTGGCCCAGCTTCAGTTTTGGAAAAGTAATTCCACACAACAGACGGCATAGTTACAGTATACCTCTAAAAAGCACATTTTTAATTTGATACAGTATGTTCCTAAAACAATATAATATTATTCTCGACATTACTAGAAGTTAAACACGGGGCCAAATAAAAGGCGAATATATTACACAAGATTATTAGAAACCGCTACGCCGTCTTGGAAGCGAGACATCCGACAAGAAGACGGTCCAAGTGCGACTCCTTAATTAATGGCCGGATTTGCTGCGTTATCGGGACGCAACAGCCCCGGTCCCTGCGGGCTCCAGTAGCAGATCGTATGGCCAGATCTTCTGCCTCGGTGGCCAATTAGGGGCGGCTTAATATTTTATACCATTGGAGATAATGAGGAATCAAGGCTCGAGCTAATGCGACTTCAGGCGGGGCCAAATACGGAAACAGAAAAGCAAAGTTCTTGAAAGGTACAGTATGAATTAAAACAAGGCTTAGTGACCTACCAGCTTTTCTCAATTGGCTTCAAAAATTATAAAAGATGACATAAAGAAGACATACCAGAACCAGAAGACGAGCCTAATAACCACGACCTTCTCCATGCGGAATCAAAGAAGATCCGGAAACGCGGCAACCTCGGCCGGTCACTTCCGTATGCGTCGTTCGCACTTTTGCAAATAATGAGACTTGAAAGTTTTGTTCGGCGGGCCGAGAATTTCTAAAATCCAATCCCCCAAATGGGCGTCTTAAATGGGAATGGAGGCCCTAATAAGCCCCACCTTCGCTTTAAAGCCCTTTCTTCGTGTCGCTGACGCTAATCGCCCTTCAGCGGTGCAGGTGCAGGGCTATTTCCAGCCGGGTCGGGATAATCCCCTCTCCATATCCCCTCAGGGCAGAGCAAGATCAAAGGCCGAAGAACTAACCATGGCCAGGTAATTACCGACCAATAGTACACGGAGTATTATAATGATCAAAAAGCACACATAAGGCTTATTTTAAAGCATCAAAAATTTATGTTTTGGAACTTGAAAGCATTTTCGTAATCTGGAAAGCAGTCTGCAGCCTAAATTATGTCACCATTTTTTAGGTTTCACAAGAATAACTTGTTCTGTTTTAAAGTTTTATGCAAATTAAATATTTTTTTTTATTTTAAATGTTAATTCTACCCGTATCATAAAAAATATTTGATAATGCTAATTGTACAGTATGTGCAGACCGGCTAATCCTTGAAATTTGCAAAAATTCGTTATGCCAAGCTTTGTTTTCGTGGTGGGACTAAATTCTTATTCTGCTGTCGTGTCAAAAATATTATTTTTTCGCGGAAATCCACGCATTTTGAGATAAAATACTTCAATTATGTCTTATGAACTGGTAAGTAGTACATTTTGTGATCGTTATAATGTTGAAAATTTAGGGTTTGAACTCTCTGTACAGCGTCAAAGGTATTACATTGATGGACAACGATGGAAACCGGATTTTAGCTAAAGTAAGTTGTACTTTTTTAGAGTTTAACTTTGCGTTTAGTATTACGACAAGGAATTATTCCCAACACAGAAGGAAGAGCACAAGTTTGAGAAGAATTTGTTCCAGAAGACCCACAAAGCTAACTGTAAGTTATGGAGGTTACTTATGGATGTGTAATTAGTAAAAAGATAAGGTTTATTGTATTTTCTATGTTTTATTATAAAAGGTTATAAACACTCGCAATCTTATGATATTTTAGCTGAGATTATTCTGTTGGACGGTCTAATCTGTGTCTACCGCTCTAATGTTGATGTATTCTTCTACGTTATCGGCAGTCATCAAGAGAACGAACTGATTCTTGTTGCCGTTCTGAACGCGTTGTACGATGCCTTTTCGACTGTGTTGAGAAGAAACGTTGAGAAGAAGACCATCTTGGACAACATGGACTTGTCGATGCTGATTCTGGATGAGACCTGTGATGACGGTGTAGTTCTGGAGACAGATGCTCAAGCTATTGTTAGCCGATGTGCTTTGAAACCAGATGATCTTGCTTTTGGAGATCAATCTATTAGTCAGGTTGGAATGTCGGTAAGTAATTTGCATCTTACAATACATTTCTGAAAGAATTTGCTTTTTTATTACCTAAAATTTTAATATTTTTATTTTCAGCTCCTCGGATCTGCTAAGGACCAACTCAAGTGGTCGCTTCTCAAATAACTTATTGTCATAATGTGATAAAATTTTAATTTAAAATAAATTTTTTAACAATCTTCTACCTGTTTTACTTAGTTTGTTGTGGTGTGGTTTGTGAACCTTAAGTTACTTGTTCTACACGAATTTGGTTTTTTTAATTTATATGACAGATGGACGACAGCGTAATTGAAGAACAAGAAAACATACCTCAGTTGTATAAGAAGTCTAAGAAGCCTCAAATTGACATAGCCAAAGTTTGTGAATATATTGATGTAAGTGAAATGATTCGCTACTATATATTTTTATTAGGCACAAGAAGATGACAAAGTTATGGTGAAAAAGTACTCGCAATACTTTGATGAATGGGTCAACTATCTCTTATGCGGCTTTAACATAATGATTACTGGTCGGGGTTCCAAGATATCGCTACTTCATCGGTTTATGGAGTCGAAGAAGGTAATGAACGACAGTTTTATTGAAGTAATGGGCCATGAATCGGACGTCTCTTTGTTGGAAGCTTTCAAAGTAGTGGCAGATAAGTTGGAGATCGATGTGAGGTTTAAACGGGATTCTATTATCAACCACGCTGAGATCATTGGCAACGCCATTGAGGAGAAGAACAGCGACTTCCTTTTTGTCATTCACAATATTGATGGGCCGTGTTTAAGGTAAGAAGAAATTTGTTATACTTATATTTTTATAGAAGCGAGCAAGCAATGGAAGCCATTAAGAAGCTGGGTTCCTTTTCTCATGTCAAGATCATTATGACATTGGCTTTTCAGTACGGCGACATTTACTGGAATCCGGTACGTTCTTGTTTCTATAATTTTAAACCGTTTTTTGTTTTCTGATCTGTCACTCATATTTATATAAAGATTATTTCAATTTTAGGACATGAAGTACTCTTTGAAGCTGATCGAATACGATATAAACACGTACCGTATAGACTTGGACGAATTACTAGCTTTAAACCCAAAATTAGAATCTCACGGTGGAAAGAATGACAGTTACCACACACTGGAGTCTTTGGACATGATCTGGACGTCATTGGCCGCCAATACCCAGAAGATTTGCATCAAGTTGTACGAAATGTGGCTACAATCAGAGAACAGGGCCGTTTCTTTCTTTGAGTTGTTCACAGAAGTCCGCAAGAACTTTCTGACCACCAGTGAGGTCGTATTGAACACCCAGATAACAGAACTGAAGGACCATTACTTCATCTCGGTGAATGATGACAAGGTAATTACCTTTTTCGTGGAACCCATGTTGTTGGCTCAGTTCATGGAGGACAAACTTTCACTTTGATTAATCTCATACTTTCTCACGATCTCTCACATTACCATACAGTGTAAATTGAATACAAGGTGAATAAATGTAATTACTGTATAATTAAAAATTTTTGAAGAATTTGCGGCAGCGATTGAAAAATCAGAAAGTCATAAAATGAAACTTGGTGTTATCAGTCATATTCAGAGCCTCCAAAATGTTATTTTTTCCAAAAAATGAGCGAAAAGTCTATTAATTCGTAAGTGTTTGAAGTCGTTTTAATCTTACAGTGTAATGTCTAAACTTAATTTAAAATTTACAAATTTAGCATTGAAAAGAAGACTTCAATTGTCCTGGAACCGGGTGTAAGTGCAGTGAAAGAATCTATACCACAAGATGGGGTAAGGTGATTAATGAAATAAGTTACAAGTCCCCTCCAACTTTAACTATAATTTCCATTTAGGGTTGTACCATCATTATCAGGGTCCTTTTGGCCACACTATTTATGACGGCTGGACTATTGGCAATCTTGTATTCAATTAACAACGGTGAGTATACTAATGCTACTAGCAACCTTTTAAGCCGAACCTGATGAACATGAAAAGAATACGACAGTTGAAGGCTTCAATGCAATTTACAGAAACCAGATCAGCCTAAACGGAATCTTAACTATAGAAAGTAAGAAAAGAGAAGACAAAAATGTAGGTATTTCAGAATGCTGCGTTTTAATAATAAAACGCATGATAACATTCAAGCCTTGTTTATAATAACTTAATTCTAGATAGAAAAACATGCAGTACAATGGATACAAGACCATGACCGCCAATTCGTACTACTCAACATTTCTAATTCGGATAATGACTTTGTAGAGTACTTTGTACAATCAGACAAGATGTTCGTGCTAAACAACAAGGAATGTACCAACTCAAGTAATGTTTCTGGTTACATGGACTTTTTCGTATCTTTGGGACTACAAGGTTTGAAAAGTACTCGGAATGAAATCATTAAAGTAAACGATAAAATGAAGGAAGTCGAGGTCTACCAAGACAGACCGAGTCTCCACTTTTCGTTCGACGAATCTGATAATCTACCAAAATATGCCATTGGGTATCAAGGTGCAGAAAATGGTAATAATAAACAATATTTTTATATACACATTATAATGTTTGATATAACCCACTTATAAAAAACTTTTCAGGCTTGTTCTACGGTTGGCAGCTTTACTATGATACTGAAGAGTCTGCTACAGAATGGAAAGAATTCTGGTTCGAAGACATGAAACAAGAAGTCCCTAATCCTGATATCTTTTTCGATCTGTTAAAACGTTGTAGCAGGCTTTAAATAAATAGTTTACACACATCATCAGCTTGTTTATCAAACTTTATTTTTCCTTTTTTCAATTAATTTTCCATCTTTATCACAATGTGACACTTCGCCAACTCACTAGTGGTAATTCGTTCGAAATATTATTTTTTGTCGTTGATTTTCGGAAAGATTCTTGACAACTACACTTTATCGGATATCAAAATGAGTGGAATGAAAGGTAAATATGTTTCTTATCATTTTATGAATATGTTTATTTTTCTATAGCGTATTTTACAATTTTTTTATGCTCGTTTGGATTCTCTTCTTTTTTTTCATAGAATAAAGAACAAGTTTTTGTTTTCACTGCTCCCAGTAAATCCATAATATCGGAGAGAAACAGCGAACGTTGTCTTAATAACTTCATACCTTTAACTTTGCTTTTCAGCTGTGGTTTCCTTATCATTGGCCAGTGTGATCGGCCTTACGCTTCTGGTTTTGGCATGCACACTTCCTTCTGAAGGGTAAGTTATTGGTTTAGTTTTATAAAGTTTTAGAACATGGTGGCCGATGTTTGTGATCGTTTTCTACTTGTTATCTCCATTACCTTTATTGATCGCCCGCAATGTATATGAATGTGAACTCAACGTAGCATCTCCAGGAATTGAATTCGCGTTATTTGCTACTACTGGAATCGTATTCTCGGCATTCTCTTTGCCCTTCATCTTGGCTCACGCTGGCGTGGTAAGTAATGGATTTAAAGGTTATATTTAAATTGTTATTGTAAATAAGTAGTTGTGCTTAACTTTTCAATAGTTATTTAGAATAGTTAATAGGAGTTGTGCCCAACGTCCTAAGTATTTATTTAATCGTATATATTGGTTCTTGCGGTGGTTGATGTACGTATTGTGTTTTAGATCAGAGCTACCTCGGTTTTATTGACGTGTGTGGCGTCGGTGTTCATGTTTGGTACCGTTTACAGCTGGTTCAAGGTCAACAACGACGACGAATACTCGGCCAATATCTTCTAATCTGATAGTTGAGCTGTTTTAGATCAACCTTCTGGCCTACTCCTTCGTATTCTTTGCCAATCTCATCCTGTTCGCCACGATTTATGGTTTTACGTGTTATTTCCGTTCAGAAGAGGATAACTTTTCGTTTTGGTGATCTATTTATTCAACCGTTTCTTTATGTTTTGCACTTTGTACAGAAAAATAAATTATAATCAAGTACAGTTCGATAGGATTTCGAAGATAACATAATTAATTTAAAAATCAGTTTAAGAGATCATTAAGTTTATGCAGTAATACCGAATTTTCATTTATGTACAGTTTATTAATAAACTAATAGTTTTGGTTTTACCGGTAATAGGAACTAGGTGGAGCAAACTCCTCATCGCGCTTCTGTTCTTGTTCCTCCTTCCACTTCCTGTAATACTTCCCTTCGTCCCATTCCCTGATTCCATAAGATGTTTGATTGCTCTTGGAAGGCACTGGTTCTGGAGGTAGAGGAATATCCAAATATTGTGGTTCTGCTTCCGTAGTTTCTTCCTCTGATTCTTCACTTGTCGACGGAAGAGGAGACAAATTCATTCTAGCTCTGAACTTCTTTAGCTTTTCCCTGTCCATTCGCTTCTTATCACTCAATAACTTCTTCCTCTTCTGCCGAGTTGCTTCGGTTTGTTTTGACATATCCTTTATTTCCTTAATTTTATTCACCCTATCTTCCTCGTTGGTAGGCAGGAAAGCATGTGACGGACCAAACAACCGACCGGGCTCCTCCAATGGATTGTATCTATCAACCAATGGTGTAGACGTTTGTGGAAGATCTTCAGGTTCATCCTTCTGTTCATTCTTTTCTTTTTCACGCTCTCGTTCTTCCTAAATTGGAAATATTATGTAAATAGCATTTGACTTACCTCTAATTCTCGTTTTTTGACATTGAAGTTGACCAAGAAGTCGACATCTCGACCATCTTCATTGACCAGTTGTTCCCCACTTGTCAATCGTTCGTAGATTTTGGCTTTTTCTTCAAGAACCTTCTTTCTGCGTGTTGCATCTTCTTCTTCTTTCTTTAATTCGGCCGAGAGTTTGTTGATACGTTCTTGACGTTGTTTCTTATTCTCCTCCTTTAGCTGTTTATCTTTCTTGTTGATAGTAAAAATGCTTTTCTTGGAAATGTCGACAGTAACAGCAGAAGACTTCGCTTTTGCGATATTTTTTCGCTTAATAACTTCTGACCTTAAACTATATAAGGAGGACAAATTTGTTGCCTTATACACTGGTTGAGGCGGTTTCTCCTCTTCGTCTTCCATAGCTATAATAACAAAAATGAAATAAAACAAAGAATATTTTCAGTCCAAGGAAAAAAATTTAAGCCAAACTATAACTGCAAAAAGTTTCGAAAATATTTTATTTTTGGCATTCCGTCCTTTCTCAATCAGATTCAAGCCAATAATAAATCAACAAAGTGTCAAGATAAATGTTTATTTCCTAAATTGGTCAGAACTGATGTCAGTATTTCCGATTGCTAAGAAAGCCATCTCGCTGTGGTGTAACATCTTGGATTTGTCTGGCAACACTTTCTCCCCACTGTCAACGAAGTTCTTGTACGGAAAAACGTATTTCACATCTGCAATCTGAAAATGTAGTGTAATTTGGGGATGGAAAATGCTTTCTTACGTTTTCATAGTTTTTGGAAGAAGGAACTGATGTACATACGGTCATGAACTGAGTGATTTTGTTTTGGTTTGCCAAGTTAAGAACATCTTCCAGCAAGAGTTTGCTCAGCAAGGCTCTGAAATTGTTATACTTTAGTTTGAAATAACAGATTTAGAAAGGGTTGACCCATAGTCCTTTAGAATTTTACTTAAATAAGTTACCCTCTATATTCTGGCAAGATGTAGCCGTATTGAAGGTGTAGCACCTTCTTTGTTTTGTGGCATAGGAAGTTCGGAGCAATTCTGACCCATTTCTCGTAGTACACTTTGAGGCGAGCTAGCCGACGATCTGGACATCCCGAGCTCATAACTTGGTCAATCTCTAAAATCATCTTTTCTTTAATTCATTATTCACAGTTGGTAAATGATAATGGGAAAGTTAAACACCAGTGAATGATTGATTACCTTTCCTGTAATCAGACAGAATCTCAGCTTCCATTACATTGGGTACTAGATGGTCAATGAGGAGGTCCTTCGCTACAAGAGCACCGACAAGTTTGTTTAAATAAAATGCTAGCAACGTATATTCGGACTTCAGGGAATCTTTTATTTGCTCGGAAAAGTAATTTTGCATCAAATCTTCAGAAACGCCTGAAAATAAGCTTGAATAGTCAAATTGTCACTAAAAGGTCAGAGCCTGTTTTTTATCTTAACCAACTTTTGACATTTAGTTAGTTTGTTAGTAACATTCTTACCTAACCCCACAGTAACCGGTTCACACGAAGCGAATCCTTTGCTGAGGAACTGTGACAGTATTTCCGAATCATCTGGCCGGGCACGTTCGATTGTTCCTCTGTTATCGAACTGGGACACATACCAATGTGGACGGATGATATCTCTCGTCGAGGCAGTGGATAAACGTCGGATTGAGGAAGCCGCGAGCTTAATCATTCTCAGATTCACCCGACCGGTCGGCCACAATAATTTGGGAAAAATTAAAATTGGATTTATTATAAGTTAAATAATAATTAAAAGTTTGGTGAGCAAATCAGTGATAAATATATGTATAGTACAACGATGACCTGTCATAGTGTATATAACCATAGAACTCTGTAATTACATTCGGTCATCTCAGTTCGGGTTCACAGAAGTATTTGCCTGACACTACCTTCCGTCTGACTAGACTCAGCTGGTACCCAGAGTCGCTGTCTAGGTTGATTTGGGCGTTTGATGCGGTCGTGTTCGAAGTCTACAATTACAATATTAGTAAAGGTCTAATTGCTAATCAATATAATAATATGGAATGTGTAAATACGAAAATTGTAGATGCATATCTGCTTACCTGGAACTGGATATGTGTGTTTCGAGGAGTTGATGGGCCTGTTTTCAACTTTATCCTTGCCTTAAGCGATCCTGACGATCCACCGTGTCGAGAAAGCTCCGTGAATGTCCAAGTTAAGTATTCATTATTTCTGAAACAAAAACTTGATTAATTATTTTACTCAGCTGGAGTTTGTCGTGATTAAGTTAATTTTAAATGTGTACCAGAATAAACCTTAAAAGTCTTACAACTTGGCTTCAGGATCTGATTGTAAACTGTCGATTTCACCAGTGACATTCGTATCGAACTGGATGTTGATCAGCGGATTCTGAAGCGTCTTCTCACTAGGATTTAATTCATAGTCAATCCTTATATCAGTTTGTTTAGCATCAGTCTTCCAATATGCATGTACCAATAATGGCGCTTCATATCCGTCCACTAGTTCGTATCTTATTAACTAAATTAATAATACTTAGAGTTGTGTAAACACCTACATCAACATTGTAGAAGGAGGCGTTTGGTTTTGCTTGTCGCTGTTCTTGTAACCATGATGACAAAGCGGGCTTGTCCACGGTGAGAGCTAAGGAATCGTTAGGTAATTGAGGTAGGCTACAGTCAGGGAGCAGTTTCTTGTTAGGATGGACAGATTTAATCTGATTAGCATTTCTGATGGTGAATTTGAGAGGTTCTCGAGCATCCGTAGGGTCTTCTAATTGGGACAGGAACGATCCGGGAAACGATACCATCACTGTTCCAAACACTCGGACTGTTGGCCTAAACCACTAAGGTTAACATTGAATCGTTACACAACGTTGACATAGGTAAAGATTTGCAATAACTGATATAAAATGAATAAAGAAAAAAAATTAATTAACGTTAAAAATAAGCAACAACTATAAACTGACCCAGAATTTTTGAACCACGAATGAATAAACTCGTTCATTCCCATGGCGATCGGTATTTTAGTCTGCCGTGTAGCAGTTTGGGATTCGTTGAAGCTTAACGGAGAGCCAGTGTTCTGAACTGAATTGTCAGCAGACGTCGGCCATTGACTCAAGTTGGCCAAGGATCCTAACGATCCTATCGAATGGCCAATATTAAAATCATCATCGGGCAAGAAAGAGTCCTAAAACAAAAAACGAATATATAAGTTTGCAATTCTTAACTTTACACTAGATTCTAAAAAACGTAAACCTACCCTTCTATCCCTGTTTGGGATTGCAGGAGCTAGACCTGTTTGAGAAACGCTTCCTCGCGGCCTAGCTCTCGCAATTGAACTTCCAAAAGATGCTGTAGTTGACTGTGAAAAATCCATAGGGCCAAGTGCAGTCGGAAAATTGAATTCTGCAAAGATTTGTAATTTGAAGATGCAAATTACCTGAAAACTTTCTATTCATCTGGTCGTCTCCGGTAAAGGCCGTTCTTATCGGTTTCAATGTTGTGTTTAAACTTTGAGAAAACGGCGACTGAGCTCCTGAAGGGCACCATGGGTCCTAAATAACAAAAATTAAGATAAAAGAGTAACAAAACTGAAAAAAAGTCAAATTTAGTTAGCATTTATAAGTTCAATATACCTTGTCCAACGTAGAAGACCTTTGAAGGTGAATATGTCCGACAGCGCTCCTTATTTCGTCTACAGAACTGTTGTTGGTAGCTTTAGATTCATTTAAAGGCTTGATCTGTAATCCTTTGATCTTGGAAGTCTGGAACTCTAGTTCATCTTCATCAGAGGAACAACTTGACCATTTATCGTGACTATCAGTCTTCACTTCTTCAGGTTTAAGCGTGTATCCTTCTGCATCCAACATTGGCACAGGCGTGCCGTTCCCACTATGGTCGTTTTTGTTGTCCATATTTTCCTCTGATTGTAGCACATCCGATCCTGATGTGGCTTTTGACTTGATGTACTTTTTTAAGAAAGACCCTGCAACAGGCATAAAGTAAATAAAACTTTCTGTAACAAAACCAGAATTTGATATAGAATTTAATAAATATTCCGTATTTTAGCATACAAAACGTACCTTTATCGTTGAAACTAGACGAGTAGTCGGATGGAACAGCTTCCTGACTAGCGATAGTTGTGAGATTTGAGTGTGATGCGTGCTTCTTCCGCCTGAAACGACTTTCTCGTCTTTTTTCATTCATTTCCAGATGATAATGATAGATCGCCTTACCATTGTGTGATTTTCTGGCGCCCCAACCATGTCGAGAATTGTGGTGCAACAGAAGCCGTGCCTCCCGAACTCTGACCGTCCTCTTTTTCAGAATCCGTGTCCGACTTCTGAAACGTTTCGAGTATTCCCTGAGGACATTATCTTACCGAGACAGCCGAAGATTGCCATTGTGAGTTTAGAGAAAGGAGGTCGTTCACAGAAGGTTGAGGTGGGTGTTCTGGAGGTGAGAACACAATCGCTGAAGAGTTGGAGGACGATGGAGCTGACACTGAGCCCAATGGGTGTGTGGCTAAATCAATTTCCGCTGGAAGTTCGTCGTTCTCGTTCCACCTGACGACTTCTGAATAGACACATAAGTTTATACATCAATATTCTTTTATATTACTTCTGTCAACTCTTAAGAAGAATACAAGTCAACAAACAGAAAAGTGACTTCACTTACGAGGTCGCTCCGTTCCTGTCCCCTTTTCCTCAACAAATCTCAGCATGATGTTCTCTATGTCAATCCTCTCGATCGACTGTCTGTAGTCGGTTGTCACTTGGCTGATTGCGCTTTGAGAATCATCGATACGACGGGCGAACGTGATCAGAAATGCCTTAATCTGATTCAAATATGCTTGATCAAAAGACTGAAATGCTCTGGTCGACTTCAGCATCTTCTCCTCGAAGTTGTCTCTGACCGACTGGTACTTGTCCACGTAACCCTTGTACTCGTCAAAAGCCTTTGTTAACTTGCTCTTGGCTTTGTACAGTTCTTTAGCACCTGCGTTTTCATTTTTCAAGTTCAAAACTTCGCCACATCGTTGAGAATAGGTTTCCTTCGCCTAAACATCCAATAACGAATGACAACATAAAGTTTCAAGCTTGACCAAAAATACATTACAAAAATACGTGAAAACAGAGCACAAAGAATTAAAGATACCTTTTGCAAACACGTTGTCGTAGTCTGCATTAGATTCACAGCATCAATTACGTCCTGTTCCTTGAGTTTCTTCCTTGATCTCACGAGTTCGTCATGATATTTTACAATTTCTTTAGACAACTCTCCCAAGTTCTTCACCAACATTGACTGGATTTCAGAACACAGCTCCAATGTTCCTTTTGTCAACTTCCAAGACTCCACAAAAGCACCGTTCCCAGCAATAAAGCCATTTACCTAAAGCAATATATTATTACCTAAAATTCTTGGTTGATTCAAAAAGCTGCTATAACGCTTAAAACTCCACCAAACACAACCACCATGCACCGTTTTAATCCTTTTTCTATACGTAAACAATATAAATAACGTACTCTGTTGATATTCTTCTGGAGAAACTTCAATGTTTCCTCTTCCAGCGATATCCTTTCCTTAACAAAAATGCTCAAATCTTGCACATTATCTTCTCCTTTCTTTATGTTTTCGTACAATACGTGAAATCCAATATGTCGATCACCCTAGAATGTTAAATACAAACAAAAACGGTCAACTTACCCAGAAATGTTCAGCATAGTCGATCATAACCATAATTACATGAATTCACAAGTAAAATAACATTAAATTAGTCCAAATTGACTGATATATAGCTATATTCTATTAGAAACACGGTTACTACAAACTATTGTACAATTTTTTGTCTTCACAATTATTCTCTTTCTAAAAAAACGGATCTCTCTTATTGACTTTCGAAGCGAAGTGTCAAATAATATCTTATCAAAACATTTTCGAAGAAGAATTTTAATAACAATTCAGATACGATTTATTTTGAACAAAAGGAACAATAATCTGAATGGGTTATTTTTGAAGCCTTCTATTTTTGTAGAATTTCTTTGAGAAATATGTGGGTAATCTCGAAGGTCTTGGTTTAGTCTTAAAAAAACAACTTTTATTTGCAAGCTTTAAGATGAGGTGAATGGTATACTAAAACCATATTATTATACGGTTTGTACTTGTTTATTTTGTACTGTAAACTTTTTAAACTTAATTTTTTTTAGCAATGTTAACATACATCTTTCTCTTCTCTGTCAATTCTTGAGTTCTGTTGTGCTCTTTTGTATAATACGTTATTTTCAACTGTGCTGATCATCTTAACTATGTAAATGTGTTGTATAAATTATGTTTGGCTATGTTTTGATTGGTCTTTGCAATTGTTTATTTAGTTTTGTTTAAATGGCGATTTGAATCTTGTGACCCGTTTTGAGTGAAGTGATTAATTAGTTTTAGAAGGTATTTCCATTGTAAATCTACCCGCCAACTGTTCTACGTATGTTTACATAGTTATACTGCGCAGTAAGAGTAAAGACGGGCTATTACGTCTTGCAGTTGACTTCTTGACCAAGGTGATGGTCGTTTGTTGGGTGATATTGTAGTTTTCTACAGTTATAAAATAATATAAACAACATTTTACATACTTACATTGTTTGTTCAGCTAAGCTTCTGGCTGTTATTGACAGTGATTGTTAAACTATTTTTCAAGTTTGACACCAAAATGTCTTGGTTTGTCTGAATGTCAAAAGGTTATTCTGTGGTTGATTGTTATTACATTAACTTAATGAGTTATGGAAGTCGCCTGCTGGAGATTAATTTCCTCGTGGAAGCGATTCTCCTGTTTTTGCGCACCTGTTTAAAGAGAAATCGAAAGTTTTCGCTTGTTATCCCTCATTTCATGTTATTTTACGTTTGAAGGCTGCTTTAGTCGAATGTGGTCAATAACTATAATATCCTAGTATTAACATTTTTTAAAATCTTTTGTTTTTTTACTTATTTATGCATTAGTTATCTATTTTGTGGTGCATTAAGTTAAAATGTCTTAAAATCATTTGCACTGTACAATGCTATTTGTTATGCCAATTTTTACATTTTTTACTTTTTTGGATTTGATAAACGCATTTGATGAATATGTACTTTATACGAGAATGGCTACATCGTCAATTAAATTTACTGATATAATAATATGGTAACTTCAGATGGCACACAATCATCATCAGCACATGGAGATGAGTGAACAAGGACATGGCATGCACGGTATGAACATGCACTCAATGGCATTTCACTTTGGATCAGAAGAAACAATTCTGTTTGACTTCTGGAAGACGTCTTCTCCATTGGGTAATTTGGGTTTCTTATATAATGTTAAGTTGAATTTAATTTGTAAGTTGTTTGAAAGAGTTATTGATTATATAAATTTGTTGGATAAAGTGTTTTTGTAATTAAAATTACATTTTGTACTTGAATTTTAAATCTATATTACTTATGATAAGTATAATTAACAACTAACTAGGATTTACTGCCCTTTCACAAGATCGTCAATGTTGGTTGTTAATATCACTGCTTTAGGCCTAATTCTGTCATGTCTGATCGTATGTTTTGGGTGTATGGCGTTCGAAGCGTTGGGATGGCTCCGGCTTCACCGTAAGAACGTGCGAGCTTTGGTCGAAAGTCAGGTGCCACTTATCGGTCGACGAAAGTAAGTTAGTGCAATTTGGTATTAAGTTTACGATTTGTGGGAAAGGGCAATCAAATTAGGACCTGGCTTAACAGTTTTGTAAGTTGTGTCAGGGGAGCGTTCTCGAGACTCTCGCCCACTTACTCCGATTCCTTTTATGAGACAATAAACGTTGCTACCTGTTCTTTATCTATTTATTTGCTCAGGCTGTAACAATTGTCGTACATTTTGTCATGTTTTTTGTTGTTTTGACAATGATCATGAGTAAGAACAACAAAATGTTTTTAGTTTAAGTAAAAGTTTGACTTTATGATGATACTAACTTAATATGACTTCAGAATTGACATTGGACTGATTGCTGACACTCTCATCCATGGTGTCCAATTGCTCCTGGGTTACTGTGCAATGTTGGTGTTCATGACATTCAACGTTTGGTTGTGTTTGGCCGTTGTCTTCGGCATCATCTCGGCTCATCTAGGATTCAGAATTTTCGTACCTCAGCTGGATGCCGTACCCAACTCAGTATCGGAACCGTGTTGTTAATAGTAGACATTCAGAATGTCGTCGTTCAAAATCAGAAACATATCAGCCTTCAGAACTTACTTTATAAGCATCTTTACGGGGCATTTTAAGTTTACAGTGGCACGACTACAGTATTTATGGTTTAATTTTTGGTTCTCAAAGAACATATTGTTGTACAGACTGGTTACAGAGTGAATAAAGATTGTATCTACACCATTATATATACACTGTAGTTTGGAAGAATGTTTTGAATGGCTTCTGAGGGTTGAAAGGATTCAGGAGACGGTAGATGGAGTGCAAAAAAGTATTTTAAAAATTAAAAAAGTGCAAATAATGATAAAGTTGGTTTGGGGTGGTTAATCTTTGACTCCTTTACTCGCTTTTGTAACTGTTTGCGCAACAAAGCCCCCGAAATGGCAACTCAGCCATATTAACCATGATCACAAACACTCGGTATGTTGTTCGTGATAAATAAGGTTGTGTACATGTGACAATTAACGTCATTTACTTCTAGTGAACTATGACATAAAGGTTTGACGAGTGATTTCATGATTCTACAATCAGTTGTACACGTTCCTCTAACAGTGTGATAGACACCTTCATCCCATTTATACCCCTAAAGTGTCCTTATTTTTGTCAAAACTGCATATACCTACGACAAACAATGTCATTTCTTGATAAATAATTTGTTGTTCTCCATTATGATAAATAGAGTTAAATAAAGGTCACGGCCGCAGGAACGGCACGGCCACTGACACCCGGAGGTACCCTCTTTAGATGCAACCTCTGATTAAAGTCTGTAACCTCAACCTCACACGTATATAGATACCGCTGCAATCTTACTTTTACTACAAAAACACAAAATTATTCCGCTCAATTGGCTACGGTTTTTACAATCGGAGGCCAAACATAACTTGTGGTGGTCCGAAGGTTACAGCTTTGTTTTAATTATGGCTGGGTTGGGCATGTTCTGTCTTTGAGTGGGGCTGTAATCGACCAAAAACAAGACTTGTCGACCTTTTCTTAAACTTTAGTTCGAAATTACTTTTAAATTCGTATAAATATATAGCTAACACAATCTTTTTTACCTTTTTCTTATTTTTTATACTGTATTTTACAGTACGATGCCCATTTTTAGAGTACTAACATTCATTAATATCTATCATGCTCTTGTAATCGGTATTACAGTAGTTTACTGAGATATTTCACGTTCTGCAGACTTTGTTTATTCTTGTTTTTTACTATGTATTTATATGTTTATTTATCTGTTTATAGCTTGTTATTGTATACAAGTTTACTAATAAACAACTAACCATAGACTTCCATGTACTGGTCGATTCTCAAGATTGTAAACCTTATGCGACTAGTCGATTCTCAAGCTTCTAAACCTTTGAAGCGGACTTGTTTACTTTGAGTAGTATTTTGAAATGAAAATCAGATTTAACATTAGAAGGTATGACTAATTAAGGGTTATGAAACCACGTTACAGTACTTTTAAAACTCAAAGTACTGTAACTTTATAGTAGAATATATTGTACCTTTACTGCAACATTCCCCGCGATGTAACAATATGTTTATTCAAATGGTTTTTTGTTTGTAATAAGGAAAGTAATTTCGTTTTAGCGACGAGGGCGGGGCCGGTAAGGGTGGGGGTTTCAAGGGTCCCTCGATGGGAAGGCCGTTCTTCCCAACGTTCCGTTTCTTAATTTATGAAAATATGAAATTTGGCCTTTAATCCCAAGCTGGCAGGACCTTTGTCACCTTGTCGCCCAACTTACGAGAGTAATCTTTTTTATCTTTGCCATCTTGACTGCCTATCACTGTGGTGCCGCGAGACATTACAATATTGTTTATCGCTTAGAGTCCATCTATAAACTTATTTTTATAGTGTTAACTTCTCATTTACTGCGGCAGTAATTGTTTTACCACCTCGTTTTAACTGTAGGACATCTCCAACATGATTCATTCGATTTAAATTCCCGAGTTTAAAGTGCTTTAATTGTAGTTTTGGTTCTGGAAATTAAAACAATTTATTACTCAAACCTTTTACATTATCGCTTTGATGGTTATTACGCGTCGAACATACGTTGGCGGGTTCTATTTTAAGTTAAGTGTAACTTTTACACTGTCATTTGCACTTTTATATTTCTAAATTGTATTATTTCGGTCGAAAAGTTTGTAGAACCGCTTTGTATTTAACCTTTAATATTTGATTTTTAATATTTAAATTCATTTTCTTAACTAAAAAGCATTATTATAATGTTGTTTTAGGTTCAGAAAGCCAGGATTGCCATTGATTTGGGTGTCCTTCACACAGCCTGAGGGCATGAGACGGGTAATCTTTTTTGTGGGGTTACTCTCGACCCTTCAGGCCAACCAATTTATACCTCAGGATCTCAGTAAGTCGTTTACTTTATGAAATTTTTACAATTTCTAAATTTTAAAGTCTCGAAACTAATATTATACTATATTTTGAGTCATCATTTTACTGAAAATCTTACTTTTACATCAAGGTAAAGTCGTTATGTCACTTGTATAAAACTTTTGAAAATTAGGGTCTTATTTAAAGTGTCATTGTAATATGACAGATGAAGTGTCATGAAGTATGCAGAAAGCTGGTCACGTAGATCAACATTGTTATCAGCTAGATCTTTTTTATGTGCAAAGACAAGTTTTTTACCAGGGAAGCTACGGGCAGTAAAATGACAAAGTTAGATAAACATGACATTGCGCAACTATTACAATAACTATTACAATGTTGTGAATATGCTAGATGCATAAACAAAGTAGAAAACAGAAATACTTTGAAAGCTAGAGTAATAATAATTTAAACAAAGTTCAAATTTTAAAATTTAAAGCTTCACATTTTAAAATTTAAAAGTTTAAATTCAAAGGAAGAACCCTCTAAACGAATGTAAATGTAGTTGTGAAACTCCCCAAACAGACACTTCAGAGTAACGGGTTTACTTTTTATTGTTTTACCGTTAATTTGCGTAAGTTGGAACAGGCTTCTGAAGTTTGCGAGAGTAGTGTAATATTGTCATGTGCGCTGTGTAACAACAAAGTATATCAATAATTATGATTGGAATGTTTATTAAGTGTTAACTTGGCGATTAATCAGTAACTGTCTATTACTTTTTGACGTATAAATAGTCAAAAGAAGTGAGAATTCCATGAAAGTAAACATTAAGTTGTTTTACCCTAACCATAGTCGTATAAACCTGCACTATAGTTATATTTACCTTAACGATAGACCGTTTCAAAGCAATATAGATGACGGTAATAAACGTTTTGTTGATTTAAATTGCAAAACAATCAGTAACACTGATCTTTTAATTGTTAACGTAACATATATCACAGTAAGTAATCACATGTCTGTACCATGGTGAAGATAGACCCCCAGCCGTAGGTGGTTTTTACAAGTAACATTACTGCCTTACTATTCTATTTCTCGCCTTACTTTCGATTGATTGATCGTTTTCATCCTGAAAAAAACAAAAAAGGTTCCCCGCTTAAAGGCACCGCTACTATTTAACAATTTAAAGAGAGACACGAGTAGTAAATAAACCTGTAAATAACAAAACATATGAATAACAACCTTATTAATGACACAGCCATGTTTTAACCAAGTTATTTCCGCAATTAAACTCTTTTTTTATATCGAAAATGTCATAAAAATGTGACAAAAGTTGCCTTTAAGTGATGGTAATTTTATGCCAAAAAAATGAATAATATTCACTCCAAAATTAAAGTGCAAATTTCAGAATGCGACACAAATCAACTGTATGGAAGTGTCGGAGTAGAAAGTACGGCCAGAGACAAATGGCTACTAGTACAAGTAGGACAGCTGAGTCTAGAAAGCTGTGTTAAAGCTTGTTTCGAGTACAGGTACTGTTATTCAGTACGGTACGACCCTAAACACTTCCGGCCTTGTGGATTCTATCTCCACACTTCAGAAGGCTGCCAACAGAAGACTTTACAGCCGATCAAAGACATTACACATGGTGAAGATACCATCATCGTGGAATGTATCAAATGTACAGACAGTAAAAGCGGTCAGTTACGGAGGGTACCATACTAAGGCTTTAAAAAATATTATCGTAAAAATTATATAGATTCAATGAAAAGCTTCAAAAAACTTTAAATAACACAACCTCAAGTAGTAGTTCCTAAAGTCTTACTGTCACAGCAATAATATTTTCTTTCCAGAAGGCCCGCAATACGGAGTGAACTACATAAAGCGACAGAACCGAGCAGGTACAAGTGAGTATCTTCATTTCCCCTAATTATTATTTTCTTTTCAGCCATCGAGTTCAACCCCAACGCTGATCCAGGTTGGTACCATTACCTTTTAGCTTTGTTTGGTACACTTTGTTCGGATTGCCGTTAAAATTTTGTTTTGGGAATGGTAGACTAACAAACGCTTTAAAATAAGCCCACTATAACATTTTTGGCCTTCATAAATAACTTTAAAGTCTAAATACACCATTCGACTATAAAAAAGGAGGAAAGTCTAAATTTAAACCTAAAATGCTAATTTTAATTCTTTCTTCCAAGCCTAAAATCTTAAAATAAACCACTTGATCTTTGTCACTCTCTTGCACGACAGTTGAGTCTTTGCATTCAAATGATTCACAAGTTTGTTGTACCTAATTTCCTCAAATTCTTCCCATTCCTTTTACCGTTTCTCCAAGGTTAAAGTAATTTCCGTTCTTTGAACAAAATGATTCACAGCACGCCACATTCTAATTAAAGTACTTGTTAATATCTTCAGCGTTTACAACAACATTACCCACAACCTTTAAGGCCATCAAAGGTAAGATACGACAATGTTGTGTTGGCGTTTAGAATGTGACGATGTTGGAGGATTCAGAAGAAAACAGAGGTTCTAAAACTGACTTTGTTCTCCATAATATAAGACATTGAAACAAACTTGCCTCTGCTATTGTCAGTCAAACTCTAATTCATAACAAATTAGATATGAATGTTAAAATACTAACTATAAAACAGTGTGAATTTACAAATTATACCCAATTATAAGCCCATTAATAGAAAACTTTACAGCTTCTCCACAATTAGAAGTTAAAGCTCAGGATTCTCCTTTGAGTGAAGACTTTTCTGTCCTGGATCAACAGATATACAAAAGGTCATGTTTGGTGACATACCAAGTCTACGAAGACATCGACTCTCTCGGATTCGAAACTGACAAAGAAGCTTCAGTTAACAGGTAGGTTGAAACTGTGCGAAACAAAATTTTGTTTTCTTTTTCTTACAAAATTATTTTGAACGAAATGCCGCAAATGTAAAGATAACGAAATGTTAATTTAATTATTTGATCGGCGAAAAAATATTTTATTGACGGAAATCGCGATTTTTGAATGAGGATTCTGGCAACCTCTCCAAAAATCTTAAAAGATGCTTGTTTTCTAAAAAGGCTATGAAAGCCATGAATCTAAAAGGATATTTTGCTGCTCGCTTATCTCCGTCGAGCTATGACAACATGAAACTGGAAAAAATTAAAAATTTCAAAAGCAACCGAATAATTAAACCAAAAACGGTGCTGAAGATCAAGCCTAAGCGGCTAAGCCTATTTTTTCAGCTTTTTTGGAGAGGTATACATAATGTCTAACTTATACCGCTACTTTAACGTATTCATTTGATTCTTTCAGTGTGAATGAATGTGCTTTCATCTGTTACCAAAACTCTTGTTCTGGAGCCATTTTCGAACCGCCTCAGGGCACAGAATTGGGAGGAAAGTGTAAAGTTGTGAGTAGAAAGAAGGAGAAGTGTGATGCATCTCTACAACGACATTACTCCTACAAAACCAAACAATCTGTGGGATTGTCCTGCTTCCGTTGTGTTCACGAACGGCCGAGCACGGTGTCTCCAGACGCCAAGTTGATAACGTCAACTATCAGTTCACTTGTGCCTCCAGGGGAAACGGAGACCGAGAAGCAGGATTCTCAGGACTTTCAGGATTCTATTCATCTGGTTCAGTTGTCTAAGGGTATGGTTTTGTATTATTGTTACCTATTTTGAGTTTATATTTATGTTAATATTAAAAGTAATGTAAAATAGCTAAAAGTAATGTTAATATGATTGTTTCTAGGGTGTACTATTCACTTCCAAGTTGACAAAATTGAATCGCGACCTTTCAAGTCTGACTTTGAGGAGACAGTTGAAGTTGAAACAGCAGATATCTGTGCCACAAGATGTTACCAGAATGGTTGCACTGGGGCTTTATATACGGCTGAAAGCAAAGAATGTAGACTTGGGTATGAAGATAGTCACGTGTGTAGTTATGGCCCTCTGATTACTCATTTTGTACCCGCAAAGGCTTCTGATGGCGTCTGGATTCATTGTGTTAGTTGCCGTAAGTCTATTTTAAGTCTATGTGGAGATACTAATTTTTAATTTGAAAGTACTGTTTACATTATTTAGTAAAAATATTTGAGTGCTTGATTTTTTAGAGACTACCGTACCTCGTAAGAACTCGTTGTTCGCTCAAAAGGCTACAGAAAAGCCGCTACAGATTTCGACCACTAAAATCGAGTCGTTAATTGAAGAAGTTACTAAAGCTTCTGTTGAATCTACAACGGCTGAGACTGTGGAATCTACAGTAGCCGAGGAGAAGGTTGGGAAGCCAGTAGAAGCCGCTACGGTATCTCCAGTAGAAGAAGCCACTTCTAAATCTGAAGTTATTGAACAATCGACTACTGAATCTGAAGAAAAAACTACAGGTAGTCACTCGGAACATACTACAGAAGCTTCAGAGGCTACAACGATTGCTGTGGACAAAGCAGTGATTTCCGAAGCCTCTGTTACCGAAGCGCCAGCTACTGAAGAATCTCATACAGAAGCCGAATTCCATCACGATCTGGAATCTGTGACAGTAACTGCAGAGTACAAGGTTCAAACAACTGAAGGTACTGTACAGTCGACAACTCGACTTCCACAGTCTGTAGGTACCGTGCTTAAGAGTGAAGAAGTAAATGAAGATGAGGTCAAGAAGGTCGAAGAAGTGCATCAGAAGTCAAAGAATACAGAAGACGTGGAAAGCGAGAAGGAGAAGGTAGAACCCGGCCATAAGCCTGTGTTCATCACTGAAGCTCCAGGAACCGAGGCTACTGAGGCTGCTGAAGCAACTACTGAAGCTCACGTTACCTCAGAAGTGACATCTGGAGAAGGTAAGATAACTACAGAAGCACCAAGCGTGACGCTTCAAGAAGGCTACGTTAGTGACGAAACACAAGAATCTCTGTCTTCTATGAAGGCTACAACTCCGTCAACTGAATCGTCTTCAGAATCTAACGTCGAGAAGACTACCGTTGTGTCAACAGAAGCTGAATCTACTGTAATTAGTGGTGAAAAAACTACTGAATCTCCTACAGAATCGGAGTCTACCGTTGCCGTTGTAGGGGAGACTACTGCTTCTACAGTTGAAGCTACAACATCTTCCGAATCCATCATAGACAAAGTCGTGAATTGGTTCTCGACCACTCCATCATCGGAAGAGACTACTGGAGCTTCAACTGTAAGTGAAGTTGAGGAGAGTAGCGAGAAGCCATTGGCTGAAAGTGTTGGCACTACTACAAGCAGCGTCACGGAATCAGAATTGCAGACTACTGCTACGATAGAAGAGACTACAAAGACAATTCCAGTAGAAACACTGATGCCTGAACAGGATGAGAAGGAAGTTACTACCTCTAAAACTGTAAGTCAAACACCAGAGGAACAGTCAACCGCTGGAGACAAGGAAGCTACAGTATCTGAAGCTACATCCGCTGTTGAAGTCACAACTGTAGCAACTGAGGCTTCTGAGTCGCCTTCTATACAGGAAACTACAGTAGTTTCAGTGGTGGAGAATACTGAAGAAACTCATGAAGTAAAGTCAGAAGATCAGCTTGGAAGAACCGGAGCTACAGAGGCTCCAGAAGAGACTACTGCTGAAGCTAGCAAAACTACTCCAGTAGCCACCACGATACAGGAGTCAAACGACGAAGCTACAAGTGCTACAGTATCAGAAGAGAAGGTAGTTGAATATACAGACACTCCATTGGGCAAAGGAGTCGAAGAAACGACAGAGGCTGCAGAAGCTGCTACAGTGGCTTCAGGTGAAGTTGTACAGAATGCAGAAGCTGCCAAGGTCGAAGGAACTTCAGAAGCAAAGGTGAACGAAGAACAGTCTACGATAGCTACAGGAGTAACTACAGAAGGTATTGAAGCTACAACTAAAGCGAACGGAGATGTTACAGAAGAAGGTGTTAAGACTACAGGAGAAGCTACTGAACAGACTACAGTAGCATCTGGAGCAGAATCGTCAACGGAGACATCTACAGTAAAAGAAGTGATTACCATGGAATCTGCTTTAAAAGAATCTGTGGAGACGACAGTGGCTACGTCAGAACAACACGATGAGACGACAGAAGTGCCTGAATCTGCTTCTACGGTCGAAAACGAACGAACGACGGTAAAAACAGAAGAAGCCACGGTGAAGCCTGTCGCAATTGAAATCACTACGGTAGAAAATGCTACAGAAGTAACAATTGGAAAGATCAAAGTAGAAGTTGAAGAGGAATCTTCTACGGTGGCGTCAGAAATATTGACTACCGTTCAAAGTGCTACAGAACTCAGTGTAGCGGAAGAAGCTGGTGTTACAGAAGGCATTACTAAAGAAGCTACTGAGTCTGTAAAGACCGAAGAGGAAGTTACCATAGCTGGAGTTACAGAAAAACAAGAAGTTATCGTGGTTAACGATACGGCTACGGAACCAAGTGTTTCAGAAACAACAAAATCAGAATCTAAGGCTTCTGGAGCTTCGGCTGAAAATGCAGAAGTTGTTGAAGCAACCACGATAGGAGTGATTTCTGAAGCCAGACCAAGCCCAGAAGAGCCGAACATTGAGGAATCTACTGTGGTTGCAGAAGTAAACAGCACTGTCGCTTCCGAATCAGTCAGCACGGTGGAATCTGTAGCAATCACCGGTCAGCCTTCGGAAGTCACAACTGAAGCACCTGTCACGACAAAAGAGGAGGCTAGAGAAGAAACCACTGGTAGCACTTTGGCCGCAGACAAGACTACGGTGGAGGGTTCAGAAGCTACTACTGTCGTCGGGGTTACAGAAACCGTAGAAAAGGTTGAATTTAGTCACGATGAAGCCAATCACAAAACTGAAGAAGCTGAAGCTACCACACAGGCTACCGCTACAGCGACTTCTGGAGTTGAAAGTTTGTCTTCAGAAGCCACTACTATCAAAACTGTAGAAGAATCAGTAGCAAATGTTACTGAACCCGTTGCTACCGTGGAATCTGACGACGAAGGTAAAAGGGTAGAAGCCACGACGGTGTCTACTGCTGAAGAAGTTGCGACTACAGTACAGTCCATTATAGATACGGTAACAGGCTGGTTTACTACCACTGAATCTCCAGCGGAATCTGTTACGAAAGAATCTGGAGCTTCTACAGTAGCTACAGTTGGAGATGCGACTGTAGTAACAGTTGAAGTGACTACAGAAGAAACAGGATCAAAGGTCACCACGGAAGAAAAGGAATCTGAAGTTGAAGCCGTAACAACACCTTCTGTAGCTGAAACTAAAGAATTCGAGCATCCAGAAGCCTCCACGGCGTCTGAAGCTAAAGAAACTTCAGCTACAGAGGAAGCTCTACTTGCTACAACGGTAATAACTGCATTGTCAGAAGATAATCAGACTTCTAGCTCGGTAAAGGAGTTTACGGCTGTGGAACCCGTACCTACAACAACGATAATTGTGGATGTTGCAAAGACTGAAGCTACTGTATCTTTTGCGTCAACAGAAGGTGTAGCCGGGGAAGCTTCAGAAGCAACGACGATCGCTTTCCAGCCAACTCCAGAAGTTGCGGCAGCTGAGAATGCAACGTCGGAAGCTGAGTTAGAGTCAAATGCTTCAACTTTGAGCTTTGAACCAACTCCAGAAGTTGCTACTGTTGGTGAAGCTCTGACTACAGAATCTTTGGAGAACGCAACGTCAGCTAGCAAGGAAGTGACACCAGAAGCTGTTCCAGAAGCTAGTACTGTAGCTATTGAATCGACCACAGAAGTCGCGCAAAGCAGCGATGAATCTGTTACTGGAGCTTCAAAAGAAGTTGTTGAATTTGTGACAACACCGTCAACAAAGGAATCTGAGGAGAAAGAAACAACTGTGGCTACAGAACCTGAAGCTACCACAGCAGTCAACGAGGGTACTACAAAAGTAGTTGAAGAAGCTACTGTAACAAGCAAAAGCAAGGATGAAGATGTAAAGAGTGAGGTTACTACAATTGTCAGTGAAGTAACAGAAGTCAATAAGGTTTCCGAAGGCTCGACGGTTGCTGCTACAGAAGAACCGACAACTGTAGTTGTAGTAGAATCTGAAGTCACTCCGGAAGCACCTGTCCTTCAGAATAAAACTCACGATCTGGCGACCGAAAATGAACAACCAACAGAATCTTCTACTGGTAATGAAGCGACAACGGTAGCTTCAGAAGTTGTTGTTACAGAAGAAGCAACTACAGTGAATTCAGAAGCTGTCGTGACCGAAGAAGTGGCGGAGGCTGAAGAATCAGCAGAAGCCACGACGGAGAAAAGGGAGAAAAGTGAAAAGGAGACGACGGTCGAAGGCGCTACGGTACAAGAAGTAAAAGCAACTACAGAATCTGAAGAAGAAGCTGCTACAGTTAAGACTGTGGAAGAGGTTACTACACTCAAAACAGAAGAAGCGGCTACTACCGTCTCATCGGAATCGACCGGAGAAACTCCTAAAGTGTTATCTTCAGAAGACGCTGCTGCAGTTGAAGCTGAAAGTGCTACACGAACGATTTCAGAGGGAAAATTGACAACAGAAGGGGTTGAAGGCACTACAGTAAAATCAGAAGGTAGGGGAATGACTTGGTTTATGTCTGTAAATTACTTAAATTTACTTTTTAAAAATTTTTTGAATTTTAAAGTTTAAATTACTGTTTTTCAGAATCGGAAGCTACAACTGAAGTACCGAAAGTTACTGTAAGCGGCGTGGGAAGTGCTAATGAAGGTGCTGAAGAAGCTACTACAGTTGAGAAGACAGAAGTTACTGGAAAGGAATCTGAAGCAACAACTACTGAAGCTACTAAAGTAACGATCGAAAGTGAGTTGGCGACTACTGTAGAACCTGAAGTTGTTGAGTCTACTATAGAAAGTGAACCAACCACAGTTAAGGCCATTATTGTTGAGACTATAGAGTCTACGGTAAAAGAATCAACTCAAGGATCCGTGGAACTGACTACTGTAGAATCAGAAGCCGGTACTACAGTGGAACCGATAGCTGGTACTATTGTAGAATCTGTCTCGTCAACTGAAGTCCCAAAGGTTTTAGTTAGTGGAGTTGGAAGTGCAAATGAAGGAGCTACTGAAACTACAGTCGCTTCAGAAGAGGCTACAACAGTTGAGAGCGTGGAAAAGGAAGCTGCTACAACTGAAGGTACGGAAGTGAAAGTAACAGAAAGTATAGAAGCTACAACATCAATCAATTCACAAGAATTAGCTAAAGAATCGACCGTAGAATCAAGTGTAACGACAACAGAAGGTGTTTCTAAAGAAGTTTCAGAGTCTATAACATTGAAACCCATCGTTATTCCAGCTACAGATGCTATTAACGCCACAACTGAACAGTCTGTAGAAGCTACGACAGCAGAATCTGATTTGGCTACAGCTGAAATCAGTAAAGCGACTACGGTAGAAAGTAATGATTCTGAAGCCACAACGTTAGGTGAGTCTGCGATAAAAGAATCAACACAAGGATCCGTGGAAGGGTCTACTGTAGAATCAGCAGCTGGTACCACAGCAGAACCGATAGCTGGTACTACTGTAGAATCTGTATCATCAACTGAAGTTCCAAAGGTTTCTGTTAGTGGCGTCGGAAATGCAAACGAAGGAGCTACTGAAACTACAGTCGCTTCAGAAGAGGCTACGACAGTTGTGAGCAAGGAAGAAGTTGCTACTACTGAAACTACTGAGCAGAAAGTAACCGAAAGTGTAGAAGCCTCTACTGGAAAGCCAGAAGAGTCTACAGTAGAAGTAGTAGCTACAACAAGGTTAGGTGTTCAAGAAGAAACAACGGGAGAAGTAGAAGCCACTACTGTACTATCAGAAGCAGTTACTAAAATTGAGAAGAATGAAGAAACTATAGTACAATTTGAAGGTATATCTCCAAAGATCTTGGCTTCTGAAGACGCTTCAACCGTTGAAGTAGAATCCACTACTAAAGTGGCAGAACAAACAACTGAAAAAGAAGCTGAAGCCACTACAGTAATACTACATGCTTCTGGTTCGACTTTGGAAGTCGAAGTTGTGACGGCTTCAGGTGTCACGGAACAAAAGTCGGCATCAGAAGCGGCAGACGCAACTACTGAAGAAACCAAAGTGGAAGCTTCAACTTCTATCAGCGAATCTGCAAGCACGGTGCCTTCTAAGAGTGTAACGCCATCTGTGTTGCCAGAAGCTACAACTTCAGAAGAAGTTGTTGAAACCACAGTTCAACCAGTTTCAAATGGCTCATCGTTGGTAGAAAATGGCACAATTGTAGCTGGTGCGACGGTGTCTGAGCTGAACGATGAAGCTACAGTTGAAGTAGTAGCTACTACAGAGAGTGTAGCACAAACAACAGAATCACAGGTCAATGAAGCTACTGTAGCGACAGAAGGCAGCACAGTTATTACTGCTCAATCGACTGAACCGTCGGTAAAAGAAGCTACGCCAGCATTTCTTGAAAGTAGCACGGTAATATCCGAAGCAGTTACTACAGTGGAAGCTGAAGCTACAACTGAAGTACCAAAAGTTACCGTAAGCGGCGTTGGAGCTGCAAACGGAGGTGGTGCAGAGGCTACTACAACTTTAGAAAGTGCTACAACTGTTGAAAGCAAGGTAACTCTAGAAAAGGAAGCTGAGGTTACTGAAGCTACGAAAGTTACAGCAGAATCCGTAACAAGTGAGGCTGCAGAAGCTACTACTGAAAAAACAGAAGTATCGACTGTTCAAGTTGTAGGTACAACAATATCAAGTATTCAAGAAGAAAAGGTAAAAACAGAAGGCACAGAAGAAGCTACCGGATCAAAAGTTGGTGCTACAACAGAAGCATCTACGCAAGAGTCGGCGTCGGAAGCAACTAGTATAGTATCTGGCGCAGAATCTACAGTAAGACCGATTGTAATGTCAGTTGAACATCCAGAAGTTGCTCAGAGTAACGATACCGAAGTTTCTGAAGTCCCCGTTGTGGCTACAACTGTTTCTGAAGAAGCGACGACGGAAAAGGTCTCTACGGAGGAAGAATCACCAAAGTCAACAGTAGAAGTCGAAGCGACTACAGAAGTACCAAAGGTTTCTGTCATTGGTGTTGTAAGTGCAAATGAAGGCGCTACTGAAGCTACCACTGAATCTGCTACGACTGTTGAAGAAAAAGAAACTACGGTAAAGGTAGTTGAAGTAACTACCGAAGCGTTAAACGCTGCCTCTTCTGAAGCATCATCAGCAACCACGGTGGAATCTTCCGAAGCCGTAACGGAAGCTAAATTGCCAGTTACAACCGAAGCTACTGTTGTCAATGCTACTGGAATTGCTTCACAAAATGACGAGGCTACGGCGGTTACTGTAATTTCTGAGGAAAAGTTAACAACTGTTAAAGTAATCGAGGGTTCAGAAGCTACCACGGAAAGTCCAGCGGTTAAAGAATCAAGCAAGGAATCTACTACAGTAGGAACTGTAACAGAGGAACCGATTATGAAGGAGACGATCGTGGATAACCAAAAAGGAAAAGAAGGCACTGTAGGAGAAGCTTCTACTACTGTGGGTACGGTGGAAGTCTCAAAAGAATCTACAAAAGGCGAAGAAGCATCTACGGTACCAACGGTAGAAGAAACTACAATTTCATCGGAAAGTGCTTCTGAAACGACCAAAGAAGCTGCGGAAGAATCCATCGCTACTCATTTACCTGACTCTACATTAGAAGCTGTCGAATCTACAACAACATCACACGTTCAAGAAGGTACTGTCGTGCCGAACGTAGAGTCAACGACGGTGTCAGAAAGTGTAGCAACTGAGGAATCAACATCAGAAGTAACCTCTGGCATTGAATCTACAGTAAGACCGGTTGTAATGTCAGCTGAACATCCAGAAGTTGCTCAAAGTAACGATACTGAAGTCACAGAAGTGCCTGTTCTGTCTTCGACGGCTTCTGAAGAAGCTACTACTGAAGTTGCAAAGATTTCTGAAAGTGGCGTCGGAAGTGCAAATGAAGGTGTCACAGAGGCTACGACAATATCAGAGGCGGCTACGACTGTTGAAAGCAAAGACACAACTCTCAAGGAATCTGAAGCTACTGGAGTTACCAGTGCTGAAGACAAGGCTACAACAGAAGGAGTCGAGGCTACTACTGTGAAGTCAGAAGTTTCTACGCTTGAAGCAGCGGTGGTTACTGAATCAAGTCCTAAAGAAGAGAAATTGACGACAGAAAGCCAAGCAGAAGCTACGCCTGAGATCGTTACTACTGTAGAATCTGAAGCAGTTTCTACGGTGGAATTTGAAGCTACAACTGAAGTACCAAAAGTTACTGTAAGCGGCGTTGGAAGTGCGAATGAAGGTGCTACTGGAGAAACTAGTGAGCCTGAAGAAGCCACTACAGTTGAGAAGACAGAAGTTACTGGAAAGGAATCTGAAGCAACAACTACTGAAGCTACTAAAGTAACGATCGAAAGTGAGTTGGCGACTACTGTAGAACCTGAAGTTGTTGGATCTACTGTAGAAAGTGAATTAACCACAATTAAGGCCATTGTTGTTGAGACTACAGAGTCTACGGTAAAAGAATCAACTCAAGGATCTGTGGAAGCGACTACTGTAGAATCAGAAGCCGGTACCACAGCAGAACCGATAGCTGGTACTATTGTAGAATCTGTCTCGTCAACTGAAGTCCCAAAGGTTTCAGTTAGTGGAGTCGGAAGTGCAAACGAAGGTGCTACTGAAACTACAGTCGCTTCAGAAGAGGCTACAACAGTTGAGAGCGTGGAAAAGGAAGCTGCTACAACTGAAGGTACGGAAGTGAAAGTAACAGAAAGTATAGAAGCTACAACATCAATCAATTCACAAGAATTAGCTAAAGAATCGACCGTAGAATCAAGTGTAACGACAACAGAAGGTGTTTCTAAAGAAGTTTCAGAGTCTATAACATTGAAACCCATCGTTATTCCAGCTACAGATGCTATTAACGCCACAACTGAACAATCTGTAGAAGCTACGACGGCAGAATCTGATTTGGCTACAGCTGAAGTCAGTAAAGCGACTACGGTAGAAAGTAATGATTCTGAAGCTACAACATTAGGTAACAAAGAAGTGGAGATAGAGGCTACAACCGTTGCGGCTACAGAAGAACAAAACACTACAGAAGGCGAAGAAGCAACAACACCGTCAGCCTTAGAAGTTACGGAGGAAGCTAAGACTACGGTGATAATCTTAGAAGAACCGATTAATGAATCCATCAAAGTGGAAGATGCTATCTTGTTTACAAGGCTACAGAACGAGACTTCTGAAGCTTCTACTACATCAAAGCCGACCACAGTACAAGCTGGATTTACCACGGTGGAGGCTACTGAAGCTGTTACGGATGCTTCGAATATCACAACAGAAACTCAGCCAGAAGCTACAACAGAGTCTGTCAAAGAAGGTACTACAGAATCCAGTGTTACGAAAGAAACTGAAGAGAAAACTACAGTAAGCAGTGAGACTACCACAAAGTCTGTATCTTCATTTGTTACTGAAGAAGGGGAGAAAATAGAAGAAGTCGCTACTGAAGCTACAAGCATGGCTCCAGAATCTACAGAACAAACTACAGTAACGCTTCAGAAATCGACCGAGAGAACTACTGTAGAAGGAGCTTTTCTAATCGGAGAAGGTAAAGATGAAGAGGACGAGACAACTACGGTAGAAGTTGTAGCTACTACAGAAAACACAGAAGTTGTCATCACTACGGAAGCTGGAGAAAAGGCAGAAGTGACTACAGAATCTCCGGAAAAAATGGAAAAAACTCAAGGTTTCGAGAAGGCACAGTCGGAAGAAATAGCTGAGTCTACAACGGAAAGCAGCAAAGAGACTACGGAATCTGAAGTTGAAGCTACAACAATATCAGTAGTTTCTGAAGCTAACGAGACAGCTACGGCAAAGGCTGACGAACAATTTCAGGGTAACGTAGAGCCAGAAGCTACTACAGTTGCTGCAGAACCGGTCACTACAGTTCTCACTGAAGAGTCTACTACTGTCGGTGAGAAAGTTACAGAGGCAGTAACTGTTGGAAGTCAGGGTAAAGAGTCTACAGAAGCTGTAGAAACAGCGTCATCAACAGTTCCTGAAGCTGAAACCAGTGCTGAGAGTGCTACAGAAAAGACTGTAGTAGTAACGACAGCTTTTACACCAGAAGGAACGTCTGTAGCAGTCGAACATCAAGAAGACGAGGTAAAAACAACAGAATCCCCAGAATCCTTTACTCAAGAAGCTGGTATCGAGATTTCTTTTGTTGGAACTACAGTAGCATTCGAAGCTACTGAAGGTACGAAAAATGAATCACAGTTGGAATCTGAACCTGTAACGGAGACGGCATCTAAGGCTACAGAAAGCGTTGAAGCTACAACAGTGGAAGTTACTACACAATCTGCTGTTGAAAGTGCTACAGAAGCTAAAGTCACGACTCCAGAAGCGGCTGAAGTCACTACAGAAGGTGTTACTGCAGGAGAAGAAACAGTCGAATCAACTACAGTTTCAAAGACGTCTCCAGATGTTCAGAAACAAGAAGACCTTATCACGACGACAGAAGCTGAAGCTTCTACGGATAAGGGAGCCGAAGAGTTGGAACAAAAACTAATTCACGATGAACAAAACGTGGAATCCACCACGGTTTATGAAGAAGTTAATGTTACAAAAGCTGAATTTAATGTAGAAGCTACTACATTGTCTGATGAAGCTCAGACAGCAACTTCAAATGTTGAAGCAACTACAGAACATGTTGCTACGGTGAAAGCGGAGCCTGATTCTTCACCTGAAGTCACGAAGGTTGTTGCAACTACAGAACCTGACACTCTTCTTGAACAGAAGCCTGGAGAAACAACTACAGAAGCGGCCAAGGAAGAAGTTGTTACGGTAGCTGAAGGCACAAAGTCAGAAGAAGCTACAACGGTTTCAGAGGTCTCGAAAATTGAAGAATTAACAACGCCTTCTGAAGTTACAAAAGCTAAGGAAGCTACGACTGTGGCTATTGAACTGACAACGTTAGAACAGATTCTGGCATCTACTGCTTCTGCAGAGCAAACTTCTGTAGAGTCTGTTGAAGCCACTACAGAATTTGCTACGGTAGAGGAAGAAAATGTAAAAGTAAACGGTAGCAAGGTAGAAACACAAGCGGATGCGGCTACAACAGAAGTTCCGAAGATTGAAGTGACTACGGTTGAAGAGCATGGTACGACTGAAGAGACTAAGGTATCAGAAGGCACTACTTCTGAAGCTAATAACGAAGTAGAAGCAAGTACTGTAGCGAGCGTCACTGGAGAAGGAAAGGAATTGGAAGCCACAACACCAGCTGCTACGGTAACTCAGAATATCATCGTATTCAACAAAACTACGATTGAAAAGACTGAAGAAACGACGGAAACGCCTTCAGAATCCACTACTGAGTCTGAGGCTGAAAGTACTACTGAAGATAGTAGTATTGTGAAGGCTGTTAGTGAACTTGTGGACATCTTAGCTACCCAAGAGAGTAAGTATTATCCTTATTATAGACATGTTTGAAAGTTTTTATGGCTTTGCAACCCAAATGACTGGTATATTTTGCAGTCGGGCATGTATAGTAGGTATAAATCAGATTTTTATTTTTAGCCACGCTGGAACCTCCAGTACAAGCAGTATCTGAAATTGTGGATACTTTAACCAACAACAAGAGTGTCGAGTCATTGATCAACAAGAAGTTGCCAGCAGGTATGGTGCATAATTAAATATCATTTCTATCACAAAATTTTAGTTTTTAAAATACTTTGTTTTGCATAAAAACCAAGGACTACCTTTAACTTTAACTTTTCCTGACCAAACACCTTACTAATGACAACATTTCAGGATGTGAGGACAGTGGAATCTACTTCACGGCCAAAAAGTTGGAAGACTACACTCAGACATACGAACTTGTACTGGCGTCGAACTCGATCAGGTCTTGTGTCAAGTCATGCTTGGAGCTTCAGTGTACGAAGGCGGCCTTCACCAGATTCCCCAGACGTGCTTGTCTACTACACTTCGAAGACGGTGCTCCATTGTCCTCAAGTTGTGACAAAGACTCGTTAACTCACTCGTGGAGGATGACAAAGTATAATGAGGTGGTCGAGATCACTTGCATTCAGTGTGGTATGTCAATGTGGATATTGTTTAGATCTATACGTTACCCTTGTTTTACAGTAATTTATAACTTTAACTTGTACAGGATTTTATTTTACCTTAAAGGCGTGCTTTAACATACTCATTTTGTACCACTCGTACTACAGCTATCTTTTTATGGCAATTTATATTATTTTAGGTGAAAAGACCCAAAAAGACCAACAGCTCAAAGATGACAACATTGTAGAACCTCGGTTTAATGGCATTGTGAAACGACAAGGTATGTTATCATTACTCGTATATACACTTTTACTGTAGGATTTTCTGACAAATGTGATGGCAGAGTTGAGTTCAAACTGTTGGCGGTGAACAAACTGCCAAAACTAAATGTAACTAATGATATTGCGGCTGACACTCCAGCTGATTGTGCTAAGAAATGCTTCGAGACTGTAAGTTTATGTGTTATGTAATAGCTTATATATCATAATAAAATAGTAAATACTAATGTTGTAGTTTGGATCCGCAGAAGGTAAATGATGTTGTGGAAATTGTAAAAAATACTATGTTAATGTAGATGATATGATAACGTCTGTTTTCTAAGAAAAGTTAACAATATTAATATGTTATTGTAGGAAGGATGTACGACAGCTGGCTTTGTCCCTATCTCGAATACCCAGACTGGACAAGGTGTATGTCTGACTACAGTAGATGAGAGTAAATGTATCGATGACATCAGCTACACTCCTCAACATGCTTCTACTGTGCCGTTTGTTATCTCATGCATCAGATGTTCTAGTAGGTTTAAAATTCAATTTTTAAAGTTAAATCTTAAAATCTTCGAAATTTTTTTTAAATTTTGTAAAGTACGGTAATTGATACTGTAGATATTTATAAATAGTACCATTATGACGCTACTTTCAGAATGCAACTACCAACTGACCCAACTAACTTCGAAGAATCACAACAAACAATTCGACCACAAAACCACAACGAACACAGTATCCGAGTGTGCGGAGTACTGTAACGAGCACCGGTGTAAGTCGGCGGAGTTTGATCCCTCATCGTCGACGTGCTTCGTATCTTCGCAATCGGCCGAAGATACGAAGTGTCCGCGGAACGAAGTCGCACTGGAAGTGAATGGTATCTTCCCAGTGCGCATCGACTGTGTACAATGTTCATAGACAATATCCTCGTGCCATAACATGACATTCGTATTTAAGGCTCTTTCATGTTACTGTATATTTTAGATTGCTACGGTTATTTTGTGTAATTATAATAATAAACGTGATGTTTGTTACTGTGGTTAACGTGTTTGTTGTCTTCTATATGTAACAGTAAGGCAATGATATCTACCACAATATGACCAATGGAATCAACGTGTATAATGTGCTTTACGTGGACTGATCTTAGTTTAAGGAGAATGGTTTAATGCATATCTTAATGTCCGGAAGGCGACGGCCGTGGGCGTTCATTCCATTCCCAGATCGGGCCAAAGGTGGGGCCAGGGAACGGTGTTTAAAAGAGTTCCACTGAAGTCAGTCACACCGTTCTCGAGTTGTTCTCGTATCAACAATGATTCTCCAGGGCACCGTTCTCACCGTGCTCGTCGTTTTTGGTATGCCTCGCTTACTGTAGTGTTATTATTTAATCTTTTTACGTTTCAATAGGTTACTGTAGTTTTACTTTTATATGTTTAAAGTTTTGATGGATTACTGTAGTTTCATTATTTATATATTTTGATAGTTTACGGTAACGATTTATAAATTTTTTTATTTTTTTTTAAAGTTTAATCTACAAAAATTAATATTTTGTTACCTAAATTAGGCTTTCTTAACTTGATTTTACTCAAATTTTTAAAACTTTAGGTAGTGCTTTGTATGTCCCTCCATATGGTGCCCCACCACAAGCCTCCACAGTCGCTCCAGCTCCAGTAAATGTAGCCCCAACTACCACGCCTAAGCCAGAATACGATTGTTCCAACAAGAACGGTTACTACACTCAACAAGCTTGTGGCCCAGTCTACTACTACTGTAGCGGAGGTAGGTTTATTGTATAAAAAAACTTTTTAAGTTTTTTTTTATTTCTGAATTTTTTAAAATTAAAAGTTTTTTATTCTGAGGTGGGTAAAATAATATAAATTAATATAGTGATAACTATTTCAATGTATAAACCTTTTCAGGACACACCTTCAAGCAAGTATGCCCTCCAGGCACTGGCTACGACGTTGTAGAGCACGTCTGTGAGTACTTGTCCTTGTGCGGTAAGCCAAGAACCACTACCACTGCCGCTCCAGCCCCAGTCAACGTTCAGCCAACCACCACCCCATCGACTGAATGCGTCGGCCGTCCAGACGGCATCTACGAGCGCGGAACCTGTCAGAACAGCTACCTCCATTGTGCCAACGGCAACGCCTACCCATTGGCCTGTCCAGCTCAGCTGGCCTACTTCAACGGAACCTGTATCTATGTTGGAGACTGTTTGAGGTAAGAAGTTCACATGTTGTAGTTCGGTGTATTTAAAAAAATTATTTAAAAACATTTTTTGACTATAAAATTTGAAAACTAGACTAAAATTAAACGTTTTAGCCCATCCACTACAACTGCTGCTCCAGCTCCAGTGAACGTTGCTCCAGTCCCAGCCTTCAACCCATATGCTCCACCATCCCCACCCCCACCAGCTCCAGTTACTGCTCCACCAGCCCCAGTCAACGTCCAGTCACCAGCCCCACAAAACCCATACGCTCCAGCTGCTCCAGCCCCAGTAACTGCTCCACCAGCTCCAGTCAACGTCCAGCCACCAGCCCCAGCTCCAGTTACCGCTGCTCCAGCTCCAGTGGCTGTTCAGCCACAGAGCCCATATGGTCAAGCTCCAGTTACCCCAGTTACTGCTCCACCAGCTCCAGTCAACGTTCAGCCAGCCACCACCACCGTAGCCCCAGTCAACTTCGACTGTACTGGACGTCAGAACGGTCAATACAGTAACGCCTGGTGCGGTCAGCAATTCTTTGTCTGTTACAACGGTAAGTAAATGAAGGTAACCAATATTTATATTGCATGTAATGAATGCTACTTAGTATTATCGCATTACAGTAGGTATAACTCTTCATTTCAGGTGTCGCCTATGCCGAGAACTGCCCAACTGGAACCGGCTTCGATGTTGCCAACAACCAATGTGAATGGTTGGCTGAATGTGGTAAGCCCAAGACCACCACCGCTGCCCCAGTCACCGCTCCACCAGCTCCAGTCAACGTCCAGCCACCAGCTCCACAATCCCCATACGGTGCCCCAGTAACCGCTGCTCCAGTGGCCCCAGTTGCTCCAGTAACTGCCCCACCAGCCCCAGTCAACGTTCAACCACCAGCCCCACAGTCTTCATACCGCGCCCCAGTTACCGTAGCCCCAGCTCCAGTCAACGTTGCCCCACAGACCGCTGCTCCAGTAGCACCAGTCACCGTGGCTCCAACCACTGCTGCTCCAGTAAACTTTGACTGCTCCACCAAGACTGACGGATACTATGGTCAAGGTTGCAACGGACAGTACTTCTCTTGTGCCGCTGGCTCTGCCTACGTCTTCGCTTGCCCTGGCTCACTGAAGTTCAGCTCTCAGGCTTCACAGTGCGATTACCCACAAAACATCCCTGAATGTGGAGGACAACTCCCAACTACCACTGCTGCTCCGTAAGTTTCATAAAATTTACAATAATATTAATTCTTCAAACAATATCCCCTATAAAGTATTTATAAAGTCTATAATCTAAAATAAACATATAAGATCTTTTAGAGCCCCAGTCAACGTAGCTCCTTCTCAACCAGCCCAACAAAGCTACAGCCCAAGCTCGGCTCAGCCAAGCCCTGTCCAACCAAGCCCGGTCCAAACTGCTCCAGTGAACGTGGTCCCAGCCTCGCCCTCCAACACCGTAGCCCCAGTCGACGATGACAACCTCTGTGCCAACTTGGCCAACGGTGTGTACGGTCGTCGCTGTTCTCGCCACTACTTCGTGTGCTCGGCCAACAAGACCTACCAGTTCACTTGCCCTCAAGGCTTCGCTTACGATCCTGAGACCAGCCAATGTGCACCAAAAGGACAAGTCCGTGTCTGTGCCGCCCTCACTTCGACCACCACCGCCGCCCCCGCCCCAGTGAATGTGGCCCCTCAACAGCCCTTCAACCCCTACGCCGGCTACTAAGCAGTTACAGTGATATCGTTGTATTTTATACATAATTAACAATAAATTTGAGTTATTAGTACATGACCAAGAGATACCGGCTTCGTCGCGACTACAGGATCTTCTGAATCCTCGTCTAAGTTCGTTAGCATTAGGCTACATTTTAGTTCTTCCTAAAGAAAGCTACTGTAATATACTTCAAAATCATATCAATATAGCCGCTAAGGTCTAAAAGTAACTACAAAAAGATACCTTGACTTTCTGTAGATTAGATACCATGACTCTGAGGGAAACGCCTTCATCGTCATCTTCACATAACTTGGCCTCGTTGGCTTCAATGTCATCAGAGAACGTAATGTAAGCAAGATGAGATCGGGCATATTCACTTGGAGCTACGGCTTCATCCTTCTCCCCTTCCGTCAGATCCCCCACGCTACTGAATATATACACCATGTTCGTAAACTTTCCTACGAAACTGAACCAGATTGTCACGACGAGCTTCTGTTCCTTGAACTCCACTCTGACTGGGTCTGGCAACTCTGCAATAACACTTTATTTTAGTTTTACTTCAATATAATTGTAAATTTAGTTTTAATACCATTTTAAGTCGCCAGATATTTAAAATTACTTTTTTACACTACAAAAGTAACATACGATGAATCATCTGCCAATGACAATTGTGATGATAATGCGAAGTCGTGTGTCCAGCAGAATCCAGAGGATCATGCAGACTCCTAGGTAACGTGAGATTACTCGTCAGTTCAGGTACTTGGACATCCCTGACCTTGTCGTCCTTTTCCACATCTGTAAGTATACATAGATCATGTTATGTCCACAACTATACTTATAGTTAGGTTGTAACTAACAATTACGTATACACATCGTATGTTTATGCTAATACACCATTGTATGTCTATGTATTTATGTACCTCGAAAGACCTTCCTTAACATGTCGAAGATGGGCATCTTCCGTGTGATTCTGTTCTTGAGGTACTTCATGAATACTCCGTTGCGTTCTCCTTTTACTTCGTATGCTCCGACACCTCCACTTCTACAACAATATACTGTATTATTATACTATGATAAAAAATACTTCGCAGTTACACTTACGTTGCATAACCATACACAATGTTTCTACAAACTTTGAGATCACGTTGAAACTTCTCAGCGTACGCTGTGAACTTGTCTATGTTCGTACTGAAGTATACATTTGTTATTAAAAGTATTAAAGTACTAGAGCAGTTACGTAGCATATTAGAGTAGTTATGTAACATTATGTTTTGCCAATAAATAAGATTCAAATAAAACCTTACGGCACAAACTTGCGACAGATGTCCAGTAGTACCAAGTTGAGAGCTGGAGAGTAGTCTTTGAACACAGACAACACCCAGTCCATAGAAAGACAGTCTTCTGGTCCATAATTCTCAGCTGGAGCACCAATTGGAAGTAGATAACATTGGCCGTTAGCTTGGAAACCATGCCCAACAAAATAGAATATAGCTGTAAGTTCATCCTAACATTAATATAAAACGCATATTATTATATCATATTAAATTTTAAAAAATCCATGAACACGAAAAATAGCAAAATTTTGCCTATAAAGATACCCCACTGTAACAGCTCTGCAATTACAATGACATACCATAAACATCGTTCCCCAATAACTTCCGGTACTCTGTGATAAAGAACTTCATCTCCTCCAAAGTTAGGTCTCCTAACGTCACTGTCTTGAACCCCATCTGTTGAAGATTCTCTGCCAACGTCTGAGCATCACAATGAGGAGTCAGCAGGTTAGACATGTTCGGAGCATACGTCCTGTTGCTTATGATTAAGGCAACTTTATCAGCAGCTACTAATATTTGTTGTGCTGAAGCAATAATATCATGTTAATATTAACATAATTTTAATTTTCAACTAAGTAATAAACTTTTATACATCTCTCCATGTCTCTGCCAAACTTACTGCTCATCATAGGATCGTGCACGCCTTCCACTTCAGGTACCACCCTTTCGTTCACACTGACCCCATTCATGTGTCTATATATCTCCGCCACCATGTTCTGAGTACATATTTCACATCCCGCAGCAGCAGAATCCAAAGCAAACTGTGTGAGATCAACAACATCTGATATCAGCTTCGACTTGAACTCTTTGTTGGGCATACGGTAGAAGGAAGACCAAGTCTCGCCGTCTGGTACTTCGTTGAACACTTTACATTTGAAAACGTTCCGTGCTGTACATGAACATCTAAATTAGTTCTTATTTTCTCTGAACTTCATGACCTCTCACTCATCTAAAATTCAAAAATGATAAAACTAAAACCTACCGTAATATAACGAGGGATTGATTAGTAGCTCCATCAATCTCCTTATCCTCCTCGTACCACTGATAAGAAGGCGATGGGAACGAGCTGGCTCGACAATCCAGCTTTACTTTGTTACCATCTCCAATTACCGTGACAATAACTTGCTCATTCCGCGCCCATATCACAGGCCCTGCAACAACATAATCACCTTACAGTATACTTACTAAACTTTCTGTGCAATATTAACTGTGGTCGGTCCATAACAGCGCCATGTTTTTTAGCCTAAACTATTTGTTTTAGAACTTTTTTTAATTCTTTGATTGAAATTAAAAATTAAAATGCGACTTTAATTTAATTGTTTCTTGTTTTTATGTCACTTTGTTGCAGTTTAATTATGAATGTGTTTAACCGTCAATTATACATGTTTACTAACCATCGTATGCAGTTTGAGTATGAATTCCTTGACCGTCTGTCCTCTATGGCCGAGAATCCGAAGCAGATGAGAGCCAGGCTCGGGCAGTCTCTTGAGTCTCTCCATCTCGTCTGATCTGTTCGTATGCCATAATTGGAATAACGGACTTACCGTAGATGGTAGACCGTGTCGTACGGGTCATTGAACAGACTCTGCCATATGTCGTTATACTCCAGGCTCCTGGCCAATTCATTGAACACGCCAAATGGCAGGTCTGCTATGTTGGTGGACAACTGATACTCCATTACCTTCAACACTCAGTATAGTTCTAGAGTTGTTTTATTTTTGAATAGTTTTTCGGATTAAAACTACGGATATTTTAATTATAAGAGTGGGTAAAAGGGAATTGTCCAGTTTTTATGTGAAAATTTGGCCAAATTAGCCAAGTCTTGGTATTATCTCGTAAAATTTAGCTTTTTTCCAGGAAATCTTTTTAAAAAAGGTCTCAATGCATTTGAACCCTTGAATAACAATGAAAAGGTTTTGGCTTTTTTGATAAAATTTTTTTTTATTTCGAAAAACCTTTTTTTGGACAAAAATAATATTTTCGAGTTTCTTTTTTCGTTTTTCAAAAATGAAAACTCGAGAAACACGGAAAGCCATATATCTTCCAAATATGTGATCACATATATGCACCCATCTCATTTGTTCTGTTATATTCGCGGTTTCTCTCTGTTCCTCTCCTCGTTCCCCACGCTCTTTCCGGTCGGAAACAGAGTCGAAAAAGAGCGTCACACTCCAGTGCGCACCAGCTGATGGGTCCCTCAGCTGAGTGGAGATCCGAGCTCCTTTCCTCCTTCTCTTTGCTGTTGCGAAGGCCCTGGGGCGTCTCCTCTGAACAAGCCGGAGAAGGCGAACGACCACTTCTTCTGCGTCTTCCGACCGGTTCTGGACTCCAGTTAACAAAAAGACCCCCCTTTCTTATTCCGGCCCTTCTACCCCCACTAGCGCTCTCTTCCATCCCGTGACACGCTTTTCTCTGATACCCTCCAATTATTTGCCCTTTTTAGAGTTTCGTGTCGCGTAAGGTATGCCAACAGATTCCAAGGGCCCGCAGGTCCAGCTTTAGTGGTCAAGTGGTACACAAACGAGGGAGTATGGAGCCCTCAGCCGTTTCCTCATGTCCTCGCGTAAACGGAATACACAGCTCGAGCCATTCGTAAGTCCACAAAATGTGACAGCTCATCATGAATAATATACGATGTACTGTCAGTTATACTCTGTGTATTTCTTATTATCATAACTTATTCAATGTAAAACTATATTTTCGAATAATAAAACGTTGTTTTAGCGAAAGGAGAAAAGATGTCCTTCTCAGGATTGATCCCCACATTGCTTATGGATCTCCGAATCGAGCTGAATTCGAAGAACTGCCCGAAAACTTCTTAGAAACCGTCAGTCCTCAGCAGTCCAACCAATCCAACGACTTCCACATTGATGTTCAACGAACTTCATCTTCTGAATCTCACGCTGAACCACGGTAAGATATTTTTTAAACCTTTTTACTGTTTAGACGTCCCAGTAATACTTACGTGTGTTCTTGACTGAATGGTTATTTTTTTAAAAATAGTCAGAGACTCAACATAACATCGGCGTGAATAATAACCAGTTTAGGTATTCCAACAGTTCTTCTGGCTTGCTCTCTCCAACTCCACGTGACTCATTGGTGCTTCGCAACACGGGACTAATTAGGCCTCTACAATATATTAAGGAAGAGTCACCGCAGCCCTACAACTCTTCCGAATGTGAAGGCGTCTACCTTCAGAGTTACGATCAACCATTAGAAACTCTGGATTCTGAAGATCACGATCCTCAGTCTCCTGACAATTCTGAGGTCGCGACGGTGATTGTGCCTATTTCTGGTGCTGATGAAGGGTCTCCTGGACATCGGTTTCAGCCTTTGACATCCAAGAGGATACGGACACAAACGCGGCCAAGAACTCCACCAATGGAGCCACCAAAGCGGGGTAAGAACATATATACCACATGTACTACTTCCGCGCTGCTACATAACAATGCACAAAAAAATTGTTTTTTAAGAGAATTGCCATTGTTTCCAATCATTCTTACAGTAATAACATTGTAATTTTAGCCAAAACAACAACTTACTCTACGTCGGACACTTCTGATCCTCTGAACGCTGAAATTGACGATGAAGTCTACATTGACACGCGTGATCTGTGCAAGAGAGTAGCGTACGAGCTTAAACAACATTCCATTCCTCAGGCGATCTTCGCCGAACGAGTATTATGTCGTAGCCAAGGCACGCTGTCAGATCTCCTTCGTAATCCAAAACCCTGGAATCGCTTAAAGTCGGGTAGGGAAACCTTCAGGAGAATGTACAATTGGATCCAACAGCCTCTCCACATTCGGCTGGCCATATTGGATATGTGTAAAGGTCAGTTTTTTACCTAAATTTTTTTTTTCTAAATTTAGGCAATTTTCAACAAGTTTTTGAATACCTGTTGTCAAGCCGTATACAACCTTTTCAGTACTTAATAATGCTGTGCTAAATTCAGGTAGTTCAAGTACTTCTGGATCAGTCTCCCCCAGCTTCTCTGCAACTCCGGCGTCCGCCAAATCCAGAAGTCGGCCCACATCATCAAGTGAAGATATGAACAACTCGGCCAAACGTCCACGACTGGTCTTCACTGACGTCCAGAAACGAACACTTCAAGCCATTTTTAAAGAAACGCAACGGCCTAGCAGGGAAATGCAGCAAACCATAGCTGATCATCTGAAGTTGGACATGTCTACGGTCTCAAACTTCTTCATGAACGCAAGACGACGCTCCAGAAACGGCCATAATCCGGGTGACGACCCAACTCCGTATCAGCAGGTAATTAATGTTCTATAGAGTTTTTATAGAATTCAATTTATGTTACAACGTCGTGTTGTATCTAAACTGGCCATTTCCAGATAAAGCAAATAAGCCCACCTCCTCCCGATCCGGACACAATTTCGAAGGCTTTGACTAGCAGAAGCCTAGCCAGTCCATCTGACAACAGTAGAACGGAGGATGATAAGCCTGAAAAGGATACGGTGTTTGTGGTAAGCTATTCTTTACTTTAAAAAGCCATTAAACAAAGAATCACAAACTTTTTTATAAAATGTTAATTATTTAGTCTTAAAAGCTATTATATCAATGTTGTATCGCAATTAAAACAAATATATACTACTCAATACGAACCCTTAACTTAACCAATTGCAGAAATCCGAATACAAAGTCAAAACCGAAGCCCCTGATGACGAATAAATTACCCTACCCGTTGGACGTCGAATTAAACGGCTGGACCGATTAAACCCTGAACTGCCATGTCTTTCAATACTTGACTAGCATTTAATTATTTAACTTAACCCATCAGCATACATTCATGAGAAAAAGATTAGCAGTAATCTCAACTAACCAATAGCTAATTAATATTAACCATAGTCTGGAATAGATAACCTTATTCACTTTAGCCTTTACCCACTCACGGAGTGTCAATAATGTATATAATATCATAAGTTATCCAGTCAAACAAACGCTTAGTTTCACCTCAACTGTGTCAAATTCAATGCCTTGTCCTATAATATGAATGGATATTGTCTTAAATAAAGTAATTTCGAAGCTATGATGTGATGTGTCGGTTTGGTGTCATCTTAATGAAAATACGATTGTCTGAACGATATTCGGACTTACTTTCTCCAAGTTCGTAGTGAAACATTGCTTGCCAATTGCTAAAGAAACAAATTTTTGTCTGAATTTTGGGAGACCATACAGAAAACGTGTCATCGATGTCCAACTATTCCGTCATCTCAACGTTTCTCGACGGTTTTGGCGGACAAGATCTTGTTTTTGATTGCTGAAAGTCAATTGTGCACGTGAGAGACATTTAGGATGTTTTAAACCTGCGGAATACGCAATATTTTGTGTAAATTACTGTTTTATGTGTTATTATATTCAAAACTTTTACTTTTGTTCTCGTTTTGCCGAATTATCATTTTGTTGAGCAAAAATGCCTATGGCCAGGCATTGAAAGTGCAGTTACTAACTTTATTTGGATTTCAAATATTTTTGTCAAATAGACAAGATTATGTTCCATCATAAACTCATGATCCGCAGAACTAAACTGATGTACTACAACAATATCCGTCGACTAACAGTTACGAAAAGCTTCTTTCTACAGCAATACCGTGGAGTTACTAACCAACCAATCTTTGACAAGTTTACAGAAGCCAGCACTGTGAGTTTATTTCTTTTTTTGTTGATGTTGTTTTAGATTGTTAAAGACTTGGATCTGAATGGAAAGACTTACTTGGTGACGGGTGCGACGAGTGGACTTGGTTTGGAGGTAGCGAAAACTTTGGTCAGTGCTGGAGCTCATGTTGTTATGGGAATTCGGAATCTGGAGAAAGGTCAAGGAGTCTCGAAGAATATTGTCCGAGAGTTCCCAGAGGCCAAGTTGGACATGCTGCACTTGGATTTGTTGGACATACTCTCCATCAAGAAGGCTTCGGAAGAATATTTGAGGAAGCGTTGGTAAGTTTTTGCTTACATTTTGTTCTCTTGGCATTAGTTTTTATTAGTTTACTAGATTTTTAAATTTTTTGAAAACGTTTTTCTAATTTATTTAGTATTTTAGGAAACTTGATGGTTTGATCTTAAACGCAGGAGCTTATGCACCGTCAGAACCTTTCAACAATCTTGATGGACTGAATTCAACCTTCCAAGCTAACTATCTCGGCCACTTTTACTTGTTGTCGCAACTAAAACAACGTTTGATCGAGTCAAGGCCCAGTCGTGTCGTAACCTTGTCTTCTGTTACTACGACCTTTATGTTGAAGTCCCTGAAAAATGAAATGTCGTCTGAAGACTTTGTGAAAGAAGTGGTATTGACTGGAGGACGCGGAAGGCTGGAATTGGGAAAACAATATGCCAAAGCCAAGCTGTGCAACACGATGATGATCAAGAAGCTGGACAGAGAGATGAGTGTGCAGTATCCTGAAGTCAGAGCCTACGCTGTAGATCCTGGATCGTTTATTGATACCAGTAAGTTACTATAATATTGCGGTTTATTTTATAAAATTTTTCAGACTTCAAATGTGTAATTTTATGAAAGTTAATACGCTTTTACTACGGTATTTGTTTCAGACATTGCAGTAGAGGCTTATGGTAGTGTGAGCAAGTTGACAATGAAGCTCGCTCGTCCGTTTTCCAAAAGTGTTTCTAATGGAGCTGCCACGATCTTGTTTGCTGCCGTTCATCCAGCTGCAGAAAGTCTTCGTGGATGTCATATCGTGGACAACAAGGCAGGAGAAGACCCGAAGAGCGTCAACCCAACTGTATTCAATACCGACTTCCAAGATGCTGTATGCAAACGATCTTCTGAACTGGTAACTGAAGCTTTAGCTCGACGCGAAAAATTGGAAAAGGGTCAGAGTTAATATGGGACATTACTATGTAAATAATTGTATATATACTTGACTACACTAATATTTGTTGTCTATTTTGTATTATCGTCTCTTTTTCACTATAATATTGTAACGTTTCAAGCCATAATTGTATATGTAGTCTTTCAAAGTTTATATAGCTTTACAAAGCGGTACTGTTGTGCCATTACTAATCATAGAAAACAATTTATTATTGGATAAACAAGTTATGTCAGTTTCTTCATGTTCAGCCACTTGTGTAGCTGGTTGTGAAGTGTCATAATATTGAGACCATTGGCGTCACTGGACGGACTGTAGTTGTTGATGACCAGGTACGGCACCTCGATGATGGGATGAGCTCGCATGTTCATGGTTCTGTAGGCAGCTTGTCGCTGTAGCTGACGGCCTCGTTCTCCGTCGAAACATGTTTTTATTTCTCTGTAGGCATTGCTGATGAAGGTGGAACAGTGATGCATGGCTTGTTGGACTTGAGGGTACGTGCCCAACTGACGTTCGAAGCAGATGATGAAGGGAATGGCTTGCTTGGTCTGCACGACATCAATGACACAACTCATCAGCCGGTTGGCGTCACATTCTGTTTGACCGTGGTTGCAGGAGATTTGACCGTTCTGAAGGTGAGTCATTAATTTTTGAATGACATTTTTAGATATAAGTTGAATTTTATAAAAATTGAATTTTAATTGAAAAAACCGGTTTTAATTCAAAATGGTTTAGATCAACTTACATTGAGTAGCCGGCTGTTTCCCCAAGGCACAAGTTCAAATTCGACTCGGCCTCTGTATGTATTGAACAGATTCCCTAGGTGATTCGAAATGAATCGCTGACAGAAAGGACACAAGGCTTCGTACATTAAGGTAACGGTCAATGGTCGTCGGTCTAGCTTGAACTGCTCACACTGTTTGACGACGTCACATCGCTGAGCCATCTCGTAGCTGTCACACCAGAAGTCCGAAGGGACGTTACATCCACCATATCTGGCTGGGGTTGTGGACTTGACTGGTTGGTTGGTCTGCTGATGAGTCGTGTAATATGTATTGTGAGTGGGATGTGTTGGACGTACTGATGTGGAGTACGGTGCAACGGTGGTACTGTAATGATGAACGACTTGTACTGGAACTGGGTAGGATGGTGGTTGAGGTGAGCGATGTTGTTGTTGCTGCTGACGTTGGGGATAGTTGGTGGACTGGTAGTAGTTGGTGTAGTGGTGCGGCGATCGTGACTGCTGTTGTTGTTGGTACTGCGCGAGCACGGCGGTCGTGCTCAGAAGAAGGACCAGCCCGAACATGGTGGACGAATGTAACCGAGAATCGCCGCCGTATTTGATCTCAGTTATGCCTATATGGGGGCGGAGTCAGCCGGCTGATGAACAGGACAACCCGGCACCGCCATTTATCCGATTTTTTGGCCCACGTTTCCCTCTACTCGCGAACAGTTGGCGGGAACGGACGGGTGGCGTTTGGCCATTTTTCGCCTGGCCTGGACACTGAAAGGTCTTTAAAGGACAAATGACCTTTTAGGTAACATATACACAATAAATTCATGTCTCTCACGTGTCGCACTGTTGTCAGCAATGGTCACCTCCATTCTCAATACATATAAACATTGAAACAAGTGAAAGTAATGCTGAAACCATTTAAGAGCGATTAATCACGAACGGCACACCTCGTCTCCTTATTGCATGGGAGCCAATTGCAACATTGTTTGTGTTCATTGTGGCGCCGAGGCTACCGATCTCTACAGAAACTACGGAAAGAACGTCATAAAACTGTGTGAATGTGTAAGGCAATAACAAAGAGAGTTAAATAATAAATTTTCAGGATAACTGCGGTAAATTCGTGGATCATTACATTGAGTACGACAGCGTGTTGATCTACATTGATCTCCTTCTTCAGTACACGGCCGCTTACAGACATGTGTTTGTGAATCGGGTCTATTTAGTCAAAGTAAGTTTAAAAGAATCACTTATTTGGCCAAAAAGTAATGGAGAACCAAGGTTTTGAATATGGTTCATACTTGAGTGTGATATTTTATGTTTAACCTTAAAATTCTCTATTTTTATAAATTAAAAACTTTAATCTCACATTTACAGTCACTGTGGCGCATCGTATGTCTGTTCAGTATCTGTGAGGCGTACAGAAAATGGGCAGTTCGGATGGAATCGGCCAACAAGAGTGTCCTCGACGGCTTCATCGACCTTGAGTGGAAGTTCTACGAGTGTATTGTGGAGAGTCTGAGCGAGATCGCGGCCTTTGGCTTTTCAACTCTCGGCTTTTCACTCATCTTTGATCTCAAGACTAAACTTTCATTGAGATCCGTTTTTTGGATTTCCTGCTGCGGATATTACGGTAGGTGGTTTTGATGGCAAAAAACATTTTTGTTATCAGTTAGTGAACAATGACATTGCAGGGAAGGCGTTCGTTCTACTGGCTGTGATTTGGAACTTGCATCATACTTGGGAGTACGTGTTCCTGATCGAGGCGTTCTTGATTTTGTCGCATTATCAGATTCAGAACAGTGAGTTTTGTTATTTAGCTCGTGTCATAACGTCTTCCCAATCTCTTAATAACGTATTTCTAATTACAGTGGAACTCCTGTATAACGAACTCCTCTATAACGAAAATCCCGTATAACGAACAACTTTTGAATCCCTGTCTATCACTGCACAGTGCATTTAAAACTCCTGTATAACGAAACTCCTTTATAACGAACAAATTTCCAATCACCGAGCGATTCGTTATACAGTAGTTCCACTGTAATTACTTGCTTGGATACAGAGTAAGGGATAATGTAAAGTTACTGTTTTTAGTATTGTTCTCTGATTCACCAAAACTCAATGCATTAATGGTATTGTTGAGCTGGATCACATCGTACTTAGCCGGATCGTACTGCCATATCGTATTCGACTACACTAACCAGAACTACAAGTCATGGTTTGATTATATCAGGGCGCTTTAAATCACTTATTACCTCAAGGAGCTTTAATAACAATATTTATTTGACCCAAATACATATCTATTTAACTCGACAAATACAGTAAATAACTGATGACTTAGCGCGATTACTTTAGTTGAGGGAAGGCCATCTGAGGGCGAGATTCTTGGGAAGCGTCTTCTGATCTCCAGAGCTGGGTCACCGTCTTCCATTGAGTGTAAAAGTAGAGACCGGCCTTTCCGTAGAAGTTGGCGTCGCCAAGGAACGATCCACGACTTCCGGTGAAAGAGAACATTGGCAAAGGCACCGGGATAGGAACGTTGACACCAACTTGACCACAGTCAATGAGGTTGGTGAAACGACGAGCAGCTACGCCGCTGGTGGTGAAGATGGCTGTGCCGTTACCATAGGGGTTCTTGTTGATGAGATCAATCGCTTCGTCCAGGGTCTCGGCTTCCAGAACAACGAGTACGGGGCCGAAGATTTCTTCCTAAAAACGATTGGACCGATATTAAACCCACTCACCTTGTAGCATTCCATCTTTGGCGTTACACCGGTGATTAATGTAGCTCCTACAAAGTTTCCATTCTCGAATCCACTAACGGAGCAGTCAGAGCCATCCAAAGGAACTTGAGCTCCCTCCTTCCTGGCAGATTCAATCAAGCCCAGAATCCTCTGTTTCGAAGCCTTTGAAATGACAGGTCCAATGTCACTGTCCGGTTTCCATCCCGGGCCCACCTTCAGTTTCCTGGCCTTCTCCACCAAGTCGGGGATCCATTTCCTCGATTCACCGACGAATACGGCTGTTGATAAGGCCATACATCGCTGGCCAGCAGCTCCGAAGGCGGCGGCCGTCAGCTGATTCAAGGTAGCGTCTTTGTTGGCATCTGGCAGAATTACACCGTGGTTTTTGGCGCCCAAGTTGGATTGTACCCTTTTTCCGTTTTTGCTGCCTCGTTCGTATATGTACTTACCCTGAAATCGAAGTTGATTAAACCTAACTTTAACTAAAAGATAAACTTCTTTGAATCTTTAACTGTGATATTCCACAACATCGAAAGTAAACGTACGGCTTGGTCACTGCCCACAAATGAGATGGCCCTGATGTCAGGGTTGTCGCAGATGAAGTTGACACAATCATGTTGACCGTGAACCACATTCACAACACCGTCAGGGATTCCGGCTTCTTTCGCCAGCTCCATCAACATCATCGTGGCTCCAGGATCTTGTTCGGACGGCTTCAATACCATCGTGTTTCCAGCTACGAGAGCCATGGGGAACATCCACAAGGGAATCATGGCAGGGAAGTTGAAGGGGCAGATTCCGGCTGTTACTCCCAGTGGAAGCCTGACGCTGTAGGTGTCCATATCTTTGGCCACACTACAAGTAATAAGGTGATTAGAAACCACTTTATTATCAACATGATATTGTGTTAGGGCTTCTAACACAATATCAAATGTTACAATTCAAGTTCCTAACTGTTAAAAAATAGACTTACTTTGGAAGATGCTCTCCCAGCAACAAAGATGGAGCACTGCAAGCGTGCTCTACTACTTGGAGGCCTCTGATAACATCTCCTTCAGCATCAGGTAACGTTTTTCCTTGCTCGTAAGTGATGTTTTCGGCAATCTTCTTCAAGTCTCTTCTAATCAGTGCCTGCAGATCCAACATGCATTTCTGTCTGGTGAGAATCGAAGTGTTCTTCCAACTTTGATACGCTGACTTACAAGAGTCGACCGCTGCTTGAAGTTCTTCTGGAGTTGTGTGAGGGACTTGGCTGATAACTTCGTTTGTAGCCTGTAAGATTCAAAAAAATCAAGTAAATGTTTTTAAAAATGGCATTTTAAAAGATATATTCCGCTTTTCTTTTTTAGATCACAAAACTGATAAAGAAACTTACAGGATTCGTGAGCTCGATCCATTTCTGCGCTTTCGATTCCACTGGTTTTCCGTCCAACCAATTCTTGACGTTTTCTGCGGCCAAAGCTCGGCTTTGGGAGAAGGATCGTCGGCTCACAAACACACACTGACGATGAAGCATCTCAAACAACCACAATTAATATGCAGTAACAACCGATCAAGTTCAAAAAATATTTCAAAACATAACACCAAATCGAGCAAAAAATAAAAGAATAAAGTTTGCTGCCCCGTTTTTGACCGGGCTTATAATACTGAACACGTGCAAAAGAACAAGCCTAATAAAAGGAATAAAATATATAGAAAGCCAAGATCAATGGACAATCATTCCATGGCTCGCTTCTGACCATCGAACACACAATGGCGTTCGGCCCGCCCATAAATATAAAGCAGTTTAAAACCATTGCAACAGCGTTTGCTAATTTATTTACAACGATTGGTTAAAAAATGAGGTCGAGCTTCAAACAATATAATCCTTGAAGAGTTCGTGGACTTCTGGAAGCACGATAAAGTCCTGTATCGTATCGGCTTCTAGTATATGATCAAACAAGTCTTGTAATTCTTTCTTCCGAGAGCGAGCAAGCCGAGGTATATTGTTGATAAGTTTCTTGGACAAATAGTGCACCCAAAAGTTGTTCGTCTTGGGTGTGAAAGTAGACCATTCATTCCTGCAATCACATAAGATATAAAGGCGCTAGGACAAATGCGGTTTTTGGACATTTGCGGATTTTTTAAAAGTTTTTTTTTATTTTTTAGTTAATTTAGTTGTATTATGGTACTAAATTGTACTAAAGTTTGAATCGGTACGGTTTTAACATAACAGTACCATTTTGGGCTTTTAGTACTATTTAGTACCAAAAATATAAAAACAGTACCAATTAAAAATTTAGTACTATTTAACATTAAGAAATATTAAGACAGTGCCAATTTAAACTTTAGTACCATTTAGTACCATACTACAACTGAATTAAATAAAAAATAAAAAAAAACTTTTAAAAAATCCGCAAATGTCCAAAATCCGCAAGTGTCCAAAAACCGAAGATCCGCAAGTGTCTAAAAACCGCAGATCCGCAAATGTCCAAAAACCGCATTTGTCTAGCGCCGGTATAAAAATATATATAAATTGGGCATTAATTTTATTTATACACTAAAATAATAAAGTTAACATAAGTACTCACTGGTTTAAGTCTTTCATCATCCTGTAGATATCAAACTGATAGTCGCCCCCTTTCTTTCCTTCTCCTTTTCCAGTAAACATGTCTTCGTCGGTGGATAAATCGAGGTATATTGTGGCCCCGTTTAGACTCATCCTGCCATTCGTGAAATCGATCAAACTCACCTTTAAACCATAGGATTTCAAGTGGATCTCTGTTCCGTTATAAAGATAACTAAAATACGAATGTAAGACGTCAAATTGATTATAAAAGACTGAAAGGTAAAAGAACCTTACGATCAGGGACGTCGTTTGGGGGGGGAGGGGGGGGAAGTGGTTCGGGGTGACTCCCCCCCCCCAGAGCCGATCCGAAAAAAAATCCACAGGTGGTACATGTACGTGAAAAAAGGAAAAAAAAATTTTCGAAAAATCGGTCCACAGGATCTGTGGACCAAAAAATTTTTTTGGGTCTCCAACCCCCCGCCCCCCTCCCACAGAAAAACCGCAGCGACGTCCCTGCTTACGATATTTGCGTGTCCTTGTCATCCAAAGACTTGACCAGCACGTTTCCCCAGTGTAAATCCCGGTGTTCAAACTTTATAGCGGCCTCGGCAACGGAAAGTGTCATGCAGGATTGAATAAGAAGACTTAAGACCTCTTTCTCAGTCTTCAGAAGCTTCTTCTCCGTTACATAACATTCCAAGTCATCGCCTCCATATTCTAACGAAATCAAAAGATAGAATATCTTCTGGGCGTCCATGTATTCCGCTGGGTATGTATTGTAGGCCTTTGCTTTATGCTTCTTTTGAAACACCTTCCAACACTGAAGCAGATTTTCCGGCCAATCACCTGAAAATCACCATTAACATCAACAATATACAAAAAAGTAGATGTAATGTAATCAAAACCGTACCTTTAACAACCTTTGCATCGTGAACTTTGACAAAGCCCGGCGTCTGGTTGATGTAGTGATCTCCCAAATCTGACAGTGACTTCGAAATGAGCAACTCTGGTAGAATATTCTGCGCCGGCTTTGTGTAGTCACCATTGACTTCAATTATGTCATTCATGTCCTTCACAAACGGCACGACCTAAAGAAATAATTTACAAATAGCTCATGTTACCTTTAATGCAACCAGCGATCCATCGAAATCAGCTCTGAAGACCTCACCAAAAGTACCCTCGCCAAGCTTAGAAAGGTTTCTAAACCTTTTGATATAGTCCTCAAAGTAAATAAAGTCGTCTTGGCCACAAATGTGCATAAGTTGAGCAACGTGATCATCCATGTCGCCATTATAGCCTTCCAGATAACATTCACCTTCGCTCTGAAAACAACAATATAAAGAATTTAATCGCAAAGAACAAAAAAATAAGTGTTTTATGTAAAAATGACATGAAGAAAAGTACTCGAATACTCAAGACCGACTGTTTTCCGGAAGTAAACGACGTCAGGTCAGGCTGAATAGAGTATATAGTCGAATCACCAAACAATGATGTGTTTTCGAGATTCTGAGCTTCAGGTACTTCGGCACAATCCTAAAATAGATGTTTACAGTATGAAAAGCGTTCTGTAACTTTAAAAATTTTTTAAGCAGCATAAGCTATAAGATTAAAAACCAAAAACGTTGACGGTACACTATGTTCAGATGAAAAAATTTAAAACAAAAAAAATACTTAAATAAAATATACTACTTACTGTTGGCTTGTCGTCACTTTTAATGCTAACAACATATTCTTGAACAACTGTTGACTTTTCAAGTAAAGATACACAAGGTCTTGATGATACAGAAGAAGACCGGCTACTTGGTGTTCCAATAGAAAGCGATTGGCTACTGTCTGCATTAATGTCTCCATTATGGTCAGACTTTACGGTAGACTGTTCACCAAACTCTCCAACCATTGACTGTAAGTTATCTTTAGATACAAAACACTGTAACAAAAAGAATACTTCAACTAAAATGCAACTTACTAATGTGTCTTCATTGCTTTTCCTGGTATTAACTGATTCTTGAACAATTGTTGACTTTTGAAGTAAAGGAGGATTATATGGTACGGAAGGGGTAGATGTTAACATAGAAGACGACTGGCTACTATTTTCATTGAAATCCTGAGTATAGTCCAATATCGTAGTAGACAGTTTTTCGCATTCTCCAACCGTTGATTGTACGTTCTCTTTAGGTACAAAACTCTAAAACATTTTACAATACTCCAATTTGTCCCTCCTGCAACTTACTGCTGACTTTTCATTCCTTTTACTGCTCGCGACAGATTGTTTAACAGCTTCTTCTGATTTTTCAATTAAAGAAGGAACAGAAGGACTTGACGTTCCAACAAAAGACAACTGACCACTATCTGCCTTTGGATCCTCAGAAGAAGCGCGTATCCCAGCAGACTGTTCGATAGAATGTGCGCCACAGTCTTCACCCGTTACATTTGTAACCGTTGATTGTGCTCTATCCTTAGGTACAAAACTCTAAAACAAATACAATACTTCAATTAAATATACTACTTACTGATGACTTATCATTCCTTTTACTGCTACCAACAGGTTCTTGAATAAGTTCCGCTGACTGTACAAGTAAAGATGGAACAGAAGAAATTGACGTTCCCATAAAAGACGACTTGATACTACCTGCATTCAGACCCTCAGTACCACCACACAACACGGCAGACTGTTCATGACATCCCGTCGACTGTACTTTATCTTTAGCTGCCAAGTCCTAAAACAAATAGAATACTTTATATAATATAATACTTACTGATGACTTTTCATTCTCTTTATTGCGAACAAAAGATTCTTCGACAACTTCTCTTGACAGTTCAAGTAAATGTGGAACACAAAAACGTGCTGTTCCCATAGAACGCAACCGGGTAGAACATTCATTGGCCGGCTGTTCGCCACATTCTACAACCGTAACCGTTGATTGCAAACTATCTTTAGGTACAAAACTCTAAAACATAAGATAATTTCATTCGGTATATTGCTTACTGTTGGCTTTTCACTCCTTTTACTGTTGTCGATAGATTCTTGAACAATTGACTTTTCAAGTGAAGATGGAACACAAGGACTTGATGTTCCTATAGAAAACGACCTGCTATTATCTGCATATATATCTCCAGTATAATCAAATATTACAGTAGATTGTTCGTCGCATTCTCCAACAGTTACATCTGAACGAAGAACATCATCGTTGCTGCCCTAGAATAACATTATTAATGAAATATATCCTAGTACTTATGAAATTCAATGTAGTATAACGCCTACATTTAGTAAAAAAGTAAACTCACTTCAGACTTTGCCACTTTTACTTTACCATTGATGATATAAGTCTCAGGAGCCACTGTCTCAATATTCAATTCATAATTGGCATCACGTTCCTAAATTCAAAGTAAAAACAATGTATAAACCAAATTACCACTCCCATGAGTCGTTCCATCTCTTGAGGATCCGGCCCCATATCTACATCTTCCTCCTCAACAATTTTAGGACGTTTTCTTAGTGCCCTAGGTCTTGCGTTCCTAGCATACGTTCTCTTTTCTGGTCGAAAAGTGGTGTCTCCGTTTAGTCTAGTGTCATCGCCAAAAGTGTCCTAAACAGTAATTGCATAAGATTGCTAATTACAGCTTTCATAAATAAATTTACTATCTTCAATACACACCTCAAGTATTATCCGACCTCTGGCCATCGATATTCGAGTTCTCACCACGGCCGTCCTCCTTCGTCTCGGCATTTTTAGCTAAGTTACCTAAAATGAAAACTTTACAAAATATATACACATGCAAAAAAATGATCAGCATCTATATTAGTTACATACGACAATTATTTCCATGAAAATTTCCATGTTAAAAAATATTTTTAAAAATATTTTGAAAATTTATTTTTCGTGTTCTCCTGAACATCAATCTTCCGTCTGCGTCCCGCCACGAAAAACAAAAATAATTCAGAAAATATTATCATCTTTTTTAAAGAATTTTGTTTGGCTGGTTGTAATTTCGGTTATTAACGAAATTGTCAAGCAAAAATGGCCGAAAGAGTTGAAAATTATCTAACACAAAAGAAGAATTCGTCAAAATCTCCAGATGTTGCTGAAATCTTTCAAACTTTTGAGAAAGCATACACCAAAAAGTAAGTTCTTGCTTTACGATTTAATTTTCTGTGTTTTTAAGGTCTTGCTTAGCTAAAGATTAATTTTTAGGTTATGGCATCAGTTGACTACTGATGTTAAAAATGCTTTGTCGAATCAAAAGTTTTTGGCTGAAGTAGACTTGAAAGAATTGTATGACAACTTCATCCACGAATTTGAGCTCAGGATCAACCCATTACAACTGGTCGAGATTTCAGTGCCTATTGCTAAATTTATCTTTGCTAAGAGTAAGTTAATTTATGTTATGGTTGATGTTATGTTTAGGTCCCGAAGAGTCTTTCAAGTTCATACAGAATGTGAAAAAGGCAAGCACGGTGGCGAAAGACAAACAGGCTCTGGTTCGTGCTGAAAGCGCTGAAATCGAACTCCATTTGAATAACAAATCTGGAGGTAAATGCGCAAACATCGCCGAGATCCGAGTGAGTAATCTTATTGTAAAGAAGATTTATTTCTCGTAATTAGAGGTGGCTGTTGGCCCGTTACGGACACATGTCTTGTGTATCAAAATTAAAAATTTTTAGTTATAATGTGTTTTTGTTTCAGGGCATGATTGAGGCTACTCAAGCTAAACTGGAGGAATTGGTTGGTGTAACCCCTGTTCACGCCACCTTCTACAAAGTATCGTCGTTGTACTTGAGAGAAATAGGTAACCACGCTGCCTACTACAGAGAAGCTTTACGGTATTTGGGTTGTGAAGATTTGACTAAACTGACAGAAGAAGAAAAGAGAATGCAAGCTGTCTTGCTAGGATTTGCTGCCTTGTTGGGCGAGAACATATACAACTTTGGAGAATTAGTAAGCGCTATGAATGATAACTAAAATATTTTTTTAGCTAGCTCATCCCATTTTGAAGTCACTTGAAAAAACTTCGGAGGAATGGCTGGTACAGCTTTTGTACGCTTTCAATTCTGGAGATTTGGAGAAATTCAGAAACTTTGAGGCCCAGTGGAAACAATGGCCTGATATTGTGCTGCACATGGAATTGCTGGAAGGAAAGATTCGTTTGTTGTGTTTGATGGAGGTCGGTTTCAACTATATTTTAAAGATATATTCTATTTTAGATTTCTCTGGCCCGTCCATCCAAGGAACGATACATTACCTTTTCGGAGATTTCACAGAAAGCCCATGTGGCACTGAACAAGGTCGAGTTCTTGGTGATGAAGGCATTGTCTAAAGGGCTAGTCCGGGGATCAATCGATCAGGTGGAGGGAATCGTGAACATAACTTGGGTACAACCTCGTGTATTGTCACCCGACCAGATCAGAGCGATGGCAGAAAGAATGTCAGAGTGGAAGAAGGATGTTGATGGTATGGAAGGAATTCTTCACGAAAATGCAAGAGAAATCCTCGTCAAAACTTAATTTATTATGTAAATCTGCACATTAAACGATAACTGTATTCTCAGTTGGCTTCACAAGTGTTCAGTAACATTAGACACTCGTTTGTAGCACAGTAGTAACAATATTCCAGGGAATCTGAATCTAGTTCTTCAGGGTCTTTGTTGTTTTTAAGGGTTATAAGTATTCTCTTTAATGAGCGGTGCATCTGCGACACGTCAAATTCTGTTACAGGTTGTTCCAATTCCTCGTACACAGTGGTCGTATACTTAAGTATCCGGTCAATGGCAATAGAGTACATAGTGTTGTTGTCCATCGAAACTTTCAGTTTTTCTTCCCATGTCGTGACGGCCTCCTCTATACTTTCCAAAGTAGTACTGACCTCGATTTGTTGACCAGCATTTTCCATTAAATTGTTAAACTAGAAATAAATTTAAAAAGGCAGACAATGACTTACGAACTCTGTCGACAAATCTTTCAAGGTATCCGTTAGCTTTTTCATTAGTAGGATCAAGTTCAACTTTTGTCGCACTAGTAATGGTCCGTCACGCACTTCCGAAGACAACGTGAATTGAGATAGTGCCGTAACACACATACTATTACAGTACTTGAGGACATGTAGTATTTGCATTGACTTGTTCAACAGAGTAAACAGACGATCGTGGAACATAACGTTGATTGGCCATGGAAGCTAAAACTAGTTAATTCACGTAGTGGTTGATTTACCTCAGGCACTACTTTGAAGGTGGTCTGTTCTTCATCGCTCCAGTTTATCTTGTAGTACTTTGAGCAATTTTCCTTCGTATTTAAGTCTTCCAAACATTTTGCGAACGCCGATAGCTTGGCTGACCGTGGGCTTCTATTATATTCGACAGAAACGGAACGGCAAATTTGTTCTTCGAACAGCTCTAGTTGATATATTTTCTACAAGTTTAGAGTCCAATTGAAGCGCATCACTTACTTTAAAATCCATCATCCACCTCTTACAATCCTTTGTTTTAAGCACGTTAAAGATTATTTGAGAAAATTGGGCGACGTACGATGAACATGAGTCTTCCAAGAAATGGTTTATCTTAGCAACATCCATTCTAAAATGGCAAATTTAGATAAAAGGTGCATTTCCTTACTGTAACTTGGCCTCTGTGCTCATTTCGTCAAATAGATTCTTCATGAAGTAGGACCATGGCTTTACCTCCACATTTTTACGATGTAATTCAAGACGTAGACGATTTTTAATGCCTTGTTTAAACGTCCTTAACAACTTCTGAGACCATATCATGGTAAAGTGAACCATTTGCATGCGATCCTTGTTTTGCATGGTTAATATACTAAACAAAACGTTAAATTTAACCCGAGATACTTACATGTCTTCTCCTTTCTGTTCAATATCTGAAGATCCCACACACAAGGTGTCAAAGTAGTTTGGCAATAAGTTAATCAAGGCTTCTTGGAGTTGCTTTATGAAGGGCTGAAAAAAAACTTTGATGCAAGAAAAAAATTATTATAATATCAAAAAATAGTTCTAATTTTAAAAAAATGACAAATTCTCACCAAGACACTAGTAGGATTCGTGTAGCTTTTCCGAAACTTAAAAAACGCTGTCCATGTCATCTCAACATCGTGGTACGACGGTGATGGATTCAGAAGTTTTTCTAAGAACGTGATCACATTTTGCAAGTCATTGTTCAAGTCACATACTTCCACATTCAGTTCGTCGACAGCTAAAACAACTTTTTGATACCAATGTCAACTTACTTGTGATTCCATTCACACTCTGCTCGATTTTATCGGTGATTTCGTTGTAATAGTTGGTTGACACTGAAACAATCGGAGCCAAAGGAAAGAACATGGCCTTCACGTTGACGTTCGACCGGTTGAACTCGTTGATCTTTGCCAGATTCTTCTTGACTTGTGATGACTTGATCAGAATCTCATTGATCTGGAAAATTACATTAACAGACAGTACTTTTCTTAGAGTCACTTCAAATAAAACGACTTACCCGGTTGAACCCGAATACCTTCGAGTCGTAACAATAGCGGGCACTTAACGTACATCCAACAGCTGGAGAGTACCGTATCACATCACTGTTGCTGGTCGGTAACAAATGCCTAAAACGATACTTAAGGTTCATGGAATACGTATATTTTTTTGCTTACTCAAAAAATATAAATAATTTACAATAAAACTTCTCGGACTAAGCGCTGATCGTCGATGAGTTCCTTGTCGGTGTTCTGGTAGTTCACGTCATGTTTTAGTGGTTCCATCTGTTAGTAAAAATAACATAAAACGTAAGAAAAAAACAAAAAATATTAATTGAACTAAAACAAAACAATCAACCACCATTTAAAAGTCCGGGATTTATTTTGCAAACAAAATAGCCTAGTATGCACAACAATATAATGGACAGGTCACTCGGTAGCCAGAAACTTTGTTGCAAATGCGTCAATCGAACTCAACAAGAAGTTGGTTTTGCCTCTGAAATGAAAAGACTTATAAAGCGTCCTTTGCCGCAATATTACAATCCGTTATCTTATGTCACTTACTTTAATGAGCTCAATTGTTTCACTACTTCATCCACGATTCCAATCCTATTAGTAATGGCATCACAAGAATCCTTCATTTCTTTGTGGACTCCTCCTACCGTGATCTTTAGACCATGATGCACTTCATTCAACTCTCTAAAGCACAAAACAAATTATTTACAATGAAACGCTGAAAAAAAGATATGTATATACTACTTACTGAGAAACCTGGTTCTCGCACTGTGTAGTGTGAATACCTCCCATTTGCTTCATTCCAGCACTCAAATGAGCTCTAACCTGATCCTTCAGATGTTGCTCTTTGGCAGCTGAATTCCATCTCAATCTTTCGACAGCATAAAGACCACCGTAGACAGCTACACCAGAACCAATCACTTTCCAACCCACACTTTTGTATATTAAGGTAGACACTAGAACGATTCCAATGCTACCATTGGCTAAATAAGATGCAGAGCTTCTGATCACATCGACCATGAACTGGTCGTTCAACGACTGATGATCAGTGGCGTTTTTAGCTCGAGGATGCACTTGTGGCTGAAATCGTCAAATTAATTGTATATTGAAAATTTTATCAAAGACATTAAAGCAAACAGGTCTGTCGTGAGTAATACTTACCGTTCCTCCAGTCAAATAATCCTTTCCTAATGCTGTGATCGGTTTTCCCGAGAAAAATGCTACAGCTCTTCTGATAATGGCTTCTGGCCCCAAACTGAAATGAAACTCCAGGTCCTCCTGGAAGTCGGACAACAAGGTTTGGCAGTCCAAAACAATTCTGAACTTAAACGGCTGTCGATACCTCCACATATCATTCAGCTTTGGTGCATATTCTTGTCCCAAAATCTCGGATACATGCTCTATAAGTTTTAGATGTAACATAAATTATTACCTAAAAATATAAAACCCAAAGCAAGACTCACTGTGTAGATCATTCTCTAATGTCCAGATCCGGCTCATCAGTCCGCCACTACATTTGTCTTCGAGATTGGTCTTAACTTCCCTTTCAACAAAAGCTGCCAATTTGTCTTTGTACACTTGAATCTGATCTGGATTGTCCACAAACCGGTCATTAAAGCGGTCGATAATAGATTCCAAGCGTGTAATTTCTTCTGAGAAGTCAGCAGAAACCTTAAGATGTACTTCCGCGCGGATGTTTTGTTGTTGTTCATAGTATTTCTTTTCGAAAACAGCAAAAGATTCCCTGCACTTCAAGAACTCTTTCTTCTTCAATTCAGCCTTCAAAGCCAAGTTTTGCCTAAAAGTATAAAAAATGTTACCTAAACTATTATAGTAAAACTGTAAAGAGATAAGATTATTAGATATTAAAATTACCTTTCGTGCACTGCCGCCGTCTTAACAGTGTCAATGTTGTGAGCAAGACCTTGAATCATTTCCCGAGCTCTTCTGTCATGGTTTTCAAACTTTGTCTTGATAGCTGACTTTGAAATGATTTGTTCGAAACTGTTCTCAAACTCGTTGAATTCCATTGCTCGGCGTTGGAAACCTTCTTGTTGGTACGCTGAAAGCATTGAAAAGGTTGTAAATTTTAAATTGTCATCACGTTACATTAAATTACAGTAACTTACAATGTTCGAGTTCTCCTTTAGCCTTAAGTCTGCTCTCCAAAACTTCTTTGGCTGAAATAAAGAAGTAACGGTTGTCGACCTCGTCCTTCGTACACGTCTTCAACTCATCAACCAAGAACTGAACGAACCGTGTTCTGTGCTGTCCTCTCACCATCTCACGTTGCTTCTCAGGTTCAGAAGCTGAAGCATCCCAGCGATTGTTCAAGATAAAGACATTTGGTCGAGAAAGCTTCCGGCTGACACGATGGAAGAAGCTTTTTTCCTGAATATCAGTTAACTAACACACATAAGACAACTTACTGCTTGAGTCAGCGTAGATTCAGCATTGCAAACCAATACGAAGACATCTGCATCCACACAGTGCTTATCAATCCAACCATCAAATTCTGGAGACAAATCAACGCCAGGACTATAAGTAGCGTTAAATCAAAACATTATTAACATCACCTACCTGTCGACAATGACAACATCGTTTTGCAAAAGTTTGGAACCAGCTTTAGGATAAAAGATTCTGAGCAGAGAATCTTGCCCCATGGCTTTCAACTTTGAGTTTCCAGTACTCAGCGCGTGACCAACGTCATCCAGATCCTCAATCGGAATCTTCTCTTCGCTGTTCTCTACCTTGAAATGTTTTTCGTTCTCCGATCCACCTTCAACTTGTAAAAAACAACAAGTAGTATGCCCCATGCCCTGAGGCAACACTTTTGAGTGTAACATAGCATTGATAACTGTACTTTTACCGTTACTTGTTCTAAAAATATATCATTAAGTTATTCGCCTAAAAGTCGACTAATATTTCAAAGTAACAAACATACCTTCCGAAGAACACGACCTTCATCTTGTCTCTGGAGAACATGTCTTTGATCACCTTAATACTGTCGCGAGATTGTTGTACCTCTGCCACTTTTTCTTCCCCAATCTTCACAGACTCACGTAAGTCTAAAGCAAATCCAATAACAACGTTGTAACAAATAAATGTTATTATATCTTTGTAAGAAATAATAATACAGGCTTACTCTGATAAGCATTGTAAAGGTCATTTATAAACTCGTCCAGATCTTTGTAAATTTCACCCATAGCCTTCTTGGCCTCCGTGAATCTTTCCAACGGCTCATTAGGTGACTTGCGCCGCAAGATACCTAAAAATCAAAAATCAAGTACCTTATAAAAATGTAAATTAAACTTATTATGACAATAATTACCTGATCGATCGCCATTTAAATGGGAAATATTAGCCGACATCGGCGACTGCTCGTGAACCGTAATTTTGACGTGACAAGCGGGTTGAACCCGACTTTAAACGTGAGAGCTATCCTCTCTCCAACTGTTCTGTGATCTGAAACAAGTTATATAACAGTTGCCGTGTTAACTAACCGTACATAAAACACAATATAAAAGATACAAATTAACAAACTTTGCCATATTATAAAGATTATTCAACTGTCAATACACGATATATAACTTAAATATTAACAAAAACAAACTCCAACACTAAATTTATTTATTTATTTGGGTCAACAACATACATTTTATAACTATTAAGAATAGAAGCATACAGTTGTTGTTGGCAAGTCTCAAAATGAGACCGATTCCTCTTAAATATACTAAAAGACAATGATATTGTGACAAAGTAAAAATATTTTGGAACGAACGTAGAAATTTTATTTAATAGAATAGTAGATTAAATGTAATTTGAATATAAAGTAAAAGCATTAAAATATTATTTAAAGGGAGAAAATAGAAGTAAATTTATTATAATTACTTTTAAGAGTATATATAATTATTAAGACAATAATTAATTACTTGATATTTTACTTAGTGCATAGTATAACTAAAATACATTTTTATCAAAGTAAAATTTTTCCTTTTCGGACATAGTCTCTTTAAACTGCTGCAGATATGGTAACTTATGATCTGGTGAAACGGGTATAGGTTTCCCAGAACCTTTTTCAGTTTTTTCGCTGACTTGGCCATTGTAAATGCAAAACTTCTTAAAACCAACAGATGAATTTAATTGCGTACAAACATAAGATTCCAACTTAAAAATCAGTCTTTCTCTTACAGTCATTGCTCTCCTTGCCAGTACATTCTTTTCACCAAATTTAACGGAATCCTTTTTAAATTTAAAAAGGAATGAGCTAGCCTCTTCTTTCGTTCCAAATCTCAGCCGCAATGGCCGTGATCTTACACTGTTTGTAGCTTCTTCTACTTTACCAATTCGTTTAGAAGAGATAAAATCAACGTCCCCCATATTGTTCGAATCAATACAAGTTGAAATTTTAGACAAGTCTTCAGCCTTACGGTCATAATAATTCAACGCAGTTACTTCCTCTGGGACATTATAAAGCACTACACATTTTTTAGCATCTTCACTTTCAAGATCTCTACTTAAACATTCTTTTGCATAGCTAAGAATTAAATCAATAGTATTAGTTTTCGGGAGAGAAATTTTTAGATTTGAAAAAAGAAGTAGCATCAAGCAGTGCTTGTTTGATAGATTTTTTATATGGAGGGGAAACTCCAGAAGGTCCAGAAGGATTTAACGTTCTTTTAAAACCAGACATAATAACTAGGAAAAATCAAGATAAAAATATAGAAAAACGACCGATCGTCAGCCGGCCAAATAAAAGGAATGACTAAATATTGAAACTTAACAAAATTTGTTTAAAAAAATAAACATTTCTAAACATAAACAACATTACCCAAAGTGTGTAAAAAATAAATTTTGCAAAATTGGTTGAAATTTCATAAAATTTCAGAAACAAAAAATATTGGCGCAATTCTTTCAGATCTGTAGGTTTCGCAACGAAAACCATGAAACTTTTCTTTTTTAAAACAAGATGCCAAACATAATGTCCGAGAAAATTCGTCCGAATTCTGAGGGCAAAATTCGAACAATTGCGAGATATCCAGTTTAAAATGTTTACGTTTGGCCGATCGATTGTGTTGTACATATCCTTACTTTAAAATTTGAACGATATATTGTTTATGGTGTTTTAGATGCTGCCGGTCCGGATTTTGAAGGAGAACGCAGTTCAGGAACGAGGTGAGAATGCGAGGTTATCTTTGTTTGTTGGGGCCATTGCCATTGGAGACTTGGTAAAGTCCACCTTGGGACCTAAAGGAATGGTAAGTTAGATTGGATGTAATTTTAATGTCTTTCAGGACAAAATCCTTGTAAGCGGTAATGCTCAAAACCAAAACATCCAAGTGACTAATGATGGAGCCACCATTTTGAGGTCGATTGGTGTGGACAACCCTGCCGCTAAAGTTCTTGTTGGTAAGGGAAGCTATCTTTGTTTCAATTCTGTTTTTAGACATATCCTTGACTCAGGACAAGGAAGTTGGAGATGGAACAACGTCAGTTGCTGTTTTTGCTGCAGAATTGTTGAAAGAGGCTGAAAAACTCGTCAACATGCGAGTTCATCCTCAAATCATTGCTTCCGGATTCAGGAAAGCGTTGAAGATTGCTCAAGATGCTTTGTTCAAGGCTTCCAACGCTTCTGGAGATCATCTCAGAGAAGACTTGTTGAAGATTGCCAGGACAACCCTTGGTTCTAAGATTCTGTCTCAGCATTCCGAACATTTCTCTCAGTTGGCTGTAGATGCCATCCTCAGATTGAAGGGAACTTCAGCCAACCTTGATGCTATTCAAGTCATTAAGAAGTTAGGAGGATCCATGGAGGACTCATACCTCGATGAAGGATTTTTGTTGGAAAAGAAGCCGGGTATGTATCAGCCACAACGCGTTGAGAACGCTAAAATTTTGTTGGCCAACACGCCAATGGACACAGATAAGATCAAGGTGTTTGGAAGCAGAGTTCGTGTTGATTCAGTTGCGAAGGTTGCCGAGATTGAAGCCGCTGAACGAGAGAAGATGAAGAACAAGGTGAGTAATTAAGTTTGGGATTTTATAATTATTTTTAGGTGAAAAAGATCTGCGCTCATGATATTAATGTATTCATCAACCGCCAGTTGATCTACAACTACCCAGAACAGTTGTTTGCCGATGAGAAGATTATGGCCATCGAACATGCTGACTTTGAAGGTATTGAACGTTTGGCTCTCGTACTCGGTATGTGTTTTTATTGGATTGTAATATTTCCATATTTTTGTACTTATGCATTGAACTAACTTCTATAACGAGTTTCTATAAAACTAAATGGCTAAAAACTAATTTTTTCAATTCAGGAGGAGAAATTGTTTCCACATTTGACAACCCAGAGAAAGTCAAGATCGGAAAGTGTGATTTGATTGAGCAAATTACAATTGGAGAAGACTCCCTTTTGCGGTTCTCTGGAGTGTCATTGGGAGAAGCTTGTACCGTCGTGTTGAGAGGTGCTACCAACCAGATTCTGGATGAAGCCGAACGGTCGCTTCACGATGCGCTTTGCGTTTTGTTGACTCACGTCAGAGAAGCCAGAACTGTTTCTGGAGCGGGAGCTGCTGAAACTCTGATGGCCAGTGCTGTCATCTTGGAAGCACAGAAGATTGCTGGAAAGGAATCTTTGGCAGTTGAAGCTTTTGCTCGTGCTCTACAACAACTCCCCACCATTATTTGTGATAACGCTGGTTTTGACAGTGCTGAAATCATTTCGAAACTAAGAGCGGAACATGCCAATGGTAACCACGAGTATGGAATCGATATCGAGACTGGAAAAATTGCAAATGTAACAGAGAAGGGAGTTCTGGAAAGTTACAATGTAAAGCTTTGTATGATCACCTCAGCTGCTGAAGCCGCGGAACAAGTAAGTATCATGATTTAGTAAATACTTCGAAATTTTAAGTAAAATCGTTAAGATGATAGTATATTTTACTTTTTTAATTCGAAAAACTGTTTTGTTTTTGACAATGCGTTTTTTCAGATTCTGCGTGTGGATGATATCATAAAATGTGCCCCAAGGCCCAGAAAACCCGACAACAGACCTTGTTAAGTGTTTCTTGTTGCTATTCCGTTTTTGATCTGCTAAAACCCCAAATCCGAAGCAATCTCGTTTGGTTTTGTTATGTTTATTCTCAGCTTTGTTCATTTTACTCTAAAGTCTTGTTCAATAAATCATTAAATGTGCATAGTGTTGAGTTTTTCGCAGATAAACGGTTTGGCTTTGGTGCATGGCCGTATCTTCCATTTTCCCTGCACATCAACCACCGTACACCCTTCCAGTAACCCTCTTTTCGTAAAGTTTTCATATTGATTCTGTTTCGTTTCCATTACTGTTTGAGCTTTGAGTGCAATCCAGGCTTCAGTAATCGAAGGATCACCGTTTCGAAGTAGGTCTGAAGAGTATTATTAGAGTTTGAAGGCAAACACACCTGTCATCATCTTGTTCTTTTCCGGGTCATCGATATTCACCAATTGGGCGTTTCGTAAACGACAAAATACCTGAAAATTTATATTGCTGACAAAAATTTCATTTACTGTACCTGTGCTTCGTTCCAATCTAAATTTCGGTCGAAAAGTTTGAAATGCTCTTTGTCGACATTGATCCAGTCAGACAGCATGACATCGTTCAAAGAAGAGATCTGAAACACGATTTACGAAAGTCAAGAAAATTAGTTATTACGGCATTTTCGAGTTTCTCAATTCTCTCCCTCAGATAGGCCACCTGCAGTCCCATCCTATTTTGCCATTTGTCATCCAGAATCCGTATTTTATCTTCCATGGTCTCCACGGGTTCTTCGATTTCAATGTCATCTTCTGCTTTCTGAAGGAATTCGTTAACAATGCTGGGGCACTTACCACCACAATAAGCACAAACAATACTACTATATTAAGAAACATGTCTGAGTAAGAAGTAAAAGGGCAAAACATATTTATTTGACAAATCCACGCCGCAAAATTGAAGGTAATCTACAGATTTAGGTCAAACAACTACAATACAACATAAAAACCAGTAAGTGGTGAAAAACAAGTAACGTATTTAGTTATTAATTGTAAAACAAAAATATAAAATGGCATAGTGAAATTTCCATACTACCGTATCAATATTGATGAACGTTCAAGTCTGCGCGATAAAAAGAGAGAAACATGACACGGACAAGTCTTTTTACGTAAATGACCACAAAAAATTGTTTTTTTTCATAAATTTTTTTGATAATTTTATTCTCAATAACATCACTATATAAAGTATGATGTTTTAGTTTGTTATTCTATGATTTATTGTATTTTCTTATTTTCCAGTCAAAATAATTATGTTATTGTTTTCTACATTTTTTTATTTTAAAAGCAGTTTTAAAATTTTATGTCAGGGTTTGTTTCAGTGTCTTTTAAAACATGTGTTTTCAACATAAAAGCAGAACACACTCTTCTTTCGTCAAAAGTTTTTTAGACCGATCGGATAAACCTTGAGGAGAAACATCTGTCCACAATTTATAGTATTATAAGGTGATATCATTGCCAATTCGTAACTGCAGATTGTTGTTTTTATGAAACCTTTATTCATTTTACGAATATTTTTGCTGTTTTTGTTATCTGAATACTAAATTAAGTTTTGCGTTCTATAGACTTTATGACCGTTCTATAGGCTTTATGACCACACGACTGTTTCTTCGTAGTTCTCATTGCTTTTAGACTAAATTTGGTAAAAACTTAATAGCAATATTATTTTCGGAAAGGTAATACCACCTGTTTAAGCGTGAGTAATACTGCAGTCGTTGGGGGTGGATTATGTATAGCCAGCAGACTGTGCAAAACTTGTGTTATCTTAATATTGCGGTCAGCTACAGCGAGATTTATTTGCTCAAGTCTCCGATTTCCTTCGAACGTTTTTTGTTTTGCGCGAAAGTTTGATAAGAAGGATTCCAGTGGGGGAGATCTGACGTGATCTTGTGGTCGATCGGATGGCGATTGTCGGTGCTGCGTATTTCAAAGAACCCCCCGACCCGGATGTCACAACTTTTCAGCGCAAATGAGGAGCGGAGGCGAAAGAACTGACCCTTTATAGTAACTTAAAGGAATGTTATTTTGTAAATAGTTGTTGGAGCTAATATTAACGCTGGTAGAGGGGGTTAATAAGTCATTTTTTAAAGTTTGGACTGCTAGTTTATAAAAAGCAAGGTTTGACATTAAATTAACGAACTGGTAGATAATAGAGTTGTCACAATATTTTTGTTTTAACGTTTAAGATGTCAATTTAAAGTTATCATTCGGGTTAGCTTTTATACTCAATATGGGTCTAAATTTCTTTTGTTATGTGCTGTTGTTCCAAGTATCGTTCATGCTCAGAAAACACTAAAACCATGCAGTTACATCTCCATTTCCATAAACTGGGTTCTTGCAATTCTCGGGGGAATAATGATGTGAGTTTGTAGCCACGAATGTTTTAAATTTGGGCTATCTTGTTTTATGTGATTTTTCCACAAAATTATTATTTCTTTCGGCTGACACGTAGCGGTATGTTTTACCCGATCGTGGATGATTTAGTGTTGACATCACGTAAACACCGAAAATGATATAGAATTTTATTTGCGATATCTCGGCTTTCCAAGAGATTTGCGGACAGATTTGATGAACATAGAGAAGGTCCTCTTTAAAGGCTCACATCTCCGTCTCTTTCTCTCGCCCTCTCTCTGATCGGCGCACTCCCTCTCTTTCCACTGGATGGACCGGTTGCACTCTACGCTTTTCACTTCACCTGGATTCTAAATTATCAGTTTTATGCCTAACACTGCTTAATGCGTTATGTACAATTGTACAATCGTTGTATCGTTTTTGATATTTTCTTTTATTTTTGATCAGAAAGCTTTGCCTAAAATATTTTTTAATTTGTTTTATTTTTTCCGCGTTTTTTACGTTGATAGCGTGTTATTTATTTGTAATTATTCAACGTTTTTCTTAAAAACTGTTGTTTTTATTGTTTTTGTGATAAATTTATGTCTAAAAACAAATTTAGGTAACACAAGTGATCTTGAGCACTTGGGGCTAAAGATGGTGCTCGATGACGATGACGAGGGCAACAGAATCACGCACAACGAGATAATCCAGGGCCGGATGAACGTCCAGAATAATGTGATCAACCGTCGTCGTGTAGGCTTTAATATTTATGTGTTCTCCTTTTTAGGCGGAAATATGAAAAGATAGCGAATGATTCATTTAAATTGCATTCGAAGCCGTTCTACTGGCTCAATCGACTGTTTTCTTCATAGTTTTATGTTTTAAAATACTAAGTTTTGAGGAAATATTTAGTGTTTTGTCTTTTTCTATTTAAATATGAAATTTGTAAATCTTGTAAAACATAAAAGTTATAAATAATTAGAATAGAATAGGGTTAAGAGTTAAAAAATACTGTTTGAAAATTTTTATCAGTGAGCTTTTGTTTGTACAAAAATATTGTTACCTAAATTTAGTGTTATTGTTTTAGGAGCAATTACAAGCGTGGGAAGGCTCGGAAATGAACAGATTGCCAGCAGTTAGGAAGCCGGTCAACAAGTCCAAAGTCAAGTTTCAGGTAAGCTTTTGAGGTTTTGTTTTTTAATTTAGGTAACAAAGTATTAACAACATCGTTTTAGGACAGTGACATCTTCTTCAGCGCTTGTGTTAGTGGCGATGAAGAGGAAGTTGTCGAGCTTCTTGCAAAAGGGGCTAATGTCAACACGACAACGATAGATGGAGTCACACCTCTTCATCAGGTAACAATATATACATTTAAAATTTTTGTGTTGTTTTAAAAGTTATAATACTGTATTTGTTGACCTTATTTATGTTAGAGCGTCATTGATGGAAACTTCGAAATGGTGAGGTTTTTACTGGACCATGGCGCTGACATCAACGCTCAAGATAACGAAGGCTGGACTCCTCTCCATGCTGCTGTTTGTTGCGGGAATCTGAATATCTTGGAGTATTTGTACGACAAAGGAGCAGATATTACAATCACGAATACAGACAAGGAGCTTCCGGTAGACTTGGCGGAAGACGACACTATCAAACATTACCTAGAAGAAAGATTACAAATTCATGGTCTGACGGCAGACGAATGTCGCCAAAGAGAAGAGAAGGTGATGTTGAAGGACTGTATGGACTGGATTCGGAACGGAGCTTATCTTGACAAACCTCATCCTAGGACTGGAGCTACGGCTTTGCACGTAGCAGCTTCTAAAGGCTACAACAAATTGATCTGTAAGTTCTTCTATGTCTTTTGTTGATTTTTCTAATATTATGTTTTTGAATGGTTGACGAGATACATTTTTGTGTTAATGTGTGTTTTGTACTATGTAAACATTTTTAGCATTACTGGTGCAAGCCGGGGCTGATGTGAATGCCCGCGACTTCGAAGGATGGACTCCTCTTCACGCAGCTGCTCATTGGGGCGAAAAAGAAGCGTGTAGGATTCTGATTTCACGTGGCGCCGATGTTAACGCTGAATCTATTGCTGTATGTTTAATTTTGTTTGTAATTTAGGCATTTATTACCTAAAATTCGTTTATCAAATATTATTTTAGGGCCAAAACGTATTACGCGTAGCTGATGCCAACATATTGGAGTCGCTGGAACAAATGGCTGAAGAGTTCGCTGCCCGAAACCATACCTTGCCGTTGGATCAAGTGGATTTGAACGCTGAAGCTGACAACGACAAAGTGCAGTCTAATGTTAACATGCATTCTTCTGGAAAACGGTATGCAAGAAATGCAATTTTATAAGGTTTTATTATTTTAGATTATCAATTGGTCGCATGAATTCGTTAGAAAAGGATGAGATCAAAAAGAAGGACGAGCACGATGAGAACGTTTCTTTGCACGGTCAGAATGCTACACGATCTCAACATTCACTGTCACCTCCTCCGGCCAAAAAAGTCAACGAAAACAAGGAGAATCCAGTCGAAGTTCAAAAGGCTGCTCCTCCTCAAGTACCACCAAAGTCTTTGTCGCTAAAGGTATGTTTTAATTGAAATATTGTTTAAGTTATGTAATGTCTTTCGTTACTCTTCCTTTTTAGAACATTCAAATGGAAGAACTAGAGGACGAAGAATGGGAGGACGAAGAGGAAGAAGTTGAAGAGGAGTCCGAAGTTAGCAAGACCAGTAGTGCCGTTACTCCAGTCACCAACACTACGTTATACTTACCAAAGACATATCAAGTACCAGGAGCTAACCGTGTAGCTATTGTGGAGAGTGACAAATCTCAGTCGAGCCAATCTTCATCTACACTGTCAGTTCAAGCTGTTCTACCAGCACCGCGAGGACCGTCAGGGTCTGAGACATCGACATCTTACTCGTCTGGTTCATACTCTACCTCTGGTTCTACATCATTATCAAGTTCACAATCTGCCTCGACATCGTCTAGTCAACCTTCTAAGTCCTTGAACGATGACGTATGTTATATTTTCTTATTTTATAGTTAAAGTTTACAATTTAATCTGTTTTAGAATATTTATTCCAGTTGAGATTAATATTTTTATGTTTCAGATACCTCGTAAAGACGATACGCCGACCCCTCTAAGTCAACGTAAAGCGTCTTCGGTCACGTCGAGAACGGTGAATTCACCTCGAAAACATGAGTCGCTGGAAGATGACGAAGTGTCTGCCGAAACCGTTTCATCAGCTTCAGAAGCTTCGAACACGAGCGCTTCGATAAGCTCGATACAGACCAGAAGTCGATCGATGACGCCACGAGACGTAGGTTGATTCACCTGTTTTCTGGCCTTTCTCGGCCATGCTTCAAATGACTCATTTTGGTATTATTTTTAGACGTCTTCGAGCCTGTACAGTAGCGATCAGAGCGTCAAATGCACGTTGAAAGTGCAGTCGCAACCTCAGCAACCTTCTACCGCAACCCCAAAGAAAGAAGAACCTGAACAGAAGACACAGTCGGCCGAACAGAATCAGAGCCAAAACCAGAATCTGAAAATGTCAGAGTTTGCGCAACCGGCATCTCCAGTCAACAGAGCACCGTTGGCAAGAATCTCGATGTCGCCTTCTACAGAGTCACTGACTTCTTCCGAGTCATCTGTTGTCTTCCGGAAACCGTGAGTTTGAATCAAGTTTATAACCATAATACATACATAACAATATCATAATAATGTACGGTACGCTTGGTTTATGTGGAACCTTGTGCGTGTGTTGTGTACTGTTGCGTTTTACTTATTTTGCTCTGTGTCTTTACTTTCGTTAATACGAGTTCAACACCTGCTGATTGGTGTTGTGCTTGTAGCGGTTTTTACTTTTACTGTCAGATTTCTGAAGTCAAGAGTGGTTTTTAGTTATATTTTGCCTCTAAATGGGCTTCTATTCTAGCGCTATACCTCCCCACCAAGTTACTCCTACGAAGACCAGTCCAACCAAAGTGACTGTTCCTGGTTCAGCCCCAGCCAAACCCTCCTCCTCAGCATCTTCTATAATTCAGCGCTTGAATAGCTTGAACCAGCCCACTGTGTCGTCGTTAACACGGCAAAAGCCGCCTATGTTAAGGTCCCAATCAGTAGCCGTCGACAAGTTCGCGGCTGCCAAGTTTGGATCCGAGAACGAGGCGTCGACGTCGGCCAATAACCCGCCACCGTGGGTTGGACACTGGCGGAACGAGCGAGGTGTTATTCAAGTTGGTCCCAAGCCGAGCGTCAGTGGAATGGTGAAGGCGAACGAAGGCTACAGAGACTTCAGGACCTCCAGTGCTTTATCCAACGGCTCCGTATCTTCTGCTGCTTCTGATGCTTTTCAAAATAACGTTTTTAGAAAGTACGTAGCATGTTTTATATGTTTTTTACGTTTTTTGTGTTCAATGTGCATTTACTTTATGTAATAGAGATTTAGTTCGAGTATTTTCTTATAATTATTTTAAATATATTGTTATACATATTGTTATAGGTCTATACAACAAACTCCGCCGACACAGCCAGCTCCACAAAAGGAAAGCGAAGCCGAAAGAAAGGCCAAGTCTCGGCTTCAAAGAGCTTCACGAAGGTCCACACAAGGTGTAACACAAGAGCAGTTGAGCGAGGTCAGAGGATGTGCTTCGAACTCCTCGTCCGCCGTCTCTACTCCAACAAGTTCGAGGCAACAGATGAGGGTGGAGGACGATGCTAACGGAAAGTGGAAGAAGGACAGGGTAAGTCGACCCAAGTAATTAAACATGAAGGCAATATACAGAAGAAGGGGCCACTTGTAGTAAGAGTAGTACTAACTAAAAGATACGTTCCTATGACCTGGTACTGACGGGATTGTGCCGTATATTACTTACTGTGGGGAGTACAATTACTAAGAGGCTGTTAATTGTTTGGCATGACTGTCTCTTTCATTGCTTCTGGCTTTAAACTTTAGTTTTCTGATTTTGGGATTTTTAGGGCTCTCTTTGGCCTACTTCGTGTGTTCTTTTGTAATTTCTTCAACCACTACAGCAGAATTTTGTAGGTATAGATCTTTTGGGTGCTGTGTCTGACTGTGTTTGAGTTTTACTGTTTTGATACTAGTTTGTTCCAAAAGAGTACCATTTTACGAATAATTTAGAACATATTTTGGTACTCTTTGACCGGACTAGAAACTCTAACATCACTTTCTATTGTAGCCAGGGGTTGCTGTACCTATTTAATTTCCTTTCACTATTAACGCTTCTTGTATTTGGCCCAAGTTAATGTGATTGTTTCAGTATGGTGTCCCCAAACAGTCAAGTCAGTCGACCGAGCCGGTTCGTTCCACCATCCCCTCAGGCTCGTCGTTATCTCAACTCAACCAAACCCGTACCCCGCCCACGCTTCCCGGCGAAACCCCTTCAGCGGCGAAAATGAGACGGGCTCAGGTAATTATACTATAATATGACGTTGTTGTAGTGGGTTTGTGTTCAAAACTGGTGAACTTTTGTTTGATGCTTGTGGTGATGATGTTGTATATAAGTGTGGATCATAATATATTGTAACTGTTATGATGATGACTGTTGTGAGTGGTTGTTTTTAGGTATTCCGCAACAACCGACGAGGGACAGGACCAGTCGAGATGGAAGGCCAAATGCAAGAACCCATTGAGTTCGGAACACCAGTGAAACCATCTCCGTATTGCCAGGTTTGTTGTAGTTTTGTGATTGGTATGAGTAACATATAACACTCGATATTAACTTAGCTTAAACCGACTACTTTATAGTCGCCTCAACTGCAATGGAAGTCTAGCACTCTAAACTTTCTTTCCACTAACAGAAAGTCGAACACAGCTCGTGTTGCACCCTTTTCTCAGGTGATTTCCACTTTTGTGTAGTTTTGTGTTGTTTTACTCGGTGTGACGTTGCTGTGCAGTTACTTGACCTCACCAGACAAACACTTCTCTAATTTCACGCCGACTGAAGCGTTTTTTGCAAGTTAACATTGTATACCCGAGACCAGACTGTGTTATGGAGTTATCATCTTTTGAGATCGGAGGTTTAAGTACGATGGTCTTACTGTCCCATAATTTGTTTGTTTTACCGGCCGCTTTACTTTGAACTCTTGAAACTGAAGGAATATAATTCGAAGGTCTCTGACTTCACTTCTTGTTCGAAATGGCCCAAAACCGCGCGCGACAAACTACACGCTCTGCTGTCAGATTAGGCCGGACACCTTCGTTGTCCTATTCCAAGACCTATATTGGTGATCAGACCGCCTTTTCACGTCACTTTTCACAAACTGCCTCCAAATTCGATGATCTGCGAGATTCCTCGAGGATATTCTGTCCTAGAACGGAGCCTCAGAGTCAGTACTACTCTAAAAGGCCTTTTGAAAGTGGTGCCAATACGTCCGTTCTGAAGCGAAACTCTTCGTTCAACGTACTTGAGCATGGAGAGAAGAGGCAGATGTTGTTTGGTGTTCGACCTCCAGAGCAGATCAACATACCTAATGCAACCAATGCTCAACTCTCGGGCTACAGAAGGACGCAATTTATGAAGGCTGCTTGTAGGCGGTCTACTTCTTTGATGACACAATGCAGACCTAAAAGATTTGTCAGCCAGCCGGCTGTCTCCTTGAATATTGCCGTCACTGAATCGCCCACAAAGTTAGTTGAAAAGGAAAACCGTAGCTCGGGAAAAAGTTCGTACAGACAAAGTTCGACGGAATCTGATGGCTTCAGTGATATGTCGACGATGTCTAGCGATGAGGTTCTGTTGTTTATGTGTGTTTGACTGTTGCTAACTTCTTTTTGTTGAATCCTTAGTTTTTCCGTCCATTTTCGTTATCTAATTTTATTAACCATGAAGTCATTATCATTTTTTTCAGAATGCAACGGAAAAAACTGAACTTCCGACGTTCGCCACCACAGGAGCGTTACCTAGGCGGACCAATGGCTACAAATCCACTTCAGACAAGAACGAGCAGAGCTACCGTGTATTATATGAACAGAAGTGCGAGGAGAATGACAGGTTACGGAAGGAGTTGGAAACCCTGAAACATCAGGTAGGTTCAGTTGAGGGTCAGAGGTATTTTCTGTTTCCACCACCGTTTTACTTCTCTGCTGTGTCCCTTGGATTTTGTAGCCTTTGAGTGGCGTGTCTTAAAGCGAGTCGATTTCAGGCCACCCACGCCCAGTCTGGACCGAATGTTCAAGGAGCGCTTCGGCGTCCCAGCCCCGGAGTTATTGGAGCAACAGCTTTGGGAACGACGGGTTCGAGTACATCGACATCCAGCGCGAGCCACAACAAATTCGACTCGACTTCGATCTCGAACTCCCTTTCGTCACTATCCGACTCCACGAAGCTAACGGATTATGAGCGGCGACAGTACGAACGCAAAATATCAGAGCTCGAACATGAACTTCAGGTATGTATAGGTTGTTTTAACATCAACTGTACTTGTTTTTTTTGTAAAAATGAAGTTTTTGAAAATATTCAAAATTAAACTATGAACTTACATTTCCAGAAGGCGAAACAGCTTCAATCCGACCACAGACGGCTGAAGGACGAGAACAATGCTTTGATCCGAGTCATCTCTAAGCTCAGCAAGGAGACCAACTCCTCTACTCGTCCAAGTGCCCCAGGATCAGCCTCGACTGGCCTCACGGTCCACTCTTCCTCCTAAACCTTGATTTCTCGTCACTTTTCACTTGCTATGTCCTGATTTACAAGGGCGTATACTAATTGGCTTGGTTCGCTACTGACTGTTGAAGTAAACCCTTGAATACTGTATCTGCCTGCTTATTTTGTACCATTATCTGTCTAATTATGTTGTAACAAACCGGGTACCTTGGCCACTCAGTCCGCTTCTTTCATTTCTGTTACTTCTAATAATAACTACGTGGTAGGAACTACCAATTGGCACGATCAGAGTCTTCTGACTTTTCCAATTGTAGGCATCCGCACATAAAACTCATAATTATTGTTATTCTGTGAAACTGGTCAACAATTAAAGTTTATTTAAATATGACATTAAGAGATGGCTATTGACTGTATATGAGCAACGTTTCCTCTAATAAAACAAGATTTTATTTAAAACAACAACAAGGTTTAACAATAACAATCATAACTTGAATATAACAACTTCGGCCTTACTTAGATTCGCGTTTCATTTTCTTGAACGGAGTTTTGGTAACACTTTTCTCAGCCTAAAATAATACAAAATTATCAAAAAAATCAAAGTTTAAAAAGGTGTCAACATACCTTATCAAGCACTTTTTGCCTGAGGGCACTAGCCTTGTGCCAGTCATGATGGTACTTAGCGACCGGAGTCGAATCTGCCGTCAGAATTTGCTCCAATTTGTACTAAAACCGATCCAAATTAAAACACGGTAATTGGTGAAAATAAGAGAATATAGAAATTAATTATACAGGGGAACTCACAATTTCATTGACATCGTTCAGATCGATCTTATGGGCTGCCAGTGTTAATCGCAGTTGCTCGGCGTGCTCTTTCAACTTTGACTCCAGTGCCTTGAACAGCTTCTTGTGGTCAATGTTGTTACAATTTTTGATAAAATCCTAAAAATTCAAAGTAATACATGTTTAAACTTATTTAACTGTGGACGAAAAAAGTCGGCCTCCAGTTATAATAGTTTTTTGACCGAAAATGTTGTAGAAAACATTTTACTGCTATATTATTGAATTGATTTACTTTTATCACTGGAACTATGGGAGTGATTACGTCACTGAAGGCAAGATTTGATCTCAAAACGTAGGCTGCCTCCAAAAACACTTCAAATACATCGTCGGCGATAATGCTTCTGTAGGTGGAATCTTCCAGCATTTCCCTGTTTAGTCGAATCATATCCTTGAGTTTGGTCGTTTTTTGTAAAACTTTAACATTCGACGGCTTTTTTGAGTCGATGGTTAGCAAATCGTCCAATAACTGAAAGTTAAAACATAATTTTAAAACAACAATACAGCATATATCGTTAAGCATGCACTCACAAGAGAGCATGTTCCTACAAGTAATCATAAATCTAAAAACAACTCACATCAGCAGTAATGGCCAAAGTTGGAATATACAGTCCACAATTTACTTGGAGCTGGAGCAACACTCTGACACAATGTAGCCGGAGAGGAATGTATCTGGCAGTAGGGAACACGTTGATCAGTCCAATGGCTATCTGAATCAACGGATACCTCAACTCTCGGATCCAGTCGACGGCTTCGGAGACGTGTCGATGTTTAGAAGAGCGAATCATAACAGCTGCCCACAGATATATTCCTAGCACGAACTGCCAGTTGTACACGGTCTTGATGACATCCTGAAAACAAATCCATGAGTACGGTGCACATAAAACTCAATTTTAAAAACCTACTTACTCACCGTTTGTGATTAAACACAACAAACAATACTTACCTTTCTTTTAGTGATTTTGGCGTTCCTTAAATGAATAGCGTATTGTCTTATGTAAACGAACACGTATTGGTATGAAACGGACGGGTTCACAAATGTCAATTCAGCAAACGACTTCTGCATGAACAGAAGATTCTGCCACGCACCTGTCGTGATCTGCCTGGATATTGACACATAAGCAACATAACAACTCTGAAATATTCCATTTTAAAATTAATTTTCGAAGAAACATTAAAACTCAAATATATCACAACATCTTTTAAAGTGTTTTCAAATCAATTATAACAAATTGAGCCCTATAAAACATAGCGCTTACCTTGTAGACGAACGTGTACAAATCAACGTCCACTTGGCTGATTCTGTTGAATATCAAGAAGGCTGCTACTCTTTGTTCCATGCTCTTTTGGCTCCAAACTCGTACTAATTTCTGTAGACAATATTGTAAACATTTAAAAATAAAATCGAACAAAACACAGTAATTGAATTTCAGGTTAATATTAAACTTACTTTAATCAAATGTCTGCAAGTTTTCTGAAAGTGAACAAAGAAGTCGACCAGCGGGATGATAGACCTGATCACAGCTACTGCAATCTCGTCATTTCCAACTTCTGACAATAACTAAAATTTAAATAATGTATTGACTAACTTGAGTGATAATTAAATTTTTTGTTAAATTACCAAACTACACATCGCCAATTATTTGGTTACATCAAAAATTAAAAAATTGTAACCTAAAATCCCAAAAATTAGTAACATACCTCAACCACCGCCGTCAAATATTTCCGAGTCAAAGTCTTGTATTTGTGAAAGTGTTTAAATACTGGAACTCCTTTCCTCACTTTCATCTTCTTGGTCTAAAACAAGAGTACATAAGAATAAGGATGTTACCTTACCTCCTTTTGTTTTTCGTCCAAAGGATTCATCAGTAACAAAAAGCAATGTCCCATTTGCTTTAAACAATTTCGAATGATCGAGTCAAACACTAAAACAAAATTTTGTCAACAATTAAATTTTAGTTATCATTGTGTGTATATCAATATAACAGTTACCTAAATTTATATAGATATAAAATCTATCCAATGCCTACCTCTATCTTCGTTAACAACAAATTCTCCCTTCTCCAAGTTCGCTCCTACTCGACAAACACAAGCATGAAAAGCCTTGACAGCCAGTGCTACTATAGACTTCAATTCTTTTCTATGATTAGATGGGTCGGTCAAGACCTTTTCAATAAGTTCAGCTGCTTGCTGGTTAACGATCTTACGGTCATCTTCATCCACATCAAAGTTTACAACCTTCTTTCCAATAATTATGCTCTCCAAAGCGTCTTCTTCTTCCTCTTCGTCCTCTAAATCAAAATAAACCTCAATTATAGAATAACTTACCAATTTCGTCAGTTTCCATATCAACATCACTGTCAGAGAACTCCAACAAATCTGCATCTTCTTGTTGTAAGAACTTGAAAAAATCAGGATCTTTCTGAGCTATTTCCTCGAGCTGCTTTCTGTGAGATCCAGACACATCTTTCTTGTCTACAGCAACTTCAGGCTGCTTCTGTTCTACACTATCTACCTCATTCTGCTTCCCCACCTTGTTCTTCTTAATCTTCTTCACCTTGACCATGTTTACAAGATCTATTGAACAACGAAACAAAATCTTGTTCTAAAAAAGAAAAACCGTAAATTATTTTAGGTTATTGCGGAATGCCAAAAAAGCAAAATGAGCGTATTTCAGCAAAATACAAAAAGATTTTTTTTAAATCACGCGCGCTTTCTACATAACAATAACTTATAGGAAAAATAGTAAGAATTAGTGAAATTAATTTGAGTAATTACTTTATTTACAGAATAAATATAGATCACTTAAAGCTTTGAGGTGTTATCGGAGACCGGGCATTGCGACACTTTCCGAGGGAAGGAGCCGCTGTATCTTTCGTACAATTCCTGGATGAAGGAAGCGTTTTGCCATGCTCTATCACGTGCATTCGGTCCTGAGGCAATATCCTGAGATTCCTCTTCGATTTTGTTGTAGCGAGAATCACTGATAAGTTTTAGGGAAAGGGACATGGCTTCTGAAATGACGTGTTGTTAATCTATGCGTTGTTTCTTAGAAGGTCGATAGCTTACAAAAATATTTTATATAAAGTTAGCTACCTACCTTCTACAACTCCTCGTACGTATTCTGTTACTTTGGCTTGATTGTAGCCACACCTACTCACAGCCTTCATCATCAGCTGTACCCAGAGCTGGTCGTCTTCCTTTACATCGGCAAAGTTAAATTTTTCCGTTTGTACATCTGACTTCTGGGGAACACCATGAGCAAAGTGGCCAGACCCACTTGAGGTTGAAGGCAACTGTTGGAAGTTGCCTTCATTAAAGGTGGGTTGTGGCACTTGAATGATGTGAGCCAAGTTGTAAGCTCCGACAATCTGCTCCACCATTCCTTCTAGACCAGTCTCGTAGCTTCCGGCACGGAAATGTACAAGGTTCTTGTGGAAGGCGTCTTGAAGAACGTCTCGCGACAGCTTAGCGTCTCGTCCAGCCACGGTAAACACCTGTCTATCTTGTCGTGAGTTTACAATCAGCACCATCGTGTCACAAAGACCAACATCCTACAATAGAAGGTATTCTCATAGGTATACAATGGTTTAAAATATGAAAATTTGAAGAATTCTTTAGGATTTAATAAAAACTTAAAATTGTAATAAAAAAGTAGTCTTAATACAAGAACTTAATTTGTATTACCTGGTAGTTCATGTAGCGTGACCTCAGGAGGTTCGTGAACTTTTCTACAGAAACAGATTCGAAAGGTAACATTCCCAACTTGTCGATCAAAGCAATCATAATGTACAAGTTTGAGTGGTGAGAGGTGGCACATGCTGGCGACGTGTTTCGTATGTTGGACGTGATACGTTGTAACTAAATAATTTTTTAATAACCCTTAAAAATTAAAGTTTTGAAACGTTTTTTGTAAAAACAACTCTTTGTTTCTTAATTACATAGACAAATTACGTAGAGTAATTTCATAACGTAAAAGAACAATAGAAATCAGTTATAAAGATCATAAACAACTTAACCGTACATTCTGGATCTTCTCGTTCAGCTGATTCCTCTGTTCGGGCGTCAGGATTTCGGCCGGATCACAAACTTGGCCCGGGAACAGGGTCTTACAGCCCGCAGGGTCCAACCGCGGGTCCGGGTAGGTCTGTGGACTGTATTGAGCCCGCGCCAGCTGGACTGCCAGCAGAAGGGCGATCCAGTTGATCATTCCGAAAAAGGAAAGTTTGTGAGTTCGATCGACCTTGCCTTCTCAACTCGGTCAACACTAACCTCTTACGACGACGTCTTTCTGGATGGAGAAGAAGACGATCGGAGGGCGTCTTCCTTCATCTCAACTAATTTCCTGTTTTAGTAGCGATGATGGAGTTTGCGTTATCAGACTCGATTGAGGCATCTGGATGTTCTGAAACAAGCGTTCAAACAACATTACATGTTTTTCTTGGAATCACACGAAATATGCTTCTGTAAGACACGAATTTGGAGGTATACAGCTTACTGGAAAGGATAAGTGGGGCATTAGTATATATTACCCTACTTTTTAATTTTGAAGCTGCTATTTTGGCCGACTTGATGCGAAATTATTAGTATCGCCAAAGAATTGCGACAAGTTTTAATTTAAAGCATTAATCAAAGTAACTTTAATCTAACCCTTACCTACAACAACCTCCAAAGGTATAACAACAACCTTCAAAGGTACTTCGGTAAGCCATAAAAAAAGTTTAGAGAAAACGAATCGGAAGTACTCGGAATAATGACCTAATTCATAAAAAACACAATAAAAATAGAAAACCGACCCCGGATTAAATAACATTAACATTCATGAACGAGGAAGAATCGCGCACATAGGCCTGTTGTGTTTGCACTCTGTACTTAACATAATGACTGGCCATTTCTAATAAGAGGCCCGGTCATCGCACCGCATTTCTTCTGATTTTCTACCTAATTCCATAAAAACCGCCTGCTCCATGGCCAGTCTGACAGCGCCATGATACTGCTGGTGCTCTTCCTCATATCTACATTGGGTTACAGTAGCTACTGTCCTCGAGGACAGACCGTCACGCTCAGTAAGGCCGGGTTTTAAATTTTTTAAATCTTCGAATTATGCCTTTTTAAGCGCTTTAAATATATAATAATAAGTATTTTCAAAACCTTTTTTAAAGTTAGCATAATATATAAAATACGGTTACAAACCTACTACAATATCAACTTCTTAGATCCGTACGGCCGCTCCATTCCTTGCCATTCAAGTTCAGAATGCCCTGAGGCGTCTGAATGTTACAGTAAGAGTGGATACTGTTGTGAAAGTCTTGCCCCCAAACTCACCGAATGCCCTCAGGGCATGGCACCGATCAAAGTTAGTCAAAACAGAGTACTACAATGTAAAGTGTCCGAAAAGAACTCCTGTCCAGACGGCTCTGTTTGTGTTCCTGGCTCCACGTCTTCTGTAGCACATTGTTGTATGGCTGATCCTACAGAAGGTTGTGCCGCTGGGTCGAGAGTGTTGAGAGACAGTTCTACTCGAAAACCATTACTCTGTAATCCACAGACATTAAGGCAGGCCGACACTTGTCCTGGGGAAGCCAGTTGTCAGTGGAACTTCGAACTAAAACAATATCAATGTTGCGAACCTGATGACGGTAAGATTAGGTATAAAACATAAAAAATATAAACTAACATTCAGGAACTTTTATACCTAAAAGACTAAAAAACCATTTTCAAAACTAAAAAATATTCAGGATGCCCCAGAAGTCACCGTCCGATGCTAGACGACCAATCAGTAGTCAGAATCTGTGATCCAGGAAAGAATGTTCATTGTCCTCGAGGCGGCATCTGTTGGTACAACTTCTGGCACGGCAGATTCCAATGTTGTCAAGCAATTGTCGAAAGTAATATTAACCTTTAGGTGTAAGATGTTTTCAGGCTTGTGTCCCATCAACATGGTCGCTTTCCTCAGCCCAGATGGTCCCGTGGCATGTAAAACAAGTAAAGAATGTCCTGAAATGTACTCTTGTGAGAAAGGAATGTGTTGTGGTCAGCCAGGAACTTGTCCTTTGAGTTTGCACAGTCCAGCCAGAGACGAAAGAGGTTCGGAGATCATTTAAAATTACCTTTTTTCATTTATTCTTTATTTTTTTACATTTTACTTCAATTTCTTTGAAGAAGCGAGACTTGACGCACATCTAAAGCTGAGACAAGTCTTTCTTTTATTTATATTATAGTTGTCCCTTCGCAAAACAAGTAATCTTTCATACTGTATGTTTACAGGACATTTGAGGCCATGTTTCGCCCCCAACTTTGTAGATTGTCCTGGGGATTCATCGTGTGAAGCCTCGATATACCCCATGATGGTACAACACAAATGGAAACAACAGTTGTGTTGTGCCAAGAGTGTACTAACTTGTGCAGAAGGTGGTACTCCTTACCCGAGCCACAAAGATGCGATGCCTTGTGACAAAAGCAAGATCGATGCATGTCCTGTTGATACCAAATGTCAGGCTAGGTATAAATTTAAAATTTACATTATCATCACAGTTCCCTTCTTAAAAGTTTATAATACTATTATAAAAGCTAATTAATTACAGTAATGTACCAAAAACATATATTTGTTGTCGTACGAAGCGACAGACCAATCAGCTATGTCCAGCAGGATGGGTGTTGGAGAACAACCAGCTGAAGGTAAGGTGCTTGCTTATACCTATACTTTTATGACATTACTTTTTGATTATGGAATGTTTAGTACAATAATTTTAGTACTGCAAGCCCACCAGCCACGACTGTCTAAACAGTTGCTTGATGTCACCCCATACCCGACGGTTCTTATGTTGTTCACCATTGATGAGGGCCCAGTCTAGACTAAAACAACTCTCTCTAGTGTCTCTAGATGGCGACTACACATGTCCGTTGTTCTTTGTAGGACCAGAGATTCAGAATCGGTTGGAGAAAAGATGTACGGTACCCGGTTCCAGAGGAGACTGTAGTCCGGGCTTCGTATGTGCGACGTCGCTCGAAGATGTCAACGTAAATCTATGTTGTGGGCCTTCTGATAACCAGAAGGACGAGTCCAACTTCAGATGTCCGAATCCTGGTCAAGTGGAAGTTGTTGAGAATGGCAGAAACAGATTCTGTGACGCCTACAGTAACGATTGCCCTAGGGGGTAAGTGATATGATTGTTATGATTGATACGTTAACAATTATCAATATTTGTAACAAAATTACTGTATCTTCTTATAGTTAACAACGTTATTTTCTTACTGTAAGAGTGTATATTGCTATTACATTTGTTTTACTATGCAGATCGACATGTCATTCCGCCTTGAACTCTTATCAGATGATGATATGTTGTTACTCATCCCCTTCTGAAACTCCTGTTTGTCCTTCTGACAGTCTTCCTCAACCATCAGCTGCTGCGTATGTTCCGTGCGACTTAAACAGAGCCAATCAGTGCGACAACGGGTAGGTTACTGTACTTCAAAGTTAATATAATGTTACATACACAAAACAAAATCTTATTTACACTGTAAAATTATTATTTGTCGTGAATGCAAGTTCAGGTACTTGTGTGTACCATCAGCCAACCAGCCTCAGACAGCTATATGTTGTTCTCGTATCAACCCTAACTCGTATGTCTGTCCAAACCAGCAGTCGCTATACCTAGTAAGTTACTGTAGTAGATACCAAAGCAGATTTAGGAGAACGGTAGGCCTAGAATCTGTAGCCTCCAACAAGCCAATCCTTGTCCCACTGGATTTACATGTACTCAAACTGTCAGTAACGTTGGGACATACGTTTGTTGTTCTCTGCCATCGACTGCAACATGTCCACCCAGGTATACTGTAGTTACTGGAGTTAATGGAGCTGCGGTATGTTAATAGACGTTTTATTAAAAACGTGCAAACATAGACTATAAAACGAACTGGTTACCGTAAGAATTGTAATTGATTACAGTAAGAGATTCAATTGACTACAGTAAAAACTTTGTTTAGATCCATTGTAACCTCAACAGCCCTAACGACTGTCCAGCAGAGACTCAATGTCTCGATTCCCCCAACCAAGCCCAGAATGCTGTCTGTTGTCGGTCTTCAGATGCCCCGAGAGTATGTCCGGTAGGAATGTCAGCACTTCTGTTACCTAACAACCAAGTAGAGAGGTGCACTGGTCCAGGTAGCGCTTGTCCGGTAAGTTTACAAACAAGCAACAGTATTACGTTTGCACTTTGGAGATAATAGGCTGTGATTTCAGGTATCTGGCTATACTTGTCAACTGTCCAACTACCTAAGTGCTTGGGTATGTTGTGGTAGAGACCGTGAACAGATTCTTTGTCCTAATGGTGATGTACCTTACTCTCAACAGTTAGGTAATCCACCTTTTAAATTTTAAGTACTGTTTCTTTTAAAATTTCATTTTCTAAAATTTAGTTAGTTTATTTAAATTACTGTACCTTCCACAGGATCTCCTTTCCGATGTACCTTATACGCGTTTCCAAGCGAGTGTCCGGCCAATTACCAATGTCAAGTCTCGAGTCAGGCCAGTGCCAATGTTTGTTGTCCCAGCAACGTCCAGCCTAATCCTCCTGGTCCCAATCCCCCAAATCCAACACCTGGACCGTACCCACCGTATGAACCGACCGAACCCACCTTCCGACCGCCAACTCCTGACCTGACATGCCCGGTGGGGTGGAGTCCGTACGAAGATTCAGAAGGCGCTTACCACTTCTGTCAACACCCATTAGATACTCAATGCCCGCAGGTAATTAAAAGTTTTGAATTTTGAACATTATGATACAAAATAAGCAAAAATAAGTCTACAGTAAGCGTTATACCTAGTGATTTACGTAATTTATTTTGACAACACCAATTACTGCACTTCAGGGTTTCTCGTGCACACAATCATCGGTGTCAGGCGTGTTCGTATGTTGTAGACTGGCCTCTAACCTGAAGTGCGCCAACACCAACTCCACCCCTTACATCATCAACAACGCCCCCCGTCTCTGCAGTCTCTCCTCTGCCCTGCCCAACCCGTGCCCTTACAACTTCTCTTGTCAGTCTTCCAACATTCCCCAGGTCAACATCTGCTGTCCTTTGACATACATTAATACGATTACTCGCCCAATCCAACAAATAAGTCCACAAAACAATGGTCAGTCCAACTACTACACGAACCAGATCATGTGTGTTGATGGCAGTATACCGGCATATGTGGGACAACAGATGCTGCAGTGTAACTACTTGAACACCCCCGACTGTTGCCCTCCAACCTACACATGTTCGTTGTCTACTCAACGTGGCATCAACGTATGTTGTCATACTACACAGCTACAGACGATGCCACTACCGTCTTCACAGTTACGGTAAGCGAATTAGTTACAGTACGAAATGAACAGATCTTTAGCCAGATTGTCGAGTCGAAAAGAAGGCAGAAGTCCGTGTAGTGATAACGAGATAGCTGTAGACGGAGTGGACTGCTTCGACTCCCGAGAATGTCCTGGCTTGTCTATGTGTAACATAAGGTCAAATGATGTGAGAGGAGACTGTTGTGTGAAGCCACAATGTCAAGATGGATATGATTTGGCTATGCCGACAGAAATGTGTCACGATGACAGTGAATGTCGAGAAGATAACATTTGTCAGCCTTTTGGAGAGATCAAAGGTAACTTTTGACACAAACTTTTACAATCTTCCATTTTAAATTAAAAAACACATCTTATTTTGGGATCTTCTTATAATACATTACGAACACTAGTATTTCAAAACTCATGCCATTTTAGATTACAAAGTGTGTTGCAAACCAAAGAAACAACCTCGGTCAGAGTGTATTGGCAGAGAAACACTACGGCATGCTGGGAAGAGTGTGTACTGTAGAACAGACACACAATGTCCTTACGGTTACGAGTGTTCAGAAAAGACCTCTAACAATCAATCAATGTGTTGCAAACTTCAGAATGTCAATAACATCTGTCCGGACAATCGGTATGATGCCAGTTTTGTACCATTTTGTGCCAAAAGTTTGTAGCTTTTTAAAAAATATGAGAATAAATATTATAGACAATAAAATGCAAACTTGTCTTGCCAAAATGATTCAAGCTATTTCAGAAGTCCCTACAAAGACTCCAGAGACCTACCAATGTCGTGCAAAGAATCAGATCCTACCTCGTTATGTCCAGCCGGCTATGTCTGTAAAAAAGGACCGATGGGGGATGCACATTGCTGTTCATTGATAGCGTTCTGCCCTCCGGGGAAGATTCCTGAAATTAACGAAGACACTAATCATGCCAAGAAGTAAGTTCATCACCTTTATATTACTGTAACGTGATTAATAAGAATAAGCCGTAAATAAAACAATTTTTAAAATTTACAGATGTGATTCAAATACAGAATGTACTTCTGGCTACACCTGTGTGGACTCCTCAGTCCTTGGTACAAAAGTATGTTGCTCTACTAGTATAGACGTACCTCGACTACGTTCAAACACCGACGACTATAAACTGTGGACGATAATGGTGGGGTGACCGGAAACGAAAGCAAGCGATATTTATATGTAAATAACTTTATAATTTAAATTATTTTCAAGTATTATAATTAAAAATTCTAAATGATTAACAAAAACAGTTGACCTTGTCAAAACTCCATGTGAGCCAACTGCGCCACAGAAACCGGTTCCCATTCTCGAGAAGCGGTGTTCAAGCAGAATATGGCAGTTCCATCTAGGTATATGCTCTTTCGGCCGAGGTTGTAGATCTGCCGGCCATGTTCGGATTTGGCACTGGTAGGTACAAATGGTATGTCACGAGTTCTGGCCACTTGTTCGATGTGATTCCTCAAGGTCTTCTGAGTGATTGTAGGCATGAATGGATCTGGCATAGTAATAACCGGAACCGGTTCGGGCATTACGACGTGAGAAGACATGAACTCCTCATGGCTAGGCATTCTTTGTAATGGTTCGCCTCGTTTGACTTGACCAATTGCTTGGACTGCTCTTGCGAATTCAGCTAAAACAATATACATGTATTACATTTGATAAAAAGACACAGTAAATTAATACTACCAGTACCAATAAAATATAACGCCAGATGTAAAAACACGCATCAGTTTGTATATGAACCTACTTTGAATTGGCGGCCATTGATGCAAGTCTTGAGGTACCCTTGCCTTCCACTCTCGATAATAGTTGGCCACATCCTGGACAATCAATTGAGGGTTACCACGAGATTGTAACCAATTACATATCATGTCGTACCACTAAAACAATACAATATAACCTTAACCAAGTAGAATTAACTCAAAAGACAACCTTAAGCAACTTACTCGTGAGAAGAAGGTTCTGGTCAAGATTCTACATATAACGTCATCAGCTATCAGACCTCTCCATGCCAATACAACGTTGAATTCTTCGTATTTCTAAAAAAAAGGTATTGTTATTTAACTACAGATACTATATTGTTAGTTAACTGTAGATACCATCATTTGAATTATTAGTATAACAAAAGCTTACCGTATTCTGAAGTGGACTTAGATTCATTTTCATAAGACTTGTTTCCAGTTTAGGGACAATATTACCGTTCAGGAAGTCTCTCATCTGAGTTCTTGTGAACACTTTACTCCACGGTTTTATCACAGCAAATGCGCTGAAAAAAAATATGGATCAGTAAAACGTTAATGTGATACTTCAAAAATATAAAGTTAATTCTTTTACCACGATCAATAGTACAATATTAATTATAAAACTCACGACAAATCTGTAGGTACCCACTGCCTCAACGCTACTCCCAGCTTCTGTCTGACTGTACCGTAGACATCCCGTAGTCTGTCTCCAAGAATGTCACTCCAGGGTACCAACCATTCATCTAAAGGCACCTCATCTGACACTGGGTTCCATTCTGTCACTGCTGCAGCTATTTTAGGCACGATAATCTGGTCGAACAAGTTGTCCAATACCCACCTAGGCAACATCGGGCTCCACATCGTGAGCACAGAGTTCATCTGAGGAGAGTTAGTCCGAGGATTCCACCTTAAGACAGCCCTTCGTATCTGAGGCATCCAGCCATCCCACAGTAACAAGTCGAACATCGGTATGCCATTGTTACTGTACTTGCTCTCTAACACACCTTTGGCCGACAACAACTTCCTCCAGTCCATCATCTCGTCGTAGCCGTATAAATTCATTTCAGGGTCTAGAGGATCCCATTGGGAAAAGAATCGTGATATCTGAAAAAATATGTTAAAGATAATAACCAATAGTAATATAAAAGTATTTTAAAGTTACAATAAAAATATTATACTATTTCAAAAAAACATACCATGGGCAATATCTTGAACTGAATAATAGCCTCAAGGTTAAACAACCTCGCCTCCATAGAAAATTCTGTATTCAGCCTGTAGAACAACTTCTTACATTGTTCAAGATCGTCAAGGCCATTACTTAACGCGTCAAACCTAAAATACATGATAATAAAACAAAGAATACCAAAATAATTACTAAATAGATACTGAATCCATAAAATTTATCTTAACTTACTCTTTAATCAGCTGTATAATCTGATCCATCTTGTCAATCTCATCTTGTGTGTCATCAATATCTTTCTTCAAACTGACCTGTTCGTCTTCCATCACTCTGTTCTTGGCCTTGAGATCCTCAACATGAATATGAGTATTAAGAATCTCTTGCTCGCACGATGACAATAGTGTATTTAGATTCTCTGTCAACGCCGGAACGTTGAAGAACGCTCTTTTATTCGACTGTTTCACAGGTTTCCTTTTGTGGTAGTCACTAATATCATCGTAAGTCCTCTCTTGAGGGCCAGTCAGATCAATTATCTTCAATTTAGGTAATGGAGCAGATGGAGCTTCTCCACCATCCGTTATCACCTCATTCAACGTCCTGTACTTTACACGGACCTTCTTTGTCTTCTTCCAACTACCTGTCTCAACAACTTCTTCCTCTATCAATTCAACTGATTCTTCTGATCGTTTCTGAGCATCAGCAGCAGATTCTGAAAACTCATATATAAGTATCCAACTTATGGAATCAGAATATTATTGCTCCAAAACAAATAAAGAACTTTACCTCCAAATTTAGGTCCTTTCTGTTCAGATCCATAAGCACCAACAGCTCCACGTCCTTTTCGCACATTAGCCACGACTGGTTCCACAATACCTTGTTTATTGGTTCCAAGACCTTTTCCATGTTCATATCCCATTTTCTAAAGCAATATTAAAAAAGATAAGAATGCACTCACCTTCATCATATTCATAATAACACTTCCTTTTCCTGAAGAAGCTGTCCATGTTGGAGCATCAGTCCTCATTCTGGTCCCAGCAAACCCTTCACTAAAACAAAATATTATAATAGGTAATAATTTATATTCAACTCCTTAAAACAATTTTTGTTTAAACCTTCAAAACACTTACTTTTTCCTTGCTAAACCAGTTACAACTTTTTTACGATCCTGAAAGACGGATACCTCGACGTAATCATCTCTGTTCTTCTGTGCTGAAGTTGATGGAGCTGGGTTATCCTCATTGTCGTCTTCTTCCTAAACATAACAACATATACAAACAAGACAACTTACTTCTTCCATCTTACTTCCAACACTGACACCTCCACTAACAAAATTCGTAAACTTGAGAGGTTTGTTCTTGCCGAAAGAAGGTCTTTCATCCTCATCTTCATCTCTAGTGTCCGCCCATATGCCTAAAACAATATTAAAATTGTAGAACAATATACTTACCATAAATTTGATCCTCTTTGCTCATAATACTATCTATAAAACTGTAATTTCGTGAATTTATCCACAATTTTGCGATCAAATTCTTTTCAAAAAATAATTTCAAAATATTTATTTATTTTGTCGATCGCAGCGTAACCAAATGCCACAAGTGATTCTATTTTTCATGCTTTTGATGTCATTTGGAATATTATTTGTTCACGTAAATACGTTAGTCTTTTTTGATGTATGTTTTGTTTTTCGAATGCAATTAATTCTGAATGCAAGCCGTTCTTGCTCTATGTTATTTCTGTGAAAATCATGGCCCGAGGGTCGTTATGACCTGTCAACCTTTGCGGAGCTCTCTGCTCAAGAAGGATAATAGTTCCGAAAGTAGTTCTAGTCAGTCCCCACCATTGGGAGCATCTTCATCTTACCTTGACAATGGCAAGCAGCCAGAAGTTTATGGTGATGCAGATCTTTCGGCCGATATTGTAGATGAAGAAGCCCGTTGTGCGGCGTGTACATCATTCGGAAATGGGGTTGGGATTGTCTCGAACGATCACGAAGCACAAACGAGTTACGTGAGCACACAGGTGAGTAATTCTGGTGGTTTATTAGATTTTTAGGTACCAATTAACGACCGAGTATACCAGTTAGTCAAGCAGACATGTGTAAGATCGTTGAGTGTGGAGATATCTTCTCCCCTTTACGTCGAGCCAACTTACTCAATTAATCCAAAAGTGATTAAGAGCGAAGATTTTGAAAAAGAAGGTGCTGTTTTGTACGGAGATCAAGAAAATGGCTATACATTATCTTACACGTTCAAGTGGGTTTTTTGCGTTTTATTACCTAAAATCGTAGTTTTTATTTAAATATTTGTGTTTGTACAAAAAATATAATATTCACAATGTTTTCATAATAATCTCGGTAATTATAGGCTAAAAGATGCCAAAGCTCGTGGATTTCAACGGTCTTACAGTCTGGTTGTTGTCAGTATGGACCACTACATGTTGCTTAACAACTACGATTACTTTTTGAACGGTTTTGCTGCTATTATAACAAGACTGCAAAACAGGGCTGTATCTGTATTTACGATGGAACAAGATTCGGGAGGCGATGTTGCTTTAGCCACCGCTGTGAATCGAATTGGCTTTTTGCCAACAACTTTTTTCCCAAAAAAGTTTTGTCTTGACACTTCTAGAAGCTTGACGACGATAGTTGGGAACAATGAAATCTACAATGTGCTTCATAGGTAGGAAAAAGTTTTTTTAATTAAATTACTCTTCTAACTAATTTGATTTGAATTTGACGTCATTACTATATTAATTTATCTTTAATTTGTATAAATATTTTTTTTTTATTTTTAGGCAGATGTTATACCTCTTACGTACACAAACGTCGCTGTTAAGAGATACAGTGCTTGAAGGTGTACCCACTCAGGACATGTTGGTGGCTATGGAAAGAGATTATCATCCTCTAGATGAGACTGATGTCATTACCTCGTTCTCTTCCGAACAAACTGTCAACCATATACGAACATTGAGGTATTTGTCTAGGCGACTGGCTGATATGGACAAGGAATTTTTGACCCATTTGATTTGGTGTTTGGTTGTTGGAGATCAGGTAAGGTGTCTTGTGATTGAAATGTTGTTTTAGGTAGTAAAAGCTTCATTTCTTTTGATGCTGTAAATTTTTGGTATTAATAAGGACTATTTTCAGTTAATTGTCAGATCTGAAGACAACTTGACCAAGAAGCTGTTTCTTTTTGCATTCGCTCATCTACTGCCTATGGGATGTGTCAAGATTACCTCGAATTCTAGTGTATATGTCGACTCGTATAAGTAAGTCTACATTTATACGTCGAAATACGTTTTTTATTTATTTTTTAAAATTAAAAGGCTCTAGGCAAAATAAATATAATACATATTTTTTGTCATTTCAGAAGCAACTTGGTTGGATGTCAGATGGACACAGTGATACCGACAGAAGAACTGACTGCTGCTTTTGTGATTACATTAAAGAGTGCTGCTGACAATATTGTGGACAGTATTGATGGGTTCGATATTGTTGTAGATAATGTGCCAAAGACAGAAAAGAGGAAGCCTAAGATTGTTGATAGGTACTTTAAAACCCTGACAGGTAAGTTTCTTTTTCAAAGGTTTAAATACTAATTTACAAGTTTAACTTTTCATATTGAATGAATTTTATTGGGATAAAAAAAATACATTTTTTGAAAGATAAAATAATTTTATTTAATTTTTATATTGTTTTAGATCCAGATATCAACGAACAAGTATTGCTGTCTGTCATCAGTTCCACAAGGTCAGAGTGGCTCAACCATGCTAAACTAGTGTTCCAGTTGAGTCGGCAGAGGGAGAAGATCGATTTGGACAATGTTTTGAGTATTGTCGGATGTACAGAAAACGTATGTTTAGTCACTTTGACTCAGTATAATATGAAAAGGTGAAAGTTTTCTTGAAAGGTTGATTAACTTTATGTAGTTTGGCCTTATATTTTAGTTTTTTTATTGAACCACAAGCTAAAGTAAAAGTTTTGCAGGATTCCCCGGTGCTACGATTCTTTCAAGCAGGACTGTCGCAGCGCTACAAGCACGCCGTCCTCACGACCATCACGTCCTCCCGTTGAACAGCTTACCAAAGGTCTCTCATCTCAGAACGGTTTCTTTCATTTTCAGTTTTAATTCTGGTCTCTAGTCTTTTATCTTAACATAGACGGGATTTCCTCACAATTGCCTTCTCAAGTTTCATAATGCCTGCGGGTAAATGTGACCGTAACTCTGTTACGCCTTTGCAGTAATGGTATCTACCTAATTTCAAGATAGTGTAATATGTCATATCGTATGTATAATTTTGTAAAAACTTATAATTCAATTTTAATGTCGTGTATTTTGTAACATAAACTTTTGACTATGTTATCCATGGTTGTTGGAGCTCAAGTTTAATTTAAAATTAAGTTTTTTATGAATTTAATTTACATAATATTATTAATAGTTTTTATCATTTAATGTTTCATCTAACATAGGCAGAATTGTCTAACTAGACGGGATATACGACATTTGTGAACGAAATATTATACATGCTCCTTAACATTATTCAATTTGCCCAACCTCAAACGCATATAGTTAAGAGGTTGAATGGAGTTAACAGTAGTTAACGGTATGCGAAGCACTTTGTCCCATAAAACGCGACTCCTTGAAGTCGCCGCCCTCATTCCCATGGCTGTTTAATTGTTTTTTGGAAGTAAATGGCATGACTCCATATTGTACACAATAGACTGCGCGACTTTCATCAACTAGATTTATTCCAATCGGAACTGAATCACACACTTTGAGTGATCGAGGGTTACATTGCTGGTCGAGAGTTGGGCAAAAAAACAACTACCGGGTGATTTATCGCTCACTTTTTATGTTACAGTAGGCGTTAAGGGTTGGTTTGAGGTGACAAAACATTTTAGTATGCCAAAGTATATTCTGCAGTTTTTTGTAAAAACTTTACGTTATTGTCGAGATTTAAGGTTATCTTTGACCGAGTTATTGATATACTCTATATCTACTTTTTGATCAATTTCGCTTGTTATTCTCGGCAATTAGTTACCTTATTAATTATAGTCAGTAGGTGACAATTAGTTATAGCTAGTAGGTGACAAATAGTGACATAACGTTTTGCAGTTTTTAGCGGAAAGTAAGAAGCCCATAAAAGGCGATCCAAAGGCAACATTTCCAACTTCGCGCGACCAATCGAATTGCCTGTTTTTATGGAGATTGAGCGGCTTTTGGCGGCGACTTCGCCCAGAACTTTTTACCCACTTTAAGCCTTCGCTTTTCGTTTTTTGCACTTCGTACGGTAGCCACGACAGATGAACTCGCAACATTTCCCTTCAGGCGATTCCAGATTGATTTACGATTTTAGCCGGGATACAGGTGTACTAACTGAAGGTGGATGTGTTCATTAAACAAAGTTTGTAAAAGAAATTTGTATTTTACTACGATGAGATGATAAAATACAAACTTTTTCACTACGATGTGAGTAGAGTGTTCAAGGTGAAGATAGAGTGCCATGACTTATGTATTGTCACACAAAAGTGACAGTCGGCTTCACACCTGGCTGTGGGAATTCTTTGTTCAGTCCATCAGAAGTCTTTTATTCATGGTTACGTAGGTATCTTTGGAGTCTTTAGAGCTGGTTTCGTCTTTTATTGGCCGGTCTGATAGTTTTCAGATTTCTTGTTTTTTTAAATTTAAATTTTTTAAAATTTAAACAAAAAACTTCGCAATTGTCTAAAGTTGTTACTATCACCTGATTTTTAAAATAATTATTTTTAAATTTTAATTTTTAAAATTTTAAGTTTGGTCATCAGCCAAAGTTTTTAAAAACGGCATCTACAGTAAGATTTGGAAAATCTGGCGATTAATTACAGCCGCTGTTACCTTTTCTCAGCCGAATTCCTTCAAATGAGGCGGAAACACATAACATGAACGTTACAGTAACCCCAAGGAGATGTCAGATGAGTGAGTGAGGTCGAGAGTGTTGAATAATGGCCAAGTCATTTCCTCTCGAAAGTCGCTGGGAATCCCGTTAAGTTAGTTTTTCAGGGCGGGGGATGTCGTTCTTAATGGGCCTGATGGTTCGTTAGAATTAAGAATGGTGTCCCAGTAACTTCTTAACTAATGACTTTTCGTCATTTCTGAATTGTCATCCTTAATATCGTCTGAAATTATTTTTTAAAACTATTAGTGAAAGTCATTTTGAAACTTTTTTAAATGTATTATTATACGTACAGTAACTATTTTTACCCTTTCGTATCATTTTCTTGGCTTACTGTAAATTTTTTCCAACTTCTTTGAACCTTTTCCAACCTACTGTAACGTTCTTTCGGCTACACTCTGTGAAGCGCTTTTTATGTACTACAGCTACCATAGACTGATGGACGTGATAGTGCATGAACGCTCTTCGCAACATGTTTTATGTGGTAATTTATGTGAAGTCGACATTTAACGACCTCTCTAAATCACATAACTTCTTATCGTCAGGGTATTGGCGTTGTTAATATGTGTTTAATTTCTTTACAGCACAAATTACAATCCTAAAGCGGCCCAAACAACGGCCGGAAGTTTTGGTTTTAACGCTTTGATCGGCCAAATATGCAAATTTAATGGTCTTCTTAAGAAAAGTAGTTAAGATGGACCGGAGGTGTGTAAGTTTTGAAAATTGGGCGGGGTGAGAAAACATTTCTCCAGGTAGAACAACTTTTTTTGAATAAAAAACTTTTTAAATTGAGAAACGCTTTGAGAATCTACGTAGATAATTACTACGGTAAATAAAAGTTTTTTTTGTTCAGACCCTTTGTATTATAGGTTGACACAGCACGCGTGTTAAGCACTTTAATTTTTATTTATATTTAAACTTTTTTAAAATTTTTTTTAAACTCCAAAATCCATCGGATCTTAAACTTTATTTTTAAAATTTTAAAGTCTTAAAAAACGTGTTTTAAAGAAACTTAAAACCAGAACTATGCCTTACAATACATTGCCATTGCCAGTCGATTAAAGCATAATTAGCGGGACGGGGCGCGGCGCCGCCTCTCATCAAAAATGGCAATCAAAACAAATTGGGACAGATCAAACAAGCTGTGGGAAATGCGGGAGAAACGAGAGTGAGTAAGCCGACTGGCCCACGGCTACGGTAGCGTCCGTGGCCACGTTTCCAGAGGAAGCAAGCAGTCAGTTACCGCGGGGCCTTGTTGTGACACCTTATGCTAGCTCTAATGTAACACCTTGTGTTAATTCTGTTGTTGTGAATGCCAACATGTCCTCTGATCGGAAGGGCGTAATCGACTGGTGTCTCGCGGTGATCTACCGGATGTGCTTCTTGAGAACAGTTGGGGGTGGTTAATTGGTGGTTCCTTTGTTTGTTTTGTTGAGAATCTGTGTGTTTCACTGACAATAATACGGTGTTAAGCTTGCATTGGGTGTTTTATGAGGTACTTGTTTGGCACGCTTGATTATGAATTTTAATTTTCAGTTTGATGCACTTTACCTTAGTTTACGTTTGCATAGAAGTTGTTCTCAAATTTTGGGGCTTGGTTTTTAAAGTTTAACTTTTGTTTGTTGCTTTATAAAGTTTTTCTTTTAAGTTTTGCATTATTAGTGTTTATCTTAAAATAAATTTTTTATAAGGGTTGCTACTCAAAAAAGACTGATTTTTATAAGGGTTGCTACTCAAAAAAGACTTTAATTCTCTATTTACATATAAATTGGTGTCTATACTAAAAACTTCCGTAAAGTGAAAGCTATTTTGAATATTCTAATTTTTATTTATTGACTTGTAAATATAAAGTTCTAGTCTTAACCATCGGTGGTACTTTACACTTGTTCTAGTTACTTTTTGACCGATCTTAACAATGTAAAAGTTTTTAGAAATTTTCAGTTTTGGCAAATCTGACTTGTCGCTTGTAACCTCCTTTTCAGAATTGTCATAATCCTAGTTTCGTCTACAAAAGTTGTCATAATCCCAGTTGAAAGCGGTGCGATCACTTTCGGGGGTCCCTCGAAGGGACCAGGCTCATAAACTTGTCCTAATCCCTTCTTAATTGTCATTGCTACTGTTACGCCACTCGGCGGTGCTTATCATACCATATATACATGACCTTTTCGGTTGTGGGAAAGAACACGCCTACATTACATGAGGCGGTAATTAAGGGAATCAAACAAGTGGCCGTCAGTTAAGGTGGCAGCTCATGCTTGTTAAGTGGTCGGGAGGGGTACTTTAACATTTATGGGAATGAAGGCTCCTTTATCTGGGCTTTGAGATTTTATGACTTGCGTTGAGGAGGTTCAGTTATGTTATGGTAGTCATGCTTTTTGTAGTACTATTTTCCTTTTTTTAAATGTATTTTACAAATATTCACTTCTTTGCCATTTTTATGTTTTCTCAATTTAACTTCACTACTATGTAATCACTCTACTGTAACCCACTCTCCCAGAAGCACTTCAAACTCCCCCCCCAGATGTCGGTTCCCTTTAAATTTTGTACTTTTGTGGATATAGAAGCCTCCCGGGGCGGCATTCCTTGCTGTTTGTATTGCAAAGTGTGGAAGACTTTGTGATTGTCTTCCCACATCACATCGCTCCGATCACATCAAAAACTTTCCCCCCACAAATTTATATAACTGTCAACTTGAGTTTTCGTCAAAAAATTGCGCCCGCAAATAATAAATGCGCGTGCGGCCCTGACTTACTCTCACATGTATATATGTTCTTGTTTTGGAGAAGTGTGCGACGACAAACCTTGTGGATTCTAAAGTCATTCACTTAATCAAGTCTTACCTGATGCCTTCCGGGCCTGGATGTCTGGTGTTATAGAGCTCTGACCTCCAGCTTCAAGTCTGTCTTACCTTGGGGTGTCTGTTCGTTGAGAGTGCTACTGTAACAAACTTATGTCATACGACAAGGCCATTACACACCTGATCCCATAAGTCTCTGGCCATATTAATTATGTACCGGTGGCTGTTTTATGGTCTCCTTTATGTGGGGGCCGCCTCCCCTCGGCCAATCATCGCCCCTCTTGGCCACATTTCGAAGCGAGGTTCGAGATCCATTCCGCGGTTTTATTGGTCGACATTGTTTTATTGGTCAAAAACATGCCAAACACTCGCGATTCCCAGCGCTTATCAGTTACAGAACAGCGACGACTATCAGTTCCCATTTCAGAGGCGCTCATGAAAATGACAATGTTTCGCGGATTCCAGACCCCCTCCCCGCCCAATTATCCCCTGGACAGGAAGATCAAGAAGCCGTTGATGGAGAAGCACCGGAGGGAGCGGATGAACAAGTCCTTATCACACCTCAAGGACAAGCTCATCAAGCACTATCCATCAGAGACGTGAGTTCATTTTAAAACGACATTGTAGTACTTTTCGGAGTTTTTACTTGCAAATTATGATTTTATGATCTTTTAAGTAGTAAAGTGCAACATTGTGCAGTAATCGACTTAGAGACTATTTGCTTTTATCTGTACAAACTCATCAAAATTTTGTTTTTTAGCAAAATTTCAAATTTAAATCCATTAAACTTTTCGTATAGCATAACCTTGTAAAACATTATGATAGTGTCCGTCTTTCAGGTCAAAACTAGAAAAAGCAGATATTCTGGAGAAGACCGTGTTCCACGTAGATCGAATGGAGAAGCTTCTGGAAACCGTACAACAAAACTTTAACGCCACGATGAGGCACATGGAGCTGCGGTTCCTGGAGTTCTTGTCTTTGTCATCGAACGGCCTAACTCAAGACCAGATCCTCCACCTAAAACAACAGTATCAGATGTTCTCGAAGCGACCACAACAGCTGCCCATGAACATGAATCAGATAAACATGTTCAAGGCGCTCCCTCCAATGTTCATGCCCGTGCCGTTTCCAGTGATGCCGAATCTACAAACTATCAAAAACAATGGCATCCCTCCGTTCAGTACGACCAGCTTCCCTTGTCACAGTACCGTTCAGGAACAGAAGCTGAATACTACAGCGTCGAGTGTACCGTCATCTTCTACAGAAGCTAACAACGTTGAGGACGATGAGAATGATGAGATTGACGTGGTCGAGAATGACGAATGGTACAGTAAACGGTCGGATGACAGTGGCATCGCGTCATCGCCCGAGATCTCCAAGAATCAGAAGAGTCGAGGCGATGACGTGTGGAGGCCGTTCTGACGATGATACGGTAGTGTTTGGTGATACTACTGTAGCGTTTTATTAAGATAGACTTTGAATTTACTACAGTAGCATTTGAGAACTCTACTGTGGTAACCATAGTATTACAGCCATCTATTATTGTTAGACATGGCTTTTGGTACGATCTTGTACGACTCAGCCAACGGGTATCTTCTGAGTCGTAACTCAACTAACTACAATTTTAAATCGGTGCTTTAATTGTTTTTGTCTTCAGAGTACTTTACTGTATAACTGGTCATTTATATTTTTAAAACTTATTTTGAAGGTTTAAATATTATTAAAATCACCCAAAAACTTTTAGACCAATAAAACACCTAAAGAGTCCAAATAGTACAGTACGGTGCTCGGAGAAGACAGTAATATTGTACATTTGACAGTTGCTATATAACTATTTGCTCATCATAATAAACCTTGTTCTTCGCAATTTATCAGCCTGGGAACGCAAACAGAGGGTACGGTAGTTGGGAAGTGTGTAAAAGCATGAAGCCTACCTACCTTTGAGGCGCCGATCTTCAGAGATTAGCGAAGATGAGAGGAGCCGCGCCTCCGAAACTCGTCTAATCCGCCCTCGCTGACCGACCAATCGCTCAGGTTGCGCAACCAGCAACGGCAACAATCGCTGTTTGCTCAGCCCATTCACAAATTACCGTGGCAGATAAGCCACGGGTTCGCTCAGAGGTCAAACAAAAACTTTTGGTCCGGTTTAAAACGAATCTTGGACAATTAGTAGAGCTTTGATCAATTCAATTACAAGGAATTAAAACATTTATACATACACTTTCGACATGCATCAACGACATGAACTGTCCACCTTAATCATGGAAGATGGAAACCAGCTGTTTACAATAGAAATGGCTGTTGTTGAAGGTGAAGTTAACAGCTTCGAAGTTCTTCTCCACGATATTGTCGGCTTCTTTTCTAAAATTAAACACTTACTTGGCCATACCCATGATTTACTACAAGGTGCAGTAGAACAAACACACAGTGAAAGTAGTAAGCTGTCAAAGTATACATAACATACCGTAGTCGAATTCTGTAAAAAAATAAATTTTGATATTTAAAATAAACTTGGCTTACATTAGTGATTCTTCTGTTGCTTCTTGATGGAAAGGCGAGTTCCGTGAGTCGTCTGAGAAGTCGTTTCGGTTGTCAGCATCTCTAACGTTACCACCTTTAGCTTCGTCTACCTCCCAATGGTAACCATCATCTTCACTATATTACACTTAATAGTTAAAGTTGACGACTTACCTTTTTCCATCATCTTTGTTTGTATGTGAATACATTTTACAATAAAATTTTTTGTATTGTTTGAAAATGTCACAATTTACTGTTGCCATAGTTACAAAAATAATATAAAAAATTAATACCTAAAAATATAAATATTATATCAAATAAAATGTAAGCAAAGTGTTTTAATAAAGTTAAATATTATTTTACATCCGAAAGAGCCATTTTGCAAACGAAAAGTAAGTCGACAAAATATTGTCGATGGTATAAAACAGTTGTGCGACCTGCGAAGTCGTGGGCGCAGTTTGCATTTTAAAAATAATTTTAAAAAATATTTTTAATTTTCAGGATTTTTACGAATTCGATCAAAATTTAAGATTAGGCCTCGCTTTTTTGACAGAAAAACGAATATCTGCAGATTGTAGATGTTTTGATGGCTACTGATCCTCGATTACGTAAGAAAGTGGTCACAAATAGCCATGTTTTGGAAAAACTTGAAAACGAAATAAAGTACGCTGCTGAATATAATGTTACTACGAATTTGTTTGAGTTGAAGTCTTGGGATCCTCGCCAGATAATCAGAAAATACAAATTGAACATACGAACTTCGGATGGAGCCGATCTGATGGGGAAGATCGCTGAAGGGTAACTTAATATTCGACTGTTTTATGGTTTAGGAGTTGGAAGTCGAAGAGCATAAGAGACATCAGGAATTTGTTCAATGAATTCACTTACGCAGGCAAAGAACTGTTTCATTGTGACACTGACTTCATTGTCTACAACAATATCGACACTTTCTACACGTTGAGGCCTATGGATCCCAATGTAAACGATTGTGTCTCATTGCGGGTAAGGTTGTTTTAATGATGTAATTTTTCTGCTTCTTCATGTTTAGAGGTCAGTTACCACAGATATATTGTTTGATTTGAAAAAGCATGAAAATGTTGTCTGTCAGCCGGTTTTCGAGCGAGAAGTTGATGCTACTGAGGACAAAGACGAATATTTCGAATTTCTGAAGTTGTTGGTCTATCAGAACTTCTGGGACACTTGGTAAAGCTTTAAACGTAGTTTTTTAAAGATAATTTAGAGTTTTTAATATTTTAGGTATTAAAACAACTATTGTTAAAGTTGTTTTATTTTTAGCAAGGATAACTACATCATGAAGTCAGATTTAACGTTTTTCACAGATTTAAAAGAGCAGAGGGACGATGAGTTGTGTTACAGTCTAGGTGGATTTCGAGTACAGGTTGCTGAAGCTACTCAACATAAATACCTGCTGAGGTTGGCTCGTAAGTTACTACATTATTAATTCTTTTAAAGTAGGAATACTGCAAAATAATTTGTATTTTAACGGTTTTTTACTTTATATTAAGGGTTTGTGCCTAATATCACCCTTTCAGCGGTAAAACAATATTTTCTTGGTATAAGCAGCTTCTTTGGATTGTTGTTAAGGGCTGCCAAGGTGGAAGAGATTGGCGAGACTTTTGTAAAATGGGTACTGGACAAGAAGCATGTGTTAAACCAGATATTCAAGGATATGAAGGCAACTGACTGGCTCACTGAAGAACCCTTTGTATTTGATGATATCGAGCGACAAAGTGTTGTGTAAGTGCATCTCCAGATAAAATATATTAACCAGCAATGTCATACCTCAAGGTTAAGAATTTGATGACACACCTCTTCTTGGCAATTTAAGTTACTTTCAGTGAAACATACGATGGCGGATGTACGGTACACGAACGCTACAAGAAACTAGGTGCAAACGTGTTCAGTATGTTGCCCGTGGTCAAGGGGAAAGACGGGAGTTACCATGCCATGGATGCGGTTGAAATATCATCGTATCACATATTCGACAGTCGTCTTGCTGACTTTGTATTGGTATGTTAAATTCTGAAGTTGAATTCAGGTCAAATCAGAATAAGGATTCAGGAATCATTTAGCACTAAAATAGGTATAAACTGACATATGATGGACATTTTCAGATGCAACGCAACTTCAAGGCGAGGATGGAAGTGTTCGACCGAGTGGTGGAGAAGAAGGTCTTGTTCCAGAAGAATATTATCAGCGAGATTGGCTATTTGACAAAGTTCAAGGTATTATATGTTGTCCTTTATAATCATTTTTGTTAATTTTTCTACGGTTTATCGACATATAAATGTAGTCATTATATGGCTACTTGATTTCTAATGTTCATGCTTTTAAGTTGCTGTTCTCGAATTTTTACCGTTATTAATTGTATGTTTTAGTTTGCAATAGACAGTCGTTTGATGTCGAAAGCTCAACAGATGTTCCTTCCGTCGTTGGAATTCCCAGACCGAGTTGTTGCTTTGAAAGACAACACCACAAGGTTTGACCTGGACATAGACAAGATCCGTTTCCTGAAAAGTGGACAACCAGTCGGCTTCAGATGGGCCATAGTCAACTTCTCGTGTGGCAAAACCGAAGGATTCGATGATAAACAGATAAGGTAAAATGAAAACTTGCTTAATGATCTTTAAAGATGGTCAAAGTTCATATATAGTTAGCTTACTAATTAAAATAAAAGAAAGAAGAGATGAAATTATCACAATCTTAATATCTTCAGGATCTTGTCGTCGTTTCTGTTCTTCGAGAATAATCGTCGAATTCCACCAAAAGAACTGCACAAACGAATCCCAGTGGGGAAGGAGTTCAGTATCGCGAGCGAAGTCTTCGAAGAGCTGAAACGGTACGACTTCATCATGTACTCAGACATCCGGAGTCGTAAGCTGAATCATATCATGGCCTTTTACGAAGCGGCCAAAGGTATTGCCACAATAGGCGTTGATCCTCTACATGTCATCAAAAGACAGGACGCCCATCGGAAGTGGAAGCCGCCTATAAAATACGCTGCTAACACCAAATTGGGAGGTCTCAACTTCACTATTCATCGTCCTGTTCCATCTCAAGATTCAAAAGACATCGACTTTAGCAATGTGTAGGTTTACATTACTTGAAATGTATAGCCAAGGTTATATCAGATATATATTAACTTACCAAAGCTTATAATTAAGTTTATATCAACGATAGTTTTAAAATTGGATGATATATAATCATTTCAGCTTTGCCAACGACAGGAAGCGGCAGTTCGTGGCCATAGACGTCGAACATCTGGATGAAACCTTGTATGTGTTAGCTGTAAGTAGACATAAGTCTATTAGTAGCTGCTTTAGGTAACATATACGACCAACAACAACTTCCGGTTGAAAGGAGAATACTCGTACGAAGATGATCGTATCCCATCAAGACTTTATGTTTTGCTAGGAAATGCTATCGATGAATACGGCGATGTAAAGGATGAGAAGTTGGCTTGCATGCCACCAGATGAAGTTGTCATACTTGTAAAGGAACCGGTTAAGGTATGGTTTATCGGTACTGTAACGTTGATAATATACTATGGCTTTTCCAGTGTTTTAAGCTATATTTATTTATTGGTAAACCCTTGTTGATTTAGGATCGAGTCTCAGAAGCGCTGGAACAGCCCAATTTAAAACGTTTCAAATTCACGGTAATCACAGTCAAATCGGACAGTGAGTTCGTTTTTCTAAAGTACAAGTCAGAAGCGGTCGAAAAAGGATCGGTTTTCGAAAATCTACCCCATGCCATGTATGCTCAAGTGACAGACATTCCCGGATTCCCAAAGTTTTTCTTGAAAACGGTCGATAGTGCAGTAAGTCATTGTTTTGAAATTAAAAATTAAGCAATAAGGTCAATAATAATTATTCTTGTCTTCAGCATGATCAACGGCAGTCATTTATCGAAGCCTGGGACGAGTACACTGTTGTCAGGACAGATACGAACACCCACCTACAACTACTCGGATATCTGGTGTTCAACTTGTGCTTCCTTGACCCAGTACAACTCAGACTCACCAGATACCCGTTTGTTTTGATGGCAGCTCAACATTACTTGAAGAGAGGAGCTCAGAACTATCGATGTGTCAGGTAATTACTATTTTATACGTTTCAGGGTTCACATTCTGAATTGGAGGGTTAATATCAAGCATAACACAATATATTTATAAAAGCTTGAAGATGAACTTTCAAAGTTTGTTTCAAAATTCTTCAATTTTGCAGGGACCTACATCAGGAGAAGCAGATCAACATCCGTGACAACCCGTTCGACCCAAACCTCGATCTCAACTCCAAAATTGCCAAATTAAAACACTTCCTCAAGCCAAGGTTAGAAACTTATTTTTGTTGCAACGAATAATATTATTACAAAATAAATACTTGCTGTTAAACCGAGATCTGGCGTGTGTTCAGGAGAGGCTTCAGTCGTCAAAGTCCGCGAACTTGTAAGTTATGTTGTGATCGTACGCTCTCGTCCTTCTAGCTGAAGATAAATGATTGAAATCTGTTAAGCGGAGACGAGTGTTTGAACGTGATTAATGTCAAAAATGTTAATGGACCTACTTGCTTATCGTGTTAATATATTCTTTTAAATTCAGGTTAAAAATTTAGAAAATGATACATTACTATGAGTACAAAATAGACATTCGACTAAACTTACAGTCTGTTGGTGGAGGCGGCCGAGGAGGTGTGATTCTGGGCCTGGACGAGACTTTGTTGTTGTTGGTTAGTGGACAGCTTGGAGGTGGACATCGAGGTCGTTGGATCTTCTTCTCCTGAATCCTCGTCGTCGTCACGATAGGGGTTGTAGACTTGAGGCTCTCCGGGTTTCTTATGACGATTATTGAAGATGGATCCAACTAAAACAATATAATTAACACAAAACTTAAAAGAATTATATTGAGATTGAAAATTACTCTTTTAGATTAATAAAAACAAAAGAAAGATGAATATAATCTTTTAAGAAAGTAAATCATGTCCAAAACTGACCTTTTTGGACTTGATGTACGGCTTCTGAGGCTCCTTCTTCCCGTCCACACAAAATATACACTTGAATACGTTAACTTTACATAAAATGGACCCGATCACTCGACCGATTCCACCGGATTTGGTCGCTTTCGCTAGTGGTGCCATGGTGCCTTTACTCACACCAAACTCTGTCTGGTACTTGATCCGAACATAAAGTGTGAGGATTGAACTCGCCAGGAGCAAAGTTCCGAATCCGATCAGATACTGAAATCAACAAGTTTCATATTGATATTGGTCATATTATTCATATTATATATCATATTAAGCTAGAAACAAGGCGCTTTCCCAGAGAAGTGATTCTAATAGTCGATAAACACGCGCTATAAGAGTTCAACAAAGCGATAAAACCGTAGAAAATATTTTTCGTTTTTTACTCATTTTTTCACGTTCGGTCCGCTACTAAAGAGAAGGATTTTTAAAACGGCAGGGAGCTGCGTCCTAACCTTGCGACCTGCGCGTTTTTGCGTAAGACATCTTATACGATGTTTGTTGCACGAAAAATTATTAAATTACTGTAACTTTCTACAAAGTACAACAAAAAACAAAACCGTATTACAAAATTAAAGTAATTTATAGTAAAAAAAGTCACTTAAAAACTAAAATTTATACTTTACTTATTTCGGCCAACACTCATTGAAGTAACTAAATTTGCACCGTATCAAAAACTTTAAAATACTGTAACAATTTTTTTAAGAAACAATACAATAAAATGTTTTACTAAGTTTATGTATGTTATAGAAACAACGTTTATACAAAATATTAAGTTAATACCTTGCATGGTTAATTTGGTATCTATTAAAGTGCTATGTGAAGTACCGTAAAAAACGTTAAAATACTGTAACTTTTTTTTAAAAGTCAAAATTTAAAAATTTGTCTTGCAGAATAAAAGTAAACTACTAAGTAACTGTCCCTATAAAATCTGAGGCTGAGTGACCGCTTGGTTGTTCTAGGAACCTCCGGAGCAGTTTTTTTTGCACTGAAAAAAGCACTTAAAGTACTGTAACTTTTTTTAAAAGGCAAAATCTAAAAATCTGTCTTGCAAATCTAAAGTACAAGTTATCAGTAATAATTGGTATAAAAATGAAAAGAAGCAGCGGCTTGGTGTTTCCAGCATCCTTCGGAGCAACTTTTTTGCACTGAAAAAAACACTTAAAGTACTGTAAATTTTTTAAATGACTAAATATTTAATTTTTTTTCGCAAAACACGAGTATATTTTGACAATATTAAAATTCAAAATATTACAATTGGTAGTAGAAATCCAATATTTCTCTGTATTATTCAGGCGCGTAAATTATGAAGTAAACCACGTAATATCGCAGATTACACAGCTGGGACATTTTGTATAAAACACAATGAAGTTTGAATATCTGATCACAAACGGAATCAACTTTTTTCATGTACCAGAATATTTATAAAGAAACTATAACTAAAAATACATTACTATCTCTATATAAGAAACCCGAAGAGACTAACATTTTGTGTTTACTATAGAAGGTGTTAGCTTTATAGAGCGGTTTTTGTGTAAATTAACTTGATGAGGCCAAATTTTTTGTTTACTGTAAAGCGAGTTGCTTATACAGATTGTTCACTATAGAAAAACCACTGTATTTCACTGAACACGTTATTGAACTTCGTCCCTCGGGAATCGGCCACCTCTGGATTCTCTTCCAGGAATAGGTTAACATAAAAAGTGGCTTACCTTACAGAACAGATCACCTCTAACGTAAATCCAAAACTAAAGTCATTTTAGCCCTACCCAACTTACCTCCGCTTTTTTAGCCTTACCAGAGTATAGCTAGGCTCAGGAAAGGGTAGGAGTAAAGGTAGAGATAGGAGTAAGAGCAGGAAAAGAGGTAGGGGTATAGGTCAAAATCAGGGCACCGGTGGAAGAAAATATAAGAGTAGAAGTTAGGGTAGGAGTAAGGACAGAAGCAGAGGGGGGAATGTAGACCTAGCTCCCAAGCCAGATTTAACATAACCTTCAGCGGCTCAGTTTTTGGCCAATGGGCCGGTCAGAGATTTTGGTCGGACATAACGCGGTCTAGGTAAGAGCAGGCGCAAGGGCAGGAGCAGGGGCAGGGGCAGGGGCAGGTTGAAAAAAGCGGGTTTGCCTTCTTTTGGGCTAAAAAAGGCGAGTTAGGCTTGTGTTGGGCTAGAAAAGGCGGGTAAGGCTTGTTTTGGGCTAAAAAAGGCAGGGAAATATTTTTTCAGAAAACTATAAAAATAATTTAATAAGAAAAAATATTTTTAAAAAAACATAAAAATAATTTTTTCCAAGAATTTTCAATACAGTGCAATGGCCATAATCAATCAATTTTAAAAATTTATAAATTTTCCTATACACACAACCCTGTGAAATATCCTATCACGAAAACAAATAAGCGCTAAATCATTTGGCATTCTGTTTCTCTGCCGCCTCAATTTCCAAACGGACCGAACGTGATTTTTGTCAGATTTTTTTCGTATTTTATGTTTGTTTGGAAATGTTTTCGTGTCAAGACCCCCGCGATCGCTAATGGCCGTAAAATAAATCAAAATTGAGATGTGTAAACAGGTGTGGATAAGCGGTGAAAGCCCATAAAACTTGACTTACGATCTTCCACAATGGTATGATTCTGGTGCAGAAGAGTGGGTTGCAGTTGAGTTCCGAACATTTGGCTTTTAAACCACAATCACACTCCTCGCTGGCTTCCACCACCCCATTACCACATATTTTGAGAACTTCTGGATCTGATTGTGAGCGAATTGGGTAGCCTTCGGCTTTGTTTTGGCTGTAGGAACGGGGATAACGTGACAAACACCGGTTTCTGTATAATATGTTGGCAAGAAGTTGTGCTGTGCAGTTGTGGTCGAATCCTCTGTAATTTCAATCATAAATAACACTAAACTTTAAGCTATATAAAAACAATCAACATTAAGCTGTAAAAAACTAGAAAAGTTTGCAATTTAAAGCAGTTTTTAAAGACTTACGGAATACGCAGACATCCAGCTCCATGTTCCGGGACTAAGGAGTGGGCTACAGACTCTGGATTCTGATGGTCTTGATGTGAGTGACCTTTTGATTGCTCACAAGGGCAGTTGGGAACGTTGATAGGCTTCCCAGAGTCAGCGTGAGACACGCCCAGGAGGTGAGATACCTCGTGGAAGAAGATCGACCCCATCGCCTCAGGGCTGTGGGGATAAAACTGAAAGGACAGTTATTATAACACTGTAATGTGAAATGAAAAGCACATTAAAGTTAAAATTACAGTAAGAGTATACAGGCTGAAAAGTTATTTGATAGGTATAAACCTTGCATGTTAACTCAACTTACCCCAGATAACAAAACGCTCTTTGAAGAACACATTCCGTTGACGAAAGCAAGGCCACCAGCATAACGATAAGAGACTAGACCAGCAAAGTCGTGGTATGGCAGTGTTTGCAATTTGGACTGACGGTATTCTTCGAACGAATACAATGAAAGATCGTTACGGTAAGTTGGCAGGACGTCTACTATTACTAGACGAATATCCAATTGAGCAAAGTACTGTAAATGTAAATTTACGGTATCTTAATCTGGGCAAGGCAATGAAAAGACTTGCTGATGCTTTGAAACTCAGTTTACTGGGTATAAAACGTAAAGTTCTCACTTTATTGCCTTCTCGCACCATGTGCATAACCTCATGTTGAACCCGTAGAGTGTCATTCTTATAATGTTCACTCTAAAATGGCTAATGCTTAATATATAATATATATACATCAGCCTGACCTGACATTATTTTTCAGAACAAGATAGTATTTGCTGTATTTATCGCTTTACACTGTAAAGACAAGTACTTACTATTCTGGCATCTACAAACAAAACTCCGTAAATATGAAAGACTTGGCCATCCAAATAGGCTCGTGAGTAATCTGGCACTGGGGCGCCCCAGACGGCAGGACCGCGGCGAATTCGATTTTTACTTTCGACTGGCTGAAAGGGGTGGCAGCGTTAATTTATGCAATTTAGAAAGAATAGTTTTGGTTAAAATTGAAATTTATTTTAAGTTTACAGTAGTGAGTTATCATATACAACTTGTTAACAATCAAATTAAAATCTTTTTAAAAATTGTTTTTATGATACTAAATAGCACAAAAAGTGGTCCTAAAAACACAAAACTTAAACGTACCAAACAAAAACACAGGGCAATCAGAATGCTGAGGTGTCGCCATCGTATCATTGCCAGGTACCGTCTCTCATGTTCTTTGTTTCCTCAGCTGCGGTCCCTCAAGCCCCTGCAACTTGAATATAATATGATTATGACACGAGAAGAGCGATGGGATTATAACAAACGATATACGATTATTATAACAATGACTGTCGTCTACATAATGTACAATATACGAGTCGTATGACGAACTTAAAGAATAATATTGTGTTTACTTTGAGGAGTTCGGACTACATTATTAGGTAATTATGTGACAGAGTTAAACGATATAATAATGATAAAACAGTGATAAACACTTATGAATATGTGTGGCAGATACATTAAAAAACTAAGAAGATTATTAAAACCTGAAACAGTGTACTAACTCATCTCATACAAGTTACACAAATTCGCGAAGAGCTGGTGAAGATGAGAAAAAACTCTGTTTAACGGACACCTGGTGCGTCAGAGGGGTGGAGCGGGCGGGACACGGGCTAGTCGCTTTTTATTTCTGGAAACGTTACACAGGTCATTCGTGGGAGATGGTCAGAGCTGGAAAAGTGCAAATCGAGGTTGAAAACGGAAGAACAAGAGCGAGCAGCTGTCGGTCTTCTGGTCCCCGGGCCTACTGCGGGTACAGCCCCCCCCTGCCACCCTCGACGACTGTTCTCTTTTAGGGCACTGACGCCGACTGGTCAGTTCTTGGCCTTGAAGTGCGCGGCCCTTCTGATGAAATGTCTTGACTCACTTTCCAAGGATACGAAAGGTTCATTTCAAAAACAATTTTCGCTCTAATTTGTCCTGAGCTGACAACTCTAATACTATAATATCTTGCACTTAGGACGATGTTTCTCAATTTACACCAGTATGCTGTCAAAAGTACGAGGTCGCAAATAAAAACATATCTGAACAGGAAAGTTAATACGTTTGTCACTTTACATACGACGATATGCATTCACTTTACATTGTCATGTAGAGTGACATGTTTGTCTTTTATTGCGAAACTTTCCGTCTCTGAAGTGAAATTGGCCAATTCGTCTTCTGGCCCCTTTTATGGCCGTTTCTGCTGGCAATTGTGGAATTGGCTGGGGTGAGGAACCGGTTATTATGCCCTTGGATCCAGAGAGGAAGGGCATAAAGTCGCCGACCTCCACCATGAAAAACCGCTTCTTGAGAAGGATCGTCATCCATTACGTGCCCCCAGGCTATCGCTTAGTTACTCCGGTTTTTTGATATCGAACGCCAAAGGTTGACACATTTTATTTATACATCAACAAAAACAAGATTGTAAATGACCAACAAGTCTATTGCACTGGTCGAGAGTGAGAGCAATAAATATTATTTAAGAGATAAATAGGCTTAGAAGGGCTTTACGGGCTGGGCGGGTCTCAGGTAGTAGTAGAACACCACCATCAAGGCCGCCACCATCATCGAGACCACACTCAACATCGAGGAGATGACGATGGGTGAGAGGCAAACGTTGTTCGAGATCTCGCTCATTTGTCTGTATCGGAGGCCAGCGGGCAACTTCTGGTCTTGCTGCTGAAAAAGATACGGTTAATTCATATAATTTAACAAAGCTATTCAACAACATTACTGAACTTACTTCGCTAATCTCAAGAGCAGACAACTCAGTACGGACGTCCAAAGTGTTCTCGTACTCGACAGATCTCTTCTTCAACAAACGCAATTGAGCTGGAGCTCCAGCGGCGGCTGGGGCAGCTGGAGCGGCACCAGCGCCACCTCCCAACTTCTGGGCCCCGAAGCCTTGTGGTTCAGAACATTGTGGACGCGCACACTCGCTGTTTGGCTCCTTGATGGTGATACTGATCTGGCATTGGTAGAAGAGTTGAGAACGGTCGGCGTATTTGTAGACGTGAGCTTCTTGACCGGCCATCAAGTCGGTTGGGTACTCCAAGTTGTTCAGCAAGAACTTGTCGAGAGCACATCCCTCCTCGTTCAAGATCTGGATGGTGTCGCCGTTACCGTCATCAACAGTGCAAGAGTGGACGACAGCGCAGAAGGTGTCAGTGGTCTCGGAGTCACAGGTCCACTTGTGGTACACTTGTTGACCAATGGTGGCGAATTGGATGGGTTGTCCAGATGGTCCTCCTTCCAAGATCTATAAAATGTGGCACATAAGACAATATGGGTAACTTACCTCGTATTTACAGATTGGCATAGGTACAACTTGGGTTTGGAAGGCGGTGGTGAGATCAGAAACCTCAATCTGAGCGCTGACGGTCTTGTCGGCTTCCATGTAGAAGCATTGTACACGGTAGGCACGGTCGACCTTGGTGACGAATTGAGGGTGGAATTGGATGACGACGGTGGTGCTGACAAAGACTCCCTTAGGGTTGAGGGAGCGGGTACGGGCGACGTTGCAAGAGTCAAATGGCAACTCGATGCCAGCTACCTGGCGACCGTGCTCATCGGAACGGCAGCCTTGTTGGTCGAAGAGACCCTTCACGTAGACGTGACCGTCGAAGGCGTTACGAGTGTTAAAGTTAACGGTAATGGAGGTGGGGCCGCACTCGATCTCTGGCTCTCCCTCGACTCCGTTGTCGACTGGAATGGCAGAGACCAGGCCGATGGCTAATAAACAAATGCCCGCTACTCGATACATGATCTGCGTTTGCGAATGATGCGCGTGGTACGACTCTTTTATACAATCCCAGATTAGACGATCAGAAATGAAAAGCAGGCACCTCTCAACTTGTCTTGAATCCCCGCCTTCTTCTGACTCCAAACGTCATTATCAGCGACTTTTTCTTAATAAACCCCATATAAACGACGAGTTTAAAACTAACAAAACTTTTTTCTGCTTCTTGTCGCTGCCGGAACACCTCGGCAACACTTGGAGATTAATTGCAGCGACAACTAAAAAAAACAAAGCTCGTAATCGAGAACGACCGACCTTCGGTTGTTTGTTCAAGCCGTTCAAAAATGATAAGAATGGAATCCACTTTCTCTTTTACTACTGTTCGAAGCGTGCCGTCGTCTGGTTACATAAATTACCGCCATTCTTTCTCGTAGCACAACAGTTGAAATTTTAAAATAAGTTAAACTGCGATCTACAGTGATCTAGGTACCGTTATCGTTCACAACCTCCTACTGTATACTTACTTTTCACTTAAAGTTTTAAAATAAGTTAAATTCCAATTTACAATGATCTAGGGACTGTCCTCACTCATAGTATACTACTGTATGCTTACTTTTAACTTATAGTTTTTAATATTTTTTGATCTTTAAACTCTGATCAAACATGTAACAGTATACCTTTAGGTTTTCTTTCAACGCCATTTATCATTACAGTTTAACAGTTTAGTCAAGCTAACTGACTTTAAACTACCAGCTGCTTAAAGTAACGGTCAACTAAACAAAGGCTACAAAAATAAATAATTCTTTTAAAATTTTAAAAATTGGATGTAGCAAAACTTTTAAATTTACAGTACTTTTAACACGAATATTTTTTCGGTCTTCTTCTGTATTAACAACCGTTTGTATAAAGATAATCATAAGCAGTAATGTTCTGAAGATACATTACAAAGTGATTTTATTTTCTTCTACGGACAGTTATATGTAGTGTTAAGTCATTCTAGCCTTCACCAAATTCTAGTCCCGCCTACAACTCTTAAAATATGCAAATTATTGCAAAAATTATCCAAAAATCTCGTCAAAGCATAAGTTAAAATCGAAAATAATTGACCAAGTATTGTGTACGTCAGCCAACTCATTATTACTGTAACGTTTTGTCAGTTTAACAGCAAATTCAAGTATGAGCAAAGATTTGAGGAGAATATTCCTCCCCTCCTACCGTTCCCTAATCACACCGTCTAGACTAAAACCCGACAGATTTCCTAGTATCTTGTGAGCTTTATTCTATATTGTACCAACTATAAAGACAAGTTGATTTAAAAGATTTTCCAAGAATTCAAAAAAATTTACGACAGCCGTATCATTTTAAAACTACTAATCAGCTATCCATATGTGCTACAGTTTATATCCCAATATGACATTGTAATTCCTTTTTACCTCTAGTTAACAGTATTTTAAAAAATAAAAACATGACACTCTTACCCAACATTGTTATAAGTAGCCAGACTTCTTCTTACTTCTTAACTTTTAATTTGTTATGTATTATCTCAACTCAATAAAGCACTACACTTTGGAATCACTGTATGACATTTAAATCAATCACAAGATAGTCTTCAAAACATATAAACTTCCGAATCCTCAAAAACTAATTAATTTATCTTTTAACATTTAAGGATGACATTACTATCAAAACAATACGCTTAAACACACCCCATGTTATCCATGTCATTAAGGTGTGATACGACTGTCCGAACCGACTGGTCACTTTGAAAGCGATCAAAGTGACATTACAGTGGGTTTGTCTATTAATGTCGAACACAAAACAAGATTATACAGTAATGGTGGTATCGATTGCACAGAACAGGTTTGACAAGAAGGAGTTGCCGAGAGAGCTAGCTAGCCGCTCGGATGATAAAAGAGAAAATTATTAAAACAGCGACGTATCCTCGGCATTCGGGTTTATCATCCCGCTTCGACCACTTCCTCAAGACCTGATTCCATCAACGCTGACAATATTTATTGGAGTAGTATAAAGAATAAATAAGTTAAGTGAGCACGGCTCTAGAACTTTCTCTCCTTTCTCAGGACGGTGAAGCCGATCGTGGCCAAAGCGGTCAGTGCCATCATGGAGACGAACATCATCAGGATGAAGCCCACGCCCGAGACGCAGAATCCATTGGCAGCCATCTGAGACTCGATTGGTCGGCCGAGACGTTGACGCAGTTTCTCGGGGATAATTGGATCCTGAAAACATTATTTTAGTCATCAAGAACATTAACATAGACATTAAAGTGATAAAACATGTTTGTTAAGTAAGCAGAAGCATAAATAAAATTAAACACTTACTTGGTTCTCGGAGATGTCCAAGGTGTTGATTTCAGTGCGGACATCAAGAGTGTTGTCGTAGTTGACACTTCTCTTCTTCAACAGACGAAGCTGAGCAGCTCCGGCTGGAGCAGCTGGAGCGGCGGCGGCTGGAGCAGCTCCAGCTCCTCCGCTTCCGACCTTCTGAGCATTGAATCCAGTTGGCTCAGAGCACTTGGGACGAGCACATTCGCTGTTTGGCTCCTTAATTGTGATACTGATCTGGCATTGGTAGAAGAGCTGAGAACGGTCGGCGTATTTGTAGACGTGAGCTTCTTGACCGGCCATCAAGTCGGTTGGGTACTCCAAGTTGTTCAGCAAGAACTTGTCGAGAGCACATCCCTCCTCGTTCAAGATCTGGATGGTGTCGCCGTTACCGTCATCAACAGTGCAAGAGTGGACGACAGCGCAGAAGGTGTCAGTGGTCTCGGAGTCACAGGTCCACTTGTGGTACACTTGTTGACCAATGGTAGCGAATTGAATGGGTTGTCCAGTTGGTCCTCCCTCAAGGATTTCGTACTTGCACACAGGCATAGGTACAACTTGGGTTTGGAAGGCGGTGGTGAGATCAGAAACCTCAATCTGAGCGCTGACGGTCTTGTCGGCTTCCATGTAGAAGCATTGTACACGGTAGGCACGGTCGACCTTGGTGACGAATTGAGGGTGGAATTGTATGACGACGGTGGTGCTGACAAAGACTCCCTTAGGGTTGAGGGAGCGGGTACGGGCGACGTTGCAAGAGTCAAATGGCAACTCGATGCCAGCTACCTGGCGACCGTGCTCATCGGAACGGCAGCCTTGTTGGTCGAAGAGACCCTTCACGTAGACGTGACCGTCGAAGGCGTTACGGGTGTTAAAGTTAACGGTAATGGAGGTGGGGCCGCACTCGATCTCTGGCTCTCCTTCGACTCCGTTGTCGACTGGAATGGCACTGAGGAGTGGGAAAGCTACTAAAAGCAAGCAGACAGTCAACCTCATGCTTTGACTGTAGAAGAAGAGGCAGTGTTATGGTTCGACTGATGCGCTCCCAACCTTTTATACAATCTCGGAGAACCCGCCTTACATTACTCGAGATTATGCTTAGCCTAATCATATCCGATAACCGCTTATTTTTTGTCGGTTCCTTCCAGATCTGTAATATCTCACAGTTTATAGTGTTTTTCTTCGCTCTTCAGGTGCCGGTGATGGGGATCGCTGCGCCTGAGGGCATTCTGCAACAAATGTTCGGCAGCAGTCATAATTTATGAATTTCGATGCGAAAAAGTTGCAAGCGATGTTATCCTTGTTTTTTAAAGTTTGAGTTCGTTTCCATGATGATGAACATCCATTGCGTTCGCATTCTAGATTATAGTCTTGATTGATTATTACTTTTTTATCACTCAATGAAAAGACACCGGACTGCTGAAAAAGAGCCGGACTACCGCTTTCATATCTCTTGTTGTTATTAATGGGTTTAGAGGCAAACCACCGAATTTATGATGTTTGCGCGGAACGGCACATTGAACCGTTCGCTTTCGTTTGCACACCGCAACAACCTGCGCGTGGTCAAAGAACATATTGTAGTAGGTATCCAGACATAAACAAGCAAAAGAAAATTTCTTAAAATTAAACATTGGACACGAACTGAAAGTTTTAAAATTACTTACCCTTGAGCGTTGATCCACAAGTTCAGATCCAAATAGTCTCCAAAAAAATAAATAAACATTTGTAGACGAAATGCCACAAATTTAAATGTGACAAAAAGACATTATTTTAAAAAAAATAATTCCGGCCGGACAAAAATTTGTCCAAAAACAGAAAAACCAAGTTTTGTTTATTGAATAACTCAAATTAACTTTATTTTTGACCACAACGTTATCGAAACATTTTTAAAGAAAAGATTGCCAAATTTTTAGATTTCAAAAAGATACTCAACCAAACCATATGAAATTGTCTGGCAATCGTGGTTTAAAGGTACAAAGAACAATGCAAAACCTCCCCTTATAGAACAGAATGTGCCTATATTCCTTCATTCCGTGAAGGAATAATAAAAAGCTAGACCAGGAAGGTCCAGTCAGTGTTTTACTAACCGATCCACTTAAATCCTAACTCCTAAACAAAAACTTTTGTTTTGTCCTATCCAGGGCCGGGCGGGGACTTTTGGTCTGGGGGCAGGGGTCCAAAAAATCCACAGGGGGGACCACGTTCAAATTTTTTCGAAAATTTTTTTCTGGGGGGTACGTCCCCCCCCCCTCGCGCCCGGCCCTGGTCCTATCCAAAAAATATATTGGTTTCAAAAAAGGTCTACAAACCAAACTGTCAAAAAACGAAAAAATAGCCTATAAAGCCGTACATAAATACAAGTTTCAAAACTTGTCTGGACAGAACCATAAAGTTATCCCTGTCCTAGCTGATTATCTGGATGTCATCCTAATAAAGAAGAATTAAAAATGTTAATTTAAAAAACACTTCAAAGTTTCTTTTTAAAAGCTTTTGCCATTATAAATCCTTTATTACATTTATGTGTTTAAACTTTATTTTTTGTAGATTTCAATTTTTACCGCAGAAAAAGCGGTAAAAACGTGAAAATAAACTCAAGAAAGCAACAGTAAAATGTTTATTTTATCCTTTACTTCCCTTCCTTACATTAACAAGTTGTTTGAAAAGCAATCTGTGTACTCTGCAAAACAAAACATAGATCTGCTTGTAGAATGCTGTCAAGAAGATCATGTACTTTAACCGTATACATTGGTGATTAATATTCTTTTTGACGCGAACTCTATCATCAAAACAAATTCACTGAAATCAAGCTTTGTTTAGAAGGGAGATTCCAGAATTTTGATAAAAAATCATCGAAAACGGAGAAAAAACAAAAATACTTGCTTAGTGTTTAGCTGGGCGGCGCCGCGGCAATAATAACATGATTATGATACATTTTTGACGACCTTGTAAATTTACCGCTTGATCCCCATTAAGACAAGAAGTATTAACTATATAAGCTGTTTCGAATGTTTATCACTACACTCAAGTCGACATCAGCTCGACTCAACCATGAAGTCCTTCGTTTTATTTGCCTTGGCTGTCGGCTTGGTTTCTGCCATTCCAGTCGACAACGGAGTCGAGGGAGAGCCAGAGATCGAGTGCGGCCCCACCTCCATTACCGTTAACTTTAACACTCGTAACGCCTTCGACGGTCACGTCTACGTGAAGGGTCTCTTCGACCAACAAGGCTGCCGTTCCGATGAGCACGGTCGCCAGGTAGCTGGCATCGAGTTGCCATTTGACTCTTGCAACGTCGCCCGTACCCGCTCCCTCAACCCTAAGGGAGTCTTTGTCAGCACCACCGTCGTCATCCAATTCCACCCTCAATTCGTCACCAAGGTCGACCGTGCCTACCGTGTACAATGCTTCTACATGGAAGCCGACAAGACCGTCAGCGCTCAGATTGAGGTTTCTGATCTCACCACCGCCTTCCAAACCCAAGTTGTACCTATGCCAATCTGTAAATACGAGGTAAGTTACCCATATTGTCTTATGTGCCACATTTTATAGATCTTGGAAGGAGGACCATCTGGACAACCCATCCAATTCGCCACCATTGGTCAACAAGTGTACCACAAGTGGACCTGTGACTCCGAGACCACTGACACCTTCTGCGCTGTCGTCCACTCTTGCACTGTTGATGACGGTAACGGCGACACCATCCAGATCTTGAACGAGGAGGGATGTGCTCTCGACAAGTTCTTGCTGAACAACTTGGAGTACCCAACCGACTTGATGGCCGGTCAAGAAGCTCACGTCTACAAATACGCCGACCGTTCTCAACTCTTCTACCAATGCCAGATCAGTATCACCATCAAGGAGCCAAACAGCGAATGTGCTCGTCCCAAGTGCTCTGAGCCAACTGGATTCAATGCTCAGAAATTGGGTGGTGCCGGTGCCGCCCCAGCTGCTCCAGCCGCTGCTGGAGCTCCAGCTCAACTCCGTCTTCTCAAGCGTGAAGCCGGATTCGACAACACTTTGGACGTCCGCACTGAACTGTCTGCTCTTGACATTAGCGACAAGGTAAGATAAAGAGTAGGAGACTTTTACTTTAAATTTCAGGACACTGGATTGCCAGAAAACGTCCGCCGTTCTCTCCAGAACTCTGCCTACCAAAACCAAGGTGTCTGTGTGACTGGAAACTCCATGACCGTGTTGGTGGCCGCTATGTCCGTCCTCGTTCTTGTGGTATGTGTCATCGCCGCCCTTGCCATCCGCTCCCAACAACCACAAAAGTTCTAATTTATTGGTACCCGTAAATTATTCGCATTAAATTAAAGTTCGCTTTTAATTGGTATTCGTATAGTCTTCAGTGTAAGGCATGGCCGTTCATTCCAGGCTCGTTAGGTGCCTAAAGGAAACATTAGACAAGCGAGGTCGATACCTACATTTTGTCGCGCAAAGTTAGCCTGGATAAGTTCATCACGTTGTCTTCTTTTCATTTGAAGAGCTCGGTTACATTCTTCCGCTAACGTTATTGTGTCTTGAGCTTAATTTGAAGATTTACAACGTTGAGGTGACACTTACTTTCTGGAATTTGTTGTAGTATTGCCAAAGCATCATTGTATTTCTCGGCTTTAAACAAAGCTTCGGCCTTGATTTGAAAGGCTACTGTGTTGTTAGGGTTGCTCTCAATAACCTAAGCTAAGAGTACACTTTAACAGCATTTAAGCTTACATTGTCACAGTATTGTGCTGCTCTTTGATAATCTTCTGCAGTTCGCACTCGACCTTTCAGAACACAACGTGCTAGTCCAATATAACAGTCAGCTATTAGTTTGGCAACTTCTGACCTCTCGTCTTCTACTTTGATTCTATGGTCTTCTAACTTCTGCGGAACGGTAGTATCTTCTGAATTCCCTATAGATTCTGTAGCTGACACGGAATGAGATATACCAGCAGCACTGTTCTGATGTAGTGCAACAGAACAATCTTGGTATATACCGCGTGCCATTAGAATGCAACGATGAAACAGCATCATTGCCGAACGAAAGTCTTCTGTGAGAAATAAAGTATTAGCTTCATCCCAACAGTTTTTAGCCTTCCGAAGAGCCACGGTGCCGGCTTCGGAATTTAGATCAGATTCCATCATTTAAAGTTGGGCGATGAAATTGAATGTAAATCGAGGTTAGAAATAACAAAACACTTTCAAAACAGACGAATAAATATTCTCCGATTTTATATTTTACGAGGAACAGAATGCCAAAAAAGTTGGCACTCGTTGCTTTCGTTTTGAAGGATAAAAAGACAATTTAAGAAACCAAATTGATCGTTACTGCTCAGTAAATAATTTATTCTTATCCACAATAAATCCAATAAGATAATTTATAAGTTGTAGTTGTTGTTACGGCACATTTTAATTTGAGATAGATCGGAATTCCAAAGAGATTCAGCGTTCTGTCCAACGTACCAATCGTCAATGGCGTAGTCAAAAGTGTAGGCAAATTTTTGAGCACTATTTAGACTGACATTGTTGAACAGTACCCATGGAACACCAGTATGTTTCTCCGGGAAGATATTCTTGGTGCGCTCGGCGTGGGCTTGGATCAGTTTGTCACCAACTTTACCGTTGAAACAGTGTCTGAAAATGGAACACATTCCACTAGTAATAGTATACAAGTAGTAAAAACACAAGCCACTTCATAGTTTTAAGTTTAAAACATAATAATCATAACAGCTTTTGAACGATGACTTACGTTACTTGATCGACAACGTGGGCAGCAGTCTTGAAAGTGTTGTAGCATTTCTGGACAGCCTTTTCAATGTCAACTTTAGGTAGTTGTAGTTCGATGCATCTAATGAAAGGTAGAGGTTCTGGCATGTAATGGATGACACATGCTTCGTACTTGTTACCTCTGCATTCATCCTTACCGTGCTGGCAAACAACATTTCCTTGCTAAAATTAGCTGAATTAAACCTTAATTTAAATAAAAAATATTACCTAACAATCATTATTAAAAATATCAGAAGATCAAGCATTTATATACTAACCTCGTCAATTCTCGCGTTTCCATAAGGCACTAGCTCAATATCTATCTTATCACCATGTTTAAGGTAGATATCGTGGTAAAATGTGCCAGTAATAAACTCTTCGCAGTCGGGACACAATGCCTCAAACAGTAGAGTCAATTGTACCTTCTGGCCTTTGCTCTTGGAGAGATAGCTCTTACACTGTTCTTCAACGTTACATTCTTTTGACAGTTCAGGATTCAGACACCATAGTGATGGAGGCACACGGCTACAATCAATGCCAGAAGCCAAACTCAACGGTACCAACAAACACAACAGTAGTATCAGAAACATGGAAAAGCAGACCAAGTCACACGACTGCTTTCACAGAACTAAAGTGAACTAGCTGGTCATTTGTTTATCTGCCTGACCTTCAAAGCTGAACTTCATTATCTGATTGTTACGCAACGCAAAATCGAACGATATTAAATTTATTTACAGTAAACAATATCATTCTGGATAATGATGGCCAGGAACATTCGAGCAAGTAGGAGAATCTGTGTGTAAGAACCAGTTGACCAGGTCTTGGTACTCTTTGTGTTCAGGAGATCCGTCACAAGCACTGTGCCAGACATTAGTGATGACTGGTTGTACTCTCTTATAGTTCTGTGGTCTCTGTTTTGACCGTAACAATGGCAGTAGTACTCTATTGCGCAGAGCTTTCATGACTTCTCTTCGGATTATGAATGTAGGTACACGGCTCTAATAAATACATGTTATCAGCCTTGGAAACTCACCTCAACTGGTTGAAGCATCATGTACAAGTTATTCAACACTTTAGACTTGATCAGACTCCACAGTTCGAGAAGGTACACAATGTTGTGTTTGTCCAATCCCTTTTCAAACTCGTCTGGAGCACATTGGAAGATCTTACAAGCGTCGTTTTCGATGGCCGAAGCGAATAGTCCATCCTGAATTATCTTATGTTATAATACCCTGAAGCCTTACCGGAGACACTAGCAGATTGACAAGTTCTGCTAACTCGGCCTCCTCCATATCATCCAGATGACTAAACACCTCCAGCCTGAGCTGCGCAGGCACGTCGTCACCCTTCAGAGCTCCCAGAATGTCCAATTCTACAGTTCTTCGGTCGACTGAAGCTGCTGGACATAGCGACTTCTTACGAACGGTAGTTGTAAATTCTGAATGTCATATTTAACAAAATATGGTCAGACTATAGTGGATAAAGTAAACATATTTTAGACTTACGAACTGCACCCGGAGAGCTGAACATACCTTACGACAAAATAAAAGGAAACGAAAGAGCGAGCAGATGCCAAGAAAAAGCAACGCTTATTTCCTTATCAATCCAGAATGATTAAAATTAAATTGAAGGACGTTATGTCAATTTAAAACTTGCCATTTTCAATTGTACCTTCACCTTAATCTTGTTTTATTTCGATAAATGGCTTAATTTGGTTAATAAACTAAGTTCAGGGTGTTTATTCAAACTTGCAATCACGACTGTATTCCAAAAACAACCTGTCGTGTCGAAAACATGGTTAATCTTTTACTATCCTCCTTACTCACTCAACCATACTTTTTATTTTGGTATCTTACGTCACGCGGTGAAGATCAAAAATTTTAAATTTTGAAATTAATTTGTTTTCCTTTTGGCAATTTTAATCACTGTTGAATATTTAAAGGTTTTTTTTGCAAAACTTGTTTATTTTTATCATGCGGTCCATAAATAAAAACGCAGCTCGCGCCCACCGTTTTCCTCCGGGTCGGTCAGCTGAGAAAGAAGATTTCAGAAAAATTTTCGAAATGGTGGATACTGGAAGTAATCCCGACTTTTTCCCTCTCTACCACCACCAGTTCCGTGTGATATTGATAGGGGATTCTACTGTAGGGAAGAGTAGTTTGCTGAGATACTTCATCGAGACGCGGACTGCAGGAATCAGTGATCCCACGGTGGGAGTCGACTTCTACGCTCGGCTCGTCGAAATCAAGCCCGACCACCGAGTAAAGCTTCAATTATGGGACACAGCTGGCCAAGAGAAGTTCAAGTATGTTGTCGTTGACATTATCATGCAGTGTTTAGAGCTATAACCAAGAGCTACTATCGAAATTCGGCTGGAGTCATTATTGTGTATGACATAACAAACAGAAAGTCCTTTGATAATGTAAAGGAATGGCTAGCGGAAGCTGAAGCAAACGTTGGTGGTCCAAATCCATCTCAATGTGTATTTCTGTTAGTGGGACACAAAGCCGACCTTGAGGATAAACGTGAAGTTCTGTTCGAAGAGGGTGAATACTTTGCTAAGTATCACAAGATAAAATTCATTGAGACATCAGCCATGAATGGAGATAATGTCAACGTAAGTTTTCATTTAAGAAAGATAACATCATTCTACAAAAATATTTTTACCATTTAGAAGATTACTAAAAGCAACTTGTAGGAAGCCTTTCAAGTGGTAGCTCGGGAAATCAACGCACGATTGGAGAACGGCCAATTACCTTTGAACGACGGATGGGACGGTATAAAGGGCGGGTTAATCAGGACACAGTCAATCACCCTCTCTGATATATCTCAAGACCCTGCGGCAGGACAATGTTCATGTTAAAATGAACCTAAATGTTAATATGAAAGTGTTAATTTCGATTGTAATACGTTTAACGGGTACTTCACAGATGCATTTACAGCAACATGAAAATATTTTTGTAGATATTGCTTTACTGGTAACGATTAAACTTTAAAAGTGTTTTTGTTGGCGGTTATTTTATTACATACTTGTGATTGCTCTCCGAGTGCAAAAGTCTCTCTTCGTTCCGCGTGCTCTTTCTCTAACCGTCTCGTTGTCTCTCCGTTGTGTGTTTTCTCTCTCGCCTCCGTTTTATTTCGATGGCGTCCCTTTCCGTCGTTTCTTTGTTTGCCGAAGCTTTTCCATTTTCGATCTTTCACTTTTTGTGTACTATCTAACCTTAGCATCAGAATACAATAGAGTATTAAAATTATTTTTTATTTTTTTGTAAATAACCGAGAAACGCGGTAAAATTTAAATTTTTGGCGTTTTTATCTATTTTTTTTTTAATTTGAAACTTTATCGTATTTTAGAACTGAAATGCCTGAACCAAAACCCCCAGTACGTGGGAAGACGTCTCCCTATGGGTTTTTTGTAAAAATGTGTTATGAAGAACATAAGAAGAAGTTCCCAGATGAAAGTGTTCAGGTAACAGAGATCAGCAAAAGGTGTTCAGAGAAGTGGAAAGTAAGTCAACCGTTAAATTAATAATTATTGTCTTTAGACCATGAAAGAAGAAGAAAAGAAACGATTCTACGAACTTGCACAGAAGGATGCGGAACGATACCAAGCTGAAGTTCAAGCTTATGGAGGCGAAGATTCGTTGAGGAAGAAGAAACGTCAAAAGAAAGACCCAAATGCTCCCAAAAAGGCTCTGTAAGTTCAGTATTTTAATACTTATTGTCGATTTAGATCCGCATTCTTCTTCTTCTCAAATGAGAAAAGGCCTCAAGTCCAAGCTGATCATCCTGAATGGAAAGTGGGCCAAATTGCACAAGAACTTGGCAAATACTGGAAGAACTTAACAGAAGAAGAACGACAAGTATATGAACGAAAGGCATCCGAAGACAAAGCCAGATACGATGAAGTAAGTTCTTTTAAACGTCACTTTTGTAAATCTACTTTGTTAAAAAATATGTTACGAAAATAGGAAAATTTTAGTTAACAAAAATGAAAAAAAATAAACCCCAAACAAATTTTTCTAGTTTAAAAACAAGTAAACATAAATGGTAATGAAATTTTTAGGTAACAAATATCAGTTTTGAAACTTTTTTTCAGGAAATGAGGAACTACCGTGCCAACGGAGGTGGAGCACCGTCAGGGATCTAATATGTAGTTTACCTTGTACATTTATTTTTCACGAATTTTATTTCTACAGTAGTGCACTTTGTACACAAGATTGCTTAAATTAACTAGAGCCAGCCTCTCCCGAAGCCATCTCAATATTGACCTCATCCGTATATAAGCTATTATCCAAGCGTACATGAATAAATATTTAATAAAAATATTAGCTAAAAATTATGAAAAAATGGTCGTAAAGATTGGAACCAATCTCCACTTTAAGTACACCACCAATTAAAATACTTGCAAAATGTCCCACAACAAAATAGTTCTGTCATAGCCGATGGTAGCTAGTTTGTTACCATCTTTGTGTAGCCGCATGTCTACTACGCCTTGTCTTAGCTCGCTTATTGTGGCCAAAGGAGTTAAGCTGAAAATTTAATAATAAATCTTAGAAAACAGTCTTTAGTATTATAATTAGGTAACATTAGGCTTGACTTTTGCATGAAAAACAATTAAACACACTTACTCAAACTTCTCTGGATACTCTTCCATCTTCTTCTTGCATGTTCTGCATATTCTAGCCGGCTTTTCAAATCCCATAGCTGGGAAGATTGTTCGGTAATTACAACAGTTATCACAGACTGACGTTCCGCATGTTCTACAATGATGTCGGCGTACTCCCACCACCTTAAAATGACAAAATTGCATAAAAGAGATAATACGCAAAAGATTAATTAACACATAAGGTTTGGCTAATACTTACTTTCCGCTCCCACATAACTTTGACATTCCAAAAGAAAGGCACATCGCACAATTGACAGTTATCAGAATCCTTCCATGCTGGGGCCATGATTCTCTTTGCATTCAGATCCCAGCACATTAAATGACCAGTCTCATCAACAGAAAACAGTTTGTTCTTGTTGGCGCCCAAGACTACGGCACTTAGTTTTGAGTCATGTCCACTAAAATATTAAAATTAAATTTAGATATAAAAATGTGTTAAGTAAAGATAAAAACCCTTTCACGTACTTCAGCTCGTAACATTGCCCTTGTTTACCGCCGATATCCCACATTATGACCAGAGTATCCGTACTAGCCGAGAACAAGAGCTGTCTTGTGCTGTCCCATGCCAAATCGGTAATCGCACCTATAAATTTAACATAATCCGACATAGAGTACCATTTAAAACTACCTTAATAATAATAATAATAATAAATTAGTCTTCTTATTGCTGATAATTTATTTTTTAATTTTAAGCAAACTGGTAAGTTGGAAAATTACCTGTATGAGCACTAAGTTTACTGACTAGCTGTGCAGCTACTCCATTTATTCTCAACACGTACACATTGCCGTTAGCATCTCCAATGAAGGCAAAGTTGGTCGAACTATCAAATTGTATCACAGAACAAGGACATCCCAAATTATACATTCCAATTTTATTCCCGGAATCAGCAGAATGCCAAATCAAAGTCTTGTCTCGACTGCACGAGAACAATTCCTTTCCGATGTGAGAGTAGGCGATGCCGGTAACAGCGTTTGTGTGGACATTGTAACGTCGAATCAATTCCAGGGAATTCCAATCCTCTCGGATCTCATATTGATACACAGCTCCACTAACCAGTCCGACAAACAACCTAAACCTCAACGATCAACCACGAGAAAGAACACTTACAGTCGAGCTGTTTCATGCAAGAATAAACAAGTTGGGAGATTGGGAAGATATTCGATAACGGATGGCCAGAACTGGCCGTTATCTCTTTTCAAAAGAATTCTAAGACTTTTGTCTTCGCTGATTATTATGAAGCCTTCCTCATTGTCCAAGATCAAGAACTTGATGATCCGTGCTATCTGGCCATCGACTTTGTACAAAAGTTCTAAATATGGATCAATAGTGTCATGAACAACATAAATTACCTGGTCTTCTGTAATTACTCGGCGTATCCGAAGACGAGGGCGTCTGGTTGATTTCAGCGGCCATTGCATAAACCAAAAACCAACGAGCCAGCCAAACAAACGATATTTTGTTATCAAAAAACGACGATTTATTTTGAAATAACAGTTGACGCCGAGTCAAGTCTTTCCCCTGAAATTCCACGCAACAAAAATAAAAATAAAAAATTTTGGGCAGAATTAATCAAACACCTTGGAGAGTGCAATCAAATAGACTAAATTATTTATTTGTCAGTTACACGTTTTCATTTGTTTCTGTTTGTTATTTGATATGATCTTGTAATGAGTTCCACGGCAAGCAACAACCTAAAATGGGTATCGCTGGTCATCCTGATCGCCCAAACGACTGCTCTAGTGCTCATCCTGAGGTATTCAAAGACGCAGAAGGTGGAAGGACCTAAATATTTATCCTCGACGGCAGTGGTGACTTCTGAAGTGGTGAAACTGATTACCTGCATCGTGGTTATCTTCTACAACAACTGTAAGTTTTATTCTCAAGTGTTACCGTTATTTAGCATGGAAGTACGATGGCGTTTACCGAGATTTGCAAATGGACATTATCAACAGACCTATGGACACGTTGAAAGTGGGAGTTCCAGCTCTTCTGTATGTTATCCAGAACAACTTGTTGTTCCTCGCTTTAAGTATGTTGGATGCCGCTACTTATCAGGTACGTTTGTATTCAGATGGCTCAATTAGTTTTTTAGGTAACATATCAATTGAAAATATTAACGACGGCTTTATTTTCTGTTTCAATGTTAAACAAGAAGCTGAACAAACTCAAATGGCTCGCTTTGATCTTCTTGACTTGTGGAGTTGCTTTAGTTCAGGTAGGTTATGTTTAATACTTTGTGGGAATTTGTGTTTTATATGAGTTGTATTTATTTTTTTACTTTATAAACTATAAAGTTTAACTTTTTTATTTTAACTGATTATATTAACTTGATATACGATTACAGTTGCCGAAAGATTCGGGTAAAGCTAAATCTACTGATTCAAACGGCTTCGTTGGCCTCGTAGCTGTGTTATGTGCTTGTTTTTCGTCTGGATTTGCAGGAGTTTACTTTGAAAAGATTTTGAAGGGATCATCTGTCTCTCTTTGGATGAGGAACTTGCAATTAGGTAAGTGTAACATGACATTTCATTTCAAAAGTACATTTTTTAAAATTAACCATATTTAAAGATTTTAGTTATGTGCTGTAAATGAAGTCTTTTTTAGCTTTCTTCAGTGTGTTTGGAGGACTGTTTATGACATGGTTATACGATGGACATGCCGTAGCTCAAAATGGATTCTTTCAAGGTTACAATAATATAATCTGGATTGTGGTTATGTTACAGGTTAGTGATAGCTTTGCCTGTCAAAATTGCACTAGAATTCTGTTATAACGTTGTTGACTGTAGCGGAATGCAATTATAAATGTACATTGTGTCTAGTAATACTATAGCCATATTATTGTATTCCTTTTAGGCGTACGGTGGTCTTGTGATTGCATTGGTAGTAAAATACGCGGATAATATTCTGAAAGGATTTGCTGTGTCATTGTCGATTATTTTGTCAAGTTTCATTTCTTGGTGCATGAACGACTTTGACCCATCATTGTAAGTTTTTTCATCTGTGTTTACGTTCTCATAAAAGTCTTTATAGCATTTTTTATGCAAAATGGTAATGTATAGAGGTACTTATTTTCGATTTCAGAACGTTCTTTTTTGGATCAACAATTGTGATTGGATCAACCTTCTTATACGGGTACGAACCTCCAAAGCCAAACCCAATTCACGCAGCATAATACCAGCCAGCCGGCTGTCACTGATTGATTATTGTCTAGGTTTAACGAAAGCAATTTTATACAATTCTAAAATTCAAATTTTTTAGCTTTTTTATGCTTTAGGCAAGTATTTATTTCTAGATCGTCTTAAAAGTTGAGCAATAACTAGTTTTTGGTTAAGACAAATTTTATAAAATTAAACAAAATTTCATATTTTTTTGACTAAACTGTTACTAGTTGCATAGTTTTGAGACGACCTGTTTGTTATTAGTCTTCTTTTCCGGTCTTTTATTTTTGAGTTAATTACAAGTTTGTTAATTTATCGGGTTTATTTGGTTTTAATTGTGTTTTTAAGTGAGCATTTCTAAATAATTCTAATGTGAACTATTGTGCAATCTGTGAGTACAGCTATTGCAATAAATTAATTAAAAGTCAAATGTAATCGGCTTTCGATTGTGATATCGGATTGCCTTACGGTCATCTCCTCACTTAATTAGGAAGAGTGTTTGTCCGTTTGACAAAGTGATGCCATTAAGTATTGTAAAATGCCTCAGGCACTTAACCTGTGTGGGAAGTGCAGTAGCGGGGATCAGGGTTCTGGGATGGCGGAGATGATGGTGTTTTCAGTTCTGGAATGCAGCCGCTCTCCTTTGGATACGGTAAGTAGAAAAGGTATAGGAAGGTTTTAATTGTAAGTAAATGTATTGCGTTACGTACCTGAATTTGTCCTATCTTTCCCTTCTAAGTACATCTATCTTTTTTGGAACGTCTTACAGTCTGTCGTTGAATTAAAATAATGTTTTGGTGTGTCTTTAAGTGATGTGAAAGCCCTACACGGACACCCCCGCCGTTTTAATCCCGACCAAAAGAAGCCTTATTTTGTAAAAAGTATAGTCATATCAAACTAATTTCCTTTCGTCGTTACGGCGATGCAGAAGGAGGACAGTGTCGAGACTTGTGGCAGTGATCCCGCAGCTCAGAGTGATGGAGCTCTCTACACCGAGGAGTTCTTCAAGTGTACCTTTTTGGCCAGGAAGGTCGCGCAACGTCTACCCTTACAGGCCACCAACTGGTCGTCTTCTCCCAATTTCGAAAAGGTTCTTTCCTTACACTTTCTGGTTGTTTGCATGGTTCTGGTGTTATTGTTCAGTTGTGTGGAACATTTGTTACGAAGTTGAGGATACTTTTTATGATGACATTTGTAGGTCCCCATCTCTGGCACATCTACACCTCAATTCAATCGAACTGGAAGTGCCCAATCTCTACCGCCGCAGAGCAACAGACCTTCACTATACGAACAGGCAGTAAATGGGTTGAACAATGACATGAATGTACAAAAGGAAGTGGCACTGGGCAAACGGATAGGATTCTACAGACTTGGCAAGGAACTGGGGGCTGGAAACTTCTCAAAAGTTCGGTTGGGGGTGCATGTTGTCACAAAAGGTAATGGTTGTGTTTACAATGTATTCTGTTGTCCTATATAATTATTTATCTACAATTTTTAATTTTTTTTTATATTTACTTTCAGAAAAAGTGGCAGTAAAAGTAATGGAACGAACGCGGATGGACCAGAAAGCCCAGAAGTTGTTGGCCAGAGAAATCGAGACTATGGAACTGACCCACCACCCCAATATCATACGACTGTTTGAGGTAGTGTCGTCCACAAACCTGCGAATTGTCTTTTCATTTTAGTGTGTAGAAACAGTATCCAAGACCTTCCTGATCATGGAGTATGCTGGTGGTGGGGAACTGTACACTTACGTGCACGATCAAGGCAAACTCAACGAACAAGTGGCCAAAAGCCTGTTCAGCCAGGTCGCTTCCGCCGTCTGCCACTTGGTAAGCTCTAATATTAGAAGCCTAATCTCTTCCTCTTCCCCTCACATGGCGTTCGTTTTCAGCATTCGAAGCGGATCGTACACAGAGATATAAAAGCAGAGAACGTCATCTTCTCTCACCAAGGCTGGGTCAAGTTGGCCGACTTCGGGTTTTCGTGTCTTCAGAAGGACGACAACTTCTTGAGCACGTTCTGTGGTTCTCCACCTTACGCTGCTCCAGAATTGTTCCGTGATGATGTAAGTTTTTTGTGAAAGATATTATTCATAATACTTCAGTTACTATGGCCATAGCTATGGTATTGTTACACTGTAAAATTTTACTAACTACCAGGAAACATTGCTTTAAGCAATAGTTTTCAGAAGTACCAAGGGCCAATGGTTGACGTCTGGGCTCTGGGTGTCCTACTGTATTTCATGCTGGTAGGAGTAACTCCGTTCAAAGGAGAAACGGTACAAGAACTAAAGGGTAACATCCTGAAGGGCGAGTACAAGATACCAGAGTACGTGTCCATATTCGCTCAGAATGTAATCACGAATCTGCTAGAGATGGATACCGAGAAAAGATGGGATACCTTAACATTGAAGAAGGCCAGCTGGTTCAAGGACCTCAGATTCAGCCAGTCGTACCTTCAGTTTAACGTAACTCCAGATGAGAAACATTTACAGACTTGTGAGACGGAGAGAAACGTCTGGAAAACGTTACACGACTTCGGAATCACCCCTGATATGATAAGGGATTCCATCGGGAAAGGGGCGCGCAATGCCATTATTGGCATCTACAGAATCGTAACATATCAGCACCAAGTCCACGATCTCGACAAAGAACGACTAAAAGTGAGTGATGCCCCCTATTATGTGTGTTTTAGTTTGAAAACGTCAGACTTTGATGATCCTGCGTTTAATGTCATCATAATTATTATTTAATATAGTGATCTACAAGTCTTTATATTTGCAGGTCAACGGTCATCTCATTGACATGGGTCAAAGAAAAAAGACTGAAACCCGGATGAATCAAAAGAGCAAAACATGTAGTATAATTTAATTGTAAAATAAAACCTGTCACATTATTAGCTATTAATACTTATATTTACAAGATAACACATTGAGCATATTAATCACCTACGGGTCGTTCCCCCAAACCCAGAGGACGTGTGAGTACCACCCCCAGAATAAGAGGTCCCTGAAGTACTAGGCTGGTCGTAGTAGTCGTCGTATCCGGCGTCATGGTAGAATTGGTGACGTCTTCTAGTGTTCCCGGAATTCATAAAATGATTCGCAGCGTAGCCACCCAAAGCTCCGAGGCTCATGCCACTCCAGAAACCAGCCCCACCAGTTGAAGTACCAGTAGACGAGTTGGGTTTGGTGGCATCATCGTACGAAGGTGGAGCAGTTGGAGGTCGTCTCCAACCTGGAGGGTCAGGTCCCCCGCCACCACCACCGCCTGGATAGTTACCACCTGACCCATAGCCTTAAAAATTCTAAGTAATGTTGTTGACATGTATTTAAAATTTGGAACTTCATATTATGAGTAACTTATTTTAGATATTAAAAAGATGATATGATATAATTTACAAAAGTAAACCCACCTGCGCCAGTACCATAATCACCAGGCTTCATCCAACTATATATGATGTACAGTACGAAGCATACAAAGACACCGTAGAAGAGTATGGTAACCATACGATCTGAACTCGTTGTATCTTTGTAGGCTCCACCGTGAACTCCCTTTTGACTATAGTCCAGTTCATATTCTAATCCACAAGACCCGGCAAGAATAAAAGGATCGTTCGGTGAGTCGAATCCTTCACAGTTTACAGAAATCTAAATATTAAACATTAAAATAGTTCATATATTAACATGCGGTACTAGAAAGTGTATCCCAAGCACCATATAGCCTAATCCTTAGAAAATAAATGAATAAACTAACCCTTCCAAACTCGAAAGTATCTGGCATATCAGCCTTACATTCCCATTGAACATCCATTCCATCGAACCCGCGATTGTAACATTGAACGATCTTTGGCGTGAACTTTCCCCGTGCCGTTCCACCGACACATTGTAACTGAGGGACGGGTGAGGATCTTCTTCCTGTAGTGTAATCACCCCTTCTCAATGTTACCGCGCTTAAATCTCGCAATAACACCCGTTGATGTGCCTCTAAACAAACTTAAAAATGAAATAATAACACTTACCAATTGCAATAAAACAATATAAAAGTAGAACAATTAGAACAACAATCTTCTTCATTTCGTAGACAACACAAATACCCGATTTAAAATGGCATTTGTTAAGTATACGTACCTTTAGCCCCGTTTCAACATAACATACGTAGGCGTATTTTATTTTTGACGCAGTCTGCAGAATATTGGGCGCAGTTAGATCGTTAAAAATAAATAGCGCGACAGATTTTTGTTTGGGAAATTTCGCGGAAGATGTACCAGATGTGAACAAAGCTGCCGAAGTCTTGCTTCTTGCTTTATTCTCAATGTTATGCCGGTGAACAATCGCGCAAATCTCTCGATATGGCCGTGCTTTGGTCTTTTCTGTACACTTTTGGCTATTATAACATTGTTTTTCACATTTTTACTAAAATACGATCACGAGTCAAACTATGTGTCGTCTCTTGTATTAACAACAAGGTATTCTTTGGACCAAATGAAGCTATTTGCGTCTAAGAACTTGGATACCATCGAATATTCGCCACTTTTGTATGGAAAATGGAGTGTTTCGTTCAATAATATTGTGTCTGAAAACGATTATCAGTTTGATTTTGACAAGAACGACGTCATGGTGTTTTTGCACATTCAGAAGACAGCCGGAACATCGTTTGAGAGGTTTCTAGTCAATCATCTCAACATCTCACGACCTTGTTTATGCAAAACAGATAACCAATGTAATGGTGAGAAGAAGTGTAGGAAATGCAAATGTGCCCGACCACGAAGTAGCAATGAATACTGGTTGTTTTCTCGATACTCCACTGGATGGGTATGTGGTCTGCACGCAGATTACACGGAACTTGTAGTATCGCATTGTGTGGATAAGGCAATGGATAAGGTGGAAGGTATGCTTTTTAAATAATTTTTTATAAGTTTAGGTACTTGCGAACTGTTAGTAAAGTGTTTTGAAGTTATTTACGGTTTTTTAAATTTTCTTAGCTTGCATTTATCGAAAACAATGGTTTTAGGTACCCACAGACTTCGGCGCTACTACTACACAACTTTTCTAAGGGATCCAGTAGCTCGTTTTATATCAGAATACCGTCATGTCGAACGTGGAGCAACTTGGAACAAGTCCAGGCACATTTGCAACAACCGAGCCCCTCTTCCTGTTGAATTACCTTGGTGTTATGATCCTGAAATCGGGTGGAATAATGTGACATTGGACGAGTTCCTATCTTGTCCTTACAATTTGGCTTTCAATCGTCAAACGAGAATGTTGGCTGACTTAACTTTGGTGCATTGTTATGATATGACCAAGATGCCGAAAGAGAAACGGGACAGTATACTGTTGGAAAGTGCTAAAAACACATTGAGGACGATGAGCTTCTACGGGTTACAGAATAGAATGGCAGAGTCTCAGGAACTCTTTGAGAGAACTTTTAAGTTAAGGTAAGGGTTTTGATAAGATTTATGGATTATTATATTCCAGGTCAAAAATAGTAAAATGTTCTTATAGAAGTTTTTTATTTGGTTTATAAAACATACTTCAGGTTTACGAAAAGTCTTGCCAATTGGACTAAAAGCAAATCAGATGACACGGTGATAACACCACTTCAATTGAACGCCATATTAGAATTGAATCACTTAGATGTAGAATTGTACAAATTTGCAGAGAAACTCTTTAAAAAACGACTCAATACAGTTAGGTCGGGTCAAAACAGCTTACAATAATGATCTTCATTGCTACAACTTGCCATAATATTGTATATAGTACTTGTTAATAAATTGCTATTTTATGTTTGAGGTTCTTATTTTGGTTTTTTCCATTATTATTAGTTGTTTCTGCTAAAATAAGTAATATCATAATATACTTTACATCAAAACGTTTGCTTTATGTATATTTTATGTCATTAATTTAAAGTATATTATCTATAGCATGCAGAGGAGTCGTCCGGTGGCCATATTGGACAAGTCTTTGAGCAAAGGAAAGAATGAGGTATGATAAGTTATTAAAAATTTTCATGTTAAATAATTACAATAACTATGTAAAAAAATAATAGTTTACATGGTGTTAGTTTGTCGAAAATTATGTTTTAGATCAATTTGTCGACGTTTGCCTTCCTTTTCGCGGAAATGGTGAGATATGCACAGGGAAAGTCAAAGTCGGTTCAGGAATTGGAGGACAATCTGGCGAAGTACGGTAAATTTGTGGGCGACAGACTTCTGGATGTGATAATGCTACGGGAAAAGGGCTACAAGAGGGACACCAAGTTGGTAAATGCTCTGATGTTCATCAGGAGCACGTTGTGGAAGAGTTTGTTCGGAGAAGAGGCAGATAAACTAGAAAGGAGCACTGAGAATCCTTGCCATTGTAGGTTTTTTGTGTCGCATATATTATAATTAGACTTTCAGATTATTTGATTGAGAAAGAATCTCTGGTTAACACCTACATATCACTGCCCAAAGATAAGGTATCACTCAATTGTGCTTCTTTTACTGCTGGTATTATAGAAGCGTTTTTAAGTGTAAGTTTTTTTAAATGTGATTGTTGTCACATCTATTTTATCATTTCCATTGCAAAGAGAGTAATTTTTGTACTTTTTACGAATATTTCTTTGCCTTTTCAGGGTAACAACTTCCCTTGCAAAGTCTCGGCTCACTGGCATATGGGCACGGCATATTTAATAGAGTTTGACCAAGAAGTGATCAACCGAGACAGTAATCCTATTGAAAACCGATAATTTATTTTCAATTTTGTATACAAAGATTTATATACTACGGACTTGTCGATGGCGTTTTGTCGCTGTTTATTTTGTAACAATTTATTTTATATTTATTATGTCAAGTTGATGTATATTTATTTTCTAACTACAGTTGAATTAAAGAATTAAGAGTATGAAATGCTCCGGCGAAGTTTCTGTCTTATTTCACGTCGTTTTGCCACCGCGTCTCCAGAATCGACGAAACAGCCGGCTGTCAAAGTTTTGAAACCAGTCAAACTGGTACCCAAGTCTATCAACCAGTACTTATTTGGTCAAGAAGTCAGTTCGGGATCTGATGCTGAAGATTCTGTGTTTGAGAAGCTACAATTGCCTCCTTTGGATGGCACGGTGATGAACCACTTCCAGAACGTAGCCGAGAACATTTTTTTACCGTACAACAAGCTACTGGAAAGAGCGTCAAGCTTGGGGATTCCTCAGAAGCCAAAACAATGGGAATATGTAGCTGGGTGGACTAAATACACAGAAGATGGACTAGCAGTTGCTGTCTCGGCTCCAGATTCCGACCTTCTGTTCTTTGATGTTGAAGTGTGTGTGCAAGAGGGACACCTGCCTACATTGGCTGTAGCCATGAGTGAGACAAACTGGTACTCATGGTGCAGTGAGAGATTGGTTCACGACACTCCTGTTCCAGAACTAATAAGATTGGAGCATCTGATACCTTTGGAAGGTGACAATAGGGCTGCCAGACTGGTTATTGGACATAATGTGGGTTACGATAGAACACGAGTCGCAGAACAATATCAAATTCAGGTAATTTTACGATTTCAAAGGCTATTTTTATTTACTGTTGCTTTAAAAATGCAAAATTTAAAATTCAAAATAGTGATTTTAGGAATCAAACGTCAAGTTTTGGGATACGATGTCAATGAATACAGTAATCCAAGGAATGGCGGACCATCAGCGGCTTTTGTACGAAAAGAAAGACATATCCGACGAACATCAGGTATATTTACATTTTGTTTGTTACCATTTTGCTTCATAACTTTACATTTTACAACATTTTCCTATAGGTACCTTGGTTGTCATACTGGAAGCGTCGGGTGTGCAAGAACTCATTGGAAGATGTATATTCCAAGTTTTACCCAGAACGTAGTGGGAGTCTGGACAAGACATATCAGTCTGTTTTCGTGACAGAACCTATGGAAGTGATAAGGGAGAACTTCCAGGTCCTCACCGATTACTGTGCTGGAGATGTGCAGGCCTGTGTGGAAGTGTATGCCAAACTCTACCCTATGTTCAAAGAGAGATTCCCCAGTCCTGTAACTTACATGGCGATGCTGATAGTGGCTGACGCTTATCTGCCTGTGACCTCGAACTGGAGGAGGTTCTTTGACAAATGTCAGCAGGATTCTGGAGAGGTCAACAATACTTCTGTGAAGGCGGTTCTCAAGTCGGCTACAGCGTTGGTAGATGAACTAGAAAAGGACAAATTGTAAGTGTTGCTTCATCACAAAATGAATTTTTGACATAACATGTTATAAACTATCAAATGTGTATACATGTTGTTGTAGATACGAAGAAGACCCGTGGCTGTGGGTGAATGATTGGAAGCACAAGTTCAAGACCATTGACAAACCAGCATGGTACGTGAACTTGTTTTCGAAGAAGAGTTACTTAGAGAGCAACATAGATACTCTTCGAAGTGAACATGTCAAGTTGAAGGGGACAGATGTCCCCAGGATCTTCGGATTGTGCTACGGACCTTATCCATTGTTTTACAAACGGGACTTTGGATGGGGATATCTGGTACCAGATTCCGGTAAGATTTTTTACTGATATGTTGTGTCCAAAAAGCTTTTATTGATCTTATTACATTGCATCTGCTAGGTGTTAGTTGATATTACCCTTTCGACTTATGGTTTGATTTTTTAAAGTCGATTTAAGATGAAATGCCGGATTCTGTCGAAGTAATGGTACAAAGACAAGAAGTAGTTAATTTTCCAGCCAGGTAATCTTGGTTTTTAATATTTAAATGTTATATGAGTTTGCTTTTAAGCTTTAAAACATAATAAATATGAAATTTGAACTTAATTACGCCGAATTAATATCTTTAGGAAAATAGCAGAACTGGTCAAAAAGAATCAAGAAGAAGGATACCCAGATGTCAACGTGCCTCTCCGTGCTGATGCTACCGTTGCTGGTTTCAATTTTCACCGTCTCCCGCATCCGGTAAGGTATAACAATATTATTACCTCATTTTAATGTGGTATTTTACGTTTTAACTTTCAAATTTATTTTACAATATTACAGAAAGGCGATGGTCAAAATGTGGGAAACCCCTTCAACAAAGACTACATCAACAGCTTCTTCAAGGAAGGAATAATTCGTCCAACAAGGTTCGAAAAAGAATGTCACGACTTCATTGAAGCTGGCTCCGTCACGCGCTTCTGGGGAAACTACCGTGAGCGCTACAATGAACAGGTTACATGCTGGCTGGATGAAGAATGTGAAGTTGGGGCAATTGCACCAGCCATCATACCATCAGGCACCATAACAAGAAGGGCCGTCCACAAGCTATGGCTGACTTCGGCCAATGCCAAAGAAGGAATGCTGGGCTCTGATCTGAAGTCGATGGTGCAGTGTAGCCAAGGCTGGAACTTGGTGGGTGCAGATGTGGATTCCCAAGAACAGTGGCTAGCAGCTTTGTTTGGAGATGTGCTACATGGCGAGTTCAAAGCAGGCTCCACAGCCTTCAGCAACATGCAGCTGGCTGGCTCCAAATCAGATGGAACCGACTTGCATACTGTAGTTGCTGAATCTGTGGGGATCAGTCGTAACAATGCAAAGGTGTTAAACTACGCTCGCTTGTATGGATCCGGAGCCAACCACGCTGTAGACTTCTTGGTACAGAAGGGAATTGGAAGAGACGAAGCCAGAGAAACCGCGATCAAGTTGTTTGACACTACGAAAGGAGTGGCTGGACGGTAAGGTCAACTCTCAATTTTAATACTCTTTTAGGTATCGCGAACTACAAAAATATCTGATTCCTTACTTCGAGCACTTCGTTAATCAAATCTGCCCTAAGGAGTTCTCTGATACTCACCTGGTTCTTGGCAAACGGTACTTTCTTCCTGTTGGGAATGCAGTCACAAGGTAACGTTGTCATTTTACTTGGTTCGACAGTTTGTATGGTGCTTGAATAGGATTAAGTTTCCAGGATCCAAAGCAGTATCTTCGAAGATTGGTTGCGACACAATATGTCGGCAGAACTGGAGACAATGGGGGTGGAACTGGATGGAAAAAACTTTCTCAACACTGTATATGTCAATTACCCTACTTCGTACACGCTCTACAAAGACGGTTTGTAAGTTCTATACCTTTTCTACTGTATATTAATGTTGTCAATCCTAAAAATAGTACTTTAGCGAGTCAGAGACGTTCAACTTCCTTGAGATTGAAGCCCAGAATCCGGAGCCACGAACTCCAGTCTTGGAATGTCGCCTGACACAAGCTCTGGAGCCCTTACCTCACACCGTGCCGTGCTACGACGACTTCCAGATGAAGTACAAGAGAACCAAGATCAACTGGGTCGTTCAGTCCAGTGCCGTCGACTTCCTGCACTTGTTATTGGTCAGTATGCGATGGTTATGCCAGAAATACGGGATAAACGCACGGTTTGTCATATCAATCCACGATGAGGTTCGTATACATTGTTAGTTTACATAGGATTCACTTTAACCATGATGTATTATTTCAATTTTTAGATCCGGTTTCTCGTTAAGGAAGAAGATAAGTATCGATGTGCACTAGCCTTGTCTTTGTCCAATTTTTTGGTCCGAGGAGCCATCATGGAGAAGATGAACATAAAGGAAATGCCATTCGTGAGTCGCTTGTGATTAACTTTCTGATATAATTCTAATGCCAAACATAATTGAAAGTCAAACTACAAAAATCTACATTAATATATAGAATGTTACCTAAAATTGTTTCAGTCGATTGCATTCTTCAGCCAAGTTGACATAGACACAGTGCTTCGGAAAGAAGTGGATACACAATGTACATTACCTGATGGTACTCAGGTACCTAACGGCGAAGCTCTAACGATTACTCAGATTTTAGAAAAAACAAACGGGTCTCTCACTAAACAATAGGTAACAACAATATATCGTATATTAGAACTAAACCATCGTATTATCGTATAAAGTTAGTGTAAAAGTTGTGAAGAACGCAAGATGGCACCATTAAATGTTGTGTTAGTCTTGTTTCACGGTTTGGCGTAGGCCAATTTGAGAGATCCTAGAATGGCATGATTTTAGGTAATTTTTTTAAAAATTAGGTAATAAATTACTTTTTACATCATTAAAAAGACTGAAAACCTACCTTTTCCATAATTCTACCCGCACTTTCAATGTAAACTTGTTGAGGAGACATAGGATAGACGCGATTGCAAAGAAGATGTTACAAAACCATACTAGAGAGAAGTTTGAGATCCAATTCAGATGTCCGAATCCACCCAGCAAATCGAACGAAGTTATTCCTGAAAGGATCATCTTTATTTATGGGTAACTTAGTATTCTTTTAAAATTAAAGTGACATCACAAAATCTTCTATAATGTAAAATCGGTCTACCGACATACCAAGTGTATTTGCGAGTACCGGCAGTGCACAACTAAGTAATAGGGCGGTGGCACAGTTAGCTATAACATTAGTCATCGAAGTTTGTTTCCTTTTCGGTTTCACACGACGCAGAAGTGGCATAGAATAGACACCGACCAGCGCTGAGAACATGATGTATCTAAACATAAATGGCACCAAATCTGCAACTTACATTATTATCACATTCTCGAACAGTGCTCCAGGGATTCCAAATCTGTGGCGAGAGCGAACTTCAACATATTGAACATATTCATTCAGTTCTCGGAAGCCGCAAACCAGTTTAAACGTGTTGATTAACACTATTGCGACGGAAATTAACTGAAATAAAAACATTTTAGGTAACATTATATATTGAAATTCGTAAACCACACATTTTCAAAATTACGGAATAAAAGTTCAAATAAACTTACGTTAAGGGTTAGCAACATAATCATAACGATGGGATACTTTATCGCATCCAAAAACATTCTGATCAGCGACTTTCTTCGTTGTTCTTTTTTAAATTCTACTTCAACTGGAGCAATTTCCCCTGCATCTCCACCTCCGTTCATCAGTCTTTTCCTCAACAATATATCCGTCGTATGTGAGATGGTACTAAACCCATTCATAGCTACTACAATATCACTCTCTTTCGGTTCTGGAATATGCTCGCTTTCATCGTTGAGTAAACTTGTAGCAAAGTCAAACATCTTCGCGAAGCCAATGGGAGTTGACACCAATAACAGACCCACTCCAGCCAAAGATACGAAGGAGTAGACCAGTGGAATTGATAGATTCGACACGTTCATCAAGGAGATGACCAGATGTAGTCCTTCAGGTTGGTACAACGAGTAGGCCAGGTTAGCCAAGCATATCAGAATGATGAACACCAACACACATACCACGATAGTCTCGTAGACTCGAGACAGGAACGGCTTGGGACGATGGTGAAAGCTGAGGCCTTGTGATTCCAAGAAGAAATAAGAGAATGGAAGCAAGAAGAACAAGGACACGTTGCTCAGCAAGAAGACATAGTTCCACAAGGATGTTATCAACGACATGTTTAGCCATTTGAAGTAGAAGTTGTCTGGGTACAACAGCAAAACTTCTGACCCCACGACAGAAAAGGGAAGCAACGTTATGGCCCCGATAGACACGGCCAAGGAAAAAGTGCACATCCATACGCTAAAAAGATTAAAACTATGTTTACAAGAACTTTCAGAAGATTCTTTATCTAATGAATCACAAAACTAAAAAGAAAACTAGTGAAGTTGAATAAAACACTTACGAAATGCGGTAAACAATAAAATCTTCGTCTCCAGCATATAAGTCATCGTTGTCCGATCTCGTTTTGAATCGTTGAATAATTTGAAAGCTCAGGAAGTACAACCCGATCAAGAAGAGTAAGCACACCTAAACTGACATAAGAATTTAACAAGATTCAACTTACTACATGTTTGCGGATAAAATTGTGAAATTCAATTTCTTCAAACTCTAAGATTTCCTCGTCCATTCCATTTTATGATAACAAACACGTTGTTTAAACTTATACAATAATAATTTCAGTCACGCGACGTAGGTAAACCAGACTATTAACAAAAATATTATTCAAGCTGGCTTTAAAAAAAATAAAACGCAAAAATAATAGGCGAACTGCAGTCGAGCCACCGCAGCCTGCCGTTTTGTATAACTTGTTGTTTCTGTTTTTGGAGGGAAAATATGTTTGAAACAATAATCGAGGGTTTTTTCAGCAGAATTCTGTAAACAGGTTATAAAAATATTTTATTTAGACATTTTGGGATTGTTTTTTATATTATATCGTTTTACAATAAATTATTGGGGTAAAATTATATTATAATCGTTTCAGTAACATAATGGACGTTTCTTTCGAACCCACGATGGCTGGTGGAGGTTGGGGAGCTGATGTCGGTAACGTGTCGATGACCCAAGCACCGGCTGCTTCATCTGGACAGTTTGAGAAGATTCCGTTGCCAGTTTTGTTAAAGGATGCTTCTAATTGTATGTCTGATGACGATAAGTATCATGTTGGGTCTTATGGCTTTGTGAATGTAAGTTTGAAAGACTAACAAGTTGTTTTGTCAAGTAAGTTTCTGTTTAACTTTTATATTTTTAGATTAAAGTGATTGGAAGGATCGAAAGCATTGAGGAAACATCAACAGCTGAGCGATGGATTATATTAACTGATGTCAAGGATGAAAGTGTCAAGCTGAAGGTGTCTTTGTACGATGCTGTTCAGGTAATTTCTCTGATTTGTATATTGATGTTTAAATACTTATTTTAATCGAAGAACTTGTTTATTAATATTGTTTTAGAGCAAAACGGAGCCTTATGCTGAAGGGGATATTGTTCTAATCTTGGGGAAGATCAGATTGTTTGACAACGAGATCAGCATGTTGGCTTTCCATCTTCAGGTGGTCAAAGACATGAAAAGAGTAGAATGTTTCTTGGCGGAAGCTGCTTTGGCTTACGGATATTTTAACCAGGTATTTTTTATTTTTGGTTATCAGTTTTTAGATGATTTTATATTAGCCATAAAGTATATGTAGTGATTTCTTTTGGATATTTTTTGCATGTTCTTATGATTCTACTGGTAATCAATAAGTCTTATTTATTATTTCATCTTTACGCTTTATAATAAATTTATGATTTTTAGAATTTGCCAGAACGAATTTCCAATGACATTGCTGTAGAATTAAATGGCACCATCTTCAGTAATGCACCTGTAGAAACGAAAGGCAAACAATCACAAGTTACGGCAAAGGCTGGATCAAGCTCTGGAGCCGATACAACTCTCAATTCTCGAGGTTTGGCTGGCGTTCAAGCAAAGGTAAGTTCAAATATTATGGTACAATGTGGTAATAACAATATATTACTAAACCGTGTTTGCTTTTTATGTTTATATTTATTTTGTTTTAGATTCACAGTGTTATCAGTAAACTGGGCGGTGACAGTGGTGTCCACCTTGACGAGGTCAAGAAGCACGTTGGGAACGTTCCTAAATTCGACGACGAGATTCAACATCTTGTGAACGAAGGCGTCATCTACTCTACCATTGACGACTTTCACTACAGTGCATTGTAAAGTAACGGACTCACTATTATCATATGAACTCATATTATTTATTAAATAAATACTTTGATTGCATACTAGTAATGAAATGTTGACGTCTATCTCGTGAATATTGGTCTTTTTGATAAGGATTTCTTGTATTTGCAGTCAATATGGGTACGATTGAAGTGCCGTTAGCTTCGTTGAAGTCTGTTTTGGAGGTGGTCAAGTTCCAGAACATTCATTTTAAAAGTTTGGAACGTTTCGCCAAGAAGCAGGTATGTTCTGAGAGTAATATGATATGTTGTTGTTAAGTATAAATAATGTTGTTGGTGCGCTAGCTGCTTTCTTTTAGAGTATGATGATCGAAGAAATGAAAACTGAAAAGCTGAAACTTCAGAAAAGAATCAGAACGTTGGAAAGGTGAGGTTAACATTAAATATAGCTCAATACTGGCTTTTGTAGTGAAAACGAGAAACTCGTGGACTTGGAGCCGTTCGTGGATAAACTGAAGGAGTTGAACAAGATTATGCAATTCCAAGCTCTGCATATCAAAAGCTTGGCCAAGAATGCGAGTCGAAAGGAGAACATTGTCAAGAAGTTGTCAGTTCAGGTCGAGGAGAAGGTGAAGAGCAACAACTCTTTGTTGAAGTAGGTAAAATGGCAGTCGGATAAGTAATCAGAGTGTGTGCTGTTTCTAGAGAAGTCGAAACCTTGAAGATCAGTAGCCAGTTTCACAAAGGCGAGCTCGAGAAGTCTCAGGGAAAGTGTTGCGAGCTCGAGAGGAAGATCGAAAAGCTGAAACAGTAGGTTAATATTGTTTTATGTTATATCATATTGATTGCTGGCCTATATGTCTTCTTAATACGTTAGTATTGTCGGAAAGGTTTCCGCTTATTTATGTTGTTTTAGAGAAATCCACAATCAGAACATGATGTCTGGGAGTTTAAATCCGATGCAAACCAGCTTTATCCCTGGACTGGATACTTCTGTCTCGCACAATGATGTCTCGTTTTGTCTTACAAATGTAAGTTCTAAATTGTTGAATTTGTTTTCTTTAAAGTTTTCGACATATTTTTAAACGGTATACCTAGATGTTACTTGTCTTTTTTTCAGCAAAGAAACACGAACAACGCTCAACCGTCAGACTTTGTCATGAATGGCACAAGTGTAGGTGATTTTAACTTTTATTGTAAAAATTAAACTTTTAATGTACTGTAGCATTTTATGTTATCGTTACTGAAATGCTATGTAACGTAAAGTCATTTTTATAGAGCATGGTATCCTCGATTCCGGATCAGTCGAACGATTCCTTCTGTTTCTTGCCAATGTTCCAGAACTCTCGATCTACTAACTTTATTTCGGACAGGTAAGTTTACTATACAATGTTATATTACCATTTGCAATTTGTTATGTTACATGATCTAAATGATATTGAAAATGACGTTTTAGTGGTGAGAAGATGCCTCCGCCAAAAGAAACGTCGAAAAGAAGGAACAATGTGGAGCTAAAAGACGATTCCAGCTTCAAACTGTTGACGACTAAACCGAGTAGCAGGTGAGTAGTTATAACTGGGGGGCTATTTATGTGCTATGTCTACTACGTTATGACGATTTATTTGATTTTAGAAACACCTCGCTGCTTGCAGACTCCATGTTCACTCCGACCAATCAGATGGAGCCCACCGTGCTGGCTTCGTTCGATTCTTCTGGCCGTCGTCGAACCCCGACCAAGTTCTCTACACCTCTGATGCCTGGAGAAGTTACTTCACGTCGGATTCTGAGCCCTTTCATCAGTGCTCTTGACTCTTGAGTGTTAGTTATGTGGGTATCTACACCTACTGTGATCTACATCAACTTTACCTTTGCTTACCTCTTCTTTATAACGGGTTTTCTTTTGTTAGCGGGTCTTTTGTTTAGTTAATATGTTAGCGTTACCTTTTTTGTTATCTTAGTATAAAGTTGTTGAGTACCAAATCGGAATTTAGATTGTTTTAAAGTATTGAGAATGCTTAAACAAGGTTATCGCGTTTGTACGATAGGACGACATAAAACAACGCCATTTCGGAGCCTTTGTGTTCCAGTTGTCATAGTTATCGTACGCAGACGATATTCGGGGTTTGAATTGTAAATTGTTTTAAATTTTATAAAATATAGTACTATTCATAAATGGCAAAGTAAGTTAATAGTATAGTATTGTAATTAGTATTATTTTTTTACTGACAGTGTGTTTTTTTTTAAATTTTAAGTCACAACTTCAGAATGTAAAGCAATATAACTTGTCTTTAGTAACGCGAATGGAGTTACCAGTCGAGTCAGAACAGCTGGGCCGACTGAAGTGGCTGAGCCAACCAATCCAGTTCCTCAGAACAACGACCCTTACGCTGTAGCCGATGAAAATGTAGCCGACGAAGCTCTTCAACCACCAGTACCAGTAGAAGTACCACAAGCAGATGGTGCTCTTCTTACTACAAAGCCCATGACTGATGTTGTACCTCCTGTGATTCAAAGTAAGTTTTTAAAACAATGAAGAAAGGCTTTTAATTTAATGTTCAATGGCAACACCCTTAAGTGTTATCTACACATATATAACCGTAATAATATAATAAGAAAACTGTGTTTAGACCGTGACAGAAACGTGGAAACTCGTCGCTCACAGACAAGATTGTCACAAAACGTTGCTTCGAGGCAACAGAATCGTACTCCATCAGTCAGAAGTCGACAGCTTACTGTAAGATCACAATCTCAAGCGAGTCAGCGACAACCTACCAGAACATCACAGTCCCGCGCATCTCGCACTTCACGGTCATCAAGAAGTGGCACTTCTAGATCGGTTTCAAGAACCTCAACAGCTCAGTCTTCGATAAGTACTGGCAGCCGGCTGTCAGCAACAACGACGGAAAGCTCTAGTTCTTCTGGAAGATCAGAATCCTACTCACGCACAGGCCTGACGACCGCATCTTCTGGAGTCAGACTTCTGGATTGGGTACCATTATTGGTGGGAAATGAGAGTCCACAGTACTTCTCAGAAGGTATACAACATCTGGAGGGATGGATCTCTGAGCCAAAGTAAGTTGTTCACCGTAGGTTTTGTACAGTTACTGTTGAGTTGATTAAAGATAAATTATACTGGTTACATTACATTGTTGAGTGATGTTATGTATTGTAATTGAGTATGCTTTTAGAGCCGAATACCCAATTGAAATACTGTTAGGCTTGGAGTATATTTCGAATGTCTACAAGGTCGAGATCAAAATAGTCGATCATCTCGTTCGTAAGTTGCAAAATATCATTCACAAAAACACCTTTTCGACAGTTGAAAAATTAATTATAAAACCAACTACCACAACCTTGGGCGCAAGTCGCAAATCATCTTGCAGGTCGCAGAAAACCTTATACGTTTGATGCTGTAAACATACTTTCTAAAATATGAAAAAGAAGAACATTTGACTTTTTTCTAATAAAGATAAAAAAAAATTTTTACATTGTTAACTTCTGAAACAATTTTTAGCATTTTGAAGGCTTCTAACTTGTTCAATATATCTAGTTTATATTGTTTTAGCGGAGAAAATAGAAGTGCGTGTGGGTCGAAGTGGCCAATTGGACAGAAACATGACGTACAAAACAGCACGTGAGGCTGAGTACGAGCTGAAGGGTACTGTAACATTTGAGAAGCCCACTTCCAAAAACGTCGAGGAAGAAACAAAAACAATTTTCGTAGATTATGAAGCTCAGTACGTGTGGCTGACTTTGTTCGAACCTTTACGGAATAGACTCAACAAGACTAATCAGGTAAGTACTCTGGTATTTAGAACAATTCTAAATTTTCAAAATCTGTAATTTTGTATGCGGAAGCTTTTAATGTTTACTTTGACAACTTTATATCACCCATGGTTTTAGCATTATTATATAGTAGAACAGTAGACTAAAGTATTTTTTTAGGTGCGAATTGGGAGTCTGGCTTTGTACGGATACCCTCTTGACAAGACCAAGTACTCACCGTACCGTGCTCCATCAAACAATCGTAGACAAGACCTTCGAACTCGAGATTCTGGATCTTCTTTTATCAGTTTGGTCAGTCTGACCAACTCGAACAGGTCCAACCGGTCGAGTAGAAGCAATGCCACTCGATCTGTCGAAAACTTTAACGGATTCAGAAGTTACGGCGACAACCTGGCTTCGGATCCGTTGGTTTCTCTTCGTGTCGCTAAAAATGTTTTGGGAAAGAGAATGGAGAATGTGCAGAGGGTGAGGCATACAAAGCTTATACTTGTTTACTATATTTTCTCATTTAGTACCTATTTGTTGTTATTTAAAGAGACTATAAAGTTAGTTTATTGTTACAGAGGGGACTGGACGTGCAAGCTACGGTAATTAAAAGAGCGATCGAACTGTTAAACGACTACGAGAAGCAGATGTTGACTATGAAACAGCAGATGAGCACGGCCATGACGGAGCGTAACTACGATGAGGTAAGTCATTTGGAATAGGACCGTGCAGCCACTTTTACTGTAATGTAACGTTAAAGGCTTACTTTACTGTTAGCTAAAAGGTATATTCTATAAAAAATATTATAGGCCAAAAAGCAGTTCTTGGCCATGATCGACGTCCGAGACCTGGCTTTTCGAGTGGTGCATCTGGATCTGCTACTGGGCAAACAGGAAGTAAGCCAGCTGGATCCAGATGCGTGGAATCAGATTCTGATTCAGAATTCGTTTTAATTTTTTTTCCAACTTCTTTTACTTTACGATGGCTTCTCTTACTGTGACTTCTTTTACCGTCGGCTTCTGTCAACGTATGTTTTCCACTTTTCAAACTATAAAAGTAATGGAATTTTAGTTATTTTTAAATTGTGTAATTTAAAAATTTGAATAATATTTGAATTTGTAGTTGCGAGCGTTGGGAGTGACATCGACGTGGTCGGAAGACAAATAATTTTAAAATCATTTCCAATATTTTTGATGTAATGAAGCCGGCTGCCTCTGAAAATCAGTCGGCGACTTCCAATTTGGTTGCCCAGGCCAAAGCCATAGGCCAAAAGCGATTAGTTAAGGTCAGTTACGTTTTATAGATTCACTTGTGTTATAGGCAACACTAACAGTTATTTTGGGTTGAGTTTACAGTGATTTAGCGAGTTTGTTGAACAATTCTTCTTGATCATAGTTTTAAAACTTACTTAAACAATGATTTTAGGAACTTGAGCATTTCAAAAAGCACTTTCTCGTGGTCACAAAACAAGTTCAGATTCTGAGTTCTGATAGCAAGGTCTGGGCTCTTCTAATAGCACCGGTAGGTCTATTTAGGCATCTTACTCTGTGTCTAATATACTGTTGTACACTGTTTTATTGCATTAAAATGTGAGTTCCTTACACTATTATTAAGCTGTCTATTTGACTGATAACATCTGGTTAGAAATAACACAAATGTTGTACTTTGTTATGTTTAGCAAGATCCTCCGTACAGTGAAGGCAAGTTCAAGATAAGCCTAGAGTTCGGCCCAGAGTACCCCTTTAAGCCTCCGCGTATCAGCTTCCTAACCCCCATCTACCATCCCAATGTCAATGCCAAAGGCGATGTCTGTCTGACATTATTGGCAATCGAAAACTGGAAGCCGGCGGTTACTTTGGCTACAGGTAAGCGTCAACTATAGATGAAGGCTAGAATATTAACTATGCTATATCACATTATGAATATGTCAACAGCACTTTTATATGACAATGACTACAGTAGCTTAACCATGATCACAACCTTGAATGAATACAACATCATTGTAGTCAAAATTAATCATTTTTCAGTGATAAGCTCTCTGATCTCGTTGATCAACAACCCCGAGCCCGAGAGAGGACTGTCCCTAGAGATCGTGGCCGAGTATGTTAACGTAAGTATTATTGTATGTTACTGTATCTATGATGTCTTGCCATTTCAAAGCTATCAAATTACAGTACAGTAATTTCAGAAGCACGATCAGTTTCTTCAAAAGGCTAAAGAGAAGTCGGCCGAAGCCAAAGGATGAAGAACAACTGACACCTAGCCCAACCTCTTTCGACCGGTCGTTTTACTTTGTCGATTTATATTTTGAATAAATTAATGTAAAATACGTTGAAATCTAACTATTATGAGTTATTGGAACCAGTTACTATCTACAATATTACGAATCTAATCTCATTTACAATTTGAATATGGTGGTATCTCCGACAGTTTTACCTTTTATTGTATTGTCTACCATCTAGATTATATACAGTCAGTAATGTCCTCAGGCAACGTTAGAGTATGTATTTGACCATGTTAAAACTCTTGACAGTAGAAATAGTTTTGTGTCGGTATATTGTAGAATAGGCATTGTCCTTGTTTGCAGCGACATTTGGCTGCAATTTGAATGTGCTTTTTAAATTTAAAATGACTTTTTATAGTTTCAGTGGTGTATACTTTTCTTATTTTTAAAGTATGATTAATCTCAAAGGATGTCATATTGTGTTAGGTACAATGTAAAATAAGTTATTAGTAGTTTCTCAAAGCTACAATTTAATTTTCTTGAAAACTTTGGAGTTAAATTGGTTCTCTTACCTCCTCGGCGACTGCGCCCGTTGCCAATGTCAAGTCGTTTGGAGACTCGGCCTACAACAACATATTACTTATGCTCCATAAACTCACTCATTAAATTTAGTGGTAATCCTTCATCTGTGACGGGCTCCGTCCTCCAGCATTCGTATGTAGATGAGCATTTCTTGGCGCTTAATTCCTAAAATACGTAATGGGAATGTCAGCATGAATAAAGTAACATTCATATATTAACATGAAGAGTGTCTAAAGTAATATGAACAAGGTCTAAATAACAAGAATAAGATAGAGAAGACCCACTTGTAGCGTCTGAAGCAGCTCCGACGACTCGCTGGAGCACTGCGCGAGGGTACCAAACAGAAGGAGGAGCACCAACCCCAGCCACGCCACGATCCGGCTGCTACTGGTGGGGCTCGTGTTCATCTCGAAGCGACCATACGCTCATAAATTATAAAGTTGTGAATGACGCGGAGTAATGAGAGGCATGAAAGGGGCGGAGGCGATAAGCGAGAGAGATGTCATGCCCCAGGGAATAAGTACTCGGCCAGCATTCCAAACGTCGCCGAAATCTGCGCAGAGCCTCAAGAACAATATCCAAGGCTTTGTCTAAATTCGTTTCCCCTCACACATCATCACCATGGCCAAAGCTGCGAATACATTTATTTGCATAAAACAACTTATTCATGCTTAGAACAAAATACAGGGGTCGACTAGGTCGTGAGAGGCGGCTAGCTCAGCGACATTGTTCATGGCTAGCGTTTGGAGGTGAGAGTTAGACGATTCTGAAGATATCCGTCGCTTCGTCTTCGTGCTAGAGAAATTAGATTACAAAGTTATGTTACAGTAGATTTGTTATGTTACAGTACATTTCAGGTTTAATGTTAGACGACAGTTAGATATATTACTTTAGCTTAATTACAATGGTTGAACCGTAGATAAAATATTTGTTAGACTAGTGCAGGTAAAATAAATTTTAGCCTAGAATACAGACTACCGTAACCCTTTTAGAAAGGTTAGCCTAGCTTAGTTACGGTATTCCTAGCTTATCCAGGATACAAATGACATTCCTTGAGGATGTGAGGCAGATGTTCGACTGGGAACCAGCTTCTGTTACCCAAACTCCGATCGAAGTCGTGAGTAACCCATAGTTCGGTCAGACGTCTGAGTCTGGTGGTGGACAAGGTCAGCTTCTTTCCTCTCCTCAGGTTACGATCTTCTTCGCCATGGTCATCCAGATAGATGGACCCCCAAAAATTGCACAGCCCGCCGTGAATGATGACAATCATCGTCGATGTTAAGGATAGGAAACAGCCAACACCTGCTGTGCACGAATGGGTATGCTGAAATCATTTTTTGTATGACTAAGTGTAATATTATTTCAAGTTTTTTTCAGATTTAGGAGTTCAGAAAACATCATCTACTATTCTTGCCGTTGTCTTTAACATTCAGCTTTAAAAGAGAAAACAAAAAGTAGTTCAAGTCCTTTCGTAACACTCACTTGTTCTACTTCTGATATTTGATTAGCGATTCCTTCCACCGTGACGTCACAGCAGTCGTCGAAGCACACCGTCATCCCACACGCCATACAGATGAAGGGCTGAGCCGGGGCGTCTTCGCACTTGGCACACTTGAACTTGAAGTAAACGTTGAACAAAGAGTCAAAGTTGAGTGGAGGCTCCTTCAACTCTCGTCGCTTCCACCAGGCTTCGGTCACGAAGATGTCCCGAATCCCGTCTTCTGACCTCAACGCCGTTCCCACGTCTTCAAGCCATCGTTCCATCCGACTTCCAACCAGCTGCATCATGTCTTCTTGCGGTACCACTTGCCCCAATATTACTTTAGACAAGTCTTCCACCGAGGTGCAATCATGACATGCGGCATCGGCTACTGGAGACAGAAGACCAGCTTCAATCATTAAGTTCAAGGAGAACGTCGCAAAGTTCTTGGCGGTTTCGTCGGTTACTGTAGCCAGGTCTCCGAACTTGATGTGTTGTTTGGTTAAGTTGGTGTCGAAGAATCTGATGGCTTCGTCGCACCTTCTGATGGTCGCCAGAAGCTGAAAATAATTCACAATAAATTGGTTTCATCCTCTTAATAACTTCATATAGATGCACATGACACGACTTACCACATCAGTAGTGGGGTTGACAGAGCCATGTTGAGTTCGTGGAGTTCTGAGGTAGTACAACAACGTAGAACGACATCTGTTGTGCACCAAACATAAACAGTAACATCGGCGGTAAAACGCTGAAAAAAATATAATTTAATACCGAATAACTAATCAACCAATTAGAGTCCAAAGCAAAATTGTTACCTTTCATTTCCTCGACGTCAATGTTGGGTAAGACTGATATGACAGAAACCATGAGCAACATCAAGTTTGTAGAATCGTAAAACAAGATGGGGACACCTTTGGTCGATTGGCCATCAAGTTTGTCCCAGATACTCTTCAGCATATCCATGTTCTCTTCAGTAGATTCCAGACAGCAAAGGGACAATTTAAACAAACTATCTGAAAAGGAAGTTACTGTAATTACATTGTAATAGCCATTGTATCGTTAATTCACAAGAAGTGTCGAATAATACTCCAGATTAGTAATAGTAGAATACCCCAATTACAAGAATGGCATTTTAAATGAACCTAAATGTCTTTCTACGAACTTTCAGACCAATTCTGTAAATCAACTTACTTGTCATGAGATTCCTGAGTCTAGTAGGATAGCTGTACCCGAGTGATGTGACCAGAGATATCCGATCCAATTGGTTTTTGAGTAGCGACAAGCTGACGTTCATAGGATTCTTCTCCAGAGCATTCGTGATCTCAGCCAGATGCGAAAGTCTTTTACCGTTCACTGAATTCGTGGATTCCAATTGCTGGTTCAGCTGTGACAGTTTTAGCAAGAACATCTTGTAATTGTCGTAGGCATTTGCCATTTCACGCTGATTTTCGCAATTCTAAACATTCACATTATTTTTGATGACTCTATAAGCATATACAGTAACCTTAAACAAAGTTTACCATAATATACATAAAACAGCAAATTTAAAATATAACATATTATAGTAGGCCCGGGTGACGTGCGATTAATCAAAAATGTCAACAGAACCCGATTACTAATTCCCAATTTTAAAAACAGTATCGGAAAACAAAATTGGACTGACCCGTGTCAATAAACTCCATTGGTTGATGAGGGTTTGACCTCTTCGGAAGAAGACGGCACCATCCTCTGCCATTTTAGAGTCATCCAAGACTACTTTCTCTTCCATTACTGCCGGATCAGCTATGAAATTTACATCCAGAGGTATCAGGCCTGTCACATTGCTTCGACAGACTGGGCACGGCACGCTGAGGCGGTGTTTTACAGTAATTCCATTCTCCTAAACAGTGATTTCAAAAAAGTTTTTCTTTTTATTAGGTGCCGGCAAAAGTTTTTCCACGATTTTTGTTTTTACCAAAATTTAATATTTAAAAAAAAAGAACATCAACTAATGAACAAATATATGTACCATTATTATCAACGACCTGTTGCCATTCCTTCGGCAGCATTTGGATTCAACTTCTACAGAAACCTGGAGTTTGAGAATTGAAAAAGTTAGCCCACCATCTTTTGAGTTACTCTCGATTGTTAAAGTGTGTTGCGTTCAGGTGATTTTGAAGAGAGTGGAACATATTATAATCTGTAGGCACCACATCAATTGAGTACAGTGCATATAGCATCACAGCCCAGCCGAAGCTTTTCAGCTTGTGCTGGGTCAAGTTTGTCACATAGGCGCGAGCAGTATCATGAATAAAGAAGGTTCGATTCTGTTCACCATGCAATGCCGCCGCAACAGATTTAATTTGTCTACAGTAGACATCCACAGGGCTCGTAGTTCCATGTGGTAACATTTCCTAGTACACAATACCTGTTGAGTTCCAGCTAACGCTGATCATCCTATCCAGTGGGTGAAGATCAGGTTTTGGGGTTGGTGTACCTTGTTCTCCACGTTCAAGCCATTGTTTCTTCCTGGTGTGATTAACATACAGTACTCACTCCTCATCCCCAGTAACCAAATTGCCAAGCCATGCAAACGTCCTTGGGAACATCAACAAATAAGTGCAACTTCCACTTAGCGTTTCAGCTGGTCGCTGTTGGAATCATGTGGAACCTCTTGACCATATTTCCATGATCTTCCAAGGTCGTGAAGTCTAGTTAATATGGTAGAAGGATCACACTGAAGCTCTACAGTCAAATGAGTACAGGTTTGTCTGGGGTCTTCTTCAATCAGCTTCAGAAGGTGGGGTTTCTTCAACGCTGATGGTCTACCATATCGAACTTTTCAGACATGTCAAAGTCACCGTTTTTGAACTTGTGGAACCAAACTTTTGTGATGTCGTAAGAGACAACTGAAAGCCCTACAGCACTGCATATTTCCTTCGTCGCTCTTGTTGCGTTGCCGGGATTGCGGAATTTGAGAAGCAACACTGCCCAAACATGGTCATGGTTCACCTTGGTTTCCTGAACCAGCGTGAACAACAGAATGCTTGAACATGCAATAGTTTTTAGTCCTTGGACAACTCTTTATATAGGTTATCAACAGAAACTTCTAGAACTGTCTATAATTTTTTGGTAAATTTTAGAAAAATAGTGGAAAAACTTTTGCCGGCACCTAATATTATAACTAGTACCCAAAACATAAAGAACAATACAGTAAGCTCTAATTTCTAGTTAATTATTTAAAAGTTCATAAGAACTTGAATTAGGGCATAAATATAACATATTTCCAGAGTACTTTAAACTAGTAAACAACCTACGTGAACACTGGCTTTGTATCTCTCGAAGCACTTCATGTGAGAATAATGTCCACAAGCCTTTAGTTCTCCAGTTGAGATATGTGTGATAGTGTTACCGGGGTAGCTGTCTCCATACACAGCACTCGCCGACTTCTCCCAGATACAGTATCGGTCGAACTTTCCTTGAGCCAATCCGTTCTCCGGATCTAACATGACATTGTCTTTGTGGACCATTCCGTTAGATACTGTAATTTAATCTTATAAATTGATATTATACATTTAAGAATGCCTTGTACTAACACAAAAAATATGTTATATAATTTAATAAACCAGCAACCCGTACCTGAAGTGGTCTGAATGTAAGCAAAAAGACCGAAGACATCTTCCACTCCCTGAGATCCGTTGCAAATTGGACAGTCAAAGCGTTGTGATGAAGATTCCTTGATGTCATCCTCCTTCATGCCTTCTTCTTTCATCAACTTGGCCATCCTGGTTTCATTCTGGGCCTTCTTGCTCTTCATTATCTCCATCTGTCGCTTCCTGGCAGCCATCTTCTTAGTCAAGAAGTCGTTCTTCTTCTCCAACGAGCTGCTAACCATAGGTGACGATGCCAGAGAATCCGCTGCCCTCAGTTTCTCTTCAAGTATCATTCGAGACAATGAATCACTGAAATTGTAGGATTAATAAAGATAAACTCTTCAAAAATAAAAAAAGCTAACTAAAACAAGCAATGCTTACTAATTGTAAAGATAACATAACAATCGTGCCACGTATTCCGTTCCAGAACCCAGAATCTTCCTTGTTTCAACGTTCTTCATGCACAACTTCAGAAGTTCACGGTCTCGTTGTGCTGGATCGGCTTCTTGAAACTCCTGACCATGTAACGTCCGGTACAGATTTAGTAACTGTGACGTCAAACACTCCCTGTCAGTAGCAGACCCTGCAGAAGTAATTGCAAACGGAACTCCGTTCTCGTTGAAAAGTGAGAAGAACAAAGCCAATCCAGATTCCACTGTCAATCCTTCGGCCGACGACTGACCGCACTGTAGAAAAACGTCTGAGTGATAATCAAGACAACTACCCAGATATCTGAAGGCTTCTGGAGTCGTACACTTCACAGCGTAGACCACCATCAACGTAAGAATGTAGATGGACTGTTGTAGCACGTACATGGTCACACTTCGAGGATACACCAGGTACACGTCAACCACAAAACGGCAGACCCACAAAGGAGCTGGATGTAGCAATAGGTGGTGGGTGTCAATCATGGTTGGACCAAATTCAGGGATCGGAAAGGTAGGCCAGACAAAGCGAGCATCGTGAGTGTTATTCAGTTTCTCTCGAAGCACCAGCTCCATCCTCATGATCAATGCATTAAACTCGCGAGGACTACTGGCTCGGAATCTGGCTCGCACCATGTCTACATCATTGTACCAGGCATCGTCTGTCAGAATGTACATTCCCTGCTGAATCTGGTTTCCTTGGTCTGGTTGCTCAAACCTAGCTACCTAAAATAACATTTGTTTAAAGACAAGCAAATAAAGTAAAAAATGTGCAAAAATCACCAAATAGTCTCTCAAACATATCAAGATAAACAAGCCTAAAACCTACACTTTTAACCACTTTTTCGAAACAAACGTTGACCAGTTCGTTAAAATCAGATCCTCTGTCCGGTAGATTCTGTCGCAACTTTGAATACGGTTGTTGACTCGTGCTGAGGATGTGCACAACTTCCGCCTTGACCTCATCCTCAAGATCCATTTCTACGTATGATTTGATGAGTAGAATCTCCAGAAACAGCTTCAAGAATCCGTCGATCATGGGGAAGATCCAGTCCCTCTGAGTGATGACAACGTTTCTTTCAGGTGACTTGATCGTTGAGATACCCGGAGGAAAGGTGAGGCAATCGTGGACGTGGAACACGTCGAACATCAACTCCATCACCTTCCACCCGTCCAGTTTTGAGCATACCAATCTTTAAAAAAATGATAATATTACAGAGAAAAAAACATTAAACAAAATGGTTTGTATCAAAACTTTTTAACTATAAACTATCACATACACTATAAGAAATAAGACCATACCTCATAAGACTTAGGTCCAAGTCTTTGAAACCATTAGTTAACGCTGTTTGACAATACAAATATACATTATTCCTAATCATGTTGCCATTCCTGACCCACATTTTAGCAAAGTATTCAGCCACCATTACCTAAAATTATGTATTTCAAATTCAAAAGTTGAAAAAACAAAAAAACTTAAGTCAATTCTAATTTACAGAAACTAGTGTTAAAATTTAAATATTTTAAGTTTAACTGAATATGACATGAATATGTTTAAATACCTGTAACTTGAGAGGGTTGATAAACAGACAAGCCAAGAACTCTTCGCCAAGTGTGTCCATAACATCGTACTCTTTTGTCAGCTTCATGTACTGCAGCACCGTAGCCGAGAGTTGTCTGTGTAGAGGTAGATGAGAAGTGCAGTAGAAAGGCGGCACTCGAATGTGATTTTGAGTTAGTCCAATGGCATCAAACCATTTCTAAAAAGACAAAATAATCATGTCAACTAAATATTGCAGTAAATGTCATCATATTATAGTTAACACCCTAATACTTACTTGCAGTTGTTCTTGAAGTAACGTTCCAAAACGACGTAGTTCAGGAAGATCTTGCTCAGTCATTCTACCCACGGAACTAAACAACAACATAGCATTCACCTCCCATTCTACAGTAAAGTAACGTTGCATCAGATGAGAAGAGTCTGTTTCGATGTGATCTCCATCCACGATCCTCCACAACACATTTGCACCTAAAGATCAAGCAGTGTAAGGTTACATAACAAAAAAAATAAATTTTAAATCAAAACATAAAATAGTCAAATTTAAAAAATAATTTTACGTAAAACTGTTAAACTTGTCGTAATCTTACCTTGTATAGCCGATAACAACGCTAGATAGCGTCTGGTGAGATCTTCGTCGCTAAACACATCTCTACACAATTCGATATGAGCAAAAAGATTCTGTAGATCCGTAGTCAGGTACCAGTGTCCAAACCGGGAGAAAAAGCGATTTCCATTCAAATTAAAGACCTGCCAACTGTCAGGATCTGTAGTTCGAACTGGATTTCGCGCGTAGCAGTATTCAATATCTAAAATAACTTACTTTCATAATAATAATAATGTTTAGTTGGCCAGCTAAAAACACTTAATTGTCTGGTATGGACCTCTAGGGTAGGCCCGGTGGCTGCCTTTTCCTTTTCCCATGTACGTGAATAAAATAATTTTAATTCTGTACAAACACAGTAAAAAAACAAAGTAAGGCCGTACCGTGATGAGCAGCGATTGCCATAGAACTCGTGTAGATCACTTTCAGTGCCGAATCCAGAACCCGTTGCAGAATTTTTACTTTTCTTTGGAGATATATACATACATTTTTACTTGAGCAAATCTGAAAACAGACCACTATACGATGCTTCACACCAAATTATTTAATCAATATTACTATAAATTTTTACCCTTATACACAAACATTCTCTTATCATCAACTCACTTGTACAGAAGCGTGGATCACTCTCGACGCTATTTTACTGGGTTCGAAGTTGTCTTCGGCAAACCCATCGTTCATGACATCGTACATCAGACCATCGATCAACCCGTACCACTCGAAGAATCGACAGGAGAACCTTTCCTTCATCTCGTTGTTAGGCAGTAGAGTCAGAAGCACGTTGATCAAGGTCTGTGGAAAGCCCAGTCTGACCATGTAGAAGATCAACTCGTCCAATAGACATTTGCAGTCAATGTTAAGTTCAGAGAAGTCAATTGAAAGATATGTTGGAGTAGGAGACGCCTTCATAGAGTCAATGTCAGCCAGCAGAAGACCGTGCTTGTTAAAGATCATTTCGGCTTCTGCCACTTTGACATCACGGTCGTCTGTAAACGTTATATTAATCAAAACAGGTTTTAATTAAACATCTTTTTAAACAGTATAAAACTACCATTTACAAAATAAATTAAGCTATAATACCTTCCAGAATATTTTTCGAAAAAAAAATATTAACATACCTAAAGGTTTACTATCAGGTAACATGCCCGCGTACAACTTTTCATCACAGATTATTTTAGATAACACGTCGATGGTTGGCCTTCCCAGCTCAATCATTTCCTGAAAGAAGTTGATATAATTATACCCAAATAATAATTATTTTAAAAAATAACATTAATTTAAATATTAAAACTATTGTTACCTGCAAAAACTCTAGAAACTCGTCAGCAGCGGTCATAATATTCTTAGAAACTTGCTCCGCTATACACTTGTTAGATCCTTTGGTTCGATTTTCTATCGCTGAACGATAAAGAAAGCCCTAAAAGTAAATTTCATATACAATTACCTAAATCAACAAAGAATTCATACCTAAATATAAGTATGTTCAAAAATATTTATACAATTTCAACTTACAAACTGTCTGAAAGTAGAAACAAGCCTGAGAAGAACCTTTGTCATAATAAATTCTGGAAAAAGCATAAGAGACTTTGGCGCTTCGACCCGTTGCACATCTTGTTGATGATGCTTGCAGAACCCGTTCGGATCTAGAATGTCACTATTTCCACAATCACAAGCTCCACCAGATTGAGAAAAGAAGCGACTGTAATCGTGGTCTGAATGGTCGGCAGCGTCGAAGCAGTCAGAACACAAAGACATACCTAAATATTAGTTTATTCATACCTAAATTATAATTTTTAAACTAAACAAATACAGAATAACGTATTTTCCAATAAAAGTTAATAGAAATAACTTACATGGATTCCGAGCACATGTAAAGCATCTGTAGGCGATCGAATCCGTGTGCCAAACACTGTTACACTTCTCTGAGTAATCGTACCTCTTCACTAAAAACAGAATAATATATTAATATAAACTGACCTTCTTGTCTGAAGATTTCAAAGCCATTTCCAGCTGAAGAAAGATCTCGAGAGCTTTGTGCCTGAATATAAATAATATTAATATCAAAAACGCATGTGCATCAATATAAATGTTAAATCTTACATTAAACAACAAAGAAATCTCCCTTCGGTCCGATGACATCATAAGAAAAGTTGTAGCATAATGTAGAAACCGACAATTCTCGCTGAAATCATTCTTTATATACTTTATATCAAAATCTTTATCCTTTCGTATCTAAAATCTGCTGAAAACCACAAACTTTAGATAAATAAAAATAAAAGTCAATACAATATTAACTTACACAACTTTTGGTGGCACTCCATCCCATTTCAGCTGAAAAGGTTGACATCCACGGTCGTCCAAGTCAACCAGTACTTGATTTAGTTTCTGTGCCCATTCTAATGGCTAAATCAAGAAAATAAGTATAACAACTAAACAAAATCTAAGAAAAGCATTTTGTAAACTTACTGTGTACTCTAGAAAATTATATGTTAATTCAAATTCATCAGATGATGTATCCATGAAATATACAGATCATGTGAAGGCGGACAAGATCTGGTCGAATGCAAAGATTTATTAATTTTGGAGAGAGAAACACTTGACCCGCTGTGAAGAAACACTCAACACGGATAAGGCTGATTAGTGCAGCAGCTGCAAATTGTCATCACATGGGTATGTTAGTACAAAAACTTGAAGAAATTACTCGACTTAACATACAACATATAATTATAACACAAAAGTTAATGTAATATTATCTACCTTCTTTCAATGACCAAGTTATTTTACAGTAGGCGACGGATAAGCTAATAAAAGTAAAAACATGAACTCATAAAGTGAAATTATGCAAATTTCACTTTCATTTTAAATTTCAAGAAGCTTTCAAACAGTTTTGTCATTTCCAGTGTCTGAGCATACCAGTCGGTTTGTCGTTGTGACAGAATGAGCGACGAAAGCAGAAACGACAAAAGAAACGAGTCCAAACATGTGAAGATCCTTTCTGATGTGTCTGAGGTAAAACCATGTAGTTTTTAGTAATTTTATGTTTTATATTGGGTTTGTTCAAAAAATACACCAAACATACTATTTACAATGGTACATTTGTAATGCTTCTACGAACATTTAGACCAACTCCAAAACTTAATTTTAGAAAGAAATCCTGCAAGATGATTACTCTGACAAGTCTCTCACCAGTGTTCAGCCAAAGGACCTCTACGGCGAAAACTACTCGGTTGAAATGATGAAGAAGAGAGGATGGTGCAACAACGATGGAACTCCCTGGATTCTCTCTTTGTGAGTGCTTTATATGCTTTTATGTTTCAAGAATTTAAAAATTGTATAAGTTTTTAAACATCTCTTAATATCCTTAAAAGATACATCAAATTTTTCAGTTTATAAAACTGTAACGTAACTTTAATTTAGGCCTAAAGATGAAGCGGCATTGTTCAAGAAAGGTATCGTAACAAAGGAGTGCAAGCGAGGCACCTACTGTAACAATATCTGTGACGAAGTCGAACTTCTGAAGCGTCGAAAAGTCAACAGAAAAGGAAAACGTGCCTCGATGACAGCCCTTAAACCAGGTGTTACAGTAGACGAGGACTCGAACAAAAGCAGAGGAAAGACTAAACCAAAGTCTTCCAAATCTGCGGACAAGACAGGGTAAGTGCAATATATCTTGTAAAATCATCAATAATAAGAAATTTTAGATTATAAAAACTACGAGAACTTGAAAAATAACTTTCGAAACATTTTTATTATATATATGTAGTTTTACCGGTACTTAGCGTTTGTTACTTTATTTAGACCGGTAACATACGAAGAGCTTCTGACTCGCGGCTACCTGGACAAGAACAATGTAAATCACGGAGAAACTGCTGCCCACGTTCTAGAATCCTTTTACGAAGAAATCAGGAACATGCACGGAATGCCTTTTTCAAACATTAGTAATGACAAAAGTGTGTCTGAGTAAGTACCATAAGTTGGCGTAAATTTGATTCCAAAACTAACTTAATATATTCATTGAGTTATATTCAGGGTTGGCAACAGGGCAGGGCATTGGCGATTTTCCATGCCCTGCCCTGTGCCCTGCTATGCCCTGCCCGGTACAGGGCATTTCAATTCCGTGCCCTGCCCTGCCCTGCCCTGCCCTAGGGCAGGGCATTACAGGGCATTTACTATTATAGAGCCTAGAAGTCAGAACTTGTAAATACCATGAAATAAGTACAATAAAGTGTTGTTAAAGCCTATCAATTTTGATACACTTCAAATTGTGGGCGAATTCGGTACTAATACTTTGTTTTTGGATATTCGGCGGAGAACGGCGGAGGCTATTTTTTCCTTTGACCAATACAAAAGACTTTCTGTTCCTATGACTCCTACTAATTTGTCGAAACGTTTTGAAACAAAAAAAATGTGTTTCTTTGCGTCGGCGGACAATCGGCGCAGAAAAACGGCGAAGGCCATAAACTCAATACAGAAGTTGTGTTGTGTTAGATTTGAAATATTTTTGGTATAGAGTAGTTCGCTATACAAGAGTTACACTGTATACCCAGCGTTTGCTTTAGTCATTTACCTAAAAAATTGACTGACAATTGTGAGAGTTTATGGCCTTCGCCGATTGTTTGCCAATAACATTACATAAATTTTTTACTTGATTAAGATCATTGGAAAACAAAAAAAATGTCTTGATTTTTTTAAGTTGAATAAAGATTGAGATTTAGCGGATTTTTGGTTTTCGCTGTTTTTCTCCCCCGAGTATTAATAAACAAAGTGCCAATACAAATCCGCTTGCAATTTCAAGTGTACTTTTCCGGGTTTTGATAACAGCGCCGATCTCAACATTAAATTCCGATATTACTCAAAAAAAGAACGAGAGTTTGGGCGACTGTGAAGATTATTTATACGAACTTTTTGACCGGTCGAAAAAATCAGAAAAGACGAATTTTCAACCAGTTGATTTTTCAATGAACACATATTAGCATTGGCCGAGTTTACCTCAACCGTGTTAAATGGATCGCGGTTTCAACAAAAATTCTAGCAAACCAAATACGCAGTCGCGTTTCGACTGGGTTTGAGTTACCTTTCTTTCTCTATGCTCTCTCACTTTTTGCCCGCCAAATATTGTAAGAAAAAACGTATTTTTGGTCAAAAGGAGTGGGCGGAGCCTCGCGCCGATCGAAAGGATTGAAAGGCCCGAGCCTGAAAAAGGAAAAGAAAACAAAAAAGGAAAAAAATATTTTTTTTACCGGGCATTGCAGGGCATTTACAGGGCATAGGGCATGCCCTGCACGTGTGAAGCGCATGCCCTGCCCTGCCCTGTGACCGATCAAAAAAAAAAGCCCTATGCCCTGCCCTGCCCTAGGGCAGGGCAGGGTAGGGCACAGGGCACCCTGCCCTGTTGCCAACCCTGGTTATATTACAAACAAGTAAATAATGTCACAGTAAATAAAAAATCTTGTTTCTAGAATCGACTTGATGACCCAAGGCTGGAGGGAGATCAACGACAAGAAGCAGCAGATCCCAGATATCTTCAGTGTTTCAGAAGACAGCCGAACCGACCATTCCAGGAAGAGCCCCAACTCCCGCGACAGTGACTTCCCTAGTACCACGTTGATCAAGTCGTCCAGTACCAACACGTCGAGTAACACGTACCATCAACTTACAGCTCCGTCTGACAAGTCCCTTCAGAGCGACCTTGGCGATGTTAACATTGAGTTTGACGAGCCAAAGAAGCCCAACGAGAAGGTTCGACGACACAAAAGTCGAGGTATTCGTACCGCCAAAATGGTATCTCCGACCGAAAAGGAGTCTAAGAGAGAAGAAGTCTCCAGAAGAAAGGCTACAAAAGAAAAGGCATCCAGAAGCAAGGCCTACAAAAAGAAGAGTTCCAAAGGAAAGAATTCAGAAGGCGACTTTCCATCGTCGGAAATGACCGACCAGTTGAATTCGGAGCTGAGCAAAGACCCGGGATGTTACCGGTCGGACAAGAAGTTCAGTATGCAGATGGACTACGGTCCCAAGAGGGATATGGGCACGGCATCGTACTACTTTCTGAACCAAGGAAGACTCTACGAACTCAACTCCAAGTCGGGAAATGTGACTTTGGAAGTGGGAGCGAACGTCTGTGGAGTCAGAACCAAGAAGATCTGAAGCTACAGTACTTCAGGGGAAAATATCTGTGGCTATTTTTGAGTAGTTGTACAGTAAACTTTAGTATTGTATTATAATTTCGAAAGAATTTAATTGCAAATCATATTGTTCAAGAGTTTCCAAGCTAATTTTTAAAATTTTATTATAACTAACAGGTACAGTAAGATTTCTATCAACAAAATATAAAGCCCCTAAAGTTTTGGCCCGTTGTTTGATTCGAATATTTAGAGAAGGGTCAGCCCGGACCTAAGACAATATTTAGTCCGTTCGGATGCTTTTATGTCAAGGTACAGGTGTTTTGAGTATCTGTATTCACAAAGAGGACATTTGTGGTCGGAAAGGGTATTTTACAGTCTTGAAAAACTAAAGTACTATATTTTAAAAAGGTACCGTATTGTACTAATAGTATAAAAGTACTACTGTGTTCTAATAGTACATTATTCCGTTTTTTGACTCAATTTTTGAGTTTAAATTAATCTAAAATATACATACCCAACCGCCACGCTCAGCATCCGCACGCTGACTTCTGATTTTTTGCTTTTACCGCGTATTTGTAATGTTTTCTAATCGATAACAACAACAACTAACAATAACATAAGTTACAACACACAATGAATGGGATGCTAGGAAAACCGGCGACATCAAGAAAACTCGTTTTTGGTTTTTAAGTATTAAGATCACAGTTTACAAACGCCGCTCTACTACCTGTTTCTAATGGTAAAAATGCAGAAGTTAATTGTATTAATGGTGGTGATACACGTTATACGATGTTTTTGGAACCGTTTTTAAATTAAATCTGAAAGTATTAACATTGAATTATAGTTTTCAAGGCGCTAGGACAAATGCGGTTTTTGGACATTTGCGGATCTGCGGTTTTTAGACACTTGCGGATTTTGGACATTTGCGGATTTTTTAAAGGTTTTTTTTATTTTTTAGTTAATTTAGTTGTATTATGGTACTAAATTGTACTAAAGTTTGAATTGGTACGGTTTTAACATAACAGTACTTTTTTGGGCTTTTAGTACTATTTAGTACCAAAAATATAAAAACAGTACCGATTAAAAATTTAGTGCTATTTAACATTAAGAAATATTAAGACAGTGCCAATTTAAACTTTAGTACCATTTAGTACCATACTACAACTAAATTAAATAAAAAATTAAAAAACCCCTTTAAAAAATCCGCAAATGTCCAAAAACCGCATTTGTCCTAGCGCCGTTTTCAAAGGTTTTGCAAAAGCTTACGAACAAAAATTCTCAAATTTTGAAAATAAAAAAAAACTCTTTCCATATAGTGCTGCAACTTACTGAGTTAGAAGAATTGAGAGCTCTACTTGGGCAATGTAGAGTATCTTGCATCGACGTCAACGACAACGTCAACAGATTCTGAAGATTCTGTGAATCCCTGCAATTTAATCTTTAATGAATCCCTGCAATTTAATCTTTAAAAATAATGTTACGAGATTAAAATGACCTTTAAAGCCGACCTCCTTGACGGGATTTCTATATTCTCACTTTGTCAAAATATATTATTAGTTTTCTATTCAAATTTTCGGTATAACTTTTTCCCGCAGCCTGCGCGTTTTTCCTGAACTGCGCCCAACGGAAAATACATCGGACAAAATTTTGTTTGTCCGCATTTGGCCAAAATATATTTTCTCTCTAATGTTTTCGTCTAAAAATAAATAGAAAACGTATTTGCTTTAATTATACTTGATAAACTTGAAACTAACATCACTTTACTTTTTAATGCTACGAACTTTTTGACCGAGAATGTAATTTTTAGATGTCTTACGTTGTGGTTGGAGATGCTTTGGACCTGGCCGCGACAGCTTGCAACACGGACGAAGTGAGCTGGGGCTGGTTCTGGATGAGAGGCTTGTTGTTCTCGTTCAGGTATTGCATGAATTGAGATGACACTAGAAATGGAAAGACTATCTAACTTGACTTACAGGTCTTCTGGTTCTGCTTCTGAAGCATGGACTGCACCAAGGCTGCCTGGTCCAGCATTCGACTGTTGGACTGACTGTTCATGGCGCCGAGGAACTGAACTGGCGACATTAAAGCTGTGGAATAGGGGCTGCTCCGCATGATGTTCTGCTGTAATTTGTAATATTTTTTAGGATAATTTACATTTCATCGATGTAAGAGGCTGAACAGTAAAGTATCGCAGGCTTTGATCGCGAATGAAACTTTAAATTTAGTCAGAACTTTTGTTATTTATCTTTTTTTTACCGTGTGACATAAAAAGCCAGGATGTCCGATATTGACCCGCAGCTCTCCGTTGATATTGTGACCGTCTTCTGGAGCGTTTGGATTCTGAATAATGGGTGAAATTCCGCCGTCGGTTTTTAGCAAAGGACCTGGTTTATCAGAGCTTTCCAATTTTTGGAAGTCTAAAAACAAATATAGATAATGTTGAAATCAAAAGTTCTCGCAACTTTCTTTAAATTCTTAAAAACAATAAAAGATGTTCTTCGGACTTACCTTCAAACAATTCGAGGCTTTTCCGACTGGTCGAACTAGATCCAGATGCGACTCTAGACTTTTTGGACGGTGGAGAATCATCGTCCTTATCCATCAGAAGGCCCTTCCTCCCCGAACCATTGGGAGAGGGAGTTTCGGCCGACAGCGACCCCATTGGCGATATCCAACTTGAATTCGAATCTCCAAACTCATCTCGAGAAACTGAGCCCGAGTTACAGTTACTGATTACTGTACCGCCTTGGAGAATCGAGTCTGAATGAAAACGATTGGTAAATGATCGATAATAATATGAAAGCTAAAATAAATTGTAGTCTCTATAAAACAACTACTGTTTTACTACAATAAATTCAGCATATGTGCGATGTTTTACGTAAATAAAGTCAATTAAGGATTGTAGTAGTCAAAAAGCTCACGTTTGATGAGTCCTCGAAGTTCGAACGCGCTGAAGACGCCTGTCCCCCAAATCCCTTCGCTTAATCCCACCTCGTCATCGGCCCGCTTCAGCTCCTCGGGCTTATCAGGATTAGATGTGAAGATGTAGTTTGCCAAGAATAAGTCCAGCTCTCTGACAGCGATACTAATGTGGTAGGGATTGACACAAAGCGAGGGCGACTCACAGTTGGCACACTTCTCGAGGCGTTCCCCGTCCGTGCTTTCTAGTGGGATACCCTGAAGTCAATTATCAAGTGAATTTCGTCTAAAATGACGCAGAATTGCCCTTCAGATAGATCTAAATATTTTATGCTACACTATTTTTTAAAAGTAGGCTGAGAAAGTTACGTTACGGTATATAGATTAAATTTGTGAGTAATATTGCGTATATTATGACACTTACCTTGAAGAGTACAACCATAACCAGATCCAGCCTCCATACTTTGTCCGCTTGCCTCAGGCAGTCGATCCGTCGCATTTTCCCCTTTTGGTCTGGATTACTGTAGACACAAGCAGAAGGTTCTTTCCCGACCACAGACCTGACGAAGCTGTCTCTGCAGTCAGGCTGGATATCCTTCCTCAACTTGCCCAACAGTCGACCAGCCCATTTCTGCTTTATATCGGCACTAACCCCCTAAAGGCAAGGATTTTATTATAGTTATGGCTTTTGGTTAATGTGGTAAAAACTTCTGATTGACCTTGATTTACTTTGTGAAGTCTTTTCAGTTTTTACTTTAAAGTTGACAATGTATTTCCTGAACACAGAACAAAGAAGTGATAAGCTTACTGATATCTGATCCTTGGTCCGCTTCTCCTCTTCCACGCTCATCCTTCGGTTACATCGCTTCATAAACTTCCGTTTGGCCGCTTGTAGGTTAAACCAGACGAAGCTGAAGTCCTTGACATACGGTAACAACTCTTCGACGAAGGGATGGAATTCCTCCTAAACGATTAAATTATATTATAACTCATTAAAATTGATTTTAAATAGAGGTCTTTACAGTATACCAACGGTCTTCTTGTTTCAATACTTAACATATCTGTTTATATTGTACTGGTTTTGTTGTGGAATTAGTAAAAATAAAAAAAGAAGTTCACAGAAAAACAAGCTTAACTTAAATAATGGCATTTCTACAAAGTTTTCGACCAAATTTGAGTCAAGCTTTACCGTATATTGCCTGACATCACCCTCAAGACATCATATGTGACACAATAACCCTTTCAGTTTTTGATGACTTTTACTCACCGTGTTGACCGAGTCTTCCCGACTGGTCCCAAACATGGACCTGGCGGTGTTGGAGGGTAGCGACGTGGCTTCTCGGACCACGGTCTCCAGTGAAGCCGACGACGGAGGAGGAGGTGGTGGAGCGGTGGACGGATGCCAAACACTCTGGCTCATATCGGCTCTGGCGAAAGGAGACAACAGCGGGGCGGAGGGGGGAAGGTGGGGTCGTTGGATGGGCAAAGCAACGGACCCGCTTGCTGACGACGGGGCAGCGGGGCGCCCCCCGACTCAGCACAAAAAGAGCAAGAGCGGCGGGGCGTTTTAACCCAACACCTTGCCCACCCCGAAGCTGTCCAACTGGGCCACGAATCCAGGCTTTCGGAACCAGCACAACCCGTCCGACGTTCGCAGCAGGTTCTGGAAGGGCAGTGACTAAAGTTAAAAAAATTTTAATTTTAAAATTTTTGAAATTCAAAACTTGCAAAAAGAGATTAATCATTCTCGACCGGACAAAATAACAGTTCGCGCTTAGTCACGTCGAAACACTGGATTCTGGAAGCAATATTCAAATAAAAATGAATTTAAAAAAAACTCAAAAAAATTTTAAAAAACGAAAAGCATCCACCCAAAATGACCCTCTCATTCAAGCCTTCTTCCTAGGTTAGCTTTCTGTCAACGCCAAGATAACCGACTATAACCAACCTAACAGGGCATAACGTGTACCGAACGTTATTACCACCGTTCCTCCTTGCCTGACCATAAAATTGTGTTTCCAACAAAAACGGCCATTGGAACGTCGAAGTAAAGGAAGAAGAAAGAAAAGAGGAGAGGAGAGAATGCAGCAAAAGGACGGACGACTGGCAGTCTAGGGTGCGGCAAACTCTCAGGTCTTATCTTCCCCCTCTGTTTTTTCCACCAGCTGCACCGCCGCGAAGGAAAGAGCCTGCGGGGCGAACGGGGAGACAAGAGATGTTCGGCCAGTTTGGTGTCGTTGGAAGAAGCGAACGCCGTTCCCCCGTTCGCACACGTAGTATTTTCGAAACCATATTTTCCAAAATAACATTGGTCTTTGGGAATGAATTGATATTGGTCTTTTGATGGAACTGACATCAATATAGGATAGACAGTTTCATACATTCAAATATAATGCTAACCCCCTAATTTAAATTATTTATCCTGCACTTCAAAATAATATCCATCCTGAAACTTCAAGACTTGATCGCCGACGGTCAGAAAGTCTGGCAGTAGGTAACGACCAAACAATTCCAGTCCTTTAGTCCACTTGAGCCATTCCTTCAGAATATGAGCTACTGGAGGTTTTCTGGACGGACTGATGTGAGGTACTGATATAATAACTTGAGACGACAGTATTTTACGGTGCTCTATAGCATGGTCATCTCTGGCCGCCATGATTACTTTTTCGTATGGCATTTTGTGCAGCCGGTTGAATGGTGTAGTTGGAGCCCCATTCTTTGTAGTCTGAAGAATTGTTGCTATAAAATAGCTCCACAGTATTTTACTAAAACAATTTTTTTGTCGAAAAGTGCTTAGAAAGGATAATACAAAACGATTTCGGTAAAAATGAAAATATTAGCATAATTTCGATTTATACTTTTCAACCAAACTACAAAAAAAAACTAATTTCCTTTTCCAAAAATGTACTGTTTCGCTTTCGTATCTCGTACGAAATTGTATGACACCTTCTTACGTAATTAACTATTGCTACGGCAACCAACTACAATCTCACCTTCACCCAAAACACCTCCCCACATTGAACCAGACCCCAGTTTTGCAGAAACTCAGCCGTCCAATCGCGCACGCTGAGCGCATTTGTGACCCAAATCATAACAATTCCATCATCAGCCAGCAGTCCGTTGATGGGGATGTTATTGATAACATCGAAGTTCGTTTCAATATACCTAAACACGTTTGTCATCATGGTGAATATCATATTCTTACGTTTTCTGTCGTCTAACCGCCTTGTTTGGCCATGCTGGGTCCATTACAATACAATCGAACACCTCGTTACCTAAAAGTATTAACTTCAAGTTATTGTACTCAATTCTTTAATTAGGTATCAAAATAAATACATACAAAAAGTAAAAAGAAAACTACAAATACTACTACAGTACTACTACAAAAAACAATTAAGTAATAAAAAGTATGCTTACGATATAGTAAATGACGACACACAGCCACATCACTTATGATAAACCGAGATTGTGCTGGCACGTAGTATTGTCTCCCATTGCACGTTACCAATATTGTTTTATCAGCCGTATTGCTATTCATCTCAGCTTCTTCTCTTCCGTGTTTTAATACTCTGAAAACAAAATGTAATCTTCAGTGAAACAATCTGCTAATTCGGTCATAACATACGTTTGAATTACGTCACTATCACCTCAAAGTGATATAACTAAACTGAGATATACGAGTTGACATAGCTGAACTGATAGGTCAATATATGATTTTATTACCCATGATTAACACTTACTCTTTGTTTTGAAGCTCATGATACCCTAAACTGCATGTTGAGGTTGTACATGAAGAAAATATGGGCTCATTCATTACCATCTCCACCGCCTTCTGATTCCCACAGTAGTCATACTCTTCCGGCTCGTTAAGATACTTAGAGCACGTCTCTAATAGATAATCACATTCCTAGAAATGACAGTTTTAACACCAACAATGATGGTTACCTTGTTTATGAAGTCATGTGGAGATAACCGTTTGTTCTTTTTTGATGCTGCCTTCTGAGACTTCATCCCAAACGAAGAATTAACTTCATAAAACTCACATCGTGGTGTTCCACTAAAAATGTTATGATCTTGCTTAAAAGAAATCACTTAAACACAACTTACCCAATATCCTTATAAATTCCTGTAAAAAAAGACAAATCGTTCCATCTGATGACTTCTTCTGACAATTCCATGAAACTTGTATTCAAAGCTGATAAAGGATTACTGAATACAAAATATTAAAGGACCAGTTTGGATAAGTCTTTTGTCAGGCTTTTCTGCAACAGATCAGGCAATCAGGGAAGCGCGAACTTTTTTGACGCAAAACGTGAGCGAGTCGATTTGGAATAAAGGAAATCATTTATCCAGTGTACCCGCTCATGTTTGGCGCGAAAAAGTTCAACAGCCAAAACGAAAAAATCTTTGCGACAAAAGAAGTTATCCGGACTGGTCCTTTAATAAAAAATCATTTAAAAAATTGGTTTTCCAAAATCAATCGTGACATTTTGCAACAGTTATGTCAAGGTAAATTTTCAAATTATAAATTGAAGGTAAATAGAACAAAGACTTATTGTCATTAAACTTTGAAAAGGATATTATTTTGTGCTAATGCTATATACCGAGATATCGAATGTCATCAACACACAACAACTTGTTTAAAGACCGCCCAGCCACAACAATAAGGTGATTTATTTATTTTGAATCATTAAACTGGCACAATAATTTACTAGCTTAGTACCATATTTATTCGTAGCGACTAGTACCATGTTTATGTATATCACACATCTATATATTTATGTTACACCAAGTTTAGTATATAATGTCGAATGTTAGTAAGCGTGAGACCAAAGTTAATGACGAACCCGTAAAAACTATTGTAAAAGATAATTAAAAACAAAGAAAACAAAAGATCCAGTGAACAGAGAAAGGGCCTTCTTAAGGCCAATCTTATGATCCTCGAGTTCAGGTGCCAGCATCTCAATGCAGGCCACGTAGATGAAGATACCTGCAGCAAAACCCTCCAATACAAACTTCATTATGGCAGACGTAGTAGAATCGAACAATGATATCTAAACAAGGCGGTTTAATATTAAATTTTATGATTTGTATATGTACAATGATTTAAAAAAGTAATGATTATATTCATTAAGAAGGTACTTACACATTCCATCAAAACCATTCCAATAGGTATTGATACAGACAAGTAAATAATCAACACCAACCCAAAACTCCGCGATACGCTTTGTTGGGCTAATTTAACCCCAAAAGCAAATGAACATAGCACTTCGTGTAGCATTACCGATATCAAAAACTTGACAAAAGCATCATCAGATTGCTGTAAACAAATGTTTAGTTCTAGCCCTATACAAAAAATTTTCAGAAATCAAAGTTACAATACTAAGAAGTCATAATTACCCACCTGTGCCCCCAGGGCAATTCCTTCAAAAATGGAGTGAATGGACAAAGCGAATATCAACAGAAACACGTGTAGTGGTGACTTGTTCGACAGCGAAATATTATGCGAATGTCCTCCATGACATTCCTGATCCTCATTCTCCACCGACCTGAACTCGATTCTCCCAAAATCATCGTTGTCAGAATCGGAATCCGTCAAATCGACCAAAGGCTGACTATCTTGTCGATTAGAAGAGCTCTGCTCTGTTCTTTTTTTAGACATTGATATCATGGCGTCGTTGGTAGACTTATTTTGTCCCGAAGTACATGTTCCCGTTATCTGCTCTAGTATAACTATCAGTAGAAAGCCAGCCAGCACCACTAAGTTAGTGTCCAGTAATATCTGTTGGGCAGAATGGGATTCTACTGTAGTCGATATATTCAGATTCTTCTTTATCGTCGCTTCGTTCATCTGAAGATGCGGAAACAACCCCAGGAAACATGTTGACAAGAATATACCACAAGCAAAGCAGTTAAATATAGATGCAAGTGATGAATTTAAATACCTAAAATCAGTAAGAATCAAGAGTCGAGTTAACTTACTCTGTAGACTTCTTCTTTAATCCTAGAAATGGTGATAAAGATGCAAAAACTAGAATGACAACAGATGCAAACGTCGATATTACCTTAACGTACATCTAAAACCAACATTAATGTTTTTTAAAAACTAAAAAAAAACAATAATTTTGGTTACAAATACCTATTTTGAATATCAAACAAACTTATTATAATGAATTTATAATCAACAATAAAATCAACAAAAGTAAAACAAATAAATTGTTAATGGCGTTTCTTAACACCACCTCTTTTGGGTTTGTAGACAGAGTTGAGGGAGTCCAAAGTGTTCTTCTTGGCCCTCTTCTTCTGTCCTCCATAGCCAAACTTCTTGTTTCTCGCGACTCTGGTCATTTTCTTGCCTTTCCTCTCACGTTCCTGAAAGAATTACAGAATTAGCCATAGAATAAAATTATAATTGAAAAGTACTGTAAAATAAATAAAATCGTACAAAAATGACACTCATATAAAAACTATCATCAAAATTGCAGTACTAATAATGAAGTAATGTGAATTAAACAAAAGTCTTTACCTCTTCATTGTGAATGTGCGAAGCATTACTGAGCATGGTCTCCAGCTGAGCTTTCATTCCCTTCCGGTGCTTCTTGACGGCATCTGCCAGTTTTCGTTTATTCTCTTGTTTCTGTTGCAAAGCAGCAGTCTGAGCCTTCTGGGCAAACTTCTTTTCCTCTCTTAATCTTCTGGCATTTTCCGACTTTTCCTTGTCCTTCTGGATCTCCACGATCCTTTCTCTTACCTAAATTAATTTAAAAAGATTAAGTTTAAAAAAACTTAAAATTTCAAAAAAATGTGCGTAAGTTGTAAAAATAACAACTTTTGAATAAAAAACTTACTCTTTGCATATGTGAATCAGATTTTGACATCTCGGCAAAATAATCATCAGGTCTGAACACAGCAATGCCACTTTCCTGAAGCTTTGGCAAAGCTTTGTGTAAAGAATCGAAAGCCTGTTTATATCTAAAAGCAAAACTATCTAACAAAACAAAAATCAACCTACATAGCAGCTTCACGTTCCAAGTCATTCTGTTCTTCTTCGATGCACAATTCTTCATTAAACACAACATCCAAAGTCCCAGTCCAAGGCAAAGTCTTCTGAATTTGAAACATCTTCTTCTTCAGATCGTCCTAAAAATACATTTACTACAAATTGTGCTTTAATTAGGTGTAAAACTCAAATTAGGTATTCATTACCTAAATTTAATAAACTAGACTTACTTTCTTGTTTATTGGTGGCCTTTTTTCTTTAACTCCAGCGATGTCGACAATACCATCGTTGAGCAAACCTTCTTGGAACGCTACTTGTAGCTAAAAATACAGAAATTAACTGTGTTTTGCACCTATTATACAGTAAAAGACGAAAAAAGTAAAATAAACAAATGCAAACTACTTCTGTCTTACCTCGTTATCTGAAATGTCTCCATCATCAGAGTAATCGGCTCCCAATTGACCTTCATTTTCTACCTTTTCCGAATCTTCTGATTTTACAGATTCTGAAGACTCTGAAGGAGCTTTTCTTCTTCTCAAAATTCGTTTCTTGGCCATCTAGAATATATTATCATAAAAGATATATAAAAAAACTTATATGAAAATTTTAATAATCTGAAACTAAACGATTTAAAGACATAATTAATATTTTACTTTATATTTTCTTAAAAAAGTCAATCGCAGTAAAAATTTTTCAATATGAATTTAGGAAATGTTTTCTTGTCGAGAAGAAAATAGGGGCGCTGTTATACGAAGGAACATGTTTACTCGAAATAAATAAATCAAAAATATTTTTAGAATTTGAGAATAATATTTTGTAAGTATGCAGTTGACAGCAGTATGTAATCTGCGCCGTATTATCAACCCATCTTATCATCCGTTCAGTGTAATTCCAAAGCCAGCAATATGGATGAAAAGAGAGAGATTACGACGATTTATTGCTGTAAGTATGTTTTTGTAGATGTATTCGTGGTTTTATATTACATTTTACATAGTTTCTTTTTAAATTGTTTTTGTAGTTAAATAGTATGCTTTTTAGTGGCAATATGCGTCTAAGAGGACGACGGTTAGAGCTGGTTCAAGACAGTTGAACAAGATCTTCATCTACATGGATATGCAACAAAAGGACGAGAAAAACTTTGAGAGATTCGTAAGTTTTGCGTTATTTATGTCAACTTTTTGTTTTAGTACTCAGAAGAACGATTGAACGCTGGATTAGCTTTGAATAACATTGAGTACATGCACTTCAGAAACATGTTGGACCAAGCACATGTATTGTTGGACAACAATTGTCTGTCGCAGTTGGCCATATACGAGCCTAGGACGTTTGAGGTAGTTAGACTTTTTGATATGTCAATTTTTAATAATTACATATAATGAACAATGCAGAATAATTGGTTTATTTTAGAGCATTGTGAACTTGACCCGCAAAATGGCTTTGGAAGACGACCGAGATGTTGTTAATGAGCAAAAGCTGGACAACGTTGAAGTGGAACAAGAATGGCTTGGTGAGCCACTACCGAGGTCAATTTACTTTGCCAAGGGCCCAGCTAAGAACTACAGAGGAAAAGTTCGGAAACTGCGTGTCGATGAATTTTAATTGTTTTACTTTTGTTTTGTTAGGTAAACTGTTGTTACACTATCGGTCTTGCTTTTATTAAAGGTTCGAACCATATAACTTTCGGTTTTTTATTATTCATGATCAGTCGTGTTGGAAATTGTTATTTTTATTAAGAACGTTTCAGATGTATCATAAGTTCTCTGGGTTTTTGTCAAATATAATTGTAAGCTTTTTAATATTTTTTAAAATGTTATTATCAGTTTTACGTTTTGAAATCTATTTAGAGGTTCAAAAAGCCTATAGCCGAAGAGAATGATGTGATAATCAATGCGTCGTTATTATCTTGCCCAGTGTGTTACAATGTCTATTCTGATGCTCCATTAGTGCTTCCTTGTGGGCACACTTTCTGTACAGACTGTTTGAAGCAAATCAACGAGAGGAATACTAACGAGATTGGTGTAAGTGTAGTAAAACTTAATTACGTACGCGTACGATTACTTTGTGGTATTGAAGAAGTTTTTGTTACATGTAGCAACTTATAGGCTTCTTGTCCAATCTGCCGAAAGTCGTTCATTAGAGGAAAGTCATACCCAAAGAACTATTTGGTTGAGTCGATATTACAATCGGTTAGCCTGGTGACCGACCAAGATCATGGACTGACCGATCGACTGAAGGCAAATGGACTCAAATTTGCGGTAAGGATTTCCATTTTATGTTTTATATCACTTGTCAAAACTTTTTTTCTATAAACGCCCACTTTAAGCCTTTTTTAAAATTAGTCTAACTCGAATTATAGAATATACGATGCCAGAGGCAAGTGGAAGCGTTGTCGAAAGACAAGTCCGAGCTTCAGAAACAGCTACGTGAAAAAGAAACTACCCTGAACACGATGTGGTGCTGCCTTATTTCACTTGGAGTATTATCGCTGGGACTTTTATTTTCTTTCGTTTAAGTTACCTCATACAAATTGTATATATTTACATAAATTATTTACTCAGACTCCTGGATGCATGTTGCCAATGTCACCTGGCTGAACGTGTTGGCTTGTAGGGTTTTGAGTAGTGCCCGATCTTACCATTCCTCGCCAGATCTTATACATTAGAGCGCCGGAGGCGGCGTGAAACAGTGCCAAAAGAATCAGACAGAACTAAATTATGTCAGTTACTCAGATAATGTTTAATTAGTGAATATAGGACTAAAGTCCATCGAACTAACTGTACTACTTACCACGGCGGCTACAAATGTGTAATTTGTTCCTGCATTGACCCATCGCATAACAATGAAAACGTCGATTACGGTACTCCCAAAGAAAGCTGCTGAGTATCCCATCTCCTGTAATTTAAAATCAAATATTGCTCAAACACTTAAGGGCTCAAAAAATGAAAGCTTACCAAAACTGGCCAGGCGTCTCTGCCCATTGTGAGGAACTGTTCTGCTTCAAACATGAACAGAATACATACCACGATCATGAACACGAATTGGAACACGATGGTAAGCCAGAAGAACCATCCCCCTCCCAGGGTCTCGCCTTCCTTAACATGAGCCGCACTTGTCAGAATCATGGAGAAGAGGATCGTGACCAAGATGCCCGGCTTCAAGGCATTCGGAAGCGCCGCGAACCTTTGAAGATTCATCGCGAAGAAGTTGACAGTTTCTTTGTTGTATAACAGTTTTAAAATCACCTTTAATGACAAACAACTGAAATTTTGTTACCGGGGAAACAAACGAAGCGGTCAACTCAGGGAACAAGGAAATTCAGTGATAAGGCCTTTTATCACGCGGACATCCCACAGCACTGTCAACATACAATTTAAAACCTATTTTCAAACCGCGCCACTTCTGGGTAATATAAGTTAAAACCGAAATCTTATTACAATCTCTAGCTAATCCTTCATAGTTTTATCGAAAAGGAAACCATATTTTCGTAACTCCGACCTCTCCCCCAAGGCATACAAAACAAACCCCGCCTGCGTCATAATGTTAAGAAATAGAATCGACATCTTCGAAGGACCTTAAATCGACAACTTTATATAACGAAACTGATAACAACGTAACCAGCAACTAATCCTAATGCGGTTTATGAACAAGATTCGGATGTTGCATACTCTTGATCGTGCCTTCTGGAGCCGGATCCGCCTTCCATTTACTGTAAACTTCGAACACATCGTGACCTTTCGTCTCAGAATCCCAGATTTCCAGACCTCGAGGCAGTCTTTTGTTGACTCCACGTTTCCTGCCTGGCCTAAAGTCACCACCTAGGGCCATTTCTTCAACTTGAGCCAGTACCTGTTCGGCCGTCTTCCATACCAACCGACGGTTGCGCTCTCGGTTAAAGTTATAAAGACCTTTTAGGAAAGGGTCGATCAAAGTGTGGGTTCTGTACAAACTGAATTTAACGTCGGGATTGTTTTCCCTAAAATAATTGCATCAAGAACAGAAGTTTTACCGAATTTATAGATGAGACTTTTAAAGAATTGATAAAAAATTTTGATTTTCGAAAAAAAGCTGTCGAAATAACAATATTGAGAAAACAAACCTAATAACAGGCAGATATTCTTCAACAAATTGCTCCACGCCTTCAGACCTTGGTGCACAAGCTGTCCAACCTATTTTGAGTTGTTTGAAGTGTGGAACAAACTTTATCAAACCGGCTGTCCCATGGTTCATGGGCGTTAATATTTTTGTTGCCGACATCTGCAATATAGTCAAACTAAAAAAAATTTAGCAAATTGCAAACACAACAAAGTTAATAAAAAGTGTGTTCTAAATTAAGATAAATATACAGGTTAAAAACCAGCAGTCACACAACCCAAAGTTAATTTATTGCAACTTTATTCAAGGGTTATGAGGTTCAGAGTTTGAAGAAATAAGATTACGATTTTGACGGTAGAGGATGGTTTCTGCTGGCATTTCTTCTCCCAACGCCTCCAACAGCTTGGCGTGAAGCTTGCGATACAGCTCGATTTTCCCGTTGACCTCCTTGTTCTTCAACAAGGTCCTCTCCAAACACGTAGCTGTGTAGACTTGAGGATTCTTGCCTCCGTCCAACGAATCCAGGACTTCTAATGGCACCCGCACATCCGAATACTTGTTTTTAAGTGAATTTAGTTCCTAAAAAGATTAAAGGATAACAATATTTGTCAACACACTTTTAATGTTTGATTAAAATAACAAATTCTTACTTGTAAACCGGAAATCATAGTGTGGATCTTCTGATTCAAAATATCTTGAGAACGTGGGGAGAAATCGCTAACAATAATTCCAATATGTCGAGCATTCTCCTAAAAAACACGTTAATCAGTAAACTTTTCAATACTTCATAAACTGTCTGTCCGTAACAAATGTCTTACCTAAAATTAGAGAAAAATATTTAATAAAAATCAGTGTTACCTGAAACTGCTCGAGAGTGCTCTCTAATGGATGGAAACGAGCCTCTGAGTTTCCTTGATCCATTTTTAAGCCTGAGCCTTGTTAAAGTTGTCTTCTTTAGTGTTCAAGATCTCCTTCCTCACCTCTTCCAGATCAATTTCAAATGGTTTATCTCTTTTCAATCCCTAAAACAATAAAAATCAAAGATAATGAAACCTACCTCTTCAACACAGCTCTTGTATCTCTTGAAAAGGTCTTGGCAAGGATTTTCCAATGAACGATGTCTGTATTCCGAGTTGACGTACTGTTGAAAAAAAGTCGTGAAACACTTGTCGTATCCTTCTTTCAGTTTGTCGCACTCTGGAAAAATACTTGGCATATACCTCTCACTGTTCATCACACATTAGTCCGGTTGTGGTGGGTACAGTTTAGAGGACTTGAAGACGAAAAAACTGAAATTAATTAATTTTGTTTCGTAAAATTCCAGACATTTAATTGTTGAGCTGCGTCCTCAGACTCATTGCGGCTTGCGCGTGATATTTTATACGTTGGCAAATAATAAAAATGAAATAGTGTATTTTATGTTCCAAGATAGTAGAATGCACATTTAACAACATAATACTGGTAAAATTATAACACATCATTAGCTTTCTATAATAAAATAATTTTTACTGAAATTTAGCTTCACAAAGTATATGTATATTTGCAAAACAATACTATCGTTAATTCCTGGCAGAATGAAAGCGGTTGACTTTCACAAATATCGGTTCAAGGTGTCTAATATCTTCAAGACTTTGTTACCAACATTGAACAAAGGCTTTAGGTCATACGGAGTATGTTTGATTGAGTTTGGTACTTTTATCGTATTTGGAATATACTGTGGTGGTTATTTTTACAATCAGGATTACCATGAGGGTAAGTGTTTATTGGTATTTCTCGATGTATCTCATATATATCTTCAATTTAAAGTTTTATTTTTTTTCCAAAATTATAAGTCCAAGTCTATGATAATTTGATTTTGTTTTTCTAGGAATGTACAGTATAGTGGTATCAGTAATCTACATAACCGGAGTTTGGATTCATGTTCTTGGAGTACATTACAATTCCAGGCACTTGTTACTGATCCATTGTTACACTTGCTTTCTTCTGTCAATATATCAGTTATTTCTTCTGATTTCGATCGTGTTACTCGAATTGTACTTCAACCTACTACTACAACAACCTCACATACGACGGATCTTTTTACTGACTGGAATGCAAATGACATGTTCGATTGTGTTAGGCTTAATCTTTGGAATGTCCAGTTATATCAGGGCCAGAGAGGTGCGAGACTTCAAGATGTTCCGGAAGAGAATATTGTTTACTCTTACGACGTTCGGTAAGTTATGCAAGGTATCTCGTAGTAAGTTACTTAAAGGTACCTTGTAGAATTAAAAAGTATTCAAGTTATCTTGTAGTAGATTTGTGCCAAAAATGAATCAGGCTATTTACAGTAATGTAAATAGCCTGATTTGGTGCTTTATTTTCAAGATTACCGTACTGCTTTGAAATAGCTATTGCAATATATTGTACTTTTTAAACTTTAAACCCAAAAGTCTAAAAATAGAAGTTGCAGATGCCTACCTGACCTCGTCCATGAACCACAACCTCCCCAAGTACGCAGTTCGATATGCTCATTGAGCAGAGTTCGTGAGCTTGTTATTAGCGTTTATTTGTCCAGTCAACGTCAAACATTTGTAATCTCGAGAGAAATGTGAGCCGGCTCGTGTTAAACTTTATCGTGCAAAGAATCGTGTGAACTTGTTATTCCCCTCAGGTCATTTGTTACTGTTTACTTGTCCGTCCAATAAATTTTAATATTCTAATGATATTGTGGCTGATTTTGTCGGTTTTATCAGTATTCATACCTACAGTTATCAATGCAAGTAGTGCCGTCGGGTACGTGGGACCGGCTTGTGTAGTCGTTGTAAGTTATTGTGGTATAAAGTATTATTAATATAATGACTTAAATCTCTATCATAACATTATATGTCATACAGTAGTATAACATAAAAGTAAAAACAGACAATATACAGTAGTTTAGGATGATGTACTGTACCTACATGGAGCGTTCTCACGCCGCTTACTTCCTGAAGAAGTTCTGTCGTTTAAAAAGTACCAGAATACAGTAAGCTTACTGAAACAGCTCAAAGAAGCCGTCTCTAAAGGGTAAGTTAGGTTTATTTATTCTACTTTTAAATATTTTAAAAAATTTAAAAAAAAATACTTTAGAGCAACATTATTGAATAATGGCAGTATCAGCCTTCCTACGCCAATCATCCCTGCCTTCTGTGAAGGTTTCGGCGATGATGTTGAAGTAGTCTTGGATGGATGTATTGTTAGAGTAAGTTTTAACGTTGTAGAAGATTATTCAAATTAGCTAATTTTAATTAAAATGACAATTAAAACGTATTTTAGCAAAACTACGCATTCGTAGACAACAGAATGGCACGTCCCTTGAACACCATAGAACGTCAGAAAGTGCTACTGGTCCAAGATTCTTTTGCCAAACAAAGTTACCGTGCCAAACGTGACTCTACTAACGAGACGACAGAAACCACTACGGCTACACCGTCAACAGAAGCCGTAACAACAGAGGATACGACGGCTACAACTACTACAATGTCCCCAATATCAGACGAGCTGAAGGAGTTACTGAGTAAATATTTGAATATTAACAACAATGTAACCGAACGCTTTTTGCCTGTCGCTCAATACTCTCCGGTCGTTAACCACTTGTTGAACCGACCGCAACTAAAGCATTTGGTTTTGAATGACGATGTACAAGGTATTGTTTGTAACCTCTGTACAACGTTTATCGTAAAATTGTATGATTTGATAACAATTTTAAATGACAAATTATATTTACTTTTAGAAATAGTAGCTTGTTGTACAGAGGTTGCAAAATGAATTTTGCTATATGTCTTCTGTTTCAGATGAATTCCAGAAACAGAAGATTCGAGAGTTCATCCAAGATCACATCATGAAATACCAGTCAAGGAGCCTTCTGACTACAACCATAACACCAACCACGACTACCGAGATCCCACACTTGATGTTGCCTAACACAGACGAAAGTAATACTTAACATAATTCATAGTAATGTAAATACTCTGATCAAAACATAAAACCATGTACTAAAGCAAGACACAATAACTTTATATTATCAAAACTTACAGTGCCCCAGTCTAGTAACCCATACCTAAACCAGTTACTCCAACGAATGAACTACAACCGCCAAATGGAGTTGTACCAACAACAACTTCAACAACAGTCCATGCTAACACCAACCAAACCCACAAGGTACCCAGGAGCAGTACCAATGAAACCAGGCGACACTCTTGAGATCGGGGACCAAACCTATATTGCAGTACCACTATCGACCAGTAATGGCGAAACAGTGGGACTGGTACCTCTAGTACGGTCTAGTACTCACACAGTGACCATGCTGCCTCCGATGAGGCCCTGGATGAGGAGTAACACTGTCGCTCCTGAACAGGTACGATATCATCCAGGAAAGCGACGATCACAGTACCTTCAAGTGCCAACGCACGTTAACGGAACACCACTGCCTCACGAAATCTGCCGCACACCCATCGACTCCTCCAATTGATCTTGTACAGTATTACACTTTTACGAAAATAAATGAGATATAAAAACACACAGAAGTATGGATAAGAAAACCTGGGAAATATTCTTAACACCTGAAATCCGTTTTACAACTGAAATTTGTTAAAATAAAACTTAAAAATAACAATCAGTATATCGATATAGAGGTATACCGCTAATTAGTATTTTTAAAAAAAAATCTTCGCTTCTCAAATTCCGCGAGAATTGTTTTTTCCTTATTTCTTTTTCTGTAAGTCAATCGTGGCATTTCGTCCTCGTTTTTATAATTTTTGACAAATAATTTTCCGACAAATTCTTGTTCTGTGCCGGACCTAAAAAGAAACCGGCCCTAATAAGACAGCCTTTCAGATCAACCCTGTGCCAATTTTCACGATGTTATCAAAGATAAAATCCAAGGTAAGTGCGAAATATGTCCGAGTATAAAACTTTTTGTTTACTTTTGAGGTTTGGTTCATTTAAACAAATAATAACGTTGAACATAAAAGTAAAACCCGTGAGTATCATGGAAAATTCTCTAAAGTGAGAAAAGAAATTCGAAAATTACGAAGAGTTGGATGAAACCGAAGCTAGGCGTTAACAATATAAACTATCTAGTTACTGAGAAATAATTAAAGACCTAATTGTTTACAAGGATCAACATTAAATGTCATTTACAGTGTTTGACATTCATGTCAGTTACAGTGTTTGACATTGATGTCATTTACAGTGTTCGACATTTGATGTCGTGGTGTGTCTGAGAGGGTATTACAGAGTCGTATCTCTGAGTTACATGGAGACTCTAAAAGAAATGAAAGTTGTACAGAAGGACCCGTGTCAAGGTTAAAAGTAAATCAAATGAGGATAATATTGGTTATATCTTGAAATTAGCCAGAGAAGTTAGCATTCTACGTTATCTACTTTCTATTGTATCTCGGCCGCCTGATGTTCCAGTACGATTGGTGCTGGTGCGTTTAGTGGTGCCGTTTGTGGGTCTGGACCTTTGCGGGTGTCTTCAGAAGCCGGCTGACTCTGCCCGTTGGGCGGATTCAGTGTGGTGCTGTCTGGGTCCGCACTGTGGGAGTCGTCGGTGGAGGGTTCGGGTGGTGCTGAGTCATTGGAGTTCTCGAGGTGAGTGTCGATATTGTTGGCAGCACCTTGTTGTTGGTTTTGTTTGCACTTGGTGGAGTGTCTTTTGAGTGAGTAATCAGTTGATAACAGCCTTCCACAAGTTGGGCAAGGTCTTTTCCGGTCTGATTTGCCTTGGTTTCCGCTCTTATGCTTTTTCTCCGCCTTTGCCATTGTTTTTGGAGCCTCCAATGCGTGAAGCTGATGGCTCAATTCGATATCAGTCATGTAGGAACTGATGGGATTCATGTGTTTTGATATCATGGTGGAAGAGGCTAGTCTACTGAAATAAGTTTGGTTTTAATAAAGTTTGTTCGGACATATGTTTGGATTTTAAACGGCAGTAACTAATCCATTGTTGTTTTAGGAAAGGTTTTGAAAATTGCATATTTATTTTGTAAAAGGTTAACTTTGATGTTAACTTACTCTGCAGGGTCGTCCATATCTTCGCAGAACGTGGAGTCGGCTTCGGCCAATTCCACAGGTTTTCTGGACTCAACCACCATCTGATCTGTGTAGTGTGTCATCTGATAGCTGGTTGAATGAAGTTCTCCAAGTTGACTCTCTTCGGCCGACCTCTTCAAATCAGCTGCAATTCTAGCTACGTCAAGCTCATCTGCTCTTGTGTGGTTGAATGGACCGTCAACTCGAGCCTTTATCTGATCCCAGACGTCCAAGTCATCTGCGTGGTTGAACATTCTTTGATGGTACGTCTCTGTGGGCACTCCAGCTAGAGTGTAATCCATGGGGACAGGCTGTAGTTGCTCGTACTGAGGTGTGGATGATTCAGATGACTGTGACAACGGCTCCATCGCACTCAGTGGATTGTAACTGTTGTGGTCGTAGAAGGCACTGGGACCTTGTACGGCTGGTACACTGTGCGGCTGATGCATTGGTACTCCTACACGGTGTTGTTCTTCATTTGGCCGAGATGGATGTGCTGCTGCAGCACTTGATTTCTTCTTGGACACTTTGGGGGGATTGGTCAGCATTCTCTGTTTGATGATTTCGTTCTCGTGTTCGAATCCAGGTGTGATAATGAAGCCTTCAGGGTTTACTTTGACTCTTTTAGCAGCGTTCTGTCCTTCAACTTGTTCATCATTCAGTGAATGTTCCTTTTGTCTGTGGTTTTTCATGTGTTTCCGACAAGAATACCTATAATTTTTAATATAAAAAAATGAACTTTTGAAATTTTTATAAAAAAAGATGAATTTTTGAAAAATTAATCGTAAAAATGTAGTACGTCTTACGTTTTGCAGCATTCTGGACACAGATATCGCACAGCGTCTTTAGGTGGTGCAGGAGCTGGGTTGGGAGGGGCCGAGGTTGGGGTTTGTTGAGGGGGATGCATGTAGTTTGGTGGGGCGGAGGTCGGAGTGTTCTCACTCACTGAGTATGACTGTGCCATCATCATGGGCCGAGCCGGCATGATTAACTGAGGTCGGGGCGGGATATTCATCATGTGGGGATGCATCTGATTCATCGGTGGTACTTTTGGTCTTTGTAGTATCATTTCTGGTCCTTCTTGTCGCATCATTTTGTTTTGGACTGGACTATGCTGTGGTGGCGCGGCTCGTTTCAACGGCTGGGATTCACAAGATTCGTTTTGTCTTCGTATCTTCTCCACCACTGAGTTCACGACATCAGCTACTTGTTCAGACTTTCTATTGGCTTCGTCTTTGTTCTCTTCTTGTGGACCGTTTGCAATTGGTTGAGCAGGAATCTGATGATGAGGATTCTGCATGTGAATGTCATGCGGTTGCGGCACTGGTTGGTACTGTATGTGTATGGCATGTGGATGCATTGGCTGAGGAATGGGTTGCCCCTGTTGTGCTTGCATCATGTGAGGATGAGTTTGAGGGTATGCTTGTTGATGTTGTGGTTCATCTCCGTCTTCTTTTTTGATTACCATTGGCTTCTTTTGTAGCTTTTTCTGAATCGGGATTTGGACAGGTTTGCCATGAATGTGTCGCAGATGTTCACCTACTGTAACGCTGCTCGTTCCTGGAGCCTTTACCTCTTCGCTCTTATGTTCTGAGAAGGCAGCATTGTCAACTTCTTCTTTGATAGGCTTAGATTGCTCTGCTTCAGGCGGCGGCATCAGAGTCTTTTCCGAACAGAATTTTGCATTTTCCGATGCACCTTGACTGGTACTCGCTGCGTTTTTGGATCTAAAAGCACTATATATAAAACGTTTTTGACTTACTCCACACACGTCTGCTTATGTTGTTCTAGTTTTTCGTCGTCAGAAAAAACTGCTCCACAGTGGCAACGGGGTTCGGGCGAATCGCTGTAATTTTTAATTGTTAGTATGTTAAGCAGGGAAAATAATTATTCAAGTATGGTTTTTTCCAGAGAAAGCGAAAAAATATTCGTTTTGTGATAAACTAACTTACTATTTCTCTTCTTTTTTTACTACCAAGGGATTCAAAGGTTGTGTAGCCGGCTGCGCTGTTGAGACTGGAGGAGCGGCGTGGTTATTCTCCGGAATCATTTTGCACGTTGTCCGATGCCTTCGCAGACTTCTCTGAGAGCACATGTACTTCAAGCAGTCGTTGCATTGGAAGTCTGTGGGTTTTGTGTTTTTGTCGCTCTTCTTTCCAGCTTTGCCGGATTCTGGGGGTTGAGGAACGGGACGATGTGCTATGTCTGACTTCGGGTCTTTCAGTTCTTCCTTTGGTTGAGTTTGGGAATGTTGAGGGTAGTCTGAGGTGTTGCTCATAGATTGCTCCGCCGAATGTCCACTGTCGTATCTGTAATTGAGTATTGTTACGTTGTGTTTGACTTTAAAGGGCACATTTTTTGTAAATTACAGTATTTAATTTATAAATTTTAAACTTTGTTGGTGTTGAAATAACTTTGAACTTACTCAGCTGCACCGATGAAAGCCAAGGGATTATGCCCAACTTCATCTATCGTGGTATCCAAGTACGCTTCCATGTTCTGAGCAAAGCCAAAGTTGTTTGGACTGTCAGAGTATTCGGATTGAGGTGTGGGACGTTGTTGGAAGGTCGGAGTTTGCGGTAGATGATGTTGAGGGCTGGGACCAGGGTACGCTTGCAACGGAGGGTTGTAGCTTGGCATCACTGGCGGTGCCGAATGAAGTCCACCGGGCATACCTTAAAGCATTTGATACTAAGAAGTGGTGCTTACCTGTGCTTGGGTATTCAAACATTGGAGCTGGGTTTCCTTGTGGTACGGCTGATTGGGGGTACGGCGGGTACCTGCCTTGAGGAGGTTGTGGATGAGGGTTTGCGTTATGAGGGAATGGCATTGGGCCTTGAGTCATAGGAGCAGGGTTAGGGTAGGTGGGAGGATAAGATTGAGCTGGGGGTTGTTGTGGCGGCATCGAAGGCGGCTTACTGGGTGATGGTGCCTTAGCCGGACTGCCGGCTGAGGATGGCGCTTTTTCTGGTGGACCACTAACGCTTTGCTGAAAAATTTATTATTTTTTGTTGTTTTGCAAATAGTTATTAAAAATTTTTAAATGTATCGAAATCTCACCTTCTTGGCTTTGCACGAGTTTTCATGTCGCTTCAAGTTCCTCGCCGAACTGACGCATTTCTTACAATCTTGACATTGGAATTGTTTCTTTGGTTCTGCGGGATCTGAAGTTGGTATTGATGGTAGACTAGTGGTTGAAGGCCTCTTCTTCGTTCCTCCACCACTTTTCTGTGAGGTTTTTGGTGGGCTTGAGTCTTGACTCGACCTCTGTCCATTCAATTCCATAGGGGAGTTGGACATGTGAGGTGACGAGCCGACTTGTTCAGCACTTCTCGAGGCATGAAGTATTTGTGACACATTTCTGAAATTAGCATTCGATTAGAGAGCTAGTGGAGATATTATCAATGACAATATTTAATACAGCGAGGCAAATCACAAGACTCCGGTTATAGCGAACCTGGCTACTTCAGCTTCCAGAACGGTTAGATCGGAGTCCTGCTGTTGTTGTTCACCGTCCAAAACTCGCCGAGCAATAGTAGTCACCTTTTTGGGGAGACTGGAATTTAATCGGCTTCATAAGAATTCGATTAATATTGTTTTTGGTCTTACCTGTTCCCGGGAGGGTATGACATCCGGACTTGGTCAGGGTACCCTCGCGCATCCGGGTATCCCTGAGGTGGCACGGCGCTGATGTAGACGGCTCCAGATGAGCTGGGACCGGCATAGCCCGGTGCCATGTAAACATTGGAGGAGTTGGGTTGGGGAGGGTATCCGTTACAATGGTTTTGGTCACTGTAAAAGTGTCAATCATTTGCTGTTTCAAAAATTGAGTTTAAAAAACTGTTGAGACCTACATTTGGCTTGGCACCGACTGATAGTATCCCATTGGTGGGGCTTGACCTTGTTCTACGACGTAACGAGAATCTCCGGGTACTTCGTGTATATAGGGCGTGTTGTATTCGTTAGAAACATAGTATGGCTGTAATTTTGCGATTTGTAAGTTTATGCTTATTTTATTCTTGCGATGTTATTCACTTTGTAAAAAAATATGTTGATGACATATAGACTTAAATTACCTGTTCAACTGGGTACATCCCAGGTCCCTCAGGGTGCACGTACTCATAGTGCTGCTGGGGCATATAACTGGATCCGGACGCTATATAAGGCGGTGCAGAAGTGGGCGGCGGGGCGTTCGGCTCCATGCGAACATCCGAACCAATGCACCGTTGGACTGGTTCTCGGTCTGGCGCACTACTGCTTGGCGTAACCCGTTGGTCCTGAAACGCAGATAGTTTAAATGAACAAAGCGAGACGGCGCGGAACGAAGTTATGTTAAAGAAAGGCCGAAAGAAATTCGTTTTTTGCTCGGATCTGCTCAGCTACAGCCTTATCGGCTTGAAGTTGAGTCAAATGTTTCAAAGGAAAGTTCAAAGCACAAAATTGGAATTGTAACTTTGTTTTGTCTACAAATTACATTCAAATACCGTTCACTACAAAATCACTGACCTTCGGTAACTTTGAACTTCGGATTGACAAATCTGAAGTTGCTTGAAGCCGACTAGAAGTTGGCGAGTTTCTGAAAGAATTTACGTAAGAATGTCGCAAACCAAATACGATAAAAGCGACGTTGAAAACAGTTAAAAACAGCGAGCGTTTTAAGAGATGGGTTCTGGGTCAAAACTTTGAACGAGCCGTATTATTACGTCGTTCTTTTAACAGATCTAATAGTACAAGCAAGAAAGTCGTTGTCATTAGAAAAAAAATTAAAACACTGGTTTTTCCAAGCCAGTACAAAGTTCGAAACTTGTAATAGTGCTTGTTTGCGCAACTTTGCAAAATAAGGTGAGAGTTCAACAAAGTTCAACTCATAAGTTTGCTCCATCAATAATACCCTGATACCGGCTTCACGTTCTAAGCAGACCGAAAAAGGCGCGAATTTAATTAAGTTTATCGATAAAGTGGCTTTCCTCTCGCTTCACGTTTTGTTTTTAATTTAAAAGTACAAAAAATAACTCAAAATGTGACTACAAACTTGGGGAATAATTTGTTTCTCCAAATACGAGAAAATATGTAATTTAAAAAGCGAGAATGACGATGTTGCTGGAGGAGGGAGCTTATCTGGTTACGCGCGAGAGGGGGAGAGGGTGAGGTGAGTCGAGATCGAGAGCGAGGTAGGAAAGCGAAAAAGAAAAGGGAAAAAAAGAAGACCCGGCCACAAAAACGACCCGGCGTATGCGCGGTTGCTTGCTAGGGGAGGGCCGGCTGTCTGCCCGCTCTGGTGGTTCGGCGCCGCGCTGCCTCGCCGATCGGCTCATCGCTCTAACGCCCTGCTCCGTCCGCCGAAGCCGCTCTCTTTGCGGCCGACGCACTCTCGACTCGCTTCCTACTCCGGAGCGGAGCGTGCGCCTAGCCATTCACGCCGCGACAGACTGCGGCGGCCGAAGAGAGCGCAAACACGGCGTGGCGGTCGTGCCGTTCAGCGACACACCGCTTGGCCAAGTGCAGAACCAACTCTTGAACGAGGTCTTCCATCACTGCTCCGCTCCGATTCATCCCGCTCCAGCTACGGCGCCCGCAATTTAGTAAGAATGGAAAAGAATTGTTTGGGATTCCTTTATGGACAGCTGAAATTAGAGAAACCGAAGCAGGAGATCGGATGGAGAAGATCGGGATCTGTTTTCTTATCTCTGCGTTTCTTGCCTTTTCATTAATTGGATTTGGCCAAATTAATTCAAAATAAAGTGAAAAAGCCTCGAGGGACGATTAATGCTATTCTGGAATGCCAGAATATAGTGTAGAATACAGTTTTGCAAAGATACGATGAAGATGCATATGCAAGAAAAACGTTTTCATATGATTTTAAAAAATTTTAATTTGCATATTTTAAACAAACAAAGTCTGGTTACTGTACCTTTGATTACTATGACACTTACCTACGCGTCTGACTGGTCGATGGCTCCTCGCTGGAGTAGTCTGGCTCGGGACTCGAGTCGCTAGAGGAGGTCGACGGACTGGACCGTAGCTGAGGTAGCAGGACCGACAAAGAGGGCCATGGACCGCCGGAAGCGCTGGAAATTGCGCCATTCCGACGTCGACTGACTCGGCCCTCCAGTTTCGGTAGCCTGGACTGTGACGAAACGGGCTACAATAGAGTTATTTCACATGCAATTCAAGAATTCCTAACTAAAACAACATGATATTCGACGTACTCGATTAATTACGCAAATTACGCGAAATATGGAGGAAATAACTGAAGATTATTCTCCATGATTTGCCGGGTTTAACGTTTAAATAAGGGCATCGAAGCCGCAATTTAATGGTCGCCTAGGCAACCTAACGCGCTAATACTGAATAGTATTAAAAAGAATATAGAGGTACTTGAGGATTACTAAAAGAAGAACCCAAATGAACGGAAATGAGAAAAGGAGTGCAAGTGCAACGCCTGGCAGCCTATAATAGTACTAAAAGCAATATATATAAATATACGTCTGAGTAGCCTGTGGCTCCTTTCCTTCGCCCGTAATGGAAATCCTCACGTCTTTCGGCCGCTGTTCCATGTCGATGAACCCGCAGGCCAACATAATTAAACCGACCATCCAGAAAAATGCCAAAAAACTTGTTTCAGCCGGTTTCCGCAAGCTCAGTCTATTAAGCGTGAGGGCCTGTACTAGAGTACTGTACTCTCGCTTGTTTGGATAGTACTGCTCGATGCTGTGAAGCTAATTATCTTAAGTGGCTTTCTGAAATGAGCTTAATTTAAGCCTGAATAGCTGGTTTAAACTCTGAAACTGTTTTATGTGTTTTTACTTTAAAGTTGACAGTAATTTTTAATTGTAAACAATGCAACCATCGTAATTGAACCCTATATTTTTAGTTCAATATGCATTACACCGTCCAATTAAGCCAGGATGAGTAACTCTTGCAGTAAAGTTCAGTTTGTTGTACTTTTAACTTGTGTTTTGTTTGTTTTCGTGTAACATTTCTCAATGATTAACCAGGGGAAGAAGGAAGCATATTGATGTAAGTCATAAGTTCTGTTCAGGTATTTCAAGAAACAATAACATACTTTACAACCCTTAAAAGGTACAACTATTACATTTACTTGAAGTCATCAACCTGAATTTACACCCAAAGCAGTTAAAAGTTTGAAAAGTTTAAAAGTAGCATCCTTAACTATTCAAAACGCTGTAACAGCTGAGATGGAAGTGATATGCCATTACTTTACAACATATTCCGATGGAATTCGGATTGAAATGACCTCAAAACACAGCTAACGGTCATCGATGGGACAGGCGTTGTCGTTGGTGGAATTCGCCGATGAGAGATGAACACAACAACAGAAGTCAGCTGACACAAGAATTCAGATTTATCACCGTCTATTATTAGTTGTTTGACCATCAAAGCGGTGTAAAGTTCACGTTATGATCAAACCAATGTTTAAATTAGCTGTTACAACAACAGTTGTGGTTACAGACAATGGCAGACAGCTAGATAGAACAGTAGACCACTTCCGAAGACTACAGAATACTTTTGGAACGTCAAAAGCATCTAAAAACAGAATGTAATCACGATACCTAATTACAGTCACAGTTTGATGTCCTTTTGTGGTGGCATTTGAGGAATTGCAGAAAACCAATCAAAGGTGGGGAAGAACAACATTGTCATTAAGACTTCGCTCAACATGTTGTTTATGTTTTTATGACTATCACTGTAGCTATCAATCCTTTCACGTGAATGCTTGTTGACTTGCTTATTTACTCTTTGGTTATCTATTTGCAATTTATTTCCAAAACTTGGTGACAAGATAAATAATTTTATAAATAAGCTGTCGTAAATCTCTATATTACTCAAGGTTTAAAATTTGCGCAAAACTCGTGCCAAAACCGGAATCCCTCGCTCTACCTCAACAAGGTAGACCTCTGCCGCAATAACCGGTAGTTGTGTTGTGAAAGGGCTTTCCTAAAACCGTTCCGTTTCAATTTCATTTCGAAAAAACAGATCTGAATCCGGATTCGAAACAGCGAAAATAGTGGCAGAACCGCCCATTCGATTGTCCGGTGACCTGAGAAGCCCGCCCCGCCAACGGCTCGCCTTAAAAGAGGAGTGGACTGGAAAGCAGCATCACAACATGAAGCTGATTATTCTTGTTGTTTTGATTGTTGGCGTCTCGGCCTTGCCCTTCGAGATCCGTGATCCTACTAGGGATGTGGCCTTGGAACAGCCAGGTAAGCGTCGGGTGTTTGTAACGTTTTTAAATTAATTTTTTCATATTTTTGACTTTACAGTTTGATGTGTTTCTAGTTGTTGATATTAAAAACAGTAATAAAACAACAAAACGATTCTATGAAATAATTTGTAGAAGAAACATTTGCTCGATCTGATACTGACAATGACGAGAAGTTGTCTTTCAACCAATTCCTCCTGACCGATCTCCCTTACGTCCAGCTCAAACAGGACGAGTTCAACAACCTCGACACAGACCACGATGGTTTTGTGACTAGAAAAGAGTATGAACAACATTATCAGAAGGAAAAAGAAAGTGCATATGACCTGAAGGCCGAGTACTTCGGCCAACTGTACGATCAGTTCGACGAGAACATGGACCTGAAGTTGGACATCGACGAAACCAAGAACGTGCTCGAGAAACGATTCCTATTGAAGCCACGAGAGAACTTCGGCGAGATCTTCCAGGGCTTCGACAAGAACCACGATGGAGGTCTGGACCTCGAGGAGTACATCAAGTTCGACCACGAGTTCCCCTTCCAAGAGCTCGACCCTCTCGACGCCGTGGAGCCTTTCCCTCAGAAGGCAGAAGGCCTCGAGTTCAAGAAGGAGAAGCTGCCAATGATGAAGTCGAGCTCATAATAGGACCACTCTTTACCAAACCAAAGGAATCTCATCTGTACAAACATTATTACTTACTATTTATTGATGGCAAGAAAATAAAGCTTTTAAACAACCCTTACAGTACAACAAGAAACGTGTCAACAGTACTGTTATATCAGTATCTAGGTGGTACTACTACAACAGCATAATAGTACCGTGCTTTTTAGCATTGGTCTAACATTGTTTGACTTATTTTAAATCTCCCGGCCGTTTTTAACTAATAATCAATAAAAAATGGCGGAAAACTTAAAAACCAAAGTATAATATCACGGAGACCAAGAGATCTGTGAGGTTAGATACAATTAGAGCCAAACGCAATCTGGCAGATGATGTTGGCCAAGGAAGACGCGTTACTATTGGCTACACATTCAAAGTTGCGACGATTAGATAAGACACTCTCGACGCTTGGCCACAACTTTCGCAACCTCTGTTTGGTGGAGTTGCTACTAAGGTTGGGATGTTTCTTGTAGCCAGAGAGACACCAGAAGGCGTAGAATTCACAAAGATCAAAGTGTTCGTTCTCTGACCTCATCAGTTGCAGGAATCCCTGCTTTAACATGTTTTCTTCTGATCCGATCTCACCTAAAATACGAAGATTGGTCGTAAAAATTCAGGTGTTTCATTAAGTTAAGCAAAAAATAGTGTTTCTTATGATGTGTGAGGCTAAAATAAAGTCCGCAACAAAGCTAATACTCATTGTCATGTTCTCTATGAACGTTATCTTACCATGGGAAGCGAAGTAACAAAAGTCGTTGAGGATCTGAGCTTTGGATCGTGCTGAGAAGAGATGTGGAGCTTCCTCCAGATGCCTCAGTATCCTTTCCCATATCCTAGAGTTGTAATTTACTCTGTAAATGTGACCATATCCCAGGTTTGTTAATGGTAACAGTTTACTGTCCAATGGAGCTAGCTCTAACCCTAAAGACACACGTTTGAAAATTAATTTAATTTAAGTTAATGTAACCAACAAGAGTGATGGTACAATGCAAAATATTAAATCCTCTTTTGTTGCCTAAAGCAGTATGGAAATTTACCTTGACTCAACATAAATGACACTGGCAATGACAGGTTTCTGATGGCGATTCTGAGTGGAAACAGTGTCAAGTCTTTATCATTACTATCCTCAGGTATAAACTGAGTCAGTCGAACTCGTTCGTTGATCTGCTCCAACTTGAGGTTAGGGATACCAGGAGTGTGGAACCAGAAGTCGTATATCTGAACTTATTTTTCAAATTTGACTTTAAACTGTCTTACTAAACTATCTTACACATACTTGACATCAATAACACCTTTAAAGTATGTCATTTTACAGTAATAACCCAGCAAAAAGAACCTACCTGTGCCAAGTCGATGCCATCTACAATATGAGACTTGAGTGATTGTAGGAAAGTGTCCAATGAGAAGGTCTTGTAACTGTATTGACGTATCAAACCTCGTATTTTGTCTAGTACCGTATCCTCGCCGAATACCGTCTCCAGAGACTCGAGATACTGTGCTCCTTTGTGTCCGCATCGTAGCGATATGTAGTCGGCTTCTGGAGGGTTTTCGAAGCTGAGAGGAGCGTCGTGGTCGAAGAAGGTATCGACCAGTTGTATCTTCACGTATTCGGACAAATGGTACCGTTGGAACATGTCCACACTTCTGGGATGGAAACCAGTCATCTTGGCCACTATCTTGGACGCTAGGAAGGCTACTACGTCTTCCTGAATTACAGTAATATATAAATATTACAAAAAGATTAGAGATTATACATCAAGACACTTATAACAAATATCTTGCAACAATACCTGGAAACAAATGTCGTGGAAATTGTCGATTGAAGCCAACCCGCCCATCCATTGGCGAATGAAGTTCTTGGCCAACATCTGAATCCGATGACATTCATCAGCATCTTCCCAGTACTCCTCGCTCAGCAGTATCAGTCCGGTACTATGGGTACCTATATAATCATGTTAAATACTGTAAGGTCACTTTACACTGTAATAAACAACATATTTTAGAAAAAAAGTAAACATTTGAAGCATTTGTAAAGCTTTAAACCAATATTTTGCACATCTTACTATTAAATTCATTCAGGAATACGATGTTGATCTTTGTGAATGGTAAAGGCTCTTCCATCAATTGGTAAACTCTCTCGTACACAGCTCCAGCTAGTCCAATTGCTTCATCCTTCAATACCTTGGACTGCCGAAACCGGTTAAAGTAAATGTAGATAGGGTATTTCGAGGATACTTGAGCCTGAAGTTATGTTTCCTTTTAATTTTTAAAAATATTTTAAAAAAGATCTTTTTTTGGTCCCACAACGAAAACTACAAAAGTTGAAAACAATATTTAGAAATTATAATCGTATTACTTACCCTTTCGTACATCTCAGGTAACACAATGAAGGCAAACATGTGTAAGGGCAGGTTCGCAGCCTGTACGAAATCTGTCATTTTCCAATGTTCGTGCACGATAAAAGCTTCGTGCTCATTCTGCATGTTTGACAAAGCGATAGTACCCGTAGGATGAATAATACTCAACCGAACTGACACTTTCCGTGAAGAATTCCGCACGATCGGAATCACGGTGTCTGCGTACGATGGAAACAGATTCGTGGCAATCGCTGCGGCACCTCCAACGTCTCTGTAAATAAAGTTCTTTACATAAAAACATAGGAAAATGTTTTACATTCAGTTTAAACTGATATTTAGAACTGGAACAGTAAAATAATTCTAAAAAATGATCTACCTGTAAAAGACGCCGTTGTCGTCAGTTATCGTCCCCACATATCGATCAATGTGCAAAGAATACCTGCCAGGTGATAACGCCGGTTCTGCCACTACAAAAACAATCTCGTTATCCAGTATTCTGACATCTATAACCCCAAACGTCCTCTGATCATTTGATAATGTCACGTTTTCAAAAGCTTCCAGATTCCTCGCTTTAAACTTCAATTCTGCGCCCTCAGGCTTGGCCACATTATCATTACTGAGTAGAGATGAACTGTGACCTCTGAACTGACTGAAAAGCGGCTTCGTCACCTGGAAATCTACCCTCAGAGCCGCGAAGAAGGTCGGGATCAACGGATCCGAGACAGAAGCTGTTGGAATCTGAATCTGTAGGTCGTAGCGAAGTGGCAGAATGCCGGAATCTGCCCCAGCCAGCTGGAAACAGATCACAGAACATAGGAACAGAAGCATACCAACCCGAATGACCATCGGTCTCGAACTTTGTGGCCTTTGTCTCGACCCTCAAAAAACACGCACGAATTCGCAGCGCTAAGGTCACTTTAAAAGCCGCAATCATGGCCTCAAGGTAAACAAAAAACCCTCAAAATAGGCCCAACGATTATCTGTTGGACCTGATTGAGAAGCGGCTTGTTTTACGTAAACAGTCATGTTCCAGCGTGTTTACTTTGCTCACTTTTGGTGAATGAGATATGAATTATGGAAGTTTTAGTATGATGCCAACAGTTGAGAAAAGCATTCATATACAATATATTTAATGTGACAATATATTTACAATCTCTTGAAATAAGCTTTTAAAAAACTCCTATTGTTCCAGGGACACAACCTTGTTTTATAACAACGAAAGTGCCCGACCTGTCCCGCTCTGATTGACTTCAAAATTTTTATATAGAACCATGCAAACATAACATTTTCAGCGAAGTACTAAATTGCGCTTTCCAAGAATTTCGAAAAAATCGAGATTAAAAAAATATGTTTTGAATTTCCCGCCAAATTGGAATTCTGTTTCAGACAAATCTGTAATTTTTTTGGCTTTTTATCATTTTTCTTTGATATTCTAATAAAAAACCTTTAAATTGACCTACATTTTTGTATTTGTAACCGGATCTTGCCTAGAAAATTGAAAAACGTTATTGAAACACAATGCCAAATTTGCCAAATTGGCGGATAATTAAAATATTTAAAAGTTGAAATTTTAAGGAGAAAAGTAGGTTTTTTTAATTTTTAAATACTATTAGAGGTACAAAGAATTTATATAATAACTTTGAGCTGATGCTGAGTGGGTCAGATAGGGTAGTTTCCCTGTGAGTGGAGCAGGGTAGGTACTTTGCTTGCAAGCGTTTGTAAATTTGTTTGCTGTTCCACTTCCTTCAAAACAAATTGGTTTTAAACGTTAATTCAAGGATGACACTGTTTATTAAATGGTTGACTTTACAGCGATGCCACAAGACACACCACCCCACCCCACATACGAATCCACAGCAATTACGTCGAGTTCCAGGTGATGTAGCAAGATGACGACATTCCCTTTGTGACACAGATGACTCAATATTCCCTTTATGAACTCCGCGATTTGTTTTCCCGCGACAACAATAATAAAACTAAATATCTTGAGATGTTACCTACACAACTGCATCGATTACTCTCAGTGTAATGTTTTGATTTCGAGCAGACAGTTATTGGAGTTAAGGTCGGTTATACAGTCGTACAGTTGTACAGAATATTATTGTAGGGTTGTTTTGTTCCTTCCAAAGAGGGTTATCTATTAGGTAGATCACTGATTTGGAATACTTTACAACTTTGGAGCACTCCATTGTAAAATATGTTTAGATCGTTCGGTTCTTTGTAGACAACAGCAAATGAATAGTTTTCTTCAACCGTACCGTATGCCTCACTACAGTATACCTATATGACGTGACAGAACTTTATTATTCGCGCTTCTTTATAGAATGATTACATAACCTATCGTTCTCTCTCTGTCTAAGTACACTACTTCTGCACTTATCATCCATACCTTTCATATATTATTCACAGTAAAAGCCTTCACAATATGAAATTGCTATGTTTGTGATACAAAACGACAGTAGAGCACCTTCAACCCCAAACCATTCAATGTCACTGTGTCAAATTATTTAAGATGGTCAGTGCAGAAGTCACAGAAGCGAGGGGAGGAATTCAAGCCTTCTGAAAGCGGAGTTTCGCCATCGTTTTTATTTTTTCTATTAGACTGAATCCGCGCGGATCCAGCGCGCTCTTTTATTTTGTGATCGCTTTAGGGCAGGGGGAGCAAGGCTTCAGAATCGCGCCGCTGATCGTGTTTAATCCTGCCCGAGTTTTGGTTGTAGGCACTTCATCTTTCAAGCTTTTTTTGCGCTTCTCGACCATTTTAAACCACGAATCCGCGTTCCCCTCAGGGCGTCAGCCTCGAGGGTCGTTCCGACTGCCTTCTGAATCCGTTGACTTTTGCATTTTTAAAAAATGTTGATTTTTTCGACTGAAACTGTTTCAGCTTTGGTCAATCTAGCGTTTTACAATTGTATTTCATTTTTGTTTTGATTTCATTTTGGTCAAACATAAAAGTCAAAAGGTAACCTTGTTCGTGTAAGTTGTACTCACTTTTTCGAAAACTAACTCTAATACCTTTTAATTGTCATACATCACCCACTAAACTAATGAAACTGTCTAAGTAACACTACTAATTGAACAAATTGTTTTGTAGTTTGTGCTTTCGACGACGGAAAGTTACCAAAACCCGCCTGCCTTGACTGGTTTCTGATTGCCCTGTTTTAAGCCTTCAGAAGTCGCAGGTCAATGTGGAGCCGCGAGGTCACACCGACCCATAAATACATTCATCGACTTCACGTGAAACGAGATATTTGTTTAGATGTTTTTGCTGTAAATAGTTTTACTGAGCGGTCATGTGTGATAGTTGTTTCATTTGCATTCAGAAGGCGTTCTTCGGCGAGATAAAATCTGAACTCAAAATGAGGTGAGGGTAACGGTTGGTTCTAGTTCGGACTGTTGTATTAACTTAAATTAGCTCACTTTGTCGCCGTTTCATGACCTGTATATGCGAGGTTTACCCAACTTGGTCAGCGCAAACCACAGCTTACAAAACTTTTTCACAGTGAATATTCCGGGATGCGCTTTACTATTTTGGTCAGAAAATACGTAGAATTTAGGCGGATTAAGCGGAATTTTGTTTTAATAATATTGTAGTAGCTTTTAATAAGCTACAACTGTACTTTCATTTATTTACCTTATTTTAGAGGCCAATGTTTATACTTCCAAAACTGTTAATTTTGTTAACTAAACCCACCCGCACTCCTCTAATTTGTTTATTAAGCGCAGTTGCAACGATCAAGTTACTGTTACCGAGGAGGGGTAATATCTCATCCTAGCCGCCGTCAAAACACTTGAAATACCTGAAGCCCTTCAAAAATATCCCCTGCGGGCAAATTACTTCTTTTGGATGGCTGCGCATGACCGTCTCTGAACCTCCGCGTAGTTATCTTCTCCTCGCCCCGACAATGCTGTTCCCTTACAAAAAGGTTTACAGTCAATCAAAGGAATCGAAAGCCGATATTATTTTATGTCTATTCATCGTTTCGCATGTCTTTATCGACCACGTCCTTTGCACAGATCTGATCACCTAAAGCATGGTCATCGAGACCGTAGGTGGTCACTTGAGGCGATATTATCATGACTTTTGATAGCCTTTAGATTATCATCAGAACTTATCGTAACCTTTACAAGGTCTCCACTTAAATGCTCGCAAAAGTATCGATACTTTTATACCATGCCTCTAATCCTCGTGAAGTTATCGTGACGTTTGATGGTCATCGAGACCTTCGTGGTCAAATTCGCGTTCGAAAAGATTTCTATCACAAACCCCAACTAGTTTGGCGAAACCGTCGATCAAGTCGATCAATTAAATTCATTCTCGAAACATTTGCAGGGTTCTCTAACCATGAACGAATCAGCGGATTCGGAGAATCCTCATCTCCGGAAAAGGAAGGGAAGGATACATCAGGTGAGTGTTACCTTTTCGAACAACAAAGGTCAATTAGCTAGCTTAAATTAAGGTAAAATATCTAGTAAAACTTATAAAAATAGTACACCCATAAATATAATAATAAATTTCAAAGATACTTCTCAAAATTCAAAGAAATTAAACAAAAAACTGTCGGCGAAACGAAAATTTTCTTAGAATATTTGACATTTCGTTGCAAAAGCCGATACATTCTGTAGCATTTCGTCTTAAATAAAAGAACAAAAAATAAATATTTTGGAACTGTAAAAAACAAAATTCCAAAATATTTTTATGTTTACTGTGCAGGGAGATTAAGTGAATGTTAATCATGTTATTGTACGGACCCTTAGTCAAATAGATAATATAATGGGATGGCTCTCTCAACAGGAAAACAAAGATCTGCTTCTGGAGGAAGAAAAAGTTAATATTCTTAATTTTTACAAATTTAAATTTACTTATTTTTACTCTTATTTTATATTTTCAGGCCATATGTGACAAAGTAGTTGGCAAGAGTGATTCGGCCAAGTTCTCAGAAGTATGGAAACAGAACTTTATGCACCATCCTTCATGGTGCGATGCCGACATGTGCCTTCAGCAGATCGAAGCTGTACGTTTTTTACACATTTTTTTAGTTGTTGCATTTTAATTTAAAAATTTAATTTAATAACGTTTATATTAAGCATCAACAATGTGTAAATAGAACTAATTTATACCTAATTTATATATTATGTTTATAGGGAAATGCTACGGGTAACACGATCGCCTTGTACTCGCGCTCTTTCTTTCAACAATGCTTGTACTACATGGGTGCTTTTGTACAGAAGAATCCCAAAAAGATTGTTTTTGCGGGGCTTGTTGTGTTTGCCTTCCTTATGTTCGGGTTGCGATATGTTGTGATAGAAACGGATATCGTCAAATTATGGGTATCACGTAAGTTATGTCAAAAAGCGTTTATCTTGTGTTTTAGAAGGAGGACGATTGGACGAGGAACTGAATTACCTCGGTAAAATCAGGTCTGAATACCACAAGGTTCACAAAAGGGCAGCGGATTTGGGAAGTCCTATAAAGCCGAATGTCACGATGAAGAAGAAGCCGGATATCAAGATAGAAGCTCCAGAAATACCTTCAGGCAACGGTCTTGGCGGAGGCTTTCAAGTTTTGATTCAGACGCCCAAGATTAAAGGAAGGAATCTGTTGAACAAAGAAGGTCTGTTAAGCCATGTACAAATCATGCAGGAGGTGTCTCAGTACAAGGTCAACATGTACGGAGAGTAAGTGACCTAATCTCTATTGTTAAACTAAGAATTTTGCTTGTTGTTTTACTTTGAAAACAACCTTTTCAATTGAATTTTATTAATTATATTCTTTAAGGTCTTGGTCGTTATCTGACATTTGCTTTAAACCCCCAGCTCCAAAACTCCCAGCTGGTACTTTGAATGGTGCAATTGAGACACTTCTGGAGAAGATTATACCTTGTATTTGGATCACTCCGATCGATTGTTATTGGGAAGGAGCCAAGCCTTTGGGACCAGACCCTCCTTTGGTGCTGGGCGAAGAAATAACAACCTTCATCAACTCTCTCCCCAAGGGCAACATTACGTGGAAGAACCTGGACCCAGGGAAGGTGGTCAAAGAGGTCTCTCAACTTTTGGAACTTGGTCTGGTCGAAAACTTCTTCGAAAGAGCTGGAATTGGCTCCGCCTATTTAGACAGACCTTGCATCGACCCCTTGGACCCAGAATGCCCTACAGAAGCCCCTAATCACTTTGATAAGTGTAAGGCCTTCGAAAAGTTCACCACGTGGAACAATGCTCTGCCTGGCAGTGACAAAATCAAGTTAGAAGAAGCTGTCGCTTACAATAATACTGGAGGCAAAAATGAAAACGAAATCGATTTGGTAGGACAACTTTTTGGAGGTCGTAAGAAGAGAGCCACTACAAATGCAACGACTTCTGACGATTACTATGATTCCGAAAGTGACTATGCTACTGAAAATTCTAAAAGTAAGCCTTGCTAGGTCTATAATTACAGTTTTACAACATAATTTTACCTTTTGGTGTGTAATATATGACAAATCTTTTATACTGACATTTCAGATGAAAAGAAAGAAGACCCAAAGGCAGCTTTGTGTCAGAAGTACGGTAACAGTTTCCTGAGATGGATGGACAAAAACCAAAATCGATGGAAGATGTTCCTGGAGGCAGAAGACTTCCCCAAGTACCCAGACTACGGCCAGGTTATGACCGGAGGCTGTCTCGGCTTCGGAAAGAACATCATGAAGTGGCCTGAGGATCTGATCATTGGAGGAGTCAGACACAACGAGCAGAAGGTGACTGAAGCTGCTGCCTTCCAGTCCGTCTTCCTGGTAGCCGGTGCTGGAGATGTGTACAACAGATTCAGAGCGGCCAAAGGGAACCTGAAGCCGAACTTGGACAGAAGCTCGTTTACCATCGCTCAAGCCAACGATATTGTCCAGACATGGCAAAGGAACTTCACCAAGAGAATCTATGACCACAAACTCAACTTGGAGGTTCGTTTCTTACATTTTCTTGGGTTTTATGTTGTTATAGTCATCAATGTTATGTATTTTAGTTGTTAAAAGTATAATCTTCTTTAATCAGTACTATTTTATATATCTTCAGGATAGTATCAGAACTTTGCATCCATTGGCCTCAACTTCTGTAGCTGACATGTTGGAGGAGTTCAGTCAGTTCAAGTTCTTTGTCATCTTCATCGGTTATGTTTTGATGGTAAGTTTTGTATAATATACAAGTTAATGTTGTTTTTATACCTATTCTTAAAACAGTCTTAAAATTTAAACCACCATTTTGAAAACCTTTTTTTAGATTATTTATGCTGGATACTCTCAATGTAGATTTGATGGATTCTGGTTCTCTGTAGACTCTTCCTGTCAGCTAGCCGTCGTGGGAGTTCTTCTGATTACCTACTCTTCAATTGGTGGTCTCGGTTTCTCCACTCTTCTCGGCATCAACTTCAACGCTGCTACAACACAGATCGTGCCGTTCCTGACACTAGGTCTTGGAATCGACGACATGTTCTTGCTCCTTCACAACTACAACGGTGTGCTACAAAGTGTGAAGACAAAAGAAGTCGCCATTTTGATGAAAGAGACTGGAATGTCCATACTCATCACTTCTACCAACAACATTTTGGCTTTCACGACCGGTATCATCTTACCGATCCCTGCCTTGAGGTCCTTCTGCTTGCAGACTGCTATTCTGTTGTCCTTCAACTTGTTCACCATCATGATCATGTACCCAGCTCTCATCTCTCTGGACATCAAGAGGAGAAAGAAGGGTATTAGGGATATGACATTCTGTTGTGGCCAAAAGCAAAAGAAACAGCTGAGGCCAGAAGAGAGCAGCAACCAGCTCGTCCGACCGGTAAATGCCGAGAAGAAGGCTGCCGAGTTCACTGTACCTCCAGAAAGCAAGGTCCCAGACCACAAGTGGTACACTCTGGAAGGATTCATGATGGGCTACTACATCCCATTGCTTAGAAGACCCATGGCCAAGGTGTTCATCTTGTTGATGTGCTTGGCCATGTTCGTCTTTGGATGCGTGGGGTTGTACAGATCCAGAATCGGTCTAGAGTTGGCTGATGTTTTGCCAGAGAATACTGCTCCATCTGCCTTCTTGAAGGCCCGTGAGGAATACTTCAGTTTCTACCCGATGTTCGCCGTTCTGAGGGGAGAAGTCGACTACGCCAATCAGCAGGCCAAGATTGAACAGCTTCGTCTGGACATAGGTTTGTTTCACAGACGTTACTAACTGCTATATACTATTATTTGTTGTTTTGTTACCGAATTATGAACATTTTAATATTTTAGCTAAGTCTGACTTCATCATCAAAGTGGACGGACATCCAAGTGAACCCTACTGGATGATGATGATGCGCGTCTGGCTTCATTCGATCCAGAAGGAGCTGGATAAGGGAATCAAGGAAAAGTTTATTGATCCAGTTACTGGAAACTTCACCTGGAACGATCGTCGAGTCACCGATGATATGAGGTTGGCCAGGAGACTACTATGTTCGTATGGCAACAAGTTCAACTGTACTGGAAGGGTAAGTTACTGTCACAAAGGTATAGTATGGTTCATACAACATAAGGTATTAAACCAATGTCTATTCTTTTTCAGATTGGAGTCGTGAAACTCATCGAGTCAGATGATACCATCAACCCAGAAGGCTTCTACAACTACCTCACGGGATGGTTCAACATCGACAACATGATGTACTACGTGTCTCAAGCCGCCTTCTTCCCCAGCCCACCAAGATGGGGCTTTAGTCCCAAGGAAGACGGTATTGTACCACCAGCACCACGCCTTCTCTACTCCCAGATCCCCTTCTACGGAACCCACCTGACTGACACTCCAGTTATCGTGGAGATGATCCGAGAGATCAGAGCTATCTGTGAGAAGTACACGGCCGAGGGCCTGCCAGTATTCCCCTCAGGCATTGCCTTTACCTTTTGGGAACAATACCTCCACTTGAGCTTTTTCTTGTTCTTGGCCATCGTCGTCATTGCTACTGCCGTCCTCTTCGTCATCTCTCTGATCGTGTTCAACCCATGGGCTGCGGCCATGGTTGCCATTGTCGTCGTATCGATGACAGTGGAATTGGCCGGCTTCATGGGATTGGTGGGTGTTAAATTGAATCCCATCTCTGCTGTAACCCTTGTCACTGCCGTAGGTATCGGAGTCGAATTCACAGCTCACGTTGTACTGGCTTTCTTGACCTCATTGGGTACCAGAGACGAACGTATGGTATCTTGTATGGAGCACATGTTCATTCCTGTTATTCATGGAGGTTTGTCGACTCTTCTGGGTATCGTCATGTTGGCCTTCTCGGAATTCGAATTTGTGGTTGTCTACTTCTTCGTTGTCATGTCCGCTCTCATTGTCATCGGTATGATCAACGGACTGGCTATGTTGCCAGTTTTACTATCTCTAATTGGTCCTCCATGTGAAGTTGTACCACGTGGTGGCGGAAAAGTTCTTGCCGTTCCACCACCCTTGAACAAGAAGAGGAAAGACAAGATGCCATTGGCAGAAAGTAAGTTTTTTAAATTTAAAACCTAGTTTTGACTTATTTCCATATTGTTTTGCAAATTCTACGAATTGTTGACACTATCTTAACCCCATTATAGAGAAAGACGAATCCTCGACTTCCTCGTCTGCCTCATCTTCAGCCGAAACCAACTCCAATTACCACGAACACTTAGCGACCATCGATGAAGAATGTCAGACAGAAAGCAATCCTCCATCCTCAGTCAACAAGAAAGACAGTCAAAAAGACGAAACAGCTGACTCGAACTCGGTTCAACAACGTTTCTAATCCGATTATCGACTGGTCGTTTCGGTTAAATGTCACGGGTCTTATTAATCTCCCAGTTTATATTACACTTCTGTCTTAATGCCACTTTTATTATGCCCAAATGTAATTATGAGAGAATAAAATAATTTAAATTAAGAAACGACAGCTTTACAAACAAATGTTCAGAAGTCTGCAAAACCATCGAGCCAAGTGTCCCTTTTCCTTGTGAGTCAAGTCTTTCCCTTCCAAGTTGACCCAGACGATTGATGAAGATTATTTGTCGCTGTTTGAGGTTATCGTACGTTGAAGTCGCTCAACGAAAAGTCTCGCGCGTCTCCGAGCTGTTTCCGGCTTTCCATGAGAACATCAACCTCTTTCTTTATATCCTCGAAGACTTCGTCTATCGTCTGAGAAGCGTTAACCTCCTGAAACATTGATAAAGGTGATGTAATCGAAGTGAATCACAAAGTTTTGTATGAGTAATTGAATTTACCTTCCAGAATTCTTGATTGAAGACTTGCATGATGTTGTTGTAGACTTTGTTTTGGAATTCTTCTTTTTCGAACGCTTCTCCGCCGAACTCTTCTCTCTTTGATGTCACCGACGAATCGGCTTTTAGAAACAAAACCAAGTCCGGCTTCAAAAGCCCGACTTCAGACTTGCATGCTTTCGAGAGACTCAGCTCCGGGATGTCTTTGGCCGCGCTGTAAGCCACGCCCGAGAAGGAATACCTGTCGGCGATAATGGTCTGACCCTCGCTGATCTCCTTCCGGATCTTGGCATCGAGACACTTTCTGTTCTCCACAAACAGGTTGTGGATCTGGATGGCGTCTTGTGTCACGTCCTTGGCTGTTTTGAGGAACTCGTCGATCTTGGGACCCGTGGTTGGCTCCTCGCGGTCTAAAACAATTTGTTGGTGAGCTTTATTTATTACCAGGATATCTTTGGATGCGCGCAGGATATCCTCTTCCATTGAGATACGCTTCGATCTTCTTGGACTGCGTTGACTTCCCGCTTCGATCTAGCCCTTCGAACACGATGAATATACCTCGAGGCATCTGAAACCGCATAAACCTTTTTAACTACCCGAAAGCTCACACATAATGGTAAATGTATCCGCGATTACAGTAAGAGAATCATAAGCGTAGAAGTAATTAAAGTTTATTAATGTACAGTAGTCGTATAAATATCATTTTAAAACATACAGTAAGCAAATACAGAGATTACAGTAATCACAAGACATATAAGCACAAAAAACCGTATATATTATAGTTGATATGGCGATTGAAAAGTGTAAATTTACAGAAATGGACTAATATTTATTTCGGAAATGTACAGTAATCGGGAGCCCTTTGCTCGGCTTTAGGATGATTTCGGGACAGGGACAGTTGTCCTTGAAATTCATGGCCGGACGAACTTCGTAGACTCTGAGAATCCACGACAGAATCGTCTTCTCCTCCATCAACGCAAACTTTTGGCCAATACAATTCCTGGGCCCGGCAGAGAAAGGAATGTACGAGAAGGCATCTCTACCATGGATATTCTCAGTTTTAAAATTGTCTGGGTTGAACTTATATGGGTCACTAAAGGATTGCAGGTCTGTGTGCAACGTCCCCGGACTCAGGAGAAGGGTCGTGTTCTTGGGCACAGTATACCCCGCTAAAATCGTAAAACAGTCGTAATGATAGATTATAAGGCATAAAATGATCGTTTTAAAAAAATATTAAAATTATTTGCAGCAAACTTCAGTAATATTATAATATAAACTATAGTTTAATCTATAGCAAACCCAGTATAACAAGATCAAACCTCCAGATTTAAATAATTCAAACCGTACCACACTGAATGTCCTTCTCCAACTTCCGAGTGAAAAAGGGAACCGGAGGAAAGAGACGGAGCGACTCCTTGACGCACTGCTCCAGATAAGGTAACCGTTTCAGGTCATCCACAGTGCAGCCACGAGACGAGCCGCCTGCCAATAGATACAATCAGTTCAGCGTCACTTACCGAAAACGGCATCCACCTCCTCCCACGCCTTTCGCTGATACTCGGGGAAATGGGCGAGGCACCACAAGGTCCACGCCATGCCCGACGAGGTGGTGTCGTGACCTTCGAACATGAACGTGTCCACCTCTTCCCTGATGTCCTCGTTGTCCAACCCACCTTCCTCCTTCACTTTCAGCAGCAGATCCAGGAAAGCCATCCGCTTTTTGTCATTCAGGTTTTCGCTATGGAACTCGTCTGATCTTTGCTTGATTACCTAAAACAGTATTATTAGCTTGTTATAAGCTCTCAAACAGTCTTGAACGGTTCAGCAAAACTTTTGATTACTACGTATCCCCAGTCTTTAATTTACTCCATACACAATCTAAAAATGCATTGTCTTAACATTTATCTTACGTTTCTTGTAAAGTCTGTAACCAACTTCAGACAAGCATCGTATTTCTGTCCGAACCCAGAAAGGTACCAGATAGGTTTGAGCCACAGCCACGGCATTCTCGAGTAAACAAATGACAATTCGTTCATCTGTTTGACGGCGTTTACATAAGGGTGATCGACGTATGTTTGGGCATCTACTTTGATGCCCATTGCTGTGGCTAAAATACACATTTTTTGATTGGCCAACAAATACAACTCAAGAAAAACCGTATTTTAAGCTACACATTATGCTAATTTTAAAACACTTACCGCATATTATGTCTAAAGCACATCGTTTTATATAAGGATACCCATCAAACGTCTCTCCACTTATAGCAAACTTCTCCAGTACATCAACTAAGATCTATAAAAAGTTTGTAAAGTAAGTATTAGACATGTAATAATATCTTAACCCAACATCATACCTTGGCCTCCTCATCGTGTACTTGATGGTACTGATTGAGCATTGAAAAGTGGAACGCTGGTGTTATCATCTTTCTCCTGCCTCTCCACTTGTCTCCCTTACTCGTTAATAATCCTTGACCTAGCCATCGTTCCATTATCTTATACTCGTCACCTTTGGTCAAGTAATCATTGCTTTCTAAGATAGCTTTGGTAGCTTTCGGCGACAAAACTGCCACAATTGGGAATGGGCCTAGCCAGATCCGGATTAGGTCTTCCTTCATTGTGGTCTGATAGTAAATCTGCCATTGTAGCAGTTGCTCGGTCAGTTCTGTAATTAAAACTATGCTTATATATTAAATAATGTTTGTACACAATACAAAGCACCAAATAACAAGTTAACGTCTGGCTAGCCACAAAAAGTAATAGTTTTCGAAGTTTAATCACATTAAAAATGACCAAAACAAGACATTACCTTCGATCTTCCACTTAAACTGCCAAGTAGTTCCAACAATAGGCAAGGAAAAAGGTCCAGGAATCTTCCCGATGTAGTATGTCAACCGAACTCTGTTCACACATCTTATAGTAAAAGCCTTTATATAGTCAAACAACAAAATAACAGCAGAGGCAAGGAAAAACAATACTATCAAGCCCATAATGTCATTACTGATATGTTAATAGAAGTGGCCGCATTACTGATAAGGCTAACTGGTGAAGCTGCTGATGGTTTCTCGCATCTCCGAGTTCTTTATGTTATTAGCGAATGTAAGTGCTGACTGCAGCGATTCTTGGGTGAAGAACTGTTTCCTGCCCTTCAGATCGTGCAGAATTTGAGAAAACTGAGAAACACACAACTCCTTGTCGACTGGAAACACAAGCTGAACGTACTTGAGAAGGAGGGCCAATGTGCTTGTAGGTAACGATGGGAAGTCAGGTATGTGCATTACGAATAAACCGGCTGTCTTGTGGTCACGCTGACTGATGGTGTATTCTGAAAAAAAGGTAAAATTATGTATAAACTAACCAAAATTAAAAAATATCAAAAAGAAGTTTGTTTCCTCACCAAAAACATCCAACAAAGCCCCAATAGTACCATTAAGATGCTCCTTACTGACTATCTCCAGTCCTCCGACTGACGCAAACATACAAATAAATCTGTAAAAGGCCAGTTTGATCCCAATGTCAAGTACAACCTGCTCTTTTCCACAAGTTCCAAGGTACTCACAGCAAAAAGAAGCCATCTGTTGCATCGACTTCCCTACTGCAGTAGCTCTGCAAATAGTTTATCATATTTAATATCAGCTGAACAAAGAAATCAAATTTCGAAAAATAATTAAAAAAAGATGACATTACTTACAATTCATCATTTATATCGTTCTTTTCGTCTTCAATGGCTTGTACAAAGGTCTCTGCCAATTGGAAACAACACACTAGTTCATCTCCGTTGATCTAAAACATCATCAATAACTTGTATACCTATATTATACAAGTAGTTACAAACTTTTAATATTCGTATATAACCCTACCTTTTTAGGATCTTCTGTAACAATACGAATCCGACCACTAGTCATCGAAGCCAGTAGCTGAAACAACTTCTTGTCAGCTACAACCCACGATGGACCCAGGATCTGAGAAGTCAATCCTCCAGAAACAAACGCAAATGACGTATATTCATCAGCTAAAATTATACAAAATAAAACTTAAAAAACAACTAAAGAACGTACAATATAATTATACAGTAGTCAAAAGTTACTTACGTATACTGTAAGTCCGTAACAACCTCTCAATAACCGTTCTCAAGGTAGCCGGCCAACTCAAAGCTACTGCATTTAACTGATTGTCCATATCAAACACATTACTCAACGATTTCAGTCCAGCGACCACAAAACTCATTATTGTTTTCGACGGAAACTAAAAAAATATAAAGTTCAATAGATAATACTCCTCTTTCATAGATAATCTTATGACAAAACATCACTAAAAACATATTTTAACTACCTGATCTACGTTGTCCTTTATGAAACCTAAAAGAATATTCAAGACGGCATTTAAATCATCGACTGATAGATATTGTACTCCAATATGTGACAGAGCATTCAAACGAAGTTCCACATCATTCTCTGTAAGTCCATTTCTAGAAAATTTAAATATGGACCTAAATTAGATAAAAACTAAAAATATTTATACCAAAAATACTAAAGATATAGTTAATAAATTCAAAAAATGAATCTAACATACCCTTCGCATAAACTTTCCCTGATTCCTTCACACAACGGCCGAAACTTTTCTTTCTCTGAATCGTTAGATAATGGCACTAATATGTTGACCATGGTAACAACGAGGTCAACGACATCTTCATCTCGTTCTAAAGAATAAAACCTTTGAAAGTAATTAAACCTACGTTGAAGTAGAAATTGACTTATAAGATTGCTTGGAAAGTGTTCTGCCACTTCTTTTGCTTTCCTTTCATCCAAATCGAATTGTTCGCAACAGAAAGGTAGCTAAAACAAGTCGTTATGACTAAAATGGATTTCCGCTTAACTAAAACAGTATTACCCACTTTAAAAATTAATGACAATCGTTTAAATGGATTATCTGAAGACTTGTACTCGTGCAACCAAACTTCAAAAGGTATCTTCTCTTTGCTTTCTAGTTCTGCTTTTAACTCGTCCATATCCATGTCTACATCTTTCACAGATAGATCCATTTCGACCGTCCACCTATTTTTACTTTTTTTCGCGCGCCAAAATTATAAAAAAAATTTCGTGACATTCCGTCACAGATAATATTGGTTGAGTTTCGCAGCAAATAAAAAACGTCTCGAGATTTTTTGATTCGATCGAAAACTTTGGAGACTCAAGGGTTATCCTCATGGTTGTTTTGTGATGGAAGCACATCTTTTCCAAGAGATTCATGATACTATTGAGGTAGATTCTAGGCTTATATTAGTGTTAATCTGATTGAAATGATGTTTGTAATGCTTTATTTCAGGAACATCAGAACTCGCTGACTTTGACTGTTCAACATGGATCTCCGATTCAGAAGGTGGTGTGGTCGGGTTTTAATTACATGGTTGGACCTGAATTGAAATTTGTGTGGAAGGTAGAATCCGTTGAGCCTTATCACTTTAATATCCCTGACGAGACTTCGAGCGATGGTAACTTCCCTTCAATTTCATCCGATGTAAAAGTGAGTCATTCGTTAATTCATTTATGTGTTTAGAGTACACAAGGAAGTGGACTTCTGTATGATGATTGTATGACGTATATGAATGAGAGTAAAGATTACTCTAGTTATTCTGATGACTTTGAAACTGAAAATAAGGTAAAAACCTCGTACGAAGCTTTTATTTAAAAATATAATTTTGTTTATAATACTCCCAATACTAAACTTTATTTTTGTAGTTTCAAAAGTCTTCTGAATCTCAAGCTGGTACGTCAACATTGTGTTCGTCTTCTCATCCTCACTCGAATTCAACTTTGAGGTTAAACAACACTGATGCGGCTGGAGATGCTCCTATTGAAGACGAAGGAGAATACCGGGAGCGAGATTACGAATCGGAAGATGACAATTCATCGTACACAAAGCTGTCAGACAAAGAGGAAGATGCGGAAAAACAGACGGACAACAAGTTGACAACATCTATTGTGGATTCGGGGATTACAGGGACCGTATCGGTACATAGTGAACTTAGCACAACATGTAAATCTCCTCGATTGAACTTGGAAGGTCAGTCTATAGCTAATTTATCATCTTCTTCATCAGAAAAGAGTGATTATGGATATTGTGATGAGAAAAGGGATGAAGATAAGCAGTTATCAGACAGCGAACAAGATACTGTAGTTAATTGTTTGGACAGTAAAACGACAGCTAGCTTTTTAACAGTTTCCAACGTTTTGACAGATTTGTCATTAGTGGGAGACCAGATTGACAAGGATATAAAGGAAGGCGAGCTACTACAACAAGAGAGTAAGACCTTCAAGCAGGTGGAAGGAGATGATTGTAATGTCACTGATGAGATGTTTGTAGCTAAATACGCATTGGCTGAACAGATTTCTAGGTAGGTTTATAAAAGTATAAGCATACTATAAGTTTAAATGACTAATTTGACAGTATTTTAATTTATGTGTTTGTAGCCCGTGCTTTGAGTCTAATCCAATGGTTTGCAAGGTAGCTGTCATACCGAACCGACAGATATTGATAATGAGTTTCTTGTACAATCTTCCTCAGCACGACAAGGAGATGATGGCTTTATCTTTAATACTCCCTGAAGAAGCGTGAGTTTTTTCATGATTTGTTGTTTTGATATAAAGGTTAATCGTTATTTACTATTTATAATAGAAAAGGTCTTTAAGGTTTACGATATGTTATTTGTTAGTAAACCTATGTTATCGTATTATAAATAAGAGTAATTTTAGGAAGGACTGGTTAGGAGTGCGAGAGACTGTATTCGAACACATATTTCAAGATATTTTATGTCGCTTTAAAGCTTCGTACATGGTAGAAGACAAGGCCGATGTGATATGTAGGATAACTGGAGATATATATAATATGTTGTCGCTGTTTGGCAATCTAGAGAGATATCCTTTATTAAACAACAGTTATGTAAATGTAAGTCGACATTTATTCTTGTATTACTATAAGTTTTAACACAGTTAAACTAAACCAATGATTTTAGATACGAAACACGATATTTATGAAGTCAGATATAACATTAAAGGAGAAGGATTTCTTGTACCGGTCGTTAACTGGATGCCTGACGTGTCAAGGAAATTGTGTTGTGATAGGAGTTGATCCCGAGTATGTAGAACAAGTAAGTTTATAATGGTGTTTGGTTGGTAGTAGGCACGTGATTACTTGGATTTCGAAAATAATTTGAAAATTTCAGTTTATGTTGATGTTGGCGTTCTTCCTCCCTCCAGAGCATCGTATTTTGTGTTTGAAGCCTCACGTCTCTAATTACAATCCTTACCTCAAGATACAAGCAGTGAAGCGAGATCTCATCGAGGATCTCTACGTGTCTTCAGTAGAATCACACTGGTCTACATGTTTCATTGACATAGACAGACATCTCGTAACCTACTCTGGTAACTATTTCGTGCATCACGAAAGGAAACAAAGGTTGGCCATGTATCAGATGGGATCCATATTCATGGAGGCAGGTCAGAATTTGGAGTCGGACGAGGAAGTCTTCACCAAAAAACAGCCTTTGGTGTAAGTTAAAATACAATTTTATATTATTTGACTTTGTCTTTACAAAATACTCTTCTACTTTGTTTCAGTGAGCCGTTGTTAGTTCCTCCAGACGCTTTCTTGATCTCTCACTTGGAGGCCCTCTGGCTGTTACCTCCAGAGCAATCAGTTCGATCAGTCGCTTTGAATCAGATATTGTTAACGCTAGATTACCAAGGTAAAGCCTTCATCGAAACGGTCAAAGACATCAGTGAACCTTCGAAAACCTTTAAGGAGAACGCCGTATCGTGCCGATGGAGTCTGAGCACGGTGCGGAAGATGATGAACCTCACAAGCGACTCCTCCTTTAATATCTGTCTGTCTCGCGCCGACATGCTCAAGCCCAGTCTGGCCCAGTTTATCTACCAGTGCACCAATCACTTCCGGTAATTATATTTCAATTTCGTATCAAGTGCCTTTCCTCACAAGCGGCCTTTTTTTATATTACGGTATGTAAAGAAACTATGTCACAGTATATAAAATAATATATGTCGTTTATTAAACGGTCAAAATATTAATTTGCTACTAAAATACGGTGTTCTACTAAAATTAAACTGAAGAAAGATGTTTATCTGCCCATATTAAAGCCGAAACCGCTACTAATCCCAAAGCCGACCCCGTTACCTAAACCTACATTAAGCCCGCTCTGTAGCCCCAAACCCTGATTTTGGTTATAGTTCTGGTAGTAGTTAGGGTAGTAACTGGAGTAATAGGGGTTTTTATATTGTTGTTGGGGACCATACTGAGATTGATACTGGTAGGGGTTCTGGGGACCGTAAGACGAGTAAGATGGCGGGTTACTGTAATAATTATAAGGGTTTCGTTGAGTATCGTAATAATAAGGTTGTTGTTGCTGACTTGGTCGATAGTTGTAGTTGTTGTAGTAGGGCTGAGAGTTACTATATGCGTTATCGTAATACTGCCTCCAGTAGCTGAAAGTATAGTAAGATTGTTTTATTAAGTCTTCTTTTGCCTTTAATTCATTTTTGAAATATTTTATTTCTTTGATGCTTTTCTGGTAAACGTACCGTTCGTAGTCGGTCCACGTCGTGCGGGACTGCTCGGGCTGCTGGTAGCTGGTTTCTCTTAAGTACTCTCTTTCTTGTTCTGGATCTCGGGGATTCTCCAAGGGGCGACTCAGCGACGAGGTCTTGTCTGAAAATAAAACCGTCTGTTGGAGCCAATGATTACCGTAACTCGCTGAACTGACTTTGGCCGAAGGGTGAGAAGGTGTCGGGCGTGGTGAACAACCGTTGCTCGGGGGGTGCCATCACCCTGCTACCGGTGGGCAAACGAAAGATGGCGAGGGGACGTTCGGAGGCCAGGATTTGGAAAAAGTCACGGTTGTGCGAGGAATCGAACAAATTCTCCATTAAAACCTTGAACTTGTGCAGAACTAAAAGCTATCATTAGGGGTACTGTAACAGAACGGACAGGAAAGAGGTCAGCCAACATTGAAGCCGATCCCACTGCCCAGGCCGAGGTTGAAGTAGGGAGAGCCGACATCTATGTTCCAGCCATAATTAAATCCAAACAACTGGCTGGGGTTGTAATACTTGGTGCTGGGATACGGTAGAATCGATTGATAAGGTTGTTGATAAAGTTGAGGTTGGTACGGGTTGTGAGAACTGTACGAGTTTGGTCAAAAAGTAAATAGAGAAAACGAAAAAGTTTTAAAAAAATAAAATTCTATACACTTTTTGATCAAGCCCATAACTGATAAGAAAATACCTGGAAGGATTACTGTAGTACCTGGGCTGTATAAAACTTTGAGGTACTGCAGTCGTGCAAAGTACTGGATTCTCTAAACACAAGTCAGAACCAGACGGGACAGTTGGTGCTGTTGGTACGTAGTAAGTGTCGTCGCTCAAGACTACAAAAGCAAAGCGTGCACGAAATGATAAGTGGTGATAGTGATTGTGGTTTGTCTCAAAAGTTCTCAGAAGGCATTACATTTCAACTGTCCGAGGACTTTTGAGACACGATTGTTAGTACCAAACACTCACCTTCATCTGACAGTACCGTCTTCTCCTTCACCTTGACTTTGTTCGCTGTCACTTTATTGTTTACTCTGTCATTCTTGTCGTTCAACAACTCTGAATCCTCACAATCGCTTCCAGTACATTCAGGAGTTGTTGTTGTGGTTATCTCTGTCACATCATTGTCGCTCTGTTCTTGAGAGTACAGTAACGGAACTAACAGTACGAACAACAAGATACGATACATTCAGTAGCCAGAATCTTGTAGCAAGTGACCGAGAAATCTGACCTAGAGAATTCTCAAATTGACTTGTCGCGACTTTAATCGTCGTATTAAAATTATACTTGAGGGCGGAGTTACCGAGCAATAGACACCTGAATATAAACAAACAATTGCCTTTCCTTGTATACATGTCCTTGAAGATGTATGTGCACATTAAGGCATTTCGCATGACAAAACATAAACTTATGACGAAATCGTTCGTTTCGAGGTCTTTTACTCAGTACATTATGGTGCTTTATAGTGGGATGACAAAATAGTACTCCAAAGGACCATAATGATTGATGACAATGTAAGTTAGGTCATAGAGTAAAAACAATGATATTTAATGTTTTAACAATAAGTTTTAAAAACTGATAACAACAATACTTAAAAAGGCTAAAAAATATCAGTGACTAATTTTAAATTTAAAAAAAATAAAAAATTATATTACCCATGCCTGCAAACTAGTTGCTCCCCCTATTACCCTTTATAAGGTCGACTAAAAGCATATAATGAAGCCAAGAGAAGTGAAAGTAAAGCCGCTTACCTGTTGTGTCGTTCCTTTCCAACATCCGGGGTTCTGAATTTGGGGATCAGAAGCGATTACGTAGCCCGAATTACCCAAACCATTTCGGAATTGTTTTCCAGTCTTGGGCTTACCATCAACAAGATTGACGTTCCCTTTTATAACTATATTAAACGTGACAGGTTGTGAGTAAGAAAGTTTGAAGACCTCTTGCAGGGCCTCTACCACAACATACGGTTCTTAACCTCTGTTTCAATAAAATTTCAAAATCATTTCAAAGCGTGCAAAACATTAAGCGCAGCCTAACAAAAATAATTTAAAAATATTTTAGCTATAAAAAGCAAGTTTAACTCCACAAACATAAGTAACAGTTTTCAATTTATTGTTTATTTGAACAAAGCCGATATAAACCTATACCTTCAACCCTTTTGTTGAGTATTTCGACTAGGGGTGTTAGCACCATCAGATTTTGACTTCTGAGTTGCATCTTCTCCCATGATCTCGCTGATCGTGCCCATCATTGGTGACTTACGACGAGCTGATCTTCTACTACCTGACTTCTGAGTTATTGGCACGGTTTCACCGGTCGAATTCTCCAGATTCTCGACTGACGGTGTTTGGGCCTTGAACTGGTCGAAAAGTCTACACAAATATGGCACTCGAGACTTGCCAAAGCGTTGACGCTAAAATATTTTTTAAAATTCATTTTATAGCTATTTTTCGTAATAGGTTTTCTCAAAAGAATAGGTCCTCTTGCGAATAGGTCCCCTCGCGAATAGGTCCTTTTGTGAATAGGTCTCCTCAAACGAATAGGTCCCCCGGAATATAGGTCCTTTTGCGAATAGGTCCCCTCGCGAATAGGTCCCCTCAAACGAATAGGTCCCTCGGAATATAGGTCTTCTCGCGAATAGGTCCCACTATTTGAACGAATGAGTTGCTTCTTTTATTTTAAAAATGAAACTTACTTCTTGGTCAATGTAGTAACAAACAGCCAAATAAGCGGCGATGAAAGTCAACTCCAGAATCATGACCACACAACCAAAATGGGTCTATTTATCTCGGAAATTGCTTGAAATTCGGGAAAATTCAAAGAAATTTGAATATTTTTTATTTTTCAAAAAAAGTTTAGGACAATTGCCAAAGTAATAGCGAGCAATCGGAATTCTATATAAACTACACTTTATGGTAGATTCGATTGTATTTTTAGTACGTTTGCAGATAAAACCTCATTACTATTTTATTTTATAGAAAATTAACAATTATATGCCAAATATAAACACTTATTGACTCTAATAAACATAATATACAATACTTTATCCCCTCAGGTCTTCATCAATTTCGGCGTAGAATTCCTCACGAGCATGGTCTTGAGCATCTAGTGGCTTTGTACTCACGGCATCGTATTTTCGGGCTGAAAGTTTAAACTGTTGACATTTTTTTAAAATAAGTAACGCTTCTAACACACAAATATCATACAAAAACTCAAGGCTTTGGTTGGTTTTTTCTTACTCAGTCATCCTATGTATTTAGCACCACCTTTATATGACTTACATGTTTTTGAAATCGCAATTGATACACAGATAATGGAAATCACAAGCAGTAACACGGCATTTCCAAGTTGAATAATGTAATGAGAAGAAATCGGTTGGTAAGCTGAGGCACTTGGCGTCATTCCAAGACCGGTCACAAACAGCTGAGCGATGAAAGTGAAAAATAAACATTTCTAAGTTGTCTGGCAAACTTTTATTTGCTTTTTGCCATTTTTTAACATTATATTGATCTGAAACATTGTAAGGTAAATTGCCATAATTGTCATTTTAATCAAAAAATGTTACATCGTATAACATTACTCTGCAGCGCGCGGGCACTCGGGCGCACTCGAAAGACCAAAAATAAAGAAGTCCCAATATTTTCTGAAAAACCATTTTCTGTTGGATGTAGGAGTATGGCTACGCTGTACGACCTTAGTCCACGTGATATTCCTCACAAAGAGTTGAACAAGCTTGCCTTCAGATGTTATACTAAAGAAGAGATCGAGAAATTGAGTGTGGTTGAAGTTACTCAAACAAAAACTTTTGATAATGTAAGTCCTCTTGTTTTTTACCTTTGTTACAGTTGTTTTAGTATTTATTTTATTGATTTACAATGTTTAGGCCGGTTTCCCAGTCAGAAATGGATTGTACGATCCGTTGTTTGGTCCAACGGAAATGGTTGATAATTGTGAGACTTGTGGGTTGAGAGCTCAATATTGTCCTGGCCATTCAGGTCACATGAAGTTAAATATGCCTGTCTTCAATCCTATGTTGTTTCCTATTACTTTTGAGGTATGTTAATGTATGTATTCAATAATTGGTGTTTAGATAATGAAAGGAGCGTGTGTACACTGTCATAAGTTTTTTGGAACAAAAGAGAAGCAAATAAAGGCTGTAGATCTAATAGATTTGAAAGCAGATGAAGAAGAAGAGAAGGAACCTAAGCCAGTCGATGATGCCAAAAGCATTGTAAGTTCATATTGTTAACGTTCACTAAAAAGTAGTTGAATTCATGTAAAGGATGATTCTTATTTTTGAATTTTAGCTTAAATCGAAAGCTTCTTGTCCTCACTGTAAATACCGTTCTCCAACGATCAGAAACGACTTCATGACCACGATGTTACTCGACTTTGCTGCTGCCAAAGCAAAAGGATTAAAAAACGTAAAGAGCAAAGTGAAAACAGCGAATGGAGAAAGTGATGATGACGAGAACAGTAAGATAGATACTTTTTTCAACGATTCTAAAAGCATCTTAACCCAAAGCACATTAAACATGTCAAAAACCAAAGACACGATTGAACTACAGCTAAAACAAGTTCGTACCGGAAAGGTGGACAAGCTGGCCTGGAGGGCGTTGGAGGTCAGAGATCACTTCAGATTATTGTGGCTTAATGAAAACATCAATCTGAGGAAGTTGTACCCATTCTTTGGCTTTATTGAAGAGAAATGCGAGAAGAACTGTCCGATGGATGTGTTATTCATGGAGACTATTTTGATTCCGCCTACTAAATTCAGACCGGTCAGATTTTTTGCTGGGCAGAAATACGAGAGTTCGTCTACAGTAATCTTCAGAAAGATTTTAGAGGCTGACCAGCTGTTGAGTATGGTCAAAATGTCACTTAAATCCAATAAAGAGTTCATGAACGTTAAGGTAGGTTAAGGGTTTTTAGATTTAAAGTATAAAGATTTTTGAAATTTTCGTTTTTAAAAGTAAAAAAAATCAAATAGTATCGAAATTTTTTAATAGTTAATGGCTTTCTTACTTTATTCTCTGTTTTTGAATGTATTTAAAATTTACAAATTGTTTAAGGAGCTACTTGAAGCACGAGTGCATGGAAAGACTTTGAACGAAAAGTTGTACAGTGCTTACGTTGCGTTACAACAGGCTGCTAACAATTTGTACGATCGAGATGCAAATCCTATGTCTCGTGGCAACGGAGAAAAGGGCTTAAAACAGATCTTGGAGAAAAAAGAAGTAGGTATAGTGATTACATTGAGTTATATTTTACAATATAAAAAATGATTTTTATGTTTATATTATCAATCTTTAGGGCCTGTTCCGGATGAACATGATGGGAAAGCGTGTGAACTACGCTTGTCGTTCAGTCATCACTCCAGATCCGTATTTGGACGTCGATGAAATTGGAATTCCAGAGATTTTTGCCAAGAAACTGTCCTTCCCAGAGCCTTTTTGCTACTTTAATGCTTCAAAACTACGAAAACAAGTTGAAACGGGGCCTGACAGTTATCCTGGAGCCAATTTTGTTCAAAAACTTGGAAAACCGAAGGAGATTCTGGCAAAAGAAGTCGAAAGATCAGGCTACGCAAGGAACCTGAAGGCCGGAGATCAGAGCGGAACCCAGAATTCATCGTTGGTGTATCGTCACCTTGAGAAAGGAGACATGATGTTGATGAATCGTCAACCGACCCTTCACAGACCTTCTATTATGGCACACAAAGCTCGTATTCTGACTGGCCAGAAAGCGTTGAGGATGAACTACGCACCGTGCAAAGCCTACAACGCTGACTTCGATGGGGACGAAATGAACGGACATTTTGTACAAAGCAAACTCGGACAGACAGAAGCGGCTGAACTAGGTGATTGCTTTTCCTAATTTGTGTTTTAATTTTTTCTTTTGTCATGTATGACCTTTTTAGTATCTGTTGGAAGAAACTTTTTGGTGCCTAAAGATGGTACTCCAATTCTCGGTTTGATTCAGGACCACGTTGTTTCTGGTGTGTTGATGACGTTGAGAGGTCGATTCTTCAGTAAAAACGATTTTATGCATTTGTTATTAGCCGCTTTTGGACTACCAAATATACGACTACGGTTACCACCACCTGCCATGTTGAAGCCTCAGATTATGTGGTCTGGGAAACAGGTACGGGTTTAGCTATTTGTAATTTAATAATTGATGCCTTTAAAACATAGTTTCGGTTTACTAGGTTTAGAATCTATTTTTAAATTTCGATTTTATTCTATTGAATTTAAGGTAGTGTCCGCAGTGATGATGAACTGTGTACCAGTCGGTTACCCTCTAATCAACCTGGTGGGCAAAGCCAAGTCTCCTTTAGCTTGTTGGAAAGTGAAAGGCTTCGATTCTCCAGCCTTCCAGATGTCGGAATCTGAAGTCGTTTTCAGACAAGGAGAGCTTTTGTGTGGAGTTTTGGACAAATCCCACTATGGAACTACTCAATTTGGTCTTATTCATTGTTGCTTTGAGTTGTATGGCCCTAAGATTGCTGTTAACATCTTAAGTTGCTTCTCCAGATTGTTCATTCGTTATATACAGGTAATTTTTTTCAGCTTTAAATTTACTAACGTTATTAGTTAATTAGATATAAAAACATGGTTTTTAGTGGCACGGATTCACACTTGGTGTAGCCGATATTCTGGTGAACGAAGAAGCCAATGCCAAGAGAACGACTGCCATAAAGAAGATCAGAAAGTCTGGCCCAGGTGCTGCCAGAAAGACATTCGGCTTTGATGAAAACACAAGTGCTCTCAGGTTGAAGCATGCCATGGCCTCGGCTTACAATAATCCCAGAAAGGATATCTCCGAGGTTAAAATGCTGGATTTCAATGTAAAGCAGGCTTGTGGAAAGCTGACTGAACAGATTAACGAGTAAGTGAAAGCTGAGTAAACTTGACAAGACGTGTTTTTAAGAAGACAATGTTCAAATTTTTAAAAAAATAATGTTTGAACACACTATTTATGCTATTTCAGTGCCTGTGTGCCAGGAGGACTCATTAGAAGTTTCCCAGACAACGCTCTTCAGATGATGATCCAGTCTGGAGCCAAGGGAAGCATGGTGAACTCCATTCAGATCAGTTGTGCTCTTGGTCAGATCGAGTTGGAAGGTCAGAGACCTCCATTGTCAGCTGTCGGTAGGACTCTTCCGTCTTTCAAATGCTTCGACCCTTCGCCCAGAGCTGGTGGATTTATCGACCAACGGTTTTTGACTGGCATCAACCCACAGGAACTGTTCTTCCACACGATGGCTGGGCGAGAAGGTTTGATTGATACAGCTGTCAAAACATCTCGGTCTGGTTACCTACAGCGGTGCATCATCAAACATCTAGAAGGTATTACTGTTGGCTACGATCACACCGTTCGGGACCATGACAACAGAATTGTTCAGGTAACCTATGATTGATAATGTATTCTAGCTATTTTAAAAGTGCTATGAAAAATTCTTTTTACTTCAAACTCTTGTTTTAGTTCCGCTACGGTGAAGACGGAATGGACGTCGGAAAGTCAAGTTACATGAATCCAAAGCAGTTCCCCTTCCTACAACAGAATCTAGAATGTCTTGGTGTTGTTGTTAAACCTCCTGGTGTCCGAGATGCTGATTTCAACTTGAGTAAAACCAAAAAACACTTCAAAAAGATCTGCCGGTGGAAGAAAAAGAATTCTGGAGCTCCACGGAAGCAGTACGTCTCTGGTTTCACCTTGTTCTCGGCTGAAATGAAAGGAGAAGATCGAGATACAGTTGTCTACAAATGGAGAAACCTGACCCAAGAAGAACGAGAAGGATGGGAGGAGGCTGCTGGGAAGAAGTGTCCTTCTACTATGGATGACGTAGGTTACTTTGCACTATAATTTATAAAAAACAACATTATTAACATTGAACACCTTCTTTTTCAGCTGTTCCTACCATCAAAGAACTTGGGAGCGTTACCTGAAAAGGTATTGGACGGTATTGTCAACTTCTCCGAAGACGACGATTTCAAAACGACCTTATTCTGGAAAGGAATGCACTCCATGGCAGACCCTGGAGAGAACGTCGGTCTTCTGGCGGCCCAGTCTATCGGAGAACCTTCAACTCAGATGACATTGAACACTTTCCACTTTGCTGGTAGGGGTGAAATGAACGTAACTTTGGGTATTCCTCGTCTCAGGGAAATTCTGATGACTGCTGGAGCTAACATTTCCACTCCGATGGTCGAGATTCTCATAAAACCGGGTACTACAACAGAACAGATCGAAGAAATCAAGAGAATGTTCACTCCAGTCACGTTGAAGGAGGTTCTCAAGAAGTTCAGCGTCGAAGAGAGGTTGGTGTTGAAGAAGGGGTAAGTTACATCAGCAAAAATAATTTACAGACCAATATAAATTATATGTGTAACTACAACTGATCTAAAAATACACTTTAGATCTTCCGCCCGACAATACTCTGTCACATTTGAACTGAAGAGAAACAAGGATCGTGAAGAACATGCCAGACATTTGAGCAGACAGATCATCATCCAGTCCATCGAGAAGACCATTTCCAAAATGGTGGGTGACCAACTGACCAGGAACTACAAGGAAGTGCTGGAGATGGAGGTCATGCAGCACCACAAGATGAAGATGACCAACCAGAAGATCCTGGCTGAGAAAGAAGACGAGTTCGAGGTAACCAAGAAGGAACCCAAAAAACACAGGAACGATGAAGAGTCCAGCGACGAAGAAGCCGAAGGAGGGAAAGAAGCCGACGCTTCTGAAGCCCGTCTCAATCAGCGACATCACGACGATGGAGCCGAGTACGAAGGTGAAGAAGAAGAACAGAAGATGGACCCAATACAGGACGACGACATTGTAGACAGTGAAGGAGAAGACAATGAAGAGGCCGGACTGGCCGACGCTTTGAGGATCAAGAATGTCATCGAGTCACATCAGCAAATTACAGAATACCGTTATGATACAAAGTCTCACCGATGGTGTACGGTAGTCTACGAGTTGCCGTTGAGGACAAAGACTAAACTGAATGTAGCTGGAATGGTGGAGCGAGTAGTGGAGAAGGCAGTAGTGTGGAAGACCCACAACATTGAAAAGTGCATTACCAGAGAAGACCAAAGGAACGGAAAGGACGTGCAAGTGCTACAGACACAGAAGATCAATGTCGAGGTAAGAAATTTTTTTTTTAAATCTGTGAGAAGTAGTGTAGGTATATCAAAAGCAAAGGTTAATATAAGGCAATTCAATAATATTATAGTTAACAAGTATTCAATTGAAACTCTAAAAGTGCCAAACCTCTCCAATGTCATGGACTTGGACAATCAGGGTTCCAAGCGAGACTTGCTTCATGTAAAGTAATGGATAGAGTTAGGTAGAACAGAAATAGAATAGGCACATTATCACCAGCAATATATAAAATACAAAACTGGCTAGATTAAGGCCGGTTCAAGAGCACACGTATTATAATTAGGGTGAGGTGGCAGTCCAGATTCTGACAATAATTAGCGAAGTGGTTGTTGTAGACATTAGAGAAGGAAATCATGTGTGGGGCGGATTAACTCCTCGGGAAGCACTTTATACGGCCGGCGGTGGGGCCGAACTATCCTCGGAATTGAAGATGTGTCCTCACCTGCCGCCCTAATCTTGATTACAGATTAACTCTGTCATAGTAACGGGTGTATATGAGTGTCTTTAAGTGACTAATTACATCCGGTTTCAGGCGTTGTACAAGTTCTCTCACATTCTCGACGTCAACACTCTCTACAGTAACGACATCAACATGATGCTCAAGTACTACGGGATCGAGGCTTGTGCTCGAGTCATCTTCAAGGTACTTTTATGACATTACCATCACTTTTTAACTTGAAAATGTTATGTTTCTTTATTATTGTAACTGTCTACTTATTTACAAATTCAGGAAATGAACAACGTGTTCGGAGTGTACGGTATCGAGGTGAATCCTCGACATTTGACGTTGGTCGCCGACCACATGACTAGTCTAGGCTCGGTCCAACCATTCAGTCGAGGAGCCATGGTGAACAACAGTTCTCCTTTGCAAAAGATGACATACGAAACGACGTTGAAGTTTATGAGGGATACCATCATCCAAGGTATGTCAAGTCACATATTTTTAAATTATGATTGATGTGTAACATTGAAAGTTAGTGTGTTTGGGGTTATTTATGCTTCTAAAACGTGTTTCTCCTCAATATTATCTACAACTTTGAGTTAAATTTCGAGCAATTTGTACAACTTTTTGCTGAAACCAGACGATGTTAGCGGTACCGACCGGTCTCTGGTCGGTCGAGTGACGTCACGGGAACAAAGTCTGCTACTTTTAATGATTCTCCGCTTCTTTTGATCATTTTTACTCTTTGAAGAACAATCTTTTGCAATTTTGCACAATGAAAAAACAATTTATAGTTATACAAATGATAAATATATTGTTTTAGGTGACATCGACGAATTGGCTAGTCCCTCGGCCAGACTCGTTACAGGACAAACAATTCATGGAGGTACTGGAAATTTTGACATACTTATGAACAATACCTACATGGCCACGCCCAACATCGCTAAGAAGAACTACGAGGCCATGGAGCACTAGAAGAATATTGTTAGACAAACAGATTTGTTACATTCTTGTTAAGCTACATCTTGTTATAGTTACTTTGTTATTCAAATAAATGGTTATATGAACATAGGTAAGGTTGAATTAAGAAATGAGGTTGAATTAACAGAGACCAATGATAGAAAGATGAATTGTTATAATGATAACATAAGGTAGAGAACAGTCCACAGGAAGTAGCCTCACATTATGTTCTTTATTCTTTCGCCCCCAATTAGTAATCGACTGGCTAGTTATGATAGCAAGGGGTGGGGTCATTGCCTTCCACGCAAATGTGATCTCTCAACGCTCCTCGTAAGATCGTGTTGGCACGTCTCCAGCTCGACCGTTCCCAGTCGTTTTCCCACCCTTTTAGCGCAGCCTCGGCTTCTTGTTGTGATTGGCTGCGTCGCATTTAAAAGCTCCAAAACCGAGTTCAAACATTCATTGCGACACGATTTTTACAACGCTTCTGTAGCTACAAGGCTAATCAAAGAGTATTCTATAGCTTTGAAGATGATCAGTATTATCCACCCACCTCCCGAGCTGTTTCAAATCGTTCAATCAACTAAACAAACGAATCGCCCTCGACTACGATGAGCTTCAAGGATTCTGAACTCACACGAACTCGTACTTTATGATCTCACAATAAACCTCAATGTAATTAATAAAGTTGGTGCTTTAATGTTCGGATGTATTTTATTCACAAAGCTCACTGCTTTAGTTTTAGAGGGGTATACCTATAGGAACCGACTGCTTTCTAACTATTTCAATAAATATTATTTGCCTAAGTTATAGAATTGTACTGATATGACATTGTAAGATAACATAAATTACTCACCTTTGCTGATAATCCATAAAATGACACTTTTCAACTCAAAAACAAAGACTTGTCGCCGACAATTGAGATTTCTCTGTAATTTTTTCCAAAAAATGTTGTTTTTTTATACGATGGGTCCTGTCCGAGATAAGTTTCAAAATTCTTTCGAAAAATTTTTGTTTTTTGACTAATTTTGGGAAATCTGAAAGATTTTGTTCAAGATTGATTCAAAAAAGAGAAAAACGACTACTAAAGTGTAAGACCTTTCGTTGCCTACAGGTAAACTAATTAATTTCAACTCGGCAGACGGCTATTTATAGATTTTTAAAACTTACGACTGTTTATCAACACAATGTTTACCTATTATAGATGCGCAACTCGAGAAACACGATAAGTTCCCAGAATAATGCTTGTTTTCAATCTAATTACCATGACGTCGTCGATAAAACCTGTCAGTAACGATTATCTTTATCGAGACCAAATTGGGAACAGAGCATGTTATTATCAGTATTGTAAAGTAATGTTTGACGTAATTTGAATGAAAATAGATCTGTTTTAAAGGTGTAAAGCAGAATAAGACATTTTAAAACCTGAGTTAATTGACTGCATAAGATAATATCTTACTGTAAGGTAATATCTGAGTTGAAAGAAGGCCTAACATAATATAAAAAAGGTTTTTCTAATAACAATTAGCTAATACAACTATAACAACGACACAACCAACCCTATGTGCAACAAACAGCGACCAAAGCATCTATCATAACAGTTTCAGAACATGGATAATATACGTTTGAGATAAGCGAAGTGAGATCTGTCGCTGAATGACCTAATTGACAGCCGACTGAACCCATTTCGAGAGAGTCGATATCAAATGAAATGTTTTTTGAGTTGTTGTGTCTTCTGATTGCACCTAATGTCGCTGGCCTCACCTTGTTGGACATTCCCTCGCCCAACTGTCACTTGGTCAAGAACGCTAGACTGGGCCAGTACCTGGACTGCGATGGACCGCTGAAGGTGGCTAGCGGGCTGAAGGTGGTTTTTGGGTTGGATTTGCACTTTTAACCCTAATTTGATTACGGAGTTTGTAATATTTTAGGCGAAAGTGGTCGTGACAGAGGATTCTGGAGCGTTCGGAGTGTTTCCAGAAGAGCTGAAGGCTGGACAGAGCTTCGGAGTCTACTTGAAGGACAAGCACGACCTCTTCAAACAGGTTTCTGCTTCTTTTAATGTAAGTACTGTCTTTGATAGTAATTTTGGTATGTTGCACGAGCTAGATTTACATTATAGCTATGATACCATCATGAATAGCATTAAAATTATATCAGTCTTTCCACTAAAGAATTACACAAAATCGCAAACCCCAATCTGGAGAAATCGCTGTCGCGCCGAGAATTGAGGGACGTCGCGCGACATACAGCGAGTCGTGCGACATTCACTTGCACCCTGCGACATTGAAAAGGGAATCACAATGTCGCAGGGTGCAAAGCTTTGCGACAAACTGTCGCGTCGCGATTTGAAAGGCGATGCGACAGCGTGTCGCGGTTTTCGCAACGCTCAAGCCACCACTGTGATCAGTGAAAGGTTTGCGACAAGATTTTTTTGATTGTCGCAAGTCCCCTGACTCCTGCGACAACCGACCAGTGCGACAATTAGGGGCTTGCACTGTGCATTCTTTCTCTTATCGTTTGGGGTTGTGAGCGAGCGCGGGGGGATCTGCACTGTGCAGTAGAATAAAAAAGGGCGCGATTTTCCCAGGGACTGCACTGTGCAGTTGTGAAATTCTGGTGCTACAGTAGAGAAAGCTCCCAAACCATTACTTTAAAACACCCAATTTCTCATATAGAGAAGACCCCCAAGACCTGAGAAATTTGCATGAAAGTTTGAATTTCACGAAAGGAAAATGATTTTTTTTGCTTTTCATTCTTCATTTTTTTTCGTCGAAAACGGCTGTCAAATTGGACCACGATTATTATCCACGGATATACTGGTGACATACGATGGTATCTTGATCAAGGTGATACCCTACGCTCATATCTTCAATTTCGTGCTCTTATAAGGCTTTTTCATGTCAACCCTTTTGTTCTCTACAACTCTTGGTAACATTTTCAAAATATAATAAGTTTACGTTACATGTTTTTGATTTTAATTTTGTAGGTAATTTGTTGGGAATTATTGGGAGTGTTATATACTCAGTTGGGGGTGCTATATACTCAGTTGGGGGTGCTATATACTCAGTCGGGGTGCTATATACTTAGTTGGGGGTGCTATATACTCAGTCGGGGTGCTATATACTTAGTTGGGGGTGCTATATACTCAGTTGGGGGTGTTATATATCAGTCTTTCCACTAAAGAATTTGACAAAATCGCAAACCCCAATTTGGAGGAATCGCTGTCGCGCCGAAAATTGAGGGACGTCGCACGACATATAGCGAGTCGTGCGACATTCGCTTGCATCTTGCGACTTCCCAATGGGAATCGCAGTGTCGCAGGGTGCAAAGCTTGCGACAAACTGTCGCGTCGTAATTCAAAGGGCGATGCGACAGCGTGTCGCGATTGTCGCAACGCTCAAGCCACCACTGTGTTCAATGGAAGGTTTGCGACAAAATTTTTTTGACTGTCGCAACTCCCCTGACTCCTGCGACAACCGACTAGTGCGACAATTGGGTGCTTGCACTGTGCATTCTTTCTTTCATCGTTTGGGGTTGCAAGTGATCGCGGGGGAACCTGCACGGTGCAGTGGGATAAAAAAGGGCGCGATTTTCCCAGGGACTGCACCGTGCAATTGTCAAATTCTTTAGTGGAATGACTGATACTTAGTTTGGGGGTTATCTATACTTAGTGGGTCATTTTGCATAATTTTATAGTACAAAAAATTGGTCTTAGAATTTTGAAACAATTAACTTTTTCTTTTTCACAATTGAAAATGATATCTTTTTTAAAAAAATGAAATGGGTGTTTTAAAGTTTGTATGGGGGTTTTAAATACCATGGGGGTTTTCTCTACTGTGGCCCCGAAATTCTTTAGTGGAACGACTGATAATTCTTACTGTATCTTTTCAGCTGACAGCTTCAGATGGCACAAAAACGGAAAAAACAGAAATCAAGGTCTTATTCGACGATCGACCGGTCGATATGTTGGAATTCGACAGTCGCGAGTTCGTAGTTCATGTTTCGAATCCGATCACAGAAGGGATTCTGAAGAAGTTCAAGGTGCTGAATTCAGAATCCACTCAGCCGACCATGTTCCAGTACGATCTGGAAGGCGCTTTTAATGAATTGTAAGTCCAGTCTATTGATAAGTCTACTTATCAACAAGATTATCAACAATCTCTAAAATCCTTGCACTGTGCAGTTGTCAAGGGTCTGCACAGTGCAGAGTCTCAAAATAAGCAGGCATTGCACCGTGCAGAAAAATTTGGAAAGATTGCACTGTGCAATCTCCACACTTCTTGCACTGTGCGGTTGTTCAAAAGGTCTGCACGGTGCGATCACTGGCAACAAACTTTCTGTCAATTGTGAATGCAATTATCGCACTGTGCAGTTTTGTCGCAGAAGTCACTTTAACTGCGACATCTCTGAGAATGTTGTCGCAACTTTTTCAATGAACGCGATTTGAGGCTGTCCGACCATCGCGGCACACTCTAGCGTCGCACTTCGAAATCTTTGCGACAGGTTGTCGCTGATCAAATTGCGACATTTCACTTCAAGATGTCGCAAAGTGATGACAGAGTTTGCTGCAGGTGTCGTTGTTTGTCGCACAATTGCTTTCGTTTTGAAAAGCGACTTTCGAATTTGAGTTTGCGATTTCTTTGTTTTTTTTCTGTGAATTTCGCGACATCGCAGATTAAGTCGCACTGTCGCGAATGTCAGACCCTTTTTTTGAGCTTAGAGGGATGTTTGCGACAACATTTTCGTTTGTCGCAAGTCGGATTGCTTCTGCGACAAGAGTACAGTGCGGGTTTGAGAGACTGCACTGTGCAGTTTGACAAAACAACCTGCACGGTGCAATTGATTAGAAGTGGCAGTTGCACGGTGCAATCTTGTTTATTGTTTGCACAGTGCAGTTCTAATTCTTCTTTGCACCGTGCAGATGTTAAATTCTTTTTTTGGGGAAACCTACTGGTCGATTCTTGTTAATATTGACTTGTTTTATGATATTTTACTGAAGATTACAGTAAACTACAGTATTTTTCAGTTTTTCGATAGAGCCAGCTGATCCAGACCTGATCCTTCTGAGAGCTCGAGGCTGTGACATGCTTTGTCCATCGCTGCCTGAGAACTTTCCGTTGATATTGCGGATTACTGACGGTAATCGACTGCCATCCAACATACTGCTCAATATCGTCATGCTATGGGACACGGCTACAGTATTCGACTCGATCAAGGTCAATTTAAGAGAAAAGTCTTCGAACTTCGAAGAGGTTGTGAGGGCTCACTTTGATGATACTGTAACATTGTCGTACGAACTAGCTGACCACAGTGATGTGTTCGACATTGATTCTAGGTTTGGTATCTTGACAGTCAAGGTAAGGCGTTTACTTTACTTAGGTTGGGATGTAATTGGCATGAATATTACTCATCTACTATAATATACGTTTTAATGTTAATTTAAATCTTAGAATTCAACGCTGTTAACAATCGCCAAGTACGGTAGTCATATAGAATTGACTGTATTACTGTATAAAGACGACAACAAGTGGGGTGAGCAGCATATTACTGTAGTTTTAGAGCCGGATAATCCTGCCAAACTGCAACTGGTAGGTTGATAACTTAGTTTACAGTATAGATAGCAAAATTTTTTAGGCTTACAGTTATTTTTGCAAGCACAAGGTTACTGTACGTTCACATTACTACTGTATACTTTGTTTTCAGAGCGATTACCACTTCAAAATCGATGGTAAGTCGCGGATAGTGGGTGAGATCAGGGTGAAGAACGGCGACAAAGCCGATTACTTCATGAACGGCGACGGCAACAACTTTCTTCTGAACCAGAAGAGCGGTATTCTGGAGTACGGTGGGAGGCAGAGCAGGGACGATAAGGTCTATCAGCTACAGGTACGACAATATACCTAATAGATCCATATTAACCTTGTAATTTACATTATTGACACGCCAAACATAATATATCCAAAAAAGAATGACATTTTGATGAACATTACACTCATATTGCGCCATTCTTTTTGCATCAAGCGTATCTACTTTAAACTAACATTGTTATTACTTAATATACCTTTACATTGATAATATTATTGTAGATAACAGCCAAGGCCGGAGATTTTCTAGACACAGCCATGGCTACAGTAATCGTGGCTGGACTAGGCTCAGAATCTCCGAAATTCAGCGACAAACTAGCTACAATTACAGTACCCATAGACCATATTACAGCTCTACAGATCTACCGATTCGAAGCCGAAGACGCGGATTCTGATGCCAACTTGTTCTACAATATGACCTCGGTCAGATGTTACAGTAGCCCAGAGTGCGAAGAGTACTTTACTTTGAATGAAGATGGTACTCTACTACTTAAAGGTACTAGTGTACCACTCAGTGTGGTACAAATAGAAGTCGAAGTTCAGGACTTACAGTATCCAGCTGAGTCCACTGACAAAAGTAAGTGCTATAGTATACTGTAATGTAGGCTTTATGCGATTTGATGACAATATTACATTGTTTACTGTAACTAGGCTTACTGTAAGTTATTTTAGAAAATTTGGTGATAACATTCGTCAAAGATACTAAGATAACATATACTACGATAAATACGACTATGAGTACTGAGAAAGTACAGTACTTTGAAGGATACAGTAACACAGATGACGCTTTAATTGGGCAAGTTGAAGTACAAGAAGGAGCTGATGTTACCATACGAAGTGATGTGGATAGGTTTACTGTAAACAACAAGGTAGGTTACTGTATTACTGTATTCTATGTCTTTTTGAGTGGTTTTAATTACAGTATGACATAAAGAAGACCTTGGCTACTGTATTATATTTTTGATATTACCGTATGTCTTACACTTTACTTTTAGGGTGAAATACCATTAAAAAAGGCAGTAAATGAACAGATGTACGGTAGTCCTATTCCAGCCGTGGTTACTGTAACTCAAAGTGACGTTAAAAAAGAGATACCGGTAAGATAATGTTATTTTATATGGTTACTGTAATTATTATAAAATTTAATGCTTACTGTAATATCGCAGTACTTTATAGCCACTTTTACAGTATAAACTAAAACTACTGTACCTTTCAGGAAGTAATTAGAATAAACGTTAAAGAGGTTACTCATGTTACAGTAACCTCGCCAGATGTAAAGTTGTTTGAAGATGCCGATGTTGACACATTTGTAGCCGATCTAGGCACAGAAGCTACTACGGTAAAGCTAGAATCTTCTTCTACAGCACTTCTCAACGCTCTTACCGTATCTCAGGGTACTGTAAGAACTAAAGAATCGTTGTACGGTATCTCTGGAATTCACAAACTAAATGTAATGGTAGAAGAGGAGGTTGTGGCGACAATCGTAATTGAGATTGTACCTGTTTCACATTCGAATCCATCGTTTTCTGCTCTCAACCCCATCGTTCTGTATGAAGTGTGTTACTGTATATGTAGATACTGATATATTTGTTTACTTTGTGCTTATACCGTACTAGTTATCTCATTTCTAATTCGATTTCAGGGAGAAAAAGCAAAGATTATGGTAGAATCGACCAGTAAAGAATCTCCGTTACAGTACTCTGCCAGTAGCGACAGTATTAAAATAGACGAGAGTACGGGAGAGACTACTGTACTTGACGTCGACGATGATGAGATTGTAAGTAATACTATCATACCTCGATACCTTTAGTAACATCTCTAGTTCTACTTATATATAGAGTTATATTACTTTAGGTAACAATAACAGCGACAGATGGAAAGCACAAAATACAGTATGAAGTGGAGGTGCGGAAGGAAAAGGATACTGTAACAAAGTCCCTCAAATGTGTGGATGACAAGATCACATTACAAATTAGCAAGAAAATACAGCCGGATACGGTATTGGGTACTGTAAATGTGGAAGGAGCAGATTACAGTACCAAATTTACTCTACACGAATCATACGGTATCTTTGAGATTGACGACGACGGACAGCTGAGTACGGTGAACGAGTACGATGGGGACAGTAAGGTGTTCGAGTTGAATGTGGAGGTATCGAGTACTGACAGTAGAGTAGAATGTCAGGTCAATGTTCAGTTTCTGTCAAAGTAAGTTGGGGATGTTACAGTAGGTACTTATGCTTTACATTACTTCTTTACTAGTTAAAATAACATTTTACTTCAGGATCGAACAAACCTTGGAATTTACACGGCCAAGGCACGAGGTTGTAGTGTACGGTAACAGTAACGTCGGATCAAAGGTGGTACAATTAAATGTCAAAAACTCGTTCGCAGCCAATGGTCAGTTATCAATATATATATTATCAGTAATTAACTGTTACAGTAAATATTGTAAATATTACTGTAATTCTAACGAAATTCTTGCTGTAACATGTTAAATTACAGACGTCTTCTACGACATCAAGAAGACCTACTACGAGAACAGGGAAGTGATGGATAATATATTTGAAGTGAACTCTCTGAACGGCGAAGTCAGGATGGTGAAGAGTGTAGCCAACTACACGAACGGCTACTTCCAACTGCATGTTATGGCACGCCGAGGCAAGCAGACGGCTGACACTTCTGTCATAATATGGGTCTGCCGCGATGACGACATTTCTAGAATTGTGGTCAAAATGCCGCCAAGGACATTAAGTGCAGAAGTTGTGATCAAGGCATTACGGTAAGTCTTATGTATCAGTCTTTCCCGAAAAGAATGTTACAAAACTGCACGGTGCAGTTTGAGGTAATCGCTGTCGCGCCGAGAATTGGGCGATAGCGACAAGGTCTGCGACAATCGCTTGCATCTTGCGACATCCCAATGGGAATCGCAATGTCGCAATTGCAAAGCTTTGCGATAAACTGTCGTGTCGCGATTAGAATGGCGATGCGACAGCGTGTCGCTGTGGTCGGACCGCTCAAGCCACTACTGTTTTCAATGGAAGGCTTGCGACAAGATTTCTTGGCTGCCGCAAGTCTTCAGGTTTCTGCGACAACCGACCGGCGACACTGAAAAGATTGCACTGTGCAGCCTTTCCTAACATCGCTGGCTGTATCGGGTGATCGCGCGGGAAATGTGCACGGTGCAGTGGAATAAAAAAGGCGCGATTTTCCCAGGAACTGCACCGTGCAGCTGTAACATTCTTTAGTGGAAAGACTGATACTATTCTTCTACGCTTTGAGGTAATATCTCTTAGAAAAGGAATATCTTTGCACTTGATATTATTCATATAAATTTTAGAGATCTGGCTGAAGTGACTGACAGTAAGACAATATTAGCTGGCATCAACTACTACGTTGTCAATGGAGTACCGCTAAACAATGGTACTGTTCTGAAGGTACTCTTTGTCAAAGGAAACAGAATCATAGCGCCAAACTTGCTAAAGAAGAGGATAGAGCCACAGTATGACGTTATGGTAGGCAGAGTGAAAAAGTATTTGATATTGGTTATATATTAGTTGTATATTGAACAAATTGAAATTGTATCTTTACAACTTTAGTACACATTGCTTTAGAATCAAGCAGAAAACCGTATTACATTTGAACGTGCTTTACTGACCTCAACTCAGCCCTTGGGGATGATTGTGGTGATATTTCTTTGTGTTTTACTGGTTGGCATGGCGATATTACTCTGTTGCCGATTTCACTACCAGCACAGGTAACTAAACCACCATATCCAGACCCGTTTAGGTACAAAGTGGAGCTGAAACAGTTCCGAAAACTCTCCGACAACAACATAATCTCTAACACAAGTACGACCGGCTCTCACCGCCCTCGTGCCAATACCTCATCGACCGGGACCGACATCATGGAGAAGGTCAGCGTGAAGAGCGACAAGTCAGAAGTGCAACAAGTCTCGATGCAACTGTAACCAAAGATAATATTTTATTATTCATAACAGTCAACAAACTTTCAACAATAAACAATGGAGTAATGAAAAGACATGGTAACTACAACATCATCATCAACTAGTTCTTCTTTTTTCTATTTTTAACAACGTTCTTGATGCCCAGCTTCCGGCCGTGCCTCTGTCCCAGCGGAATGTAGGCATAGGGTTCTACCTTCTTGCCGCCCTTCACTTCCGACTTTTTGTTAACACCACCCTTCAGGGTACCTCTCAGGTTACGGTGGATTCCTTTGCCTCCAGTTGTATACTCGGAAGCGACCTAAACAGTAAAATTAGTTTAAAATTGTTGCAAGACAATTTATAATGAACCTAATAACAACACGAATACTCACTTCAGATCCCAGAATACTCTTAGTCTTGGCGAAGGTGACGCGACTCTTGTTTCCTTCGTCCAACTCCATCTCTTCGTTGTCGCTCTCGTCGCTGTCACTCAGCTCGTCTTTCTTCTTCTTCTTGTCAACTTCGTCTTCGTCGTCGATGACAAACCTTCCGTCAGCTGCGAATCTGAATCCTTTGGCCGACTTCTTTTTGTTATCCACAACTTGAGTTTCTTTTGGCTTCTCCATGACAATCTTGTTCAATACAGACTTCCTGTCAAGGAGATCCACCACATCGTCATCTTCTTCAACATTCTCTCTAATCCACACAGCTGAGCGTCGCTCCATCTTCTCTTCGGTCTCTGGCTCTCCTTCATCGTCGCTGTCTTCTAGCAATTGGAAGATGGAATCTGCCTTAATCGTCCTCGATTCTGACACAACAGTAGCACCGTCGTCTTCACCGTTCACCATAGACCTCGAACTTGAAGGAAGGCTCTTGTCGCCCAGCTTCTTCCTTCGGGTCTTGTCCAACTTCCTCAAGAATTTGATCCATCCTTGTTGTTTGTTGGCATATTTACATAACACTTCTACTCCAACCAAATCGATCAACAAGGTAAACAAGACCTTGTTTGCGCGCCGCACGTTCACAGTGTTGTCGTCAGCTGTTTGACAGTTGAAGATGTTGTCCAAGATTAGATCCTAAGCACAAATTCAATCAATATAAACATCAATAATCAAAGTGATAATGATTAATAAATATACATTGATGATAACTTACTTGATATTGCCTGAACGAATACTCGGGGACCTTCTTGCAGAAGAGACGGATCAATCTGATAGATAACACTCTGATGGGCGACCTCCTGTCCTCTAAGAACAAGAATGCCTTCTGGAGGAACTGTGCTGTCAAACTGGCATTCATCTCCTTCAGATGTTTCTGAGCGAGCACGTTGTAAGCGATTAAAGTAGCCCTAACCTTCTCCAACTGCTCGGTCTCACTCTTGGTTTTGATTTCGGAAAATTCAAAGATTTTCGTTATCAGTCCATCCAGAACTTGCGACGAGTTTACCCTAAAACACAATACTCATAAAATTCATCTCCTTAACACAAGTTTTACAAATAATAGGAAATTAACGTACTCGTTTTCATTGGCATAAAACAATAGCGAGCTGACAATCTCCTCGAAACACTTTACTGCGTTATGACGTACTGCTTGACTCCTACTCTTGTCCAAACACATGATGACTTGATTGAAGACAACGATTGTGAACTTGTTGACTTCTTCCATTGTCTTCAAAGAGCTTAGTATCTAAAAAATACAAATTTAATAATTTAGTACAAATAAAAAAAAGATTCTACCATTGTTTGAAAGTGATATCAAACAATATACTAGTAATCGAAAAAGGAAAGCCAACCTACAGATTTAAACACAACCAGTCGAGCGGCCCAGCTGCTTGGAGCGACAGAATCTTGACCTTCAGCGAGCAATGCCTCCACGTATGTTTGAACTTGTCCAAAGAAGACATGCAAGGTAGGATCATTTAATCTTGAGTACAGTTCTGACAAAACTCGGTACGCCTTCTTTTGCAAAGATTGACGGTTAACTTTGACAGAAAAGAAAGGTTTTATGGTATCGAACAGTTTTAAAGCATATTCAGAGTCCACTGCCCTTGCAAGTGCCACAACGATGTCCATCAACAGTAACTAAAACAATTTTAAAATAAAAATGTTAAAAATCTTATTAAATTTTTAAATATACTAAAAATTAAACTAATACCCACCTTTCGTTCTTGAGTACTGCTCTCGTCGCTTATCTTCTGCATGGCGGCATCACAATACTTTCCAATGAGTTCTCCAGGAATGTAAGGTATGTAAAGCCTGATCGTCTCTAGTGAAGACAACTGAACTTCCCTATGGTCAACCTGTTTGGCTTCTTCTTCTGTAGGAGATGTCGTGTAGTGCACAAACAAAAGTGGCAAGAAGTTCTTGGCATATCGCTTGACAATTTCGATTCTTTCGTCAGTAGAGTCAGATCCAGATACAAACTTCAACATGGCCCTGATTCCAGCTAGTACCTTTAGTCGAAGATCAGGTCTCTCGTTAAGGGCAGCGCCAAGGATAGGTGCCAATTGATGAATAACTTGGTCGAAGTCGACTGGCGATGACAAAAAGCCGGGCAGGAGATCCCAAATCTGATATTCGATGATCGTGTACAGCTTCTTGGTAACACCATCCAACGTTTTAACTCTGGAGTGAATCGAAAACGCCAGAGGCAAAAAGAATTTGGTGAAGATGACCAACGGAGCCTTCATAATATTCTTCTTAAGCACTAACAATAACCAGGATCGTTTGAAGTCTGTGGCCAAAACTGGTTGTTCCATGTCCAAACCCAATGAGACAGTCCTGATCAACCTCTCGAGATCAACATATCGTGCAGCAGCTCCAAACACAGCTTCTATTTCTTCTGAACAAAAGCCTTCTGCCTTTCCTGGAGCCGTGTCTCGTTCCCTCAATTCTGCCAGAGCTTCTAGTGTTGCATCAAACACACTTCCAATGACAGCTGGGCCTGCTTCTTCAAACAGTTCAGCAATGTTCAAAAAGATGAATCTCCAGCTATTGGTGTTATTAGGTAACAGTGCCATGTCAAGTAGTTGCAAGCATTTAACAGCACTGGTTTCGTTTTGTTGGATACATCGTTGAACCAGCCTTGAAATCGAGCTTTTGACAGTTTCTCCCAAAGCTGCATCTCCTCTATGATAAGTTTGAACCACCACCTTCAAACTATCTCCCAGTAGCTCATCGTTCTTCGCTTGATCCTTGGCCGCCAGACAAATATGAGATTCAACAAAGGTTTGTAGCCAGTAGGCACAGACGGCAGTGTCGGCCGGGACAGGGAAATCACGAAGAATAGCTATCAATCTTTCGTTTGAGGTAACAGATAAAGTGCAGTCAGCTGGTTGACGTTGTAAAGTACGGTAAATGCATTGTAAAGCCGCGCATCGTACCTAAAAAATACACATTATATATTGTAAAACAAACCTATAAGTCTAATAATAATATTAATATAAACACAAAAATTACCATGGGATCCGCTTTTGTAGCCAATTCCAACGCCTGAGAAGCCAACGAGTTAAATGTAGATTCAGGCTGTTTGTGTAAGATTCCCTCCAACAAACACAATATCCTAGTCAAGACGACAGGAGTTGTCTCGTTGCATAAATCGTGCAACACCTTCTCACCAACAGATTTGGCAGTCGGATGAATTCCAGTTTCAAAACAAGTCACTGGATCAGTTAAAACACTTCGAGTCACTTTTCGACTGATTGTTCTTACAGTTGGATGATCATGTACCGAAAACACAATTACGAGCAGCATGGAATTTCTGAAAATTAACAAGATAATATTTATAAATTCATTTCAATAAACAAGCTCATAAATGATAACACAAACGTACTTTAAAGCTTGTTGTTTCCACATATTCAAAGGCAGAGCTCTGAGGAGATGGCCAAGAGCGGAAAACAAAAACTTTATTCCAACAGCTTCATTGTGTCCTTCTAATTGTGCTATCTTCGTACACAATACCTAAAAATATAAGTAAAAAGACCATATTAACGTACCTTATTGACGTAGACAAAGTTTTGGGTTAAGTATTCCTTTGACATCTTCTTGATAACCAGGTAAAACAAATAAGAAGCAGCAGCCAATTTTTCTTGTTCTTCGAATGGAGCAGCTTCTATTATAGCCAAGATACCCATAAAGTATTCTTCATCATTCTCTGTTCCATCTCTTTCTTTGATCGCTTGCGATACAGCAGCTAAGACAGCAATAACATTTGAGTGTAACTGAGAGCCAGACCTCCATTCTCTGTGAACAGCAGCAAACGTGGGATTAGTACAATTTGTGAAAGATGTTAACCTTGACATTCCACCTTCCGAGATCATAGACTTGCTTCCTTCTGCGTCAATCGACATGGCATTCTAGAATAGACCAATGTTATAACAGAAAAACAATAACAAAACAGTATACCACCTCTGACATTTAAAATACATAAATTACTTAAGTTACAGTATTCACTTACAATTGGAACGTAGTCAACCAAGTCTGCATCTCCATTTTGAGCTTCCACAACATCGTCAACAGCTACTAATGGAGTTCTGCGTGCTTCTCGTTGAGCTTTGGCTAAATCCCGAAATCTGGAGACTGTTGGATTGCTTGATGATCTAAATTTATAAAAAATTCAAAAAATTAATATATGAAACTTACGTAGTTCCCTTAGGCAGTCTACTCTTAGATCGACCCGACCTCACTTTCACCCGGTACGTCTTTCCCATTACCACATTAATGTAATCTTTTGTTGTTGTTACCTACAAAATATATTCACAAAATTTGCAAAATCAAGATTTTCTCGAAAAATAAAATTTAGGAAACAATTTATTTAGTCGCAGCACGCAAACGTTCTTGCTTTGGCATTCTGTTTTACCAAAAAATAATTTTATTTTTTGGAAATTTATAACAACAAATAGCCAATTGCTTATGACATGGCTTTACCTTTGTGCCAGGCATGTGCTAATGTTCAGAAAAACTTACAGGAGAATAGTTATATTATAGTAGACAAGCATTACCAGTGTTGTTTATGTTTTGGGATTCTTTCTGATCCCGATTTGATCAATCTGGTTACTCAAAAGGCCGAAGAAAGCTTCAACGCTTCTGGATACGATGGAAATACATTTGTTCTGGCTTTAAATATTCCGACCACGATGCAATTTCGAGATTCTTTATTGGAAAGCACATTTCCAGAATCTTACAGTAGCCGAGAAATGAGCCCTAAAAACTTGTTTTCTAATGTTTTGCTAAAGAGTTTGGAACAGGTATGCAGGTTATAGTATGATAAATAATTAATACGGGTTTCAGAAGGTAGGAATGAGGGGATCTTTGAATTCTGATCTTATAATGACAGTGAGTTTGGCCAATGACGAGTTTATAAAGTCGGATGTCGACTTCTTCCTATGTCATTGTCCGAATACTTTTCTAAATAACGGCAGGAAAAGACGACCGGAGATGAGTGAGGTACATCAACTTTACACAAAGACGAAGATACAAGAGATTATCAACAGGACAGATGTTGAAGTACTTAAGTAAGTTAATATGTTTGATGAATCAGTGTTTAGGAAGTATCAAATGTCTTCTCCGACGACTTCAGTGACAGTGGAAGTGTCCTTTCAAAGAGAGGGAGTATTCATTGCCGGAAGGTACTGTAAGTATTCGAGGAGTCTACCTCAATCACCTTGGACGGCTGATGAGGAGATTGACATTGTTCATGGTAACTCGGTATGTTTTCTATGTAACATAATTTATATGTTATGGTCGTAAACATTTGTTTTACACTTTATTTTTTTATTATATTTTTAGGTATCAGAAAAGATCGGAAACATTTTACAAAAAAAGTTCCAAGCTACTGGATTCAGATTCATTGCTTCAGGACGCGAAGACATTGACGTTCGCATGTTAGGGAATGGAAGACCATTTGCTGTGAACTTGATAAATGCCAAGAAGACGGGATCTCTTAAAGGACTGACGAAACAAACTACATTGACATTGCTAAACGAGGTTATCAACAAAGATTCTGATATCTCAGTGGGACCTTTAACTGTAGTTTCTAATAATCAAGCTCAGGTTTTGAATGTGGGTCAGGAAGAGAAGCGGAAGATGTATTCTTGTGTTTGTTTCTCTTGTAAGGTTATCACAGACGAGATGTTGAAGAGACTTGAAGGCAACATACCAGTGAAGATCGTGCAGAAAACAGTTGTCAGAGTATTGAAAAGAAGAGCTTTGCACGACAGAGAGAGGGAGATCTACAGTCTGAGGGCTTTGAGGCTGGATGACTACCATTTTCAGCTGAAGTAAGTTGTAATGTAAAGTAAAGAATACGTCTTTATAACGATTAATTTTATATTTATGCTTATTATAACTTATATGTTTGTTCTAGATTGGAAACTCAAGCCGGGACTTACATTAAAGAGTTTGTTCACAGTGACTTTGGCCGTACTTCACCTTCAGTTGGGGAACTAATGGGTCTAGACGCTGATGACATTGACATACTACAGCTAGATGTAGAGAGAGTGGACTTGGAATGGCCGCCACATAAATTTATTCCATAATTGTTGATTTTGTTGTTGACTTGTTATTGTTATAAATGTGACATTTTACATTAGACTCTGGTTTTCAAAGTTCAACTGTCACTTTTTAAATATTTTCTGACATTTTGAAGTTGAAGTCATTTTGAGTTGAGATGTTATTCTTTGTGGTATTTTTTTATCATCACTAAAATGGTTGATTGTTACCTGATCTTATCACAGAATAATTTAGATGAAGGTGCTAATGGTGGCTGAGAAGCCGATTCTGGCCGAAGCCATTGGTAAGATACTGTCAGATGGACACTTCAAGAACAGAAAAGGTAAAAACGGAATATGCCCGGTCATTGAATACACCGGAAACTTTATGGGAAGGTCGGCAGAGTTCAAGGTGACAAGTACTTGTGGTCATGTAATGGGTATCGACTTTCCTGCTAAGTACAACAACTGGAGCAGAACAGACCCAGCGCAACTATTCGATTGTCAGACAGAAAGAAATGAAGCCAATCCAAAAATGAAGATGGTCATGGTGAGAAATTATCTAAATATTGTGGTTCCATCGTAATGTTTTAATCAATATAACATATGTCCTGTCATGACATTGTTAAATACTTTCAGCACTTATCCACGGAAGCCAAAGGCTGTGATTACCTTGTCCTATGGCTGGATTGTGACAAAGAAGGCGAAAACATTTGTTTTGAGGTAATCGATGCCTGTAAAGACAAGCTGAAATTCTCGGGTGACATCATGAACAATGTGTACCGCGCCAAGTTCTCTGCCATTTCAAACGAGGAGATAAAGTCAGCAATGAGGAATCTGGGGAAGCCGAATCTGAACGAATCGTTATCAGTTGATGCCAGACAAGAACTTGACCTTAGGGTCGGGTGTGCTTTCACACGCTTTCAGACTTGCTACTTCCAGGTATGTGTATTTGGTTTTACTTTCTTTGAATATCTCGTTTTAAGTCTCCAAACCTTAAGATATGCTAATATAACTTTACGGAAAGTAATTGATGACAAGTTTTCAAATTTTAAATTCAGGACAAATATGGAGATTTGGACTCGACATTGATCTCTTTTGGACCTTGTCAGACTCCAACATTGGCATTTTGTGTTCAGCGACACGACTTGATTACCCAATTCAAACCTGAGACTTACTATGTTTTAAAGGTAACAATACTACTTTAAAACGTTACATTATAGTCAGTTTGACAGCGTTAACGGCTACTTTTATGATTGTGAAATTATGTTGTTATAGGCCATTGCTGAGAACAACGGAAAACTTCTGAGTCTGGACTGGAACCGAGAACGAGTGTTTGACGAAGAAGTCGCTCAGATGTTGCTGAGTAGGGTGAAGTCAGGCCAACACTTTGTTGTGGAGGAAATCTCACGGAAAGAAGGCCGAAAAGAGAAGCCGGCTGCCTTGAACACAGTAGAGTTGCTGAGGGTATGTTCGGCCAAACTGGGTATATCTCCAGCACAAGCCATGTCGACGGCCGAACACTTGTATACGAGAGGATACATAAGTTATCCACGTACTGAGACTACAGCGTACCCAAGCTCTTTCAACTTCAACGGTACCTTACAACAACAAGTCAATGGTCAGTTTGGAGAGCTGGCTTCGAGAGTGTTGAGTGATGGGATTGCGAAGCCGAAAGGAGGAGAAGACAAAGGCGATCATCCTCCAATCACACCCATGAGAGGCAACGATGGAGGTATCAGTGGAGGTGAGTTGAGGTTGTTTATGTGTTTTATCTAATGTTATATTTAATCATTGTTGCGATAAATTGTAGATGGCCTGAGGGTGTACAACTATGTGGTACAACATTTCATGGCTACGGTAATGAAACCTTGCAAGTACATGACCGAAACTTTGAAGTATGTTTTTGGATCGTATTTTAGTCGAAAAACCGCCAAAAAATAAAATTTCAAAATTTGATGTTGAAATACTAACACGCGGACGCAGCTTGCAGTCTTGCAGGCTGCAAAAATGTTATACGATGAAGGCATAAATTATCATCTGAAGTGGCATAGTGTGCATTTTTAGGCTTTCAATATCGACAGAGCAGTTTTCTATTCAGTCCAAGAAAGTGATTGATCCTGGATTCACTGAGGCTATGTCATGGTTGGCAGTCACCGAAAGCGAAAGTTTGGGAAACTTTACCAAAGGCGACAAACTGGGATTACGGTATGTTACAGTAGACTGAAATAACAGAGATTCAGGGAAGTGAGTATCGTGCAGAAAGAAACGTCTCCACCTGGATATCTGACAGAAGCCGAGCTGATCACGTTGATGGAGAAGTATGGTATTGGCACAGACGCTTCCATCCCAGTCCACGTCAACAACATATGTCAGAGGAACTATGTGACAATTGGGAACAACAGGACTTTGATACCTACAAAGCTGGGTATAGCGCTGATTCGAGGCTATCAACAAATCGATCCTGAGCTGATTCAGCCTACCATGAGGTCGGATGTGGAGACCCAGCTGAACTACATTGCTAAAGGACAGGCTGACTATGTTACTGTAGGTTATTTTGGCGTTGAATTTTACGTTTTCTTGCAACTGTTGACATGTATTTGATATTATTGGATATTAAGGTGTCTTTTTAGGTAAAAGAACACGTCCTGAGCATGTTCAGACTCAAGTTCATGTACTTTGTGGAGAACATCAGTCAGGTTGATGAGCTCTTCGAAGGTACGTTTATTGTTGTATATCAGCCATGTTACAAGTTTAGAATGTTGCATTACTTTTAGGTTTTATTCTATGCATTATTATTATGTAAAATCATTTTCAGCTTCATTCACAACTCTGGCTAACTGTGGAAAGCCTTTGAGCAGATGCGGGATGTGTCGACGTTTCATGAAACTGGTCGATTCACGACCACAACGACTGTTCTGTCCCAATTGCAATGACACATACGCCTTACCGAGCGGTAAAAATTCTCAGATCCGATTGAACCAAGAAAAGAAGTGTCCGTTGGATGACTTCGAGTTACTGTACTTTCACGTCCCCGGAGGCAAGTTGTCGGATACGTACGCCTTCTGTCCATATTGCTACAACTACCCGCCTTTTGAAGGCATGAAGAAGGGCGATGCATGCAACAACTGCTACCATCCTTCTTGTCCTAACTCTGCGATGTGAGTACTACTTCACTATAAGGGTTGAATGTTAGGTTTTGCATCTTTAATGAATATTATTATACTTATTATATACATTTTTGGAAATATTGATTGATTTTAGTACACAAGGAGTGTCTCAATGTCTAAACGACTGTAATGGAGGTACGGGGGTTTTGGTACTAGACCCTCAAAGTGGCCCCAAATGGAGATTGAGTTGTAATAAGTGCCCAGCAGTAGTGGGGCTCTTCGAAGGATCTCACAAAGTCAAAGTTCTTGAACAGAAGTGTGATTTCTGTGGAGCTCTCCAAGTGGCGGCCGAGTATAAGGTACATTCTTACTGTAACTTTACCGTTTTTGGTTTAAAATTTAAAAATAATCATTTAAATTTTGATGACATTTCTAATGTAATACATGTTTAGGAAGGCAAGTCCAAGCTACCAGACGGATCTCTCAAGTATTCTGGATGCGTCTTCTGTGACTTTGAAAAGAAGGAGCTGAACGAGGACTGTTTGAACCTTAATCATGCCCACTTCAATCAACAAGTCCAGCTTGGAGGTCGACCTCATCGTGGTCGAGGTGGAGGTCGAGGCAGAGGAAGAGGTGGCAGGTCTCGTGGAGTTACAAAACGAGGACGACGGTGAAGTTGCATCAAGAGTTGAGTATGTTTATATCAATAGAAGCTTATTTATAATATAAGTATGTTCAATTAATTTTAAAATTGTTAATTTTTGTATAATAAATTTAAAATTGGCTGCTTTTTCAAATGTAAGCTTAGTTATTGTAAAGAATGATCTTGAAATCTGCTAAATACTCGAAAGCCTCAATTCCTAGTTTTTTGGAACATTGCACCACCATAAGTATATATTCATAATAAATTTATTACGCAATAACAAGAAACTTGAGTGTAATAACATAATTAGCTAAAACCTTAATTAATATCTAAATAAACAATTCGGACAACAAAGTATAAAAACATAGTAAAATTTGTACAATAAAGGGTGGAAGGGACCTGAAGTGGTACCGTTCCTGAAAGAATCATGGGAAGTGAGCTCTTCTAGGGGGCCGGTTGTCCGAGGGAGGGGGGAATGAGGGATCAGGGAGTCAGGAGAACCTTCTCGACCTGTCCAATTGCACACGAAAGACTTTGAAGCGGTAGTATTGACATGGTTAATATATTAAGTAATTGATTTGATGGGACCGGGGAGAGTTGTGACAATGGGAATGTTAAAGTCAACACGACATAGGGAAAGCTTTAGAATAATGTCATAAATAAGAGACGTGTCGACGAGAAATGTCACAAACATCAAACAGGAGCACCCGATTGGAAAGACTTCTGAATCCTGGAAGGGAATGAAAGCTTAGGCAGTGATAGTGGGTTAATAGTGGCAAAAACAGTTTTTGATATGAGATCGGCAGATCAGCACCAAAATAAGTTGTTCAGTAGGGGGTCTGAGTGGGTATGGCTTGACCGAGCAGGGTCTGGATGGTCGTGATGTTGTTCATCTGGGGGTTGGCCAGAAGGGCGTTGATGTAGTTGACAAGCTGTGGCGTGGGCATGGCTTGTTTCTGATGCCCAAGGGCGTTGGCTAGCAGAGGGCTAGGGGTGTTCGCGACTCGCGGCTTCTTCCTTGGCTCCGAACTTCCTGTAGAACCCATGGAGCGCTTCATCTGAAGGCGACGGTGCCAGTTTCCTTTGCACAATGCTTCCCATCGACGATCGTGTTGATTCAGAAGCTCTCGAGTTAAAGGACCACGCTGATCTAGACTAGCTGGCGAGGGACAGGCATTTGTCATTTGGGTGTCTTTAGAGGTTTGTGACTTCAGAAGACGATGCACGTTCTCCAGACAGTTGATTTGAGTGTAGGAGAGGGCGAGGTCGGGAGAGCCTGGAGGGGATCCACTGTTCTTGGTCAACGGCGGGGTTTCTACGCCTGAGGTGGGGGTGGGCTCGGGTTTTGTAACAAATTCATCGTTCTGAATACAAAAAGGTAAATATTATGGCAGAAAAATATTGATATTAATGTATAATGTTAGGGTTACTACATTAGAAACTGCTATAAACCAACTAAAATGAACTTACACTTTCTAAAATGCTTCTAATCGTGACGTCACATCGGCGACGGTCTTCTGCACTTAGGGGCTTGACTTGTTTGCTATCATCTATTCCTATTACAGTATGTTTGGCTACGACCATTTCCACCACTCCAGTCCAGGGATTGGTGAAGGCAGCCCATTCCGTGTCCACCGTGCAGATTCTGCCGTCGAATCCGATCAATCTGAGGCGAGAGCTTCGTTCTAATGACACACCGGCCTTCAGAGAGCGATGAACTCGCTCGAGAACGGCTACATCCTCACTGTGCACGATGGAGAACAACGAACTGCCAGTCTTTTCTGATGGGAAGTGGCCGAGGTACGGTACCGAACTGAAAATGTACTGTAATTGGAAAAAGGTTGATTGGAAATGGCATACTGTAGCAAAGATTGAAGACGTAATTTGTGGTATATTAAGCTTTGAAATTACTGTAATATAAATCCAAAGAAGCTACAGTATGATTCAACTAATTAAATCGAATACGAAATGGCAGAACCTGGGACCCACGTGGACAAAGTGATGACACAGATTTACATAACCATAAAAGGACAACCGGTCAGCGACGTCTCCCCCGAAGAGTGACCGTCTGTTCCCTTCGCCGCCCCGCCCGCCAAGAGAGTGCAGTGCGGTACAAACTGGTAGTGCAAGACACGGAGCGTGCGGAAGCGGGGTCTCCCTTCGCGGCGTGCTCTCTCCCCCCGCTCTGCCCCACCGGTCATTCGACGCGCGCCTTGCACTACAATCCTTGAAGAGTGACCAGTGCGATTGCAACAACCGCATGGTACGGAGGCGAGGTGCGAGGAGGTAGAACCCAAATTAACCGGGTCACTCGCCAGATGACCTGCTAACTTTGGGGTCACGTCTATTTGGAGCTGGTGATAAATGGGTATAGATATAATAGACACTTGAGACCTTTCTACTACTTTAAGTGACATTTTTAAGGCCCTAAAGAGAAAAAACAAACTTTTCACAAATTTTAAAATTCAATAAAAATTAAGTTAAAATATGACTTACGCAGCATCAAAGTAGATGAAGCTACAGCTGGAGTTGTGTCGCGTGATGAACTCTGACTTGACCCCAGACTGTGGTGTTTTCACGAACTGAACAGCATAAACGTTGATGGAACAGAGCCGGTTGGCGGGATTCTGAAGATCTCTTTTGAACTCGCAGTTAAACGAACATGGCAGAGTAGATGTGTTGCTGAAAGACAAAGGTTAATAAACAATATCAGTAAATGTTGCTTATAGTAAGCTGTATTTTGTCAAAAATATAGATTTAGCTTGTAAATAAATTGTGAACAAAAGGCCGTACATTAAGTTAAAACCTTACTTTTTTAGTCTAGCAAACATTCTCGGCTTAGCACCGCCACAGAAGGCTTGCATCGTCAGAATCTGTCCTCCTTTACCGTGTAGACTAGTCAGAAGGTTGCCATCTACTTGAATGTATTCTGATAAAGTCGACGACTCTGCTGGCATTTGAACTACTTTCCCTGAGGGCAAAGACACTTCTAATGAGCCCAGGAACTCTGAAGACGATTCTGTGATTTCATTCTGAAAAGTGGGTGGTTTAGGGTAACATACGATAGTAATTGTATCAGTTTAGCTTTAAAGTTTTTAAATTGTCAGTTTTAGTTCATTTTTATTTTTTTTTTTTCATTTTTTTTACCAATTTTATTTTAATTTCTACCAAACAAGTTCAGTAACGTTATGTCAAGTCAGTAATGGAATTTCGTAAGTGATAATTATGCAGATTTATTTTAATCCCAACTCAAAGCTTTTCGGAACAAATCTTTCAAAAAACAAACTGATACGAATTGGTACGAAACGAGAACAGTAGCGCAATCAATTAAACCAATGACAATGTTTATCACTTCTGCTTGCGAAAAGGTGTTAATGATTAAAGGTTTGTAAAATACGTGCAATCTTTTAAATTTAAAATTCAACATAACATAACATTTTAAAACCTCTAAAAATATTGAAATTATTTTAAAATTTAATTAAAAATATTATAAAATACAATATTGCAGTAACTTACTTTGATTTGAACTCGACACCCGTTGGCCACGGAAGCCGGGGGCGAGTCGAGCAGGCTGGAGGGGGATTGGAGCGCCAGGTGGAGATCAGTGGCTTTGTACGAGGTCATGGCATCAGGATAGTCTGCAATCGAACTGATTTTCTTTCTCTGGAGCATTCGCGCGCAACATTCTGAATGTCCCCTGGCGGGAAAGGGGGGGGGAGGCGGGGAAAGCGGTGGCTGGCTCGAACGGCCACTGACCACTCCGAGAGAGAGGAGCAAGGTCGTGGTGGTCACTCCTCGCGCCCTCAGGGCTTTTGCACTTTCCGAACGCCACTCGGAGCGAGAGGAGAGAGAGTGAATATCTAATTCTAGTCAATCCCACCAAAAGGAACGCGGCCAGTTTTTTGGGCCGAAGACAATGTTTCGGACTTTAAAAATGCGAACGGAACGAGATGACACACTTTAAGTGAACCGGATGACACAATTTAAATAAACGACACATTTAAAGGATGCCATATTTAAACATAGGTTCAACGACACTATTTTTAAGTCAATTTTAACCTAATTAACAAATATTTGGGTGACATGTAAGATGTAATGAAAGTATCAACTACAACAGATTAAAACCTACAGTTTGGTTACAAAATATGTAGAAAATATCTGTAAATTTTACTAATTGACAACAAGACTTTGCAAAAAAGATTCAGATTTAGTTCAAAATTTAAAAAAATTAAATAAAAACCGTGATCTTATAAATAATGGCGCAAAAAAAGGTTTTAAAATTTTAAAATTAATCTAAAATTAGGCCAAAATCAGCAAAATTTTGGAAAAATGAAGATCGAACCAGCCCGAATTTGGAGAACAGTCGAAATGATAACAATAAACGACAAAACAAAGGAATGACCCTGCGGGCATTGTTAGCTGACACTAATTTCGCGACGAGAATGGGAACAAAGAGAACAATGAAGATGTCTACATCAACGAGGTTCACTGGGTCGACGGAACTAGGTGAAGAGGTCTCACGAACCAGTTCAGCCATTTCACTTTCAACAATAACGTGGTAAAATACGCCATGTACGCAGTTAACAATAAACATTTAAAACAAGTTTGATTTGGTCAAAAAGTAATGGGAAAAGTTGACAGAATTTACCTAAATTAGCCGTTGCATGGACGTTTAGCCACAGTTTTTATGTAAATGTGGGGAAAGTGCAAAAAAGTATTCACTAAATAAAAAAATTTAAACTTTTTAAAGCCCCCTATTGTCGCAGAAATGTTGCCATAATATGCAACAAAAGCTACTGAGACCTCCAAACTCTATATGCAAATTTCGCCCTATTCTCGCGGAATCCTCGAAACCCTACGGCATGAGTGGTCAGTCTGGAGCGGCGACTGCCGTAGGGCGTTTAGTTAATGGCGCCTTGATCTCTCTTTCTTTAACAGGCGCTGCGAAGGGGTCTCCACCGAGCAGCACGAGAGAGAGAGGCGGGTCTGTGGACCGCGATCAGGGTGACATTGCACCCAAACTGGGGCTTCCCCTTCCACGGTGCGGTCGCGCTTGTCGCCGCCGACCCAGTTGCGACACGGCAGGTCACTCGCGAGTGCAAAATGTCACGCGAAACGAAGAGGGCAGCCGGCCTCTGCCCCGGCTGGCACCAAGACTTGCACTTTATCCTATCACATCCAGACATGTTTACAGTAAACATGTCCTGTGTTAAGGTTGATGGGGTTGTTTTGAGCCGAAATGCAGCTACACAATGTGAAAGTTTGTTTACTACAGTTTAAAACTCACTTTTGTAAGGGTTACTGTAACAATATTGTTGTTACGTATGTACTGGATAGTAAATAATATTCAAATAAACCAAAATGTGAATATTGCAATGTAATGCTTTGTTTATTACACTTGCTGCACTACATTTACCACACTTTAGGGCATTTTTTAAATTTTACTGTAGGTTTTAAAACAATTTTCAAGGCATTTCGAATAACTCTTTTTTAACAGTTTAATGTAATTTAGCATAGTTGTTTTAGGTCTTGTTTAAGTTTAGTGCTGCTTAAAACCGTCATTTTTGCATAACTTAAGTTAAACTTCTTAAAACATTACTTAAAAAGATAACAATCGTGCTGTTTCAGCACCTAAAACGCATCAAAAACTTACTACAATGTAATTTCTACAGCTCAAAACTACTTTTTAAAGGTTAGTTTAACGTCGAATCCACTTCCTCTTTCCCTGAATGATGGGAAAACACTTTTATTTTGCTCAAAAGCACTGTTCCACAAAAATCAAGCCTAAAATACGTCAATCTGAAGAATGTACTGACTCAACTCGAGATAGTACTACTGTTTACGACAACTGATTAGTCACAACATTTGCATAACGTCACCACAGATAACAAGGTCAACCGCTTATATTGTTTGGAAAGAGTTTCCCCTTATCGATCGGTCGCTTTGTTGACAGTCGAGAGTGAAAGGCGAGAGCGACTAAAGAGCAACTTATGTAATATTCGAGTATCCCCTTACTCCGCAGTAAAATGAATGTGGATCCCTACAAGATAGAGATCTTCCTGGACCAGAAGATCCTCCACCCCGGTCAGAAACTGACGGGTACCGTGATCCTCGACCTTCAGAAGGCGCTTTCCTGTAGCCGGATCGAGGTTCAGTTGTTTGGAAGTGCCAGAGTCTTCTTTGTTCAACAAATTGTGGGTTTATATTGTTATAAATTTAAATCTAATTTTGGAATTCGAATTATATAATGCTTTATATATTGGTAAGAAGAATATTTCAGACAAAACCGACTGTTCTCTTACAAAACAAAGCCTTCGAACAGGAAATAATACTCCTCGATCAAACCAAGAATGTTTACGATGATGGATCTAAGCCTAAACAACTGACTGTAAGTTACTTTTACGTAAACTAAAGTTAACAAACTTACACTCAGCTAGGAATTACCGTAAGATTTCGACTAAAATTTCTATTTTTTAAATAATTTTAACATGAAAGTTAGGCGTACAAGCTTGATAAAAATATAATATAATGATAGATTGTTCTAATTATGTTTAAAACTTTAGTTAGACGAAATAGCGAGGAAATCTAGTTCGACAGCCATTAGATTTCCGACACAGAAAAGTAGTACCATTAGCAGTGGTACTCATGAGTACCAATTTGGTTTCGACTTGCCAGCTGCTGGCTTGTATACGTCTTTTGATGCTAAAGGAGCAGCTGGATATGTGAGGTACTACATTCTGGTAAGTTCAGTTTCTACAAATACAATCCAAAATATAAAGTGTGTAAAATGTATACTATATGTAAATTTATACTAATATATAACACGTATAGTATGTTTCATGCCATTTTACTTTTCAAACGATAATTGTAAGACAAGTAGATTAAACTTAAAATGAAATTTCAGGTAAAATGTTTTAATGGACCTACCGTGGTAAGACGCCAAAAGTTACTGTTTCCAATTGTCGTACCAGTAGTACTTACTCTTGATCCCACTCCGGAGATAGTACTAGACAGATATGTCAAAACTTCTAAAGGACTAGTCACTGTCAAGCTACAGCTGGCTAAAAATAAGTTTTTGCCTGGAGAAGCAGTGAACGGAGTGGTTACTATCAACAATCAGTAAGTGAATTTATTATTTTCGTCTGATCTCTGTTTCTCTAACAAGGGGATGTTACAAACTGTCCATTTGCTTTTTAAAAATGAGTGATACCATTTGAAACAGCGTAAAAAGTGGACTGGAAATCTATTTTTAAAAACTGCCAAGTTCGCTTTACAAGTTCGCTAGCGAGATTTTAAAATTTTCCTTAATAAAATGGTTTTTCTACGTTCGCTTTCTTCCAGGAACCAAATATGCTCGATTGGCCAAGTGGTCAAAGGCGCCGTGATATCATGCGGGTTAGGTTCGATTCTCTTTTGGTGTAGTGACTTTTATTTTTTAAAATTTAAATTGAAGTTAAGTTGCATTAACAAAACTAAAGTTTTTTTCGTTAATAATTGTTCCTTATATCTATTAAAACATAAAACAACAAAAAACTAAAATTTTCGAAAGTAATAATCCAAAAGAAAGCATAATAACTTAAAAGGTCCTTTTACTAATGATTTTAAAATCTTGCTAGCGGGCTTGTAAGGCAAATTTGGCAGTTTTTGAAAATAGATTTCTAGTCAACTTTTTACGCTCTTTCACATGGTATCATACATTTTTAAAAAGTGAATGTACAGTTTGTAACATTCCCTTGTAAGAGATACTGTAATTGATATAACAGTATGACATTTTAGAACAACAAGCTCGATCAAAAAGGCCCATCTTTACATAGTCCAAGATACCGTGTGCTATGCTGTCACTCCAGAATCCCAATTTCAAGAAAGTCAGTACAAAACCCCTGGAATGGGGCTTCCTCAAGACAAGGTGACAGCCGGTAACTCGTTACAGTACCCCATCAGATTCAATATCCCTGCCTTAGTACCAGGAGTTTTGGTGGATGGCTGTATTCACATGCAGTACCAGTTATGTCTGGATGTTGGGTTTGAAAGAGAAATCAACAAGGGCACCATTGCGCAGATTACGGTAAGGGGTTAACTGTATATTTAACTTAATTAGGAAAGTCGGCAATTTAATAGATAAACCTAAATTATTTTCTTGGTACAATATTAAATTTAATATAAAAGTGTTGTTGGCGTTCAAGAGTAAAATATTATTGTTTCAGGTCCCAATAGAGATTGGTACCCACATCTCAGCAGATGCCCCTCCACCATACGATTCTCTTGACTTCAGTGTATCATCAGGTAGGCAGACCCTCTTTAGTTGTATTTATATAATGTATTTTCAGCCCCGCCAGGCTACAACCAGAGTGTGACTGGACTGACCGAGACCTTCGAAGCTGAATTCTCCAATTTATACAACCCCATGTGCTGTTATTACAGTAACCCGGGCTTTGAAAAAGACGAAAATTCCAAGAAAAACGAATAGAAAACACACGACAATACTTAATTTAATTGTAAATATTACAAGGAACAGTAAAATACAGTTTTAAACAACGTTACAGTAGTAATGATATAGCTTTTAAGGAGATAGAAAGAGTAAAACATAGTTAAATCATTGTGGTATGTTGAGAAATATGCATAAAGTAAAATTCAATATTTACATAAAAAGAAGAGCACCATCACTCTTCTTGTTTGTAGGCCAAGAACAAGGCCATAGTGAAGTAGCCCAGACAGCATGACCCCCATTTTAATAGTGGCGGTTGGTTATTGGCGTGTTCTGGGGCCAATACCTAAAGTAAAATTGACAAAAAATATAAGAAACTGCGACAAATAGTAACACTACATGTTGTCATATTACGGTCTAACAAAAGTAGAAACTACTTACCTCAAAGAATGCTATGTAAATAAAAGTACCAACAGAAAAGCTGGTCAGTACCGTCGATACTACGTATCTTGATGTTTCGTTCATGTCCGAATTCTGAAATATTATATATTACAGCGTCAAGCATATTATATAATAACTTTAAATATGATAATATTAGTTTTAAAATCCTAAGAATTACTGTCGACACTTACTTCGATCAGAATCCCAATGACACCGCCAAACGGACTAGAGAATGATATGACACATAGCAACAAGACCATCAACATTTTGTTGTGGGACAGATTCTTAGCCAGATTCATGCCAAAACTAAACGACACCAAGGCCTTGTGGGTAATGATGCCGAAGAAGAGCGAACTCATCGAGATCACGGTCTTCTGAACTCCGAAGGCGAAGCCTTCTAGAGCTGTGTGTACCAATAGTGCGAGTACGAAGGCTAGGACATTCGAAAGACCTGGATGAATATGATTGTGCTTTATGACATTCTTTTCAGAGTCAACCTCGGAACTTTGTTTCTCTGGGGTTTCATCGTCGAAGTCACTTTCATAGTGTCTAAAATGAAATGCTATTAAAGAGATGTAGGTATATCAATAAAAGGCGTATGAGCTATTAACAATAAACTTTAAAAGTAATTTCTTTTTTACACAAAGTATAACAATTTCAACAAAACTTACGACAACACATCATCCACCCCCTCATCCTCGTGGTCGTGCTTCAACCCACACACCTGACTCAAGAACTGCTCTACGAAGTAGACGATAAAGAAGCCGACCCCAGTCAGTAGCTCCACATACGGGTACTCACTGTTGTATCCCAACAACTCCCTCGCCTTCTCCCAGTCTTCTCTAAAATTTAAATAATTACGGTTATCATCGTCCACCCGAGAGTAGGTCATTCCGACAGTCATCAAGCGACAGTAACTTCTTACTACTGCCAGAGCCGGGCGCGAGGGGGGGTACCCCCCAGAAAAAAAATTTTTAAAAAAAGTTGAACGTGGCCCCCTTGTAGATTTTCGAAAAAAAAATTTCGCGAAAATTGGCACAGGTGCCGATTTTTTGGACCCCTGCCCCCAGACCAAAAGTCCCCGCCCTGACTACTGCTAATGTCTTGTCAACATATACTTTAAACCTGAAAGTAGATAAAGTGGTATTATTACCTTGCATCTGGTAACATTTCGATCAAACATACTCCCAAAATGACACCTCCACAAAAGCATGACAACAGTGATATTGTAGTAGTGGCGTTCTTGCCTAGCCGTCCTTTTGATTTTGTCAGTACTTTGAAGAGCTGAAACTTTGTCTATACTATATTTTGATGACCATAACTGGAAACTGATAGTAATTTTTTATTACTACGGTTATACAAGTTGATCTAAATTAACATACCTGTATCGGAATAAGTGAAAATACAAACGGAACAATGGCCATGAACACCAACAATATGATCTTTAATGTCAGCACGTCCATGCTCTACCTGAATATTTAACTAAATTAAACTTTAAAAACATATCTAAATCACTATTCAAAATCAAATTTAACATTATCAGTCAACATTTGAATTTTGAAAATGACGTTGAAACTGAGAAACAATCAAAGTAACACAATGTAGCCTTCGAATACAAATAAAGGCTGGAAATGTCACCGGAACTAAACGAGTCAATGCCTAAAGGCATGCTGCTCTTATCTCAGGCCCTGTTATCGTTTAATTACATTAAAAAGTAAACTTCGAACCAGGTTACTCTGGTCTATAGTACTTCAACAACCACTTCTAACGTTCTGTTTAAAAAAAATATTTTAGGTAACATTTTGTGTTAAAGGACTTTACGTGGGATTCCAATTAGGCATTAGACCTCAATTGATATGATAAAATAACTTTTGATAATTCTGTCTGCAATTCATTACATCACGTTCGCATCAATGATAATGTCAGCTTTTAACACATAAAATTCGTTCTGATAGCCTGATAATGTTTTACTACTACTCAATAATATGGTACTTTTATCGGAATATCAAGGTAACCTCATGTATATTATACTCAATTATGTTACCTTAAAATTTTGTCATTTTTATCTGAATAATCTGTATATCTACTTCAGATATGATCCACCAAACGGTAATAATCCGTAGTACAAAAAGCGATAAAACCCGTCTTTAATCCAAACAACAACATGGATATAAAGAGAGTGACGCTCCGCGAATTCGCAGATGACCATCATGCGGACCGCCTACATTACCATGGTATTCTTATCAGTAGTTTGTGCTGATTTAGATGACGAAGCAAGAAAAGGTAAGCTTTGCCATATTTAATAATATTTTTAGTCTTTGACTATATCAACACAGACAAGCAAGCTACAATAGCTCTGGAAGACGCAGTAGCTATCTTGCAACGCATTCTACCAGCAAGCAACTATCAGGTATGGAGTGTCCATAACATAACATTCACATCCAATCAATTATAGTATTTTATCCTTTCAGTTCTTTCAGTAACAACCGTTTAACTTTAATGGTATTACAAACATCACTTTTTTGAATTACTTTATTTACGTGAAGTTTGCAATTCCCAAACTTCACGTATCTCGAGCACATCACTGATATTGCGATAGGCTATCACAATATCAGTCCCTTTCAATTTAATCAGCATTCTTTCAGAAAATAGATGCAAATCATGACGGACAAGTTAGTGAATCAGAGTTTGTCAATTTTTACCATGAACAATATAATGAATGGGCAAAGGAGAACCTGCAACCTTGAAATCTCCTGTAATATTTATTACTATTGTAAAGTTTTTATGTAACATATCTTTGATTCTATTCAAACTACAAATTAAAAGCAATTAGAACCTTTAAAGTTTTTATCTGAAAATTAGTTTCTATTGAAAAAGATATTTTAATAACAGTGATAAGAAACTAACTTTAAATACTTTGATGTTTAACTCTAATTTTCTTTTTGAAAAATGTAGAAATAATTAAAGTACATTGCAAATATCGTCGGACAGCTTTTAGAACTCAAAAATGTCTTTATTACTAAAAACCAAAAAAACTCCTAGAAACAAGGTAATATGTCATAAGACAAAAGATCATTAGATACTCTGACTATTATTTATCGTAACTTTGCAAAAGACGGTAACAATCGCAAATTTGAACTTGATTTTGCTTTCTCTACATTGAAGAAAAATATTTCACAAAAATAGTTTTCCTTTCCGGTTAGAAATCCTCGGAAAGGCAGGTCATGACATATTTACTGACGCGTTTTCTGGAAATAATATTTTCTTTTTGTTTTCTTGTCGAATAAATATTCAGGGTCACCGATATACAGGGCTGTTTATCAATTTTCTTCTCGGTCACGCCATCTCTAGACCATTTTAGGTTATTATTTAAGCATTTTATGTATGTTCTTTCAGGGGAATAATGTCCACCATCTCGCTGGAACTTTACAATGCGAAAGCACCCAACAAGAACCACGTTTTGATCGAGAACGTATGTTTTTGGTACTATTCTTGTCTTCTTTTAGTTTGTTTAAATAACTATCATAACGTTATTGAACTTCTTTATAAATTTATTTTTTAGGTATCGCCAAATGACAACATTAAGACTATCAAGGCTAAATTGGGAGCCAAAAGTAGGTTTAGTTAATTATTTATTCTGGTTTTAGAACGTTTGGGAGTTGAAAGAATTGCCATCAGATCAGACCCAAAAGGAAAAGGATTAAAGGATGAACAACTTGTATCCGATCTTAATCTTTCTAATGGAGCTGCTTTGTACTACAAGGATCTAGGACCACAGATTGCTTGGGAAACTGTATTTTTGTGTGAATATGCCGGACCCTTGTTTGTTTATCCCATCTTCTACCTTCGTCCAGCATTTATTTATGGAAGTAAGTACTTAAGATAATTTTAATGTTGTTTTATTTTATATTTATTAAAAATCCAACTTTTAAGTATTGTTGTCAATATGAATTTTTAGGTTTGGCATCAAAACCCATTCACCAAGCAGTTACTCTTGCTTTGATCTGCCACTCTGTTCATTATGCTAAAAGATTGTACGAAACCAAGTTTGTCCACAGATTCAGTAATGGAACGATGCCTTTGTTCAACTTGTTCAAGGTGTGTTAACATTAAATTTAAAAAGTAATTTAGGCTTGCTAATATTGATTGTTGCATCATTTTCTGAAAGTATTTTAGAACTCTTCGTATTATTGGGGCTTTGCTGCATTTATTTCTTACTTCATCAACCATCCTTTATACACTCCACCAGCTCTCGGAAATGTTCAGCTATTTGGAGGAATTGCAACATTCGTGCTCTGTGAATTGGGTATGTTTTTTGGTTAGATAACTGTGTTATTTATAATTTTTTTATTTTTATAATTCTTTATTTGTGGTTTTAATGAGCTTTGTTTAGGAAACTTCTCTATCCATACCTTGTTGAGAAATCTGAGACCGGCTGGCACTAAGGAAAGAAAGATTCCTTTCCCGAACTCTAATCCACTAACTCAACTCTTCAATTTGGTCAGTTGCCCTAACTACACTTATGAGGTTGGAGCTTGGCTTTCGTTCTCTTTCTTCACGCAAAGTCTTCCAGGTATGTAGACTTGATGGATTAATGCAAAGTAGTATGGTTAATTTTTAATTTTGTTGCTTACAAGAGGTGTTTAATTGTTACTTAAAAGTGTATATTAACGTATCATTTTTAGCTCTCTTGTTCGCAACTGCTGGTTTTATTCAAATGAAGATCTGGGCAGATGGAAAGCACCGCCTGTACAAAAAGGAGTTTTCTGACTATCCTAAGGGTAGAAAACCGATTGTACCATTCCTTTGTTAGACTTTCTATTGATATATCACTTTAACATATCTATCTTGCCATTTAGGTATAATAAATAATTATTTTTATTGTTGTCGGTTCTGTTTTGTATTAGTTTAGATTCTATTTTTAATATTTAAAGTTACTTTTTGTTAAAAACAATACAACAAACTTCAGTTGTACGAACACTTGTTTCTTTAACTTATCAATGTTATAGATGGTTGCAAACTTCCCGCCATTCCAAGCAGTCGTCCTTGCCGGAGGGCTTGGAAACAGGATGCTGAATATCACGGAACATAGGTCCAAAGCCCTGTTACCCTTGGGCAATCTTCCTTTGTTTTGGTATCCTTTACATGTTCTATCAGAAAACGGCATCAATAGTAAGTGGTTAAGATGGTACTTTTGTAATCTATATATAGCCTATATTGATAAAGTTGTACAGACAACAATTGTCAGTTATTTGTGTACATCAAACCTAACTTTTGACTATTTTCTAGATGTTTTGCTAATAGCCAACGAAGATAACTGTGTTGACATAAAGAGCTTGCTCGACTGTGGTTCTCTCCCACCTCTACCTGGATTAGATGTTGAAGTTGTATCACCAGGACCTCAAGAAGATGACTGGGGTACAGCTGATGTTCTCAGACATTTCGCCAATAAAATTACTGTAAGTTACTGTTTCTGTAAATTATTTTGATTTTTAGAGTGACTTTATCCTGATGGGATGTGAGTTCGTATCTGACATCAACTTGAGGAACATGATTGACTTCCACAGAACTCGGAAGTCAATTATGACAGTGTTATTGTCCAACCAAGCCTGCAATTCTGTTGCTCCTGGACCGAAGGAAATGCAAAAATGTGAGTATGCCTGTCATGGGAGAATAGGTATAAGAAAAGCCGTTTAAGTTGCCTAGAATCTTAATTTTTAAAATAAAAGGACATTTTAGATAGAGATTTTGTCGCCCTATCAGCTTCTACTGGTCAGTTAGTGTACCTTCAATCAGAGGAAGATCTTGAAAGTGAAACCATCGACTTGGACCCTCAAGTAATAAACAGGCTACATAATGTAGAATTATCGTGTAATTACGTTGACTGTCATGTGTACATTATGGACAAACGGATTTTACATGTTTTGGAATGGGAACGGTAATTTGTGATCTTTTGTTTATTGTCTTTATGACGTTAACTGTGGTCTCTTATTAACTATGACATACGTTACTTCACTTCCTTTCTGATCAGCTACAAATTTTAGTGACATTACTATGGTCAAAGCGGATCTGATTCCGTTCTTGGTAGAGAAACAGTACGATCCTGATGAATTGATGCGTCTTTTCCAGAATCCTCAACTGGTCGACCACGCCTTTGAATTGAGGAGAGGAATCGACGAAGATCCTTCATCTGGGTTCCAACTGTATGGCTACAAGGCTACACGTGATGTTGTTTCTGTAGTTGCACGATGTAACACATTGGGCGCTTACATTGAAGCGAACAAGTGTGTGTTAGAACAGAATCCTCCATTTATACCTGAATTCAAACAAGAACAATTCCCTGGCAACAAGGTTAATGTGATCAAGAGTAGACTTGGTAAAGGAACACAAGTTGGCCTCGAGAATCTGAAGATCGTCAAGTCGAGTGTGGGAGAGAATTGTCTCGTCTCGAACAATGCAAAGATCGAGGAGTCCGTTATCTACAACAATGTCAAGATTGGTAATGGAGCTAGTGTCAAACGGTGTATCATATCGGAAGGCGCAGTGATTGGAGACAACTGTACTTTGGAAGGTTGTATTGTAGATAAGGATCATGTTCTTGAACCCAAAAGTGAGTTATTCTTGTTTCAAGGTTGTTTCTCATGAAAGTCTGTCTAAAAAGTTTTTTATTTAAATAAGAATTTTTAAACAGCGAATCTTAAAAAACGTACACTAACGTTGTGTTTCAGGGAAAGTGGTCCGTGATTTCGTGCGGACAGAAGTGGAAATGAACATAGAAGATTATTAAAAAACGTCTGGGTTTAATGTTAATCGCTTTATTTTGTAATTTTTTGAATCCGCCGAGTTGTTTTATTGTTATTGTTGTCATAATAAACTGAATTTGCCAATAACTCTCGCGATAATATTGTTTTTGAAAGTAGAACACTTGTCTCGAAATGTTTTTCTTTCCTCAAAAGGAATCCGCCAATTTCCTTGTCCTAAATTGGAGTTGACTTGAGATGACTCTAAAGGTAGTTTTCTTTTCTCCAGGCGGAGGTTAATCTGTCTGCAATCTTTGCTTATTCTCTTTTCATTTTTTTGTTTTTTAGTTTGTTTAACAATCCAAAATGTCACAAACAACAGACGAGATGTTCCAAAAAGCCGCTGTTCTAACACGACTGGTTGCGTCCTCGGTAAAAATAGCTCAGAAGGCCGGAAACGTCATAAAAGTAAATATTATAAACATTTTTTCTTTTAGGTAATATTATCTGACAAGATAACTAAAGTTCACTTTAGGCAGTAACTGCGACCGCGGACTTGAAGATCGTGGACAAAGGGAAGAATGGAGAACTGGACATTCAGACAGAAGCGGATCGTTCAGCCCAATATTGTATTGAGAAGTCGCTGCAGACCAAGTTTGACAACAAGTTAGTGATCATAGGCGAAGAAGAGGTAACGAGTGCCGTTCCTGATCTCGAGTTGGATGTTGACGGTGATGTCCTGAAGCTAGACGGAAAGTTGACTGGAGAACTGCGAGATGCCAAGCTAGAAGACTTTGTAGTTTGGGTGGATCCTTTAGATGGAACTTCGGAATTTGCCAAGGCGGTTAAAACAATGTCAGGTATGTTATTATTGTTTGTTTATTGTTGCTTTCAGACGTATTGGTTCAGGTGACGGTGTTGATTGGTATCTGTTATAAAGGACGTTCAGTTGGTGGTGTCATCCATCAGCCATTTTATGGAAATAACGGTAGAACCATCTGGGGAATTGTTGGCGTCGGCACTTATGGTGTACATGTTTTGAAAGGTATGTCATACTGTATTTGTAAGTAAGGCATCCTGTCTTTGTAAGTAATTAAGTGCCTGAAGATAAGGTAATATACTTATCATAAAGTTATCTTTAATAATAAAATTTACAGATTCAATATTCATAATTTGTTTTTAGCTACCGAAAAGAAAGTCATCGTGACAACGCGAAGCCATCTCACTCCTCAAGTTACTCGAGCTTTAGATACCTTGAAAGGAAAGGGTCTTTGTGATGAAGTGAAACAAGTTGGAGGTGCTGGATTCAAGGTGCTTCAGTGTCTCGACGGTGCTACTGCTTACGTGTTCGCCAGTGCGGGATGCAAGAAGTGGGATACAGCAGGACCTGAAGCTTGTCTTCGAGCAGCTGGAGGCGATCTGACTGATATCAGCGGCCGAAATTTGTGTTACGACGCCCACGTTCAACATCTGAACTCTGGAGGAGTACTGGCAACAGCTCCGGGTGTGTCACATGCTGACTACGTGAATGCCATCACAGATGATCTAAAGAAGGAACTGCCAGAAATAGTCTCGAAACAGTAGTGTAAATACCAGATTTTGTCGTATATTAAGTTATGTATCTTTCCAATTCAATAAAGTATTAATCAAAACTGTATATTTGTAACAAGGGTAACAGACAACAATTATAACTTTGATTTCTAAAGGCTACTGATGTTTAATATCACTTTCACGTTCAACATTTTAACTTCATAATCAAGCTTGATCCAGCCCGACCTTGATGATGGAATCGACCTTGTTGGAGACGTCTTCTTCTCCAGATTTACTCTTGTATATCCTGTTGAACTTCTTTCTTCGCATCGAATCCTTGATATCTCTGATCTCTCTAGTAGCAGCGTACAAAGGTTTCGGTAGTTGTCTATGTTTAAGGATACGACCAACAGCTGGATGGTGTTGATACGACTCTTTCAATTTTTCGTTGTACTCCATCGCAGCCTTTTCACGAGGTCGTAGCTAAAATAGTACAAATTAATGTGTTATAAAAGAGTCATAAAAAAGCGTAGTATTATGACACCAGATTAACATAAAATAAAGCAAGGGGAACTTACAGGTCCTAGTTTTTCTGAAGCGTACGCCTTCCACAAACGTATATTAAACTCGTCACTGCCAGATAACACATACTTATTATCCAAAGACCATAATACGGAAACAACATGTTGCATTCGAGGAGCATGATATACCTCCCTAAAAACGTAAAATAAGTTTCAAATAATACATCTCAACGTACATGACTGTATCATTTACTTACCGACTTTTTACTCTGTCGACATTAAACATCCTCAGAGAACAATCATAACTTCCGGCAACGAATTCTTGACCTGTAGGACTGTAGTCAACGTCTGTCACTGCCAATGTCGCTCCTTGATGCACCATTCGAGCAGAATCCAGATATCTCATGTCAAATGCATATACACTAAAATTAATAATGTACATAAATCGTAATATTATATCCTAAAACTAAGACTACAAATAAAATACTTACTTGTAATCTTCGTTGGCAGCCAAGAAGGAGTAGGGTTCCAATGGATGCCATGCCAACTTGTTAGTTCGTAGCTTCAGAACAACTCTCGTCAAGGGTACCTTTTGTCTGCTGTCCAATAAGAAGATTGACCTATCGGATGAACATCCTGCCAACACACTTTCCTCAATCGGGTTACAAGATACGCTGTGAATGCTGTTGTGTCCCATATCGTACTTTCTGATCGGTGAATCACGATACAACTTCCAAACACAGATGCCGTCTCCAGAAGTCGCAAAGTCAGAAGAATTGGCTATGTGACTAATTGCTTGAGGCACATCTGTCAAGGGAATCGAATGTAGAGGTTCACTCAGGTCTCCACTTATCACTTCAGGCAATCCCCATAACTTGAGCTGAGCATCTTGGCCTACTGTAACATAAGTTTCTCCATTGTCTTTATCGACTGAAAGACCATTTATAGGCCCAGTGTGTGCTTGTATTGTGCTCAAACATTTCTTAGAAGTCAAATGCCAGATTTTAACTTGTCCATCACGAGCTCCACTCAAGACTGTAGACAATCGAGTAGGATGTTTGGCCAATATATGTACACCTTCAGAATGACCATCCAAAGCACACAAAAACGGTTTGGCAAAAACTCTGTCTAATTTAGCAGCATTGAGAGCCCTAGTGTATTCTGTGAGATGTCTGAATGGATCTTCTGCCGCGTTGAAGTTTCTCGGAGCTAAATAATAAAATAAACCAATATAATAACGTACCTTTGTAAATGTCATTTGATGTTTCACGTTGGAAGTCATCTGGGTTCCGAGATATAACCTTAACCTTCAGTTTTGACATTTTATTTTGCTCAAAAAAAGAAAATAAAAATTCCCAAAATATTTTAAATGCGTCAAGTTTTTCTCTGCGCCAACTTTTACTTTTGACAAAAACTTGTTTCAAATTTTACCGTAGTCAATTGAATGTTATGTTTATATGACAAGATAAGTTGTAATGTAGTTCCAAAACTAGCATTAAGCAACTTTATTGTAACTTCCTAATTTAAAAGTTTTAAAAATTGTAAAAATAGTCAAAACCAATAAAGTATGCTTCAATTTTAAAATTTCTGTAATTTTGAAGTTTTGGATTTAAATTTTATTTCTATCTTTTGTAAATTCAGATGTTGGGGTTTGTTGTTGCAGTTATTGTCATTTCGCTTGTTTTTAGTTTGGAAGATTTTGTTGCCATACGTGATAACAATGTCATACCTGAAATGTATAAGAAGGTAGTAGAATATCGCGAGAATCAGTTGTAAGTTCCTTCAAAATATTTAAAAATAAATTTCTTTATAATATTTAAAAAACGATTGTATGATAAATATGTAAAGAAATTTAGAACCGTTGAAACAACCAAGAGACACGTCCCATTGATGTTGATGTACCCGAAAGATGACAAGGTAGCTGTCACAATAGAACCCGATGATTGTGTTGTGCATGTGGTCGACTTTGAGCTCACTTGTGGTGTCAATACAAATGTTTCTAAGACTGTTAGCATTTCTGTGGATTCCAAACCTACTAGGAAACATTGTTCTTTAAAGTCTGAGCAATATGACAATGACAACAATGCCATCGCTGTGGACATCTGGGTGGAGGATGCTAATAGTCCTTGTAAATATAAGGTCACTTTTGTAAGTTTGATACATAGTTTTGTTTGAAAATTATATTTGAGTTAGCAATCGAATATAAAACTTGTTTTAACAGTGACATTTTAACGAAATTTTAAAATTTTTTAAGAAATGGGAAAATTAGTTACAAAATAATTTTTAAACTTGTTTCTGATGGAAACGTGGTCGTAATTACTAATAAAGTAAGTTACTTTCAGAGTGAGAACGTTGTTCTACTGTTGCCCCAGATGGTGATGGACAGGTACATGGTGAACATGGATTCGGGTGGGGCGTCGTTGCCCGTGTATACTTTGGTCTATTACATAATCATGATTTCTCTATATAATCTTTAGACCGTGTAGAAATGTTTATAACGAGCGCCACATTTCACAAGCGATCTCTGGCTATTGTTCGTAGGCTAATAAAGGTTATTTATGATAATATATATTTGTTTATTTTTCGTTTTGTTGAGATACCGTACCTCATTCACAACGTTTTGACTTTACCGTACCATTTCACAACGTTTTTCGACGTTACCGTACCATTTCACAACAGTTTGGGGAATCAAATAAAATCAGGTAACACCATTTAATAACAGGAATTTTACTGCGGGAATCTCAGGCTTTCATCCATCAACCACATCGTTCCCCTATCAATAACTCTAGACACAATACGTCTTGCTGTTTTTTGGGAACATTTCGTCACGATTTCTTATCAGTCAACTTCCCCCAACAGCTGTCCCCAACACGTGGAAGCCATGAGTTCGGGGCCAAGGGATAGACGATATTATCTGTCATGATCTAGAGGACCTCTTATCACTGTTACCTGATGGACTGTAACTGATTTTAGGACACTCTGAGATCAGGAGACCGAATTTCTGAAAACGTTTGATTTTTAGAGAACTTAGTGATCTTTGTCGATAAAATCAGTTTTTTTATTCTTTTTATTATAAAAATTATATTTTTAGCTAGCTATCTTTTGATAAAAAATATGAAACTGTTCAGGTTTTGGGCGAAAACAGTCAAAAAGTCAAGTTTCGACGAGAAATCACAATTTTTGGACGAAAATCTGTTTTTTGCCAGTTTCCGATGAATTCATTTTCGAATTTTGTTTTTTCTTCTCGTTTCGATGTGTTTTCTTATCAAGTGTAATATCCCTGTGCGTTATCGGACTTTCTTCTTCTTATCGATTATCTGTTATTATGAAGGACAAGATCGAACCTTCCTTCCCATCGCTCATGACTTTTAAAAGACGCGCACGAATGAATATTATGTGGTTGTAAAGCTATGATTTGTTGTTTTGAGAAGACCGCGACTACGGTGCTTCTGATAAGGTTGCTTTAAAAGACGCTCTCGCCGGACCGAGCTGGCCATTCTTTCTTCGTTACCTACTTTATTGAACTTGTTATCTTTACTTTACAAAACCGTTTTTAACTCGTTATCACCGCTACTTTATAGTTTTCTGTTAACTTTATACTTGTTATCTGTTGCAGACCAGCTCGTTGGTGTATAAGATCTAAAACTGAACGAAAATGGTGCTTCTGGGTGCAATTGACCAAGGAACTTCGTCCAGTCGATTCCTCGTCTTTGAATCTGATACTGGAGAACTGGTGTGTAGCCATCAAGTAAGTGACTTTTCCGTGTTTATTGATTTGAGTTAGGTTTATTTTTTAATTGATTTAAACTTTTGTTATCTAAAAACATTTTTTACCTAAAATTATTTGTTAAAAGATTTACTAATTTTTTAAGAGTTTTATTGCCTAAAATTATGTTATTAACGTTTTTATTACCTAAAACCCCGTTTTGAACCGAGAAATTGTATCGAAAGTTCTTTTGTTACCTAAAACGTGATTATTACACAAATAAACTTCAGATCGAAGTCCGCCAACAATTCCCGAACCATGGCTGGGTCGAGATGGATCCCAAGGAGATCCTCGAGACCTGCACTACCTCCATCAATAAGTGCTGTGCCAAATTGGAAGCCATGGGCATCTCCAAAGACGAAATCAAATCCATCGGCGTAGCCAATCAGCGCGAGACATCGCTGGTCTGGGATAAGACCACTGGAGAACCACTACATAACGCCATCGTTTGGCTAGACACAAGAACTGCTGAACTGGCCGAACAAGCCGTCAAGAAGACTCCAACACAGTAGGTTTTGACACAACTTTCAGGTTTTGCTACCTATTTTTGGAAAATTGAAATTTTGAAAAGGAGAATCGTTTTAAACCTTTTTATAAAATGATGTAAAACGACATTCTTAACCACAAATTTTAGGGACAAAGACTACTTCAAACAGAAGACCGGCCTGCCAATCCACCCCTACTTCAGTGCCTTGAAACTGCGATGGCTCTTGGAGAACGTGCCAGAAGTAAAGGACTGTCTGAACAAGGGAAACCTTCTCTTTGGTACAGTGGACACCTGGTTGATCTGGAAACTAACTGCTAGCAAAGCCCATGTCACTGACGTTACAAACGCCTCCAGAACCCTGCTACTGGACCTTCACAAGAGGAAGTGGAGCTCCGAGTTGTGTACCTTCTTTGAGATTCCTATGGAAATCTTGCCTTCAATCAAGTCCTCGGCCGAAGTCTATGGCCACATCCAGGACGGCGTGTTAGCTGGTGTGCCAATCGCTGGCTGTTTGGGTGACCAACAGTCTGCCATGGTAGGCCACAACTGCTTGAAGAAGGGCCAGGTCAAGAACACCTATGGTACTGGTACCTTCATGTTGTGCAACACTGGAGTCACTCCAGTTTTGTCAAAGAACGGGTTGTTAACTACAGTAGGATTCCAGGTATGTGTTGTAATTTACTTTTAATGATGTTATTTATTAACATTCTGTAATCAAGTTGAGTCTTAAAAAGTTGTTTTTGTTATTATTGATCGGTTTTTAAATCTTATTTTTGATGACTACAAAACACTAATGATGATTTAAGAAGAATACTTTGTTACCTATGATGTTTATGACTACAGACACTTAAAATAACATGATTGTGGTTTTAGTTTGGTCCTAACGCTCCAGTATGTTACGCTTTGGAGGGCTCAGGATCAATTGGAGGTAACGTCGTCCGCTTCCTCCGTGATAACCTCGGCTTCATCAAAGAGGCCAAGGAGGTGGAAGACATGGCCAGATCTGTCAAAGACACAGAGGACGTCTACTTTGTACCATGCTTCACAGGACTGTACACGCCTTACTGGGACGCTTCGGCTCGTGGTACCATTTGTGGTCTAACCCAATGTGCCACTAAAGCACACATTGCCAGGGCTGCCCTTAAGGCCGTTACCTTCCAAACAGCCGAAATGGTCGATGCCGTAGAACACGACATGGGGGACACCAAAGTGGAATCCATCAAGGTAATGTTTACAGATGATACTCTTGTTTGCTTTATATTGCAATATTACGTCGACATATAACTTGGTAATCTAATCTAAAGTTTCTCGACCTCACGCAAAATGCAGTTTGTCACGCCAACTAATGTATTTCCAGGTTGATGGTGGTATGACCGCCAACAGACTCTTCAACCAGATGCAATCCGACACAGTCGGGCGCCCGATCGTATGTTCGAAGATGGCCGAGATCTCTGGTTGGGGTGCTGCCATCGCTGGAGGTCTAGGAGCTCAACAAGTAACCTTGGAAGAGTTCAGCGGCCACACCAGCCAGAAGGTGGAGGCCTTCAACCCTGAGAACGACCACGAAGTCAGAGACAAAGAGATGGCCAAGTGGAAGGAGGCGGTTAAGCGAGCACGCGGATGGGATGTCACCAAAGCTTAAACTATTCTCAATTGTCACCCTGTAAATAGTTTCACCATCTCTTATATTATGGATTGTTCATTCATCACTCATTAGCACGACAATAAATATATGTACATTATTATTGTTATCGATGTGGAGTGTCACCACTCCGCGATCTCCACTAACGTCCCGTCCTCGTTCATCATGTCGTTCATCTCGCTGTTGTCGCTGCCATCCGACAGATTGGCATCGCCCGTCTCGGGATCAGCCAGCTCGAGCTGTTTCGATGTTCTCCTGACGTCTTCCTTGATCGATTGTCGTATGTTCTTGATTGTTTCCTGAAATCAGATCCGGTATCAACACGGAACCATCGTTCTTATCTTTCATGTGATTCCTATTATTGTAGAGATTGTTATTGTTAGTTGTACTTGAAAGCGTAGATAAAATAGTTTGCAAAATCAATTATAATATAAGTAGTAAAGATACAAGTGGCCTTTGAAAGACAAAATGTAACGTAAACACGATTCAACATAATATAAGCTAGAGTTATTGTAACTTGTACGGTAACTTACAGGAGTAACCCAGCCAGTCATAGGATCGTAGTGATCAAGCGCAGAGCAATAATCATTCTGGACCACCTTCTGAGCGACCGGCAAATGAATGTCGCAGATGGAGTACCACATCTGTCTGACAGCCGGCAGATGCCCTGGGGTGTAAATAAAGTCCTCGTCCATCCTGAGCGGGACCTTGGAGTCGGTGTAGCTGACTCGTAGCCTTTTATGTCTCTCTGGTATCTTGGTATGTTTTCTAAAAGAAACTACGACCGTCTGGTACTTTCGTGCTTCTGGAGTAGTTCGTGGATCGTAACCGAACTTGCACCATAACCTTCCCCACGGTCCACTGTAGATGTAGAAGGCGTATTTGGCCATTAAAACTCTGTAAAGGTTTTTTAAATTCAAAGTAGATTTTCAGTAGCAATTACAACAGGTTATTTAAGCCAAAAAGGTTTTTTAAAATAATAAACTAACAAAGACTTTAAGATTTAGAACCTACTTCAGAATACCGTCATCAAGTTTTGTCCTGCACTGAATGGCGACTCTGTTCCACATTGGCCGTTCCTCAAATAGCTCTTTCAGTAAACGATGTGGCTCCGGATTCTTTACTCGGGACTCTACATCTGCAATCGCTTGTTCACTAGGAGCATCAGGGAAGACGTCGTTGTGTTGCAATGTTAATGTATAGGCCTTTCGTTCCGTTCTCAGATCTAAAACCAAATCATTTAAACAACAACTATAAAGTGTTTAGACGATTACAATATAGTTATTGGTATCTGATATTGTTTTTTAAATAGATTTGCTTACTTTGTCCATGAGATACCTTCCCAGTCAATTCCGGCTTCTCAGCTTCGTGAGACAAAATCTTGGTAGAAGCTCCAGTAGTGTACCTACTGAATATGTAAGGTGGCAGAAACCGTGGAGTCAGCTGCCCTCCGGGTTCTTTGTGATTAAACCAACTGAAAGCTGTATGAAGACTAGTCGGTACTAGCCTGGGTACCAAATCTTCGTACAATGTTCCTTCTGATGACAACTTGTTCGAAGTTCTGACTGGAAGGTATTGGAAGTCTGCCATCGATGAGAAAGTGTAAACATTGCTTATCTAAACACTACATTATTAACTAGAAATATCTTTACTTACTACGCCCAAACATTCAGTCTCACAGACATCTGGGTTCGACTTCTTCCGTCGTATCTTGAATACAATCTGCATCAACCCTGATAACCCTGCCACCATGTTCTTCTTCTCTGCTTGGATGCCATTCTGGTAGATGTTCTCTGGGTTAAACCGCAGTTCCAAAGTCTTGCTTCCTTTCAAAGCCTAAATTTAAATACCAAAAGTATACTGAATTCTCTTTAACATACAATTGCATATACTAAAAGGTTGATAACTTACATCGATAATCTCGCTCATTCCTCCCAATGTGTCCAACCCTTTTTCGCTGTTTTTTATGACAGCCGGGTGCTCTATCAGTACGATATCTTTCTCATTATACTCGTCCATTCTACAATTTTAAACAATTAGTTAATCAATAGTACAGTCCACCTGTTTTTTTATACAATAACTTTAAAAACAAATATACTACTGTCATAACAAATTACTCTCAACTTTCATATCCTATTAGTCATAACAGTTTTATTAATAACAAAAACTCAACAATAATTAACAATGAAAACAATATCAACAATAATATAAAATCTTTAACATCTCACAACATATTATAATAGACATTTCTCAAGCCGTTTGAAACACTTTTTCCGTATTTTTTGGCATTCCGCATCAACTGCGACAGAGTGAAACTTTGGCCACCAATTCTTGCGTCGCTCGTAGAATGACCTGAACTTCTCTGGCTGACTTTCAATCCTTCTCAAGGTTTCATATAAAGATCTCCATATTGTTAAATCAGTCCGATTCCTGCCAACATCTAACATACGAAAGACGGCTGGTATGTTGTCCGAGATGACATCATCTCTAACACCAAAATTTTCTGGCTGAACTGCCCTTGTGTGTAAGATTGCTTTCAATTCAGAATAACCGGCAAGTTCAGAAGCATTTCCCTTTAACACCTAAAACGTTATACTTATAATTTAGATATTAAAATTATATCGTAACCATTTTAAAATAAAAAGTTTATAAAATCATTAAGCCATGAAAAAGTGCAGTGAACGTAATATATAATTAAACTACCTCTCCAATCAGTTTGTTCAACACATCTTCTCGACCTCGTTTAGTTAATATTCTATGTACAGTAGGAAACAGAGATGGAGCATAACGACATACTTCGATCACTCTCGAAAAGTTGTCAAAGTCATCCAAATCTGTCATCAACTCCAAAGTTACCATTACCAAAATCAATGCTTCCGACCAATAATCGACCGATGCCGACTCCATTTGGAACAGACAGACATCTAATAGTGAAGAAGCTTGTTCTTCAGTTCTGTTGTCTTTGTACCTCACAAATTGGTTGTACAAATGAAGCCATTCGTGTATTCTGCTGTACTAAAACAAATTAATGAACAAACTTCATAATTGCGTTTATAATACCCTTGACATAAGATAAAAATACAAACAATAATAAAATACTTAAACATAAAACAATGTAAACATAATAATAACGAAAAAAAACTCACCCCGTTGCCAATAAATCTGAAAGCTCCGGACAAGGCGATCGCGTTTCCCTGGTCAAAAGCTTCGTCTTTCAACCCGTTAGCTATTTTAAAAATAAAAGAATTCAATTCAAAGAAAGCACTGGGATTCCGCACCCAGTCTTGCAGACCGTGTGAAATACTCTTGAATACGTTCACTACCTAAAGTCAAACAATATTATCGAAATAACAGTTTTGAGAAGACAAATCCAATATCTCTTACCTAAAAACCCAAAATCACAAAAGTGAAACCTACTGTCGCAATCGTCGTGTTAAGCAGATCATTTGGCAATAACAAGTTCAGATTACGTTGCATAGCACACAAAAACAACGTAGGAAGATAAGGAGAATGAGGTCTGACACAGTACTTCTTATAGGTTGTTATCTTACGTGCTTCTATAGCTCCCAACATCGTTGATAATGAGATATAATCTTTTTCGCACTCAAAGAAGACCGCATTCTGGTGACAGTTCACAATAGAAGCACGAAACACAAAATCCAGAGCTTCATCTGATGTTCTAGAAAAGAAATTTGTAATAATATAGTACCAACATAAGTTTAATGAAGCCAATATATGTTTGTGCATTCCTTATAATACAAAAGTATTGCTAAACAAACAAACAAAAACTTACAGTACAGGTATGTTAAAGAAAGCATGGTCCCATAACTCCAGGCCCACGTTATCCTCCATCTCTCCTAACTTTAGAAGCCTAAAAAAGAATAAACTTAAAAATCTTAAAAACTTACAATTTCTTCATATTCGGCAGAGGAACATTGTTGTAGTTTTTACGCCAATAAGCTTCACATCCGGGCATAGCTAAAAATTATTTAAATTACATCATACAAAAATTACTTTGGATTTACAGTAAAACAATGTATTTAAAAGAACTTACAAGCATAAACATTTTGATCCAGACCATGGGAGCTGAGTAGATTCAAGTAGTTAAGAACACTCTAAAAGATAAACATATCAATAATTTATATTTTTATTCTCAAACGTTACCTAAAACCTGTATCAAGGTGCATAAACTTACTTTTTTATAATTGATTCCATGAAATCGTGTCTTTGATATTTCAAAATAACGTAAAAGATGATCAAAAAGTAAATTGTCAACTGTAAATGTAACAATATGCATGTATAATACAAATAAATTGAAACAAAAATATTTAAAGATATTACCTTCATTGTCGCTTCTGTAAAATCTGAATTCATTTTTGAGCCTAGCTTTAACACTACGTTTTTTTCGCTTCCTGACTGGTTCATAATAAGAAGATGAAGATGCACCTTCATATACAGGCTCAAATTGGCTGTCTTCCATTTACTTTCCATTTCTAAAAAAATAAATAAACTTTTCGCGCTAATTTTGTCTAGAAAAAGTGTCATCTAGGCACCGTTTACTAGCCATAATATGAGAAAATAGTAAAATTAGTGAAATACTTATTTTTTAAAGCGCTTGGAAACGTTTTATACAAATTTAAGTAGTTTTAAAACAAATATTACATGAAAAATTAAGTCCGTCTTTATGACGTATTTTTTAGAATTTTCATCATGGGACAAAAATTTGTCCGGAATTCTTTAATTTAGAAATTAAAGCAATCGCCAGCAAATGAATTTGGAATAAATGTAGATTTGATATTCAGAATTTTTTTTATCTTTATTATTATATTTTTAGGATGAATTTGAAGCGATTTTTAACTCCGGTGAATCAGATAATTCGTCTTGACAATTTTGAGCATCGCAAAAGTACGGAATTTAAACGTTGTTTTGCTGTAGCTCCGACCACATCTAATACTGAGACTCCGGATCGTATTCTGCCTGGACCTTCAATCACTACCTCAAGTTTGTTCAAAAAAGATGATCCGTTTGTTCAGGAAATCATAAAGCATGCGGTGGAAAAGGAAGATAAACCAAAAGCTGAGACATCTCGCAATCCCTGGGACGAGTAGGTGATATTTATTATATCGTATCTTGATTTAGTGTTTATGTGGTCAAGACGACGGGCGTGGTAAAGTCTCAGGACAGGAAGAAGGTGGGAAGGATCGGAGTCTTTTGGGGGAAGGGAGATCAGATGAATGTCTACAAAAACGTGGATTCAGATAGTGGCGTCGCTTTGTCGGTTACGTTGGCTGAGCTTGATGCTGTCATTTTAGCTTTAAGACAGGCGATATTCGAGAAGAATCTGAATCAGGTTGTGGTTGAAACGGATTCTGAGTTCGTAGCTAATGTGTGTTCGCGGTTTCTGAAGGCATGGAGGAATAATGGCTTTATGAAGGCGGATGGAACTCCAGTCAAGAATAAAGTTTTTATAGAAGAACTGGACAGGTTACTTCAGCAGATTGACGTATGTTTTGATAAAAAATAATTTATAAAACTAAAACAAATGTTTTGATGCTACTTTATTATTATTTTGATATTTACCTTATGTTAATTTTAAGAAATAACGTTCTTGCTTTTAAATTTTATGCTTTCAGGCAAAAGTAGTGTTTTGTCAACATAAAACTCGCTACACAAATGACGTTTTCCAATCTCTGAAGGCAGAAGGCGACTTTGATAAAGCGATCGAAGAAGATAAAAGTATTCACACTCCCCAAGAAGTAATCTCTCTTCCTTCCTCAAAATCTAATGTCATCTACACTTCAGCCAAGCTTGAGAAGGTGATTAGCAAAAGTGGCAGTAGCTCTTTCATATACGCTGGCTTTGGAATCCATTATCCAGCGAATGTGAAGGTAGACGATTGTGGGAGGTATACTAGATACCCGATAACCGAGTTGAGAACTCAATTATCTGGTATTCTACGAGCAGTCCAGATCGCTAAAGAAAACGACTTGAAAGAAGTGCACATCGTCACGGATTCTAGGTTGTTTCTCAAGTTCAACAAACTCAAGTGGCTGAAGAAGGACGGGAATGCTGTAGCGAACAAGGATTTGTACGATAAGATAGCAGATGTCACTAAGGAGATGAAGGTAGGCTTTATTAACGCAGTAACCATTAGTTTTTAAACTTTATTATAGATGATTTATTGGATTTTAGGTACATTACCACTACGCCCCTCCCAACTTCAACAAGGAAATGGAGCGGTCTGGTATGTTAGCCGAGGATGGGATGTGTTTACCGGTCGTCGGTTTGCGAAGTTCGTAGATCGAAATTCATTACGCCGAGTATAAATCCTCAACACTTCCTCTGACCTCAATTGTAATATATTGTGTTTCACTTTAGCTATCGTTTAACTGGTGAATATTGTCGATTTTGCAATTAAAACTTGAAATATTATTTAATGAATTTTACATTACTAAAATAACCGTATATATCTATGCCAACTGAACCGCGCATTTAGCTAAGGAGCTAGTTGGAAGTCCGTTGACATAAACATAACAAATACAAAAGAAGACCAATACCGTCCCAAATGACAATTGGTACCATCGTCAATATCTTGATATGGAATAATAGCTGGATTACTGTGAATATTGTTACTACGGACATTCCTGGTATCCATCGTTCTTTCTCGTCTTCTGGTCTTATGTTCAATATCCATATAGACACACAAAGCGAAGATACCAAGCCTACAGTCAATGTTATTATGGGCATTATTGGCAAGTACTCCGTCTGAAACGATACTAGAGAAATCATTAAAAAAGGTAAAGGGGGTCGGCTAAAAGTGGCTTTTATGTTACTGTAATCCTTACAGTTTCTCGTATTATGGTAGAAGACAGAGCGATCATAACGGCTGATATCAAGTGTAATGTCAGAGCACGTCTGCCGTTTTTGGGTGTTTTGTCTATTCCGAATGATCTGTTTGACTGTTCCTTACAGATCACCGTCCTCTCGTACTGTTCCTCTGGATCGTACATGTGATATCTTTGGAGAACAGAAGAGCCGTGGTTGCATGATGATGTCAAGCAGTTGTGGTATTTATTCTGTAAAAGGGGGTTGAATATCATGATTATACTATTATATAAATCTTTCTGTGTTGTAAATTACCGTTTAAAAAATTCTTGCAACCTGCGGAGTATTGGCTGCAAGCTGCGCCCTATCGTTTTTGGGCAACAGAAAGATGTTTTTTTCTGTTTATTCAAAAGAATTTTAATAACAATATGAAACAAGTATTTTTTTAAACTTCAGGCCTGAAAGACTACTCACTTGTGGTAATGTGTCGTATGTTTTTGTAAGTCCGTTGATCAAGCTTGTTTCCTCGTTCCCGTTCACTTTCCATACTTTTTCCAGAGCATGTTCTTCCTCACTTTCTGAAGTGATTTCCGAGTACGTACTGTCGATTATACTGTGTTTCTGGTCGGCGATGGACGAGCATCTGCTTTCACCCAATGAATTATATCTTGTGTTGATGTTATCATCGTCGGCCGGGTCTTTCGGGTCGGGAATAACATTGTTATAAACGAGAATGGATTGTGTGAAAAGTCTCAGCATGATACTGGCAGGAAGTGTTGAGGACAACAACTGTCGCGGCGCCAGAGAGAAAACAAACGTCAAGATGGTGACGATGAAGACTGACAGTCGAGGCGATCCACCTAAAGATACCGTGGTAATGGGTGGTTACATAGTTGTACTTACTTTTCATTATAGTTGCCTTTTATAAAAGAAATACAACACATTTCAAATGATTAACGTATTGAGAAAAAATTACCTTTACCATAAAGATGTCCCAAGAACCGAGGTACCAATCCATCGTCAGCCATCTGACACAGAATTCTTGTAGGTCCAATATATGCTATACAGACTGTAGCACTAAGGCCACATACCAAACCCACGTTCAGAAGATACCGTGCTGAGAATATTCCGATCGTGTCAAAAGTTGAAGGTAACAATTTAGTGTCAGTAAATGGTCGGCGTAGTGAAAAGGGAAAGAATGCCATCGTACCAATCAGAAGGAGGACACACATACCACGAGGAAGGTACCGAAATAACTGAGGTAAAACTTTGGTCGGATTCTCGGTTTCTTGGGAAACATACGACATCACTTCTACTGCCATTACACCCACTATCAGGGCTTCTGTACCGTCCATAATCTGAAAATGACATTGTAATGTATTATGATCAGGGGCGTCGCTACGGATTTTTTCTGGGGGTGGATCCACTCCCCCCCCCCTAGCGACGCCCCTGATTATGACCAACTTGATTGTATTTTCGCTGTGATGTCTACATATACTATAATACTACTATAATAGAAAGAAATGCTTAGGTGAATATACCTCTTGGTAGTTGTACGGAAATCCTATGTAATGGACTTGAAGATGCACGATGTTGTGTAGTAATGCGACTACTGTTGTGCTGGTTACAGTAAACAATATGGCCACCATGAAGACGATGCTCACAGTCGAGACGACCCGCAGCGAACACATCATGATTAACATGGCGGAAACGATGAGAATCCAGTCAGAGTAATTGGTTACCGGCCACTGCTCTACCACGGATTCAGAAGGCACGACTTGCTCCATCCGATAACAAAACAACATCTTCTGTAAACAGATTACTCAATAAGAGGGCTACTGTGGTTCAAAGTCAAGAGCAAGATAATGTACTATCTTACAGTGGACGGAATATTAACGACTACAGTAAGATAACAAAGAAACCTTTACAGTAGATGAAGTGAGAAAGACTACGTAAGTAACAAGGTTACGGAGTAAAATGTTTACCATGATTTCCGACAGAACCTTGACCAGAATTGTCAGAAGTTGAACACCATCGAACAGCTGTGACCACCCAATCACAAAGGCCAGGAGCTCGGAGTGTGAGGTAAACGCGAAGTTGTACAGTAATCCATTCAGAGGTATACGACGAGATATTACACGATTTTGTTCACCTGAAATTTAGGTAGTTTAAGGTTTTGGTCAAAAAAATTGTAGAGAAAACATATGGCAAGTTCTTACCTGAAATGAGGTATAGTATTGAAGCTAATAACACGGAAGTCAAGGGCGGAGATGTGGATTGGCTGACGGAAAACAGATTTGTAAGCAGAAACCCGTACGTTGAGCTCAAGATGGTCACTCCAGCTGTAGGTAACACATTCATTAGTTACGTGATACTATTTCAAAATTTATTATAAAGCTATCTGCAACAACATTTATACTCACCGACAGCGATCAGACTACAGAAGCCGAACCTCCGATTCCACTCCGAATGTAGTCCACTCTCATGGCTCAGAATCTTGGTAGTTTGAGGGCCGAAGCCGGCGAAACGCGTTGCCATAATTACTGTGGTGATTGGAGACTAATTGAGAGACAACATACGGTACACGTCGTTAACCTTAGGCTAAATGTCAAGATGTGAAGAAGGAAAAGCGAAAAGCATGACGGGCGACGCCTCAAAAGAAGAAGGCGTTAATCGTATTGTCCCGCGGCTTTCTTCTCCAGAAGGCCGAGGGGAAGATCTTGTTCATGTGGAGACCCGACCTCTATTCCCGACAAAGAAGAACAGCTTCACGATAGGCTTCATAAGATCTCCGGGAAATGGACTTGTTCCCCAGGGGCCGCGGCTACAAGACGGATGGGACCAGGTCCAGAGTTGTCAGCACCTCCGAAGACATTATTGTGGGATATATTGTTCTTGAGAGGAGTTTGTTCTCATCGCCTACAACAATACAAACACTCGAGTTTGTGTTCACGACAATCGAGGAAAGAACGGCCCAAAACAATAAATAACCAGCACCTAAACTCCCACGGTCCCCAAACGCCACCAGGGATTAACTCCGAAAATGGTAAACATGTCATGTAATTAGCACTTAATTAATTGACAACAATAATTAATGTTTGGTGGGCGACGGCTGGAATCCCAATTGTGTGCACTCTGCGCAGTACCATTTCCCTGTGGGTGGTACCACCATTCCGACGCATTCGTAGTGGAACCATTCCAAGCGACACTGGAATAGGATTTAGATTAAAGATATTACTGATATTGTTAAACAGTCCTCAAAGTGCCCTTTCTGTGAAAGATTAATCCTCTTAATTATATCGTTGGCCAAACTACTTATACGAAGCTGCTATACATAAACTAAAGACATACCTGTGGGTTGTCACAAGCTACCATATTTCCGTAGGCCTTGGTCTTGCAAATGCACCAGATGGATTCATCAGCATCGTCGGCTTCGTCCTCGTCTTCTGGAGGCACTTCCTCCTCCTCCTCCGTATCATAGTCATCATCCATCCCATCGTTACTGTTGTCTGTCTCGTGTCCCATGTGTGTTTTGAATTTGTACGATGAACTGGCTACAGAATCCCGCCGTGAGTTGTGTGACGATGGTCGAGGAATGCTGTTTATCGTGGCTGCCGTACAACCTTGACTTATCAGCGGTGAAGATACTTGTTGAGCTCCTCTGACTCTCTGCTCCAGCATCTGTTTCACTCTGGTAGTTAACTTCCTCGGCCTACCATGTCTACTCTCATGAACACCAGCAAAGGCAGGCATACTGGTCGAGTTGGGGTCAAACTCAGCTTGAGGAGATGCTGAGGTTTCTGGAGTATCGTAACACGAGAACGATTGACGAGGATACTTCTAAAACTTTTGATACAACAACTACGTCAAAATACAATATTAAAAGAAAGGAAAGCGGAAAGTATAACAAGACTTACCCTAATCGCAGGAGATATTGGTACTGGAGAAGGTCTTGGAGTTGACCTGGAAGTGGAAGGTGTGGGAGAATGTACTGACGAGCCTCTGGATGATGCACGATCTAAAACCAAATGTTACAATTTAAAAAAATACAAATATATAGCATTTAATGTAAAACATGAAGTTACCTCGTTTCCTTCCCAATAACAATTGTGTCTGGGTGTTGACTGTAAGTCTTCTGTGTAGCGCTCCTCCAGCTATAGATCCACTGCGACTTCTACTACTGCCTCTGCCAACCGACCAGATCTCCGACAATATATTGCTCTTGGTGTTGGTTCTGCTTCTGGCCATTATTTCTGGATCCTTCTTCGAAATCAAAGCATTTTTCTTGTTGCCAAACTCTTCAGTAAACCCTAAAAAAACAAAAAATTTAAATATCGTTTTATTTAATATTTAGAGACTACACAACGTTCGATAAACTTAAATTAAAACAGTGAAACGTAACTATAATAAACTATTTGAAATGATCAAAAACATACTTTTTTCGTATTCATATGTACATTCGGGGTTCTCGAGTTCCAGCTCGTACCTGAAGTCATGGACATCCTTCTTCACCTTGTTGTTAACCCGTCCCATAAACGCCTCCAACTCGCATGACAACTCGTACTTCTTCTCTCGGAGCTCCTGAACCTTCAACAACCCCAGTTTGATCTCGGTTTTAGCTGTCGACTTCTCCTGAGATGACATTTTTTGAAAGTTTTCGTAGATTCTGCTCTTTTTAGATTGAACGAACTTGGCCAATTTCTCGGCTTCTCTGTCAATTTCAAGAAGTTCGCTACATTTCTCTTTAAACACCACCGATGTGCCATCAGCTACTGAAAAGGTTTAGTCTTTAATTTCACATAAAGTCAATGATTTTATTATAATAAACATTAAAAACAAACTTACATTCCAAATTGTCCTCCAAATAATGCATTTCACTTGACAACTGCAAAACAACAAAAGTTTACTTTAAAGAGCCTTAAAATATCAACAAACACATAATTAAAGCGATTTAAAGATATTTAAAGCACGAAAACGCCAGTTACAACAAAATGCAAGTTAAAGTCACATCTTTATTCCCTAATAAATCACAAAGAATCTATTCAGCTGGCTCAAAAGTATAATTCTTGATTGGAAGTGATCTTGCATCACCGTAAGGGAAGGTTGGATAGTAGTCCCAATGGTACTGCTTCGGCATCTAAATCAAAAGTTCATTGTATGTTTTGTAAATTTAATAATTATGTATACAATATCGTTACAACAACTTTGTTTTAGACAAAGTAAAGCTTTAAAAAAACTTACAGAAGGATTCTTCCAGTTAAAGGAGTTTGGGTCATAAGACGACATATACTTGTACAATAAGAACATTGGGACCAGCACTATGGCAAAGTGCAGCAAGCCTCTCTTTCTGCAAACATTTTGTAAAATTTAGTTCAAATTTTAAAAAAAATTTCATAAATTTGTTATAGTTCAAGTCACAATACTATTTATTAGTAAATATACTTACAGCGTAAAATCCTCAATGTCCAAACCATTGTAAGAATTACGATCAGCTCGGTGCTTGGTGAAGTTGAAGATTACCTAAAAGTAAAAATTTGAAGTAACAATAAGAACAATAGAAACAAGAACTAAATCTCTGTTGAGAAAGTAAATAATGCATCATGAAATCAAAACGGTGAATTGCCATTTTAATATAAAACTTGTAAATATATGCTTTTGTGTTATCTACAAACAACAATATTATGCATGTCAACATACCGGCTCTCCCCAATTTCTGTTGTTGAGTCCATCAGAAAAGTTCTCGTATATATCCTTGTTGTCAAAGGTAACAAGGCCAAGATCAGGGTAGTCTCCAGCAAAGGAGGTAACATTGTCTTTGTCAATGGGTCTAAAAACTAAAAACCTTCAACAAAAAACTCACTTGTAATCTTCAGGCCTCAATCCGTATTTGATAGCGGATGCTCGTCGTTCTTCATCGTTCTCCGGGTATGGGTTAGGTCTGTGATCTCTCGGGTACCAACCAGGATAGACAACAGGTCCTCTGTCTGTAAGCATTGTATTTTGTAACATACTTGTATATTTAAGAATTAATAAACATCATATTTTACAAAGAATACGTAAATAAAAAGAAATTAAACTTACTGTTCACAGCGGAAAGATGAACAAGACGTACTCCTTGAAGCCCAATACGAGCTGAAGGTAACATCTGTCTAAAAATAAGTAAATAACTAATAATACATAAAAAATTCGACTTATTTTAAACAAAATAAACACAACAATATCAAGCAAACTCGACGTTATTAAAGAAAACCCGAATAAACCGAAAAAAATCAAAAATACGAGAAAAGAGACATGTTATACGCCGAAAAATCTCCGAACAAAAACCTGTCAAAAATAATTTCAAGGAATTCCTTGCAAGAAAGATCATTTCAAAGTTTTGTTTCCTCATTTGGTTTTAGATGTTTGTTTTGCACATCCAGAAAGACAAAATTATATTATGTTACTGGAGTGCAAAAGACGACTTCTCAAGAAATCCCAGATGAAACGGAAAAAACCTTAAATTCCTTAATTAACTCAAAAAATGTTCCCAAAAGCATAAATCTGAAGCCCAGCGTCTTCACGGATATTGAATTACACGTGCTTCGGAAGCTAACATGTTTCATTTTATTTGTCTAAAACAATGTCAATGACGACGTTGCTTACCTACAACCAGCACCTGGCCTTGGTGTGTGGCGCTACAGGCAACGTTCTACTGCTTTACATAATTAGGACTACTGCCAGTTTGGACGTGAAAGCCTATTCCAGGCTTCTGGTGTTACACTCGGTGGTCGATTTGTTATTTGTTTTCGCTTTTACAGTATGCTCCATAGTAAGTCCCTTTACATCGTTTACTGTAGTTTATATATACCGTTTGTTGATGTAGGTTCACCATGATTTCAGAAGATAATAACCACCGAAAGACTTTTGTTCCTGGTGGTCAGTGGTGTCTTATCAGATTACGGTACTTTGGTAGGGCGTATCAGTATATTACTGTACACTATGATGGTTCTTCTGGAGATTACCTTAATACCTATTGACTACTTTTATCGTTACATGTTACTCTGCAGGTGGGGGTCTATTTAAAGAAAACTTATCAGAGGTTACGGTAAACAAATTATGTAAATTTCAGGAATCAGAAGTTCACTACGACTAAGTTTATATATTGTTTTATCGGAGCGTTGGGCGTGTCTATCTTCCAGAATGTCATCGGCAACACTTGTATAGAGTTTGGTCCTACCAGTGACAATATCCACTACTGGAAGATGATCACTGATAAGCATCCTTTCGACAAGTTATCACCATTTGCAGTTTATGATCCAGAATCCAACTCTAAAGTACAATATAACTTCATAACAGCCGTCTGTATCATCGTCCTTTGCTACAGTATTGTGGGTTACTGTACCTACCAGATCAGGAAGACCCTTTTGTTGAACGAGAGAAGTCGAGTTCGTCGAGAATCTCGAAGGATCTCGGCTCAGATCACGAGAGTCATGATCTTCCAGGCGCTGTTACCGTGCGTGGTGATGTGTGCTCCAGCTTTGATGATTTGCGCTTGTTTCTTGATTGGAGTTAACGTAGAACAGGCTGGAGAATTAATCTCGATTCTGATTCACTGGATGCCCACGCTGAAACCTATTGCTACGATCTACATCGTGCATCCTTACAGAAGGGCTTTTCTACGGAAATTACACTACAGTTTGGCTACTGAGACTACGGTAGTCAGTTCAAATGAGGAATCTTCAATGAAGAACACTTTGTCAGAGCCCAACGAGGTGTATTTGTAGTCGGATTACTGTAGTTACAGTACTTTACGAGTTACTTTTTAAGCTTATAGTGGTAGCTATAATACCATAGAATAGGTTATTGTGGCTACTTTATTGTGTTATCTGTTATGATAATAAAGTTGGTTTTTGTGGTTTAAACAGTGATAAAGTTTGAGTGATAAGGGTTAATGATTTGCATCATTTGATGCAATTAGCCTCAGGGTTTTATTTGTTTCTCATTCTGTAGTCGTCACGATGCTGTCGCTGGCGTTGGCAGTCTGTTTATGTCTCAATGTAGATGCTGGAGATGTACACTTTGAAGGAGAGAAGTACTTCAAGTCTGTCACACAATTGACCTTTGGAGGAGCTAATGCCGAGGCTTACTTTAGGTAACTAATCATTACTTTTCTAACTTTACTGTCACAATATATGGTGAAAACGCTTTTGTTTACTGTAACCACTATCATGTTTCAGTTTTGACAACAAAAAGCTGACATACCAAGCTATGGGATCGCAATATGGAGTGGGGTGTGACCAGGTAATGTCATAAGTAATGTTTTATAGTAAAATACCATAAATAATTTTAACAGTAAAATAACTTTGCTTTGATTTTGAAGTATATTTAAGTGAATTTTACAGTATGCTTTAAGATATACCAGATAGACCTGGAACATCTCGATGTGACTCCAAAGAGAATGTCATCTGGAAATGGAGTCTGTACATGTTCGTACTTCCTGAAAGATAACAAACACATTGTCTACGCATCTACGTTTCTAAAGGTAAAACTTTCTCTTATTTTTAAAACACAAAAATAGTATAATTGGCAACTTCATGATCTATATTACAATTAATGTAACCATGTTGTAGGCTAACTCAACATACGAAAACACCTGTCCCATCAAACAATGTAGCCCTGCCAATCCAGAAAACAGTCCAGGAACAGAACTGGGAGACCTGTGTAAGAGGAAAGACGGCTACTTCTGGGACATCTTCCCCGACTACGACATCTTTCTGGCCAATGAATATGGCCAGATCGTGGCTCAGCTGACAGACGAGGAGGGGTACGATGCTGAGGCTGTTGTATCTCCTGATGGTAACACTATATTGTACACGAGCATGCAAACTGGAGACCTTGAGTTGTTCATGATGGATGTGAATGGATCCAATAAGGAACAAGTAAAGGCCAATGTCATTAACATATTACGTTAATGGCATATGTATTTATTCTAAGTTGAAAAACATTATAATTTTTTATTATATAAACATATCTGTTATTAAATCAACTCTAATTCAGATCACGAACACTCTAGGCTACGATGGTGGAGCCTTCTTCAGTCCGAACGGCAAGAAGATCGTTTACCGTGCCTCTCGACCTCAAACTGCAGAAGAGATATCTCACTACAAACTGCTACTCAAACATAACATGGTAGAGCCTCTCGACATGGAGATCTTCGTATACGACATTGAAAGTGGCAATCACACTCAAGTCACAAACCTGACTGGAGCCAATTGGGCACCGTACTATCTCTCTGACAATAGAAGGATCATCTTCAGCTCGAACCACGAGAATACTGGAGCATTCGACGGCTTCTCCTTATACATCACCAACGACGATGGCACCGGATTGGAAAAGGTATACCTACTTTATTTTTTATTGTTTTTCCAGTCATTTGAAGTTTGTGTCATCAAAATGTGATACAGAAAAATAATAATGTATGTATACTATACTTTTTAATATTTAGGTAACACATGCTGACCAATACTTTGACTCATTCCCAATGCAGAGTTATGATGGAAAGTACCTCGCCTTTGGAAGTTCGAGGAACGGGTCTAGCAAATACGATATCAACATATTCTTGGCCGAATGGGTCGATAACGTTAATAATGCAGCACCTACCTTAACCTTGGGTTACCTGTCCTTAATGATTTCGTATTTACTGTTATCATAACAATAATTACCTAACTATTTATGTTTAAAGTACTGTAACTTACATTAATCTACTGTATCTTATATTTTACTTAAATATTTACATTCTATCAAACTAAGGATTTCCGGACGAGATCCTTCGGTTGAGTAACCCGACGTCGCTTGGAGGGATGAGTCTACTGTACTTCCTGATACTTTGTTGAGCATCTCTCCTAATAGGCTCGAACTGGTGAGATCCCGGTGACGGACTCCTACCGTGGTCGGACATACTCAGTAGAGACTCGCGATGACTGTTGGCGTTGCGATTGTTCTGGTTGGCAGCCATCGCAGCACGACGTTGCATGTCCAACATCCAGAGGTTGCCCATGGGAATGGCTCTGTAATCCCTGAATATTACATTCGCTTTCAGTCACTTTACTACGGTGGTGGCTAACATATACTACATTTACAACGTTGTCTTACCCGTACAATCCATTGTACATCTGGAGTCGTTGTCGCAGCCCTGACATTGTCTGGGGCTGTTTCCTCTTGTGGAACCACAATGACATCTTACCGAGTAAAGTAAAGTCCAACCGAGGGCTTTGATGTTGGGATTCAACAAAGTACTCCCCGATGGCTACTAATATAGCCATGAGGATACCAGCCAGCAGTACGAAAAAGATACCGTAGACTCGTGTAGCCGAGTTGTACGCGTCTACTGTAGCCGGACATATCAAGTTATCTAAAGTTATGTTAAAGTTCATAAATAATTGGAGCTTTACAACATAAAAAACCTTAGTTACTTTTTAAAATGACATAGCAATTATAAAACGGAAGAAAACATAACCTTATACTACAAGTAAAAGACCATTAATGACGTTTAACAAACTTTAAAATCAACGAAAAACTAAACAAATAACTGTGAGCGTCTATCGCCATAACACAGTAAACAAGTTTACCGAAGAATGAGTTAAAACTTCTTTGCTCAACATGTTTCGACAATAAGTACATGTTACACTAACAACCCGTTACGATTAATTAAATAAATGTTAAGCAACTGAACTAACTAACACAGAACATTGACAAAAACATGTTACATTAACAATATTGTTAGTACCAAACCATTATGCCACTTCATACCTTTACTCTTCCACCATTTGTTCTTAAGTGCTTCCAGTATCGTTCGTTCTTGTAGTTGCAATATTGTTTTAGACAGCTCATGCCGCAGCGGAGATCCTTTAGGCACAGCAACCCCATATCCCTACAAAAACTAGATCATCTATGATTATATTACCTTAGAATCGAGCAGGCCTCCAATCGTCTCCAGATCACAGTCCTGTCCCTTCTGGTACTCTATCATGATCGACTCCATCATGTAGGCATAGCTCCCAGCCTTGACTCGTGCTATACCTTCTTTGGAGGAGTTGACGAATACAGTAGGACTGGTCGATTGCATCACCGACCACATTCTCTCGTATATAGGTATCTTGGACTCACGGAAGAAGTCCATCGTGCTGCCGTTCTTCAGCGTGCCAAACTTGATTCTTTGTTGAGAGGCCAAGTCCATGGCATTCTCGATAGACGTACTCATTCGCTCTACAGTAAGAAAAGCCGCCAACTGAGCGGTGTACGATGATATGGTGATCAAGGTGAACATCCACCACATCACGGCTACAGTACGAGTAGCTACAGCCCGAGGAATGACATCACTACCCTGTTGCATCAGAGAACCTATCGCAAACCACAGACTGTTCCAGATGTTGAACTGGTTCTTGTGGTTGTCCATGCTTCGGTCTCGCTCGTCTATTTGTTGCACGTCAAACCTGCAATAACACTAAATGAAATGAAAACAAATTAGTACTGTAATATGTGCTAAAACCAAATTCCTAACGCCTTATAACTGTTAAGAGTAGTCGTCAAAAACAATAGAAACATTACTGTACCATTCGTAAGGACTGAACCGAGCAACCAAACACATGGTCAAAGCAACAGTCAGGTAAGCCACTACCAATGCTACCCAAACAGAGAACGAAAGTGGCTCCAGGAATGTGAACAACGTGCTCCCAGTAGGCACGGCGTCTTCTGGATTCTTGTTATTCATCAGAATTGCTATCCCCAGATGCATAAACGGCAACGTAAAGTCTAAAACAAATGTAATGATTAGGTGATATTATACTAACCTATCACTTTAACTCTACTGTAAGTTATAGTAACTGCAGATACAGAGAGATCAGCTTCGTGACGTTGTAGCACTCCGATGATGCCATTCCATCTGCCGGTCTCGTCCTGAACAAAAACCCAAATTAAATATAGTATAAAATGTAAATACTGTATTTTAATGTTATGAAGACGGTAATAGTAAACTGCGACAAATGTTCTTCTTACTGTCTACTATTTACCTGAACACCGTAAGTTCCATCCTCAACTTCGAAGATTTCAAAAGTAAAATTCAGAACTTTAGACATTTCTTTGAGTAGATCGATACAGAACCCATCGTATCTGATGCCATCTTTGTCATCTACTCTTATCACAAATGGTTCTTCCAGGTACACCACTACTCTCAACTTGTGACCATTCAAATCCAATCTGTCGCCCTTTCTTTTGAACTTCCATTTGTTATCGTACTTTTCGTCGAAACTCCAGATCCCTTTGGCTTCTGACCATTGCCCAACCTATAGTAATTACATGTTTTACAAGTAAAGTATATGAACTTATTTACTGAGTATTCGTTATCGCTGTAATCGCTCTTATCACAATAGCTTAAAGATTACTACATCTCATAAAAAGCCTAGCAAAGATAAAAAAAACTTCTGAAGTGAGACTCTGAATACGTCAGCAATTACAATACGATGACTACTAAAGAGCACAATGTTGATAATTGCTGGGATTAGAAAAGTTTTCGTATAGCGATTGAGACGGCGAATTCGTGAACCCAAAAGTAGACGGAGACAAACAAAAGTCAGTAAAGTAGAGTTTGTTTGATCAACGGTTCCGGAGTCCCCAAGGCAACTACAAACAACAATTGAGCGAATTCACACTTTCAATTCGATGAGTCAGCCGACTGTCACAAAGCCGAAGGCTGATCCGGCGAACTCGTTGCGTAACAGATCCCCAGATGCGCACGTGTTTGCGTAGCCGTGTTTTGATGTTTGTGTACTTATTAATTGATGTTTGCGCTGGCTTTAGTAAAGCAGCTAATGTCAGACTACAAACTATTCGGGCCCTGCGGTCATGTTTAGTGATAGCGCTAAGACGCGGGAAGGAACAGAGACCGACGTGCTTCGAGACGTGCGTCTCTCCAAACAACTGTTCCCCGAAACTGGTTTCTTCGGCGAACGTTGAGGTACCCCCGACTCGACCTCGGGGCGGGCCCTTTCACCCTTTTTAAAGCCCGGAGAAGTCGGTAGAACAACAAGTAACAACCATGCACTCATCCACCCTCGTCCTCTGCGCCTTCTTGGGCTTCGTGGCCTATTCCCAAGCTCAGGAGATACCTCCACCACCTTTCTTGATGGGCGAGTCCCCAGCTGTTCTACAAAGCTTCCAGAAGATCCTGGAACAAGGCAACCATATGACTGATGACCAATTGGACCGGGAAGTTGAGAAGTGGGTGCAAACTCAAAGTGCTTCCGTTAAGGTATGTTAACGTTTCAGCTATATTACCTTCGTTTTTAACTTTTTTTAAACTTCTATCCAAAATAATCTTACGTGTATTTCAAAGCGTAGTAGGTTTCAATTTCGAATTTTTAGAGCAAATATGCCACTTTCAAATCGGACTTGGCCAAGCACCAATCCCAAGCTGAGAGTGCCCACAAGGCTGCCGTAGCCAAGTTCTCTGGCCCAGCCAAAGAGGCAGATGCCAAGCTTTCAGCCATTGCCAACAACCCAGCCCTAACCTCGGCCCAAAAGAACCAGCAAATCGAACAGCTCGTCAGCCAACTGCCACCGGCTGTCAGAAAGGAAATCGAAGACGCCATGCAAGGCTAGACTGGACTATCAATGAATCTCACACAACAACACCAAAAAGTGTAAATAATGTTCCACAAGATCTGATCGAATAAAGTATTAATAACACTTACTTTGAGGACATTTTACTAGTACATTTGAGGCTATACAGCTTATAAAAGGTTATTTAAAATCCTGTAATTAGTGCTTTTTTAAGACTGCATTAGTAGTATGATAGTTAGTATAAGGCCATAAGCAAAATGCAAAATTTTCGAGCAAACTAAAAATAATGATGACTTACCTCTCTGAATCGACCAGCAGTCCTAGTAAGACCAACAAAAGTGGCATTCTCTCTGGTTATGCCATTTGAGCTTAACTTCACAATGCCAGTCGCTTTACCCGGAACCACAGCCTAAAAAGTCACTTAGAAGTAAAAACAAAGTTATTTATTACTCGAAAAGGTAACAAAAGAAAAGTGCAAAGATCAAGACAACAAAAGAGTTGGAAGTAAAATATAAAACTACTTAAAAAGACTTTAATTCTCTACACTTAACAAATACAAAGTAAGATCTATGTACAATAAAAATATTTAAACGACTTAAAAGCTACTGTAACTTATGTAAAGTAAAAATTATCCAACTACAAAATACAACACAACACATACCTTTTTGAGAGCTTCATTCAGAATTTCACCGTCAGCCCACAGATCTCCAGCATCACATAGAATCGAAGCTGGTACTGGTAGTAATGGTCGTCTGGCCAATTCTTTCAGGGCTTGGCCGAATAAGTAAATGGCATCAATGGCCAAAGCCAAATTGGTCTTGATCAATGGCGCCTTTTGTACCAATCTCATCCCACTGATATTACACCTGTAGTTGTGAGTATCCGAGTTCAAGAAGTCCTCTAATAGTGCAAGATCCTAAAGTTTGACTAATATTAACCAAGAATAAAAATTGTGGTCAAAGTTAAAAATGCTATACACTCAAAGATTAGGTATATTTATAGAGATTTACCCAAAAGAAAAATGTAAAAAATTGTTTTTGATTCTAAAAATCTAGAAACTTTTAGACCGATCGCGAGAAAACTTACCGGATGTGTGAAAAGGTACGAATATCTGTATTCCGTCATGTTTAATCTGCTTGCTTTTATCAAAAGTTCGTGAACTATACCAATATTTTCAGAATGTACTACCTAAATTACCAATATTATCATAAATAACATAACAAAGCCAACTTTTTCAATAAAAATATTGATTTTCATAACAATCAGTCAACGATTATCAAACTATTGATACTCCCATTTATAAATTCAACGCCTTAGTTACCTAAAATTCCATAAAAACATAAACCTTGACAACATACCATACTAGTCTGCTTGAGCTGTTCCCTGGTGTACTTCAAGAAGGCATCGTAGTTGTCCAAAGACTGAGGTAATTGTAAGACCCGTATCGCTGTTCGAGTGCCATGTTCGTTGTAATAAATAGAGAGAAGGGCGGTAATGTCAATTAGACTACTCGACTTCTCGTATACCAAAACAAAAGAGTTCCATGAAAGACTGGAAATCAGCTTGGCTGCGGCTTTCCCCACCGTGCCAGAAGACGGCGCTACTGAGTGGACGAATTGATTTATGTCTAAACTTGTATCAATTAGTTGACTACTTTAATATTTACATTAACATAGACACGTTTAATGAACTTCGTTAACACCAGCAGTTGTTTATAATCACCTACTACAATATAAACTCACTTGAGTCATTCAACAAGAGGTCATTTGTGGTTAAACAAGGCAAATTGATTCGATTGCACATTGAGAAGACTAAGGTCATTTCTTCGGTAGTCAATAGTACTGATGGTACTATCAAGCCAATCAGGTTATGTTGCACTACATCACAGAACCTGTCTTCTACTGAAGCAAAGGAATCTGTGGGGTAGATAACATTGAGTGTCATCGGGACAGGAGAAGCCAAGGTCTGCTTGTTCCATTCATCAACGGCGTATCTGACATTGTGCCAGACCATAGAGCCTTCGATGCCATGGATAATACCTAGATTTAAAAGTGTTACCTAAAGTAACATAAAAAATATATTTTAATTTTTTAAAAAATTTTTATAACTTCAGGCTGTTTATTACCATTCCAAATTTGCTACAAATTGCCGTGCAAAAACAAAAAACCCAAAATCTAATTATTGCTAAAAAAAAAGTTTTCGCGGTGGGACCAAATTCGATAAACAAAATCTTGTCGCGAACCAATCAGAGCACCCGTACTCACCTATATTGAACTCGACACTAGTCGCCTGACCCGAGATCAAGGCCAAGGCGAGGACGAGACTCTTGGCCAGAAACGAGGCCATGACCTGACAAAAACAGACTGATTGGAAGATGGCCATGGCCTCATAGTCTGCTCCGTTTAGGGAATTGGAAGCCGGCTTTCTCGTAACAACCTTCTGAAGTTCTTTTCGGCCGCGCACACACTTCTTCAGATTTTCAAAATCTTAGACCGAAAAATGCAATTTAAGAGCGCCGTTTCGAATCTGCCCTCAGGGCCAAACGTATCTTCGAGGACATTGGAATCAGACAAAGGTCGCCAAGCATGTTTGAGAGTTTGGAAGGCAAGTTTTGACATCCTCAAGTGCTTCAGACGGCCGACTTTTGATTGAATTTGCATTTTTTTGGGGGATCAATTGAGTTTTGGGTCAAATCTTGAGGCTTATGACTTTAAAATGGCAGTAATAAGATTGTTTTGGGGAATATTGATTTGAGTATGGTAAGAATTTAAATTTAAGTTCTGAAAGATTGCCAAATCTCAATATTATTTCGTTTTTTAATGAAGAATTATGACTTCGAGGCTTGTAGTCATAATGATTTTCAAATTTTAAAAACTTTTTCAACTTTACTGTTGTAAGCAGTAGCGATTGTAATCAGCGGCTTCCGAACTTAACAAAGACAGTCTCGACCTTGGGGCTGTTTTCAAAAGCTACCGTAGCCATTTGAATGGTCAGTGCGCGAAAGCAAGGCCGCTGATTCAAGCTCTGATAAAAAAGTTTAAAGGTTGGATACTGTAGAAGCGAACTGGCTGTAAAGTTTATTATTTAATTTACTGTAATGTCATGGTCTATCTCATTACTCTCGCTTATACTGTTGGTTCATTTTTGGACTTAGATGTTTTTTTGTTATCATTTCTAACAACATGACATTACAAATCGTCTCATATTTGGTGTTGTAGTGCAATTTTTGAAATTTAAAATTTAAATTTGTTTTCCGCGTCGCCAGTACCGTGACATTGCACCTCCTCCAAAGACACATATCGTAACAAAATTCAAATTCGCTGGTCAGGGGGGGGACTCCGAATATGAAATAACGAGCGTTCCCAATTAGACGGAACAGATTGGGCGTGACCTTCACCGTGCCCAAATTCATTTAAGTTTCTGTCGGGAGTGCCTTTGCGCACCGTTCTGTGCCGAAAAGATGAATGAGGTGCCGAAGAGCGACAGACACTTAATGTCCGACATAACTCAATCGGCCGCGACTTTCTTCTCTATGCAAATTTTATGCGTTTTACAGCCTTTGTGATGGGTAATGGGACGAGTACCATGAAACCTTTATGGGTCCTTCTCGAAGCGATATTTGCATAATACTTTTATTGGGTATTACGTGTTGTTTGTGGCTGTAGTACGTCTGGGTATGGTGCTGTATATTTAAATTTATAGTGTATGGGAATGTGAATTAGAAAGTTATAATTTATTTTGTCATTAGAAGGTTAGAACTGTAATTGTTTTTGGTCGAAAAGTTAATAATTATTCAAAATTTTTTTTTATTTTGAAAATATTTTTAAATTTCAAATATTTTTAAACCCATTCCCAACTGAACCGTTTAGTCGCTGCCTTTCCGGTCCATGGCCTGCCTTTGAAGTTAATTATCAATGTAATGGTGCGTAGCGTAATTGACGCTAATTCAAACGACGACCTTGGCTGTCGTCGTTGCAGCGACAACCGTGCCATCGATGACATTTGGTCACTCATTTGTTCGAAAAATTACTTTCGAACCACCAAAACTAATCAAGATAGCGTCGTTTTTTAAATTAAAAAGAGCTGGCAGGACGCCTCGGCACGGCTTTCAAGCACCACCGTCCTCAAGGTCGGAGCGGCCGGACTGACCGGTCGACCTGCGGCTTTAATTAAAACAAATCATTTATTTGGGGGCGGATTCAAAGCCACTTTACACCGTGTCTTATTTATCGTTCTGGCGAGCAATCTATTAGTTAATAGGTCTTTTCAAATAGGGGGGATTGGCGAAGGTTTTTTGTGAGTTTCGGCACGGTTTTTTTCATTTAATTTTTATAATAAAAGAACAAATAAGCTTTGTCTTCTGCTATTTTACTACGTTTTATAAGCCTGTAGTAAGACTCTGACTATCTGAGAAGTCATCGTAATGAAAATACTATAATATTGTAAAATAATATCAATTTCATGCGCAATAATCCATTTAGTTTCAAAGACTGTTTCATATCAGACTTGACAAGTTGCAGTAGTTTTTTGAACGAACAGTTACCGTATGCTTGTTATGTAGGGAATATTTGAAATGAGATTGGCAGCGTTCTTTCTCAAACTGTCATCTCGCATCTTCCTCAAGATTTGAAACTTTTTTTCAGTTATTTTTTGCTTTTTAAGACTGTAACCCTAATACATTTTATTGTAAGACAGTAACCCTAGTATATTTTACTATTTATAAGATTTACTTTGTTATGTTGTCCTTAAAAATACATTATTTGTGTTACAGTACCTCCTTAAAAACACTTTTTTATACGTTTTAGAGATTGTGTACGGGAACATACGACGTCTTTGTATAATAGTAGCTGCTGTTGTATGTGATCGTTCTTGTTTTTGGTTGAATTTGGCGCCAAAACGTGGCTAATGAGGTCGCCAAACAAAAAACATTGTGGACGTGTTCAGCTAAAAGGACTTTGGCGCGCAGCCAGCTCCCAACTGACAGCTGGCTGGCGATTGTTTCGCAACTAGTGTTAAACATGGTCGTGATAACCATCCCCAGCGACCTTGAGGCAGCCGTTTTTTGGAGAACTTGACTCTTGAATGGGCTGTAAATTGAGTTTGTTTTTTTGCACAGGCTGAGGTCAAAGTGGTCGTAAACTTGAGTTTAACTTCAAGGGCTACAGTTTAATGTCGGTGTCTTGAAAGTGGCGTTACCGTAGTCTTTTCCAAGTTATAGTGAGTTTTGTCAGTTATAGATCTTTGAAATCTTTCTCATAAATGGTGTTATGCACTGCAGGCAACTGCCATTATATTCGAATAGATCCGTTTGAAAGACCTGGGAAAGGCTGAGCGAATGGCACCTACGTTAATATAGGTTATCCTCGAGAGCGATCAGTCAGCGATTAAACTGAGTCAGCAAACAGATTAGTCATCTTCGACAGGAAGCTAGTCTTAACAGAGCTGCCTTTCAACGTTTGATTGCAACATGTCTTCCTGGTTTTATGTCCCTTTTACTGTTTATATGTTTTTGTAGTCGACTGAATCAGATGGTTACGAAAGTGTTTCTGGCGCGAAAATGTGGCATTTTATGCGAGTGATCAGCGTGAATCGACCCTTTGTTGCTTCAGATCAACAAAAAACAGAACAACATGTATGCAAAAAGAGCCAGCCGGCTTTTTTTCCCGCCAAAAGGGGGGGGGGGAGAACACGAAAAGTGCGTGATGATAGCAGAAGAGCGAAGAGCAGTAGCTGCCTCAGGCAACTACACGCTAGTCCAGGAATTGGCGCGCAAACTTTTGTTTTTGGGAGTTTTTGTTATGCTGAAGTTGCACTGATAACGCCCGTCAGAAACCCCCCAAAACTTTTTATGAAGCAGCAAATCATTTGGCTGTCAATGTAACTGGTTACAGATCACTTGACAAGCAACATTCTCATGACACAAAAACATCCCGGTTTGGCGGGTTCTGACAGCAAACTCGGGTTACACTTAGCTGGTACTGTAGCGTTTTGAAGTAACTTGATTAAGCTTAATATTGGTTTAAGTCTAGTAATTATTGGTCTATATATAAGTTATCATTATGTTTTAGTTAATTATTTTTCAAATTCATTTTAATATTCGTCTAATCATTACATTAATATCAGCTATTATTCAGATGATTCCTTTAACTCGAGCTCTGTTTTTTCTGATTATTTTCAAAATTACACAAAATTCGAATCCAGCCAGAGCTAATTACTTCGAAATCTCTTAAATTTGAATCTTATTAAACTAGATCTTTTTGAATTCGAATCCGCTTTAAACTGTTGCGTTTGCTTCTCGGCATTCCAAATCCAATTTGAATGTGACAAATGGCCAGAAAGTTGCCGAACTGGATGTGGCAGTCGGCTTGGTCGTCTGAATCAGCGGGAGCGGCGAACTTTGAGGCCTTTGGACGCTTTGGCGGCTCCGAACTCCGACTGTGGCCCAGAGTGTAAACTGAGATTGGGATCAGGTGGAGGGGTGGGTGATGATCTCATTCCTTATCGGTAGCATCTTGATGTCCTCGCCGTGTCACTCGAGACCTTCAGATCTGATTAGGCGGCGTCGAAGGTGGCAAAAGTTTTTGTTTTCCCGGCCGCAAAGGCACGAAGGTTAACATAACAGGGCGGGGTCTGTGTCTCGCTGGATTCGTTCAGTCTTGTAAACGCCGCTCCGTCTGCTGGTCGCTGCCTCTGGGCGCAAACATTCCCACTCCTCCCGATCCTCATTGCCTAACATCTGGTGGATATCCGGATGGAAAGGTCAGTCGGGGGTTACATGGTTTACAATGGCATTGCGCAAGGTTTCCCATTATTTTAGTCTATTAAATCATTTTTATGCAAATTTCTTGTCAATTCGTCTTATGTCAGTGGTTTTTTGGAGCTTGGGCAATATGTTTCTGTCGCGAGAAGTGATGTTCGCAGATTGTCGAGGGTGTTTTGGTTGATTACTAGTCAGTTCCACTGGATTCTTTGCACTTTTGAGTGGCAAATTTAAGTTATCTTCGAGCTTGTTTTAAAACTATGTTTTGCATGTATCATATACCTTTTATGTTTGAATTGATTTCTGGGATTAATAGAATGTGTTTTTGAAATGGTGTTAAGGGGAGATGGATTGTTTTTGAAAGGGATGTCCACCTCAGCTGGATGTCCGCTTGGCCGGCACTGACCTTTCGTGGCCGAGCGTCAATTTTTTTTTGAACGGATGTGCGATCGCCGGGATTAAGTGAACATGGCCTGTAGAGAGGGGTGGCAGGGGCGCGTTCGCGGCGGCTCTCGGGCAGGGTCCGTCGAGGCAGTCGCTTTATTTTTCGAGAGCGAGCGACTTTTCCACCGCGTCTTGATGTTTGTCCTCCACTCTCTCGGCTACCCCTATTGCGGAGGGGGCGGCGTCGGCTTCCTCACCCGGTCCTGCCCCTTCGCCTTCTCCTCTCTATTCAGCCCGACGACGACAAAACCCGGCGATCAGTTGGCGTTGTGCGTCGGCTTTCAAAGCGAGCGATTCACCCCTTTTAATTCGTACCGTATGGCCGTTTTGTCGCGTTTCGTTGCGTTGTAATCACTCATCTAATCAATAGTTTCAGCATAATGGACTTCATAATGCCCTCGAGCAGCTCCGAGAACGTTTTCTACAACGACCTGCCACAAAGCCCGTTCAAGAAGACCCTCAACTTCTGTAAGGACACAGAGACACCTTCGAATGATGACTTCGTCGACCGACTTCTGAAGGATATCAGCCGAAAACAGTGCGAGAAATGGGGGTTCGACTTTGAACTGGATCAGCCCATGCCATCTTCGTCAAACTCTCGCTTCGAATGGACGGTGGTGAAGAACGAGGACGTGCCTTTCTTCTACAGATCCGTGGAGATCATCGAAGAAACGGATTCAGAGAACCGTGATCCCATGTACAAGAAGAAGGCCGTGCCCTACTCAGTGTGCCAGAAGAAGCGACGGCCAGCAGGATTGATAACACCACGAAAACAGCCTTCAATTACTGGTAAGTTAATCAAACTAATAATAAAGACATGTTAATCAGCTTTTTTCGATATTTTAATTATTTTTCAATTTAAATTAGCATTTGGACGACTTAATTTGAAAATTTTTTGTTTTTTTTGTGAATACAGTTGTTAATGGAATCCATCCTTTTTCAGAATTCATCAGTCGACGAAAGCACACGAAGCAGGCCTCCCCCATCTCGAAGCCGTTGAAGCCTCTGAATCAACGGTCAGTCCGTCGCTTTTCGCTTCAGCCCTAGGACACTTGTTACCCCATCCTGGTTATAACTAGTCAGTTCGTGTTTTTAACTGCCTTATCATTACTGTTTAGTCGTGTATATATAATTTACATTGTTATTTGGTTCAAGTAAATGATTTATAGAAAGTTATGTTGTAATAATAGGTAATAACAACGAGTGACCTTCAGTTGTTGTGTCCTTGGTGGTTTTATAATGTCATATTAAGAGTTTTAAAGAGTCTGAGAACTCTTGACCGGTCTCGAAGGTCGAGATCGGCTTGAGCAGAATGGCCTGGCAAGTGTGGCCAAGTTGAATCGGAAATGAAAGAGAAAGCGACATCATTGTCGTTTTAATAAGCGCATCCCCAGTGAATTGTTTAGCGGTTCCTTTCTTCTCTAATGCCGTTTAATGTCATATTAGACTGGCGGAATTGTACTAAATAGATTTTCCATCAAAGAATGAGATATAATGCCTTAAAACGTTGTTCTAAAGCATTGACTTCGATAGGTTTTGTAAATTTGATTAGAAACATTAGAACAATTAGTTTAGCTTTTCGAAATTTGACTGAGAATGCCAATTTACTTGAAGACGTTTTTAATTTGCAAGCATATCTTGTGAATTAATGCCATGTTGTTATAAATGCCTTCCGTTCAAGTATCCAGCTGTCGTAATTTCCGGTCATGTTCGGTCGATTGTGGGCCGTCTGTTGCTTTCACACCCTTCGATTGGGTCATAATTGTCGGTTGCAAATCCGGTCTGATGGATTGTAAAGTCGAACACCTGTGATTCTCTCTCCCGGATCGAAATGCAAATTTTTTAAGAAAAAAAGTAAAAGATCCGGGTACAGCGCACCTGCGAGCCGCTGAGACGCCGGGCCAAGTTTTTTTGGACACAATGGTTTAGCCGTTTCGCAAAAAAACGCCAAAGAATGGACAATGACCGGCCACGTCTGAGTCAGGAGAACAATGCGCGGCGATGGAATGGGCAATCGGGAACAGACCTACCTTCTCCCTTCCTGTCGCCCAAACCAAAACAGACGCAATCCCGAGTCACAACATCGATGACATTACAATAGAATCGAATTGAATAACAATTGATTAGATCGGGGAGAGAAAGTGGACAGTCAGAAGGTGACCAAACGACCGTCTTCTTGTGTAAAAAAGGTATGGCCGGCGAAGGGCCTTCAAGGAGAGAAGAAATAAACAGAAATAGTTACCTAATTTACAATGATAGTCAAAAAAATTATTGAAAATCAATTAGGGCTCTATTTACATACTGTAACACCCATAATACTCGCGTATTAAGATGCAATTAGCTGGCTATAAGAAGGCTAATCGCATGAGATATCTCGCTTACTACAACATCTGGCAGGTCATCGCAAAACATAACCCCTCTCAATTACTCTCGACCGGTCAATTATGCAACATGTGTGTACCAGATGGCGTTAAACTTTCAGGTTGTTATGTGTTTGATTAATGGCAATATTTATATTTTATTGGTACTCGTTTAGTGTGGAATTGACTTCTGATGCTTTATATTCATTTACTTTCTCTTGCAAGCCTTGTTTCACTTCTCTAAGCCTTGTAACAGCCAAAAAACTAATTAGTAGCCTAAAAGGCGTATAATTATAAAACCTTAATTGCGTGTACCTACATGAACAAAACGATCTGAGCGCAGCTCGAACGGCACATAAAAGCGAAAGCATATGTATATTTAGACATGGACAAACAAAGAACTCTCGCCGGATCCTTTGGCGGTGTCCCATTGAACCATATTTGATCGGATAAAAGGATGTGCGCGAAAAAAGAACCGCTGACCGTATGTTGGGATGGGATGACAAAGGACAAGTGCGGTCACAACCGTCACCTTGAGCAAAGTTGCCTTGGTCCTCGATTTGGCGCCAACCCCCATTCCCAAAAACAGCTCCAAACAAAGACAAATCCCCAGCCATTTGTCAAGATTGGCCAACTTCTGAGTCATCGTGACATGGTATAGTAATCATGTTTATTACTCTGTTTGTAACCGAAAGCTCTGTTTTTAACCAAAATGTCATGTTTTATTAATTGCATGTTTCAATGTCCAAAAGTTATGTTATAGTAGATAAAAGCTTGTTTTAGTGTCGATATGCTAGCTACGCTTTATAGATAGTAACATTGTTTTTCAAAATCAATATTTAGTTATATTTTCTAACTAGTATTCAAGTTGGCAGTCCCTACTAGCTGTGTATCTCGTGTTACGTAACCGTCGCACTTATGAATCACTCATAATTACCAGTCGAGTTTAGTGCGAGCTCGATTCGAATGCTAATCGAAACCCCATTTTATTACTAATAACTCGAAAATAGGCCGTAAACTTGCCCGAATGCAGTTTCAATACATATTGATAAGAGGGGGACCACACTCTCGACCCAAATAACTGTTTTCCGGGCAACAAGATGCGTGCTGATAAGGGGGAGCCAGAGAAGTTAGACGAAAAGGGAAAAAAGAGTTACTTCTTTTGTACGGTTTTTATATACACAACTCTTTTATCTAAACATACGTTAAATTAGCTTATGGCTTACAAGGTCGAGTTATCTTTATCATATCTTAGTCCTACCAACGTAACCCCAAGTTACGTCTCTTTATAGCTAGCATGCTAGCAAATTGTCACCTGCTTTAATTCATTAAGAGCCATTAATCCCTGGAGCCCGAAGGGATCAGATTCCATTGTTCTGAAACAAATTTCTCTTTTTGGCGCGTTTTTTCACAAGGAACGACTTCTAATTCGACGAAATCACCTCGGTTCCGTTTGAAGGTCCCATTGTTCATGAACTTGGGACGCAAATTGTGGTCGTTGAGAAAAAACCCGCCAAAACCACTAAACAACGTGAACATGCAAATTCGACGGGGGAAAGTCGGTGAAAGTGGCGGTCGACGTTAACTTTCGAAAAACACCCCGTGAAACAGAAAAACAAGTTATTCTAACCGGTAAACTGTTCAAAACAACGAGTACTGTACCTTCGCATAGCTAACAGGACTTGTTTCTTGAAGTAGAAGGCAGGATGAAGAAGGTAAATGCAGCTGAGGAAGGGAAGTTAGACTGTGAAGACAACTATAATATCTTGAAGCAAAAAGTGTACCTCAACTTTTCCTTTGAAAAAGATATTATTGCTTATAAAAGATAAAATAAAGAAGTAGAAAGCCAATTGTATAATCAAGAGTGATATAAGACTAACTACTTTGTGATTTTCTTGACAATCATTGTATAATTCACAAGAACATCCTTTATATATTGCCACAATCGGTTATGTTATTCTCCTTTCCTCGACTTTACAACGAAACTGAGATAAAAACATCTCCAAAGACCACCAGAACTTTGAGACAATGTGTTAGGACGCTATTCATTTTCAAATAGATTAAATCAGGAAGCGAATACAAATTTTGGGTAGCATCTAAACAAATACGACAGCTATTTGCATTAGATTATGATCTGATTATCACCACAATTTAAGGCAAAACAATAAATATTTGCTCTAATTTTATCACTTAACTATGGCATTATGCTCTCGACTCTCGGGTTGAAGGTCGTAATTCACTGGCAAGGTCGCATATAAACTGCTCTTACGCAAACATAATATCGCCATAACAGCTCATCTAGACGACATTGCGTAACATCTATATCAATAAGACAGCACCTCATAAAGACTTACAAAATCATCCATTCCTTCAAGAATTTGAACAACATTACGAGCAGAATCCACAAAAGATATAAATTTCCCTATTATAATTTGGAAACATTTTCCAACGCTGAACAGCGTATAAAAAGTGGCAGGCCGCGACGACCGGGGCGCGACTCTAGACGCGAATGGAAAGCTTTTTTTGAGTCAAATTCTCGGTCGAAGGAGGCGACGGGGTGCCGGTGTTTGTGTGTTGTTTCAGTTGTCAAAGGATATTCGCGCACTCTATTCCGCGTCGTCCTTATCGTTCTAAATCAATTCTGTTTATCGTTTTCTTTTTTACTTTTCGTGGCTTTTTTGCTATAATTTCCGCTTATTTGTTTTGAATTCAACTCTTTGCAATTCAGGGTGATCGGTTGGCAGAAGATGAAGCCGAAGAGTCCGACGAAAGAACGGGTGCATTCCATGAAGCTGCGGGAGCGGATTCAGGGCAGAGTTTTGTTTGGGAAACCAGACCTCGAGAAGACAAATCAGTGGCTAAAACAACGACAGACAGATCGACTCCAGCAGGCCAAAGAGCGATGGAACTTTGACTTTGAAAAGTTCGAGCCTTGTTCGTCTTCGGAAGCGGGTGGAAATGAGAAAGTGGAGTTTGAGCTGGTTCCAGAAGATCAGGTAGGTCATCTTCTTTGCCAATGGTAGTAAAATACATTTTTGTTTTACGCTTATTTTTTAGGGGATTTTAAAAAAAGAATCGTAGAACTTGAGAAGTTTTAAATACTGCCATTTGCATAACTTTTGCTGACACATTTATAAAATAGGTTAAGATTGATTCGTTATTCCTAAACGACTCTGAAATTTGCCTTTTTTGTCCCACAATTTTAACTGGCGATTGTATAAAATTGTTTTTGGGATATTTAGGTATTATTTTTTGTTAATGGTAATAGCTGTTTTTTGCCTCTATCTTTATTATGGAACGTTCATTTATGAATAGGCAACAAATTGGATGTAAAGGATCCTTAAGAGGTCAGCGCAAGGTCGTATTCTTTATAAAGGCTTAAATTTGATGAGATTTAGGGCTCAGCAGGATGTGGTCGGCGCTTTTGTCTAGATTAATGTCTTGTCTTTTAGGTCCCGAACTTTTATCGAAGCAAAACATCTAAGGTGACGGTGGAGAAGCATCTACAGACGCCCAGAAAACGCCTAAGATCAGAGTCTATGGAATCCGACATTCAGAATACGACGGTAGAGATAATACAGGAAGTGGCAATCAAATCACCTAAGAAGATCAGGCTAGCCAAGTACATGAGTGCCTACGAGACACCCAAGAAGGCTCCCAAGATGTAGACGATTCTCGATGTATATTCTAAATTTGTAGCATACTTTTTCCGATGTCATTTCACGCTTAGTTCAGCAATCTAATTCTATATCGTTGATTATAATTTTATATTGTTATTGGTTTCGAACTGCATATTATATTATGCCGAACATGTACAGCTCTTCGTTATTTATTAATAAACCTCTATCGTCCTCTTTTACCGTTGTTGCTTTACTCTGTTGCTTTACGTTTTTATCGAGCTGTGTTGCATAATGTTAAACCACAATGTGACCTTGATCAGTCGAGAGTCTATCATTCAGTCGTTGCGCAACCGAGGATTCTCAAGAATTAAAATGATGTTATCAGAAGATTGGCTGCGGTTTGTCTTTGTTTTTGTATCGCTCCCGAGCTGTTTTTGGCGGGGTCGGGACTAAATTGAATAGAATGATCGATAAAAGACGACATAAAACAACAAACAGAAGCCTTTATATTACGGTAAGGTTGTATATAAATCAGGTTTAGCAAGCTTCTTATGTGAAAAACAAAGTTATACCAAATTGGCATTTTTACCTGTAATTAGTTTAGTCGAACTCGAAGGTGAACTAATATGAAATCATCAATTATAACTCCGCATCTTATTCATGTACGCCGCCAATGGAATTGGTGGCTTAATTGAGGGAAACTTGAGTTATCAAAGGTTCATTAGCTCAATTTGTAGTAGTAGCAGATTGTCAATACCACGGGCTTCGGTCTCCAATTTCCTTCGCTCGATTTTCGTTTTTTGGCGCCGGAAGGAAAGCACTAACTCACTTTGTTTTAGTGCTATTTATTTTTAACACTTTAATCTGGTCGATTAAAACGTTTCCCTCCACTGGTTTCGAAGCCGACCGCCCGCACTTCCTGAACTTGTTGGTCATGCTGCAGGATTAGTCGAGGCTTTCCTCATTTGTAATTGCTCATTACACGTTTTTACCTGCCAGGTTGATACCTGGCAATTAAGGAGCTGCAATTTTTAGTGTATTTGTTGTATTGTTTATTTTTTTAAAAACTTCATAGGTATCTGAACTAGCTTCGTCTTTTGAGACATTTAAAACCATTTTTTTAAAAAGTTTTTAGTGTAACACAACATTGCCTTTGTGTCCAAAGTTTCTTTTCCACTTTTTCATATTTTTTTACAATTGATTCCTGAACCGTTATTTTAAAACAATATTTTTAGCGTTTCCCTCAATTCGCCCTTAAAATTGAAAGTTTTCCTCTTTCTCACGCGAAAACGTTCCAAATGTTTATCAAAAATAAATAATATTATGTATGCAGACAGTCAAATGTTACCCAAACGGCCATGACAACGATGACATCGCTGGTGAAGATGTGGAAGAGCTGCTCGCTCTTTCTCTTTTGCTTCTTCACTGTCCAAGGTGAGGCGAAAACTAAAAAGAGCGAAAATAAGAAGAGAGAGCACTGTGCTCGCATGGCGCAGTGGTGTAAAATTATTGCGGTCGATGAATGTTCTTCACAAGCTCAACAGGACAGAGAGCCCTAAAGAGGGAGAATGTTGTAAAACTATGTCTTCAACCCCTGAGGCAGCAATCTTTTGCTTTTTGCAATTTTGAGTGAAAATGTTAAGACATCGTGGAAAAAAGCAAGAGAAATTAGGAAATGAAGAACGAAGGTTCGATCCCGCTTGGTTCGAGACAAACATTTTTAGCGAAAATAAGTGACAAACGGCCCAAAATAAAATTTAAAATTCTGGAGAATACTGAAACATTTCCAGAAGGTGTATTATGTCGTATTTTGACATAACTTGCTTGATCTCATTAAAATTTTCATTTTTAGCCGCTGGCATAGCCAAAAGGATGTGTTACCAATGTCACATGCCGTTCCAATGTTCCACTGGGTTTTGTTATGGTGACTTTTGTGTGAAGTCGTTAGGTAATTCTTCTTACAATAGTAGCACAGTATTGTTTATTACTGATTAACACGAAGTTGTAATCATTTCTTTCAGTTGGAGACAAATACGTGAGCAAAGGCTGCGAAAACAAGACTGTAAAGTAAGTTTCTTCGCTTTCTGTTACCGTAATTTAGAGCGACGATTTCAGGAGAAGATGCTGCCGGATCTGAAGTTGGCTGTCTGGAGTCAGAAGTGTTCGGAGTGCCAAATACAGTATGTTACTGTAACGACATCGACTTCTGTAACTCGGCTTCTGAAGTCAGCGTTTCTTTGCTTCTGGTTACTGTATTTATTTTCTGTTTGTAATTTAGCACTTTTGGCGGTTTTACTTTGTAATAGCTTATACTATTAACAAATTGTATCTTTAGACACTAATCAAATTTAATTATTATATTATATAGCAATAACTACCGTAACCTACTTGTATTGCCTATGTTTATATGTACAATATTGTCATTTAATAAAATTTATAACAAAACCTTGAACTAGTCATTACTAACAACTACGGGACCCGTGTTTCTGGATTCTGAATCTCTGCATTCATGACTTCTTGAGTGACTTCATCGTGAGGTAGAGCTCCGAATAGGTAATGCCAGGCACAGACAGGGTGACCGTGCTTGTTGATCATCTGCTTCCAATGGTACAGGCCACGTGACGATACTTTAGAAGCTCCAATCACACAGACGCCGACTTCTTCGATCAGTTCTTCCACGATGATCACGCTTTCCGAAGGATTCTCGGGGTTTTCCCGCTTCATCGTCAAGAATCTGGATGCGAACACCTGAATATACGATGAGATCATACTTTGGATATACAGTTTAAATTGTAGTACCATACCTATGTTATGAAAGCTATTTAACAGTCAACATAATTACAAAAGTACCTCAACATACTACAATTCCTTAACAATGGTAAAATTACCTGTATGATAACATACGACGATTTGAGTCTGTGTGGATTCACCATCAACAAGAAGGACTCGTTGATGCCGAACTCTCTCCCTTCGTTTGTCCTCTCTGAACCTTGCCGTGAGAAGGCACGACGCTGTAGATTGCCTCTGTTAACGTGGTTCGACCTCAACTGAGGGCTGGATGGGGGTCTGTAAAACGGTAATATACTTTGCCTACCATGTTGGACGTTTATTATGCGTGAGTACTGACCATAATAGTCGTGTTTAATAACTAGTGACTGTTATATTATTTACTTTATTGTCTTAAGGTATGTTAATTTAATAGTCTTTTTACTTTGAGACTGTGAACATACCGTGAAGGTCCACCACTTCCTGTAGTATCGCTTACAGTAACCTCGAGCTCTTGTATCGTACTCGTTCGTTCTTCAATCAGTGCTATGCCATCGTAGTGACGCATTCTTACAAACGGATCTAAAACATATTTTACATTGTTAATTCATAATTTACAATTACTAAAGTTATTTAGGTAATAAGACAAATGAGTTAACATATCCACGTGCATAATGACAACAGTAACTTATTGTAAACCCACTTTTGAGGTGTTTCATTCCGCGCACCTTCTTGATGGTCAACGTGACAAACTCAAGCCGTGATGTCAATGTCATTATGACAAGAATCTGTGCATCTAACAGAGTTTTGTTCTGCAAAGAGTGTAAAGACAATACCTACTAGACCTTACCCTCAGGCACTTGGGGATGTATTCTAGAACGTCTTCTTCCTCTTCTGATTCCTCCTGGAAGTGCTTGAAGTCACCGTCCAAGGATGACATCCACTCATCTTTGTGGGGTACCACTCGCTCGTCCTTCAGTTCTGAAATGGCACTATTTTAATATTGAAATTAATTTTTTTTGAATAACTTTGAGCCTGAAGTATTACCTAAAGGTAAAATTAGTATACTCAAAGACGTTTAAAAATGTTTTGACCCACCACTCCGTCGCTCCCCCCACCGTCGATTCTCGAGTTTGCTAGGTCTGCCATGTCGATGACAACCAGGACGATGCTCGATGTTGTTCCGATTGGCTCTGGCCCCAGGTGTAGCCATGTTCTTGCCCTGAACCTGCATATTCTTGGGTGCCCATGCTGCTGACGGATCTATTCCGGCTTCAGAGTAAGGCTAAAATTAAAAAGAAGTTACAGTAATCATTAAAATAATTCAAAAAACTTCAAAGTTTTAACAAAAACTAACGTATTTTAGGTATGAATATTCGTTTAATCTATAAAATGGAGTCTTAACCTACAATAACATGCTGTTACATTATCGAAAACTGAATAAGCTCACAGTTTTGTGTAGCTGGACGGCCTTCTGTGGCAAGTTGACGAAGGACTGATAGTCGAAGAAGTGTTTGGCCAAGAAGTTCATGGTCGCGTGCCTGAGGGTCCTTACCTCACGCTCGGCTGACTCCGTCTCCGTCCTTCTGATTCGACTACAATGTTGGCAAACTTAATTGAGCTAATTCGAAGCCAAAATGAGAAAACAATTGATTAAATAAGGGCAAACAGCCTCAGGGTACGAATTCGGTTAACAAGCTCCAAAAGACATCAAAGAATGTTACTCTGAAGCATGATGTTAGGGTGAGTACGACGCGTCATTTCCATTTTTAGAAGACATTGTGCGGAATGTCATTTATTAAACATTAAGGTTCAAAATTAAAGTTTAAAATTCAAATTTTTAAAATATTATTTTAAATTTTTTAAATTTAAAAATTTTTTAAAACTTAAAAACTAAACCGCTCAGAAGCCCTCCTTTTAGGTAACAAAGACAGAGTTTAGAACACAGATAAAAGAATAGCAGTTTGTTGTCGAATCTCGACATTAAATGAATTCATTTGCCCTGAGGGCGGCTTTCCGGTTCGGATGAATAAAAACAGCAAAATAGTCACAACAATTCCCTGCGGCAATAATTAAATAAGTGAAATAAAGTGGAAGAATCCCTGAGAGTTCACGTGCAGAATGGGTACTTAACCCGAAACCGGAACGTTCAAGAACGGCACGGCCAACTTTCGCAAAGGACATCAGCCTTAATCCCCGCAGGCTTATCAGGAACGAAACGGCGTTACTTCGAAAAGGTTTTTGGGTAACAGCGGGGTCAGAAGTTGTTTCAGGGGTTCCGGTTTCAGACTTTCAAAGCTGACATTGAGTTATACATAGTGGGACTTCTGTATGACAAACAAGTTGAAAGTCCCTCAAGGTTCGTTATATAGCTTTGTTAATATTTACCTGAAACTTAAAGTATATATATATCTAACACCCCGTTACCCCCTCCCCACCTCCAGCTATGTCAAATTGTGAAAGATATGAGTTTCTAGTCGAGAGAGTAATGGCCTTTGAAACATTCCCAGAAATAGAGCCCGAGGGCGTCGTTCTCTCCTTTCAGGTATATCCGAGCAAACAAAGAAAAAAGTTTTGTGAAGCGGAAAAGACGACACTTAATACGACTGGTCGGTAAGTCACAAACAATTTGCATAACTCCACAATTGGATTAACTTGACAGCTAGACGATACTTGTAATTGAGTTACTTTTTATAGCACCGACTTAATCAACTTAGCACGTTATAGGACGTAAACATGAACACATTCACAAGTTAACAACCAAACATTACTTTTGGCAACATTGTGACATTACTTTTTGAAAGTCTTTGTTCTCGTTGAAAATTTAGTTTTTATGGCAATATTAACATAAAAAATGTAATTTAACATTATTAGTATTTAAAATGTACTTTTAACTTTATTTAAGGCTAACATACGTAATAAAAATACAAAAGGCTGGGTCCCAAAAAGAAAACAAGAATTCAATTGAAAATCCTAATTACTGATCAATGTCAACATTTAAAACCAGAAAACAATATCATTAAAAGAGATAACGAATTAATCTATTATGTTTGCCATTTCTAATATTTAACTCTATTTGAGTCCCACAACGAAAACCTGACTACAGAAACCGGAACAAAACAACCCATAACTTCCTGACAAAACATTTTCAACAAAATTAACTTTATTTGCCCTTCCGTAGACCTTCGTTTCCCATATGTACTCCATGAGACACTGACGTATCTTCTCACGACAGACACTAATTACACCACAATGTCAATAAGGTTGTCGCAATGTTATTGAGATTGTCACATTATCACTGATAATGTCAGAACTAAAGGTCAATCTTGTGTATCTTGTAGATCTGTTTCGAATCGTACCTTTTGTTACAAATACATGATATTACTTTAGCTGTTACTTTAGATGTTTGACCGTTTCGTGGATTCTTTCGCCTCCAGAAGACCAACTTCTGGCACCGTACCTCGCCAAAATATGAATCTTGGTGTGGTCGCCGGAAGCGGGCGATTTCAGACGTCGGAAGTAGTTAAAACTCTGCTTCGGTTTGCGATTTGTTTATTGTTCCTTTTGTCCGCTTTCGGCCGCTACTCGCTCGTCTCGGGTTACTGTAACCATGACTTCCAAATTCGGTCGCCGCGACTCGCTGGTGCGACAAGCCAGCGTGGATCGGATTCAGATGGAGGGGATCAAGCGTCAGAACACGATCAAACATCGTCGCGAGCTGGAGAAGTCCATTTTGGCCAAGCAGGTACAGTACAACTTTTAATCTTTTTAAATTTGAAATAACAAAGCCTTTATCAACTTCATCTTTCAGCTCCTGAATCGCTTGAACGACGACAGTATCGAGCTTGTACGAAGTGCCACCGACCAAGAACGACTGAAACTGTCAGTACTAATCAACAGTACCAGTGAAAGCCGTGACGTGCTTGTCTCAACGTTCCAGAGGCTGTTGGCAGCTGGAATCGAGATCGACCATGTCGAGACTAGACCAGACTTGGCTGAGCCAGGAGAACTAGAGTTGTTCGCTCAGACTCAAGGTGTCAAAAGCCAATATATAGATGCTTTTACCAAACTCTGCATCGAGAAACCGATCGACCGAATCGTGCTCAAGAAGGCAGAGCCTGTGTTAGGTTAGTTTTGGATATTGTAGTGGTTGCTTTAGTTTTTTACGTTTGATAAATCTTTGCTGTGTTATATCGTACCTATTTCGTATTTTACAAAGTTAACAGTATCTTGAATTTGTAAAAATAATAGTGAGCCTTAATTTTGTACTAGTTGTTGTTATAGATTGTTTTCTGATATTAATTTACAGAAGTTTGGTACCCAAAACACATTTCTGACTTGGACAAGTGTGCTCACGTCGTTGTGAAATACGAACCTACAGAAGACCCCAAACATCCAGTAGGTATCACCAATTAATATAAGCAGTGGAGTTGATATATACAGACCTTTTGTAATAAAACTCATGGTAAAAAGTAAAACTAACACTTTAGGGTTACGGAGACAAAGCCTACATCAAGAGAAGAGCCGAGCTGAATGCCATTGCCAATTCTTACAAGTAGTAAGTTTGGTTTTACAGAGAATTAATAACAAAAAGCCTTTGTCGTAATTACAAATTTAGCGGTCAACCAATGCCGCATATCGAGTACACAGAGCTGGAGAACAACACCTGGAGACAGTCCTACGCCCAACTAAAACAACTGCGACAATCCCATACCTGCATCGAGTACCAAAGGAATGTGAAGAAGATGGAAGACGAAGGGGTAATCACCATGGACAAGATCCCTCAGCTGTCTGATCTCAACGTCTATGTCCAGAGTAAGTCTTCAAAATATTAAGTTGTAGTAGGTACCTTTGAATTTTAAAAGTTCTAAAAGATACGCACTGTAACTTTTGACAGATCGTATCGAATGACTATTTTTACAAGTTATAACTTCCTGTTAAATGCTGGTACCTTCCAGAGAAAACCGGCTTCCAACTACGGCCATGTGGCGGATTACTCTCGGCCAGAGACTTCTTGGCCAGCCTTGCCTTCAGAACCTTCCAGGTAGAGTCATTTCCAATTTTATGGAGATTTTTCATCGCTAGTTATTCCAAAAATACAAAATTTCGTCGATGTAACACAAATCTTTGTTTTGGAACGAAATGTCACAAAGTTTGATACTTCGTTCAATATTGACTTTTCAAGTTTTGAAATCGCAAAGAAATCAGACAAATTTTTGTAAAATCGGCGAAGATCTTCTTTACACGGCTTCAACTGCACATTATGTTTAGGCAACATTGTACGTCCGCCATCACAGCAAGCCCCATCACTGTCCCGAACCTGATGTTATCCATGAAGTACTTGGTCATGTTCCGATGTTTGCCGATCCAAATATGGCCCAATTATCTCAAGAGATAGGACTACTTTCTTTAGGAGCTTCAGATGAACAAATTGAACGACTGGCCACTGTCTATTGGTTTATCGTGGAGTTCGGACTGTGCCAACAAGAAGGAGGTTACCGAGCTATTGGAGCTGGTCTGATCTCGGCTTTCGGAGAGCTTCAGGTAACAATTGGCCTATTCTTTGGTATTTAAAAATGCCTTTTTTAATCTATGTTAATATTTTGAAGGCATTGGTAAGTTTTTTAATTAAAGTTTGTATGTTTTAGCACGCGTGCTCCAATGTTCCTCAACACGAAGAGTTTGATCCCAAAGTTGTAGCTCTGAAAACATACGAAGACTCTGACTATCAACCTTTATATTTCGTTGCTCATTCTATTACTGATGCTATGAACAAATTGCGGTATGTTAAACTAAACTTATTAAATCGTTTAAAATGTTGTTTTAGGTATGAAATTCATCGTTTTATGATAAAATCACCTTTTAAAAGTCAATTTTAGGAAGTTTGCTCAGGGCATGCCAAAGAGTCTTCACTTTACGTACGATCCTTATACTCAGACAGTAGTTCCTCAAAAGAGTCACGAGCGGATCAAGAGAGAGATCAAGAATCTGATGGAGAACATGGAGTCTCTGACCAATCAACTGAAGCAGATGATGTAGTTTAAGATGATCATGTCTGTATTATAGTGTCAAAAATAAATGATCTACGTTATTTTAGGTATATATTAAACGTTTTTTCGTTTTAATATTTAAAATTATTTTATTATTGATTAATCAGAGGTCGTCTTTGTCACATTCGAGTCGCTTCTTGAGGTCTTCGTTTACCTTGAAGCCTTTACCGTAGCCAGGCACGATGTAGTCGGAAGAACATACGATCTCTTTTCTACTTGATTCCCACAGCTTCTTGTGTTCATCTGTCTGTCCGAAACGCTTGATACTGTCATTTGAGGTCATGTCTTCTTCCGATATGATCAAATTACCTGCAATCATGTTTTTGGTTAGATTATATTGATTTTACTAAGCGGTCAACTTTTATTTTACTTTAGAAGTAGTAAGTCTAACTTACCAGACAGGGCTACAGTCCCGTACCCAGTGACGTTCCTCACCACTAGACTGATGTCTTCGTTGGTGAAGCCGGGTGTCAGTAAGATGAAGGTGTTGTCACACAGCTGAGTGTACGGTAGGTCTGTCTGTTCTGGGTCGAAGTAAGCGATGCTTTTGGGGAAGAATACCGTATTCCCTTTGGCTCTTCTGTTCCCAACATAGACGTTGGCCTTAGGGAACATGTTCAGGTTACCTATCGTATCTAGATCCATGTGCGTAAGCACTACATTGTTAACGTACTCAGGTCGCACTCCGACTGCTGAGAGACCCTTCAGAAGCGGCATTCTTTGTGTAGCCATTCCAGAATCCACGAGAATCAGACAGATCTCTCCGGTTTCTTTTCTCTCGTCCGTCACCAGGGATAGTGTAGTTTTTACAGTAAGAGTGTCATTGTCAAGGTAGAAAGAGCCGTAAGTCAAGGGTTCGATGACAGGACCATCGCATGGTACACCCATACGATCATTGACGACTTCTGACGGAATTCCGATGCCTCTGAAGCCGGGCCGAGCGAAGAACGGGAACTGGAGCTGATCGTGGCGTCTGAAGAAGGTGGGGAGATTGGTCAGGAACTTGTCGATGTCGTTGTTACAACTGCGACGCCAATGCCTGCGGAAGCCTGAAGGGTAATCAGAATTCTTTACTTGAAGATAGTTAGAGGTATACGATATATATTGTGTCAGGGGGTGCTGAATTAAGTGAACGACCTAATATATTCTTTTACTTGATATCTTACCCGTCCGTATACCATATACAGCAGACACGAGCAGGAGGTAGTGTAAAACCGAGGCCATGCTCACTTCCTTGTCACACACGAGAATGACCGCGCGAACGTTAGATTGGGGTTTTATTAGGGATTAGCGGCCGTTTGTTGACTTTCCTTTATTCTAATTTGTACAAATAAAATAAGTCATCCGACTAGAATGTGACCTTACATCATAGAATACTATGCAAAACACCGTGACATACAACAAGACCTGAATAGACAATCATGGGCAAAGGTACGGGCTTAAATGTATATATATTGTACATGGATATCTTCACAAGAGATGGCACCGGTCATCGTCGCACGAGCTGTAGCGGGAACTCCGAGTTCAGGTTAATCGAGAACACGTAGTTGGAGGTGAAGTAAAGCTCTTCCAACTCACTGCAAAAGGTTAGGGATTAGGGACTGCACTACGATTAGGGTACTGTAACAAACTCTAGTTATTAAAGGTAGGGTAATATCCTATAAGATATTACATGTTACTACAAAAACCGCATTTCAAAACACGTAGTTAGGACACTGTAACAACTTTCGAAGCTAGTACAGGTTACTGTAACACACTTATGGTAAGTAAAGTATTAGAATCTCACTTGGCTTCGAACGCTTTCATTCTCATGGCCACTGAGTTAGTACTGTGTTTGGGTAGCACGTCATGCACTCGGGTGGGTCGAGAAGACACAGAAGACTTGGGTTTGGATTCAGATTTGGCTTCAGAAGGCTTGTCTTCTAATTTGGGCTTGACGTCCTTCGAAGTGGTACTGGTCTTGCAGGTTGTCGAACTGGATTTTCCTGTACCATTAACAGCTTTCTTTGTGGTGCTAGAAGTTGTTTTGGCAGTACCATTAACAGCCTCTGAACCAGTTTTAGAAGTACCATTAAGTGTGGTTGAACTAGCCTTACTGGTACCATTAACCGCAGAACTGGTCTTTGTGGTACCATTAGCAGTGGTACTCTTGGTTGTTGTACTAGTTTTCGAAGCGGTTTTAGAGGCACTAGTACCATTAGTGCTATTAGACGTCTTAGTACCAGTACTACTCTTTCTGGTTACTTTTTTAGCCGCTGGTTTAGGACTAACAGCTGGAGGAGCTGGCTTGGGACTAACTGCAGGTGGTACCTTTTTGGTTGATGATGCTAACGAAGAGGTACTGGTACTAAGGGTACTGTTGTTGCTACTGCCTAAGGAGCTGGCCTTCAGCTTGGACGCTTCTTTGTCGCGGTCCATCCACGCAGCCATTATGTTTACCGTACTCCCGCGACGGTCACTGTCGATCAACAAAGAATCTTTCTGAAATGGTACTGTTATTGAAGGCGATGTTGAGAAGTATTACAAACAGGAAACGCTATTAAGTGTGTTCAAGTATAATAGATCGGTTATGTAATTTTAGTCTAGGTTTAGTAAGTCTATGTTACGGTAAAGGTCAGAAAAGGTACGAATTAAAGGAAGAAAACGTAGGAAACGTTAACAGATGGCACGGTTAGGTACAGTAGAGAGAAACATACAGTCTTTTCATTACTTTGTGCCGCGCTCTTCCAGAACTTTTCTCCGCTTTCGTCCGAACTCCCTTGGCCCGCGAACGATTGCCTGATCTTGGCGAAGCGTTCCGAGTGTTCCGAGCTGATCCCCAATGACGGCTTATCAGTCCGGACTGGCGGCGAAACCGAGGAGTGGGCGGACGAGATGCCAGAAGTGGCTGGACTGACAGCTTTCGAGTCCAGCGAGCTGCGGGGTGAACTAGCGGCCGACTGGTAGGCCGAGGAGACAGAGTTGGGACTCAGAGTGTTATCAGCCTTCGGCGTCAGCTTCGACGTTTTTGATTTGGGTTCAGAATCCGTTTTTACACTGATGGGGGTTGAGAATCTGGAGGCGATGCTTTTGGGCTCCGGTAGTGTCTTCACTTTCTCGTAGCTCTAAAACATGTGTAAGTATTAAAGCGACGTAAAATGATCTCTTTACAGAGTAAGACCTGGGTTAAAGAGTAAACAGAAGTGGTTTAAATAAGTCATTTTACTTACAAAAACACGTTTAGACTATAATATGGTACTAGACTTACCTTGGAAACGCCGTTACTTTTGATTTCTTTTTTCTTTTCCTCTTTTTCATCTGTCTTTACTTCTTTCTTTATTTCTTTCTTTTCTTCCTTCGTTTCTTCCTTCTTCTTCTCCCACGGCTTCGGAGCCGGCCCTTCGTGGATCTTGAGCTTAGGTTCAGGTTGATCCGTCTTCTTTTCGATGATCTTCAACTTGTTCGGGAGCCCCTTGTCGAGAGCTCTAGGAATTAATGGACCGCCACCGTTCTGTTCGAACTTTTTGAAGGCGGCGATTCTGGAGGCGGCGGAACCTTTGGGAATCTCGGCCTCGAGGGCTTCCTTCGTGACGTGGAGGCTCTTGGGGTCGAAGCTGGCATCGATCTTGATGGGGCCGGGCTCTTCTTCTTCTTCATCGTCATCCTCGTAGTAGTCGTTTGAGTACGAGTACGTCGGTTGTTGGTACGATGGTGCAGGTGGGGCTGGTGGTGCTGGAGGAGGCGGGGGAGGGGCAGCTACTCTCGAATTGCCAGGGGGTGGTGGCGGAGGCGGGGGTGGAGCGGCGTTGAATTTCGGAGCTGGAGGGGCTGGGGGCGGAGGTGGGGGTGGTGGAGCCGACGTACTGGGAGGGGGTGGCGGTGGTGGCGGAGGTGCTGTCGTGGGTACTGTAGGTTTTGATGTTGAAGCGGGTTTAGTGTAGGTTGGAGTGACCTTCTTTGGCTCGGGTATGACAACCTCAGCTTCCATCTCGACATCAGATTCGTAGTCGGGAGCTGGAGGTGGAGAAGTAGATGGTGGAGGTGGTGGGGGAGCTGAATTAGGGACACTTGTTGGTGCAGGTTTTGGTACACTTGGTGGTACTGATTTTGGCACAGATGGGTCGATTCTAAAGAATGAAATCGCTTAATCAATTACTTTTTATATAAAAAGCTAAACCACTACAATCAGTTGAATATGCTAATATTTACCTTGACGCTTCCAAGTCGCTTTCCCCTTCTCCAGACCCAAAGTTGATTCGTTCCTTCTTGTCGATGGCCGCTTTCTGTTCGTCGTCCAGGATCAGTCCAGACTTGTCTTTGGTCTCCACCTTCCTCAGCTTAATGCCACCTCTGATGTTGGCCAAGAGCTGCGACCGGTCTACTACTTGACCTCCTGAGCCCAACTTCAACAAGGCAGGGTTCTTTAAGGCAGCCGCATTTGGGGGTGGTCTAGGTGGTCCACTTCCGGGCGGGGGTGGTGGTGCTCCTGGAGCACCTGGGGGATGTTTCTTTTTGCCATGCCCTTTTGTGATGGGGCCTTGTAGACATCGTACTGTAGAGGACAAGGCCGGTCGTTCTGTCTTCCGTTGAGGGATGTAGACCTGGGGAGGTGGGTTCTCGGGCTGTTTAAACTCCACGAGGGGGGTGTTTGCATCCTCCCCCTCTGCCAACACGATCGGCTTGGACCCGTCTCTCGTGACCGTCTTCCTCAGCTTAAATCCCCCTCTGATGGCCTGAAAGTCGACGTGTTTTTGAGATATAAGGGTTAAACTTTTAAAAAATATTGAGATTTACAAGCTATAGTAATATAAATATGTAAAATACGATTAAATAGTTTACCTATTTTACTCATGAATTGTTACTCCTAATGCTACAATACACTCTATTACTATACGAAACCTACATTGAGAAGTTCGGGATTGTTCTGAAACGCCATGGTGATCAGCCCTCAGGGGGGGATCGTCAGTCCAAAACTTTGCTCACTTCGAAAACAAAAGAGCCTGAAGGTTTATCAGAGATTAACACATCAACAACACGACAGTCCATTAAAGGTCAGAGGGGTGGACTGGTTTGAACGCGACGAACGAGGAATAATATATCCAGCGAGTAATGGAATATCTGATATTAAATATATTATAATTGTCAGGAACTGGTCTTTGTAACTGTCTAACGTAATGTGAAGGCAGCTTGAGAGTTTAAGATGGATTCGTTAAAGACTTGAATCTAGCTGAGAGATTCAATTGGCTTGAGTAGAGGTCGATTCTTATTAAGATTCTGAAGTTTTAAGTAAGAAAATGTAAATTTACATACACAAACAGCAAATACAGATTCATAAGCCTATCAGACAATGTAAGACAAAGCAATGTTATAGTGGAGTTCTGTCCTTACAAGTATCGCAAATGAACAAGTGCGCCGCTTAATGGCGATGCACTCCACAAATCATGGATCGGAGCTCTTGACGGTGAGGGGGACCATACGGGCCTCAACAAAACATTATTTGTCTGTGTTGATACCGAACTTGAGTAATAAAACAAAAAAAAAGAAAATTTAGACCAAATAACACACTCATATTTATATAGAACATATATCATCATGACAATACCTCGATATTTTACAGAACATTGAGGTATCTTACATGTTATAGTACATACCTCAACATCAAAATGAAACTCAAAACCCGCAAAATCAACCCAAAAAGAGATAAAACAACAAAACAATCGATGAAGCTCTCGATCTGAACACCTCCGGCTGGAAAAGGTCAGGAGCTGCAGAATGAATCTGTGTTACGTCAACGTTGCGCAACGCATGTGTTGACCTTGGGAGTGGGAGATAAAGCAGCTTCCGACCCTTGCCACTCTCGACATGATGCCGCTCTCGACGCCTCCAGATATTATTCCCAATTTGAATACATTCCAATCAAGAGAAGATGGGCTAATTACTCCGCGCATCGGCAGAAACTAATATAAAGCGTTCAGAAGGCTGGCATCTAATACATGCTCTGTCAAACAGTAGGCGAACAGTAACATAGATGAGGAGGATAATATATAAAGAGGTTGAACATGTTCACAGCAAATGCCATATTCAGACAATAAGGTCTCGAAGATATTTAATGCACGAGGATGACATTACTCTTGTTATTTCAAACATAACATTAAAAGTGGCATCAGGTGAGTAATATCAAAAATCGATTCGATCTCGGAGCCTTTGGATCGCGTTAAAACTCTCAACCTCAAAACTCAGCCAATCTAGGCCCCAAATCGAGAAGGCTACGAATGCTACGAGCGGAGCGTCTTATCCTAAAAATAACCGACGGAACAGCTCTTGATAACGTTCGACAAAACAGGGAAGACAATGGCTGACGTGATCCCCGGGACGTGCCCGGAGGCTGGAATATAACGAAACAGTTGGCCCCGGATCAGCGGCTGGCTTGTTTGTTAAGCAAAAGTTCGAGAACACGTTTTCTCCCCCCCCCCTTGAACTCAAACCCTCGGAATCCAAGGCCGATCTCGAGAGAAAAACGTCTGACCTCAGTTATACTATACAATAAAACCTGGTTGGGGTGAGGTGAGGGATGGGTTCGGCAGTTAATGAGCTTCGACGAAAATGATCTACTGCCCTCGGGCGGTACTAATTGCGAATATTACCGTCTGATGGATTACCACAGTAAATTCAAGCTTTCTCCAGGTTTAATTGTAGCTCTTTTTTAGATGTTGTGTTAAAATACTGGCAAAATAGTAGCAACAAAGTAAAGTGTTTTAACTATAGATTAGGTGGAAGGGAATCTACTTGTAAAATTTAAAAATAAAATTTTGATTTTAACTTTACATAGCCAACACAATTATAAATACAGTAATTTCAGTAAACTGTTACAAACGTAACATATAAAAAAAAATGTCAGAATCTTCATTATTACATGGTTATTGACTGGGTGTTGCGAAGTAATTATTTCGCTTCCTATAATTACAGCTCATTCCTATGAAGAAGTTATGTTAATATAACATACTAAACTAAAACATTCATAACTCCAAAACAAAAACAGTAAAACAATCAAAAACATTAGACAAGTACAAGTAAAACCTGATCAAAAAGAATAATTGCAAGACCTCAAACACCACCGTACTCATCTATCAATCTCGGAGCTCAGATCTAAAACACCAACTTGTCATCCTACTACAACATAATGTCTATAAAGTCACTTTGTTCCCACGCCATTAAACTCAAGACCATTGCCTGAGGGTACTCTTCCGATCTCGGCTCGAAAGAATGGAATTGTTGTGGTCACTCCCCCCCCCCTCCCGACCCGAGTTGGTCTCTCTCGCCTCCTCCTTCACCTCGACCCGAACAAACATACCTTCTCATGATTCATATTCGAAACACATTCTCAGGCCAAAAAAGTTTTGTTCCGCCTGACGAGCCGGATCGGCTGAAGATGAGCTACATAATACCTCCATTTGTTTGTTTCATCCACAAGATACGACGGGCGAGAGCCCCAAACAACTCCATGTTACTCAATCCACGTTAGCCGCTTTACCTTAGTGAAATACTACTACAACTTTTGAAACACTTACTGTGGTGGATTTAGACAAAAAGTAATTGGGAAAGAGTAAAATACAAAAAGATAAGCACGATATGATCCTTTTCAAACCATTTCGTGCACGTTATAGTTAAACTAGCATCAAAGTCGACTCTGTTTCCAATATATATATGTTAAACCAAATTTTTGACTGATTACGTTTGAACAACATACGAAAAGGAGTTACACACAGCTACAACTACACCGTTTATTGCATAAAATTTGACATACTGTACCACACCCAACGCTAAGTTATTTTTGTTCATATTTCACATCAAATTAACACAGTCAAAGACAATATAAATAATTTCCCCAATCAGCACAGTAAAAACTTTCAAATTAAGTTACAGTATCTAATTTTTTACCTTACAAAACTAAAAACCGCCTAGATTTTAACATTTCAAACATCCACACAATACCAAATCGACAATTCGAAAACACATATATAATGGAGTAACATCTTCTCCCAACCGACTGTGATTCAAGATACGATGACGACAAATGATGACACAACATTCAGCTACAAACCCTCGATGTAGATATTGATGTAAGTGAGAATGATATCACTTCACATTGTCATTACTTTTATGTTACTTTGTTACTACTTTGGTCGCAATAACTCGTGTAATTACCACTTAAATTCACGTTTTGTCAAAATTTCAAAGTTTGAGTGAGAAGTTACGGCGAGTTATATTATACTTGGAAAAGATACTTAAAGATGATACGAGTTTTTTGTAAATGTTTATTGATGTAATGTTTTTTTATTGACCTTAAGATCTGTGATTTAACAAAAAACTGCAGTATTCACAATAGAACTACAACTACAATAACCTTAAATATGTACTTAAATCTTAATATGTAAAGCTGATTTTCAATGTTCTTTATCAGTATACAAATTAAAACCCGTAACACGGTGATAACGCTTTGTGATTTCAATAAATCTTGAGTAATTTGAAATATTTCAATTTAAAAAAAATGTTTTTATTGCCAAAAAAACATTAAAAAATGTATATCGAAGCGATGCGTCATGTCTTTTACACCTTTAATCATAAAAAATATTGATCTTTGTTCATTAAGTCATCAAGTTCCATAGAAATCAATCCAATAATCGATATCTGTGACAAACAGTCTCTACTTGAACACAAACCACATATCTCTCGCGTGTGTTACTGTATCTTTGCAGGAGAATCCTAAAACGTAAAAATAAAAAAAAACTTTCCTTGCCTACTTGTAAGGGACTCTGCGACAATTAGCGGTCTAATCTCAGTAATATCCCGAACCAAAGATTATTACTCTGCAAGTGTCTGGAGAGCCTAAAAATAGAATTAATCCCTCCGGATGCACTTTTACAACTTCCGTGTGTACTTTTACAAATTATATCTGCAACTTTTTTTGATTTTACAAGTCACAACACTTCCACCTTCAAGGGATAGACATGATGACAATACCTCAGCTGCCAATCAGATTCTCGCTGTAGCTATTCCATCATGACTGGCCCTTGAATTAAGTGAAAAGTGTAGTCACAATAAAGTAGAATCAGTGGTAGAATATATAGCCATAGCAGTCATATAGTCAAATATTGTAGAAATAGGTAGAATTCAGCACAGTAAAACCAGATAATAGTAAAAATCGCAAAAGTAGGTAACAGAGTAACTGTAAATGATAGAATATTTAGATACAAAACCACCTATCTGCCCCAATATTCAACCAAGTACTTAACTGAAATTAAGAGGATTCGAAAAGACACCGTTCCTCCTGGAGCGGCGTTCCGTCGACATTGCAGACACTGGACTGAGATGAATGAATGGATAGAGGGTTTGGACTCTGCTCTCTCCCCGTTTTTTTTCTCTACAAAATGGGGCGAAGAAGACCAAGGAGCAGCGGTGGCGGGGTCAGAGGCCGGTGTAGTAGAAGAATGCACTGACGTCTCTGTCCTTCGCCCCGTCCGTCCGCCGCCGTCCAATGCTTGCTTCCCTCCCGCTCTCCCCCCCCCCGAATCTTTTCACATTGCAAAGCCTGACTGACTGGCCGTCCCACCGGTTGTCGTGGAAAACGTCCCCCCCCCCGAATTCGGACAGACGAAATAACACTCAGCCGTTTTTTATCCGAAGACGGGTTTGGTGGTGACCGTCTGCAGCCTCTCTCCCCCCAGCTGCAACTCGATCTCTACGCGTCGCTTCAGACGCTTTCTCCGTCGCCCCCGCTCCCCGTCCAGGCTGCCCCGCCGCGCTACGCCCCGTATGTCTGGCTACAACACTAGAACGACCAAACTTGCACAAGCTTTTGGCCTCATTAAGCAGTCTTTAGGATTGTTTTAGAGTAAGATGGTCATAGAAGAAGTCACTGTTTTAATCGCCAGAACTCTGACAAAGCAGTCTCTACAATTCGAAAGTCTCTGTAATCTAGAAAAGTCTACCAAAAACTGCCCGAGGCCACAGACCAACCAACAAGCCCTGAGGGAACGCGTTTCCACCTTACGTGTCCACGGCCACTAAATACGAAAAGATACGAGGCCGTTGTAGATAGGACTCATTAACCGACGGGCTGCCGACTGCACCGTGCGGCATCAAAAGGAAGGAAGAAACCGTGGAGTGCAATCTTTCTCCCAGACAACACACCCCACCCCTCCTTTCCCGTCTTTTCTTTTCGCCCCTCTCACCTCCGTCTCAGTCAGTCAGCCCAGACACAACAAAAACTCAACACTCCCCCGTCTCGTCGTTCCATTTTTCGTCTTTATCACACCTTATTTCGAATAAAAACCTTAAAACTAAGCCCTCGGGCCCTTCTCCCTTTCCTTTTATGCCAAAATCTTGCCATTTCCAGAGGGGCGGAGGTTTCAAAATTAAGCCCTCCGTCTGACGTCCACAGGTAAAATAGGGCCCTTGCTTTGCAGCTGTACTTTAATACTTAACAACGATATATGGCACAGACTCCGTGACCAAAATAGAACCTTACACCTCTCTTATGATACTTTAAGTACTTTTAAAAATTGTAAAATACTTTGTTTTTCAACCTTTTCAAGACGGGTTAAATAGAGAAAAAAGTATAATTTTATCTAAACCAACAGCAATTCAACAAAATTTTTAAAAACATCTCAAGATTAAGTCAAATTCTTAAAAATTCGAATTCTGTGAGCGAAAATTTAATATTCAACGGACACAACACCAACATTCTTATATGAATATCGGCACTCCTGGAAAGCCTTTTCTAAAGTTGTCACTATAAATAGCCTCCGGAGATATTAAATGCCCATGGAAACCGACGTTAATCCTAACGACCGAAAACCGACTATCTACATTACATAGACACTTGAAGCGGCTAAAATAACACATTTGACAGTCAAATTTAGAAACAAACGTAGTTTTAATATCAAACGAACAACGTATCTTCTATGAATCTTAAACATCTTTCAAATATTAAAAAATTCGCTATGTTTCGGCGGTTCTTTGAAGGCCAAACTGGTCTTGATCCGTCAAAGAATCGTCCAGTTATGACACTACAAGTTTACCACAAACGAATTTCATTTTCAAAATTCTGACCGCTTAATTTCAAACATTTTTTTACAAAAAAAGAATTTCACACTTCGCATCGTTTTTTACACGAAATGTCACTCTGTCTTTATTTCCTCTTTTGGCATGACGTGAGGTATAATATTACAATTTCGTCAACAAAAAAAGAAAAAGAAAGACCTGACACGCCCGCGTCGACTGTTGATAAACTTCTTATAAAATTTACAAAAAATTGTCGACCAATGATCGCGAAAAAGGATTTATTGGCAAAAAGTGTTATGAGATAGAACTTGGTTTATGTCCGTCAATTATGTGTTATATTGATTGAAATTCATTGAAAGAGCAGCCGAAACAGCATAATATGCGTTTTAACCGTAAGTTTTTACAAGAAAATTGCTATTGTGGAGTCTTTTCATCCGGTTTCTTATGTTCAAGGTAAGAAATGTTGACTTGCCACATTTTTTAATTACGGGACACAATTAAGCTGATTTGATGTTGAATTGTTGTGACGATAGATACCTAATTGCCAGAAGCCAACTGTCATTGATTAGGTAACAGGAAGGAAGGAGCTGTAGTTATTTTACGTCGTAATTTGTCTTTGTTGGTATCCATTATTTATATTAATTCGATGTGAGGGAGGAACAAGATCTGGATCTCACGACCTCGAACAGCTGTTCTGCCCTCAGGGCTCGAGATGGATGGTGCCCGACCCAGAGGTCGTTCTTTTTTATTCCTTTATTTTGTTTTACTTTTGGGTTGTAATTACGAAGTATATCAGTAATCAGGTCGTCTTGTCTGGGGCAATCTGTCAATCGGGAAGCATATGTCCCCAATACACTCGGCCAACATGACATGGATAACATTCTATATTAGCTTCTTTTTTCTTGTTTTACATTTTCAGATCGGTGGTTGATGTCTTATTTTTTCTTATGTGCTTAATGTTAAGTTTCAGATGAGTAGCTGCAGTGCCTCGCAGAAGTCGGATCGACGGCCGTTGTTGTCCGAGATCATCAGAGAAACGTTGAGGAGAGAGCAGGAGATCAAGCAAGGTAACAATAACGTTTGTATTGATTTGTTATCGCGAGATTGTGTTTCGTGTTTGTACTATGCCTACTCGTATGGCAGTACTTTAAAACGAGGGGGTATCGCTAAACGAGGTATAGTTTGACTAGTTTTGAGGTCAAAAGACGTTGTGACAATGTTTTTGAATAGAGGTAAAAGATGATTTTGAAGTTTATAACTTTTTTAGTTGCGTTACATTATTCATGGCATAGTTTATTAAAATATAGGATCTTTTGAGCTAAAATTTATTCCTTTTAATACCTAAAATAATGTTTTTACTTTAAATCAATGTTTTCAGCTCAACGAAACCGATCCAAATGTACGTGGCAATCCTCAAAAACCGCAGTTTGGCTAGGCCTAGTCCATCTGCTTCTAGGCGTGACATTACTTATCTTTGACGTATTCACAAATCCAATAACCGAGACAGCCTTCGGAATATCGTCGTCTTTGTGTTTCATCATCACAGCTATATTATCCTTCATATCAGCTCGTCGACTAGACCGAGCAGCTCAATGGTTGATTATCGGCTTTGCTACAGCTTCTTTGATCTTGTCATTGGCTCTGGTTGTCGATTGTACCTTGTACATGAACAGGTTATGCTTTCCAGTACAGACAGCGCGGTGCACGGCTTCGACTGGCAGTATTCACATGGTACTGGTGATGATCGCCTTCTTCGAGTGTAAGGGACTTTAACTCTTTTTTTATATTGTAGTAGACAAAAAGGAATTAAAAGTTTATTTTTAAATTGCGTCAAAACAACTGTCAATTTATGACGTCATCTTATGTTGTTTTAGCTGTCATGTGCGTCTTCAGTATCTTTGCCAGCTACACTCGTATCAGAATCACGAACGAGCGTACGACAGATTTGATGTACGAAAGTCTGGTATCTGGTGACTTTCCTCATTTACGGATGCAGAGACCAGAACAACTGAGTGTGACCACGGTAGAAGAAAGCAGTAAACCGATCAGTCTACAGACAGCTTGATGTTATTGTGTGTTTCTACACTACAGCTTCGGCCGTCATATTATACTACACTTCTTTCATGGTATGTTATCCACGTTTTAATACTACAATATTGACATTGTTATTACTATGATAAGGTAGTAACAAGATGCCTTTACTACGGTGCTTTTTTGATATCTTGCTAGTAAGGTACTACCTTTACTTTCTACTGCAAACTTACTCGCGTAACAGAGATTACCGATTGAGGCGACACAAACCCAATATTGGGTCCCCGATATTCACCATGTATTATATAAATTTATGCGATGTATGTACATTGGACGTAAAAGATTCACTTTGGTGTAAATATAAATAAAGTACGAGATCATTTGGCAATTGTAAGTGAGTGTGTCATAAGTGGGCCAGGTGGATATTGTTGTTCTCTTTGGTTGATTCCTCTTCTGAAGCCGGGTTCTCGACGTCGATGAATTGGGATGGTGATCGTTCCACGTCCATGTCAGGAACTTGACATAACCCTTCATCCTGGATGTACACCACGCTGATCTCACCGTTTTCGTCGTCGAAGGAACGGTAGAAGCCGTTCTGGTCTTGGCACACCATCTCCTCCTAGAATAATATAGATCCAGTGACTTTAAAGGTTACAATATGAAGTCAGATTTTAGAGTTATATAAGATAATTATTTTATTAGTGTATGTTACATTAACTTACGTCGTTTACGTTACGATGGTTGACATTGCATTTATTGTAATCGCTGACGTTCATAGGAACGGCCTCGGCTTCATAAACATCATCGTTCCACGACTGTTCCATACTGTCATTGAAGACTCCACCGTACAAAGAGATCATGGGCTGATTCAGTAGCTTGGCCATCCTCACCACGATCAAGTGTAGCATGTATTCACCGTACAGATGCCGAATCAGATGGAACGACCCAAAAGACTTGGCCCCCTTCAGCGTGAGATCACGGATCAAGGCGTCTGTGTAGAAACTCCATCGTAGCATAAACTTCTTGGCCACCTTCACCTGGACTTCAGGAGCTTTGTCGTGGTACTTGGCCATGACCTGGTCGAGCACCTTCTCAATCCACTGTGCCCACTCCTCCATCGTGCTGTGACTGAAGAGTTTGTCTTTGAAGTCGCTGACTATTGTACGAACGAGATCTGGATCACACTGTGTCACCCACGCGGCTTCTGGAGCCAGTTCGATCTTACAGAACTCCTTGTACATCAACTGCACGGTCTGAGCTTCGTTCAGGACTTGTTCTCGAGCTGAGGTCGCGAAGTGGTTGATCCACATGTGTCGTTTCAAAGCGTATGTTAACAAGCTACAGGCCTTCAGCTTTACATGTTGAACCGGTGGAGGGACGTCGACCAAGATCTTCTTCAATGTGGTCGATACATTGGCATTGAACATACGAAACTCTTCATATAAAACTGAAAAAGGTACAATTAGTTTGAACAACTACTTCAATATAATATAGGTAATGCGAAGATGGTGGTATCAGCTCTTACATTTAAAATATGGCGACAAAACGTTGGGGATGAGGATCTCGAAAGCGACTTGGTACACAGCGACGTCCATACTGTAGATGAACTTGACGATCTGTGGGAGGGAACACAGGAGGGTGATCTCTTCTCGTGACAGACCACTACAATTGGTTTGTTTTAGTATTTATGTTAATATTGAAGTATGTTTTTTTAAGTATACTTTTAAGACATTGTTTTGGTCAAAAATTATATAGAACTGCCTTAAAAACGTCAGTTTTTGCCTTGATTTACAATTTTTTGTTAAAATCAGTGATTTTTTAGTTTTTTAAAATGTGTTTCAAAAGTACCTCTTGGTAGTCTTCTCGGCGTTCCAGAAGCTGCTCCAGATTCTGTCGACTTGAGTGAATCCCAACTCTTTCATGGCATTCAAGAAGGCCGAGCTGTTCTCCGTGTACATCTCCACAAACCCCTGCACGCTGTCAGTAGTCATGTTGATGGCATTCAACGCGGGTTGGAGGGCTTCCAGGTCCTCCAAGGTAACGATTGGGACTTGACCATCTCCAAGGACGTAGTGCTCTTTGGGGAGTACGTCACCTGCCTGTTGGACGGGGGGAGGGGTGACGGGGCGGAGGAGGTCGGCTTCTTGTTGGGCGATGGTCAGGGGGTCGTAGGCCATCTCGTTGGGAAATTGGCCGCGCTCGTTGAACGACGGGTCGATCCTGCATAAAAACACATTAAAAGTGCATAATCCCCTTTTATTAAATGTTCCGTGAACAACCAGGTGCACCTAATTGAGGGTTAACGGAGCAAGTCTCAAGAAGCCCATGAGTGCGCGAATAAAGGAAAGGACAAAGCGCCTGCTACCGTATGCTTCAACTGGATTTCACACAAGTTTTTGCTCTAAGAAAGGTCCAGAGTAATAATAGGGTTAGAGTAGAGTAACTTATTTAGAAGAATTACCTATTTATGAAATTTGAGTTTAAGGAATTCAAATTTTTTGAAATATTAAATAAATCTGAAGCCTTAAATTGCACAATCAAGACCAAAATCTAAATTCAAGCTAGAGATAAGCACCATAGAGAGTAAAAAATATGGAGTTCGACTTACTTATGCTGGTAGCTGTTGCTTGATGCAGAAGAAGACGAGCGGTTGCTACTGGCCGCGTTCGTGAGCCGTCTGCTAAATGTAAAATACGGTCATTTCTTTCACTAGTTTTCAAAGCTTTTGAGCAAAAGGTGTTTTTAATACTCAAAAAATGTGAAGTTGATATAACTCACGGTGCCCGAGGCTGTCCACTGTTGGGATGCATCCTGTTGTACTCTTCGGCCGATACATGGTCGTTCAGTGGGCTCGACAACTTTATTCTGATTCCATTATAGTGGTACTTGGAGTTGCCTCGAGTACCCAGCCGGCGAGTACGAAGGCCCTTGAACACGCTTCTGATCAGCTTTCCAAACGAAGCCGCATTCACTGGCTCCAAGCCGGATTCTTGACAGTGTCTGAAGGTGAAAGGTTAGGATATTGTGACAGAGGGAATTATTGTGATAACATACCCATAGTTTAGAAGTTGGATGTAAATAACTGACTTATATAGGTACTGAGCTAAGTTAAATTAAGGCAAAAGCTTAGCCATGCTAATATCCGCTACATAACCAAATGATAGCCTAGTGCCATTTTAAGAATTGACACTAATACCTACTTTTGGTAATGTTCGTAGAGTGTGCATCGTGGCAGCGAAGACCCTTCGTACTGTTCGTAATGCTCGTTCAGCCAGTCCAGCTGGAAAGTGTGAGTTAGATACGAAATCGAGAAGAAGGAAACCCTTCATCTGAATACCTACCGTAGCACGCGGGGTTCGGGCCGTGTGGCCGAGAGAGCCCACATTATCTTCGTTACTGGATAAGGGCGAGTTCTGTTGGGTGTCCAGGAGATAGCCATTCTGGGATTCGGATTGGACTGGCTGGTAGTGCTGAAGATTAAAGTTACAAAGTTTGAAAACAAATTGCAAGTACAATATGATTACAACACGACATGTCTGCTGATGAAATCAAAATAAAGTTAAAAAGGTAAAAGATATTATTACCTTAATTAGTGGTTAAACAGGTATAACAAGAATAATGACAAATCTCTTAAAGAGTTTTAGAAAGAGCCGAGTAATTGTTGCAAATCGCCGCAACTGTAACAACTCCATTCAGACGAATGGACTTGGCCGGAACTGGTCAAAGCAAACCGGAAGTCCGTTCAAGCCTCAACTTGTTGTTGTAGGCGAGATGTACACTTAACTCGCATAAAACAAAATCTGGGCCCGTAGTTATGGTAACCCCAAGATACGACGTGCTGGAATGTAAGGACGCACCAGATGTTCAATTACAAAACACTTAATACGAAGCCTTTCCTTAAATCTAATCAATACCTACTGTCTTGGGCTGAGGCTTACGGTGGGTTACAGGGTAATGTGTAGTAGACATAAGAAAGAATTAAATTTAATAAAATTTACAATAAAAAGTGAAATAACATACAAAATATGTGATAACAACGCAAGGTAACTGATAACAAACTCACTTGATAGTACGACGTCGGGTAGTTGGCCTCGTATTCGTAGCGGCTGTAACTTAAGTGATCATTAGGAGAGTAACCGCTATCAACAATCACAGTATCGTAACTTTCACGGTCGGGGAAAGTGGGGATGACCCTGGTCATCTCCTGAGTGACATACGGAGTTGGCATCGCTTGTTGGTGAATATTGGCATTTGCTCGCTGTGCGGCCGCGCGCGTCGGCCGTTGCACCATGTTTTAGGTGTAGGCTCTTTTGGAATACGGTACTAATGGTTAGCTAGTACTAGAATATGAGCTCGGAACAAGAACCTAGTATCAATCAGAATAGCACCTTGTTTTTAATTAGAATACAGCCTCGAAGAGTGCCGAGAAGGTCTTGCCATGAACGTGTGGCCAGTCAGGGCAGTCTTGGCGAGCAAATTTCACCTGTGTCTATCTCCATTCAGAAGCGGCGAAAGGGCGGGGCGTGGCCGCGGGCGAAGAAAGCAGCACGAATCGGCGAAGGCCGCACACTCGAGAACATGGGGCGGCTTCCGGCGCCCGGAATCGGCCCCACCACACCTGCATCTCCAGATCATTAAAGACAACGAGGCCTTTGGGATCAGCCGCGCGATCGTCTAATTGCCAGGATTGTCACTTTGTGGTTATTTACTGCAGTACTACTCTTTTACTGGGTAATGTACTTTATTTATTGTGGTTTGACTGCGCAGTAATTGTAATTTTTCTCAAATTGGAGTAATCTTGCGTCCGTACAAGCTATATAAAGGATGGGACCCATAAGTTATTGTAGTAGCTCAACAACCTTCAGAAACATTGTTAAACTGTCTTTTTGTAACATACTAAATCATCATAGAGATGCTCAGTTAGCAAGCTCCCAGCACACAAAAGATCTCTCAAAAAGGTCATATTTTATTATTTTTGAATATTTTTGAAATTGCCAAACCAACTATTATATTTGCAACACAACTTGCGACTGCTACCACAATATTATTGTCTGAATCCCTGCTGGGCGTTTGACCTCAGCCGAACTCCGTGTGCCCATTCAACCACGAATAGCGGGACTGTGCATTATAATATACTGGGACTGTAATTATGATTCCAGAAAAGGTCAGGTGCGCGCGCTTTCGTGCCACAACCGTTAATGGAAACATTGCAAGGGGGGGGGTTGTTTTCAGCTGTTATTAAGGTATTAAGAGGCCTTGCTCCGTATTCCGAGGCTTATACGACTTCAGCACAAGCATGTCTTGTGTAAAACACAAATTACATGTTGTGTTGGGGGTGTAAAGACATATATTATATCTAAAGGCTTCGTATGTTTACAAAAGTAGATAAAGTAAAAAAATGTAAATTTGAAAAAAGTTGCCAAACCTAAGATAAGAATGTTTGCGTGCACAAAATGTAGTCGAATGGGCATGACAGTACTCATATTACTTTGCGTAATCACTCATGGCATGCTGAACCTATTTACCCATACGGTAATGAATATCCCAGAGTTCAAGTATAATAACCAAGTGCAACAATATACCGAAAAGTAAAACTAAAAATGTAAAAATATCTATTTTCGACGTTACGGTACCATAACTAATGGCTCCAGTTACGAAAAATCATCGTGAATTTTATAAAAAGTACAGTCATCAAATAACATACGAACATCTCCACCAAAACCCATACAATACCTAACATAGCCCTCCCAAAGCCCTAACACACCCTTACTACGTCCCTTACTACAGCCTCTACTATAGTAGGACAATCAGAAAACAAATCTAAAACGAATGTCCCTACCAACCGAAGTGAAAGAGGTGGAATGGAGCGTCAGGTCGACTTCGAAGGCTCTTAGCGTTCTCTTGGCAACAACGGTCACCATCACTACGCGGTTGCGTGGTTGTCGCTTAGTAACTGTAGTGATGGAATGCAATCGCGATTACACAACAAGATTACCCTAAGCCTTACAATAATCCGCCTGTCCCATCACCACCCCCAACCGAACAGCACGTCGAACACGGTGCTGGCGACGGGCTGATGACTGAAATCCAAATCCCAAATCCTTATTTAACATTCGTACTCGAATGTTAGGACGGTGTTTGTTTCCAGGACAACATGGGCTGTCGTGGAAACGGTCACTGCTGATACCACGTCGTATATAAATATCAAGTTAACAGTGGCACGGCGTATGTTGGGCTTGGTAAACGAGCTGTGGTAATCTTAAATACGATTATCCAAACCATACGCTTGCGTTCTACTTGGTCAAAAAGTTCGTAGAACAATTTTATAATGAAGTTGCTACTTCCAATTACTTTTTGGTCAGCCTAATGTACTAGTATATGTACTCTGCTTTTGTGTATAACCAACTAAATGAACATAAGTTCGTAGAGATATGTGCCGTCTATTAACGTTTACACCGTACTCGAGTAAATGCCTATACCTATCTTGCTCTTATTTATATCTTATTTACCTTCATGTATACCCCTACCAACTCATGTAGCTACTGAATCTTCCCCTACGCGACCGTCTTCTTTGCACGACGAGTTTAAGAAGCTGTAGTCGTGACCTGCCTCCTGGTTACCAACTTGAATAAATAATTCAGAAGACGGCAGTCATGGATTCAGAAGTCATGGCGTCATTAGATCAGTATCATGGTGATCGGCCTTGGAGACTCCCAAGTCGCCTGAGGGACCAATCTCCAAGGCAGTGCCGCCGCTTCTTTAACAGTCCTCGGTGTGCCATTGTCAGAGGCGGCAAGATCAAACGGACGCTCTCTATTGGCCATGTTGCACCTGTTTTCCTAGAATGGCAGGTCAGGGTCCCAGCTCTCTGACGCCATATGGTATGTGCATAACTATGGCTTCGTATGACCGTTTGTTCGTATACCATTTGTATTCCGATGGTTCATGCTTTACACTCATTTGCCAATGTTAGTTGTATGTTCGCTGACATGGTTATGCAGATGGTATGTCACAACACAGCCATCTTCCTTTAATTATGACTTAATGCTGGCGAGGTAGGCGTGCGCGGGCAGCGTTGCCGCTTATAAAGGGCTGGCAATTAGCCACGCTTCTAATTACCGGTCCATGTTTCTCACAGTTTCACCGCCATTTAATTGCGGCTTACGCGCCATAATCCATTTGAATTTCCAGATTCGAAAGCAGATTGTTCTGCTATATTATAGTAGAGGTTGATTATCTTTTATGATAATCAAACTCTACTATTGTATCGCTGATAAGACTAATGTTTATAGTAAAATTAGATATTTAAATTCTCTGAGTTACCGTCAAACGTGTTACAGTAGTCATAAAGTTCATGTCACCCAAATGCCCTTTCTTGACCTTATTTGCATAACAAGCGATGCGAAAACCTTGTCACCCAATGAGACGTCGCCGTTACCGTACTCTTCATTTCGAATTCCAATTTTTTGTTTCAAAATTTTGGAATTTTGAAACTGTTTTGCCTTACGAATTGTGGTGCAGTTGGTTCATCTGGTACCCTTCCATACTCCCTAAGACCGCCGCGGTCCCAGTGGCAGCCTGATTAGTACTGGTGTTATTGGTACCATTCAAAGAGGCAGCTGCCGCGACCAAAGGAAAATTTGAAAAATTGGCGGCAAAAGCTGAAAAGATACGGTAATTAGACAGAATCAGAATTAGGAGAATAAGAACTGATGTTACTGTAGCAGCATTACCGTCTTTCTGCTGAGAAAGCTGTGATTGACCATGAAGATGTTGTTGTAGGAGCTGTTCATTGTCATTTGTCGCTAAAAAGAAGAAACATTACTTATTAATCCAAAGACAATAGTTAATAGACCTCAAACGTGATAACCAAGTGATCCAAGTCAGAGACACAAAAGTATGCCTCAAGGTGATACAAGTAAAAGTAGCTTAACGTACCATAGTGCATCATGGGAAACATGGAAGACCGACTGTATAAGTCCATGGCCGTCGAAACAAAGGCCAAAGGTAACAGAGAAACTCTGAGAGACTTCAGCTATTCCGGTTTCCCACAAAAACGGGCACAGAATCGGAGATTCATCGGCTGCCTGGTAACCGGATGTAGTGCCGCAGGGCCGATCTGAAGAAATATTATACAATCTGGAATTGAGGATTCAGACAAAGGGCATTAATGGATCGGCGCCATTATGAAGCCGGCCCCGCTCCCCGGACGACCGTGGCCATCAATCGGGTCCATTAAAATTTGTCCCCTTAAATCTACCGTAACCCCCGAAACAAAGCCGCTTCCCTCCCTTTCAACGTTAAACCATCCGAAACCCGAAGCCTCATCGAATATGCACCATACAGGTGAAGAAAGGTTAATGTCCTTTTTAAAGGATAAAAGCCAAATGAGCGTTTTACTATGCAAGCATAGAATAGTGACTTTACATTGTTCACCATAAGTACCTTTGATTTATTCGTTCTAACCGGCACACTAGTCTTGACTATATATTAACATTGAAATCAAATAAAAAACCCAGTTAAAATACATGTAGTTTAACATAATAAAGTGTTACTCAATCTACTACAACATCAATTGAAAACTTTAAACATGATCTACTTTCTTTTGTCTGACATCTTGTCCAAACTGAAGGAAAACAGTTGCTCTCTCTTTGACTGGTCGGAATATAGTTGCCCGTTGTTGCGATATCGCGTTCTGAGAAAGTTACCGTCCTTTTCTGATGTAGTATCATCTACAGAGTAATCCCACGGACCAAAACGTGGCATCCACATTGGCTCGAAGAAGGGCGACCTCTACAACAACATTATTACCACAAAAAACCAGAATACGTAAACAGCTCGTCTCGTACAATACAGCACTCATTATTGATTTGTAAACAAAACAGTAGGCAAAGATGGTCTTTGTCTAATATGATGTACCTGATAGAATGGTGGATACCCATAAACGCCTGGAGGCCTTTGGAACGGCGGAAACTGCTGAAACGGTGAAGAGCCGAAGAACGGCGGAAACGAACGATACGGTTGTTGGAAAGGCAAGAAATTGTATGGAACCTGCCTTTTCACAAGCGACCTCCCATCCACGAACACTTAAAACAAAGTGGTACAACATCACTTCATAATTAAAATGCAACTTTTAGTGAAAAGTAAACAAGAATGCACCTGCAATTGTATATAAACTTACAGTACTCACAAAATAAAACAAAGACTAGGTTTATTCTGTACATGAACATATTACAAATGAATAACAGATCTCAAGAAGCACAAACGAAGGATCCGTTCAAGGGCTTGACCGAGCTCCCTGAACAACATGACCTGGTCGGGTACTTGCAGACCGCGTTCCCGCAAGATGCCGTTTCCTTTTCGTCGCTTCTAGAACATACGTTACATTACATTCTTTACTCTTGCACAAGAAAGATCGCCTCTAGACAGAATACCACTAAAAACAACTCTTTTCACGACGAAAAGACGTATTTCACAACAATAATATAACACTAAAAACCCACGATTGACAAGAACATCCTTGACTTCTCTGCACACAAATTCTCGTCCTCGTACTATTACTACAGTTACCACAAGTACTCGTACAACTAGTCCATACCGTCCATTCGTCAAACAAGTCAATTGATGGACAACAAGACAATGTCGAGTTATTAGTAGTAGTAGCATTTAAACAAGCGAAGCTTCCGTTCAATGTTCCCACTGACAGTCCAGTAGCACATGAAGCTCTGCCAAACGGACATGGCTGGAGATTACAAGGTGCAGTAGAAGTAGAGTTGCCTTCACAAGTACAACTTTCAGATATCTGAAGCGACAAACAAGTGCGTTCCATCTGTTGAGTCCCGTACCCTCCACAAGTATCTGAACATGTTGAACTTGATGATGGTCTCCAATCTCCCCAAACTCCGCCAGAAGGACAACAAGGAGCAGAAGTAGTGGCTTCGGTCGTTTCTACAGTCGTTGTAACTTCAGTTGTTTCTTCCACCGTAATTTCCTCTTGAGTAGTCCCTTCAGTAGCTTCCGTAGTAAGAGTAATCAACTCGCCTTGTGTTGTCGTAGCTTCTGTAGTTAATGTTATCAGCTCTCCTAACGTCGTCTGTTCATCTGATGGTGCCGTTGTCAGCGTTATCAACTCTCCTAATGTCGTATCCTCATCAAATGGGGCAGTAGTTAAAGTTATGAGCTCACCCAAAGTAGCTAAAAAACATTTATCTGTAAAACGCAAAATCAAAACATTTAAATGAAAACAGAAAAGTTACCGTACTTTCATCTGTAGGAATAATCAAGTCTTGCGATTCCACCACGAATAAAACGAGGAATAGATTCACGTAACAGAACATAAGTACCTTGCACAGACGTGAAAAAGACAATGTTAAACATTATTTTAGTTTCTGACATTTGAAACAAACGCAAATCAAACAAAAAATCTTAACAGATGCACTAACAAACTAGCCCACTGATTGTCGTATCTAAAAAACCAATTTTGTTTACAGAATTCTCCGTGCAACACTTGACCCTACAGCAACGCCAGAGTGAGTCAAGTGTTGTCTTACAGATTCTGAACAGGCTGCGGAATTTATACTGGCAGTTGAACGTTTAGAGGATGCTTTTTGACGTACTTTATGCTATTTTTTGTTTATTTGATGTTGGTTTTAATTAATAAATAATTTTTTTGTAATTATTTTAGTTGCAGTAAATTAAACTTCATTTTTGATGAGTGTTACACGTTGAATGCGCAAACGCGGCTTATATTTTTGCAAAATTTAAAGTTTTGTTACATCTGAATACGTGATTTTGAATTGTGATGTATTATCGATGTGATTTATTAAAGTTTTATCTTAAATTTAATATTTAGCGAGCTAAAATGGACGTTAAAAGGACTCCATGTGAACTTTTCACCAAGATTGAAGAAATTTTGACAACGACAATTGGGGTCAGTGAATTGGTGTTGAAGCATAGCGAACCAAACAACAGAACTTTAAAAGATCTCCTAACTTGTATCAACAGAAGCATTGAGGAAGCCAGAACCGAAGTTGGCCATTTGAAGGCATTGACACTGCCGTTAATTGACAATCAGCAGATAACGTAAGAATTAAAATTAAGTGTTTGGTTTAACAATGTTTTGAGAATCATTATAATATTTCAGCTTCGACGAATATGAGGCTTCCAACCATATCAATCGAGAATTGAAAGAAATAACCAGGCCAACAATGATCCAGGGGAGAAAGACTCAATTGGAAGAGGAAGAAACACAAAAGGTGCTACAAAATGAAGAAAGACAGAAAGCGCTTCAAGAAGAAGAAAGACAGAAGATGCTTCAAGCCGAGGAAGAACAAAAAAGATTGGTGAAGGAAGAGGAAGAAAGTAGAAGGAAGATCCTTCAAGAAGAACAGGAAAGACAAAAGAAACAGCTTCAAGAGGAGGAAGAAAGACAAAAGAAATTGCTGCAGGAAGAGGAAGAAAGGAAGAAGAAGCTTCTTCAAGAAGAACAGGAAAGACAAAAGAAACAGCTGCAAGAAGAGGAAGAAAGACAAAATAGACAGAGAAAAGGTGAAGAGGAAAAACAAAAGAATTTGCTTAAGGAAGAAGAAGAAAGAAAGGCAAGATGGCTTTTAGAGCAGGAAGAGGAAGAAACACAGAAGAAATTTGTTCAACAACAGGAAAGACAGCTTCGAGAAGAAGAAGAAAGAGAGGAGCATTTAGAGCAAGAAGAGGTACAGAATACCCACCTTCAAAACGAAGGAAAGACAAAGGAGATTTTAGAAGACGCGGAAAAGCAAAAGATGCTGCTTCAGGAAGAGGACGAAAGGCTGGCTTCTGAGAGAGTTAAGAGTTACACCCAGGAGTTGTTGTTGCAGCACGAGAGACAAGAAGAAGAAATGGCTCGAATGGCTGAGAGTCTGGTCTTGTGTCCAGCCGAACAAGTTGCCGAGACGCCAGAGATCGAGGATTGTGCTGGAATAATGGCGATTGATTCAGATGCCCAAGTGAGCTTTGATTCCGTCATCAACACCACTCCGGTCAAGAACGAGAACAGCGCCAACTGCAAGGGAGTTGTCTTCTACGAAACCCCATTCAAAAGCATCTCAGCGACGATAAAGCTTCTCAAGGGAGGTGACATGGCCAGGAAGATGTTTGGCAATGGAATGGTCAAGCTGCGGAACGTTGACGGCGTGGTTAATATCGAGGTCTGGGATACTGAAAGAATGTTGTTTGGAGCTGAACTTAACAAGTGCTTCAGTTGGAATCACGATACTCTTGAAGGCCCCAGCTGGCACATCCACGTACGTTTGTTGAGGTTATTGCAGTTATTTGGTAGTTTCTTCTTTCATGTGTAAAGTTGAAGGACATTGTTCAGGATACTAACCTTTTATGTTTTAAATAATATAATGTCTACTTATTATTGAAGAATACATTTTTATTTCAGAAGTCAGACACCGAACCAGATTTTGATTTTGTGGCCGACTTCCAGTTCAAAGAGCGTACAAACATGTTCAAGAACATGGTCAAAGGTAAGTGTTATTTGATTAAAATGGTTTTACTTTTATCACGATTATAGATATCATTTTAAACTTATTTATTGAAACTTTTACTTTTATTTTAGCTATTATGGACAGCCCTCACTCCAGCAGTTTGTACATCAAGAGTCTGTGTCACTTCAAAAGTCGTATTCTAAACGAAGAGTTCGAAGTTCTGAATGTCCAGTTCCTCTTGTTCGATGGGAACTCATGTGCACCTCCAACTGTCGTCATTGTCAACCATGAAAAGGAGTACTTCAGGACCAATTTGGACCAACCTGTTACACCATGCCAAAAGAGCCAAACCATAATGTTCAGCATCCAGGTAAGAAAAATTATGAATTATATTAATTTTTTACAGTATAGCTCTGTAAAAATGTATTATAGAGCTAATTAATCTTGAAATATTATTTTCAGAAGCCCGATGGAATTCGCATGATGGTCGCATGCCGCTTTAAGGAACGTACTCACGCTGACTTCGCCTACAAGCTCCTCTGTATTAACGAAGAGTCGTTCACTTAATATTTGTTTTGTAACCCAAAAGTTGTCCGTTATGATAAAGACTTATATTGTTATTAATAAATTTAATGTTTTAGTTATGTTTAGCCCGTTGTCCCATGGAGTACTGTAGCCAGCGCTCCGTGTAGTCGTCGTATATGGTTTCCTTGGTCATAGCATGTAGCCATTTCAGCAGATATACATGTACTTTGTGGTAATCCCATCGAGCCAAGTTCGGTGGTGTTTTCAGGAAAAGATGCCTGAGGTCATAAACTGATCCAGAGCCAGTGTCATACAAAGGCAGTAGTGTTTTGAGCGAATGTAGGCCTTCTTGGAACAGATTCCGTGCTGTCCCATTTTCTACGATTGCAAGGTCGTACAGTCCGATAAGTGAATATATAAACCCGTTGAGAACTACAGTAGGCGGTGTTGTAGGATACTCCTCATACCATGGCACTCCAAGAACAACATTCCTTACGCCGCCGTCTTTTGGTGCCAATTCAAATGGCTTCAAGGCTTTTCTGGCCGCATGTAAGTATGCCTCGTTGTTGGTCAAGTGATAAGCTCGGATTAGAACGCTGATTCCGTGTCCTTGTGCCATGGCACTAGGCCAGAAGGCTGGTAAGAAGAGCTTCTTGTCTATAATTCGTTTGACTGGCACGGCCCACGCACCGTTCTCACGCTGGTTTTTGAGAAGCCAATCAGCTGAGTTCAAGAACATTTGTTTGTGATCCGATGATTGCTGATAAATCGGCATTGTGATTTCCAAAATACCATTGAAGCGAATGGAAAGCACTTTGAATTGTTCTGAAAAATTACAGTAATTTGATGTGCAGCCTGATGTGAGAGTTGAGACATTGCAGCTTTAGAGCTGACTCTGACACTGTCAGTCTGCTAGCTCTAACACTCGTGCCAACTCTGCAATCAAACAACAGTAATTTGACAAAAACTCACCGCTTCTACCACGGCCATCCTTCTTGTTACTTTTTAGTGCCATTACTTTACTCGCATCCACAGCAAAGTCCCGAAGAACAAACATCTTACCACCACGATTTAGAGATTGATAATATTTCTGAAATCAAACATTACATTGCTTAAACAGTACCACTTTACAATACTCCATATAGTAAAAAGTGAAGCATATAAATTATCAATGGGTGTACTTATTGTAAAGCAACACTCACACCTTCATGTTCCCACAAACATCTAGCGTCAGTTTTGGTGACGTAGTTTATAGTGATTAAGACATCTTCACTGCTTTGGAGTTCTACTGAGAAGAACGAATCATCAGAAAGTGGATTCCATTCAAATGAAATTACAGTAAGATCGGAGTGTGATTTAAGGTCAAGTGAGAAGTGCTGGCTGAGATCATCGATTGTGACAAAAGTAGTGCCATTACGAATTGTTTTAGCTGAATTTGTTTGGACATCAGAGATCGTATGTTTTGAGGCATGAGGATCTAAAGTTTAAATAAATACGAAAACACAAACATATACTTATTAATTTAACAACGTTAAACTCAACTATAATATTGTACTTGACTTTGCTTACCTGTTTGAAGTTTTGAGTAATGTTGCAAGCCAAATTGAGCAATCTGAATAGGATAAAAATAGGGAGTTTCCTGCCATTGGGTACTCATAGGTACCTGCAAGCTGCCTTCGATGCATCTTACCCTTTCTCTCTTTTCTACATTGTAAGAACCAAAGTTACCGAACACACCAAAGTTACTGTAGTTTTTGATGTCAGGTCGTTTCGACTTGGAATACGATGTAAAATACTCAAAGCGGTCTTCTGAAGCATTAATTTGACAATGGTGAGAAATAAAATAACCAATATTATCCCCATATTATACACTATATTAACATAGAAAGCGTAAGAAATGACTTTCGAAAAAACATCAAAATTGTCAAACTTATAAAGAAAAGTTTAAAACACCCTACCCGAGGTCCATTTTCCGTTCACATCAAACTGTTTTCGTATAAATTTAAAGGGAAAATAGACTTCAAATTCCTCCTTCAAACACGATATCTTCTTGGTGCCTTCTATAAGACAATCAACACGTTTGATCGATGGCTCTAGATCGTCGTTACTTTGAAAGCCAATCCAAAAGTATGTTAAGATAAAGAATATTATGCCGAACAAAGCTACCTTCTCGTATCGAAAATGCATGACATTATAGCTAAAAATTGACAAGATAAATTCATTTTGCAAATAGAGATAATTTACTTTTAAAAAAGCAATATCGCGACACATAGGCATGTAGAAAGAAAAAAATATTATAATTCACATAAGATGTGATACCACACTTCGACAATTGGTTCAACTTATGAACCGAAGGTTAAAAACCTTTAGGCCCTTAAGCCCGCTCAGCTGATGCTGAATAACATCAAAAAATTTTTCAATTTTTTCAAATATTTTTGACTTGGAAACATTTTTAGAATCAACACCGACAAGATTAAAAATCCTCTTCTGTTTACTACAACGATTAATAACATCCTAGAAAGAGTAATGGCCGTGCTTCTCGTACGAGTTGCGGAACTGCTCGGCCTGATGTCTGGTGTAGTCGATCCAGTGGGCAGAGACGGGTTCGTAGTAGAATCCCTTGTAATCCCAACGCTCGCCTTCCAGATGCTTCACCCGTTCCTCGTAACGTCTCCAACGAGATATAATATTCTGTCGCTCAACATAGGCCATGTTACGTTCGTACTGTTCGACATCGCTGTGGCCGAAGTATTTGGCATAAAATTGGCGAAGGGGGGTTCTTTCAAACTGCCAGAAGTGGGGATGGTGGTCTTCTGGATAGTCTTTCAACTCGCATCTTGGGCCTGCAATTCAAGTTATCTACTTTTACAGGTTTTCAAGGTAATATAACGTAATAAAGAGAATAAAAAATCGAAAAAAAATCTTTAAACATAGAGCAACATCCAAATATTATTAACATACCAAAGATAAGATGAGACACCAAAACGATTATAGCACAAGGTAAAATTCCTACACCAACCAGATAAAAGTGAGCGATGTCTTTGAACCTGTTTATTAACATCTGGCCAGCTCTCCTTCTGAACAAATCAGCGTGACTTTGACGAAGTGCCATCCCTAAACGTACAATTAACTACAACAATAACTTACTTTGCAACTGTTGAGGTCTGAGATTGGTCAAAGTTACCCTCGCCATAGGCGCGAGCTTACTAAACCCGGCCATGATCTTCAACTAAAAATATATTAATTAAGAAAATTAAAATTTAAGTAACAAAAAGGATTTACAATTATGAGAATACCTACAACAAAGAGAATAATTGTAACAACGATCATAAAAAATTCAATGTATCAAACAACAAAAAAACGAAAATTTTGTTTTAAACCAAAAACAAATACCAAAAAAAATAAATCCACATTAACAATATTAAAAAATAAATACTAATAATCTGAGACAAAATATACGCAACATCTACTATGGTTATATTGTTTGTAAGCTCAGTATAACACTTGATTCAAGAAGCTATTCAACAAAAAATAAAAAGAAATATTCTGTGAGCGGGCGAAGTGTCAAAATCGATAATGAAGCTTCGTTCTATCAGAAAACTCGAAGGTATTTTTAAATTTGTCGTATTCAAATATCGAAAAATTATAAATGGAAAAACTGAAATTAATTCAGTTACCATTTCGGGATAATCGGTCGCGGTGGTTTTTGCGATATTAACTATGGCTGAAGTCGGACAGCGTTATGTGGAACAATTTCAAACGACGGTAGAAACTATGCGACGTCGTGGACTCGCGCTATACGATTATGGAGTACGTTTGGGAAGTCGGGGAATGAAGTTGGCCGAAAGAGCCGCCGAAGTGGCTGAACCAATGGCTTATGACTTCAAGGATCAGCTGGTTCAGGCTTGTTCGGATTCAGAAGGTGTCGATCTCAGCGACAAGGATCATCGGAATAGTGTGCTGGAACTGTATTTAGGTAGGGTATTTAATTCTGACGTTATGTTTAAAAGGTATTCTATTAAAACCTTTAGAAACAAAGTTTCTTGAGTATGTTTATAGTTATTATTAATGTTGTCGCTTGTAGCTCTTTGTGTCTTGATGGTTGGTGTCAGTTCGGGTGAATTGATGGGTGCCTTTGTTCTCTCGGGTCTTGTACAGTATGTTTTTGATACTTGGGTACAAGTGGCGCTGTTGTTCTTGATGCCCGCTTATGTTTACTTGAACTTCAGAAAGAATGGTGGTAAGTGAAGCAATCTATACATTCATTTATATTGTTTTAACAATTATTATTCTGCTACTGTGAAGATGTAAAAGTGAAATTATTTGTAAATATTAGTTTAGTATTTACTGTGACTTTTAGCGTTGGATGATACTGAGAGACGAGTATGGATGTTCGGCTGTTGTTTGTGTGTTGGTGCTCTTTTGGGTAACCTATTTGGATACAGATTGATCAGTACTGTTCCGGGATCGTTCTTCGTTGTTCCGCTTACTTTAGGCCTTTTGGTATGTTATTTATCCTTATTTAAATGTGTGAATTATATTCAAAAACTTGAAAATACTTAAAAAATAAAGAGCAGCTGACATCTTTTTGTTAAAAATTATATTTTTAAGGAAATTTCAGAATTAGATGTTTTTTTAAATGTAAAATAATGTTTATTTATTATGTTTTAGGCTGACGCAGAGTTTAGCCCTAGTTTTGTGTACAAAGACCGTACTCGTCTCATCAGCTTCACCTGTGGCACCGCTCTTCTGGCTTCGATCATCTTTTCGGTCATTCCCCTCGGTCACTGTTCGGCCGCCGTGATTTGGATGTCTGCTGCTCATGTGGGATTACTTTTTGCTCATTTTCAGGTAATCTTTTTACATTAATATAAACCTAGTATTTCGCGGAGATTAATTAAACACTTTTTTATCTTTTGTAATTCAAGCGTTCCATTGCTGACTATCTTTTGATATTTGAACGATAACTGTTTTGAATTTTGCTATAGATTTTATTTCAGATGGTGTCCGTGTCACTCAAAAACAAAACTTTCTGTAATTGTGAAGCGATGTTCGGCTACGTGTTCCCGCTGATCTTCATCCAGCTGTTGGTTAGTATCATCTTCGGCGTTTCGGCCCCAAAGGCTAACTAAATTTGCGAATAAACATTATTTATGTATGATACTAGTGGTCTATTCAATTGTTAACTTCATTTTTTTACTTTTAATATGATTTTTTAAACTTTTTGTTATAACATGAATAATATTGTATCTGGAAGATCTCAATATTGTTATACCTCACTCTTGTATGCAAATTTGGAAAGACGCTGTAACTAATTTTGGCGTGTGGAACACGATGACGCCTTACTTAAGAAAAGGGGAACTTACATAGAGTGCGGTCAGCAAGGTGTAGTAGAGAGAGAAAATAGGTCGACGACAGGGAAGGCCATCTGGACGTCGCCACCCCAAAACAAGGGGACGGGAGAGAAAGAGAGGGCTGAAAAGAGTTGGGACCTTTCCTTCTGCGCTTACCCGCATTTTCATCATGTTTTCCGCTGCCAGCTACCCGTTCTCTTACCCCGCCGTCGACGCATTCATATACATGTGTTTTATGGGAAACATAGTTCTGCTTCTAATTAGAACATGACACCTTCTACAAGTTCTGGGGACTTGGTTCTTAAAGGTATTCGAAGTTCTTCCCCACCTTGTTGTTCCTTGGTACTCAGAACGCGTTAACTCGGTTTATCGTTAACAAGTTTTGTAAAACTTTTACACAACCACGATGGCAGCTGAAGCTACACGAAGCTGATGGAAATTTAAAAATTTTGTATAGAGGAAGAATTTTGTTGGGGACAAAATCGAGTCGAGGGTGTGCAAATCGGAATTATTTTTCGCGGAAGGAAATTCAAAACTCATCCTCAGCCACGGCGCAACCCCGCCCGAGGGGGAAGCGTGGCCAGAGTGTGAAAACGAGGTCGTTGGACCGGAGGGCTTGTGGGTCGTGTCCTCGTGCGGCGCTTTCTCCTCCGTCTTTCCCCTGTCCCCAGAGTTGTTCGAAGAGAGAGACGGGAAGGAGGAGAGCCCTCAAGTCTCTGTGGTGATGTCGCTTACTATTGGCAGTTGTTTCACCTCCATTTTGACCCTTTCTGCACCTGATCATCTTGGCCCGACTCGTAAACCGGCCATTAAACTGGGTTCTCGTCCCGAACTCTATAAATACGATCCCCATATCGGTGGTATAATCCCAATTCGTTCCGTTTTAATTATTCAAAATCCGTTATCGGGACGACTGTTTCGCGACTTTTGAATTTCCACAAATAATCGACTTTTAACCTTTTGTAGCCGCCAGAGGGGAACATCTTCATTTGAGGGAACTTGGTAGAAGGTTGGAAACATCTGAGCCACAATGTCTGAGCAAAAAGTGAGTTAGCCGGCCCGGTGGCTGGACTGTCTTGTTTTCTGGTTGTTAACCTGTCTGTTTTAGAAGGAAGGCTCACCAAAAGAGCAAAAACCAAAAGAAAAGAAGGAAACATCAGCTGAAGGGACACCGGCTGAGAAGAAATCCGAGACCAAGCCTGAAAAGTCGGCGGACAAGAAGCCCTCAGAATCCGAGCCACAACGTGAGAAAGTCGTCAAGAAGACCGGCGTGCGTGGTGTCGTCAAATGGTTCAATGTTGTCAACAGTAAGTGTTATTCATGCGTTTGTTTGTGTTTAGGCCCAATTTTCATTAAATGTTGTTAAACACTGTAAATAATATCTTAAATATTTGTTCTTTACTTATATATGTACTACTTAATTTTACGACTATATAAAAAGACTTATTCTAATTAGGTGTCATTAAACGTGTTATATTATAATTTTCCAACCTTTTACTCGGTCTTTTCAGGATACGGTTTCATCTTCAGAAACGACAACAACGAAGACATTTTTGTTCATCAGACAGCCATCGCCAAATTCAACCCGAAGAAGGCGATCGCTTCTCTGGGCGACGGTGAAGAAGTCTTGTTCGATGTAGTTGAAGGTGAGCACGGTCCGGAAGCGGCCAATGTCAGCGGCCCAAATGGAGAGCCGGTCGAAGGTTCCAAACACGCTCCAGACAAACAAAGCCGACATTTCGGTGGTCGAGGTTTCATCAGACGCGTAGGCTACAGACCCAAGAGCGAAGGCGACCAAGGCGGAAACCCAGAAGGCGAAGAAGTATGTTCAGGTTTATATTATTATACTAAAAAGCTAAAGGGCTGAAATTAAGGACTAATTGTGATACAAGAACTAATCATTTTCTGTTTCAGCGCCGTGGCGGTGGATTCAGAAGAGGACCTCCTCGACCTCGAGGCGGTTTCCGAGGTGGATTCAGAGGACGCAGAAACTTTAGATCTTCTCACTCTGCATCTGGCGACGCCGAGCCCCTTGAAGGTGGTAATGGTGGCGGAGACAACGGCGGACGTCCGCCCAGAAGAGGACGTGGAGGATTCCGCGGCGGACGAGGTCGCGGAGGCCCACGCGGCGGAGGCAGAGGCCGCGGCCAACCACGCCCTGCCCCTCCCCCGGCCGACAACTAACTATATTACTCAATAATCAGTAGTGCTTAATACTTTAACATCACAACCATCAATTGTCCCGTAGCTCCCTCGTAGATATGTTCGGTCACTTTTGTTGTAAAAACTAACGTATATCTACCTGTCGTAACATCGAACACATCTCCTAATCTAGTTATCAAACTTGGTATTTTAATAAGCTTCCATTTATATTAAGGTAGTCTACACCCATACCTATAAAATAGATCCGAAGGTCTCGCCTTCGACACCCTCCTATCCATGTACCTGACCTACAACTGTCAGTCTTATTGTTATTTAACTCTAACGTTATTTTCCTGCCAACAGTAGAGAGACAATCTTTAGGTCCCATTAACAGTTAGAGACCGTTGAGGGAGTTGTCATTTAATTATTATGATATTGATTACTCTCAATAAACTCTGCCCTCACAAAAGAGTCGTATTTATAGTTTAGTTAATTTAAATTACACTTAGACAGGTTTGTAGTCGAGTTTGGTTTCCAGCTTCTTGGCGTCGCTCACCTTTCGTACGGCCTTCATGAAATCTTCGTCGACTACGTATTCACGTTCAGCTCGGATGGCAAATAGACCTGAAAATGGCGTTCTTGATAACAAGCTTCTCTGAGTTCCTTATACGGAAGGTTAATTAAATGTAAAAAGTGGCCATAACAATCAGAAGATGCTCTTACCTGCTTCAGTACAAACATTTCTTAAATCAGCTCCAGAGAATCCGTCAGAGAGCTTCACCACAGACTCGTAGTCGATCTCACCGTGCTTGGTGATCTTCGAAGCGTGGATCTTCAGTACTTCAAGTCTACTTTGTTCGTTTGGAAGACCAATTTCGATTTTTCTGTCCAATCTACCAGGACGGAGAAGAGCAGGGTCGAGAGTGTCAGGTCTGTTGGTGGCCATGATGATTTTCACCTTCCCTAGAGAATCAAACCCATCCATCTGATTCAACAACTCCATCAATGTTCTTTGGATCTCACGATCTGCCGAGGTACCTTCACTAAAACGTCGACCACCAATGGCATCAATTTCATCCATAAATATAATACACGGTTGATGATCACGAGCGTAGTTGAACATTTCTCGAATCATACGAGCAGACTCTCCGATGTATTTGTCTACAATGGCAGACGACACCACCTTCAAAAAGTTACAGTCCAGTTGAGATGCGACAGCACTAAAAATAGCTTTTTTATACAAGATGTAAAAATAAATGCTATCTTAATTGAAATCAACTACACCTTACTAAACTTTTTACTTAAATTCATTGTTACCTAAAATCTTTAAATTCAAACTTACCGAGCTAACAAAGTTTTACCAGTACCAGGAGGACCGTAAAGCAAGCAACCCTTTGGGGGAGTGATTCCTACTCTCTTGAAGAGTTCGGGATTCAGAAGCGGCAGTTCGACGACTTCTCTCAATTCCCGAATCTGCTCAGCCAATCCACCAACTTCAGCATAAGAAATGTTTCCTGGATCTTCGTGGCTCATTTTGTACACCAAAGGATCAACTTCTCTTGGCAATTGTCTCATGATGGTCAAAGTCGTCATATCCAAGGCTACACGAGTTCCCTGCAAAAGTTAGAATACATTACTTTCCTTTATTGAAAAAAAAATTTAACGAAACAAAATAATCGCTAAAGACAACTCTTACCTGCTTCAGCAATTCCTTGTTTATCGATCTTCTGCATCCAACAACATAACGTGGACCGTTCGTAGCCTTGACGATGAATTTCTCCTCCGTCAGCTGCTTCAGAACTTCACCAACAATCTGACCAACAGACTGAAGACTCTTGATATCGTTCTCAGACTTTTCGTGGTCCTTTTGCATTTCTTGCTCCTAAATCCAGAAAATCACAAATTTTAATTTAAAAACAACCTTTTTACGAAGTTCCTTCAGCTTGGCCTCAATCTCACGGTATTCATTAAGCTTGCGACGATACAGCATTAACTGACGAGACTTTTCATCTTCAACAACAGGTGGACGAACGTCAGCCATTGCCTTGACCAGTCAATGAAAATTTTACAAAAAAAGTTTTTTTTTCTTTCTCTAAAACGGAATGCTATGTAATCATTTGCGGTTCCAATCTTTCGTGGCGGGACCCAGTGGTTTAACGTTCGTATTAGTATTTGGAACCGTGCATTTTTTGCAAATTTGCATAATTTTATTGACTGTTTCCTATAACATTTTTTGTTAGTTGTAAAAGGAATAAGTCCTTTGTATTATTTATTTAATTTAGACATTCGTTCTAACAACGTGTTATCTCTGAATTGAAGATGATTTTGAATATAATAAGTACGGTATGACACGCTTACTTTTTTAATCTGTAATATATACTTTTTGTACAGTTTTTTTTTCAAATTCGAGCCGATAACGAAATAATGCTTTATAAAATTACCTTCAACCACTTTAACAATAAAGACTGCCAAAACAAAACATAATAAAATAGCAAAAATAAAAGATAACGAAGGAAATCAACGGGAAGAAACGAACAACGTTCGGACAAAGAAAACAACAACAATATAAAACATAATTCAAATTCAACAAAATGGAAAGTGTAATGTTGATAACAAGGAAAACAGTAACAATTGGGATGACCGATTAAAGGGACCCGTGAGATAGTAGTCGGAAGTCGACATTGGAAACGACCAAAAAGTGATTTCAGCTCAGAGCTCGTGCTTCAGAAGTGACTCGTACTGTTCGTTCATACTCAAGATCTCCCGACGCAAAGCAGCACGTTTGTTGGTCGTGCTGAATTGAGGGTACTCAGCCAAGAAGTCGAAGCAGGTAGTGGCTTTCTCCTATAAAGATTTACAATTAACTTTCAGTTTAAAACACAATTAATTCAAGGTTAACGAATTGCGAACAATTTTAAAGACTTTCGTCAAAAGAACCGTTCCAATTTTGATAACTTCAAGTACTATGATCATGGCCATGACAATAAAATATGTCCTCAGAAACAATTCTTACCATATTTGGAGGGTTCATGAAGAAGTTCTTGGCGTACTCGAGCAAGTATAATCCACAGTCGTACATGTTGGTCTGTTGTGGCAGTCTCTGTGGGTAGATGATCTTGAGTTTGTCTTCCGAAAACCTGTCGCTCAGATTGTCGCAGTAACCATGGTTGTAAATGTAAGCAAACTGTAAGAATTCACGAATATGACCACCGTACTTCTCGAGGTTCGGCTGTTCGTTGTATTGCGAGTCGAACATGATTATGCATGGTTTTGGTGCGATGACATTGCTCTTCTCCATGTGAGCTCTTTGGTCTTCGTCGAGCAGTAACTGTGGACAACATACGATGCACAACGACCTAAAAACATTTGCTAGATAATACTTTGTGCTCATTATATTACATATAAAAACACTATCACAGTTCGAACTCAAATTTCATAAAAACTCAATTTACAAGATCATTAAGGCCTTACCAATGGTTCATGTCGTTCATAGGGAACACCAAGAAGTCATTTTCGAAGATGTCAAGATTCTCAACAAATGGAGCCAACCTGGAGAAACGTCTCATCAACCTCTGAGCTGGAGCATCGTCCTTTGAGCTTCCTTCACGGAACAATTGCATCTGAAGGTAGTAGAAGAAGGTAGACGGGAAGGTGTGGATTTTGTACACATCTTCTGGCAGTTCGTTGAAGACCATGTGATTCAAACAGAAGTCCACGATGGTGTCGTTGACGAAGGCGTCGTCCATGAGGCAGTAGACATCCGATAGGAAGACCCTCATTGACATGAACGGGAATCGTATCCTCACGATCTCCTCTTCGGTGGAGCCAACCGACTGCAGAAGGGCAATGTCGGCTATCTCCGCGTCCGACTCGGGGTCGGTATCGTCGAAATCAGCCGTAGTGTATCCATCTTCTTCGCGTTCCGTATCCGTGTCACAACCGAAGAAACTGAGCTCGCTCTCGCTGAGGTCGCTCTCGTCGATGTCACACAACATGTCCAAACAGTTTTCGATCCCATCGTCGGTCATGTCCACGATGTCGACTTCATCTATGTAGACTCCGCCGTCGAGTTCGTTGAACATCTTCGGGCTGATGTCTCCCATCTCGTACACAACATCCTCATCGTCGTCGTGCTCGACTATCGTATCGTTGTCGTCGGACACGAAGAACGGTCGGTTTTGCTCGATGATAGCTTGTCGCGTTCGTTTCCTTTTGTTCTTCAAAAGCTGCTGACGGGCCATTCGATCCTCTTTAAGCGACATTTCGGTTTTCAGTCTATGTCTCATTTCCAAATAACGAGTCTCATTTGAATAGGTGGAGGTTTGTGGCCCCAGTCCAAGGCATTCCCGATCAGATTGAAGCATCTCGAAGTTGACAGCCCCGCGTTTTGCCTGCAATGAAAACGATTATTATATGATATATCAAATTATTAATTAGGTATTAATTATAAATGATTACGACTATGCAATTCCACACAATAAACAACATAAATTACGTCTTTAAACCAAAAGTGACCACATAACGTAGACCTACCTTATTGTAACCCAATATCGAGTAGGAAGAGCTTGACGAGTATCCTGATGACGATACCTCTTGATCAATTTCCATTCTTAATGCTCTCCTGATAAAACGTTAACATTACGCAAGGATTCATGGCCAAAAACTCGCAAGCAAATAACTGACGAACGAACGCGTAATGGTGCTAGTTGGAACGCATATACATAAAACCAGCAAGAAAATGTAGACGGCAAACAAAAAAGGAAATTCTCGAAAGGAAACCGACTACAGACACAGCTCGCCGTGCATAGTTCTGGCGGCCAGAGACGGCCAGTAGATTACATAGAGAAGACGAGGCTTTAGCCAACTCATTCTGCGAGGCTGTCAGAGAGAAGATGTGTAAAAAACCAGTGAAGGCCGGGCTGACCAGTTCAAAACGGCAGTTGCAAGCACCAGGGACAAATGACGACCGGCTCTTGACTTTGGTCAGATCACCGCATCGAGAGTGTTTCTAAACTTACAGAGATCTCAAAACTCATCTTGTTTTTAAAGGAGCGGCCCCACAGTTTCTCCACCTGATTCACAGAAAAACAAAATCACAACAGCGAATTAACTCCGATAGAAATCTTCAAGGTTAGAGTTGGAAGCGCCAGATTCTCTTTAATATCAACCAGAATGTAAAGGCCGCGAAGCTGACATAAAACCAACAAAAATCATCTCAAAACAAAAAGCCTTCAGAAAAGGAGGGTTGCCATTACTAGCGCAAATAAAAAATCAGAACGTCTAGACAGCGGACAACGAGGGACGGAGTTCAGCGGGCGCCGCGACTTGTGTAAAATCTCTAGTAAAAAATGAGGACTGGCGAATCTTTTTATGAAACAAACTAAAGTAGCTCAGCCTTCACCTCATGTTCACATTTAAACCTGTATTCAAGAGGCAACCCCTAAAATCCAAGATTGCCAAATCATCCCTGTATCAACATAAACAGCCAAAAAACAGAACCATCTAGCTATATATAGAATAATGTATATATAGAAGGATGGTATCAAAAGAGAAGCGGCCTACATGAACATGAAATAATCCGATGGAATCCAACCCAGTTAAAACCAAAACAAAACTATCGCTTAACGAAAAGAACCGCTGAGCTAACAAATCTATAACAAAACGAATAATATAAAGGTAACATGACCATAACAGGTAATACGATGGTATATGAGAAAATACGACCATAAAGAACAAGGTGGCATGATTGCATAAAAGGAATACGATGGCTAAAGAATGGTGAAGCTATGGCATAAGAGCAAAGGTAATATTACGGCATCAGAGAAAGATATGGGGATGGTAAAAGAGCGCAAGAGTGGTATAACAATCGGATACCCGCACAAAATGGATAATATGCTAGATTGCCATCAGATCGACGTCAATTAAGACTCTCTCGCTTATCACGCCCAATCATTTCGGGACTGCAGACTGTTGCCAAATGTCTGCTGATTGATAGACACGTCCCGCACCTTTTTCCTCTTCCGTCAGCGGTCTCTGACCGTGAGCCCACCAGTCTCGGTTTTTTACAAGAAGACGTCTGGGCCATGCGATCCCTGCCGAATCGTTTGACCTTGAAAAACGTTTTTTGTTTCATTTGCTTTAAAGCATAATGTCTGATAGTTTTAAGGGAAAAAGGGCGCCAAAACTACTACTACAATACAAATACTCGAAAAGTGAAAACACAAAACCAAAATAAAAGGGCATTCTGGCAAAACAGAAAAGACTGCGCGCAACGCGGTCGAGATTGAAAAAGAAAGGTCAACTTTAACCGTTCACGTCTGTTTGTTCAAAAAACTCCCTCTTTTCAAAACGAATGTCCTTGGGACATCAGGGGTAGTTAAGATGAGACAAGTGTAAACTCGCCCATACATCATCACTGTCATACGGTAATTGTACGCAACATGAACTATATCGCCAAATAATTTCTCATTTCAAAGCTGCGGCGATAGTTATCTTAACGTTCAGTTCGATGATAACAGAGTTTCGTTTTTATAATTGGGGAATACTCAAAGAGAATGAATTTTAAAAGTTAATCAAATAATGCGTCTTGAATGCTCAAAAAAGAATGACTCATAAACTGACGTTACTTTGCATTACAGTTTCAAAACGGATTAATATTGTAATATGTATACCTTGTCAAAACGTAACTTATAAAGTAGCCATCTAAACTTGAAACAAAAGTATAGCTGGCAGTCTGCGACCAAAAGTTATAAAAGAGAATTATTAAAATGCAAAACACATAAAACGCTTAACATTGTAGTTGTTATTGAATACAAACATTATTAAAAACATTTTGTAAATTGACCGTAATATTTTAGTTAAACTATCGTTATTTGTTTTTAGCACTCTAAACTGCACTTTAAGTTGATTAATGTTCTGCAAACTTCCGTATAGTTACTATATCAGATCTTATTTCATGAAAAACTAACTGATATTATACTTCTTTAAATTATTCTTTGCAAAGCTATAAAACTATTTAATGAAACAATTAATTGCAACGTTCCATATAAACCTATTTTGTAAACTAATGTTGAGACTTCCGCTTTCTGTTATGCAACATTAAACGATCGTGAACAATATAAAACAAGACTTTAGATGAAAAACAAACAAATTTCATGCTGAAGATAATCATTTTGTCCGTGTATAATAAAATTCGACACGATTCTGGTCTAAATAAACTCTCTTATCTTGAAACCAAAAGAAAATAAAATAAAAAATAATTTTAACATTTGCTGTTGACTTCGGCTTCGGAGCGAAAATATTTGGCGGGCAAACAAAGTTTGAAATCTTCTCCTCGAAAAAAAAATCGGAAGAAAATCTGAAAAAAGATTTTTTAACAATGACTTTTTTAGAGTGTTCTAAAAAACAAACTTGTAAAATCAAGACAACTCGAAATGTTTTATCGACCATTGACGACATGTTCAGTATTGGACTTATTAATTGTTTATATTCTGATATTATTTCTAAACTTAGAACTATAATTACCGAATGTTACCACATTTCGCAACCAGTCAGGGGTGAGTTTGATCAATTTGGGTTTATTTTTGTTTCAGGTCCGGTATTGTTGAAGGTAATGGGGACATGTAACGACAATGAACTTTTACTATCGATGATATCTGAACACATGAAGGGAGCACAGGCTGAGAATTTGATTTGCAATGGAAGCAGGAGTCCTTACTGTATTGTCATAGATTCTATTCGGATGGTTGTAAGTGCTATGTTGTAATTTGCATGTTAGTTTAGGGCAAAAGTGTTATTCCACTTATTTTCGTGACAAACGCGGTCAAATTCAAGTATACAATGGCTTTGCTGGACGGATTGATTAATTCGTGAGTGTTGGTAGTATTTTTTAATTTTGCTTTAGGCTTGTACCATGTGTTGTGATCGTATCTTGCAATGACAGTCACTCAATTCATCTTCCTGCTCTTATGGAGCAATCTATTATCACAGAGCACTTTACTATGAAGAATCCTGTGCTAGTATTGAAAGACGTGACCTACAGGTTGTTTTGCTTTCTGCCAGAGATGACTAATCTTTTTGTAGGGGGTGAACTTATGTTATACCTTTACAATCGGTTTGTGGAGTCAATACAGTCTTTCATGGATATGAATATTATGGTGAATATGGCAATGGCTGATCATTTGTGTCGGCATGAACGTCGTAAAGTCCCTAAAGTGTCATTCCAAGTCTTCATAGCTGTTTACAAAGTATTTTCTAAATTCTTAAGGACAGCCAGTATTCTATCGCCTTATGACATTAGAACTTCAAGTGGTGTTGATCTGGGATATTATGTTGAGATGCAGCAGGAAGATGGTTATGTGGACAAGATCTGTGCTAGGTAAGGTCATTTTTTTTATGATTGTTTTATTTTTTAGGATAAAAAGTCAATCCTTAATGAAGGGAAAGGAAGACTGGCTTCGATTATTTGAATATGCAGATGAAGTTATTAAAGAAATCGAACCAGACAAAGTTTTCAATGAACTCAAAAAAAGCTTGAAGACTCTAAAGGGTGTCGTTGAGAAGACTGAAGTGGTATCAACTATTGAATTAATGAGTAAGTTTAATTTTTAATATCTTGGTTTATTGTTACGTATTGTTTATATTTATGTACGTTTATATAATTACTGACTCTTAAAGTTTTTTTTTAATTTATAGAACAGAACATGAACAAAAGTCCATCAAGAAGGAAACCAATCAAGGATCAACACCAATTCCTTGGAGTAATTGAAGAAATGCACAAGTTTTTCGACCTTCACCTCAACCATCTTCCCAAAGATGTATTTGTACAGTTACCCCGTAATCTGACACGAAAAGACATATCAGATGTACCCAAAACAGCCATTGTCAAAGAACTTATCGAATATGGATGTTTATAACTTTGTATATAAGAATATTTAAATAAATTTGCATTGGTCTCGTAACCTGTCTGATATTGGTATGAGTAGTATGTCTGGTTACTTGTGAATCATAAGTTATTTATGTTTAGAATAATTAACATAGTGTTATACCCTTATTTTCGATTGATAGTCGACCGTAGAATGGTGTTCCTTCTCTTTTCGTTGGCATTGTCCCTCTGAATGGTCATTCTGGAGCCACGTAGCGTAGCGATTGAAGGCTTGCTCTTGTTCAAAGTGCTCTGTTCTTCTCTCAGTAGAGCTTCGTATCTCCTACGGAACACAGCATCCAAGGTTTCTGTGTTCTTGAGTTGTTTTCTGGGAGATCTGAGGCCTGTGACGACCTGGCTTCGACTGATCGGCTTCTCTTCTACTGTAGGCTCGTCTTCAGCGTCAATGTCTGGAGACTTGTAGGCTTGTAGTCCCCTGACCATTTCTACTATCTCTTCCACTTCCATCTCTTCAACTGTTTCTATGTGCACCTTCTTTTTGGAGCAGTTCAGGTCGGTTGATGCTATGATGTGCTCTAAAGTTCCGAACCTGTGAAGCAACATAGCGAAGAACTGAAAATATATATTTCGTTACACACAGTTAATTATACGTCATCTTTACCTGAATCACGAGAATCGACATATAAAAGACGAGGAATACTAGACCAATTGGTTCCAGCTGAAGCCGGCTGACTACCCAGATGGCCTCTTTCTTGTCAGACCCGCAAGGAATGATAGTGTGATTAAACTTGGGCCCTAATGGCCATTCGATGTGAATACAGTCCTTCTGCATTTGCAGCACTAGTACCACGATGATGAACACGACATTGACCATGAAGAAGGAAGCACAGCTTTTGTTCCTCAACTCTATCAGACCAAGGCGGATTCGCTCTTGGGCCTTTGGATCCATCGATAAAGGCTGAAGGTACTTGTCGATCATCTCTTTCCAGAATTGGTCTTCATCTGACCTGAGAATGTCACCTTCAGCTCTGAAACGCAATAAGTGATCATTATATAGTTATTTGCTGGTTAATATTTATATTAATGTTATTTTAGAGGATTCGGCAATAGACTTACTTCTTGAGGCTCTTGCTCTTCATCCAGACCTCGCTCTTGGTATTCTTCCACTTTCGGTTCCTCTTCGCTGCTTGACTTTGTCGTTTCATGTCTATTTCATCATCAAGTTCGTTCTGAAAACAAACTTTTTAAAACGTTTAGGCATGATAACTTTCTAGTTGTGAAATTGTCTCTCTTACATCTTCGTCATCGTCCACAGTATCCCCAGTATCCTGGACTGATGTAGAAGCAGAAGTCGGTTTCCTATCCAGACGATCCATCTTCTTGTTGACCTGGTTCACCATCTCGCTGATCTTCCAGATTTGAGGTGAGTTTTCGATTGGATCGGGCTTCAAACAACACATCACCCTACACACATTACCACACCCGACCGAGATCTCCCCAGAAGCCTCGCCCGGGATGCCAGACTCCATTATATCCAGCCGGTGGCCTCGTTTCCTCAGATTCTCCTCTTCCTTCTTCTTCAGAGGATCTTCCCGAGTACCCCAAGTTACGATGTGCAGGTTACACAACGAGTATATGGGGAGTAACATATACATGCAAGGAATGGCCAAGAAGTACAGTATGAACGGCAACATACAACCCACTTCCATGGGATGTAAGATCGCTGACACTGTGAAACTGGTCATTACGGTAAACAGGAAGATGGAGTGCGGGGAAAGGATACCATCCTTCTGAATCTGAAGCGTCGTACCCACGATGACGGCTGTCATCAACATGGCGAAGAAGGCTGAGATCACTTCTGCTGTTATTATCTAAAAGGGCGGTTACGAGCAGTTTAAAACAATAACGATGGTAATCTACATGCCCTAAAGTATGTTAAAGCTTACTTGGTAGTTAGGAGGACTCATCAAACATACTACGCAGAACAGAACCACGGGTACGGTAACCATGAGAAGCGAAATGGCTATGTCAAGGTTGAAACTGATGGAAACAGCACCAACCACCATAAGGAAGATGGTACCGGGTCCTAGAATGGATGATACCAACATGATCAACTGGTAGAAGATGTACCTAAATTACCATGACCATTAATATTACATAGTATTTCAATCAATGTTTAAAGAATAGTATACCGTGATGGTGTCATCTTACCATATAGTTATACTCTCGTTAACATTGACGACGTTCTTGTAATCGGAAAGTAAGTCGATGATATTGGCCATGGTTGATGAAATCCACCGTCGTCGTTGGTTGAAGAACTCTGAGAATTCTTCTGGAGCAAATGTTAAGGCATCTGAAGCGGCACAATATTCTACTCTGTAGCCACGCTGTAACAACAGCGTACACAGCCATCTATCTTCTCCTTGGTCATACTGGACGTAATGTAATGGTTCTTCTGCCTAAAACATGATTGTGTGTACTGCCACTTGTATATATTATGTTTAAAAGTAGTGTTATATTGTGATATGATATTCTTACCTTGGTGGCGTACTTCCTGGTGACATCGTCATCCATCAAAGCTTTGGCTCTGAACAGCGAGAAACAGCCAGGAGAACATAACACACACCCGATCATGTGTTCCGTCGCCTTCTGAAGCCAGTGCCCTACAGCATACTCGAACTTCTGATACCAAATGAGAGGTCCAGATCCACGGGGGTGGATACGGCCGCACGCTGCGCCCAGTTTTCTGTTCTTCTTCATCAGATCCACCAACATGTTCACACACTTAGGCTTGAAGTCAACATCACCGTCCAACGTGAGCACGAACGTGTTCTCGGAAATGACGTCCCTCCTCTGAGGATCGTCAACCTTGGCCAACAACTGGAAGGCCAACAGGTAGTACAAGTACATGACCTGGGACCACCTCTTCCTGTGTCGTATCTTGTCCTTGTCTTTCAAGTGGACGAACAGCCTGTTACAGCCAGGTAGCGTGTAGACTAGCCTTCCGCCGTATGGTGTAGACGCCTTTATGGGTGGCGCCAGCTTCACTTCCATCTGATGGACGGCCGAAGCGGCCTCGCCTACTCGACTGATGAACTGCTCCACGTACTTGTTGATGACCGGCTCTCCGTAGTCGTTCATCTCGAAGGCATCGTCGATCAGGACGTGGGCTTCGAACTCGTAGTAATCCGGATCCACGACCTTGATGTACTTCTGGGCGTTCTTCCGAGCAGCTTGGTCTTCGTCCATCCTGAACAATGACTTCAACATACAGGTCATCTCTTGGCCTGTCTCGTGCCACAAAGTGGCACAGGCGTAGATCTTGGTGATGCCGTCGGCTGAGCTGGCGGTGTTTCTGAAAGATTCAGAAGGTTGCGCATGGTTTTACTACTTAATGTATGGTATACATTGATGGTTCCTAACATATGTTATAGTGTTATTGTTATCAGTACTCACCGTATCAGTCCCGACTCCATTTTGCTCGAGGCCATAGAACAGATGGACGGAGGGGTCTTGGATACACCATTCGAGATGGCCTGGTACGTCTGGTTCTCTTCCGAATCCAGGTCCAGACAGTCTGCTTTGATCTTGGTCTCTTCATCTCGACGGCGGTTGAAGGCCAGCGACTGATCCAGAAAGAAGTTGTTGTAATAGGACAGAACAAATAGTCTATAAACAACAACATGGTGAGTATGAATAGGCCAATAAGTAGATAGACAACAAAATGCGTCCGTTCTTGACCTACCTCTCACTTGTCGCCAACCGTTCTTGTTTTGGGGCCCAGAGATGAATACAGACCCAGACCTGGGTTACCAGCCAGCCTAGCCAGATGTAAGTTTGAGGTCGAGACCAGAACTCATAGGACCACACAGAAGCATCTGTAGCACCACATTGCCAGAATAGTTCCTTCGAGACTACATTACTCATGTAACACGCATCTACAGCACGTCGCTCGCAAGAATCTGACAGAAGAGTTACTGTAACAGGAACGGCAAGGGAGAGGGGAAGAGCAAAGCCTACTCGTTGAATCAACACCTGAAAAAAAACATTTAGATTAATACCTACAATAAAATTGAAAATAGATAGAAACAAGTGTCATCTTATACCACAGTAGAAATATTTATACAATGACAGTAATAATACTATTCATGGTTATAAAAATAAAATAAAGACAACAAAAACTTACTTTACACGCAAATTTGCTACTATGGTATCCCAGGATAACAGCTCCAACGTGAATCAAAGCTATCCATAGAGCGTCGAAGGGAGTTGTGAACTGATTCAATTCAACGTAATCGTCGTATATCTACAAAATTACAGTATGTAAAGATAGTCAACCATAATACAGTTGAATTTACATGTATAATTCGAAGTTCACTTCAATAAATGTCAAAATATGACATACTATGACTTACATTGTAGGCAGAGATGACTTCCTCTTCCTCTGGCGTCTCTCTCTTTCGCCTGTTCTTTTTCTCTTCTATGACTTCTATCTTCTCATCGTCCCCCGTGCTGTTCTTGCTCCTGATGCTGTGTTCGGCCTTCTCGTACTCTCCAGCATCAATCGTGTCATCAGAATCCCAATTCTTCTTCTGTTTCTCTTTTACTTCATCGTTCACATCTTCCTCTTGTTCTTTGTTCTTCGGGGTTTCGTAGGCGGCTGAAAAGTGTCACTTTGGATGTAAATTGATTTTATGACTACTGATTTACCATAAATCTACAAACAAAGTAAGTTCACGTACCAGGCTGTTCGTACTCGTGCATTCTCTGTAGGAATGCACTGATCTGGGTCTGGTTCATGTCTTCGGCCGTGATCGTGATCAGTTTTTCTCCAAACGGATCCTTCTGAAGCAGATCCGAGGCCGGTATCGTGGGTGTCAAGAAGAAGAAGATACAGAAGATGTAAATACAACACTTCCACAAAGATACCAACACATAGGTCTTGGCCTTGGACTGGGCAAGGCCGACACTGAAGTTGGCCAAGGATCTGATTGGAGGGAGAGACGACTTGGGAGATACATAGTTCTGCCACCATGAACAAGATATGAAGATCACACACACAATGATTGATATACAGTGAGATCGTATCTCTGCTACGGCTGCCTGAATTACATATATTTTACAATTATTTTAATAGTAAAGGTGGTATGATAAAAATATATAATAGTGTAATTACTAGATTAAGGTGTATATAACTAACATGAAGAATCATAGTTGTGTGAGTAAACATGCTATTATTAACACACTATGAAGACTTACAGGCCACAGCCAAAAGATACTGCTTTGAGCACTAATAGCCAGCACGTCGAATACTATTAACACAATGTACCATTTGTCAAAGCGTCGGCTTAGTAGACATAGTACAGCTGGCACCATGGCTGCTGCATTACTTAACATTGCAGCTACAATAACATGGTTTACCAATCATTTTTAAATTGAATCCGATTTTAAAAGTTGAAATTGCTTCAAAAAGGCTTTTTTATTTTTATCTTTGGCATTATGTTGCAAGTAAACTTTTCGTTTGGGGAACGACTGAAAACTGACAAAATAGATCTTACCCAAGTGAATTGGCTCTATTTTACCGAGTTTTTGTATTTTTTGATTAGTTTATGGCTAAATGTATATTAACTTACCAGTGTCAGCAGTAATGTGAGGAAATATGCCAAAAGCCAGAGTGCCAATCCCAAAAGCATTCAGACTCTCTATGAACAGTACCTAAAACAATACTTATTAAAATTTTGAAAATTATACTAATTATTTGAATCAATGAAATTAAAAACAATTTTGGTAAATTACAGTAAGACTTACAGTGAAAAACTGAACCAACGTCGGTCTTTTGACATCTCGAAACATTGTTCGGAAGCATCGTACAAAGCATAGTAGGTCTGGAGCAGCTACGGCCAACAACGTGGCCCAGACCCACTTTACAGCCAGCTGGTTGGTCACAAAAACTTTGTTTACCGAGGCTTCTGCAACATTGCAATTTGTTTGTTTACTTTGAGAAGATCGCGTATATCTCGGACCAGGAAATAATACATGACTGTGCATATATAGTAAGGTAATACAGGTATGGTACTACTATATTGACAGAAATAGTGCCACTTTTAGTCAATTGATCATGTATAAATTAATGTATTTTATTAAAAAAGATAAGTGACATACCTGGTATTTTATCTGTACAAATCGAAATGTTCTTGCCACCATTCCCAATTCCAGCTGTCATTAACAAAAATGTGGTCTTGGCAGTTACAATACTCAACAAGGTGGTGATGAACAACAAAAAGTAGGTGGACACCTTCAGGATCTGCAGACTCGACTCGTATAGGAAACCTAAACTTCAATTTTAATTTAAAATGATGTTTAGATCTAAAGTTATGACATTGATAACATACCATTGCCATTCCGATCCGGCTTCGGGGGACTCAATTTGAAAATGTCCCAATTGGGGGAATCGACCGCATTTCTGAATTTTAATAACTACAGTAAGTATGTCAAGGTTTGCTCTTTCATCAGAAAGCCTAAGGCATCTAATTATGAAAAAAATGTCAGACCTTGCCAAACCATTATACAGTAACCCAAACTACAGTAAGAATGCCGAAACCTACGATTGGCTTTCGTCGCCGTTGCTGGCGGACGTGAGTCGACCTTCTGGAACCCGAATCGTTTCCATTAACAGTGCATGCTTAAAATAACTGTCAAAACAAGACAAATGACCTGCGGTCAGATTAGCGGTCCCTAAAGCCGAGAAACCGCGCGGATCGTTCCCGTTCGAAAGCATCTTTACTTTGCGGTTCCTGATGACCGTCGCGATTCATTTGGTCCAAGACACAGTCGCTCTTCAAACATATTCGATTTCACAGACATTCGATGCCTTGAACACATAGTGTTGTTACTGTTGCAGTAGCCCCGATCAGTTGAACTTGGTCACTCAGGTCACATTGGGTCATTTGAGTTCAATATAAAGCCAGTTTAACAAAAATGATAACAAAAACATGACCTTCAATGAATGGACAACGATAAAGTGAACCATGGCACTGTCTTCTCTGAAACTTGTTTACTTCCAGTGTGATTCATCCACTACAATGTAATTTACACCATGTCTTATTTTAATATGTCTGATCGTGTTTTGATATTAAAAACTATTCTTAATTAAGAAATAACGCGATCAAAACAAGATCAGCCGCGACATAACGAAGTACATTGTCTCAGAGATCACTAAAAGTTCAAAAATCAGTTTGCCGCCAGCAGGGGTCGAACCTGCGACCTTGGGCTTATTAGACACACGCTCTAACCGACTGAGCTATGGCGGCACGTTATAATCAGTCAGAGAAGACTATCCAAAACAAAAGCGAAGAGAGAACATTACGATAGAGAGGGCTTATTAGATCACTTTAAACTGTTGTTCGCTTTAAAACGTACTAAACGCAAAATAAAAAAGTGAAGAAGACATGACAATCACAAAGAACTCATCGTTAACTTGTAAGACGCTAAAAAGGTCGCGCGAGTTGATGGACAAAACGAGATCGTTCCAGATCCAAAGTTATTTTTGATAATTACTTTCTGCTCATTAATGATCACTGTTTGCAGTAATGACGCCGCTTTTCCTGCTCTGGCTCTTGCTTTTGTCGGTCCATGCTAATCAACAAGGCCTGGAGCAGATCTCCCAGCTCTGGAACAACAGCATCGACCTTACAGTAGATCCGTGTGAAGACCTGTTCGAGTTTACGTGTGGAAATTGGGTCCGGAACAATCCTATACCTAAAGATAGGGCCTATATCGACAAGTACAGCCAGTTGGGGGATGTGGTCAACCGGCAGACTAAAAGTAAACTTCTAATGGTTATCACTATTTTTATAGATTATATTGTAAAAGTAGTATAGTAAAAGTCATTTTAAAATGAGTTTGTTGAGACTTACAATGTTTTCAGAATTGTATGACTCTGATAAGGTGGATAATTCGACCGCCATCTCAAAGCTTCGTATGTTCTACACATCGTGCATGAATAATACTGGCAAAAACACGGAGAAGACTTCTGAACTGCTTGGGTTCATAAATGTAAGATATCACTGCAACATAATTTTTTAAAATTATCTTTCATAGTGTATTAAAAATTTGCAGAAAATAGGAGTTTGGCCAGTAATTCACAATGACGGCCAATTTAATGACACAGACTTTGATCTGACTGGCTACTTGGCTCGTATGGCCAGCATCAGAGCTATGGACGTGTTCTTCGCCGCCTACGGTAACGTGGACTTGAACAATGTCAGCAGAACGTTGATCCACTTCGAGAAAGGGAGCCTGGGCATGGCTATTCCTCAGTTCTATCTGGAGCCGAAGCGATTCAGAAGACAGGTCTCAGCGTACGAACAGTACATGCGGACGGTGATTAATCTGATTCTGAAGGATACTGGAATGCAGATCTCTCGTTCTCAGATCAACAATGACGTCAGGGACATTATCTACTTCGAGAAGCAGTTCGCTCACGTCACTTTGGAGAGCTTGAACACCAACCACAACTTCTCGTCCACGATGAAGTCACGGAAGCTATCTGACATGGACAGATTGATGCCAGTGGTAAGTGTACATTATAGATACCGTTACAAGTCAAAAACTTACAGTACCTTTAAATTAAAAACCAATTCCAATTAGCAGCAATATTTCAGATCGACTGGAAGAGATACTTCAACACCATTATGCCAAAAGAAGTCAACGAATACATCAACAGTGATCCTGATGTCATAATCGCCAACCCACGGTTCTTCGTAGCTCTGAATCATCTACTAGAGAAAACCCCGTCAAGAATCTTGGCCAACGTAATGTTATGGAGATTCGCTGATGCTTGGTGGCTACAGTTGGACCAGCGTTTCGAAGAAGTACGACATGTAAGTTAAACACTATGATACTAATGTAGAATGGTAGGATTACATCAGAAGAGTCATCGGAACCGTAGCGAAGTCTCCCAGATGGAAAGAGTGTAGCGCAGTGTCAGCCATGGCCTTAGCGTACGCTTCTGATGCTCTGTATCTGAAGGAGCACTTCGAAGCCAAAGACAGGGAAATGGTACTGGATCTGTTTGAAGAGTTGAAGACAGAATTCATAGAATTGTTGAAGTCTAGTGATTGGATGGACATTGAGACAAGAGAATATGCCATTGAAAAAGTAAGTCCTCAGTACAAGGGCTATTATAATGCCACAATAATAAGGTAAATGATTAATAATTGTATAGCATGTTCATCATATCTTTATATAAAACTTCAGGCCCGCGACATGATAGTTCTTGTGGGTGCCCAGAAGATCGTGTACAATATCACTGCTATCGACGACTTCTATAAAGAGGTAAGTTATAACAACCCATTATGAAAAACATTCCTATTTACAGTTAAACTTCACCGAAGAAGACACATACGGTACAATCGTGCGCAAACATTCGTTGTGGAAACAGAAGCGAGCAGCTCGAGACCTTCTGAAGCCGGTCGATCGTTACCGATTGCCAATGAGTGCCACTACAGTCAATGCTGCTTATACTTTTGTGAAAAACGCATTGAGTACGTACTATAACATAAGCGTGGTCATTATAATGATAAAATTTTAAAAATAATACAATATTTTAGCCGTACCAAGTGCAATTCTGCAACCTCCATTCTTTGGCAGCAAATTCCCAAAAGCTACGAATTACGGAGCCATTGGATCTATTATTAGCCACGAAATTGTCCATGGCTTTGACATGCAAGGTAAGCTACAATTATCATTACTTATTCTTTTAGGTCGTCAATTCGACAAAGTCGGTAATCGCAAAAACTGGTGGAACAACGAAACGGAGTCAGAGTTCCTCAACAGAACAGAGTGTATGATAAAACAATATGCATCTCACAAGGTTGAAGGTACAGATATGCACATAGATGGATTCGGAACACAAGGAGAGAACATTGCGGACAATGGTGGCATCAAACAAGCCTTCAGAGCCTACAAAAAGTATTTGCAAAAAGAAGGAGAAGAGCCAAGAGTGCCTGGCTTCGAACAGTTTGATAACAAACAAATGTTCTTCATCAGCTATGCTATGGTAAGATCCTTCAGCTAACTTTTGACTCTTACAATCATAAAACGTACTATAACACATACCTTACAACTACAGAGTTATTGTGGCCATGCCAAGCCAGAAGAAGCTACACGCCAAGTCTTTTCTGACAGCCACGCACCATCCAAATACCGAATAAACATAGTAGCGTCAAATCAACCAGAGTTCGCAGAAGCATTCAAGTGCTCAGAAACCGCACAAATGAATCCAAAACAACGCTGCTACGTGTGGTAATAAATAATAATACTGTAAATACATATCGTGTACATACTGATCGTTGATAGAATAAACAGTTTATATAAAACAAACAACAACTGTCAACAACGCTTATTTCTTGGATTCGGTGGCCTTGAGGATCTTGGAAGCAATCTTCTGTTCGGCTGAAAGGAAGGACCGGATGATACGTTGACGTACGGCTCCAGCTGACAAAACTCCTCCGTATGGTCGAGAGACAGTCTTTTGGCGGCGAGTCAAGTTGGTCAACTTTCGTGGTCTGACAGCCTTGATCTAAAAAGAAATGGCTTTAAAATCATAATAAAAACATATAATCCCAATCAAAAGTAACTATATTTAAACGAAAAAAAAATTCAGTGTATGTTGTTTTTGAAAATTACAAAATTAAAAAAAGGATAGAAAGTTTACAGATAAAAATTATATTACACTACTCAAGCTAATCAAAAAACATATGCCTTTGTTTCTTCAAATATCAAAGATTATCCAAACAAAAAAGAAATATTAAACCGGAAAGACAGGCTTGTACATAGGTTTAAAAGCAGCATATTATAACCTAAAAAACATCAAAATCTCTAAAATACTACCCTCAAAATCAATTTCTTCCACCTTCAGTCCTGTCTAAAATCAAGAAAAAAAACATAAAGACTTACTCCGTGAAGTTTAACCTTAGTGTCACCACAGACTGGAGTAGATCCTTGCTTCTTGCGGTATTGGAAGACATTCCTTCCTCCAGGGGTCTTGACAACCTTGGTCTTGTTGGACTTGGTGTTGTAAGCGTGACGGCGACGGTAAGTCAAACGTTCGGCCATTTTTTACCTAAACAACAACAATATACAATGAATTTGTAAAAAGTACTACAAGAAAAACTTGAGTAAACCGAAAAAATTGTAAAAATATCCGTGAGCCTAAAAGAGAATTTCCCGAAGTGTGTGGCGTTACGTTCCTGCCGCGTTTGTTTTCGTGTCGGGACTCACGTGGTGTTCTGTGTATGTGCAAATTGAACTAACAGGATATTATATATTGTGGTTCGTGTGATGCAAATTTAAATATCAATTGTTGAAAAGCAAAATTCATTATAAAACTAATTGATTTAATATATTCTTTGATCTTTTTAAAGTTGTTAGAGTATGACGAGGATACGGCCGCTACTGTGCATGTACTGTAAATACATATAATCATGTTTCTTGTAAACCAATTCTACATTCTTAATAATAAAGCTTATCAAAAGCAGTTGAATCTATTAAAATTCGTGAGTTAATTATCATTAATTATCCGGTTACTGTAAGCTTGGAAATCGTATCGCAAAGTCGTCGATGACGATCAACTTGGTGAAGTTTGAACGGCGAAGAGAAATGATTGATTACATTTGCATAATCACATCTTCGCCCGGATTCAACCTCGAGCTGTTACTCGAAAGCGGATTAGGAAACTTTAAAGGAACGCCGAAATGACAGTCCTTTTAGGGGGGGGAGGGAGGGGGTTTTATATAGCTACCTATCCTTTTAATTTTATCCATTCCATCTTCGGTCGGCGCACACGAACACGGCCTTGACGGCAATTCAAGACGTCGTAACTGGGATCTATATCCACATTATAAAGTCTTCTAGCTAGTGTTATATCGCTGTTTGACATGACCGACTGGCCGTTAGCTATAGCCGAGAGTTTTCACTCGTTCATAACCGACCCCAATGTGTCAGACCCCTTAACACTACTCAACCAGTTGAAAGTCAAGGTTTGTCATTGTAGTACCTAATTTGTTTGGATGTTTTATTTTAATTTTCAATGTCATTTACATTGTTTTAGTCGTCTTTACTGTCCACAGACTTGTTGGACCTGTACTTTCCTATGCAACCGACGTTGATGACCGTCTTGATAATCTACTTCATCCTTTTCGTTTTTCTCACAATAGCAGTTTTTGGTACCGCGTTTTATGTCATTTCAAAACGCACAAAAGATCGATTATATGATGTGACAGTAAGATTCCTTTACTTATTTTTAATATTTGTTTAAATTGGAATTACTTTATAAGTATTGTCTTATCTTATATGCTGGTTATCTAATTAGTTATTTTAAGAAGAAGTACGCCAGCGAATCTCAAGTCAGCTCCAATGTGATAGTATTAGGAGTATCATGGGTCGTTTTGTTGATCACCACCGTATATGTGGTCGCATTCACGGCTTCCATGGCCAACAACTACATGAACTCAGGAGAATTGGCCGTTTTCAAAGAAAACAACGTAAGTTACTTCAAAAGAAACAATCACCTAAACTTATACATCCTTTGACTGATAAAATATTGTTTTAATCAATTGTATTAACTGTAGACCACGACGAGCGACAAATTTGTTGAAATCTCATTGAACTCCATCTCAATCATCAACCGCAAACTGCGTCAGCTCAACAAGTTTGGAGAGACCGACATCCTGAACAAGTACAACAACTTGAGAGAGATGGGCTACGAGTACAAAGTGATGGAACCCCCTCTCGGCTTCTTCTTGCAAACAATTGTTATTGGAGCGATTGCCTTCTGTTCTCCGTTGTTTCTGATCTTGACCATGATCTTGATGATTGTGTGGGCGAAAGACATCTTCAGAACTACATCTCAGTCGTCTTCCAACATCATGTGGTTCAAACGAGCTTCTAAAGTAATCTCGGTAGCTCTTACCTTATTCGCCTTGTTCTCTATCTTCTTCTCCATCGTGTTGATGGTTTACAGTCAGGTCCACAGAATTATCTGCCCGTACGCCCAGCTTCAAGTAAGTCGGACACCAATGCCTAACGTTATGATAATAGCTTGCTCTAAATAAGCTGTATAGTATATTCTTATTTATATTATTTAATATTTTTAGCTCCAAAACGCTGATATCGAAGAGTACGTTAACAGCAACTTCGCCTTCTTTGATCCACAGAATCTGATGTACTTCTTGAACGACCTGGCCTCGGAAAGAGCGGAGATTAACGACTCCAACTGTAAAACATTCATCAGACCAATGGAGGTATGATCTTGCTAAAAAATTCTGGTTTCTTTATTAAAAAATGACAAAACGCCAGATTGTTTAGAGTCAAGTCTGCCTCTCTTCTTTTGAAAGAGGCTTGACCATCCTTGAAATGTGATAACAAATGCAGATTTTATAATGCGCATGCACCAAATGCAACCATTAATAATTGTTAAAATTATATTTCATATATAGGTCGTTTTAATAAAAACATCTTTGTAGGGATTATGGTTCTGTTCTGGTGTAATTGGGTTTGTCTCCGTACTAATGGGAGTAATGTTGTGGAAGATGTTCAATCAGCTTGGCCAAGGGCGGCCGAAGATCCACATGTCGCAGAAAGAAACGTTTGGAACGTTGACTAAGAAGCCGTTAACCTCAGTCTTCTCCCCCATGGCTACCTTTAGATAATGCGATCTGATTCAAAGACAATATCTATGTGATAAACAGTTTTGTGTAAAGTTTAATAAATTAAAAACTAATAGAAAGTAAATCCAAAGTTACATGATTTTATGAAAAATAGCCTCAGGCTTATGTTAAGTGGTTTTTTAAACTGAGAACAGGAGAAAGATCTTGTCTTTGAGTTGCGTCCGATGAGTTTACTCGTCATTTCTAAGATTTTTACATTCTTTTCAATATTATCAACTGTCGTGTCACACAAAGATGTATGTTTTCTATTAAGTTTTTGCAGCTTTGTCACAAAATTTTGATCTTTGCTACAGCCTTGCATTTTTAGACATTAACGTGCCAAGACTTGTATAAAACTCGGAACATTTCAAGGTATGTTGTGCTTAACTGCCTATATTTTAACTGTCTTAGAATATAATAGTGTTATTTTTTATAAATAAATGAATACTCATGCACTAAATTGCTAATAAAATAAAAAAAACTTATTTTAAGCGCAATATACGAGATAAAGACACGATCTGGGCCGAAGTGGGCGTACTGTGACTCTGATCAGCGTGGCGGTGGCTGGACGATTATTCAGCAACGAAATGGCATGACCGGAGAGCCTTTTTGGAACAGGACCTGGGATGAGTTCAAACATGGCTTTGGAGCTGTCCATCCGTTAGGAGAATACTGGCTGGGAAACGATATTCTACATGACATTACAACTAGAGGACAGAAGCCCGCGCTGCTCAGAATAGAAATATTTGGAGACCGAACTCCTGGCAGTGACTGGAATGACGTTTACCTGGTTGCAGAATATGACATAAAAGTAAGTTGATTCTTTAGCAATTTTTAAAAGCTACTTTAATTAGAAGGAGGTTAGTGTTAAGCATGACTTTAGGTTGACAACGAAACCATGAACTACCAATTGGACATAACTGCCAAGCGCCCTAAAAAGGAGTCAAATATTACGGTACGTTTAATACTGTAATGAAAGTTTAACTTAAACATTTAGGTTGATCATGAATATTTTGTGGGAAATGCCAGTTTTGGATGGTATGACATAACGACGAGTAAGAAAGCTCCGTTCTCCACAATTGATCGGATTAATGACCCATTACCTAAATGTATTACCAAGTTCCATTTTGGGTAAGCTTTAATCTTACCATTATCTATATGAGAATTCATTGCAGCAAGACTACTATCTTAGACATTATATTGTACTCGTCTGATTATTTTTAGGGGCTGGTGGAGTCAAAACTGTGCCACCGTATCGTTGAACGGGGAATATGAGCCAGAACAGTTTGGTGGTGGATATGGCATGAGTTGGCTTTACAGTGGCAAACGTTTCATACATCCAAGAATGACACGGATGATGATTCGACAACTGTGGGACGACTTTGACATCAATAACGACATTTAATGTAAGGAATGATTTATTCAGTTATCCGTAAGAATATTTACATTGGCAATTCTAGTAAAAACAATAACATACCGGTATGTCGACTTGCTTTTTAAATAATGTTAAAGTAGTTATCACAATCAAAACTTAACTTAATGGTGTAAGAAGTAAAAGGTATCAAACTTCGAACAACAGCACTAGTCATCGTACTGTGCGTCTCCAGCATCGTCCATGTCTGGATCCAGAGTCGACGCCAATGCCATCATAGATGGCTTCTTCCGTCGCCTTCTGCGTGCTTTGTTATCTGCGACAGCAGTTGTAGTTACGGTCACTGTAGCAGGCGCGAATCCTGGAGGATGTCTTATTGATGGAGCTGGTACACTAGATTGTACAGTTTTGTGTAGTATCGTGCGCTTGGGGGATCCTTGAATACAGAATTCATCCAGAAGTTGTTCTTGTAGTACTCGACCACAAAAAGATCGAGATTCCAGTGGATAGTAGGATACGAATGCACTCTCATCTGCACATAACGCCATCACTTTGAACACGTGGATCAGCAGCTAAAAAACAGAAAATGAGTAGTTTAAAGATATTACAATACACAATAATATAACAATTCCACCGAATAAGTCTATAGTTTTCAGACCATTAAACTGCTTACATAAGGAAACCGGCTGGTGAAGTATCGCATGTACTCATCTGGAATGGACCCGTATTCTTGTCGCACTTCGATCGGCAACTCTTGGTAGTGATTCTTCTTGTTTCTGATCGCTCGTAGCAAGTCTTTAACCGAATGTCCTTTGTATGAGCGGTGGTTTCGAAGATCTAAAGCAATTCCGATTAGATACAAAGCCAATTTTATTTAAATTTTTTGGGTATAAACTGACCTTGTTGAACAGAAAACGACAATTTGGCGTTCCAGTTACTGGACACTACCCTGTAACTGTTCATCTCCAGACATCGGACGATTTCAGAAGTTTCATCTTCTTTCTCGATTCTGTCGCTCACATCCTGGAAACAAAGTTTTGTTAAACTCTTTTTCTAACAGTAATTTACAGTACGACAGTAAAAAAAAAAGAAAACCGACCGAAAAGAACCTTAATTGTCGTTCATTCGACCAGAATATCGGATGACACAGAACGGCGTGAGACGTCGGTCGTTGCTTTGGCTCCATTTCGACCATTTTTTCGATGGCATTCATGGCTACATAGTCCTCCTTCTGTACCAAGTGTTCCAGATTGAACTTTCCACTGTAGATGTTAACGTGTCTGACGTCATTTCTCTCTCCAAACGGATGTTTTCCCTCTGATAAAACGTAGTAGAATATACATCCCAACGAGAAGACATCCACCGAATAAGTCTAAAGTAAAAATAATTTACAAATTACATTATACAACAAAGTTTAACCATAAAAAGGTAAATCTAGACACCTACCACACTCGGACTGGCATTGTTGATAGCTTCAGGAGCAATCCATCCTTCTGTTCCGACCAACCCGGAGACTTTTGATATAGAAGCGTGCCCCAACTTGACCTGTTTGCACAATCCAAAGTCGGATATCTTCACTCTTACATGTCCTTTAACATTTAGCGTTGACAATAAAATATTCTGAGGCTTTAAGTCCCTATGAACGATAGAGATTGAGTGCAAATGAGATACGCCTTCAGTAGCTTGCTTTAGAATATCCAAGACATGAGAAGTATACTTGTCGCGTCTGTCTTTTAGTCGCACATAATCACTCAATGTGCATTCGCACAGTTCAAGTGCAATGTAATGGAAATTGTCATCCCGTTCCTAAAACAAAATAATTACTTACTTTGTAAAATACGGTAATTTTGATAAAATATTACAATAATGAAAGTTTATCCAAATATTAACTAAACTTACTGAGCAAAAATATCGTATAACATTTTTGTGAGCATCACTTTTCCTTAACAATTCTAATTCTCTTTCTACAAGCTTAAACTGGCTAGTCAGTACCCGTTTAACCGCCACTTCACGTCCATCAAATGTTCCCCTAAAAGCAAATAATCATGTATCATATGTATGTACTCATATAAAAATACAGTAATCACAACACTCCTCGACTTACTTAAACACGGTGGTTCCAGCACATCCCATTCCGAGTATTTTCCGACTGTCAAAAGCTAGTTTTCCTATTTCTTTTGGTCCATTAGCTGACCCTTCATCCTCAAGAGCACCAGGAGCAGACAAAGTGTTGCGGGTACTACTGCCACCAGAATGAATCTCTCCACGACTCGACAGAATCTGATTTGTGACTCTCTAAGAAAATGGTATTACTCAAGACCAACCTACCTGTTGTCCATACAAAAACGCAGCATACAATAGCAGAAGGATAACGCCGCCCAAGAACAAGGTTACCACGTAAGGATTCTTCTTCCATGCCTGTTGGAACAGATGACTCCAGTCAAAGTCGGTGTCGTCGTGTGATATGGCGTACTTGCTGTAGTTAGGTGCGACTATGCCACTACCACCTATCCTTTCTTTTACATCCTGGTTATCCTTAACATAAGGAATCCATGGTACACGGTTATGTTCGGAATTAGGTGCTATTAAAGACTTGATCAGCAGCTCGGGAATCTCATGATGCCCCAAAATCCACTTCACATTCATGTACACGTTGTTCTCGTCAGCTCTTTGTATAGCTTTCTACAATTGGTTATTAATAACAAGTTAAAGACTGCCTAATCAAGCCTTTCTATTTAAAACCTACGTCATCTCTCGGTCCATCCAGCATTGGTCGAATAGAGGTAAGTCTGTCATATTCTTGAGAAATGTAGGAGTTCAAGGCGTACAACCCTCCAGTCGACTCTCCAATGTACAAGGTTTGAAAAAGCTTCTGAAGCTGCGAGACGGCCTCGGTGTCTAAGTAAGGCTCTGACCATTCCGGCGAAACTAGCGATCCCACACTCTGCAACAAGTCAAGGTGTGAAAGGGTGATTAATCATACGAGCTCAAAAAAGCAGGAAATCTGTCAAAATTGTTCCGGCCACAGTTGTCAGTCAATATCAAGTATGAAAACACAAGAATGAATAAAATTCGAAATTCTTACAAACAAACGCCAGCCGCTCCCATTCAATTAACTCTTCTTATCCGAAAACATATAATTAACGGAACAACTAATAATAGAACAACAATGTCACAACAAGGAAATCAAATCAATTAACCCCAGACGGGTAGGTTAACAAACAGAACTTTATGTAAAATTGTTCGAAGAAAACTGAACACGGATACAGAAATCCCAGGTGACAGGTCGAAAAGTCTTACAGAGTAACTCGTAAACCATTTTCTTGGAATAAAAAACAAAACCTTTTCCGATCAAAGGTTATAACATATTATAATACAAAACAGTTTCAAGAATCCTCTAACATTCCGGTAATTCATCTTTAAGAACTATTTTTCATATCCAGCACCATCGTAAAAGAATGTAAAATAATTAGTAATGCTGTAAATCGTTCCTTATCCCTAATATCTGAAATTGAAGACCTTCTTTTTTAGCCTGGTAGTTAATAACAGCTGCACCTCAAGTGAAAAAAAATCAGGGTCTAAACCGTTGTTTCTATTTCTTGCGAAAAAAACCTATTGCGACAATCCCTATAATTTGACCGACTGACTCTCGAGTTTGAAAGATAAATTTAAGCTTGATATGTCCACACTACCTGCCTCCAGGTGATGTCCTGCCCAACTTCTCGTGGTTACAAAAGGATTCGTAACTAAACCTTTTATTATATTACCTCTTGACTATCATATAGTATTGAGTTTTTGCTATTAAATAGTATAAATTATCCCTATCCATGTCTTCAATCAACAATGACTACACACCACTCAACGGACCGGGAGGCATGCCACGGCGTCCCATATCTACAGTGCCTCGACAAAGAACTTACAGTAGACAGAACAGCGAAGAGAGTAGCACAAGGAGAAGGCCTCTCCACCCAGCCGAGAAAAAAGCAGCCCAACTACGGTTACCTCAAAGTAGTTTCGAGAAAAAATCATCCAATCCTCACCATGCTATGCAAGCACTACGGCGACTCTCAAGAGCAGACTTCAGTTCAATCCGTCGTGCCAGTAAGTTAAAATAGGTTTATTCCAACCCGAAATCATCTTTCAGGACTAAGAGGACACTTAAATTACAAGCAAATCGGCCATCGCTTTGGTCGACAATCTACAATTCACGGCATCAGTCACGCTGCTACAGCGCCTACCAAAAAGTGTGCCTGGTTGTGGATTGCTGCCTTCATAATATGTTTTATTGCTCTTATAATTCAAATCATTTTCCTTATTAACAAGTACACACGTTACGACAAAACAGTAGACCTTGATGTAAGTTTTTAGAAACATTTCCAATTTCCTTCGTATTTTTACTCATTTATCTTATTTAAATTTCAAACATTTGAATGCAACTTTTTGTGAGTAAAAGACCAACTAGTTAAACCGCTTAACATAAAATATCATCTTCCAGCTCAAATTCGAAAACGCACCGTTCCCTTCTGTCACATTATGTAATTTAAATCCGTACAAGGCCAGTAAGATAAGTGGAGATCCCTCAACGAAAGCAATGGTAAGATAAACAACGGCTTTACATTACTTTTCAGATGTCCACTTTTCAAAACCTACTCTCAAACAGTGGCCGAGCAGACGGGATAGCAGCCGTGATCGCTCAAACAAGTAAGTTCAACTCCACCCAATACTGTTCTTTGCAGAAGAACGGCGAAGGCTACGCCGCCAACTGAATGGAACGGTTTCTGAAGATAGACGATACCTACAAGTTTATGCCCAATGCTACTGCGAGATCAACAGGCTTTCTGGGGAGCGTCGGTCGGGTAGTTGTTTTGGAGTTCACAAAGGTAAAATAGCATTGAACTTCATCGACAATAACCTTCACAACTTTCATCCGACCAAATGTCTATGTCAACTTGATTGGACTTCAAAAGCACTGTGGCCCTGCTTTCCGTGTAAGAATATCATAATTCAATGTTTTGGTTTTGCCGTTACTCATATTTGATACCTCAATTTTTCAGACAGCACATGGAAAGAAAAGATTTGCACAGAATGTGTGCCGGATCTAGGACATTGTCCGATGCGTTTTTACAACGGCAAACAAGAAAAGAAGAAGCTACAAGGAGACGTGGACATTTGTTTGTGCCACAAGGAATATAACCATTGCATAGCTAACAATGAGAACGGTGAAATCCCAGAGATCCTGCCAACCTTTGATGTCGAGACCATGAACTTCACTCAAGCATTTATTACAGCTAAACCCAAAAAACTAGAAGCCACTACTACGACAACAACCGAAGCTCCAGAAATCAAGCAGGCTCTTGGATACGAAGTAATTAAAAGAAAAGTATAATTTCACTATATTTTAGGAACTAAAAAATGACATTTCCATCGCCACACAAGCCAGGGAAAACATAAAGTTCGCCGTCGGAGAAAAGAATGAATCGGCAAAGGTACAAATGTCGCAAGAATTAAATGAACTAATAATGGAGTGCACGTTCAATCAAAAGGATTGTGACATAGAAAAGTAAGACATACTTCACAGTACAGTTGTGATTTTATTGTGTTTAATTATAATTGAACCTTTGAAGGGATTTCAACCGAATACACGACGCTACCTTCGGAAATTGCTATACGTTCAATTGGAATAGAACCAGAACGGTTACTGCTCACAGAGCTGGTGCAAATTTCGGTAATAAAAAAAAACTTTTATAAACGAACTTGTTCAGGATTACGCGTTCTACTGTATGCTAATGTGTCAGAATACCTGCCGACAACAGAAGCCGTAGGATTCAGAATCACTGTCCATGACAAATGGGTGGTTCCCTTTCCTGATGCTTTTGGACACACCGCTCCAACAGGGTTTATGTCATCTTTTGGTGTGCGTATGGTAAGTAAACATTAGAGATAACAACCCCTTTCAGAAACAATTTTACCGTATATCAAAACCTCACGGATCCTGTGCAGATGGTGGTGAAGAAGCTGAGACTTACGTCTACAAAAACTACAAATACTCAGTGGAAGGATGCCACAGAAGTTGCACACAACATAAAGTAATCAGTACTTGTGGATGTGCTGATCCCAGCTATCCAATTCCTGAGTCATCAACCATGTGCAAGATGACTGACCCCATTGCCAGAGAATGCATTAAGAATACGACTCAATATATGGGCCGACTCATTGCTGAACAAAACGTTTGTGACTGTCACCAACCATGCAGGTAAATTTATCAGCGAAAATTGTTGAAGACAGACAACTGGATTCAAAATTACAATATTAAAATAATATTTTAGCGAATTGGGTTACGAAGTCTCGTACTCTGCTGCTCGATGGCCGTCTGGCACAACCAAGCTTCGTGAATGTCAGCTAGGAGACGACATGTGTATGGAGAAATACAGAAAGAACGCGGCTATGATTCAAATATTCTTTGAAGAACTTAACTTCGAAACGCTGACAGAAAGCCCCGCATACACAGTAAGTATTACTCATTTAACACATCACTGATTTTAGTGGATGAGTTGTCTGGCCGATCTTGGAGGTATGTTAGGATTGTGGATTGGCGCCTCGGTGGTTTCTGTTCTGGAAATTGTAGCTTTGGCCTTCTATGTGGCACAAGCATACGTGCGACAAAGGAAGAAGTCAACCTCCACTCTGGCTTCAATTAGAAACAAGAGTGTAACCAAAAAGATATCGTTGCAATCGCAGCAATCTTCGCTTGTTTATCGACCACGGACACCGACTCCATCAACAACAAAGTCAAGGTTGTCGCTTCTGAACGATGACCCAGACCCAGAACCACTCAAGTTGGAAGCCGGACAGGATGAACAAGAGCCCGAGCCTTCAGACGATGCTCATTCCAAAAGCTCTTACCCATATTGGCCACCTGGCCAAGATCTACCGTGCACTTGTCTGTACAATTCAAATGGAAACATAATCTCCATGAAAGCATTATGTCCAGAACACGGGTAACACAGCATTTAAGTTTTGCTTCTTAATAGACGTGCATTGGACATCAAATCAAAATGGTTAATCATTTTCAGGTACATGGTTCGACGAGGCACCATGTTCAGTTGCGGAGAAGGTGAAGACGAAGACCGTGACGAAAAACCAGATGAAGAGGACGTAACTCCAGAAGAAGAGCAGATGCAAGAAGCAATAGACGTGCTACAAGCCAACCTGTACAACCTAAACAAGGAACGGGAACTGTCCAGACAAAAGTCACAGGATTCATAAAGATCTCAATTAACTCGAGTTAGACGGGTTACAGAATGAAATTCCAATAAATATGTAATTTAACTTACCTTGTGCATGAACTCCTTGTTGAACGTAGCATGCCCAACAGAAGTGCTAGGGATTCTGTGCATGCCATCTGCTTTAAGTAGGTATAAGTTAACAACAACACTTTTAAAGTTTTTGGTCCATTTCGTTCTTCTACTGTTTGCATCAATGGTAACGAGGTTTCCATCGACAACAGAATGAAAGTGCTGATATGGATACTTTTTGTCAACTAAAAATATATGGCTTAGCTTTTTGATGTACTAACGTTTGAATTCGAAAAAGGTATCGACTACTTCATATTTTACCGACCTGGTAATAAATGCGATGAATAGTCGATAAAAGTAGCGTTCCACTGTTTCTCCTTCTTTTTCGTGTCCATCATCGTGACCTTATACTCAGTTCTTCCTATAAAGATTGTCTCTGGATTACCTACAGGACAACTATTCGCATTTTGAGGTGGAACTGTCTCCTGATGAACACCACTGTCTGGATCCATTGCTATCCAAACGTCTTTTTTGCTACCTAAATCATAGTTTATATAGTTTTTCGCTTCTTAATAGACGTTCCTTCAATACCTCAAAAGTGAAATTTAAAAAAAAACAAACCTGCATAGAGAATCCCGTCAGAACTTTTACACGGCGAAGTTTTGACAAGTTGAGGTATAGTAAACGGTAATATTCGTAGATTATGATCGACCACAAGATAAAGCTCTCCATTTCGTGGATTTGGTAAGAAAGAAAAGTCATGTCGTACACTTTGAGGACTATCAACTATCGGACCTTAAACAACTTGTTACTCAAACATTTATAACATTGTAAAAGATTCTTTATAAAATGATTTTTAATCAAAACATACCTTCTTTATACCTCCATTTTTCCACACCCGTATTTGCATCCACAGCTGTCAAGTAGCCATCTAACGTAGACACAAGCATCGTGAGAGATTCATCCTGTATTGTCTAAAAATAAAATAAAAAAAAGCTACGTTAACTTACTCTTTCGTGTGTTGAACCGCATATTAACCATGAAAAACAAAGTAAAATTAAAAATGTTATTTTGTTCCTCATTTCATCGATTTATTCTCATTGTTAAGGTCTTCATAAACAATATTCTTCAATTCCTTGATTTTCCAGTTAAATCTCCAAGTCGCGTTGGAACAGTGATCGCGCATTAATTTTTGTGACATTTCGTTACATTAATATCGTGAAAAGGAAAATAAAATATTTTGGACAAAATTTTGTTGATCTAATGAATTGTTTACTGGATGAATGTTGACTTTAACACCAGTAGCCTTAAGGTTAGAAATTGCGCAAGGAGCTTCATTTATCAGGCTTTTTGCAGATCGTGAAGAGTTTAAAGGTAATTTTTGGGTTAATATAGCTTCTGTTGTTTACTTTTAATATTTACTAAAATTAACGCTTTAAATTTAGGTTCAAAAAGAGGACCAACAAAATCGGGCTCGTTTACTATGTTTCCAAGAAAGAACAACTTGCCGCGACCGTCAGCTACGCTTTATGAAGATGAGGCTACTCCTCCACCTAACGTTTCTGATGTCCGTCCTACGCAACGACAATGTTTTGGAAGAAGAACGTATTCTGAAGTTGTCGTAGAAACTTTGAAGCACAGGTAGAATTGTATTTTATTATCTTATGTTTTTAGTGACGAGCGTGCTTCTGTTCAACCATCTACATCAAGATCGTCAGTTAGGAGTAAAACCTCTTCTCTCATGGAAAGTGGTAAGAAATAGTCTTGTAATTCATTATTTTATTTGGTTTTTAGGAGTTGAAAATTTGAGTTTTAATTCTGGAAACCCTTTGGTAGAAAAGACGACTGGTATATTACACTTTTACAAGAACAAATCTCCTCATGAAGTCATGAGAGACAACTGCTGGACTTTGTGCATGATGGAAGTTCCTGCCTATGTGACTTCTTCTGAACTGATAAAGTTTATATCGCCTGCCAAGGAGACGATAAAGGAGATTAAGATAATCAGAGATGGAATCCCGAATCAATATTATGTTCTATTGAAGTTTAGGTCGTCGGTATGTTTTGACAAATACCTAAAGTAGGCTTAATACTTATTATAAATATAAGTTTTATTTAATACGGTTCAGTTTTTTATTTTTTTTTTGTTTTAGCAGTCTGCTTACGATTTCTTCTGTGAGTATAATGGAGTTGTTTTCAACTCGTTCGAAACCTCAACATGTAATTTACTGTTTGTCGAACGGATGGAAACGGTAATATTTTAAGTGTTATTTATAATTCACATCTACAATATTATGTATTTTATTGGGATTTTATTTTCACATTCCAGACGACAGAAGAGAGTGGAGGAAGTCTTCCTGTAGATGAACTCACGGAGCTTCCCATTTGTGCCGTTTGTTTAGAAAAAATGGACGATGGAGTTATGACAATCTTGTGCAATCATTCATTCCACGCCGAATGTTTACAACACTGGGAGGATACGACGTGTCCGGTTTGTCGCTTTAACCAAACACCAGAGTTGTTACCTGATCAAACTTGTTCAGAATGTGGTAAAACAACTGATCTCTGGATGTGTTTGATCTGTGGAAACATTGGCTGTGGAAGATACGCTTCTGCTCATGCTTACAGGTATTTCAGTTCATTTAAACTTTCAACGTATATTGTCTTGTTTGTAACAGAACTAATATAGTGTTTCAGACATTTTGAACAGACTTCTCACACTTTTACATTGCAATTGGGCGGAAACTTGGTTTGGGATTATGCTGGAGACAATTACGTTCATCGTCTCATTCAGAGTTCGACTGATGGCAAAATGGTTGAGTTTCAAGGAGCTGAGGAAGTGAGTAAAGTTTATTATAACTTAACACTTAATTTTTAGCAAAAAGGCACGGAAAAGATGAATGCAATCCAGCTCGAATATTCTTGCCTTTTGAGTAGTCAATTGGAAGATCAACGATTGTATTTCGAAGGGAAATTGAAAGATATGGAGGGCAGATTCAACATGTATAAGGGAGAATCAGAGGACAGGGTATGTCAAACAGTTTATTCATTTTAGCAATTACACACGAAACGAAAAACATATTTTGGCATTATTTGGTGCGTTTAATAATTGGAGATGCCTTATCTTTTCTTTTTAGTTAAAAACTCTGGAAAAAGTCGTTGCCGTTGCAAATGCAGATTTGGAGAAAACTAAACAGGAAATGGCACAGCTTATCACTGAAAAGGCACATCTTGAGAAGAAGATGGCAAAGTCAACACAAGTTATCAGAAAGTTACAGTCAGAGCTAGAAGAAGAAAAACAGATGGCGAGTATGATCAGACAAGACAAGGAGGTATTGCTGAAGAAGAACAAGGAGTTAGAGCAGATGAGAGCTACCGTAAGTTTTATTATGTAGTTTTATTTTAAAGACTTTTTTGATACTTTTATTTATTAAATTTTTTAGGAAATCAAAGCGTTGGAAGAACAGATCAATGATTTAATGATGCATTTCGAAGCTCAAACTAAATTGGCAGAGCAATTTAAAAATGAAAATGTGACTTCAGAAGAACTAGAAGGCAGCACCGTGCAGATCTCGCAATCAGAAAAGTCTTCTAAAAAGTCGAAGAGAAAGAAATAAAATTGTGTATCATAATAAATTTATTTATATTGTCAATTTGAGGATACCAGCGTTACAAGTTTTTTGGTTCGAATGCCGTAATATTTATATTTTTGCTGTTGTTTTTGGGTTTTTTGCTCTATAATGCAATTTGTAGATGGAAACAGACCCTATCCGGGCTTTGGGGCCGCTCCCACAATCTATCGACGCATCTGACACGATTTCAAAGAGGATTGCTCAAGTCTCAGATTTGGTCGATGTTATTCACAGGGGTGGAAGGGTTTACAAGCCTCGAACTGTTGTACAAAGATTGCCAAGACATATGAGGAGACGAGCGATGTCTCATAACGTCAAAAGATTACCCAGAAAACGGAGAGACTACGGTAAGAGTGCCATAGCCAAAAGTAATCACAGAAAGAAGCCTCCGAGTAGAATGAAACGCAGAAGGCCCAGGAATTTGCAAAAGGTGAGCGTTGGTGGATCTTGCAAGTGTCGAGATGTTCTGTAACAGGCCTGTTTTCACAATTTTTAAAGAAATACGATTAGATCTTAAACTGTTTAATACGTTTTTAGGAATACAAGAAACGAGCATCAGAGATACGATGGCTCTTAACTCACATATTTCATGCTAAAAGATTCGAAATGATTTCATTGTGGAATTACAAAATTCCTTTACGAAGTTACCAAAGAGGTGTCAAGCCATTTTTAAGAGACGCCAAGTGGCATACTGTGGTTTTTGACGACTCTTACTACCGTACCCTTAAAATATTGTTCAGGATTGGAGAAGATGTCGTTGCTTTTCAGTCTACGTTGCGGGAGTTAAGAGAAGCTGATTATAGCACTGTCAAAGGCCCAGAATTGCATGTTAGCGGGTACTCTGTTGTATACTGTAATTCTACAGAAGTTGTCTTGTCTGTGCATCCTATGTTTTGTAAAGACATAGTTGACTTAATGGCTCTGTTCGGTTTGGCGGTGGAGAGAGTTGGAGATGATGAGATCGATGAAAAGTCGAAAATTTGTTATTTTGCTACAGAAAAGCCTCTCGAAATGTATTGCAATAAGAATGTTATGGTAAGCATTTTTAAAAATTTTTAGTATAATATTTTGTGTAAGTATTAAGATGTGTAGAAATAAAATAGTCCTGTACTTTATGATTTCAGGTATTTGACGTAAGTAATATGTATGCCAAGTTTTCATTCTATGGTCAAAATACTGTGCCGTGTCTCAACAACTTGGTTACTGTAGTAGCAGATGACGATTTGAGTGAGAGATACATTGACTACAAAGAGTGTCACAAAGGCTGGAGGAGTTTTGTGGAGGCAAATGGTGTGAATGCTGTGGCAGACTCTACATGTTACTCTGTCTTGATTGAGGATCCTCGACTGAAGATGGCAACAAGATTGGTGAGAGAAAGTTGTGTTGATGCAAAAGGTAGGTTCGGTATTGTATTTACATTGGCTTTGTTATTTAGCGTACAAGGAATTCACCGATAAACGTGTGGAGAAGGTGAAGTACGTAAACACTTTGTTCGACAGGGTTGAAATTGAAGACCTAATCTCGAAACATCAAACTACAGCTGCTATCAATCAGTTGCGGTCTTCTCAATTGGCTCAGTTGACGACTTTGGATTACAAGGTTGGTTTTTTTGTTTTTTATTTACATTTTTTATATTAATAATAAATGCAGTAACGACAATATTAAGTATAATAGTAACACAATAATAAAGTAAGTATAATATGTTTAGGTACCTGTGACGTTTAACGTGAGAAATACTGGTACTGTTGTGAAGGTCGAAATGTTTTTACCAGCATTGTCAGCCAGTTCTATGATGTCATCGTTGTATAGAAGTGGAGTTAGAGTGGGATCTCTGTCTGATAGATTCGTCATGTCAGTTGAGTTCGGTGATCAACATTATCCTTACTTCTTTTTACCATTAACTACTGACAAAGCTTCTTTCCGGGTAAGTTTTGCATGTGCTATAGCTTATTTTCTCTGGTTTAAAATCTACAATATATACGAATAATCTGACTGATATATTTTTAGTGGAAGAGGTATCAGAAGATGACAGATGTAAAGAACGAAGCTTTTGGAAAATGGAATGAGATCAAGTCTTTTGACTACATTTTGAGCAGCGCCAGTACGCTGGGCAAGTTTCAAAGTATGGTTAGGGAGAATGTCAGAGCTAATTGTAAGTTGTCGGTGATCTGACCAATAACCTGTTTGTAATATTAACTGTGTTATATGTATATTCTTCTAGTACGAAATCTACCGGCCAATGTGCTAGTGCCTGTATCGATTACAGTACAAGGAAAGGGTCATGTGACTGACGACGATTTGATTTTTCCAATTGAAAGGTATACGGTAGATGAGTCATCAGTACAAATGGGTGTTGTACGTCCAACAATTCAACCAGATCTTTTGATGGATTTCAAACCAAACTCTATAGTAGATATACACGACCTTTTTGCAGCACCAAGAGTGAAAAAGCCGAGGAAAGCAATTGTAAGGTCTAAAGTGTTAGATCCAATAGGAAAGGTGGTGTATGCTCGACATTCTTTAGTTCATGGTATTACCGAGGCCTTTGGGTATGTCGAGTTGACTAACGTTGTTGATATTTGTAAAAATAACGGAAATGTGGCGTTGAAGAACGTTGCAAGTCCAAACTTTGTTAAGGCCAAAGTCTCGTTTCGAGGTTAAGCCGTTGTTGTTGTTAATAAAGTTGTTACCAAAATATTGAAAAAGAATTTTAAAATTTTGAAAAGTAGCTTCTTTATAAATACAGCGGAATTCTACACTACAATTACTATTTAAAAAATGCCGTTTGATGTGTAGAATTAGTTGTTGCATATCGAGAACGTTCGTGTTTATAAGTTACCGTGAAGTGTCATAAATGTGATATAATTAACATGACTTGTGAATATAATTAACATGATGGATTAGACTATACAATTTACAATTAAAGCTTTTTAAAAAGCTCCAAGAATTTCGGCTTCTGAGCGGCGAAGAGATCTAGCTACATCGATAGCGTCAACTTGAACTGATCTTCTGGCACGGCGGTGGTCTTGCTTGCCAACCTTGTGAGTACCGCAAAAGGTACAAACCAGTCTGAGCTCAGCTCTGACATCCATTGGAAGAGAAGCCAGATAGAGGCGTTCTTGTTTCCTCATGTTGTTCCACTTGTGGTAGGCTTCTTTGGCCGCGGGAGACAAGGCATCGATGGTTTGTTGACGTTGCTGCTTGCGTTCTCGGAGTTCGGCTTCGAACTCGTTGAACTTGTTCAACTAAATAAATACGTTTAGGTATAGTAATACAAAAATTTAAGTGAATAATGTTTTAATTGTGACAATAAAATAGTTAAAATTCAGAAAAAAAACTCACAGCAGCGCCAGTCAGCAGCGAGTAAGCCAACTTCTTGAACTCGGACTCTTTTTCGTCGATGGACATGTTGTCATCGAACCACACATTCTGGAACTGAGTCCTGATGGCTGGGGATACATCTTTCAAGAAGGCAGGTCCACACATTCCATGGAACACCTTGAAACGCACTTCTTCTGGGATGGCATGCACCACTTGCATCGTGGCTTCGTTTCTCTTGTCACATTCGTCTCCAGCTTCGTAATCCGCCCAGATTTGTTTGATCTTCTCTTGGGCATCAGCTGGAAGTCGGTACATATAGGCAGGGTGACCACAGTTGATGTGCTGTAATAAGTAATGTTACAACAACGAATTGATTTTGTTGTTATAGATAAGTCACTTGCTAAAGTGCCCTTTTCGTAATTTTTAAAACTTATTTTTTTACGACTAGTCCTATGATTATTTCCAATATAAAAGTCAACTCACCCTTCCGTGCCATTTGCCGAGAGGATCGTATGGGTCTTGAGATGGCTCGATTCCACCACAGGCCAAAATGGCCGATGGGATGGTCAAAAGTAACAGTATTCTGACGTCCATGATGGATGACTGTGCTGTACTATTTCCATCTTTATATACTCTGGTAAGACGTAATACGATCTCGTTTACGCGGGTAGGAAAGCGGTGGTCATCTAGTTGCGCGAGGCTACTAGGCCCTTAGGAAAACAATGTAATTTCAGACCGGAAATAGTTTTGAAATTGAAGTAAACAAACAAATTTCACAAGCGTTTATTTATTGTATTATATTGTATGAGGTGTATTATATTATATGAGATGTATTTGTGAACATGAGATGAATAAATTCAAAAGAAATGTACTAATGAGACATATGGCAAACACAGAAAACTCAATAAACTTCGTTATAAGTGATATGGCAATTACAATATTGTATAAACAAATTCTAAAAGAGAAACAATATATATAACAGAGAGATAGTAAAAACCATCAACGAGCCTTTAACGTTACAGTAATCTTATTGAAGAGGTTTGCAAGCATAGTAGAGCAACTCAAAGTCTCTTTACATCCCACAAAGATGAGCTTTTGTTTGGCTCGAGTCAAGGCTACATTCAGTCTTCTGAAGTCTGACAACAAGTCTGGACTGTTAGTCTTCCCTTCAGGACCTCCATCGACCAAGGACAATATCATGACAGTCTTGTCTCTGCCTTGGTACCTGTCGATCGTACTACATTCGGGGGAATTCATGCCAAACTTCTGAACCAGTTGCTTCTGAAGGTGATCGACTTGCCCTTTGTACGGAGACGCAATTCCAATGTCATCAACTGAGATACCACACTAAAAGTGTCAATAAAATTATAAAAAACCATACAATTGGTAAAAGCCATACTAGAGTAATATATCAAAGCTTACATCGACCAAGTAATCGCACAGTTGTACAACATACGATGCTTCACCTGAATTGAATCTTGATCTCAACCCAACTGAAGCATTGGCAGAAAAATCATCTCCGTATGACTTTGAATAGGTATCTACAAATACCACAGAATCCTCCAGTTTTGATGACAGAATCTTCTCCGCAACTTCTAAAAAATAATGTAATTGTGTTGTAATTGCAATATAATTCAAAATAAGTTTACAAAACTAACCAAAACTCATGTTCTCGTCATTTTGTTGGGCTTTAACGTCCAGACATTTTGATGCCACCTTCTCGTTGGCACATACCAACTTCCCATTGTAGAATAAACTACTTGACAACGAACATATCACCCGATTCATGCGGTATTGCTTGGACAAGACAGAAGTATGTTCTCCTTCAAACCCATGATAATTTAATAGTCGTTCCATTAATGAATTGCTCATTCCCTCTTGTCTACAATATTCAAACTCAAATAACACAGAACAGAACATCAACTTGTCGACTCGGATTACAAAAATAAGAAAATTACCTAAAACAATATAAAAACATACCCCGCTTGTTTACTTACGACCAGTGGTCCCAGCTGGTTCACGTCTCCAACCATGACAAACACATCTGAACACAATAACGGCTTCAAAGCAATGTTCTCCACGACTTGAGAAGCTTCGTCGACGATACAATAATCAAAGCGACGTGAAGAAAACAAAGAATGACTAGAGGCCATCAAGCACGTCGTAAATATGATAGGCTAAACATACACAATTAAGAGTTTAAATGTCCAAACCATTTTTCAAAGTATTTAAATTTACCGAAAAATTTTTAAAAGTGATCAAGTAAACTGAATAAGTTGTCTAAGCTAAAAATTTACAAATTCTAAAAAAATATGATAACGGTAGAAAATGTAAATCGTCGTGTTTTTTGAAAGACAATAAAAATATACAAAAATTTCAATTTTTTGCATTAAAATCGGTATGGTCGCTAATAAAAAACCGGTCGAAAAATCCTTGTAAAACAGTAACCCACCGTATCCATCAGTAACCTCCGTATCATGAACATCTTCTCTTTCGTACTGAGGTCCAGTAGACTACTGATCCGATTCAAACGGTATTCTAAAGTAAACTCTTTGCAGCCGGGATGAATCGACTTCTGGCTGCCAATTCGCATGACACTTTCCGATAGATCCTTTCCAACCTTCAGAAGAACATTGTCTACAGCCGAGTTGGTATGAGCAGTGATAATAGCAGTCTTTCCCAGTGCTATCAAAGATTTAATAAAAGCACATATTGTAGTAGTTTTGCCCGCGCCAGGATATCCTTGCACAATGGCAAAGTCTTCTGCTCTCAGACACATGACAACAGCGTCACGCTGGCATTCATCTAGATCTTCTACAAATGGCCCGATCTTTGTTAGCGGAACATGGTTTAAAGGCATGAATTTCGGTCCTTCCATTGCAATTATTCTGTCGCGCATCTTTTTCCTACACGTGAGTAAAGAGATTATTAATAATTTATCAGTAAAAGACTTATGAAAAAAAACTTCATACTAACAAACATAAATGTAAAAAATTAATATAACATACGTTGTTTGAGAATCTTCCATCAAACTGGTAACATTTTGCATCGTCAAAGAGAAGGTGGTATAACTGTCAAGATCGGAAGTCGTTTTCTTTAGGTAATTATCTTCATTCCTCCTTTTCTGTTCCTCCATTTCCATAAAGTTCCACCTGATCCATCTCTTACAATATTCTAATCCTGGTTCTTCGAGATGTTTGACTTGTTCTTTTGCAAATTCTCTCGACTTTTCACTTCTGCAGGTCTCAGTGGAAGAAAACTTGTTGACCAGTGAGCAGTTCAGCTTCTGTTCGCACCCTTCACAAAACTTCGCATCCTTACGAATGGCTAAAACGATATAATTTACAATATAATAAAACACAATACAAAGAAAGCATATTTTGCACATAACACTTCTTATCCGTTAAATAATAAGCAAGACAAACTTACGTGAGAATGAATCCAAACTTAAATCAGCCAATTTGCTGGCTAAGATGTTCCGCATATGAAGGACACCAGCCAGGTCTTGTTCTTTTGGCTCAACCTTAAACAGTTGAAGATCCTTTAAATATAAAATCCAACCAGGCACTGTAACTTTGTCATTGGCAGCGTACTTAAGCATCAAAGAGTATAAGAACACTTGTGTTTGATGCTCCAAACTCTTGGCAGACTTTCCCGTTTTCAATTCCAATGGAAAAACAGTGCTTTTGTTGAATATCTAAAAAAATGTGTTTCAAAATCATTACTCCCACTTAAAAAACCGATTAAAATAGACCCACTTTGAAAGAAACATCGATCTTTCCCTTTAGACCCAATTGCTTATCAGAAATGTAATCCTCAATGCCACTGATCGCTGACATTCTACTCAGTTGTTTATCCAATGGTTTCGAAAACCCAACTGGTTTCGGAGCATACAACTTCAACCAATTTGAACAATTTTCGAGGTAAGGCTTCAAGTCTTTCATAAAACTATCAATACCTATATCCATAAGTACTAAGTCAACAGCATAATTGTTCAAAACGAGATTCTCAGCCACTTTTTGCAAATCTTCCGCTGACGGCCGGGACATCCTGTTTTCAAGAGCTGACTAAAAGCATATTTAATTAGAAAATCTAAAACTAAACTACAAAACAAAAAATTAGACTAACCTGGAACACCTCGTGTACAACACAACCCAACAGCATGCATTGGTTAGTACCAGCCGCTCTAAACCTCTCACTTAACATTGCCTTTCTTTCACAAAACATAACTGAAGTCAAGACAGTCGGAGATACCAAAAACAACGGTTCAATCACCACTGTTCCTCCATGTATACTTATGTCTAATACCTGCAAATATTATAACTTAAACATGTAAAACAAAATTTACAAACTAACATCCGTAAAAGGATTAGAAATTCCAAACACAGCAAACAATTGCCCTGGTTTTATAGCTGAATGTGCCCAGATGTCCCTCATAGTAACGGTGACTTCGGTAGAATCATCAACACGTAATCCCCTCACTTCCAAAGCATCTTGGGTTTGTGTAACAAGGTGTGCCCGAATGTACAGCCTAAAACAACAATTGAAAAACAGAATAAACCTACGTTTCATCCGGCAAACTGATCTTCTGACGTTTCACAGGTGATAAACTAACATCTTTAACACAACTCAAAGGACGTTTAACGCCATCCATATTCTACCATATAGGTATGGCAACGTCCTCAATCAAAAATAAATTTATATTTCGTAAAAATTTAGAATTTTTAGAAATTTATTATTTCAAATTTCAAAAAAATCAAGATAATTTAAGTCTTGAAACGATTGTAATATCACTGAAACATTATGCCAAAGAAATAAAAAATGTAAAATATTTTACATTTTTTGACAATTTTAAAAAATTTCCGCAACTCTTAAAGAATGCGTAAAAGTTTTTTAAATGTCAGCTTACATTAGTTTAGACGAAATTTTTTATTTATTTTTTTGATTTTTTTACATTTTATTGACCTTTTTCATGATAAAAGTGTTGTTTACTTAAAATATTTACAATATTTCAGATAACTAAAATATTACATTGAATTCATGGATTTTCTTTAGCGTTGCCTGTTTTTCTTATTTGAATTAACTTATCTTTAAAGTCGTTGACCTAGTCTTTGATAGATAATATCTTCGAGCGAATTTCGTGGATTCTTTCCTCATTGTTTTACTTTACACGTCGCAATGATTTCAGCATGGGTCAATCCTACTCATTGCCTGAAAAGACGGGTCCATCGCCGTTTACACGGTCTGGAGAACCTCCTGTCAAGCTTAATCAAACTACAGACAAGCCCCAACATCGTGTTAACGATGTGATGAGTCTTCAGCTCCACATGGCTGATGAACGCCAACGAATGGCTGGTCTTTCGCCAGCTGAGCGTGAATGGAGAATGTGAGTCGGTGTATATATTGCTTATAGTTTTTAGGAAATGGTTAAAAGATCAACATCTTCATCCTGATGAACCTATTCATGTCGATGCTATTCATCGCCAGCTGAATCCAGTCAGAATGTTGTACAGAAGGCCTTGGGATTTATTTTACACCAAAGTTCTTGTCAAACGTCTTGTAAGTATTTATTTTATTGACTTCTTAAATTACATCTATTTATTTTTAATATACATATTGTTCAGAAAGTTTTTTGTAATACTATATTAAAATAAATCATCCTGTTAGGGTCCATACTACGGCTTAGCCTTTAGACAAATGGTTCCAAAACTGATTATTGGATTCCTGACTATACAATTTGTATATTATCAATGGAAGTACCAGGCCAAGGTATGTTAGGTCATTTGTTGTATAGTAGAATTGAAGTACGAATTTTAGGTGATAATAGTGAAGTAAAAGTTTTATATTATGTTTTTAGAACTGGGAAGCCTACTCCGGACTCACTACCTTTGTTGAGAATCCTATCAGAGACAAGAAGAAGATCGAGGAAGAATATCCTGGTCTTTATGCTAAGGCTATGTACAACGACAAACAGTACGACTATCATGATAGAACTTATCAACAGCGACTTACTCATCGTGATGTTGGAGAACCTAATAGGAAATACTGAATTTTATTATCTAGTTGTGTTTATGATAGTAAAGTGGAATCATTATGTCGTTTTTTTTTATATTGGTTATTCACCACGTTATAACTACGTTTTTTAGTTCAACTATTTTATTCTTGTATTGTCGTGTTTGTTTCCTTACATTACTATAATGTAAGAAAACTGAATATTTCTTCTTTATTGACTGATTTTATAGAACAATGCCGCGATGAGGAAGGAGAAGGTTGTACTGTGTACTTTGTTCGCCTTACTTTTTTTGTACTTCTTTATTCCGTTTGAATGGCTGGGTGAGTATCTAAAGTTACATCAATACCTGTTTTTAGGTCCTCGTCATGGAAAGTTCTTCGTTCATCCGGAACGGCCGGCTATGTTAATAGAACGATGTCAATATCTAGAACATCCGGTAGTTGGCGATGAAGGCAACTTTTACAAAACAGAACTTAAGCTGAGAGGGATGATGATATTGTTCAGGCATGGAGAAAGGTAAGTCAAGATAAGGTTTATGAGTGTTCAAATATAGGTCGCCTTTGGTTGGTATGAAAGACGACAACGGTCCAGATTGTTCACCGTACTTTGATATCGACAGACGAGCCTTCAATTCTTACTCGCGACTTCTGGACTCTGATAGATTTAGGAACTTTTTGATAGTCGATCCAGTATTTCCGCGCAACTTTTCATTACATCCACATAGGTAGGAAAACATTGTTTATTGTGCACCATTTACAATTAAAAGGTGTTTGCACATATTTGATGTAATGTTTTAACTATTTTAGTTCTCAATGTGGATTTGGACAAATGACCGCTGAAGGCGCTCTTCAGCTTATTAAACTTGGAGCATATTTACACGACAAATATCGACTTCAAGGATTATTTGACGGTAATGTTGCTTTTTATGTAAAGCCAGTCTTCAATTGTACTATAAGCACTATCAACGCCTTTATACTAATTTTGTAGCAAACTTAAAATAACTGTTTCAGATGTGAGTTCTGTGAAGTCGTTGGACGTTTCTGTAGTTTCATCTATTTATTCTCGCACATTCCAATCTGCAATTGCTTTTACATCGACCTTCTTATTCGTACTCAAAGAAATGAAAAACGTCCATCTGAAGGCGTCGAACACAACTCACTTTTGCTTGAGTGATTACTCGTCGTGCCATTGTCCAGCTTATGATAGGATCCGAGAAACGTCAGAAAAGGTAATCTTTTTTATATTAAGTTTCTATAACCATAAAACTGTTTTATATTTATTTTTTATCTTGACTAATCAATGATTGTAATTCTTCATTTATAAATTTTGTAAATTGTTTTTTAGGAACGAATAACAGAGTTCCAGACCAGCACAGAACCTCGTTTGAGGCAACGTATACATACATTGAGCGATATTGTAGGCGTCAACAAAGTGAGACATCCGTTACAACTGCTCGACGCCATATTGGGAAGATACGGATGTAGAAGAGCTCATTTCCCTTGTCGATCTGATGGAGATTGTCTCACATTAAACGACATCCTACAAGTGGCCGATGAAGGGGAAACTATAGCTACCAGAATGAAGGAAAGTTCATCGATTACGAGATCTATGAATGCTGTAGAAGCATTTGCACTGCTAGGTCATGTCGCTAAGATGATTGGAAAGGCGCGTCTGAAGCCTGATGGACCAAAGATAATTAAAGTATTAAGTGGCCACGATATCACTTTGGAAGCCCTTGTAAATACCATGAATCTAAAAGACAGGATCCCTCCTCATTATTCGTCAAGGATCGTCTTTGAACTGTTCGAGTTGTCGTCGCCTCTGTCTTCTGAATCCTTATTTGTACGAGTTTTGTTCAACGGCGTTGACCAGACGGTCAACGTCGGCTTCTGTTCCGGTCATCTTATTCACGGTCTTTGTCCAGCGAAGAAATTTGAAAGCTTTGCCAGTTCTGGTGTTCTTAAACATGCAAGTCTTTCCAGTCTACGTGATATATGTTAACTTATTGAGGGTAGGTATATTTATTGGAATAATATTCATACTACGGGTAGAAATGAAGGCATAATGCTTTAGCTTGGTAATAAACACATAACATCGGATGAAAGGCTGATTAAGACTGACAGAAACCCGTTTCAAAATAAATTATAATACATACACAAACAAGTCATACCTATGCCAAACATAGGACACGACGTGTTAAGGCGTGCTTATCCGAATATCTTCTAATTCTATGGACTCATTCGACTGTTCTTCGGAGATATGCTGAGTAAAGACGTGAGGATGACTAGAGGAATAAGGTGGTATCACGCTGCTCTTCTTCGATCGTACACTAGATCTTTTTGACATCACCGACCGCTGAGAACCGACTCGAGAGAAGGTGAATGGCCCATTCAGTGCTTCAGTTAAGTCGACGAACTCTACGCTAAAACAATTATATTACCGTGAGTTGTGTAGTAACTTACGCTGAGTTTTGTCCCTTAGCTCCCATTTCAATCGACTTCACAGCATTTAAAGTAAGAAGGGCTTTGACTGGGGTTCTACATATTGGACATTCCTTTACCTAAAGTAACAATAATTAGTTTATAACAAAGTAATCGTATATTTCGACTTATGTCATAAGGAAAAGATTAACTTACGTTACAAAGGAAATCAGAATCACATTGGTTGCATATACACAGATGTCTACATGGCAACAATAAGGTATCACTCAAATTATCCCTACAAACAACACATTCGAATGCTCGGTCTCTGTCAGTTTCCCGGTTCTCGATTCCAAACACTTCTTGCATTATGTAAACTACCCCGTCCGTTATCAGCTTTTGTTTCAGAGGCTTCAGAATATACGGACATCCTGAATTTGAACTCTTTTCAAATATACACATTGTTATTTGGAACTGTTCCTTAAAGCCACACTCAGGATCATCAGTTTTGATTTCTATCATTACAGGGTACCAAAAGCCACCGTTGTAGTTAATCTGGAATAACATACGTTTAATATTTACATAAAATTAAAAAATTATTGTTGGAAACATTAAGCAACATTTACCTTCTGCGGATCCAACTGTTTGTCGTTTATCTTCAAATGTTTAAAAGATTGATTTGCACCAACTTTAAAATGGTACTTTTCTGAAGGCTTCATATCAGGAAGTCTAACATCAAATTTCAAAGTATTATTGTCAATAATCTCCCGCGCACAATAATGTACTTGTATGTAGCAGTCCACATCGGTATCGAACAGGAATTCTAACTGATATTCTTCTTCGTCTTGTTGCCTAAACAATACAAAAAATGAATCGCAAGACTTACTTTACGATTTTTATGGAGTCCTTTCGTATATTGACTAATGCGTTGAGAGCCCCCACTGTTTCCGAAACTCCACCATATGGGAACTAAAAGGAAGTTTATAACACAACTATCTCATTACCTTTACGGGAGACCCGAGCAGATCAAGGTCGGCATTGTGTCCAAACAAAAACGCCTCTGGCTTCGCTACCTCGAATCTTTTTCCTCCAAGCAGAAAGTTGGTTCCAAAGTAGAAATGCTCCGGATTCGTCTCCGATTTAACGTTCACCCGTCTTCTCAGCTCGGTCGACACGTCTGGGGACGGATTATTGGCCCCAAACGGATTCACGTGGTCTACAAGACCACTAAAACGTTGACCCATCGTTCAAAAACAAAAGATAACTTGTAAAAACATGAATTAATCAGCCAATCATTATGAGCAAGCCGCAAGAGTAAAATCTTTACAAAGATGAAAAGACGAAAGGAACGAAGGAACCAATGGTCACGCCTCGATGTATGTGGAAAAATGCAATAATGCGCGCGCGATGATCGGGGAAAAACGTGACGTACGGAGAAGAACTTGGCTCAAAATAAATAATTTTATAAAAATTTAATAAAAATTTTTATTTTTGAAGATGATCGTATTTTGTTGATATTTTTAAAATGGTTCTCAATTATGCATCAAGATTGTTTTGGAAACGATCTCTTATTGATAAGAAGATAAAAAACAGCCACGCTTTGATGTTAGCTAACGGTTTCTTCTATCAAACATGTAAGTATTTAGGTAACGTCGTTTGAGGTTTAGATGGTAACTTACATTAAAAAGCTAATACTTTTTAATATAACGACATTGGTTTAGGTAAGGGTCAATTTGCTTTTTTGCCATTGGGTCAGCGGGTTTTGGACAAGTTGTCATTATTAATTGAAGCAGAGTTGAACAATATTGGTGGCCAGAAGTGTTCTCTTCCTTCGATGGCACCTGCTTCTTTGTGGAAGAGAACTGGACGGTGGCAGGAGTATGGAAGTATAATGTTTAAGTTAAAAGATCGAGAAAGAACGGAGTTCTGTTTGCAACCGACGGCCGAAGAGATGATGACAGATATTGTGGCCAACTATGGCACTATCACTCCGGGAGCATTGCCTTTGTTGTTATATCAGGTAACCGAAGTTTTATGGTTTATTATATTTTAGACTACAGAAAAGTATCGCAACGAAGAGCGCCCAGAGTTCGGGAGTATCAGATGTAGCCAGTTTCTGATGAACGATCTATATTCTTTCGATGTCGACAAAGCAACAGCTTCAGAAACATACGGGGTAGATATTGTTAACAGTATTTGTGTTTTTAGTAGGAGTTTTTTTAGAATTTATGCCATTTTTAGGAACTTTTTGAATTATTAATATATTTTAGGTAATATCAGCTGTTTACAAAAGGATTCTATTTAATCGACTAGGATTAAATGAAACTCGGATGGTTGAAGCTGACAACGGCGACATGGGTGGAGATGTATCTCATGAGTACCATCTACCGAACGTGGCGGCTCAAGATCACATTGGTGTTTGTAACACTTGTGGTTCATCTAGGTTATGGGGACCTGATGTTACATGTGAGCCATGCAACACAGTGATGCAGAAGATGCCTACTATTGAAATCGGACATACGTTTATGTTAGGAACGCGGTACACTGAAGCATTTGGGGCTAAAGACGAGGGCGGTGTACCTTATTTTATGAATTGTTTTGGACTTGGAGTAACCAGGTTGTTGGGGGCGAGGTAAGCTGGCTTTAGTTGCTTCTTTTCTGTGAAAGATACTTATAGATTTATGTTGGCTAAATTATTTTTTAAATTTAGTATTGATTTGTTGTCGAGTGCCACAATAATGCGGTTGCCAGAAGCCTTAAGCGTGTTCAAGGTGGCCATTATCCTGCCTAAGCCTATAAGTACTTCTTCGGCATCGTTAGACTTTGCTTATTCGATTATGAATGATCTCGATGATTTCGAACATTTGAAAGATGACATTCTTATTGAAGACAGGACTCAAAAGAGTGTTGGTCAGAGGTTAACCCACTTAAATCAGCTTGGCATACCCCATATCTTTGTAGTTCAAGCGAAAAAGTCATACAAGCCGCATGACACCATCAGGATCGAATATTTTAGGTATGTTTTAAATATACATTTCAATTTTTATTTCATACTTTTGTATCTGTAAATTTTTTTGATGATGATGTTGTTGTAGGACAGAACCTCGCTCATTTGAATTGATCGACTGCGGAATCCTAAATCATTCTCAAATGTTTGATGTGTTACGCAACATTGATAGGAAATAAAATGGTACTATAATAAAAACTTTGAGGTCACAAGTAAGTTAACTCAAGGTTTATCTTTGGTTTTGACAAAACTTTTAAGCAGTATGGCCTAAAGAATTTTAATTCTTTACTCTTAATGAGTCGTTTTATGTTCAGTAACGCATATTTACACTAAATCAAGTAGTTAAACCGTAGCTGGAAGACCGGGATGTCTGTTTTTAACATGTGAACGCAGATGATCCGACCGGGCGAATTTCGTGGCCGTAGGGCAATGAGGACACTTGAAAGGCCGATAACCCGTATGTCGTCGGTAATGACTGTAATAAGACTTAAGTAAAACGTTATTCAATTTGATGTTTTTCAACGATACGCTATTTTAAAATTTTACCGTGTCAACTCGTCGCTTCTGGCGAATCGCCAATCACAGTCGGCCCAATCGCACACGAACGGCTTCTCTCCACTGTGAGTTCGTATGTGTGCCTTCAGGTGGGAGCTCTTGTTGTAGGCCTTGTCACATCCGTCATGAGGACACTTGTGGACACCTTTCGAATGTCGTCGATGTTTCTTCGGCTTCTTCACATTCTCTTCTGTCAGATCCAGCGGCCGTTCCAGCGAATCTTGTTCAGATATACTCGACTGCGTCGTTTCCTCTTTCACCACAAAGTTCGACTGTAACCCGATGGCTGACATGAGGTCGTTTCCTGAGTTTAAGTGACTAGATATGTTGCTCAAAGCTGGTGACAATGTTGATAGAGGTTGTAGTAGAAAGTGTGGCGACAGTAAAGGAGAAAGACCTGTGCTGTTCTGAAGGTCAAAAAGTAATGGCATCAAAACTGGAGAGTTCAAGAATGGCATGACAGAGGGGAAAGGGGTGGGTAGTATGGGCTTGGTATCTTCCTCCTCTTCTTCAGCCGATACTCCTTTGGGTGGAGGTGGAGGATCTTTCAGCTGGATAGGCGGAGGTTGTCGTGCTAAGTTTGGCACAATTTCTGAAATGAAAATGATTTGCAATTTTTGAAAATGATTTGCAATTTATAAAAAAAAGCTTACTTTACAATAAATTACTATAAATAAACCAGTGCTTAATCGATAACATAACATTACTATAATAAACTATCGTAAAATAGTAGCTATCACAAAGGTATCAATAAAAATTTCTTAAAAAACAAAGTAACAAACCGTTATGTACAGGTTCGTTAATTCCTGGTAACCAGAATGGAGCAGCTGACTGGGAAGTGGGTGTTAACATGTGCAACATCGGTGTTTCTAATGCCGGAAATGCGCCAAGATACGGTGCTACGAGCCTATCTTGTGATGACGATGTGCTTGGGCCATTTGTGAATTCGAATAAATCTCGTCTTATCTTTAAAACAATTATCAGCAATCATTGAAATTCATTAAATTTTAAAATTATTGGAATTTCCTTATCAGAGACATCAATTTTAAGGTTTAATGTAATGTAAAACAAATAATATGTAAATTTACCTCGTTGGACAAGAGTGCCGGCGATCCCGAGAGCATGTTGCTTTAGATTAAGGTGAACGTCGACGGGAGTGTTAAGGAGAGTTGGGCGATGATAGTCCTAATTGTGGTGTGCCCATTCATTGACTGCTCACGTCGACAACTCTCGCGATCGACTCACGCACTCCTTGGTTAACTCTTAACACTTGCTGTCTTGATTGATTGTCTCCAGTCTCTCCTATCTTTATCATCTCTGCCCTTACCTAACCCCTTTCTTATCACAATACGAACAGTGATTCATTCAAATGGCAAGTGTAATTGTTTCAAATGACAAGTTCTAACATGACTTAGGTATCGAACACATAGTTAAGCCTTATAAGATCAGAAAGTGGGTAAAAGAAGACGTAAAACGTTATTGAAGTAAAACACTGTTGTTTGGAATTCACCTATATTATCAATGAAGCATACACACACAAAAGTTAGCAAAATATTAAATATCTTTTTTTGAATGTTACGTATTCCTTGTTAATAAAAAAACGAATGTAACTTTTGTTATTTTTTGCATATTGTGACATGTACGAAAGCTATGTTGCACACAATTCAATGATTCGAAAATTGCATATTTTGTTAGTGTTAGATAGCAAAATATTTTTAATTTTTACAACAGCTATATAATTTAACATTTTATTGAAACTCAATAGTTATTAGTTGATTTTCTGTTTCTCCGCATGAAGAGATGCAAACTAGTCATTTACCCCATTTTTACTAATAATTTGCGAACATTTTCCACAAATTTTATTGATGCGAAGTGTCACTATCGAACCAAAAGGATATTTTTAGAAAATATTTTCTTGAAATTTATATTTTTACAGAATCTGGCTAAAATGAATCAAAAACGTCGATTGAATCAGAATAATATAGAAGATGATAAGGACGATGTTGTGGTTAAGAAGAAGCCGAACAACGATTTTAATAGGAAAAAGCCGAGTGCTGGGCTAAAAGCTTTCAGAATTGTTTGCAGAAACCTTCCTTTTAATGTAAGTTGTTTCCCTACTTATAATTAATGTTTTTAGACAACCCAAGACGAGTTCAAAGAGCTGTTTTCTAAGTTTGGAACTGTTAAAGAGATTCAGTTGCCAAAGTGTAAGGACAAGAAGTATCCTAACTCTTGTGCCGGCTTCGGTTTTATTCAGTTCGGTGCCAGAGAATCCGCTAGAAATGCTGTCGAAAAACTCAACTTTTCTACGTTTAAAGGGCGCAAAATTGCTGTGGATTGGTCATTACACAAAGATGAATACTTGAGCAAACAATTAGGTATACTTTGTACTTGTTTTATTCTGTTTTTAGGTACAAATGAACTAATCTTTTTTTTGGAATTTAATACCTTAAACCATGTAGCCTTTTAGTATTAGTTTTATTTTTTAGGCAACAATGAACACGCCAACTTAATGAAGGTGGCTAAAAAGTTTGATGATGAAGTGAAAAAAGATGAAAGTGATAGCGAAGAATCTGATCGTTCAGGTTCTGAAGACGAGGATGAAGAGGATGTCGACGTTAAGGAAGACGTTGATGATGAAGAGGAAGACGACGATGTTGAAGATGAGGAAAATGAAGAAGTTGACGAAGAGGAAGACCTCGAAGACGAGGAAAATGAGAAACCGCAAAAAAAAGACGAGGCAGTGGAACAGGGAAGAGTCGTTTTCTTGAGGTAACAATGTTCTTTTAATTAGTTTTGTCAAGCTATAATTGTTGTTACGATTGTGTTTATAGTATAATGCGAATTTTTGCTTTAGGACCCTCTCTTTTGACGCGACAAATGAAAGTTTGAAAACGGCGATGGAAAAGTACGGCGAAGTCGCCTTGGCTATTCTATGCAAATTTCCAGGTACAGATCAAAAAAGTGGTAATGCATTTGTGCACTTTAAGACAAAGGAAGCTGCCGATCAGTGTCTTGAAGAGTTAGACGTGAGTATTTCATTCTTTTAATTTTAAAACTTTAGAAATTGGATTTTAAATTCTTTTTAATAACGTAGTTAGCTATCATACTGGTTACAGAATCATATTTTAGGTATCTGGAATATTCTTCGAAGGTCGTATAATCACAGGACACAGAGCGGTGCCACGCACCGAAGCCAAGAAGTTTGACAAAGACCCAAAGAAGAAAGAAGGCAAAGACAAAAGGAATCTGAAGTTGTTGAGAGCATCGTTGATTCGAATGGGAACTGCTCAAGCCAAAGGAATGAGTGAGGAAGACTCCAAAGCCAGACACAAACAGATCGAAGCCGCTAAAACAAAACTAAAGAACTTGCACATGTTTGTATCATCTAATAGGTTGGCGGTATGTTATAGTGTCGTATTTGTGCATATTTTAGTTTGTTGCTTCTGGACAATTGAATATGGTCTTATGGTATAATATTTTTTATCTACACATGTAAATAATTCTGTTTTAGATACATAACATACCATTCAATTATCGCGAAGACGACTTGTTCAACTTGTGTTTGAAGCATGCCACAAAGAAGGCCTACATTAAGGAGTGCAGAATCATGAGGAACAAAACTGGAGTTGATAATCAAGGCAAACCAGTGTTGGGCAGATCGAAAGGATTTGGTTTTGTTGAGTTTGAAGACCATTTGGACGCGCTGACTTGTTTGAGGAACCTGAACAACAACCCAGAAGTCTTCACAGATGAAAGAGTAAGTTGTTGATTGTTACCTTTCATTCGTTACTCTATCTTATTATAGAGTATCTTTTTCATCATTTTACTTTTTGAAGAAAAATTTTACTTTCAGCGTCCAATCGTAGAATTTTCGATAGAAAACTTGAATGCCTTAAGAATAAAGGAGAAGAGGAAGGAACTTCTCAACCAAGGCCCTCCCAATCGTCATAGACCGGATCAAGCGGAGAAGCAGGCAAGACTAGAAGCAGCGTTGAAGAAATCGAAGGCTTCGTTGGTGAAAGACGGAATGAAAGCATTGCCTAAGAAGTTCGGACAGAAGATCAGATACCGTGACAGAAAACAGAATTCCAAAGAGAATCAGAAGGGCGGAAAAGGTGGCAAGAAGGGATTCAAGATAAATAAACTGTCAAAGGGACGAGTGAACAAGAAGAGAAGATGATTTTTAAGTTACTATATTGTTGTTGCTGTTATTGTTGATCACATTAAAGTTTTGTTGTTTGATTAGGGCTTCAGGGATTACTGTATTGAAGTTCGAATCTCGTTATCTTTTAGATGTTGTGATTGCAAAGAGTGTGGCTTAAAAGAGCAACATTTATTTTTAATCTGATTTAATTTTATGGTAAGGGCAAGTTTAGTTATATTGATGAAATTTTGAGTTTTAGAAAGATGGCATTGTTGAAGAGTTTAACAGAATTCGAAAGTGTTCCATCTGACTTTGATTATCATTTCTTCAAAAGTTTGGCTGTAAGGCTAATTGACGGAGGTAAATCAATAAGTTAAGATTAATGTAATCTTTGTTTAGATTCACTTAAATTGGATGACATTTATAAGTTGGTCAAAGAAAACCTTTCAAATCAGGTATTGTTATGTGCTTATGTTGCTACTTTGTTATACGATGATGACGTTGATCATACACTCAGGTTTTTATCTCAAAATGTACATAACTGTTTGCGTCAAGCTGGCAGTTGTTCATGTTTACAACAGTTACTGTTTGACCTTGCCTTGCATCTGGAGAAGAAGAAATGTTTGCATGATGAAGTAAAGGATGGTATGTTATCTTATTTTATGTCGACTAAAGGGCTTTAAGTGCGTATTATAGTGAAATTTTAATTATGTTATTGTGACAAGCTTTTTATGGGTATGGCGCTTAAGTTCTTGTCAATGTTGATGTCAAAAACACCGTTCTTGTTACAAAGTTTTCTAATTTTGTTACCAACTGATCGTCGATCAGCAGTAATTTAGCTCTATTGCAGTATTCATAGACGACGGCTTCACCCTATTGACGTCAGAGCGATCGAATGTTGTCATACGAAGACAGATCGCCCATTTTCTGGTCGAAGTCGCTAAAAGTAAGGCTGAGAAGGACACTATTGTGAAACAGTTGTACGATGCGTGGGCGGTGGCGGAATACGCTACGATAATTGACGAGGTCAGCTTTGTGTTACATTGCACGGATTTGTTTCGAAGCTTGGATCAGGATCAGTGTAGCCATGTTGTCGAAAAGTTTGTGGACTTGACAAGGCCTTCCCTTAATACCGTCAAGTTTGTGGCTAATGTACTGTGAGTTTGGAAGGTTAAGATTGTTTAAAACATGTTATTTGAAAGGAAGTTTGTCTACCTTGTTTTCGTTTTGTATGATTACCTTTATTTATAAAACATAAATTACTGTAAAGTTTAGATTGCTGGATGAGACCACAATTGTAAAAAGATTGTCAGAAGTGGAAGACCAGAAGAGCTTGTCAATGTTATGTTCTGAAGTTATGAAGCAATGTTCGTAAGTTTGGAACACAAAATGTTATATGTTAATAGACTTTGCTTACAGCCCGAGATTCTTCAAATTGTCATGAATAACATGCGACAGACAGTGGATTATGCCATCGAATACATTGACGAAATCGAAGAAAGGTTCAAAGAAGTAAGTTGATTGACATAAAATCTATTACGTAGTAAGTTACTAGTTGAAGTGTGTTGTGATTGGATTAAAATTAAGCTTTTACTTGTTCTAATATGAGCTGATACCTCTAAAATATTATTTAGGACATGCCCAAGCTACAAAGAGAAATCAATGCCAATTTGGCCCAACCCAAAAAGTGTTCCCAAGACTCTCTAATCAAATACTTGAACTTCATGAGGTTATGTTACGGTGTGTCGTCTTCAGAATACGTCCAAGCACTCGACGCTGCCAAGTTGAGGATTCAGAAGACTCCGGAGATTCTGGACATGATTCTAAGTGACATGGACGAATACTGTGAGCTATTCAGAGAGAACATGGTCAAGAACATATTCAGTGAGCTCACTGTCAACATAATTACTATCAAGAACTTCCCCAATTGGATTCTGGTGGATTCGGCGATTCTGATTCTGAACAAGATTGGAGATTTCTTCGATTACGGTAAGTTGATCTTTTAAGCTTTTTTTGGATTCAATATTATTGAAATGAAGTGATTTTTTTAAAATACCGTAAAAAAGGATTTTGCTTTAATTACACAGTATGACATTCAAAACATTACTGTAAAGAACACTTTCAGACGAAGAACTGATACACGATCGGATTCTGGAGTTGATGAAAACAAGAGAGCACGAAGATGTTGACTACGTCAGAGATACGGCCTTCAGGTTTTTGCTACAACATTGTCCGGACATGGTAAAGCAATATATGAAGCAATTCTTTGTCAACAGCAGCAACGTCGACATAAGGTATCATAATAAACGTCAAACTTTTGAAACTAAAGTAGAACTCAAAAAGTTAATTTTTTATAGTATATAGCAATTTGTGATGTCTTTAAATCGATATTTTCAGGATTTTCATTTTGGAACGCTTACTTTTGGCATCGAAAGCGGAATTGCCTGAGGCAAAAGACCTTGATGACATTATGGATGACGTGTTGATGCTGGAAAGTAATCTTGAGGTAAAGGAGAAGGCTTTATTGTTGATGGAGAAACTTGGTCATTCTGATGAGCATTGGAAGGAAAAGAGTACGGAGTTGCGAGAGAGCATCAGAGAAGACAGAACTCGTCAAGAGAGGAGGAACGATCTTGAGTATCTGACCCACATGATCGAGAGTGTCAAGACTAGTTGTGATTGCTTCGATGATCATGTTGCCAAAGAGTGCTACTGAGTTACTGTATAATGGTTACTGTAATATACGATCTCATCATTTCGTTCACTACTGTAATGTCATATATTGTTGCCTTAATTAATCTGTAAACCATCTTATATTATACTTGCTTTAAGAGTATTTACCGTTTTTATCCGGAAAAAACAATTTTTAAAGCAGATCTTTAGTGTTTTACTGTAGTTTAAACTGGGTAAATAGTATTTTGTGTTTTGGGATGATGTTGAAGTGGTTACCTACACTGTCTAATACCTGTTCGGTAAACAGCAGGATGTTGTTATGGTCAGAAAGTTTATTTTTTATTGTTGTTTATGCACTTTCTGACCAAAAACAACTGGAAAGTTTGTGATGGTTGGTTCATTATTATATTTGAGTTTAAAATATAATTACAACGACAAGATAATCAAGTTGAACAATGCATAACACGGTTTAAGTGTCACTTCTTGGCTATTACACCCTACAATCAATCTAAAAACAGTCACATAATAATATATCAAGCAGTAGCAATTATGTTGCACCAATCAACATCACTTGACCAGTGGCGGAAATGATCTGCAGTTAGTCAAAGTACTTTTTCATCAAATTAAAATACATCCGCCCCCACGCCTTCTACACCTACCGTACTCTCTGATTGCTGCAGAGAAGGGTGAGAGAGTGGTCGGAACGAGGAGACCGGTCGATGGACGGCGACTTCTTGATGTCACGGAAGGCGATGGTTGATAAAACACAACTCCACCAGCAACATTGCCGGTCCCTGATCGACCCCCGTCGTTCGCCAAAATGGAAAACACGGAACGATAGGGAACACTGTGTTTTAAACGGGTCTCCCATTTGCGTCAATCTGACCCGAACCCGGTCGGTTGTTACAACTTCGGGTCATTTAAAAGATGGACCCGCTTGTCGTTAATAACCCTGGCGTGTTGATGAGTTTGTTGATGGAGAATGAAATGGAATGGAGGCAGCAAGTCTCGTCTAGTCTCATATACCTCATCCAGACAGTCCAAGACCTCAAACTGGAAAACGAGGCCCTGAGGCAGCAGCTGAACGAGCAGAAGCACTTCTCGTTGATGGCCTTCAATGTTGATGAGAAGTTGTTGTTCAATGCTGTCTATGTAGAGAAACACAAACTGACTGACTTCGACCCTCTGAATCCTCAAAGGACGGTCATTTTGGGAGAATTTGTAGCCGACTTTGCTAATGGACATGGCCTGAATGGGTGCAATCTGGGACAAGTGGTACAACCGATTACTACTGGGGTTATCAGAAAGGTAGGTTATTATAACATCGGCTTAGAGTTTTTGAATATAAAATGAAAATCTGTTTTGATAATTTAAATTAGAATATAAACTTATACTATCTTCAAGTTTAAATGAATTTGTTTTAGCTGTTCGAATCAGAGGCTGACAAGTATACCTACACTGAAGACTCGATAGGTAAAGGAAGGCCAGCACGTTATGCCAAGATACCGACAGAATTCATAAAAGAGTTGTCAGGTAAGTAGTTATTAATACAAGACGAAGATTGCAAAAAAATGGCATTTTAATGTGAGTACTACTACAATATAAATCGTTTTTACTGTAATATGTAACATTCTCATCAACTGACATTTTTAGAAGCCATTTGTGACGGATTCAACCCTTCAAAAAGTCAACGTGCTAAACTTTTGCCCCAGGCGAGAACGATAGCAGGAACGGTGGCAAGAAATTATTTGTAAGTGTTTAGAGTAGATTACGTAAAACGCTATTATATATGGTATAACACAAAAATATTTTTCGTATGAAAATTTTAAATCTGAAGTCCTCATATATAAATTACAGTAACAACGCAAGATCACACCGCAAAAAGAGCCAGAACAGTCCATCGTGCTCAGTGGAAGACGGTGAATCGAGGATGGGCGACGAGTGAGCGGTTACTGTAACAAACATTCGATCTCAGCTTAGTATATTTATATATAGCGTAGCGTAGCATAGCACATTTATTCGAATCACAAACTTAATGTATAATATGTAATGTATTTCATGATTTTAAAACTGTTAATATTCATACTATCGCAGTAATATTACTGAAGTGTACTTCTAAAATGTTATCATTGCACTTTGATATTTATTTATTTATATTGTTCAGAACATGGAGTCATAAATAAACGATTCGGAGATTTAAATATTCACAAGCGGTGTCCATTCCCCCTTCGCCTGGGGGCTTTAGAAAACAGATAAGTGTCTTCTGAATTTATTCAATTTCGAACTTTTGTTTTGCCAACAATCATAGCCTCAGGGCTTTTACAAACATTCATAGGCTTAGGGCTTTTCTCGAACAATCAGCGCCTTAAAAGTTTGGCGCCTCGAGGGCCCTCGACCATCAACTGCATAACTTCGGATACCCTTGACATGGGGACCTCCCTCCCCGACCTCATTGTCCCTTTTGCGCCAAATTTGCATAAAGAGATTGTCGTCTCTTCGGCCCAAACGCGGCCATCAAATGTTTTGCGTATTTTATTGTTTAGAACTCAAGTTTGCCGCTTATAAATTATACTTTTTTCAATGTTTTTTGGTTTTTAAATATTTTTAAAATTAAATTATGAGTTATTAAAGGGTTGTATGATACTGTAACGACACATAATGTTGTCGTAATGCCTTTTACAATGTAACAGAATCATGTTATTTATAGCTGCTCGTTTATTACACGTTTTGTTGATTGCATTTCCTGATTTTCTAGTCAACGTAAATGTTATTCTTCAAACTAAACACATAAAAATATACATATACCTTTATATAGTATATGCACCCTGTAGATATATATAACTATATTAATATATATGCTTTCAGCTCTCTTTGTGTACATATTTGATAGTGCTGGCAGTTGAGACAATGACAGAATTCGATTCGAAACATAGATAACACCTCAATGTGAGAACATTGCCATCGTGTTTCGAATATGAATCCGAAGCGACATCAGATGTATAACCTCCGGGATCTGTTTCAATGGTCTTCTGACTACTGGAGCAGGCTACGGAGCACGGTGAAGGCACATTTGCATATTGAGCCCTACTCGTTTGTTGGATTGGTCATCTTCGGAGCGTTTTTACTCTGTATTTTGGTAAGATATATCTTTTTACACTGAATTAAAATCGTTGTTAATTTTTATTCTGTAGTAAAAATATTGTAGTAGGAGCAAAAATATGAAAATATGTTTATAAATGACAGAAACGTATTAATAATTACTACACAGAATCTAAAAAATTGTGATTTTTACCCATCATTATCACTTAACTCTAACCCACCCCCCGCCGTATGTTAAGAGAACCCACCCAAACATGGGTATATTGTTGTAATGTCAGAAAGAAGAGTATGATACTGCGGGATAGTCCCCGGGGATTATTTTATGGGCAGAGAAAGGCCCTCGGACGTTCCTTTACTTTTATTCGTAACATGCATTATTTGCAGACATGTATGCCTCTGGCATGTTGTTGTAACCGGAAGAGCAAAGGCAATCAACGCCGATTAACGACCAGTCGGGTAGGTATTGTTTTAATATTAATTGTGTCCTTCAGAGTAAGCAGACTGTGAATAATGTAAGGGACGACGATGTTAAGACGCCATTGTTCAGAGAGACATCAGCTGATGCCCTTAAGAAAGTAAGTCAATATCTCTTTGTTTTACTTTTAGTCTCGAGGTTAATGCAAATAAAGTTTCTAGTCTACTTTCATTATAAAAATTTATTTATTATCGATTTTAATCAAAGTATTCACAAAATACACAATAATGTAGTGTAAATTTGATTGTAGCTTCAAACCCCTCAACCCGACCGTCTTTCTCGTGAACTTCTATTAAAGAAACACAATATCAGAACAGCTGATGAAAGCCCTCCTCCGCCCCGTCGCTCAAATGGAGGTCGTACTCTGATAGTACCATTAAATGGCTCCAGCTACAGATTAAGTAAGTACTCAAAATAATTCTTCTAAAGGTAATGCCAACCCTGAATTGGCTTATTGACTACTTTGCACAATGTTTGTCATTCTTGATGGTGTTTTAGACAGAGGACAAACAGCACCACTATTAGGTACACCAGACAGTCGAGTAACATCGTTTGAAGCTGGCACAACGAAGAGTTGTGCTACTATTCCCGAAGACGACGAGCTAGAGCTGGATGACGAAATTACTGTATATAATAATATAAAGACTCACGAAGTAACTGATGACCTCATTTCTATTGACAGAGTAAGTTGAAAGAAGATATGTATAACTTTGCGTATTGTACTCTCTTTCAGACAACTGTAGTTACTGTAACAAATAACTACTTTTTAATTTTTTTTGTTAGGGGTTACCTATACAATATCTTCCGTTACAGACCTATATATCAAGACGTGACTGCCGATCAATAGTCAATAGACCACACTATACCTCACTCATAGACCCTATACCTCAACCAATGTACAAAGTAGGCTATTGTTAACATACTGTATCACGTTACATCACTTTTCATAGCAAGTAATTTTAGTTTAATCCACCATCTTACACTCCGCCAGAACCTCCGAGACCAGATACTGTAACCTCAACCCCTGCCAGAAGGTCCAACATTACCAGTCATCATATCACAACCTTTGGACAGTCAAATCTTTCCAGGTATTACCGTATCTATTTTTTGTTAGATTAATATTTAAATTTACAGAACAGTTATTTAGTTAATTTTACTTTCAGTCCGGACGCCTCTAGTCTAGGATTAGGGTCGCTAATGGAGACAACCGGCTCGGGAAGCTACGCGATCACGATGGAGAGTGAAGACAGAGCCAGAGTATATTATGATAAGGGAGAGAAGAACTTCATCTCGGAACTGGACGAAAGCTCAGTCGATATTAATTTCCGGAACGTGGTACTGCATAGGTAAGTCTACTATAATATCACTAAAAACAGCCAAAAAGTATTAATTTTGGTATTGAAAATCGCATGAAATGGCTACCTATGTCGTAAACTACGTGAGTATTATCGTATTAAGTGTGAGTAACACCAACTGATTAAATAAACCTTCAGGATAGAAGAAGAAGAGTCCAACTTCGAAGATCCTTCCTCCATTGGCAGGTTCCTTGGATCGCCCTCAGGGTCTGGACTGTCGAACAAGTATCACATGCCTCTGATTGGGTCCATGCATCGTATTCCCAGGTCCATATCACAACAACTGGAGCTGATGAACGGCAGTCGGCTCAACAGTTAAGTACCAACTGGACATATTACCAATACCACTTCAATTTGTGATTTGGATGTTCTGCTTACTTTTGGAACAAACTTGTATATTATAGTATACTATACTACGTTTGGTCGAGTATACTACGTTGGTTTGGTCGAAAATAATACCAAATTCTACGAACCTTTTGACCACTTAAAGGAAGGCTATGTTAAAATCAAAGTGGCCTTTTTATCTTTTAAAACATTGTTGATGGACGTGAGCTACTAAAGAAGTTTATAGTGTTTTATTATTATTAATAATAATATTAATATTTAATAAAAAGTACCGGTTATGTTGAGAATCTATAACGCTACACGGTAATCATAACAGCAACAAGAACTAAAAACAAATAGAATAAGAGGGCACTCGAGTAAGAACAATAAACCGGGTAGTCTAGTCGGGGAATAACTTAAAGAAGGCGATTCTGAGATTTTGTGTCAGCTACAAGCCTAAAACTATTCAAAAGTGCCGGAGGCAATATGAGGCAGTCTATAATCTACAAACCCTTGCTTTTACCGGAGAAAATGGGCAAGTTCTGCGAGTTTTAACATATCACAAAAGTCTAATTTTCACAATTTTTAAATATTCTTTCCAAGAAATTAACTTTTTCTTATCAAAACATAGGTCTCGCAACGGTTTTTGGCGTTAAAAACATTTTTGGTATTGTGCACCATGAAGAGAAATTTTGCCAAACTGCCCCAATTGCTCCAGAATAAAGATAGAGGTGGACGAGTGAAGGAAGAGTGGCGCGTCTAACAAAAAAGAACAAAAAGCTGTCGCATCAAGCCGGCTTGATGGATCACAAGAACTTGAACGCCATATCAGTCTTCTGAGGTGTTTGTGGGTGAGGTTCACTTGCCATGTAGCCGAAGCCGTTCCTCCCGGCTTCAGCATTAGCCACAAATCCGTTTTGTTGGTACTCGTAGCCGAAGAAGTAGTTGTTGTAGTCGGTTCGGTGGCCGTTCATATCAACGTTCATTTGAGACAAGTGTGCAGATGACTTGAGTTGGTTGTTCGCTTCGGCTTCTGCTTTAGCCTGTGCTGCGCGCTGCTCCATCTCCATACGCAGCGCAATAATACTTTCCAGAGCCGAGTCTTCCGCCGAAGCCGAGCTGACCGAGCTCAACGTGGATTCAGTAGAAGTGTGGCTGAGACAGGTCGAAATAGTCAGTTCAGCCGGTTCTTTGGTTTGTGTAGCTGCGTCTGAACGTGTCTTGGCGGACGGGGATAGTTCTCCCGAATGCATCATGTCTCCCCCACCGTCCAGCAGGATTTCGGCTAGCAGGGGATCCAGAGATCGGCAGCCAAACATCTTGGCCAACTGGAAGTTTTCGTTGTAAATCGCGGATAATTTTGCAATCGAGGGCAGTAGAAGTAAGATGCTGGCGAATCTGGAAGACGCGTTGCTGAGAGAATGTTCGCTTCGTTCACGGATAAATTGGAAAAGGGCGTTCTGGACCTTGTCCTTCACCATGCTTAAAGCTTCTGAAGTTTGAAGAGAACATCCGCAACTGTCTGAAAGTTTGCCATTATTTTTATGTTTTAGATTAAATATAGGCAATGTTTTTTCAATTTAAATAGGTTTTATTTAAAGACTAAACTCAATTCAAGCGTTCGAAACTATAAAAAAGCAAAAGTAATATACTTACCGCCATCTAATAGGATCAGAGCAGATAGGGCAACTCGCTCGGCCTCTAACAAGTGCAATTTGCGAATGGGACGGACCAGTTCATCGAGTATTCGGCCGACCATGTTATTTGCCAGCAAACTAAAATACGTTAATACAAAAGGTGGTTTTCTTACTTGGTGTCAATCAGATGTCGTGGTAGATTCCGGGGAATCAAAGCACCATTACAAAGACATAACGCATCACTGGCTGATGAACATACATTAGCTGTATTTGTTGCCTTTTGGAATGCGGAGAACGCGGCGAACGAATTCTTCAGAAGAGCACACTGAAATTACCATAATTATGTTACAAAGTAACAATTTGAAAAGTAAGGTTTTTGGTTGTTTGAGTACGTTTAAAAATACTTTAACGTGCTCGTTTTGTCACAAAAACTAAGGGAGATACAGTATATATATACAGCTGTATTCTTACCTTTTCTGTGACATCGTTGACATTGGCTAGCGAGAAAAGGGCGTTTACCCAGTCGATGGCAGAAACGGCATACGCTCGCATAGCTGAAGACAGCTGGTCCACGCTAGCCGTCCTTGGAGGGTCTTGGTTGTTCATGGGATTCCGGTAAAGGTTAAGGAGGTTGCGGTCTTCGAACAGTTCGTAGAGGGAGGCCTCCATCTCCTGCTTCACCTTCATTATCCCTATCGCCTCGGATCGCTGATAGTAAAGGGGATGTTCGACGAACTTGGGGGCTTGGGTTCTCTTCATCTCAACTTCGATCAGGAAGCTGAGCAGAGAGTCTTCTTGCTGGGACCCTTCTTCGACCGGTAGGTCTTCTTCTTTCTTTATTTTTCGTTTTCGAGGATTTTTCTGTTTGCCAATCACGTCACGATCGGGCCGAATGGCTTCTGGCTCCATCCCCACTTGAAGGCATCGTTGAAATCGACAGAATCTGCACGCGTTTCTTTGGTCTGAAGTTCGAAAAATGAAAATTGAATTTTTACTGCAAATTTCAAAGTTTGAAATACGAAATTTTTTAAATGTGACAATTGAAGTTTTTTAAATTTTTAAAAATTTCGGAATGCCTCACCTTTGTCAATACTGCACTTCTGCATAAATCTGCATGTGTAGGTCTGGTTCGATCTTATGGACCGACGAAAAAACCCTTTGCACCCATAGCAAGCCAATATCTGAAAAAAGATTCTTTACGAGAAGAAGCTACGTGCAGAATCGAAAGTTTAAAATTTTTTAAATTAACCAGCTTTCCAGTGTGTGTTTGACTCTGTGCTTACCCCGTAATGTTTACCAGCAGATTTATCCCCACAAACCATGCAGATCCCGTCCAGCCCGTTGATGGAGGACGACTGATGCTGCAAGTCCATCATTGCTCGAGTATGGCTCTGAAAGAAGAATATAGTATAAGCAGAATGGGTGTCCACGCACACGGATTAGCAAGTTGAAGGGTGCAGAAAAAGATTAGCCCAATAATTGGCAGGATCTTTCAATAACGCCAAGATATTCTGCAGCCCGAGGCTTAACAATAAAAACGCAATACCCAAACGGAAAGACACGGCCTTAGGGGAACGGCCCCCTCATAAAAAATAAAATGTTGCCGAAACAGTCGGCCGAATGTATCAAAGGGGGGAACCCGAGAGGAAGGTCAGGAACGATGGGACAGAACAAAAAGAACGGCCGCCGTTCCCTTGCTGCTCGGTGGGGAGGCAGCAGGGCGAGAGAGCGGGGCGAACACGGGCCCGGACCGGTCGCACTGCAACTCTTTTCATGTTGCTGTTGCTGCTGGGAGAGAAGGAAGGCGAGGGAAACGCTCTCTCTCCCCACACTTGAAGATTTCCCGCAACTCCGGGGGAACGGAACGTTCGGGAGAGCCGGAAAGCCCAGGAACGGCCGGCCGTTCCGGCTCACTGCCACTTACTCCGACCGTCGTTCCTCTCCAATGGGACAATCTCCGTGATTCGAAACAAAATAAAACAAAGTTATTTCTGCACGGAACACCCGACGTTAATAAATAAAGCTTGCACTTTTAGAAGCAGGGCCAGAGTTTGAGTAAAGTATTTAATTTGCATGTACTTTTATGTTACGGAAAGTGGTTTTCTGGTTGCAAAAAGAATGGCATCCATCTCAAAAACTGCACTCAAAGTAGTATTAGAGAAAATAAACAAAGAACGAAAAACAAACTAGTATATTCACCAACTAGTGCTTGGCGTAACTAGTACTTTTTATCAACTAGTACTCGGCCTAGCTATTACTTTGCCTAACAAGTACTTTTGCGAATTACTAGTTTGCCTAACTAGTACTACTTGAATGCGATTTGTCTGTAAAGCGATATTGTCATCCATCTGGAAACCGCAAAAAGCAATCAGAGTAGTAATGGCGCCAGAAACACGTGGCTGCAAATAAACGATCATTGATTGATAAGACGCCCAAAAAGGTGGGTATGAGTTACGAATGGGTAATCAATCACATCACGTTGTGCCGCGCAAATATCACCACGTGGGTGAAGGAGGGAAATGTCATAAGAACCGACCGGAATTGGGTCGGCGAGAAGCGTGACATTACTTTATGATAGGGATGATAAGTAATGCCCTTAGGGAAGGTGTGATAGCGCGACACAAACTCGAAACGTCACAGGTTCGGATAGTTAAGGGCTGAGAAAGGGTCCAAAAGAAGGTCTCGAAACATAGAAACAGCGACAAAGAATAAGAGGGAAGACGTCAGAGATCAGGACCCCGAAACAGTATAGGACCATTCTCATTCGGTCAATAAATCAATCCCTCGGGGGAGTTTTGTGTATCATACTGTAACCCGAAAGCCGGATTCCAGTAACCGTGCACCGGTTTTGTGTGTGTTTAGGAGTTCTTTTTTTGTAGATCCGTGAGTGTGCTCGGGGCCGAAAGACAGAATGGCCAAGCATATGCGAAACAGAGCCAGGCCCGCCCCGCTGGCCGTTTGGGAGGGGGGGGAGAAACTCTCAACTGGTACCGGCCGGCACAGCTTCTCTCACACTTCTACCCGCAGGCCATGCTTTATGCTGCAGCGGCTGAGAATAGAACGGCGCGGAACGGCGTTGGTCATTCCCGTTTTTCTTTCGTTTAATTAGGGATCGAGCAGTGGCATGGCAGGGAGGGGGGGCTCGCGGTATCTTAATTCGGCTTCCGGATGTTCATCCAGAGCAGCATGACATGGCGCTGCCCGGCACGGTACGAACGTTACAAAAACAAAACAACACAAATCTAAAGAACCGGTTGTATAAACAGGGAAACGACACGTCGTATTGCCCTTGGTATGAGCAACTTAATACCATTAACTTTAATGATCCCCGACACGGTAACCATTCTACATTACTGCCCCTACATTACTACTGGAGAAAGCACAAACACCAACCTTTGATAGATAATATTACGTTATGGCAATTGCACTAGAATAACTTTACAACACAACTTAAAGTATACCATAGGTAAAGGGGCATAAACATTGAAATAACATACAGTAATACGATGGTGAGTGACGAAACCTAATTTACTTTGATAATGGTAAAATAAGTTTAGACTGTAAGTGATACCGTAATGGTGTTGCTCAATATAGATATTGTAACAAAGCTGCATACAATAACATAAACAGAAGTGTAACTTTGACAAACCGAACACTTAAGAACGAACACAGTACAAAGAGTAATGACATTGCGTGCAGATGTACGTTGGAGCAAGATTACACCGCGCAGGATGCGAAGGTCGGCTTCTGAAAAGCTGGAGATAAATATAAGTTCTGTTAAGTACAAGACAGCATCTTTACTCTACTTTACTTAAGAATGTAACTCAGAAGGCGTCACAATAACTATAGAAGATAAAAAGTAAATTCAAAAGACATTAACGTAAAGCATAAGGTTATTATAAAAAAATTGATAACTTTGAAACTGTTTAAAAAATGTCGAGAAGAAGACCCTCTCAGTGTTACAGTAACCCCTGTGATAACGGATGGAAGCGATGCACTTTTATGGGGATGAGTGCGCTCTACCGCCTCTCTACCGTACAGTAAACAAAGTTACAAGATTTCAATGAAAAAGTAACCAAGTGATGCAACGATGACATTCTGGGTTGTAACCTTGATTAATCTTCTGATCTAATGCTCTCAATAACAATAATAATATCAAGTTTCCATCGCCCGAGGGACCACTGGGGAAGGTTCCTCGCGACGAATTTCTTGGAAAGATTACTTCTTGACGTTGTCGCTGACAGTTCTACAGAAGCCGGGGCTATTATAGGTTAGTTCGACTACCGTTGTTGCAACTAATAGTAGACTTTACAGCTGTTTTATTACTCTAACATCTATATTGTAGTAGCGAGTTACTGTACTTATAAACAATACTTCTTATACCTAACATTTTTTTGTCAAATTCTTGCCATTTTCGATGTTTTAACTCAATTTAATATAAAATACGGTCTTTATGAAAACACTTACTGTTTCTTTATTGGGAAAACACGTTTTGTCACGTAGGGAGAGAGAGAGCAAGGCTTTAAAGGTCGAGGTTACTAGTTTATTGATAACACCAATGTTTTCGAAAGAATAAAGAACATTTGGTGTAAAGGGAAGACCGTAAACACAATCACTGTATTCGCAAGAAATACAGTAATATTTTGCTAAAAATTTACAGTAACCTGTAAAAGTTTGTTTTACTGTAGAATTCTGTTTAATTTTTACAATTTAAACAAAAAACTTTAAATTTTACGTAATTTAAAAAATTTTTTTTAAGTTTGAAATCTTATATTATTTTTAAGCCTAACATGTAATGTACCTAACATATAATCTAAATACCAAGTATAAAACTACAAACTATTCCCACTTTATATTCACCAGAAACTACTTTGCAAAGTTAAAAGTAATGAATTACTAATAAAAAACATTACAATTACTCAGCTATTCCACTACAACTTGTTTACATTGTTGTGCCATCGTATGTCATGTTCCTCTGTTTCAATAACATGGCATTACAACTACCGTACTCCGCGAAATAACAATCAATTAAGTGCACAAACATTCGTATTACATTGGTATTAGGATACTGTGTGAAAGCATACGGAGTAGGTAGAGAGATTACAGTTTTAGGAAATAAGGCATACTGTTGATTACATAAAGTATGTTGTACTATTAAGAATGTCATTGTAAGACAGAAATACAGTATATAACTGTAAAGTAAACTTACAATACAAAATATAATTTTAAAGATAACTGTTTCAGTAACTTGAGTATACTATTTTAGTAAATTAAGTACACTGTTTAAGAGTAGTATTTCAGTGTTACCAGTAGTCCTTCTTGTATATATTACTTTACATTCTCCACATTCTTACTCAACTCGGCATACCTGCATAATCAACTCTACTCACACTGTTTGTGTTTAGACTATGAATACATTAACATATAGTTAACACATAGTAATGTAATTGTGTTTAATGTCAACGTAACCAATAGTATGTAAGAGTAACTACTACAATACTGGTTACATCTAGATATTGTAGTAGTTTATCACCATATACAACTGTTACGTAATGTCTTGTTATTTTGGGTACAAACAAGAGTTACCATATTTAATCAGCGAGTTTAAAAACGTCCTTATCAGTAAGTGATAAGCAAACAGACAAACGTGGTTACTTGAATTCTTTCTTCCCTAAGGCGTTTTACAAAATATGAGCAAACAACAGCTTAAGTAGTCAAAAAGTAGATGGAAAAGCATGTTTGAAAGAACTTTATTTACAAATGTAATTCTATTGATTACGTTGTACTACCAACATTACCTACAATATAAATGTAAGGAAAACCAATATTCTGGTCAAAAACTACACAGAAAAACCAATTAAGTAAAACTTTATAAATCTATTAATAATTTGACCAAAACATTTTAAACATATTAATGTAGGTATCAACCTTTTGAACAACAAAAGTAGAATAAAAGTTTATTATCACTTGCTTTCAGTAATCAGTAGGCACTGTACATGGCTATATACATTTCTTGTCGTATATATTACCGAATACCAGCTGTTCCAAAGTACTCGGACTTTCACGGTCAGTTCATCTTGATCTGCCATTTCAATTATTTTGAATTTTAAATTGAGTATTTGAAGTAAGTCCGAGAACTTTTGCAACAGTCTGGTATGCACTCGGAGTAAGGGTCATTTGTTTTTGGCACTGGTGAGTCATCTGAGGATGACATTCCTGATGTTACACTATCGAACAGCAGACTCCTTTCTTGTTCCGCTTCTTTACCCGTTTGGGGGGATTGGCGACACAGCCGGCCGAGGGAATTGCGGCAATCCGAATAGCGGCCGCGACAATCAGAAGCTTGAGCTGGAAGCTGATGGCTAGCTGAGTGAAGCGAAGCTGGGACAGCTGGGCCTTGCGCGGCTCCAGCCGGCCCACTTCCTCGCCGCTGCATTCCAAGACACATTGGAAGAGAATTGTCCTGAAAATGTAATTAATTTGGCCATGTTCACTTGCCTCCCATCTCCGCTCTCGTAGCCCACGAACCGTGCTATGGGAGTACGGTCCTTGTTTTGCACCACGAATGGCTCGCCTGTAAACACGGTTTTATAATGACACAACGGGTTCGACAAGCTTTATAATTCTGAATCTATTTGTCTTCATCCAACTCAATACATTATACTGTAATATCTCTAAATGATAGCAAAACAAAATAGAAATGATGAAAAAGTGTGACAGATTTCAGCAGCCTCTCTCTGTTACATCATATCACCTAAGGTGACTAACTACACGATTGCATCAGAAGCCCCCCAATTGCAATATAACATTAAACTTGAAACACTGACCGACTTGGAAGTAGCCCACCACTTCGTCTTCCTCGTCCGTCACTTCGAGAAAATTCGATTTGGGCTGATTAAAGTTCCACGGCTTCCACGATCGCCCCGAATCCGTCAACAATAACACCGTACGACCGTAGGATTCCAACACCCAAGTGCTGGAGAAGCAACTCGTCTTCTGCCACACGTCCAACAACGGGAAGCCGGTGGAGTCTGTTACCTAAAACAATATAACTCAGTGTTTTTAATAACGTGATTTTTAAGGTATGTTATTCTACATACACTGTAGTTACGAATATATTGATGTAGAATACTATAAAAATAAGAGGTCAATAATATTAATCATAACGATAACAGTTTTAAATATTATGACCAAAGTTATCGTAAAACATGATAATTACTTCCTATCAAATATGATATATTATAATCACCGCTCTAGCATTGATCAATCAGTTATAATTCAAAGTAACCCAACAAAGCCCTGACATGAAATCAAAAGAATAGATAGATACCTGCAACTCAGTGCCCGCTCTCCGAATGCACAACGTCTTGGTGGTGGCGATGTAGTTGAGGACCTGGGTCTTGTTGGGAGCAGCCATCTTGAAGCCGCGTACCACCTCTGGACTGGGAGTATCCGGCGAAGGCCGACGTCCGGAATGCACGCCTCGCCCGCCCTCATTATTCTCGAAATCCTCATTTGCACCGCAATCCTCGTCCAATAGCACGTCTTCATCAGCCATGTCTTCGGACGCGGTTCGACAACGTTGACTTCTCAGCGTCTCGCACACTTCCGCATCGGCTAGCTGAGAGTCCTGAGAGCCGCGGCGATGTCGAGTGATCGGAGTCTCAATCAGGAGCGCCGGATCATGCGAACTGTGCACGGGCTGATGCTGGCTGTGCTGTGAGAAACGACGATGTGTCGTCACTAGCACGGTAGGTTCTGTATGTTCTTGTCGACCTAAAATATAATCGACTAGATCCAATTATTGAAAATTACTTTATTTGAAAGTACTGTATTTGAAATTTGAAAACTTCAAGAAGTTCATTATATTAAAATAGGTAAGCAAGAAGTATTTAAGTAACAGTTTTAGTAAAAAAGATGAAATTAAGTTATCTACCCGACTTTGTGCCTAAAATTTTAGAAAAAAAAATATTTTCAGCCTTTGTTAAAAACTTAAAATTTAAAAGCCACAATCTGATGCTAAGAATTTTTAAAGCCGTGTCGACAAAAGAAATGCTTGAACCCACTAACTATGATATCTACCAGCTACATAAGTACCGTCCTAACTGCCTTCTTAGTCTGACGCACCGTGATACTGATTCCGTCGACTCAACTGTAGCAGCATGGAACGGCGAAAGACGGCCTGGAGGTCGCTGAGGTCGCCGCCCAGTAGTCGGACCTGCTGGGCACGGTCCAGTCGAGCATGCATCCCATGGAAGAGCGATTAGAGCCTCAGCCGTCTTCTAGCCCCGAGGCACTCTAATCGTTCCCTTCTTGTGCCCCTTTCACAACTACATGTCGCATAACGCGCGGACCGCCGTAATTGAAAGCAATTGGACTTGAAAAGAGGGCGAGAGTCAATAGCACCGTGCAGTGCCCAATCTAATGAGGTTCGTTAGGCATTAGTCAGCGCGCGACCCAATCCACCCTTTACAACTGTTTTACTGACATTTCGAATTGGATTTAGCTCTTCCCACCAATAACCAAGCATTAACAACTCCTTTAGTATACAAGACAGTACCTAATTATGCTAAGTACTGGCCTGTATACTAAAGTTCCTGCAACTAGCACTTCATTAAAACCCACCTTTGTCGTGCTTGTGTTGTCGTGTCGTTCCACTAGAGGAAATTGACGTAGAAGCCGTCGACGGTGTCCTCGAAGGCTGCTTCTGAATACTCTTGGCCGCTACAGTCGCAGGCAACACCCTCGATCCATTGGAACCTCGTCTGACCAGTCGAACGCCGTTAGTAGAGCAAACCGAAGAACTGGACGTGGAGGAGCTTCCCTCGTGAGTGCCTGAAAATATTCACATAAAGGGATGCGTCTCCGAGGGTCACGGGCGGCCAAGATAAAGTCGAGAATCCGGTGAACGAAAAGAGAGCCTCTCCCAGTGCTGTGAACTCAGTAGCACGAAAAGGGGTCAGAATCCCAAATTAATTTAGCGATAACCGGATATGAGCCATCCCTTTCTAGTCTAAATAAATTCATGAGCCGCCCCTCCCTCGTCAGAATACATACAAAGCCATATTTGATATGAGCCCTTCCTCATGTCTAATATACCCTTTCTAGATAAGTACCGTTTATGTTTGGTCAAAAGTAATGTTCAAAGATTCGGCCATTTATCAAACCGCAACGCACCATAATCGACGCTGCTCTTCTGCTTGGCTTCGAAGCCACCGTGCGTGGGCTCCATCAGATTCTTTATCTCCAACTCTTCGCACATCCGCCCTCGTTCGCGCTTCAGATGATTCGCACTTAACGGTTCGTCCGGAAGAAAGGACCGCAGCCCCACACTGCACTCGGCCGAAGTCATTGCTTGAATAAATTATTATAAACAGGGTTAAGTATGCAAAATCAGAAGCGCCAACAGCATAATAGAAAACAGGGTACGGTAGCCTCCACCGTCTCGCCCTTTTACCCATCAAATTGGCAAAAGCACGTTATTAGCGCTTTTAGAGGCACAGCTTCCTCCACCGTGCCAAAACATTCAGATTCTGTCTACAGAACTATGACAAAACAAACATGACATTCGTATTAGTAGGCACTTGAACCATAGAAACAGAAGACATTAGCATCATCTCAATCTAATTAGACATTCAATTAAACACTTATGTCAAATACAATGTCACCTTACCTTGAATCACTAAAGCCATCAGAAATAGAACGAGAGATAACACGATAGGCTCAAGACTCAGTTCGTAATTGTCATGTCCACCCCATCGATCTCCTGGATCGAAAACAATACCAACACCCAAATAGCCGTTCTTTCCCCGACTTTACGATCATAAATGGCCTCAGGTGATAAATTAAGATTTAAAATCGTAAAAGTAATGGAACAAAGGAAAAACGGCTGCCGCCAAGAGACAGGCTCGTCACAAGTCGAGGCTTGAACTCGGTGTAACTCACATGGACCAGTGGTCACATCACGCACCTTCTGGCCACCGAAAACCGTTTTTGCCAACTTTTTTTGGCCGACATCTACCACCCGACAACCTCTCCCACACCCTGAGGGATTCCCACTCTTTCAGAAACACATTAGCAGTTTCGGGGGGGGCGCCAGTTGGAAATAAACCCGCTGCCCTGAGGGGTATTGGGTCAAGTAGAAGAAGGAACCGCGTCCCCAGTTCCGGCCCCATATTTCGAAGGTCTTAACTCATCTCCGTCCTGTAATCATGTCTTGCTTGATTAACTGCCCCAACTGGGAAACAAAAGGACACGCGGGCGATTGTCCGTCTATAATATTGCCGATAACATGGAACGTAAAAGCCTACTATAATAGGGAGATGGGACGTAAAAGACTACTACAACATGGAGACCAGATCTTTTCGTAATACGAAGATAAAGGAGACGTCTTCTGCCAGAATCTCATGTGAACAACAATTTGGAGCAGGTCCCCCGCACCTCAAGAGCCGACCCAAGATGCTTAGAAAAACAAAAGACCGGCCATGCCCTGAGGGGAAAGAGCGTTTTCTACCTTTTCCGTCTCCAAAACCCAAGAACGGACACATGAAACACAACCCCATTCCCAGGGCATGCCGGAAATTAATGTCGCGCACGAATATACGAAACGCCGCAAACTTGATACCCATTAGCTGCACGTGAAATTCGACTACCTTTTGGCAATCCAAATTGCCAGATTTTAAAATAGAATACGTTGTTATACTCAACATCTAGTATATGCAGCGTGTTTAGCAAACGTTAAACATGACCAGGTAATGTAAAGCGTAGTATATAATGTCCAAAAGTAGGGTTACTTCATACAAGCGAGTTAAATTGCGCCTTCAAAATACTTGAATGTAGGCTTTATTTGGAATAATTAAGCACCTGTTTATGGCTGACCTGTTACATAACATGCAAATATTAGATATGTAGAGAGTGACACGCATATATCATAAAATAAATGGAGATCTATGAGCCTGAAATGTCGGTTGTGGAGCAATAGACTAAGATATTGTTGTCATAAAAGTTTCCTGTCAATTTTTCAAAATTACTCACAGACATTTGACTAAAAATAAGAAACATTTAAGTCGAAAATTAATTTTCTTCAAATGACGTGCTTCATTATTCAAAATTCGATGTACTTTTCGACCGAATAAACAGAGAAACTTTTGCGACAACCTATTGTTTTAAAATACGGATATTTTTAACAAGTTATATGTAGCCATAATATATCTTGATATAACCTTATAGACGCTTTGAGCCTTTGTGTGATATGTTATAAAGTTTCAATACAGCACGGGGTGTGGATGCCCGGGTTTTGATTTATGATGTTGACACCTGTCATAAAACGTTGGTGAGCATTCAGCAGATTTCGGGGATGTTTTGGATCCAGATCTACAACTTGGACATGGACTGCGAAGTAGAGTGGCTCCGACGCCGTTTCTATTCGAATCAAACGGCTACTGGCCGACTCATCTGTCCAAACCGTAGGACCTCTGACTAACCGGCAATTAATCATCAAGCTGCAGTCTTTCATCGTGGCCGCTACGAAGTAGCGCTCCAGAAGAGAGCGTTCGTCGTTCGAAGAAAACAATTTAGAGCCGTCTTTTTGAAGCAAATTGTTTTCGTCGATTAATTGCTCCTAAAAGAAAACAAAGAGATGATTATTGTTATAATATTTTGTGACATATCAGAACTTTGAGTACTGTAATATTACTAACTGTTTTTGAAAATATGTTTACATGAATCTGCCAATTTTTGACCGTTCGATGATGTTATAACGAGTAATATTACAGCAAAAATACAGTAAAACAACAGTAATTCAAAAAAAATATTTGAACTATATGCTGATAACAGTTATGATAAATTAAGAGTCATCTCACCTTCACGTCAGCCGGCTGACGATCGTACATCTCTTTCGCTCTCACGATTCCTATCGTGTCCAGCTTTTGCGCCTTCAACAATGTCGTCAAAATAGAATTTTCATGAATGTAGAACTCTTCGTCAGATGCTCGAACACCAGCAAGCGCGTAGCAAAGCTAAATTAATATTAGTTGTCCGGAAAGTTCTGCAATATTTGAGTAGGTAAACTTTGAAAAATCAGAAAAAATTTATTTCTTGACGGAAAGAAAAAATTCTTTTTTTGTTTGTTTGTTTGTTACCTAAATTATTCAAAAAGGTAAGTTACATAACTTAATTTCATTTTTTTGTATTGTTTTAGGTATTAAAAAAAAATAGAGAAATCTCGCCTGCGCGTGATTATATGGAATGAATTCAAACGCGGAAATAATGCGGCAGAAACCTTCAGAATCATAAACGAAAATGAGGGTAAGAATGTTGTGAGTTATTCTACGGTGACCAGATGGTTCGCAAAGTTTCGTGTGGACGATGAGAAGCTTGAAGACAAACCACGTGCAGGAAGACCCAGCAAACTTGACAAAGATGCCCTGAGGCGCAAGATTGAAGATGACCCATATATTACAATCAGGGAGTTAGAAGAGTTTCTAAACTGTGGAAAAAGTACCATTGATGATCATTTGAAGGCAATGGGTATGATCAAAAAGTTGGACAAATGGGTGCCTCACAATTTGACTGATCTGCAAACAGCCAAGAGACGATGTGCTTCCGAAAAGCTTCTGCAACGCTGCAAAAACGAAGAATTCTTGGATCGAATTGTAACTATTGACGAGAAGTGGATCTCGTTTAACAATACTAGAAGATCTACAAGTTGGTGTAAGCGTGGAGAAGCTCCTAAGCACGTTCCGAAGCCAGAATTGCACGAAAAGAAGCTTATGGTGACTGTCTGGTGGTGTAGCTCTGGAGTGATCCAGTACGATTTCATGAAACCTGGCCAAAGTATTACGGCCGACACCTACTGTGCCCAGATTGACAAACTGCGACACAATCTTCCAACAATGGTCAGAAGGAGAGGTCCGATCATTCTGCAGGATAACGCACGGCCCCATGCTGCAAAGAAGACCGTGGCAAAATTCAGGGAACTGGGATACGAAGTCTTGGAGCACCCTCCTTATTCTCCAGACTTGGCTCCAATGGACTTTCACCTTTTTAAACACTTGTCTTCGTTTCTTAATGGAAGAATCTTCAAAACTCCAGACGATGCCAAGAATGCCTTCAAGAACTTCATCAACTCCAGAAACCCGGAATTCTACAATCGTGGAATAAAAAAGCTTGTAAATCGTTGGCAAGACTGTATTGATTCAGACGGTAATTACTTTGATTGATTGTAGTTGTTAATTATATTGTTATTATTGTTAGTTCAAAAGTGAATAAATATTGCAGAACTTTCCGGACAACCTAATAATAATTTACGTTGCAGCGAACCTCCTCCTACACAAAATCAGTATCCACAAAGAATAAGGTCAACATCTTAGAATAAATTACTTGAAATAATTGTACAATAAAACAGTTTGTTCTGCGACGAATCTTACCAATGACAACAAAACGTTGAGAGAGTCTTCCTGTCCAGGAAATAGCTGATTCTGGAAGCGACACAGATCGGAAAAATCCACGTGATCATCGTAAACACAGTCGCCGTCACGGAATAAACGAAGATTGCGGTGCGGATTCTTGAACAAAGATATCAAGGCATTCATCATACGATTGAAGTCTCCGCTGAACAGTTCCAAAGGACAGTAGTCGTACATCTTGCAGAACTCCTTAGATTGTGTCTTTTCTAACTAAAATAATCAAAACTATGGCAAATTTTAAGAAGGTATCAAGATTGCCACTTCTTTTACATGTATAAAGGATCCAAGTGAATTGCAAAATCCAATATCTTGACTGACCTGGAGAATGCAGTTGTTGCAAAACGAAACGTTAACTCCTGGATGTTTTTGATAAAACCCTTGTTTAGGCTTTATTTCTACAGTAATCGTTGGGCCGTACATGACTAAACTGTTGAAGATCTTTTTGGGCATCCGTGTAGCGTCTGGCATCTGGAGAGCGGATATAAACGGATTTTCATCAAGAACGGGAAGAACATTATCCAAGCTCCAATCAGAAAAAAAGATACCGAACTCTGACCGAGAACGATAATCCAAAGGAAATAACGACAGCGGAAACCGAATATTATCTCTGAGTTCCGAGAAGGAGTCAACCTTTTGGTTGTGTGGAAGCAAAGGTACCTATAAAAGTAGCGTAATAAATAGTAGTTACAAGACTAGAAAAATACGTGCCTACACCTGTATTTTTATTCAAAACATGTATCTCTTTTTAAAAAAGGTAAAACTAAAGTTTCTTTTTGACAAACGTCTTCATTTTTAAAATTGTATGCTCTGCACTTGTTTGTATAACCTACTTTAGCAATGTGAATCATGTCCTCAAAGTGAATCTTGACTAGTTGAGGTTCACAAAAGAAATTTGAGTTCAGCAAAGGTAGTACGTAACTCTTGATGTATTTCAATAACAGTTCACTGTTCGAATTGAGCGCCACAATTCTAGCTCTTTTATCCTTCGTCAGCCTCCATACTATCCTTAAAAGAATTTATATCTAACGTTATATTTTATAAATTTATAAAGTCCCAAAAAATAATTGTTTGCAACACTTTTAGTCTTCGCAACATCCCGACCGTATTACCTCATATCTTCATTCTGATGTTTCGCACTGACTACAACATTCCTCCGTCCTTCACCGCGGAAACAGAATCCCCGAAACTCCCACGGATCCACAATCATAACACTTTGGTAACGACGACTAGCAGCCATGTTTTAAAGCTACTTATGATTTTGTTGATGACACATGTTCATGTGAGAGGACCTCAGAAGTGAGGCGTAAAAACGATTGCGACAACCTTCTGTCCTGGAATCAATCGTGTTAGTCATTGCTTCCGGTCAAATTAAAATGGAATTCCAAAAAAACATAAATCGAAATTCAACATCAATTCTGAAAACAATCCCAATTCGACAAAATGAACATAAAAAGTCGCTCCAGCTGACTTAACCCAAAAAGTCGCTCCAAGTGAGAGTTTAACATCACAAAAACATTCAACGCCATGTGTAATATAAAAACGCTTCGTCAAAATTCCTTATAAGTAAAGAAGATGCATAACTATAAAACCAAAAATGACAAACCTCCTTTCGCAACCCAAGAAGTGTATAAAAGGAAATGTGACGGTTATTGTTTACACAACACTAAAAAGGAATTGTATTAACCATTTATAGTAAGATTATTGGAAAACTGGCATTGTTACAACAGAAGTATTGTTAAAAGAATTCTCAAGATAAAGATTTATAACAATATCAAAACATTAAAGCTCTGCTTTTTGACGAAATTTTGTTTTGGAAAAAATAAATTTCATAAATTAGGAAGAAGTCAATAGTGGCGTTCCGTCTTTTCTGCTTGACACTTCGTTTTATTCCAAAAAAATCCACGAAAATTTAAGAAAAAATTAAAATAATGTTCAATTCTGCAAAAGGTCGGATTCCGGTGATAGAAGATGTGGCTTCGACCTCTACAAATTACTCGACTTTTCAGGCGTTTGAAGATCTACATCGTGAAGATATCAGCAGTGATGAAAGCGACAAAACTGGGGTATGTCTACGAAACTCTTGACAGATTTTTGTTTTTAGTCTGACATTGAAATAACTGGGGAGATTGTTCGCACAAAGAAGCAAAAGAAAGAGAAGAAACACAAGAAGAACAAGAAACAGACAAAGGTACCACAATATTAACATAAATTGCTTTAACTTCTCATAACAACCTGAACCTTGTTTATGTCAATTTTAGGAACGAAAAAGGAAAAGACGATCGTCTTCTTCATCGGATATTATTGAATGTCCTCCGGCAAAAGTTAGGGATGTGGAAGAGGAACGAGTAAGTTAAAGTTGTTTTAGGATAGTTTTTGCAATCAGTTGAATAGGTTTTTGGAGAGGTCTTTTCTTAGACTGTAAGTAAGTATGTGAAATGTTTTTTTTTTCATTTCAGGTAGATAACTACACTTTTACTCAAAACGTAAAGAAGTATGGGCTGCCAGTATCATCACAAGCTTTTATTTCTTTGAAGCATCCTCGCTCAGTTATTGACAATCTTTATCCAGGGCAATATTACGATAACTCCGACCGGTATTTTAGTTCTAAGGTGACGGGAAACACGGTCAGTGTGGCTACAGAACGAGTTTTTACTCCGAGACTTTATGATTACAGTGCCACTTATATACCTTTGTCTACTACACCTGCAGATGAGGAAACGTGGAGAGTAAGTGTTAAATAAGTTAGAAGCTTTCTTATTTTGAATACCTTTTCAATGTTCTTGGTAATTCTGTTGTTCTAGAGCGAAGTCTTGAAAGATTTTCAAAGTGATATGAGTTCGGAAGAGTTTGATGCCTTGATGGAGAGCAAGATGGTGGGATACGACAATCTGTCTCCAGATGAGCAGCGAATGTTGGTACGAGCATCGTTGAAGAAAGATGAAAGAAGTAGAAAGGCTTGGGAAAGGTTTCTTGAGTTTGAGGTAGGTATAAGTTGATAACGACTGGGAACGGGTAAAAATATACTTTATGACATCTTCTACAGTACACATCTAGAGTTCTATGATGAAAAGTTTTTTACTGGTTTTTTATAGGAAAAGCTTATTACGGAGCGAATAAAGAATTCGGCTGGCTCTTCAGCTGTTATGATGATTCCACACTACGAAAGGAAGGTGGAGATTCTGAAGGAAGCCATCTCCAAAGTGAGGAAGCCTGACAAATTGTACTTCAACTTGTTACTCTTGGAGACCACGGTAAAATGGAAGGGAATCAACGACGAATCAGTAACGACCCTTTGGAACAAGGTTGGTTTAATGTTGGAAACAAGAGTATTATGTGCTTAAGTTAAAAGAATAATGTTTTTAAGAAGTATTTATGTTTTAATTTTAGTTTAAATGTTTTAGATTCAATCGCTCAATCCAAACGAGCCTGATGTGTCTAGATTCATGATTAAAAGAAATATCAACCACCTTTCAACTTTTCTTTACAAAATGGGTGTAAGTATAATATTGTACTTTTTTTGGGTATCATTACATAGTTAGTATAATTAACGTAATACACTTATTGTTTTCAGTTGTCGGCATACGAAAAAATGTTTTACCAGATGATGAACATATATAGTGGGTCCTTCGTATCTCATCGTCCAGTAGCTTCAACGGCCAGCTTCATATTAGAATTGATGAACAACAGGTGTCGTTTCTTGATTGAATCTGGCTATGTTCACCTTGCGGTGGCCTCGTTACAATGTGCCTTGGAGTTTTTGTGTTTCTGTCCAGCAAGGTTACAGAACATCAAGGATAAGATCGCTGCGTTTTCAAAGTTCTGGAAGAGTGGGGCGCCCAGAATTGGAGACAGTAATGCTAAGGGTAAGTTTGTTTTAAGATTAAGGGCATACAATTATACAATAATGTTCTTATTGACACGTTGATTATAGGTTGGAAAGACACTAAACTGGAGGAGATCGACCTTAAGATGTATATGAGTGAAGAAAAGCTTTCGACCAACATGGAGTACGAAGAATTGACTAGGAAAGAGAGGGGAATTATTGGAGCTGTTAACATTGACCGGTCGTCTGGCTTGAGTTTCTTTTGGCATGAGTTCGAGAAGACTAGGATGAGTTACTTCTGGAGACCGTTGAGAGTACCAAATGCCGCTCGAGAGTTTGAGGTAAGGCAACATATTGTTAGTTCATTCTTTTAGGGAGAGTTTCGTTTTGTTTCCTTCGATGAAATTGCCATTTTGCTACGAGATTATGGCGATCTCAATGTGGAGGAGATTGTGTTTTCATTGCTACGAGTGTTTGGAGTTATCGATCCATTGGGGGAAGAGGACACTCAACAGAATGCGTTCTACAATTACCTACCACAGATGAAATTTACCCGATTGTTGCCAGATGAAAACTTTTCAGAGTTCGTGAGCAATCTCTTGATTCTACTGGCTAAGTCGCCTCATGTAGATACTACAAGGTGTCTGGTAGCTCTAGTTAAAACTACAGAACGCAGATTGTTGCAAACAGAAACGATAACAACAGAAGCGATAAAGGTTATCAAGGAATTACACAAGAAGCTGCCCACCATCTCCCAGATCTCCTCTCACATTGCATTTTTCCACATTTTGGACGCTTTGGCCGCTTTCTCCCATTTGCCAAGTCAATATGCTGGGGTTACATTGGCAGAGTATGACAAAGACGAAGCTCACGTTAAACGGAAGAAGAATGTCATCACTAGTTTTCTGACATATCTCAATCAGAACCCTTTTTCCATGGCCAAAGATGTGCAACAACAACTGATACTCGAGGCTGTCTTCAGGTGTTGCGTCAAGTTGCCGTCGCGGAACTCAAAAGGGAATTCTGAAATCAACCGACTGAGATTGTTGACTTTTTTGGTTTTAGGAAAGATAAAACACTTTTTGGATGTGGTGAGTAGTTTTGTTCGACATTATTATACTTAGCGTGTTTATGTTATCTATTATATTATAATCCTTTTAATTCCAGAAGACTGTGTTGACAAAAAGTGACATTCAAAAGGCGACGGAAATCTGGAACACTAATTTCAAATCTTTTATGGAGGTTGAAGCGGAAAGCCAGGAAAAGTGCCTTGACAATGTCTCGACCATCTTCTTCAAGTTGTTCAATATCTTCGCGTACGAATCGACTGGTGAATGTTTGTTTGCCAATTCAGCGTACGATGAGTTTTCTACCAATGATGTTCATCGTGTCAATTTTCGACTAGATTTCACTAAAGAACTGATGGAGAACAACTTAATTGATCTGAAGATGTACACTCTTATGGTGGAGAACGCCATGAAACAATACTCGACGGACTTGCATGTTCAGAAACACTTTATGGCAGTGTTGTCCTACAAAAGCTGTCATACTCTCGGTTTGATCAAGTTCGAGTATAAAGGTGTGTTTTGTGTCATTTCTAACATATGCTGTTTGTGAAAGAATTTTAATCTTTAGTTGATAGGTGCTCTTCATATAAAAATTTGTTAATTATAATAAAAACCAAATATCTTGCCTATATTTAGACATCACGTTGAGGAATCAAATGGTGTTGTGCAGGATTGCGGCGGTACAAAAGAAGATACTCAACATCAAAGATACGCCCGACACCAGACCTATCGTCGATGCGTATAAGAAATGGCTACGGACATTCATTCAAGAATCTCTGGAGATGCTTACTGATACCATCGTGCCAGAAACCTTTATTTGGAGATATTTGATTGCTATTGAGCTTGAAAGGAAACAATATTTGGCTGCTGAGAGGGTACGTTTTGACCATTTCTGAAATTTATTTAAAATTGTTTTTATAAATTAAAAATTTGACATTTAAAATGAAATATTTATACTCTGAATATTGCAGTTGTACACGGAATCAATGATAAACTGTCCGTACGGAAAGAGCCTTGTCATGTTTGCTACACAGAATGTTCATGCTCCAGACAAGTTGGTACTGACGAATCAGAACCTGGCAGAGAAGACTCATATAACGCTACACACATTACCTGAAGAAGCTCAGATCGCGAGGGATGAAATGATGAGAAGACCTCATTAAACTTGTCACTTAGTTGTTATAGAATAAATGTAGAGACTTTTTGTGTCACTTTATTGATATTCTGGTTACAAATCCATTGATAACTTAAAAGATTCAATCGTGTGTGACTTTTACCTTTATTGTTTTAGAAATGGCACAACATTTCGATGGAAATGTTGCCTTTGGAGAACGACCTTCTGTATCTGGGTTTCGGGCCCTCAGGTAAGATTTTTTAACTCAAGCTTTGCAAGATATAACAATATGTAATGTATAAAAATGGGTGATATTTCATGATTTTAGACATCCGATGGTAGTACTCGCTCATGTTGGCTTTAGAGGAGCGGCGTTGTTCTTCTACTTCTTTGGCAACTTTTTCTCTAGTTCTTTTATCATCCAGTTTTTGGTCTTGGTAAGCTGTTATTACATTATAATATTTCACTGTCTTGGTGCTTTTATTTTGAAAATAATGAACTTTTTTGTGCTTAATAATGACTTTTTTTACAGTTACTACTGCTGTCAGCCGACTTCTGGACAGTCAAAAATATATCGGGTCGTTTGTTAGTAGGACTGAGATGGTGGAACTTCGTGGACGCCGAAGGAAAGAACCACTGGAAGTTCGAGCAGGCGAAAGACTTGACCAGGTTCGACCCCAGCGAGAGATACATCTTCTGGATGAGTTTAGTCGCCGCGCCCGCCCTATGGGTGTTGTTCGTGGTGATGGCATTCATGACCCTTAAGTTTGAGTGGATGGTCGTGGCCTTATTGGGATGTTCGATGAACTTGGCCAACTTATACGGCTATCTGAGATGCAAGTGGAACAACACTACCGAGATGACTAACTACTTTACTAAGATGGCCTTCTTTTCGGTTCGTTTTCAGCGGAAAAATAGGTTTACGTAGTTTAAAGAGTTTACTTTTTGAACAAAAAAGTGGCACTTTATCATAATATTGTGTTATTAAAGATCTATTTGTTAATCTATCCATTACAGTTCCTGAGCCGCCAATCCCACGCCTCCGCCCAGCCCAGCACGACGACGATCTAACCCGACACTGACCCTTTAACTTATTGTAAGATATTATACTGTTATTGCCTGTGATAAAGACTGCGTGATCCTGAATTCGAAGTTTGTTTGCTCTTGAATGTTTGACTTTTCTCGGCCTGAGGCCCAGTGTTAATTGCAAAGTCTCTAGATAAAGTCGCGCATTCCCGACGCCCACTTGTCGATCCCGAGAATCAACCGGGATCTTCGCGCTTTTGTCCCGGATCCCTAAACACTCCGATCACAGTCGGAAGGACCTCCACTCGTTCCCATCCCCAAATGCTGAACGAGTACGAAAAAGACCCCGGATGGCAGTATCTGCGCCATTCTCGCGAGAAATTGCTTGAAGTAAGTTGATCATCCATTTGTGGAAATGACAGTTTTTCAAATTATTAATCTTGTTATCAATTAAACACAAGTGATCTTACCCAGTAGTTTCTGTTATGTGATACTGTATCATTTACACTGTAATTTTACTGATTTCAGTTCCAAAGCAAGCCTTATGATTCCAAGAAGAACGTTTGGATTCCAGATGCTGAAGAAGGTTACCTGGCTGCTGAAGTCAAGGAAGCCAAAGGTGACAATGTAGTTGTAACTGCCAACGGCGGCGAGGTAAATATCTTGCCAATATATGCGTAATTTGTAAAAATATTATGCTTATTTTGAGCCTATAAGATGCAACTTAACTATAACATTGTTTAATGAGTATGACATTTATAGTAATCACTTTTTAGAGAACCGTCAAAAAGGACCTGATTCAAGAAATGAATCCCTCCAAATTCGAAATGAACGAAGACATGTCCAACCTGTCCTTCTTGAATGACGCTTCCGTCTTGCACAACTTGAGATCCCGTTATGCCACTATGTTGATCTACGTAAGCGTAAACTGATCTTTTTGGTCATACTTACACAATTTGATAGTACTTATTATTTTACACGTTTTATTGTTGTAAACATACCCATTTGCAGACATACTCTGGTTTGTTCTGCGTAGTAATCAACCCCTACAAGAGATTACCCATCTACACCGACTCCATGGCCAGAATCTTCATGGGAAAAAGAAGAAACGAGATGCCACCTCATCTTTTCGCCGTCTCTGACGAAGCCTACCGTAACATGTTGCAGAATCACGAGAACCAATCCATGTTGATCACAGGTGAATCTGGAGCCGGAAAGACCGAGAACACCAAGAAGGTAATCTCCTACTTCGCTTCTGTTGGTGCTGCTCAAGCTGAAGCCTTGGGTTTGGCTCCGAAAGGTGACGAAGGAGGAAAGAAGGTTACCCTCGAGGACCAGATCGTCCAGACCAACCCCGTCTTGGAGGCCTTCGGTAACGCCAAGACCGTCCGTAACAACAACTCTTCTCGTTTCGGAAAATTCATCAGAATCCACTTCAACAAGGTCGGAAGAGTCGCTTCTTGTGACATTGAACATTGTGAGTTTTAATTCATATACATTCGATATTTAACAGTATATTACATATAGCTTTATATTGTATATATAGTATAATATTAATTTTTTACTCGTCAGATCTTCTTGAGAAGTCTCGTGTCATCCGTCAAGCTCCTGGAGAACGTTGTTACCACATCTTCTACCAGATCTTCTCCAATTACAAACCCGAGCTCAAGGAGATCCTCAAGTTCACCAAACCGCTTCCCGAGTACTGGTTCGTTGCTCAAGCCGAATTGACCATCGATGGCATGAACGATACTGAGGAGTTCGCTCTCACTGACGAAGCCTTCGACGTACTTAACTTTAACGCGGAAGAGAAGCTGGACTGTTACAAACTCATGTCTGGTATCATGCACATGGGTAACATGAAGTTCAAGCAGCGGCCACGTGAAGAACAGGCCGAAGTAGATGAAACTGAAGAAGCCGGATATGCTGCTGACATGTTTGGAGTTGGAGTCGACGAGATGTTGACTGCCATGATCAAGCCAAAGGTCAGAGTCGGTACTGAATGGGTGGCCAAAGGTCAGTCAGTCGAACAAGTCAACTGGTCTATTGGTGCCATGGTCAAGGGTTTGTATGCCCGTGTGTTCCACTGGCTGGTAACCAAGTGTAATATGACTCTCGATCAGAAGGGTCTTACCCGAGATCACTTCATCGGTGTGCTGGATATCGCCGGTTTCGAGATCTTCGACTTCAACTCCTTCGAGCAGTTGTGGATCAACTTCGTAAACGAGAAGTTGCAACAGTTCTTCAATCACCACATGTTCGTACTCGAACAGGAAGAGTACGCTCGTGAGGGTATCCAGTGGACTTTCATCGATTTCGGTCTTGACTTGCAAGCCTGTATCGAGCTGATTGAGAAGGTGAGTTTGAAATGACATTACATACTAAACAATCTTCTATGCACAATATAATATAATAATTAAACGTTTCAGCCCATGGGTATCATCTCCATGTTGGACGAAGAATGTATCGTTCCAAAGGCTACTGACCAAACTCTAGCCCAGAAACTGCTTGAACAACATCTTGGCAAACACCCCAACTTCGAAAAGCCCAAGCCACCAAAGGGCAAACAAGCGGAAGCTCACTTTGCTATGCGCCATTACGCCGGTACAGTAAGATACAACGTCTCCAACTGGCTAGAGAAGAACAAGGACCCTCTAAACGATACCCTTGTAGCCATCTTGAAAGCTTCTAAAGGTTGCAAACTCTTGAACACCGTCTGGGCTGACTACCAAACCCAAGAAGAAGCCGCCGTCGCACAAAAAGCCGGAGGCAAGAAGAAGGGAAAGTCCGGATCCTTCATGACAGTCTCCATGATGTACAGAGAATCCTTGAACAAGTTGATGACTATGTTACACACCACCCATCCCCACTTTATCCGTTGCATCATCCCCAACGAGAAGAAGCAGTCTGGTATGATCGACGCCGCTCTGGTACTCAACCAGCTGACCTGTAACGGTGTACTTGAAGGTATCCGTATTTGCCGTAAAGGTTTCCCCAACAGATCCAACCACACTGACTTCTGCCTCCGCTACGCTGTTTTGGCCGGAGAAGAAGCTCGCGCTCACAAAGAACCCAAGGATTCAGCCAACGCCATTCTGGCGAAGCTCGTAGCCCAGAAGAAGATGGACGCTGATGAGTTCCGTGTTGGTCACACCAAAGTCTTCTTCAAAGCCGGTATCTTGGCCAAGATGGAGGATCTTCGTGATGACCGTATGAACGAAGTCATCGGAGGCATCCAGGCCTACTGCCGTGGTTACTTCGCTTCAGTAAGTTTTAAACAGTAGACAAACCTATATATCGAACCAATTCATTACTAACATTATGATTCCAGGTTGAATACGGAAAGCGCAAACACCAGGCTGATGCTTATCTTATCATCCAGAAGAACATCCGATCCTGGTCGGTCCTCAGAAACTGGGAATGGTACCAAATCTACGGATTCATCCGCCCTCAACTCAAGGGCAACAAGGTCGCCGAAGAGATGGAGAAGGCCAAAAAGGAATTGGCCGCTATGGCCAGCCAGCTGAAGAAGGAGGAAGAAGCCAGAAAGGTGGTCGAAGCCGAACACAAGAAGTTCGCAGACGAAAGAGCCAAGTTGTTGGAAGAGATGGAGCTCTCCAAGAGTGGTGGTGCTGCTATTGAAGACAAGATAAGTTCTCTTTCCGCAGCCAAAGCCGAACTCGAACGTGGTGCCAATGACCTCAAGGACCGTTTGGCCGATCAAGAAGCCAGAACCGAAGAAACTCAACGCAACTTGAGAAGAGTAGAGAAGGACAAACAGAATCTGAATGAACAAATCTCGAACCTAGAGAGCAGCCAAGAGAAGATCGAGCAGGAGAAACAGGAGCGTGAGGAAAAGATCCGTAGCCTCCATGAAGCCATGGCGAAGCAAGACGAAGCCATCGCCGCCTTGAACAAAGAGAAGAAGCGCAACGAAGAAGAGAACCGTGCTATGGCCGAGAACGTCCAAGCGGAGGAAGAGAAAAACAGTCAATCCAACAGAAGCAAGGTCAAGATCGAACGAAGCATTGAAGACATCGAAGACACTCTGGAGAGAGAACGTAGACATCGCATGGATCTCGACAAGGGACGTAAGAAGGCCGAGAACGAGCTCGCTGCCACTGAAGAAACCATTGATGAACTCAGTCGTAGAAAGGCTGAGATCCAACATAAGCTACAATCTACTGACGAAGAACTTCGCGACCTTAACCAGAAGTTGGACGATGAACAAGGTTTGGTTGCTAGACTGAACCGCCAGCTGAAGGAACAAGCCGCCAAGATCATCGAGCTTGAAGAAGAACTTGATTCCGAGCGTCACCACCGTGCCAAGAGTGACAAGAGCAAGGGCGCCATCCAGATGATGTTGGAAGACATCAACGACTCCCTCGACGACGAGAACGGCAAAACCACCGCCCAGATTGAGTTGAACAAGAAGAAGGAATTGGAGCTGATCAGACTGCGACAAGAGCTCGAACAAGCCAACCAGACCCATGAAGGTCAGCTGGCTTTGATGAGGAAGAAGAACGCTGATGACATTGCCAACCTCAGCGAACGTCTCGAGAACATGCAGAACTCCAAGGCCAAGTTGGACAAGGACAAAGATGCCATCAGACGTCAACTTGATGACGTCACTTCGCAAGTCAACGAAGAAACCAAGAACAAATCCGAACAAGAACGATTGTCCAAGACCTACGAAGGACAAGTCGCTGAGCTTCAAAGCAGATGTGATGAACAACACAAACTCATCCAGGTAACCACTTTTGTACAATTATCTTTGGTAGTATGCCTGTAAATTGTCATGTTCAGAAAAAAAATCGTAAATGAACGTTCAAAATTGATTTTCAGGACTACACCGCCACCAGATCACGACTTCAAGCCGAGAACTCTGACATGGAACAACAAGTCGAAGACTACGAGAACCAGCTCACCTCTCTCAGCAAACGCAAGGCCCAATGTTTAGCTCAACTTGAGGATGCCAAACGTACAGTCGATGAAGAACATCAAGAACGCCAAGGTCTGAGCGGCACCGTGAAGAATTTGGAGCACGAGATCGAGCACATCCACGATTGTATCGAAGAAGAAGCACAACAGAAAGAGGAACTGCTGAGACAACTGAGCAAAGCCAAGGCCGAAGCTCAGCAATGGAAGGCCAAGTTTGAGGGAGAAGGGCTGATCGCTGCCGATGAGATGGAGGAGGACAGACGCCGACGCGGTAACAAGAAGCTCGAGGTCCAAGACACTCTGCAAGACGTCAACAACAAAATCATCACCGTCGAGAAGGCCAATTCTCGACTGGTAAGCGAAAGCTTTAGCGTGAATTAAAGTAAAATAAGCTAACTAAAAACTAATTGGCTTATAATTATATTATTATTACTTTCCAGATCCAAGAAGCCGAAGATGCCCGATCTGACATGGAACGCAACCGTGCTCTAATTGCACAGCTGGAGAAGAAACAGCTCTCGTTCGACAGAATCATCGAAGACTGGAGGCGCCAGTGCGACGATCTTGCTCAAGAAACCGAACGTGCCCAACAAGAAGCCAGAAGGAACGCTGCTGACGTCTACAGTCTCACGACAGCTTCTACTTCCCTGACTGAACAAGTCGATGATCTCAAACGTGAAAACAAGAACCTGACCAACGAGATCAAGGACCTCAACGAACAAATCGGATCCTCCAACCGACAAGCTCACGACGTCGGAAAGAAGGTCAGGTTATACGAGATGGAGAAGGAGGAGATCCAACACAACCTGGATGAAACCGAAAGTGCACTAGAAGTCGAGGAGAGCAAGGTCTTGAGGCTTCAGACCGAAGTGTCACAAATCAGAGCAGAAATCGACCGCAGAATCCAGGAGAAAGAAGAAGACTTCGAGAACACACTCAAGAACCACCAACGAGCCATGGAATCCATCCAAACCTCGCTCGAAACAGAATCCAAGGGCAAGAACCAGCTACTGCAGGCCAAGAAGAAGCTCGAGACTGACATTCACGAACGCGAACTGGCTCTAGATGTGGCCAACAAACAGAACGTCGAAGCCCAGAAGAGTCTAAAGAGGCTCATCTCTCAGATCCAAGAACTTCAAGCTCAGCTCGAAGAAGAACAACGACAGCGTGAAGAGTTCAGAGAGAACTTCTTGATCGCCGAGAAGAAACTCCAGACCGTGCTCACAGAGAAAGACGAGCAGGCCATCCACAAGAAGGCTTTGGAACAACAGAAGGCCAAGTTGGATGCCGATGTCAATGAACAACGCAGCATCAAGTCTGAAGCTCAGAACGAGAATCTCCAATTGGCCGCTGCCAAGCGTCAAGCTGAAAACGAAATTCAAATCGTCAAGGTAAATAAAAAATTTTGAAAAATATTTGTTTATAAAATAAGTCATCCATTTGACATATTTTTTATACGTTTACGAAGTGTCACAACCGGTAATTGGTTTTGCGAAAAAATTTTCTGTTTTTTTCGGTAAAACAATATTGAACTTGTCAAAACAGCTTTGCAAAACATAACTATGTTAAGATTTACGTTACAGTTACATTATTAATATTTTTTCTTTATTATACATTATTTGATTCCAGAGCGAGCTCGACAAGGCCATCTCCGACTTGAAACACACTGAAGAGAGCTTTAAGAAGGTTAACGGCGATGTGACCAGGTTGACAGAGGAACTGCGGCAAGAACAAGCTCATTACGAACATCTGGACAGACTTCGCAAAGGCCTCGAACTTCAAATTAAGGTAATAAATAGCACATTTCTGCCATTATTTATGACAAAACAAGTCCAGACGGTTTGATAAGCCTTGACATGAACAGGCAAAGGTACACAACACATGTCGCATTAAAGCCCGAAGTCTGGTATTAACGTGAAAACGGTTTGGAAATAACAAAAAACTTAAAAATAGGGAACTTGAAACCAATAATATTTTTAAAAATATTTTGAGTTAATTTTGAAATACTTGAAAACATAAGGACATGTCTACATTGTGTAATATTATACTATGTTTTGTAATTTTAGGAACTCCAAGCCAAGTTGGAAGAAGCTGAACAAGGAGCTCTCAGAGTTAGTCAGCGAACCATCGAGAAGCTTGAACAGAATGTCAGAATGCGTGAACGAGAACTGGATTCTGAACAGAAGAGACACAAAGAGGTTCAGAAGCAATTGGCTAAGTACGACCGTGATGTGAGAGAACGCAAGTTCGAGTTGGAGGAACAGAAGAAGACCGCCGGAAAGATGCAGGAACTCATCGAGAAACTCCAATCCAAGATCAAGACTCACAAGAAGCAGTTGGAGGAGGCTGTAAGTGCTTTCTCCTTATGTTATTGCTTTAATTTTTATTGGTTTATGTTCATGGAACCCATATTGCGGTCATGACAATTATTTTTGACATTATAGTCTTACGATTTGTCACAGTAGTAATGATAAACAGATGTGTATAGCAATGTATTACGGTTGTTTTAGGAAGAAGTTGCCGGCATGAATCTGCAAAAGTACCGTCAGATCCAGATTGCTTTAGATCACGCCGAAGAACGTGCTGACGAAGCCGAGAACAGTCTTGTCAGAATCAAGACGAAGTTCCGTGGACGTCCAGGGCTGACGCCATCGGCTACACAACCGATCAATGGTGGAGATGGAGCTGGAGGTGTGCGTCGATCAGCCACTCAAGGCCAATTCTAAGTCTGTCAAGATCGAATTACAACAACACTGTAAGGTCTTTTTCTATCATACTCAGCATGAAACATTAACAAACTTAAAGGGGCATCCTGAACATCATTAGTGTCCAAAATCTTATTGGAACAATATTACAATACTCTAAAGCATCACAACAATCACTTTATTACAATACATTTGAGCTCTGTTTTATCACTTTAAGCTTAACACTTCTCAGTTGTAAGTTAACATCTGCAAGTGTAGGCTTAACTCTTATCTTCGCTATCAGTCTAGGCTTGTAAGTAAGATCGGTTAAATTTTAATTAGTGTTTTCAAATTGTTTTTTGTCGCAAAAATAAATCAAGGTCTTGGTTTGTGACAGCCGAAAGACTTCGTTCGTTTGGCTGATTGATGGCGTCTTGGCCAAGACGTCGATTCTCGAGAACGGCCGAAAAAACAAGTGACGCCTATATCATTTTAGGCAACTGTCCGCCTACCGTAATCACTAATAAACTTGTTTTTGAACGCAAAAACGATGAAACAAACTAAAGGTTAGGCAAAGGCAAGAAGCATATTATAATTAGGTTGAAGAGTTTGTTTGATTTAGGATGAATTACAGTAATAAGAATACAAAGACTGAAGGCTTTATTTGAAAAGTTTTAAACTTTATTTTAGAACTTCAAAAAGTTTAAATATCGAATTTTAATTGTTTCGTAAAAGATTAATATTTTCAATAATACTTTTGATTTTTAAACTGAAAAAGTGTCACCACCTATCGCCATACTACAATCAAGCTTTAGCTGGACTGTGAAAAACAATGGCAGTGCAAAAACACGAACCAGGAACCTGACTTTAGCGATAAACATAATAAATATTACACTCTGATTAACAGATTGGGGCCGAACGGGGTTTGTGACATTGTACAGACGTCGAATATCAATTGTTATCCAAATTATGGCAGCGGCTTTGTTTTTCGTTTCTCGCCGACTGATTCGGCTAGTCTAGAACAATATTTCGCCGTTTGATCTGCGACCGTTCCTCCAGCTTTCTGTTCGTTGCCTTACTTTTGTTCTCCCCATGGCCATACCTTCCATCGGCCGTGTTTTGTGTGTTTTTGAGATCAAGTCGTTCTTTGTTCGGCGCCAATCGCCTAAAACTTTGTTTCCAAAAATGCGGATTTCGAACTGAAATGCGTGGGTGATTAAGACGTTAACCGCAAAATCATGGCTTTCGAGTTGTAATGCCTCGAGGCTACTTGAATTTCACGAGCAAACCGATCCCTTAAAGCAAGAGCGGCCATATGGCAAACCGCTTGATTAGTGACATGTGCACCCATAACTCGTACTATCAAACCCAAAATTAACAGCCAACATAAAACTAACGTATGGTGAGCACGGCGAGTTTCAAGGTTATTTTATGGCTTCGAGTTGCACTAAATATTCTAATTTTTGAATTTACTTTTCAAGTTTAAAAAGTTTTTAAAAATGTTTTGCTTTATAAAGCTAATATGAAAAATAGATGAAGTAAATCTGACATAAAGTTTAATCATTTGATGATATAGATAATATTCTTCGCCTTAATGGACTAAAATCATTTAAAAATCTCAGATAACTTGGCCTAATTTATTTTAATTTGCATTACCACACATGTTGTTCATGTTACGTATCGGTTGACAAAGGTATTTCATGTTCATATCTCACAGCCAAATTGCCAAACGTATTTCAAACAGAACTCGTCTTTCATGTGTCGAGATGTCGCAGGGCTTCTTCACATGCACATCACAATCCGAGACTAAAGTGCAAAAAGTAAATATTTTCTTGTCGTCTGCAGGACCAACTGTTACAAGAAACCGTCGTTACCGTAGCGGCGTCACTTCAGGGTTGGTGGGTGTGGGCTTGTCAAGAAATATCTGCAGATGGGACAAACGGCTAAAGGGAACAGCAGGCACAAAACAAACCCAAAAAACTGGTTGTGGCATGCAAGAGACGCTAGAGACAACCCAAGATGACACCCTCCACCTGGGTCCCCACCCTCCGCCCGAACCGCTTCCAGCTTCACTCTCGACGTCGACAGGGCCAGTGCCGCCGTCGGTCTCAATTTTGTCTCTGTGATTGTGCAGAGCTACACCGTTTCATCAAGTGAAACACAAACGAAGCCATGGATCACGAGAAGGACCCAGGATGGCAATACCTGCGCTTGACGCGCGAACAAATGTTGGAGGTAGGTATACTGTAGATGACTCTGTTTTACATAGTAATATTATATAATGACTACTGTATCAGCAAAAGATATAATACTATCACTCTGATAACATGACATTACTTTAGGAACAATCCAAGCCTTATGACTCTAAGAAGAACTGCTGGGTACCAGACCCAGAGGATGGTTACGTTGCTGCCGAGATCAAGAGCACCAGCGGTGACGATGTTACCGTAGTCAGCTCCAAGGGTAACGAGATCACCATGAAGAAGGAGTTGGTCCAGGAGATGAACCCTCCCAAGTTCGAGAAGACCGAGGACATGTCCAACTTGACCTTCTTGAACGACGCCTCCGTCTTGACCAACTTGAGGTCCCGTTATGGTGCTATGTTGATCTACGTAAGTTGGTTACTGTATTTAATTTCAAGATCTATTATTTTGTAATTTTAACTTTGCTATTTCCATTTACTTTCAGACCTACTCCGGTCTTTTCTGTGTCGTCATCAACCCCTACAAGCGTCTCCCCATCTACACCGACTCCGTCGCTCGTATGTACATGAACAAGAGACGTACCGAAATGCCACCCCATCTCTTCGCCGTCTCTGACGAAGCCTACCGTAACATGTTGCAAGACCACGAGAACCAGTCTATGTTGATTACTGGTGAGTCCGGAGCCGGTAAGACCGAGAACACCAAGAAGGTAATTGCCTACTTCGCCGCCGTCGGTGCTTCTCAGCAAGAAGCTGCTGATGCCAAGGCTGGTGTTGTAGCCGAAGAAGGAGGCAAGCGTATCACCCTCGAGGACCAGATCGTCCAGACCAACCCTGTCTTGGAGGCCTTCGGTAACGCCAAGACCGTCCGTAACAACAACTCTTCTCGTTTCGGAAAATTCATCAGAATCCACTTCAACCGAGCCGGAAGAGTCGCCTCTTGTGATATCGAGCACTGTAAGTTTACTATTTCATACCTTTGTATATATACTATATACTGTAATATAAATGCTTTTTACTTATAAGAGATGTCTTTCAGATCTTCTTGAGAAGTCTCGTGTCATCCGTCAAGCGCCTGGAGAACGTTGTTACCACATCTTCTACCAAATCTTCTCCGGCTACAAGCCAGAGCTGATCAAGGAGCTCCAACTTGACAAACCAGTCAAGGACTACTGGTTCATCGCTCAAGCCGAGTTGACCATCGATGGTATCAATGACAAGGAAGAGCATCAGCTCACCGATGAAGCCTTCGACGTACTCAACTTCAGCCAGGACGAGAAGATGGACTGTTACAAGCTCATGTCCGGTATCATGCACATGGGTAACATGAAGTTCAAGCAACGGCCACGTGAAGAACAGGCCGAACCAGATGGAACCGACGAAGCCGAGAAGGCCGCCGCCATGTACGGTGTAGACACCGAAGCCTTCTTGAAGGCCTTGACCAAGCCTCGTGTCAAGGTCGGTACCGAATGGGTATCCAAGGGTCAGAACATGGAACAGGTCAACTGGGCCATCGGAGCCATGTCCAAGGGTCTCTACGCCCGTGTGTTCCACTGGCTGGTAGCCAAGTGTAACATGACTCTCGATCAGAAGGGTCTCAGCCGTGACTACTTCATCGGTGTCTTGGATATCGCCGGTTTCGAGATCTTCGACTTCAACTCCTTCGAGCAGTTGTGGATCAACTTCGTAAACGAGAAGTTGCAACAGTTCTTCAATCACCACATGTTCGTACTCGAACAGGAAGAGTACGCTCGTGAGGGTATCCAGTGGACTTTCATCGATTTCGGTCTTGACTTGCAAGCCTGTATCGAGCTGATTGAGAAGGTGAGTTTGAAATGACATTACATACTAAACAATCTTCTATGCACAATATAATATAATAATTAAACGTTTCAGCCCATGGGTATCATCTCCATGTTGGACGAAGAATGTATCGTACCCAAGGCCACTGACTTGACCTTGGCCCAAAAGTTGCTCGACCAGCACTTGGGCAAGCACCCCAACTTCGAGAAACCCAAGCCACCAAAGGGCAAACAAGGAGACGCTCACTTCGCCATGCGTCACTACGCCGGTACCGTACGTTACAACGTCATGAACTGGTTGGAGAAGAACAAGGACCCTCTGAACGACACCGTCGTCTCCATCATGAAGGCCTCTCAAGCCAACCAGTTGTTGTTGGAGGTGTGGAAGGACTACACCACCCAGGAAGAAGCCGCCGCCAAGGCTAAGGAAGGCGGTGGTGGCGGAGGAAAGAAGAAGGGAAAGTCCGGATCTTTCATGACTGTCTCCATGATGTACAGAGAGTCTCTGAACAACTTGATGACCATGTTGAACTCCACTCACCCCCACTTCATCCGTTGCATCATCCCCAACGAGAAGAAGCAGTCTGGTATGATCGACGCCGCTCTGGTACTCAACCAGCTGACCTGTAACGGTGTACTTGAAGGTATCCGTATTTGCCGTAAAGGTTTCCCCAACAGAATGTTGCACGCTGACTTCCGTCAACGTTACTCCGTCTTGGCCGCCGACGCCGCCAAGTCTTCTGAAGACCCGAAGAAGGCCGCCGAAGCCATCCTCCAACAAATCATCAACGATGGAGGTTTGACTGAGGAGAACTTCCGTGTCGGTCAGACCAAGGTGTTCTTCAAGGCCGGAGTGTTGGCTTCCCTTGAAGATCTTCGTGATGCCAAATTGGGAGCCATCATGACTGGATTCCAGGCCACCATCCGTTGGTACTTGGGACTGGCCGACCGTCGTCGCCGTATGCAACAACGTGCCGGTCTTCTGATCCTTCAACGCAACATCCGTTCATGGTGCACACTCCGCACCTGGGAATGGTTCAAGCTGTACGGCAAAGTCAAGCCTATGCTCAAGGCCGGAAAGGAAGCCGAAGAGCTGGAGAAGCTTGGCGACAAGATGAAGGAACTCGAAGACGCCTTGGCCAAGGAACAACAACTCCGCAAGGAGGCCGAGGAACAAGGTGCCAAGCTGGTTGAGGAGAAGAACCAGCTCTTCACCAACCTCGAGAGCACCAAGACTCAACTCTCCGAGTCCGAAGACAAACTGTCCAAGCTCACTTCCCAGAAGAACGACTTGGACCGTCAGTTGGGCGAGTTGAACGACCGTCTCGGCGACGAAGAAGACCGTAACGCCGACTTGTCTCGCGCCAAGAAGAAGACCGAGAGCGAGCTCGAGAACCTGAAGAAGCAGATCCAAGACTTGGAGCTGTCTCTCCGCAAGGCCGAGTCCGAGAAGCAGTCCAAGGACCACCAAATCCGCTCCATCCAAGACGAGATGCAACAACAAGACGAGAACATCGCCAAGTTGAACAAGGAGAAGAAGCACCAAGAGGAGATCAACCGCAAGCTCCAAGAGGACCTCCAATCCGAAGAGGACAAGACCAACCACACCAACAAGCTCAAGTCCAAGTTGGAACAGAGTCTCGACGACCTCGAGGACACTCTCGAACGTGAGAAGCGTTCCCGTGCTGAGACCGAGAAGCAGAAGAGAAAGGTCGAGGGAGAGCTGAAGATCGCTCAAGAGAACATCGACGAAGTCAGCAAGCAGAAGACTGACGTCGAGAACAACCTCAAGAGAAAGGAGGCCGAACTCCACTCCGTCTCCTCCAAGCTCGAGGACGAACAGTCCTTGGTTGGCAAACTCCAACGTCAAATCAAGGAACAACAAGCTCGCATCGGAGAGCTCGAGGAGGAGATCGAGAGCGAACGCAGCTCCCGCTCCAAGGCCGACCGTACCAAGAGCGAACTTCAACGTGAATTGGAAGAGCTCTCCGAACGTCTGGACGAACAAGGAGGAGCCACCGCCGCTCAAGTTGAAGTCAACAAGAAGCGTGAGGCCGAATTGGCCAAGCTTCGTCGTGACTTGGAAGAGGCCAACCTCAACCACGAAACCCAATTGGGATCTCTCCGCAAGAAGCACACCGACGCCGTTGCTGAACTCAGCGACCAACTCGAGCAGCTCCAGAAGCAGAAACAGAAGGCCGAGAAGGACCGTCAACAGATTCAGCACGAGTTGGAAGACCTCCAAGCTCAGCTCGACTCCGAGAGCTCCGGCCGCTTGAACAGCGAGAAGGTGTCCAAGCAATTCGAACTCCAATTGGGAGAATTGCAAGCCAAGTGTGACGAGCAATCTCGTCTTTTGCAAGACTTCACTTCCCTCAAGGGACGTCTCCACAACGAGAACGGTGACCTCAACCGTCAGTTGGAAGACGCCGAATCTCAGGTCAACAACTTGTCTCGTCTGAAGTCGCAGCTCACCAGCCAGCTCGAGGAGGCTCGCCGCACCGTCGACGAAGAAGCGCGCGAACGTCAAGCTGCCGTCGCTTCGGCCAAGAACTACCAACACGAGCTTGAACAACTCCAAGAATCCTTGGAAGACGAAGTCGAATCCAAGAACGAGGTTCTCCGTCAACTCAGCAAGGCCAACGCCGAGATCCAACAATGGAAGACTCGCTTCGAAGGAGAAGGGCTTCTCCAAGCCGACGAATTGGAAGATGCCAAGAAGCGTCAGCAACAGAAGATCAACGAGCTTCAGGAAGCTTTGGATGCCGCCAACTCCAAGATCACCAACTTGGACAAGACCCGCGCCCGCCTCAGCAACGACTTGGACGACGCTCAGGTTGATGTCGAAAGAGCCAACTCCTTTGCTGCCCAGATGGAGAAGAAGCAGAAGGGTTTCGACAAGGTGGTCGACGAATGGAAACACAAGGTCGACGACCTCAACGCCGAGCTTGACGCCGCTCAACGTGACAGCCGCAACGCCGCCACCGAACTGTTCCGCGCCAAGAACGCCCAAGAAGAGCTCCAAGAAGTGGTCGAAGGACTTCGTCGCGAGAACAAGAACCTTGCCCAAGAAATCAAGGATCTCACCGACCAACTTGGAGAAGGTGGTCGCTCCGTTCACGAGATGCAGAAGATCATCCGCCGCCTCGAGATCGAGAAAGAAGAACTCCAACACGCTTTGGATGAAGCCGAAGCCGCCCTCGAAGCCGAAGAATCCAAGGTTCTCCGGGCCCAAGTCGAGGTCTCCCAGATCCGCTCCGAAATCGAGAAGAGAATCCAGGAGAAGGAGGAGGAGTTCGAGAACACCAGAAAGAACCACCAACGTGCCATGGACTCGATGCAAGCCTCCTTGGAGACCGAAGCCCGCGGCAAGGCTGAGTTATTGCGCGTGAAGAAGAAGTTGGAGTCCGACATCAACGAGTTGGAGATCGCTTTGGACCACGCCAACAAGGCCAATGCCGACGCCCAGAAGAACTTGAAGCGTCACCAAGAACAGATCCGCGAGTTGCAACTCCAGGTCGAGGAAGAGCAGCGCACCCGCGACGATCTCCGTGAACAATACCTCAACGCCGAAAAGAGAGCCACCATCCTCCAATCCGAACGCGAGGAGATCGCCGTCGCCTTGGAACAAGCCGAACGTTCTCGCAAGCAGGCCGAGTACGAAGCCGCCGATGCTCGCGAACAGGCCAACGAAGCCAACGCTCAGCTCAACTCCTTGAACGGCCTCAAGCGCAAGTTGGAAGGTGAATTGCAAGCTCTCCATGTAAGTAGATCATGAATTCATTTTACAGCTAGGATTGACATAATCTTATATAATTAACAAAGTTATGGTGGTATGAAGCTAAGTTAAAATAATTTAGCCTTACAATAGCTCGAAATCTGCGAATTTCAAAAGCGATTTTGCGCGACAAAACCAAGTTCGTGAGCTGTTTTAAGTGCGGGCTTTCTTTGTCTCTTGTTAGCCGCAAATTGACAAGGATCACTCAGCCCTATCTCATATACCGTTTTGAATTTAATTCTCTAATGCGTAGGCGACTACTGCGTAGACATCACAGTATTCATTATTACTTTCCCGAAGATGAACAACAAGATGAGCCACCTAAAGTAGAGGTTTTAATGTTATTTATTGCATAATTACTGGTAAACCAGTCAGTTTAGTAATGTATTAGCTAATTTGACTACCTTTCAGGCCGATCTCGATGAAACCCTCAACGAGTACAAGTCAGCTGAAGAACGCTCCAAGAAGGCCATGGCCGATGCCTCCAGATTGGCTGAGGAACTCCGTCAAGAACAAGAACACTCCCTCCACAACGACCGTCTCCGCAAGGGACTTGAACAACAAGTCAAGGAGATGCAGGTCAGACTTGATGAAGCCGAAGCCGCCGCTCTCAAGGGTGGAAAGAAGGTTATTGCCAAGTTGGAGCAACGTATCCGTGAATTAGAATCCGAACTCGACGGTGAACAACGCCGCTTCCAAGATGCCAACAAGAACGCCAGCAAATTGGACCGCAGAGTTCGCGAGCTCCAATTCCAGATCGACGAAGACAAGAAGAACTTCGAACGTATGCAAGACCTCGTTGACAAGCTCCAGAACAAGCTCAAGACCCAGAAGAAGCAACTCGAGGAAGCCGTAAGTTGTTTGAGCATTTGAAACAGCACCTTTAACAAAATTCGATCGTAAATAGATACTTTTCTTACCTAAAATAACTAAATTTGAATGTTTCAGGAGGAAGTTGCCAACACCAACCTCCAAAAGTACCGCCAACTCCAACATCAATTGGAGGACGCCGAAGAGCGTGCCGATGTCGCTGAGAACGGATTGTCCAAGATGCGCGCCAAGAGCCGTTCGGCCGCTTCCGTCGCCCCAAGCGGTGGAATCCAGACCTCGCAATCGGCTGCCATTCTCCGCCAACCGTCTCGTGCTCGTATGTCTTCATCCAACCTCGCTGACTTCTAGACTCAGCACCAGTGTTATTTTTGTTTCAATTGTATTACTGTTATATTCCTTACTTTTGTGCGCTAGGGCTGGCCGCTTGGTGTACAAAGTGATTAGCTAGATAGTGAAAGTTCATTTATAAACGATCAAAAAAATGTCGTCGTATCTTGAGCAACGGTTCAAACGATTATCGAAACATACCTAATCTTTTTACGAGTTTATTACAATCAACAATTACTGTTTAAACACATTACTATAGCACGAAAAACTAAAATATCGAAGAAACAAAACTCAACGCAGTGTAACAAGACTCTGACTATCAAATTACCAAAATAAGTGGACATATACCCTATGGTACAGTATAATACAAAAAGCATACCCAAACAGTAAATCTTATTATTAAGTTATTAAAAAGCAACCTGACTAACAACAATTAAGCCCATGAGTTCTTCAAGGTCTGATATCGTGACAGTTTCTTGCAAACCACGCTGGCTACGACCAGAGCTACCATAACGAGTGATATCAAGATGTAGTCAAAGTCATCTTTCAAGATGTCGAAAGTGCCAGAGGGCGTGAGGCGAGTGTAGAACATGTCCAACCCGTAAGCCAACATCAAACTGGTTGACTCTAACCCAGAAGGTCTGAAATGGAAATAATTATTCATAAAAACAAGATAACTACCGCAATAATAGGAAAAAATCAATATTACTTACAATTTATGAAAGGTAAAACATTTTTAAATACCAGAATTGTAAATTACTTACGATGTTTTGATGGCCTTAATTTGGAAAACGGTCTGATTGTAGTTGATCAGGTCTTCTGTAGCTATCGGGATCTCCGGAATGTAAGGTACAATCATTTCCTCCCTTAACTCTGGAGTCATTTCCAACGGCCTTCTGGCATCCAATATTCTTCTTGACACTTCCGTGACACCCCCAAATGGCATGGCAATTAGTACAGCCCGGGTTGTAAGGCCAAGTTCTGAAAATTCATATGGTTTTGCAAATATTTTATTAAAAATTAATACAACAAGAAGCACCTAGTCAATGAAGTAATAAATCCATTCTAACACAAACCGCACTTACCGGTATCAGATGCTCCCAAAGCACTGACCCCCTGAGGGAAGACGAATGATTTACTGATAACTTCCAGTGGCTTCTTTAGACTCGTGTAGGAGTTGAAGTGCTCGGCATTAGTCTGTTCCAATCCCTCGTACAACTCAATCACTCCAATCTCCGTTCTTCTCGTCAGCTCGTTCCAGTACGTGTACTAAAATGGTATAGACATACATTATTATTAATAAAAAAGTGCAATTCACACACAATATCGTGAATAAAGATTTTGAGTCTACCGAAAAACCTCTTTAAACTTACAGTAATCCAATTCTCACAATGAAGTAGGTTGACGGGCTCTGACCCATGATTATGTTTGGCAACGTGAATAACTTCACCAGTAACAGCATCAACCAAGTACAATGACAGAGTCGTGTGAGTATTGTCGATTGTCAGGATAGCCACCAAGTTAGGGTTAGAATACTTGTACAGTACGTTTCTGTCGCCCAGCACTTTGCCTTGACTGTGAACTTTTTCTAAATTCGCAATATTAATAACAAATACATTGATAACCATATCATATTATAATAAAATGACTTTTAATACATTAAACAGCCTGTAAACCTACGATGAGCTGGTTTCCCTTGAATCGCCTTGATCTTTTCGTCGGGCGACAAACCCAGTTTAGTCTCCCATAACTGTTCAAAAGCATTCAATGTAGTGTTGATCTTTCCTCCACTGAGTAATCCGTCAGAGATCTGGACATTGAACAAGTAGACGGGATAAGAAGGTTGATATGAAGCTGGTAAAGGAGGAATGAACTGAGTCTTGCCAGTAGTATCGATCAACAAAAGCGGTGTCAGTTGTTGTTCGTTGGCAAACGGAGCCAACTCGGCCCGTTTCAGACTGTACACAGTGTAGGAATTCTGGATTTCGCCGTTAACAGGATTCAGCAACAAAACCTTGCTCTTTTGTTCAGCCTGTAAATATAATATTAAAATAAAAGAGTACTGTATGAAATACAAGAAACTAAACATAGAAACTATTTATCAAAACAAACTAACGCTTTACCTTCAAATTATATACCACAGCTGCTTGAGCTTTATATTGATAATGAGCTGTAGAACGCTGTATAAACAAAGGAACCTTCTGCTCATTCAGTTGTGTTGTCAACGGTGCAAATTGGTTTCCGAGGTATACCGACCACATAACCACACCGTAATCACTGTGAATACCGTATACGGATCCCTGTAAAGTGGAGACAACTACAATCTTCCTGAGGTTGAAGTAGTCCCTCTCCATCTCGACCTTGTCGTTGTTATCTCCAACAAAAGATCCAGCATGTAATGTTCGAGAAGGAGCAGAGTAGAGACCAAACAAGTCTCTGACGACTACAGTAATCGAGCCTTTTCCCTTTGTGATAGTATCCAACGAGGTCAAGATCTTATTGATGAAAGACTGAATCGAATGTTTTAGTTGTTCTGTTTGGCCATAGATCCTCAACAAGAACTGCTTCCAAAGTGGAGCTAAAACAAGATATTAAAAAAAGAAAAGAATTTGAATTGATGTTGGTCGAAGTAATTTGTTGATATTACCTAAATAGTAGAATAAAAACAATTCTTACCATCAACAGCACTGAATTCAGACTCAATTGTAGCCTGGGAATCCGACAATGGTAGATCAATCATCTCCACCGAGCTGATATCAGTCAGACCTTCAAATCTGCTCCATTCCAACACAGGAGTTCTTGATGTTCTCCTACCTTCAAAGAAGTCAATTCTGCAGTCTCTTCTCGTCAACACAATCTGATATTGTTGTCCGTCTTCAGAAGCCGTCAACGATAGTTTCTCTACTGAAGCTTGGTCTTTGTTACCCATATCCAGATCAAAAACGTCCTTCTTGTGTAATATTCTCAACTTCTTAGTAGATTCGTAGTATACAGCAAACACAGCATCGTTCTTTGTAGAAGAAACAGCATATTTGTCACCATCGTTCGTATGGTAATGGTTCTTGATGCCGGTTTCAGTCACTTCAAGGAAATACGCTTGGCCAGATCCTTTTACAACAAAGAAGTTACCGCCCAATGAGAGTAGCTCCCCAGAAGTCACCTTCAAAGTGAAGCCAATTCGTTCGCCTTCAGCTTTGAAGTAGATTGCCTTAACATTGTCATTCTCCAAAACGGATAATGATCTTCCAGAGTAAACCAATCTAAAATATTTCAAATATAATTTAATTATTAAAAAATCAGAGTATTACTCAATATAATAATTTATACAAAAAGAACAAGACCTAAAATATTACCCAGAATAAGAATTTTGCAGCTCCAAATCAGATGTCAGTTGTTTTCCTTCGATATTAAATGTTGTGATAGATAACCTGGCATTCTTATTCTTTCCCAAGACAACAATATCTCTTCCAACGATCAATATCTTCTTCCACTCGACTTCCGAATCCAGTTTTCTGTTCCAAATGGGTGAATCTCCAGCCTCAAAAGCCTTCAATTCATTCTTTACTAACAAGAGTATCACATTATCCAGCTTGGCCACGTTATCCAACCTAAGAATTTCAAAAATTAAACTAGTTTTACATCACTTTGGAACAATTATAAGTTTAGACATGATGAAGATAATATTATAACGAAAAACATACGTCAGTCGGCTTTCAAACAACCTTCTTTGTGCCTTTAGTGTTCCAGTTTCAACGTCAAACACTCTAACGTATTCTCCATCGTTGAGCAAAGTTATGACATCTAAAAGATCTTGATGATTTCATATTAACTTACCTTCACCAGTTACCCGAATTCGTGGAGGAGCTTGTCGATTTTCTTCGTTTAGTTGTCTCCAATCTAAACACCAATATATATAAATATTTTAAACTTGCCAACAATGCCGGAGTTCAAATTTATAGACGCTACAACATTCTTCACACTCGACAATATTAATATATCCCTGCCATCTGGACGTCGAGAAGAATGAACATCGACTGGACATCCAACACCTTCAAACCTCCTAAAGATAAAAAGTAGTGTTAAGCGCAGTTTTTGATAGGGTTTATAATACACAATTTATTTGTAAACAAAAGAACTTGAAAATTAAAAAAAATAGATTATCTTTATTTTACCAGTCCCATTTTCCAATCTGATCTTCGAACAATCCAGAAACAACGCCAAACAACAAAGTTCCTATTAATAACGTCCTCATCGTCCGTCTAATCAACACATAACAGAGGCCAAGACTAAAACAAAAATTCATTACCCAAATTAATATTTAAAAGTAAAAAATTACAACAAAATAAAAACATAAAAAATTCAATAAAACACATTTAAAACAACTTTAAAACTAGATTTAAAATCGTATGGACACGTCCGGCCAGAGTACCATAAAAACCGAAAATTATCTATTCATTTCGCGAGTATAAGAAGCTTTTTCTGTCTGCAGCCTGCTCTTGCCGAGACGCAGCGGTGTAAAAAATTAAATTATAAAAAGTTTTTTCTCTGGAAATTCGATCGAATCGAATTGCATTTGTGATTATGCACACGGTGCAGTAAATTGTAGATATATTTGTATAAAATGCCATCAGCATATGATCTACTTCATAAATTGGATCAGTCGTGGAGAGATCGTGAGTTTTCTTGTATTTATTCTTATGTTTTTAGGATTTCCGATTAAAGAACAACCTTCTGTTGTGATGCAGATGCAACCTCTTGGACTGGTTCATAACGAGCTCTGTTCTGCAAAGCCGCAAACCAGCTTTTATTTAAATCATTTTGTCGATGGTCATCCAGACGATTTTGGACACGTTATCAGGATTGGAGCTGAAAATTTGAATGATCAACAACGTTATCATTATCTAAACAACTACTTTCGACCTCCAAAGCCTCCATTACATGAATGGCCATCAGAGACAAGGATGTTAAATGGAAAAAGGATTGTCAGAAGACTGAATCCAAGTTACGATGAAAGGGCCGATTGTAGCTCCATGGTTTATTCCCCCATGTATGAGGGATTGTTTTGTCGGTAAGTTCATTAAAGTATAATTTGATCAAAAGTTTTTAATTCTTAAGGTTCTACACAAGAAATCACGTTTACTTTATATTGTTTTTCATATATATTACAATTTTTATATTCATATTGTTCAGGTATTGTGCGTTATTTCCTCCGAAAAAACCGCATGGTAGTTACGCAGCCTTTATCAAACGACCGTTCGTCCGATTCTCTCATATGTTTGGTAATGGAGGAGCTGTTAAGAAGCACATTAGCAGAAAGTACCACCTCGAAGCCGAACAATTAGCAGAATCATTCATGCAGACATACAAACCTCAAATTATTTCGCTTAGCCATTGTAGCTAACTGTGTGCTACACATTTATATTAATTTAATGAACGGGTATTTTGTAAAATAAACTGTTAATTATTGCGATGAATTGATGTTGGGACATACTTTATAACTAGTATTGTGATACTTTGAAATGATTTACAAGTATATTTTACAGTAAAAAAGTTTTAGGTATGTTTAAGAAGCCGTATACCGTTAAAAGTAACACGAATGTGAGGAATTCAGATAGGTATGAGACAATTCGTTTTTTACTGACATATTTATGGTAATTTTTTAAATTATTATGGATTTATAAAAGAAGTAATTGTTTTTGATTACAGGAAAAAGCTTTTTTCTACATTTACTCCAGAGTCTGTTGAGAAAATTCCTTCCAAAGCGACATTTTCCATCTCAAAAGTGTCCAACTTCCAACAACGTGATATAAGTGTATATTTCTGTGAGAAGACCCCTTTGTTCTTCAAAGTAGAAGATGACAACTGTCTGTATCCTACACTATATTTTACGTGGAAATGCCCTAAAGCTGTCCCTATGTTGCTAATTCATCGTCAAGTTTTTGAATTCGTACAAAATGGTGCTGATCTGATGCTTCCTGGTAAGTTACGTTCAGCATAATATACCTTCAAGTGTAGTTTCATGTTTTTACATATATGTATATTTAAGTACAATACTGTAGAAATTGCAAAAGAACACAAAACTGCACCAATTTAGTACTTAATCACGAATATTATAGGTGTACATGTCAATCCTGACTACAAACTTCCTGAATTTCCAGCGGATTCTCCTGTCACAATAGGAATCTACTCTCCGAACGGCACCGTAACAGGCCCAGTAGCCGTGGGAGTTAGTTTAATGTCCTCACAAGTGATGTTGGCGTCAGGAATGAAAGGGAGAGGTGTGGCCGTCTACCATGTTATCCATGATCACTTATGGGAAGCTGGTCCTAAAGGAAATCCACCGACTTTACAATTAGAATCTCTATATACACCGGTCAATAATAATGCAGAATTGGCGGAAGAAGCCTTGAAAAGCTTAACATTTGACGAAGACGCTGTGGAGAACGCAGAAGACAAGGCTTTGGTTGATGAAACCAAAGATTCAAGTGCTGAAGCTAAGGATACTAGCTCCGGGTCTTTAGACGATACTGTAGAACATCACGATGAAACGGTATGTTTTAATAATTGTCATGAAAAGTATTACTTTATGCCGCACAGTCACAATGACAACATTGTTAATTCACCCTAATCTTACTGTAACCTTTCAGCTCAAAAAGTATTTTTTCTGGACGCTGAAGAACAACGTAGACGCATCTGCCTTACCCGTAGACGCTGGTCAGTTTTACGCGACATATCTTCTGAAGAAGCTGCCCGACGGCGTTACGATTAATCTGAAGAAGACTTCCTTCAAGAAGTTTAGCACTTTTTTGAAGAAGATCAACGAAGTGAGCGACGACGAGATAGTGAAAGTGACCACCAAAAAGGGGATCGACTCCATCGTCGAGGTATGTTGTCACGACTTTATCTAGCAACTTATCTTGTAGTTTGTTGCTTCGATTTCGTTTGTTTACAGAAGCTTTGTAGTGTAATATTGTAACAGTTACTTCCAGATCAACTTTTCCCATCCCCTGATTCAAACTGCTGAACAACTACAAAGTGCTTCAGTAGAGACTGAAGCTGCGACAGTAGGGAAACCGAAGATATCAGAATGCTTTTCCGTAACAGAAGCTGTTATGCCGTTTTTGGGGCAGTTTGGATTCAGAAAAGGTGACATCATACAACAAAATCAAGTACGAGAGGCCGTTGTCAGTTATGGTAACAAACATGTGAGTACTTATTTTATTAGGTGGGAGATAATGAGACTTATAGTAAACTTAGCATTGCGTATTATATTACTTTTATACTCTATTCATATACAGATAAATTTTGTTAGATTTACGAAATTTACTTTTTTAGAATCTCGTCAAAAACAAGAATATTGAACTTGACGACCAACTACAAACTCTGATGAGAAACTTCCTGCCTGCTACAGTACCATTAAACGATGTGGTGCAAAAGTTAGTAGGTCAGATGACAAAGACAATAATGGTTACTCTGGAAGATGGAAGAAAGAACATAAAGCGAAATCAAGTGCCTAATATCGAGTTCAAGGTAAGGCTATGCTGTTATCATAAATGTACATTACAATGTAATGTAACATAAATTATGAATTTCTAATTTTTACCGACATTATAACAGCTAACCATACATTGCACAAGGTAATCAATTCCTATTTAAAGATTGAAAAGAGGTCAGGCAACAAGACCGTCACCCTGGTGAATAACTTCTTGTTCTTCGGAATCGACCCAAAAGTTTTTTCAAAGAAAATACAGAATGCTATGGCTACGGGAGCCTCCATCAATCAAGATGTGCCAAACTGTGAAGGGCCACAACTACTTGTACATGGTAATCATGTCAATTACATCGGAGAACTACTCCAGAACGAGTTCGGTATCAACAAAAAGTATATCAAAGGTCTAGAACTAGGTCTTAAGCAAAAGAAAGGCAAAAAGTAGGTCGAATAAACGATAATTATTAAACGCGTAGTCATACATAATATATTGTTAAGTATAGAACTGGGCATGACAATTAAAAAGATGTTATTGAAGGCATGTTAAGATATTATTTATTCAAACATAAATCTTTGAAATAGTACTCTCTACTGTAACATAGTCAGACACCCTAGTTTCTTTGTCATCATCACTTCTTAACCGGTGGGAAGGCCTTCGTATGTGTACCAAATGCCACTGGCTTCAACGAGTCCTTCAGGTAGAGATCGGCCTTTGTGTATGCCAAAGTTCGACCTTTTCGAATAATTGTGGCATCGATTATAACTTTGTCTCCCAATTGAGCAGGACCATAGTACCTAAGATCACAATCATGGTCAAAAAACATAAAAAGAGGTCACAATCAAGCGTAATATTACAAAAAGTAAGAAACCTTTGAAGAACGTTATAGAATAAAACTCACGATAAGGCCATATCAACACTGACACCCGGATGAACTTTCTCGTCGTCTGTTGTGTACAATACCATAGTAGTTATCATGTCCACTAAAGTTGCTGTGCATCCTCCATGAAGCGTCTTCCAGCCGTTTGTCAGGTCTTCTGTCACTGTAAACTCAACCTTAAGGTTGTTTGGTTCCGCCGATATGACACTGCACTAGAATGAAGTTTATTTACTGTCAAATTTAAACAATCTTACTTTATCAACAATTTTACTGAAGTTTTGCTGTTGACAACAGAAGCTGATTGCCTTCCGAACGACGTCAACGTACTTTCCTGCCATTATTTACAAGAGAAACCGACCTTTATGGTTAAGAAACAAAATAAAGTGTAAAAAGGGAATAAATACTTTAGGAAATTATTAAAATCTTGTTTTAGTTGCCAACTTTGGCACAATTCAAGACTTTTCTCTGATTTTATCACAACTTTTTTATTTTCTGTTAATAAATGGGCGCAGCTCGCCGCCGTCTTGTTTTGGCCTGCAGTTTCAAACAACTAAATCATGGATGTTCGACGAAAACGAGTCTGAAAGGGAAAAATGTCGTCGTTATCCCATGGAAATGGCCAGCGGCGATCCGATGAAAAGAGAAGGTGGATAAGGAATCGTTTTCCAATGGGTTCCACCGCTCCAAAGTTGTTCGCGAAAAGTCAGACAAGCGACAAACTTCAAATGTCAGTCAACCTCGAATCCACCCCCTCGAATAAGGTAATCATCCCTCACTCCTTCGTCGACGTGATTAAGAGGTGAGAGTTCTGTTTCACGTTTAAACGCCCGATCCACCACTCGAGTTCATCTTCCGGAACTCTCCGTTGCGTGATTTACTGTACCTTAATTAAGGCTCATTCCGCCGCACAACTTGGTTTCCGCAGATGAAGTCGTCGTCTGTGATATCACTCTTCCTGGTGGGCTTGATTTCGGGTAAGTTGTGACATACAGTAATGTGACCGTGTTTTGTCATCATAATAAATGCTCTAGTGTACGATTGTTAAAGTAATGACAATGTAGTTGTGTTAATGTTATAGTTTCTCATTTTAATCCCAAAGTTCTTTACTTATCACAAGCCTTTTACTTCGCTAATCCAAGTTACTCAATCAGAAGAACCCCTTCAGAGCGATGACTAATTCTTTAATCAGATTACGTTACAAAACATACGTTTAGACAGTTATGCACAGTATTATGTAGTCAACTACCCAGAACAACAATACTACAATCAACAGCCAACGTATCAGCAAGTTTACCGTCCTCAACCAACATACCAACAACAGTTTGTACAACAACCGCAATACCAACAACAACAGTTCTACCAACAGCCCCAATACTACCAACCACAACAGTACAACGCCCCTCAGACCCCGCCCCAATACATACCTCAGCAACAGTACCAACAACCTCAGCCCGTCCAACAACAATATCAACAAGTGCCAGTCCAGCAGTATCAACAACCAGCTCCAGTCTACAAACAATTACAACAACAAGCTGTCCCTCAACCACAGCCGGTTCCACAGCCACAACCGGTCCAAGAACAAGGTCCAATCGAGAAGCCAGTCAAGGTGGTATCTGCCAACACTTACGAGTTTGACCTCCCACCCCCACCCCCAACCAGATTCTTGCCCGATGAAGAACGAACCAAGATCGTGCACAACGCCAAACAAGTTGAACATGCTAAGCAAGTCAGACCTCACCGACCACCACACCGAGTCATTTCGACCAGTGAGACTCGACCTCACAACATAGTTCACGAGACACCACGCCCTACCACGGCACCACCAACAACTACCCTGCCACCAACCACAACTCCAGCAGCTACTACTCCAATCTTAGAAACCAATGACAACGTGTCCCACTTGTCACCCAAAAAGGGCGCCAGCAATGTAAGTCCATATAAAGCCTGATTTAACCATGTTTTAGCCCAACAAGTACTTCCTTCAATGCTGCAAAGACAAGAAGGTGGCCAAATCTTGTGAATCCAGGTGTAACTTTGACAATATCAACAAGAAAGTGGTAAGTATAATAACATATGAATACATTCTTGTAAAACACCATTGAAAAGGTACTCGTTTACATGAAGTCATTAAAAATTGAATTTAGTTGACAGCCATGTTCTTGGGATCTGATCCTTGCCCACAAAGATATGGACTTGACCTATTTGCTTGCGCTGCTCAAGACTCGGACCACACACCTTGTTGTAGAACAAAGAATGTCATGAGGACTTCTGCTGGTGAGAAGTGTTTGGCCTTCTGTAACTTGAGGCCGGATTCACACTTCCAAGCTGACGCCAGCTATCTACCGTGCTGGGCCGTATTAAACGACGTGAAAATGTGCTTCAAAGACGCAATAATAAGTGGAGAAATCATCCAATAAATAAGTATTTCCTTGTTTCGCACTCCAAAGCCGTATCAAAATATTTTAATAAACGAAAAACAAAAAACAACAAAGACCTATACGTAGCTTCGAAAATGAGAATGTAGTATTGTTTAAAGGTACCCTCTACGTTGCTTGTCCTTCGAGAAGTTGAGGTAGTCTCCGTCGGCAATGTTCAGCATAAGGCCATCAGAAGGCAAATAAACCTTGTTGGAAGCCGAGGCAACGTTGCGAGCAATCTTTTGAGCAGCGCGGATCTTTCGAAGTTTCAAGAATCCAGGATCTTGTTTCATAGACTCTCCAAGCTGTAAAATGATTTCGTTAAGAGTTCAAAAAAGTTTTTAACAAATTCATGTCGGCTGTTCGCTTAAACAAAATATCGAAGCAATTTACGATAAAAATTAGTTCAAACAACCTGATTCTATACGTTGGATTTACAACGCTCCTTTAAACCTTCATAAAAGGACGTCAAGATTTCTCAACGACAAACAACATATTATTAACAATAGCCCATAAATAAAAAACAACCAAAATTTAAAAACTTCCCTCCTAAATGATATAAAAAGTATGTAAAACATACCAATTTAGCAGCTTGAGCTTCTCCTTCCGCCTGTACAATCTTTTCTTGTCGTTGCTGAATAGCCTTTTCGACCATGAACGACGCTCGTTGAGCTTCTTGAGCAGCGACTTGCTTGGCTTCAACGGCAGCTGAGTATTGAGGAGAAAACGCCAATTCTGTAAGAGCAACATCGTCCAAGATGATGTTGAAGTCCAAAGCTCTTTCGATTAATCCTTTTCTCACCAACAAAGACACTTGTTGACGTTGTGTGATAAGTTGAGAAGCGTTAAATTTAGCTACAACTCCTTTCAATACCTAAAATCGCATAAAGAATAAAAATTTACTCAAAAAGACAGATTCTTAAAACATAACAATTCTTTTAAATGTGTTTTAATAGCAAACTTTAATTGCAAAACTTTAAAATTATCTAACTTTACGTCTAAACAAGAAAAATTTAACTAAAAACAAACATACCTCGTTGCAAATAGATGGAAGTATTCTCTCCTCCCAGTTGATACCTAAAGTTCTATAGATCTTGGTCAAAGAGTTAGGGTCGGGCCGCGACAAAACACGTAGTCCGATATTAACCATCTGAAGATCTTTGGAACCAGTGGGGGACCGAACTTGATTTGGTCTAGCTCTGATGTCATATACTATAGGATATTGAAACCAAGGAATGCGAAAATGAAGACCTTCTTTGTATACCTCATCACTCAACCCACCAATTCTGTTGAACATGATAGCCCTGTGACCAGCATCAACTAAAAATACAAAAAAACTTATACAGTACAATAAGAGCAAAGTACTGCCTCTTTACTTCATTGTAAATTACAATTAAGATCTAAGAGCTAAAAAAAATAAGATAACATTACTTACCTGTGAACATAGATTGAGAAATAGCATAAACTCCAGCGCCGGCAGCAGCCAACAAACCGATACCTACTCCAGCTCCCTTAGAATTCTTGAGAATCTTGTTGATGGCATCTTTGCCCTGTTGTTGAGCCGACATGATGTCTGTTCAAATACGATTGCAACAGCAAAACAACAGAAATTATTTTTCCGAAAATATTTATTTTTTCTCTACAGAATTAAAATCTTTCGTTGCGGGAGCTAGCGTGAACTACAGTGTAAATTAATATTTTTATTTTTCACGAATAACAAACTATGACAATTTATTTTAGTACTATTTATTTAGTTATTCAAAGAGATCGTAGAAGAATGAATCCAGAAGCTTGAGGTAGAACACGATCCCTCCGCCAACGAGTAACGCGCCCAGTAGAGACTGAAGAAGACACAAGGTAATTCCACAACAGAGAGCACTTGAGCGTTCAGCACGTACTGAAAAGTAAGTATAGTTGTCGAGTTAACTTACATCGTTTCTCATTTATACCGTTCTGACGATCCATTAAAACCAACCGAGTTTCGTGTACAACAAGGTAAACAAATGGTACTTTTATGAAATTACTCAAATCTTGCACCAAACTGTTTATAAATTCGACAGAAAAGGTATTTTAGGACAATTACGGTATTCATTAGTACAAGTTTTATTTACATAACTTAATATCACAGGATGAGATCCAATGGGTTAGTAGTCGTTGTCGTCGTAGACTTCATCAGGATCTCTGTTTTCTTCAGTTTCCTTCTCGTGATCCTTAAAGTCGTACAAATCATCTGGAACGGGTTGCATTTGAACAGATGGAGCGTGCTTCACCAACTTCAGGTTCTCCAAGATTTCCAACTTTATGGCTTGGATAAACTAAAAAATAAATCGTAATTAACAATTAGGAACCCAAGATATTGGGTAAGGAATGTCAAGTGTGCTACCTCTTTAGTGTTCATGTTGTCGCATCTTCTGGCCAGCTCGGGCCTTAACGTGAAGTCAGGAGCAAAAAACTCGAGGTATGGGGAGTTTTCAGGTATTTCGTTTGAGATGTCATCTCTTTTGTCCACAAGAATGGCAGTTTCATTGGCCCAGCACCTCGCTACATTTCTGAGAGTATAGCCACCTCCGCCCAAAACAAGAAGGGGCTTCCCGAAACTTTTAACATACTTTACGCATTCCCTAAAACCATTTGGTTACAATAATCAGATTTTTAACGCAGTTTTGTCTTGTAAAAAAATACTCTTGTCTTACCCATGACCGTCGAAGCTCAAATTGAAGCATCCAAGTCGGTCGCAGCCCAAGGAATCCGCCCCACACTGTAGAACTATGGCTGATGGATCGTAGTTCTCCATGACAGCGCTGATGATTGGTTTGAACAGTTGATGGTACCCTTCGTCGTCGATCCCTTCTCGCATTGGAACGTTGACGGAGTAATACCTTCCTCGTGCCAACCCAATATCGTACATGTCTCCAGTGCCGGGGAAGAATGAGTTACCGTACTTGTGGAAGGATACTGTCATGACACGGTCGGTTAATTGGAATGCTTCTTCCACACCGTCACCGTGATGTATGTCAATGTCGATGTACAACACTCTAAAGTATATGGTAACATATCTATCATGAAGATAAAACTGTGAATGCTTATGACGTCATAAAAAGGTTTACTTACCGTGTGTGCCATTTCAACAGTTCAGTGATAGCGATAACTATGTCGTTCACATAGCAGAATCCACTGGCCTCCCATTTCTTGGCGTGATGCAGTCCTCCGCTCCAATTCACAGCAATTTGACAATCTCTGGCGTTGAGTCTCATCGCACCTTCCAACGATCCACCAGTGTACATCGAGCAGAAGTCATATACTCCGTCGAATACTGGACTGAAACAAGGTTATGTATGATATAAAAACTAGCTATTCGTTGCAAATCCGTTTACTTCTGCTTATTTATATAATTTGTCACTCACCAATCTTCTCCGATGTTAAACTTGACAAAGTATTTCTCGAATGCTTCAGCGTTGGACGGAGTTACTCGCTGTAAGAAGTTAATGTAGTCAGTGGAATGGAACCTCATCATGTCTTGGGCAGATGCCATTGCTGGCTGTATGCACTTCATGTATTCAGTAAGACCGTAGTTTGACACAAGGTTATGGCACGCCGAGAGTCTGTGGGGTTTCATTGGATGATGAGGACCGTAGTGATAGTTACCCACACCGTCCCGGTAGAAGTAACAGATGTCATTTTTGCCTACCATCTAACCAAACTTTAGAATTAAAAAAAATTTTTTGATTAGGTAAGGACATTTTATTGGTTTTTTACCACTACGAAGTCGATGTCAACACTAAAACCCTCGGTAAAAGTTAATATTTATCATACCATGAACGTTATTAAAAGTAAAAAATTGTTTCAGGACAATATTGCCACAAAAGCGGAATAAAGTTAACAAGAGACCAACATAATAATAATGTAAAACAAGTTATTTAATAACTAAATAGTTGATATTTACAGAATTATCCACTAATAAACAAGAGATAAAGGCAGGTTAACTGTCCAAAAGAAATCAATAGTTGATAGTCATGCCGAATTACACAACCACCGACCATTGACTGTGAATATCATCCATCTAGAGTTAAGCCTGGAAATGTTTTAAACGAATACCCGACCAATCATAAGTCGCTGTTCATAACGAGTTACAGCTACAATATATATGCAAGAAGACAGTTTATATAGTAATAAATTAAAGGCACTAAAACAACAACGTCTCACAACGCTGATACAAAAACACCGGCCAAAGAGTTAAAGTGAGACCAATCAGGCTTCAGCGCTACTGATGGCGCCCAGAAGATGGGCCACGGTAGAGCTGCTTTCCATTCGTGACATTGCTAGGTAGGAGAAGAGGCCTTCGTATTGCCGGATCTTCCTGAAAATATAATACTAATATATTGGAAATAAGGTTACGTTCATAAGAATAAACTCTTACTATCATTAGATCAATATAGTTTTAACAACTTACTTCCTAGCTTCTAGTGAATTACTGGCCAAATTCCTGAGAATAAGACAACTTGTTAACCTCAAGTTCTTTGTCACTGGACCTTCTTGCTCGTCCTGAAAGGGATTAAAAGTCATTTATTCGTTACATTAATCACTTAGCTAAAACAACAATTTCAATTCAATATTTGAAACAAACTTACAGTAAACTCTTTGGTCATGAAATTAAATGCGTGTCTTCTGATCGCATCGTATGCAGCAAACTTTGAGTAGCCAGCGTGATTAGTGGCGGGCGTCTCGGTCTCGAGCAGTTTCTTCATCTGAGCGATGTAATTCATGTCTCCCATATCTCTTCGTTTCCTTTGTGCGTTAGATAAAACAGTTTCATTGCAATGGTGATCTTGTAGATGGGTTATCATCGACCAGCGTGACCTCGGCGTCCTCTCACAGCCAGGCCACTTACAAAGTGACAGTGAGCTGCCAACTTCCCCAAGATGTTCGTGTAGAACATGGTAGATCATACTCTGGCCGTTGTGGAAATACCTCGTGCACACGTCCCATTCGCACATGAATTGAGGAATCTTAGACGGTGACAGCGTTGGTAGGGTTGGAGTAATCGGCACGGCAGAAGTCGAAGGTGAATCAATACCGTTATCTACGGGATCCACTGCGTTCGGCTTCTTCTTTAATGTTTTCGGTTTCTTGGATGCCGTCCCGTTCTGTAGCGACTCATCGGACTGTCTTTTGTTGTTCTTCCTAATGTAGCCGTTGAGAAGCTCTTTCTGTTCCAGATGCTCCTTCACGGTCTGCTCCTTCTCTCCAGAATCCTCTTTTATTACTCCGTTTCCTTTTAGAATCTCGTTAGTGCCGTTTTCGTGAGAATCACCATTCTTTTCACTACTTACACTCTCATCAGAATCGTTCTTTCCATTAATGGCATCTGAGGTTTCCACGATCTCTTCGTGATCAACACTCGAATGAGGTTCATCGTCAGATTCCTGTGCACTTCCATTGTTTCCGGTCTTTTTGGAATCTCCATTAGACTTTGGCATTCCGTTCTCTACAATTTCAGTCTTGGTGCTTCCTCCATTACATTGTCCATTCAACTCTTTCTTCACTTCAATAGCACCGTTGCAAATCGACTTTTTGTTAATGACACCGTTACATCTCTGAAAAGCAAAATTAATTAACCACATAGGAACTTATAACTACAGTAAAAACGTATAAAAAGAACACAAAATAATAAAACACATTAAGAAGCTAATAAAAAATGATTTACCTCCGATTCAATTTCAGCTTTAATCTTTTCTGGAGCAATATTCTCGTTAGACTCCACTGGCTTTGTGTTTGGGGTCGCGTTGGCTACTAAACATCAAAATAAGAAACTCGCACTTTAAAAATAACAATTAGATAATACATTTAATGTAACTGAATAGAAAAACTTACCACGTGCGTCTTTCTTCAAAAACCTGATCCCTTCGATGCACATTACCTTGGTTTGGGGGTTTTGTTTGATTTCAATCGACGGGAAAATGTCCCTAAAAGTACTATTAACACTTCTCCGATCAACTTACTTTATAAATTTACAAAAGTTGACCAAAGAACACGACAGAATCTTGTGGGTATTCCTGAAGTTCTCGACGTAAGCAGCGTAAATGTCACCTCGGTCAACAACTCCACTCGGATCAGATTGACAATTCTGTCTGATCCAGATCTTGGAAAAGTGTTCCACTCTGAACTCCGAACTCATTTCAGCCGGCTTCGAGAGTTGAGCTGTTAGAGCTGTCTTGGGAAGAGGAAGTGGATATTCACCTTTAGAGTTGACTACGATATGAGGCCGATAGGATGCACCTGCTACTGGTTGAACAGAAGAAATGAGTCGTGCTTGCACTGTTTGTGATTGAGGTAGGGCAGTAGGGTTACGAATGGCATACTGAAACAGTAACATTAATATAGAAGTTAAGTAAAAAGACGACCGATGGCAAAGGACTAGAATATGAACTTACAGTTTGGTAAGGCTGAGACCTCTCGACCTCTTCCCGGTATTCCACAACCTTGATACCTTGTAGAGCACTGGCCGTGAACTTGTTTCCTTCAATAGTTGTGAAGTTGACCAAAGTAGGTAACATTTTCGAAGTGTCGCAAATCTTATCACAAATTGACTTTCCAGTTCCAGACATCTAAAAAACATCGGAAAATTATGAAGCGTCATTTAAGACTATAAAATAGAACACAAACGAAAAATTCAAAATTGTAAAACCTAACCTACCATGTAAATCGAATCCAAAACATGTGTACAGATCAGCACGTCCTGCACCGTCATTAAATCACGTAACCGTTCAACAACTTCTGTATCAAAGAACTCGCATAATAAAGATTCGTTTTCTGACACATTACACAATCCACCAAGAATCTCGGTAGCTCGAATGATCAGAAACCGATCGTCGGCCATCAAAAAGGCTCGCAGATGTCTCAGAATAATATAACAGAAGCTGGCCATGAAGTCTTCGCATAAATTAATCTAAATTTCAGAAATATACCAATTAAAGTTAATTTTTAATATAATGTTACCTAAATATACCATAAATAATTTTTTGAAACCATATCCTATATTACAAAATAAGATTATTCTTTATGAGAATATCTGTTACCTAAATTTGTAAAAATATTTTAAAAAACAAACAACTTACAGAGCTGGCCAACTCGCCCAAAGTCTCTAAAGCTGAGTTTCGAATAGGATAATCGTCACAAGCCATACATATCGTCAAAAACCTGAAAAACAAGATAAACGTAAAATGAATTATATCAATCGTAAAACTAAAATTCTAAGCAATTTTAATTCCAATAAAATAACCAAAACAACTCACTTCATCAATGGAAAAGAGTAAGCCAAAGCAGCTCTGTTCTGCTCATCAAACGACAGATTTCTGATGATGTTTAAGACTTGATTCACCCTCAGTTCGTGCAGTTTATAAGCCTTTTCAGTTAACTTGACTTGTGACAAAGCAGGGAACAAATTAATGTCCTCAACCGTGGTTGGCTTCCCATCAGTATCAGGTAACAAGTTCAGCACTTCAGGATCCGTGATTCCGACAGAAAACCAAAATTTGTCGAAATTGCGTCCAAACTCTTTCTGTCTGCGTTTGAATTGTTGCTCCAGAATATCTGAGCAATCGTCAAAGATGGCGACTTGAGCAAGCAACAAAGGAATAATCCCTTCACAAGTCTCAACCTGAAGAGCATGAGGTCCAGGAGCTGACAGAACAGTACAGAGATTAACACAAAAGTCCTCTTCATTAGGTAGTCCACTACACAAGCCTTTTACAATTCTGTCATATCCACAATCATCGTCCACAAAACCTGAAAAGGCACCTTAAATTGAAAAAGTTACCTAAAAGTGTAGATAAAACCAGAAAGACCTAATTAATAGCAATTTCAATGCCTAAGAGCTAGTTTTGAAATCAGATTTCACCAAAAAAAACCAATCTTACCTCTTTTTGGATTCCCCAACGGACATTCAGAAGACACGAACGTTGAGAACCCTCGGACTCTAGATCTTGATCCCATTTCATTTTCATTGTCGTCAATATCCCCAACAGATTCACATTGTTCAAACTTGCTCAGGTATCTCATGTAAATCAACTTGGCGCAATATTCACCACCAGCTACATTTTCTCCAAAACCAAGCACATTCTGAGCGATTTCGTGCCACCTTTCCAAACTAGTTACTCGATGCCATCCTCCAATAGAGCTGACCTTATCGTAGAGCTTAAACAAGTCTATGTCGATGCCGTTTATCACGGGAAGAGTTAGGTTTACGTTCCTATAAAAAACCGTTATATTATGCATTATACTTTAATTTATAAGCCTTTTCAACTATAAACAGTTATTAAAATCAAAACCACAAAATATAAGTAATAGAATCCCATAGACAATCTCTGAATAATAGATGTTCACTAAAACAGAAAAAATAAAAATGTAACATACCATTTCCGTTTGTAGAAGAACCTGAGGTTGTGATAAAACTGTAACCTCCGCGATTTAATCTCGCTGGTCTCTTCGATGCTCTGATAATACTGTTCAGATGGTGACAGTCGCCGTCTTCCACCCATCGTAGCCAAATAATTAATAATATATTAACAATATCAAAAAATCATACCCACGCTCTCAGCGTGGAACCAAAAACAGTTGAGTAATGTGCAAAACTTCAAACGACACCAAGCCGTATCTAAAACATCCAAATGTTAGCAACATTCAAAGACAACAGCACGTTTAAACACGAAGAACGACACTTAGATACCTAAACACATGTATTACACCAAGCGTGAAAAAATTAAAATTTTAATTGGTTTGGATACCCCAAATAAAGAAACGACGTCTTCCACGTTAAAGCAAAAACAGCCCTTGAATGACCAAGCGTTGTAGCATTGTGGTCACTCTCTCAATACACGCGAGAAAAAACATTGTTGTCTGAAACTGCTTTATACGAAACATACCAAAAACAGTGCTTTACGTATAAATTACAGTTAACTTATTTTAAACATTTTCCCGCCAAACCCGCGACCTAATACCTAAGACCCCATCGACTATAAGACTTTACGTATTTTTATCTTTTCAACTTAAAATCTTTTTCGAGGCTCCAAAAAGGAGCGAATTTGCGGAGAAGAGCTGGCGGCGAAGGAAAAGCGCTCCGAAAGGCGAACTCCGGCGAAGAAAATGGTCCCGAAGATATAAAAAACAGAAACTTTTCCATTTTTTCCATTCGAATAGAAAAATGCATTCGGCGTCCGAAATTTGCTGGTCCGCACTCGCACCAGCTCTCCCAAAGCGTCCGTCGAGGTCGCTGCACGGTGCGACATCAAAACACGAAGGGCCAGAGACAGGTCTCTCGTTTTTATGCGCTCTCTTGCCCCTCTCCGTTTTCCAGTCGCTTGGCTGCCGCGTATCGCGCCCTCCCTTTTCCGAATTGTGTTTTCCATCTCTTTCGGTGGTTTGTCTCTTTCTCTGACCCACCCTCTTTGTCTGACGCCATCTCTCAATTTTTCGGGGCGAAGTGTCAAGCATCTCTTCCCGCCATGTTGTGTTTCACGATACCTACAAGACTATGAATAACCTGCTCTCCTCTGTTGCCGTAGTATTTCAATAAAAACAACGCCGCATTCAACTGCGCCCTTTAGTGATTGAGATTCGAAGGCTTCAGAAGGCAGCAGCACTGCCAGTCGCTTTGTTCTTTCGTTTTTTCTCTGCTTCTCTGTTCTGTACAAGAGGTTGTGTTAATCTATGTGAATATCGTGGTTCTCTGTTCGTCTGATGTCTTGTTTTCACGTAAAACCACGGTTAAATAATGCATAAGAAATTTATAATCTTATACGGTAACTGTTAATTTGGAATACTAATTGAAGTTGAGACTGTAGAATATGTTTGCACACATAGTACCAATGAAAATTAAATTACACATGCTACAACTATGAAAAGTCAAAAAATTTGAAATAAAAAATGGGTAAATTTGCATAAAACTTGAAAGTTGTAACAGGAATGTCATTTTGGGAAACAAATGTCATTTTCATTTTGATGAAATGAGTGAACTGCGATGTGCCGCTTCTGATGACCGACGGATGTGTGGCTACTGCGACTCGTCGCTGGGCGAAGAGGCCGTTCTGGCGTTAAATCGCCTCTGGCATCCCGACCACTTCTTGTGCAACGCATGTAAGAAGCCCATTCGACAGACATTTCAGGTATGTTATTTGTTTTTAAAATGTTGTATGCTACATTAGATTGTGTGTTGCATTTTATGAGAAATTCATTTTAAAAAATTTTTAAGTTTTTTTAATTCCTGTTTAATTCCTGACCAAGCTTTTCAAATGAATTGTCCTGGATAATGTAATTACAATAATAATTTTAGGTCCACAGTGGTTGCGCGTACTGTGTTCAGTGCTATGCTCAAACATTCAATCCAAAATGTGCCGGTAAGTTTTATATTCATATTATTGTTTAATTAGTTATTTTTAATTCTTCTGAAATTATGGCAGAATTAAAAAAAATTAATTTCTAATCACTATTGTTCTATTCTAACCCTGACTTATCAACAAAACCCTAAATTTTTTTAGGCTGCAACGAAACCATGATGGATACCTGTCTACTAGCCCTTGACAAACATTGGCATCCGCGATGCTTCGTGTGCAAATTGTGTGGGAAGCCGCTGTCAAATGGAGAATATTACCTCGTGGACGACAAACCGTACGACCTGGACTGTCACTGGGAGAAGCGATTGGAGAAAAGAAGCCAAATCAACAGAGACTGTATCTGATACACAAGTTTATTTACCCGTTATGTCGTTTCGGTAATATTAAAGGGATTCTGTTGTTGCTGTGACCGTCGCCTCGTTTTTCGACCGCGATTCTGGTCGTGTTTTTCAGTGGCTGAAATGTTTTGGTAAAACGTGTTAGACAAGTGCGTAGCAGTTTTACAATCTTGGGTTAACAGAGTCAGTCAAAAATAAGTATGCATGCAATTTTGAAATGAAGTTAAAATTTTTTGGTTGCAATTTTAAACTTTTTAAATAAAATTTATACAATTTTGGTTAGAGATTTAGCTAACAAAAAAGAAAGTTACATTAATGTAAAGCTTACATCTTTGGGAAACAAGTACCAAATCCATAGGCCGGTTGAGATGCCGAGAAAGTGGAGGAATATAGACAAAACGATATGAATCCACTGTTCCATCGTTTATTCTCTGGAAGCGGCGAAAATTGTGGATTCAGTGATCGGCATTCCCACTCTCATCTCCGCAATCCTCCCAGATCTCCAGCGTCGTTCTCTTTACTTTTTATTCGCGCGACTCATGCCCTAATTCCACAAACTATGGCTAAAACTATTGTATTTTGAGGTTTTGGCCTGTAGGGCAGTAGTAAGTAACCTACTGAAATGGTTGTACAAGAATTAAAGAATTGTTTTAAACTTTACAAAAGGTCATTAAATTGAGCGTTATTAGTCACATCATTGTATAAGTTACTTTATTTTAAGGTCAATTTCCGTTTTTCCCGTTTTCGATTAAAATATTTTCTTCCTTAGGCCCCATCGCCTCCAGCCTCACAGCTACATTGTTGGGCTGCTTCGGTTTCCCATCTCCAAATATTATTCTGTCGATGTGATTTACAGGAACTTCAAATGCTAATGACAATATCACAGCCGCGCAGTATGATGTGAATACGGCTACACAAAACATGTATGCCTGAATTGAGAAGCCTATTACTATCGTTCTTAAAAATTTGTGCATCTAAGACTACTTTAAGTATTTTACGCAAAATGATACATAATAGCACTTACAAGTTGAAAAGAATGCGTAAAGTGAAAGGCGGTAGGTCTACTAAGGTAATAGGTCTGTAGTAGGATAGGGTGAATAAGGTACGCACAGAAAGTGGTTTTACTCAGTGGTATAAACATCTTGTGCGACAGTATTGAGTTGATTTTATCTGAAACAAGTATATTATAATAGTTAATTTAATGTTTTTGATACATATCAGCGTGTAACACAATAGCCATTTTCACAAAAATTTAAAATCTTGAAAAGAAATACCTACTTGCATATCCAGTCTCACAAGCAAACACGATCCACCCCAAAAACAATGCAAAAGCAGGCCGACCACACAAAGTGTACAAAATGTACCACGTTGTTGTTATCTCTCCTGTTTTTGTGTAGTTGAACAACCCAAAGACTGAGTAGATCCCACACAATGAGAAGAAGATCCAACAGCTGATCAGCATGGCCTTGTTCAATTTAAACATCGGTCGAGACTTCTCGAGTAACAGGTAACCGACCAAACATCCCACTATATAAGGACCGCATCTTGTGTAGGGCTTCACATACAAGTCCACCCAGTAGTCGTTCAATATTGTCACTCTGAAAGTAAATTTAAATCATATTGTTACTCCGAAGGATCGTTCAAACCTAAGTTTAAATCGTCGCAAACCCTAACTAAAATACGGTAAACATTTTTATAAACTTACATAGTAAGTTTAGAAGTCAAAATTGGTGCTGGAGGGTATCCCTTTTGTAATGTAATAAGCAACGTCAATAATGATGACATCACCAAACCCATTACTCCAACCAAAAACCCTCCGACATTGAACTTGTACAACAATATTATTAGAACAGGAGCAAATACGTAGAACTGGAAGTCGTTGGCCATGTACCATGTCCATCCCATACACTGAAAACGGGTACTATAATAATATATAGCTATAACACTTATTAATTTTTTTGGTTTGAAAACAGTTTGATCGTATAAAACAGTCGTTGCAAACTGCGCCCACAAAAATTAAAAAATTTCCAAAAAATAAAAAAAATTTCCGTTATAACTAAAAATCCCTTACCGCATCGTCTTGTTTGAAGAAGTTGTTGACATACAACAAGTTGACATACCACGTGTTGGCACAGTACGTTGGCTCAATGGGACGCCAGAAGGGGCCTTCCGAGATGTAGGAGAAGATGGTTACCTCCAACAACATGATCATTACATACACTGGGGTAAGTCGGATGTACCGTCGAATGTAGTAGGCAAACCAGGTTACCCATAGGTCGATTCTGACTTGTCCTTTTCGTATTTTACCAATGAATATGTAGGAAGTTAGAAGGCCGCTCAAGAAGAAGAAGGAATCCACGGCCAAAGGGGCCTGGACTACCAGCTGGTTGTAGAACTGTTTCGGAAACTCTTTCAAGGTTTGTAAAAGGTTGTCTGAAGTCGTAGTCGTATAAACAAAAACAATTTTTAGGTATATACTTATTATAAATAAGTATATTATGCATTCTGTCCTACAAAGGCGTAAGTTAAGCCTCACCTGTAGTTAAACTCGAGCAAATATAGTAGTACGTGTGGCCAAATATAATCCAGCACATACTCAAGAATCTGCAACCATGTAGACATGTTATCTGACCTGCTTCTGTCTTTGTATCCAAGATGTATTTTATGTTTCTGGCCATGGAGAATATCATCAACAGTTTCTCGAAAGCGGCTGAAAAGTGATCAAAATGAAACTAAATGCCACTAAAGTAATACGATGTAAACTATCCTGTGCATACTACACTTTTATCAGTTTTATTCGACCTACTTTTGGGTTGATTTAGAGCTTCTCTGGCTTTGCTTTGTTCCTGGCCAAAGATAAGTTCATCTTCTTTGATACGCCTTAGTATGATGTGTCTGTTGGGCCGTTCGACATAGATATCGTATAACGTTCCGAATACCATCAACGTAGCGATAAAAAGCAAAAAACATCTGAAAATTTTTGATGACAAAGATGGTTTAGTTTTTCTTGGCCGGACCAAAAAGTCCTAGACCTAGGATATTGTTTTAACTCAGTTCTACCCAAAAACCGTTTCTGATAATGTCACTGTGTCATGTCTATTATATACCACAAATACTAAATCTTACGCAAAAACGACGGAACTTGGATGATTCCACATGGAGCTCTCAGGTCGAGCATTACTGCATTTTACATTGACATTACACACCAGCTCTTTTCCTGCTGACGCTTCGGCTGCATGGTATACTGCAATATATTTTATGTTAAACCATACATACATAAAGGTTTGAAAGGTCAACATCAAGTCATAAAATGCATAAATTTCAAAACTTACTGAACTGAATGATCTTTTTGACGTCGTAGTCAGTACAAGTATCTGGAGTGCATAAGCCGAGATTCAGAAGCGGCAGAAGGTCGAAACACTTTTTGTCATCTTCGCTCCATTCTTCGGCTACTCCTGTTGATGTTTTGTTTCTATAGCATAAACAATATTAATAAGTTTAGATATAAAGAAATAACTAAAGTAAAAAAGAAAACAACTAACAGTATCACTACAAAAATAAAATAAACCAAAATCAACCTAAACTGAAGCACAAACCACGTACTTACATACAGCGGCTAGATCAGCGGGCTGGGCCACGAATGCCTTCAAGGGATTGTGTTTGTTGTAGGGCTGGAACCGGGCCATACAATATTGACCATTCCATTTCTGGCTGAAACTTTTTTAAAACAAATTAAACTTTTTTACGGCCTAAAACAATAAATTAGACATGTCGGTTCAAATATCAAACCTTTCAGTCAAACTCAACATAAGACATCTAAACAAATGTTTACTCCCCCTTGCTGGTTTTTTTCCACGGAGATCTTGCGACAGGTGTACCACGAGCCAGTCCATAAGTTATTACCGCCGAAAATAGCCGCAGGGACTTTGCCCATGGCATCAACAACATTGAATATCCACTGGTACTTGGCAAACTCCTTCTTATACCCGCGAGTACAGTTACAATTGCCACATTTACGAGCTTCCTTCGCCGTGCGTGCATAATTGTACGTGGTCCACAGGAAATGGGACAAGTCTGCTAAGCACGGTGCAGAGACGTCGTACTCACGGAGAGGCTGGAGGAACTCGATGGCTTGTTGAAGATAGTCGACGTCGCCGTCTTTGGCCGAATCCTCGTAATTTTTGAATTCACGGTAAATATCACGGAACAGATCCAGATCCACGACTAACTGTGATTCAGAATCGGCGAAGAAATCGGACATGAATTCGCCCAGGTCATCGGCAGAATCTGGATCCTGAAGTGAAGGATTTTGGAACTGATCCAACTCTTCTCTCCCCATGTGGATAAGAATTTCATCATCCTCACAGAAGACTGCAGACGAAGACAGTAACAACGTCAACAAAAAGAATCCAAATGCCATGTTGTTGCGATGCCTCAGACTAAAACGCTCGCACGGTCATTAAGCTTTCGCGTTCGAATTTAAGGTCAAGGCAGGACTGGAGGAAAGTGAAAGGGCCGTCTTATCAGAGAGGGAGGGGACAGCTCTTTGCCTCTCGGGTTCAGCCAGGTGTCAATTCCGGGCTCCATTTATCATTCTGTAGTACAAAACCACAATTTGACAACGCGATCTGAAAGAAGAGTGATAAGACAGTGGCTTCTTGCACAAAATGGTAGTAACAATTTATTACTGTAATTACCAAGCTTTCAAAAATTAATTAATCATGTCAGTAGCCCTCTTAAGTTAAAACCTAAGACATACTTCCACCAAATTCAAAAACAAATGGTTTAAAATGTTACCACAGTAGAAGAGATAACCATTGCCTTTGCAATAACATTAATTTATTATTTAATGACTCCCGGAGATCGGTGTTTATGTTATAACAGTGAACAATCGTAAGAACAATAGTAATAGGCTTAATTTACCGGTGGCGGGGGAGGGGGTATGGCAAACGCCGATGGAGGGGGTGGTGGTGGAGTCGGAGCAGTGATACCAGTAGACATCGGAGGAGGCGGCGGAGGTATCGCCCAACCCATAGCACCTGGTGGTGGAGGTCCTAAACAATATTTCATTAAATAGTATAATTGTTGTGTAAAAATAAGACAAAAACTTACATTTTAAAATCACAAATATAAACCTAATTGAAAATAAAAAGCTAAATCCCCTACCTCCAATTTGTCCTTGTGGTGGTGGTGGAGGCGGAGGAATGGGTCTGCCTCCCATAAACATTGGATTTGGTGGTACCATTCCGCCCATCATGTTGGGCATGGGCGGTGGTGCCATGAACTGTGGGGGTGGAGGAGGCATTCCCATGCCCAGTCCCATAGGGGGTACTCCTCCCATGCCAGTAAGCCCCATTCCTGGGTGTCCCAACTGTCCCATTAGTCCTCCCATTGGTGGAAGACCATTTGGCATTGGCAGACCTTGAGCGGCAGCGACAGCTTGTGTCGCATTTGGTCCTCTTATTCCTCCAGGCATGTCAGCGAACATCTGATGAGGTCTGTCTTGAGTGAAGATTGGATTCTGAGCAGCCAGTAACCGCTCTGCCGCCGTTCCGTGCCGTTCTCCTTTTGCGTCTTTTTTAAAAGCGTAAGAACATGTGATTGGTCTATTGCATAAATATTGACCATGCATCGCTTCTAATGCCATGTCAGAGGCTTCGAAGCTGGAGAAGTTGATAAAAGCGTAGCCTTTGGAATTTCCAGATTCTGGATCTCTCATGATTTTCGGTACCTAAAATAAAAATCCTCGAATCCCATTGTTGCACTTTAGCGTAAATATTATTCTAAAAAACCTATTAGTAATTTAGACTGATTACCATTTTCATGTATAATATAGCCTATTGCTTTAAGCATACCCGCTTCATAAATATTCAACATAAATTTACAAGCAAACCACAATATAATACAAACCTACTTGTAAAATCATTCCAAACGCACTGAAAGTGTCAAACAACAACTTTTCATCAACTTCTGGATCCAGATTACCAACAAACAAGTTGGCTCCAATGTCGATACTCTTCTCGTTTGCCGATGCCTTGTTGACCTTAATGGGCTTTCCGAACAGTTTGATCATGTTCATAATCTTGATGGCGTAATCAGCATCTTCCTCGCCCATAAACTCCACAAAACCGAACCCTTGGTGACTGCCAGTGATCCTGTCTTTGGGCATATTTACACTTACAACTGGTCCAGCCTGTACGAACAACTCCCATAATATACCTTCTGTCACCTTCTCGTCCAACCCACCCACGTATACTGTAGCATCCTGATTCCGTTCTAATATCGGTGCTGATGTCATACAAAAATCAAACAGTTAGGTAAAAACAAAAAAAATACATTAAGTAACAGATATTTCATTGTCATATATACAATGTTAGACAACACACATCATATAATAATATATTACATTTATTGTATTCGTATTTATTTAGTAAGAGAAGAAGTTATTCCCCATCTTCCTGTAGAAGATAGCATCACCGTGCTCAAAGTAATCGCTTTGAGAGATGAATCCGTCTTCAATCATCGTATCTTTCTTCCGTACCAAATCTCTTCCACAATCCCAAGCATATCGTGTCGGTGATTCTGGTTTTGTACATACTAAATCAGTACCATGAGTGCACCACTGCTGTAGGTCATTCTGTAACCGATTGACAAAGCCAGGGATCGCTGCATTTCCTCCAACACAAATTATGTTCGAAGGCAGACCCAGTGCTATATCTAAAAATAGTCGTTTTGATGTTTAAAAAAGTCATACTTCGTTAACAGCACTGTAAAATTGATAACCATACTCGAAAAGTAAATTTATTTGTTTTATAATTTCAACCCGCGCAAACCTGGAAACGAAACTGCAACTTCTGTAATACACTGTGCTACAGCTTCTGGAATTCCTGCTTGCTTCAAACCAACATCTGATGGGTTGAACAACAGTTCTGGTACCGTGAATCTCTCGGTATTAACAACTATTTTCTGTCGATCTGTCGGTTCTCGCGATGGTAAAGCAGCTTCTCCCTTGTCAAAATTCACAAAATCAGGTAGCAAATAATCCCGCATTACCGTGTTACCTTCCGAATAGCGTCTATAATAGAAAAGTGAAATTTAAAAATTGTAAAACTAGAGCAATGAAAACAGTATTCACGAACACAACTCACAATTCTGCTACCTTCATATCTTTGTTGAAGTCAGTAGAAACAAAACAGAGATCTTCCTTGCACTGGTTCATGATATAAGTTTCGTCCCTGACTTCCAGTTGGCGGTATGAGATCCACTCTTTGAGTTGATTTGTCAAAGCTTTTCCTCCAATATCTAACCTAAACGTTTCTCTTTAGTTACGCCGTACAATTCCCAAGTAAGCACAAGTACACATTAACAGATACATAGATCTTGACATATTTTTCAAAAAAACAAATAAAATTGCCAGACATACCTTACAATGGAATTACTGATAAGACCACCATCGTAATACGGCAATATATGAGTAAATGAAAATCCAGAATCCACAACTATACAAGACTGTTTGTTTCGTTGTGTTAAAGAATGTTGAGCGACCAAGTTAGCAGCTGTAAATAATATTCATATAGTACTAAGTAAAATCCAAAATTTTGTCATAAATCATCAATAAGCAAAATTAATGTAAGAACATACCTGCGGTTTTATTTAATGCATTAAACTGATATGACTCGAAAACAATCTCCTCGACGTTGTCTTTGAATGCAGGTACAATGGAGTTGATATCAGTTAAAAGAAGTCGGGTGTCTTCGAAGTCTACATTCAGTTTATCTGGCCCAAACAATCGATCCCACACTTCGTACTCTACATTCCAATTCACTGAAATTGCAACAATACATGTACCTAGAAGTGTAAAAAGACCTAAAAGTTTAAAAAGTTTTACCTAAATACCCCTTTTCGTGTGCCAATGAGTAATACACTTTGGTCTTGTCATTGTAATCTTCTATTTCATCAGCCACAAAGACTCGTCGTTTTTCGCTTCGAAATTTGTATATTGTATTTGGTATCACACTGTGAATAAACGTTGTGACATATAAGATTACATATTATACAAAGGTTAAACTGTACAAAACAAACTTACATTGGATTATCTGCGCCCGAAAAGTTGGCACGGATGCTTGCAGCGCCATTGTCCACAACCAAAGTCTTCATAAAACACTATTAAAGGTAAAGTAAAGATACAGCCACGGTAAAAATATGTTCAAAACATAAATCTAAACAAGTTAGTTAATTGGGTTAAAAGTTTATCCTAACAACAAAATACATTAAAAACTACTCGCAACAAATATCAGTACCGGTTTAACAAAATATCAAAGTTAAATTAACAATAAATAATTAAAAACAACATAAAACTAAACAATAGTCTTAACATTAAATAAAAACAACAACGAAACTAACAACTAATTCATAACTATTCTACAATCGCTAAAAACGCATTTACCCGCGTTTTAAATGTATACCCGTTAAAAAAACTAAAATGTAACCCGTTTGATCCAGTTAACCTAAGAAATCAGCTTCCAAGAACTTGACAGATGATTTTGAAGTAGACGTTGATAAAGAAGACGACTTTGAACTCAAGTTTCGGTTATTAAATTTAAAGAACTCAAAAGATGTTGGAGTAGACGGTGAAGAAGAGCTGCTTGAAGTCGATGCTTTGCCAATTTCTTCCGGTTGAGAATCCATCGCAAAGCGAAATGACTTCTCAAAGTTCATTGTATTAGAAGCTAAAATGTAATCAAAGCCATAAAAAAATTAAAGCAACTCTTCATTTATGATACCTACCTTGCGACAACATGCTCACTGAATTCATTTTGAGGCTTTGAGTTGACTTCGGAGACGTGTATACTAAAGGACTCTCAAAGTTCATAGTAGCATTGGTGCAAACTGTGTCGGTCTTCTTCATATACTCAGAAAAAGCTTTAGCAGCGCGAAACATCGTCTAAAAACCAACAAATAAAAATATAATCATAATTTAAGTATACAAACACACTATCTTGACACCCAACAAGAAAATACACAACACATACCTCGTTCAAGGTGTTGATGCGCTCTTTTGATCCATGAGAAGACATGTTATCTCCATCCAAACTCTTCTTGCACATCTCAGAAACCACTCCTGAGTAACACATCGTATGTCCCACCCTCAACGGTAACTTGGGAACATACTCAGAGACCTGAGCAGCAATCTCGTCAACAGATATGTTGTCCACGTTACTGTTTTTAGTCGTTATCACTGATTTTAGCTTTTGCCTCAAGTCAGAATCAGATTTCTCCACAAGAGGATTGAAGATCGAGTCGCCCTTATCCTTCTCATTAAAACGATTTCTGTGTTTCTTCTCTGGCACGTACGGCTTCTTAAATATCGTGTCCTCCTTCTTCTGCTTATAACTGCGCACTGAGAGATTTCCAGCAATCACAGAGTCATCTGTGATATCGCACTTGTATTTACTGCCAGATTCCCTGATGATTCTCATTGGAGATTCTTCCAATTCATCGTCACTAACAATAACTGCAGCCCTCTTCTCGTGAGGTTTGATTGTTTTGGCAACACAGCTAAAAAACACTTAAATACAAAATATAACATGTCTCCTCATTTGAAACAGATCGTGTTATCTAAATACAAAATAATAAAAAATACCTACAAATCTCCGTGTTGCCTCAGATTTCCCAATCCTCGACCAGGTTGCCTTATCGGAGGCAATGGAGCTATTGAAACATCAGAAGCCGAGCCCGGAGCATTGTTCCAGACTTTGCTGTTGTCGTAAGGATTCCTCTTCGTGATAAAATCCAGGTCTTCTTCGACTCCCAACAAAACATCAGTTTCTTCAGCAGCTCTTACAATTTTAGAGTAAATAGCATTATTAAAGACGCCTTCTCTGTTCCTTCTTTTCATGACTGTAAGAAGACATTTACTAAGATAAAGACGTTTCAAATAAATGCAAAAAATATACTATAACATATGACAGTATTTTCATAGTCCTAAACGAATTAAATCTAATTATTCTATATAACGTTCGGTCCGCTTTTATGAAAAACGGAACTCAGGAAGGCAAGAAGCTGCGCCCGACATTTCGCAAACTGCGGATATTTCGCGTCCATGAATTATACGAAAAAATTACTGTAATATTTGTTATAGATAAAATTTTGAAAAATGGTTTGTAAATACAAAAGATAATGACATTTAAATACTCTGAGCAAAAAATTGTGAACCAACTTGAAAAATTGAATGAGACATACACTATAGTGCGCGCACTAATGTAAAATTTTCTGCATTAGAATTTTTTTTTGACATACTGTAACTTTTTTTCAAGTTAGATTTCATAACGCTCTTTCTTAAAGAGCATGACATTTACAACATCTGTGTTAAAAAAAGTTATTTTTCTATTTTTATAGGTAAAAGTCTTGCTAAATTATAAAAAAAGAGTCGTGATAACAGATTTTCTAGAATTTTTGGTGATATTTCTTGTTTTTGTGCGTCAAGATTTTGTCTTACCCTCAAAAACAAGAATTTTTGGTTTTAATGTTTTAAAATACAGTTTTACGTTTGTAGAGATAGGATTTGTGTTTCTTCTTGTAATTTGAACGTTTTTACTTCTGATAATGCCATCTTTTTATTGTTTGGAAGCGATCTTCAAGTATATTTTAATGGGTTTAGTATGATTTTTGAAGATGTTCCGCGGTAATTTGAAGCTTAACTGGTTGCGCGTGATAGGATCGTGTATAAAATCAGTTGAGTGAATTGTGGATAACGTTTATCCTATTTTAGAACAGCACAGATGGAATTCACGTTGTTTTTGATAGCCTTCACCCCCGCTGTCTCGGTAAGAACTTTCAAGTTTTATAATGTGTTTAGGGTTATTTAATGTACTGGAAATTTTGTGCTTTGAAAATTTGTTAATTTTTTAATTGAAAATTGTTCTAGACAAACGCAACCCTCCAAGGAATATCCACCCAAGAAGGCTTAATTACTGACATGTGCCAATATGCTTTTTTACAGTAAGTAACTATTGTTTTATAATTTGTTTAGGTTTACAAATTGATTTTACGTTGATGTCAAATATAAATTGATATACTTGAATTTTGCATGGCTTTTCGTTGTAACTAAGATTATATTGTGTTTTTTAGGAACACATCTTTATGTGGAGGTATATGTTCCCCAAGATTCACAGTATCTATTGAGGAATTTGTCAAGCAGACCATTTTAATAGTTTAACTAGTTCTCACTTTATTTTGTTATAACTTTGCACAACAACTCATCTAATGTACATAGATATTAACCAGAGTTTTATTTTGCCATTGGTTTCCGTTTGTAATAAATGTTGTTATATTGTAATTTTGTTTTTTTGTTTACTGTATTGTTTTATTCAATATATTTACTACTACACTTTTCCCATCAAAAGGTTGTTAATATAATTGCCGTGGATTGATACACTACTTTCACTAAAGAAGACGTTGTCAAAGAAGCCATGAAAACTTTCTTTGGCTCCAGAAGTTCTGAATTCTATTGTAGTGGTATAAAAATGCTTGGAAAACGTTGGACAGGTTGTGTTAATGTCGATGGTAATCTTTTTGATTTATAAATATGTAGTTGTTGTTGTTACGCAAAATTCCGGGAACTTTGTAAACAATCTAATAATTTTTAATGGTAAAATAAACGGTGACGACATGGATAGAACGCCAAAAATTGAGTAAAAGTATTTATTGTCCTAAAGCCCTCCTTCTGTTTCGCTCTTCTCGTGAGTACCTGTGTACTCGTACTCTTTTTTGTTCAGAACCGCCTGGTACCTGCAATACGGGTCGTATGCTGGTCTGTGTTGTCTCGCTTTGCATTTTCAGTATATTTGTAGATGATTCTAGTATCTGAAAATGTCACTTTGTTAAATAACGTTGAACTTCTGATTTTCTTAATCTTATACCTAATAACCTACTTCCAATCGAGTGTTCTTGACGAACTCTTCAACGTCTTTTGGTGTTTCTTCAACTGTGACGTGCTTCTTGGGTATATTCTTTACCATGGCATCATAGAACTGCATATCGTGTTGTACCATGTCCTTGATAATATTTACGACAATAAGTGGTGAGAGAGACTTTTTTCCTCGTTTCCATCTGTAATTGCAATATTTAAATTTTGTTTTAGTGGCCTTAAAACAGCACGATGTTTATATACTACACAATGAGCCCAACCGACTTACTTTAAATGTCTTTCCAACGGTAATCTGAAGCTGTTTTCTGGAACGACTCTCATGCCTTTAGGTATTTTTTCGTCGGAAACAGCATTTACCACGAATGCCATTCCTTCTCGAACATGGTCCTCTGTAAGCTCGTCTTTGGCAAAACTGTTTATGTGGATTACTTTGTCTAAAATCACACATTAACCTGGATGTTATTTTATTACCATGAGGGATGTCAGTTGTACGGTAAACGTCGTTACTGGAGACGTTAGGTCCTAAGGGATGTGGAGTGTAGTTGACACTTCCTTGTGGTCCATACAAAAACGGCCAATGCCTTTTTGCACTGTCGGCAACTCTGACATCTGGAGAGAAGTTGTTGATGTGGATGAGAAACGGGTCTTCAGAGAACCAGTTTTCAGTGACCAACTTGTTTATACCTCTGAAACCAATTGCACCTTACTCTGTGAAACTTACGACATTGCTTGCGTTAAGAAGGTGGGAGGAAGACTGTGTAGCAACGAACAGTCTATACTTATGATAGGGTTGTGTTCTTTCAGTCGCAGTTTTCTCCATATGATAGACCCGTAAGTTTTGTCTACAGATTCTCTAAAGTCTGAGCCTCTGATAAGGTAGGGTAGCAATGCCTTTTCATGTTCTTCTTCTTTTGGCGTCTGAAATATTTTGTATTTCAAAGATTGAAAGCAATATATATAAATATTTGTCATTGCTGAAGTTACCTCATCATTCGAATCCTTTCTTTCACATAGTTTCTTCAGAAAACTTTCACGATCAGGTAGGGTGTTCAGACTTAAGTAGGAATGCCATTGTTGTGGTTCCATTGGCGGTACCTCTTGTGACGACATTTCAGCCCATACCTACATTTAGACAGTTACTATTGAGATATATTGAGGTTGAAAAGTTACTCTCTACTAGTACTTACTTGAAGTTCGGCAAGGATGTACGGTATGTTCCTTTGAGTGTTTGGTGCTAAACGTCGAACAACACTGGCCGGAGGCATAAGCGAGATGAAACGTCTTATTAGACCAACCTTCTGGCTCAAGGGAAGCATTTTAAGTTTTACGTAACCTGCAAACTATTATTAATTAAACTAGAGTTTTAGCGGTTTTCTATGTTAATACTCTATGGCAACGTAAAAAGATCCGTAAACTATCAAACTTTGATTATTTTGGGTCTATACAGTACTTTTCCGATTGTACACAAGATTTTCAATAAACGGCTATAACAATAACAATTTTATAATGAAAAAACAATAACAAGTTGTCAACAATTACATAATCAACAAGATTAGGCTGGTTTCTGAGATAATAAAGGAAATTTCACACCTTTGGCAATCGTACTAAACCAAGTTTCTTCAACTTCGAGTACGGACTGCATTTTCATCTGACCGTCCAGCTGAATAATCTCCTGATATAGCACAAAGTCAGGTTCCTCTTTGAATAAAGTTGAGGTGGCATCTATGAATACGAAGCCGTCTAATTTCTGGGTCTGGTATGCTCCTTTTGGCACATCCTTCCCCTTCAGCTTTCTGGCGACATTCACCTGTTGGCATGCGACAAAGATTTGTCTAAAAACAAATACTTTAACACCTTTTGCATTTAGATGTTTAAAATTAAAAAGTGGATTGTTTACTGTATTTTATTTTGTAAAATAACCTTCTTAGCTTTATGTAAAGTTGCTTTCATTCTTACCTGATTAACTTGAGTTGTGTTTCAGTTGGTAACTTCACATCTGGATCTAAGACTAGGGGTTCTTCAAGTTTCAACGACTTGTTGATCAGATTCGTCAGTTGTCGTCGCATCTTCCGAATCTCTTTCAAAGCCTCAAACCGTAGACCGACTTGAACACAGCCTCCTCTGTCAAGGTTCTTCTTATCAGCTGTGTGAATGGCATTCAAGAAGACATTCAGATCACCCAATCGTCTCGTTTGAGCCGAGTTGTTCCACTGGCTTCTCTTCTTCATTAACATCACCATCAGTTCTTGAGTTTCCACATTGTCGGACCCTTGCAACGATGCTATGTTTATCATGGGTTCTCTGACTGTCAATGCTGATATCAAAGTGACAAGGTACGGCAGCACATTATTCTTATTGGCCATAACCACCATTTTGCCAAATTCTGGTGACAATGGGAACGACAGGATAGTCTTACCCAAACCGGTGATGGAGGAGACACTCTAAAATGGAATAGTTAATGTTCTGTAAGAAACTAAACAATTGTGACAAATTAAAAGTACGAGAACAGTACATACCTGTCCTTGTTTGAGTTCCAACGCCCCGAGTTTGATCAACCTGTTCTCAGCGACCTCCAACTGATCTTTCTCTGGTTGTGTCGGGAACGGGAAGTTGCCAACCTTCAGAATACCCATCGACTTCAAGTGTAACACAACCAGATCAATCGGTTTGTGTAGAATCTCTGGCGGAGGAAACTTTGGAAAATCTTCGAAGACAGCAGAAGAATATAATCTGTAAGCATGACCGGCTGATACACGACCAGCACGGCCAGAACGTTGAGAAGCTGATGCTTGAGAGATGGGGGATACCTTGAACTGGGACACTCCAGTAATTGGATCGTAGTCTCTACGCTTTTCCTTCCCTGTGTCTACTACATACTTTATATTTGGAATGGTCAAAGATGTCTCAGCAACGTTTGTGGCAATCACGCACAGCCTAAACATTGTCGTTATTGTCAACATAAAACTGCTACAAAAAAGTTTTTTGGTTTTTCTGTAAACTAAAAAATATTACTTTAAATATGACAAAAAAACCGTTAAAACCTGACCTTTGACCCTCAGGCGGTGCTTCAAAGACCTTGTGCTGCAAATGAGACGGCATCATAGAATATAAAGGTAGACAATACAATGGTCCTTTCTTTGCGTGATCCAATTTTGGAGCAGCCAAAGCATATTCATCTTCCTCATTACCTTCGTTTTCAGAATCCTCATCACACTCTCCCACCCCGGTTTCATCAAAGTCAACATCTACATTGTCATCTTCACCTTGTTCTTCTGATGTATTCTTCTTCTGAACCGGTGGAGGATATGTTTGTGATAGTAACTTGACAAGACGATGCACTTCTTTCTGGCCACTTACAAACACGAGTATTCCACCATCTGGTAGTCTCTCGTGTATTTTAGACACCTTGTGATAAGCTGCGGTGATATAATCATCTGGTGTCTTCTTTTCAAAATGCACGGTTACTGGAAACTGTCTTGACTCAACGTTAATTAACTTGGGTAATTCTGCAGGAAACAATCTAGAATTAAACACCTTAGCACAAGAAAAATTTAAGACTAAATGTAAAGATCACACCCAGGGCCGGGCGGGGACTTTTGGTCTGGGGGCGGTGGTCCAAAAAATCGGCACAGGTAGAGCTACCTGTGCCGATTTTTTGCGAAAATTTTTTTTCCAAAAATCCACAGGGAGGACCACATTCAACTTTTTTTCGCAAAAATTTTTTCTGGGGGGTCCCCCCCCCCCTCCCCCCCTCCTCGCGCCCGACCCTGATCACACTAATGAACACAATCTTTAAAAAGCAAGAACAACATAACATTACCTTGGCTGCATGAAATCGGACGTCCTCAAAGTGGCACTCATAATGACTAACTTCAGAGGTGTTCCAATCTTGACCCTCTGGACTGCGATCCTCGACAAAAGCCCAATCAGAACATCACTGTAGATAGAACGCTCATGAGCCTCGTCGATGATTATCACACTGTATGCCTTTAATTGTGGATCTGTTTGCAACTCTTTCAGTAAAACACCGTCTGTCATAAACAATATTTTAGTTTTCTCTGACCGATTACCTTCAAACCTGATCTGAAAATAATTTTTTAATTATCTAAAATAAAATTTTAGACCTTGAAAAACAAATTATTCCATACCTGATACGATGATATGTCGGGATTGTTCAGTTCCTGTCCCACTCTCTCGGCCATACTCATCGCAGCTACACGTCGAGGTTCAGTAACTCCAATCAGATGTCCGTTCGAAGTGTATCCCGCTTCGTACAAGAACTGAGGTATTTGTGTTGTTTTACCAGATCCTGTTTCTCCTGATATTATGGTTACCTAAAATCTTTTTGTTCAAAAAATTCAAAAAAGGTAAATAATATAATTTAAAAAAATGACATAGTAAAAATATTAAAATTACAGTGTTTTCGTCGATATTCTCCACCAGCAATTGTTCTTCTCCATAAATAGGCAACAATGATCGTTGCTTCTGTATAGCTGAATCTCTATCCACAACAACTTTTTTGCCTTTGATGGTCGACAACAACCGCATGAACTTTGTTTCCTCTGACCTTTTTATCTTTTTTTCTTCAGCTTCTTTGACTTTCTCTTGAGCTGTCCTTGTAATCATGCTCAAGTCAGGTTTTACTACATCTGTTTCCTCAACTGTCGTTGTGTCTACTTTGATTTCTTTAACAACGGCAACAACGTTATCCTCTCCTTTTTCATCCTCATCGTCTTCACTTTCTGAACTACCTGTATCACAGTGTACAGTAACAACAGATGACCGTTTAGCTTCAACTGTACTGTTATTCGCTCGAAGTTTTGTAGGAAACTTTGGTATCTTTTCACTAAAAGCATAAATACATAAAAAAATATATATACCTACTTAAGTGCAGCGCTGTTCTTAGCAATAGTTGAAGTTAACTTTGAAGATACATCTACACTCGTTTGGAATTCTTGGAGACTAGCAATTAGCTCTGCTCTCTAAAAACACTCTATATGATAAACTCATAGCCAAATTATCTAACGATACGAATAAATATGTATCTCTTTAATATAATATCGTACCGTTTTCTTCTCCTTCTTCCTCTCGGCCAACCTCTTCAGTTCTCGTTTCTTATTCTTTGTGAGCTTCTGTTCTTTCTTTTGCCGTATTTCCTTTATTTTATTCGATTTCTTCAAATCTAACTTCTCACCAGTAGACGTAACTAACTTATGAGATTCTCCAGTCTTCTTCTTCTTCGATCCGGACAAAACCAAAGCATTGGAATCTCCTACATTCACATAACCTTCCACTTCCTCTTCGGTATTTTCCTTCCTCTTCATCGCATTTGTGTTAACTATATAGTATATTAGACGTTTAGTAAACCTATTATACAATAAAAGAATATTTACCAAAATTCCTAAAATTTTCCAATTTAATTTTTTGTATTCGGGTGCGCCCTATTTCCCGCAGTTGTGAAAATGTTGGGCTGCAGCTAGCCAGTTTCTGTTATTTGTCCTAAAACGAAAGCAAGTAACATTTCTCCCTCATTTTTGACGCTTTCTTAATTCTATTTTTTTTTCGTTTTCCCATAGTTAATATACGAGGAATGTTAGCCATTTACTTTCGCTTTTTAAATCCCACAGCTTTTAATTAAGTTTACATAATTTCTTGACGTTTCAGATCCTTTGCAGAAATGGCTGATGAAGGTGTTAATCCCAAGGCCCAACCTTTGGCTAACAATCAGCTTACCCAGAAGATTCTGGATGTTGTCCAACAAGCTGTGAACTACAAACAATTGAAGAAGGGCGCCAACGAAGCCACCAAAACCTTGAACAGAGGTATTGCTGAAGTAAGTTAAAAAATTTTTTTGTTTTTATGTTATTTTATAAATTTAGGTAACATTTCCCTAAAGGTTTTGCTCATTTCAAGTCTGAATGAATTAAACGCGGTGCTCTACTAATCTAACTCTATTTTTTAGATTATCGTTATGGCTGCCGACACAGAACCACTCGAGATCATTCTTCACCTCCCACTTCTGTGCGAGGACAAGAACGTGCCCTACGTGTTTGTTAAGTCAAAGGCTGCATTGGGAAGAGCTTGTGGTGTTACTAGACCAGTAATCGCTGCATCGATCACGTCGAACGACGGATCTCAACTCAAATCTCAGATCCAGACAATCAAGGAGGAAGTCGAAAAGCTCTTGATCTAACATTGTTACTTGTTGTTATTGTTACATGTTTATTGTTACATTTTCACTCATAAATTTTCCCAATTTTTCCTACGTTGGTCGATTTCTTGTAAGGTGATTCTCCCGCCCGCCAATCGAATTTTGTCCTTTTTCGTGGGATCATGGAGAATTTCCTCAGCTGATTTCAAAGTCAAATTTATGTAATCGTCGGAGACGGAAGTAATCCTATAGCCCAAATATGTGACCATTGGTATAACTGGGATGATGAGTGCTTTGATCTTCAGTTTCAAAGCTTGGTACATTAATGTAGTTATAGCGGTGCATCCAAGGATAGTATCCCACATCAGCATCTCTTTTCTTCGTGCGATTTCTGTAGCCCTCTTCTGTTGCCAATAATGATCAAGAAGGACAATTTGACGGTTAAACTAAAATAAGGTAGAAAAATTGTATTATTTGAACAGAATTATAAAGAAGATAGCTTATGTAAGTAAACAAAAGGTCTCTCTAACCTGTTTGTCATATTGGTCTTGTAGCCTTTCCAAAGACGACGCTTCGTTCGAATGTGCAGTTCCCATCTAAAACGATGATGATTTCTACAAAAAAAGAAATGCTCCAGTATATAAAGGTTGAAACCCAGTTCGATATGACACAATAACATAAGTTTCCTATTTATTTAATCAATGGCTTCGGGTGAGTACAACAAGTCTTGGACACGAGCATCGATCTCCTTGACTGAGATAACACTAGATGTGAGGCGTTTGTTGACGTCCTTCATTACTGCGTCTGTTATGGCTGAAAATATTCAAATTGTTTCAATTAATGTTACTCAAAAATAGTAACACAAACAAAACATTTAATTTTTAAAAGAACTTACTCGTGATGATGTTAATCTTGTTTCCGTAGGCTTTGTGTGCTTCATACCCAACTATTATTGTGCATGGGATAGCTGGTAGTACGTAAAACAAGTTTTTGTGGTGAAAGGATGAAGCGATACTCATGAATGTTGTCGCAATCCCAGTAAGAGCTACCCATTGGAATCTTTCTTGAGCTTCAGCAATCTAAAAATGTAATCAAGGTAAATTATGACTTACTCTGAAGGCGTTTTTCCGTTCATTGATAGCTTCTTTGAGTGCAATTTCGCGTTCAATCTAAAATAAAGAATAATATAGGTATTAAACCGTTACCCTTGTTTCTTCTAACCTTCTGATTGCGTCTTCTATCCTTTTGTCATGATCTTGATTCACGGTAGAGTTCCAAAACCACATTCTCAACGATTTGAAGGCTAGTTCAAATAATAAACTTATTTATCAGTTTTACAAAATTATTTTTGATAACTGGGCGCGAGCTGCTACTTTTCAGTTCCGCCCGCGGTTTATCGGCCGCGGTTTTTTCCACCCGCATTCTTCGGAGTTCAAACGTTTTTGAAATTTGGCAAATATTAATTGTAAAATAAATCTAAAAACCCGTTTATTCGTCAAACTTTGTGGCTCTAAAAATCTATGAGAACACTGTAGGTGATAATATTGTAGCCATTAGGAAAGAGTCGGTCAGAATCGCTGGGGATGCTACGGCCGGGCTCAAAACAGAACCTCCGAGACCACCTGGTGACAAAATGTCTGGAGATAAGACCAAAGGGCTCAATATAAGAGGACTAAGAAGATTTGGGGTCAAGATGTTTGGGCTGAGAACATACGGCGACAAAACTAAAGGAGACATCAACACAGGGTTCAATACCATCGGAGACAGAACATACGGGGACAAGATAGATGGCATTCCTAGTCCAGGCGAGCCAATGTAAGGACTAAGGGCCATGGGGTTTAAAATAGAAGGGGAAAAGATACTTGGGGACAATATTACTGGACCCATGATGGTAAGGCCAAAAGATGGGGCAAACATATACGGGCCGAGGATCACCGCCGAGAACACGGTAACGGAGGAGGAACGTTTGCGTCGTTTCAAACGGTGTTTGTAGTCTTCCTAGATGTCTTTATTAGTAAAATATATTTGATCAGGGACGTCGCTACGATTTTTCTCTGGGGAGGGTGGAGACCCAAAAATAGCTGCTACCTGTGCCCGATTTTTCGAAAATTTTTTTTTCGCTTTTTTACGTACAGGAGAAAAAGCGAAAATCTATGGATTTTTTTCGGATCAGCTCAGGGGGGGGAGTCACCCCCGAACCACCTCCCCCCCAAACGACGTCCCTGTATTTGATCATTGTTATTGTGCTACTACATTTATTTACTCAGTTTATCTCTTACCATGCTCTCTCTCAATGCCACTTGTTCTATCGTATTCCACAAGGCATTTTCTTTGTCTTGTCTATCTAATTGACCGAATGCATCCAGAAACTCGTTGTCAGTTGTGATATTAAACTCTAAAAACGTAAGAATGAGTTAAATACGTTAAGATACCATTGTTCACGTAGACTTTCTGTTGTTGTACGGTATTCATGAAAGTAAATCCCTTTGTGTCAAGATCTCGCTTCTGTCTCTTACTCAGATCACTCTCTAGGTTTTTGTACATCTTGTCTATACGGTTGTTTACATCGGTGAGCTCATTTGCCATATCTGGAACATTTAATGACATGTAGAAAGTGGCATGTTTCGCAAAGTACTGTAACTGTAATATTATGCTAATATGAGATGTTGCGTTCGCAAAAAACCAAATAAATTTACCTGCAAAATTGAGATGTTCCAGAAGGTTCGCGGAATCTTTTATGGCATCAGTTGTACCAGACAGCTGCATAAGTAGTGTCATCACCTCATCGCGTTCTTTCCCACTCAAGTGCGTAGCCTTCAGAATCGACGGTATAGAAGCTATCGTGCGGTCATCTTCGTAAAAGGACAACAATGTTGGTGATAAAAAGTTGTCATCGCTGGACGACTTCTGCGGCATTAACGGTGCGATTCTGGGGGACAAGAACTTGTAGCTTCTGGTGTGATTGTTTGATGTCCTCAGGCTTGAGAACAACTCGAACGCTGTTTCTATTAACACTTTTGGGTCTTTCTGAAGTTAGTCGTTGTGTTTGGTCGTTCTCAGTTTTTGATATTAAACGTATATATAGTGGTATGCTATAACAAAACATGACCTACACTTTCTTTGATTGTCCTTGTGGGTATCTTGTTATCCAAGACCAAGTCGTACATCCTCATATTGTAGGTCCTTGAAGAAGATGCCTTTTCTTTCAGTTCCATTTTCTTCTTCATGTCCAAGAGATTGTTGTAGATACTATTCCAAGGTGTTGTACTCGTCTTAGTGGTCAACTTGCTTATCAGATTGACTACCTTTGAGACAGGAGATGTTTTTTCGTTCTTTATTGAGTACGACAATGCTGGCCGTACCTGTAAGAGTATAATTATTATTGCCATTCTTGCCTATATTGTACCCATTTCATATAAAAGCAAACAATGGTACCTTACTTTAACAGAATCCCTGTAGTCTATTCTACTTCTTTTGCTCCTGTTTTTCAATCTTCTGAAGTCAAAAACCTTGGTCACAATTGGTTTACTGTAGTACATTACGATATTTGAGGTAAGTATTCGTCTGGTTGATTCAAGATACGATCGTCTACTTCTAGTTAAACATCTGGCACTTTCGGTAACATCTTTCTTGTCATCGATCTTGTACAGACATTTGGCTAGCCTTTGTTTTTGCACTACAATTTTAAAATTCTTTTGGAAAGTTTTGTTTTTAAGGTACAGTAGCGCTTTCATACCAAAAAAATTTTATATTGTCTGTCAGTTTTAAAAAGAAGATGAACATACCGACATCCAAATTTTTGTACAAATCCTTCCCTAACTGCGCCATCAACGCCTTAACTGATAGTAGGTACCAGTTCATATGTATGTTGTGCACCTTTTCGTAACTCCGCTCGTCCAACTTTACTTTGTCAAATTTGTGAAGACTTGGTATTTCTACAATGCGACAAAACTTGCTATGATTCGAATTGTAATAAAAGTTGTGACTTTCTTCCTGACCGTAGTTTTAAGAAAGGTGGTTAAATCAACATACTATCTCGACTTACCTGCTATTACAAAGTTGACAGTAAGTAGTATTGCTATAATTATAAGAAGCATATTATATCATAGTAGCAATGCTAGTAAACGTTTGCAGTAGTGTTCGTTACTGTCGCGGTATGTTTACTATGTAAACGAAGATGTTGTTGAACTCGGTAAGAGCTTCATTTTTTTTGAGATGAGTTTTTCACTCAATATGTCCTTTCGTATGTTTGTTTAAAGTGTTTTGTAACATTACTGTCAGTCTGAACAACTTTTTTTCAAATTTTTATACTAATATTTATAGGTATATAAATTTAATCTTTAAGTAATAACCACTTTGCTTATGTTATGTTACACCTTTTTGCTTTCTCTTCCTACTATGTTGTTATGCTTGAAAACATCCAATTGGGCCAAAGTTGTTTGGGCGAGGAAAAGCAACAAAATCGAATTTATTATTCTAATTAAAACAACATAAAAGCCATCATATTATTCTGTTTACCCTCAAGTTCCTTGCTTCCAAATAAAAAGCGGCTCCTTAAAAGCCGCGAGGACCGGAATTCCTCGTTCGGCCCCTCAGGGAATGAGAAATTGGACTTCTCGGATGTTGTAAATGGTTAAGCACATTCTGAACAAGTTTATCTCCATCATCTATCACAGTCGCCAAAGACTGAGACAAAAGAGGGTACGGTATGTCTGGGACCGGTACATTGGCACCCGACCCAGGTTCTTCATCAGAGTAAGTACATAATTTAGTTTCTGGTTAGACTTGTCTCGTTTTTTTCAATTTTTAGATAAAAATGTCTACAAAATATATTTTAAGTACATGATTTTACTTTCAATATCCCTTTAGGTAGCTTACAACATTTGCAAACGAGACTCTGCATTTCGAATCAAATTGACAGGCTCTGAGGATACTGTAAGTGAACTGGCGATATGTCATGCCGCCGAAGAAATGTACGGATTCTTCGACATTTTAATGAGTGTAAGTGCAAACCAATTGAAAACTATTTTCGTAGCAATTAAGCCATCTCTCTACAATCAAAAGGATGGCCCACGCCCTGGGAGAGAAACAGGCCATCGAATGCAAAGTGGACTTTGATGTAAGTTTTTGTCGAAAAAGCACTATATAGCATTATAGCAAACTCTATTTTTAAAAATTTCAATTAATTTTTTTAAATCAATCGAATGAAAATAACATAATTTAAATTTTATCCTTCCGACTACATATGTCACTTCCAGATAACCTTCTGGAGCACTTTTGTCCTAGGATTCATGGAAGAATTGGAGAGAAGTGAGACCTTCGACAAAGTCCACTTGAACGCCTTCAGAGACTTTTTAACAATAATCAGCGACGAGATGATTACAGGTTATTTTGGCAAAAAGTCGGCTCAACAATCTTCATCACAATAACAATCCAAATGTATGACAAAATGCAATAACAAACAGAGTTTTACAAATAAACAGCAATTCGAATAATTTAAAGATCCTAAATAACAAATCTACCTCATCATTATCATAAACTTAGCTTTATAACTAACAATTCTCTCAAAAACAGTGGAGAATACCAAAAATGTTAAAATATTTTAAAAAAACCACTATTGTTCTTAATTACTTGTCCACCTACTTTCTGAGCAGAGTAATAACGTAATAATCAATGTATAAACAAAGCTGACCTGTAGTACTTCAACTCGTCTATACTTTCGTAGATATCATCGATAGATCTGTGAGCCATCTTCTTTTCTGGCATCTTTTCGTAAATCTCTGGATGCCATCTCTTACACAACTCTTTTATCGTGCTCACATCGATGGTACGGTAATGTAAATGTTCTGCGGTCTTCGGAAGATATTTGTTGATGAACATACGATCCATTCCCACTGAGTTCCCAGCCAACGGACATTTAGCAAAAGGTGTATGAGTGTCCAAGAACTCTTTCAACTAAATCTAATTTTTAGATCTCTTCAAATAATAGTTTGACGTTTATATGAGTATAACAGATCAATAAAAAGGACAATTTAAACCATATAATGTTATACTAAAACACAAAACCCACCTGATTGTCAATGCTTTCTTCGGTTTCCTTGCTCTCATTTATTAGCTCCAGAAGACCATTCTTCTTGAACGTTTTCTTGCACCAATCGTTCATATTATCCATGATTTCCTTGTTTTGGTGAATTGCAATCGGTCCAAAGCTTGCTACAAACTAAAAAAATAAATACCACATAAATACTCTTACCGTCAAATCTGCTTCCGTAATCACACACGCGATCTCAACCAGTCGCTGATGGAGCTCTAGTCCTGTCATTTCTCCATCAAACCATATTAACCTTGTCTCTGGAGTGTTATTGACAATGTTACTCATCACCAATTGAAATCTAGCAGATCGGAATAAATTAATAGATCTTACAGAAAATAGTGAAGCCTGGAACAACATGAAAGCAGGATTTGGCTTCAAAATTTAGAAAAGTTTGCGAAAAATAATATTCTTTTACGCAAACTGCGCCCAATTTTTCAACATTTAGCGCTATTTGCAGCTTGAAGGATAGAAGATATATGACAATGATTGCAAAGCAAGTCACTTTTTGTATTTTTCTGGATTAGGCTGCATGAATGAACATTAAAATTCGTATTCCTATAACACCCATCTTTTTACACAGTATTACTTTGAGTTAGAGTTATAATTATTTTAAACTTAAAACTGCACTGGCGAGATTTTGAAAGTTGCCAAATTGGTTAAAATTGACGTGTTAATGTAATTTTGACTTCAAATTTATGTTTATTTTGTGTTTGTTACATTATGTGTTCGCCAGACTCCCCCTTCATCCAGATCCCCCGGTATAACCTAAAATCAGGTCATCCGAACGCACTTCGCTTCCTTCCATTTTCATTTCCAACTTTTCTTCTCAAAACTCGACGCTAAATTTGCATAAACTGGTAACCAGTCGATTCGGTGGTATTTGTGGTGTTAGGCTGAGATATTATGACGGTCCGTTCCAGCTTCCAGTTGCCACTTTGGATTGAAATCTGGTTAATTATATCTGGTATAATATGTTTGATCGACGTGTCTTTTACCATGCTACGACCGATGAGTACCCGCGGAGGGTCGCTGGAGTACGTGTATTACTTGTGTAAGTTTTTTCCATTAGATTTGTAACTAATATTGCCCAAAATTTTTTATTTGTTTATATTTTTTTGATGATATGTTGTAACTAGATACAAAGATTCTATAAATTGATGTTTATAGCTATATAAAAACGATTCGTTTATAAAAATTACTGTAATTTCAGGGAATATATATGCCGACGTTGATATTCGCTATGCTGACGCGAAAGACATTGTCACGATGGCTACGGGGCGTCTGATGTTGCTCGAAATCGGAATGGACTTTGTAGCCTTCATCATGAACAAGGTCGGATCACGACACACGCTTCTAACGGCCTTCACATCGTCAGCGTTCGTCTTCTGGAAGACGGCCGTCTTTCTGATGCTCTACGTCGCCGTTCCAGAAGGTAACCCCAGCTACTTCGTGGAAGGCACTCCAGGTTGGAAGATCTTCCTCTGCTTCTGGTTCATGAACGGGATCTGGATGGTGTTGCCCTTCATCGTAATGTGTGCTTTGTGGAACAAGATCGCGTTGCCAATCGAGAACCTGACAGTAGAGGGATCTTGTAGTAGCAGCATTGAGAGAAGAAACCTTGTTTGAGTTTCGAGTATAAAGTTCTAAATATCTTGTCATTTGTTTGTATATAGGTATTTTGATGTTCAATTTGTGGTTGTGTAACTGCAGTTATAACATACTATCACAGTTTGTTTGAAAACGTGTGTACTTTGTCGCTTTGAGGTTTGAAACGATGTGCAGATGTTAATGTATGCGAGAAAGAATTGTCGTTAATAGCCCTTCAGAAGTGGAAAAACTTTCTGAACACATCTTGTGCTGGTTTTCTGGACTCGTGTTTGGTTTGGCTCTAATGACATTTCGAGGAGATTAGTTTTGCTTATTAACGACGTTCCCCAACGTACCGTACTGTTGTGGTAGAGTGGAAGTGAGTCATTATAAAGGCAACATCCCTAATTGGGTTCTGTTCACGTGTTTGTCATTGTGGTGCTATGTACTTTCGTGCGGATGTTGCTACCGTAATATCAGTATTTTAAATGTTGAGTAGTTGTATAGTAATATAACTGTTAAGTTTTTGATTCTGTCATTTTGACAGTCTGGAAGTAAAACCTCCTCAGACTTCCTCAATTAATCCTAGACAGTACAGCACAAGTTTGGGAAATCGTTAATTCGTTTACATTAATAGCGTTAGTGACGGTTGTTATGTGTTTAGCCAGATTACATGACAAAGTTACAAGGTTAATAAGCGTACGTTCGTACAATGTCTATATAAAGTACGTGTTTCTACCGAGAAAACGTGCCCCAGCTATTAAAGTTGATGTTAAGTGGAAGGGAAGTTATGTCCTTAATTAACATTCCGTAATATCTTGTAGTCGTATGTTGCTAAATAGTTCTCTGATGTTTAGTTTTGACATTATTTGCAAATGTAGGTATTTATAGGGGTGCACAGCCTTGTCGCGACTTCATTTTGTGCCTTATGTTATTTTATATAAAACTTTGATTTTGTGTTCATGTCTTTACATACCTCTCATTCCTATGTGAAGCAAACATTCTTCTGTATCTTAACACTTTCTTTAAGTTTAGGTGTATATTAGGAAACATTTCCTTATCAGCAGTCGTTAAGATAACAATTTTATTGTTATATCCGAAGGGTCAAAGAGTAGCGGAATCTGATATAATACTGAATTATTCACGATGCTCGCGGTTTGTCGGCCATCTATTACCCTTGCTGACTTTACGCGTTTCCTTCGCCTATCAGACATGTAATGATTACATTGAACATGTAGCTAACAATCTTTGACTTTTTTCGAGTTATTTCGGTCAAAAAGTGCGTAGAATGACCTTTTATTGGTATTGTTGGTCCTTTATTTATGTTTATATGTAGTTTTTGTCCAAAACAAACGGCTTGTTCCTGTTCTTTTTTATCTATTGTTAATGTTCTTTCAACTTATTTATGACATCTTTGCCGTACTTTGTTGTCAGCGATCTTTGCAATGTGCCAAAGAGCAATTACTTATCCTATCAGACAGATAATGATCAGCTCAACCCATCAAAGACAAAGCGTTTAGTATTTGATGGGAAACACGTGTGATGGTATGTTGTTTTAGACCTCTTTAATTCGCTTCCTTGCCTTTGATTTGGCCTTTAATAATCTCAAGTATTTGTTTGCAGTCGAGACATGGTCGTATCTTGAAAATCATGTAATTGCAACACGTGATGCCATTCTTCACATTGACATGTGAGGTTAATATAGTACATATTTAGATACCTACATTATGTTAATTTAACAGGTTCATTTGCAATATCGATTGCTTGTATATGACGTGCTGTGCTGAATGTAGTCTCGCTAACAATATACTGTCAATTTTAGTCATAATTTGGTTCAATTGCCTTAATATTAACTATGTTATATTACCTATAGTAGTCTGAATAGCCAATTCGTATCTTTTACTCACGAAATTATCATTAGTAATATTATAATGGGTATTAGAAGCGTTCCCTCGGCCAATAGCAATATTACCGGCCATTAGCAAGGTCAACAACAACGTCAGACTCCAAAGTATATTTTGTATAGCAGCGTTGTGTAAACAAGACCATTGCGCAATATCCTGGCTAAAAAATTATTTGAATAATTAAATTTGACACCGCCGGCAACCGAGTAACGTCCGAAATTAGTTTATAACCCAAGTTGGTGCCTTAGGGCAGGCAGTAGATGACTTAATTTCCGTTTTTATGTGGCAATCGTCTTGTTACTGCTACAACGGTGAAGATGTCTATCTAGCAGTAGCCAACCCAACCTTTTAGTGGCTACGTAGTCGGCAGACTTGTGCAGACTACAACATGCTCACTCCGAAGCCATTAAGAATCTTTTGTTTCGTCTGAAACCGGAGAAGATCCTGGGAGCGGCTTCTGAATTTAAATAAAAGATGGGTCAAGTGGAGTCCATATCTTCTCTTGAGTTTCCACTCGAAGGCAGGAGATTGGCACCGTTTCCGGTAATTGGACAGCCGACTTCCTCGTTATGCCCTTAGGGGCTGCTGGGAGATCGGAACGTATTTTCGGTTCTATCTGTTTCATAGTCTTTCCGAGGCAGTATGATCACTGAACATCAGTATATTGGGGTATTTTACTCGAAATGGCATCTTTTTGCAGCAAAGTATCTTTCGAACTGAAAAGTGAAATTGTTTTCAGTGAAAAACCATTGAAACGTTCACTTTGTTGTTTTATTAAAGCGTGATTTGTGGGTTACGGTAGATTGTTACAATTTTGATCTACAATAGTGTGACATGTCATTCTAGATGTGTCATGTTTTAAAAATTTGATTTTTTAAAACTTTGAAAATATTTTGAAGTTGACGTCATCTTTTGTGTGTTGAGTCTTAAGTGTTTTGTGATTAATACGATATTATCATTTTATGTGATTGACAAACCATCTGTCATCTGCAAAACATAACACAATATGTTTTAACCTTGATCGCCTCATTTGGCTACAATTACTTTAACAACACTGATTTAACAGTCGTCCTTAATTCTTGAATAATGTAATCATGTTCATTAAAATCGTATTCCAGTAATTTTGCTATAGTAATATACTTCAGTAATGTCATAATGTCGCCCCAAATAGTTGTCTACGCAGTGTTCGAGTTACTGTTGGCTCTGCAAATCGCCGTATCAAACGCTTTAGTAATATGGGTGTATATAACGAAACGACCGGTCCGAACCCCCACCAACACTTATATGTTCAGTCTGGCACTGACCGACTTCCTGGCTGGTGCTGTCGGAGTACCAGTGACAGTGTTCTCAGTGATAACTAGAGCACCACACTCCTTCGAGTCTTGTCTCTTCGTACACCTCATATTGTGTATATTGTGTACGGTTTCTACGTTCCACCTCCTGGTCATAGCCATCGACAAGTACCTCACGATATGTTGTCAGTGCCAGTTTTGGATGGATCAGAACGCCAGACACTTCCGGGCACGGATATTAATCGTTTTTGCCTGGATTTTGGGTACGGTAATCGGCCTGCTGCCATTGTTTGATGTGTTCGAATTCTCATCCAGAAATCGACATCGCTTCCATGGTGAATGTCATTTTACTTTGGTAAGTTAAACTTGACAACCAATTTTGTTTTACATCGAATTCTAGTTTTTACAGTATACTAAAGTATTAAAATTGAATCCGTTGCAATAGTATAGTTACTCGGTAATTGCATGTACTAGAAGTTCTTTTTATACCCAATTCTAGTTCCTATATTACCATACAGTACGTTATCGCCGTAAATTAAAATCCACAGAAATATTACTGTAACTCTCGGTATTTGCAGGTAGTAGACTACCGTTACCTCGTGTACGTAATCTTCTTCACGACGATCATCGTGCCCTCGCTAATCATCTTTAGTTGTTATACAGCTATATACAGACGGATTGGATTAGAAGAAAAGCAAATAAAATGTCTCCTGAGGGCATCGGAGCGACGACGAAGAATGCGAAACAGAAGAAAACTCATCCGGACATTGACCTTGCTGGTATGTACGTATGCGTTGTGCTGGTTCCCACTCTACCTCCTCAACACGGTCGACTTCTTCTTCCCCGACCGTGAATCCCACCTCACGATGACGCTGTTTGCTGTGGTTTTGTCACACGCAAACTGTGCCCTAAACCCGGTCATCTACGCGTACGGGATGCCGGGCTTCAAACACACCCTGCGGCGGTTCATGGGTATAAAGACAATGAACAAACCCCCAATCATGATAAAACACGCCATTCCACATGGGAAGTGCTCGATGGCTAGTTCAATATACTCCCAGCACAACACCCCCTACAAAGGCCGCAAAAAGTATTCGTGGACTCAACTCGGCAGAAGCCTCGAGTCCATCGACGGATCTCTCAGTCCAGGCAAGATCTCACGACCAGCTTTAAACGCGATCAACGAAAAATGATCAAAACTACCTCAACTTTCACGAATATGGGTAATTTACAAGCTTAATAAAGGTGTAAATAAATTTAAGTAACTAGAATGTGTTTAACATAATTTGAAATAAAAAAAAGCTATTCCAACAAGTTTATTGACAAACTTAACAAATAAAAAATAAATTATTTTACATAAATGAAGATCGTATAAAGTAGATCACCGTTTTCTTGTAACTTTAAATGCCGTTCCACATGCTACACAAATCGGAATGTATTGGCAATGAACTGCTAGACAAACAGAACATACGAAGCCCAAGGAAACTGGTTGATTGTGGCAGAAGCAGGAAGCCTGGTAGTCGATCTTCTCAAAGTTCCTCAAGGCAAATGCATCTTGAGCTTCTTTAGAATTTCCAAGACAATATCGCTAAAAATAAAGTTTTATGTGGCATAGATTACACAGTACTAAACATTACATTTTAATATAATTAAGCTTTGCGAGATTGAAGATTGAAAAAAAACCAAAAGATAAAAAATTAACGTTAATTTAGCAAGATATATAGATAAAAACTTAAGGAAAAACATGATCAAAAACGCTACAGACAAAAATAAAACAATCACTTACAGTGAAAAAATCTGGCAGATCTTCAACAGACTTCACTTCTCGATGTATACCTCCAGACACATCACTTGCTTGCCTTAACATGGGATTCGTAAGGGACAATGAAGCAACGTAAATCCTCAAGTTCTGCTGCTGAGCTCCCAAGAACAAGTTCATGAGCTTGCTCTGTTCAGCATGAGATTCAGGAGACAAGTTGAGGACAACGATTCTTCCAGCTGCTTTAGAATTCTCTCTTTTGAAGCGGTTGAAGTCTAAAACTATCAAATTGACAAACAAAACACTTACGACAAACTGCCAAGGCAAACGATGAAGAGTAATTAGTGTGTGTATAGGCATCCGGACTTCTCGCTGAAGCTTCAATTGCTCTCCTCAGATTTGAATCTATTTCAGAAGCCACGGAAACAGATTTAGAAGCGAATTCAGATGAAAACAAGACCTTGTTCTGGATGGGAGAGCCAGTTGACACCAACAACAATCTGTTACCAGCCGACAAAGGCAAATGGGAGTTGGCCAGGATGATAATAGATCCAATCACATTCTTCAACAACAAATCACTATGCCATTTCTCGACCAGATGTCCCCAACTGTTGGAGTTACAATCCACCACAAGTATTAGGCAACTCATAGCTAATATTTACTTCATATTAAAGCAGAATATTAGAAAACAAAATTTTGTTCAAAAATATTTTCCTTTTATTTTTTGGAAAGCTTTCGTCGTATAAAAGAACAGCGCAGTCTGCAGTATAAACAGTGAGACGACATATTTTACAAGACTGTTTTTGTCGATGTATACTAATTGAAATTACATAGTTAGTGTTCTATTTTTATCAAATTTTTTTCGTAAAAATTTTTCGAGTTTCTTTAATGTTGCTTTAAGGTTCAATTTTACTGTAAACAACCCTTCTCGCGTTCTTTATGTTTGAATAAGCTTGTACTTCAGACAATTTTTAATTAGATTACTGCTTAATTGAATTAAAAACAGTCAGTAATTTATCCTTCCACAGTTATTTACATGTAACTTTATAACTTAACAAATATGCTACAAACGACTACTCTACTATAATATAATATGATATTGTTATGAGTGATTAAAGGCCTTTGTCGAACAACTCCTCCATGTAGATGTCGACTTTGAAGTTGAGGAATGTGCGGGCTAGTATAATGTCTTCTTTACGGTACATTACGATCTTCTGAAATGTTACAAAGTTACTTTAAGTTAACTTAATTCGCTAATGTTATAAGATGACATTGTGGTACAGTAAGAAACTTGTTTCACGGTGAAAAGGAAGTGTTATAGTAGTAAGTGACTTACCTCTGTGGTTGAAATGAAGTTCATGAGTTCAGAAACTCTTCTCACAACGTTATCTACACTGACAGAGGTGTTGTAGTAGTTACATAGCTCGTCGTATAATTGGTTTACCATGTGGTTAGCGAAGGAAGCGGTGTTAGGAGATAGTTTTGATGCAGTTTCAGCTACATTGTAAATTATTATTATAAGGTTACATATTTGCACAAATCATAACTATGTTACAGTAGGATTAACCAAATCTATTTTAAGTGTTTTAACATTTAAACTTGAAAAGTAATTACCACTGAAATGCCACAACACGTAGCCTAAGCAGAACATCATCTCAATGTCGCTGGGTGCCAATTTCTTTACAGGTTGGATTAGTTCTTGGGCGGACAATTTGTACCAAGGCTGAATCAGTCGTCGTATCTAAAGTTACGTTATTGTAAATGGGAAAGTAGAGGTCCTAATATTAGTATAAATATAAACTAAAACAATATATTGGCTATTCGAAATAACAATCAAAGCTGATAAAAAAGAGTCCAGTGCCTAGATACTGGACAAGCCGTATACTTACTTCATCTAGAGGAACGTCGGTGATTTGAGTGACGTCGTACTCACAGTTGAGCACGTCGATGATCTCTCCGTTCGGGAACACAATCTTTCGGTCCTCCGGGTCTCCCAAAACCTTGTAGGTATCAAAGTTTCTTTCCAGAACTACAAAACGGATCCAGTAATGACGAAAGATCTCGACCTTGTCCTCGTGAGGAAGCTGTTTGTAGCCATCGAACATGTTCAAGAGCTCAGCGATGTGTCTCAGTTCGATTTGTGTCATCTGATAGTAGTTTCCCATGTCCAACTTCTGAAGATAATATTTGTAGGATATGACATTAATTTAAATATACCAAAGGCAATATAAACAACCAAGTATAACATGATAAATAGTAAAAAGGTACCATCACTTACATCAGTTACTGTATATACTCTGAAGGGACATCCATCCATGTCATTTGATCGTCTGAACGTGATATCCCTGACACGTTGTAGGTTCTCGTAAGCATACATCATCTTCACCAAGGTAGGATGAGTGGTGGGAATTGGTTGAGCATTGATTGGTAGTTCATTAGGTATCACCTCCACGATGTCGTGCAGAAAAGATGGAGCTGTAGGTTGAGGTGAGGTGGTCGGGGGACTTCTGGGCCAAGATGACGTTGATGTAGACGGGTAGGATGCATCAGAAGCAGTGCCTCCAGAAGCGTTGGAGTGAGATCGTGGGTTCTCCCAGACGTAGACGGCGTTGTTGGGCGATTCTGAAGGCTGGATACTAGGAAGAGGGTGAGGGTGATAAGATTCTGGGTTAACGTTGACTGACTTCAGATTACTTCGTGGAGCTTTTGGCGGACGATTAACTTCGGCACATTCGGAACGGACGGCTGAAAGTCACATATTATACTTATTAGAACCATTTAAAACGTGATTAACTACAGTGTTTTAGTTAGTATGTTATACAAAAGAGTGACAGTAATGCAACTTACCAGAAGCATTCATGCCACAGGCGATACATTTGTCCAACCGGCACGCTCTGCACAACGAACGGTATACTAAAATATAAAATAAATAGTAAGGAAAAACAGTCAATACTTCATATGCTGAACTCTGAATGATTAAACAAATTAAAATTTAGGTAAAAGTAGTTACCTTTAGCAATCTCACAATCGCCGTCGAAGCGACAGATGTACTTCAACTTCCTGGATATCGTTCTTCTGAAAATATTATAACTGTCATACAATCAATAAAATTAACGAAACAAGCAACAGTGTACCATACCTGAAAAACGCAGCACAAGCCCTGCACGAGTTGGTCCCGAAATGTTGTCCATCGGCGACATCATAACAAATGGCACACGAAAGGGTCTTGTCCGCGTCGGCGGAGGTTGTGGCCATCCTACCTACAAAGAACGGTCGTATGTTGGAAGAAAACGAAAGCAAACGCAGTAGCAAGCAAATTAATTGGGTTTAATCAAAACTTCACTCGATTAAAAATTATATTTTTTGCACTTTTAGGAAATCGATTCAGAATCGCTCCACTTCTCGGTCGAAGCTAGATCGCCCTAGGCAAAAAAACGCTGTAAGAAGGTATGGGTGGTCGTCTGGGCGGGGTGACAAACGACAAGGTCTTATTAAATTATTATTTATCGAATGCCAAGAAACTTTTTTTGATCAACGTTTTGTAGGTAATGATATCAGGCCAAAGAAGGAGAGTTTCGTCAACAAAAAGGTCAAAGTTTTGAAACAAATGAATGACAAAGTAAAGTGAAATAGATCAGCTATAGCACATGGCTTTAGTACCCTACTTCATGAATAATTTGGACAAAAATAAACAAGATACCAATATAAAACCACAACTTACACGCGTAAATCTATAAAGTAATAGCAAATTACCAAAAAAAAAATGGATCCGTCTAATGCTAACACAACTGATAACGTTAACTTCACGGATGTTACAGTAGCGAGCGGTATATCGCAAAGTAAAAGTGAAATAGCAAATGTGTTGAACAACGGAGTAAATAAAAGGGAATGCGGTTACAAACAGCGTCTTCTCCACAAAAAGGTTTATTTAAGGAGCAAGTATAAGGTCGGCTAATCTTCTTGTTGCGTTTATATCAACCTGGTCTTTGAGGTGACATTAAATGTCATTTTACAGAATCAAGTTCCAAAATGATAAAATCATCATTTTCTTGAGAAAAGAGGCAATGTTAAACGCTTCAAACGATTTTGACATAAATCGAAGATTTAAACCTTAATTATCGACACAAGTAGACCCCTACTGTAACTGATATCACCCATGTTCAAGACGACATTATTTTACACACTCTCGACCTGTAGAGATGCCGAGAGATCGACTAAGCAAATAAGAACACGGTTTTCCAATGGTGATAAGACGGCGAAAGCAAAACCCGGAGGTGTATTTACAGCGCCTTCGCGACCACAAAACACAAAAACCTGCTCTTATCAGCATCGGTCACATGGAATACCGAGTACACACCTGAAGGGGGAGAGGTGCGCCACCAAGGACACCACCAACTAATTACGCCTCTTCGCCGCGCAAACCGCAATTTACAGAGTAAAGTGACATTGACTGCTTATTTGATTAGGCGTTATCAAGAGGTTCGCCTCAAAGAGATGAGGACCGTGATAAGAAAGTGGCGTTTGCTGATGGGACATTATTCCAGTTTAATAAAGATATCATTTTTCTTTAATTTGCATACTTATACGCTTTCTAGCACGCTTGTTGCCAGACAACATAAACATTTACAGACTGGCAAATTTCAGCAAAATTCTAGATTCAAAACCAACACAATTATGTTCTTTTCGATCGGCACAGCCAAAACCGATAATCTTGAATTAAAAACTGTGCATTTTCGATCAAAAAGCCCCCTTTTATTGACATGGACAATATCAGAAATATAAACTGAAACTAGCCGCGTCAAAATGTTGTTCTTTAGCTTTAGCAGCGTCAAAATATCAATCGAAGAAAACGTATACATGATGCGCAATACCCACAAACCAATGGACGACTGATCGACGCGACAAGCCAAAAATCAAAAAAGTTCTTATCAAAGAAAAAGGAACGCTAATTTCGAAGCTGATCTTCAAGAAACGTCACCATCTTGTACTTCTTTAAATTACAATTAGTTTCTTTAAAATTACATTCTCGAATTAAAACCTTCTTCACCTTCACCTTTAGCGTTTTCATTTTGTTTTTCTAACCTAAAATAAGGTTTCTTTGATAAAGTAATCATTGGGTGCTCGTTGTACAACTTCAAAGCCAGCGCTCGTGTTTTTTCTAATTGATAGTTTGTTATCACAACTGTTACACTACGTTGTTACAGTTTTGACAAACTTTTCGAACGTTTCCTGCAGGTTTTAGATTTTTAAAAATTCTTTCATTCCGTTATAGGAAAACTTGTAGACTAACTGTAGAAAAATGTTGACAACAGAAAATAGTGCTACTTCCTTGTATTAATACCCTTATTTTAATTTAGGTCTACACAAAGATAAAACATGAAAAAAATGCCAAAATCAGTTTTACTGGGTTGAATCAGTTATTAAAAAGTCTCGACGAAAACTATCAATCTTGATTCCTCGACGCAGACAAATAACTAATTAAAGCGATTTCAAATTTTCGAACGAATAAATAACCATCGCTTCCAATTATAATGAAAAATAAGCACTTTTCATATTTTAGTGGCAATCAGACAGTAAATAGAAAGATAGCAGTTAGTTTTTAACAGTTTGACACACAATCACACATTCAATTAGCGTTTAATATATTACAAAACATAATAACTACAAAGCTACAAAATATATCACAGAATTATTGTATTTTGTATCGTTCGTACATCATCACAGCTTGTGGCAACGGCTCAAAGTTTTGTTTTTGCACAACATCACGATAAACCTTCATCGATTTCTCGGGAATATCATCAAGTTCCGTCTAAAATAAGATTGTTAGTAACGAAAACAACGTTGTAAAATATACAGTAACTCCAAATTAATCGTAAACCTACCGAAAATACACTATCGACAGTGTAGAAGTATCTCTGAAACTGGAAGATCGGCGGAAGTCTACTAAACGAGCTCAAGGAACCAGCAACCTCACTCTCCCTCACATCGTTCACGTTCTTTTGCCCCAACTGAACGTACTTCTTGTACTTCTTCATATCGGCGTCGGAGATGTTCTTGTCCCAGTTAAACCCGTACAGTAACAGACATGACTTCAGCCCTAAAGTCAGGTTCAAAGTCTGTTTAAAGTCATGAATGACTGGTTTCTCTTGAAAGGCTGGGGCATGGTTAAGGTCCTGATCATCCTTAATATCGTCTTCCGTCTGCTCTTCTTCATCATCATCTTCGTCGTCTTCTGCCAAAGAATCCGTTACCTTCTTGTCGCCTTTGAATATCTTCATAAAGTTGTTGGCCTGCTGCGTAGGCTTATTCAGACTGTTCATCTGAAGTGACCTCTTCACGATGACAGCTTGGTCTTTTAGTAGCTGGTCAAACGATGACATTTCAAATGTTCGGTGCACCAAATCAAACAGATCTTGTGCAACATGTTTAGCTTGAGCGCTTGAACTGGGCTGATGACCTAAAACTTAATTTTAAAAATAAATTTAAATGACAATTTACTATTTTACATAGTGAAATGTTCTTCAGAAAATGCACTGTGCAAGAGGACTGTTCCATGTACTTTTTGACAAAAAATATTATTAATATTTTCAATTTTTTTGCACTAAAAAACAACAGAAACGACTCGTAGGTGTTATTGGCCTATACCTACGCAAAATAGAAACATTAACATTAAATTACGTAACAAAGTTATTCAGAAGAATTAATTCGCCGTTAAATGTTAAAATAGCCTTTAATAAGTCTCGAGAGGCTCGTTCAAAACTGTCTTATTAAATTATTGCATTCTTTTCTGAATTAGATGACTCTTGCTTCTTGTCGTATACTTAAAAAAGCTCAAAAATTTAACTTTTTAATTACAGAATGTGTACGGTCTTCAGTGAGTACGGAGACTTCTACAGTTTGACAAATGAAAGTCATAGTTTAAATCAAAAACTTTCAACTACAGCCAAAAAATCACAAAACTATTTATTTTTCTATTTACTTTTTGACCGAATCAGTATTACATCAAGCGTTTACGCAATGACAAGTGTACATAAACTCTGTGTACACAATGTCAGAAGACAACTTACCGAAACGGATGTCTAATCCGGCGTTCGCGGCCCGAGCTTGTAGCCAATCCTCGAGCCATTCTTCGGCCTCGTCCTCGGTGTCTGACGTCACGTTGCAGGCCCAATGCAAATACTCGTTTCGTTTGGAGTGCGTTGCCGGAAAGTGGAGATATCGGTCCGAGCCAAGATCCCAAAGATGCGGTTGATTTGCACGCTCAAACGGTCTGAAACCCGACACAGCTAGACAAATAACCTAGATGCTCAATGAGGATCCCTTACAGAGGCCAGTACTATATAAGAAAGACAGACTTAAGTCTGAGCTACATGAAGAAAAGATGATATTTTCAGAATTCCAAATAAATTGGATTCAACGACCATTTTCTTGAACATTTTGGTATTATCTTTGATAGATTAGTAAACAGTTATGTTCCTTCTGATAACTCTCTTTTGATACCTTTTTAGCTAATGCAATTATTAAGTTTCAAAGTTCGAAAATTCATTTCGGATTTGTCCGTGCCGTTCCTGGTAAACGGATTAATTGAAAATGTTGCTAAATCTGTTTTTTAAATCAGATAAACTGCACAAATCGAGGATCGGGCATGTGATGCCTTAAGGTCGTGCCGAGATAAGATGTTGTTCCTAATTAACTCGGTACGGTAAAGCCGCGCGAGAGAAAGGAAATAATTTTAGGACCATTATCCTCCGCTTCAGCACGCTTCAATTATGGCCATTGTCAGCGTCCCAGTTCCGAAAACAATTAGCATTAGCATAGCGACTTTCGTTACATAAATCCAGGAGTATTTGAACAAGGCGTACTCAGATGAGGCGGGGCTATGGTAACTCGAGTAACCGAGTTATGTCTGTTCCCATTACTGGACTTGTCACCCGTGCCCTGCTCCAAATTTGGGCTATTATCGCGTGTGATCACTAACATACCACGCATTTCACTTGTAATATCTTCTTGAAGTTTTGTTTTTAAGCTTGTAACAGAAGTATTAAAGTTGTGCTACTACTTTTTAAAACAATTTTTATATTTTACATTGCAATAGTTTTGTTTTAATTATATTTTAAATCTTCAAATGTAATTGTAAAAGTTTGAATTGTATTAGTAAAGCTTAAATAATATGACTTTAGTTTTAAATTGTATTTGAAATCTTGTTTTTCAATCCCATTCCACTACAATTCAACACCAAGTATCTATTTATGGGCATCTCTTGTAGCATGAACCTATCATTGCTTTATCACGTTGAAGTGGCAGGTACATAAATATGCAGCTTCACACAGAATTGCTTTACATGAAACGCAGGTGTTCGAAGACAGTAGATTTCAAAGCAATTTGAAAATACCCTAATACTGTTAAGGTTAACTTAATTTAAAACTTCGCATAGTGCTTAAGACTGTCATTTATTACTACTACTCTGTCTGTTATTATCGAGTTCCCAGTATTTGTCGCGTTTGTCGTCCTTAACTGCATATACTTATCAATTGTGATGTCGCAGTAGATGTAAATGAGATGCGAGTAATCAGAGAATCGCCTTATAAATATACATGCTTGTGTACGCCTTAAATACCTATGTGAATATACGTCTTTACTATTACAGGTTCCTCACAAAACAAGTCATGCAGAGCGTTACCGCGTTTGTCCTTCTAACAGTTACACTTGCTACAGCTCAAATGACATTCTCTGATGGCTGGGGCAAACGATCTTCACCTTTGAAACCATTTTCCGCAGGAGATGACAGTAAGTTTTGTATATTGTAGTTAATGTTGTTGAGGGTAGTTCCCGATACTATAAGCAACCTTACCGTAGTAACAGTTGTATTATGCATCTATAGGTGCCCATAAAATAGCTATTAAAGTTCGTTTCAAAAATGTTTAATGAATGTCACAATTACTTTAACTTCAGATGGTATCAACTCTAATCCCTTGCTAGACAAATGTAACACCGAGTACTCCCAGACCCTTGTCCAACTACACCACAAAATTATGGTAAGTCTAACTCACCAAACAAAGATGTAAACCAAGACCAACAACTACGAAAACCTTTTTCCTTACTGTATGTTACAGTAATTTTTAAAAATTTCTTGACATACTATAAACCCTAGACAAAAGCAAGGCTTTACATTACAACAAGCATATTTAAATTGCAATTCCAGAAGTTATACGACAACTATGAACAATGTCAAAACCGCGCGCTGAATGGAGTCGGTCGTCAGCAGTGAAGAACAACGTCAACGACCCTCACTCTCAGATTCTAATTCCATGCCCCGATCTCTAAGTTTCGTTTGCCAAATAAAGCTACGTTCTCCTTATATTATACATGCTTAGTGAGCACCTTATTTATTGCTTTGTTCTGTATAAACCTATGTTAAAACACCGTACCTGCTGCTTGTGCTGTCTAGGCGAACCTTACAATTAGCTTATGCAAAACATAATTGTATTTTGTTTTATCATAGTATTCAACGAATTACCAGTACATAAGAAGAGATGAAACTGATATAGAAAAAGCATCGCTACACGAATATAACTTGTTGTGTTCAGATGGATAAAATTATATGTTAAAATTATCATTCTCATCCCCTGTAGACATCAAAAATAGCCCATTGGCTTGTTTTAATTGATTTTTAATTGTTTGTAAACAACAGTGCACGTATAGTACACGGGATACGGTGTTCTTTGGAGTGTTATTACCCTTGTTTTCTCTAAATCTGTCATTTACAGTATTGGGAAGTGATGTGCGTTTGTTTTGGCTATCTTATTATTACTACAAGACCAAAAAGACAACAAGCCCTATTATAATATATAAGAATTTTGCAAAACAAGATTTGTAAACAATTGATATTGTAGTTTGTCGTGTCTACTGTGTTGAACACAAATTAATCAGCAGAAATATCAAAGTTTAAAAAAGATGACCCAAACATATATTAACACAGTAAAAAAGCTTACCTGTACTTCCCCAAATACAAATTGATGCCATTTTGTTTCTCAAAGTCGTTGAAAGTGTTACTGTAGTACCTTGATATAGTCTGTATGACATCTCTGCTCCTCTCCTGAAAGGCCGAAGTCTTTTTGTAGGTCTTGATAGAATGAACAAGTTGAGAACCAGCATACTGTAGAGCTAAAGTGTCACCATGTTCATCCAACATGTCTTCGTATGCTCGACATAACTCTCCATTTACTGAGATCCAAGGTTCGTCTATATAGCCAAGACCATATAATTGGAATCCCAAAGCTATTCTTCCTAAATGACATTTAAAATCATTTAAAGACCATAATAATTCTTTATAAACAAAGTAATTGCCAAAATTAAATTAGAAAGCTACATTACTTATTACCAAAGCATCAAGTTTCAACTTTTTAAAGATAAAACGGCATACCTATTCCATATTGAGCAACATTAGTTCTGTCCAGACAGTCTACACAATTAGTCCTTGCCAGTCCATGTTGTAACATCAGTTTACCATTTTCACAGTATAGCGGCTCAAACGAGTCCAACAAAGGATGACGACGAAGGCTGTGGCCCATCAGATCAGGAAAGGACTAAAACATTACATTACAATAATCACAAATTAAGTTTTAGCACTATTACTCTACATTACGTCTGGCAATTAATTTAAGAATATGATAACAAAAATCAAATAATAGTTTAGTAAACAAAAAGTGGTTGTAGCAGCCTTTCCAGTTTACCTGAAACCATCCAGTTCTCAATACTGACTTCAGTCCAAGTTGTTCAAGCCTTGGCAGTACCTGACCACTTTTATTGCACTTGGCCACGTCAAAGCTGATGTAGTCAATCTTCCTCCCACTTTTACGAAATTCATTCAAGTACTTTACTGTCTAAAACAATATTTGCATTTAAAAAGCCAACACACATACCTTTAAAAATTGTTCATGCAGTAGATTTTCATGATGTCGCTTTTCTCTTCGCTTAACCAAGTTGATAACCATGATCGGATGAGAGTACTTTCTCCGTAACTCTCTAAAAACATTTTACATATTGGCATCACAAATTGTGTTATAAATAAATATAATTCGAAAGTAAACTTACTTAAAGTGAGCGGCTGTGGTTAAACCATGAGGTTCGACCAGATCAATATAGATAGGTGGCTTACCCACAACACCTCTAGTAGCTGGATCCTGCGACCAAAACAATGGCACAGATCCACGACGCTGAACAAACCCTGAGAAACGGCCCGTCACTAAAGATGGACTTGAATTCATATCCCACACTAGTTGTTCCGTCTCCACATCGTTGGCTACATCACCTTAAATAAACGATATCAATATTCGAAAACCATTTTGTTTCCCTAAACTATATTGTTATACTGTTTTACCTTCAAAGTTAGTGCCTCTCTTCAAAAACCGTGTCCCAGCATATCTGGATGACCTTCTAGCAATAATAGACAATGTCAACTTGGCAAAAGGCAACTCCACAATCTGGTAGTTAACATAACCATGCACCAACTCTACCGTCCACTTCTTGCTGACATCGTTTTTCCTAAATGGCTGTAGAAGATACTCGTTCCACACAAACTTGTTCTCTGATGACATTTCTAGAGAATACGCCGTCTTGTTGAAGGTAACACCTTGTACTTTAAGCACATTCTCTTGTAGATTCCTGCTCAGATCGTAAGTATAAGAAAAGTAGAAGTCTGTTGTCATGTCTACTGTCTGAAAAATTCAATTTTACGTGTTCACTAACTTAAAAAATTAATAAATTTTACTTTATTCGCCAACAAAACGCTACCTGAAACAGTTTTGCGTATCTCTGTTCATCAGCACTAATCGGAGCTCCAGACGCCAATAAGTAGACCATAGACACATCTTCTACTTTGTAGATAATATGATGCCCAATTGACGCTGCTACTTTAGCTTTTGTCACTACCAACAAGTAGTATCCTTCCAAAAATCGGACAGCCCCGATAATCCCCAAAGCTTTGTCCAGCGTCCTTATCAAACCTGGATTCGGGTTTCTTCTTGTACTCCATTTCTCTGACGGCGTCACAACTAAAAGTAAATTTACCGTGTACACCAAAACTTGTTTATGAATGTAAAATATAGACAAATAGTCGCAAGCCGGAATTTTTGAAATGATAACGCTCTCTTATACCTAAAACACAAAAAAGAAAATCATATATCTTACTCGAACTGGACGAAATCGTTGCCAGAAGTTCTCCAACGTCCGTTTTAGTGTATTCATGGTTCGGTTCGCCCACAATAAACTCAGACTCGTTCAGCCGATCTATCTTCAATGTGCAGAACCTGGTTTCTGATGGATCTGATCCAATAACATAAAAGTGAAACGGTGTTTCGTATATTGATATGGACGAAATGTGTTGAATAGACATCTATGCTACTTTATATACATACAACGTTTAGTTTTATAAGTTTGATTATAATTCCATAGATTTTCTGATGGCGACAAAATTTTGTAAAATTTATTTTATTTCTTTTTGTTTGGCTGCGCCCAAATCATCTCCATCCTGCAGGCCGTGTGGTTGAAACATACGAATAAACTTGAATATTGCCACTTTCACGTGAAAACAACAAAGTTTCAGCTCATTTATCAATTTTTCATAGTATCCTTAGTAAACATAATATCGAATAAACACTTTTGTTTATGATTTGGCATGTGAATATTGTTATGTCCATCAAAGGAATCAAAGAGATTGCAATAAGATATCAAGATAACGTTAATTTTTTATTTTTTGTACTGTTTTTTGAACCTGAATTTATGTTTTATATTTCTTACGTTGCGGAATTTTTTGTTAAATGTTGGACAATTAGCAAACTTTGCTCTGTGTAATGTGGTAATTCATAGTATAATACTTTTAAAAGGCAAATCAACATGGATAATATATTATGATGTTTTGCTGGTTTTTAAAACGAGTGTGCTTAAAAGATAAACAAGCCTTCGCTGCAGTCTGTAGCCGTACTTTACAATTGCATCACCTAATCAGTAAAGTTAATATCATGATACCCTAGGCTTAAGTGTCATTTACGAATAAACAGAACGTGAATATTTGAATGTTCGACGACGAGGAGAGTACGCTGCGTGTCGTCGCGAGGGAAAACAAGCTAACTTGCAATCTACAGCCTTTGTCTTTGATTACACAAAGAAGGAACGCTATGTCACGACGACTTCACGTGTCGCTGAATATTACGTCAAGATGGTGTTGCAATAACCGGTACAAAGTTCAGGCGAAGGAGAAATGTTTCTTGAGTCGTTCTCTGGGTTTTCTATCTCAAAGAATGTTGAGTATGTTAAGGATTGTGATAAGTTAAGGAGTAACCAGTAAACATGTGGATTACAATGTGATTATCTGACAAACAATGTAAAATTAAGTTAAATTACATTTTAAGTAGTTTGAAAACATGTTCAAGTATTTTCAAAGTAAAGGTAGTAAGATGAAGGTAACTCAGTGTAACACTACAAATTGCATGGCCTTGGGGATGTAAAACGTGGGCTTGATGAAGATGGCCGTTGCTGTCAACAGATAAAACGTGTTTTGAAAACAAAATCATTTCGAGAAGATGGGGGAAAGTAAAAGTGCAGTGGTTGTTTTTCCTTTAATTACCTTGTTTTGGTATGTTGCAATCACCAAAACAAGATGATATTTTTAGAAATATTTTGAAACTGAACACGCTTCATTTCTTAGTTTACACTGTAAAGCATGCTTACTATAGTAACTGCTTTAATTTCTTGTTTATTGACTATTTCGAATTTTAAAATACTTGATTGCCTAATTAGTTAAAACGGTAATATACATGACTACTTTGTAGTAAAAAAGTGGTTACTACCTTAACTATAAACAGCAAGATGTCTTTTATAGTAAACATAAGTAAATATAATAAGTACTATTAAAAACCTTGATAAATACATGAAATACCAATAGTAACCTTAAAAGATACCAGGCGTGGTAAAGATATATTATACTTGATCAGAGATTGCCACAGACAAAGGTCTAATTTCAAAATTTCCAGAATTAATTAATTGAATTAGATGGGTAATATAACTTGTCCGTGACATTTTGTGATCAAAGTACGCTTCGGAATCAGCTGAACTTCGTCTTGGAATGACGCTACAAAACACAAAAAATGTCTGGAGTTGATTCGGGTTACTGTAGCGTTATCACCTTCCTGGAACTTTATACTTTTTAAAGTCGGAAACTGTAATATTATACAGCCGTTGTCAAAAAATAGTGAACTTTTTTATTTTCTACTTAACTTTTGTCGTAGTTATCCGATTCTTATGAAACAAAGTTTGTTTTGGTAGCTGCTGAACCTACTATCATAACCAAATGCCAAATTACTTAAAATATGTCATCGTGATTCCATATATAGAAACAAAAAATTAAGGGTGGACAAAAAATAGTGAACTTTTCTGGATCCTATCCCAAACATCATTAAAAAGGTAAGATTTAAGTTTTTCTTGTTATTACATATTGTTTTAGTTAAGAATGAATGGAAAATAATTAAAATCGTTAAGTTTAAAAGTCAAGGAGGTGATCTTTCAACGCATCGAACAAGGCGACCTCATGTACAACATCGCAGAAGATTTTTCAATAAATAAGGCTATTGTTTCGCCTTATTTTGATCCTAAATGTGTTCAATCGGGTTAAGATATAGAGTTTGTGAATGCCAAAGCAAAATACGAACTTTTAGTCTACTGAACATAGAATTTGCCTGTTGTGGTATGTGCCTTGGGTCATTGTCTTGTTGAAAAAAATCCACCCCTTGGAATTTTTACCTTAGTAAACGGATGCATATGCTTCTCAATACTGTCAGCGTAAGTTCTATTATCCATCCACCCATCAACAAGGACTAACGGACCAACTTGAGATGAGGTAAAGAAACCCGACACCATGATACTGCCACCTTGATGTTTCATGTTTATTACCTGGTGCTTTAGGACAAATCTTGTTACTTTTTTTTGCCTTGCACACACTCCACCTTGATATCCAAATAAACCAAACTTGCTTTTGTCGGTCCACAACACTTTATTCCGCACCTTCTCAGTCCACTTCTTATGTTCACCTACCCATTTCAATCGGATGGGTTCTTCTTCCTGAGCAACAGTTTTTTTTTTGCTGGACCACGTCCATTGAGTTTGATTTCAATTAGTCTTCTTGCTACAGTCCGATCAGTTACTTTAAAATCGTAGAACTGCACCATTTCAACGTTTATTCTGGGACAGCCTTCATCGGGTCTTTTCGAGACAACATTGCAATCACCTTATCCTGATATTTGGTCGATTTTCTTGTTCTTCCGTTGTTTAAAAAGCTTTATGGATGTTATTCTTCTTATGACGCTTCCAAATCAAATAAAATGTAATTTTGTTTATCGAAAAATCTGCGATTTTGTACACGAGGTCGCCTTGTTCGATGCGTTGAAAGATCACCTTCTTGACTTTTAAACTTAACGATTTTAATTATTTTCCATTCATTCTTAACTAAAACAATATGTAATAACAAGAAAAACTTAAATCTTACCTTTTTAATGATGTTTGGGATAGGATCCAGAAAAGTTCACTATTTTTTGTCCACCCTTAATTTTTTGTTTCTATATATTGAGTCACGAGGACACATTTTAAGTAATTTGTCATTTGGTTATGATAGTAGGTTCAGCAGCTACCAAAACAAACTTTGTTTCATAAGAATCGGATAACTACGACAAAAGTTAAGTAGAAAATAAAAAAGTTCACTATTTTTTGACAACGGCTGTAGTAATTGATGTGGTAGAGTAATATGTTTAATGCTTTTGTAATGTTTTACTGTAAAAATGACAAATTCTGGAAAAAGTACAGTATATCAAATAAGTTTTTGATTTTAAAATAACTACTGTGTAAATTGTTGTTACAAAGATCATAGAGAATGTTCTCCAAGCATACATGTATACCATAATGCTATACTTCTTTATCAACTACAATGTATTGTTTTTGTTCTATGCCATGTACAAGCCCCTGCCAAAACAAAAACATACTCAACACAAAAATTCATCTACAATATACTGTTCATGAATTGTAACACTTTCTTTGTCCAAAATGTGCTGAGTCGACGATCACTATTACACCAAAACAAGCGCTTATCACAGATTTAAATCATTTGTTTTCCATCCATCTCGAATCTCCATCACAATGTAACCATTCTCTGCGATTCTTGTTTTTTCATTACCTATTTACTTTCCATTTTCAAATTATTAAACTGTTTTAACCGCGTTCTCTCGGTTTGTCACGTTGCAGACTAGGCTAGTGACATAGACGACGTTACAGCGACTCTTATTCATGCGTATAACATATGAAATGTATTTTGAGAAGGAAGTTATAGTAGACCATAAGCTTATATTATACGTAGTAAGATTTAAAACCCGCTTTTTAGGCTTAAAAGTATATTATGACTTGTAGATAGTAGAATGTTATGGTAGCTAACTAGACAAGATAGCCTTTTGAAAACGGAAGTTAGGCTTAGTCTTTTCTTGTTACAGTAGATGTTTACTATTAAACTTTACTCTTCTGGCAGCTTCCACATGTCTATCTCTACCGTAGTTTCCCTTTTCGCAACTCTTACTTAATGTTTATCTGTTACAGTACCCTGCCTCTGCAGATTATATCCTCTGACCCTAGCTGCTTATCACCAGACTTGATCCGTGTTTCAAACGGGTTTTCTTCATCAAAATAAAAACAAAATTTCGAAAAGCTCTTGTGTGTGCAAAGTTCAATTCACAGTTCTTTGAGCTTAGCACGTTCGTTACAAGCGCTGGAGCATGCGGCTGGTACAAAGTACAGCGCCGCAACTTGAAACAGAGCGGGTTCAGATAGATATTAATTCACATGATTCGTACGAAGATTGCGTCTTTTCGTATAAAAGTGCACGTGCATCGCGCCTGCATAACTTGATCATTGCAGCGACAGAAGGGGCGAGGGAGGAAGGGGGGGGATGGGAGGCGAGGAAACGGGGAGGCGCAGAAGGGGTCGGGGTGCAACGCGTCCTCTACTGGACTTTGCCAAACCGTACTTTAAAATCTAACTTATTATAGCTGAACTTTGTCGCTGTAACGGTAGAGGGTGTCTTGGAGAAGGCGACGCCCAGAGACGGCGCTTGACGTCGCGGCTTCTTTCATCATTATTATAAACTCTGCAAGCCGAAGCTTCAAACTCTTATCGTCGCACCTCCAGATGTTCCCCCGTTTGTACCCCGCATCGTGTGTAATTCACGGCTTCTGAATCCAGAGTTCGGAACAAAGAACGCGTTGCTGTACCTCGCCTTCGCCCCGCCCTCTTACTGATAAGTGATAAAAACGCGTGTCTTAAAAAACCGCAAGTCTAATTTGTCTTTACTTTCGGCTCGCAATTGCTGTCATGTTCCTTGTTTTGGTTTTAACTTTTGAAAATCGTTGAAGGGGTAAATAATATCGATTATCAAGTTGTCAAGCTTTCGTTTTGTTTCAAGTTTTTACTGCGTGAAGTGACATTCTTTTCCCTTATTTGTTTTTACAATTCTTATCACCTTGTTGTAGATTCTAATGTCATTCGAAACGCTTACCGCCACGAATCTTAATATGGACTTTGCTTATCGAAGCGAAGACTCCAAGTCTTCGCGCTACCGTCAACGACAACAACGCTACGAAGCTACCGTGCTGAAGAACGCCGTAGCCCTGGCCGTGATCCACAAACTGCACCGTTGGTGCTGTCAACTGTTCTGGTTGACTTTGGTCTGTGTGATTGGCTGCTACGGAGAACTCAGCGAAGACAAACAACAAACGATAAAGAATGTGCGAAAGAACATTTCGCTGACTTCGCAAAAACGCTCCAAAACAATCAGTGATCTTGAGATGCAGGTGAGTAATATTACGATTCAAATAATTCTTTTTAAATATAATCTTTATATTTAAATATCATTAAAAGCATAAACTAACTATAATATTACAGTTGTTGCGCCACTTGACATGCCCACAAACTGCCATCCTTCGCCCCATCAGTAGATCGAGCAGCCACAAGAAGCGACACCTTTCTCGTCCTCCATCGCCTCAACTCTTCGACATCTTCGAAGAAACGGACGACCTGGAGTAGACACCGTACTCTCTTACAGTACTCTACGGGTATTCCAACGTCTGCTCATAATAAGCGACAAGCTTGCAGTGCAATACTGTAAAACGACTTTAAAGACACCGTCAACATTTGACTCTCAACTGAACCAGCCAGCCGTTCTTCACCGTGAATTCTGTTCTCTCATCTTATGTACACAGTACTTACTCAAAATTTGTGTGCATGCTATGATACTACTTTGCATCGTGCTTTATTTACAGTATCATCAATATTCGTATTATGCGCTACAGTCAACCTTGAATTCATCTATCTTCATTTTACTGAATTCACGGTCGTAGAAGTTGTATTCTACATCATTGGAACCGCTCCCCCGCTGTCAGTTAAACCCCTACCTACCTCCACATTATACTTGTTTAGCTGTTTTTCTTTACTTTAGGCTTTTACTCCGAGGCTTTAATAATAATTAGACGTATTAGGTACTGTTGTAGCCGTCAGAACACCTCAATATAAAATCTCAGAGAATTATTAATAAATATTTATACATCTACTTGGTCGATTGGTATTTATTGATTTTAAGATAATATATTTATATTGCTCATGTTAAAAGCAAAGTAACATTATATAGTTTTATAGTATGTTTTAAACCATTGTAACAACGAAACCAATCAAAATAATCCCAACATTGATTCGTACTTATCAGAACAATATTTATAGTAATAAAGCTGATTACTGCCATCCCAAGTGTGTTTTTAGATTGTTATCATGTTGTTTGGGGGAATTGGGTCCTTATCACCGAACCCGAAGCCGCCTTTGATCTCGAACATCTACAGAAGGCCGTTATCGGAATCTGCTGTGCTTGCAAAACAGAGATTGCAAACAGAGAAGCAAGGTTGATGTAATAGGCTCTCGATAAGGGCCACGTTGAGGATGGGAAATGTTGCGTAATGTTGGTGGAAGAGATAATAACATAAAAAGCATACTGTATTCCCCATCTCCGCTTTACAGCAGATTCGCCGTTGTAAAGGAGTGGAATACAATAAAACTCTTCAACTATAGTTCCTTCATGGTAACCTTTGTACTTTACTATTCTAGTGGTAATACGGTAATACGTTATACTTGTTACATGTAACAGTAATATATTACAGTAAAAAATTAATGTTTAATTTACGTTGGTATTATGTTAGTAATAGAACTTATTATACATCAAAAACGAATAAAATCAACTTTTAGTAAGACACTGTCGTATCAGTTAACTATCAATTAACTATATCATGTGGCGTTGTTCAGTATACTTTGTATAAGTACAATAACTTGCAAAATACAAACTGTCATCATAGATTTTTAAAAAATATTTACTGTTTTCCAAAGAAAATTGGAGAACGTTGACTATCTTTGATTACCAGTACAAAGTAGGCATTGCTCATTGTCATTTGTACTCTGAATTGTTGTTAGTTCCTACAGTATATCGACAAATATATCGTGCTAATGGAAACAACCCAAAAAAGATATTTGCTATTAAAACACACGTAGGAAGCAACTCAACACTTCAGACCGAGGTTATACTATAACATCAAAACTATGTCGTTAGCCAATAACAACATCATCAGACAAAGAACAAAGATGCAATTAAGAAGAACATTAAAACCACAACTTTACGTGTCGTTATCACAAAAACATTTGAATTACATAGACAAGATGCCTATGTTATGTTAGTTCTTTAGAGTATTTCAAAACTGCCATTACCTGCTTCCGATTGCTACGGTTTACAAATTCTGTAAACAGTTTGATGACAAAGTTCACGTTACTCCTAATGAATAAATAATTTTACAAGTGATAATTATATTGTTTTGGTCATGAAATTGCATTTCTGATTTAGAAGTGTAAACGTTTTACTCAAAGGTTTTTCTCTTTATTTTTCGACCCATACATAATTTATCAAAAGTAAGTTAATAGTTTCCTTATACGGGTTACATAGTATCTATGGCCCATCTTATCTCAGTTATTTACTTCAAAAACTTAAAATTTGCCGCCGGTCGACATAGTGTTAAGATCTATCTTGTATTGTTTATAATGCCATATATATATTGTTGTTTTTCATATATTTAAAACAAACACACAATAAGACCAAAAACAGTTTTAAACTTCTCTTTTGATACTAACCTATCATTTATACTTTATACTCGCTTAAAACAATATTATCTACCATCCTCAACATCGAGAATTCCTTGAATTTTCAAAAGTTATCTTTGGTTTGTTGTGAAAAACATTGCTAGTACTTTTTTGGTACTTATCTGTTGACTAAAGTTGTGTGCTTCACATGAAATGTTGTTATCAGCGGAAAACACTCATGGACTCTGTCCGTTCGTACAGTTTGCAGCTATTTTGGTATCCGTAAGGTCAATGTCCTCACCGGCTTATCAGCCTCGACGGGATTCTTCGATTCATGTTCTTTGCTGGTTTTACGCCCCTTTTCTCGGTGATAAATAAATGGGAAACCGAAACGCCTTTCGCTCTCAATTGTTTCCCCCATTTTCTGCAAAAACTTAACCATGGAGAAGTTGAATGAGGCCGAGCAGCTCGTCACCTTGTCCATCAAGGCCTATGTTCGCGATCTCGAAGCCATGGAGTCCAAGATCTTCGCCTACACCGAGACCTTGGGCCATATTGCACAGCAACTCGACGTCTACTTCAATGTGCCTTATGGACAGCTCAAGTTGAGGAAGACACACCCAAGTAAAGTAAGATTTCCTTGTGTTTTTATGTTTTTCAGGTCAAATTACATTTTTACTATTACAAAACGTTAAAATCGACCTTTATTTTTGATAAGCAAGGCCTTTCCTTTACTTTTCATTAAATTTTAGGTAACAAAATCAATTTATATCAAAATCTTAATAACACCATTATTAAACAGTACTTCGCCTTCAGGAACACGCTGAATTAATTTCTTCGAAGTCGGTTTCGCACAGTTCGAATCTAGTGGAAACACGATCTACACACATCCAGGAAGCGTCTGCCCTCAGGGTTCGTTTTGATTTATGATTTTTTGTTTTGTAGGGTAAATGCACCGAACTTGTAAATAACATGTTATGTTTGTTATTTTTCGGTATAAAGTGTTTTTGAAAAACAAAAAACAGTCACATCATGTTCACATTTACCTAATTATCTCTTAAACGGGACTACTATTGATTTTTGGTTTTGAAAAAATAAATATTTCATACAAAATGAAACAATTGATTCAAAATTATTATTTTAATTTCAGAAAACCTTGGAACTGTGCATCACAGAATTAGGAAGCATCAAGAAGAAGCGTCGAGTCTATGTCAAAGACAATGTCCGCATCAACCTGGATGATGTTGAAGATGTCGGTGTGTTCGTGGATATCGAGATCAAGAAAGACGGATCGCACGACGTAGACAAGAAGGCTGAAGAAGTAAGAAAAGCACTGGGCATCACGGAAGACATCGTCGTGTCTTCCACCTACCTCGAACTCTACAGAAAACAGAAGTCGGCGGACAGTGGCTTCGACGATGAGACCAGCGACGCTTCCGTTTGATAATTTATGTTGTTTTACAGTTTTCGAAGGTTCTGCTGATGTCGTTGAAGTTGTTTTCGTTCCTATCTTTGCATTTTTGCTACATTTATTACTTTTCTCAAGTTGTTTTACCTATTAATTATATTTCTACTCTAAAAGTTATGTTACACTTGCATTAGATACCTTCCCCTTGTATATCACTTTGTACGACTTTTAGTCTTTGTATACCTCCTATCACGGGTCAAGTAGATCAGTCATTCTGCGCAATATATATTATGTTGTTTATTTCGAGTAAAGTATTTGTGAAGGTCATGGAAGAGAAAGAGCAAGGCCAATACCCGTCGAAGATCAAGTTTCACTTTATTACTCGTTTCGCGTACCCGGAAAGTCCATCCAATGTTACACACCAGATATCCTTGGCTTCTCTAGCTGAGGAGAGTTTGAATTCGAATAGTGGAGGAAGAGGTAGAATAATATCGTTGATGTGTTACCTCCAAAGTAGTTATCTTGCAAAGACATATTAGGATAAAAAAGGTGGTAATACAGTGAGATAATAGCCTTTTGACTGTGTAACAGAATCCTGAATACTGTAGTATTTACAGGATAATAATACGATGGTTTGTTGACTTTAGCACAAGTATAAAACGGCTGTTCTACAATATTAATGTAGTTTTGTAGCTGGTTTTAACGCCGATGTTTCATGCCGCATTTGAAGTGTAATTAGATTCAGAGCTGTTGCCTGAAACCAATGTTAATATATGAAAGTAATCAGAAATGCTAATGTTTCAGATGTTTGCACTCAATATTGTCTGTCTTTTAAATGCAAATGAAGTTAAACTTCGTTAAAAAGATAGGATTTAAATTGAATTTACGTTACTTTTTTGTCATCGTACTCTAGTAACTCGCCATATTATTTGAAAAGCTGAATATAGCTAAAAGATACCTTGTTATGACCTTTGTGGAGGCACATTTGTTTGTACAAAAAGTTAACTTTACCAATAACATCCACTGTTATTGAAAAAGTGAGCGCAATGCCTGAGGGACTGGGGTATTTTCACGCAAAAGTACACTATATTATTATATTTTCTGAAAAAGTGAACTGATATGGCTCGCACGCTAATTTTAGATGCTGTTTTAGTGTTATTGGTTTATAGATTTAGTTAAAGCTGCAGTGGGGTTATAAACGGAAGGTTGTTGAATTTAGCTAGACTTTCTACATACTTTTGGACCAAACAGAAACTAGTCAAGCTTTGAATTTGCGATTATTTACGGCTAGACAGTTAATCTCATGTACAACATACTAAACTTGTTTATTTAAAATCGTGCATAATAAGCTATGTAGTATTCGAACTGGCGTTAAAGGTTCGGATAAACAAGTTGTTTAAATATTCATGATATTGTTCATGCAACAGTCCAAAAATACAGCAAAGAGTTCAAAAATGAACTTTAAATGATTTAAATCAATCCACATTTCAACATCAAATTAGGTACAATTCAATAAAATGTGCCAAAACATACCGTAAGAAAACCATTTCCTCGCAAAAACAACTGGCATAATACTTTCGAATATGGCCAGGATGAAGATGACAGCTATTACGTAGATCAGGACAAAGAGACACAGCTCTCGACCCTTCAGTGTGTGGACATGCTCGGGTTTGTTGAAAGGGTCGCGACGGTAGGTGGAATCTGTAATTACAGTCGGGGAATTACTGGCAGCACGCCGACCGAACATTGGTGGCCAAGTCGAAAAGAATGCCTCGGGATATGTTTATATACCCCAACAAAGCGGCCAAACGGGAAACGGCACAGCAAAGAAGTAACACCAAATTGGGTTAGGCCGTTCCTTTTCTACATATACTGTACCAATTGTCATCAAAAGTCGCAGTTTCAGAAAATGACTTTGATTTTTAAAATTCAAGCAAAAGGCTTGTTTTGGGCTTGTTTTTGCTCATTTTCAAATCCCGAAAGATGCAAAACATGACATTATTCATCAATAAAAGGCCTACCTGACGACTGACTGAGCCTCCGTGACGAACTCGGCAGCGGAATCGTAGAGTCCTCCGTGTGCATGTCAACTGTAAGCATGTTAAACTCGAGTTAAACGGCTCGTCACATTCAGAAGAAAGCATATAAAGCAAAGTTTTTCGGTCGGAATCCTTTATTCTTGGCTTTAAACGAAGAGAAATTCTCTGAGCGCTAAGAAAACGTGCCAAAGCGTCACGACATCCCCAAACAAAAACTGATAAGCTCGGACAGTTCAACACCTCCGGGCCCGCAAAAAAACTCTTGGGCTAATTAAATCCCCGGAGGGGTCGAACTGACAACTTTATAAAGGGTGGGCCTTAAATGGGCCTTTTCGTGGTTCCAGCAGATCCAAATTTGGTTGTGCCGGCACGGAAAGAGTTTCATCTCCTCGCCCAGGATTGTCTCGCCTCAGGGCATTTAAGGAATACAAGGGCACCTGTTCCTGCTGCAATTTCTTTGATAGTTTTGTCTGAGAGCCGAACAAGCGTGAAACAGTTACGGAATAAGGACAACTTTAAATCCGACAAAAAACTTACGGATAAAAGAGTTTACACTACAAGACGGGACAGTTTTTATGTCATTACAGACCCCACAACTAGATTACGGAGATCTATATGAAAAAAATAAAAGTAAGTTTTAAGTTTTTGAATTATCATTGCGATTAGCAAACTTATTTAAGACAATGACTTATTTTTGTTTGTTAACTCGCACTTATGAAGCGAGTATTCACGTGACAACCACCCCGGAATACAGTGACAAACGTGATAAAATTTTATTGCGCGTGGGACCAGTCCCAAAACGTATGCCAATAAATGGATATGAACATTCGAAATGCAAATATATACATGTGAGGCTATATGAACTATTGTCTACCGGGTTCTATGCAATATGTACACCGTAAAGCGTGAGAAACGTGAAGTATATATCAAGAGCACGCGCGGCGCTCGGGCAAGGGTGAGTCTCGCATCACCCCACCCTCGAGGATCAGTGACTGTTCGGAAACTCTGGCGGAGCCGAGGAAGATGAAATGGCCGACCACTTTGCCCAACAGCACCGCCATGATAATCCACACATTGAAAGTGGCGATGAACAGGATCAGAAGTGCCATCAACGTCCACTGGACTCCATACAAGAAGGAATTGCCCAGCCGAAACCAAGAAAAGGAGTGGACGAGACGGCTGAAACAAAGGGATTACTTTTACATGTTTCAACAAACGTTAACTCTACTTGAACTTCCGAGAATATACATAACAGTTTATATAAATTCTGCAGACTTCAAAGACGGTTGTGAGGTGTTTGTCAACTTAATCATCTATTAAAACTCACCGCATAAATCCAGGGATTCCGGCTCTACTACTCTCATCTGACCGCGCGTTGATAGTGTTTTCGTACAATTGTTCTGTGGAATACGTTGACAATGGTATATTCTCACGTAAGACAAACACTCTAGTTCCAATTACAGCTTCATGAAGAATTGCAATCAAAAACACTATCATCATGGACCCGAACATCCCTGAAATACAGTTTATTTTTATTCGTTTGCAATTTAAAAAAAGGGTGTATAAAATGCCGTAGAATTATACTATTATATATTCTACAATTCTAATCAAAGTTATGACATACCAAAAGCAGTTCCGACCTTCCAGAAGTCGAAGAGAATAAACTCCCGCTCATTGAAATGTAGAAGGTTGGTCGGTTCTTGCATAGGCTCATTGGAAACCGCGACCAGCATCATCATCACATGCTATAAACTGGTGACTGTAATTAAAATCGCAAAAACTATACTCAAAACATATTAATACCAAAATTCTTATAGGTATTCGATTGAATTGTACAATAAGAGAATCTCCTTCAGTTCAAAAATCAATATTTACTACAAAAAAGTAAAGGCATCAGTGTTCCAACCCCTAAGCGAAAAAGTGATAAATATAGAAGCAAACAACGGCAAGAAGTATGACACAGTATCAGATTATGCTCAATAACAACATTATGCAGACTTCCACAAGTCAGGTGAAGGGCCTACATCAACAAAAAGATGGTAGTACAACGGCCTTTTGATCAGTGACTTTATCGTCCAGTGCTGGGTCTCATTGACGCCGTCTGTGTGCCATCGAGTGTCTGCGCTGTCCAGAAGTTTGTAAATCAGTTTTGGAGCCGTTCGTTTCCTCTTTACGTGTTTTAACATCGAGAACCTGGCATAAGATTGATTCGGCCGTTCGATTGTGTAGTTCAAGGACAATATACGTTTACCTGGAAATGAAACGTTTATTTTAGGTAATAAAATAAATATGTACCTACATACTAGTATTAGAAACTAAAAAAATACAATTATTACTCCTAATTTTAAAATGACACCTTACCCATATCATCGTCTTCTCCTCCCCATGCCCAGTAAAGATTCGAGTAACCGTTGACAGCAAGGTAATCATCCATACGAATGGCTAAAGCACCGCCAACGATTTCTTTGTACCACAACCTATAAAGATATCAAGATAAACGTTTGAATAGTACAAATCAAGATTAAAAAATTTAATATTGAAGCAAACTAAATATTCAAAGCCGCAGATAGAATTATATAACTTACTGATAGCCTAGGTTGCTAACAAAAGCTCCTAAATGTCGTGGAGTATCAGGACAATCATAAGGTGTTCGATCGTCTTGAGGAAACATGTCTACATCGTGGAATATGACACAATCCACGTTCAACTTCATCGCCAATTGGAAGGCGGCGTTCATAATTCTACCCTTGTTGAATAAGTCATCGCCGTACTGAAAAACATGCATTTTGACTGCAACATGTACATAAATTGTCAACTTACTAGATCTTATTACATCTTTTAATGTTTTCACTAACAGTATATTATAATAAACAACTAACCTGTTCAGTGACAATAAATCGGAAGTCTAGTCTTTGTTTCTGCATTATAGGTATCAAAAAGTCCAACAATCTAGTCAGATGACTTTTCCTGTCCCGAAACGGTATAACAACTGCCACTTTGTGTCGTGCCTTACAATCAGATGGCTTCCATATACCTCCAGGCAGTATTCCAGGATGATTCCTCTCAACCTCGAACTCTTCCAGCTCTTCTATCAGCAAGGTCGCTTGAGACAGTTTGGCGTTATAGTCAGATATCTTCTCTAACGGCGCACATTCTGGAAGGTCCTCAGTTATGTTAGTTTTCTCGTATGTTTCGTTTTCCGCTTGAACTCCAATATCCAATAAATGCATTGTGAGAGTGCTGGAAATTAAGTAAAATTGGCTTTAAAGCATCAAGAATATATGCTTAAGCGAAAGTGCGTTTTAAACACAAATATTAATGTAAACTAATACCTAAACATCAAAAACAAGGTAAAACCCTTATCACTTACGTTTGAGATCCATGATTTGAAGTATTTACATTGGTAATTGCCTCTTTTATTGTGACTTTGGTTGCATAACCTAGACCTCTAAAATCGATACGAAGATAAATAAAAAGGCGACTTGAAACTCACTTTTGCTGAACTGAATTGGAAAGAAGGAGAATATAACAGAACCCGAAGAAAACAACAACAGCCAGAAACAATTTGAGGCGGCTACATTGTAAACAATAGCGGGAGAACGTTCGCCGTAGAAGTATGGCCATGTCGCGGCCACTATCCTCAATTTTCTTTTTTCCAAATTTTTTATTTATTCGATCACGACGGAGTGTCACTATTGACTATTCTAAATAAGAGGGACGCTTTTCGACATTTTGGACAAGATTTTGTTCGAACAAGTTTAACAAGGAACGTAAAAGGGAATAAACAGGATGCGCAGGAAGAAAAGTAAGTTATTTTACAATAATTTTAATAATTTTTTATATAAATTAAGGCTTTTATTTAAATTTACTTTGGTTTATGAGGTATAAGTGAAAGTTGAATTAATAGCAGTAACGAATAAGTTAAAGTAAAAGTTTTATGGAATTATATTAGCACAGGGTCTACAATCTACACAATAAAGACAAAAGCGGCATTTTGGAGATTTGGGTAATCGCCTATTTTATCTCATGAGTAATATCGGACTTCCGCCTTTCGAGAAAACCTCAAAAACAAGGGTGATGTGGGCAGTAAAGCATATATAACGTATTCGTAAATCATTTTATTTGGATTTGTAACAGTTACCCATAATTGTGATTCAGATTTTCAGTGAATCAATCTTTAACCTAAATTTCATAAAATTCTTTTATTACAAACAATAATACAGATAACTGGAATATGACAATGGTAATAAATAAATGGGTTGATCCGTAGGAAAACACCGCGAAGGAAAGGGTAACAATTCTGAAAGCTCAGTTGCGTAGCCGGGAAGAGTTGTAGATAATGTCTGAAGTTGTGGTCTAGATGTCTTGTTTGGAATGTAGCCGCAGCGACTGTTCCATCGCCTGTCTGTGCGCGATTCTGGTCACGCCGAGTTGGGTGAACTTCGACCGGTCGAAGCGGATTAGGTGTTGGCCAGAGATTCGTTGTTTCGAGAATGGGACCATGTATTCCTTGAGTCCCAATGAGTGTAGCCAGTCCAGAACATCGTCGCACGTCCACTGAGATAGGTCTTTCTGGTCAAAGACTGGATTGGAGGATTCTGTTACCGGGTGTCCAGCTAAAACAAGTTTATTTTAAGAAAGCACTTTAAAAATTATAAAGAAGGATTAATTATGGGTTGTCACAGATGTTAATAGAGCAAGTAATACGAAGTATAAAGAGTAGTAAATAAAAGGTTGATAGATAAAAGTGGTCCTTACAGTCGTGTGATAAAGAAGAAGGGGCAGAACACGAGTCCTGATCTGAACAGTCGTCGTAGTCAGCTGGGGGAATACGGGTAGGGGATATATTACCGATGGTTTCTCCGAGTTTAGTCTGTGGGATTGAGGATGAGTTGGAGATGTTAGAGAACAGGGATGCCACCGACATCTAAACGAATCAAGGTTAGGGTAATATAGGGTTCTGTCAAGGTATGCCTTTAACGATTTGATTTGGTATCGTCTCGTGGTGTTTACTTACCGAATCCTGTGGTATCACGTTGTTGTCTTTGATGAACCGATCCTCCAGATGCTGACTAATCAGCGTGACTCTCGAGTTGTGAGGCAGTAGCTCTTCGGTCTCCGAGATTCTGATGGTCGTTGTGCTGGTTTTACTGCTTACTAGGGTCTGATCGTCACCGCACTCACTAGGTTCCAACGACGTCCTCGATGAAGTGTACCTAAAGGTAGGAATATTAATATAGGATTTTAAATAACATTTAAAACACTAGATGTAAACCCATCAACTTACCCGCTGTCCTTTTTGTTCACAAACCCCGGTGGTGAGTGCTGCTTCTCCAAGTTTTTTGACTGGACTTGGACGTTCTCCCTGACTGATTCCCGAAGACTGAGGCCACCGTAGTTCCTAAAAAGGCTACGTTATTGTAAAATATAATCTACTGGATCTGTATAAGATGTTTTAGAAGAATAATTTGAACAAATTCACTATTTTTAGGTAATAAACGTACACTCCGTTGGCGTCAGCCGTCTGTTTGTTGGGTTTGGCAGTCTGTTCTTCGTAGTTGTCTTCTTCTGACACCTTCGACCGTCGTTTAGCCAATGCATTCCTCAGGTCAGACTGAAAATCCGATGTCGGCTTCTCTTTAGTACTCTGATCATTCTGATTTGACTCGATATTGTTGTTGTTGACCGGCTTCAACTTGACGTTCTGCATGGCTGAGGCAATACTTCCTATTCCGTTGGCTTTGGGCGGTGGTGGAGCTGCTTGTGGTTTGGGTATGCCATTCTTCAGAAAGTCTGGTGGTGGTGGAGGAGGGGGCGGGGGTGGAGGCGCTGCCTTTGAACTTGTACTTGGCTTTGGCTCGTCGTTGTACTTGGGTTGATATGATGGCTGTTGTGAAGGAGTGGCGGATGTGTTAGGTGTGTAACTGGGCTGTGTTTCTACTTTATTAACTGGAGGAGGTGGTGGGGGCGGGGTTTTTGGTCTGAGCATCCCCAGATTCTGGCTTGAACTCATCGACTGGTAATCTGAAAAGGCGGTGTTCTTGTTTCTGACCAAGTTGAAGTTGGGTTCGGCTTCGAATGTTTGTTTCTTCAAGTCTGGGGAGGAGTTGAAGCTCTTGAGCCCTGTGGAGACGTGGATGTGGTCGTCTTCACTCATAGAACTGGTTCTGGGGAGACCGTTGTTCATGCTGGGCGAGGGCAGCCCTCGCTGCTTACTCCGCTTCATGTCTGCCACCGAAGTGAACTTCTTTGGAGTCGCTTGACCATACAGATCCTGGAAGTGGGTAATTACTCGTATTACTTGCACATGGCTGGCTGCCTTTTGTATGTTAACTTACTTGTTTGTAAGGAATGGGCTGGAATTGGGAGCTGCTCGGGTATTGGCGGATCATTAAGTCCTCCAGCTCGGCTGCCGAGATGCGACGCGACGCTGAAGGCCGACTTTTCACTGAAGCACAACGAATTTGGTCAGAATTAATGGAATCCACACACTCTTTGTTCAACCTCATAGTCCCACCTCGGGCGCTATCGTAGATCGAGTTGTGGTGGTGATCTACTGGAAAGGGATTAGCGGATGAGTGGGGGTTAGATAACAGAACAGGGACATGGTAAAGCAACAGTTAAAGTTAAAAACAAACATTAATTGTAACACGCATATTAGCCAGGTTAACCTCACATAAGCACAGACTTACTAGAGTAACCCATGGTATGATGGGCAGGGGCGTAGGTCAACGAAGTTGAGGGGTGACGTTGAGGGGGCATGGGTGGCAGACCATGATTCCTGGGGACAGAGTTGTTTCTTCTGATGGGTAGCGTGCCCGATGTGGAGTACGTTGGCTGATGGATCGTTTGATTAACGGTTATCACTTTCAACGTGATGGTGTCAACGTTCTGATGAATAAGTTGTACAACTTGTTCGTGGGACGCGCTTCTAACATCTACACCGTTGATTTCCAACAAGAAGTCCCCGGGTAGTAGGCCAGCTTTCATGGCCATTCCCGACATGTCCACGCCTTCGAAGAACTGTAACGCAGGAGTTTCTAAGGTGGGCCGGAAGTCGATCTCGGAGTCGACGTGTTTGGAGCCGCGCAAGATGAAGCCGAAGCCATTGGGTCCTCGTGGAATCACAAGTATTCGGGGAACGTTCGTCCTGAAACAACACAATATTTTTCTTGCTATATACGATAGAAAAACATCAGAGTAGATTAATAAAAGTGGTCGGTTATAGCACAAGTCTTGATAAAATGTCGCGGTAAATAAGACTTCAAACTTACTCATGCCCAGGAACACTGTTCTGAACAGCATCTGCTGGATATCGTCGTAATGTTCCGTAGTCAGATGGCTGAGCTATGGACATTCTGCTTGGACTAGGACTAGGCATAGCTGGCCCAGCATGTCGCATAGGCTGTGGCGTCTGGTAGAACTGTTCTGATCGTGCACTACACATGGATGACTGGCTAAGGGAGCGCCGCCTCACGATCTGACTTCCCAGCCGTCGTCGGGTACTGTACTTCGGAGTGCCACGGTAAGGTACTGTAACATAGTTAATATAGTCCTCCTTTGGGTTGAGGAATTGGACAAAAGAATCATTAGAAGCGTTTTCGAAGATCTGATTCAGAAGAGACTGACGGCGCAGACGCCGACCGTAATGAAGAGACATAGCTACTGAATCGTTGGTGGAAGACAACGGACCGCATAATGCCCAGTCAAGGAGAAAGCTCTTGAGTGAAGGCGGGTCCTTTTCACAAAAGCAGCTTCTGAAACCTACCGGACGTGTGAGGGTTGTGCATCTGAATGACCTCAGCTACAGCGTGGTTCCCCACGATGTTAGCGACGTGAAGAGCGGTCTGTCCTTGTTTGTTCATCATCAGAGGGTCGGCTCCACGGAAGAGCAGGACGCGGGCACAGTCGGGTCTAAAGTAACGATATTGTGGTAGATTGTTGTAAGATTATGTTATCCTTTACACTTTTCTTTTCAAAATGTTATCTTTTCAACAGAAAATGTATAAAGTAAGTAGATATTGTTTTCTTACCGATTGTTGACAGCGCAAACATGTAGCGGGGTATTCCCATTTACATTTTGGGCATTGATGATAGCTCCATAGTACAGCAGGTGTTCCACATGCTTCACCAAACCGTTTTTACAGGCTTGGTGTAGCTCGTGGTTACCGTGCATATCAGTTACGCCGATCTCGGCCGCTTCGGCGAGTAGCATTTGTGCTACGGAGTCCTGGGAGTCGGTTGTCAACATGGAGTAGTACAAAGGCGTTAGGCCGATGGGATCTCTGTAGTTGGGTGAAGCACCTAGTTCCAGAAGCGTCCGGACATTGTCAGCGATGGAAAGAAAGGCTGCTTTGTGCATTCCAGTCTATAACATGTTGTTATTAACTGTTGTTGTGTACATACTTATGTCATGTTTAAACTGGAGGATCTAATTTTTGTCTGTCATAAAGATATACTCAATATTAACTTGTATAACAGTCTAACTCAATATGAAGTCGTGAAACGTGTTGCGTGACATAGTTTTCCGTTACCTGTCCTTCGCTGTTGCGGAAGTCGATGTGAGCTCCGCCGCCGACTAGTGCCATTAGAACCTTTTCGTTGCGCGCTACGCCAGCGGCTAACGTTAATGGAGTTTCGCCTTGACTGTCGTGGAAGTTGGGGTCGAGCCCGCTGGCGCACAACTTCTCCACCTTTTCCGAATTTCGACTCAGAACATACTCCATGAACTTTTTAAGGTTACTCTGAAATTTATTTTTATTAACAAGGTAGAAAAAGATTCTCTTCATACATCGTATAGAAACATCATGTAAACTTAAGGTCTTATGCAAAGTACAATTTTGGTTAGTCTTGAGAACATCGTGATCAAAAACTCACTTTTTTTTGAATTTCCTGAAATTGACATTGTGTTGCAAGCTTAAAACTCTGCCATATTTTAACTTATACTAACTTTTCTCTTATATAATGACAGAAAAGCTTTGAATGAACCAAGTTTCTTGAAATTTTAAACCTAACTTATTTAAAACATCGAAACAGTGCTTGCAACACAATGCCAAATTTGGAAATTTGGGAAAATTATATACATAGTCAGTCGTCAAAAAATAAATAAAGGCTATTGTGATGGGTATTACAAATTAAAAAAATGAAATATTACCTTGGAGTGAATCTGCTTCAACGCCTTTTCGTCCAGCTTCAGCATCTTGTAGACACGTTTCTTGAACTTGAGCTGAAAATAGGTTTGTTGGTCAGTTTTACGGTTTGAAGAGGCGTGAATATAACGTTTACATACCTCGACGTAAGGGACACAGTCATGGAAGGGATAGTCTCGGAGCGGGCGATCTTCCAATAAGAACTTGCCGGCACGGCCATCGCACGGTGGGAGGAACAGGCCGAAGTTGAAGGATTGGGGCAGTTGCTGAAATTGGTTACATTAATGTGTATTACACTGAATATTGCGATTATATCAATCTGTTACGAAAACAGTTTATCAAAAAACATTTTGAGAAGTATGAGATTCGTATGACGTGTAACACCGTCACTTACCTGAGGCAACGACGCAAACAGCTTTCGCTTGATGTCCCAGACCAGCTCATCCAGGCTGATGGTCAAACATTTCTGCAAACAAAGTATGAGTCACCTCCCCACGATACCTACCTGCATCTGGAGCTCGGGCACGAAGATCTGGAGGTTGATGAGGTCCTCCTTCTGGCCGTCCTCGTTCATCGCCTGACTTCTGATGGAGAGCTGCGGCGACGAGGTGCCCAAAGACGTCGTGGCCGCGTACTGGGCCATGCTGACAGAACTCAACACATCCACACGAAATCTGGAGGATTCAGAAGAGATGTCGACACTAACAAGAGCAGAACCGGTAGCGCCTCAGGGCAAAGCCTTGCTCACAACTAATTGGCTAAATTTACACAATTGGAGGCGAATTCGGATGGTACCCGCGGTGGAGTTAGCGACAAATAAAAAACATACTATACAAAGCGTCGACAAAGTAAGACAATATTAATGTGAAAGGTTAAGGAGAGAAAGGTGATGAATAAATTAAAAATTAAAAACAATATATTTGTAAATTATCAAATCCTAAATTAATATAAAAAATGCCATTTTCAATTAAAAATAGATAAAACGTTGATCTTCAATAATATAATATACGATTACAACCCTATAATATAATATAACGATAATCAAAAACGGAAACCAGTAATTGCCACAACATATTTGCATAAAAGTTTTTACTCGAAAAGCAAACACGTCTCGCGTTGTTCGAATTTGTTTGCCTAAGGGCTAAGCATTAGCTACACAGGTGTTAAACGCGAACGAAAACAAAATCTACATTAACAACGTGATAAAGAATGGACATTCGGAAGACGACGCGCCTCGGGCGATGGACACAAATTCAATAAAACGAATTTGCGGCAAATAAAAAGTATTGTTAGGTGGAGTTGAAAGACATTATCAATATAAGTTGGACATAGTATTCATGGTGGGACATTATTATCTCGATATTCAAATCTAAATTAGACTCAAACATGCCCTACAATAACATAACCAACTGTACGATTGATGTGCCGTAACCGTATGAGTCAGAACATCTCAAACCCCCAAGCTAATATCCTCTTGAAATTAGAATCAAGCCTCTAAATTTGTTTAAGGAAAGACGCGTGAAGCAATGAAAGCGCGTGTGATGACCAATAACAACTTTTTCGTGTTGTTATAGACGCCGTTCCTTCACAGCGTCGTCGCTCTCTGCGTTTTTCGCTGTAGATGACGGAGAAGTGGAAGAAGGAATCACTCCTCGAAACCTTATCTCCAGTCACGTCGAGCCAGCCGGTTGTTCGAAACTCGAACCCCGCCGGTTTCGAACCGTTCGCGAGCATGGCTGGTCAAAGGTCACGGAGGTCTGGGTCAAAATAAGATAGGCAAAGTCAATTTCTTAATATTGATATGTAAATTTTAAGCGAGAAAAATGTAATTTGGTAAAATAAAAGATGGTAAGACAAAAAAACATTAAAAAATTTAAAATCATCTTTGTAATGACACAAAATGAACTACAGTTAACTAAAAAAACACCAAGTAACGTAGCAACCTAACCGTTAAACTACCAATAAAAATGTCTCAAATTGCCTTTAAAAGCAACAAAGTCTTAAAAATCACAAAAAAAACATAAAAATTACTATATAGAAAAGCAACATACTACGACAGTACCATCTAAAAAAAGAAAAAAGTAACAAAGCACAAAGGAATACGAAGACTGCAGCATATACTACAGCAAGATACTGATATAAACGTAAAAAATAAATTACCCAAATAACTATCAAAAACCCCAATTTCATAAAGAGTACCACCTAACAAAGCACCATACTATAACAGTAACAACCTCACGCTGAGACACGAGAAAAACACGACACGTCGAGTGATTTATCAGTGCCTGGATCTAGGAACATTGCCTCCATCTGAAAGCACTAAGAGCGTGGTGAATGTGAAGGTGGGGAGAGAAAACGGCACATCCGCGCATCTTCGCGACACCCGCAACGCATCTTTTATTCTTATTTTGGTTTCTCTGCCTCCTGAAGCGCCATCAAAGTCAAGGTAAGAGAGGTTCCCTTCCAGCTAATGTCCTCTTGAACACGGGTCAGCTAAACGGTCGTTATAATAGGATATGCTTTAGCGAGGATATTCTCTAAAGCATATCTAGACTGAGTTAAGACGAAAAGTAATAATGACATTATGAGATGAAAGTTTGTCAATTTAAAAAATTATTAAAATCTTTTACAATGTTAAAATTGGCATTACATACCACTAAGTATATGCCTGCTGTAACTTTTGTTCTAAAAAACAACATTATAATCGTATTTTAGGAAGTATAATTAAAAAATAGGAAATTTGCATATTAAAAATAGTTAAAAATATTAAAATTACAGCCGAAATGAATAATAAATCCAATAAAGACGACCCTATAGCAATATCTCAGCTTTATCAATAAACAAATCTGGAACGCCGAGAATAAACATCTGAAACACCTTATGACTTGGGCAGATGTCCGTGGCCAGAACACGATACGGCCAAGACAAAGGCGTCTTTGAAGTGTAAACGGACGAACAATAACTTCAGAATCATAAAACTTAAAACTTTTTGTCCGAAATTCGACCATTTGAGGCAGAAAAGTTGAGTTAGAGCCTACTGCTTTGAAAACTGTTTAAAATAAGTTTAAATAAAAACCTTTAGATGTACAATAAATCACTATTACTACTGTAACACTATCTACAAGACGCTGCAAGTTACTACAAGTTGTCAAGGTAAAATACAACTCTTAGACTTGTGTATGATACGAAAAGGTACTTAAAAGATGTCGCATGAGACTACAACTAAAAAACTTTACAATAAATTATGAAACGTATATTGCAAGCCCTCACATTATACATAATATAACACTTGTAATACCACTTAAGCAAATCGTACATAAGTTAATGCTCTGAGTACATTTGGAATGTACTTGCGTAACAACTGGAGTAAAAATAACAATGGGTAGAGATACATTTCCCAAAGAATTCATGAATTGTTAATGGTGTGGAGAACACATATAAACCCCCGTCTACAATAATATCCATTACTATATATAAATGCAGCACTATATATAGTTACCTAATGCTTAGCAGTATAAATGTATGTACTGTTTAACCATATTAAGAGTAAAGTTTTGCTAGCAAAGTGCGAAGCAATAACAAGACATTATAATATAGTAATTGTTTACTACAATCCTCAAAGCACAACTACTTAAAAAAAATTAAAATTTTACGTAAAAGGTATAAACAATGTCAAAATATAATATAATACATAAAAGTTAATCTTATAAAGACATAATTAGTGAGTAATAGTAAAACAAGGTAACATATACTCTAATATTGGTATTAAACCTGCATTAAGTCTTGCCGACACAAAAGATAAAGCAACGTACGTTAACAAAAGCCGTCTCTAATAGACAGATTTCTTAAATTGCCAAGCGATGATGTGTATTATAAAAAGAAAAGAGCCATTCTTGACTGACCTTGCTCTGCTCTCGAGAATACACCACTCAATTTGCATAAAAGTCTGTTTCGAGAGTTTATACCCGCCGCCTTTAATGTTTTGATAAAAAATTAAAGTCATCGCGAATTCCAAAAATTTTAAACAAAAATAAGCCTCTAGGCGTGAAAATACTCATTTTTTAAAACTAAAAAGTAGGCATTAATTACTAAAGTTTAAAAGTTAAAAATATTCAAAAAATATTTACCAGTTTAGTACAATATCGTAAAGAAAAGATACAAAATAGTAAAAGCTACATACTGTGAACGATTCAACAGTCTTTGATCACGGTACCATCCGTATACTGAACACTGATAAAGCAGATATTAAAACAAAGTCATATAAGCGGAATGTTAAGTCAGTTTAGTCAAAACAAACATTCGAAAAGTTGTCGCGATCGCTTCCGACTACTGATAAAATCTTGGATTGTAAAAACTAAACAAAGAATATTGTTACCGAACCTAGATATCGTCATGAAAGACAACAAAGACGGGCATAAAGAGGTCAAACAAGGCTTCAATTTTATATTATACTAGACTTGACAAAACAGAAATCAACTAATACCAATGTTAAAAAGCTAGTATTAACTACAATGTCTTTAGTGATTATACCTCCAAAGTCACCATACCTACTGTAAAAACCAGATTCAGAAGTCAGTAAAACCGCACTGACGACACCCTATGACCTAACGACATATTATATGGGTTCGAGTCGTAATTAACTAAATCACCTCGGAATTGGCTAATTCGCCGGCTGGAATGGACTAGCCTGTTCCCAATCTTAATCACGAATTCGCTTCAATCACACCAGAACAATAGGAATTACAAGCGATGTGACTCATTATGCGAACGATCGGCCCTCGGGGGAGGAAATGCTTGCGCATTATGATCCTCGAGTAATCAGTAAGTCCAATATGAGTTACAATATCATGTCCCATAATACCTTGTTCCTCCCGTCGCAGGTAAAACACACGAATCGGAAGGAGGAATCAAAAGAGTGGACGACGGAGGAATGGCCGGTCTAGTCGAGAGCGGAGTTGAGGTGAGGTGAAGGAGCGAGAGGTAGGGAGGGAAGGGGGGGACGGGAAGGTGCGCGCTCTCCCGCTGTCCCCACAAACAACGATCACTTTGAATAATATGCTCCTTTCTTATGAAAATCCCCGGCAAAAGAAGATTACCCATTCAGCCGAACCGCTTCCGTTCCACATGGCCTCGGGGCAGGACTACCTGGGGGTGCGGGAGGAAGTCCAACATTAAGTGCTGCTGGCAGGGAATTTGCATAAAAGCGTTTCAAAGGTAATTTCCCCCAAACGGCAACAACTTATGGCCATTAAAGGTCGTTTTCTATTATTAAAACAGAAATTGTGGCCGTTTTGGTCAAAGGTAAGGCCACTTCTTGTGATTAAAATTTGGCTCTAGTATTGTAAACGACAATTCCTCATAAGCGGTTTAGACTACTTTCGTTAATGAAAACAACATTGAATTGGCAAAAACAGTACTACAACTACCCCAGCCCTCCCTTACAAGCCAAGACTCCCCTTATAAAGCAGAATCCTCCCTTCCAAAACAATTCTGAGCCGTTTATGTCATTCTGAACAAATCTGCTCATCTCGTTAATTAATTTCTTTGAGAAAACAAAAGTTACCAGACTCCCAATTACTGTAGAGGAAGATACCCGACTCTCAATTACACTATGAAAGATCACAACTAGCCGCGCGGTAGCTACAAGTAACGGTTATAAAGAGAAAATCCATTAATTCATAACCCAGAATCCTGTGAAATGTCATAAACTCATCTCTCCCTCGAAGACCTTGACCAAGACACATATACCTACTCTAATCAAACAGACTTATTCATCTCTTGCCGTGAATTCCAGAAGGAACGGAGTGGAGAAATGCGCGATTCCCTCGTGAACTTCGAAACCCCGCTTTTGTGACTCTGGAGATCCGGAAGTCGCTTGAACAAGGTGCCTTTAAAGAGATTGACGGAATTGAACCGTCTGAAGGCTTCTATACCTTCAAACTGAGTGACCGCCGTTAGGCTTGACAAAGGAGACGTCAAGAACAATATAAAGTATTGGAATTCCGAGAATTTGTCGCAGAAACATTAATTTATAAAATAAATTTATAATTTATTTATAAAAATATGAATATTGAAACACAATGCCAGAAGAAATAAAAAATAATTAAAAATATTTTTTAAAATCTTGAAAATCGACTTTTCGCGCTATATTCCCAACAAAACCCCTGCTTAGAGCATGTTGGAGGACATTATTTAATTTAACGTTTCTAACCGACATTTTAAACGTGAAGAAGAACATAACACCCTATTTGCAAACAGAATATCCGATTACCGGCCAAGGCGAAGGGAAGGCTGAAGACCGATAAGATCTCCACAAGATCGTCGGATTCTGTTTTTTATTAAAACAAAAACAAAACTTACGGTAACGTGGCGACCGTGACCGTTTCTCAATTTATTACTCGTGTTTACATGTTTGCATACTAAGGTCATCACATGGCATAGTTGTTGTTTCACACATCATGTTGTAGGTGTTATGTTTTCCTTACTTTTTGTTAATATTTGAGGTTTTTAGGTAACAAAATGATATTTATGGTCAAGAAGTTTGTAGAATTTGCGTTTTATTTAGTGTTCAATGACTTCCTTGAACTTTTCGACCGAATTTTGTGCATTTTTATTGTTAATCTTAGTTTTGTATCTTTCGAAGCCAAAACATTGACCTTTATCTTATAAAAACTGTAGTATAATACACTTCCAAGCCCTATACTAAACCTCAAGACACTTTTTAAGTTTTTCGAATTCCACGCCTCCGGCACTATGCATGTTGTGACTGTATTCGCGTGGCGAACGTGTGTAAATAAATAAAGTCTGGAAGGTGTCACACACAGCATTATCAACATCAAATCGAATCAAATGGCTTCCATGAGGTTAAACGAACCGTGTTGGCATGACAACCGGCTTTTGATTAACGCCACCACTTGTCCTCATTGTGTGTGGAGGTGAAGTAATAGCGCATCGTGCCGTTGGCGTTTGTGTTTCCTAGTAACGGTGTTCTGGATTGCTCCGGTTGTTATGATCCGGTGATCAGTTCATGTCGCAGAACAAAGCCTCCTTCTCGGTTAACACCGAACTGCCGGTGAGTATGTTGGCATTGTGTGTGATGGGGCTGTAACAACAGTGTTGTTTACAGATGGTAATGTACAAAAGATACCACAATGTGTTAGTGAAAAAGGAATGAAAGGATTGATATATTTAGAAGGTGTAGGATAGTGTTTACATGCCATTTAATGTAAATAACTGTTAAGCCAAGATAATATGTTCGTACTCTAAAGCAGCTTAGCGTTGTTTCCTCTTCCGCCCCTTAAGAAGATGGCCAGAACGTTGCCAAGTTTTGAAAAGTAATAACTTTCCAACCAAGTGCAGTCGAAACGTCGTGCTATTTTTGCAACCTTTGAGTACAATTACAGTACTTTGGCCGTAAATAATTTGCAAAAAATGCAAACCTCATATGACTTCCGGTTTGAAAAACAGACACGGTCCAGCGAGCTGGGAATGACATGCCCTGAGGGAGTAACTTTCGCTTGGCTGCTAAATCCAGGGCGGGGCTGCACCGTACTATTTAAACCGCTCCTAAGCTGTTGTCATTAATTCTCAGCACGATGCACTCTGTAGCTGTCAATATCTCGCCGCTCCACCATCATAGGATGTGTCATATGCAGGTACATTGTGGGGGTCTCTCTTATACTGTAGTTGTTTTTGGTCTTATGTAACGATTATTTTGGAACTTTAGTTATTATTTGAGGGTTATTACCATAATAAGCTATAGTAAGGTTTTAAAACATACCTTTTAAGCGGATATGAAGCAAGGTACTATAATACCCAGTATCTGTTACTGCTTTACACCAGGTTTTTTATAATCATTAAAACTTTTAGCTGTATCTATACCTACAACAATATTATACCGTGCCATTTCAGGAAGGATTTGCCGTCCGCCAAGGCCATCTAGCCCCGCCAAATTTGACGCCCGATAGTCCACGCCCGAAGAATGCCCCAGGCAAGTTAGGAAAGGTGTTGAGTTGACTTCGACAATTTTAGAATCCAACTCGGTGGCCAGCCTTCTGATTCCAGCCGAGCGAACAAAAGACGGCAAAAAGAAGTAACCACCCCCTCCCCGCCTCCAAGTTCGGATCGACCGGTATTTTATGGCTTTGACTATAACTTTTGGATACGGATTTATTGTATATAACGATGTATGTTTACATAAATGATGGTACACTAGCTTGGGATGTAATATCCTTTTTTTAAGTTGTGACAATATATATGTCACCTCAATTTAAAAGTAAAAATAAGTTTTAAAAACATATAATTCATACAACTATGTCAATATCAAAATATACTTTATAAATATTGTAAAATATGCAAATATTAGGTATCTTGGACAATCTTTTTTGAAAAAATATTAGCTGAAAACACAAATGTCGTACTTAAAGTAGCATTACTTTGGCTTAACCTCTTCTGAACACCGGTTTCTCCGCCTTCTGGGGCACGGTCGTCGTAGCATTGTTGAAGTCTTTGGAAGTGATCCAACTGGCAGTTCGTGCCATTGCTTCTTCCTGAGTAATATAAGGTCGAGTCTTGAACATGAGAGCTTGTTTCCGATTACTGAAGCCAATGGCATACATCACAAACAGCCTTAGGGCTCCCATGTTGTACATGGCTGTATCTGGCTTGATACCGAACAATCGGAGTTTGGTTTGGGCTAATGCTGTTCGTAAGTATAATGATATTACATTGTATGATGTACCGAATTTGATACCAGATGGTTCTAGCAACCTAAACATCATCTGAAATTTAATGATTATATCCATAAATCATTTTAAGTAAAAGTAATACTTTTAACACTTCAATAGTACCATTCAAATAAAATTCAAGTACAAACATCAAAATCTACAGTACTTCAAAACTTGTTTTGTATCTTCCTATAAATATTTCACAGCTGTTTACCTACGCATGTATATTATGTCTGACTTAAAAGTGCATTCAATTGTAATGTCACATGTTTTTTATACATGCTATGTTATAAAATGGCAGCCTTTCCTTCTATTAATAACTGTTCCAGAAACTTTAAAAACAATTTAATCCGCTTCCGGCCGACGCGTAGTAACACCGTAATACGTACGCAAACTTATGTTTATATTATTTTCAGATTCAAACAACCATAGCCTCCTGATTTGAAAAAAAAACTTTTTAAAACTTACATCATTAAACCTCGTGGCTTCAGTTTTGTCCATACAGTAAAAGAAGTGGCCACTGATGTCTGATGGTTTACTTAGTAACACTCGCATCGCTTCTTCCATATACCTGATCAAGTTACCTACGTAAATCTGAAACAACATCATGACATCAGTAAGACATAACAAATCACAACGACCACCTCCAAGCTTACTATAACATAAGACAAACTAATACCTAAAAGGCCACTTACATACTGCATAAGGCCATTGGATGGACCTTCCACATGCACCAACTCCCCATTATTAGCTTCTGCCACTTCTTTTACTATGTTAACCAGCTTTCTAGAACCCTCGCCGTAGATCATCGTCGGCCGGAAACACACACCGTTCAGTTTATTGTCTAAACCTACTACAATATAACATTTACACTTACTGTCGTCGTACTTTTGGCCGATTCTATTCCGTACATACAATTCTGCCTTTGTCCGTGCTTCACCGTACACTCCCAACATGTACGATGAAGGCTCTCCAGAGTGCACGTCTTCTGAGTTGCCAAAGTTGTCGCGAGCAGGTAGATTAGCATAAGCATCCCCCATGTAGATTATGTTGCCCACTTTTTGTCGTATCATTGTATCTACGACGTTTTTTGTAGCTGAAACATGTTTGATAATTAAAGTGATGTCATGTTATTCATTTGTATATTTTAAGACAACAAAAATTCAAAAATTTTGATACAAAAGTCAATAACATTTAATTTAATACCTTGTAAGTTGTCTCTTTGGTACTGTTCATTGTAGTTTATCCCCATTAAAGGTTCGTACTGTTTCCGTGCCAGATGAAACACAACTGAAGCATCTTTGAAAATGTTGTCAAGGATGTCGTCGCTCAAGTCTTTGGCATGGTAGATTACAGAAATGCCAGCTATAGCAAGTTAAGTTTACAGAATTCATGAAACTTGTAAAAGTCAAGTATTACAGCAATTATACTTTCTGTTTTGAAAGAAAGTAGTTATGCCTTTTGCCTCAAACTTACCATTAAAGCTCTGAGCTAATGGTTTGCGATCAATCGTGTGAATCTCATCAACAACGTCGCTACACTGCTCCTGAAGCCGCTTAATGAGATGCGCGGCCACAAAGCCGGCTCCTCCGGTGATGACGACCTTCACCATAACAATCAAAACACAAAAAGGAAGAGAAAACTTAAATATCTTCTTCAGTGACAACACTTTCGAGACGCCAACGAGAAATCGCGCACCCACCCCTCGTCATGATTCCCACTCCCGCTTCGTCGCCCCATGCCTCCAGTTGAATGTGCGTGTAAAACGGCAGCGGCGATGGAAAAAGGTCACACGAGGAGTCAAGTCCCTCGGATATATGTCGTCGCTAGACGGAACAACCAAATCTGATCAAAATCTGCATGCCGACGCCAAGGCTGACGTTCCGTGCGTAAGCTCACATTACGCGATTTCGCAATTACTTCCACTTTACATTGTTTTAGATGAGTTATAGATTCAGTTAGTTTACGACTAGGGCTTGTAGTATGTGGTTGAAATTATATTGTAATACCCTAAAGTATGACTACAAAGTCTGCTAATATAAGTTAGAGTTAACCTTTAACAGCACTAATTCCTATGATACAGTTCTCTATCAAACTTCAAATTTAAAAACACTCTTAGCCCAGATACTCAATAATATAAACCCGTTACTATAAACCAAATTAAAATACATTTCCAGCAAGGATCAGTTCAAAAAATGCATATTTATTCGCTGATAACATTACACAATATAACAAGTGTGGTAACAACGCTCCCTACCTTTCATAAGATAAAACTCTTTAGCTCGTCGTTAAAGCACTTTTCCCGCACATCTGGAGGTATATTACAGGCAATCAGCCTGGCTGCATCTGTGACATTGTGCTTCTTCAGAAGTTGCGATGCATATTCACCTGAAAAGTTACAGTAAACCCAAGGATACCTTTTGGTGAAGAATACTGTAGGCTGATTCCTAAAATACGTTTTCGCTAATATATAAACTTGTCGCGGTTAGTACCAATAGAAGTGTTCGAAGGGCAGATCTGAGGGTAAAAAGAGATCATCTCCTTGATTATATCATGTTCACTGATCCGCATGTCCTGATCGTGTTGCCTGAAAATCAACGATAAGTATGTAAGTTAAAACAAAAAATATTTTTAATTTTTATTAAAAAGCAACAAATTTAATAAAAAAAAGTAATAGAATAACATTTCACATACAAAATTATATATTTTTTCAAAACTTAAATATAAAACGTACCATTGACATTGATCATCTTTGCACAAACCATTCAGCTCAAAAGGACATAGAGGTACATCTGGCCTGACATAACTTGAGATAGATGGATGAGTGATATGTTGGAAAGGAAAGAACGGATACAAACGGTAAGATCTCATTCTAATCAACGGGTTCCTTAACGCTTTGTCAATTCCATCAACATTAACAGAAGGAGAGGGATCTTCGACTACTTCTTCACCTGCTTGATGTAAGGTTGAGGACGGAGATTGGGTATGGACAAGCATGTTGTTAAGGTTATTATCTTTGTTAGTACGCAGAGTTTTGGTAATACTCCGTTGTCTAGTCTTCTTAATCAGCCTTTCCAAAAGCTGGGATTCAATCGACTTTGCGTCGCTTGTCCCTGGCATTATTTCGGTAATATCCAAGGATAACTCGGTAGAAGACGTAATGACATCTTGTTGCAAAGTAGACGCCACTGTTTCTGCAAAAATACCATCATAAAGAACAAGTAATAGACGTAATATTAAAGTTTGGGAATAATTACCATTCTCTGTTCGTAGCGTTTTCTGTACTGTCCGAGTTTCCTTCAGTACTTTTCGTTTTTCTTCTCTGACCGACACCGCCCTTTTCCGTAGCTCTTTTATCCGACTTGCTAAACAATATGTTTTAATTTTCAATCATAACACATAAATATACCCAAGATTACAAATTCATCATAAGGAAAGTCAAGAACGACAAAAAGAAACAACCTTAAAATTAATTTATACCTAAACGTATTGTTAGAAAACTGCTTACCTCTAGCTACAGTCTTTGGCGTGACGTTAACCAACGGAATAACTTTCGGCTTAATAACCCGTCCCTTGAATATCCTTTTAACCCGCTTCTTAACTTTTGTTTTGGTATCTTGAGCCACCTTGTTGACCTTCATCTTCCATTTGGCTCTTTCTAAGTGAACTTTACTTAAGTAGTCTGTAGTTGAAATGTGACACTTCTCTCCCAACACGTTGATCTTCTCTGCCATCTCCATACATCGCTCAGCATACACAAAAAGTTTACGTTCTTGATTAGCCAGTTCTTCCTGCAAAACATAATCAATATCTTGCATATTAACATTCAATAGTGGATAAGGCTGGCTAAAAGCTGAATCTTACCTTTAACTTCTCAATGTTCCTCTTGGCCGTACTGTAATCCTGTAAACTAAGCTTGTACCGTTTCTGAGCCTTCAGCAACTCTTTCTTGTTCGTTGTGATCATTTCCTTTTCCTCGTCTAAGTCTATCTCAAAATCTGTCAATTCGTCATCAAACACTTCGTCTTCGGTTTCATCCAATTCAGAAGACAAAAAATCCTCTTCAGAAAGCTGTTCTGGACTTCGTGGAGACTCTTCTTCAGCAAAGTCCACATTATGTTGTACCGGTTGCACGAAATTTAACACAACTTCTTGGTCTTCCTGTTCTGAGATTATAGGAGCTTTGCAAGGTTTCGGACTGTAAGGTTCGTAATCAGAATTGTCAGATACTTGATCAATCATAATTAGTTCAGACGCTGGAGGAGGTAACGATGGCGGAGGTATTGGTGGTGGAGGTAGCAGCATCTGAGGTGGTGAAAGCGGTGGCGGAAAACGTTGTCCAGTATCACTGTTTGATTTGACCGGAGATTCTTTTGACGACTTAGAAGAGGCCAGTTTTGAGGTTTTAGCTTCATGTCTATCCACTTTTCCTCTCTTTTTCATTACCTAAAAAATACACAGAAATAAGAACTGTGCCTAAACTTAAAATTTTTAGAATTACACTATCAAATCAATAAACTTAAAAACTCACTTGTTGCAGAAGCATTTCCCTGAGAGCCCGCTCTTCTTCATCATCGGCATCCAACATCGGAGGACTTTCAATGTCCATATTCACGACCTCATAGTTGTCTTTAGCAGTTAGAGAACTTTTGGAAGAACCTTCATGAGATCGTTTATCGCTCTTAGACTTCTTGTGATCTAAATACCAAACTCATAATATTAGCTGAAAATCAACTTACTTTTCTTATTTTTACTCTTCGACCTCATAATTTCGTCTCGAACACGATAAACTTCTTCGCAAAACTGATCAATACGCTGCTCCTGACAATAAAAGGTATATTTTTCCAATATTAACTTACTTCAATAGAGAAATGGTCGCTGTCTTCGCTAAAATTAACAGAATTGTAAAATAAATCAAGATAAAACCAAATTACCTTTCAGATTCGATTTCACCTTCTTCCTTTTCAACATTACTCATTTAAACATCCATAAATTGCTGCTATTCGCAAGACAATACTATACTACTACCCAGAAAACATAAATAGGAACAACACTTGACCCACAAACATCTGCGGGCCAAGTTTTTCGACAGCTATTTTTACGTGAAGAGTCAAAATTTAGGCGCAAACGCAAATTTGATTCTATAATGGACTCCGCGTTGCACCTTTAGATACCATTTTCTAATTTACATTTTCTAACAGCATTAACAATATCTAACTAACAATCTTCTAACCAAAAACCTGACTAATCATGCATCACGACCATGAACCTCGATATTCCAAGGAATCTGAATGGAAAAGTACGGGAACGGAGGATGTGATGGTGTTCTATCCAACGCTGCAAGAGATGGCTGACTTCTCTGCATATGTTAGTAGTTGCGAAGCCAAAGGAGCTCATTTGAAGTCGGGGATTTGCAAAGTGAGTTTACTATAATATATTATCGTATTTTAAGATTGTACCGCCGAAGGAATGGTCTCCAAGACCGAAGAAGGGTCTGAAATACGAGGAAGTTGGTGATTATATTATTAAAGCGTATGTTTTTTTTTATTTATGTTTTGTATTTGAAAGAAGAAGAAGTCAAATGTGGTTTTTGTTGTTTTCTTCGAATAAAACAATATAAGTAATGTTTATTGTGTTTACAGGCCTGTCAAAGAGTCTATTTCCAACGCGTCGTACGGGGGTTTGTACGTTAAACAAAATAAGATATATCGCAAAGAATTATCGGTAAGACAATTTGAAGAGCTGGCTCTATCACAACATTACCTGAATCCACGACAAGACTTGGAGCTGAAGGACATTGAAAGGTATGTGTAGTAGTATTATAAATCTAATTTTTAAAAGAAATGTTGTTTTTGTTTATAAAAATTGAGTAATGTGCTACAATATCATATTTTTAGACAGTTTTGGCGCACTTTGTGTGTTGGAGAACCAATTTATGGTGCAGATACTCCAGGATCTTTGTACGACCCGCGTGTCAAAGAGTTCAATATTGCTAAGTTGAACACTATTCTGGACTTACTGACCGAATGCAAACTGAAGATACCTGGCGTTAACACGCCATATTTGTACTTTGGTATGTACAAGGCGACATTTAGTTGGCACACCGAGGACATGGATTTGTATTCTATTAACTACTTGCATTACGGGGAGCCAAAGGTATTGTTTTGAAGGTTGGATAACGACGAAATATTTTATTGGCTGATCTATTAAAGACAAGAAAATTTATATTATATTTTTATTTGTTTTTATGAATATGTTGTTTCAGTTTTGGTATGCGATTCCACCAGCAGATGCTGCCAAGTTCGACAGGTTATCTCTGCAAAAGTTTCCTGAAGATGGCAGAAGGTGCAAAGCTTTTTTGAGACACAAAACTCACATTATCAATCCTAAAGAGTTCAAACCTCATGGGATCAGGTACGGGACTATGGTACAGTACCCCGGAGAGTTCATTATCACTTTTCCTAGAGTAAGTCGTACTTTTTTAAGACCCAAACATCCTTGATGTAGAAAGTTGAAAATCGAAATAATTTTATGAATTCTTTGTAGTACCGATATTATATATAAAAGTATTTTTTAAGTTTTGAAAATGAAATTTATTATCAATATTTACATTTAAAAATTCGTTATTTATTTTTATTCTGGCTTTTACTTATATGATTTACTTTTTAGGGTTACCACATGGGTTTTAATCTTGGTTACAACTGCGCGGAATCAACTAATTTTGCCTTGGATAGGTGGATCGACGTGGCCAAGGAAGTCTCAGTTTGTCGTTGCGTGAAAGGTTCTGTAGAGATCGACATGGCTCCGTTTATGAAGAAGTTCAGACCGGACGAGTACGAAGAATGGTACGACTATTGGTATCGTCCTAGAGTTGTTATTGTGAAGCCAAAGTCGGAATCTTCATCACCGTTTTTTATGCCGAGTGTTGATCTACCGTTAATCAACGAGGAGAAGATGATTGAATACAAGAAGAGTCTGGATGATAAGCGAACGATCATGCATTTCCTATGGCAACATCAACAAGACTTTAAGGAAGAAGTCAACTTCAACACCAAAGAAGGAGAACGATACCCTTACTGTTCTGTTTGTCAGCATTTCACTCCTACAGTGTCAGAATACACCCAGCGACCGCAAACGTATGTTTTGTGCATTTTTAAGTTTTAAAATTGGGTTTTATTTTATAAAGACATAAATATCTTACAATTTAGGTCACAACGCTACACAAATGACCAATTGTACTCTAAAAGTTGTGTTCCGTGCAACGCTGAGATTCCTCTGAATTTGGCTTCTCTAATTCAATGTAAAAGATGCCATGTAGTGGTTCATGAAGACTGTTACTTGACAAACAAGTCTTCAGAAGATAGTTTTCCCTCCACTTCTGATCAATCGGATCTTGAAGCTGTGCCTGCCAAACGACGACGAAGTGACAAGGCTGGTTGGCTGTGCAAAAGGTGTGAGTTCTCGAGAGAACAACTCGTCTGTGCATCCGTCAACTGTGCCATGTGCAAGTTGAGAGGTGGTGCGTTGATTCCGTTTGTTAATGGACAACCAGGACTGTTTGTTCATATTATTTGTGCTATTATGAGTAGACGGTCCAAGATTGTCAGGGACGAGCAGAAGAACAAGGTATACGCTATTACGTCGACGATGGATGGGGCGGAAACTGATCTTGACAAATTGAGGTAGGTTAATATTGTTTTTTATGCACTGCTAACGATGTTTATTCTACTTATAAAGTAGTGCTAGAGATTAAAACACATTAAAAATTTTAGAGAGATCTCGTCTATATCTCAGAACTACATCGAACACGAGCCTGACCTTTACCTCAATGTCGGAATGGATTCAAACTTCCAATGTGCATTTTGTTGTCAGCCTCTCGAATCCTGTTTTGTCAAATGCCAACCATGCCTGGATTCTGGAGCTCCTTGTCAAGTGTTTCATCCTTATTGTGCACAATTCGCTGAAATGCATACTGAGGTTCGCAACTATCCTTATTTGGCATTGGCAGTGTGCCCATTACACAATTCTGACAACAGTAAGTCAGCTATCAGAGTAAATTTATATTGCAGATGAAGTCGAGAAGCACCCCATCAACGTTGGAGACAGTGCCGTTTTCTTCAGTAACCTAGAATGCGACCGTGTCATCGTGGAAGATGTAGCGGAGTCATTCTTTTATTTTGTCGAGTTTCTGGACTGTTCCTTCAGTTCGGATGTTGCTATCCAAGATGTGATTGACTGTCAGTGTAAACACATCGGGTGCAACGGGGAACACATCAGTGGACATGTGGTTAGTTTTTTACAGAGTTTTGTATGTTTGGGCAAGAAGTACTATCAGATTTAAGTATTAACGACTTCAGGATACAAGGCATTTGCTGTTTGACTGACAGTATTTGAAATATCGTTTACGAAATTATGATTGTAATGTTTGATTACAGATAAAAGTACGATGGGAAGATGGCCGAGAATACCAAGGCTACTTCAGAGAGAAGGTGACTGGCTCCACCTTCACGGTGCGATCCTTGACTTCTTCCACCCTTCGTAAATGTTCGAGAAATGCCTTATATTGTCTGGACGAAACGAAGCCAGAAGAACTTGAAGAACGTCTGGCCAAAATCCCGTTGACAATCTGAAGATCTCCGGCCACAATTTCTTAGATCTCACTTTTTAGTTTAACTAATTATTTTGCTATACGACCAATAGATGACCAAATTATTGCAAATTGGGGCTGTATTTCTTTATTTTAATTTTAGACATGAAAGTGTTACTTGTCCGTACTGCATTAGTTAAGTTTCATTGCGGCTTCAAATCGCTCGGCAATCTGACCGAAAGTGGGTCTGGCGTCGGGGTCTTTCTTCCAGCAGTCCTCCATGATCTTGCAAGCGAAAAGGGGTGTTATCGTCGGAATCTCCAGTGTTTTGCCTGCCTGGATGGCCTGTCGCGCTTCCAGGTTAGTAATCTTACTGTAAGGGTCGGCCTTGCAGTAGGTATATACTTCCCACATCATGACTCCTGAAACATTATAAGTTTGCACCAACAGAATTTTTAAGTAAAGTTCGGCCCGCTTACCGTATGTGTAGACATCAGTTTTAGTGGAGAAAACACCCTGACCCAAAGTTTCTGGTGCCAGCCATTTGGTCGGGACTTTGGACAATCTAAAATAAGGCTTATTGGCAAAAAGACATTGTTTTCTATACAACCGATCAGAGAACATTTTAAACGTATTAATACAGCACCCCAACTTACTTTTTCTCTTTCACCTGAGCTTCTGCAATCGATAGTCCAAAATCAGATATCTTGACCGTAAGATCTTCTGCCAGTAGACAGTTACGAGCGGCAATGTCCCTGTGAGTCACGTTCAAACTTGACAAATATGTCAGTCCCTTCGCAGCGTCTAACAAAAACCTGTAAAAATATTTTTGAGACAAGTTTAACACTTTTTGCACTATTATACTTCGATCGCCTGTACAGGTGATTGAATGTAGCCATCCGGTACGAAACAGAATGGGCTAAAATTTACTTGTTTAATCTTTCGACGCTAGCATCAGGGTTCTTCTGCAGGTATCCCTTGAGAGATCCTCCTGAAGCTAGCTCCAGAACCACCATGATGGGATCTTGTTGGGCAGCGATGCCAAGCAGTCTGACAATGTTGGGGTGATTGAACCGTCTGTTCAAGGACGCTTCCTTCACGAATCCACTCCGTTCCTTCTTCCCGAGCTTCCCCTTTAGCATCTTCACAGCCACGTCCAGCTTCTTGTCCTTGTCGGTCAGTTTTCCAATGTAGACGTCTCCAAAACTACCGGATCCTACCTTCTTGTTGAGCTTGATGTTCTCGTGAAACAGACACCATTCTGGCCGCTTGATGGGTCTCATCAGTTTGGCTCCATCACGGAAAATCTCTGCTTTCGATCCCTACAATCAGATGTTGTACATGATACAAGTACTCCCATCATATATTACGTCAATGATAAAAAATACCATATAGAAGCAAATCAACCGTTCGACGTTCTCAAAATTGAGCAAGTCGGTGATGTTAAAGCGAGCCTCAGGTGTCACCTTGATGAACATGTGCCGCACTCTGCTCCATCTCATCGAGATTACCAACTTCTGATTGAGGCCGAGTTCAGACCTCCGCACAAGGAAGTCGCCGTCGTGCTTCAGAAGATCAGATATCTCATCTCGAGGCATCAGACCGTGATACCAGTAGGCTTTGTTCAAGACCTGGGCTTTTGCTTCGATGAAAGTAGCGTTAACCGACTTTTCAGCTTCTGTCATTGCTAAAACAATATTTGTGAACGTGCTAAAGGATAGAAACGTTAAGATCATCTTTGTATAAAACAGTTAAAATTACTGTGTTTTCGGAAAAGGAACCAAAGAAGAAGATAACCAGAAAACCTGACCTACTACCGATATTTTTAGCAAAAGTAAAATGAAAACTTCAAAATATAAATTTTTTCACTCAAAAGATTCAAAATTATTTAAAAAAATTGACAATGAATAACTTGAAAATGCCAGTTTATTATCAGCATCTCCTAAAAAAGCCTAAAAATTTGAATAACAATTTATTATTTATCGAGGAACTTCACCGGCACAGTAAAATTCCTCGTTTGGTACACAGTAGGACCATTCCAGCTTCTCGGTCTTCCCTTCGAAGCGCTCCACCAAACAGCTCCCGATCTTCAAGTCACAATGACATCCCCATTGACTAAAATAATATTTTGCATCTCTTTGTAAGTGTTGATACATAAAGATAAACTAAGTTAACAGTTATACATTACAACAGAGAAATAGAGTAACTTACGTCCAGTTATACGAACTTCTCCTCAAGCACCAATTGGGTGGTTCCCTCGACCCGTAGCAGTGATAGTGAGCACGGCACGATATGTAGCTAAACAGTTCTTGAAGATATTTGCTTTGATGCATACAAATACACTACCTTAACATAACTTACTATCCCATAGACAGGTTGAAGAAGGCACCGTGACAGCTGTAGTTGGGATCAAAGCTCATGGGACCATCTCGAAGGCACTTTTCATGTTTCGAGATTAGTACCTGGGGAGGGGGATAGTGCCACCGTTGTCCCCAAACATGAAATACGATCAGAAAGAGGGTGAAAGTAACTTTATTTGTCATTTGAGAAAAGAATTGAGCTAGCGAGGCAGTCCGGAGCCGCTGAGTGAAGCCACTTTATTACCACGATGAGCAGGGGCAATTCTCGATCAGATTCTCACGATCTTCTAATCTGGAGATCCACCAGCGCCGCGAGATCTGGATGAACAAGACGCCCCACATGATCGACCTGTATACGGTTATATCTCGTTAATAGTAAGTCATAGTCTTAATTAGAACTGTAATTACTTTATGCAATACGGAGTAATAGCATAACATGGCTATAATAGACATTTTTCTTTTATTTTACATAACATCACGTTGAGCATCATTGTGGCTACATAATAGATTAAGAAATCAAAAACTAAAAGATAAAATAACTTCAGCAATAAGCATAGTAACATACCAAACATATCCAATAATTAGTGGCGACAGTAACAGCTGCAAGATACCACAATAAAAGTTTGAGCAAAACACGATACAACGAGGATTGGGAGATTCAAAAGACCCACAACAACATACCATACAGCCAGCGAATATCGTACCTAAATGTACTAACGTGTACTACTAACAAAAGTATATTTTTAAACTATATTGTATTACAGTACTGTATTAAAAGTTTCAAGGTTGTTTTGAAGTTTGCAAAAAGTTAATAATTGTTATTGGTGCTCACATAATTACATTTTGATCATAATTGTATTATCTTGTTGTTATCTATGTTTAAAATTTCGTATGTTCAAACAGTAAATACTCGTTTATGAAAACAACTAGCACTTTAGTCAATTAGCCGCGTAAACTCACCGAAACCGGGAAAAATAACGTTTAGAGTACAACATACGACGGCCAGCGGAAAAGGTAAACATGGCACAGCTTGGCGGAAAAAACCATGATTCTGTAATTCTTACTGCAATATCAACTTATTCTTACTTATTATGAGTAGTTTCGTTCTCAAAAGCAATATGTTAATGTCAAAACTAATTTCATAACTTAAAATTTTGAATTTAAAAGTTTAAATTACGCGTTTTCTGGGCTTCTTGCGCCGTCGTTCCGTGATGACAAAGGAATAGGGTTCAGGGTTGAACGTGTCCAAGGGCTGATCGTCGTCCATGTTGTGACTCTAGTCATCGCTCAGACTCAGCCCACCTCAAGTGCCTCTTCATACTTACATTCTCTTTGCACATTTCGAGTTATTTTAATTGCAATCACTGCTTACCTCAATTTGTTGCGATCATACCTACGGAATATGAACAATGTTGTCCGCATATCTTGTCTTATGTGTAATATTTTTACAAATGTATAATAACTCTATTGTGGAGATGTCTATATACACACCTACACCATGTCGTCGTCACAGACCTGTCAGTTGTTCCGTGTACAACATTGTATTCTTTGTGTTCAAAATATTTTTGTGCAGATTTGCATTCAAATTTGCATAAAATAGGAAAAAGTGTGCCCGCACGCATAACTAATACCGATTACTTGTCTCAACATGTAACATAACATGCACTATGATGCGATGAGAAAAACGGATGCGTTCCCACAGTTGCAGACATTTGAGGAAATAGGGCTGGCAGGTTCACGAACCCATTTTAATTAAAGTTAAGAACAAAGGAGTTGTAGTTTCGTGAGAGAGCATCATCATCAACAGTAATTTTTGGTCGGGCCGCCGTTCTCTTAAGCCTATTTGCTGACATTTCATACCGTGGTAAAGAAGATTATTTGCAATATCGTATGTGTGTAATTTCTTAAAGAGTATGTACTATCTTATAGTAAGCACTTTATACCTTATTCATATTACGACCTATATATATATTATAGTACGCCCTTTATATCTTATAGTAAGCTGTTATCTTAAGCTGGAATAATAAGCGAAGCCGATTCCAACTCCTAAGGCTAACTAATCGTATAAACTTAACACTTTCTCCTACAATGCTACGAAGCCGGCTTCACTCAAAACGAAGTACACAGATCTCGGCGGATTTGTTTACAGCTGGCTGGCCATGCATACCTTGGGGTTGGCTAAGCCAATTAAAAAGTAGCATTAACAGATTACAAACAATAGGCGGAAAAAACAAAACGAAATGTTGTCCGCGGATGGGAGCGGCGTTTATCGAATTTCAACAAATGAATTTTTAAGCCCATGCAATTGTAGAGGGGGGGGGGGGGGGTTTGGGCTTCGGAATTGAAGTGAGTCGAGATTACCCCTCTCCGTCTTCGGGATTCTCAAAAAAACCTGGAGTCTGTTCCGGGCGGTCGCTGTGCCACAAAACATGCCCTCGAGGGATTCGAAGAGAAAGCACCTGGTTTCACGTTTCAACTTTCAGCTTATGCTCCTGGGGACATGATATCCATGCGATCGGCAACCTGGACCGTCGCCATTGTCGAGCTGGTCATGTCCTGCGTTACCATCGTATCTTCGTTGGCCATCGTGTCGGCAGAGTTTAATTCGGTTACCATGAATGGAAACCCTTTTAAACCAAGGTACGTATCATTTTAAACCTTACTTTATTTAATACTTTTGTCAATTATATTGCGAACTTCTTTTCTTTGATAATGCCTCATCAGATTAGCAGTTGTCCAAGTAGAAAAATTACAAAATAAAGTGATAAATTGATATCACAAACAAAATTTTCTGCATATAAATGTACTTTAATACAATAATAACATGTTTACAGTATGCCAGCAGTTGGAGCCTGTATTTTAAGTTTCTGTTTGGTCATAACTATTGTTTGGGCGATGTTTGGCCTTTCTGGCCAAAAACCAGGCATGCTCTTACCCCACATTGTATGTTCAGTAAGTTAAAAAGTGTATTCATGCTAACAAAAAGACTCTATATTAATGGCAAAACCATTAAACTTAGTTTAAAACTAAAGTGTAATGGAAAACCTAACATTTAAATAAACTCTATTCACTTTCGAACAAACTAGCAACAATAAACAAAACGATTAGTGATGAATGACCAACTTCAGGTGTTGGTCCTCGTTTTTCACGGGATTTTGAGCACCTTCTGGCTCCGGGAGTGGTTTCGGTTCGAGAAGGCGGTGAACGGAGACTGGCTCATCTCTCTGGTGGTCAGCTTCCTCTTCCAGTGCGCAATGTTGTCCGCCATCCTCGTCGAGTTCCGTTGTTATCGTCGCATGGATTGAGGGCGCGCGCCGTTGCCATGCCAACTGACGCAACAATGCCTTAGGGCGCAAACACCGAACTGCATCTGAAAGAGACCTTGAACTGTTCGACGTCCAAAATGTATGATTACCAAGTGGTACTCGCGCTCGAGATGATAGTACTCATCGCTGGCGAAACTGGCATCGCCATGGTACATGGTTGGACAGAAGGAATAGGCTATTCCATGAAGGGATACTACACTCCATTGTAAGTTTAAATTATCGAAACGCAACTGACTTACTCTGACATCAAAGGTTTACACTTGTAACTAACTTTTACACAAACTAAAACCTGAAAAGCAACACAAATAAATCTATAATCCATATTTTAGATGGACATGTGCCGTACTGATGGTCCTGCTCTTCTTGCTGATCATCTCATTGTTCTTCGTATTCCTTGGACTGCACTTCAACTACCCGGGCATCATCCAACATCACGTATTCGCTCTCGTTAGTTGCTCGTTATAAACAAACCATTACTTTCTTACAGGCTATCAGCTTTCCCATCGCGTTGTGTGTTGTGATAGCCGGGATCGCGACAGGAGGACCCTTTTTGGTCGCTTTTCTGGTGGTTTTGTACTTTGCGGCGCTTCTGCCATTCGCCTACATCTACGGATCAGCTACATGGACAACCGCGGACCTACAGGACGTCGAGGGACAAGCTTGAGCCAACCCACGATATATCCATCTACTGTCAGTGTCAAAAAAGGCTGGACGTACGGTTGTGCCATCATTCAGTTGATGTTTGTTGTAGTACAACTCGGATGGCTGAGTTCGGCTATCTTCCAAGCTTCTCACCTCTTCTACAGTCCAACTATCAAGTAAGTTACCATAATAGGACATGAATCATGTCTAACATTCCATAACAAACAAATGATCTAATAAACATCATAACAAAAGTTATTTTAGGTACGCCATGTTTTGTTTTTGGCTAATTGACTTTGTATGGTTCATCTTAATTTGGGTTTTACTGGCAGGGATTCTCAAAAACCGACCTCAATTCATACTCTCACATATTATTTATTGTGTAAGTTAAACGATTCTTGATACTAGTGAATTTAACGTTATCTTGTATACTTAAAAAATAATAAAAAACGACCAAAACCTTTTCCAACCTTTTTAGATATTTCTAACCGTTTTCAACTCAATTACCTTCATTTACATTATTTTATCAGCCGACGGCACAGCTATCCTAATCAATACTATAACCCTAACTGTTCTCTTCACGTCGTTGTATCATGAAAACATTTGCTACAAACTTATGAATTGTGATAATTATTTTTTACATTAAAAACGTCACGTAAAAACACGTGAAAGCAATAAATTACTTACCTTGAAAACCTATCAAATCACATTTTTTTCACACCTGACCAAAAAAAAATAATTTCGACATTTTTCAACTACTTAGTGGGGTATTCAACTACATAGTATAGTACCAAGCTATGTGGTAGGGTACTCATCTACTTAGTGGGGTACTCAACTACTTAGTATAGTACCAAGCTATGTGGTAGGGTACTCATCTACTTAGTGGGGTACTCAACTACTTAGTATAGTACCAAGCTATGTGGTAGGGTACTCATCTACTTAGTGGAGTACTCAACTACTTAGTATAGTACCAAGCTATGTGGTAGGGTACTCATCTACTTAGTGGGGTACTCAACTAATTAGTGGGGTATTCAACTATAATATTTTCCAACGCCAGTTTCAACTAATAACCGTAAAAGTAGCACAAGAAAAGTTTTTTCTGTGAACCCGAAATATATAAAACAATATTTATTAATCTTCTTTTGATTCAACAACACTAACTTGGCTTTGTTTTGCTTTGACCTGTTGCGTGTAGCTGATGTGTAATATTAACCATTCCAAAGCCGAAACAAACATCAGAAAGTAGAGGATCGTGTACAAGCGATCATAATCAAGGTAATCAACCGGCTGTGGCAATTGAGATGTCTCCCAGAGATCTGGCCATGAGTTCTTCAGGAAAACGAAGATTAGGTAGAAGGAGCAAAAGGCTAAAACATTTTTTGGCATTAATAACAATTTTGAAAGTTAACTAGAATATTTACAAAAATTATAATTTGTCTATTGTAACCTATTTTTCCTCATGAAAGCCTATGAAATTAAAAAAATATATTATCATAACTTACCAGCCAAGTTAAAGAAGCTGCCAACAAAATCGAGTGGACTGAGCCAGTAGCCGTCACGGAAGAACAACGTATTCAAGTGGATGAACTGCAAAAACAACGTCCAAGCTGTCTGAATCCCGAGTGAGTAGTATACGTTCTTTCTCGGAATGCAAAGGGCGTGGTTGTTGAGTCGGTCGATAAAAATGTCGATTCTCCACCAAGGACTGTATTCGGTCTCTGTTCGCGAGCACAACAAGTTCTCTGCGAAGTCCAGATGATAGCAGTAAACGCCATTTACTTCTTTTACTTGCCTAATATGCCAATTATATGATTTTAGAGGTCAAGTCATACGATTGAACGAAAAGTAAACGAGGTAATAAGAAACAATTTTAAAAAAACTAGAAATGTCGAAAAATGAATTAATTCTTACTTTCTGATTATAGATGGCAGAAAAGTCTTCTGAGTGTGCCAACAAACAGGAGCCGGCTGAAGCAGCACGGCCCAGAAGTGTACAACAACAACCAAGATGATCGCCTTCAAAGCAATGGAACAGCCAAACGTAAGTCGCATAATTTATTTGACAAAGCGAATAAACCCGTTGAGATAATAATAAGAATAAAAATGTGTCACGCGTGGAATTGTTCTGATATGAGAAATTTGCATAAATTACCGATTAATTTGTTAGAAAAGCCGAGCGATGGTCTCGGAGCAGCCGCCAATCATCGTGATCGCCCATTTCCAGTAGCCGACGGCGAAGTGCGGAGTCTGTCTTCTGGTGTTGATGAGGGCGCGGAGCTGTAGCAAGGGTGGGGAGTTCTGGTAGCGGCCTAAAACAAGATTTTTTAAAAATATTAAAATCGAAATGTTAAGTTAATCCAATATTCAAAATTTACCGTGAGAATAGTGTGTAGCCACAGAGAACTCGAGCGATGGTTGGCTAACCGCGTTGTCGTCCTCGTTCTCTTTCTCCAGAACCACCCAGAAGTTGCGTTCTGGTGGAGCTTCGGCTCCGTAAGTCAAGAAGACAAAGTAGGTATCTCTTTCGCCGAAGGTTTTGTGATCCATTTTGGTTAAGGACCACTCCTTGATAGTGTAGTTGTTCAAAGGGGTTACGTGGTAAGTCATCTTATCCACACCTCCCTTCACCGTCAGGGAAATGTTCACCGTTCTTCCATTGTCAGAGATTTCTTTTTGGTCTAGAGTAACATGTAGGGGGTTAGGGAGAGTGGGCGGTTGTGGCATGGGTACCCACTTGGCTGTTCTGAAAACAAGTTATTAGGTTAGCTACACAAGGATTGTCATTTGTTGTTTTGAAGATAAATTAAAAAATTCACCATGATACTTACCTTGGAGGAATAACGCGATGGATTGCGGTGTAATATGGGAGTTGGCAATACTCGTCTTTAGTGTTGGTGCAGTTTGGAGGACCACTGCCTTGAAGGAAAGAATGTTCTGGAAGATCGTCGACACCACGGTAATCGAAAGATTGTACGAAGAGGCCACTGTCAGAAGTTTGGACAGAACCGTCCATTCCATATGCAGATCTTTTAACGTGCTTAAATTGTGGTTATTACACAAAAAGTATTCCGATAATAAAAACCGTAATAAAAGACTATTCTTACAATAGCTAAAATTCGGCGAAGTCTTGGCATTCCATCGTCAGACCACTTGTAAGGGACTCCAATGCTGGTCGTAGCTGTGATGACAAAGAAAAGTGCAAACAAGGCTACTGAACATTGCAGTAAGAAACCCATTCTGCGACTGATGTAGACCAAGTTGTTCTGAAAGAGCAAATACAATTTTTTATATTATAGAAAGATTCAAAAAACTGAAGCGCTGATTTTACAAAATGTGTTAACATAATAACTTACAGTAAAGAGAACGAATGTCCAAGCAGTAAGTAGAGACAATGGCATCATGATCAGTTCTGGAGGAACGATGTTACCCATTCTGCCCATCACTGGAACAAAGAAGTCGAAGAACAACATGACAGCGTTACTAACAAAGGCGATCACTGGCAGAAGACATATCCATTGAGTGAACAACACGTTCTCCGCTTTCAATGCTGAAATTAAAATTATAAAAGTAAAAGATGTAAAGCAGACTTACATGATACTACAATAAAAACGAAAACTTACGTTTTTTGGAGACTTTGAGGTAGACTGCAAGGAGAGGATCTCTCATAAGAGGGAAAATGACATGGATCAACATGTAGAAGGAGCTGGCAAGTCCACGAGCAGTCATGATCAACAATAACAGGGCCCAGTAAATGAGGACGGCGTCATAGTGGATCAGCTCTTGACGTAGAGGCTAAATACATTTTTCGTTAATTCTTATTCAACTTTCGAATATAAGGTTCCATTGCTTGGACGAAATTCGAATTTTTTTGTAAGTCTAAAACGTACATTCCACAGTTTAACGTCATTTCTTTTGCGATCAGCAATGTAGGAATGAGTCCAGCATCCAGCAACCAACATAGGGAAGATGTAGATGGGGAAGACAAGTTCCGGCATCGCGTACCAGCACATAACCATGTTGAATAAGTGAAGAATACCGACAATCGAGAGGCCGACGACAGCCATGACAATGAGAGACAGCACGTTGTGTCCAAATGCCCAAAGAAGATCGTGAGAAGTGTAAATGCCATTCAGAAGTCGATATGCGATCATAATGGCCAAAATAAGGATGACCACAAAGTTGACAATGTTACCTATAAACAATTATTAATACATAAAATTAAAACACTATTACATCATTAAAGTTAAGTAGTAAAAATGAAATTGTCTTACCAAAACTGATCTCGTAGAAGATGGTGAACAGTCCCACAAAGTCGAAGAAGACCCATTTGTTTTCCTCGTTGAAGCTGGCTGGACTCTCAAGATGCGGAGACCGTACCAGAGCTTGAGACACAGCCAGTAAGTTGTCGCCTGCCCTTTGAATTGAACCGGTTGTGATTACTGCAGCCTTGTCAAATTCTGTGTGATATACCCAGCCGTTTCTGTGGTAAGCAATATCAAGACCAGAGACTCTACCGTAGTCCCTGAAGACACGGAAATCAGTGTCAGATGGCACGATCGAAGACTGAAATATTTCTTGTGCAACTACACTACAATGAGGATGGGGAGCGTTCTCGAGGTACGCCTTCAGAATCCACGAGTCTCCAGGACCAGCCTGGAACAGAATCTCGCGACCACCAGAGCCTGTGCCTTCCAGATTGATGAAGGCTCTGACATCGTGCCTCCACGGATGTTGAGTGATGAAGCCGTGTGATGCTTGCAAAAAGTTCTCCTCAGCGCCGTTGAACAAGAAGATTATGTCGTTTTCGAGTTCGGTCGGTCGCTTAGACAGAATTTCAAGAGTTTCCATCATAATGGCACAAGATACCTGAATTAGAAAGACTACATTAAAAACAAACGATGTCGAAAAAGCAAATGCACAGCGACAACCAAACTTACAGCATCGTCAGTAGCTCCGGGAGTATCAGGAAGCGTGTCGAAATGGCAGTTCAAAAGCACAGCATTGTGACTTTCCTTCTTCTTTGACCCAATCCTAACGAGTACGTTGGTTACCTTGTGGTAGCACAGAGTAAAGGCAGACAAGAATTCAAGATTAAAGCATCCTACTGGTCGTTGGATGTCCGTTTCAATGCGATTCACACCCGTTCGTTCGAAAGATTGTTTGATTTGGGCAAGCTTATCATTCAGTATCTTTACCGCATGGACCTTAAAACATTCGTTATGTAAGATGCAAAGTAGGTACTGCACAACAATATGCTTAAGTTTTCTGAAACATTGAACAATTTCAAAGCCCAACGTAGTACATAAATGACTGTACCTCCAATGCAATCGAACCGCTAGGCCTGGGTCCGAGCGCCGTGATTTTGTTTAGAAACTCGCGAGCTCTCACTTCACTGAACTTTTCGAATTGGTCAGCTGGCTCCACATCCGGTAAGCGGTGATCTTGCAGTACAACCAGTCCGTAGATAACGGTGAGAGCCAACACCGTGATGAACCAATGTTTATAACCCAGTTGTTCCTAAACAATTACATAGTCTTATGTTTTATTAATTAGAATTATTAACTTCTTTTACAAAACTCATCAACAACAGATTTAAAAACAGTCATATAGTTTAGAATAAAAATAACAAGCAGTTGAGCACAAAAAGTAAAAATCACACCAAGAATCTATGTCTGTTATAACCCACCTTCTCCCGTCTGCATTTGTCATCCAGGTCTTGGAAAGTGCTCTCGACGTCCTCCAGAATTTGAGAAGTGTCCCCCAGAATCTGGCTCGTTTCACTGGGATCACCAATGCGTTTCCGGGACCTCAGATTCCTGGCCATCCCTATACAAAATATGTACATTACAACTAAATTAAATCGGTCGCTCACGTCGTGATAGCGCCAGTAAAGATAATTCACTCTCGACCCAGTCGGGATCTTGGAAAGCAACTCGTAATTTCGTTGGTTTCATAATTCATTTACAATGTTATTCAAATAGATTATTTGTACGAACACAACAATATTACGGAATTTGAATAAGAAAGAAGTAACTGAGTCAGAGGTCGGTCCCTCTCGGAGGTGCAAACAGGAAAAGCGGCAATCCCGTGAAGGCGATTCAATGGAGCCAATTCAAATGGGACCGGCTCAATATCTTCGTCTAAAATTTATATGATTAGTCGATGATCAGCACATGTGTTTAAATACTTATATTCATCATTGAAATTATGTTAATGGACCAAAATCATCGTGTGACATTGCAAAACTCACCGGTCGTAATCCCTTGAACTTCTGTGACGGCGGTCGGGAGAGCGTGATCGCCGTCTTCTGCGAGGAGATTTGCTGAAATTCGCATAAGTTAACATAAAACTGCTTAAATATTTATTATTCCACATAATGTATGCACAAAACTAATCAGTTAAGCCCGCTGATACGTATAAATATTGTTTTATCCCTAAAGGACATCTTTATGACTATATATTACAGTTCAACTAAGTTTAAACCTTTATTAGGTTGTTACTCTTTTTTATGACTTATATTAAAAAATGTATTGATCAAAAACTATCCGAAGATATTTTAGGTAATACTTGGAATTACTTACCTTCTTTCCCGCCTTCTGTCTCTGTCGCTTCTGTCCCTATCCGAACGATCTCTATCACCACGATCTCGCCGTTCCTTGTCCCTGTCGCTTCTGGAACCTCGCTGCTTGTCATAATGCTCTCGCTTAGCAGTCCTTCTGTCTTCAATGACTTTCTTCATCTCCTCGTACTTTTCTCTAATCTCCACCATTCCCAAATGCATCTTACCACCATAATGATCGGCCAGCCGAGATTCGTGGTCCAGAACATTCAACTGTGCTCCACACGCTTCACATACTCTTAAGCGTTGTTGATAAGGCTGCCCGCCTCTGATATCACTCTAAAAAACTTAGTTTAAAGAACGGCGTTCACAACATTTCAAATAGCAAGCTTTTCTAAAAAGGCTTGTTTTTCCAAAATGATTTCTTTGATAAATAAAAATTTAAAAAAAACTTTATTTTGGACATTACTTACCTCAAGTTCTTGCTTCTTTCGTTGTAAGTCAGCAATCGTACGACTTAATTCAACTGATTCGTGCACTTTTCCTTCGTTACCCAGTGTTTCCATCTCGGCCAATGTTGTGGCAATTTTTTCGTTGAGTTCGTTTATTTTTTGCGCCTAAATTAAAATAAATTTAAATAGAAAACACTTACCTTGATAAAATCATGTGTATCAGACAGGTTTTCAGAATCCTTCTTAATCTTTTCCCTGACTTTCTCAACTTCATGGTCGATTGTCTTCACTGCTTCTTCCAACGCATCAAATGCCTAAAAGTTGGTATAATATAAAAATTCTTATGTAAAACTGATGATAAGTATTAAAGATTGTGTGTTAGACAAGTATTGACCTTGTAAAAGACTTTTTTCCGTAAAATAAGAAAAAAAGCTTGTTAAAAAAAATTTAAATCCACAACAATCCAAAACAGATATCATCAGCCAACAAATAAAATAAAAAATAAAGACGTACGACTCCATTATTTCATTGTGAGGACCAAAAAAGGAAGAATCCCTACAAATTCGTTTTCTTCAAACCACTGGGAACCTACCTCAATCTCATAGAAATGATCTTTCTTCTCCTGAGCCTTCTGATAATCAGCACGATGTGCCGGTTCGTGCATTTTTCGGCACGATACTGTGTTTTCTAACCTGGTATCCGTTAGTATTTCTCGAGGACAGCAATCCAGTAAGTATGCGCGACAAACAGAGTGGTGATCATAAGCCGGCAGATTCCGACCTTCTTCTTCAGCACGTTGACCACCCATCAGCTGGGCAATCATCTCCCGCATAACATCAGTCATGATTGTTGTTCTCTTCAACCACCAAGTCGGCCAACTTATCAACACCAACAACCAAGTAAGCGCAGAATATTAATATTTTCCAATAGAAAAATAAAGCAAAATACTTTCCGCCCGAAACTCAACGGTTGGCATAACGTCACAGTGCTTATAAAATGTGAGTATGTGTTTCGAAAAGGCAAAAATCTAAATCGTTCTAAATTTATTTTCAAAACCATATAACTGTCAGCTTTATTTATGATAAAAAAATAAATATTGAAAAATTGTGAAACAATACGATTTTACTTTGTAGATTACAATTCCCCGGCTTCCGCGTTTGCCTGGTCTCCGTTAACAACTGCAATGTCAGTAACTGCTGTTTCAGGACCTTTTATAACTACTTCAGAGTTTTCTGTTTCAGACTCCTTGTTTGTATCAGGCAAGCTGACTCCTGATGCTGCAACTGCTGGGGCTACCGGGTCCGAGTCGACTTTCTCGGGCTTTTGAGATTCAGCTACCGAAGGGGAAGAGATTCCTTGTGTTGGAGTTGAGGATGAAGAAGGTTTATTCTTCTTCTGTTTCCGCCCTTGTTGTCCTGGATGTATCCTCGGCACAAAGCCTGGCGGATGTGCGATTGACATCAACGGCACTATCTTCCCTCCTTGTGGTTTGACGGTCGGTGGAGGGACAGTGAAGTTAATAGGGCTTCCGCCAGCTGCTACAGGTGGAGGTTGTGATGTTAACGAGGCCACTTTAGGTATATCAACAACTGGTAGTGGTACATTCAAAGAATGGATTATGTTGTGGGATGGAGGAGGAACCTGTACATTAGGTGGTGGTAGATTTAGATTGGGAGGTGGGAGTGAAAGATTTGGAGGGGGGACGTTCAGGTTAGGTGGCGGAAGAGAAGTGTTCACAAGCGTATTCAGAAGAGATGGCTTTATACTCTGTCTTAACGCTGACATTGGTGAAATAGCGCCTGAGTTTGTTGATGGTATAGAAGAAGGGACTTCTGGAGGTGGCCTATACAAACTAGGGGGAGGAACGGATGTGTCTACTGCTGGCGGAACGGCCTGAAGGTATCAGAAAGTATAAGGAAATTTTGCAAAATAATTTTATTAATATTACACTAACACAACTGGTATTGTAATGCACAACTTACAGTAGGCATTGATGGAGGTGGTTGGCTTAAGTTTGGAGGTGGTACTTCCAAATTTGGTGGCGGTTTGTCATATTTCACAGCTTGCTGCTGCTTACTGGAAAGAACATGCTCGTGTGAAGGTTGTACAACATTAGGAACTGGCTCCGAATTACCAGGTAAGGGATGAATGATCTCTGGTTTCTTATTCTGAAAAAAAACCGTTTTTAGATTCAGTTAAAACAGTAAAAGGCGTAGAAGATAAACATACTCTTTGTTCGGTAGGTGGCATGAATCCTCTCAACTCCATCGGAATATGTTTGGCTAATGGCTCCCAAATAGGATCTACTTTGCCAATGAACGGTGTATCCGGCGGAGGTAACAGGTCAACCGCCGACAGTTTAATCGATCCTGTCTGCACATTTACATCAGATGGCTCTGAAAAAACGTGTTTATTACTTAAAGCTAAAAAATAAATGTAAAAACTGATAGAAATAATAGTAGTTTCATTGATTTTTAAAAAATAAAATGAAGCGAAACACCCACCAAGCTCAACTTTCAAAGGTAGAACTTCGTCCATACTCATCGGACAGTTCCGTAGTTGTTCGAGCTTGAGACGTTCCTCCTGTGTCATCAAATGTTCTAGGTCAGTCAGTAATTGAATCTCCTGATCACATATTTGTCTCACTTCATTCGTTAGCTGAACACGATTCTCACTAGTCTGTAACCGCCGATCGTTAAATTGCTTCATGGCATCCAACACTTCTAAAGCTTCTTCTAAATTCAGGTGAGCAACATCTGCCAAGGGAATGGTCAATAAAAAGTCAAAAGCCATCGGATAAGGCATGTTCTTCACGTGGCTCACTGCATTGACCAGAGGATGAGATAGTCGGTTCTCGGTTTCAATTACTGGCTCATATCGTGATTTTATCGGTAGATTATCACTAAAACTAAAATAACATAAGAGAATAAGCTTACCTCGGCTTAAACTTGTTCCCGTTTTCGGTCTTCCCAGTGTACTCGCCATTAGTTTGTGAATGCTTTCGCTTCTTCGGCTTTGGGGAAAGCTTGACGGATTCTTTGTCAGAGTTCGACGATATCTCTCCATCACTTTCGAGTACCGACTTCTCTGTCACTACCACAGCAGACTCTGTCTCAATGAAGGTTTCTGTACCTTCTTCTTCTGTTGGCGGACCATTTAACACCGAAGTAGACGGCTCGGTAACTTCTGGAGGCGTCACTAAAGCGATCCATTAAAATATTTTGTATAATCAAAAAACTATCAAACGAATTCAAATTTTGATTCTTTTACTACACTTTAACCATGAACTTACTTGGCCCACGTTCATAATGCCCGTTATGTTCCGCCGCAAAGTTAAGTTCGGCATTCTCCATCATTATCGACGCCTCCTCGGCGAACTCGTCAGACATAGTTCCAATAACTTTAATTAAATACCAAATATAAAAACAATAACTAATTAGCTAGATAGTAATACTAGTAATTTATAACGCCAATATAAAGCAATATTGTACACCAAAAATAACGACAATTCTTTTTTTTATTTTTTAAATTTCGGTCCCACAAAGAAAAATTTTAACGCAAAAAAGGAAAACTTGACGATATGAGCCAAGTGTTTTTTTTAAATATAGGAAATAAAATTTTGCGGAATTGTCAAAGATCTGTAATAATTCTGTACAGTACACATTATGGTTGTCAAACGTAAAGCACGAACAAAGTTACAAGAAGGTGAAAAGGCAAAAAAGTTTAAGGTATGGTTATATTTCAAAAATTTTTATTAATACTATGTTTAGTTTTTGTCGTTCGCTGATCAGATAGCTAAAATCTCGGTAGATTATGCTTCCTCATCACTGGCTTTGACTCATGATCTTGAACAGAACAGTTTTTTCTTTGAAGCTGTTGTGAAGTGGATAGACTTGGACTATGGAGATGACTTTAGTAAGTTTACCTTGTTTATGAAATGAATTTGATATTTAGAAGACTTTCTGGCTGATATCAATCATGAAGAATTGGCAACGTATTCACAGATACTGCATTTTCAAGAGAAGATTGCTGAAGCTATACAAAAGCATTTGCAGATAAAGGAAAGTACAGCGTTGTGTGCGATATTAGAGTAAGTTATGTCTTTTTGGGTAACAATATTTTTAGAATTTTGATTGGATTTGCAAGAGATTTGCGAGAGGAATTTGGCAAGTATTTTTGGAAGTTTTTTGACGTCATGATCTACTTAGTGGAATGCAGGATTCAAAATATTGAAGTTGTTCAAAGTTGCTTCCGGGCGCTTACTGTATTTTTTAAACTACAATGGAGAGATTTGGTCAAAAATTTGAGGAAGTCGTTTTTGCGATTGTTTCCACTATTTTCATCTAGACAAGACTTTGTGAGGAGGTTCATTGCTGAAGCAGCTTCATTTCTGCTTCGGAAGTCGACCAGTATACCTAAAGTGCTTAAGTATTTGGTGGAGAAGGCGTACGAACAAGAAGATGAGAATATTGCAGATGGTTTAACGCAGCTTCTTTTTAACTGTATAAAAGGAACGAAAGGATTTTTTCATTCTCAGACTGCAACTCTTCTCAATTCGTTTTTGGATACGATTTACTCATTGGATGAGAACGTCAAACCTTTGGGAGTAGAAGTTATGGAAGGTGTTATGGTTGAATGTGTTCACCACGCAGATGTTAAAAACTTTAAAGTGATATCGGACATTATTTTAGTAAGTTATGATTCATTTTTATTTATGTTTTCAGACAAGGTTTGCTAATGACGCAGTAAAAGCACCGGAAAATGTTGGTTATGACTTGAAGTTCTTACGGGTTAGTGTTATCGAAAGCGGAGGTTACATTTTTACTGAATACGAGAAAGCGTTGAAGGTGTTGACACAAGGATTGAACGATTCTACAATATTGGAAATCTACTTTGATGTTTCTGCTGACATAATTAGAACATATTACAACAAGTTTTCATCGAAGGATGTTATCTTACGGTACTTTGAAAGGGCAGTGGAAGTGATCAAACTAAAAGAAGTGCGATGGCTTTTTGACTTTTACAAGAAACTGGTCGATTTGAGTATCTTTGACTTGTGGGCTATGGAAAGTGTCGGCCAGTTGGGAAACGATCTTCTGAAGACGAATCCGGAAGCTTTTTCTTTGTTTTTGAACTTTTATGCTGATGTTATACTACAACGTTTTCCTATTGTATTCGATGGATCATGTAAGTAATGAGACATAATTTTGTTTGGTGCTGTTTTATAGATGATACTTAAAAATTTAGTATTGACTTGACGATCGCAAAACATAATTTTGTTTTTCAGACAGTTTAAACAAATTCTTCGATTCTACTGGACATCAAGCTTTCCGAAAGTTGTTGGTGAAGAAGATGATCAGCAGTTCAGATGACGACGACTTTATCTACTCGAAGTGTCTAATTGTAGCACCGTATTTTGTAAAAGGCGAGGAAACGAATACTGTTGTTACAGTTTTGAAGAAGACATTGGTGGATAAAGTAAACAAGGCGAAGAGCGATGATTCTACTGCTTTGAAGGCGTATCTGACGTTGTGTTGTCTACATCTGATGAAGATTTCTGTAGATTGTTTTTCTCTAAAAGATGCCATTCAGTTTTTGAAGTAAGTTTTTAATTATTTGGGTTCAAGACATTTATAATTATATTTTATGATGTTACCTTTAGGACAGCTGAACATACTGAACTCAAGTTAAGGATTGGTGACTTAGTATTTACATTGGTTGGATCGAACAACTGTAATCCTATCGACTTTGAGGTTGTTATGGGTTTATTGAAGGATGATGTGGGCAATGAGAATGGAAATGTGCGACACCTGGCTTTGCGAATTATGAATTTGTTAGCTCAAGATGTCTTGGTATGTTTTGAATGTTTAAGATATTATAATTGGACTGACATTTGTAATGTAGGTGTTTTAGGTTAAAAAAGTTTTGCAAGCTATGATTGATGTTGAACGGGAGCCGATGACTTTTGAAAACTACCGTGAGAGGGCCAATGTTCTTCGCAAAATCAAGATTTCTTTGGCTGAAGCACGAGAACTAAGTGATTTTGATACTTTTCACACGGTACGCTTTTGTAAACTAACTTTTAATGCATGCTTCAAGGTATTATATAATCCGTCTTACAATTTTATTTTTTAGATGGCTTTTCGTTTTACCGTGGTTCAATTCTACGAAGCCCTGACTTTGTATTGGCCGTTGGTTGGCGATGTCGCCAGGAATCTGGGCGAATCTTTATCTTTGGATTCTTTGTGGTTGGTGTTCAATGAATTTATTGAGAAGTCAAGCCAACAAATTAGAAACTTTGAAGAGTCTACTAAAGAGGATTACGGTGTCTTACATGCATTGGCTCAAAATGTCTTGAAATCGACTGAAAACCGGCTTGATCATTGGAGTTTTCGATTGGAAGTTCTAAAATTATTGGCCAGTTTCTTGGATTTGGCTGAACGAAAGAACAGAAGTTTAGTTCCTTTACTTCTTGACATCTACAACAACGAGTTTCAATCAGTAACCGTGACGACAAAACTTCATGACAATTTAACAGAGAATAATGGTGTAAATGAAGTTCCTAATAAAGAAGACGACGAAGAAGAACCGAATGAAGGTGAAATGGTGTTGGCTAAGAAACTGAACAGGAAGTTGGTAACACTTACGATAAGACAGATTCTACAGATATTTGCCAAGTTTTCTAATCTGAAGCAGGTTTACAAAAGCGCAGAATTGTTTGAGCTGATTAATGATGTGAGTTCATTGTTTTGAAGTTATTTTAGCTTAACAATTAGTTGTTTTATGGTTAATACCATATTTTCAGCTTCTACGGTCGGATTCGTCAGATATTCAGAAATACGCAGTGGAATGTCTTTTCAACTACAAAGTCAAGGAACTTGACCCTTACAAGGAAAACTTTGACAATTTGGTAGCAGACAAACAGTTCTCTGATGAACTTGTTCACTTTTCTGTTGACGAAGATTCTACGGTAGTTGCTACGGAGCACAGAAGCCATGTTTTGCCTGTTCTGATGCGACTTCTGGATGGAAAGATGCACGCTAAGTCTGGAAGACGGGGTGTCACGAAAAGACCTGCCATCTTCAGATTTGTAGCTGGATGTCGTGCTGAAGAGTTGGATTTGTTTCTGAAGACGGTTTTCTGGACTATCAACGAATTGGTTGGTAAGTAGAGAAAACATTTATATTTTTGCCAAAAAGATGTCTTATTTGGTAAGTTTATTAGAAATTTGTTTATTTTAGACGAACAAAACTTAAATAATGCCTGCACAAAGCTGATACAGACCTATGACCCGCACAACACAATCGCTTTACAGCGAATTTCAAGGTGAGTAAATATACAATAGGTGAATATTGTTAATATAGAATGCACTGAAAGGTACTAACTGAGGAAACCAAAAGCCATGGTTATTAAAAGTAATAAGCGTGTAAAGGTACTGGCAGAAGTTGATGAAAACAGTTGGGAAATTTTGTTTTCTTTGCCGTTTTCATGGCAATACAATGGCGGTGAAGGTTTCTCAGAGAAATGTGGCTTTGAATTCTTTGATCTTTCTTCGAAGTTGTCGTTTTCTCTGGGATGGTCGGTTCGTGTAAGGTCATACAAGGTCCACAATGAATCTGAGTTGTTGTTGTAGTTCAGGCATTTTGTGTTCTTCAATGCTTGTTTTACTGTAGGCCATGACTTTAACTCTTCGCGGGTATAGTAGATCCAACTGTTTAAGAATTTCATGCGACAATCGCAGGTCAAAGGGTTTTCCTGAAAGTAGGGATACGATTTGCGATAATAGATTTTTGATCATAAACTAAATTTTGATGAAATTAAGTTTTTTTGAAGTACTTACGCTGATATCAAGGTGTTCAAGTATGGTACCATGACTGTTTAAAACAGGTGGACTTCCGTGTTTGAATAGTTCTGACATTGTCTCTATCTGGTTGTTAGGTAGAGTTAATGAAAGATACCTGATTCCTTTGAGGTGAGAGAAGAAGTTGGACGGTATAAAGCTGAGCGAGGTGTGTTTTATCATTAGATGTAGTCTAAATCGCTTGATTTTGGAAAGTAAGTGAGAATTGATGACCTTTAGCGAACTTCCTGTCAACATGAGTTCGTTGAGTAGTCTTGAATCTACTTCTGCTAGCTGGTTGTCTAATGTGTGGCCATTGATTTGAATGTGGAGGGTATGCAGCGGTGGTAGAGACAGTAGAATAGATGTGAGGTTGTATATCACATTATCTGGAATCTTGTACAACTAATTTTATCGTTTAGCTTTTGTTATTTTTGAACTTACGTGCAAATTCTGAAGTTTGGTTAGATAAGAGAATTGTTTCGGAGACGGTAGATATTTGAGGTCCTTCATGTTGCTCAATTCCAGAGTTTGCATTCGCGAAAAAGGCTCGAAAAAGTAATTTTCAAACTTCTGAATAGGGTTACCATTCAAGTAGAGTTTCCTGAGGTTCTTCAACTTCGTCGTAATATTGTTGTGGACTGCTACTAGGTTGTTGTATGACAGGTCGAGAACTTGCAAATTGCCAATACTTTCGATTTCTTCTTTTTGAATGTCGTAGACCTTGTTGCTGAAACGAAATGATATTCAGAAGAGAACACTTACTGGCTGATGTTCAATATCATCAAGTTTTTCGTCGGTATTCGTGGGAAAGAAAACAATCCCGTAGCCGCCAGATTCAGTTCTTCGAGAGATGGGCTTATTTTCTAAAATCAGGATTTGTTTATTTACAAGCGACCTACATTAAGAGCTTGAGGATGCCATGTTGTTATAGGATTTCCGCTCAAGTCCAGCTTTCTTAATCGCGACAGTTGAGCAAAAGCGTTGGCTTCGATGATTTCGATTCGATTATTCGAAATAATCAAGGTTTCCAGAGTCGTCAACTCTAAGAAGTCGTTTCTTTCGACTGATCTTATGGAGTTATGAGACAACTCTAGAGTCAGTAGACTAGATGGGACAGATGACAAAGCTTTTGTTGGGATGGAACTGAGGTTGTTGAAGGAAAGGTTAATATTGGCTACGTTGTTTCGACCGAATACACCAGCTTCAACATTTGTTATGAAGTTGTGTGACAGGTCCAGCAGCTCGATTTTCTTCTAAAATACTTTTTTTAGTTTAAAATTTATTATAAAATTAACCTATCTATTATATTAGTTGACAGAAAAGTCTTAAGCGACTGTAAGTAACTTGCCTGGTTAGCAAATGTGTCTCTCCAAATGTTTGTCAGCCTGTTGTCAGTTAAAAATATGTGTTTTAAGTATGTTGCTTTCTGAAATGCCTCGACGTGTATCTCGATTATGGAATTCATCGACAGGTCGATGGTTTTCAAGTACAAAGAAGTTGAGAATAGTTGATTGTTTATAAATTCAAACTCATTGTGCTTCAGCGACAGGTGTTGTAGCTTGTGTTGGCTTGTCATCAGGTCTATATAGGACAGTTGATTGTGACTGAGGTCTAGGACTGTCAGTTTTTGTATGTCATTATTTAAGAAATTGAAGTCAAATGTTCTCAAATTGTTATGGGATACGGAAAGCTTCTCTAATTGCGACACATTTTGAAACGAGTTTTCACTAAAAGATTCGATTTGGTTGAAGCCAAGATTCAGATGGCTTAACGTTGGTAGTTGGTTGAAGGCAAAGTCATGGATAACATTTATCTGATTGTTCTCCAAATTCAAGGATTTGAGTTGGGGTAGCTGATTGAAAGTCTGAAAAATAAAAGTTAACTAAAACAACAATGAATACATTATGTATCTGTTTTGCTATAACACATGGTGGGACATGACATACTTGTGGGTTTAAATGAAGTAGCTGGTTAGTGTTGAGGTCGACGTGTGACAAAGCAGGTAGGCCTTCGAATGCATCTGTGCCAATTTCTTCTATCCGGTTATGGGACAAGTCTATCCACTTTAAGTTTTGCGACACTGACTTGTGGAATGACTGGTCGTTTATGGTCTTAATATTGTTTCCTTTAAGGTTCAGCTCAGTCACTTCTCGGTTATGTTCAAGTAGTTGGACTGGCAGTTCGTCTATCAAATTTCTTGAGAGTTGTATACTTCTAAGTTGTTTCAGGTTGTACATCGAGGTCTTGGGATATTCGCTTAGTTTGTTACCCTAAAAGTGTTTCGGTCATTGTATTTTTTAACCTTATAATACAAATTCATTTTATGACTTACTTTCAATTCAATAACCTTCAAAGCTGACAGTCGGCCTAAGGCGTCGCTGGTTATGTTAGTTAGTCGGTTATAGCTGAGGTTGAGGTAGTGCAGTGTAGTGAAGTAGAAGAATATCCCAGCATCTGTCAAGTGCTCTAGTTTGTTTCCTGCTAGATTCAGTTGCTTAAGACTGCCAGCAGCACCATTTGTAGTACCAAAAGCCATCTTTCCCAAGTGTCTTATCTGGTTATTTGACAAGTCGAGGGTTTCTATTCTTTGCATTCCATCGAATATGTCAGGGTGGACTTCTTGAAGACAATTGAAATCAAGTCTCAATATTTTCAATGTAGGTTTAAACTTGGCTACGTCGTCGTTATTAATTCTGAAAGTTGTTTTAATGTGGAGAGATGACTTACTCTGTTATCTTGTTGTTATTGAGTTCTAATACTTCTAAAGACACCAACGTTTTCAAGGCTTCAGGGATCCTTGTAAGCTCATTGTAAGCCATGTTCAGCTTCCTCAAAGTTTTGTTCAAATCAAAAAAAGTATTTGGAGGTAATGATTCGATGTGGTTGAATGCAAGCGAAATCTTTTCCAACTTTTCAACACCACGGAAGGCATGTTCATTGACGGTCGTGATCTAAAGCGGTTTTTTTTTGTCAATTTATGACGTACCTTGTTCATGCCCAGATCTAGTTCGCTTATACGTTTGAAAGATTTGAAACTGTCGCTTGTCAGTTTTGAAATAAGATTACTGGCCAAGTTTATTTTGATGGAGTTCTTGAATTCGACGTCAGAAGTTGAGACGACATCTCGGATTCTGTTTTCGTGTAGATCAAGTTGTGTGAGAAGCTGGAGGTCTTTTAGAGACTTTAGCGGAATCTGAAAGACGTGAATTATAATATATGTAAAGCCAGTTACGTGATCATATGCAACTTACTTTGTCCAATAGGTTCTTTGACAAATCTAGAATGGAAAGTGTGTACGGTAGACTACTGTGGTCTAATTGACGGATTTGGTTAGAAGACAAAGTCAAAACATTGATTGGAAATCCTGATAGGGAGTGAGGTCCAATTTGCGATATCTAAAACAATTTATACTTAAATTGTTATTGAGTGTGACACTTACGTCGTTCCCATCAAGATGCATTACTTTAAGACGCTTAAGCTGGTTTTCTTTTGACAGGTTGGCACCGAGATCATTGATTTGATTGTTATGTAGTTTCAGCGTTATCAGGTTACGTAGAAATGTAAATGCCCAAAATGGAAATATAGTTAAGTGGTTGTTCTGTAGATCAAGTTCTTGTAGAGATTCTTCTAGACCTCTAAATGCATTCACATTCAACGTGCCTATCCTGTTGTTTGACAAGGTCAAGGTCTGTATTGAGTGGTTTTTGAATGTGTCCGAACTGATAAGTGAAACGCTGCTTTTCTCGATGTCGAGTTTAGAGATATTTACATGGCTACGGTCTTCTAAAGGTAGAATCCTCTGTAGACTGGGAATTCTGTCCCAATCTTGATTTACACATTTTACTTCGATCAAGTTCTTTCCTACTGGATTACATGAACATGTTCGGAACGCCGTTTCTGGGTTGATTCTGGAAACAAAGTTTTTGTTTATTGTAGTCGATTAATATTCAGTAATTTTTTGTCTTAACTTACTTGCAACTGCGAACACATCCCACAACTAGGAGAATTAGCAGGAAGATATCAGAACTCATGGCCTCGTCACATCTAAAACCGTTTTTCAGAGTTTGTTTGTTTATAACAAAGAAAGAACCTCCAAACTTGTCAAATAATTTGTTCCCAGTTGGCAAGTGCCTTTTTTATCTAATAGGTCATTTTTATGACAAGGTCATAACTCGATAGCAAGGAAGCCATAACGTATGTGAATTATGAACTGCCGAACAAAAACAATTTCATTTTATTGTCCTAATCAAATAGACATTATTTTCGAAAAAAAGACGACATGGGGATGATTGGAAAGGGTCAGAGGGCGGACGAGGACAAAGCGGCACACCGAAAGTTTCTCAAATTTCAATAATTTAATACAATCCACTGGCTTTTAACACCACATTTCGTTAATAACCTTCTATAATAACTAGTTGGCTCAGAAAGGCACTTTCCGAAAGTATTGCGAATACTTCTATAGGGAGTCTACCTGCACTTGTAACTCGGAAAGCAACAAAAGAATTTGTGATTTGCCAGATGTCACTCCATGGTTAATTATAATGTTTCCCTCACGCGGCGCAGAAGGGCGCAAAGAAAGTGCAAAATATTATGAGAAATATGTAAATCCCGACTTAAAGAGTCTATAAAATTGTCGTGGAAGTGCTTCCACAAGATCATTAATCTCGATTGTGTGCAAATGTTTTTGGCTGGAGAGAAAAGCCCTACGGCCGATCAATCGAATTAAAGTCATAATTCAAATTAACGCGATAATCGTAGGGTTTGTTGTCACCGCTACTAAAACAAACTTCATATTCTTTTTTTCTTTATGAAAATATTCTAAAAAAATTTATAAATGTGAAAAATATAATTTAAAAAATAAAATTATTAAAACGACAGACTGTATTTAAACTGGAGGTAATTAAATCTAAGGAATAAGGTGCTTGGTCATGGTCGCGGAGACTAGTCAATCGTGAAATTGCCGATCTGCTGTTGGCATTGTACACAAAAATATAATAAAATTCAAAATTGTCGATTTTAGCGTACTGGAATGTTTGTCAGACGTGTGCAAGAAGTTACCTCAACGACTGAGTACTGAGCAACAAAGATATGTGTATCAAGTTTACATTCTCTGTCAACTTCTCATTCAACTAGGCTTGCATCATGATCAGGTTTCGACGTACTACAAAAAGATTCTGAAGATTCAAAGGACGAGAGCGTTCAGCATATGTTCTGATGTAGGTTGTACTACGTTTTGCTAGTTTAATTGTGTACTTTAACATTTTTATTAAAGTCACTATTGTTTGTCATAGCTAAACTTTAAAATGTTAATCAAATTTATTAAAATACACTTTTGCAGCTTCTGAATGCCTATCAGAACTACGATTTTACCAAAAACGAAATTGATGTTCTCTTTGATCTGGTACTGGTTCCATATCTGGCTCACGATTACAAAGATGACAGCAAGAACTCTTCGCTATCTATGATAAGATTGTTCAATGGAATATGCAATATACCACGGTACCACTGTTTACTTAATCGACCATTCAAATCAATCGACAACAAGACTGCTTTCTCTGTCATGGTCGATTACTTGTTCAGTAGTGAAGCGACTAAAAATAGTCAAACTGATCTTGTCGACGCTTTTCTGAAGTTGTTCCAAGAAGACACCGAAGGTTACAAGCAACTGGTCGGAGTAAGTCAAGAGAAATTGAGAAGCGAGAGTGGAGATCTGACCATTGGAGCTAAGATTGTTGTGACTCATGCTGAAACAATACTCAAGTATCTGAGGGAAGTGTTGCCAAATGAAATAAGATCATCTAGTAGAGCTACTATGCTTAACTTGGCATTGCTGGAAAGGTAGGCAGTAAATCATACTGTGTTCAATAGTATATTTTACTTAATTAATATTGTCATCAACTTTATCTTTGCAGAATAAGTGAATTTGTGGATGATGACTCTATGGGCAGCGAGTTATCTTTGACCTTGTTGAAGTTTATCGAAATCGGTTGTCTGAAGAACGAACAGAGCTTGTCGTCCGTTCTGACTTCTGTAGCCAAGTTTGTGAAGACCGAGTGTAATCCAGAAGAGATCTTCAAACGAGTTTCTTCTTTTTTGTGCACTTTAAAAGGCAGAAAGCCAAGAGCAGCGTTGGTAGATCTACTACAGTCGTTGAAGAACAATGTCAACACTTCGAAGCCACTACAACACCACTTGAAGCGTTTGGTACAGTTGGAAAGCTGGGATCAAAAACGAATTAATGAACCCGATTATGAACAACGACATCAATGTCTAGTTGAGCTGAACAACAAGTTGGAGGAGACGAACAAGAAGTTGTTAGCGATGGCACTTGTTGCTTACACTCAAGAGCTCACCTTCAACTTACTGTACGTGGATGAAATCTCATTGAGAGCTGCTGTGTCTAATACCATCAGATTGATCATCGAATACACGACGAAGACGTCACACCTGAAAAAGGACGACAAAACGTCTATTTTGTACGATAATGTGATTGTAGTCATTCAGAAGATCCTGAGGAGTAATCATGAAAGTGTTAGACATGAAGGAGTGGCACTCTTAGCATACTGTGTGGATACTTTTGGGGATGAAAATGAAGACGACAGAGTACTTCTAAAGTATCTGAAACCACTGAGGAATTTGGAGGAAAAAGATCAATGTTTCTTCGAGAATGTCGCTCATTTACAACTTCATCGACGACAACGTGCTTTCAGTAGACTGGCAGTACAATTGGAAAACAAAGAAGTACGTAGCGCTACTATTGTATCTGATATGTTTTTAAAATTATGGGTTTATAATATTGTTTTTTTAGATTGAAATACCCTTGGATATCCTAGAAAGATTCATCGTTCCACTACTCAGACCTTATTTGCTGGAAATTGAGACGAAACTATCGAGTTTGTCCGATGAAGCGATTCATTTGTATTCACAAGTTGTCAAGCTACAACCATGGACAAGATATCAACAAACACTGAGCAAGTACATAGGGTTAATCAACAAAAAGGACGAAGGGAACGCAAAGCCGGCTATCAGGTACAGTAATACTAACGTAACATTAAGAATTATCACAAGTACATTCTTAAGATTTAGCAATCAATAGTTAAAGAGGAGAAAATCTTTTCTAATACGGCATGAATCTTTCAGAGTATTGTCAGCAATCTTGAGCCAATTCCATTTTGATGTCAAGGACATTGAACTGCCTCGATCCGAGTATCAAATCAAGAGAAACAAGACGAAACGCAACAAACTAGGAGCTGCTTACAAAGAAGCCATTAAAAGTGTAGAGGAAGTCAATGTTACAGTAGACGAGGTTTTGGAACAACCAGTCAACTTGTTAGATATTGAACAGAAAAAGGAAGAATTGTCAGAGAACCAGAAGATTCTGGCTACAGTATTGAGAGTGTTGATTCCAAAGTTACGAGAATGCATTCAGCCACCGGTAAGGTTGTTTGTTGACATTATGTAAATTTACGTTATGCATGATACATAAAATTTTTTAAACTCCTATCATAATATAAGAAAAACTTATTTTAAGACGGAATTCCATGCTCACAAGAAGGCTCAGAATGCTGACAATTACCACACTGATCAAGAAGAAACTCTCAGAGCCCCGTTAGCTGTTACTACGGTAGGATTGCTACAGAAACTTCCAAAATGGGCGATGGATCTACATCTGGATGGAGTCATCTTGACTATGTACAAATTGTTGTTGTCTCGAAGTTTTGTTGTGAGAAAAGCGGCCAGAAAGACCATGGAGCACATTGTACGATTACTAGGACCGTCGTATCTCAAGAAGATTGTTGTAGAATTGAGGAAGAAGTTTACTCGCGGTTTTCAAGTAAGTAAAACAGGAAGTTATGTTAAGGTTGGGCAAATAACTTTTATAAATTTACTATATAAGTAAGTTTTTTAGGTACATGTTATGACATTTACTGTGCATGCTTTACTATCATGTCTACAAGAGGTTGTAAAGCCTGGCGATTTCAATGCATGTCTAAATGATGTGTTTGAAGTGGTTAAGGAACAATGTTTTGGAGAAGAGATCAAAGACGAAAGACAGCTACAGACAGTCAACGCTAACACTCCAGAAGCCAAGTCGAACAGAGCTTTTGAAACCTTTCTCATTCTGGGAAGATTTATAACTGTAGATGCACTAGATGGACTTATTGAACCTATGAAACAGGTCAGAGTTTTAAATAAGCTTACTTAAAATCATGTTAAAGTTTGAATTTTTTTGTGCCACTTGTATAAGTGATTATAATTTTAAAATTAGAGGTATTTCAGATCATCGAGGATTCTCCGAACGCACAGACTCAAAAGAAACTCGCCGAGATGTTGAGAAACCTGAGTTCAGGACTAAAACGGAACACTGGAGTGGAAACAGATGAAGTTATCAGCTTTACCTCTAACTTTTTGAAGTCACACTTGACCGAGATGTGCAAGCAAAGTGATGCGTTAAGGGCAGTCGAACTCAATGCCGAAAAGGAGCGTACTAATGGATATAGACCTCAGAATTGTCTGTTGTTGACTCCAGAACCAAAGCGATTGGGGGTTATCGTGAAGACCTCGACCAAGAGCAAGATGTCAGTGTTTGTGGAATTTGCTCTTCAACTGTTCAGCGACATGTTGTCTGAGAAGAAAGACGTCTTTGAAGATCCACAAGAACAACAGAAGATCAACGAGTTTGTGCCTCTAATAGCAGATGCCTTGAGGCTGAAGTACGAGAAGATTACAAGTGTTGCCTTGAGGTCGCTACACTCATTGTTCAGATACGATCTTCCAGCCATAAACGAGAAGATGCCGCAGCTGGTTGATAGACTCTTTGTACTACTTGCTGAATACGCCAATTCTATGGGCACTTCTCAGCTTAACGTAGCCGAACTAAACTTGATATTGTTCAAGGTAAGGAATAAGTTCAACTCTATATTATACTGTAACTTCTTTTGTTTTGGCCTTCCGTTGTCATTGCAGTTTATTTGGAAGCAGTTTCACTTAAATTTGTTTTCAGTGTTTTGTTACCATAATCCGCAAAGCCCCGAAAGAGCTCCTAACATCCAAACGAATAAAGATTCTGCTAAATCACGTTGAAGTTGACATTCTCGACTCTCACAGACAAACCACAGCATTTGTGCTGGCCAAAGCGATTATGACAAAACAGTTGATGGATGACAAGATAGACGAACTCGTCAAGTACTTTGCCGACTTGTCGATTACATCTCCCATCGAAGGGATTAGAGAACAGTGCAGAGTAGTCGTCAATCATTACCTCAAGGTACATCCGAACGGACCGAAATCAGCAGAGGAATGGCTGAAGTTTTACTTGGAACAGATTGATTACGAACTTGTACATGGTCGGCTTAGCGCTTTAGAAATGGTACACTCCATCTTTGAATTATTTACTGAGGTATGTTGATTTATAGTGACTACTAACAATTGTAAAACTTTTCTATAAACCTTGATTTTTATTTGTTAAATTTATGTTTCAGGAAGTGACAGACAAATTCGGATTTTCCACATTTGTCAAACTGGCGTCTCGCTTCGCAGTAGAAGAGAACGAGGACTGCAACAAGTACTTGAAGGCTGCCGTTAGGGAAATCGTGGGATCGGTGTCAGAAAAAACCAGAAATGACATTTACTCAGCTTTAAAGGACTGGTTGGCTCAGCCCAAAGACGCGGTTCAGCATATCGGATCAGTCGGACTAATCGAGTTTGTCAAGACTCCAGAAATCAAATTGCATCAGAAACAGATTCTGGAGCTTGTTCAGATATTGGCTAAGAAGTTTGGCCAAGCAGAACCAGGAAAGAATTCAGAAGAAAGTGAAGATGAAGAAGGGGAAATGGAAGTGGATAAGGATGACGATGAAGAAGGTGAAAATGTAGAAACCAGCCTGATTCTTATGACAGACCTGATCCGGTTATACCTGGACCTTGTCAAAAAATGTCTGACAAACAAGCTGAGCATGCAGAAATCGATAATAAATGGCATCGTCCAGAACTTGCAGTGCAACGACACTTCTGTACAAATCGCAGCTTCTGTGCTCCTGGAGCACTTAATGGCAGCTACGAAGTCGTTGTGGCCAATGTTTAAGAAGCACACTGATCTGTCAGGGTTGGCCAATTCTTTGATATACCAGCTCAGAAGCAAAGCCTTGTCTGATGGTGTCGCTGAACAAGCCATTAAAAATCTGGCTACATTGGCATCTAGCCTAACCACGGAACAGTACGAAGAATTGTGTCGCAAACTGGCTGGAGTGGTGCGATTGGAATTGAAGAAGGAAGAAACTATAATAAAGGTGAGTATCTCTTCTACTTTACCTACAAAATTTATTTCACTATTTTTTAAAATGTCCATTTTCAGCGTGTGAGTTTGTTCAAATTTGTCGCAGCCCAACTGGCCGTCGTCAGCCCCGACACCCCCAACTTCCTGGTAATCCAACAACAACTACTAGGCTTCGTATTCCGAGAAATTTTGGGAAAATCGAAGTCAGACGAAGTTCTACAGACCTTGTCCAACGAATTGGCGGTCTTTTTGAGAGACAAACTAGGCGCCACCTTGTACAGCAAGCTTCTAGGAGAATATCAAGTAGAATTTGGAAAGAAACAGAGTCAGAGGAGACAGGAACGCAAAGAAGTCGTGATCAAAGACCCTGAATTGGCTATAAAACGGAAACAAAAGGTCAACAAAAAGAAGTCCGTAGCCAAAAAACGAAAGTTGGACGAGCTACGACCCCATCGTGTAGTCAAGAGGAAACGACGGGAGGAGATTCAGAAGACCAACCACTACTGAAGTTGTTATATTCAATGTTGTTGTTTCGTTTTTGTTGATTTTTTATTGTTGAGCAATTGTTACTTTAATGAATTTTTATTTTGAATTGGTACAAATATTACAGTAAAAAAACTGTAATTTACTGGTGTATTTGTATGTTATAAGAATGACTGATTACAAAGCAAGTTAATATTCTTTAGTAAACATCAGTGCCGGGGATCGGGAAGTTGGCCGTGAATGCTTCTACTTTCTCAGCAACCTTCTTGATGTCCGCCAAGAACTCCTCGTCGGTAGCGATAAAGTGTTTGAAGTCCTTGATCAGTTTGCCACACTTGTGTTCGTGTTTCTTGAAGATTTCGATCGCTTCGTGGATGAAGTCTGCCACTTTGACGAAGTCGGCTTCTTTGAAACCACGAGTAGTCAAGGCTGGTGTTCCAAGACGTATTCCGCTGGGTTTGAATGGAGTTTGGTCACCTAAAACAATGGGCTTAGTGAATCATAACCAAATAGCTTAGGGAAAGTATGTAAAACAAAAGGGAAAATACACAGCAGAGTCGACTGGTCGTTTTACATTACTGATGAAAGAAACAGCCGCCTCACCAGGACAAGTGTTTTTGTTACAGGCAATTAAGGCGAGGTCAAGAACAGTCTCAATTCTGGATCCTTCTAGCTTGTTGTTACGAAGATCTACCAATATCAAATGCGTGTCGGTTCCTCCTGAAACAAAATACTATAAAATCGAGATCTATGGTTACGCAAAGCTATCTTATAAGTGTGTTTATGCTAATCGCATAAACTTTAAAAAACTGGAAAAATTAAAAAAGTTTAGACACATACCAGTAACCAAAGTGTAACCCAATTCTGTCAGTCTGTTAGCCAACGCCTTGGAATTTGCTACGATTTGTTTTGCGTAATCCACAAATTGCGTAGTCATACACTGCTTCAAGGTGACAGCAATGCCAGCAATGACGTTGTTGTGAGGACCGCCTTGAAGACCAGGGAACACGGCCCAGTTGATGGGGTTCTCGATGTCGTACTTCACTTCCTCTCCTTTGGCCGTGACTGATCTGACGCCTTTTCTGTAGAAGATCATAGCTCCTCGGGGCCCTCTTAGAGACTTGTGGGTCGTGGTCATAACAACATCAGCGTACCCGAATGGAGATGGTGCTACGCCTCCAGCGACCAATCCAGAGACGTGGGACATATCAGCCAAAAGGTATGCCCCGACAGAGTCAGCGATCTTCCTGAAGCGAGCATAGTCCAAGTTGCGAGGGTAGCAGCTGATTCCTGAAATCAAGAAGTACGTTTTGGAGTAATTACAACGTTAAAAATTTATTTTGATCACAATTCTGTGCACTTTTAAAAAAGCGTAATAAACATCTAAAGTCATACCCTTTTAATACTAGTATTTTAAACTATCAAAAAATGAAAATTGTTATATATACTCACCAGCAACAATAATATCGGGCCTGAAGAGTTTGGCGTTTTGCTCGAGCTGGTCGTAGTCGATTAGACCAGTTTCTGTGTTCACTCTGTAGGGAAACGCCTCGAAGAACAACGATGTTGCTGATACTTTCTTCGCGGGAGAGTAGAAGCTAAAAGAAAAAATGTAATGCGACCACAACGTTAAAACTTTTAACGAAGTTTTGTGCAATCTCTAGTTAGTTCAGCGATAAAACTTTACCCGTGACTCAAATGTCCACCGTCTGACAGTCCAAGGCCCATTACTCGTCCGTGAGGTCCGATGAGAGCAGTGTAGATCGCAAAGTTTGCTGGCGTTCCGCTAAGGGGTTGAACATTCACTCCCCATTGTTCTGGGCTTAGTCCAAAGACTTCTAAGGCACGTTCTTGGCACAAGATCTCAATTTGGTCAATAAATTCATTTCCAGCGTAGTATCTAAAATATCCATATACTAATCACATCTATGAGATAAAGATTATGTGAGCTAATACATTTCATGTTACCTAAATATATAAAAAATATCAATATACAGGTACAAACGTTTTAATTCAAAGGATAATTATTACCTGGCTCCTGGATACCCTTCTGAATATTTGTTACTCAAACACGAACCCAACATCTCACAAACGGCCCTGGACGTGAAGTTTTCGCTGGCAATCAGCACCAGTCCCTGCTTCTGCCGGTTTTTTTCCTAAAAGTATAACAATACAAGTCATTAAAATATAAAAATGCACAAAAGTTACTTAAATATAACTACAAAATTGCAAGAAATAATTTAAAGTTAAAAAATCCTCTATCAGTAAATGCTATATGAAAACATTTTCTTACCTTCTTAGTCAGGTTCCCCAGTACCGGATCAAGGACATCAGTACTATCGTCCCAAATGTTTCCGGCGTAAGTTTCCTTTTCAAAAGACATGGTTTTAGTAGAGATCGACCTTAAAAACACCTGAAATACTGGCACAAGTCAACGAACTAACTAAAATACAAGAAGCCACGAAAATCGAGGGGATAAAAACACAGTCAACGCCACACAAAGTTGTTGAGGGAAAAAAGCGGCATTCACGTAAAGCTGCTGGAGCCCTCACCTGCGCATTTCTGGCCTGAAAGACCTTTCGGCTGACAAAACAACGCGATAACATCTTGCCTTCTTTCGCGCGTGTGATGAATGAGAAAATAACGGAACGGAGCCGAATCGACCGTCCCTGATCTATAAAAACACTTTACTAATTATCCAACCAACTTACTTTCGAATTTCAAAGAAAGTTTTCAAAATGATGGACGAGCTTCCGTGTCAGTTTACACAATGTCTGGGTTCCAAATAGAAACGCAACTGTGTTGAAGTAGCCTACAATTGTAGCGTGATGGACGACACAACTCGAGTCGAAGAAACTTTATCGATAATGAAAAACTATCCATTCAATATTATCTTTGACCTTTATTGATAAGAAACCAAATAAACCTGAAAATGGCGTGTCGGCACTCCAGCCAAAATGGGCTATAAAAGCCGGAATGGACGAGGAACAGTGTATAAATACACTGTAGCGACAGTAGAATAGTAGTAGATCCTCGACGTACTCGAGGTGGTTTCGCACACGAACCTTAGAAGGAATCTAACGATCCAATAGTAGAACAGGGATGCCCGGATCCAAGAATACTATAGGACAGATTCTCACTGTCAATTGATAAATAGAAGGAATAAACTATAGGTAGTAAAGCTGGTACAACAGCAATATGTTCGAAATGAACGACGAATAGCTCTTCAATAGAGTTTATTTGCAACAATAGCAAAAACAATGTCAACAATAGACAAATACAATATGTGAACTGGAATCCACCTGTTCACAGGATAACAATCCTAGCGAGCGAAAAAACGTGTAGATATTGTCGTGAAGACGACAATATCCACCTCACAATACCATCAGAGTTGCCCCTTATTGCCGCAGAACCAGAAATTGGGTCCAACGTCAATATAAGGCAGTTGCCTCAATCAATCAGCTCGAAGGATCGAGAAAGAGACAACAAAAGAAGAAAACAAAAACAAGTCGGGCGCGGCCGAACAATAAATGTCGGGCGCGGCCGATCAAGAGAAAATTAATAATAAAAAAGATAAATTATCAAAGATTCGCTTCTCCATCGCTGGAGATGCGACATGGCGGGTCAAAAGTGGTAGGAGCTAAAAGAGTTGCAGGACATATGTAAAGAGAAATATTTTCAACACAAAACTAAATTTTAATTTTTTAAATTATTTTTAAATTACCTACTAATATAATTTATACACAACAGTTACTAAACCTCTTTCATTAGTTATCACTTGAGGAAAATGTTGTCTCAAAACAATATTTTGAGTAAAGTTTCTCTCCGAATATATTTGATGTAAAACATAGTTGTGATGGAGCACTGCACCTTTAATTCAACATCCGTTAGTAAAATCAACAATGTTTTAGTCAATTGAGAGTTTCTACGACAATCAAATTCATTTGACATTGTTTCAGACAATTTGTGTCCTAATTTTAAAGGGACAACTTTAATATTTTTACATTTTCTGAAGTCTTTTGGCGTAAACTTGAGTTTTCAACGGTCGGTGCTTTGAAGCTATAATATGGAAATTGATTACACAACATATGTTTTACCGAGGTAGTTTTCATATTTATATTGTTTTAAAGAGCAGTTCTTAATGTTTTTTAGTCCTGGTAGACGTATGTTATGTCATTGTTGTATTCAAGTTCTGTTATTACCTTTTTATATATATAATGCAGGTTATTTTAGACACGCTTTGAATGGTTATCAACCTGATTTTATAAAACCAACCCATCCCAAGTCAGATCAGCCACCTGAATCTAATGGCAGCACGTTTACCAAGGTTGCAGAGGATGTTACTGCTAAGATCACAAAGAATGTCACTACTAAAGTCGCAAAGACTGTCACTACTAAGATAACAACGACTGTCACTACTGAAAAGGTGCGCTTTTCTAACGGATTAGGTAACAATGAAGGTGAAGGCGACGTCCTCGGAAATAATGTATGTTTTGTATTGTCAAACTCGATATTATGTCATACTTTGTGTTATTACCATTGTGTAAATTATATTTGTTCTTTTGTTAAAACTTACAGCTGTCTTTCTTATTATATACTGTAACATTAAAATAGTAACTTTTTATAATAATTCAACTTATTTCTTTTCAGAAGTTTAAGAAGGGCCTTCTGAAGTCACAGTTTGCAGTGGAAAATGAAATCAGGAAGAACCCAGCGGCATTCAGACTGAGTAATTCACAATATTGTTTATGATAATAGTCTTTTAGAGGGGAATGCGACGTGCAGGAACAGGAACAAGCTCAACAGATCTGGGTTCACATCAACTGAGGTAGCTGTGTCAGTAATAGATCCAGGAGTGTACTTTAGAGAAGTGTATGAATGCGAAGAGAAGTCCTATGATCCTCTGCATCTTTACCCATTTCCTAATGTAACGTAAGTTCTTTCTAGTGACGTGTTAAGTGTGTTTAATACTGCTATAACTTTTCTTTGCTTTTAGGACTTTCGAGGAATGCATGTTTGAAGGCGAGACGTTGAGTTTGATACAAAAGAGAGGACTAACGGAGATGACAGCGATTCAGAAGTTTGCCATACCTATGTTGCTGGAAAGGTATCACTCTTACTTCCACAACCTGATATTATATAAGATTTTGTACTCAACGCATATTATTCCAATATTTCTAATATAAAATGATTTTAGAGCTAACTACAGTAGATACGACTATGGTTTGATGATACGTGCACCTGCTGGCAGCGGCAAGACTCTGGCTGTGATCATACCTATTGTCAGTCGTATCTTCCACTTAAAGGCTAAGTATCCTGGCAGAAAAGGACCGTATGCCTTGTTTGTGGCACACAACAACATCTCTTGTGCTCAGATTTGTAAGGAACTACTCGCTTTGTGCCCTGAGGGTATGTGATTGGTTTGTAAAATATGTTTTGTCAACTTGAAGGTATTATTTACTTGTCGCTTTGTCAACTGTAAACTGTCTCTATACCTAAAGAATGATTATAATTGTGAATGTTGTAGGATGTGGGATCAAGGTGGGAATGTCATGTGGATCCCAAGACCCGAAAGTCATTAACAGACTTCTGGAAGAAGGTGTTGACATTCTGGTCGCGACAAGTGGCAGAGCTGACAATCATTTCTTTAAAAGTGCTGAAGGAAGTGTAGTAAGTCATAATCATTGGCCGAGCTTTAAATTTTTGATTTTCAAATTAATTTTATTGATTTCAGCATGAATTGCAAATCGACTTATTGAGGTACCTGGTGGTCGATGAAGCAGATACATTTGTGAGCTCCTACAACTACGCCCATTACATTGAACCCATCTTGTCAAAATTGGTAGGTCTTTCCAGTGTATTCTGTAACTTCAATTGTCGTTTTACTGAAACAATATTGTTTCGAAAGAACAAAATTATATTATGACATTTCAGAAGGCCAAGAACAAAGCAGTCAAGCTGATTCTGCTGACATCGTGCTACAAAGACTTAAAAGAGTTTAGCTACCTTTTGCCAAAGGATTTCAAAGTGTCTTTTCTGAGCGTGGGCAGGGAAACTTTGCCCAATACTATCAAGTTGCGAGCTTTCGACGTTGTAAGTTGGTTATTAAAACATTAAATATTACATTATTGTAAGTATTGTAGTGCCGTCACGTTGTTTAATGTTTGTTCCAGGCTCGTGAACACAAACACAAGAAGCTTTTGTCTATTCTGCACGACCCAATCTACAGAGATTACCCTTCCCAGCCGCCAAAGTGCATCGTCTTTGTGAAGGAGAACGACAGATGTGCACGGTTGGCTACACGACTGCACAACGATGGATTCTTGGCAATCGACGTTTGTTCTCAGGACTCACCCCAACAATACCTACGACGTGTTAAGGGATTCTTAGCTGGCGTATACGATATTATGGTCGCGCAGGACATGTTGGCACGGTCCATCAACGTTCCCAATTTGAAGATGGTAATTCACTACGATCTCTGCGATGATTCGAACCACCACAACATATTGAGTTCATGTGGCCGAGTTGGTCGATTGGGAAACGTTGGATTCTGTACGGTGTTCTACGATCGCCGCGAAGATGGAATTGCTTGCGACGTCTTTAAGGTAAGTTCACATATTCTAGTAGGTATCTTTTTCAGAGCTTACAATACCGAATGGAATTGTCTGAGGGAATGAAATCAACGTTGATCTCTTGGGATAAGCACGGGGTGAGAGGCAATTGGGAGAAGAAGTGATTATCTTTTTCATAACTTTCTATCTCCACTATTTTGCTACCGATCTCTACATTATTGGTCGACAGTGTGGTGACTTATAACCTATTTTTCTTACTACACTTACAGTAGTAAGTTTTAATACATCTACATTGGTCTATTTTGCTCTAATAAAACACTTATGTTACGAACTTTGTTGCGGTCATTTTTTGTTTTTTTGTCCGAAGTGAATGTTGAAGACGGCCCAACTGGCCGGTCATTCCTTCTTTTTTATTTCGTAAAGCAAAGGCAGGGACCGAAATATTGAGAAAAGTAAAGCTTTATTCCTTTTCTGAAATTAAATGCAAACAGCGTTAAATCAGCAAAACAAAGACCCGGAGGCAAAATAATCTGTACAACACTTTGTAGAAGCAGTCTGTTGACACAAATAGGTAGTAAACTCAACATGTAAATAAACTTCTAGATTTATAACACAAAATTTCCCGTTTTTGGGACCCAGGATGTAACAGGAATATACAAATATGACTCGTAATGTAGCGAAGAAAGTAACGGCGACTATTAATTCCATAAATAGACTACTGTAACTAATTGAGATCAAAGTGACAAGAAGATGAGCGACCTAATTATTGTTGTACTCGACAACATTTTTTGTTGCCAACGGTGTCGACACCGCTGAATCTTGTAGCTCGGTGTAGCAGTTGGCGTTCTCTGTGTCTTCCGCATCCTCATCTTCGGTTTGTGAATCCCATTTAGAAGAAACTGAGAGAATCTGGAAAGTGTCGGAAGCTACCGACAAACTGGAGTCGTTCGAGTAGCCTGAAGATGAACTGTTGGAGTGTAGCTGCTCGGACTCTATCCTCATACGGGAACTGGTTGGTTCCGAGTGAATTTCGACAAATCGACTGATGGCGTCACATCTGGGATCTGAAATATATTAAATACAGTTTAAAGTTGGAACAAATCACAGATTAGGAAAACAAGTAAGGTCAATCGAATTACGAAAAGCTATGGGAATTACTCAAGATAACAATATGATTGGGTAAACTGTTGAAATTCACACAAAGCTGCTCACAATAATAAACAACTGCGCATGACAGTCTAAATCAACAGTTTACTCGAATATTCTCCAACGTATTTTTCAAAACATATTTTGATGTTTTGAGCGCAACTGTTCAGTCAACAACATTAACTTACTTTTAGTGATTCGCTCGTTGTCAGCTTTCGTTCTTGATCTACGGTCATTGTTACATATTACATTGTTTTCACCGTCTTGGGACTTATTCGACGGCCAGATGAACCATTTGGGTCCTTCGCGTAATTCGATTACCTAAATTGTAATCTTTATAAGAAATTACTGAAGTATAACTGGTTTGATTTCAAAAAATTTTATTTACCGACAGACTGTTGATTTTTAATTTTAAAAGGCTTCATTTACAAGAGTCACAACTATAAGTACCTGGAACCGAAAATCACGTTTTGGTCGATTCTTTGAATCGGCTGGAGGGTTGGAAGCGCATCTAAGGGTACCATGCCTGTTATGAAGGGCATGGTGCCTATGATGAGGATTCTCGACGCAATTGCAAGTCATTGATACTCGGCGGTGATTTAGAAGGCTTGATGAACGGTAGTGTGATTGTAGAATCTGATGGTGACGTTCCATAAATATGCTCAAAAATGACTAAAAAGAACTACTGTTTCATGTCAGACTATAATTGCAACTTGTTTCGACCACGATAATAACGTCTAGTCAGATTAAAACAAGGTCAATATTAACTATTTATCTTACAAATAATCTTATAATGTCACCAGGTTGCCTGAGAAAGCAAATAAAACTGTAAGACATACCTAACTCTGATTTGTTTTAAAGTAATATACAGTCATGCTATACTATAATATACATTCCCGTTCACAAAATAAAAATTTGCTCGCAAAGTCTGAAGCGCCTTTGTTTTAGTTCCGTTTCTGCGGAAAAACGGATTCAAAGGTCACTTCAAGCAGTTACAGTAACAGCAGGACGTACATTTCGTACCTTAAAAAAGTAAATTCCTTTGGTTAAACAAGTGTGAAATTCAAAAACGTTTCTTATTTATTCGAGAAATTAAAAAAAAACAATCCTCTTGTAAACAAGAAACCAACATATAACAATATGAAATTAAGATACACCCCCTATATAAATATGAAACTGAAATACACCCCCTATATAAACATAAAACTGAAAATACAAGTAAGAGTAACTGAAAGGCTGAATCAATATAAATAACCCTCGGATGTTTGTTAAAAAGTTATAATTAGATCGACCAAAATAAGGTTTTATTATATTATAATCTGTCTGCCGATCACGCTTTCGCGAAAATAAACCAATTACAAGATCATTTAAACAACATTCCAGAACCTCATGATCGAACAGAAGTGTCAAAGTTAAACAAACAACGTGAGGTCATTCCAGTCTGTCAGGATGTTAACCATAATGGCATGGAACACTTTGTTGGTCTCGGCCCGCCCCCTTTCTCCGCTTTATGTTATATTATAGCGGACAGCGATTGAGAGAAGAAGAAACACTTGCAAGATGACGGGGATCCCCTCGGTAAAAGCATCCGTAAGTGCCACCACCAGCGTCGCTTATCTGTCTGCTTTATATTAATCAAGAGAGTGTTACAATACTCCAAGTTTAATGTTCCTACAACAAACTTGACAAAAGGACAAGGAAAGGAAGAAAACAGAAGTAAAATGGAAAGGAAACGTCATAAATAAGAAAGGTATTACACCCCGTGACCAGTCCAATTCCGTGTTATTGAACCCAGATAATGGTATGCTAATCAGTCCTAATCGAAGTACAGTTTGTGATAAAAAAAAGAACAAAATACTTGTGAATTCAAGTGGAAACTTCCATAATCAAGCCATAGATACAATAACACAACCTTTTAACAAAAAAAGTAAAATGTTTGCTTTAGTAACATTGGAAGTAACGTTACAATGTCTACTGAGATGACGAACCTATGTAAACTATGACCACTCGAAGAGCTTGCAATTTCACATTTTTAAAAACCAAACTTAAAACTACTTGAACTACGTATCTTATCATGGAGAGGAACTCTACAAGAGTCCAAAAAGCTAGTGATCAAGTGATCACTTATACAAACATGACTCAGATTCGGCGACATGTTCTCGTTCCCTTATCATTCGAGAGAAGACGGCTTTGCACGAGAGGAAACCGACTGGCCATAAAAGGAAAGGCCTCTTATGTCCATTCCAGAGTATTCGTACAACCCTTAAATCGAGCTATTTTGAATAAAACGCCGTTTACAGAAGGAGGGGGCAGTCTTGACCACGGATAAACAAACGCCTCTACACCAAAACAGGATGTATAGTATGACACTAAGCCTCCAAAATGTCACACCAAACGCGTGGTGTTATTAAACCGTGCTATTTAATGTTAGACAACACTATATTAGGCTACAAAAGCCGTGATAATGTCAGAATAACATGACAAACCGCAAGATGATGACGTTGGACGGAGGTGAAGCCTAAGACTACAGATTAATTTCATTAAAAGACAAGGCTGCTGAACCCATTGTTTCGGCCGTTTTGTTTTTGACTTCTGAACTCTAACACAGCCTATTGCTTTTTGTCTACATTACCGTGCAGTCTTCGGACGTTAATAGCTACAGACTTAACCACAAGCATTTCATGCAGTACAGTCAATCATAAAAAAAAGTTGTGAACTTAATATTGTTGCATCACATCCTCTAGTACGCTACTTTGTAAAATAAAACATTGAAGTAAGGGTTAAAGCAATACCCATCCATCCGAGATATTAAAACCAAGAAACCTAACAAGGAAAGTGTCAATAGGTGTACCTAACGCCCAGACATGTGATATAGCTCAAAAAAATTCTGTGAGCGTCCTGATTAAGAATCCGTTTTCAAAAGTTGCTAAATTTTTGTCTCGACCGAGTTATGGTCGTTTAAAGTTTGCACTGATTTCCTATTAAATTCCCGAAAAGGCCATGAAGAGAAACGAACAAAAAAGTGAGCGTAACCGAGTGGCCGAATGGATAAAGCGTTATCCTTTGGAAATGCTACCGCAGGTTCGAATTTGAGTGCGTGCAAACACTTTTGCAATTTTATTTTGCATTTGAAAACTGTACCAAGTGTACCATTAACAAAATAAAATTGTTGTTTTTTATCTAACGTTGTATTTTATTGAATATTACGTTGTAATATGGTTTATTAATTGTTTTTTAAAAAACTTAAACCCATTTAAAACTTCAAGGAAAATTTGGCAACAAAAGGGGACATTAATACTATGAACTTGATTTTAACGGCTTACTGTGGCAAAGTCCACACGTTGGGTCTACTACCTCTTGAAAAACATACCTCGTAAGATATAATAAATCCAAATACGTCATATTGAATTCGTCTAAGTATTTTTATAGCGTTTTACCTAGGTTTTGTTATATTTCTTATTAGTTATTAAAAGAAATTCTTTAGTGTAGCTTCTTTGAAGTGGTAGGTAGGCTCAAGTTAAAAAAAAATAGTTAATCAACTATATTATAACATAATATTCAATAAAATACAACTTTTGATAGAAAACAACAATTTTATTTTGTTAATGGTACACTTGGTACAGTTTTCAAATGCAAAATAAAATTGCAAAAGTGTTTGCACGCACTCAGATTCGAACCTGCGGCAGCATTTCCGAAGGATAACGCTTTATCCATTCGGCCACTCGGTTACGCTCGCTTTTTCGTTCGTTTCTCTTCATGGCCTTTTCGGGAATTTAACAGGGAATCAGTGCAAACTTTAAACGACCATAACTCGGTCGAAACAAAAATTTAGCAACTTTTGAAAACGGATCCTTAATCAGGACGACCATAGAATTTTTTTGAGCTATATCACATGTCTGGGCGTTAGGTACACCTTTTGACACTTTCCTTGTAAAAGACATCACTTTTGGAAACATCACTTATGAATCAGAATCTGTCAGAACACAAATAATTGCGCGAAAAAGGGAGTATAAAATTCATTAGTGTTATGAATAATTGATGCGAGAAAGAACCCTGCGGACAGGAATGACGCTTATCTACTCTAACATGGGAAGGAAAAGGTCAGGTGTATACATAAGCAAATATTATCAGTCCTGGAATTCAATCCAAAACAACACATTCTTGATGGGAAGAGTTGCACAAAAGCAATGTATGCCTCTTATCAGCTATAGAACGATATCACTCGGACGTTATTGCCAGTTTTGCTATCAAACTACGTTTCATTTATAGTAACAGCTCTAAAAATATTATAATAAAATCTTTCATATAAACTACAAAACAGCTTCAGAAAGATGTTATAATAAGGGTAGAAAATAAATGTTAGCAGCGCAAATAAAGAATCCTGATAAAAATCATGCCTTTTATACCTAAAAAACTTTATGACCTTTTTATAATACACCTATCATACTCTTCCCTACTCATTTTACAAAAAACCGGGTAAAGTCCAACCAAAACAAGGAAAACTTTTACAATTCCTGCAGAAACCACCGGAATTCAGATGCCTTTCACACGCCCCATCATTTTACCCATACACTCGAAAAAGCGATTCCAGAGACAATTCCTCTCCCATTCCACTTATCTGCCACAAGACGGGCCCTAACCCAATTTGGGAAGCCGGAGGAATGCGTTCCTAACATTAATAGATAAATTTGTTGCTCATACAACTACAAAAATTAGGTTTGTAATCGCCCAAATCTGATTTCAACTCCAAAATATGTTTTTATTTTGTTTTGCCAGACTTTTCCGGGTATAAAACGTCTTGGACTGTTTAGAAACGACATTAACTATCGTCTTCGAAAACAAACTTATAGGTAAGACTACTTATATTAACTTTAAAAGCCCACCTAAACGCAACCAGCATTAAAACAAAAACAGTTACGGAACACTACTTCCTCGCCCACAAGAACACATACTGCAGAAGTATAACTCTGGAAAAGCGAACAGTCAAAGCTGACCTGACAACACAAAAGTTGCATGCGTTCGAACAAGCTTCTCGACAAACAACAAAAAAGCTTAAAAACAAGCGGTCACCTCAAACAACGTAAATATTTAGCTGATCAGTAACCAGTACCTTATTCTCTTAACCACAGTTCTTTACAATAACATCTATAGCTGAGTTTACAATAAAAACAAGCTTTTTTAACTGTCCGGACACTCTGGTACACATAAACAGGTATCAAAAATTAAACAATAGTAATTAACTAAAAGTTAGACTACAATTCATACAAGCAAAAATACTTGTTAATTTTCATACACCCTCCCCTCTCCCCTCAAATCTTCGTTTCATCCCTGCCCAAAAACACCCATTTATCACAAATGATACATTCAACTGTACAAAAGTTTTAAGTTTTTTTTTTTTTTTGATCTGTTTAATGTCTACCAATTCTGTTTGGACCCTGATTTTGTTTTTTTCTGCGAGTTTTTTAAGAACATAGAATCACATTTTAAAAGTCCGCTAAAAGTGGGTCCCACCACGATTTATTGAGAGACGATCGGAAAAAAATAAATGGAGGAACAAATTTCTTTTCTAAAAATTTCTCGACTTGGAATTGAATCTTCGCTTGAAATCCGTGTATTTGTTATAATTTTAACCATTCTTTATTTTTCTTATTTTAGTCTTTTGCAGGTAGACCAAACAGACATGGCCAAGTCAAAGAACCACACCAATCACAACCAGAGTAAGTATTTTTGTTACATTGTTTTTGTTTTTAGAGATTTTAACATAATTCTTGAGTTAAGTCGTCGGATTACTGAACTGTGGAGATGAGAAATACTGTTTTGGCTAGGCCTGAGAATCAAAATTTTTTTTTGGATTGGATTGGCTAGACTAATTAGAATCCGTTTAGCTTATTTCTTAGCTTAAGAAGTTACTTGTTGATATTTTGTGTATAACTTGGAGTTTTTAATATTATTTATGTATTATGATTAATGAAATCTTATTATTTAAGCGGCTTTTAGATGGTTTTAAGCTTTTTAATAGTAACTATTCTTTTAAAGTGTTTTTTGGCTAGGAAACTTATAGTTTTTGTGTCTTTAGTTTATATTTTACTACTATTGAATTATGTAAGTGTACAAAACGTAATTTTGATAATTTTAGACCGCAAGGATCACAGAAATGGAATCCACAAGCCAAAGCGTCAAGCCAAGTTCTCGATGAAAGGAGTAGACCCCAAGTTCTTGAGAAACCTTCGTTTTTCAAAGAAGGGAAGCCGAAAGGTCGTGAACAAAGCCAAGCAGGAATCTAAAGCCTAAACTGTTGATGGGTCTTGTTTTTTGATGTTTTGTTGATTTATAAACATAAATTTTGTTTTTGCTAGTTGTGATTGTAACTTGTTGGCTTTGCAGTTTTAGTTGATAGAAACGGTTATCACGTTTTATCGTTGGTAGCCACAATAATTAAAGTTTTGATTTTGTGTTACCTGGTTCATTAATGTTAGATTAGAATTTTGCTATTTTTTAAACGAGTTAACATGACATTTTAAGCACACATGAAGATCTAGTTTGAATATTGTTGTTTCTTATAGACGCAAATTTAGAATTTAAGGGCAGGTAACGATGACTATTATAGTATTATACATATGTAGCATCACTCTTTTAGCTTAGATTTTTCGTAACTGTGTAGTATAGTTTACGAAATTGTTTTTTTGTCGAAAACTGGTTTATTGCTTCGAGAAGTTTATATTATTCTATACGAAGAGGTGGTGATGTTTAACGTATAAATCAAAAGTTTACAATGTTTTCTACAGTATCTAACGGAAGTTACTAAAAGTTTAAGAAACAAATGTATACTGTTTTTAGTATTACAGATGTAGCGACGTTTGTAAGTTATAATTTACAAAATAGTCTGGAGGGCGACGAATTTTTGATAGGGTTAAAAAGTTGATGGTTTTTATGAAGCTACTAATGGTTCGTTTCAAACTTCTCTAAAAAAATTTTTTAATGAAAATGTAATTTCAATTCGAAACTACTTATACAAAGTGTTTTGCAATTCACAGTGGAACTCTTTTATAACGAACTCCTCTACAACGTAAACTTCGTATACTGAACAACCTTTAAATCCTCGGCCAATACTACACAGGGCATTTAAAACTCCTGTGTATTGAAAATCCTTTGTAGTGAACAAGTTGAAAGTTCCTCAAGAGATTCGTTGTACAGGTGTACCAATGTTTTTAAACTACACACTCGCTTGGCTTTAAAAATACGGCCTTCTGTCAGTGTAATTTACTATTCACTAACGTTCGGTATGGTTTATTATCATGGTATAAAAAACCGTCTTCAAGTGGTAAGAAAGGTTAAGCTAGTTTTGTTATACCAAGAATCTTCTACACGAACTTGTAACTACAAGCTACAATGTCATAGACTACGTTTTGCTCACTTTGATTTTGTTCGGCTTATAGAAACTTGTGATTCTGGAAACTTAAAAAAGCTGAATAATGATATAGACATCGACTGATATGTGTGAATTGTGGTCGATTCTCTGAATTTTGCTTTCCTTGGTTGATAAATAAGGTTTTGGAGATAGTTTGCTTATCACCAAGTTTTGGTTTGATATACTATCAGAGAGACATTCCTTTGTTTTATCAGTTTGCTAATTAAAATCGTTTGAGTAATTTATAATTCTTTAGTTTTATGGTCTTACTTTTCAAATTACTTTTTAAATTTTAAAAAACTTTACTTTCTAATTAAATTGATCAAAGATAAACTATTTAAAACGAGTGTTTACATTAGTTTTATGTCATTTGATGGGTAATAACCAGCTAGTAGGAAGTTCACATGAAGCAGTGGAAGTTTCCCCGACTTCACGAATCCATCATCTCAAGTTATTGTTGTTTAACGAACCTCCGGCAATGACACCTACTTCCCCAGAGCACGGTACTCGATTGATCATCGCTATTTTTAGGTTTCTTGAAGATTGCGTAACTTTACGACCTTTAAAGGATGTCATTCCCATCATTGTTATAATCGCTGATCGCTAAAATTTCTGTCTTTCATTATATGATAATAGGTAGCTCTTACTATGGTAATGTGTTGTTTTATTGAGATAGGCTGATCAAAAGTGTGCTTATTATTGTAATATGTGTCATTTCTTGTTATGGACAAAACAAAATTTAAAATTTGTGAGCTTTGAGGTAGTTTTTAAGATTTCAATGATCATTTTAACATGGTGAACATTGCAATAATTATGATAAAAACATTGTGTTACAAAGATTATGTTAACAACATTCCTTAATATTATATTAATGTACATTCTACGGTATCTAATCAATTCAGAAGCTAAAACACATGAAAAGGTGTTGAATTGTGGATTATGCAGTATCATGGATAATATACAGACGGACCTCTGTATGTTACCCTTCTGCTTGGGGAACTTCCACGAACAGCGAACACAACAGAACAGGAGAGCAAGATGGTTTTGTTGACAATAGTCAACTCAACATGGGTATCATGGTCGCCTACATCATGGAAACACCCCATTCAAGAGCATTTAATAAAAGGGGCGGGGCTTCGTACACTTTTAAAGAATCAATTGCTACAATCTGAAAGGTTTTATTCGGTTGACGGAATCACTCCTTGATAAGGCTTATTTGCTTCTGTTGTACCCAACTAGGAAGTGTGGTACTTTTACTTTCTGATAGTATTTGGTGTTATTTGTTTTTTATCATCTTTGTAGGCTTTACAACAACAAAGATTGCTGTTTTTATGTATAACACTAGTAAAATGGTTAATATTTTAATATCAGTTTTAACACTGATAAAGACTGTTTACTTTATGTTAAGTTAACTTCTTAAAACAGACATTTTAAGCAGTGCCATTACTTTTAGAGCACTTGTCTTGCAAAGTTTGTATGTTTTACTTCTTTTTATTTACTTGTAAACCCTGGGTACAACAAACTGTGTCATTTTTGTTTGTTAACTTTGTAAAATACTGTTTGATTAAGAGAGCTGTCTTTAATTGCACTCGCTGATCACTGTGAGCCATTGGTATACAGCTGTCATATCGAATATGACCTGTTTGAAAGCAAAGTGTTAACCCTCTTACTCTGTCACTTCCTTGACAATATCTGCTATTTTAAAATTTAAAATAATATTTCGACTGACCGTAATACCTACCATAGTTTTAAAGTGATGACGTTATGACAAAACACAATACAACATAACCTTAAGGTTGATAATATTTACCGATGTAGTAATATTTACCATTGTAACTTGTGTTCGTTGAATTGTTTTGGAAACTGTTTTCATCTCTGATGTTGTCATAAAAGTTCATATGACAATTACTGTGGCTTACTTTGTAGTGGGATGATCGCTAACCTTTGTCCTGCTTACTGAGCAGAAAGTCTACTGAGCAGTAAAAAAGTATACTGAGCAGTTAAAAAGTTTACTGAGTAATTTTTAAAAATAAATTGGTTGATTAAAAGTCCTATCGTATTGGTCAAAAAGAATATAGAAATATTGTTTGATTGCTATTTTTTGTTTAACTTGGTCTTCTATGTACTTATTGACCGAATGTAACGTGTTATACTTGTTTTACAACTAAATTTAAAGCTATAGTTATATAATAGTCATTTCAGAGATGAAGAACAACAAAATAGCACCATCGGAATTAAAGTCCGACAAGGGGCCGCTACAGTACCCTAACATGTACACATCTTCAGATACGATCGAAAGTAAATTTGATGTTTCTACTGCAACAGTAATCACCACATCTTCATCGGCGTCAGATCTGGAGCATCGACCGGGAGGGTTGAGTGCCAAGTCTACTTTGATCAACTTTGTCAAGGTGAGGTTTTAAAATGTATACCGTACTTTCTAAGAGTCGAATATACTGTGCTGTTAACAGGTATTACTCTAAATTATTCTGATCTTTAACATATAACTTATTCCTTTGTCAGAACTTGGTTTATTCTTTAACGTATGCCTACTATATATTACTGTGTATACCTAAAGTCTTGAGTATCATATAATGTAATCTTTTGCTCATAAAAGGTCTTGGTATTATCATAACATGTTTTAAATCTGTCAAAAGCTGTGTTTTGTGAAAATAATCGAAAAACGTTTGACAGTCATGTAAATAATGATTGTTTGCTTGCAATCAAGATGTGACATTTAAGCGAACATGATCTATATTATGAATGTTTCAGGGAATGATTGGGCCTGGATGTCTGAGTTTGCCAATCGCTTTCCATCAGGCTGGTCTCTGGGTGAGTTACTTTACTTCACATTGAGATATTGTTATAGGTCTTGTTACTTTACATAGGTTTGACTACTTTACATAGAGTATACTACTTTACATTACATACATACATATTATACTATACTTTTATATGTTTTACAATGCTCTCTACTGCCATTATGTAAAACACTAATTGATACATTAAATAATGTATTAAAAGCTTTATGTCGCTGTAGCAGACTACGGTGTCTGTTTATGTAAACACCGTTACCGTGAGTTGATTTCAGACGGCACTAGTGTTGATATTTACTTTCGGATTTCTCAACAATTACTGTATGTTACAACTGGTGGAATGCTCACAGAAGTTGTCGAAGAAGTAAGTGTTGTGAAAGTGTTGTTTATAGGTAATCACATGTTTCATAGTAAACGATTATGTTGTGTACATAGCCTTGTATACGTAGCCTTGGTATCTTAATCTCTGATCAAAACTATCCGATGTAAACTGTTTTGTTATATTATGTTTGTTCAAATAATTCTGTGCTTTCTAACTCTTAAGATTTGCTTTTAGAGGGGCGCAGAATTATTTGAACAAGCTAATATATATGTTTATATAATATTCTGACTAAAATTTGTTTAATGTCACAGTAATCGTATTTCAGAAGAGGCAAAGTGTTGGATTACGGTGGAGTATCGTATCATGCCTGTTCAAACAGCTTCTCTTTTATACGACCGTACAATAATGTATTTAGGTATGTGTCCTTACCTTTCGTATCTACATCTTGTTACTTTTCGTATGTACATCTTGTCTATATGATATTGTGCACAAAATAATAATATTTTCTTTAGAAACATAACCAACGGGGTAATAATACTGTTACAACTCGGTATCTGTAGTGTGTTCTACGTGTTTGTGGCTTCGCACGTGAAAGAGGTATGTTCCCTTTGACATTAGGGGGTTGTGTAACATGAGAGTCGGCGATATTATGAATGAGATGTGTGATCTTACCCTAACAGTAACGTAATAGAGGTATAATGATTAAAGATACCAGTAATATATCGAGGTCATCTCAGATACAAATAGTAATGTATTAGACTTACTTTTTGTAGTACAGTAATGAGCTTTACTTGTGGTACAGTCATAAATGAGAGTAAGCTATACGTTGACCTATATGGTTTATATTTGAATCAAAGACCCAGTTAAGCTACCATAACAAATATTGATAAAAAAAGTATCATGCATTGGAAACTTTGCCGTACTGTAAACACTACCTTGCTGTACTAACTAGTGTCATTTCAGCTGTTCGATGACTTTAGCGACATTCGTTTTTCGCCCACAATGTGGTCCTTACTGGTACTGCTCCCGATGGTACTGGTCAATCTTCTGAGAACCTTGAAAATGATTGCCATTTTGAGTGTGGTGGGCAACATCTGCATGATATCTTGTCTGGTGTTCATTATGCAGGTAAGGCTATATTGTCATCGATATCAAAGAACGTATATTTAGTTTGTGTTATCATTTCAAAGTATTTTACTTTAATTTTTTATTGTAAAAGTTTTTTTGAAAAATTGTAGTTATTTGTTAAGCTTACTGTAACACGATACATTTTAGTATTTGATCCGGCAGCCATTTGTAATTCACCAACTTCCTGGAATCACAAACTTTGACGGTGTTGTGATGGCTTGTGGGTCCATCTTATATTCATTCGAAGGTCAAGCTATGGTAAGTTAGCCTTCTTCTTAATTGGTACTGTCACCGCATAACTATTACAAATCAATTTTATTGTTTTATATAATACTTGATAATCATATAAACACATTATAGGTGCTACCCATGGAGAACAAGCTGAAAAGACCGGAGAACATGATCGGATCGTTCGGTGTTCTCTCTGTAGGTATGTCCATCGTAACTTGTGTCTACGCCGCCTGTGGCTTCTTTGGCTACGCTGTGTACGGCGAGCATGTAGCCGGCAGTATCACTCTCAACTTGCCAACTACAGTACCTTTCACCATCGTCAAAGGCTTCCTGATCTTTGTAATTTACTCTGGATTCGTGATCCAACAATATGTTATCGTAGACATGATTTGGCCTAGGCTGAAGAAGGTCATCAGGCTAGATCACCTCAGCTACTGGCCCGACTTTGCTTGTGAAGCCATCTTCAGAACGTTGTTGGTACTTCTTGAATGTGAGTTTAATGTTTTTGGGAGGCAGGGAACATCAAATTAATGTAATGTCGACTTCTAGTCAGAGTATACTTATATTAAAGAGTATAAGATACTTTACCGTATACTTTCTTACTGTACCGTATTATAAACTGTACAGTGGATTATAAAACAATAAACGACCTGATTTCAGTTGGAATGGCAGTATCAGTACCAAAACTAGAAGATATCATTCCCCTTGTCGGAGCGACTGCTGGTATGTTGCTAGCCTTCGTATTCCCGGCCATCATTGACACTCTGACATTCGGGCCTGGCCTAGTAGAGGAGGCCAACAAGGACCCGTCGAAGCGATCTCAACTCTACTTCAGACTCCTCAGGAACAGTGCCCTCGTGCTTCTGGGGATCTTCGGCCTCGTAGCCGGCTTCCAATCCAATCTCAGAGGCCTTCTATCTCCCAAAGAATAACTCCAGCTATTAACCTTATTTATAACATCCTGCGGTGACACTTCTTAACTATTCATCTTTTCGTAACATTCTATAATAGTATATACCTTTGATCAAAAAGTGTGTAGAATCAACCTTAATGTATCGTAATCTAAGCATGGTGTAATTAAACTTCTATTCACTTTTGACTGATAGTATATCATCGTCTAATAGACATACGTGTACGTTTTGTGGTCTTATATTCACATTGTCGTAGCTTATATCAATCATTATAGCCAAAAAATAACTATATTAAGTTCGTATCTTGTAGGCTTACTTAAATATATTTGTCGGACCGACTTTAACTCTTTACAATACCAATATATCAACCAAATATCAAAGTTTTATATTTTACTGTAATTCTCTCGACTCTCACGCTTATCTCACTTTACAACATACGTCTATTAGGGTTATACAAAGAACACTTGTGTATTTACTGTCTCACGGCTTTTCAATGTATCCAAAGTAATAATCGTATCGTGCTTGTTAACATACATATCACTTGTTTGTAAATACAATAAAGGACATAACTTGCTCAACTTTTATGATGATTTAATTGTTTTTCGCTAACCTTCTACTTACTTTTGACAGTTTATAAAGGTCTGCGATAAGAAAAACGTTTAAAATGTGACTAAAGAGTAGTTTAGCCTAACATAAGTCGTACTTTAAAACCTGAAACGTAAAGAAAAACGTTAAAACCCCTAAAGCTTGGTAATACCTTTGACCTTTTACAACTGTAGAAGTGTAAACAAAATGAGTGGTCACGTTGCCAGCGCTAATCGTATTGTTCCGTAAATGATTTACCGAGATTAGCAGATGTTCTCAGTTTCTTTTCTGTTTCCCCGTTTCCCCTCCCCACCCCCCCCTCTCACAGCCGGGTTTCCTCTTCGCTTCGAATACATTTGCAAGGCTCGCACTGTCCTGCATTGCCTGCCGTTTTTTGCAAAAAATAAGGGGGGGGTGGGGGAGACAGAGTCTTTCTTTTTTAAACTCTTCTCTCTACATTATCTTTCCGAAGCACGTCAATAGGATCCTGTTTTGGTGCTAATTTCGTGCAAGTGTTTTGTTGTTTCCAACATTTTTTGGCGGGTTTCCCTTCCTAATTACACTTCTAAGGTTACGTGAACAGCCGCGACACGTCCAACGTTATGGCCAAGCGGTGGCGAAGCTTTGGAGACTAAATGAAACCTGTCGAAGTCCAAAGAAAGTTGTCTTTGGAGGATCGGAAGTAAGCATTTTCCTTGTAAAATCACACAAACTTCAGATTTATACCTAAAATATTATAAAAAAGCATTCGTATCAGATTTTTAGATTTTTTACTAAAAAGTTCACTTTAAATGCGCTTTTTGCTTTAAAAGTGCAAGTAATAGTTATATTTTTTCAGAAATGAAACTTTTAAAAATATATTATAGTAGTATCCTGTGACCAGACTAGCATTAGTCTGCAAATCTCAAAAACTCCTAATTCCAATCTTTAATCGCTTCCAGGAGATTATTTCAACGACCGGTTCCGCCGCTACCGCCAGGGTGCCGCGACCCGCGCCCGAAGTTCAAAGAGCCTGTTATGAACCAAGAGCTGGAACATCCGCAGCTATGGCCTCAAGTCATGCCCACCTTCATGAGGGACTTTTTGTTGCCCAAGAAGCCGCTCGAAGCAGATGCCTACATGGCCGACAAGAACAACTACGTTTGGGCGGTGTCATTGTCAGACATCTCCAAGGTAGAGAAGGTTTTTGTAAGTGAAGTACATTGCCTTTACTGCGACAAATACCTACAAACATTTGAGTTGTTGCTAAGCCTAGCATGAGTATATATAAATTAATGTTAAAATCATCGAAACTATCAATATTATTCTGATATTAACAGTAATATTCCAGTTTCTGAACAACAAATGGAAAACCAAACTACAGGCCTACTTCTGGACTATGCCACTTCAAATACAATTCTGTCGTAAGTAGAAACCTTTCAACGCTTTAAGCTGTAACTTCAGAAGACATCGACAGAACGACAGGCTTCAGACACCGCTTGAACTGTGCCTCCAAGTCTCTGGTCAATGTGAAGATCGACTGTTTTCAAAGTCGTAAGCTCTATCTTACAGTTTTAAATTGTCATTAAGTTTGGAATAGATCCAATATTAACATAGATCTTTTACAATTCAAGATTTTATTCAAAAATCTGAATCATACTTAATATAGCTATACCTTTCAGCGCTCGAGAAACTACTCATCTTTGGAGATACCTTCTTCCAACTCATCTACAGGTACAGCGAAATGAGTGGCCTCAGGCAAATGCGGCTGATCAAACGAAATGTGAATAGCATCAGAATAGGACAGTTAGGACAACCACTAGACTCGTTGATCAAGCAATGGCCATCCAACTACGAAGTGTTTTACTCCAGTAAGTGATAACGATAGTTTTTTCTATTAAACAGTCAAACCATGATATAATCAATTATTATAGAGTATGATACCTAAATGTAATTTTAGAAATCCGAGAAATAACTCTGGGTTTGTGCTTCGTCAAACTAGAAGCCCAGCCTCTTGTCCAGTGGATTATTGGACGGAATCTGGCAACATTACGAAGACTAAGCACCCCCTTAAGAGATATGTCATGGGACATCTTTAAGCAACTGGACTTGGAGTGGCTAAAGTGTACCATTGATAAGAGAACCAGTAAGAACTGTGTCAAAGTCTTCAAGGTCTGCACGGAAACCTTGTGTCTAGACTTCTATGGAGAAATGAAACTCAACATCTTTGAATCATTCATCAAGTAAGTACAATATTGTACATTCCTGCTGTCAAGGTCTACATTAACCTTATTAAATGCCCTAAATAAATAAAATTAAAAAAAAATACAAACAATAACACAATTTCAGCTACAAACGAGTATTTCACAGCAGAATCCGCGTCCTGGAAATCACATGGCACGGCTTCGGAAGCGACTACATGCGGTTTCTGGAGCGATTAGAACGCCTGATCCAGTTCGTTAAGAAGTACGGCCCTAATGTCAGAGTAGTTACCTTCCGAGAAGGTCGCTGTATCTCGATTGATCCCGGGTCCAAGCAGTCCACAACTAACTGGGCCAGGATCTTTCACTTCCGACGGAAAGTTCGAGAACAGATCAGCGACAATTGGAGCAAAAAGTTTGGAAATCTCAACTTTCGAGTAGTTTTCAAAATCAACTTTCACAGCATTCAGAAGGTAAGCTGATTAGCGCCATTTCTACTGCATCAAAGTTCGCTCACTTTACTTTTAAAATTCAACATGGATTACGTCGCTATTTATAGCTAGAATAATATAATCATGAACAAAGTGTTGTGAGCAAAGAGAAAAAAGACTACAATTTTAAATTTAGATAGCATAAACAAGTACTTGTTGACCAAATTTTTTTTTGCAAAATTTTTTCTTTTCAAACAAAAATAAGTATAATATAACTTTAGTTAACACTCCATTTTTAGTCTTGGACAGGCTGCGGCGAATTCGAGATTTACCAAAACAGAATGGCCTTCTACTTCAATAACAACAACGATGTGAGAAGAGAGTGCATCGACCAGCACCGCAACTTCTTCAATCTTCCCGACAACCAGTTCAAAAGTCGCGTTTTGAGAGAAATCTCGGCCAAACTGCCCAAGAAGACCTACTACTTCATTGGTCCCACCAAAGGAAAGAAGTACCACCTTTACGAATCGCCAACCAAGCAAGGGAAACAGTACTTTGAGGATGTTGAATATTCTACGTTCGAAGGAGAAAACGAAGAAAATGTGAGTTAACAAACATCTATAAGATGAATATACTATAATATATTATAGATAATATCAAATATTATCGTTTAAACAGGAAAACGCTGTGTAAATCCGAGAAATCAAACCTAGTATAATTAGACATCCTTTTTTGTTAAAATAAGTACAACTTTCAGGATTCCATGCCCATCTACACTCTGAAAGAACGAGAGGTCTTCCGACCTCAGGAGATCGACTTCCATCGTGAAATCGAGTATCACAACAACAGAATCGAAGTGATCAGTTATCGCCGAGCCTCACGCAAAGACGCATATCTCCGCATTCCACTCCCACCACGCATTCACACCAACCACAACATGATCCGCAAATTCAGAATTTGGCACAGTCCGAGTCTGCCACCCGATCTCACGATACCTTCACTTGAACCATTACCGTCCACTTTCAGCTTCAAGGTCTTCAAGAAGCCGAAACGGAAAAGAATTCCGAATAAGAAAATCTCACTGCCATTGGACAAATCACATGTGATCAACAGCTAATACGGGTACAAAGTTGTAATATCTATTCATGTTAATAAAAGGGTAATAGGTTGATGTAAGCGAACTCCAATGAAAAATGTAAAAACAAAGATTTACAACATTTTGGAGTTATTTTTTATTTTTTTTCAAAACAAAATCTTGTCTTGCAGAAAACCGATAAAGGTGTGACACTTCGCAACGGAACTCAATAGTAGAAATAAAAAGAAAAACCTCAAAATTTTACATCACTAATGCTGTAAATGTATGTTATGTTGTAAATACTAAAATATCCAAGTAGTTAATAGTTTTTTAATGTTTCAATACTTTATATTTTATTATTTTTGTGGGTTGACATGCGTTACCTGTAAAGAAAATCGCGTTTTTAGGCCATTCCTGTGACATCTAGTCCTAAAATAAGGTGTAACTATTGTTATAGGTTAAAAATGGCAGTAAAAGAGCGAAGAAAGGTTCACCAACTTCTTGAGATCGAGTCGACCATCCATGAGTTATGGGATAAAGAGAAGCCATTCGAATTGGACGCTCCAGAAGGTGAAAAGTAAGTGTTTTCGTACTTTACATTGTGTTTTTAGAACAGTAATGAAGAGTAAATGAAGAGTAAACATATAATTTACTATAAAACACTGTTTCAGTACCAAGGAGGAGAAGTTTTTGGTCACTTTTCCGTTTCCCTACATGAATGGTCGTCTCCATGTTGGCCACAGCTTTAGTTTGTCCAAGGCCGAGTTTGCTGTAGGATTTGAGAGGATGCTGGGCAAGAAAGCTTTGTTCCCCTTTGCTTTTCACGCTACTGGAATGCCGATCAAGGCATGTGCTGACAAGTTGGTCGCTGAGATTGAAACCTATGGCAATCCGCCAGTCTTTCCTCAAGAAGAAGAGGAAGTGAAGGTGGAGAAGTCGGAAATCGACGAGATCATCAAGGATAAGAGTAAGAGCAAAAAGGTATTTTCTATTTTTGATCATTTTGTTATATATAGAGGTTAATGTACGTTTTTGATGTAATTTAAAAGTTATTTTCAATTTTTGTTATTTTTAATCGAAGTTTGTTGTTTTAGTCAAAAGCTGTTGCTAAGGCTGGCTCTTCTAAGTATCAATGGAACATCATGAAAAGTTTGGGTTTGACTGATGAAGAAATTCCTAAATTTGCTGATCCAAACTACTGGCTGGACTACTTCCCAGATTACTGTATCAAGGACTTGAAGAAGATGGGAGTCAGGGTGGATTGGAGACGGTCCTTCATGACAACCGAAAGGAACCTGTACTTTGACAGTTTTGTCAGATGGCAATTTAGAAAGCTGAAGGCGTTGAATTTGATCGATTTTGGAAAACGGTGTGTTTAATGTTTGGCAATATCTTAATTAAAAATACAACACTTTGTCTAATCTGCCAAAAAGAAAAATTCTTTATGTATAGAATAATAATATTATTACTTTTAGGTACACAATTTACTCGCCGAAAGATGGTCAGCCTTGTATGGATCACGATCGTTCGACTGGAGAAGGAGCTGGACCTCAAGAATACACCTTGATCAAGATAAAGGTTGTTTCTGAGTTGCCCGAAGCGCTGGCTAAGACAGGAAAGCCAGTATATCTTGTAGCAGCCACTCTACGACCTGAAACCATGTACGGTCAAACCAACTGTTATATCCATCCAGAACTGAACTATGCTGCCTTCTACGTTGGTCAGAATGAAGGAGAGATCTTTGTGGCCACAAAGCGAGCCGCCAACAACATGTCATACCAAGGTTTCACTAAGGAGTCCGGAGTGGTACGATACGTTGAAGGTTGTGAAGCTTTGAAAGGACAAACTTTCATTGGAGCCAAGCTGAAGGCCCCATTGACAACATATGAACACGTCTATGCTCTACCTATGTTGAGCATCAAGGAAGACAAGGGTACAGGAGTTGTGACCAGTGTTCCCTCTGATTCCCCTGACGATCTCGTTACCTTGAACGAGCTGAAGAAGAAGCCGTTGTGGAGAGAAAAGTGGGGATTGAAGGATGAACACGTTCTTCCCTTCGAACCCGTTGAAATTATTGACATTCCTGAATTGGGAAAGCTGAGTGCTGTTCTGATGGTCGAGAAACTGAAGATTCAGAGTCCAAATGAGAAGGACAAGCTAGAAGCGGCCAAGAAGGAAGTCTACTTGAAGGGTTTCTACAATGGTGTCATGTTGGTTGGAAACCACAAGGGAAAGAAGACTGAAGAGGTGAAGAAGTTGATCCAGAACGAACTCATTGCTTCAAATGAAGCCGCAAAGTACATGGAGCCAGAGAAGTTGATCATCAGCAGATCGGGAGATGAATGTGTTGTTGCTTTGTGTGATCAATGGTACCTGGATTATGGTTTAGAGTCGTGGAAAAACAAGGCAAAGGAAGCCGTGGATGAGATGAACACGTTTGGAGATGAGGTCAGGAGGAATCTGATTCACACGATCGACTGGCTACACGAGTACGCGTGCTCACGGTCTTTCGGACTGGGTATGTTAAGAGATTTTTTTGTTTTAAAGATACATTAGTATCTTTTTTATGTATAATAGATTATAAAGTTTGTTTTTAGGTACCAAGTTGCCGTGGGATGAAAGATACCTTATTGAGAGTTTGTCCGATTCCACCATCTACACCAGCTACTACTCGTTTGCTCATCTTCTCCAGAAGGGGTCTTTGGATGGAAGAAGCGGTGTTCAGGATGTCAAGTAAGTTTTTGCCTATAATTTAATAGTAACAGTATACTATTAAATTCATAATTGTACATTGAAATCTTACTTTTATGTCTATTTTACGTTTTTTTGCAGACCAGAACAACTGAACGATTCCTTTTGGGAGTACGCTTTGATCACTGGAGCCAAATGGTCTGACGATATTAAGGTACCTAAGGAGATCGCGGACAAGTGCAGGAGGGAATTCAACTTCTGGAGAGCCCCAGATCAACGTGTTTCTGGAAAAGACTTGGTTCAGAACCATCTCAGTTTCTACGTTTTCAACCATGTCGCCATTTTCGGGGACGACAAGTCAAAATGGCCTAAGGGAATCAGAGCTAACGGACATTTGCTGTTGAACAGCGAGAAGGTGAGGAATGGCCTAATTTTTTGTTAAAATAATATGTTTCATACTTAAGGTTATGCTTAATCTAGTTTTGATGTTAATAATGATATTTCAGATGTCCAAAAGTACCGGTAACTTCTTGACTCTGTCAGAAGCCATCGAAAAGTTCTCTTCTGATGGTATGCGACTGGCTCTTGCTGTAAGTTGCTATTTTTTGATAATTCCTTTGTCAAAGTAACTTGCATATTTTAACGTATCTTCCGACTAAAGATTGTTGATGCTGGTCATTCTAGGATGCTGGTGATGGAATCGAAGATGCCAATTTTGTGTACGATGTAGCTGATGCCGGAGCTCTTAGATTGTTCAACCTGATCGAAAGCACGAAGGAAACAGTCGAGAGAAAGGATAAGAATGGCTACAGAACTGGAGAGTTCAACATGATAGACAAGTACTTCGCCAACAGACTCGCTGAGCTTGTCACATTGACCAAGGAATCGTATGTCAAGACAGAGTACAAGAACGCTTTGAAATACGGTCTGTTCGAGTTCCAGGTAAGTTTTACTATAAGATGTTAATGCTATGTCATTCCAGAGTGCCAAGGAATTGTACCGGGAAATGTGTGGAGGTGAAGCCGAGATGCACCTGGACTTGATCATCAAGTACTTGACTACCCAGGTCTTGATCCTGTCTCCCATCTGTCCACACGTCAGCGAACATATCTGGCAATTATTGGGCCATAAAGGACTTCTTGCCAACCAGAAATGGCCCGAAGCCGCACAAGTTGATGATGATTTGAGTAGACAGCTCGAGTTCATTACGGAAGTCGTTAAGACCTTCAGACAAAAGTTATTGGTAAGTGTTTATGACCTGCTATTATATTGTTGTACTTTCAAACTTGTTTGTCATAAAAATTAAGATATAATAATACCTTTAGAATCATCTCAACGTGAAAGGCAAAAAGGGACCTAAAGTAGACCCACCAACTGAAGCCCAGATCTATGTGGCCAACAAATACCCATCGTGGCAGGCTGAAGTGCTGGCCTTGTTGAAGAACTTGGCCGTGGACAACACCTTCCCTGACAACAGGGCCATCGCCGAGAAGACGAAGGAATCAGAATCCTTGAAGAAGAACAAGAAGGTGATGCCCTTCGTGAATGCCGTCAAGATCGACTATGGAGTTCGAGGAGAAGTGGCACTTTCAGATACCTGTCTCATTTCCCAAACCGATGTCTTGAATGCCTGTTCACAATATATTCAGAACGCTCTCAACGTGAACGCCATCAAGGTGATGGACATCGAGAAGGAAGAAGTGGACCCCAACTTCGCCGAGAAGTGTCTTCCTCTGAAGCCTTTGATAACATTCAGTTAAACTTTAATTGGTCAAGCTTTCATTCCGTGTTACAATCGTTCTACTGCTAGTTATCGGTTTGTTTACATTGTTGATTAATTTAATAAACTCTAAGGATCTGTAATATTGATAGGACATTAGTTTTAAAAAGATGGATTTCAAAAAAAATGATGAAATTGAAGAAACATCATTTTGAAAGAATAAAACTAGAAAAATCAAATATAAACTGATTAAATTTGTGTAAATTCTGTGTTCTGAGTAATTTTAATATGGGTCGTTTCCGGAGTCCTCGAGATGTGATTGCTGGATTCAAATTGGTTCAGGTCTTTTGTCGCAAGTACGCCCTTCAGCCACCTGTCGTTATGTACCATAAGTCCTTGCTGGTCAGAAGCCAATGTGAAGGCTACAGAAGTCGTCGACGAACTTTTTTTGTGAAATCCAGATAAATTTTTTATCTATTTGGTCTTTTTTAAGTTTGTTATCTTAAGTATGTATAACAAGCCTCCCACCATATTCTGTGTTCTTTATGTAATTATTACCTCAAATATGTAACTCTGTCAAGGATAACATCCTGTTCTTGATTAGTTCCTGGGCGACGTGTTTGGACTGGCGGCGAAGGCGAACTGAGGCTCTCGGTAGAAGACGTACTCGGTGTAATGTGCCCACCGCTGTTCCTCGAAGTCGCCCGAGTTGCGTTGGTTCATAAGTTCCTGGAAATGATTGTCAGACGGCGATATACAGTACGACACACTCAGGGTTAATGGTATTAGACATTGAGCAAACTCAGAAAAATGAAATCATCTCACGGAAAGCCAAGAACGATGGGCACGGTGAGAGTCAAAGAAAAGAAACCACTCGAGCAATAGTACGAAAACGGGTATCGGACAATATGTATTCAAAGGGGCGGTGGTAGAGAGTGTCATGTGCAATGTCATCTACTTTTGTATATTAAAGTGTATCATAATACATGAACCCTTGAATCATATACACCCTCTACTGCCACCCTTTCAATCGGTAGCTGTCCCTGATCGACCGAAGCCAAACCACGCCAAAACTTCGGTCGATTCGGAGACAGCCGGAAGAGAAGTGTACCAGACGGTACCAATTTGAGACAGTACCAAAAAGTCTTACATGCGGTCGCGGGTGGATCAGTTCTCCCTCCATGCCCTCTTTGGTACTGCCGGTCCAGATGTTTAGGGTCGTACGTGCTCTGCGAACACCGCCACTTAAAGTCGAAGCCACGGAAGAAGAGCCGGAGCCAGTCGTCTTCACGTTCTACTCAAAGTTACGGGTTAAAAATCCACAAAAACAGTACGACGGACAGTACGAGGGCCCACAGTATAGTAATTGAACAGAATTTTGTAGCTCTTTGGTCAAAAAGTTTGTAGAAATGCTCATTAAAATTATAAAAATCTGTCTAATAAGACCAAATACTGTTATATTATACCTTGTGCCGTACTGTGGACACTCGTACTAGATCAGCATTACCAACAGTACGAAAGGTACGACATGCTAGAACAGAAGCTGCCAAAGTAAAACGAAAAGTAAAGGCCAAGCACGACAGCACGTATACCACATGACGTACACAGACATACGATGGAAATACTCTCCGGAGACGGGTCCAGCTCAGACTACTGTAACATTCGACATTTTTGACTACGAGTGCCAGTTCAGAGTAAAACCGAGAAGATAATGTAAGCAAGAGTTACATTATCATTTAAAAGCATAGTAATCATTACATTGTAAATGTAAACATAGTAATCATTACCTTACAAATGTAAACGTAGTAATTACTATACTATAATGTACAATGTTATCTAAAAGCGTGCAAACTTAGAAAAACTGTCAAAATGAGTACGATTAGTTTGTGCTCTAAGCTTGCTGTCTCAGTGACTGCAAACCGTGAATGAAGCCATTTTCACACACAAATCTTGAATGTTACAGTACCAAAGCGTGCAATGACAAACATAAGACAAAGTCTCTTACCTGCTGTGTTTGATTTGTCTGATTCGGAGTGGGCGTCGCTAGACCATTGGCTCCACTTGAGCACGACGTGACCAGTTTGAAGCCTTTTTCTGCCAAATGATCGCATGCCTAAAGTAATGTCATATCATTACTGTACCTTCCACTCCTTTTACTAATCACTAAACGAATATTTACTTAACTTCAAAACATACTATAGTAGGTCGCCCTTAATGTCTAAAACAGTTTTATTCATCAAACATTTCACTTCCGCTCTATCGTATCTCACGCAATCGTAATTAAAGTTACCGTACCCTCTCGAGACATTGGTGTTTCAAGTAGAGCCGCGACGTGTAGCGCTCGATGCCTTCACGATCTGGATCTCGACTTTCGTTCAGAGTGTCGCCAAACACTTCGCGACATAACGCCGCCTTGCCGCATACCAATATACGATGTAACTTCCGGAACTTGACGTCAGCCTGACCGTCGCGGCCAAAAGCGAAAGTGCCGCGATACCCGAGAGTGATAAAGCCTCCTAAAATGAAGTTTTATTAATTAAATTAAATGTTTTTTTTTAATTTTTTATGAAGTTTGATGTTTAAAAAAAATTTTATCTGAACATGTTTTATCGTATGAAGTAGCCGCGCAGGCAGCAGCTTAATTCCCTCGACAGTTTCCTTCGCAGAATACATTCGAATGTCGTTTCCGTCTTTCGACTTCATAAAACAATACTTTCGAATGCATAAAGACGAGTCGCTTCATTATTATGTCAGTTTTGTTGATATATCTATATCAATATCCTCTCAGTCCAACTACTCTTTTACAACAATATATTTGTTCCTCAGTATCTGTATATTTACTGAAAGAAGCTTTTATTCCCTCGGGACTCGATTATAATGTCCATTAATCAAATAATCCTTTTTTAAATTTTCGGCAATTACTTTCTTTAACCCTCCCCCCCCCCTCTTAACGACATATCTAATGCGTCGTGTGAGTGATGGTCGTATATCGCCAAAGTTTTTTTAATTTTTGAAAAATGACTTTTAGTCAGAAGCGTTATTGTCACAGTAAACATAATACTATACTACCATAAGGACATGGTAAAAACGTTACTGTCTCAGTATATTACATTACACCCTGGCTAACGTAATATATTAATACAAAATTTACAGTAACTAAAGGTTAGTATAGTGGTAATACTAATGTAATTTACAAGGAAGGTACCCGACCTGCAACGCTCAGATTTTGTTCAAACTTTTTTTATTGAAAGATCACGTAAATGTAAGATCTTATGCAAAATTCTAAGTTGCGGTTTGCGGCAACTCTTGAGAAAACCGAGATCAAAAAATCGCGTTTTGAATTTCCCGCCAACTTGGCATAGTGTTGCAAGCTTTTAACTGTCAGTTTTTGACTTTTTAGCTTTTTTTTCTTTAATATAATGATAGAAAAGCTTCAAATAAACCTGCAATTTTAAATTTGTAAGCCTCTTATCTGGAACATCAAAAAAAGTGCTTGCAACAGAATGCTAAAGTTGCCAAATTGTCGGGAAATTTAAATATATTAATTTTAAAACTTAAAACCGCAAGCTAAGATTTTTTATATGTGCTACTGGTACTACAAAGAATCCGTATAAAAATTTTTAGTTAGTTCTGAGAGTTGCAGGTTGGTAGCTATTAACTATTTTTGTAATAAAATTTACAGTAACTGACCTTCGTATTCGTATGTTGTTTGACAACCTTTGTCATACGACATGTCAAAGATACTTCGAAAAATGACTTAGAATGATAATATGACAGTAATACTTATAGATTAACAAACCGTGTAGTCGATATTGTTTCAGACTACTTGAAAACAATTTACAGAGTAGTTAATAGCATTGAAAGTAAAGTCTACTCCCACCACAGCCTACTGCAATTTAATGACAAACTTAAGAAACTTAATAGTACGACAATCTCGAGTTCCATCTTTTAATTGAGTTTTATATGGCACATCGAGAGTCTCGCCCAGCCTTTACTTCGCACAAACATTTTACTTTCAGAGTAACGTTCTAGTCAAATTTGGATTTTTAAACAAAATAAAGGTAGTTTTGCAGTACGAAAATTGAATTTTATAGTACATAACTTATAGTTTAATCTAAAATAACTTAAATTTTACCTTAAAAGATGTCTCTTGTACTACTTAAGACCTAGTAATCTAATATTGGTACTTAAAAATTCATTTTTGAACCAAAACCATCTTTTCAAAATAAAAAATTACCATTTTCGAGTACAGTATTCCCGACCCCATTACTGTAGACTCCGTTTTTGCTGGGGTACTTGAGGCTGTAGTATGGTGCCAGTTGTTGTACTAGGCCGTTGATCTGATAGAACAGGGCTTCTTCCTTAAGACGTGCCACTTCTTTGAAGCGTTCTGGCAGCAGAATCTTACCGTTCCTCAGGTAGTCCAATACGAAAGCGAACAGTTCTCCATCACGGTCGACGAAGAACGATGAAGCGTCTAATCTACACACAACTTGCCGCCAATGGTCTGGCAATGCTGTTAGATCGTCTGTCTAAAAAAGGTATTGTAGTCATGAGAGTTAAAGACACGTTATGGTAACTCGCTATTAAGATAGTGACTACAGTAAACCTCAGGTATGCTTCGCAGCTTCCCAGTACCAAATTCCAAAAAAAGTATTTTTAAAAAATATTACCTGAATTAGTAGCCCAAAAAACGAATCCGGCTCTCTGTTCAGAAGTGTGCCTTTCGTCGTCGCAAAGCTTCGGCCGCCCACATTCAGCTGGACTAGCTCGCTCTCGTCGACCATCGCTTGACTGTTTTCCCCCACCTCGACCAAAGCCCAGTCCTCGGCCCCTAGCCAGTCGGTTCGCTCGTTGAAGAGTCGCTCGATCCACTGACTTTTGGCTTTCTTCTGCTCTGAAACGCGACAGAATGAGATGACATCTGGTAATAAAAGGGGCCGAAGACCGCTTCCCTTCATGTACTTTGGTAATAAACGTTCGGTTGGCATAGAACATGACATTTCATAAAATATGACATTTCAAGTTTGGCTGTGAAGATGGTGGCAGTAAAGGGGGGGGGGGGAAGGTTATGTGAGCAGTGAATGATGATGGGGTGGGAGACAGTGTGTAGAGTCAAATATGTAACTTTTGAACATAAAAACGACACATTAAGTATAAATAAGATGGCAGAGTTAGGGTTCCAGACAAAAGACATTATAAATGATGACATACTTAACTATTGGCCGCAAGAAATGACATAAAACAGCACATTTAAAGGTTCGAAACAATCATGGTTTACACATGAAGAATAAGCAATAAATAATAAAAAATAATTTTGGTCCAAAAGTAAATAGAACTACCAAAACTTTTCAAATTTAAAAAACGTTCTACCTACTTTCAGACCAAACTAATAACTTTCGAAAACAAAATGACATTTAGACCCTAAGGCATAAAGAAAGGACATTGTAACTTAAAGATGACATCTCTAGATGACATTGCCTTTCTTTTGTCATAAATAACACGATTAAAAGGGAATTAGCATAACGTGGCCTTTAAATGGTATTCGGGTCGGTTTGGCCTCCGGAATACACAATGTTAAGAAATAACAATTTAACTTTACTCGAAAACAAATTTACACAAGCAAAGTCTGAATCTGTAAACACAAAATTCAAAAATTGTCTCTGGAGTTCGAACTCTTTTAAATTTAAAAATATTTTAAAGTTTAAACTTTTAAATAAAAAAAATGATAAAATACTGAAAAGCGGAGTAACCCCAAAGCAAACGTGATAGTACTTAAACCCCCAGTCCAGTCCACTTAAGACAAAAGGAAATTGAAAGGCATCATGCCCCGAGGCCATGAAAAGTGGCGCCAAACAGGAAATGCGGAAAAACGTCAAAATAACGCCAAAGCCAAGATGTATATCCATTTTGCAAACAACTCCGTTCTAACATTGTTTTGTCGCCGCCAGAATTAAACCGCGCATTAACCCAATAAGAACGTCGATACCACGATAAACATATGGTGATGAGACATACATGATATAAACATACAATACATGAACGTGTAGGTGTCTATATTTATATCGTCGATAGTTTACATACTTTTCTGCTCTACATTTACAACTGTACTCATTGTAGTCAACAAATCCATAGAAACAAGCCTTCTGGTGTAATATTAGGTTGTTTAGATAATTCTGAGCTCTCTCTCAAAGCAAATTTTCGAGGTTAGGGAGCACAGAATTATTTGAACAACCAAATATGTTGCTTTCTATTACAAAGTAGTGAAACACATGTTTACCATTAACCGTATAAATGTTAATGTAATGTACATGTAGGCATACCCCAATGTACGTGTAGACATACCCCAATCTACATGTAAACGTACCTCAACCTATAAAAAAGTCATTTTCGAGTAATTTAGAAGCCGAAACTTTGTGAAGCAAGCACGCTGAGGCAAGAAGCCGTTCCGCCCTCTTGAACCCATAATTAGAAGTCCTCGTTTATGTCTTGAGGCATTCTTGGGGACACATTAATTGGCAACAGCATTTCCGGCCATTTTATTGATTAAGGCTAGCCAGTTCGCTTTCGAAATTTAAATTTTCACAAATTAAATTTTACCAAAATTTTAAAATTTAAATTTAAAAAACTTTAAAATATTCGAAATTAATCAAATTACTGGTCAAAAAGTGCGCAGAATCTCAGCCAGACACAGCGATTTATGGCCCAAGCTTTAGAATTTTTGTTCGGGAACGACCGCTCGCTAGCGTCACAGAATAGAAATGCTGATCGCCTACGTGCCAAAGCTAAGACTGAATCCCACGCCAGAAGAACTGATACATTGTACTTCTACTGATTTGCATATCTCTTGTTGTACTTGTTTAGCGACCGGTATAAAAGCCCGGTCGCGTACTGAATAAACCAGTCTACTTTCAAGATCAGTTTAGTGTCGGGTCGCTTTGGGGAAACCTCTGAGACCGCGACAATTTTAATAAAATTAAAAAGAATTGCAGAAAAGCGACTGGCTGAACCATAAAAACCGAGAAATGTCAAGGTAATTAATTAATCGAGAGTGTCACGACATCACGTGCTACGGGGCGGGGGACCAGGTTCTGATGCTAGACGGTATAATTGGCTTTACAATTACTCGGATATACTTTAAAACACTGATAAGATAAATTATACTAATTGATAACATTAAACGACAAACACTGTTGATAGCTACCTATTTATACAAAGGTGGCACAATTTGAATAAGTACTTTATACAGTAGAATACAAGTCAAATAATAAAACCTTCCTTCATATCTTATTAATAACATACAGTACCTAACACAAGATCGTAAAACGATACCATACCTTAAGTTACAATAATAAAAGTTGCAGTTTTCCTCTTATAATACCAAAACCAAACATTATGTTACAATGGCAAAAGTTACCATCGAAGACATTCCGTAGGATCATCAAATACGAGTACACATCGCTAGCCAAGAACGAAAACAAGTTAAGTATTAGTGGAAGAAGAAGAGTGCCGTGTCGGAAAACAAAAATAAGGCCCTAGAATACTTGTTTTTACCACGGTAAACCCAACATACGACCATCTTGACTCGGAATCCCTGCACTTATAGTGTCAGACTACTGTAACTTTTGACATTTTAAAACTGTCGTTCTTTATAAAACGTCAAGTTTAAAGACGTAGATTACTGTGAATTGTCATACTGTAACTTTATCTTCTAAATTATAATAGATACTGTAAGATAACACTAACTAACATACCTACATACCAAGTAATACCCGCGTAAATACCAAGATATATACCTCCTAGCACTATTCCAATATCTAGACAACTAATACTGTAGCTATTTAGGTATTAAAACAAGCCAAAAGCCATATTGTTATACGAGATGGAAAAGACTTTCGAACCGCGAGTACTTTAAATGCAAAAACATATAAATTGTGTTCGTGCTCGTCTTTCAGTACTCGAATTTCCAAGTGTTTTTGGGTATTTTAATGGTAAAAGAGTGCACAACAAGATACGAAATTCTAAGCCTTCCGAATATGCAAATGACAGCCAAGGTAAACAAAACAGTGCCCGAGGCTAATTTGCAGAAATAACACAATCGTCATGACATTAAATAATTGTCATCATGACAACTTTAAAAGATGATTTGACAATTACTGTTGCAAGAAGCTGTCGTAGTAATTACAGCAAAGTACAACAATTACTTTGATGTTAAAAGCACAAAAAACACTTGACCATCCCTTATCAAATCATAGAAAAAAATACCAAAAGAGCAGCAAAAAGACATACGAATACAGCAAAGTAATCGTATATACATCAAAATAACCGAACTAACATGCATCTACCCATACATAGTAACTAGTTGTCACCATGTTCTACGTTGTTTATGACATGTTACACTCACCTGTCGAATTCACAGCGCTGTTATTGTTGTCAAGGATCTGAAAATACGACTATGATACGAAGTAGCATCATAAAGTAAAAATTAATGCTAAATATGGCCAAAAATTAAATTTTTAATATCTAAAACAAAACAATCTATGTTAAAACATCGTTCAAAGTATAATTATACGTTAGAAATAAACAACAACATATAATTATACGTTAAGATACGACCCATATCTATCATAATATACCAAAAAAGTAATATTAAACAAGACTACTATGTCACCACCATCAAGTAGTATTTGTCAAAAGTAATATGGCAAACTGTAACTTAATCGACCGTCACGAAACCCGCGGTCACGCTTATTACATTTGCATATTTCCGGTGTAAAGTAAGGTTGTAACATACATCGAAAGATACAATTTGCGTACGTCAGACGAGGTTAACCATGGCATAAAATAAATGACATGGACCACATCATCTTTAATAGAGACGACAAGTGTAGTAAATTATGTAAAGATATGTAGTATACCTATACATATATCTATAGACATGTATATATAATAACTCATTTTTCTGCTTATTTTTTGACCTAACCGTTCTACTCCTGAACCTTCTCATACTCAACATTAACCTACATTTACTTCCGTCTCCTTTTGTTGCAAATGTTGCTGAAGTTGCGGATGTTGCTCAGGATAGTCGTCGTCTTCCTCTTCTTCTATCAGTCTCTCCTCTCTCCGCAGTCTCTCTTCCTCCTCTAGCAGCCTCTCCTCTTCCAATAGTCTCTCATCCTCCAGCAGCACCAGATTACTCAGTTCTGTCTGAACAGCGACTTCCTGACTTCTGGCACTGTCAAAGTGTTCTGTCGCTCTCTTCACAGCCTGCTCACGGAACGAGCTTCTGGACTGGCTACCGACTCGACTCAGCGACGAACTGCGACGCGACGATGGGCTTTTAGAGCTCTTGGAAGAAGTGCGATGACTGGATTCTGAATTTTCTGATTATGGTACTATAGTTAATATACTTAACTTATCTACCAAATTTACTTTTAAAAAGTTATAATACCATTATCAACATATTCCCTACTTCGTATCTTCACATCTTACAATCCCAACCCCGAAAAGATATATTTTGGCCAGAATGCCACTTCCAAACATGTGCATACTCATACATAATACTCAAATAAACACATAATACCTAAAAATACTCCCAGGATGTCATCATTACGGGCACGTCTACGAACTACAGAGTAAATATAGCTGTTTACCTCGGTTGACGATGGGCGGTAATGTCCGTATGTGTCTGTGTTTGGCGTCAATGTTCGGGTCATCAGCGAGATTAAACGTAACCGAAGAGGCAGAAGTGGTCGAAGCGTGACGCAGCAGCTTGTTCTTACCTAAACATAATCTGTTAGCTGCAATTACTGTCAGATTAACAACAATAACGGTTTTGTAGTATTACTACGACACATGTCGTTACTGAGTAATGTATCACCGTTTACATTGTTGTACATGTAATTGAGAAATGAAGACAAGAAGATATTATAGACAACACTTTCAATAGACCACTTTAGAAATCCTACACAGTAAAGTAAGGTTAAAATCACATACATACCATAATATACTGTGATATACTACAACATACGTTATTAACAAAAATAAGACCTAAAATAATATAAAAACATCATAATAAAGCAATCAAACAACCTACTAGCACTCTTTCCATTACTTTTGGTCCCGTTCACGGTACCATTTACAATCCCATTGGGAGCACCGTTCTGATAGTCAAACGACGTCGAGTAGGGTCCCTTCTTGCGTACCAGAGTACCATTAGACTTGCCGTTTGTCCTGACAGTCGTCCCATTGGCTAGCCGTGGACCCGAGCCACGCCTCAGAATCGAGCTAGTCTGTGCTGGAATGGTGAATAGTGGACTGGAGCGGTTGGAGCTGATTTCAGGCAAAAATGAAGCGTTGGAAGACTGTCGCGATACTGCAAAGTATATTATAGTATTTATCATATATTTATGTTATAGTAGATATAAAGTTGACTATAAAGTAAGTTTTTTTGTAAAAGTATTGAGATTATCTATGTTAAAGTGTAATAAGTATTATAAATAAACGTTTAATGACTTCATACTTAATATTATAGGTATAGCACTTGTGCTGGATATTATATTTATTTTTAGTCCACTTTATATGAAAAACTGAAAATTATTTTAAAAAAACTTTTTAAAGTGCTTACTTCCGCAGTAAAACTCCATTCTTCAAAAAAAATGATTTTAAAAATTAACGTTTTATAACACAGTAGTCAATTCCAAGTTAAACTGTCATATCTTTTACTTTTGCGCTTCAAAAACCAACAAAAAATTTTAAATTATTTTTTAATATTTTTAACGCAAAATCTGATTCTTTAAATCATAAATAAAACTGGCGACGATTTATTGTCAGCAACGAGTTTGTACAAGCCAACACGATAGTGCAATAAAAGTTATTTTTACATTAAAATTTGATTCTACTGAACCTACGCCTGTTTTTACATGTGACATTACATTCAAGCACTTTCAAAGCCAAACTTTTAAATTAAAATATATCGCGACATTACCTTCCCAATGACAATACATTTCAGAACCCCTCCCAATGACAATACCTGACTTATATATAACAACACTTACTTCGTTCGCTGTAAAACAAATCGGTGAAGCCGGCTGGATGGACGTGTCTGCGCAGCTGAAGATCGGAGTCGGCTCGGCGGAAAGGTGTCGTCGGACTGCTCTGAAGATGGCCGTAATGAGACCTGGCCCAATTTGGCCTCATTCGAATCCCTCGAGGCCCCCACCTCAACAAGGATCCTAATTGAGGACAGACATCGTCAACTTGAAAGTAATGACAACAACAGATTAGCGACTCTTCCCGAATTACCACCTTCTTATAGGTAAGCTACGTGTAATCAAAACAAATTTAAATGTACAATAACTAGATAGATTAAATATAATTATGTAATAATTACATTTTTTCCTATATATACTTTAGTTTAACATAAAACAGCCTAAATGATAATAAAGTAAAACAGTGATAAAACAAAACTATTGTAAATTATCACCTTACAGTACAACATTTTACAGTAATAAACCAAAAATGTAATCTTACATTACTGCCAGTGTAGATGTAGTTGTGCCGTACGTCTGCCGCCTCCTCCTTCCCCGTCCTCTCTTCCTCGTCGCCCGTAACTCCGGAACTGTAGGCAGATGATGTAGACGCCGTTGAAGGCAGTTTCGTTCGAACGTGTTGGCGAAAAATTTTGACTAGAATTACAGTACGTACGAGAGTTACAGTATACCGTTGCAGTAAAATGGCATTGTGTAAATCACGCAAAACAATTATAAATGGCAAAGTAAAAAAAGAGGACATTAAGGATGCATTGTTATTCCAAAGTAAAAGTTAACATTTGAAAACAAAATTGTATCCTTTGGTCCGATTTATATGAAAAACTAAAAATTACGGTAGTTCTGGTAACTTTTTGACCGTAATTAGACAAATTAAAACTAAATTACTTTGATATTACTGAGTAAAGTATAATTATTTTAACAATAACACAACATATGTACAAAAGGTCAAAGTAATCGACAACATACCACTCTCATCTGAACTCGTACTATCAAGTACTTGTACAAATTACCCACAATTAACTCAAACACTTAATGACATAGTAATCTCGCATGTCATCATTATACTATATAGTTCCTTAATCTAATATTACGTGGTATGATCTGTAATAAACAGTAATTAAGCCATAGTAATGTAAAAGAGTAAATACTTACAGACGTAGTAGCACAACTTATCACAATATCAGTTTTGGTCAAGAATTACACAGAAAAAATGTTGAAATAAACAAAAAGTGGGCAAAAAAGCCAATTCTACATACAAAATTTTTGACCATATTGAAACCCTTACAATATAAAACACATCTAACGACAATTGTTTACCACGTATTAAGATAGTGTATCACTGTACATTAACTATGAAAAAGAAGTAGGAGAGGAAATTACATATTCCCTCTACCAACAACAACCCTTACCGTGAAGTAAATCCATTTCTTTACAAATAAATGTGAAAGTGTAATTGTGAAAAGAAAGTCATTAACTCATATTATCCATGACGCTGTCTATAACAATACTTGTTGATATCATTTGTGGACGTTGGCGATAGACAAAAACAAAAAAAAGATACCAAGAAGGACAAGATATTAACAGATGTATATACAGCTGTTTTTTAACATAAAAAAGATAAAAAAATAACAAGAAAGTGTATACACTAGTGCAACATAACATTATGATAACCATAAACAGATAGAAATAGCCAAGAATAACATATGAAACATCCAAAAGAATACTGATGCAGAAAGAACACGATCAGCGACATGTACTCTGTGTTCATCAACCATCCAAAGTACAATCATGGGTTCGCAGTAACCCTACATTATACCAATGTCACGCAAACAAATCCACGTAATTAAACACACTTTGAAGCCGGCTTCGTTCCGCTTTCTCGAATTCACCTGTTCTAAATTTACATTTATTCGACATTACATTACTCGATTACAGCCACAATCTCGGACTCCTTGTAGACGAACAGTTGCTGACCATCTAACTTTACTTTCTGACCGCCGTGAAGAGGCAGAATCACTCGGTCGCCGGCCTTCAGCTGGTTCGGAATCACATTACCTAAAACAAGAAGACGGTTAAGTACATATAGAACATAACATATACATCAAAAAGCTGGAAAAACGTAAAAAATAAACTTTAAACATATTTACAACAGTTTTAAATAGCATTTTTCAAGCTTTTCGACCAAAAAAAACATAAAAACTAAGATAACATAAAGTTATATATTGCCACAGCAAAACCATAAAAATTAAAAATATTATTTAACTTTACAGTAAAATTGGCAATATAAAACAAGATATTAAAAGGAAGGCCACATTAACATCCAAAAATACTGTTAAACGACTACTGCTCAGCACCTTCGGAGTAATTAGATTACTTTGGAAAATAAAATTCAGCACATTATTTATGTTCATGACATATGCACGTGTAACAAACAACCGACATATTACACTGCAAAATGTCAAAATAAAAAAAACTGTCTTGTGAGGTCGAAAAGTGTATAGAAACATCAAAATATAAAATGTGCTGTAATTAAGTATTCTAAGGGTTTTTTTATTAAAACATTTTATTTTAGGTCACAATCAGGGCCGGGCGCGAGGGGTACCCCCCCCCCAGAAAAAAATTTTCGAAAAATTTGAACGTGGTCCCCCCTGTGGATTTTTGGAAAAAAATTTTCGCAAAAAATTTGGACGCCCGCCCCTGGTCACAATTGTCGTAGAAATAAACATATACCACAACAATCAAAGAAACAAACAATTTACCTGACTCGCTTCTGGCGCCTCTACCAACGGCTACAATAATACCATCGTGGAATTGATCAGTTTGGGACTCTGGCAACATGATACCACCGGCTGTCTGCGACTTTGGCGCCATTCGACGAACAAACACACGATCGAACAACGGCTTCAGGGCCGGAACGGCTTCGCTGCGACGCAAAACGGAGAGGAACATTATTTTAGACACGCAATTCCAACAATAACAATTTGCCACAAAATGAGACGAAAATGACACTTTATTCAAATTGAAGCGACGATTTATTTGATTTTATTCATATTTTTGTCTTTCAATTTAATTTCAGACCTTTATTCCAAATAAACAAAAACCCAAAATATAGCAGAATGCCACTATTGATTATACTTTCAAAATCTTATTGTCAAACGAGAAACTTGACAATTCGAACCAGCCATCCATACTTGAACACTTTACCTTGTCGTCGATGTCGTACTTCTGTTACATATGCCTCCATCAGTAAAATCACACAAGATACGGCGATTACAACTGAACATACGATGAAAAGACCACAGTAAGGTAAGATACGAAGAGGAGTTGGAGCCAAAGATCGTGTACAATACTGATTTTTGAGTTTTCGCGACAAGTTTTTGTACTTGTTTATAATTCTGAGGATATGAGCTTGGTTTTCGGTAATGGCTTGGTTAAATAATGGCAAAAGGGGGTGGTTTTTTCTGAAAATATTATAGTATATTTACATTATTGAAAACAACTTCTTTTGTATTTTATTTTAGACTTATAATTAGGGTCAATGGTAAGCTTCCTAAGCTTTAACCAGATCTTAATTTTATTATATTATCTATGTCATCTCTCCGTACCAAACCCACCGTACCTGAACAGCAAGTGACCGGTCACAGTCGGCATTTCTACCGTAATTTCCATTATGTTACAATAAGTAAGTGTCGCAAACTTGGTATCTTCGTCGTCTTGTACGAAAGATACGAAGTTGCCCGTACTGACCTTCCTCATCGTCGTATCAGTAGTGTTAATGTACCGTAGCGGGTTCCTTTCCAAGGCCAATCGTATCTCCTTGTAGATGTATTCGTCAGACTGTGATATCTTCTCGTAGAACCATGTCTCTGGGCGAGCGGCTATCATAGTCAGCTGTCCATCTCGTACTCGCTTTATCAGTACTTCAATCTTTTCTATCGGAGTTTCTATGGTTTCAGTTATGATGCTCGATAGTATCCACGTGCTGAACACACCCAAGAGAACTGCACACTGAACTAATGAGAACAATAAGATTGATACTCGTCCTAAAAGTTTATCTATAGACTAAATCCTTCCAAAAGCTAAGAGTATACATAACAAACAAGAATACAACTACACCATTGCTCATTTTACTGTATCTAACCTGCCAAGCTTTTGAAGTAAATCTTTTCTGGCTGCATTAATTGTAACCTCAGCATTTGCCACGAACTCTATAATACTATTGTATAGAACATAACATAAGACAAATTGCATACCTCAAACAGTGTAATAGGCTTCTGTTTGGTAAAGTGAGCTTCGATGTATCTTACACACGTACATACGATGATTTGCAGTATCAAAGCTGTGAGTATCGCTAACCAAGTACTAGACGAGTAAGTACCAAAGAAACTCCAGACATTGTTTGAAAGGGTCAGATCTTTGCTGACAATCATACTGGTGTCAGTCTGGTGATGATCATAGTAAGTTCGAATAATAAATAAAGTACAAAAGATAACACGGAATACAGTACCATAGCACTTACATGATACATTTCCCGGCTAAAGTCGAACCACTTTAAGCGATGATTTGTTATTTGAAACGGCGACGCTATTAGATCTACTGTACCATTATAAAGATACTGTAACTCTCCGTTCGGTTTTCCTTCCTTGTCTATTAAAGCTTTACGCAATAAACTCTGTTTCAGGTCAACATCTTCGATGACTGGTTCAAGTGTAATATTCATGTGTGAGGCTAGATCGTTCAAGATCTAAAATTGGTTACGCATATACCACAAAACATGTCTCTAACCTAAAGAAACTACAACTTTTAACATTATTTTATTAAAACATGTCCACTTATATTGTAATGCTCTATTTCAATATAATTTTTTTGAACTACCTACTTCAACCATGAATCCAGGGTAAACACAGTTCTTGGAGGCATGTAATGTCGGGAACTCCCTACAGTCCATGTGATTTACTGAAGGAAATATTGGAGGGTAGAAAACCTTGACCGTATTCATTTTCATATTACATTCTTTATAAAAGTCCGTGTGGTTATATACACCTACATGTTGACACAAGAATAAGATATTACCTTAATACTCTACAACGACCAGGCTGGAATAAACAATATACTTTTCGAATATTTTCAATTCAATTTTGCACTATCTTTCATTTTATACTGTTATGAAAGTTTAAATTAAAAAATCCAACTTAACCAAAAGACAACAAAACATAAACCATTTTAATTCAGCAATACAACCAACATCGACAATACTTATCAACCGTTTATTTAAGGCAAACGTTATAAGTGAACACAAGAAACGCTAACGTCTCACATCAGGAATGCGCCAGATAGATTTAAATTATATAAGATAATAAATTAGATCTACAATAAAAGCGAAATATATAGATCAAAGACTCATTCCGGTCATTCAAAGGCTTAGTTGTCTCGGAACTTGTTGAGGAGAGAGTTGAGGATCTCGGAGTGGGAGATTTCGGACTCGTCACTAGCCTAAAACAATAAGTTAGTTAATAAAATTTGATAAAATAGGAAATATTAGGTCAGTACAACATAAAAATCAACCCAAGAACAAATAAAAATCAAAATTTTTTTAAAATTATTAGTCATGAAGTGCTAGTTTACCTGGATTTGAAGGAATTTAGCGGTTCCGAGAGCTTGTTTAATGGCTGAAGCAGAAGAAGCATACACCATCTTCTTCTTGATCGAAGCACCATCAGGACACAGCTAAAACATAAAAATTTAATGTTTAAACTTTTAAAATACTTTAAACACTATTACAATATCAAACGGATGACTAATCAAACAAAATTAAAAACAAGAAACCTAAATTACATGAAAGATTTATTTTTTATCACAATTTGATACCCTACTAAAAGAAAAACACTGCTATCATTAAACTTTACTTACCTGAATGAAGATAATCTTGTCGACCTTGGAGATTCCAGCTCCTGGACGTGGACAAGTGAACTTGAAGTCGAAGACGGCGTACCTACAGTCCTCGTAGTTGGTGGTTCTGTCCTTCAAATCCTTGACAAATTGCTCGTAAGCAGCTTTCGAGTTGTCGTCGTGGTCATCTCCGGTGACACCTAACTGAAAAAAGATGATTAATGTAACCTCAATATGCTTTTCTCTATTTTTGAAAGACCTAAGCAGTTTAAAACATTTATATGCTTAGAAATCTTCGTAAGTTCGTTATAAAACATGTTTAGACCCGCAATAAAACAAACCATCTTCAAACCTAAAACAAGAAAATAAAACACAACAAAACTTACGTCTTCGGGAGTGACGGCAGATTCGACGACAACATCCTTTCCTTCAATTTTGTAGATGATGTAGCGGAGAGAACGTTTGCCTTCAGACAACTGTTGGAAGGTGGTTTGGCAGTCAGCGTGCACATTAACTCCGGAACTCATCTTGCAGAAGCTGTAAAGAACACATTAATCACACAATAAAACGATCGCTATAAAACGGTAGAATCATGACACATAGTATCCTCGAAGAAGCATATTACATTCCTTTCCAAAGACAATTCCCAGTCAAATACCCAACCGTGAGCTTCAGAGAACGAACGAAGATGCTGAATTAAGTTCAGATCCCCATCTAGAACAAGAATTGAATAAGGAAAGGGGACGCGTTTGAATCAGGATGAGTCAGAGGCCAGACAAGTGCGTTCCGAGCGAAAATGGAAAGAATAAAACGAACGGAGCGAGAGAACGCGGCGATTTGAGAGACGGTCAAACAGTATGGAACAAATTACAGAAGCGCGCAAAGAATGGGCGGCACAGAGACGACAGAAAGCCACAGAACATGACTAAATCCGGCATCCAGTTTACGCTTGGTCAGAATAAACATTAAGTCCAACTAAAACTTCCAAAATGTTGAATATTCGAACATAAAATGATAAAACAGTTGAACTATGAAGAAAAAATGAGAAAATTAATGAACTTTATTGCATGAACAACAACACGTTCAAGAAACCGAATTCTCAGAAGTTTATGTTGACCATAAGAACTTGAAACAAACCGAATTTCATACAAACATATTAAAGTTAATCATATAGTTCATCCCTAACGACGTTTTACAAAGACTGACCACTGAAAAAACGCCCCTCTCTTCAAAAACTACTGCTTTCTTTTTCCACACGAACGCTCACCGAACGCGTGCGATCAACTAGAATAGGAAAAATATTCCCACAAAAACAACGAGACAGGTTATACGACTAAACATGCCCAAACATAAAATTGCGCGCGAAGCAAAAACTTAAGGATTGATAAATTTCATTACTTGTTTTTATGAATTTCACCGTGAACATGCTTTTCGGAAGCACATCGTCTCTTGGCTTTTTGCAGATCAGTCAAATTGTGAGGCACCCATTTGTCCAACTTTTTGACCATACCCATTGCCTTCAAATGATCACCAATGGTACTTTTTCCACAGTTTAGTAACTCTTCTAACTCCCGGATTGTAATATGTGGGTCATCTTCAATCTTGCGCCTCAGGGCATCTTTGTCAAGTTTGCTGGGTCTTCCTGCACGTGGTTTGTCTTCAAGCTTCTCATCGTCCACACGAAACTTTGCGAACCATCTGGTCACCGTAGCATAACTCACAACATTCTTACCCTCATTTTCGTTTATGATTCTGAAGGTTTCTGCCGCAGTATTTCCGCGTTTGAATTCATTCCATATAATCACGCGCAGGCGAGATTTCTCCATTTTTTTTCTAATACCTAAAACAATACAAAAAAATGAAATTAAGTTATGTAACTTACCTTTTTGAATAATTTAGGTAACAAACAAACAAACAAACAAAAAAAGAATTTTTTCTTTCCGTCAAGAAATAAATTTTTCCTGATTTTTCAAAGTTTACCTACTCAAATATTGCAGAACTTTCCGGACAACCTAATAGAAAATATTCCCACAAAAACAACGAGACAGGTTATACGACTAAACATGCCCAAACATAAAATTGCGCGCGAAGCAAAAACTTAAGGATTGATAAATTTCATTACTTGTTTTTATGAATTTCACCGTGAACACGCCATTTTAAAAATAATTATACTCCAAAGAATTTGCTGAATATAAAACGATAAATACTTCCCTATTTATTAATAAACACCATCGTATATAAAGCTTTATAATATAATACAAGTGTTAAATATTTGATATAATGATCGCTACATCGAGAGAACAATACTCTTCTTGGTCTGTTCATCAATGGCTGCCTTTTTCCATAACTTTCCATCTTTTAAAACATCAAATCGACCATGACATTTACCACAACACTTCGTGGTAATATCGACTGATGGGGAGTGACGTCTCACTCTGAAATGTTTATAACAGTTAGTGTCCTTTACAGTTGAATAAATAAACGTATTATTCAGGCTAAAGCGCTTAAAAACTTACTTTCCACCGCATTCTTGACATACGTACTCGTACTTGTAGTAAATTTCATAGTTATGTCGCGTTGTAATTGGTGGTATCAATGGAAATACTTTAGAAACATGCTTGGCCCTGAAATCAACGACACATAAAGTCTTTTACATAAATAAGATCACTTATTCTGTCAAAAAATATATTATTGCTGTTTTTACCATTGTTTGAAGTATCTCCCATGCCCTTCCTTCACGTTGTTTATTCTTCTCACAGCACAATGACACACTTCATGTAGTAATGTGTTTCTCAGACGTTCCCCTGATGTCAGGACCTTAGTTGCTAGCTTCACGAGGTCTTGATCGCCCTTTCCGGATGATGAGTAATATTGGCCAGCAGTTTTGCGAAGCCTGGCGTTCCATTCGTATTCCAACTTTGGAAGCTGAAAAATAATTTTTTCAATTATTTTAAAGGCCGAATATTGTTTAAAATACCATAGATAAACTGCGGTAAAATATGTTAAAACCACCATATGGTAGAGAATACGTGTGAAATGACTGACCCTTCGATCAAAGATTCGACGATTGAATATCTCCATCAACTTCACAACAATGTCGTCCCTGTTCCTACCAGTGATCATTTGGCCTGTTAGCGATAGCAAGTAAGCTTCATCCTTATCCGAACCTGAAGATATTCATGAATAATATAGACAACATTAACCATAGCCAGAATCACACGTTATAATCAGACAAATAAAAAACCAACTTTTTTTTGGTGATTTCCGTTTAGACGGGTCGATCTCATCCACCTCATCTGAATCCTCGTAGTCCTCTTCTAGATCGGAATCAGATTCTCCATTGGTTTCCCCTTTGTCAGATTCATTTTGAGATTTGTTTTCTTTATCCACCACAAGTTCGAAGTCACTGTCATCTAACACAACTCGTCTTGTTGGAGTTCTTTGAGACTTTGAAGTTCGCTCTGCCTTTTCCTTCGTGATACTCATCTTCTTCACATTTTCAATTACAGAATCTTCTTCTTGTACCGTGATGTTTCTCGACTCAGTCACAGTTTCGTCTCCAGATTCATGGACAACCGTAGTCTCGTTGACAGAGCTATCAACATTACTTTCATTACAAGATTCTTCAACTACAGTAGTTTGCTCTACATCTTCATCAGCTACAGTACTATAGTCAACAGTTGTAGCGGCATCATCACCAAAACTGTCAATACTTGTTTCAATGTTTGATGTACTGTACGTAGTAGAATCGACGAAACTGAACTCTTCTGGATTTAGCAGTCTACCGTGACACTTCTCTATCAGCTCTAGGTCCTTTTCCACTACATCGTCCTCAAAATCAGAAGCATCACTTGCCCATACAAAGCTGCCTTCTACTGACAATGAAGACATAAACGAAGCATGAGATGCTTCCAGATCTTCAGACACTTCTAGTTCTGAAAATATTGTTATTCACGGCTCACACAGTTGCGCAATACAAATTATTAAAATAAGTCACCTATTGCTTCACCATTTTGTTGATCAGAATCTTCAACATCGTCTCCTTCGTAACTTTTCCTGTAAGTATCTTCGTCTTCTTCTTCTGAATCTTCCTTCTCCTCCTCGTCTACCGCAAGTGCTTCCTCATCAATCACATTATCTTCATTTGTATCGCGATGTTCCGTAGACAAAGCTTGAGAAAACGAAGGATAAGATGAAACAATTCCTTGAGAAACACTTGATTCTAAAATTTCAATATAGCTATAGTACTATGAATAAAACAAACAATATTATAAAACCAAGCCTTTAGTAAAAAAACATAAAATCTTACTTTTCTTAAGCGTTGCTCGTTTCGACGAGTCGACATCTGAATCCTCGTAATCTTCTGAATCAGAGTCAAATTCACCGTTAGTCCTTTCCTTATCAATTTCATCTTGAGATATGTTCTCCTTGCCATCTACAAGATCGAATTCACTGTCATCTAGAACTGTTCTTGTTGAAGTTCTTTCTGATTCCAAAGTTCGGTTCGTCTTATCCATTGTGATACTCATCTTCCTCACGCTGTCAATTAACGACTCTTCTTCTTGTATCGTAATGTTTGTAGATTCATCCAAAGATTCCTCTTCAGATTCACAGCCCACGGTATCTTCGTTGACGGATCCGTCAACAACATGAGTCTGATTATCGGATTCTTCAGATGTGATACTTCGGTTTGAATCTTCGTCGACCACAGTACTATCGTTAACAATCTTAGCAGCCTCATCTCCAAAGCTGTCAATACTTGATTCAATAAGCTTCGAAGTACTGTAAGTAGAAGAATTAACAAAGCTAAACCCTTCTGGATGTAAAAGTCTCTCGTGACACTTCTCTATCAGCTCTAGATCCTTTTCAACTAAATCGTCTTCGAAATCAGAAGCATCACTCGCCCATACGAAGCTGCCTTCAACCGGCAGTGAAGACATAAAGGACGCATGAGATACTGCGAGATCTTTAGACACCTCTACTTCTGGAAATAGTATAATTAACGCTAAGCAAGGTAATTTATGTTAATGATGATACTTGAGGTGATCTTATAAATTACCTGTCGCTACATCATGTTGTTGATCAGAATCATCACCACCCTCTTTTGTAAAGCTTTTACGGTATGTTTCTTCCTCTTCTTTTAAATCTTCGTCCTCTTGGAACTGTTCTGCTTCGTTAGTAGTTTTATTTTCATATGTAACATCATGTACTGTGGACAATGAGGTAGACTTTGTATGCCTATCAACTTCAGAATGACATTCTTTTTCTGCACTCTTCTCATCTGTCGTTTTCGGTAAAACTGAGATCCTAGTAGAATTCAGAAACTCGCCTTCACAAAAGTTAATTTCCTTCCCAAACGACAACTTATGGCGCGGCAGCAACGACACTCGTTCTAAAACATAAAATACGTATACTAATGTCAAAAACTTCCACAAAACAACTAAAAAATATAAAGGAAACTTACTTCCACTAGCATTTGATACTCGTTTAACAACCAGCTTCTTCGTCGTTCCCCCGGCAGACAAGATTTGTTGCAGGCGAAACCTCTGCGCTTTGTTGTCAAGCATCTTTGGTCTCAAGGTAGTCGCAAAAGTTGGGACGGGAATTCTAGATTTGAAGCCACCTAAACAACAAAAATAACAATGTGTTATTCAACGTACCCTTCTCATTCTTCTTCTCATTTGTCTTACTAGATTTAGACCCTTGATCCACTTTGTCCATGTCAATACGACTTGGACTCTCAACTGAATCGTAAAATTCAGCAAAAGAGCTGTCATCTGTAAGTTCTGGAGCTCCTGCAATATTTGTTCGCTTTTTACTCACTCCACATTATACAAAAATCTTCAGAATAGCTATATTTGACACGTAACTTACTTTTAGAGCAACAGCTTTCATCGTCTGTTAACATGTGACTGTAAAAATCATCAGAATCCAAGTTAGTTGGCTTCACGGGCATTGATAACAAAAACTTGTTTAGACAACACCGTCTTTGGACGGATCACGTTCGGTCCACTTTTAACAAAAAGAGAACTCAGAATGGCGGGTCGACCTGCGCCCAAATTATAAAATCTGCGCGTTTTTTACGTTACAATATCATACGTAAGCAGTGTAACTTAAAAACTACAATAGTAATTAACTATTCTTTTACACAATTTAAAGAAGACATTATCAAGACCTCTGATAAAAAAAATAAGCCAAATTTATAAAAAACTTCGCAAGTTCTCACTGAAAAACCAAAAATTTGCACTGAAATTACGGTAAAACTACTGTAACTCGGTTTAAAAGGAAGATATTCAAAATCGTTTTACACGAATTGAAGGTAATGTGATTGTGTGTAATCTATAAAAAAATTAAAATTATACGACATTTGGTTCAAAAGTTCTCACTGAAAAACCAAAAATTTGCACTGAAATTACGGTAAAACTACTGTAACTCGGTTTAAAAGAAAGATATCCAAAATCGTTCTACACGAATTGAAGGTAATGTGATTGTGTGTAATCTATAAAAAAATTAAGATTATACGACATTTGGTTCAAAAGTTCTCACTGAAAAACCAAGAAACTTGCACTGAAATTACGGTAAAACTACTGTAACTCGGTTTAAAAAAAAGATATCCAAATTCGTTCTATACGAATTAATGATAATGTGTTTGTACGTAAATTGTGGAAATATGATGATCGTACGGCATTTGGTTCACAAGTTCTCATTGAAAAACCAAGAAACTTGCACTGAAATTACGGTAAAACTACTGTAACTCGGTTTAAAAAAAAGATATCCAAATTCGTTCTATACGAATTAAAGATAATGTGTTTGTACGTAAATTGTGGAAATATGATGATCGTACGGCATTTGGTTCACAAGTTCTCATTGAAAAACCAAAAATTTGCAATTCAAGTAGAACTAAATTTTTTTAAATTGTGCAAGTAATGAAAAGGAGTCAATTATAATCAAGTTAACTACTGCTTAAGGCTTAAGGCTTAAATTTTAATTTTTTTTAAATTTGTCAAAATTTGCGAAATAAAATGTCGATTATGGCCAAGTTAGGGCCAACTTTCAAATTTAATAAAACAGATACAACTGTTTTAGCTTTTCAGCCCTACCCGGCCCTACCCTTCCATGATATACCACCATACCCTATTTTACCATACCATACCATTTACCTTCCCTTACTTACTTATTCTACCTTACCCATTGAACGTATACGACAGTGTTGTATAAGATAGAATAGAGGCACGTATGGTATATTGTTGTTGGTAGAATAGAAGATGGTATGGTGTATTATATTAGGATAGGGTATGGTATGTTATGTTATAAAATAGTATGGTATGGTCGGATAGAGTATATTATGATATGAAATGTTATGGTATGGTAAAGCATGGTATGATTGGATACCGTATGGTAAGATAGGGTATATTATAGTAGAAATGTTATGGTATGGTAGGGAATGATATGATAGGGTATGGTATGGTGTGAAACGGTATGGCATGGTAAGATAAGGTAAATTCTAATAGGATAGAGTATATTATGGTGTGAAATGTTAAGGTATGGTGGGAATGGTATGACAGGGTATAATATGGTGAGATAGGGTATATTATGGTATGAAATAGTATGCTATGGTATGGTAGGATAAGGTATGGCAAGATAAGGTGGATTATAGTATGACAGGGTATGGTATGGTGTGAAACGTTATGGTATGGTAGGATAGACTAGAGTATCGCTTAAAAGAGCAGGGGTAGGCTTGAGTAGTGATAAAAAAGGTGGGGGGGGTAGACTTGAGTAGGGCTAAAAAGGACAGGGATAGGGTCAGGCTGAAAAAGGTGGGGTTAGACTTGGGTAGGGCTGAAAAGGTCAGTGGGTAGAGTTGAAAAGAGCGGGCTTAAATGTTTTGCTTTCATAAAGTGCTAGTTTGCTCAAAAACGAAATAGACTACTCAAATAAGACGAAAAAACATTTAAAAATTCTACGTATTTTTTGACCAAACTAGCAATAATAAAACGTTTTTTGTGACTAAAAGGCAGAAACTATTTGCAAAAGCAAGCGCTACAAATTACTTTCCGTTAGGTCCCGACACGAAAACGAACAAGCGCAAATAGTTGATTGGCATAGTGAGTCGCCGCTGCTCTGTGTTCTAAACGGACCGAACGTGGCGGATTTTTGTTTTGCAAATTTGACGAAACAAAAGTTTCAAATTAAATTCAAGGCGCTGATACGAAGACACGACACACGAGCCATGTTCTCCTTTATTTAAAAAATACGTCATTGTGACAAGTAACTACTTTTTAAATTTAATAAAAAAATGTTTAAATTAAATTAAGATAATTTTAACAAAACTTTTTACATTTCCTACGTTTTCAACATTGAATGGTTTAATTTATCTGACAAAATTTCATGACATCTTTCCATTTATAAACTCAAAATTTTGGAGGGATTTTTTGTTTTGCAACGCGCGTTCTTCAGGAGCTTGAATAAATTGCTATGTATGGTTAATATACCCATTTTGCCTTCTTTCAGATCGGTCATCTCTATTAATATTATGTTTTTGTACTTTTCTTCTAAATATTTTATTTTATCTTTGTAGATTGATCATGAGCGAACAAAAACAACAACCAGAAACATCTCAAGTCGAGGAAGAGATTCCAAAAGTGGCTGAGAATGTGGAACTCGAAACTGACAAGTTATTGGATTACGTTCTTAAAGGTTTGGAACTTAAGTTCGACGATGAAGCTCTGAAATTGATGAGAGAACAGGGTGGCAAGGAGTTCAAGAACATCTTCGCTCAATTAGTCGCTGAACAACAGAAGAAAAAGTCAAAGAAGAAGACCAAGAAGTAACATGTTGTATGTGTATTAACTTAATTATTACTTGAACTAATTTTACAAGATTATCACAATAAAACTGTAATATTATCCTCCAATCATTCGGAGTAATTGTGTTATCAAGCTTCACTTTATTATTATAGATTATTAGTTTAAGTTTTGTGAAATATGTGTACTTCCATATGCTAATATGGAAGTTTTTGTTACATTAAAAAGCCTTGACATTAGAGTTTGGCATATTATATTGAGGTAATAAGACACCTGAATGTACGATTTCTCGACCTCGGCCGAGGTGTTTATGTAGGCTAACATTTTGTCGCTAGTATGAAGAGTATACGCGTAGTATATCCTCGTACATTTCCAGCAGTTAATTGGAACAAATGTAGAGAGTTTCCGCCATTAAAAGTAACTAAAACATGTTGGTACCCCGGCTTGATGGTGGAGGTAGGTATAGCTGATTGTTGGCATTGTTAGCTGATCGATTTATTTGTCAGCAGTTTGAACATGACTGTGGAGCCGGTTGTGATTGGAGCGACTGACAGCGAACTCGTTCACGTCCCACTGATTGTAAGGTAGTAGCATGTTGATGTTGTGGTAGATAACTAGAAAACAGTGTTTTTATTTTTGCATTCTAAAGTTGCTCTTTACTTTAGTTCAAGTAATAGTAAACAGTATGTCATGGCAGTAGCAAGCTGATATTTTAGGTTGATGGCCATCCAAATGGTCTTCCGAAGTTGTTGTTCAATGGATCCGTCGACTTGATAGCGGCTCCATTCCAGACCACAAAGAACAGAGCGGCTCTCTTTTCTTTCAGTGAACCTTTGTATACGGTATGTCAATACAGCTGTTTTGTTGCAACATTAATCTAATGGTAATGTGAATTGAGTATCATACAAGCAAAAGCATTATTTAAAAGTAGTTTCAGTTGAGCACGACAATGTTAATGCACGATTCTGCCAACCTGAACAGTGACATCTGGAGCTTCTTCCGAACGTACACCAACACGACCTGGAATGTCATACTGATAGCGTTGTTCCTGCAGATCAGTTTTTGTGTCTTGATTCGGTTCTTCGAGGCCAATGTCATTTGTACTCAACGTATCAGTGTTCTTGAGGTAATTCTTCGACGTGAGCGTTGGAGTTATTAACACTGTATATATACGTCGTTAAAAATGGAAATTAATTGATTTTACAGAGTTCTTGGCAGATGTTGCGATTACAATTGATGCAACCAGAGAAGATTTATTTCAAAAGTTTGGCAGGTAAGTGAAGTCTACTAGAAGAGCTTATATCTTGCGTAAATTTACTGTACTGTTCATATCGCATCGTAAAATACTATTTTAAGTTTTTTTATATTTTTATCTTATAGTAGTTTGAATCATTTTAGGTCGTTTCTCGATAATGATCTTCTCGCTAGTCCAATGTGCCGTTCTGCTGGGAGTTTTCAGTTCTTGGATCCTGGCAAGTATCATCCGCGACGCTGCTCCCCATACTCCTTTCGAGAGTATGGACAAGTTCATAAAAGGATTGGCAGCCAGGAAGTACTACATGGTATCAGCAGAACCAGACACCTGGTTCTTCGAGGAAGTGAACCAGTCGCAGGTCTTTCCCTTCAAGCAGCTACACTCGGCGCTACAGCAGAATCCACTGAGAAGAGCGACAAAGACACGACAGGCATTGGAAGCGGTCGTCAACGATGGTGCTGTCGTGTTCATGCAGAGCGATAGCGACACCTACTACACCTCTGTCAAGTTCTGCAACCTCAACAGAGTATACCAAGATATGCCTGTGGTTACTGCGTATCTCATGTTCAGGTTGGCAAGATTTCTGTACTATTGCTTGTATGAGGTGAAATGTAGTACAAGTGCTATACATCATTCACAAGCTGATTTGACACTTAAAATTTAGAGTTTTATACAAATGTGTTAATATTGTCGTGGATATTTGAATATTACTTTCCATCAAGTTACTGTAACATTATTGTAGAAAAGGCTGGCCCTTGGCTGCGTTGTTTAACCAGACGATCGTCGAGAACAGAATGCACATCACTCGGATTCTGAGGAAGTACAAGCATCTTCTGGCAGAGAGTAGGGCCATCTGTAGAGCACGGTCGCTGCACTCTCCTCTGAGTATCTACCCCTACTTGGGCTTGTTGATTATTTGCACTGGCGCTATTACAGTATCCGTCTTTGTGCTTTTCCTCGAAAACTTTCTTTACAGAGCCAACAAGGTCGTTGAGACAATGCCATGATTATTGTAAGCTTACTGTAACTATTTTGACAGAATTACTGTATATTTTGTGATTTACTGTATGTTTTTGGTTAAATTTATTTATCTTACTGTAGTTTTTGTGACTTTCGCAAACAAAAGTAAAACAAAATACTGTAATAAAGGAAATTTTACTGTAAAGTATACTGTAACTTACTACAACGCCGGCTATAACGTATAATGTTAAAACAAACAAAATGTTAGTGAACGGCGACAGAACACGCATTCCACGTAAATCGAACGAATTGTCGTAAAACAGCTGTCGCCTGAGGGCCTGTTCTCTAGGTCTTGATCCGTTTGGCTTAACAAGTTTGTTTGTTATGGATATCAAGAGGGTGAGTTATTCTAATTACTAGACCTTGTTATTGGTTTAGTTGTAAGACATAGATAAGAAAAGTACATTGACGTCGCTAAGATTAGATTACTCGGTATAGTTAAGTATAGTGACATAAAAAATAGACATAGTTAAGTAATTACATAGTAAAATATTATATAACTATGATTGTGACCTTGTCGTATCTTCAGATCAAACACAAGGTCGACGATTCTCGATGGAGAATCACACCGTATCGGAACGGCAACAGTCCTCGCTACACTTTCGACGAGATTGTCGCTGACAGGTAAACAATGTCATTTTAAATTGCATACTTTAGTGTGATTTATAGGGGTTTACTGTGGTGTTACTCCTAGTAAATGACATTACATACTTTGTTGTCACTCATGGTATTATGTTGCTATTAGATAAAGTTTGGTAATTTCTATCGTATTTTAGCTTCGACAGTGTTAAGAAGCTGGGCATTAACGCGAAACATTGTCAATTGTACGAAATGTACAATCCGAACCTTGGCAGACTGCGCAGGAGTGAGACTTACAGTGCACTGGCTCCGACCAACGGAATGAAGTTCTTGTAGGTCGCTTAATTTTTGTCGTATTTTACATTGCAACAAAAGCTTTTGTTTTTCATTTTTTTCGAAACTTTGTTTTATTGCACAGTGCAACACTTTAAACTTCTTTTGCACTGTGCAATATTTTTATTCAATGCACCGTGCACAAAAATAAACAAAAAACAAGTGCACGGTGCACTTAATTTTGTTTGCACGGTGCAAAGAGAAGGAAAGCGGCTGCACTGTGCGGTATTCACAACTGTCGCAAGTTCTGTCCTCAACATCGTTGCGATCTTCATGAAAATCGGGAAGAAGCGACAATTTCCAAAAAGCCATTCTGCGATAAGAGAGCTGCAACAAGCTGCGACAACAGCAGTTGGACTTGTCGCCATTTGTCCTCTGTCGCAATGTCGTTCTGATTGTCGCAACTTCCACAAAAATGTTCCTGGCTTTTGACGCGAAACCTTTTTGTCGCATTTCTCGTGTTTGTCGCTGAACATGTTTCAATGTCGCAACTTTTAAGTTTGTCGCAAGCTTGTCTGCTTTGTCGCAACTTTTCAGTTTGTCGCGAAATCTGTTTGTCGTCGCCTTTGTCATGAATGCGTTGGTGGTCGCATTTCTTTTGGCTTAGGTTTAAAAATTGCGACTGCGACAAAAGCCGCATTTGGTTTAACGACAACTTCGACTTTCAACAAAAAACATGGCTTCAAATAGTCGCCAATCCCTCTGATCGCCGAAAGAATTGGTTTTTGCACTGTGCAAATCACTTTCCGTAATGTCTCTGTTGCACGGTGCAGTGTAAAAGCGTTGATGAGTGGTTTTCTTGCACGGTGCAAGTGTTTCGGGGAATTTTTAATGCACGGTGCAGAGGATTTACATGTTTTGCACGGTGCAAAAGAATATTTTCGGTTGTTTTTGGTGTGCACGGTGCAGTATTTACGCTTTTTTATTTTTTTAAATATCGTGATATATTTAAATTTCCTTTGGCTGTCGCATTAAATTGATTTTTAAATTTATGTGGGCAGAGTATCCTTTTCAGATATTACTAAAGGGTCTTGGAGTTTTAAAAATTTAAATTTCGAAATTTAAATAATGAAGTATTGATTTTAGGTTACTTTTTCGAAATTTATTTAAAATTTTGCAGCGACAGATTTGTGCCCCCAGACATGCGACCTTACAACCCCTACAAACCGAAGGGATCCGAGTGGAAATTGGCGTCGGAACGGCAGGGTAAGACCATTCACACCCCCGCCAACATCACCACCGACAGCCCTCAGCTACCCCTTCCACTTACGATCCGTCGCCAATACCCAGTCCCAGCCGACCCAACACGATACGAGAACTTTGCGACGTACTGGGGAGGTCGTGCTCGAGGGTTGGAGTACACTCAGCACTCGCTGCACGACCCCGACTACGACACTTACGGCATCACCGAGGACCGACGGTACCAGCGGCTCTACTGGGCGCCTCAGGTCATTGAGAAACAGCCGACTGCCAGACATGCGCGACAAGTCATCATGATACCGTACTACTAACCTTGTTTGTACATTACCACACAAGCTTCAACAGTATCATAAAAACAGTTACAGTACCATACAAGTTTACAGTACTATGTAAAGATTATTTTTGTCGCAGATTACAGTGCAATGTCGCCTTGTTGATACAATTACAGTATGATTATATAGATGAGTATAAATGTACTGTAAGCATTTTTGTCGCTTATAATCTGATTAACGCTGTCTCCTTTACAATAAACTCACAAATTTAAGTTTTTATTTTATATTTTGGGTAACATTTGGAACAGCACTTTATATATGTATCAGTCTTTCCCGAAAAGAATGTTACAAAACTGCACAGTGCAGTTTGAAGGAATCGCTGTCGCGCTGAGAATTGGGCGACAAGCGGCAAGGTCTGCGACAGTCGTTGCACCCGGCGACATCCCAATGGAAATCGCAATGTCGCAAGTGCAAAGCTTTGCGACAAACTGTCGTGTCGCGCTTCGAATGGCGATGCGACAGTGTGTCGCGGTTGTCGCAACGCTCAAGCCACAACTGTGTTCAATGGAAGGATTGCGACACGTTTTTTTGACTGTTGCAAGTCATTGAATCCTGCGACAACCGACCGGTGCGGCACTGGAGGGATTGCACTGTGCAATCTTTCCTCACATCGTTGGCTGTATCGGGTGATCGCGCGGGAAATCTGCACTGTGCAGCGGAATAAAAAGGGCGCGATTTTCTCGGGGACTGCACGCTGCAGCTGTAACATTCTTTAGTGGAAACACTGATATAACGTTCTGGCGTGAGTCTAGTCTTCCTTTCAGGCCAAGTGTTTCTCTGCCGTTTTAAAATAGATTTTGACGTAAAATCTTGAGAAAACTAAGACTGTCAAGTAAAATATAACATTCAAATATAGTTTTAGTTTTTATATAGTTATCAGAAGGTTCTTTAGTACGTCACACAAAAGGGTACTTGTTTAAAGAAGGGCAGTATCAGGTTTGACCCCTTAGGCGGTGCACACAGTCAAAGTAAGTAATACAGAGTAATAATATTTTGTAAAAATTAGTTCATTTCACCGTTTTAACAACAACAATAAACAGTTACCGTAACAGAAGACTACTTATATACAGTATTATTACATAGCAGCAATCTTACAGTGTCTTTATTTATGATAAGAAGTTACTTATAATCATATGTTACACTGTCTCTACAGTTTTTTTGACTTTTTTCAATAACTTGATGAGTATAACAATGTATTGAAAATGATATATCTAATGACGCAACTTGGTTACAGTAATTCTACAATATTATTAGTAACCGTTTTCTCAGTTATGGTTAACCGTGTTTGTAGCTACAACCTACTGCAGTATATTGCCCAAAGGAAGCACAGCTACAATGTTATCAATTGATATCAGCAGTAACTGTCTCTAAAGACATCTCGTAGACCCAGTAGAAAGGTGACAATATCAATACATCATCAATAACCTTAGTAGCGTCATCAATAGTCTAACTCAACGTCGACCAGTTGTTCCTTTAACTGTGCCAACATCTTCTTCCCGAATTCGTTGTGACAGCCGGCTGTCTGCCAATGGTTCTGGCACAATGTCAGTTTACATCCCTCGCACTCAGCCGAGTCCACGATCTTCTTGCACATCGAGCACAACGCCTTCTTGTAGGAGATGGAGTTGCGGTCGATTCGGAAGAAGTGACCGTTCATTTTAGCGACCGAACCCAGCGTTGTCAGGTTCATGTTTGTCGCGATGACCGCCGTGTAGAGGTTGGCGGGAAGAAAGCGATTCAAACGGAGTCGCGTGTATACGGTTCGAGATTCTTGGGCTAGCCGGAGGATGATGGGACTAATGGTACTCTTGGGAAGGTGGTGGTCGTGAGCAGAGATTAGTAGGGTTAACACTTGGTCAGGCTTTACATTTCTGAAAATATTAGTGTAATTATATATATAATAAGGTAATTATATCATAGAAAAACTTGTTTTAGACATTTATAAGTATCAATAAGTTGACTGATTAGTGTAAAAACAACAAAAATGGTACATACAAATTAATAAAATGATTAAAACTTACTCTAGATTTGTCGTTTCTAAATAGCTACAGCAAGCTTTGGTAAGGCTTTCTACTTGATATTTGTTGGACAGCCTTAGTAGTACTGGTACGTTCCATTCTGAAACAAATATAAAGTAGGTGATAAATTTAAAGCAATAGACTAGAAAGTAGATATTATGACAATGTTTAACAATACTGTAGCATAAGAATGTGTTATACAACTGTGGTATGGTATTGTTTACCGTTTATTTTGTGGTGATCTTGTAGACACTGTAGAAACGTGGCGATGTCGCTGCTGTTCTCATCCACAATCTCTCTGGCCAATTCTCGACCGCCTTCAAAGTCGCGGCCATAACACATTAAAGCGAAGATGGGCGACAGTTTACTCAACTTCTTTGAGTCCACAGTAAACACCTCGTTCTTCACCAGAAGTTTGAAGGGACGTTCTACTGAAGACGAACTGGGCTGACAGTTGACGCGCTTCTCTTCCAGTCGCTTCAGACACACCTCCGCCATATCACTGTAAAACATATCGTACTCGTTTGTTTGCATAGACAAGGTACTGCCACATATTAACAGTATTTCTAAAGCACTAAGTATAGTACTTACAAAGTACTGAAACATATTAGACTGTAAGAAAGCAATATAATAAGCAATATATTGGGAAAAAAGTTACTCTAAAGTAATTAAAGATACGGAAAAAGAAGTAATTTTACAAGAAAATCATAAAATACGCCTACAATTCATCGACGGAGTAATGGTAACAATCAGCGATCATTTCGCGAAGAAAGTGTCGCGACATGAGCACGATACTCGGACCTAGTGCTATACTCGAGAATCACAAAAGCTATCGGAAACAGATCCAGCGAGGACATAACCGGAAATCCCGGCATTCGATTTCAACTCACTCAACGTCATAACAGGGAATGACATAGGGTAAGTATATATCTTTTGAAAATAAGTTGTGGTACAAGGTAACATAAAATAGGGTCTTGTATTGACTATCTTCTTAAATTAGTATTCTGAACAGAAAATAAACTTTCTAGACCAAACCCATTTATGAACCCTCCTTATTGTCGCAAGCCTCATTCATCGCAATATTTTACTTTACTTTGCTATTATTTATGCGGTAATTGTTTAGACTCGAGGCATTTTTGAAAGTTTTAATAGGAATTTAAACCACTATGCCATAATTAAAAATATTTTAAACATAATTTAGGTAATAACGTCCTCTTAAAAACTAACAACCTGAAAACTAAACCTTAAAATCAGTAATGTTATTGTTTGCCAAAACGCCCAGACAAAACAATCTCCTTGAATATCACGGAACGGCGGAACGTTTTAGTTTTTAAAAACTGGAACGGCCGGAAAAACTGCAAAACCCACGGAATGGCCGACCCGCAAGACCCACCCGGAACGGCCATGGACCACATTGACCTTTGGCAGGTGTTTTTACACGATCAGCTGAGCGTCACGAGCCCATCCATCATGGCGTTCCGAGAAGCGCCCGAGGGCATTCCGAGGTATTATGGAAGAGGGCTGTTTGTTTAGCGTCTTTAAACCCACAAAAGAATACATCTGGAATTCCGATATCTACCAACAATTGTAAGAACACCGCGGATGGTCGGAACACGGCCGGCTGTCTCCAAGACCTGTCGCTTCCAGTTAATGAATCTTATGCAAAAGGCTGTCCAAACTTTTTGGTTCTTAAAAGGATTTCGTTTAAATTATTTATTTACGAGTTAACAAAGTGATGAATGCCATTACGATGGTTACAGTAGAACAGAAGGCTACTGTGGGCGAAAGACAGATTGTTAAATTATTTACTTTAAAATTCAACAATGACAATATTATCATTGTGATCTATTTCTTTGTATTTTAATTAAAAACTTTTAATAAAAGGCAGTAATATAGTTTCAAATTTTAAAGAAAAACAAATTTCAACAAAAAAACTTTCTCTAGCAACGTCATTTTTGTTATTATCGTCATTACTTGCAAAAAAACTATTATATATTGTATAAATTATGTTAAAAATTTTAAAAACCCATTTAATAAAAAAAGAAAATTTTTAAAAATAATTTATTAATTACTACAAGTAAACGTTTTACGAATGAAAATATAAAGTTTGAAAATAAGCAGTTTTATGTTTTGTTGATATACATAAATTTTTCGTATAAAACAAAAAGCGCCGTTTGCAAGCGTTTAAGAGCGAACTGCGGCCTAAATAATATATTTTATTCAGACTTTTAGCTGGAAATAGATAATCTGGAGGACACCGAATCCAGAATATGTCTATGCGAAACCTGTGCCGGTCATTCCGGTCAGGGTTAACCTTGGCGACTGCCCCAGGGGCTATAGCACCACCGCCAGTACCCTTGAACATTCCTGGAGACAACAATGTTGTTAATCAAATAAAGATTCTGCCACCTGCCCACACAAAAGTCTATTGTTTTCCGACACCAGAAAAGGTTGCAATGGAACTTCCTACACTGAAGACGTTGATATTGGATAAGTCGGATCCGCAGAGTCTTAATGTAAGTATATATTTTTTTGTTTATTCACATTTTAGTTGCGAATTGAAGAACCGACCTCCAATAAAGCTCCGTTGATTGCTGGACCCCGTATGTTGACAATCAGGAGAAAGAAGATGAAGAAGCACAAGAGACTGAAGAGGTATCACAGAGACTACTTTAAATATCAAACTCATCACCGAAAGAAGAAGGCCAAAGTATGTGTTTAAAAAAATATTATACTATATATTTTAGTAGTGAATTTGTAAACTAGTATTTTAAATAACATTTTTTACTAATTTCAGGCTGAAGGTTTGTTCCGTCAACGGATGCACGCTATTATAGATGAGTTAGAGACATTCGATCCTCTTGAACATGTCAAAGATACGATTGCTCGTGCTGAACGTACATGGGAAACGTCGTTGGCAGGTTCCGGAAGAAAGAAGTACCCGCATTGGTCTCAGTTGATGTCGTTAGAAGAGTTGTATGGTCTGCCAAAGATTACTCGCATCGACAAGTCATACGGCCGACCGGCTCCAGAAGACGAGAAGAAGATCGACCAGTTGAGGAAAGAATACTTTAGGGATTATACGAGGGTGACGGCCAAGAAGGCAGATTAGGTTTTTTTTGTTATGGTTGATTTATTTGTTACATAGTAAATTGAAAACAATACTTAAGGTAATATACCTATATTAATATGGTATTAAAGGGATTCTGATTCGTGGGTCTTTTGGTTGGCAATCAGTTCTTCGGCTTGTCTTAATTCATCGCGGAGTCTTTCAACATACTAAATTAACTTTTTTTAGAATTTGTCATTACTCTTTATCATTACATATTTAAAAAGTTATTCATGGACATTAAGTTACCTCTTGAGCATTTTCTTGATCTCTTTGCTTTTTACACTCCAACTTGCATTGTTCATAAGCACTCAACACCTTCAAACTCTTGGGTTTTACAATCTTTTTAGGTTCCCCATACTGGTCTTCTTGGTGGACAAGTTCTTCATGAGGAACGAACTCGTCAGTGGGTTCGTCTGGCCTGAAATGTTCTTGCACTCCTCTAGACTTGTCTTCCACATATTTGGCCGCTTTGCCCACCTCTCTCTTGGCACGTCTAATTAAATTTGAATATTAAATAGGTATCTTACTCTTTCAGGGTCTTTGGCTTTTTGGCCGCGATAACCAGTACAGCGACAGCTAACAGGAATATAAGGGAAACACGCATTGCTAGTTGGAATAACTTGTTTGTGTTTGTAGGCTTGCTTTTTAGCCTCCGTTCTTATCAGATATTGTAATCGGCAACCTCACTGTGAGTGACGCAGTAAGAGAGATAAGGTCATAAGAACGATATCGAAATAAGAGTTTATTAATCACTAAAAGTTGATGTCTTATTGTTTCGGTAGTTGCCTCGCATGAAGTCATCGGCACGTGCTTCTTTGCAGTACGCCTGGAATTTGATGACGTTAAGCATCCATGAGCGTACAAGGTACCATTTTTAATACCATATATAATCATATCAGTATAAACAGTGAGATAAAAGTACAGAAATTGTTTTTACCTTGGTGTTCCCTTTGTTCGGTTTAAAACATATGAGATGGGTTTCACAGGAACACGAGTCTTGACATCCCTCGCCAATCTTGAATCCATGCTTCACACATTTGTTTCCATTGTCTTTTTTGTGACAGCAATGCCCTGAAGGTACACGTTATATCGCAGGACCGCTTTACCTGGTTTGCATTCATTATGAGAATTACATGGACTGTCATGTTCTCCTGGACGGGATCTGTTACGCTGGGCCTCAAACGCTTCAATCTGAGTAAATGAAAATGTTAAGAGACGATGGATACAATAAAAACAAATAGTTATTGAGAGTTATGTTATGAAAAGCAATAATAGGACCATAACTATTCGGCAGAACCTACGATATCAGGAGTCGGCAGTACCGAAGCGATTTCAGTAGTAGGCTTCACATCTTTAACGACCTTCCGATGTTTCCTAAAAGACCTTTCGAGTCTGCCCAGCTTCTTCTGAATCCCTCTCAACTTATTTCTGACTCTCTTCTTGAATCCACCATTATTTAAATTATTCGCCGTCCCATTACCGTATCTTATCTTTTCATCGTTTAATTTCAATTCTTGATTTAGAGATCGTAATTCGTTTCGAAGGACTTTCAGCTGATTCAACTTTAGATCGACAATATCTTTTATCTCATTCAGCTGTAATAATGTCATGTGATATTTTATAAATATTAAAAGAATCACGAATTAAGTTGCGTTTACATAAAAAAAAGATTCCTTATCTACGCTACCTGTTTCTTCAAAGCTTTCATCGACTTTCCACCATCTTCACTACAACAAACATTTACAGCGACGACAAGAGCGCAAAGACTCACAAACCGCATACCGGAATCAGAATACAACTACAATTAAATATAGAAAACCAATCGGAAAGAGAAAACGTCCTTAAGTGCCGACATCCCCGGCTTCGGCTTTCTTTTCGTTCGTGCTAAATTTGAGTCGAAAGCCCATATTAAATTAGACACAAAAAATCCTAAAAAAGTTTATTCTTTCCAAGATAAAACAGTCTAAATATAGAGCGTCCAATTACTTCAGAGATTTGAAAGCTTTGGGCATGGCCTGAAATGGAAATGGAACACTTTAGAAGTTGAAGAAATTAGACCTTGAAAAAACTTAAAATTAAATAAAATTTTGTAACACTTTAAGGCAGAAAATTTACAACGAATGTTTTACCTTTATCAAGATAAAACATTGTATTGATATCTAAATCTTAAGAAAAGCAGACAGTACTCACGCAGTGGTCAAGATGGTGAATATAGTCCATCATTTCCTGGTTGCAGGTTTCCTCGGTCTGAGTTCTTGATGACACACGTTGGTTACATTCATCTAGAAGGTCCTTGAACTTGGAGACCTTTGGTTCACATTGCTCACGGTAATAAGCTAGCTGATCTCCTTCAATCTAAAATTAATTTGTCGTGAATTGGACGTAATTTTAATAGAACTTTACAAAGTTTTTTTACGAGGTTTCACTGTACTTACCTCTGACATTTCTGGAAGAATAGAGGCAAACGGACCTAAAAAATGTCAAATTAATAAAACAAATAATTTGAAATTACAAAAAATACTCGGAATTATCTTATAACTATTGTTTTCAACACGGTCTGAACCTTTTTGATGTACCGTGCTCTATTTTCCTTGGTATTTATCTTTAAAAAAAGCTGAAAAAAAGTTATAGAGTAAAAAAACCAAAGAAACAATATTACTTATACAAATCATAAAATTATATCATCCTTTTAAGGTTAAAAATGGCAAACTATTCACTCAACTAAACCTCTAAAAGGCAAAAGTCCAGGACGTGAACGAAAATCTGCAAAAACTTCACCTTTGTAGCGGAATGCCAGATATTAACGCAAGTTTGTTTTCGCTGTGGGACTTTTTTCTGCTATATATTTTTTAGAGATTGCAGGAAAATCAGTTCAACGTACTTTGATGTTGTTTTTACAATCGCCTCGTGCTTTTATTTAATGTTAATAATTTTATTACTTGCGTATCTTTCTTTTGCTATCTGTAAGAATGTAAAGTCTGAGTGGGATTTGGACGGACCGTGCCAACTTCACGTTCAAGTATGTTATCTTTTGAGGAAACGTAAGATGAGTAACTTTTTAGACATTGGCTGATGCTCAGGCTCGTATGGTAGAATGTGCTACCAACTTTTCATCTCCTCCGAAAGTTTGCACTAATTGTATTGACCAGTACATTCACTTCAAACAGATCGAATATGATACACATCACTTGGTAAGTTTTGCTACGAATTTAATGATTACTTGTTACTCGAAGCAGTAGAAACTGTTTTTTTATATAAAAGCGGAAAAATATTTGTTTTTCAATTGTTTTGAAAACAATTTTTAGACAAACGTCACTTCTTTGGATAACAAAACGTGTAGCCAGATATTCTACGGCAACTATCTGTTGTCTTATGGTAATGAGATATCAAATGCGCTGACTGAGAGGATCTGGAGGGCTTCGAGATGTGACTGTAAGTACCCTTTCTTAGCTTATTCGGTTTTTAGCTTGTTTGGATATCAAATGGGATTTTGAGAAGAAGAACTCGTCTATAAGTTATGATTCGAAGACCATTGAGTTTGAGAAGGTATTGGTTAGTTGGCGACGATGTGTGGAGAATTTTGCTCAGCAGAATGACACGATTTGTGTGGAATGTGAAAATGAATTCACTCAGCTTTTCAATTACTATTGGAAGATCTACAAGGAACCTGGCATCGAGTTTTGCGCAGATGTAGAAAGCACGGTATGTCTATTTGATTATATAAGGATAATAACACTATCTATTTTATGCATAATTACGTAATTTTATGTCTGCTTTTGAGGAATTTTGATGGAAAATATTAAAAAGCTGTAAATTTTGTAGATGAACGATACTATGAACATATGGCACACGGTATGGCAATGCCCAGATGACACGAAGAAGGATATTAAGCATGACATGACTATAGTGGCCATATCTGCTGCTGTTTTGTTTGTTATCATCTCACTTTTTTATTTGGGAAGTTATATCCAAGTAGAACGGGCTGAACGCAATTTTGTCAGATGTAAGTGTATATTTAGGTATTAATATCTTTTATAATCAGTCTATTATTTTTTGTTTTACATTTTTTGATTTCGTATCTAATTTAAAGTTTTATTTTTTTTAAAAATATTTTTGTTGTTCAGACTCCAGAATTCAAACGCCTCGCGGGCAACGGTCTAGGCTATTAAGCTCATCTACAGTCGAAGGTTCTCACACTCCATCTACTTCATATCACGGGTAAAATTATATTGTGATATTTCCAGTTTGTGCATTTTTAATAAACTATCATATTAGCCTTGTTTTGTTGACTTCAAAGTGGTTGTTACCTAATATCTGTGTTTTGTTATCTATTTGGCATTCTGACCAGTGTTTAGGTGAAAATGCTTCGCTCTTCGGTTCAGGCCGTTCGCCAGGCATCGAGTGCTGCTGCGGCGAAGCCTACTGGCCAAAGGGTAAAGACTTTTGAAATCTACCGTTTCAACCCTGATCAACCTGGAGCTAAACCTACCTTGCAAGTAAGGTTTCAAACAAGTTATATAGTTTTATGCATTAATATTATTTAATAGCTTACTCTTGATTTCTAGAAATATGATGTCGATCTTAACGCTTGTGGTCCTATGGTGCTGGATGCTCTGATTAAGATCAAGAATGAAGTCGATCCCACCTTGACCTTCAGACGTTCGTGTCGTGAGGGGATCTGTGGTTCGTGCGCGATGAACATTGGAGGACAGAACACGTTGGCTTGTATCTGTCACATTGATACCGATACAGCCAAGTCTACCAAAATCTACCCACTTCCTCACATGTACGTTGTCAAGGATCTGGTCCCTGACATGAACTTGTTCTACACTCAATATGCTTCTATCCAGCCATGGATTCAGAAGAACAACGGACTAAATTTGGGAGAGAAACAACTTCATCAGAGCATTGAAGAGCGTGAGAAGTTGGTAGGTTATTCAGAAGTATTATTTTTACGTAGGACGAGGGTATAGAGCTTTTTGTGTGATAATGATTTTCCAAAATCTTTCAGGATGGATTGTACGAATGTATTTTGTGTGCTTGTTGTTCCACCAGTTGTCCATCATATTGGTGGAACGCTGACAAATATTTGGGCCCGGCCGTCTTAATGCAAGCTTACAGGTAAGTGTTTTTATGGTGCAAGACTAAATTACACATTTTGTTCTACGATTACAGAATAGTCAGCATCTCTAAATAATGTTAAGTTTATATACATTTTTGAATAAATACATGACTAAATTACAATGTTTTAGATGGGTCATTGATTCCCGTGACGACAAGGTGGAGGAGCGATTGAGTCGCATGCAAGACGCATACTCTGCCTTCAAATGCCACACCATCCTCAACTGCACTAGAACGTGCCCCAAGGTAAGAGATCTTTAAGGACTTGCTGTACCATCAGAGAATCCGTTCTCTGGGTCGTCTGGAGCTTGAATGTCAGGGGAGAACAGGCTGGGCGCGTAGAATAGGGAACTAAAACTAATCTTGTTCATTGTAATTTGTTTTTAAACTTCTTCAGATAGTTAGTTTAAATTAGCAGTCTAAAAGATTATTTTTTGAAATATTCCCGGAAGCTACCTGTTGACGTCGAGTCCGTCAGTTTTACTACTTCCGAAGAGCGGCATCATGTGGGAGAAAGACCTCTTTGACTGTCGCTCTTTCTTCATCCACTGGTTGTAGGAATGGGGATTGTACTTCTCCTTGTAGGTATGAATTACGGTAGGCGGGGGTTCTTCCTAAATCGCAAAGTAGCCGATTGTAAAAAGTTTAAAATTACAATTTAAACTGACCGTCTCGCCGCTCGGAGCTCTTTGTTTTCGTAATTTGTAGACACGAATCAATAAGAAGATAGCGATAACTGTGGTGACAATAGAGATGAGCAGTAAAATCACCGCCACCACACAAATCATATATCCGATATCACGGCTCATAAACGGTAATTAGCGGTTTCGGGACGGTTTTCCCGAGAATGTTGGACTCCAAACAGCCGTCTGATTCTGAGTCACGAGATCGGGAAGGAAAGAACAACATTCTCTCGTTTGTGAATAACCAAACTTTAACTTTCAGCATCTGAATCCGGCCTTCGCGATCGGACAGCTCAAGAAACTAATCACCGGCCTCGAGAAGAAACCGAAGCAAGTCAAGGAGTTTTGCTGCTGAGGCAGCATCCCCAACTTCTACTAGGCCCCATCACTAGAAAGCATATATACCATTGTGAAAAGAAATAAATTGTTTTCTACAAGTAATCCTGTCATTTCTGTTTTTCGTAAAATTGAACTTTACAAAAATACAAAAAGTAAATTGTTTTTTACTTTTTGAGGCTGTAAACCGGAAGTTCATCACTTATATAAACCACTAATCATCCCACAATGTGTAGCACTTATGATTTGGCTTCTGTTGGCATTAACGGTCTCTGCCGAGACCAACGATCTCAAGCCATGCTGGTCATCCAACAACAGAAGCCCGGCTCAGTTCTGGCCACATGGCGAAGTTGTCGTTAGAGGTAAAACTTAATAAATATTGTTTTTGTACGATTTTATGGAGATTTACTCTAAAACATGGTAAAGTATGGAATTTTAAACCTTGTAAAATAAATTTTGCCGATTAATTTCGACTATGGATTTATATGTTTACTGTTACCGTATTTAGATGACTTTGTATACGACTGTAAAGACGGAGAGCTGGTGCCGAAGGGTTGTAAAGCCTTTGATGGAGCTACTGTCGAATTGGATGAGCTACTTATTGTGGACGGAAGAGTGTATAAGTGCATGAGGATTGAGTCAGATCCTGGAGTGGACCTTATTGAAGTAGGGTGCACTACAGATGGTATCACTATTTACAATGAAGGTGACACATGGCTCAGCAAAAACGTATGTTTAATACGCGCTGTTTTAGTTGAAAATATACTGTTTTCTACTCGCGGCTGTTACCATAGCTTTAACGAATAATGGCTTCTGTTTGTAGGGAGAGTTCTTCTACACTTGTGAACGTCGTGGCAGCCGGATGTACACTGCCTTGGCTGGATGTATGGTTAAAGAAACATCCAAAGAGCTGAAGATTGGAGAGCGGATCGACTTGAAGAATTACACGTAAGTACTCTAATGATTTTATACTTCTTTTAATGACCGTCTTTAAGTTTAAAATGTAACAAAATATAACATTTCAGGCTGGAATGCAAAGAGCTGTCTACTGGAGGACTGAAGCTACTTGGCGTGGGATGTGTACATGATGGACAAAAGTACTTTGTGGGAGAACAATGGATGGTATGTTTGGCACTCCCTTACCTAACTTATTGTTGTATAAAACTGTGGTATTTCAATTTATAATTGTCCCTAATTCATAAGTTGTCAGCCCAATTCAAAATTCTACTGCTTATTTTAATACCAATCACTACAGGACAACGACTTCGTGTTTTACTGTAAGAGGAAGGAAAGTAAATGTGAGCAGAGTTGTATCGGATGTGCGTGGAGAAACAGAAAGTTGTACGATGGCGACAGATTCAGGAAGGACCACTGCGTGTATGAATGTATCATCCGACCAGAACGACATGTTCGAGAACCTGTAGCGTGTGTAGTTGATGGCATCGAAAGAGTTATTGGGTGTACATGGTACGTTGATATATGTTTGTTAACTTAATGTACGTTTTTTAAGATCTTTCAATGTAATATTGTATGAGCATTTATTTACAGGAAGGAAGACATGGGTGCATTCAGACTGGAAGAGACTTGTGAAGTGGACGGTGACAAGACCAAGGTTACCGTAAAGGGCTGCTTCTACCCTCAAGATAACTTCGACCTCTTCTTCATCCCTGCCAACTCTTACGCTGTCTTTACCGGCGACAAACTCAAGAAGATGGCAGCATCCTGTCGAGGAGATCCAGAAGAACCATCGACTTTCGAACTGGAGACCTTCTCCGTCGACGAAGTGCCATTCAAGACAAAAGGCCTGTCTGAAGTCGAACCTCAAGGATAACGTGTCAACGAACATTAGGTGTAATTTACTACAATAAATATTTCTTTTCGTTTGAAAAATGTTAGGTTGTTTGCATTTTTCATAAAGAAGTCGTTTACGAGATCTTATTTGCGCAGTTCGCAGAAGCGTGGGCGCAGTTCGGGAAAATAATGTGTTAGCGTTCCGAAATAAAGGTTTTTACAGAGCTTTTTAACAGTTTTTAAGGACATAAAAGCTACACTCTTCACGTATTCTATTGTTCGACCTTAAAAATGTCTCAACCGATGAAGACGGAGCCGGACTCGGAATCAGAAATTATTGTGTAGGATAATATCGATTTATTTGTTTCTCGATTATTGAGTTAAAAATAACCAATAGTATTGATTCTACACTTTGTTGAAAACTTATTATTTAAAATTTTTTAGTCCAGAACCCGAGACTTCCTCGCCTGGAAAGAGTGGGGTTAGTGTAGTCACATCCACCAAAAACAACAAAGATTACCAGAACAGTCTGTTGGACGAGACCATCAACAGTGTCGCTCATCGAACACCTGCGAATGAAGTCCCAGCAGAAGCAGATTTGTACGATGAGGCAAGTTTTTAAGCTTTATCAATTATTTTTAGATTTTTACACACAAAATGATAAGGGAAAGGCTTATTTTAGGTATCAAACGCCTAATTTAAGTAAGATTTAAGGACGAAAAATGAAACTGATTAAACTAAAAATTTATACTTGCGTTTTCAGCCGCGATATTTCACTCACACCGACGTTCCTAAAGCCAGAAGGCTGGCGTTTCGAGAAGATCTGGATGAAAACACTATTCTGAATGCCGTTATCGCAGACGAAGCCTACATTGACACATCAGACTTAGCTCAGCGAGTTCTTTATGAACTAAAGCAGTACTCTATACCTCAATCTTTGTTCGCCGAGAAGATCTTGTGCCGAAGTCAAGGAACACTGTCAGATTTGTTGAGGAATCCAAGGCCGTGGACAGAGATGAAGTCAGGGAAAGAGACCTACCGAAGGATGTTCAACTGGCTGCAGCAGCCTTTACATGTCAGACTGTCGATTTTGAATCTGTACGATATTAGTGGAGTTCCTCCAAACGCCTTGAAGCCTCTCCCACCGCCTGATCTCAAGAGGAAAATGCAACCGCCATCTCCAGAACATTCTCCAAACACTTCGACGTCGTCCTGGGTTCCCACAAAGAAACAGAGATTCTTGTTCACGGAGAAGCAGAAGTCAACATTGAACACCATTTTCAATGCTTATCCTAGGATTTCAAAGGATTTACAGGCAAGTATTGAAACATAATTGTGTTTGATCATTTTAGGTATCAAAATCTATTTTTCCATCAAAAACTAAATGTTGCTGAGTTATAAAACTAGTAAATATTTATAGCACCCTCACGGTTAGTCATTTTCAGGACAAAATCGCAGATAAACTGGGGATCGACACAAACACAGTAGGCAACTTCTTCATGAATGCACGACGGAGAAGCAAGATTCAACAGCAGCGACGACCAGAGTACGAACACGAGTACGTCACAGAGCAATATGAGGACGAACCCGTGGATGTGACAGAGCTATCCAATGTATAATATAATAAACGGTTCGATTTTTTACTGCAGCTTTTGGGTTGGATATGGCTCATGATCGCTTTTACAATTAGAGCCTTTAAGGTTAGCTTAAAAATACAAACTTGGTATAATAGATGATCCTATTCACTTTATTACAACATTATTTAAGCCTGTCCCACGACGTTCTTCCTTTTATGAGATCTGAGAGAGTTTGGCCAACTTTTGTTACCTAAAGCATGTTGATTCAAGTTTTGTTGAGGCAAAAGTTGCGCCCAAAGTAATATAATGCATACTTTACAAACAAAATATAAAACTAAAATCTTACCGGAACTGTAATTTGTTGCATTGTGGTGATTTCTCTTATGGTCACGGTGCCATTGTTTACTGTATTGTCATCTACAGTAATCCCGAATGGTATTCCTAGTTCGTCAGCCTTAATGTACCGTTTACCAATTGAATACCTGGTGTCGACGACATTAAATGAGATATCTGCATCCTTCAGCTGGTCTTCTATGTCTGTTATGTACGTGTTGAACTTGTCGTCGCGAACAATCGGATAAATAGAAGCCAGAATCGGGGCTACGGTAAGTGGGAATGCAAAGTACGGGTTCTTCGGTTCTGAATCCGGGTTACGCTGTCTGAAGGAGTGTTCTAGTACTGTTTGGAGGATTCTGCCAATTCCAAACGACGGTTCTACCACCTTCGGATACTCTAGATCTTCCGAGCTGATACTGAGGTAAATGTTCAATCCTTGCGACAACGACTTCAAGTCATAACTGGAACGATCAGAAAAGCCGGCTAGCTCCACCCATCCTACTGTAGTCAAAGCTTCCGCATCCCAACAGTCCTGTAAGATATCGTATGGTTACTGTATACATAACAGTATTTATACTATAGGTTTACTATATAAGTATAACAATACAACAGTCACTAACTTCTACGTCAGTTTTCAGCCAACTAAAATATGTCATAATTAACTTACATTAGCATAATGTGCCATTTCTTGTCGTCTGTGTTGTCGGAACCTTAATCTCTGAGGATCGATTCCTATTTTAGTTAAGAAGATGGCGCTTCTGATCATGTAATAGGCAATTATGACATTAGAAATGACGTTGTTCTCCAGAGCTCCTTTGACCGTGTAATTCCTAGAAGACTTCTCAGCTTCTTGATCTTCGGCTGACCATAAAGTAAACTCCATATCCAGTAGCTTGTCCAGCTTCAATCTTATGTCATCAGAAGTCGTGTAGAAGTGTTCGATCTCGCACAAAGTAAACTCTCGAAGGCGGAACAAGTTGTGTTTGGGCGAGACCTCGTTTCTGAATACAGTACCTACTTGGGCTACAGTAAGCGGAAGTCTTTGCTGAAACAATAATAGTAAGTATAGCTTTAGTATCACACACTTAAAGCCTACATTACTTTCCGTACTCCAAATTAGTATGACCCATTTTAAAGTTTTACTGAGTACTTACCCCATTGTAAGCTAGAAGCTTTCTGAAGTTCAAGAAGATTCCCTGTGAAGTCTCTGGCCGCAGATAAGCAGTGTTCTCACCTTGACCTCCTAGTTGTGCCGCGAACATCAAATTCAGAGGAGTTGGGCGTGACAGTTCGTTCCCATTCTTTGATTTTAGTCCAAACTCTTCAATTACACTATGTAGTTCATCTGCATTCAGAGTTTCGACCTGCGACAAGTTTTTTTCCAGCTTCTCTTTTCCTTCACGAGACAACTTTTTGTCCTGTAAATGCATTAGAATGTACAATATATTATATGTTACATCATAATTTTCATTAAAAGCACAAGTAGTACATAAAAGATGAAGGTATTATATATTTATATATAACTTTTTAAAGTTCTACATTTAAAAATACCTTTAGCAAAGCCTCCAAGTGTTCTTTGATCAAATGGTCAGCTCTGTAAGTGTCGTTGGTCTTGACATCTTTGACAATAAAATCAGTAAAACGGTCAACGTGGCCAGAAGCTCTGAAACTCCAAATCTGAATACTTCTCCAAACATTAAACACGCAATATTATAAATAAACATAATCTTAACGATAAAAAATGGAATCATCTAAAAATATTACTTTAGAACCTCAGCCGGAGTTAGAGAAGGGCATTCGACTTCAAGCATTCTGTCGCTCTTAATGAAATGTCGTCTCCATTCGTTTACTATGTTATTCTTAATTGCAACTGCAGCTGGGCCCAGATCTATTAGTCCAGGTTGTGAAGTAAACGACCGGTCGAAGAAGAATCTATTAGTTAAGAGATCGTATAACGACAATTGGTCGACGAACCCATTTTCTGGCATCAACTCGTATTCCTGCAACAAACAGTTACAACTTCACCAAAAGCTTTACTGTATGTGGTGTTAGACTTCAACTCAAATATACTATAATAGTGAAATTACAAAATGAAAAAATACCGTACCTTTATCTGAAGTTGTTCCTTTGCGTTTTTAAGCAAATCGACCGTTTGTTTAACAGCTTCAGAATCATTATTTCTTTTAGCTTCTTCCACTTGTTCTGTAGCCCTTCGTACATTTTCTTTGTATGGAATTAACTTCTACAAATACATACCACTATAACATCATAACTTACACTTTCTATCGTTGGAGAACCCAAAACTTTCAGATAGACTGAAATCTTCTCGCGCAATCTTTTGGTCGGCAACTTTCTTTGTGTCGCAGATTCTGAATACAATCTGCCACCATATAAAGCTCTGGATATGACATTCAGTTTGTACATTCTACAAGATTACTTTTGCTTTTCAAATCGATTCACTTTAAATTGAAATGCCATTTGTATAATACCAAGGATGAAACCAAAAACATTATTTTTTATACAAAACAACGGAGTAAATATTTAACAGATTTATTTCATGCTTAAATAGGAGTAAGACCCTTATAAATAATACCGGATTTAGTTTTCAGCAGCGGTGAACGCAGGAAATTCCTTTGATACTTGGGCCCAATCGCGACGATTGTTGACCAGATCGGACACGACTTGGCCAATTTGAGAAATCTAAAAGCAATTTTACAGTATAACAATCACAACATTACTCTTACAACAAGAATATTCAACAATATAAATCATATAAAACCACACAAATGTCAACTTACTTCTAACCGGATCTGTTGCATTGTTGGGGCGTGACGTAGAGTTGCAGTATGAGGCTGTTTCTCGCTTTCAAAGTCCACAGTAATACCGAAAGGTATTCCAATCTCATCAGTACGAGCATACCTTCTGCCAATCGATCCTGCACTGTCATCTACCTTGTGGCTGAGTTCGTATCTTCCTAACTCTCTTCTGACTTCCTCAATCAGCGGGTTTAGCTTCTCGTTTGCACTGATTGGTAGCAAGGAACACTTGATTGGGGCTACGATCGCAGGCAGTTCGAGGTAGTTGCGCTGTTCATCTCCTTCTCTTGCCCTGAAGGCATGTTCCAAAACGACGTACATAATACGACCAATACCGAAAGACGGTTCTACAACTGATGGAACGATTTCCTGAACGTGCTTCACTTCTTCAACTTGTTTTACAGTAAGTTCGTCTGAAGTGAGGGTGAAGGTCTTCTTTTCTCCTTTTACTTCCACCGTGACATCGTACTTCCTAAAAGTAGAAATTAACACACAAAAATATAGTCAAATATACAACGATTACTTTATTAAATCATTAAAAGACCTTACCCATCAGCTTTAAGTTTTTCTCCAACCTTCTGAAGCTCGGATTCGTCCAAACTCTCAATCTCTTGTGTAACAGCCTTAGCATCACCTCTGAACTTCTTTCCAATCGCTTGTTTGTTCAGATGAGCCTTCGTTACAGTAATCTGAACAGGTTCGGCCAACTTTTTCTCAGCAGTCAGACGCTGGTTAGTAGCCTTGGCATGAGCTTGAAGATCGTAACATGAACGGTCGGCATTTCCAACACATTCAATCCATCCATAAGATGTCAAACATTCGGCGTCCCAACAATCCTACAATAATATTGATTAAATTTTGGTTCGGTTCGGGGTGACTCCCCCCCCCCAGAACCGATCCGAAAAAAAATCCAGAGGCAGGTACCTGTACGCGGAAAAACGAAAAAAAAAATTTTTGAAAAATCGGTCCACAGGTAGCTCTCTCCCTGTGGACCAAAAAAAATTTTTCGACCTCCCCCCCCCCAGAGAAAAACCGTAGCGACGTCCCTGGTCTCACGATAAAAAAATTAAAAACTTACTTTAGCATAATGTGCCATTTCGTTTGCCATATGCTGTCTGAACCTTAATCTGTTTGGATCTACACCAACATTGACCAAAAACAAGTAAGTACGGGTCATGTAGTAACCCAATGTCTCATTATCAACAACCTTGTTCTTAACCGCGTCGCCAATCTTCATCTTCTTGGCTCCCTTTCCGTCCATCTGATCGCAAGCTGAGAACAAGTTCAACTCCAAATCAGCGACAGAAGAGAATCTAGGATGATCCTTATCAGCTGGATCCAAGAAGTGTTCTATCTCACACATAGTGAACTCTCGAACTCTGATCAATCCCTGACGAGGAGAGATCTCGTTTCTGAAGCCACTACCAACTTGAGCTGCAGCAAATGGAAGGCGACCCTAGAGTAATAATGTTTAGAACATTACTAACACAATATCACATAAATTTAAAAATAACGAACATAGATAAGCACAATCTTTACTAATAACATTACAAAAAATCGGTTTTTTAACGTATACCTACTTGATTAAATTCCAACAACCGCTTGAAGTTGATGAAGATTCCTTGAGCTGTCTCTGGTCTCAAGAAAGCCTTAAAGTCTCCAGTTGGACCAATCTGGGTCGGGAACATCAAGTTAAACGCCACAGGCTCAGTTAGATTGTTCTTAGTAATCGGTGACTTGAATCCGTACTTCTTGATTGTGTCGTGCATTTCCTCACTTGTGAAGCCATCAAGCTTAACAAGTACATCTTCCAACTCATCTCGCTTCTCCTTGCTCAGCTTCTTGTCCTTGCTTAAGATCTCTTCCACAGAGTTCTTAATCAAGTGATCAGCTCGGAAGCAATCTCCAGTCTTCTCGTCTTTCACCATCCAGTCCACAAAACGTTCAACATGCCCAGAAGCCCTAAATTATATTTTAAACCATAAGATAGAGGGTGAATGCAAATTAACCATATTATTTATGAAAATCTGATGAAAACGCCTTTATAGTTAGAAAACATACTTCAAAACGTTTTCTGGAGTCAGAGCTGAACATTCTACCTCCAACATACTTTCTTCCAGGATAAAGTGTCGCCTCCAGATCTGAATCATATTACTCTTAAGAGCACATCCCATCGGACCATAATCATACAGTCCCGAAATACCGCCATAAATGGCGAATGACTGATCGTAGAAGAACCTTCGCTTAAGAAGATCTTCAAGCTTCACACGATCAAAAGATGGTGCTTTTGGAGCCAATTCCAACTCCTAAAAATAAGAAAACCAATTAAATGTTTACAAAAAAGACATAAAGCAAACGAATTTAACTAAAAACTAAAAAATTAGTCAAATAAATTACGAAAAGAAAGCCATACCTTGTCCTCCAACACCTTCTTCCTCGCCTTCAGCTCGTTCACAACTCTTTTGATGTCGTTCTCATCTGCTTTATCCAATTTCAACTGTCTAACTTTGTCCCCAATCTCCTTCACCGCTGCTCTATACGGAGCCAACTCCTAAACACATAAATCAGAAAGATATTAACTAACTTACAGTTTCAACCTCCACTGAAGCCATGTTTGAAGAGAAGTTGACCTCCAAAACCCCTGAAAAACAAAAATGAACACGTAATCTCGACCTAAAACAAAATATTTAGCGCGTAAAAAATATTAGAAAGTAGAAAAGGTAGTAAAACAAACGATCAGATCTCATTTTAGGCCATAATCTCATAAATTTGTGAAATTTTTGCCAAAAATTTATTTATTTCCACATAGGACGCGAGCTGCAAGTACGTTTTGCGGCCTGCAGCTGCAAGAAATAATGACGAAATAAAAAGGAAGATCTTGCCAATTCGAATTGAAATTGCGAAACAAATCGGACATGAAGCCGGAAATCAACAAAGTACGCCTAAAAAAGTAAGTTATAACAATTTTGCTTACTAAAAAATCAGATTGGAAGAAATTTCAATCTCTTCGCGACAAAATAGTTTAAAAATCAGTCAATGAGATAGATAAATCATAATACAATATAAATCTTTCAGTAATTTTTATTTAAATTTAATTTACTTTTAAGTGTTTTATATCGCAAGCAAGCTTAAATTGTAGCAGTTTAGTGACAGTATTGCTTTGAAATGGAAGTTTAGGTAACAACTCAAAGTTTGACATATTTTTCGAGATCGAAATGTACGTCGCTTAAAGAGATTACATCTGAAACGCGTGTAAACTTGTTTCTGCAGATCTTTAAATGATCCGCTTGAACACCCTCCAGAATGTCGCAAAAATTGCCTTTCTTCAAGGTTAAACGCTTCTCGATGTTAGTATTAGAATGGGAGGCAGACGGGTAATAGTTAACTCTTAAGATGGTTTTGTGGTTTTGTACAGTTTGTTTTGAGTGAATGTCATTTTACTTTGAGTTTTGAGACATTTTTTAAAATTTTAATTTTTTAAAATTTAAAAAAAATTAAATTTAACAAAATTTAAAAACTGTAATCTTTTCTTGATGATTTTCATAATAGACTGACATCTCTTTCACATCTTGTCGCCTGTTGTTTATGAAAAGATTTTGTCATTCTTTCATAATGTTGTTCTAGTTCTTCTATCGTCGTTCTTTGTCGTCGTATGTTTCAAAATGTCATTATTATTACTAGAACTGGTCAAAACTTGTACTTCAAGTTACAAACAATTGTATGACAGTAACTCGGAGTTGCTTTACAAACGGGAAACCTTTCCAGTGTACTGGAATAACTGTCCTGAGGGTCCTTAACGACCCGTTTCGATTTTGTTTTTATTCTGGTTTTGATCGAAATTCACGCCTTTCGAAGTCGCTATTTAAATTGAGAGTGTCGCAAGAGGCCGCTTTCTGGTACTTTAGACCAGCCTTGTATATATGCATATTATGATGGTTGTTTTGGTCAAAAAGTGCGTACCGTTAAAGTTGCAGATGTTTTTTAACTTCTGCCAGTAATACCTGATCTTACAGTGTTAGATTACTAGCCTACATTAGTTTTTGTATTAGCCCACTGTAGTTCACATAACAATTCACAGAATTTTCTGCCATTCTTTGTTGATTCTGCAACTGCAACCCCCTTTTGACGAAGTTTAATGGTCCCTTCTCTGCCGCTTCCGCTCTTGTTTTAAAAACTCTCGAGAACGGTGTAATTTCTCGGCGTTAGCTCACGTTGAACACGGTTGTATGGTCAGTTGATAACGAAACGTGCCTTTGTCGAAATGGAGTTTCGCCATAAGCACTTATGAGATGTCTGCTTCCGTGATTTGCTTCAGTTTGAAGCACTTCTTCTGGAGCCGGGGTCGAGCGTTTGATTCTTCGTGTGATTTCACTGTAATGATGACGATGGTACCTGGAGTTGGGTATTTAAGGAAGTGCAGAAGCGAACATTTTTTAAAGTTTTTATTAATTGTTACAGTAAAATGACCGGGGTTACGGTATCCGAAATGTTATAGTTTTTTTTTTATTTCGTAGGTTAAAAGGGCGTTTCACGTGATTAGTATTAAGTTGTATATAAAGAATTGAGCTATGTCTAATGACTTACATAAGGTTTAGTAGCTCATTCCATTAAATAAGGTTAATTTGAAAAATTTCACCTTGTTTCACAAAGTTTATACATATGAGTATGTTTATTGCTGGGCAGGTTACTTTAGGTAAGAAGAGAAGAGATAAATCACATGTATCTTTTTATTGAAAGGGGGTATACCTTCTAAATGAGAGTTGTAATTCTCAGTTGTGGTTTTTCAGTTACATCTTTCGCTATTTCCATCTCTGTGTAGCTGTATTTGTTCTCTCTGTGTAGCTATGTTTGTTCTCTATTCTAGTTTCCCTTCAGAGTAATTTATCAAAAGCGAAAATACAAGGTACATCCATTTGAGTTCTCGTAGATGACCGCTAATTACTAGTTGCTGACCTCGTATGTTGGTCGCGATTTCTGGGAGTTTGCTGAACTGACATCAAGTATATAAGGCTGAGTTTGTTTTTCGAATTTCATTTTTGGTTTTTGAATCTTTGGATAATTATTTTGAGGGTTCGATCTGAGCATTCTATTAAAAAAGTCTTTACCATACCCTCATCTGATCATCCTGCCATTTTTAAATTGACTTTTGTGATTTTAAAATTTGGATTTTGAGTTTAAAAAGGATTCAGAATCTCCTTTAGTGAAATCAGAATTTGTCTCCCATTGTCGCTATGTTTGCCTTTACATGACAATGTGTCGTTGTTTGGAGATCCATCTTTATCTCACCTGACTCACGCTTACTTACCTCACGACGTTGTCGCGTTTCGTCGTCAATCAAATAAAGTTTGGGTCTTTAGGTGTGGTTCCATTGTTCTGTGAATTTGTTTAATAATAACAATGTCAGTTTACAATGTACTTTGGTGGCCATTTTACTTCTGAATACTCTGTAGGTGACTTCTGAATCTTTAAACTTTTTGACCGTTTTGATTTCGGTCAGAAAGTTGTTAGAATAGTTGTTTGTGATTGTTTGTGTCACTCTTAATATTGTTTTCGATGAAAGCAGTGATAAAAACAACTAAACTTGATATCACTATTTACAATGTTTAGCTTGATATCCATCCTATAACCATTTAACACGTCTTGTACGATTGTGTGACCATCTCTTCCGCTGACCAGCGACAGCTATCCCTCGGCTGTAACTCAATGATACGAAAGTGAAATTCAAACATATCATTGGATTACTTAATCAGCTCGTCCTTCCTCGTCGATTTCGTAGCCTCTTCATCTGAAGCAGCGCTTCCGGAGGCTGTTCCTTTTATTTTGCCGCTTCTTGGATTAAGGTCATCCGTGCTGATTTACTCCTGATTCGGTAGTTAATATATTGACTGAACTGGGTTTAGTACTTGGTTTTACTGCTTCTTTGCTGATAAATCTATTATAGGCTTTAGAAGGTTTACAAGGGTTTTTGGGGGTGTGCAAGATTGTCATCTACGTACGAACTTAGCCAGGCTTTAGGAGATTCTTATGTTTCTTTTATCAAATCATGTTATCAAGCGTGCGGCCATTTAAATGTTTCAGATATCTTACTTACTTTAAATGAAGCATATTACAATCTTAATACATTGTATAATACTAGGTATAAACCAATTAATGACATTATGATTGTTATGAACTCTCGATGACAAACATATTGTTACTTTGAGTCTCGACCCACCCTCCGGTAATGTTACATTAATATTGTTAATGGTTATTGTGCGACTTTACTTTTTGGTTTAATCCGGATCGTTGTCAACTTTCGCTTCTTCCTCGAATTACGCCATTTTTTATTTGACGCCCTCGCCTCTCCCCCATTATGCTTCCTTCTGAATCTCTGAATCCGCGTTTATATTATGGTGGAGTGGACTCGGCGTTGCGCGTTTGTTGCGCAAGGCTGTAACCAGTTATTTTTGTTCCAAACTATGTTTATCTCCCACCTGATAACTGATCACGAACCTGGACGGGTACTGTACCTTCTGGAGTCGATTTGTCAGTTTGCAATCAATTAACCGTCTTCCTGCAACTCGGTAGTCTGTGGTTCGGGATGTTACTGCGGTTCTGACCGTTCACTCCCACGAATATACGATCATCAACTCTTAAACAGAGGCTTAACATGCGGTTCTACGTGGGGTTTAATATGTTGAAAGACGTCTGATTCTATTTACGAAAGTCAAGGGTAAAATAGTTTAACATACGATTTCAAGTAGGGAAGGTTTACTGCTTAGTCTTGATAGGTGGTCTAATTATAAAGTATAACGTGTCCTTACTTTAATATTGGCCTATTTTTTGTATCAAAAGTGTGTTTTATGGTTTTACCTAGATGATGACTATGTTTACAGTTCTAAGAAGCCATATATTATTTATATTGTAACAAACTACATTGTAACAATCTCTGGTTGTATAGGTAAGCAATTAGGCGTCGAATTATGCCGAGGCTTTCCGAGTTCCGGTTAAAACATCAAAAACGTTGGGAACGACCGGTTTATTAAGTTTGTAATTACTAATTTCGCGCAGACAATTTAAAGTTCTGTAGGTTTGGCGATTGTCGTAACGATCACTAAGTTTCAGAGGGTCGTAGTCGTATGTTACTTAGTTGGGAGTGATACCACGGAACATCCGGCACCATGAAGCACCCCACCCACTACATCGAGAAGTTCTTCTACTGGCTCGGTCTCTTCGTCGGCCAACACCCCTACTCTGTGATCGTGGCCATATTGACCTTCACCTTGATATCGGGTATTGGCTGGGTCCGCTTCGAAGAGATCAACAATGTCAGAACAGAGTACTCACCTCAGAATGCACCATCCTCGCGCGAGTACGATGTCGCCAAGAAGTTTCTGAAACAGAACGGCACGATGGACCCGTGCTATGTCATGACACATGCGAGAGATGGGGGAAGTTTACTGAGAGAGAAGCACCGGTGGCTACTCTACAATCTGACGAAAGCGCTACAGACTGAGGTCAAGGTGGAGAAGAACGGTAAGACATACGGTTTCACGGACTTTTGTGAGCCTTACTGTGAATTGAACACAGCGTTCTTGGCTTTCTTGAAGTTGTACGATCCAAAGAATCCGAGCACGTTCACCTACCCATCAATCGATTTGTTTGGGAATCAAGCCTTTATTGGTGAGTACTATATTCAAAAGTGGTTTACAAGATAACAAAAGTTGGTTCAAGATTCAATGTTTTTATATTTTAAAATATATGATTTTAAGAGTATTGTTTGTAAACATTAGTTGATCTCCTTTTGATCGCAAGTTTTTTTTATGAAATCATATTTCTTAAATGGGAATGTTTTACGCTGTAAATTCCTTCGTATCTTTCAACATGTCTATTTTAGGTAACAATGTTTACGGTATCAAACTCAAGAAGAATACCAATGAGCTGACATCCTTCGACACCGCTGTTATGCCGTTCTTTGTTGTAGCCGCTTACGAAGATCTGGACGTTCTTGTAGCGTGGCAACAGAAGGCGATTGAAACTTTCGAGAAACCTCACTTCAGTAAATATCTAAAGGTATGTTCGGGAAGGTTGTTTCTATTCTGTGATGTTACACTACCTTTAAAGTTTAACCACTTTTGATTGAAACGTTAACTACTAAACAAACTTTTTGGATACAAACTTCGCCCAACTTTATACAATCTCTTTCTACTTTCACGTTTCAAATGATTACATTAGTTTGACTCGAATTCTTTGATCTCCAAGTCGAGTAACAAACATTAACTAACCTTTACCACTCGAATTCATGGGTTTACAATCCAATTAACCATGACAGTAAAAAAAATAAGCACAGTAAATTCAAAAAGTTATGGCTATTTGAAAATAATCAGTATATACTATATATGATCAAAAAGGTTGTGGAATAATCGAATAATTTGGTGTGTTTTCTAAATAATTTTGACACAAAAGTCATTTGAATAACATAATATAGTGCAGTGTCAATGAACAATCAGAACTTTAAGGAAGTCAAAGTTTGTAAAATAACTATTTCTTAACTCAATATCCATTAATCTAAAACTACAGTTCCTTATTTAACTTTGTGTTTGCAGAGTGGGATGACAGGCGACAATCTCGTGTCATACGAAGTTCGGAGGATGGGGATCGAGACGGCTCCATTAATTATTGGCTCCATCGCTGCCATGATTGTTTTTGTTGTTGTTTTCTCTTTCAGGTAACGTTTTTCAAGGTCACTTCTGTCTTTTATGTAACTTTTGCTGCACGTAGTTCTTTACAATGGCAATGCCTCTACAAGGTATGATGCCATTGTAGTTTAACCATGTCAGATGCCGTGACCTTTTGCCATTGTGAGTTAAACTGACCGCGACAATGAATGGTCACGGTAGTCTCCATGGGAGATTGTTTGTGAATAGAGATCAAAAAGGGATCGAGTTCGGGAGATTGACGTAAAAGTAACAAAAAAGGTCATATGACTTTACAGTAAATAACCATAAACTACTTATCACCTCTCATTGACCTTAACGTTGATTACTCTGAAGTAGTCGATAAAACAGCGTTCTACTGTACACGTAGCTTGGTTAATGTAATCAATTCAAGTTTATACCGGTTATACTCATAACTGTAGGCATAGTAAACATAATGACAATATAAACCTAATTCAAGATGAATACGCAATAAAAGCCATTAACACAGACACCTCACGAAACATGTTTTCAGAGTGGTCAAGCTGCAGAGTAAGCCCTGGGAGTCGTTCCTCGGCTGTCTGATCCCCTTGTTGGCCATGGCTTCGGCCATTGGGCTAATGTCGCTGGTCGGAATGAAGTTCCAGTCAATTGTCGTCGCTGCCCTATTCCTGGTACTATCAGTTGGAATCGATGACATTTTTATTTTGACAAGAGCCTGGAATAGAACAGATGGCAGAAACACCGTGCAGGAGAGAATGGCGACAACCTTGGAGGATGCTGGACCGTCTATCACGATATCAGCCATGACTAACATCATGTCGTTTGCTATTGGTGCCTTCTCTGACACTCCAGCTGTGAGGACGTTCTGTATCTTCTCAGCTGTTGCCATCTTCATCTGCTACGTTTATCAGCTGGTGCTTCTGTCCGCGATTCTGTGTCTGAGTGGATTCAGGGAACAGAAAGGGTACCAGTCTCTACTGTGCTGCTTCCAAGCTGATACCACTGCTACTTGTGATCTCGCTGAATCGTGTAGCAGGCTACATGACCGAGTCGTGTATGCATGGTCGCGAGCTGTGATGAAGTGGCCTGTGAGGTTGTTGTTGTTTGTTATCATGGTAGCTTACTTCTACATCTCCTGGACTGGAATATCCAGGTTACAGTCCAATATCTCTATCGACAAGATGGCGTTGCCCAATTCGTATCTCCACGACTTCCAAGAATCCTTTGAAAGGGCGTTGAAGAACATGCAGCCCATCTCCGTGTTCGTTCTCAAGCCCGGAGATCTGAAGGATCCAGATCAATTACAACGTGAGTCATTTGGTTACACTTTAACATAAGGTTAACTATGTCATAAAGTTTAGTAAAACGTAGTTAAGTAGTGAAGCCAGTAGAGTTAATGTGATACGTCTTTAATCGGATGTGTCATAACAAGATCGATGTTTCAGATGTCAAAGACCTTGTTCACGACTTTGAACATTCTCTGAATTCCTACGGACCCGACTCCACGTTCTTCTGGCTGTCGCAATACGAAGACTTCTTGCGATTCTATGGGGAATCGGAGGAGTTCACCTACACCGAGATCCCGACCTTCTTCAAGTCGGCTACCTACTTCTACCTGAGCTCCTTTGTCCACGTCAACGAGACGGCTTGTCTGGCCGACGAACCTGAGTGTGTGACATCGTTCTTCTTCATCACCAACTTCCACAATGTCATTAAGTACCACGAACTGGTGCCTACGGTCAAAAACTGGAGAGCCATCTGCAAGAACTACAGCGACCTCGATGTGTATTCATACAGCGATCACACTCCGTTTGTAGATCAGGTAGGTTAACATTTTTGTGGAATTCACGTTGTTCTAACTTTACTACATTATTTATACCACACTTATGTTTACATAGACATTTAAAGTATCATACTTAATATGCTAATCAATTATTACTTTTAGACGATGGCCATTGACTCTACAGTGTACGGAAGTGTAGCCGCAGCCTTAGTGTGTACCGCTGTGATATGTTACTTTTTCATCAACCACTTCCTGAGTGTGGTTGCTGCTGTCTTCTCGGTTTTCAGTATCAGTTGGGGAATCTTCGGGTTACTGTCGTTGTGGGATGTTGATTTAGATCCTCTGAGTATGGCTGCACTATTAATGGCCATTGGATTCAGCGTTGACTTCACAGCTCACATCAGTTATCACTACTATAAGACACCAAACGGGGTAAGTTTACATCAATATTGTCTCACAGTCAAAGAGTTCTTATCTTATGTCACATATATTTATAATCATTTGTATATTGCAATACCTATCTACATTACTATTTGCAGCACCCCCAAAAGCGGATCGAGCACGCTCTTCTGATCATCGGATGGCCCATGGCTCAAGTCGGTCTCTCTACCATCGTCGCGTTACTGCCTCTTCTCTTCAAACAGTCGTATCTTGCCATGGTATTTTTGAAGACAATCGTCGTGGTTGTATTACTTGGTATGTTCCATGGTCTCGTGCTACTGCCAGCCGTACTCACTATGATCACGAGGTACAACGCTGACAGTGCTGATCCAAGTGCAGAATCTTCTGAGCGATCGTCGCAACGATCTACCGAGCGGAAAGAAAGTTTCTACAAGGTAAGTCGGGTTTTATGTTGAGTTGGTTCTTGTACTTTGGTGTTTTGCATTACATCATACTGTAAAATTATGTCACATATGTATGTATGGTAACTATTGCTTTTCAGTCGCAGCACTTGATCACGAACATGAACAAAGAAGGCTGGCTAGCCAGGAAGACCAGTTCGTTCCGCAAAGACCGAGTCAAACCTTTGGACATCAACGAGCTGAATAGTACGGCCTCGACCGGCCCTATTGCTTTAGTGCACAAGATCCCCTTAGGGCGAACGACGTCCAACGCGCTATAACTTTGTTTCCAGTCAATCTGCACGGGTATTAGAGATTGTTTAAGTATTTAATAGTAATTTTCAGCTAATAATTATCTTTACTTTGGCATTACGGTACGTGCTTCTGTTACTGTAACGTTGGTGCTGCCACAATATTACTGTACTTTAAATTTATATCACTTTATCTTTTTGCAGTAATGTACTTTATTGTATACTTAAAGTTATTCCAATTTTAAAGCCAACGTTACCGTATCCTAGCATTGTTACAGTATTTGATTTGTCTGATCTCCGATTCACAAATGTCTACACAATCCAAATCTACAGTGCCATTTCTTTGGCGGGTTATTAAGTAAATAAACGTATTAAACTCGGGAAAGAAGTGTTCAACATATACACCATGATTCAAACGCAACGTATGCATAAGTAATGAATAATACGCGTCTGAGCGCTCATTGATATGCTTTCCAATCACTGTGATATGTAAATAATCAAAATAAAACTGACAAATTCAACAGATCTTATTCTACAATTTTGCAAAATATCATTCAGATGTGTCATCGTATGTTTAGTTATTAAAGTATCAAAACATTTCCTAAAGGCCTCTTGGTGAATGGCCATAATATTATTGTAAGCTAATTAAACTATGTTAAGCATGGTGAAATTATAGTGTCAGTTTAAACATACCATCTCATTTTTGATTATATTCATTTGAACTTATACTTTGAACATGTCGCCAAGGATACTATAGTTTGTGCACGACATTTTTAGAACAAAGGCTTTGTCTATAACATATGCAGTGCTTATAACAACAGTAATTTATACCACTATTTGTTATTTCGGTAGCTTGACATGTAGTCTATAATATTTTGTCATGTCTAGTATAATATTGTCTCCGATGTTAATCATTACGCTGCAATATTTTCTTTTATATAAGGCCATTTTCAATATAACACTGTCTTTTAACGATATAACACTACTTATTATATATACTTCTAACATAATGTCATCTCTGATATCTTGTGCTGTTTTTGATGCTATCCTTGCGAAACCCTCTATCACAATATCGCGGCTCTTGAACGCCTCTTGAATTTCATAAACTTGGCCTCTTAGCGCTTCCTGTTCGAAACGTGTGCTTCAGATCATGTTATTGTAACTGTTTGCCGAGATATCATCTGAAGAGCGGCTGAGTGGGGTTATAACCCTCTCAACAGTATTGTAAGTTGTATAATTTCATTGTTGTGTCATTTGTCTGCAACCTACTGTAGGCATTGTAATCTAAATATAATAGTATCAAGTTGTTTTAAAGGCTGTTATGTACTTATTTGTTATGGTTTTATTTTGTTTTAATTCGGCTTGCTCCACGTATCGCTCAATCATTTACATTAATATTATAGCTTTTTCAATTTTTAAAATTATATGTCAATGTTTATAGTATGTTAATAAAAGCTTAAAAGTCAAATGTAAAAAGCTTTAAATTTTAATTTCCAGGCCGTTTTAAAGTTTAAAAAGTATTGTCAATTCACAAACCGTAACCGCTCAGTCACATGTCAATCGTACTGATTAGCTATCAAGTACGTTGACACGCATCTCGGACACTTGAGATGACCAGCTCAAATAATATTTTACCTGCTTAAACCCTCGGGCCGCGTTCTTTTCCAGTTCACCGAGGTTTACTCTCTGTTTTACTTTTGGTACTCTCTCACGTGGAAACAAAGTTATTTCTTTTGATCCTGTTTTCGTTTTATAGCACGATAAACAACGTCTCGACGGTTTTAAAATAGTTCAGGCAGTACTTATTGTGCTGTTACTCATCTCATTTTACCATAGTTTACTGATTTACAATGTATTAGGTTGTTCAAATAATTATGTGCTTTTTCACAAAAGAAACTTTAGGATTAAGGGCACAGAATTATTTAAACGACTTAAAGATACATTAAAGTACAAATGTAAGTTTAATTTTCATGTAAGCATAGACGTAAATTGAAGTTTCATATAAATATAGATATAGGTATACCCGCCTGTTTATTTGTTTCCTCAATTAATTTGCGCAAATCCGGTAACAATTGTTTGAATGCGGGCTTGTAACTGTTCTTTAAAGAGTACTGAACACACATTCGTTAAGCTACCTGATTCACGCATCCTGAATCAGCCAAGTTAGTCTTTGGATTCTGTTTTGAAACTTATTAATATTTGATTAACATTACATGTTATGGCTGCAATCACAAACACTGACATCAGCATTAACGTTTTGTATAGTTTTGTATTGCTTTTATTGTCTCCATTACTACGCATTTCGTGTATATCTGCAAAGTCAACAAACCGCTACTGTAGTTTACCAAATATTGAACCTTTTTGAAACGTTCCCAACGTTTTATTGTCTCCGGTTTACAACAATATACGGGCTTTATTGCATCTGTTTTAGTAGATTACCTATCTTGAAAACAACTTTTGAAATCTTGATGTAGCTATGATATACAGGGAAGAGGACCCGGCTTTCCCGGATTTTGGGCGATCATCCGAAATGAAAACCGAGTAGGAACTGCGCGGGCCGTCCCCAAATAAAGCCTTCGTATTTGTGTTGTTACTTACAAACGTTTCCATTATTATTTATGTTACAAGACAACGCCCTCAAGTCGGTTCTCACCGTGCTCTGCAGTCGGTGTCAGGTATCGATCGAGATCATGTCAAAGCCCTTTTGCGACGCCAATTACCCTCTCCCTTACTGCGGTAACGGACGAGACGAACCTCGTAAACCCTTACTACCATTATCTACTCTTTGTGGGATTTGCTTGTTTTAACAGTCACACTGGGAACGTTGGCTTCGGTTTGGTTGGGTTTACTGTTTGTTTTGAAAATACTTACTTTCAATCGCGATTTGAAAAGATATCTGTCATTTGCATGTTGGGTGTAGTTGTTATGGTTGTCATTTTCATTTCGAAATTATTGTCATTTGTAATAAGATGGGTTTTTAATTATATACCGTGATTTGATGTGCTGCATTCCTCACGGTAAAGAACATTCAGAGCCGCCATGACCGCTCGGAAGCAGCGGCGGTTCAGTACGGCCCAACAGATCAACCCTGATACCATGAAGGTGATGGACGGGCGGATGAACTCCATCACCACGCTGGAGGACGGGATTGGCAGTCCGTACAGAAAGAACTCCATTCCTCACAAACTGACCTCTACCTTCGGCCAGCTAGCCCTATTCAAGGATGAGGAGGAGGAAGAGCACGAGACTGGAGGGCAGAGCTTCATCAGCGGATTCACAACACCCGGGCCCAAAGAGAGAGCCACCAGTGCCAAGAAAAAGGTAACCACCTTTTTAATATCATTAAACCTTAATGTTAGCAAATTTAAAAAGTAATCTTTTAGGCCAATCTCGGTGTCATGCTGGGTGTGTACTTACCAACCATCCAGCACATCCTCGGTGTCACTATGTTCATCCGTCTGTTTTGGGTTGTTGGAGTCGCCGGAATCTGGTACACGTTGTTGTTGTTGACGCTCTGTTGTTTATGTGTAAGTTGTCTCATAATCCGCTACATTTAATAACCATTCCTCATCCATAATACCTTTTACACTACATATTGCAAGCAAATTTTTTTCTTCATTAACTTAATTCTTCTTTCAGACATTACTTACAAGTATATCGTTGTCAGCTGTAGCCACAAATGGAGTCGTAGAATCTGGAGGAGCCTACTTTATGATATCTAGAAACTTGGGAGCAGAGTTTGGATCAGCTGTGGGGATATTGTTTTACCTTGCTAATACGGTAGCTACATCAATGTACTTGGTGGGTGGGGTAGAAGTGCTACTGCTCTACATTTGGCCTGGACTGACTATTGGAGGCGAAGCAGCACATCAAGATACCGGTAAGTTTACGAAGCTTGATAAAAAAAGTCATACACGGTTCCTATTGATAATTATGGCTATCTTCTAGGTCTAATGGGCATGATGTCCCACAACTACCGTATTTATGGCACCATTCTTCTCCTGATCATCATGGTGATAGTAGCATTGGGAGTCAAGTTCGTGCAACTGTTAGCCCCCATTTCTCTCGTGTGTGTCATCGCCTCACTTCTAGCTTGTTACGCTGGTGGAGTTGAGAAAGCGATCACCCAAAGCGGACAACATGTATGCGTGTTAGAGCCGGAAAGTGGGGCAGCCTTACATCTGTTACAGTCCAGTAACTTGGGCATGAAAGAACATGACAACATCGCTGACATTTGTAGTCATTGCAAAAAGTCGGACTAGTAAGTTCTTTATAATAGCGCGGTTATATTATAATATTGCTCATTCAACATAATTCTAACCCAACGTTCAACATGTTTCAGTCTGGGCGAACAGTTCTGTGACAACAACAATAGCACTGAGTCATGTCATAGGTACCAATCAGGAACATTGAAGTGTGTCAATGGTTTCCCAGGTCTTAACATGGAGACAATGACCAGCAACCTCAAGGACATGTTGATGGACGAAGGTGAAGTCGCTCCTGGAGAGGCAGCCGACAGAAAACTAGACGTGTTCCAAGATGTCAAAGTGACATTCTTCGTGTTGCTAGCCATCTACTTCCCTGCCGTCACTGGAATCATGACTGGGTAATTTGCTTATGCAACTTTATATAACCATGCCTTTTAAAATTACATCAACTTTGTTTTAGTACGAACATGAGCGGAGACTTGAAGGATCCACAACAAAGCATTCCCAGTGGCACAATCGCGGCAACTATCACCACATCTCTGATCTACATTACCCTTGCCATTCTGTTTGGTGGCTCTATCATTGGCGATGTATTGAGAGATAAGAATGGCAAAAGTATAGAGAGTCACATGATTGTGGCCTCCCTTGCTTGGCCATCACCTTGGGTTGTCATCGTGGGATCGTTCCTGTCAACTTTTGGCGCGGCTCTTCAATGCTTGTGCAGTATGTTACAGAATGTTTTTACTAATATTCCAATTTACTTTTGAAACGTTTGTTCATTACTTCAGGTGCCCCTCGGTTGTTGCAGTCCATTGCCAAAGACGACGTTATCCCAATGCTGAAGCCGTTTGCTCGTGTCACAAAGAACAACGAGCCTTTCTTGGGGTAAGCCTGTTTGCTAACGCACTGGGCTTTCCCTCAGACAATCTCACAAAAATATTCTTTCAGATTACTGATAACAACCTTCATCGCAGAACTGGCCATTCTCCTCGGAGCTGTAGATGCCATCGCAGAGGTACTCGACTTCTTCTTCCTCATGTGCTACGCCTTCGTTAACCTCGTTTGTGCGCTCCATTCCTTGTTGGGAGCGCCAAACTGGAGACCTCGCTTCAAGTACTACCATTGGTCATTGTCGCTGACTGGTGCCTTTATGTGCTTCTTTATTATGTTTGCTTCCCAATATGTATATGCCTTGATTGCTTGTGTTTTGACAGCCATTATTTACAAATACGTAGAATGGAAAGGGTAAGTAATCTTTTTAATAATTTTATCATAAAACCAATAAACCAATCATATGCAACATAATATAATGTCACTTTTTTAGAGCCAAGAAGGAGTGGGGAGACGGTATGCGAGGATTGGCTTTATCCACGGCACAATACTCGCTGATGAAAGTAGAAGACAAAGACCCTCACCCGAAGAACTGGAGACCTCAACTTATGATTCTAGTAGATGGAAAGTACTCAAAAGAAGTCATCGACATGCGATCAGTCAACCTTCTCAACTTGGCATCGCAAATGAAAGCTGGAAAAGGCTTGGCCTTCACTGTCGCTTTTGTCAATTCTAACGGAGTGCACGGAGAAGACAAGAAGAAGGCCGAAGAGATCAAGGAACATGTTCAGAAAGACATGGAACAGGCCAAACTACGAGGCTTCGGCAAGGCATTGATCTACAATGAAGACCAGGTATGATAATATAGAGTAACTAGTGCACTTTAAGTTACATATATTAATCACGTTTACCTCATTTCAGATCCAAGGAAGCGTGTCAGCGCTATATCAAAGTATTGGCATCGGTGGATTACGACCAAACACCGTCATCCTCAATTTCCCCAGAATGGGCGGACTTGAGCATCACACTGAACAACACATATTCGCTGGTAAGACTTTAAAATACACCTAACCTAAAACAATGACCATAAGTGAATGTCATTCTAATTTTCAGAACAATTGATCAGAGGAGTACAACATGAGAACTGTATCATTGTGTGTAAAGGAATCACCGACTTCCCCAAGTCTACACAACGTCTAAAGGGCACGATCGACATCTGGTGGATCGTGCACGATGGAGGTATTCTGATGCTGATCGCCTATCTACTGCGACAACACAAAGTGTGGAGAGGCTGTCAACTACGGATATACGTTATCACACATGACGATGACAGCAACGAAGAAATGAAGACACGGCTCCAGAAATACATTTACATGTTGAGAATCGACGCTACTGTATTTGTAAGTAACATACGAGTCTTCTAATTCGTTGTCCGCTTAAAGTTAAAAAACTCAAAATTATAATTCATGAACAATATTGATGGTTTAGATCGTGAACATGATTGGACCCGACGTCTCTGACGACGCCGTTCAGAAGACCATCAACATGGAGCAGAGGACAAAACTTATCAAGAACATGTCCAATGGTTTCTCAAACGGCGGATTCGTAGACGATCGGACGCCGTCCAGACAGAGCTCTATGAGGATGAATTTAGGAAACACTCACAACGACAGCTCTGGCTCTTTAAACGTGCCTGGCAAGACCAACCAAAGCGATCTGATTGAAACAAGCTTCATTCAACAGACATTCGAAGGCGACAACACAGATACGCTACAGAGTGGAGACACTATCAATGTAAAGGACCTTGACGATAGCAAAGTAAGCAAAAAAACTTAAAATTTCAAAACTATAATTTTAAAAATTTAATAAAATGATAAGTAACCGCAATTTTAGGTACAAAAAATGAGCGCCGCCATCAGAATGAACCAGGTCATGTTGGAGTACTCAAATGAAAGTCAGCTCATCCTCCTCTCCTTACCACGCCCACCTAAACACACACAACGACTGGTCGAAAACTACTTGGCCTACGTAGAAGCCTTAACGGAGAAGCTGCCTCGAGTAATGTTAATTGGAGGATCGGGCAAAGAAGTCATCACCATCGACTCTTAACACAATATCTACTGTAATATGAGGTCTACACAATCAATCAAAATACAAATCTTCTGACTACATATGATTCACTCAACCTGCTCCGTCCGGTGTTCATCGGGTTTCGCAATTTAAAATTTTTCACATGACAACTTTAAGTAATAAACTGTAAAATTGTTTAGGTTTGCGATCTTACAGCTGGCTTGGTAAACGCAGTTAAACTGCATTGTCACATTCATGATGACAATATTTAGTCGTTGAAAGATACGTATCCTTAAGAAGTGACTAGAAAAAGTAAAAAACGTTTGGAATATGCATAGGTAAAGTCAGTAATATGATACACAATGCCACACGAACAAGCGTAAACATGCTCAAACTCACTTCAGTTCGTACCTTCTTCTATATCATGTATACGTCAACATTATTTCTCACCCTAACATTATCCATCATAGACCAAATATTATCATTAGAATGTTTCGACTGCACAAACTACCCAGACGGTATAACATGTTCAACTGCAGCTTCGTGTGAAACTACAGGAGGATGTTATTATGGTAAGGTTACAATAAATTAAGTATAATAATTTAAAAGTGATAAGCTTGAAGAATAAAAATAAATTAAAAAATTATAAAAATAACTTTTAAATTCTATTAAAGCATCGTCGAAAGAAGCAAAAACAGAAGAAGAGGAAGCCAAGATACCATGGTGGGTATCATCCTGCGCAAACAATATAAAGATCGCCAACTATCAGACGTCTTGTTTTACCACGGAAAACGAAGAGCAAGTTACAATTGTTAAACAAAGACCCAATAAAACCTTAAGAATTAAAACACATAACTTATCACATTACAGTACAATTTGTGTCTGCTTCCAAGACTTTTGCAACACACCTGTAGAAATTGGAAACGCCATAAACATAAGATTCTCCCCGTTCAAAGAAACTCCGCTATTACCATGGTCTTTGGGCACCACAAAGGAAGCAACCACTACAACAAGTGCCGTACCAAACACGGCCAAAACGATACCAACAACGTTACTAACAAGACCCCCTACCACAACTGTCATAATCACTACAACTATGGCAACAACAATGTTGCTTCCAACAGAATCTAAAATAAAAGTAAAGGTAAACATAACTACGTTTTCCTTCACCGAATAGTTATTTTGATGTATTTTCATAAATTTAGAGTTATTTATAGACATACCTAATCTTTTTTATATAGGCCTTTAATCACGACAATATTTTTGATAGTTAATAGCTAAAACATCTAATATAAGGTTCAAAAACCACTTATTTTAGGAAACAACATTAGTTCCAACAAAAGTAATCGAGACGGCAACTGAAACACCTGGAAATAACACTTACGTTTACCTGGGTAATGTGAACGATGCCGAGGCATCTGATAACGCGACGTTCTCTGATCCCATTATGCCAGAAATCGAGGAAAATTACAATTTGAACATAACGGAAATAATGAATGTCTCCAATGTGAAGACTGTGACGGTTTTATGGCCTTTATTTACAGTTGTTTTATTTTACAAATAAAAGTTACCTGTATTCGTTGTTCCATTGCTCATAGCGCCTGAAACAGACTTGAATTACCATCACTTGACCATTAAATGTATTTTTTAATGAGAAATTAAACGGTACCCAAAAGCAACACAATCTTGTTCATTTCCACTGTCACTCCTTTGATACCTTCATTCAGATTGAGTAGAGAAAAACATGACACAGCAAGTCAAGCCTTCCTCCGTAAAGTCTAGAAAATGTGTCATAAATAATTATAAAAAATTTAGAAACGAATTGTAAAAATTTTTACTTTTTCTAAACATTGGCTCTGTAAATATTTGTTAAATATTTTGTAGGATACCTAATTTATAAAGTTAATTTCTTAAGTTTTTTCTTTTCTTTTTATCGTTGTCTATCTTCCTCATCTTTATATTTAAAATTTGGTATATTTCAGCTGTAAATCATGGTGGAAGAACATTACGATGCTCCAAGGACCTTGAGTGACGCAGAAAAAGAAATGTTAACCAAGCAAAATGACATGACCAACTTCAAGAAGACTAAACTGGAAACAGAAGCTCAGAAGAACTGGGATCGGTTCTACAAGCGGAATCAGGATAGGTTCTTCAAGGATAGACATTGGACGAAGCACGAAATAACCGATATTTTGGGCAATTTAAATCTAAAGGTATGTTTCTTACATTAATGTTATTCATGATGTTTAGGACAAGTTGATCTTTATTGAGATGGGATGTGGAGTAGGGAACATGTTGTTCCCATTGACTGAATACTATCCTCATTGGACGTTTTATGGATTTGACTTTTCTGCCAACGCTATCAAGGAACTACAGGAACGTGGCAAGACTGGTGGTATTAACAGTAAGTTGTTAGTTTGAAGATGAATTTATTGGTAGTTATTGTAATGAACGTATTTTAAGGAGTTTTTTAATTAAAATTCAGTAGTGAAAGTGTTAAATGTTGTCGCTTTTAGTCACGGCAGCAGTTCTGGACTTGACCGACACCTCCAAGACGTTATCATTTCCTAAAGGGGACATTACTACCTTAATATTCGTATTATCAGCGATACATCCAGACAAACATACTCAATGTGTGGTCAATATCAAGAACTACGTTAAGCCTGGTGGAGTGGTATTTGTTCGGGACTATGGAGCATTCGACTATGCTATGATTCGATTTGGCAGAGGATGTAAGATAGCCGACAGATTCTATGCTCGTCAAGATGGTACCAGAGCTTACTACTTTTACTTGGAACAGATGGTGAAGCTGTTCGAAGCCAATGGATTTAAGTGTGAATCTTCAGAGTACCTCCATAAGAAGACAACAAACCATGAAAAAGAAATGACGGTAGACAGGATATTCGTCCAGTGCCGTTTTAGGTTGCCCATGTAGGTATTGTTGTGTATATTGTTGTTGTGTTTGAATAAATTGTTGATTTTGAAGGTCATTGGTTACACTTACATCAATCTTTGCTTTGCAATAACAACTTTTTATCAAAAAAATGGGTAGAAAACCAGCCTTTTAATCATTAGAACCTTATAAACCATTCCTTATGAATAATATAAGTGCGCATTTAATTTTTTTCTGTTTTATAAACTTTAGAACCTCAATTATCTACCGATTTGCTTTATAATAGGCATATTTACCACGACCATCAGTGCATAACTGGATAATTTTTAAGAGAAGGACTCGATTTTTTAGAGTCAAGTCTTCACCTAAAAAATCGAATTTCCCGAAAAAATTGAGTGAAAAGTTGGAGTTTATCCAAATCTCTAGTAAAATGGCAAGTCCAACATGGATATTCAAGTTGGAAGAGTTACAATGCACACCTTCTAGACAAAAAGGAATGTCAGAAACTGAAGAAAATCGACAACGACGACGAGCTATCAAGATGATCATGGATTTGGGGCAGGAGATGAACATGTAAGTCGACTTAATTATAAAACATTGATCTCGGTAAATAATGCTTTTTATTTATTTGAATTAAGCAACTCTTCATGTTGAAATTTAAATTTTTTAGTAAAGTGTGTCCAACAATAGCAACAGCAGCCGTCTTCTTCCACAGATTCTACATGTTCTACTCAATGCACGATTATCGACCTGAGAAGATGGCATTGACAGCGTTGTTTTTGGCTGGAAAGGTAGAAGAAACGCCTAAAAAGTGCAAAGACTTATTGACTGTTGCAGCGGAAAAGTTCCCTGACTTTTATTCACGTTTAATTCCGGTAAGTGTATTTTAGGTAATAATTTTTTTTCAAGTTTAGGGTCTTAAGACAAAATATAACTAAAAAGTATGAAGTTATACTAAAGGAATATTTTTAGAGCGACATTTTTGCTACTGAAACGGTTCTACTTCACACGTTGCGATTTGACATTGAAGTCTTTCACCCATACACAAAGATCATAGAGTACGTAAGCATATTTGATCTCGAGAAGCAACACAAGAGCTTCCTAAGTACCACAGCATGGACTTTTGTAAACGACAGCTTCTGCACGCCTCTATGTTTATCTTGGGATCCTGAGGTAAGTTTTATTTAAGACTTTGCCAGGTTTAGGTATTATATAAGAAATTTTACTTTTATCTTGTGTGTGATACAAACGTGGTATAACACTATGTATGGTTATGTTTAAAAAGATTACTTAAAGAAAAATTAAAAGCGGATGTAGCATATAGTAATATTATAGTACTTTCTCGTTTTAGCTAATAGCGGTGGCAGCGATAGAAATGGCATTAATGATGGCAAAGTACCAAAGGAACATAGAAGTGCACTACAAAGAGGAAGACAGGTACCAGACGTGGTGGGAGCACTTTGTCGGTAACTTGTCCCAAACTACAGTCGATTTGATTTGTCACCAACTCCTAGATTACTACTGGCTCGTCGAGAATGAAGATAACAATTAATGTCGGTTGGTTTTGTACTGGTTGGTCAAAAAGTGCATAGAATCATAACTTACATGCTTTTCCCACCTTTTAAAACTAATTTTTGACCAGACCAGCAGGATCTTGCAGCTTTTCATTTCTAAACTCTAAGGTTTGATAGGGTATATGAATAGTGATAATTTTTTAAGGTTTGTTTTGTTGAAATACGAATTGCTCTAAATACGAAATGTTGTAGGGTTCTATTGTTGTTTCTTCTAAAGATGTCTCTCGTCAAGATTAGAATCCTCACATTTTTTAACGTTAAAAGCGTGGGTTTCAAGTAAAATACTTGATTGTTTCTATTAATAATATTTTGTGATCCTTTTCACGGTAATTATTGACTATTTATGGTGCTCTCGGCACTCGTCCTTGAGCTCTTTCATGTAAGTTATTGTAAATTAGAGAAAACATAATAAATGGCGTTACTCAGACATGTTGACATGAGTTTAAATTAAAGTTTAATCTTCAGTTATTTTTTTATTTTTGTAAATTGAATGCTCAGTAAGGTACCGGCGAGTAAGAGTACGGAACGTTTAGTAGATCATCCTCAGACTAGTAGTGTAACGCGTTCTCGCGACTAAGTCGGTCGTTGCGGTTGCATCGCTGTTCGTTGTCGCTGTAGCTGGAGTTTTTGGTGGAGCTCATGTTGGAGGAGTCGTCTTCCCAATCAAACGGAGTATCTGGCATCACGTGAAGCCGGGCCATGATGCTGTTCAAGAAGGCTAGAATTTCGCCGTACGCTGGAGCTTCGGCAAACTTGATCATGTCAATGTGACTCAGAATCCGACAGAATTCGTCTGGGCATTCGCTCAGGAAGTTTTGGCGATTAAGGGTGCGGGACGAGAGTTTGGCCGCGTAGACTTGGTCACGGTCGGTCATCGCACGCCATGGTAAATGGCCTTTTGTGATTTCGACGAGCATGTAGAACCTAAAAGCCTATATTAACTCGACGTATGGTAGTTACAGCAAAAAACTCTTGTTAATATTAACAAATCAAGCTACGGTCATTGATATGTGATGTATTACAGCTTTCAAAACTATTGACAATTTTTAACACCTACCAGCTTTCGAGATCGTCCTTCCGCCCCAGATCTTGTTTCTGATGAGCCTGGAGCGATCCATACCTTGTCGTTCCACGCCAGCCGACTTCTTTTCTTGAGGGCAACACGTTTTTGTTCTGAAATCAAGGGTTAAGTTACATTCAAGCTTCACATACCTTGTCAATATACTTCCTGGCCAATCCGAAATCGATCAAGAAGATTGTGCGACATTCGATTGAGTTGGGATGGCCACATGCAAAGTTGCCAGGCTTCACATCTCGCGACAAGAAGCCACATTTCTCGTGAAGTTCTTGTATTGACTAAAAAATTTTAAAGTTACAAAATGATGTCTGTACCAACAGAACATATAATAACACCATTACAGTAAGAATAGTATTTTCACAAAATATTATATTTAAAATTGGCATACCTTCAAGCCTTGAATCCCGACACGAATAGCGGTGCCAAGAGAGAATTTGCGTTCTTTTTGTTCATTCCTCAATCTGTGAATGTCTTTACCCAGTAGCGGCATGATAACATAAGCAAAATTCGGCCGTGACACACCCTGGAAACATAAGTTACTAAACTTGCTTACCATGATTTGTTTCATCATTTAATAATGAGTAACAGTATTTATTGACAAACTAGCTTACATGGTCAATCAGTTCGAGAATGTGCTTGCAATGTTCTGTGTTGGCTGAACGAAGGACGTTGATCTCGATGTGAAGCATGCTTTTTGTATATTTCTCTGTTTTGATCGCAACTTTCCTAAATTCGTAAGGTGAAGTTTGTCCTTCAACCTTTTCCGCATAAAACTAACAACATTGTTTCTTTTACCACATTAATATACAGTATATCTCCAAAAGAACCCACCGAATCTCATCTGTAGCCTCGTAGACGGTCCCGTAGCCTCCGTCCCCCAGAACACTCACAATTCGAAACTTTCGCTTGGTTTTGTCGCCGACGATGAATTCGCCCACCTGAGGCAGTCGCTCTGAAGTCTCGGAATTCTGAATCGAGGGTGGCTGCTGCTTGCTGACTGGGGCCAGTTGTGGGGCCACCTGAGCCATATCCACAAACATGGGCTGATCACGTTAGCGACAACCAACGACCGACAATTCTCACAAAAAATTATGCAAATGAGATGAGTTTTATACATTTTATTACACTTATTATATTACACAAAGGACGATAAATTAAATATCAGGATCAGAAGAGATCTTCACGGTGGTTCGGGGGCAGTTGTGGAGGCAGTTATAGCTTTTCGAACAACCTAAAGTAACACGATTAATACGCAAACGTAATATTGAAAAAAAAGAAATAATTTTAAATAAAAAAGAATAGTAATTTTGAAAAAATCAAAATTTACTTTTTCTTTCCATTTCCAAATCCACCGTAAGGGCCGTTCTCGAATCCGTTGCTGGGGCCCATGAAACCGCCGTCGTTGGGACCATTCATTCCATTCATACCTCCCATTGGTCCCATTCCACCGTAACCGCCACCGTAACCACCACCCATGCCCATTGGTCCCACCATTGGCAAACAACAAGGTCCTACGCCATTCTGACAACAATTCGAGCCATACCCCATTGGACCACCGCCCATGCCTCCCATAGGACCCATGCCGTTCATGCCACCCATTGGTCCCATCGGCCCCATTCCCTGGCCGCCACCCATACCGCCGAATCCGCCCGGTCCCATTCCGCCTGGGCCCATTGGCATTCCACCAAAGCCGTTGGGCCCGCCCGGCCCCATAGGACCAGGCCCACCCATGCCGTTCGGTCCATTAGGACATCCGCCTGGACCATTAGGTCCGTTTGGACATCCGTTGAACTGAGCGTGAACACGACCGATCAACAGTACCATTAAAAATTGTATGGGTATGAGTAGTGAATTAGGTGACATACTACAATATGAATCAGTCAATGCCATAAAAGAAGTAAAACACGATAAGTAATAAGTTTTTTGAACGTTTATTTACAAAGTAAAATTTGAAGTAATCATGTAAAAATATTTTTATATAAGTATACTCTAGTTAGAACCCTATCATAAAGAAGGTGAAATTACAATAACAACCTATCCTAATCAAAACAAACCCCCAAAAAACAAAAAAAAACGTGACCAAAAAGACCATCTACAAACTCGTACGTGAAGATGTTTCGAATGACACAAGACAATGTATACCATTCGATTTAAATGGGGATGATCCGCGTTCCGCCTCCAGAATCCGTCAGACTTCCGCTTCTTGCAGTACGATCGGAGAAAGGACAAACAAAACAAAAAAGGAACGAAATTCGGGAATCACCGCTGCGTTCTCGTTTGCATCTCCACATCAACCTCAAAATGATGCAATCAAAACAATCGCTACTAGGACACGACACTTATGGGACAGAAGTCTGAAGATCTCTTCAAAGACTTCTGATCCGCGAGGTAATAAAGTTATTATGAACGGCTTGTAATAATCAACATACCACGTCTCCATCGATCATATGAGGCTTGTGTTCAATAGCATTCAGCACGCCCTCGCTGTTGCTGAACACAACGTTCCCGTAGCCTTTGTGAAGTCCACATTTCGGATCCTAAATTAGTTGACAAGTAGCTAGAAACTTCAAAAAATATATTATTATAAACAGGACCAGTATATTTAATATAAATCTTTTAACCGCTAAAAATAAACTTACATAGTTCAAAATGACCTTCCTGACCGTTCCAAACCTCGAGAAGTAACTTTCGATCTGTTTTGGGCCAGTGTTCCATCTGATATGCTTTAGATACAGCACATTGGTTACTGATCTGGCATAATTTAAATGTCTTTTTAACATAAACGTTGTTTATGTTGGCATAAACTTTGTCACAAATCTTAAACTTTCAATTTTAACACTTATTTTTGTTTTTTTTGAGAATTCGTTTAAAAAAAGCGTCATGACGAGCGAGATGACTCATTTTTCGGAGGAAAAAATAATTTTCGCTCGGTTATTTATGGGTTTTTGCTAGCTTTTCGATGTCTGTAGCCTAGTTATTTTGTCCCACAGTAATAGTATTTTTGAAGAAGGTCTTGTAAATTTTAAAAAAGTGTTAAGGATGACAGAGAAGAAGGTTAAATGTAAGTTTAAATGATAGAAAACCATATTCTGACGGTTTTAGTTCCGGGTACGGTCGCGATAAGGCCGGGATCACCTATTCGTCTGAAGATGAACAGTGTAATCAAGGAGTTTGTTCAAGCAGGAGAAGATAAGGTAAGTTTTGTTTATCGTTATAGGTTTTCTGATTTTAGATCCATCGACTGATTTTGAACTCGCGGTGCGAAGCAAAGTACGTTTGGGCATCATCTCCGAGCTGTATCTGGTTCCGATTGCCTAATCAAGACGCTAGTGTGTGTGATTTAACAGAGAAGTAAGTCAGCTTGGTGTAAACTTATGTGTTCTGCTCTTCTTTTACTGTGAAATCAATAAATTGTTTTAGGTATTGCATGGAACCATACAAAGGTCCTTATCTTAAATTTCATTATTGTATGGCTCCAAGATACGATTCCGATGATGATGGTCGTAGATTTATCGTATATTCCCGCGCTCGCATCTTGGCTGTCCAAAAAGATGATGCCGAGTCTAATATATATTGTTATGTGTTCTTCATCGATCATGGGTGTGGGCATTGGGTAGAAGGACGTACGTTGGGCAAGATTTCATACGAAATGACATCGATTCCATGGCAATCGATACCTGTGGCTTTGGCTGGTGTTAAACCACTCAATTTCGTATGTTTACTTTTAAAATTAATCAAACTCTTAATATCATCGTGTTTTCTGTTTGCTTTGTTTATATATTTTAAAGAAGTTTTTTAGTACCGTGTACCGCAAGTGTCAGGACAATGGTCAGCCTTTCATCTAGCGACAATCAGAGAAATATTGTCTGAATTCGATCACTTTGAGTTGGAGCCATTGGTTAGCAAATCTCAACAGTCGACTTACGATCAGTACGCAAGAGTAGGTATATTCTAGTCAAAAGAGAAGTTTCTATTTATTAAATTAATCTATTGTTAATAAATTAATTTGTCCAACGACTGTTTTATATTGTTTTAGGTGCGGTTAGTGGGTGTAAAAGAACAGAAAACGGATGGGGAAGACAGCAAAGCTAATGCTACTTCTATGTACGATGAAGAAGATGACATTGAGAAGTTCGATGTTGCACGTCTGTTCTTCCAGCGATGTTTCACGGTTGATCCGGTTAAAATACAATTGGAAGTGTCAGAATTAAGCGAACAAGAACTTTTCCAGTCTTTGGTCAAAGATGAGGTGGGTATTATTAATATGGGTTGTTCTATAATTATTTTTTGTACAAAAGCAATTTCATACCTTATATTTTAAGGTGTCTGAGCTTCGAAGACAAGAAATTCCGTTTGAATTCACCAGATTCCCGCCATCGAACCGTCGAGAAGGTCCAAATGGGTCGCCATGCTTCAGTCCAGGGACCAATTACGAGTTGGATATGCCACCAACACCTTCCTTAAGTAGGTCGCAGTCTGAATTTGGAAATGAAAATCAACTTGAGTTGGAGATGAGAGAAAGAAATAATATTGAAGACAGCTTCGAGGTGAACAACGACAACTTGAGAGATTGGGATCCAGATGCGGACACCAAGTATCTAACAGAGCAGGTACCTCAGTTGGATGAGAATCATCTGAACACATTCATGCAAGAGGGGCATCTCAGATTTATGTTGGCTAATGATTCAGCTTTTCGGGTAGGTTTAAACGACTTTAATGTTGTTAAAGGTGATAAATTCTTGATTTAAACTTATTTTTGTCATATCTTATGAGCAAAGCACAAATTACAGGAGTCGCCTCACAAGTTCTTCGCCTACCATATGAAGCCTTCGAAACGCCTAAACGCTTCGAGTTGTACTGAAGCCATGCAGAATCTGTACGCTGAATTAGGAAACTGGAGAGATCGGCTGAATGCCTTTTACTTTTTGACCGAGAACTGTACTGTGTTGCGATACAAAGCATTGAAGGAAGCCTATACGAAGGGAGAGAATGTATATGCGATTTACTGCGACACTGACGAATCTGACAACCACGAGTTCACACGGGTCAAGTTGACTAATGTTTACCCGAATGCTCACGGTCTTCATGAACATGTACAGATCATATTCTTGGATCGACCTGGCACTAGAATGGTACCAGCTGGTACTCTTTTGAGAATGCATTCAACGTGAGTGGTTATTGAATTTTAAGTTCTTGCCTTAGGGTGTTGGTCTTTACTCTGTTAATCACGACAAACTTTTTTAAATATTATAGTTCTTGAAAGAATAATTTATAATTTCATAACTTATTTTAGACACGCCAAGCGGCCTCAGATGTGTGTTCAATTGAGTTTGGACAATATTGCTCCTCCAGCCGGCTTCGAATGGGAAAATATTCAGATTGATCGCTTTAGGGAGTTCTGTTTCTCAGATGCTCCTATGAGATGTCGCATTGTACGGTGGATCTCTCCGTAAGTGTACAAAATATAGTGACCCTTTGGCTTTGTTATATGTTATACTTTTGTAACGTTATTATTATGTTAATTTTGGTGTTTTAGAGAAGAGTCAGGTGATTTGGTAAGGATGTCGGTCGCTGATCTCACTCAAGCCTGGTCGAAAACAATCTTTTCGGTCGAAAATCATATGGTGCAGGCTAAGATGGCTGTCAGGCTACTATGACAACAGCTAATATTGATGTACGGTTACTTAATTAGAAACGGGTAATGTCTTTTTAATAAATACAACAGCGCTATTTTAGAAATAGATTTGAAAAGGTACATTACTATAGTGTGCCTTGTTTTTATTATGATATTTTTATACTTAGTAATCGAGATGATATCTAGTATGTTGTATGTTATCTATAGTAATAATACGTTAACGTCGAGTTGTAAATTGTACACCAAAAGGTATTGTTTGCACGATGACACCAGTCTTTCTTCTGACATCAACAGGCCTGCCTGTAGTTGAAGTCAGCTGAAAAATATTGTTAATTGTCGTTTTGGATATGGACGTACCTTAAAAGTGTTGAGAACGTTGGCCATAAACAAGAAGAGCTCCATTTTTGCCAGTCCTTCCCCGAGACAAGCCCTGCGACCAATGCAAAATGGCATAAAGTTCTCGTCCACTTTCAGTTGTCCGTTCTGGTCGATAAAGCGGTCGGGATTAAAAGTTTTGGGATCCTTGTATATCTAAAAAGCGTGTTTTATATTGGATTATACGTACAGGTGAACTATGTTGTGTTCGATGTTATTTCGTTATGTACAATTTTTTTTTGTGTTACTACGTTATGTAACTTACATTTTCATCGAAAAGAACAGCTGATATTTGAGGGATGAAGCACGTTCCTTTCTTCACTGTGACGCCGTTCACCGTAAAATCTTCATCAGCGTGTCTCCACGTATTTTGAGATACAAGGTTGGATATTCTTTGGGCTTCCTGAATAGAAATGCTCATTTTGATGGATATGTAACTATAAGAGAGATAAGAAGCATGTGTGAGGCAAATATAACTTACGTTTAAGGTAGCACAAAGGTACGGTAAGTTTGGTCGATCTTTCAAAGTGATGACACGATTTGAGTCAATTACAGTATCCAGCTCGTTGTGTATTTTCTCTTGAATTTGAGGATTGTTGACAATGAACGCTATTCCTCTGCTAATGGTGTTACTGGTCGTATCTTGTCCTGCTAGCCATAGGTCATAACACAACTGGTACAGAGATTCATCACTAGAATTAGTTTGTATGTTATTTGATTATATTAGTTATGGTTACTTTAAAGCCTACGAATATTTTATAAAGGAACATAAATGATATTTTTGTTAAAAGTACAGGTATGAGTTATATATTTTACCTGAAGGTTTCGTCGTCGCCACTCTCTGCCCTTCTGCGTTGTTCTTTGAAGTATTCTTGAGTATAATCTTGTGATTCCTGATCGGTCTCGAACGACACTTCTTGTCGATGTTGTACTATCTGAGAGTGAAAGAAAGCCTTTAGGTTCTGAGCACTCTGTCGCACTGCCTCTACTTTTTGACCGACGTTTGGTATCTTGGCCATGAATTTGGGTTTATCTACAGAAAGCAGAATCAGAGGATCTCCGAGGCCTTCAATATGGGTCCGTACTAAAGCGTCCAACTGGTCGTACTTGGCGGCATGTTCTTTGATGAAGGTGTAGCCAAAGAGGAACGAGTTGATGATGGAGCCTATCGCCTTCTTGACACTTACAGTGATGTCACTTTGGGTACTATTCTGTTTGTACTCTTCTATCAATGGTACTACTACTTCTAAAATCTAAAAGGAGTTGCGATGTCAGTTATTATGTAGTTATAAACAATCTACAGATTAAGTATGACAAGAACATGTATTTACCTTTTGTTCCATCAAGTTCTTGCCCATTCCGAAAGCTCGTAGCACTTTGTTGGAGAACTTCCTCCTTTCCTTCCATTTTGGGTCGGGCGAGAAGATAATACCACCGTTTCCACATCTACAGTAATCGTTGAACTCGTAGAAGCCATAGCGACTACTAGTGACATCTGCTTTACTAATACAAACATCGTATATTGTAGGAGTGCTGTTGAAAGATACGATGGGTGTCTCGCCTTGCCAGTACGTGTAGATGTCGCCGTACTTCTTCTTTCACTGTATGAATACATCTACTGGGTCCTTGCCTATGAATGCCAAAAGATTTCCGAACAAAGGAAGAGGCAAAGGCCCTGGGGGCAAGTTGCGACGTTTCCAGTAGAAGTGGTATATTACATAAATCGCAATCAAGGCTATTACCCAGTACATTACTGGCTGTAATTGACAGTACTTCTTATGATTGTAAACCAAAATACTATTAAATATCGGTCATTTGTTACCAAAGGAACTGTATGGGCGGTCGTATGTTACAGTTACTTTCTTCAAAACCTTCGTATCTTTACACTTTTCATAATGACATACTGTCTGGAGTTGCTATTGTTGGGAAACCAGATTGATCAATGTTACGATCAACTTTACTTTTTTTAGCCTTACATATGCCCTTTTAGCGACGTGACCTACCACCCAAGAGTTATTAATTATTTTTTTGTTCGCTTTAAAGTTGTGTTTCAGGGGGGGGATTTTTTGGAGATAAAAAATTCCCGCCGTCCACGAACTACAATTTTTTGAGCGATTTTTGCAAGAATTTCCCTCCCCTATACTGGTTTAAAGTGCAAAACGATGTCATCACACTACCTTCCCATGATACGTTTCGTGATATATCACTGGTTCGTCTTGATTACGGTAAGAAATCTTAGTTTTGGTCTATCAATTAGTGCATACGTTATATTATTATATGTTATATAATTTAAGACATAATATTTTTTTGCACTTTTAAAAATTAAAGCAATACATTGAGTTATCACAGGTTTAAATGCCAAAACTTTAATTTTACTTTATTATGTACAAACCAAATTTAATATTGAGGTTCAATGTCGCGGAGTAAATTTTAAGTTAAAGGTGTCCATTTGGACCGTCACTCCTAACCGTCGTTCTACGTTTATTGGAATACCGTCCTCCGATGATATCTATAAATATTACTACTCATAAGTCTTGTTTGCTTTAGACTTAAAGCTATAAATTTTTAAAACAGCTTCACATAACATTTTAACTTTGTAGTCTTATTCTTAAAACTAGAAATGCCGTCTTAAAGTTTGACTGTTTCAAATTAAAAAAATTTTCAGTGAATAATTTAAACAAACAAAACCCTACCTTGAAACAGTTCAAGATGTTGGCCATAAAGAGAAAAAGTTCCATTTTAGCCAAACTTTCTCCCAAACAACTTCGACGTCCAATTGAAAATGGCATAAAGTTGTCGTCTACTTTCACTTGACCTTTCTGATCCAGGAATCGATTCGGATTGAAAGTTTTGGGGTCTTTGTATACCTGAAAGACAAAGTATTGTCTATAGTGTAAATTAACCAAATCTTGAAAGGCAGTAAACATAAGTTGTTTTATTAGTACAATACATTGCAATGTCAAAAAGTCTAGCTTACATTGTCATCGTACAAAACAGCTGATATTTGCGGAATGATACAGGTTCCCTTCTTTACCGTAGTATTGTTTACCGTAACATCTTCATCAACACGTCGCCAAATATTCTGCGGTAATAGATTGGCTATTCTCTGAGTTTCCTACAATAAATTACTGTAACTAAATAAAAACAAACCGAACTTTCAAAAAGTATCAACAACAATATATTTGTTTTCATATAAAAGGCACTTACGTTAATTGTAGCACAGAGATACGTTAATCCTGGTTTATCGCTCAAAGTAATAGTTCTGTCAGAGCCGACTACAGTATCCAACTCTCTGTGTATCGTATCTTGTATATGGGGTAGGTTGGAAAGGTAGGCTAATCCCCAATTAATGGTATTACTCGTCGTCTCTTGACCTGCCAACCATAGATCGTAGCACAACGTATATAGACATTGGTCACTGAAGTAGACAACAAGTTCAGTTAGCAAGAAATCAAAAGTGATCTTTGGAAACTACGCAGTAAAGTGCAATAGTAAATAAAGTCTTGTAGTTCTGAGAAACGAATAAACCATAACTAAACTGTAAGTACCTCTGAAGTTTTTCAAAGATGCATACAATACGTACTTAAAACTTTTTAAAATTACCTGAAGCTGTCGTTGTCGCCGTTCTCTTGTCGCTTCCGCTGCTCTCTGAAGTACTCCTCTGTGTAATCGTGGGATTCTTGGTCAGTGTCAAACTGTATCTCCTGTCGATGTCGCACGATCTGAGAATGAAAGAAGGCCTTCAGGTTCTGAGCACTCTCTCTCACTTCTCTGATTCTCTGGCCAATGAACGGGACTTTGGCCATAAACTTTGGATTCTGTAGAGATATCAGAGTGAAAGGGTGGCCAAGCGCCTCTATATGGACCTTGGCCATGGCTTCTAACCTATCGTACTCTTCAGAATGCTTGCCTTCAAAGGTGTAGCCAAAGAGAATCGAGTTGATAACAGACCCAATAGCCCTGCTGATACTGTTGTTTACATTATTTTGCGCTGGGTTCTGTTTGTAGTCGGTTAAGAGTGGATTCACAACTTCTAAGATCTACAAATACAAAATTATGAGACATCAAGTCTATGGTAATCCAATATTTAACATTTGTAAAATACGATTTGATATATGTAAAAGTAGATGTTAGGTGCTTTACTTTTTGTTGCATCAGATTCTTGCCCATGCCAAAGTTTCTGAACACCTTCAAAGCAAACCGCCTTTGTTCCTTCCATTTTAGCCCGCTTTGAAATATAATGCCACCATTACCGCACCTACAGTAATCGTTAAACTCGTGAAAACAGTAGCGGCTACTCGTGACTTCAGAGTTACCCACAAATGCTTCTGTTATTGTAGGTGTACTGTTGAAAGTTACGATGGGAGTGTTGCCTTGCCAGTACGTGTAGATGTCGCCGTACTTCTTCTTCCACTGTATGAATACATCTACTGGGTCATTGCCTATGAATGCCAAAAGGTTTCCGAACAAAGGAACAGGGACAGGCCCTGAGGGAAGATTCCTACGTTTCCAGTAGAAGTGATAGGTAAGATAAACACACAGAAGAGCCACTATCAGGTAATACATTGAAATGAGGGAGCAAAGTGTCGCTAATCTTATATACGGAGGTGTTATCTAAAGACCTGGAGCAAAACAAGTCTGGAGATTGCAAACATTGCTGCACTGTGGCTATAAACAGACCAATTTGAAATCGTTTTGGAAAATAGACGGTATGTATATTGCCATAGGAGTACATCTTTATAGTTTTGGCAAAAGGTACAGTAAGGCTATATACAATAATGAAATTCATGAAAATTATAAAACTATACTCCAGTGACGTACTATAACAGATACGTCATCACATCAATATAACGATCTATACTATTTGCCAATTGTAATTGTAGAAGCATCAAGTATGTCAGATAAATGAAATAAGAAACAATTGAAATGTAACTTTAGTGTTGCCATGTTAAGTTTAAGAGTTTACCGTAGCATGCTGAGATTTAAAAGTTGCGTGTTTTACACTCAAAGTCAACTCAAAGTGTCTGTATATTGTGTTTTGTAACAATTTGTTTTGTAATTTACAGAAAGTATGAATAACACTTAAAAAAATATATAAACAACTTTCAGATCGTTCTATACACAACGGTATAATAATATACCTACAGTAACACAGACATAACACCAAGTCGTACACCTAAATCTCGAATTTAACATAACGCCTAAGTCACAGCTCCTTCACTGCCTAAAGCGATTAGCGCTCCAGTTTGACGGTTTACCTGGGTACAATTTTAAATGGACTGAAACGCCCTTCTGGAATAACAAGTCAATTAACTATGGTAACTTCTCTTAATTATATACGTAACTGTCTATATTTTGAGATATATTATAGTAAATTTTTGTATCTTGTTATTTACCATGTAAATTACAGTTTATTCCTTAAGTTTTACCATTTTTAAAGTCATTATTGCAACATTTGTCATGTAGGTATAGACGTTTACACTTTGACGTTAATGATATAGTTAAATCTTGTAAATATATTGTCTATTGTCGCTTAATGTATCAACACAAAAACAAGAAGAATATTGAACCTGACAGACCACTTACTTGCTGACGTCGCGATAACTGTAATCGAGAGTTGTTACTTAATATGCCCCGCTCCATCTCGTCACAATACCTTTAAACTGTAGTATTAATAAGAGTTACTTATTTCTCGTTTTGTCAGTTTATTATAGCATTGGGGTCCATTGTGACTTCCTTTTAAAGCTGTAGTTATACTGAATTCTTAAATTAGGTTACTGTAGAACAAGTTCAACCTTAATCTTTGTTATGTTACAGTTTAAGGTTTAAGTAGGCTTTCTTGTTATCGTGGGAGGTTGTTGTTGCTTTATATATTGATGTTGAAGGCGCTTTTTAAGTATGTAAAACTTGTTGTTACAGTATTATGTCTGCATTCAGAGCAGTGATTTTCGATCTCGGCGGAGTACTGTATCCATTCAGGGATTACCGCAAATTCCAAAGGCTCACAGCTAGAGGTAAGCCCATTATACGTTACTTTTTTTATAATATTTTATACTATATAGCAGCCTTCAACTATAAAATAGTCCTGAAGTTGTGCTATTATTCTTCATTTTAACATCTTCCTGAAATATTCTTGAAAAAATTTTTATTTGCACTACTGCGCCATATAGTCATAATATTTTAGCCGCGGCAGATCCCTGGATCAAAGAAAAGCTAACCGGTTGGCAGGAAGGGAAGTATCCAGTATCAGAAATCCAAGATTTCATTGTAGACGCATTTGGAGAACTGGTATGCAAATTTTGTATTTTAATAGACCAACATATAAACTTAAAAAAGGTCAAAGTACTTAAACATGTACTAGTTTTAATCCTTGATCAGAGTACTCAAAGATCTACAACACAGTAAATGTGTTTCTTAAAAACAAACTTTAATACCATTAACAGCTTAACAGTGATAAATTGTTTTGTTACTTGTAACACTTTTGGTCTGACTGGTCGATAAACACCACTCTTTTGAATTAACAATGTTTCTTTTTACTCATGTTAACAATGTAATGACATGAACTTATAAATCATCTTATCATAATCATTTTAGCCACCCGGTTGCACAGATCTTGAAAACATTAAGTTAGATGATGTCGTTGGGCCAAAAGTAAGTGAAAAAACTTTTTTAAGTTTATATAAAGTAATCTTTTGAAAACACATCTTTTATTATCTATCCCACTCTGTATCACACTATTTTCTGACAGTAAAACCACTAGATTAACCTATATCATTTCAGCACGAAAAGATATGGACAGCCATCGAGAATATTAAACTAAACGGTTTAAAAGTGGCTCTACTGACGAATAATGGCTTCTGGACCCCAAAGAAGCGACGAACTGTCATCTGCGATGACACCAGCTTATTCGACGTTGTAGTAGAGAGCTGTAAAGAAGGTGTATGCAAGCCTAATCCCAAAATATTCCAGGTAAATAATAATTGATGTTTCTATAACTGCGAAAAAAAACAACTTTTTTGTGATATAATTATAATCACATGATTTAGTAACTCCTTTCAAGAAGAAGAGAGAGTTACACTACCTTTTACATAGTAGAGACAGTGTAAAAAAAAGTGTAAAACCATTCAAACCATTAAAAGACCTTATCTTACAGTAAAAACGCTTTTAAAGTCAAGCATTCGAGTTGTAATTGATAACCGTTTTGAAGCCAAAGAACTGTTTCGTCACGTGAATTCACTTTACAACGTCGCAAACATAAAGTTACTTTGCAGTAACAACATTAATGTTTATAGATAACTTTGGACAGACTAGGACTACAAGGACCACAATGTTTGTTCGTCGACGATTTACCAAAGAATATCGAAGGAGCACAAAAGTTGGGCATTCATGGGATACAGGTCAGTCAATGTACTTAACTATGATAATCATACAATTCAAAATTTCAAAAATATAAACTGACGTCCAGCTTTTGAAGAATTAAGCCAAATTTTAAAGTTTTTTACAATCACAAGCTTATCTATGACAACACGATCAACCACTTTTTCCAGATGATCAATCAAAACGAAGACCTGGTCGTCCAGAAACTAGAAGCCGCCCTCCAAGTACCTTTGAGAACGTTACCCAGCTACAGCACTGTATCTCAACCTCTAGCACGGTCTTCAGCACGCCTATAGGAATGGCCCGTTCCATTTGTATCTATTGTATAAAAACCACGATTCGAACATCTGCAATAAATAATTCGGAAACATTCGGAACATTAAAGCCATATATAAAGGAAGGCAGAGCAATGATAACCGAGCGATGGCCAGTGTTCGAGCAGTGATATTTGATCTCGGCGGGGTATTGTACCCGTTCAGGGACTACAACAAGTTCAAGTACATGTGTCAGAAGGGTTCGTTTTGAAATTTTTGAAGCGATGGCTTCCTTCTGTAGTGTTTTATTTTGAAAATCATGTCATTATGGCCCTTTTTGAATCGTCATCTGTGCTTTATAAGTACTTTCAACTATAATCTTTGAAACCGTACTTTAAAATTTAAAGTGTATCTTTAAAAAACCAGTAGTAAACTGTCACTAATGCTAATTAATCTGTCAAGGAACTGCCATTTCAGCATCAGCCGATCCTAAAACAAAGAAAAACTTAGTCGGCTGGCAAGAAGGAGCCTTGGCCACGTCAGATGTCCGTGACTTCTTTGAACAAACTTTCGGAATTCTTGTAAGCTGCTAACTAATCATTCCACATCAGCGTGTTATTAAATGTTTCAAACCATTTTAAAATTATTTTCAGCCAAAAAACAAAGAATTAGAAGCAGTGAAGCTAGAGGACTTCATGGGACCTAAAGTAAGTTACTACGTGAAGCATAAAGCTTCTCTGCGGTATTATAAACACTAATAGGCTAAAGAATATCAAACTATAGTTAAAAATAATAATATTAAATTTTCAGCATGAGAAAATCTGGAAATGTTTGAAAACCTTGAAGGACAACAACATCAAGACAGCATTATTGACAAACAACGGGTGGTGGACGGACAAGAAAGACAAAAGTGTAATATTCGATGACCTCTCATTGTTCGATGTTGTTGTAGAGAGCTGTAAAGAAGGCATTTGCAAACCCAACCCCAAAATATTCGAAGTATGTCATTGCATAAGCTTATGTGTAATATAATAAGAACACTAAAGTACTAAAAAACAGACAGCTCGGACCTAAAAATTTTAAAAAACTAACCTAAAGTACACAGACATCTCAACATATTTCAGATAACGTTAAAACGCTTAGGCCTGAAGCCTACGGAATGTGCTTTCATAGATGATCTCGAGAAAAACGTCGAGAGTGCAAACAAACTTGGAATCAATGGAATTCAGGTACCTTTTTTTAGGTTTACCATATATTGTAGTAAGCTTTGAAGCTCTAACGGAATATATATTGTAACTTCCCATAAACTTGAAGTAGGTATTGTAATTGCTCGTATGCTTTAAACTCTCGAGAACACACTTCGAATTCTCGAGTCTGTGACAATTCAAACACCGACTTCAAACTCTAAACAAACAATCATATTATTCTAGATGGTGGACCAAAACCAAGACCTAGCCTTGGAGAAGCTACAGACCCTGGTCAATGTCCCATTAAAGTGAAGAATCTTTGCTCTCCAGAAGTCGTTTCCCTTCTGAAAAGTCAGAAACTTGTTTCCGCTCTATTTAAAGACCAAACTCTCGCTCGCTGTTATCAGTAGAAGTTTCATTTTACAGTTTTGTGTTTTGTATCTTATTTGAATTTCAAATTTCTGTCAATAAAACGATGATGTAGGTAGCCGGTTTTACTTTCGAAATCTGTTAGTTCAACGTGATACTTTTACTTCCGTATAATAAACAATATTATCTTTGCTACAACCACTGTAAAATGAGTTTAGAAACGGAAATGTCACAAATCAAAGCTGTCATCTTCGACTTGGGAGGTGTATTGTACCGTTTTAAAGACTACAAAGCCTTTATTGGACTACTCGCAAAAGGTAATTGTTCATTTTAAAACGTGAAAATGTATGGAAAACATTAATTTCGTCATTAAAATTCTAATAGTAGATTTTAAGCGTTTTAAAACAAAACGAATTCATACAAAAAACACGACTTTTAACCTCAAACAAAGAAATTCAATGATATTTTAACTTGAATTATAAAATGACATATTGTATTTTTGGCATTAAATGTTTTAGCTCGGAGTGACGCAGAAGTAGGAAAGAAAGTATTAGGATGGGAGAGAGGAGAAATCTCATCTGAAGCCATCAGAGAACTACTAGAAGAAGGTATTGGCACATTCGTAAGTGTAAAAAAATTAACTTATAATAAAGTTGAAAACCGATTTCCCAAAGAGCTTAATTGAAACCAAAATCTAACCACAATATAAAGCATAATATAAGTCGTTTTAGCCTTCAGACGTGAAAAACCTAGAAGAAGCCAAATTCGAAGAAATAATGGGAACAAAGTTCGAGAAAATGTGGAATTTCATCGACAAATTGAAGGAAAACAATGTGAAAGTAGCCATGCTAACTAACAACGGTTGGTGGACAGACAAAAGAGACCGTACCACTATCGCCAGCGATGTCAGCAAATTTGATGTTGTAGTAGAGTCATGTAGAGTCGGATTGAGAAAACCAGACCCTAAGATTTATGAGGTAAGACGGAAAGCTGAATAACAAAACTAAGTTATACTGATATCCAAAAAAGACAAGCTGAAAGTAATATAACTCAAAATAAGCCAAAGATGCACCGTTTCATACCAATATAACATTATCTAAATCCAAATGAAAAGTCAATTGTTCTATTTCAGTTAATGCTTAACAAACTCAGCCTAAAGCCCAATGAATGTGTATTCATTGACGACCTTGCGAGTAATGTGGAAGGAGCTAGCAAGTTGGGAATCAATGCAATTCAGGTAAAAAAGAAAAAAACCTTGGTTATAACAAATAGAATAAAAAATGGCTTACTTTATTAGGATTTCCAATAAAAGAGACGCTTTCAGATGGTCGATGAAAACGAAGATCTCGCCCTGGATAAATTGTCGCAAATCACTGGAATAAAATTTTAATTTTTCGATTTTTCTTCGTATAAATTTGCTTTGCTTTTCGCAGTTACTTCAGAAACGTGTTTAGCTGCGCCCTAATTCGTTATTTTATTTTTAAAAATTGTTTCGAATCACGGCGATCCCAAAGCTAGAAATAAATGGATCCTGCGTATTTTGCGCAGGTTGCAGAAAAGGAGTCGAGTGTTCTTATTTGCGCCAAGTTTTATTCTTATTTTTTATTTTTTCTTCGGGTATTTTTATGTTTCTTGGTAAATAAGCTAGCAAAATTTACTTTTTATCCGCAATAAATTCATAAAAACCATAATTTTTACTTACTATAGTAATTACTACGATCTAAACTTTTATTATTGTTACGAGTAAATAGTCTGGAGCTAATATCAGATGTGGAGAAACTACTACGCCGGCATTCAAGGAGCTGTACGGAACAAAACCAGTGCCGGTTTCGTCGTAGGGTCAACACCCAAATCAAATACATCTTCACCATCACTCAGTGTTTTTCACACGATGTGCTTCGAGATAAAGGCAAGGGAACAGCTACGGGGGCAGGGCGTAACAATGTTGTGATTGCTGGTTGCAGGGAAAGCGCAGGACGTGGCATATCTTAGATTATCGTCGTTTATATATAACAACGAAAAGATAGCAAGGATCCTCAAAGATACACTATGCTTATTTGGAAGGAATAACACGAAGGTGAAACACCGTATATTGACTGACCAACAAGACAGTCTACCTTTCTCGTCCAAGAAACAGTGATAATTAAGCTATCAAGTAAAGACACGAGTTTTTTTGATTTTCAAAATTATAAAATTTAAGATAGAAAAAGTAGCGATTGCTTAAATTGATAGGTACAATACGGAAGAACAGATTCGTCCGATCGAGCTCCACTAACGTAATAACAAGGACCTTATAAATTAGAAATTAACCGGTAAAAACTGCAGAATTTAGTGGTTTTAACCATTTTACAGCTTAAGCCTAAAAAATAATATCTTGCAAATGTATCTAAACATACCTAAATAAAATGGTATCATACACATACATAATCAAGCAAAAACAAAGAAAAAAAAAGTTTTTGAGGTCGCACTAAAACAACTTTAGTATAATTTCAGTATTTTTGATGACAGCTTTCTGACCGTCTTTCGTAATAGAACTCCTATTAAGAAGTACCTGGATAATATATCAAAATCCAAAAAAAATTTCCGCTAGTATATGAAGATCTCCAAGAAAATTTTCCAGTGTGCAGTGGACTGGTAAAAGCTGCTACAAAGGCTAGTACACAAGTAACAGACATAAATATGTCCGAAAAAGTTGCGCTATCCGTTTGTTTAACTGTTCATAGGTTTAGACTCCAGGTCCAGAGGTTCCCCAACATGATTTGCAATTTTAAAAAATTTGTTTTTTGTGCATAAAAAACATGTCATATTAACTATACGATACGTTTATAATAATTTTTACAATATTTTTTCTTATCTTTCATAATTAGTCAAGTTATGCCGAAAATTAAAGGTTATTCTTTAAAGTGTAACATAAGGTTTTCAGCGTATTTCTCAAAAAGTAGGATTTTCTTAAATCTAAAGTTCTTTTGAGATTCAGGGGTTCTTGTCTGTATTGTGTATAGCATATTTAATTTTACATTAACTTACAAGTTAATTAAGTTATTACATTAAATCTTACTGTAATGCATACATATCACATAATGTTCTTAAATCGTAACATGAAAAGTTTAAGAATTCTAATGCGAAACTTTTCAAAAACATTTATTTTATGATGTATTTTTGTTATATATTAATATCTGAACATATCTTTCACAAATTTGAAAGTTTTCTTTGAAATTTCTACGTTGGTGATCATGGATAATATAAGGTTTTCAGTGTTTTTCTCAAAAACTACAAACTCGATTTGGATGAAACTTTTTATGTTTATAGATACATTAGCTACACAAAGTATAACATGTTAATTTTTGTTAGATTCGGCCCACATGTAAAGTTATACTTCGAAATAACATAATTTTAGTGCTAATTTGGCTTGCTAAAGTTTTCAGGGTTTTTTCTCAAACACTATTTCATATTTCTGTCTGAAATTTTACAAAATGATAGAATAGTTAGTTATGTAAGGTATAACATCTTTCGATTTTTGATTAGAATCTGGTCACTTTAGCCACATTTTAGTGCAGAGCACATAACATTTGAACGAGAATAAATATCGAAAAATTGTTTCCTAGGAATGAAAAAGGAATACCTCTTTAAGATTTAAGTGTTTTTTCAGCTCAATAACTTTAACCGTTTAGTAGATATAACGTCATAAGCCTAAAACGCGCCGGAAGTTGCTGTTTCCCTTCCGAGCTGCGCCCGCGGTTCCACTTTTATCTAGAAAATATATAAAAGTGGGATCGCCGTGGCGAATAAATTTTTATAAATTTTTGAAGTAGATTGCAATATAGTATTTTAAACAGCATCATGAACGACCAAAAGGATGTGAGGACGAAGTTTCCGAAGATGAAGTTGAGTGGCTACGAGAAGATTCACATCCTAGAAGGCTTTAATGAAGAATTGAGGACAGATGGCAGAGGGTAAGCTTGTACCATTCATAGATCATCTCTTTCTTTAGTTTAAAAGAGTATCGGCCAATTGGACTTGAGTTAGGAGTGATTCCTCATGTGGAAGGTTCTTGTCGATTGAGAGCTGGCAATGTTGATCTTCTTGTTGGCTTGAGGGCTGAACTTGAGACAGTCCTTGATAGTAGTGTCAATATAGACGATGACGTTCCGATCAGAATGGAGTTTAACGTGGAATTGAATCCGAATTCAGATGTAAGATTCTTGGGTAAAGAGCCGATCGATTTGGCTGAACAGATCAAAGCAGCTCTTTCCAAAGCTTATGACAACGATGAAGCTCTGCCTCAGCTTAAAAAGTATGTTTGTAGATTTTTAATGTGTGTTTTTATTTATTAATCTATTCTAAGGTGTTATTGATCTATGAATGTGTATTATTTTAGTTTGAAACTGACTAGAAGGTTATCGTGGGCTGTTTGTGCTGAAATTGAAGTTCTTGGTTATGATGGAAACGTGATAGACTATGCTGGTATTGCTGTAAGTACTTACTTGACTTTATTAATTTTTTTATATAGTTAAAAGCAGCGTTGACTGACTTTAAAGTGCCAAAAATGCGAGTTTTATCCGATGTTGTGGATGGACTTGGGGCTGAAATGGATGGAGTCGAGTTTCCAAATGAAGTCGAATATATTACACTCGATAGCAGCAGGTATGTTATTTATGTTTTTTTTGTTTGAATAGTGAGTAGAAGTGTCGCATAGAACTTCTTTTGCACATTGCTGTAAACTTTCTGACAGTTTTAATCTACATATGAAAATGTAATTTTTGATTTTGAAATAAAACGTTATCACTTTTAGATGTCCGTTGTTTTGTACTGTTAATGTTGTAAACGACATGTTGGCGTTGGACGTTACGGAAGAAGAAGATACGTGTGTGGTATCTGCAGTTTGTGTAGCTATGATACTACCCAAAGACAAGTCGGTAGGGTTTTTTTTATGATAAGTTTACATCTTTGTAATTTTGAATGATCAGTAAGCCATCTTTTTTACACGCAATTAACAATATTTTATATTGAGTTATATATTTTTAAGGATGATTACTTGATTACATACGCATCTACAGTACATAGAGGTACCATGGAGCTGTCGACAACGCGAGAGCTGTACAAGTTTGCTCACGAAGTGATACAACAATTGAATTTGGATCTGGAAACTTTTTTGAAGTTGGAGAAAACAACCAAAGGCGACAGGACTATCGGTATATCTTTTTAAGTTTTTATATTTGAACTGCAAAGTCGATACTGTATTTTATACGGTCCTAAAAGTCTTTCGTGCTTACATTCTGTCGTTTCTCACATTTGTCGGCCATGTTTTTGTTAAGGGCGAATAAATTGGAACCAGAATGCCGCCGTATTTTATGCAAATTGGGACTGAAAGGGACCTCACCTGCGACTATGATTTAATTAAATTAAAACAACTTTTGGGATGGAACGTTTCATGCTCGGCCTTTCTTTCGAGGCCCGTCTTCTGGCCCACGATGATGATTCTCGTGGCATTTGGCCGAGTGCTCCTTGGCCTTCGGAGCGAGGCCTAATTTCATTTTCACCTGGGACATTAACAGCACAATCACCCATCCATTTATTTACCCCATTATTCTCGTTAATCGTAACGGCGTCGTATGTAACAGCGTCGTATGTTTGAGTGGATGTGCCGTCGGGATTGTTTTTACCTTGTCGCCCTACCGTACCTGTTTTTAATTGACATATACATGGATGGGCGGTTGCCCGGACGCCCGTCTTCTTCACACCTCACGCGAAGACGGGCCCGATGCCTTCGGGCTTAATTCTCACGAATAGCAGGTCCTCTAATTTGGCCTCGCCTTTTCCCCCGAGGGATTCATACGGGTTACGGTGGCTGAGTGGAGATGTTTTATATCAGGGGGATCCGCTTTATAGGCTTAATTAAAGGAATTGGGTGCAAAGTGTCATTTTGGAGATTAAAAAATTAAAAACTGGGCTGAATTGGATGTTTAGGCAAAGTAAAAAATCTGTAAAATTTGAATATTTATGCAAATTTTCAAAAGTAATCTAGGAAGGGTATAAAATACTAAGCTAAAAATTGCTTTAATACTATTGAGTTTGCCAACAGACCCAAGTTTAAAAAACACTTTAAATTTTATTTCTCCGAATTAGTTATGAGGTCATGAGGCCGAATCTGCTTTGTAAAGAATCCACCCTCCAACCTGATTCCCCACCTGATTTGGGAATTATGAGTTTGACAAAGGACCAGCTCTTTGGGAACGAGAAAATGAATTCCCGGATCTGAGTCACACGCCGAGCCCATTTCGCGCAATAAGGTAACTCGAATTAATCGGTGCCAACCTGGCCTTAAACGGCTTAACCGGGATTATTGCATAACCCACACGACCCTCAATTACTCGGGTGGCTGAATCGAGAATGAGGCCAGGAGAATATTTATGTAGTCAATCTGGCAGATTGAAGGGATGGGCTGCCCTTTGGCCCTATTCTGACATGAATGCCGAGGTTTCGGGAAATATAAAGGAGAGTGACACGTCTCATAATTCATGAATGAGATGTTTGAAGCCATTGGCTTCTGGATTCACTTTATTCACTTTGCTCGTTCGGAGGGTTTGTTTCGGCCGGTTTGGGCCGTTTAATTAACAGTTCGCACCTTGGCCAGGATTGCGTGACCGGCCAGGAGAGAGGGAAGTACAGTCGGATGGGCATGTCGCTTCCGTCTCAATACCTTCTTTAGGGTGACAAGGGGTGGCAAAGTGACTTCTCTCATGGTTAGGACGATGTGACTCTTCGAGGTGTCGGTAGGGTGACTTCCTTTTGAGTCTGGGTAGAGAGACGTCTTTCTGAGCATTGGTAAGGTGCCTTCTTGGAGGTGTTGCTCAGAAGGTGAAGTCTTAAATGTGTCGCCTTTAGGGAATTGGACCGGAAGAGAAACGGAGCTTCTGGATTGCCTCAGGCTCTGATTCACCCGAAGATACTGTAACTGATGAATGGCGACCAAAAGTTTGTATTCAAGTCGTGTTTTGTTGAAATCACAAAAGCTGAATTCTGAAGAGATTTTACTGTTATTGGGGTACTGTAGGAGATTGGTTAGGTTACACGGTTTGTATAGTAAAGACATAAAGGGTTTGAATATTTTAAATTTTCTTTTCTAGATTCGTTGCTTTAGTTTTAAAAATTGTTTTTGAAATTTGAAAACTATTGTTTTGACTACAAACACCTCTATCACAATATAAACTGATGTTTGAGTCCCTGTAACTCTTTAATTTTGGAGTTGCAACTGTTGTTTTGGCTGAACATCCACTGCCATGTTTGCCCTCCTATTCTATGAGGCACCAAACTTGTCTTTGTGGTTGTGTTTGCACGGATTCCCGTGGAATATAAAGTCTCGCGCATTGTAGCGGGCGTTCCTTCCCTCCCAATCAAGAACCAAAATGGAAACCTTGCCTATTATGGGGTTTATTTGCACCCCGGGTCAAGTATAATATTCTGTTTGTCGTTCAATAATGCAGGAGCATCGCTTCAGGAGAAGGTGTGGATTTCAGGCCTCTTCAACTTGGCCATCACGCACTCGGCCGAGGTGTACTCGATGTCATCATTAGAGATCGCTGGGGCCATCTTTTTGAGGCTATCTAGATGTCATAGTTGAGTAACATCACTGTAGACTGTCTTTAACTTTAATATAAGTACTGCTAACGACTACTGTATTTTTAAATTTATTTTAAGACTTTTAATAATTAAAATGTATTTAATGATAATTTGATTGAAATGTAGAATCGACGCCAATCTCTGGCCTCGGATTCAACGTCGCTCTTCTGAATCACCGAAGGCATTCAGAAGAAGCGAAGAAGAAGGCGGAGTCTCGAGATGACTTTGATTGGCGGAGAATGTCTCTAAACAAGTCGAGAGTCGGGAAGAAGTCTCTCGCTTTATTTATAATATTATCGTTGCGTAACTACTATATTTGATTACTTTGTTTGATTTCTATGTTAACATACCAACTGGTTTGTAGCAGGGTAACGTAATATAGTATATCATAGGATAGTTAAGATATATTTTACAGAATGTTTTAAAACTGAAATTTTTAATTTTTTTGTAGTTGAACTCGGTCAAAAAGTGCATAGAATATCCTTTACATTGGAAAAATTTAGTTTATATTATGATTTACAGGTTGTTGGCTTTAGTTGGGTACGTATTACACGATTACTGAGTGCTACGAAAAAAGCTTTGCTGGCCCACAGAGCAGCCGTGTCATAATAGCCTCATACTTGTCATAGCACTGCCATTTTTAATTGTTGTCTGATTAATTATTTAATTTCCAATTACCGTGGTCGATTACGATAACCTTGTCGCGCCTAATGGTCTCTTCTTCGTTCTCACCGTAATACATCCCCACCCCCTCCCCCTTTTGTGGCCAAGGCTCTTCTTTCGGCCGCATCCCATTTCATTCGCTTTCCTCGCCGCCGCAGGGCTCAACTGACTTTTATCTGTTTCAGAAGCCATCAATGAGCATCAACGGTGAGTTTCTGCGCTCCGTTGAAGTGAGGGCAGAACGGCACGATGAGAAAGAAGTGACGTTCCTGGTGGCACGACACAAACTCGCATCTGGAGTCATTGTGGGATTGGTGGAGAAGGTAGGCTTAAAACGAAAAAAATTTAATTTTTGCGATTAAGGGTACAGAAATGACATATTATAGTACATAGTACAAGAATAAAAACTCAACTACTATTTTTAAGAAATGACCTTTTACTTTATCTCAAAATATTCCATGCTTTTGTCCTAATTTAGTCTAAAACATGTCTGTTTGATGACGTAACCAACGTCGGCCCCACTTTGTACCAAACTCTCTTCAAGTACGATCCACAATAGAGTCGCTCTTGTGGATTGTACTTGACCGTTTAAGCTGCCGGTCGGAGCCGTGTAAACATTGACTTGACCTTATTGTGCTCCGATCTCAGCACCTGGTCCAATTAGCGCGAGACGCCTTTTCTTAGCGCACTTCCTGTGGCCAAGAGTCGTCTCAATCGACAGGTGGATAAGGTCTTTCAAACACAAAGTCTATTACCGTAGTTGCGATGCAGATACGGGTTGTCTTAAAAGTTTCGAGACAGTTTGACTTACAAGTATTTTTTAATATTTTAAATTGAAAAAAATAATTTTAAATATAATGTTGTCAAAACATAGATTCTTTTAAATGTAGTCAATTTTAAATGTCTTTAAATATTGTAGTAGCAGCGTTTTAAACTTTGTCTTCTAGCGTCTTACCTGTCAAGCCAAATCACAACCCTAGGAAGGGTAATATTGTAGTAGAAGCATTGTCTGTCCATGATTTTCAAATTATTCCCTAAAGTTGCCACATCCCGAGCAGTCAATTGGCCTAGAGACTGTGGATATGTCTATCAGTCCTATGTCAACCAACCCTCGGAGACATTCTCTGGATTGGAAGCAACAAAGACGCAGGATTCCTAGTTTAATATTATCCATGGTCTAGTGTAATATAATACAATAGATGGGCTTGTGTAATATTTTCGATGAGTCTATAGTACGGTTATGTAGCTAATATGTAACATACGAGCGGTCCTGGAACCTGTATTGAGGATAACATTACTGTAGGGGCTATCAATGGAATAAGGTTGTAGGATTACAGGTAGTGTTGACACAACATCTCATAGGCGGTGTGTCGGCATAGCTTGCTATTTGCATATTGTGGATATCGATGACCACAATACATGACTTGTTTTAGGCATGGATATAGGTGAATGTTGGATAAATATCTTGTACTAGCAACTGACTTTATCTATGTTTTTAGTCAGGCCTTTACCTTATAGGAGCAGCATTAATACTAAAAAGTTTGAAAATTTCAATTCGAAATCCTGCAAACACTGAAACTGTTAACACAAGATGGCAATTGTGAGTCATAATTCCCTCTCCACACACTTTAATACCTTCCGGCGATCTGTCAACGGCCCCACTATCAAAAGAGGACTTGTCCTTGTACCGGAAGGACGTCTTCAAGCCCGAGCAATCATCTTTTCTGCCAACTCCTTCTCTATGGCCGGAAGTATGCCGCTTCATCCCCCACAAACGGTGCGTCTTCAATTTTCCGGCATTGTCTCCGGTCTTCATGCAGCCCCATCTTCGTGCCCTGAGGGCCGCCGGCCGAGCACTTACTTACCTTGGCCACCAGGAACATCACAAAGCAAACATGTTCGGAGGGATGCAACATGCAAGGTTTACAGTAATCGTCAAGAATTTTTAAAATTTTTCAAATTAACAGGCTTTTCTGTAAACTTTTTGACCGAAAAAGCGTGTTATTTAGTATACAGTAACACTGTTTACTATCAAAAATAGCAAAAGTACAAAATGTACCAAACATCCTAAGCTACACCAAAAACATCCAAGACTACTGTAACCACCGGAGCCACCTGTAACATACGCAACACAAAGGACACGCTTTGTTTGTTGACTTAATCATTGCACAACAACACCTTCCTGAACTCGTTTGTTGGGAAAACTTGGAGGTCCGTGGGGTTGAGGAGGCGGAGATGGTGGATGTCCACCTGGCTTCACCACTTTTATTACAGAACGGAAACCAGCAGGTTTATGATGTCGCTTTATGTGGGACCTAATTAGGTGCTAACGGCGGATCATATTCATATTTTCAAGGTCGTTTTTGAATTGTTGTAGGTATTGGGGACACTGTGGGCTTTTGGTATACTGTACTTTAATTAAGTGTTGGAACATCTAGATTTTTATTTATTTTTATGGTATTTGAAATTTTTTAGCAAAGATATTTTGTAATTAAAAAATAATTTTTTTCAATTTTTCAAATTTAAACTTTAATTTTAGCCTATTTTTTAAATTTTTTGTTTGTCTTTTCAAAAATCGCTGGCTACGGTTTAAAACAATTATTTTGAATCGTCGCAAATTTGATTTAATCCTCAATAATCGGGCTTGTTTGACATGGTCTTGGCACCGGATTAACGTCAGCAGGTGTTTGAATCTCGTCCGTATTTCCGCAATTACCGGTAATTAGATGTTGTGGCTCGAGATCAAGCTCTATATCGACCAATCATTGAGTTTTATTCCTTTGAGGTTATACTCTTCTTTTAAAGGACCAATATTGGTCCTAAAGGCACCGAACTCAATTCAAAAATGTATTTTAACTGCCATTTTATGTTAATTTCCACGAAATACAGAACGAGTGATTAGCTGGCCTAATTAAAAGGACCGCTGTCCCAGATGGGCCTCGAATTCAACACCTCTAACCTGGTCGATATCTAATCCCGGGGTTTCCCTATTAAATGGCCATTTTGTTTTCGACCGTTCAAGGGATTCGTGGTGTTACGGCCTCAGGGGATTCTCTCACTTATCAGAGAGAAAGGTGGTGTTCGGAAGTCAGCTGATATTATACGACTTTTTATACTCTCCACAGTCTGATTACGGTTCTAATTTTGTAGCGGGTAAACAAAGCGGAGTTTGAACTGTTCTGATTTGTATTGTCTTGGTTAACTTTAGATTGTTTACACTGATTATACTTTGCAAAACTTGTCTAGAATTATGTGAAAAACGTCATTTTATAAATATTTTAATTTTTAAAATTAAAAAATTATTTTAATTCGTAGTGATTTAAACTTTACTAATACTGTAATCACTTTCAGAACGGCTACAACGACCCGAACGCACTTCTTCTGTTAAGTTTGTTGCGTCCCACACAAAGCAAGACCAACGTAACACCCAACATACGAATACGACGATTTGGGTCGACTGTAAGTGATCTTCAAGTGCCTATTATTCTGGTCATCTTCCCGTTGTTATTAGGTTACTATAGGCTCTACTTGATGCCATGTTTTCATAAATTATCGTATCTTAATGTCATGGTTTTTGCTATAAGCTTTTGTCATCATAAGATACCTAACGTCATTTTTTTGTCATTTGAGATTACACACTATATTTTTTAAAAGTTTTTTACTAATATACTTAGTCTTCACAGTACCAGATTGATTCTGAAGGCATTTTGCAGAACTGAATGTAGTTTATATTACACTTGTGATTTATATTATTGACCTATCTTCAGATCTACATTCAAACCAACCGCGAGATCCGTGTGGACGAGCGACTGGCCTCGGAAACGTGCCTCGACTTCCGAGAAGAAGACTGCGTGGACAAAGTGCCAGACGAATCCGAAGAGCCGTAAGTGTGATTAGCTTGATTTGGAGAACCAAAGGTTGAAACTCATTCTGGGCGGGTTATTAGCGACGACGAGTTTGAGGGAAGAAGCCCTTAATGTGGTGGCAATGTTATTTTAGGGTGTCATGGGGAAATATTGGTTTATTTTGGTTTAGAAAGATGGTAGAAAGTGATGTTTAGACAAGTCTTTGGAATTAGAATTGATATATTAAACTTGCGAATCACGATTTACAATTTTTAACTTCAAAAAAAATATTGTGAAAATTGCAAAAACTTGTACTTTAGTCTTATTCCGAACACTTTTTACAAATTTTGTTATCAGAGTTGCGTTTGTAAAACCTGCAAAATAACATTTTACCCTGCCCGGCGTAGCTGGTCGGCTAATTTTGTTTTTGCGAAGATCCACGCGCTCCAGAATCGAACCCGGAATACGTTTATCCGGCTTTCGCCCAGAAGAACAGCGTTCCGGGATGCATTCGGAGGGCGTAATCAGTGCTTATCAGGCCGGTCTTTATCGACAACCTGTTCACGCCATCCTCCTCAATTACCATCCCTGCCCCACTTCTTCTAATTGATCTCTTCCCCGCTACCTTCCTTTATTTCCCCGAACGAAAGCGAAAACGGCAATCATTTATTTCGTTTTCCTTTCGCTTGCGCCATAATTCAGAAGTGAGACGATTAGGGTCGTCGCCGTCTTGTAGTATATTGTATTGTCTCGGTGACTGCTTGAGTGGTATGATGGATGCAATTTACTATGTGGTATATTTCGGGTATTATTTAGTAAATTATAGGTCAAAAAGTCTGTAGAAGAGTCTTTTGTAGGCAACTGAGTTTAGTTGGGCATTGGAACTGAGACTATATTAATATTTTTCGTGTGAGATGTCTAATACCTTTTCAATATGTTTTAATAGACAAGAGGTTGAAAAATGGTTCGGTGCAATATTTTTCCTATTTATTTATTAGATATTGTTTAAAAAATTTATTTTTCTCCATAACTGCCCTCCGGCACTGTCTTTAATATGTCATGCCAGCTCCTTGACGTTACTCAGGTATGCATGATTAGTCGCTGAAGCCCTTGTCCGGTGCCGCTGTCCAAACAGAAACCGGAACCGGTTTAATCGTCCGCGCGACCCATTCCTTACTTGGTCCCACCTAAGGGGGTCGAGAAGATCATCCCTTTACTTTCACTCTCCATTGTTTAGAGTGGCTGTTTTCGTCGTGATGGAGTCCCTTTTTGCGGATTCGATGCCGTTGTTCACTTTCCCTCTTAACCGGCGGTCAGAATCCGTGCTCCACTGACCCAGATTACGCCATCTCGACGAAAAAATAAACTGTGAGAGCGACGATGTCGCCGCCGGCACTGGGAGAGATTCCGGCGAATGATGCGCGCGCGCCACCGCCCTGTTCATGAGGTCATCTCGTCGAGGAGAAAGTCCATCCACAACGGTGAAAGTGAAGATAGCCGGAGGGGAAGACACGTGCCTCAGGACCTTAGTTTAGAAATTTCATCTTTTTTAATTTTGATTACTTCCTTTCCTCTTAACTATACCTACAGTTACAGCTTGGTATGACATACAGGATGTATTAAAGTTTATAACTTAGTACAAGCTGAGTACTAACTCTTGAGTCATCCTTAAGTATTTTCAGTGCGATAATCATTAACTTATTCCAATTATGCCAGTTTATAGTTAGTCTTTTAATAACAAAAACAGTATCTTACTGTGCTCAATGTAGCCCGTATTACAAAGATTCCTTTTCCTAGTCCAACTCTTCTCCAATACTTGTTTTGACGCTAGTATAAAATCTCCAGGATCTTTGTTTGTTTTCCGCGCAACTCTTCTGGACACAGCCGACCTACTGACCCGTAACCCTTGAACCTCCCCAAAATAGTCATCGCGTTTATGTTGCTTTCGTTCGTTTATAGTAACAGTTCTTTTGTTTTCATAAAAGTAATTACCTTTTATTATAAACTCGTTACTTTTACATGCCCTTACCCGCTACAAGTATAATATGCAAATTCTACCGTTGTATTAAACTGTTTTAAAGTATATAATATAATGTAATTTCAGTTGCGACTCCTCGGATCCTCAGCCAGATTACGGTGTTGGAGAAGAGGACGAAGAAGAGGAAGAAGCCGAAGAATCCGAGGACGAAGAAGCCTCGGCCGAACGACGACACCGTGAGAGCCAAGAAGCCGCTGCTGTCGTAGCTGCTGCCGCCGCCGCCGCTGCTACAGGTCAATCGTTTGCTTCATTTACACGAAGAACTGCCGACGAGGAAGACACTGAAGCTACAGAACTAGCTTCTTCAAGACCCGAGAATCTATCTCGGCCCAACTCTTGTAGCTCCATCAACTCGAACCAACCTCACAAGTGTCCTGTGTGTCCGAAGGGATTCTCATCAGCTAGGTATGCCAATTTCTAGATTTTTTGAATTCAAAAATTCATTTTGCATCTTGACCATGTCATAAAATCTTATTTTAGTGGCCTAAAACAGCACAGTCACATTCACAGCAGCAGTAAACCGTTCCGTTGTAGCGTCTGCAACAAGGCTTACACTCAGTTCTCTAATCTCTGTAGACATCGAAAAGTTCACCTGGTAAGTACTACAACAACAAACTTTCATAGTGCATTAGACCATTTATTATTCTATATAGCGATTCCATATACTCAATATACAGTATGCCTTATACACTGCTTTGAAGCCTTTCTTATCATCCATTACTTTTCAGGACGGATTTACATGTTCCGCGTGTAACCGCCAGTTCACGAACCCTTCGGCACTCCAGAAACATCGTGTTCAGTGCGAGAAATACCTGCGACAAATGACATCAACCTCCCTATACAAGCCCTTCCACGTGGGCTCAGTCCCCCCTTTGGCGGCCCAAGCGGCTGGTCCAGCTTCGGCCCATGCCAATCCCCTCAACTGGGCCGCCCTCCATCTGGCCCCGTACCCTCAGATTCCGCAGCTTCTGCAGTTGAATGCGGCACGGAACAGTCTGTTCAACCTTCCGCCTGCCTTCTTCGCAGCCACAGCTACTGGAATTCAGTCAGCCCAGACTCCAAATGAGAATATCAGTCCTGTGGAACAGACTTCTGAGAATCTTCACGCCAGCTCCACTTCTCAACCTCAACCTGAAGAGACCACGGTGCCCAAGAAGTCGTCCAACACCATATTCAGTGCAGAATCCTTGTTGTGTAAACCTCTCGCGCAGACCGTTATCCAGAAGACACCTTCCTTCGGTGAATTCCAACGTGATAACGATAGGAAATTAGAAGAACACGATGTAGCTGCGACAGATTCTGACACCATCGATGACGATGAAACGTCATCACGGAGTGAATCAGAGAAGAACGGCACGATGGAGCCAAAGATCGAGGAGACCAAGCCGTCTTTCAATGACATCGCTCCTCTTATGAATCCATTTTCGTCGCAAGCCTTCCTCACCATGCTCCGCAACACAATGGCTGGTCCAGGAGCTCCAGGCCTAGTCCGCCCCAACCCTTATCAGTTCCTACAAGCCCAGCAAAACAGTAGTTTTGCAGCAGCGATGGCGGCGTCTAACTCAAACGGACTTCCAAATCATCCACAGAACGCACAACAGCCAGGTATCGCTCCAAGGATGTTGAACACGACAGCCAGGTCCAACAAGGAGAGGTACATGTGCAAGTACTGCTCCAAGGTGTTCCCAAGAAGTGCCAATCTGACGCGACACTTGAGAACACATACTGGAGAACAGCCTTATAAGGTAAGGGATTGTTAACAATGAAGTAACACTAACCTCGTATTACGAGTATTATAGCACCACAACTGCACCTAAAAGGACATTAAATGCTAAAGAAGACAGTAAAAAACCTCAAAAAATGAAACTAATCTTTCTCTTTTCAGTGCACGTACTGTGAACGTTCCTTCTCCATCAGTTCGAACCTGCAACGGCACGTTCGGAACATTCACAACAAGGAGAAGCCCTTCAAGTGTTCTCAATGTGACCGGTGCTTCGGACAACAGACCAACCTCGACCGACACATTAAGAAGCATGAGATGCAACGAGAAAGTTCGTTGGAGTCATCGCACAGCAACAATAACTTGAGCTCCTCCATGCCCTCAGGGTTTCTTCTGAATTCGCTGAAGCAGAAAGATTCGATGCCACTTCAGTTCAACGTGTCCAACTTGTTCCAAGCCAAACCTTAGTGTTACCGTAGTTTCTTTAAGCTGTTGTAGCCTACAGAATACCTGATGTCATCTGTAGCTACCGTATCTCGTTCTTCCAGGGCTAGTCCCTTACTGTATTAAACTGTCACCCGGTTGTATGTAAATTGTGTAGTCTGTTTTGTCATTTAACTACTGTATTCTTTAACTAATAACTGTATTTTTAAGCGCTTTTCACTTCTCCCACTTGGGTTTATATTGTTCTAGGTCATTCACTCTCTCATTGTACAACATTCCTGTGCTTCTCACAATCGAAGCTTCGAAATTTAAATATCGCTTGAAAGCTGATCCAAAGACTCGCAACATTCTATATTAATGTGCAATAAATCATAACTACTTTATATATCAAGAACTACTACAGTACTTCATGTAAAACATAGTTACGGTAGGGTAGGTAACAATGACCGGAACAAGAGAAGGAAGCCATAAATAAAACATTTACTATCTTCGACCTTAGCTACATCGCTTGAGGAAACAAAAAACAATCGAACTGTAAACGAGATACTTACTAAGACAAGGTAACAACACATCTACTAGGATGATAACAATACAGTAATAATAACAATACAAAGATCAGATAGAGTGAACTCGGTTACTGCCACCTCCCAGGAACAAGGTCTGGAATACAGTATCAGCAAAGTCTGGGTAGAATTCTGTAGCTCTCTGACAATCTGGCATGAAGTTGGCTTCGAGGAAAGTGACACTTACGTCCTTGTGCTCACGATCTACAAAATTTAACCATAGAACTAACAGAGTAAAACTTATGTTTCCCGACTACCTGCGGCTCAATTTTGCCGACATGCGCCCCTGAATATTTCTTGTGACTAAAAAATAATTCCAAAAGCTTCTGAATACGCATTATATCCTTGTAAACTCACTTTTCCACTTGAGCATCAAATCGAAGCCGTACATGGCTCTAGACTGTAAATTTGGAGCCACGCCTCGCGGCGGTTTGTTCTTTGTGACAGTTTCGAATACCTGTTTGATGACACTGTCAATCTGAAACTTGACTTGTTCCCATTTGATTTGAGGATTCAATTCGATCAGGTCTTTTATAAACTCATCCGATGTTACCTAAAATTAAAATTATTACCTAAATTTATGGTCAAAAGAAATAATTTTATATTGAGGTGATAATACAACCTACATTAACTACTTTCGTCTTGTCAGTGTAATTGTGAACAGACAAATGTGTAAAGTTGTCAGACAGGTCGCTTAAATCATACTCGCTAAAAAAGCGTTGTTATATAATAAAACTGCATTTATAATCAAGCATAGAACAAACAGGATAATAACTTACTTGACCGCCAACCTAGGCCAGAAGTCGTTGTACAAGCACAGCTCCAGTGGCTCCAAACTCCTCACGAACACGATGAACCTCAGGTCAAATTTGACCAGATTTCCATTGTCTTTCCTCTTCACAAGAACGGGGTCCTCGATGTACTTAGACACTAGTTTTGGACCGGTCTCAACCATTCTGATGATACAATCCAGGTTGTCAGTAACTACCGTATCAAGTCCTCTGGCCAGATTCCATGGCTTCACGATCCAGGTATTGTCCAAGTTCTTCTTGGCCCTCTTCTGATAGTGAGCTACAAACGTGGGCAGCTCTTCATTCAAGTTAAAGGTAGTTTGGAACCATTCTGGACCATATTCAAGAGTTTCTTCGTTGAACGACTTCTCGTAATCTGGGTTTGTTTCTATTGAAGCTGCGAACAAATCCTTGACGGTGAGGTTGGACTCGTAAGGGAACTGATTCACCAATATTTTCGGATTTTGTTCGAACAATCCTCTGAAAAATTAATTTTAAAAATAATGACCCCAAAATGTGAATTTCAAAAAATAATTTGCTGCCAAACCAAAAGAAAATTATTAAATAACATGACTATTTCAAACGAATACATACTTAAACTCGTGGAAGTGCTCCCTCAACCACAGCACATCAGCTTCCTTCACGTCATCCACCAGTCCGTACTGAATTCCTTGTAACCGTTCGATGAGCTGAGTGTCTGTAGCCACTATTCTCACCGTATCCATGATTCCAGCGTTGTCATCAGCTGCCCCATGTTGAGAACCTTCAGGTACGTGATCTGGATGCCGTCCACTCTAAAATTCACAAAATTTATTAAAATATTCGGTTTAAAAAAGCTAATCATATTAGATTAACACTAAACGATTGCTGGTTTAAAAGTCCAATTTTTAACACTTACAGTAAAGAACTCGTCACCCTTGACAGACTTTTTCAAATCACTCTCACTCAGATCAACAGCTTCCCAAGGATAAAGAAGAACATTGTACCACTCTGGATGGGTCTTCAAAATGGCATTGTCAACATAGTTCCTAGTAACTTCTTCTGAAATGATTCTTTCATATTTAAAAATAATCTAATGCATACCACAGCCTTTAAAAACAATAGTTACGTACCTTGATCCTTAATGTCCTGTGTGGGAAACATCACACTAAATGCTTGCCCAGTGAAACCATAGAAAAATGGCACAATACGAACATTTGGGTCTTTAGAATGTCCAACTCTCATGCCAAACTCATCAGGAAGGTACCAGATGGGCATATCACTCTCCTCAAGAACGTTTTGAGAACGACGAACAGTGTAAGTCTGAGCGAACTTCCAGATATTATCCATGATAGCGTCAATCATCTTCTCTTCTACTTGTTCGTTCTTTTCTTTCTCTTCGGAAGTCACATCTTTCTTGCCTTCACCTACAACTTGATATAACATTATTTACAAAGATAAAAACTAATAAATTATAGAAATGAAACTCTTAGTTTAAATAACAGGTAGTATATACTGAAGTATAAAAGAACACCTACCAGTAGGATGCGCATCTCCACTTTCGCTTCCAATATAATCAGAACAACTATTGAGATCTTCCAAATCATCTACCTAAAACAAACAATACATATTAAACGACTTCCTTACCGAGATCCCCATAGATTCAATCAGTCGCTCCTTGAATCCAGGCACTTGCTTCAGAATATCTCTGGCATTGTTCAAACGGAAAGTGAAACAATGGTCAATCAAGAAAATACTGAAAACCAAATTTGTTAACTGAAGTGAAAAAACACTGGTTTTAACCTATTAAAATACTTTAGGCTATTGAATAATGCAAATACCACAATATTAGAGTCTCTCTCTTATAAAATTAATAATACAACAATATTCTTACCTCTTCCCATCGTCGGCCTTAATATCTTCCAAGGCAATAACACTGTAGTTGTTTCCATCAGTTTCATTTTCCTCCACAATGATTTGAAAGAACTTTCCAGCGTCAAAATCCTAAAGATACTAGCCGATAACACATTTACTTACCTCGTTCTTCAACTTTTCGAACAAACTTGGCCAAAACAACTCTGGTACAGCTGAAGTGCGAAGCTGAGGCTCGTGAACCTCAACGAACTGTTCATAGGTGTAGTCAGTCATATTGTAACACTATAACTGTTTTGTTGCATAATCTCTTTCCAGAAATTTTAATTTTTCTAGAAATGTTACGGAATGTCACAATTGATTTTAGTAATAACGAAACAAATCTAAAAATTTTTTGCATTTGTGACTTCGCACGAAATGCAATACTTTCAAGTTCTTTACCATTCGCCTAATTGTTGTAAATAATTCGATTTAAATATGTAAATTGTACTGTTTGTGTTAGTCCTCTTTTATTTCAATATTTCACTTACTTTCTAGTAAAATTTTTAATAATACTATAGTCAGCACCGTCCAACAAAAAATTTATTTTATTAAAATGAACAATTGATAACAAAACCTTTTTTAATAAATATGTAAAGAAACCGAAGCGCAAAACATTGCACTGACTGCTTCACCGGTAGCTAACATTACTAAGCAAGGCACGAGTTTACAAACCGGGAGGTTTTTGAATAGGTACATTCTCGAAACCGGGTGGAGGTGCAATGGATGGTGAAGATGAATTTGGTCGTTCCGGGGACTTGTTGGATTCAGGGGCTGCAAACCATCCAGTCAGAGCTTTGATCCGATCCAATGCTGAGGGAGGACCATTTCTCTCTTCAGCATATTGTTTGTTGCTCTCCATCAACTAGAAATACAGACTAACATTCTGTGTAAATTGTCAGATTCGGTCCGGCCGGTCCAAATGTTTAGCGAGGAACTTGTATGAGACGGACCTTCACAAAAGTTATTTATTTTTTAAAAGTTCAAATTATAAGCTCAAAAGTTGTTTTCAATTTTGCAATTTTTGAAAATCCGGACCGGCAAAACACTGTTCACAATAACTTGTTGCTATGTAATCTTTGAAGAACTTACAGCTCTCAGCAATGGATCATCGGTGTTTTGATGGTTTTCGACCGCCGCCTTACTGGTTTCAGGTCCTTCTTCTGGAGTATGTGATTGGTCTGAACCTTCATCATCCCAGTTCTTGAGTGCCAACTTCTTACAAAGTTCAGCTTCTTCCTTTTCCTTCAAGAACTTCTCTAATGTCAATCGTTCTTCCATTTTCTAAAGTAACATAATTAGTGGACATAGACGAAGCTGTTACCAAAAATTAACTTTTTATATTGTTGTTACCATATATAATCTGTATCATTGGCTTACCTTGAGTTCTTCTTCCTTCTGTTTTCGTCGTTCTTCTTGTAGACGTTCTTTTTCTTGTTGCTTAGCCACCTTCTTCTTCTGCTTGGCCTTCATGGCAGTTGATGACAACCACTCTTCTGTAGCCACATCTTCTGAATCATCGTCCGCCACTGATGCAAATACATTGAACTTGGAGTTTACTTCAGCTATAGGAGTTGGCTTCACCTTCTCCATGACAATCGAAGCCTTAACGGTCTTTTTCTTTGGTTCTTTCTTCTTGGCTAGCGCTACTAAAGGATCTGGCAAGGGCGGATCAATATCTGATGGTTCGGGCAAGCCTTGTTCCCTAGCTTCGAGCTTCTTTTGCATATTTTCAGGCCAAATGTCTGGCAACGGGACCACCTTTTTTCTTGATTCACTTGGAACTGCCGTTTTCTTAGGAGCTGGCTTTGCTGGTTGTTTTAGCTAAATTTTATGTTACCGTGCGTTTAAGACTTACCACAGCCGCAATGTTCTTTTTGCCCCAACCAGAAGACGTTGGAGCAGATGATGTTGGAGTAGGATGTACTTGTCCTCCGAGAGTTGGGAATTGGCTACTCAGATCTAATGGCTGTCTGACAGATGTAGATTGAGCTTGTTGTCGCGACGCTTGAACGGAGGACTAAAAAATTAGGTATTCATCGTTTTAAAGAGCACTCACCCTCCAGTTTGGGTTACTAATAGCTGCAGAAGGTGCCAGGCTTGGAAAATCATTCATTTGAACTCTCGGAGGTGCTGGAACGGTGCGAGGTTCTTGTCGTGTATATTGAGCAGAATGAATGATGGTAGGCTGCCGAGGCGAATTGACTACCGGTTCCCTGGCCGGAACAACAGAAACTCCTGAAGATGTATTTAAATGTACAACTTGGTTGCCGCGTCCTGAAGTTTCTCCAAAGCGAGAAACGTTCCTATTGAACTGGAAGTCTACTGGAATGCTACGATTATGGCCACTATGGTTCTGAGCCTGAAAAAGATAACAAGATTAAAATTGTAGAAAGACGATGAAATCTAGTATAAATAACTTCGAGAGCTACATCTCTCAGACACACTTACATTGTGAACATTAAGTTCCATTTCATCTTTAAACACAATTCCCATTGCCACACAATCAGGACTCAAGCATGGATAATGTTCTTGCTTGTAATGACGGTGTAACTGCTCAACGCGACTAAACGACAAAATATTATAATATTACAGAGGTGAACCTACTTGAAGAACAGGTTCTTTCCAAACATCGTATCACATAAAGAGCAGTAAAAGTGTTCCTTCCGAAGGTGGCGATATTGGAATTCGTCATCGTAGAACCGTTGCATACAAAAGTTACATTGAGGATGTCCCTTGAAGCCTTCCAACTTTCCTTTCTCTCCATTCATATGCCTTTTGAGATCATTTTGGTTGTAAAGTTCCCGATCCTTAGTCAGAACATTCAAATGCTCCAAACAAATGTGACAAAACGTCAAACCATGTGTTGTTACATGCTGTTTCAAAGCTGGGAATGTTGGAAATTCAGAAAACTCTCCCCTGAAACATAAGTCTTTCATAAAACATAATAAATTATTAAAAACATGTTTTTGTAAAACCAATAATAAAACGTACCTTCTTTCGCACACTTTACACGAAAATAGGTTGTACCGTTCGTAACATTCCATCACATAGCTATCCTCAAAAGCAACATTAAACAACCCACAATCAGGATGGCGCACAATGAAGTCGTTGGGAATCTTGTATACCTTCCAGTTCAACGGATTCCTCACGAAGTACACCTTATCCAGCTCCGTTCTACAAGCATGACAAGTTTTCTGTTCCCCGAGACATCTCATTCGAATGACACACTCCATACAAGCTGGATGAAGACACTCCCCCACTCCAAACACATCAGACTTCTGACAACAAAGATCACAGTCTTCCGCCAATCCTTCGAAAGGTTTTCCGTTATGATCTCGTCGTTCCTAAACCAATAATACACTAAAATACAATAACAAGTTACCTTAACATGCTGACTCGTAGGTTTTCTTGTAGGCGACTTCTGACCTCCAAGGCGAGGCCTTCCTCCTCTGTTCGGACGGTTCTGGTTCCTCGGTTGTGGAGGTGGCTCTATATTCTCAAATCCTGGTGGAGGTACACCGTAATTTGGTTGTCCTTGACTCTCGCTGTTGGGACGAGAATTCCTCGGTCTTCTTCTTCTGTTATTGCTTCCTTTCTGACCCATAGACCCGTTCATTGTTACCTTCTTTCTGTCCGACAGACTGCAAATATGAAATAAAATGATTTCATTAACAAATTGTTTTATAAGCGCTAACATTAAATAAAAGTAAATGTAAAATATTTGATGATGTATTCATTTTTATTTCAAATTCTCTGAGATTGCCCTACAACATTAGTTAAAGAAGCAGCCTATATGCGTATCTATATGTACAGTGTCAATTTCGTTTCCAAACTGCAAAGGATTGAACAGAACAACTTAATTTCCCAAAAAATCAAAGATTCCTCAAAAAGAATAACAATATAAGTCGTAAAACTGTGCTATAAAATATTCCGAATTTTATAAAACCTAGATCGACGTTTACGGAACGAATAACACCTCCGAATATTGTTTTTAAAATATTTAGGTTTTCGGAAATAGAATTTTAGCACTGTGCTGAGTCTGACGAAGTGTCACTATCGACTGGGAATTTGTTTTTGTTAGAATTCGAAGTTCGATTTTATTCTAAAACCATATGACAACATATAAATGTTTCTAGACATTGAACAGACAGACATTTGAAATATTTTATTTTTATTGAAGCTATACTTTTTACAGTTATTTCTGTTAGCCATTGATTCGATCTTCACCACGAAGAATTGTTTCTAAATAGTATCTTATTTTAAAATAGACAGCGCACGGCGATCCCACTTTTATATATTTTCTAGATAAAAGTGGAACCGCGGGCGCAGCTCGGAAGGGAAACAGCAACTTCCGGCGCGTTTTAGGCTTATGACGTTATATCTACTAAACGGTTAAAGTTATTGAGCTGAAAAAACACTTAAATCTTAAAGAGGTATTCCTTTTTCATTCCTAGGAAACAATTTTTCGATATTTATTCTCGTTCAAATGTTATGTGCTCTGCACTAAAATGTGGCTAAAGTGACCAGATTCTAATCAAAAATCGAAAGATGTTATACCTTACATAACTAACTATTCTATCATTTTGTAAAATTTCAGACAGAAATATGAAATAGTGTTTGAGAAAAACCCTGAAAACTTTAGCAAGCCAAATTAGCACTAAAATTATGTTATTTCGAAGTATAACTTTACATGTGGGCCGAATCTAACAAAAATTAACATGTTATACTTTGTGTAGCTAATGTATCTATAAACATAAAAAGTTTCATCCAAATCGAGTTTGTAGTTTTTGAGAAAAACACTGAAAACCTTATATTATCCATGATCACCAACGTAGAAATTTCAAAGAAAACTTTCAAATTTGTGAAAGATATGTTCAGATATTAATATATAACAAAAATACATCATAAAATAAATGTTTTTGAAAAGTTTCGCATTAGAATTCTTAAACTTTTCATGTTACGATTTAAGAACATTATGATATGTATGCATTACAGTAAGATTTAATGTAATAACTTAATTAACTTGTAAGTTAATGTAAAATTAAATATGCTATACACAATACAGACAAGAACCCCTGAATCTCAAAAGAACTTTAGATTTAAGAAAATCCTACTTTTTTGAGAAATACGCTGAAAACCTTATGTTACACTTTAAAGAATAACCTTTAATTTTCGGCATAACTTGACTAATTATGAAAGATAAGAAAAAATATTGTAAAAATTATTATAAACGTATCGTATAGTTAATATGACATGTTTTTTATGCACAAAAAACAAATTTTTTAAAATTGCAAATCATGTTGGGGAACCTCTGGACCTGGAGTCTAAACCTATGAACAGTTAAACAAACGGATAGCGCAACTTTTTTCGGACATATTTATGTCTGTTACTTGTGTACTAGCCTTTGTAGCAGCTTTTACCAGTCCACTGCACACTGGAAAATTTTCTTGGAGATCTTCATATACTAGCGGAAATTTTTTTTGGATTTTGATATATTATCCAGGTACTTCTTAATAGGAGTTCTATTACGAAAGACGGTCAGAAAGCTGTCATCAAAAATACTGAAATTATACTAAAGTTGTTTTAGTGCGACCTCAAAAACTTTTTTTTTCTTTGTTTTTGCTTGATTATGTATGTGTATGATACCATTTTATTTAGGTATGTTTAGATACATTTGCAAGATATTATTTTTTAGGCTTAAGCTGTAAAATGGTTAAAACCACTAAATTCTGCAGTTTTTACCGGTTAATTTCTAATTTATAAGGTCCTTGTTATTACGTTAGTGGAGCTCGATCGGACGAATCTGTTCTTCCGTATTGTACCTATCAATTTAAGCAATCGCTACTTTTTCTATCTTAAATTTTATAATTTTGAAAATCAAAAAAACTCGTGTCTTTACTTGATAGCTTAATTATCACTGTTTCTTGGACGAGAAAGGTAGACTGTCTTGTTGGTCAGTCAATATACGGTGTTTCACCTTCGTGTTATTCCTTCCAAATAAGCATAGTGTATCTTTGAGGATCCTTGCTATCTTTTCGTTGTTATATATAAACGACGATAATCTAAGATATGCCACGTCCTGCGCTTTCCCTGCAACCAGCAATCACAACATTGTTACGCCCTGCCCCCGTAGCTGTTCCCTTGCCTTTATCTCGAAGCACATCGTGTGAAAAACACTGAGTGATGGTGAAGATGTATTTGATTTGGGTGTTGACCCTACGACGAAACCGGCACTGGTTTTGTTCCGTACAGCTCCTTGAATGCCGGCGTAGTAGTTTCTCCACATCTGATATTAGCTCCAGACTATTTACTCGTAACAATAATAAAAGTTTAGATCGTAGTAATTACTATAGTAAGTAAAAATTATGGTTTTTATGAATTTATTGCGGATAAAAAGTAAATTTTGCTAGCTTATTTACCAAGAAACATAAAAATACCCGAAGAAAAAATAAAAAATAAGAATAAAACTTGGCGCAAATAAGAACACTCGACTCCTTTTCTGCAACCTGCGCAAAATACGCAGGATCCATTTATTTCTAGCTTTGGGATCGCCGTGCAGCGGTTAGTTTTAGCAAAAATGGGTATAGCTGCAAGTGCAGGAAAAAACAACGATGAATTGGTTGATAATTTGGTCCAAGGGAAGTACATCAGATTCAGATCAGTTGAACTGGCAATGAGGTAAGATAATATCGAATTCTAGGGTAATAATATCAGTTTAATATGCTAAAAATACATAAATATTGTAGATTGGTGGACAGAGGAGATTACTTTCCGGAAGATGAGCGAGAAAATGCTTATAAAGACATAGCTTGGAAGGAAAATGACAGTTTCTCAGGACCTATTCATCTATCAGCACCATGTATATACGCGAACGCATTGGAATACCTTGACCTTCAGCCGGGTCTTTCTTTTTTAAATGTTGGTTCTGGTAGTGGATACTTCAGTACAGTAGCTGGATTTTTATTGAGTAAGTTGAGCTTCATATTATAAATATTATTTTAGCTGAAACTGGTATCAATCATGGAGTAGAAGTGTACGAAAACATGGTCGAATATGCAGATACTCATTTACAAAAAGCATTGGGACGTCCAGCAGCGTCTGCATTCAGCTTCGGTGCGCCTGTTTTCTTCCATGGATCAGCATTTTTCACGAAGAACAATATCCAATACGACAGAATTTATTGTGGAGCTCTTGTTCCTAATCAGAGACGGTCTTTCTTTGCCAACATGCTCAAGATAAACGGGATACTGGTGTGTCCTTATGGGAACGAGGTACAGTTATTGCTTTGAAGTTTGTATTTTAGGTATAAAGATCTGTTATTTATATTGACGTGTTTTAGCTGATTCGCGTCAAACGTACGGGTCCAAGATCTTTCGAAGTATATTCAGTCAGTCAGGTTTCTTTTTCTAACCTTATTGCACCAGCTGAGACCCGTGAATTCACCAAAACGTCAGTCGTTTTGCCACATTTTGAGCCGAAATCGTTGCAAGAAATTTGTCGCTCAACTGTCAGAAAGGCAATCAGAGACTATATTCACGACAAGCATCCTCTAAAGCTACATTTTGAATGTGATCCAGGAGCTAGAAGTAGTGGCCCGAGACGAGATAACAATGGTCTTGGAGCTGTGTTTCTGATCGATGGAGATCAAGATGAAGGTAGTGATCATGAAAGGGAAAATGAAGCTGAGAGAGAGCCTGAAGACGTTGGAAATGTCAACTTTGATGAGATGCACGAGAGGGTGAGACGGGAGATGGATGAGACGATGGAGATGTTCAGAGACATCCAGAGAAGACATGAGAATATCCGAAGAAGGATGAACGACGATCCACCTCTTCAAAGAATAATCGCTTTGGTACAAAATGGTACGTTTTGTTTATTAGTACTTTTAAGAATATTGTTTTACTACAGTTAATTACAGTATTGTCAAGCTACTATTTTAGGTAACGAGAGAGACGAAAGAGTCAGAACAGAAAGAAACAACCGGCTGGCTGCAGTTGGTTTTGTGATTGCTGATTTGGATGAAAATGGTGATGACCATGAGGATACAGACAGAAGACGGGTACCACCAGCACCACTTGGATATGCATTCCATGATCAAGAGTTTGTAAGTTTCTCGTATTTTTTATTTTTATAATATTGGTATAGTTTTTTTATTATTGTTAAGGTTGCTTTTTTAATTCCTTGTTTAATACGAGGAATCGTATTTTACAATTCACATGATATCTTTAATCTTAGCCAAGCGAGTACGAGATTATGCTGAATGCTCCTGAAATTGATAACATTGACATGTCTCACATTTTGCCATCTTATGCTATGAGTCTGATTACTCCTGCTTCAAAGCGTCGGAAGAGAAAGCCGAGTACATCATCAGGTAAACTAAGAGGCTTTTATATTTTAATTTTTTGTTGAACTTACGGTACTAAACTTTTTTTTACTAACATAAGGTATATTCAATTGTTTTTAGTTCATCGTCACAGAAGAGTGGAAGGCGGTGGCAATGGTGGCATCAGACTACACACAATCACGTATCGTGGAGGCAGAGATCGCCACAGAATCGAGCATGTGGAACGTCTTATTCACAGGTAAGCCTCTTTATCTTTATATTAACTTGGTGTTCAGATTACGCGAAACTACAGTACGCAGACAACGTGCCTTCCAAGCACGACACAACGAAATCAGAAGACTGAGATTGAGACTGAACAGAAGGAATGATGCGGCTACTGAAACCCCCAGAGAGAATCACCATGACGTGCATGATGAAGATGAACCCACGTCTACTGCAAGGTTGGGGTTGAATGCTGGTTCAACGAGTTCGCTGAAGTCGGAGAGAGACAAGGGGACCAAGCGATCAGCTCCAGATACCTTCAATGATTACGATACGTGAGTTTTAGCTTGATAGATAAAATATTTTTTAATTATTAGAACATTTTCTTCGAAACATTTACAGTAGTTTTGTGAGTAGAAATGTTTAAGAAGGTTCATTTCCAGTAACGTCAAACGAAGCGCATCCGATGGCAATATCCAAGAAACGAGCACTCGTGAGGCACTGCGTAGTAGCTTCAGTAGCCCAACATCATCTACTGCTTCTGTCAGAGAAGATCCAGTGGAAGAAGAAGCTACGAATACGGAAAGGCCTGAGGCACAGACATCGTCGCCGACAAGTTCATCTTCTGATGATTTGTCTTCTGATTCGAATGAAAATGAAAGTAGCGACAATGTAGACAAAGAAGACGAGGAGGATGTGAGTTGTTTGATTTATTATAGTACTAGTGGGTTACTATAACTTCAGTACCTTTTATAAGTTTTTAATTATATTATAGTAAGATTGTCGTATTTTAGGAGAAACTGAACAAAGAACGTGAGAAGCGAGCTAACGAACAAAACCAGAGTCTGGAGACGTTTCACAAGCACTACCTCAAGTACCTGTCGGGTCTGCCAGTCCCCGAACGCCTTATACGGTTCTTGATGTTCGACGAATAGATGGAATAGACATTTTATTTGTACCTAAAATTGTAATCAATAAACATATATTTGTCGCTTTGTCGTTGTGACTCTGTTAGTATAGATTCTGTGTTTCTACATGTATTTGTTCTACCGTGGTTGTGAACCTGATTTACTGTACCTTTAGTTATTATTTTAATTTTCTAAACTTATTTTTGTCTGAATTTCTTTTAAATGAGTGTAATATACGAATCTGTATTTAATGTTGAATTGTATGCTAGATATGTTTTAGTTTGACATGAGTCATTCCTTGACTCTGAACTACGAGAAATCTTTGAATTTCGAGTCATTTGGAGATGGAGAACCTTGTGTTCTAGGTATTGATGAAGCCGGGCGAGGCCCAGTTTTGGGGCCAATGGTGTATGCTTGTGCTATATCTCCGTTGGCCATGAATAAGCAGTTCTTGGAGATTGGTTTCATGGATTCTAAGACGTTGACTGATAAGAAGCGTGCTGTTCTGTTTGATAAAATGAAAAGCGATGCTAATAATAAGGTGAGGAAGTTGTTGTAGGCTTAACTTTTGTTAATGGTCTTTGTTATTTAACTTTGAATTAAGTATTAGTTTATATTATAGTACGCATTATTATTATTTATGGTTTTGCAGGTTTAGAAATACGTTTGAAATATATTGTTTTAGGTAGTCAGCTACTGTTTCGTCGAGATCAGTGCAAGACATTTGAGTAGTCGCATGTTGTCTCGGTTTTCGAAACGATCTCTGAACGAGATTTCTCATGATAGTGCTGTTGCTTTGATCAGACAAGCTTTGGATTCTGGCATAAACGTGACCGAAGTAAGTTACATTGAACAAGGCAGTTTTAAAATACATTAAATTGTTACGTTTAGTACTATTAAGTAAGATAGCGAAGCATAATTTAAAAAAATAAAGTTATGATAAAGTCAAAATGTTTACATTTTAATTTTAATCTGTTCATTTAGGTGTACGTGGATACTGTAGGCCCAAAAGATACCTACGAAGCCAAATTGAAGAAGTTTTTCCCAAAACTTAAAATTACAGTATCCGAAAAAGCAGATTCCCTGTTTCCTATCGTTAGTGCAGCGTCCATTGTGGCGAAAGTGACAAGAGATACCCGACTCCAAGAGTTTGTTTTTGTCGAAAATCATCTGAACGAGAAGAAGGGGATATACGGTAGCGGGTATCCAGGGGATGCTGTTACTCAGAAGTATCTGATTGACAACATCCATCCCATCTTTGGCTTCAATTCAATGGTCAGATACAGCTGGAAACCTGCCATTAAAGGATTGAACAAGGCCGCTGTCAAGTGCACATGGTAAGGTTTTGTGATTCAATATTGTAAATCGGTCTAAATTTTCAAGAATTGTTTGCATATAAATCGTCTTTTTTGTACTGTACTTTCTATATCATGCCTTAATTTTAAGGGTAGACAACACGAATCAGCAGAAGATCTCGTCGTTCTTCCAAGTCAAAGCTGGTAACCGTGTCATTCCACGATGTAAATACTTTAACGATCGCAAACTAGAATCGGCGGTAAACTTCTGAATCACTTTGATTACTCTATCGTCACTACATTACATTTCAAATCTCTTGCCATTTAATGAAATAAATGATCTCTAATTGAGTTAATCTTGGCTGAATGTGTTGATAACACTTAATATCTGAATGGCGTGGGATATGACTCGGTTTATACAATGTTAATGTTACAGAGTAACAGGGCAGTTTATATGGGTGTATTTAACAAGATCTTATTCGCATTAGTGGCAGCGTATATTCTCAACTCAGCTTACACCTTTTATCAGATATTCTTCTACGATAATTGCACAGTCGAGGCCTACTGTATATACGTAAGTAGTCATTTCTTATTTTAATATACGTGAGTTATAATATTAAATAGTGTTGCATAATCGTATAGTTCTAAATTGTAATATTAATGCATAAAACATCGTATTTCAGCCATTAATAAAACAAGTAAACCAAGAATATCCACCTTTACAACTACGAGTATACCTGGGGGCGACAAAAGGCTACAAGAAAGATGACATTGAAAATGTGTTTGTAAAGAAGAATGTTAATATATATGAGGCGTTTGAAGAAAATATAGTTTATAAGACGACAGCGCTGTTACGAGGCAATGGCACTCTCCAAGCTTACTTTGTACTGGCCGATAACGATTTCGAAGGGGAAAATCTCAAAGAAGCCGTAGGTTTACTCGGTTTATTGTCGAATCTACTTAAAGTTTTTATTTTTAATTCGTAAAAGTTATATTTATCAATAGTTTTTTATATTTTAGAAATGGCATGCGACTGACAGTAACGTTGTCTCTAGATACGAAGTGCCAAAAGACAAAGCTTTTAGTCTAGTCGGGGATGAAAAGGTAGAAAAAGTAAGTTATCTAACAGGTGTATTGGTATAGAATTGACATTCACAGCTTACTGTCAGCACGATATTCACAGTAAAATAATTTAGAAGGTCGAGAAGCCGGTAACACACATTTCCACTTTAATTCCAGTGGGTATCGTGACGGATGACTTGATCTTCGACAGTAGGAGGATACCAGATGAGTTGCGACGATCGTTGAAGACCAAAAATAAGAATGGCAAGAAGTACTACACCCCGATAGTTACAGTAGACGTTATGAGGCTACGGGAGAAGAATGAAATTGAAGTTGAGAGCACGGTGGATATCGTGAATCTTACGATAAGCTACAAACCCATCATGTTTGGACGGCATCGATTGTCAGTTCAGATGGACAACTCGTTTAGGGAATTGGAGAAGCTGGGGTTCGGACATAAGGACTTTGATGATGTAGGTATACCTATAACAATTGTGGTGATTATAGCTGTTGTCTAACCATTTTACCTTCAAAATTATAAAATTCTTTACATACTCTACCGTATTTTAGATGAAAGGGATATTCACCGACTTGAACTTTACTTTTTTGATCATGATGGTTGCCGTGGCGTCAGTCCATCTTCTGTTTGACTTCCTGACCTTCAAGAACGACGTTCAATTTTGGCAGAAACGAAAAACCATGGTCGGGATATCAACTAAGACCTTGCTATGGCGGTGTTTCAGTGAGAGCGTGGTGTTCTTGTACCTTCTGGATGAACGTTCTAGCTATCTGATCCTGATACCCTCAGGCATTGGTGTTATCGTGGAGTATTGGAAGTTGGGAAGGGCCATGAAGGTGGAGTTTACCCTGAAGAACGGATGGATGCCTAGTTTTAAGTACGGTGCTCTGAACGAAGAAGAAGAGAAGACGGAAGCGCTGGATTCAGAAGGCATGAAGTACTTGACCTACCTTCTCATCCCGTTGTGCATTGCTGGTGCTATTTATAAGTAAGTGTTCAGACACGTTTTATCCTTTGAGGAGTGCTACACTATTTGTTATTGTCTACAGTTATTACTGTCGTAATGTTGTTTGGTATTGATTTCTTGAGATACTCAAGTTCTTTAATAATATATGTTTTCAGTTTGATATACGTACCTCAGAAGTCGTGGTTCAGTTGGATCGTCAAGTGTCTGGCTAACTGCATTTATGCGTTCGGGTTCTTGTTTATGTTACCTCAACTCTTCCTTAACTACAAACTCAAGTCGGTTGCTCATCTGCCGTGGAAAGCATTCATGTACAAGGTATGCTTTAAAAAGTACAGTAACTTGATAACACATTTTCTTACCTGTTATGCAAAAAATATTCAAATTCAGGCATTTAACACGTTCATTGATGACGTATTTGCATTTGTCATCACGATGCCAACCGCCCACAGACTGGCCTGTTTCCGTGATGATTTGGTCTTCATCATCTTCTTGTACCAAAGGTACCTCTACCCAGTAGACAAGAGCAGGGTCAACGAGTTCGGAGAATCATTCGAGCCAGAAGCCATAAAGAAGGAAGAGTAACGTCGCTACTAACTTATTATCTTTATTTATATTACCATCGTGCTTTTAATAAACATCTTTTTCCAATATTATGGATGTCTGTAAATGGCGTTACTTGAGGTATTTCGCGGTAGTATGTTGAGTTTGAAAATGTTCATGTTCAGTTTTAATTATTGTGTTGTGTGAAGCTCGAACAAACGGTGGAAATGTTGTGCAAGGTCCAACGTTTCCCATCGTACGATTTGCACTCGCTTTCACTCGACCTTTCGTGGTTTATATTGTAAGTTGGAAGCCGTCTGACATTCAAAGGACAAGTTTTGGAATCTTTACAGAATCCAAAGGAGCCCCCCGCTTTACGTAAAAGAGGACGCCTGCGAGGAACCAAAACCATCTGACCATGTAAAGATAACAGAGGGATCGCCGCCTTTCAGTACAGTACTGACCTTTCGCACAATACCCCGCCCGGCCCCCGCCCCGGACAATGGGCTCGGGTATAAAACGATGGAGCCGGCTGTCAGGAGGCCAAGCATTCGCAACTGTTGCAATGGGAAGAGCACAGTACCTCTTCGTGGGGCTTCTCCTCCTCACCGTGATTCAGGCCCGTAAGTGTACTATTGTTTGTCTCGTATTGTACATGATACTTTTTACTTTGACTTTTGTTCTCCGATAATATACGAGTTTAGACATATAGTATAGTAGGTATAATATCTCACAGTAAACATATTACTCATAATCATGCCATTTAGTCTTTTTAACATTGGAAATGTCAAAATGCAAGTTTAGTTTATATTATAATAATAGAGAAGAACCGCTGAGTAGTTGATGGTTTCAGGAGTCTTGGTGTCAGTCAGCAACAAAACCTTCAAAAGGGTCGAAGCCAGTAGCAACTCGTCGGATTCCAAAGCATGTTGTTGTCATATTTGTTTGGTAAGCCTAAGCTCCCTTCTAAGTATTTCATTTCCAAATTCGAAACCAGAAGTATGAATTTAGGATTGTCCTTGTTGCTCATGCCGAAAAGAATATGAACATAGTCGAAAGGAAAAACTAGACTCAGAAGAAGATTTCGCCAGACCAGGAAGACCTGGACCAACTGAAAACCCATCTTCGACAACAACTGGAGGACCACATCCAATACCATCTTCGACAACCACAACAGAAGGACCATCTACAACAACTACAACAGAAGAACCATCCACAACAACTACACCAGTAAGACCATCAACAACAACTACAACAGTAGGACCATCAACAACTACTACAACTGCTGGGCCTTCTCCAGCACCATCATCCACAACAACGACTCTACCTCCAGGACCATCATCATCCACCAGCCCGCCTTCAGGCCTTACCACAACCACCTGCACCCCAACGTCCGCGTATCCAACAGCCCCACCCTCGTACCCAACAGCTCCACCCTCGTACCCAACAGCACCATCTTCTTATCCGACGGGACCACCCCCCTATCCAACCGGCCCACCTCAGCCCACCCATGCTCCCCAATACCCCACCCAGCCGCCCGCCTATCCAACATTCCCACCGACCACGCCCTGCCCTCACTTTGGAAGGACGTGCCCTCTGGACGTCGAAATACCGTGCTTCAGATGTCCGTGTCTGGGACCTTGTGTTATAGTACCAAGGAACCGGTGTCCATGTGCTATAGTAGACCTTACGCCTTATCGCTGTCGTAAGTTAAATTTAACCAAGAGATTACAGTATACGACTGAGTTTAATATGGCGAGGAATGCCAAAAATATGATACTTTGCAATATAAACCTTAACATTCCCTATATATATCCCTTATTCACTGACCTAATACCACGTTTTTAGCTAACCCATCAATCATGTTGATCAATTCCAATGATCTACAACGTTACATTGCCGCTGGCTATAACCAGAGCTCTCTGGTCTCCAACTTCGTCTGTCAATACCAACCAGGACTAGTACCCGGCTATCCTGAGCCAATCCCATCATCCGTGGCACCTCCTGGTCCAACAGGCCCTCCAGGACCAACTGACTCTCCATTCTACCCACAACCTTGGCCTATCCCAACAGAAGCACCACCTGGTCCTCCAAGCCCAACCGATACTCCTTTCTACCCTCAGCCAATCCCAACAGCAGTACCTGGTCCGCCAGGCCCCCCAGGACCACCTGGACCATCTAGCCCAGGCTATCCCCAGCCGACTGCAGTACCACCGCCAGGTCCACCTTCTCCACCCGGACCTCCCGGCCCACCAGGGCCTCCGGGACCACCAAGCCCACCGGCACCGCCAGCACCACCAGCCCCATACCCAGTCTACACCACCCAAGTCCCGCCCCAGCCCTACGTTCAGCCTATTACCCCTGCCCCATCTAGTGCGGCTTCTGTGCCAAAACTACTGGCCTTGATCGTTGCCATAGTATCATTCGTACTGTTCTGCTTCTGAACAATCGTGTCTGTACTAAAGTTGTTTGTATAATTGAGAATAAATCCAGCATTGTGAGTACAGTATTCTACAGTGTTTAACATTTAAACACTAGTTTTAATTCAAATATAACCTAGGGTTATTATCGCAAGTTCTTTCTAATACATCTCATGTTTACTGTAACACTATTATAGTTTACAGTTTAAAGCCACGTAGTCTTGATGCTTTAACCACCATGATAGTAAGAGACAAGGCTACCATTAGGCCTGTAATCAAGTTGAACAAGATCAATATGATCGGTGCTTTTGAAACGTTCTGCAAACAAAAATACGGTAAGAAGGTATAATATTGTACATATGTATGTTAATTTATACCCAACATGCCCATTACCACAAATATACACTTTATGATTTAAAAGAATTCATACGTAAAGTCTTCAAGAATAAGCATACATACCTGTTGTGGTATCTCGTCCATCGTATCGTCAGCCGGGTTGTAGAACCGCTCGATTCTGTCCGGATCTCGAGCTATGAACTTCTCCGAGTGGACGATCCATTCGCAACATATAAAGACGAGGATGGTCACACCTATACCTACAATCAAGATGTACACTGGCAGTCTACCGTACAACTCGGTCAAGCTGATCTTCTGTAGCTGAACGCCAACCAAGGCATTCACACCTAAAATATATATTTTGCTTGGCTATTAAATAATCTTGAAGATAAAGTTATATGTAGTTCAAGTACCATTTCATGCTTAGAATGAAAACTACCCTGACATAAGTACAATTGTTATATAATGAACGAAAGCACAAAACGTATAATCAAACCTACAAAAGCCAATGTAAATGATATAACCAGTAAAAGTGTGCAGCAGATTCCAGGCTTTCCGTGAGACGGCCGACACTGAAGGCCTACAGTAGCCGCCAAAGATCTGACATACGACCAAAGAACCCATTATTGTGCCCATAATAGTGTGTAGCTGCTGATTGTAAGCCTAAAACATATTTTTATATCATATTCATGTTTTTTGTTGAAATAATTAACGTCTGAAAAATAATACTTCAAAAAGTGAATGAAATAATGTTTTTACAGTACACAATACTACGGTATCAAAACTTGCCATATAAAAGGAACTTTCTTTACATTTACACTGCCTCTACCCCAGAGAAACTCGTTTTACTTACATCTGTAGCACATGTCAGAGTGCATTGAAAGAGATTTCTGTCGGACTGGTAGAAGATCAGGAAGATGGCTACAACAAACAACACAAACCCAAAAGTATTCAGAATCCTGTGCATCTGAAACCATACAAAACTGTGACAGCACCTGGCCAGGTAATCCTTCCCAAACCGTGCTATCATGATACTCGTCGGCAGTACAACAAACAGTAGGATCAGCATCAGAATAACGTGTGTCGTGATCATCTTCTGCTTCGTCAACTGAGACATGTCGTTGTCTTGAGTGAAGTCCGTCAGCCAATCGTAGCTTCTGTCGTTGCACGATGGGTTACAGAAGGTCGTAGTCTCCGTGCTCATAAACGGATAAAGATTTCCTGGAGATATGGCGTGCATTTTGATGTCGAACGCTGAAACATGAGTGATGTAACTTTGAAAATGATACAAAATACCTTGATAAAGTAGGATATATTATAAAACACAAATTTGCTGTGTCATAACAAGTTACAAAAGTACAATATATTAAAAAATTAAAGTAAATACAATAAACTTACTGTAAGGATCAGCAGGTCCTCGAGCCAACAGAAAGTAAAACTCGAGATCAGGATCGCTGAGGTCAAAGACCTTATTCTGAGAGTCAGACGACAGTTGATCGTACGCTTCTACATTCCAACTCCATTGGCACGTTATCTTGTCACCTACAGAAGCTGCCGTATTCGATAGTAACAACTCTGTCTCCTATAATTAGAACCACACATTACCTAAGTTACAGTAAAACAAAAATAATTTGTAAAACATTCTAAGAAATACGTAGTAAAACAACCTTACCCTGTACAATCGGTAGTTGTGAGTACCATCATTCCAACCGAGATATACTGTACTATTACCCATAGAGTTTGTCACACAAACAAATACCGTATCACTGCCCATCTTTTGGTCCAGCGACAGCCCTAGAGCAACATAGTACGCTCCGTACGTACTCAAATACTTGGTCAGGTCAAAGTTGTAGACCAAGAAAGAGAATTGTATTGTAGAAGCATCTACCACCCAGTTCACAGCACTCAAACATGTCTGATCGGTCGTGTAACACTCGTTTGGTACTATCCAGCAGCCGGTACCATCAGGCGTGTTACCTCCATAACACTTTATTCCTAAAAGTATTATTTTACAGGAATAAAACATGTGATTTTACGGTAGTTAAGTGAATTATACAATTACATAACTCAATAAACTACTAAACGCTTATAAAGGTACGGTAGGTATTAGTGCAATAACTACTGTAAACACCAGTTTGTATTCACATAGTAAAAGCTTGATGACTCACTTTGCTGGATAAAGTTGTCGGCCAAAATGACATTAAACAGGACTAACAGACGAGCAATTAAGACCATTTAAAGCCGTTTAAAGCAACTCCCTTAATTAGAATTACTAAAACATTGGTTACCTTGACGATGCCTTTCACATTCCCGCATACTAAGGCTTCTCCCATTATCTTCGTACGTACTTGCAGTTTCAAATTCAACCTTTCATTTTAAAACTTAAGACTTTTATTCACATAGTAATGTTGCAATATGACCTACAAGTAGAAACACTAAAAGTTTACTTATAATTAAATATAAAAGATATAACATGTTAACAACTACGCAACATGATATTTCATTAATATTCCTTTCCAAAACAAGTCCTTTCACAACAAAGTACTCCCAAATTCAAACAATTTTCAACAAAATTCAACCCCCAACTAGTCACTTTATTAATCTTTTGTATTTTCCATGAGCGGTGCGTCTCAGCGTCATCGGAAGCGTAGAAGTCAAAGTTCAGATCAAGCTTCCAATTCGAGTAGAACATCACGAAGCAGTCCACAAACAGCACGACAAGAAGATCGCCGATGGAGCAAGCGACAATCAAATAGCGCCAGAAGCGGTAAGGCCAACGTACGACGGCCAGCTTCTTCGCCACCGTCCCAGCGAAGTAACCGTAGTAACAAGGGAGCCAGGCACAGCGACAGTCATTCTCAATGGGATCAGAAGACGAGCACCTTTCAGTTCTCGGCATGTGATCCAAGCGACGGTAAGGAAGAGACCGATGAGAGTAATGTGACGTCAGGATTAACCGATAACGCTCTGCTCAATTCTGTAGCTGTCATTGGATGTTTCTACCCTCAGGTCAAGGCGTACAAGAAAGAAGCGGTAAGTCAATCTTAAAAATATATTATACAACTTATGACTTAAAATGTTATATAATCATATTAAAAATCTACGTTTTATAGGAACAATACCTAATTTATAATAAGACACTTACAGGCCACCTCCCCTCAGCACAAGTACAAAATAATATCCTTTTACAAGTCTCAAATCACGTTCACAGGAGAACCACAACGTCAACTGACTCACAAACGATCTATGAGATCCCGAGCAGACCCATGGAGAAGATACGGAGCTCTACAATTGGTACACAAAATGGGAGGACACGTGCTTGTTAGTGCCCAAAAGAAGAACAAGAAGACCAAGTACGTCGCGCCAGGTACACCTTTGCCTCCACCGCCTAGTAAGTTTGGTACTATCATAATAGTACGGTCTTCACTTATTCGTTTGCAATTTTTATTTACAACACTATCGCTGAAGTAAGTACCGTAAACTGCTTTATCTTCCAGAAATGAAGCCCATATTAACGTTGAAGGAACTGTTCGAACGTCCTTCAATAGCAGTTGTCAACCAGGAGCAGCTCCAAGAGGAGAAGGCCACAGATAACACCGTGTCTCCTGATCTAGACGACCCTGGTGCTTGTTGCGTATCTCCACCTTCCAAATCGACATCAACATCAGAGAAAGAATAGTACTGTGAATGCTCTTATTTGACTTGTGTCATTCTTTAACATAAACCATTTTATAAATATTGTTCGTAACATTTCGACATGTTAACAACAAAGTAAGGCCTAAATAATAACATTGGTACCAAGCGTTCTGCAGGAGTATATGATATGACATCATCCACTCAACTTTCTTCACGTGGCGACAGCCAGCTTCTCACCCAGCATTGTCTGCTTTGGGCTAGCCGCATGCGAAAGCAGCTTCCGAATCCCGCTGAGCGTCTTGTAGCTGGCTGTCTTTGTTATGTTACCATCTGTTTATAAACTGTACATATCCTCCGTTTCGACGACTTTGACGGCGTCGACAAGTCAGGTTTCCCTCTCCAACCTCGGTTCCTGTAACTCGCAAAAAGGAGTTATTGGGTGGTGCTTATTACTCCCTTCTTGTTTTAACTTTTATATGTTTTGGTATTACGTTTGAGACGACCTTGGCTGACCGAGGCAGCTATTTACAGTCCAGACTGGTGTTCCCTCCTCCTTCTCTGTGTGCCAAACGTTTAATGACTCGTGAAATTTGAATGGGATCGCGAGGGAACGACTTTCGAACTTCAGACGGTTATCTGAATTCATTTTTGTGGTCTTCTGGAGGTGAAGAATCAGTTTGTCATTTTTAAAGCATTCGCGGTGACAGCTGAATGGTTCATGACATTGAGAAAACCGTTTGCTAAACAATATTCGCGCAAATAATGTTGTAGTAGATCATTCTCTGTATAACGCGGCTTCCTCCAGTTATGTTACTTTTACGCAAATTCTTACCAGAGATCATTGTCAACCAGACATATAGTACACATAGTAAGTAATAACTGTCGTCTTAATTGAAGAGATAATTGACCGGACCGGCTCTTCTTTTTGCGCAATAACTCTTGTCTTGGGCGTTAATTGTGTCGGAGATTGAATGTACTGAACGTTCCTCCTCCACTTTAAGTAGCTCTCGGTTCAGTTGATGAAGAACCTCCTGAACTCCTTGTTTTCATCGTTTGTTGTTTTCCTCGCGCTCCTTCCTGTACTTTATGATTCATTTGAATATTGTGATAGTTCGACGAATTTGTTTTGAATTTGTATAGTAACGCTGCTCAAAGGTCGAGGAGTAGTTGATCCATACAATTTTTGTTATATATTTCTCCATGAATTAAAATAAAACGTTTAGTTGTTCATCGATTATTGATTTCCGTGTAACTATTGATGTTAAAGCTAAAAACTGTTGAAACGACATATCGCGAAACAGGATAATAATGTTAAGTCATACCTAAATAATCGTTTGCAGAATGCGATGTCGAATACCGACATTAGACAAGCCTTTGATGAGGTTCTTTGCTTGGTATACGGCCAACTTCCTGGTCGATTACTACTACATCTTCATCATCGGACCTGTTCTTCTTACCGCGTTCCTAGGCTTGGGTCTACTTCGTATCAAGGAGCTGACCATACTTGACGCCAAAGTGTTGTACACACCATCCACAGCGCCGTGTTGGTTTGAAGAAGAAACGTTGTCAAATGTAAGCCCAATATCCACCATTTTTAATTCGTGTATCATTCAATATTTACATTATTTTAACCTCATACCACTGTTAATTCATATTTAGTTATGGCCCATACGACCGAATGAATTTCTACCTGAAAGAACCTTCGAATGGAACAGGTTTGTCTATCTTGTCGTACATGGAAGAGAACTCAACGATACCGGTCTGCCCAACATTCTGCAGAACAAATATTTGGATGCAATCGAGAAACTGGAGTCGGATGTCGCTGAAAATGTAGCCTTTGGGATGAAAAAGAGCTGGAAGACCAACCAGACCAGCAACATCAAGGATATAGTCCGATTCAAGGTAAAAAAACAAAATAAAAGTGAAAAACAAAAGGAAAACAATAAATTAGCTACAAACGTAGCTCAACATTGCTTTCAGAGCATTATTGTAACTTTGGTTGGTAAATTTTTGATAAAAAACAAAGATCTTTTATGTTGAAATGCCTGACAATTTTTTGTCGTTGCTACATAATGCCAAAACGGTTTGAAAGACACAAAATGGAGCGAAATTCAAATCAGTTGCTTAATTTCTCAAAATTTTGAAAATTATAAAAATGAAGAGTAGTTTTTGTGCTTTATTCATCTTTTTTTTTTTTATTGTTTAATGATATTATCCATGACAATATATTGTTGTTTTAGGATTTATGTCTCAATTGGAATGGAGAATGCTACCGTCAGACAGGCATCATAAACCTTTTGAAACGGCGATCGGACTTCGAATCCCATGGAATTGGAGTGACGTTCCCTCGGGCAAATACCAAAGGGAATCCGATATATCTGGCATTTAACGTTGGGGGAGTCGAGACTTTCAAAAATGACTCCATCAAGGTAACTTATTATATTATAGTATCATACTATTACGTTTCTTCAACTTTGTGATTTAAAATCTTCTTTAAAGTATGTACTATTCGACTGTTGTTACAATAATTACCAGATTAGTAGAAAGATGTTGTTGTAGGTGGTAAAGGGCATGCGATTGTTTTATTTCCTGCGATTCGAGACTCCCGAGTACAATGAAATGGCAATGGAATGGGAAGAAACTGCCAAACAATACATACGATCTCACTGGATCGACCATCCTTTGTTGGAGGTAATTGCATTAGGGGGGGATGGCATAGCCTTGAACTGGTTATCGAAACGTGGTTTTGTAAATGGTATATTCTGGTTGAAGTGGGATGACACATATGTAACAATATAACCTTAGAAAGGTGATGACAAGTAATGAAGCTTGAGTATTGATTGCACAATCTAAACAGAAAGTTAAGATAGTTTAAGATAATAAAATCAGTTGTTGTAATTAACTTATAGGTTCATGTAAAACATTCCCGGATATACGATCAAGGACTGACCGAAAATGCCAATAATTTAAAGCCGTATTTCACGGTTACTGTGGTTGTTCTGATTACTTTCACCACATTATATGCTTTGAAGTGGTCATTCAACGAGGACTATGCTTACTTTCCAAGTAAGTCACTCACGCTTTCTAATGCAAATTTTGCTTTTAAACGTGTCATCTTATGAATGACATACGGTTTTCAGTTGACAGTACGTTGTTAACAAGACCTTTTGTTTTAGTTCGAATCGACTGGTTGAGGTCAAAGCCTGCGTTAGCCTTAGGAGGCGTGTTATCTTCAGGCATGGCGATAGTAAGCGGTATTGGTATGTTGTTATGGTTTGGCTGCTTCTTCACCGAAATCACTTTGGTCGCACCGTTTTTGGTGTTATGTAAGTGTGATTATTATTCTGTTACTTTACTTTCATACATTTTTAGTTCCTCTGATGTTAATTTCATGTTTTACCACGCCTAGTTCATTATGTTAAACATAACGGACAGTAACATATCTTTAATAAGGTGTTACTTTCAGCGATAGGAGTGGATGATATGTTCATAGCTGTGGCGGCATGGCACAATACCGAGTTGAAGTTCACAGAGAAGACCAGAGAGTCGCTGAAGCATCGTATGATCGACGCGATGTCAGAGAGTAGTGTAGCCATCTTCATCACGTCAATGACTGATGTATTCTCGTTTGCCATCGGCTGCTACACCGACATCTTGGCTGTGAAGGGATTCTGCATGATGACAGCTGCCTGCATGTTCTTCACCTTCTTCTATCAGGTATGTTTGGGGCTAGGGTGCTAAAAGAAGGTGATAAAATGATATTCTTTATTGTAGAATTAAAGTGATTTCTTAACCTTTAGAATTAATCCTTAAAAGATTAAAACTGACACTTTAGGTGACATTCTTTGCGGCTTTGATGGTGGTCAGTGCCAATGTGCAGATGTCACAGCGCAACTCTTGTATACCTTGTGTTAAGACGGTGGACAGATACGAAGATACGACAAAACGAAAGCAGTTAAAGTCGAGAGAGAACAAATCATTGGAACAAGTTGTGGAAGCCAAAAGAAGGGCTATAATACTAGGTTTGTCATCATATTGTAATAGTGTCATAGCTGTCAGGTTCATGAAGATTTTTCTTAACTTTAGATCAACAACGATTTGCGACAGACGAGTTGAATAAGAAGTTTGCTAATGGAAGTTCATCTCCAAGTTCTCAGACATCAAACAGTTCTTCTGAATACTCTCTGGACACCAAGTCCAGAGGAATCATGGGACAGTTCTTTAGGTATCATTTAACGCTTTTCACATTATAAAACTTGGGCACGGTCAAAAGTTATAAAAAAAGAAAGAACTTTTTAAACTTAAAAGGTAGCAAATTAGGAGATCTTATAATCAGCCAATCAAGCTAATGTGAACATCGTTTCCAGACAATACTACATCGACTTCATCTTGAACACCAAGACCAAGATCCTGATGTTGTTCATCTTCATCGGCTATTTGACCCTCTCCGTGTATGGCATACTTACCATGGAGCAGGGTCTGGATTACGAAAAGCTGCTTCTGAACACGGATCCCCTCGTTCGGACGGTGAAGATGGAGATCGAGTTATTCCACGGAGGAGATCAGATCGAAATCGCAGTCTCCAAGGCGCCCGACATGACCAAGGCGGAGAACAGAAGGCTGGTGGACAAGATCGTGGCAGAGTTCGAGTCCATTGAGTATGCCATTGGACCTAAAGGGACCCAGTTGTGGACAAGGGAGTACCAGAAGTACGCCAATCAGACAGGTAAAGGCTTCTTGTCCATTTAATAAGTTCATTCATTTAAAAATAATATGCCATTAATTAAAACTCGTCAGACACTCAATAAAGTCACCAAGAAGCTTCCTACAACAATATAATTTAGGCGCCTTTCTCCACGATGATCACGAATCCTGGGTGCTCGGAGTGTACGAGTGGAGCCAGCTGTTCGCCTACTACAAGCTCTGGTCGCAAGACTTTGCCTGGTCGAACGAACAAACCCCCGAGAAGATCAACATGACATCGTTCCGCTTCAGAATCGGCGTCAAGGAAATGAATACGCCCACGGATTTGGTAAGAGTAACACAGATGCTGAGGGATGTGGCTACCAAATACGAACATCTGGGCATAGTAACATACCAACAAAGTCGCAGCATCGCTGACCAACTGAACGTTCTCTTACCCAATACTATGCAGAACGACGTGGCCGCGATGTTCTGCATGATCCTTATCAGTCTTCTGTTTATCCCAAACCCGTTGTGCACCTTCTGGATTACCGTAGCAATGGTGACTATCGACCTTGGGGTTATTGGTCTTCTGTCATTGTGGAGTGTCAAACTCGACCCAATATCTATGATAACATTGATCTTGTCTATAGGCTTCTCTATCGAGTTTAGTGCTCATGTCACTTACGGCTTCGTGAGTAACGAGAACAATCTGACGCCGCGACAACGATGTATTGACACGATGGAGAAGCTGGCGTGGCCAATGGTCCACGGCTCCATGTCTACCATCTTAGGGGTACTAGTTTTAGCATTCATCAACTCGTACATGGTACTCGTCTTCTTTAAAACCATCTTCTTGGTGCTTGTTGTGGGCATTTTTCATGCCCTTGTTATACTACCCATTGTTCTTCATGATACCGCGCCTTTGACTGACAGACTCAACAACTACTTCAGATAAAACACTGCCCATTACCTAAAACAATGTTTATGGCTTAGAGTCAGCCTTGATCTCATCTTCAAAGTTCTCAGGTTTTTGTCGCTTCTAATAACAAAACTGACTGTAGCTTTTCATTTCGAAATAAACGGGTATTCATTGTTCGGAGGACAATAACAATCGAATGTTTGCTCTAATCATAAAAATAACGCTCAAGAAGAACACTTCTAGTGAAACAACGACATTCATTTTCGAGTTTATTCAAATTTAGCGTTATATCCAAAGCAAAATAGAGATTAAAGTAAAATACAACCAAAACAGATGCAACGTGGAAATAGTACAACAATACAATAAAATACACGTATCATAAAACTCTGTGCCGCCTTCAACGGTCTTCTTTAAAGTTAACCCGGAAAAATAAATTATTACAATTACGGAGTCAAAAGCTCATTGCACGATATAAACAACCAACGTCAGTTCTGTTATTCCTCTACAACTGCTCGTTCGCGTTCTGAAAGTCAATAAGTTAATACAAAAGTAGATACAAAGTGGATAATAATATCGATTTAGAATGATAATATATACAGCAACCTACCTGTCGGTTATCTTGGTCATATGAGTAGTTATCTGGATGGTAAAAGTCCGGCCGAGCGTTCAAATTCTCGGTGTTCAATGGCTCAGTAGCCGAGTTTAGAATCAATTGACCTGGAGGGTTCGAGATTTGATGAGTGTTGCTTGGAATGGCGCCCAACGAGTTGTCACCAACAATGTCTACGCTATCTGAAACTTATTATTTAGTAAATTAGCCCAATACCCCAATCAATACAATAATATGTCTCAAGTCATACCTGGATCTTCGACCGTTCTCCTGTAGATGGGATTGTCGAATTGAAGTGCGCTGAATCTCTTGGACTGTTTTCCCTTCCACATATATCCAGCAATACCTACAGCGGCGACAACAAGGATAACGAACATGAACATCATGGACCAACTTCCACTGCCAGGGCCGACCAGTTCATCGACAGCTGACTGTAGAACAATACACTTGTTCAGACTGTCCTTGTTCACTTTGTAGCCAGCTTCACAGACACATTGATAAGGAAGTCCCTTGATTGGCGTCTCATCTCTGAAAGTGTGGGCTTTCAAGTGAGCTCGAGGCAAGCACATGTGATCACAATTGTGACTGTAGCACTTGTTGGGGTGAGAAGGCTGAGCCTGTTGGTGGTACACTCTCACTGTCATCGGTCCAGCGACTCCCTTCAGAATGGTTGTGACATCATCGCCTCTGAATTTGTTCACAGTAAGAACACCTTCTTGATCCCAGTCAGTCCAGTACAATCGTTCTTCGAACACGGTAAGTGAGAATGGATGACGAAGATGGGTGTGAGAGTGGAGGACGGTGCGAACGTTCTTGCCGTAGTAATCCGAAGAACTGATCATCTTCACCTTGGCATCAGCCCAATAGATTCTTTGTTCCAGGATGTCCAGAGCCAAGCCATTTGGCCATCTGACAGTGCTTCCGGTAAGAACCTCTAATCTGTCTTCTCCGTTCATTCCAGCTCTTTCGATCCTGGCATGGCTTCCCCAGTCAGTCCAGAAGATCAAGCCAGCTGATGGATCGACGGCAATGGCTCTTGGTTCGTCTAATCCCTTGTCGATGATAACTTTTCGTTTTCTAGTTGTAAGATCCAAGACGCTAATCTAAAAATAACATTTTCGTTAAGCTTCTTATCAAAAATGCAAAGTTACTGATAAGGAACCTAAACAAATTCCTTACGCGGTCAAGTCCAGTGTCAGTCCAGAACAAAAGTCCGTGGATCCAGTCCACTGCCAAACCATCTGGAGTCTGAATTTCATCACCAACCAAAACAGAATCAGGTCGAGACAGACAATCCTTGACATCAGAATCTCCGAAGAAAGTCTTGTTGTCTACCTTGCACATCATGATCTTCTCCTTAGCCACATCTGACCAGATAACGGTGCTCTGTTGATGCCAGTAGTCCATGGCTACAGCAGATTCGAGTTGTTCGACCAGAGGATGATACTTGTTGGTGATCAGATCGTATCTTCTGATGGCAGCTCTGTTCGAGAGTAACAAAAGAGGATCGTCTCCAACAGCACGACATTTTGTGGGAACAGAAGCGCCCTTCTCTCCGTACAGTTTGTAACCAGGGTGACAATCGCACTTGAAGGACCCGATGGTGTTCGTGCAGAGTTGGTCGCAAGTTCCGATGGTGTCGCATTCGTTGATATCTAGAAGACCAATGATGAAAAAAGTAAATAACAAAATTATCTTAAAGGCTGCAAATGCCATTGTTAATGAGGTTGATAGTAGAACATACCAACACATTGTCCGCCTCTCAATTCGAACCCATTCCTACAGTAACACACACTTCCGTTCTTCTCTGTCTTTCGGCAATTGCAAGCAGAATCACGGGGATCACAGGAATCTACAACAATATCAATCAACACTCAATGCAACCTACTGATTTGTTTGTTACACACAGATCGAGGACAGTCATTAGTAGAGGCGCTGTTCTTGCACAAGTCCGTGTACTTGATACATCTGACAGGAGTCGTGGAGTTACAAGTGTACTCTGTAGCTGCATCACACACAAAGCTGGGTTCTGTCGGAGCTGGTGAAGTAGGACATCCTTGTTCATCTGACCCATCAGTACAATCGTCATATCCATCACACCACTTGGAGTTGTCCAAACAAACTCCATTCTTACAGGCCTTCTGACTGTCTGTACAAGTGTGAGTACACCCGAGTTCGTCCGAGTGATCCGTACAATCAAAGTCGCCATCACACTTCCAACGGTTGCTGATGCATTGAATGCCATTAGCACAACGGAATTCCTAAAACAATGTTTAGAACCACAAATAAAACCGAAAATATAAATATGAAACAGATAAAAACATACCCCAGAATGACAAGTCACATTCTTAGATGCTTTAAAGTCTGGACAATCCAATTCGTCACTCTGGTCGGCACAGTCGGCTTCTCCATCACACTTCCACTCATGGGGAACGCAGAAGGATACTGTTTTGCACTAAAATATCAAATTAAAACTTCATTTCTAACTTTTTTACTACCTAATTTTCAAAAAACAGTAAAGGATTGCCAGTATATTTAAAAAAGTCTTACCATAAAATGATCTTGAGGATTGCAGGAAGCTTTAGGATCGCAGTCCTTCTCATCACTTCCATCATCACAATCTTGATCTCCATCACACTGCCAGCTCTTGAAGATGCACTTCTTGTTGTCGTGGCATCTGAATTCGCTAACCTCGTCGCATACCTTGGCGTGCAAAGTGCAGTTCTTTTCGTCAGACATGTCAATGCAGTCGCTCTATAACAACATACATTATTCATAAGTTATTACCTTACTACAAATATAGAGAAAAACATATGATAAAATACAAAAGCATGAAGCGCATGTAATATTAGTAGTTGTATAAAGATAAACGTACCTGCCCATCACACAACCAGCTTCTGGGGATACACGATTCAAGATGGCCCTGGTAGCCAGGGCATTTGAACTGATCATGTTGACAAGTAACTTCTAAATGGTCATTATAAGTTAGACATGACACATCAAAAAGAGTATTACCACAAAACATATTAATATTGACAACGTACCGTTACACTCGAACTCGTCGTCCTTGTTGGGACAGTCATATTCTCCATCACACTTCCACTTGCTGGGAATGCACTTGTTAGAGAAGAGAGATCCTTGTCTCGTGATCCTCCATCCCATGAAGGTTGTGTTAGTTTTGTGAGCAGCATCCTCTTCCTGGCACTTGTATTCGCCTGCACCACATTCACCTGCCTTCGCATTACCTGCTTCAGCAGCTACAATAAACAGATTTTAGATATTAAATTTTTAACTTTCCCTTAGCAAAGTATAAAATAACCTTAAAAACAACATTGTTATCTAATGTAAACAAGTCCCACAACGCTTTATCTTATCCGAATAACACAATTTTCTTAAGATAAACACCTACCGCAGCTAACTTCATCATCTCCATCATCACAGTCGGTATCGCCGTCACACCTCCAGGCTTTGGGAATGCATCGCCCAGAATGGCATCTGAATTCGTTTTCTTTGCATTCTTTACCTAAATCACAGAAATACTAAAAGTTAATATATATTCACAAACAAACTTATAATTTGTAACAATATTAACGTTTTAGAATCACATGATATTACTTTATGCCTAAAATAAAAAAAAATCATAATATAACTCTTTTACATAAAGATTTGTGACTACAGTTGCAAAAGTAATTCTGAACTGGCTGAAAGCCTCAATAACCGTAAATCACCTAAAATCAAAGCAAAAACCAAAGTAACTTACTCGGAGTAGGCATCGTGGACACCTTTCTCTGAACGTCTTGTCGCGGTCCAGCCTGGATTTGCACCACCAAGGCGGCCATGGACAATAAAACTGCCCATTTTGCAGAGGCCATCGCTGCCTCAACTTTGAAAACTCTAAAATATCAAGAATTGAAAGTGAATTCTCAAAAGAATGCTTATCAAACCCGATTCGCGACAAACAATCATTTCGAAAGAGATGAATAACAAAAATAAGGTCAATAAAGGCCAAATTATTCGCATAAATCATATTCCATTATTAAACAAACGGCAGAAGTCGAGAGGCAAAACAAAACGGATCTTATTTTAGGTCCGATATAAATTTAGATCGGACTTTATATTGTTTTAGCTTCAAAGACTATTCGGTTTTAGAAATCCATGTAAAAATTCGTACCTAAAAAGTTTAGATATGTAAAATATAAATTTGTAATTTACTTAACAAATATACACCACATTTTTTAAATCGAAATAAAAACTTAGCCCCTAGTTATTATAAAGAACGCCGTTTTCCAAACAAAAAATAGTCCGAATATCACAAACAAACAATTTAGATCCCAGCCGCCCTTCTCTAAACCTTAAACGAATATTACTTTAGATCGTGCCCAATTAATTGCCTCTTCCATGTAATTTGGTAATTTAATTACCACGACAGTCGCGTACAACACTCGAATAAGCTTTAACCAAGTCGAGAGTCTCGACATTTGGCTGGAAAAAGATGATAAAGAGCCGTCTTTTTGGCCACGTGAACAAAAAAACAAGACAAAACAAAGTTTTGAGCAGAAAGAATGAATCAGCTCGAAGGAAGTGATTCACGGTAAACACTCCACCAACAATATTATGGTAATCGACGCGTTTAATTACATTATTTCTAATTCCAAGCCCTTCCATCCAATGACAACATCGATTCATTAAAATTTTAATAAAAAGCAAAGGTCCACCTCGTTTTTAGGTAACTCTTCTCAATTTGAACAGTTAAAACTAAAAAAACAGGAATTTAGATAATTCAACCTTTTCCAACTTTTATCGCGACAAAAAAGCGAAGTGTCGCGAGATGGCCTTGCCACCTAATTATATCCACCTTTCCCGGCTGGAAGAAGGTAAAACCCCGACCCAAACCCGATAATACCCTCTGGCAGTGTGAAAATAATAACAATGCATAACTTCGAACACCATGGAAAGGAAAAAAACGTAAATCCTTTTGGTAAAGAGAGAGTGATGATTTCTACAGGGAAAAAAGCCGGTACGCGAACACTTGACACAACACGCGTTTTGCGAGTCAAGTCTCCTTCTTTCGTACTGTATTTTGAAATCTCCAGTAAATAAGTCCGTTGATCATACAGAAATCTGTTTATAAAAAACAGGATTTCGAAATAAATTTGCTCACGGCAATATTTTAAAATTTGAGTTTTTTACTTTAAAAAAATTATAAATTCATACCTAATTGTGGAGGCAGCACGAAAGACGGAGAGAGCACGAGTAAAACAGATGCGGAGGTAAACAAACAACGGCATAATGGCCTCTTTTCGGTCTGGTTAACAACTATTACTTGCTACCGAGCTCGTTCTGGCCCGTTACTCATTATAATATCTATGGAGAGCTCGGATCGGCCCAAAATAGTGTCCCAGCCAACGGAAATCAGCGGTTTTATCAGTGATTTCTATAGGAAAAGGGATGATTAACAGAATTTGAATGACTAAACAGCAATGTAATTTGTTTTTGACAGGTCTTGAGAGCAGTGAAGTGAGGAGAAGGAACTGTCATGGGGTACAGTTTAAAAGTTTGTATGCACAAAGGTTACTGCAATGGTTATGTATAAAGGCTTGAGAGAGGAGAGCGGTGTCGAACTACAGATGTTATACAACTGCTTACAATAACAACAATCTCCGTTACCATAATTTATAATGGTTTGGTTACCTACAATAACATGGTTTAATGTTGTAGTAGATAGGATAATGTAACTTTAGTAGTAAATATATGGTAATGTGTAAAATTACAACTGAAATAGCTTCGAGATTTGTATTTACTGTGTGAGTTTCGTATGTTGTGTACAATTAAGTTGTTTACCCAGTAAAAACTTTCGTATGCGTGGGCTTACAATACTTTTATAACTTGTTTTCACAACTTTCCAAAGGTTTATGAGCGTGAGTATACAATTATAATGGTTTTCCTGTTTATTGTAGCCATCTAAGGCTTATATTATACACGAATCGATAAGATATTCAAAACATATTACGCTTATAGAAGTATAGTAAAACTAGATTTTTAGTTTTAAAAACTGAACACGATTAGGAAGGTTATGTTCTATATTATAATTATTACTATTGCGAATGATTCACCAGTAGAAAAAACATAAAGTTATTATAAGAATTTGTAGCAGGTTGGACTAAACATAACGGTTAGCAAAGTCCACACGCCTCAGGGCATACTTCTTTCTTTTTGGCCGCGGTGATCTTATCAGTTTCACAGAATCCGTACTTCTTCCAGATCGAGCATTCTCTGAAGTATCAAATGTCAAATTAAACACTACCAATGTTTTATATAAACAACTCTACATTAATACATGTAGTATATGACTTGAAAGATGTTTTCTATATGTACCTATATGTAATACGTATATTCACTATGTGCATCGTAAATTAAAGATCATTCACGACTACGAAAACTGATTTAGCATCAAATTACCACACCCAAAATTTAAAACCTTTTAAATGCATGGTGTAACATGACAATTACAAGATACTGCTGAAACTGCAGTCAAACGGTATATTATCTTACCAGACTATATGTAACAGTACAGACTCGTGCTGTCACCTATGTTTACTCACTTTAATTTGTCTTGACATTGAGTCGACGGTGAGCTTCCGCCACAGAATCCGCACGTTTTGGCACATTCGGCCTTCATCATGTCTACCGAGTCCTACAATAATATTTTTTAAATTGTCACGTAATATTTCTCAGGTATGACATTAAGTTGTCTTTAAAGCAAGTTACAATACTAATCTCTGGGTATGCTACAACTTTTCGAACACCTTAGTATCTACTGTAACATGTAATGTTGAAATGTATATACATAGAAATTGTTGCAAAGTAACTACATCTACTCTTTGTCCTTCTTATTCTGAGCTCATTTGCATAAAGAGTAGGCGATGTGTCAGCAAGTGTCATATCTACTGTCATGTCCGAGCTACTTTATGTTTTGTCAGTTTACAGTCATTTCGAAAACAAAATATGCAAATTAATCGAATCAGGAAGTGTTCCGGATTTGAATTTTTAACATTTTATCGTGTGTGTACTTCCAGCAGGCACTTCCCGGTCAAACCACCTCAAGTGGCAGTTTGTTGTGATCTTTTGTTATGATTGGTAGGGTTATATTACTATTGGAGTAGTCGTTTTTTTACATTTTATCACTTACTATCGATATATAGAACCATTTTTGGCTCTATTTTTATAAAAAGATATTTTTGAATATAGTAGTTATGGTCTCTTCAAAAATGTATTTAACATACCTCGTCTGTACAATATTCTTTTACTGAGTCACACTCTGTTTCGTTGTTATCTTTACATTCTTCATCTAAAATACGAGTATTTAACATAAAGTTAGAAAGAGTGCAAGTACTAGGCCGTTACTGCAAGGTCATATTATAGTATGTTTACCGTTCGTGTCATTGTTTTTGGCGCTATCTCCTTTAGGACTATCTGCCTTCTTTGTTGTAGATGTATCGGCACCTGTAACGTAATATTTTACCTAGTTAACAGTAAATCAAGTGGTGGTATTAGTTTGTTTTAAACTTTTGAAACTATGTTTTAACATGTTTTCGACAAGACATACATGTTCTTTTTCAACCTAACATAATATAGGTTTGATTATGGACTTACAGCAGTAGTAAGTTCCTTCTATGGATTTACATATTAATTCTGGGTCATCTTCACACACTTTCGTATCTTGATTACATTCTACAACGTTAGGTAATTACTGAACTTATACATTTTTAGTGATACACCATAAAGACATACGAATATGTAGGTGTACTTGTACGAGGAATGTACTATTTTATGTATGAACTTGTGTCAAAAGATCAAAAGTATATTGTCAACAGTAATCTTTGGACAGTTATTGTACTTTTTACAGTACTATTAGTTGTCAAAGACGGTATCGCCTTGTCTATCATCTATAATATCTAAGCTACCTTATAACTACAAAAGTTACTATAAAGTTGCTGTAACATACGAAAGAAGGCTTCTTCTCCATCAGGGCAGTTAGCAGCGTAGACGACATTAAGTAGTACCATTATCAGTAGTATCTCCATCTTGTTAATGGCTACAACAATCACTTTCGTATGTCTATCCGATCGTATGTCAGTTGTGCAAACATTACTGCTTTGTTCATTTAACTAATATGACATTCTTTTTGTGGTTTTTCAAAAAAAAACAAGTGAGTTACTTTATGTTTTAGTACTAGTAAGAGAGCTAAAACAATATATATGTATGCAGGCTATAATAGTACTTTACAATATAAAAAATGGCGCCAAATTTGAAATTTGAATTTTTCAAAAATTGGCAAAAAGTTAAAGTAAATTCAATTAAAATACAAAAGTTATCTTGCTATTGCACTTGAGTCAAAGAGTAACTTTAATTACTATGTTGTACTCTGTTATGTACAGGTATACGTAAGTGGTAACTGTTGAAATGTAAAGAACACCCTTATGTTGATGTAGATGCTGTCTAGATGTACATGTGTTTTTTTTATTTTTGTAAAAACTTTAATGTGCATTGTTTAACATACGTGATATACAATGTAGAATGTGTTTACTGTGTCCATTTACATTTTAAATCACATTGCCATGTATTGAATTACGTGATAACTAAATTATAAAGTAACCGGTAAATATTAAACAAAGTATTTTTGGTATCTTTTTGTATTTGATATGTTTTCAGGATACGACAGGCTGTATGATTACTTTGTAGCATTAGTATCTTATTATAGTAATGTCCTTAAACACCCGTTGCAACTTGTTGTAGTAAAAGTAGGTCTTTTGAAGTTCACTTTGGTATCTTATACATAGTAAGATTCTACAGTAACAAGCAGGGGTCATTAATTTATGTTTTACAATTACTTGAGGGCGTACCATACATTTAATGGTAAGGTCCAACTCTGCTTACGGTGTAATAAACATCTTGATGATGTTTTATAACTTGTGCTTTATAGTATACCACCAACCTCAATTAGAGTGTAATTATGTACTTTTACTATCACAACGTTTACAACTTGTAGTTTAAAATATAGTAAGCATATGATTGTAATCTATAATTAATATACGTTGTTGTAGATATTTTGTTTAAAACGCTTATATATACACATGTTTTTTATACATAGCTATATCATATACATCATGGTATGTTTCACTACTTCCGGCGTTCCATTGTGATAACTCCGCCCTTTTACCATGGATTACTCGTCGTATTTTAGGAAGAATATAATCCCGCGAGTGAGTTACATTACTCTAACATAGACAGATTAACACCGTTTAACGTAACCAACATACGAAGCGTAGTAACCGGATTATCAAGGTTAACTATGGTATTATATGTATTAACACTACTTTGGCTAAACATTTGGTGGTGGCAGATTTTGAGTTGTATGTTTATGTCACTTTGTGTAAACTTTTTTACTATGGTATTTCTATGTGCTTCTTGAGTTGGATTTATATTTTTTAAACATGTTACTGTAGATTTCTGTCTATTACCTCTTCTTCCACATACCTCTTCCTTATCATTCCTAGGCAGTCTTATCTTACAATAATCTGCCACATGTAAATTACATGGCATAGTTGTGTTAATTGTCGTTTTTATGAACATACGATGGGAATTGGACGCAAGATACGACGATAATTAGATAAGCGACAGTGTTTGGAACCAAACCCTCGGGGCAATTGGAAATAAATTAGAGCCGGCCTTAAGTTTCAAGCGGGGCCGTTGTTCTCCACTGTCCCATGACCTTGTGATAACACCTGTCTTATCACATAAATGCGGTTTTATCCGGCCGCTTGTCAATGCCCTCGGGCCTCGGTTGGGGTATATCGGGTGTCAAAATATTTGTTTACAGGGCTGGGATGTTACTTTGTTTGATATCTTGTCACGGAGTAGATCTATGACATGTCTACTACAACACTTTCTGTGTTGTGGAAGATTTGTAGGTATAAAAAGTGTGAAAACTTGTGAATCTTAATGTTGTTCATGTACAATGTATAAGAACAGCACCTTAAGAGCAACTCTTATATTGTAGTACAGTAGAGCACTACAGTAAAGTAAATGCACCTACAATTTCAGATCCTTAGGGGCACAAACATCTTATCCTAAGTCAGTTTGGAAATGTAATTTCGCCAAAGTTCATGTACATTCATCTCTGATATTACTATATGTCTGATGTTATGGTAGTATCTGACCGTGTTCTTCATCCGTCTTCTTGACATTCGTCAATCCGAGATTGTGGTACGTTGTGTTGCTACGTGATGCTTCATAAGTTGTGTCTCGTTCCGTTTTGCCTCAGGGGATGAAAAGAGAGATAAACAGTTTACTGCAGTAAAAAGAGAAATGTGTCGTTTCAAAGTGCTCGGCCTGTATTTGTACTGACGGAGGTGCCAAGGCCAGATGTTCAATAGGTCCAGGGGTCAGGTGGGTTGTGTGGTACTCGCAGTTAAGTGGGTAAAAGGTGTGGAACATCAGGAAGTAATGGCCAAATTGGTCTTGTTTGCCTTTGGAAACATTTGAAACAGTTTTAAAATGGTTAGAACATCTTTTTAAAATGTTCGAAACATCCAAGTTTTAAAATTTATTTTAAGTAACAATATTTTTTTTTAATTTTCGGAAAGGATTTAGATTTTAAATGTTATATTTGGCTTTAGAGGTCCAGAAATTGGGTTCAGAGTTGGCTCTTTTGACTATTATAATATGCTAATTTGATTTCCAGAAGACCACAGCTGAGTCCCAGAAGGCCGGCTACAAGATTGTCTGAATCGTACTTCTTCTGGTTACAGTAATATCTTCTGTTTCAGAGTAATTCACTTTGCAATGTTTGAGGATTAGGTAACAAACCTACTTTCAGTGATAAGAATAGGCGAAAAGAATTGTTTTAGAAGGTGAAGATGGTTAAAGGACCAGTTCGCCCATTCAAATATCATTGGCATTCTATCGCAAAAATTCGACGTTCATTTATTTTGCGAAAAACCTGAGAAGGCCGGTCCCAAATTAGAAAATTCATTTCGACACCGATCCACTCACGTTTTTTGAGAAAAATGATTTTGATTGAAATTGCCTGATTTTCGACGCTTTTTGCGACAGAATGCCAATGATATTTGAATGGGCGAACTGGTCCTTTAAAAAAATCCGAGTAATTTTTACAATAGTTAAAAAGCAATTTGAAAATAAAATTGTACTTTTAAGTAATTCACTTTGCACTTAAATGCTGAGGTAATACTGCATTTAGACCCTAAGGTAATAAGTCAAGTACTTTTAGGGTAATATCGAGTACAATATTCACAAATACGTTTCTATGTCATGTATCTAAATCTGCAAATATCTCGGTCATTCGGTATGAAATGACATTACTTACGACACTTTTGGTCTTTCTTTCAGGTGATATATCCTCTATATCAACTATGTATATTAATATATGTGTAGCTAATACTTTTACATTTTCAGTTGCTTTTGCATAGTAAACCACTATAATAATTTTAAATAAGTTTAAAATGCTTTAAGAATAGTTAACTATGTTTAACTATGCATAAAATATAATATTACTCTTCTGTCTATGTTATATTGCATTTAGGACAGCATGCCGTACAGTAATTTTTTTGGTTTTTTGGGGTTTATGACTAACATTACTTACGTTAATATCTACTTTTAATGTTACTTTACTACTTTTTATGACCAAGTTACCGGTATAAACTTACTTTTTATTGCTATGTTACTGTTACAAAGGTAGTGCAATAAGTTGAAACACCTAATTAAGCAGAATTACTTTATGTTTAATTTGCGTCATGTACACAGTATCTGACGTTACTTTCCATAATCATTTAATGGGTTTACTGTTCAGTGGAACTTATTGTACCATATTTATTTAGAGTTACTAAAACATTCAAAATAGCGTTTGTTTTTAAGTTGGGTCTTGCAACGAAACCTTTGTATTTTATGTTTTGTATTCGTTTTTTAATATCGTTGGCATTACTGCTTGCAGGTTATTACAATATCTTGCTATAACCTTGACATTACTTCCTTATTTGAATATTATAATACAATTTGCCTCTACAAATGGGTCTCATCACGAAAACCTTTATATTTGTATTGCTAGACTATTTTGTAGAATTTTGTATAGTTTTGTATTTTCCAGAACTTAACTTACATCAGGTTTGTATTACTCAGCGGTACAAGCTGGCAGCCTACTGTAATTGATGTCTGACTTTTGAAATTGAGTTACTCTTAAGTGTAACCGAATTAACTTAAGTAATCGTGGTGTCGTATGTTGGTGTTGTTTTGGAGTAATATGCGGAATCTTTTATTTATATTATAGTAGCCCCGCCCCTTTTTGCACTTCCTCCGTTTAAGAAAGAGAAGGCGTTAGAGGCAGCCGGCTGAGAAAAATGTTCGAAACAGTGCTGTACCTGATGATTTATGTCACTTTCAGTACGACGTTGCTCGATTCAATAGGTTTTCTGTTTTTAAAATGCATTTTTGATATTAAGGAATGTCATTTTGACACTAAAAGTCCATGTTTGGTTCTGAAAAGGGTGCTGTTGGTACTTTTATGGCCATAAACTTTTTGAGTTTTAATTGAATAGAATTGAAGCCGGTTTTACAGATTAAAAGCCGGCTTTAATTCAAGTCGATGACTCAAATTGGTCGAGAGTTTGTTTTCTGACATTTACCGTGCCCCGAGGGACCCATCGCAGACATTCGAAAGGTGCTGTCCATCTTGAGAATGTCTCCCGAGGATTCACAGACATCTTCAGATTCCGCTTTTGATTCCACATTACAGTATATTCATCATATAGTTCCGCGTTTATTGTACTATCACAAATTATTTTTTCTATTTTGGGGATGTTTTTTTTGTGGTCAAAAAGTGCGTGGATACTCAAGAATAGGATTTTTTAAAACTTTTTGACTTAATTTTAAAATTGACGATAATTTATAGTGTTCTCGGTCAAAAAGTTTATAGAAACATAAATTAAGCTAAAATTTATATAAAAAACATAAAACTTTTTGACTACAACATCATTTCTAAAGACGTTTAGACCAAGACAACCAATATTATTATAGGGATTTGTCTGCAAATTTAAAATTAATTTTCACAGTGAAGTAGAATTTTAAATTTTGCCGAATTTGTACCGTGCCGTGAACGTGATATATCACAACAAACTTACAGTATGTTTTGCAGATGTTTTGTGAGGCAGACCCAGTACTTTTCGACCGAGGAAAACACGGAAATTTGATTGAAGCGCTACAACAGTTTGCATCGTAAGTCAATATTTTTGGTTACTTTACAACAGGTTTAGTAATATCCATCTTGGTTATGGTACAGGCTTTTTAAAATAATAGTGTTGGTCCAAAAGTACGTAGAACACTCTTTTATCGTTTTTTTTGTCAACTTTTTTGATAAAAAAACTACCTTTTTTTAATCAAATTTTAAACTAAATTTTATGTTTCTCTTTACTTTTGGACCAAAGTTAATATACTTTAGCGTATATCTCTCAACTTTACATGGTAAAACGCCCTCAAAATATGAAAAGCATTAGCATAGTTAAGATAATACTGCTTAATTAATTGCAGAATTACAGTGTAAACAAAACACAATCTTACCGTATATATTAATGTAGTTAGCAGCGATTGTATGTCACAGTAATTTCGAATTGCCAGACAAGATAAACATGGCTTAATTGCCTCGGGCTGTTATTCAAAGTGACATATTCTGTTTAATGACAATTTGGGGGAAAACAGTTATTTGCATATCTAGGGCATGGTAAAAGGGTTTGACATAGCCGAAACAGTAGGGCAATCATTGGGAGTTCTTTGTACTTTTGGACATAACATCTAGGCTTTTTGGTCGAAAAGTACATATAATTAGGCAAATAGATTGTCTTTCTCTGTTTTTCTATTTACTTTTGGACCGAAATTGAATAATTTAAAAATTTAAAATTTGAGGCATTTTCGACGAACCAAAAGTCTGGAGACATTTAAAAACATTATTCAAGATAACAAAGTCAACTTTAATGGAATCAGGAAGTTTTTGTTATGGGAATTGTTGTTGTGCTCTCACGATGGCATTTTTATACCATACTTAGCATAGTAATAACCAGCCCTTTATGTAAACTATTTAAAGCAATATGCCACGTAGTAAACCATACATAATGGCATTACTATAATATTATATGTTGTCATAAAGTTTGTTTTCCAGCTGTAAGTAGCTTAATAAGTAAAAGAGTATAAAGTAGTGTGAAGCACTTTGTGGTGAGATAATAGGGCTTAATTAATATTATATAAAGGAGTAACTACAGTAACTTTTTATAGTTCAGAGTAATATATTGATGTACTGAGTAATCTGTTGATATAAATATGTAGTTGAACCCAGTATAACCACGAACGACCTCTCGAGTTTGTTGTTCTTAGAATATGAAAAGTATTAAATTGTTTTGGATTCAGAATCCAATACAACTTTTCTGATTCCCAGTATAATATCATTCATGACAAACAATAACAAAGCAAGTAACACTGTAAAACATAATAAATTGTTTTGAGTTACTTTACTATTTATGGTAATTACCTGAGGTGGAGTGTGCATCAGAAAGGTTCCGTATAGGTTAACATAAACAACTACATATATTATACGTTTGTGCCATTACATCAACATATATTAACATATACATGTTAACATATTATATGGTTTACATATCTGTGCTATTGCAAACATATATTAACATGTACACGACCTAATAGATATGTTTTCAGAGTGTACAACTCGATCCATCCCTTCCTATGTCTGTTCATCTGTCCACTGGGTATCTTGGCCAATCTGGTACACATCCTGGTACTAACACGCCGCCGAATGCGACGATGTGCTGTGAACTCGGTACTCATCGGAATCGCCATCTGTGACGTGATAACCATGACCAGCTACTTCGTCTACATCGTGAGATTCGAATTCGCCAAGGGACTCACAAAGTAAGACTTCCGGGTTCCGAGATATACGACAAGATGAATATTTGTTTTCCACTTAATATGCAAGAACATGTACACACGTACTGAATCGCGTACTCTTCAAGTACCAATTCGGATGTAGTTATAGCCATAGTTTTATGTCCTTTATTACAACGCAATTAACTTTTTATGGGGCTTATGAATAGGGCAGGGGGATGTTTTTGCAGGATACAGAGGTCACATGTACAGTATGATACTGTTCTTTGCAGCACGAAAAGCATTTAGATATTAGTCTTTTAATAGGATCTAAAAGTCATAGTATTTTTTATTTGAAATGCTAAGACTGTATGTTGTACATGAAATAAGACGTTTTATATGTTCAAATAAGTTCAGAAGACTTTAGAAATACAAAAGACTTTTTAGGTAATAGTATGGTGTTTCGAAGTACTATAATGTAGTTTACACTACATTACAAAAATGTAGGTAAGAACACACTATATTAATGTAAGAAGAACTACATTTTAATGACCTAAAATTTTGACTTACATGACAGTAAACTATAATATTTTAAGAAACTAAAACATAAAAACAATAACAAAGTAATCTTGTGAACAACAATAACATTGAAATGTATTCCCGTTCGGTACTATAACATTAACATAACTCTGTAATGTATTCTTAATCATATTATCCTTGTTTCAGCTACTTCTGGGCCGTCGTCTTAGAGTTCCACGCCACATTATCAATATGCTTACACACGATAAACCTGTATCTGTGTGTTACCATGGCCTTCATACGATGGAAAGCGATGCGCACTTCGAAGAGCGCAGTAATGAAGCCGAACACAGCATGGTAATACCACAAATTACTTCCGGATATTATCTGATTATCCTCGAAAACATATCATTTTGATTACTGAGTTGTTTTCAAAGGACAATATAATGTTATTCATTTTATTTTTAGACTCAGAAGTCTTTGTTCTTTAGTTTTAGACAATTCTACAAACTTTTCGACCAAAGCTAATGTCTGTAATTCTAGGAAGATCTTCTGTGTGATCACAGTAGTCGTCATGATCCTCTGTGTACCAACGTTCCTAGTCCATGAAGTGCACCAAGTCAACCTTGCAGTAGACAACACCACCTACAGCTTTTACACCGTCGACATCTCGGACTGGGCCAGGATGAACAAGTGTCGCTGGTTCAAGGCCAACCTCTGGATCATCGGCATCATTCTAAAGGCGATACCGTGCTTCCTGCTACTGTGGTTCACGATGGCGTTGATGATTCGACTGCATAAGAACAACGCCAAGCGAGCCATGTTGTTGTACACAAACAGCATCAAGGGCGCCAGGAAACGGCGCCAGAACTACGACAGAACAACGTTCACGCTCATTGTTATGTTGACGGCGTTCTTGGTATGTTTGCATTCATTAATGGGTTCGGGCTACAGATGAGGTTTTTAACTTCTCCATACATTCATATACACATACATACGTATGCTTATGAATGTTATATACATATGTATATGGTGTGGAATATGTCTGGAAAGCGCATTAACTTTGATGTCTTTAAGCTTAAAGTGTCACAAGAAGGCCATAAATACATATCATAACATGTAGCTGAGTATGTGTATTGAACAGATTTTACCATGCATTTCAGTTCATAAACGTAGTAAATATTGGAAACTCTAGCACCATAATCACTTAAGATAAGCAGTAGATATTTGATAAATAACACCGAATACGAAGTAGCTTCTCGTAGTAGACATCTTATAAAACTTACTAGACTCTTGCACTGTAAACAAGCATCGTACTGAGCAGAGTACACAAGCAAGAACCAACATATCATACTTTCAGTTGACGGAACTGCCTCAGGGAATGTTAACCATGTTGAATGGTATTTACACAAACGACGTTCATACCGTAATCTACATGAACTTGGCCAACGTTTTGGACGTGCTATCTTTGATCAACTGCTATGTCGGCTTCATAGCGTACTGTTTCCTGTGCTCAAAGTATCGACAGACCTTTATGATGATGATACTGACAACGTATGTTTTAGCATACCCTACTTTTAAAACAGATATTACTGTACTAGTTAGAGGCTTTACAGTATACTTTCTTAGCTTCAAGCTACAAGAAGATAACGTAGAGTTGAAGAGCACACCCAGTATCTCTAATTAGGTGATGTCACATAATTAGAGGTACCATTAATACGCGGAGTAGTCAGTAATTACCCAAATTCTTTAATTGCCTATTACACATATTATACTACACAATGACATATTATACCTAAATTACCTCTACCACATGTTACAGTACTCAATGCTATGTTTCAGAATGGAGAAATCGCCAAAGAAGGCCAAGATAGATGCCTACGTACACACATCAAGAGGGTTACTGGACGAGATTACTACCAACAACAACATCACAAACGGAAACATGCGGCGTCTGTCTGATTGTAATGTTACTGAGTGTAACATGTAACAGACGTACTTCGATGACATTGCATATGTAACAGTATAACATGTAATTTGGTAGATATACACGTGCCAGTGTAACATGCACAGACTTACAAATTACACCTTACACTGTATATTTACATTTTTACTATGTTTTTACAAGTTTACCTTGCTCTCTCTATGTATGTCTATGTCAACAAACATTGAATCTTAGTTGGACATCATATCTTCAAAGAGATAAGTGGTCTTTTCATGAATTCACTATGTCATCTTGTTATCAGAGGACAACACCACAGTTATGTAACATTTACATTTACCGCCTTGTAATCTCACGCACATACCACCTTACTGTTACTGCCATTTCATACGGGTCTACTACTATCGCTTTAAAGTTGTAAAGTGCCAAATACGATAAAACAAAGGGTCACAATAAATCTCTAAATATTTATGTATTGTAAAACTTACAAAATGTAATAGGACTTTACTAAATTTGACAAGAAGAACACGGTATGTTCGCGAAAGTTTACTGTAGTTTTATGTTTTATGGCAGATGCTACAAAAAATACAAATGATATTATCGTAACCAGTGCTATCGTATCAAAAAAAAAAGTTGAAAAACATTACAAAAGACACAAGGCAGAGCTAAACAAAGCAATATTGTTATTGTGTGATAATCTACAAATTCCATATCTTCAAATAAAGAGTACTGTTTACAGTAAGATTGTTGTAAAAAAGACTTTACTGCAGATGTAAAAGGTAATGTCACAACTCTGATAAGACATTTTGGTTTTTAATTTTTGTAGAATTTACAAATCTAATGCAAACAGACGGTCAAACATTAACAACACGATTAATTAATATTATTATGGCTGACATTTGTTACGTATATTATCCATCAATCTGATAGTTAAGACAAGACAAATTAAACCATACCTATTAATCAAAAATTATTATATTTTTAAGTATAATTAATTGATGTTGTTAAGTCAGTACTATCAAGCACTAAAGAAGTAAGATAATACAATAGTACCATTACCTCGACCTTCAACTCTCTTACCTACTTCAACATACGTTACATTATTCTAACCAAATATACAGATCAAAAACCCTTTTTTAAACCGTATACTTTGATCTATAGCACACAAACTATTGCTGCAAATCCGCATATACTGTAAACAATTTTACATTGTGAAAGGTTATTACATTTCGTGTTTCGATGAAACATCGACAGACATACGAAAACATGCATTCATAGTAAAATGCATGTCCAGACGTAAGATTGTCTGGATAATCGTATTTGGCCGCCCTTCATAAAAACTTTTATGCAAATCAGGAATTCATAAAAGCTGCGCCCATAAGCATATCTTTGCAGAAATGAGGGCGCAGTTCGGGCTTAAAAAAATAAAAGAAGAAAATAAAGTTAGAGATTTATATAAAAACTGGTTTTATTAATCGTAGCTCAACTAGAAATATCGATAAAATGGACAGACAAAACGTGAAAGAGTTAAGTAAGTTACCTTACTGTCGTATTTTATTGTTTAGTCCCGTTTGTACCTAAAAATGAGGCCTCAAATGTGGTGAGTGTTGACAACGTCCACAGGATACACGATGCCAATGATCCCGCTCTGCTTTACAACTCTTTAGTAGCTGCTAAACAGACCGTCAGAATATCAGCTAACTCAAAGTTAACTGCTTTGGGCAAACAGATGGATTTTTTGATAAAGGTTGGTAACAAGACATGTTATATTTTCAATACACCTTCAGGAGGCCAACAAGGTTGTTGAGAAAGCAAAGAGAGACGAACAACTTCACAATGTGCCGTGTAATCTTAGGAAGATAGTTGGAAATGTATATTATCTATACGAAAAGGATACTGGATCCAAGTTCTTTTCGATGTTATCACCAGCTGATTGGGGAGAACAGGCTGCCAAGTTTTTGTATGTTGGAGCCTACAGACTTGAGGCTGATCATGGATTCACGTGTTTAGAAGGTGATGATGCTGCAGAAGACACACAGGAAGAAAACGACAGGTTTAGACAGATGGTTAATAGGATAACATACTAGAACAATAAAGATTTATGACATATAGTATGTAGGTCTTGTTAATAACTTAACATGTAAGCATATAAGGGCTGTATAGCTAAAGTAGTACAATCGCAAGAAACAATAGAGGTACAACTATTCATCGTTACCTGACAGTATTAGATCCCTATAGCAAGTCCAAAACTGTTAGGCAAGATGTAAAGTCGTCCCCATACCGTATACAATTGTTTTAAACATTGCTTTATCTAAGCCGTGATAAAACGTAAATGGTCATGCGTAGCATTAGTCGAAATGTGGCCAGTGTTGTGATAGAACAAGCGTCGCATGGGTGTCACCCATACCAACTGATCACCCTGAATCCCGATTCTCGATTAAACGCTCCATGAATAATGTATTAAGAAGTCGATCAACTCAAACCAACCGGTTTGCATGGCCCATCATGTATAATATATGGGAATGGGACCAGGTGAAGCAGGAGGGACGTTTTTTGAATAATAATCGGGGCCACAAATTGGTTGAAATGTCCATCCTTCTGTACGATCGCCGTTTCTCGCTCGCGCACTCCAACTTCAAGCACCCGCGCCTCACCTTAAGGTCCGTCGTGTTTCTCGAGTGTTTAAGATAAATATTATCTTTAACACAGAAATACCTTAACAAAAAGCTGTAACAATGACCAAGGACATTGTGCTAACTATATCTCTGGTCATCAAATAGACCTGAATATTTTGTCAATACAAATTAAATTGTTATAACAACCACCTAAAGTAATATAAAAGTAGTTCCTTTTATAGAATACCGTTAAAAATATATTTACTTCACAACAAAATATGTAAATATGAAAGGATACTGTACAATTATGTATTGATGTCATGGTTATTAGTCGTCCATCTCGTGATTGTCGAGTTGACGAACTTGAACTGGAGGTGATCGTAGTGGTTGGACTCTCTAAAAGGGCAAGTAATATTAAGAAGACTTTGATAAAAGTGATAACACAAAAGTGATAGGTTAAATTAAGTTTTTCAAATTTATTTTTTTGAAGAACTTGACCAACGGTGGGGTCAAAAGATGCGTAGAATAACCGCCTCACAATAATTTCAAGTCCCTTTACGTAATAGATGATGTACCAAAACACGTACCTGCTGTCCTATTTGAAGTTCTTCAACACCAAGGCGTAGAGGATCATCTAACGGAATCCCATCATCGACCAATGGTCGTTGGGCTGGTGGAGCTGCCTCGTTTTGTTGTTCTTGAACATTGTTTTGAAGTGGAGCCGGCTAAAAATATCAATGTTAAAACTAACTTAAGACCCAGATGACGTATCAAAGAAGCATACCAATAAAAGATTATTTAAGTATAATACCTGAGGCAATGGATCACTAAAAGCTGTGGCCAAACTTGGATTACTCTTCGACTTTACTATTGGACAAGCGAAGTCAACATGTCTCGACCTGGCCTCCTCCTTCTCCCATGAACAATGTAAAAAAGGGCGTTGTACGTAGTTGTATATGACTTCAGCCTTGTTCTGACGTCGTTTAACCTTCTCCATGTGAGTGGGATACCCTTCAATACCTAATCGTATCTTCTTCAACTCGTGTTCCTTCATCACCTGCTTTGCGACATCTCGGTTCTCAGCATATTTAAAGAATTTGTACAGGTTAGTACTGTAAATTACTTGACTGGTGTCTTCTCCCATCTGCGGAGGATATTCTTGATCCCATTCTACTATGTCGTCGTCCAAAAGAACTACTATATGACATTCTCGGTCACCGCGCTAAAGTTTTTAACTATTAGTTTTATTTACAAACATAATTTAAAAAGTATCGATGTATGATTGAAAAAGATTACTCAAAGAATGTATTTTAGGTATATATTATTACAATTATCTTACCTCGGCGCTTATCACAAGTTGAGGTAAAATTTCGTTTTCCAAAAACACTACAAACTGTACACGTGCTCCTTCGTTGCTCAATTCATGTAACAACCCACGTAAGTCTTGACATTTCACAGTAGAAGATCCAAACGGTATCATCATGTAATCACAGGCTTCTCTCACCTCAGATACACTCAAGGAAGGTGGCACTCGAATGAAACCATTATGATAGTAGTCCTAAACAGTAATACATATGCAAGGTAATGCTTACCAAAACAGCTCTAAAACAACTTGCTCCAATGCCTTCCGCCACTTCATATTCATCTTGTTCATTCGGTCTTACTAGGTCTGTCTTAGTCTTTTCTTGTTGAGCTCGCAATGCGAACATACGACCCAACATAGTGTCTGGCTTGCTTAAAAGTACTTGAGGATTCACAATAAACCGAGTGTTTTCTACCAGCAGTATTACGAAGGTACCTAAACATGAACATACCAGGAGGTCCAGTAAATTTTTATAATTTTATGAATGATGTAAATTAAGGGTCATATATGCTTTCACATTACGCAAGAAAAAATGAAATTACAAAACTTCTACTTTGTGTAGAACTATTTCGAACAATTTAGATACAAAACGTAACGAAGTTTTACAAGGACATATAGAAATAACCATGTTGAATGCCCTAAAATATAAAACAAAGAAAAAAACTTTACCATTTTCTCCACGACTGACTTCAACTGTCTTTGCAGGATGCATGCACAACAGCGACTCATGTGCTGGTCCTCCCAGCGACATAGACCGCTGATTGCGGTTATATGCCGCGTCCTGAAACACAATATTAATAAAACTACAATATAAATGTTTATATTACAATTTTTAAGACTGTGGATGCTAGTTAACAGTTAAAAGGATATCTTACTTTAGTGTTTAAGTGTGAGTGCTTCAGTTTCGTAACTTGAGGGCTCAGAGAGCCAAACGGTCAAAAAGTTAAATGTACTTATAATTTCACTGCTAAAACAATAAATTGTCATTATCAACATAAATAAAACACAACAATAACTGATCATACTCGCACTAACAGTTTCAAACCTTTAGATCGATTGAAAAAATTCTCTTAAAAATTTATTCGCTAGATTTTAATTGTGACACTTCGTCACTCCAATATTGAGTGGCATTTCGTCTTTAATATCAGCTCAATTCCCACAACCAATTATGAATTCCGATGCACGGCGATCCCACTTTTATATATTTTCTAGATAAAAGTGGAACCGCGGGCGCAGCTCGGAAGGGAAACAGCAACTTCCGGCGCGTTTTAGGCTTATGACGTTATATCTACTAAACGGTTAAAGTTATTGAGCTGAAAAAACACTTAAATCTTAAAGAGGTATTCCTTTTTCATTCCTAGGAAACAATTTTTCGATATTTATTCTCGTTCAAATGTTATGTGCTCTGCACTAAAATGTGGCTAAAGTGACCAGATTTACTTAAAGTTATACTACTTGAAAGAACGGTATATAATCAAAAATCGAAAGATGTTATACCTTACATAACTAACTATTCTATCATTTTGTAAAATTTCAGACAGAAATATGAAATAGTGTTTGAGAAAAACCCTGAAAACTTTAGCAAGCCAAATTAGCACTAAAATTATGTTATTTCGAAGTATAACTTTACATGTGGGCCGAATCTAACAAAAATTAACATGTTATACTTTGTGTAGCTAATGTATCTATAAACATAAAAAGTTTCATCCAAATCGAGTTTGTAGTTTTTGAGAAAAACACTGAAAACCTTATATTATCCATGATCACCAACGTAGAAATTTCAAAGAAAACTTTCAAATTTGTGAAAGATATGTTCAGATATTAATATATAACAAAAATACATCATAAAATAAATGTTTTTGAAAAGTTTCGCATTAGAATTCTTAAACTTTTCATGTTACGATTTAAGAACATTATGTGATATGTATGCATTACAGTAAGATTTAATGTAATAACTTAATTAACTTGTAAGTTAATGTAAAATTAAATATGCTATACACAATACAGACAAGAACCCCTGAATCTCAAAAGAACTTTAGATTTAAGAAAATCCTACTTTTTGAGAAATACGCTGAAAACCTTATGTTACACTTTAAAGAATAACCTTTAATTTTCGGCATAACTTGACTAATTATGAAAGATAAGAAAAAATATTGTAAAAATTATTATAAACGTATCGTATAGTTAATATGACATGTTTTTTATGCACAAAAAACAAATTTTTTAAAATTGCAAATCATGTTGGGGAACCTCTGGACCTGGAGTCTAAACCTATGAACAGTTAAACAAACGGATAGCGCAACTTTTTCGGACATATTTATGTCTGTTACTTGTGTACTAGCCTTTGTAGCAGCTTTTACCAGTCCACTGCACACTGGAAAATTTTCTTGGAGATCTTCATATACTAGCGGAAATTTTTTTTGGATTTTGATATATTATCCAGGTACTTCTTAATAGGAGTTCTATTACGAAAGACGGTCAGAAAGCTGTCATCAAAAATACTGAAATTATACTAAAGTTGTTTTAGTGCGACCTCAAAAACTTTTTTTTTCTTTGTTTTTGCTTGATTATGTATGTGTATGATACCATTTTATTTAGGTATGTTTAGATACATTTGCAAGATATTATTTTTTAGGCTTAAGCTGTAAAATGGTTAAAACCACTAAATTCTGCAGTTTTTACCGGTTAATTTCTAATTTATAAGGTCCTTGTTATTACGTTAGTGGAGCTCGATCGGACGAATCTGTTCTTCCGTATTGTACCTATCAATTTAAGCAATCGCTACTTTTTCTATCTTAAATTTTATAATTTTGAAAATCAAAAAAACTCGTGTCTTTACTTGATAGCTTAATTATCACTGTTTCTTGGACGAGAAAGGTAGACTGTCTTGTTGGTCAGTCAATATACGGTGTTTCACCTTCGTGTTATTCCTTCCAAATAAGCATAGTGTATCTTTGAGGATCCTTGCTATCTTTTCGTTGTTATATATAAACGACGATAATCTAAGATATGCCACGTCCTGCGCTTTCCCTGCAACCAGCAATCACAACATTGTTACGCCCTGCCCCCGTAGCTGTTCCCTTGCCTTTATCTCGAAGCACATCGTGTGAAAAACACTGAGTGATGGTGAAGATGTATTTGATTTGGGTGTTGACCCTACGACGAAACCGGCACTGGTTTTGTTCCGTACAGCTCCTTGAATGCCGGCGTAGTAGTTTCTCCACATCTGATATTAGCTCCAGACTATTTACTCGTAACAATAATAAAAGTTTAGATCGTAGTAATTACTATAGTAAGTAAAAATTATGGTTTTTATGAATTTATTGCGGATAAAAAGTAAATTTTGCTAGCTTATTTACCAAGAAACATAAAAATACCCGAAGAAAAAATAAAAAATAAGAATAAAACTTGGCGCAAATAAGAACACTCGACTCCTTTTCTGCAACCTGCGCAAAATACGCAGGATCCATTTATTTCTAGCTTTGGGATCGCCGTGCGATGTACACGGAAATAAAAGTGAACAAAGTGCTTCTAATTTTGATCTTTTGAATAACTTTTTAAAAGATTTCTGCATACATTACGAGATACGCATTATGGCGCAGTTTTTATAATGAGCTCAACAATGGCATTTTTTATTCGAATTCGACAGCAAAAACGACGAAATTGAGTACGTAGCGGTTCTTAGCACAGAAGATCACATTCGAGTGGTATTTATGGAAACATTGTAGTAATATAACCCTGTCTGATATATGTTACTTTATTGTAAATGAAAGATATGGCATAACATAAACTATGAGATCGATGTAATAATTAGTTTGATTGCAAATAATTACACTAAGAATCCTGACGTCGAGCCGAAGCTTAGTCGTATCGAATGCAGCACACTCAGACATTCACAGTGACCTTGGCCTTCTGGATCCAGTTCATCGTGGGTCTTCCACGAGTAGATGATAGCATCTTCCTGGTAGCCGCAGAACTCTATACAACTTTCCTTGCTTATGTCAGGTTTGCTGGACAGAAGCTTTCCACCGAGTTCGTGGTCCCAAAAGCGATCACGGTCTTCGTCATCTGAAATGTTTACATTAATGTAACTCAACCGAACTAACATATAATGTCATTTTGTGCAGCGAAGCGGCAACTTCTTTTAATAAAGGTGTGTAATATACAAGAATTATGATGTTTTAGATGTATAATGTCTGAAAAAATTTAAGAGTTTTGTCAAAACAGTGAGTGATGCTTATCTTGAACTTGGCTTGTTAATATAAAAATTCAATTATTTTTTTGTAAAATTTGCATTTCTTGCCTAAAACGGATAAAGCACTCTCCGGATTTTTAACACGATTTCGGTGCGACAAAAGTGTAACAAAATTGTTCGTAAGACAGAATCTTTAAAAGTTTGATTGTTTTTTCCAGTCGAACGAGCAAACTTTTCGACAGACCGGTCTCGGCTTGATCTCGCGCGAACCAATTTCGAATTGAAATGTGCTTTCGAAGTTTCAATTAAGTTGTTACGAAAATTACTGTAGCTAATATAAAATTACAGCACGAAACATGGGGGCCCCGGGGGAGATAAAACGTCTTTGAAAGTGTGGGCGGTTCGGGTTTTTGCAGTTTTGGAATTTACATTTTTTGAAATTAGCAAGTTTTGAAATTGAGCTTAATTCAAAGTGAAAATAAGCTCCAAGTTAAGGTACTGACACATTACAGCCAATTTTGAAGAGATTTTCAACTGATTTTGCGTAAAAAATCTACTTTTGCTTATATTGTTATTGCTTTTAGTAATAAAAGCAGTTTAAATTGTACAAGAGCTTACCAAAGTCCAAACACAGGCCGAAGAAGGCGTTCGGTAGTGGGGTTATAGTGCCGTTCAAGGACTTGCTCTTTAATGTGCACTGACCCTCCACAAACTCGAATCCCATACAACAAACATCATGTTTACAGCTCTCTGCACATTCCTTCCGCGTGATACCGTACTCACGGCGATAGTCAGAGCCAGAAATCGTTGTTCCGGGCCCGAAGAAGTAGCATTTGGCTGTGACTGAAATGATTCAAGTTTAATATGTCACGTAAGAAGGTGGGTTGCCTAACGAGTCGGCCCCTGGGGACTCTGCTTATTAAACACGATAGTCTTGATTGCTATGATGTTGTCTTTGTCAGTTTTGTTTTGACTGAGCTTTATGTTTTTGACGACAAGAACTTGATGTATTTAGTTTTGTGACAGAAGTGATGTTTTTTTCAACTGTGGTAAATCAGTTTCAAGCTTATAAATAACTTTTTGTTTAATATCCCAAACTTTTTTCATTTTGATCACTAATGCCAAAGTTATAAAAGGTGCTCTGTTGCACTCCTACTGTTTCTATGTTAAAAATAGCGGTTCAAACCGATTTTCATGCTCAAGGAACAGTCCTGACGTGGGTGGTGGCAAAATTACAGGAAAGGTGTTGAAAGGAGCGAGAATAGAAGTGGGCCCACATCATCCCTTCTTCCTTGTTCCTCCTGATTCCCGGGGGGATTGTTTATGAAAACATATCTATATACATGTAAATGGCACAACAAACGGAATTAGACATCACGATGACCAGATGGTCATGATGACATAATTCTCGGCACTTGCTTGCCCTTAGGGGATTTTGCTTTTATTTCCGGGTGACAAATGCAGGAAGTTGTAAATATCTTACTGTTTTTTCTACTCTTACTTCGGGAATGTATTTTTACATCCACCTACAACTCGGATGTCACAACACATTTAATGAGCGTATTCAATTCACAACATTCACGCAAATGCCCCCTTTCACCGGCTTCCTTCTGAGCTTTGATTCAGCCATCTACGTAAAACGATCTACTCAAACAACTCCCAAATTACACGGTATTCACAAAATGACCTACCCGCACTCCTAGATACGGTAGTTGTGATTAGTAGACAAAAGATCATCGCCGTCTGTAGATACCGTGGAAGGCGTAGTAGAGTGGAGAAGTCGAGAGCCGACGTGGAGATACGGCTCCTCTGTAGCGTGTTGGTCTTGGATGCATTTTCTGAAGTGTAGTTGGTAGATTCCTCCGAACTTGGCACCTCCTCCACTGTCGACGTAGAAGGAGCACACATCACAAACATGACTGAGCCCAACTCCAGTAGAACGCTGTAGTGTAGTAGAAAGCTACAGCAAACTATAATTAGAAAGCTACAGCAAACAAGAAAACAAACGTATCGAACGTAGATGTAGAATATCAGACCTCAAGGACAAAACAATATCGCGCAAATGTAAAATTTCGTTTTTGGCCAACCACTTCCTCGGCCACCTGAAAACCTGCGGAGGGCGGGGTTTGGACCGAGAGAGCAGGAAGATTGTAACAACTAAACGGATATAGAACATACGGCTTCTGATTGGGTTAGTCAATGAAAGAGCAAGGAAGACCAACTAATTGGATTACCAACATATATTTTTAGAAAACAAACACGATCACACCTAGAGAAAGTACTGTTGAAAACAGTTTAACACGGTTGAAATTAGGGGTTACAAAGTCCTTCCAAGCATTGTTAAGTCAAAGGTATTTAAGGCAGTTTAAATGACAGTTTTAACATCATACAATATTTACTTTGAAGTATTGAAACACAGCTAAATGCCACTTTTAAAAGTATGTAAATATAGATAACTGCCACTCTTTAATATAGGTGTTGAGGAAGCTGTTGCACATCATGTGCAAGATGTGTGTTATTACATGGCTACTTTAATTCCCTGAAAACCGCGGTTAACGTTGTGATAAACGTTCAATAAAGAAAGTACCCAAAGATTGTAATTACATGACGTTTCGAACATAGTAATTACCAGCTACTAACCGATACACCAGTCAAATTAAACAAGGGAATAGTAAGACAATGTATTCTGTCGCTTCGCAGAAAATAATTTACTATTCAAACTGAAGACGGTTTAGTGTCATCAACAGCACAATGCCATAAACGTACTGGTATGCTAACGCCAGAGAACAGGATAGTAGGCTATGCCATGACAATATCCTTCACTGCCCAGTTTTGGCGGAAGAAAAAAAGGTTAAAAGTGATGTTTTGTACACCCACACACCAAAATGACTACAACATAGCATCAAAATGTCTATAACATAGCATCTAAACCCTACACCTTCCCTTATATACCAGCACAAAAAATAATACATGTTAATATACATTAACCAACACGTAGGAATGATGCTAAGCTACATGATGAGACTTATAAAAGTAGGACTTATACATTCATTTGACAAATGCAAGCTTAAGCCCACCGAACATCAGTAAATGCGCAAACGTTGTTGTAAAAGCAAACATGTTAAGCCGAGGCTTAGCACGTCGGTCGTTCGCTCGTACAAGCACACGTACTCGTTGTCTCCTCAGAATCCAGTTCTCCGAGTCAAGTTCATTTATAAAAAGTTGTAAGAAGAGCTACCGTACCCGCGCGAGGCCCCGCCCCCTAACTTCGAAAATGTCGTAAACTGCAATTGACAAGATATGATACGACCAGAAGATACGACTCGAACCTAAAATACCCGACAAATATTTTGTTTCCGTTTCCTTCCTTCGTGTGAATGTAAATGTAGATATGTGCAAGATAATCATCCTGATGCTCTTACCATGCAACTTCCTTGTTCGATCTTCGAATGTGCGGAAGACATATACTTTTATATGATGACATTCCGATAGCATCATGTTATCGGCTCTCCCTCCATTGTCATCTGGTTTGTCAAATAGGTTTGGAATTCAAAATATATTTTTAGAAAACAATTTGGGGAAAACAGACGACGATGCATCGTACGATGACGAGGGTGTTATCTGTAGATGCATTTGACAAGGCTACACGTCTACAAAGTGCACATGTACGAAGTTAATTCTCTGTTTAAGAATTGAAACTTCATATTATCGGAATGTTTGAAAAGTCAAAAGTTTATTTTGAAAATTTATTTTTTAAAAAATTTTAAAATTTAAAGATAAAATTGACATATTTCAATTAATAACTCAATTCTAGTAAAAAACATTTCAAAATTAGACTAAAAACGTAAAATACTCAAAGTTGGCTACAAGAATCGAGCGAATCAGAAGCCAGTCCATCAATTATGCAGATAAGTGACCTCAAACGTGTTAGTCTAATGCCGTTTAATGGCCCGTGAAACCACGCAGAGCCACAGTATTTAAACAGCCGCTACAACCCAATATTAAACATTATCGTATTATCAGTACTCATAGAGTTACAGTAATGTTAACAGAAGTAATTGTGAAGCGGCTGTCGTATCAGTATGGTTATTACAATTCGGTCGAAAATTAACTCTCAAACTAATTTTGTTATTAGGAAACACATCTACGTATCCTTTGAACAGTTGTAAACAGTAATTTACCGTATTTTGATTGCGTCATATTCAGAGTAGTTATTAGTTTGTGTATCAAGAGGTCTGTTTTGATTTGACCACAAAACAAGTCTGCCAACACATAATTAACAGATCTAACAATACTCAGAGTTACAGTAGTAAATGCTTTATTGCGGTAAATAAGTTTAGGTAATAAATATGTACATGAAATGCACTCATGCCGATCCGGGTACCCGTTCCCTGATGCACCTTATCAGCTGTATGGTCTGGAAGATGAGCTGATTCGAGGCCACAAACACCTGGCCGGCATCGTGAACACGGAAGTAATCTTTGAGCGTGTTGCTGAATCTCTTCGAGTAGTGTACAAATTCCCTTTTCCGTTTTTCAATCGCTGAAATTAGATAATACCTTATAAGCTGATTTCTCGACTTCCCTCATGTACTGGATTTCAGTATATTAGCCAAATTAAAGTAATATACTACACCAATAACATCCCATGATTTTAGGATTGGTTGGTTTTAAAGTAATTACCAGTGTTAAAAGCATGTGTCTGGAAGTTTTCTCAATTAAAGGTTACGCTTTTAAAGCTTCTTGTAACCAGTCGTGTACAATAACATAATTTACAAAAACACAACACACAGTAACATCGTCTACTCACACACAGACATCCTTCACCACAACTTTGTTTACAGACGTAGCTTACAATCAAGGCATGTGTACAACAACATGCGTCTATTATAAGCTTCAGGTGCTGCCACAACATCCTCAAGCTTATAATACTAAAATCGGAAGTAAGATCTGCCCACGCCAACCCCAATTTCCTTGTCTAATAATACCAACTAAGCCCGTACCATCAACAACAACGTATCTCTAATTGTTGGTTTAAAGCCCTGTTGAAATCTGTTTACAATGCGAACACACCCTTCCACGACAGCAAATATACATATCTATTACCACATACTGTCTTGGCATGCTAAAAACCGTAAATTTGATAATGTACATATTATGTTAATGTCATTGACATTACAATCCATTAATGTTATGCCAGTTACATTTCGATACCTAATCCGTTAACACAGTGCATCCAATATAATTAAAAGAATCATTTTACCATCTGAATTACAACACCTGATGCTATTAGCCCCTTTCATTAGCTGCACTATATTATAGATCCTTCCGCATATTACACTAAAGGATAATGTAAAATTTTGTAAAACAATAACAAGCTCGCCAAAAGACGCCAAACCCTACAATACAGTACAACTTACATGGATGTACGTTTGGAGGAACTGATCTGACAATGTCATTAGCTGCATCAAGTAAAACTCGAATTGAAGTTGCGATTTCTTTGATCGTTTCTAGGAACGGCCTTCTGTCTGCCATTTCATCTGGGATTCTAGACAAAACTTTCCGTAAATGGATCGCCTTCTCTGATATAGCTTGAAATCGAGGTATGTGGGACAATTCGTTGAGCTCCAAGTCAGTTGAGGGCGCTTTAGCTTGCAGTCGTAAGAAAGATTCCTAAAATAAGATGCTGTTAAAAACAGTTCTATAATAAATTAAATTTATAAAAAATTAAATTAACAGTGATCTTAGAAACTCGCATTTATAGAAGTCCCTTAACTTTGGTACCTAAAAATAAAAACAAAGCAAAAGATAACCTGAATGTCAATGTTAAGTAGCGATTCTTCCATTAAAATCTTTGCCAAATCGTATAAAAAAGCTGGCGATTCTCCATCTGCTTTAAGTAAAGCTTCATCAAGGCCCTAAAAAGATATTATTGTATTCATAAAATCTTATTAATCACAAAACTCATAACTAAAGTTAATATTTTGAACAAAACTTTCAATTTTTCCACAAACTTACACTGATAGCTTCCGTCGCCGCCGGTGTGGTGGCATGTGCAGTTTTGACATTGTTCAATGCTGGTCCAACCAGACAATTACAAGTTAAAGGCCCAAGATATCCACCTCCTTCTTGAGCACTCATTTTGGAAGAACAACCAATAAATATCACAAAAACAAATTAATACTAGAAATATTCTTCTCGCTCTTGACCGTCCAAGACGCTAAAAAACATGCACTTCATGAAAAATCAGATCGCTCAAAATTACTCATAAAACAAAATTGTTTGTCTTTCGGATAAGAAGTTCACTCGAAGCAGCGCAAAACGCGGAATATTGGGCGCGAGTCGGCTCTAGTTTTAATTTTAAAATTTTAGCTTGAAACGTGGAAATTGTAAAAAGTTTGTAGCAAAGTCCATGTGATGGGTACGGTTATCAGTACGGTGGACGATATTGCAGAATGTGAACTGTTGAAAAAGCTATGCGACAAGGAGAATATCGATGAGAATGATCCGTTCTGGAACAAACTGTTTTCTTTTAATATCCATTTAGATTTACAAGACAAGTAAGCCTTATCTTCTTGCTCAAACATTGTATCTTTGTTTTAGAAAGATTCAAGAAGCTTTACTGTCAAAAGGAGAAGATCTACTGCAATCTTTTCTTCACACATCTTCGACTTCTGGCAATTTTTCCTCTTTGGTTCAGGTTTTCTTCCGTTATAACAAGGAGTTGGCAGAATCTGTTAAATGTGAAAAGTAAGCCACGACTATAAGTGAAATTTTATTGTTTTAGTAAGGTGTTTGTATGGCAAGTGACCAATTGTTTTTTGTTGATCAGAAACGTGCTGAACTTCTTTGCATTGAGGCTTTGTCCACAGGAGTTTGCGAAGATTTTTACGTTTGAAAAAGTTGTGAATGAAGAAGACAATGATGTAGAAGAGGAACAAGAAGCGTCAGACAATGAGTACGAGAGCTCAGCAGAAGAATTTTTAAATAAATTAGTGGACATTTTGGTAAAGATTCCAGTAAAGTAAGTTTTTTTACAAGCTATAGGTTTTAGGTATTTTATAACGTCTAAATCACTGTTTTCAAACATAATATACACTTTTTTAGTGAAATAACGAGAGAATTGCACGGCGAAGTGATTAGAACGGTTCTGTGTTTGTTGAGTACGCAATTGTACGAGGAGAACGTGTCAGAAGAATCAGAATTTCTTCGATATCTAATGAAATGGTGAGGAGATTAATAATTTATTGATTTTCAAATTAAACATTATTTGATATCCAAATTTCAGTGACAAACCACGAGAACTAGTCAGGTGTTTGTTGGAGAATTTCTTGTACCAAACGGATGAGATCACTGTCTACAAAAAGCCGGCGGCAGCAGATTCTTTAGTGTTGTCATTAGCTTGTAAGTTTTTTATTAGTGTTATGTTGTTTCTTGCAAACTTGTTTTTATATCCTTAATATAAAACTATTTGTGTACATTATAAAACACTAGTTCATGACTTATTATGTATGAAATTTAGCATCAGTGTGGTCGGCATTTTCTAAAACAGTCGTTGGCGAGGAAGAAACAGCCAAAGTTGTGAATTTGGATCACTTTCCACCTCAAAGTGTCTCGTCGTTAAGTGTAACATTACTATTGATATTGGTCTGTCGGCCGAAGTTTGAAAATGAAGTTAATCCTTATAAAAAGATGTTGTCGCTGTTCCAAAATGCGCAAGGTAATTTTTGTTATTTATCTATATTATGAGTATATTTTTGAATAATTTAACATTTTTTTAAATTTCAGCTTGGTTTTTATACTTTTTGAATTTTTGAAATTTTTTAGAAGTTTCGTCTTTGGCCAATCTGGAAGCCAGTTTCAAACTAGACTTCTCAACTTTGTACAGTAGACTGTGTGTCACATGTAACGACAAACAACCTATGTTGTTGTTGTACATGGTTCTTCATGCCAATTCTTTCTTCAGAAACTTTGTTTTGTCCAGGATTAACTTGGAAGAGTTGGTGCTACCTGTTTTGAAAGTACTCAACGATGGGTTGACGACAAGTTCCGTAGGATCACATTCGCACCAGACTTACCTGGCAATGATTGTGATTCTTATTTTGAGCGAAGACGACTTTTTCTGTAAATTGATTCACGAAGTTGTAAGTTTTGTTGTAAAGGATGTTTTACTTATATTATTTTATTGTGTAATTCGTTGTTTCAGAACATAAAGTCAGTACCATGGTATCCAAATCTGTCTGATGTTTCTTTGGGAGGACTTACTATGTGTGTGTTTGCCATGACGATACATACGAATACAGTTAAAACAAGGGTAATATATTACGTTATTTTTCTTCGTAATAATAATATTTTAGTGGTTAAAGGTTTTTAATTAATGGTAAGGCTAACAGTAGAATGTTTTGTTTTAGGACAGGTATCTGCACACGAACTGTCTGGCTGCGTTGGCCAATATGTCATCGTCTTTTAAGTACCTGAGTCCTTATGTATCTCAAAAGCTAATTGGATTACTGGAAACGATGACGAAACGACATTCTAAAATGATTCAAAGTCTCAGGGAAAACGCAGAATCTGAAGAACAGGATGAACAAGAACACCAAGGATCTGAACTGGTACGTTTGGTACTCTTTGAATGTTTTTGGCAATATAAGAGGTTGATTTTGCTTAATAGTAGTGACAATTATTAGTCACGGTTATATTTCATTATTTTGATTTACTTAAAATAATGATCTTTGATGTTTCAGAACCGTGACATAATGGCGCTAGAAGAAGGGATACGGATGATTCTGGAAGTGATAAACTCCGCGCTCTGCTCTAACCTCAGGTATAATGCTAACCTGATATACAGTATCTTGTACAAACGTGAATTGTTCGAACAGTACCACCATCACCCCATGTTCCATGACCTGGTGTGGAATATCTACATGGTAAGCTGATACGTGAGATTGTGATATGAGCCGCGAAATATTACAAATGTTCGAACGGGGAAAGTACTTTTTAAAGAAGCTTTCGGTGGAAGTTGCTCGATGGGAAGGGTTAGACTTTGCAATAAGGTTGACCAAATGGGGAATTCGAAACACAACATGCCTTCTAGTCATGTATTTTGTGACTTGTGCAGTAAAGGGCATGGATATACGATGTGTAAATAGCACGTATATAAATGGGAGCACATGGTAACAACACAACTATATAAGTGAAAGCACAATGACCGCCTACCTACTTTCAGGTCATAAACCACTTTTCGTCGCGTATCGAGAATGTGGACGCGACATCGGTTAATGTGGTGCTGGAGGCGATTAAGAAAGAAGCGATCCAGTGGCCAACTGATCGCCTGAAGAAGTTCCCTGACCTGAAGTATCGCTATGTCGAGGACGAGAACACGATTGACTTTTTTGTGCCTTACGCCTGGAGATTGGTGTTCGAGAGTTGTGGAGTCTTCTTCGACTCCCACCTAGTCAAACTCTTCAAAGCGACAAGTATTTAATTGCCTTACTCCGTGCCTATCTGATATTTATATAGTTCATTGTACATTACTTTAATATGTGGTTTTAATAACATTATTTAATATCAGTGTATTGTGGTATGTGTTACTATATCTTTTAAAGGGAAATAAGGTTTCCAAGAAGCTTTATGGGCGTTTTTAGCGTGATTTTGAGGCTATTGGAGGGTTCGTTATGTTTTTAGGTTTACAATAACATAAAAGGACTCCTGTTCTTAAAACCTTTTTTTTTAAATTTGGCCAAACGTTTCGATCGAATTACCTTAGTTATGACTCTAATTCTACGTTAAAATCAGTTTTTTTGCTTTTAGTTTCACGCCCGATAGTGTTTGTTTCCGCGTTATTCGAGTTCATTGTGTGCCACTTGTGAAATAGCCGAATTCAGATCTACGATGAGATCTTGATCCGCATAACTTTCCCTCCTTTTGAATTTCTAGGTCAGCTCTCCCTCTACTCCCTTTTCATAAAACCGAACCCTTTTGGTCATGAATTTTAACTGTATTTCTTCAGCTGTAAAGTGGGCGGCATATTATCAGGCTGTTCGCATTTCGAACATACAACTTTCAAAAGTAATTTGTTGTTTTCCACCGAACGTAATATCCAGTACAGTGGCGTCTAATCGAAAGCTTAATGTGTTGCTCGAGTGTTTTGCTCGTCACAATAGTCGTGTTTTTGTCTGAACTCACACTTTTACTAAAACGCCTTATAATACATTACTTTGCGGCTTCTTGAAGGTTTTTTTATATTATTATAGAAATTCAAGTGTTTTAACTTCCGAACTTGTAATATTATTGTAAATCGTGGCAGATTTGATTATTTTGTTATGACATTGCTCGCATTCTTTCACGGTCGACTAATCTTTACCACTTCCTCAATTTTCACATTTTTTTTCAGAATGATTCCGATTTGGTTTTTCGTAGCATATGTACCAGGAGTCTACGTCAGCTACAGGCTTCTGCGTACATTCTTTGCATTTGTATGGGCAGTCGCCTTGTATAAGATCATTCCACAGTTCTATGGTCCAGCCCTACAGAGATACAAGTCCAGATGGACAGGTGAGTGGGGTCATTTAACAAGTTTTTAAGAAAAAGGTATCAAAAAACAAGTGTAATATTTGAGAGTAAAAGAGAAAAACGGCTGAATTAACAATATAGTTAAGAGCATAAAGTAAATTTACACAGAGTAAGAGTACAAGGAAGGTAAGAGCAACAAAGATTGTCATTAAACAGTGATGGAACACCGGGAAGGAAAAGAAAGGATTTGTCGCGTAGACAGACATCGCTATCACCAATATTACAGTTTTTCCTACACGATTTTGCAAGATTTTGATTGTAATTTGATGACCTTGATGTTTTAGTTGTGAGCGGTGGTACCGATGGCATCGGGAAGGCCTACATGTTCGAGTTGGCTAGGAATGGCGTCAAGAAGTTCATCATCATTGGCAGGAATCCTCAGAAGTTGGAAAGTGTAAAAGAAGAACTGGGTAAGTGTTGGTTGTCTTATTTTATAATTTGAGCATCTACGACCAAATTCAACAAATCTTGATGATTAGTTTAATTTTTGACCACACCAGTCTAGTTCTAATCCTTACTTGTTCAAAAGATATAATTGACCAATCTCAAACATTTACTATTACTCACAATTATTCTAATTTACCGTTTCCAGAAGCGAAAGACTGCCAAGTGCTGACGTTTGTATTCGACTTCTTCGATGGCGACTTCAAAGCGCTCAGAGATTACTTATCAGACAAAAACATCGGATTCGTCGTGAATTCGGTTGGTGTGGGACGACAGTACTTGGAACGGTACGGAGATCGTCCCGAAGCCGATTATCAGATGTTGAAGGTCAACGGAATGGGATCAGCTGAGGTGAGTATCTTGGTTAAACTGTAGACTGGAGATACATTTCCAAAGTGATTTTTGGTCAATAAGTAAACAGAAAATCAAAAGAAAACCGATCTTGCACAAGACTACGCACTGTTTGACCGAAATAGCATATTGTTATGAACAACATCTTCCAACTGTTGTGAATAACATCTATGTTGAAAGTTTTTTACTGAATTTTGAATTTGATCATTAACTAAGACAAACTCAATATTTGTTTGTCACCTATCTACCTTAATATCACACAAACTACTCTACCAACAGTTGTGACCAAGCATGCCGTAAGCAGTTTGACCAACTGTGAAATAATAGTCAAACATTGTGTTTACGTTAGTCATCTGTGATCATAAGTGTTGTAACCACACCCTTGACATAAAATAGTTTTGTAATTATGGTCATTGTAGTTTATGTCATGCGTCTTGCCACCGATGGAACGGAACGGCGGAGGTCAGATGGTGGTACTGTCATCTACACAAGGCATTCGTCCAATCCCACTGTTGGCTGCCTATTCGGCTACCAAGTCACTGATCGCCTTCCTTTGCGAATGCATCGACCGAGAGTACCAGACAGTCAACGTACAATGTCTGATGCCAGCGCTGGTCGCGACAAACATGACCTATTACAACGTAAGTCCATAGAGAGACCACAAGGTAGTCTGAGAAAAAGATCTTAAGGTAGTCAAAGAATATTTGACCAGTATAATGGGCATTGTTAAATAGTGCTTATGTCGTTTTAGAAAGGGTCATTGTTCGTTGTGACACCTGAACAGTTTGCCAAAGAAGCTGTGAGGACACTAGGACTATCTAAATGTACAAGTGGATGTTTTAACCATGAACTACAGGTAAGTTTCTCAATTTATTGAAAGTAAAATATCTGATAGTAGACAAGATATTATTAAAAGTCATTTTGCAAACACATGTAAGCCATAATTTACAGTGCTTGATCCGCCATTTATTCCCATGGACTATTTTGAAGCACCTGATGATGCCAATATATTGGCGACAACAGAATCGTATGTTGAAGTTACATGGTGAGGAGGGAGCGGTCAAGGCCTATCTGGACCCCGCAACGGACCTGAATGCGGATTCAGATGTCAAAAAAGTGAAGAACTCACCCAATTCATGCATTCCACGAAAGATCTCTCGAGTTGTAGCCTTAGAGGAGAACCGATCCAGAGCTTAACTTTAACACAACTTGCAATTTAATATCAGTGCCTAAGGAGTGATAAATGACAGTATATTAACTTATATCATTATTTTTTGCATTTTCCTTATTTTTTAAATTTTTAAAAAATTTTTACGTTGTATGTAAGATCGTCTTACATTAAAACTTTAAATAACAGATTGTATTGTAATATCTAATATCGTGTACCTAAAGTGAATGTGTGTTTGAAATAAAGTGTATTTTGAGCTCGTTTTCCCATTCGAACGGTTACCGTGAACCAAAAACAAACACGTGAACGTTGTATTCGCTCAGTTCGACGTCACTTTATTTGTTTTCAGATACCAAACTGTAATCGCTATACATTTTGGGTCATGTCAACCTGACGTTTGGTTGTTGTTACTTGAACTTTACAAAACGAGAACATCGGCGTGGCGTGTGACAGCCGGCAAAATAGGATACGAATCGCCGTTCCGAGCGTCTGAACGTACGCTTACTCATCGTATCAATCACTTCAGAAGTGATCTGCGAATTTGTCCTCAATTCAGCGGCGATAAGTTCATATATTGCCGCTTCAAACGACTAAATTAATCATAAAGTGTTTAGAATAGATATAAAAGTAGACTTTGTCATCTAATAATGTAGCTGCAACCGTTTTAATCGAAAACTGTAACATATTAAGAAAGGCTCTTTGTAGGACATTAAAGATTGGAGAAATTACATTTTTTAACGTTACAATGTATGTCAACAAGTATACCAAATACTGCTCAAAAGTGTCACACAAGACGCAACTCTCTTGTTTTCGGCGAACTGATAACACAACATCACACACCACTTGAAACTCCTTTCTTGTAAACACTATCGACCGTTACGCCATCAGACAAAAATACAGTACCCAACTATATAACAGTATTTTAGCTTATCTCTGACCCCACAGTTGGTCTAAAGCAAAGAAAGCCTTCACTCCGACAGAGATCTGGTCGATAATTCTTACACTGCATATCTATTGTAACACAATAAACGTTGATTGTAAAATATATAAAGCAAGAATGGCGACAGTCGCCGCTCACATGTATTATATATGACGGTGCACAAAACGTAAAAAGTTTTTTGCAAACCTTCAACTTTTTACTTCAAACATCATTTTATATCAATTTAATAGAGGCTGTTTGCCCCCTGCCCCCCCCTTCCTTCTCCTTCGCGGCTTGATGGTAAAACGTTTGAGCGCTCGGGTGTCGCCTGAAAAGGCCTGCTTCTCTCTGATCAATGATAATCGACTACTTATCTGTTTCTCTTTTACTTCTTAATACTTTCAGAAGATATGGAAGCCCAGCCGTCTTCGTCCAGTCTACAGTTCAACTCCCAGTCTTCCAGTCCACCCACGCCCGAGCATTTGTCCATGAACGGGTCCCAGCCGGCTCTGAATGGAACTGCCAACGATCTCACACAACAGAAACTACAAAGTCAGTTTTGTAATGCAACACATGTTTACCTTTAAGTTTATCTAACACTCCGTTCACTGCTTCACTCGTGACGCTTATCAATTCTTTTTATGTCATTTACTCAAGATTACCTTTAAGTGACGTTTTATGTAAAAGGGTCTGCTCGAGTTGTTATATCTAGAATGCCCATCTCTTTAGGAGTGAAGTCGTTGGAAACGTGTCGTGTTTGTGGCGATGGCCCAGCACGAATGCACTACGGAGTACCGACGTGCTTCGGATGCAAGGGATTCTTCAGACGAACGTTGAAGCGTACCAAGGAGTACACCTGTCGATACAATGGAAACTGTGTTGTGGACAGATGTAAGTCGTCTTTAATTAAATCTTTAATCATTTTTCATTGTTGCGTGTTTAAGTACTGTTAAGTTCATTTAGATGAACGAAACTCGTGCAGGTACTGCAGATTCAAGCGTTGTTTAGAAGTCGGAATGGACCCTAAAGGTAAGATCTTATCTTCACTTTACAAAACAAAAGTTCTTTTTATTCGCATTCATCAGAAGACTAATCGAATTTTCTAAACATGTTCATCAAAGTTAACATTAAGGTTGAATATTGTTGCAGCTGTACGTCCTGACCGTGATGCAGCTGGAAGAACCCATCCTATCAGACATCGTCGCAGCAAAATGTCAATGGATCAGGATGAAGAAGAAGAGGAAGAAACGACGGCTGAATGGGTTCGAAAGCTGCCAGTTGACATGAGGACATTGCTTATGCAAATTATGAACATAGACTTGATGGTACAAAGCGGGGATACCCATGCCGAACCTTTGAGTGTGTACCCTCTTCAGATCGGCTCACTACGTCACATTTTAGAAGAGCCATCGCTACTCGACGGTAAACGAATCGAAGTAAGCTTATATACTTTATTAAATTACTATTTTTAAATAAAACATGATTCAAGACCAATTTCATGCTAATAATTTTCTTTTTAGATGAGATACGAACCCTACCGTCGAGTGTTACCAGACGAGATGGTAGCTGTCGCCCACCGCCGCTTGATCGAAGTTATCGATACCGTCGATCATCTGTCACAGCTAATGGATTTGCACAATATTAATGATAAGGTAACCACGTTTTTTATATCCGTTTTTGTGACTATTTCCAGTCGCCTTTCATTTAGTATAATATATATTGTATATGCCAATTATACTTTTTCAAATCGTAATTTAGTTGGCACTAGTCAAATCCGCTTATGCCCCTTTGGCATTGTTTTCTACCGTATCAATGACAGCCAGAACCACCAAAGACCGTGATGTATTCTGTTTGTGTTGTTGTGGCTACATTGCCAGAGGAATGTCTGCAAAACAGTACGATGCACCATAGTAAGTTGACTGTGTACTATATTATCTAAGCAGTTTCTTATTCTGCTAAAAGTAATGTCATCGCGCAAAACGACAGTCAAAACATCTTATCTTTCAGTCATTTCACAAACCGAATAGTCGATCGAGCATTAGACGAGCTGGTCGAACCCTTCAGAGCATTTAATTTCAAAGAGCAAGAAGTTGCTCTTATGAAAGCCATTGTAACCCTAAATCCTCGTAAGTTGTGTACAGCCTAACAACTATGCTCACTCGCCTTTAAACTTACATATAACTTATCAACGTTTCCTTCAGATTTACGTACCCTCTCCACAGAAGGCTCGGAACAAGTAGCCGATCTACGTGATCGGATTCAAGAAACCCTCTACAATGTAGTTCGAGAATCTCATCCAAAAGAAGTGGCGTCATCTCGGTTTGGCAACCTCCTTCTGTTCCTCCCCACTATAATGTTGCTCGGCAACACGATGTACGAGAATCTACAATTCCTCCAGTCGTTCAGCAACAGAAACGTCGACCCTCTTCTCGCTGAACTTCTGGACAACCTGGATCCCATGCAAGATCCTGGAGTCAATCCCGATGACTTCCTCAACATATCTTCATCAGAATATGGCTCCAGAATGAGTCATTCTCAATCAAACTCATCGATTTCGTCAATGGGAAGCCACGAAGAGTACAATAATGTCATGCTGACAGAACAGTACTATTCTCGGTATGTAAAGGCAACACTATATTTTTGTAACGTGAAAGACACAATATTCTATTACTAATTTCATAATTTTAACTATTTGTAGACGGCAATCTGCAGACCCGTGCATCCCTGTAGCATCAGGTTCAGAACAACAAACTACATCTTCCAACTCAAACTCTGCCCCTTCGTTGGAACAACAACCTCAGGATTCTGATCCAGACTATAACGTTACATTAACAGCCGAAACATTCTCTGGAATGCGACAAGCAATCGCCCAATCAATGGAAGTCGACCAAGACCAACCAGACCAGTCCAACCGACCCAAACCCCACTTCTACATCGAACCCTTTAGCCAACAGAACTTCGTCCAACCCCAACAACAGTTCCAAGTTGGTCAGAAGCATATATTCACCGTAGAAACGGCGAAACAACTCAGTAACTACAACAGTCAGACTACTACAGTCTTCTCCAACACCGAGCCTCTTCAACCACAGATTTCCAAATCTCAGTCTTACCCATACTTTTATCAGTTCCCCAACAACATGAACTTCCAGAACTACAACGGTCAATAAGGTTTTCTGTTGATTAATAATAAATTATCGTAATACATCATTTTAGACATTTAATTCACTTTCAATAAACAGTTAAAAAATGTTATTAATCTTAAAACTTAATACCTCATGCGAGATCCTTTATTGAAATAAAGCGATGTTAGTAGGTTTAAAGCCTGTTAACCGGCAATTATGCTGAACTTATGATACAAAGTGACCAGGGACGTCGCTACGGTTTTTCTCTGGGGGGGGAGGTCGAAAAAATTTTTTTTGGTCCACAGGTAAGCTACCTGTAAACCGATTTTTCAAAAAATTTTTTTTTCGTTTTTTCGCGTACAGGTACCTACCTGTGGATTTTGGATTTTTTTTCGGATCGGCTCTGGGGGGGAGAGTCACCCCGAACCACCCCCCCCAAACGACGTCCCTGAAAGTGACAATAAAAAGTGAACACCGACGCTACAATAATATCACTGTTTAAGACAAGACCGGACAAATGAAAGACACCGATCCACATAAGGGTCCCTATCATCTCTCAAATGACTACAATGACCAGAGTTACCCCAGGTTAGCTCTTTCACGTTAACTCCTCGGCTCTTCTGAATTGCTTGAAACTCTCGTATTGACGAAGCCAAACAAATCGGATCGTTTTCCGAATAGAAGTACAGCTGATTCTTGGGAAAGTCAGCAAAGGATGTTAACATGAAATACGCAAATTGTGTTTCGTAAACATTTGCCTTCACCAACGAAGTGGCATAACAACAAAATCGATGAACTGACAGAAACGACGTAGTTGCCGCTTTCACTGCCATCTTCAGACCCCATGGCTTCTGACCCATCGACAGCGCTTCCGCCACATGCCACGGCATCACATTGGCAGGAGAACTTCAAATTCACAGTAAAATATAATAGAAAAAAACATCCACTTACCTATCAAAAATAAGGCCTTTCACTCGCTCTTTTATCTTGTCACCATCTGTAGCTTCAGCCAGCAGCCTCCATAACATTGCAAACAATGAGCAACCATTCATACTGAAGTTGTGGATGAAGATATTCCTGTTCTCGACCTTATCCATTTGTAACAACTGCTCGTATAAGGTCAACGCGTACCTTTGATATCCACCAAAATGATAAACATCTTTTATTGGCACCGTGAACCTTGCAACCATATACCTAAAGTTAACACAATAATAATAAAGTTAAATACTTAAAAAAGTTATGTGAGCTTACATAATATAATTTTTTCGATTTTAAATTAACACCGTAGTTAACATACACCTTATATATTTGTACCTAAACATCAAAAGACCAGAAAAACGTTGACCTACCCTTGGTCAACGTAAAATTCTGAATACTTTGAAAGGTTTTTGTCAGTAGCATTAGCCCAGCCAGTGAGGATGATTAACGGCGCGTCTTCAGATATTTCATCTTTATGAACTACAGTAATCCCTTCTCTTATTTCTTTATTTGGCTCATTTTCCAACCTTAGACTCGAATTATCTCTTTTGATGTCTGCCAGTCCAGGTGCTAAGGTTCCTTCTTCTGGCTGGACCGTAGCCGTCATCCTAAAACATATTTTGATATAATACATGAAGATATTAATATAAAAAAATATTTTATAATACCGAAGCATGCATCAACACACGAAAAGCTTTGCCCGAGTAAAAAACTGAATTCCCAGAAAAGATTTTAAAAAGTGAAGCTTCAAGGTCCATGAAGGCCTTGAACTAAAAAAAGACAAAACACAAAAATTGCATCACTTTTGAATATAATATTATCAACGGTGAATCTCTTCAAAAACATGTTGGAAGAAAAACTATGTAAAAATATTTTCCGGATTTTTATAAAAGAAGTTGCAAAATGTAAAAGAGGTTTGAAAAATTTGTGCAACACTAAATTAGGTATCAATAATTGGTTTAAAACTGCATTGCTTACAAAAAAAATATTTATGCAAAATTTCTTAAAAAAACTTTTGTTAGTAACCGCCTTGAACAATAAAAGTTACAACTCACATCATGCCAAAATAAAAGAAAAATGGAACTAAGGTGCCATTTCGTTAACTCAAAAGTCTGAAATATTGATTCAAAAAATAAAATAAATATTTAAAATGTTGAACGAAACGTGTGAAATTATCAAATAATAGTTAAAATAACTCAAATCTTGAGCTGTAACAAATATTAAAAAATTCGCTATGTTTCGGCGGTTCTTTGAAGGCCAAACTGGTCTTGATCCGTCAAAGAATCGTCCAGATATGACACTACAAGTTTACCACAAACGAATTTCATTTTCAAAATTCCGACCGCTTCTAATTTCAAACAATTTTTTACAAAAAATAAAATTTCACACTTCGCATCGTTTTTTACACGAAATGTCACTCTGTCTTTATTTCCTCTTTTGGCATGACGTGCAACTACTTTATTAATTTACATACTTCTTTACCAATATTATAGGTCCCACCACGAAAGGATTGTTATATCAGGCAGACTCGGTCGTAACATACATTATGTTGGAATTTTTCAATCTAATAAAAAGACGGTCGGCTACGTGAAAGTGTGTCACGTTGTCTGCTTTCCAGAAGATTCATTTATCGTGATAATATCTGTGATCCAATTTTTTTATGTAGAATGTTTTTTTGTATTTCGTGTGGCTTTTATATTTTTTTTCTTTGTTAATTAAAATTTAACAAATGTTTTTATAGTACATTTGGGTTTTCATAATCATGGCAGATAGAAGAAACAAGCGTGGAAAGAAGGTAAATACTTATTTTATTTTTTTATTGTTGTTTAGGACGAGGCAGAGTCTGACCAGTTGTCGAAGGAGCAGGAATCATGGGCAAGTTATGTTAGATTCAACTGTCCAAGCAAAAGTCGACGTTTGAAGGAAATGACGTCGATTATTTTACTGGTAAGCAATTTTTATTGTTATATTATACAGTTTTAGAAGGTTGTCTTACATTTTCAATGGTTTGCTAATTGTTCTTTTGATTTTCAGGGCAAAAAGCTGTGGACACCTTGCTAGATTCAAAAAAGTTTGGAGCCAACTCAAAAGATCCTAGATTCTCTAATCGTGAACAAGCTATTGCCTTTATGAAAGTTCTGTTGGAGCGTGGTTTCTTTTTTAGAGCGAAGGTTCTTGTTCCAAGACCCAAGCCAAGGCCAGGAGCTTCTCAGGACACCAAAGATTCTCCAAGAATAAAGAAGATCAAGGAAGAAAAGGCATACGAAAGCGGAAAAGACAACGAAACCGCTAATGAGTCGTCTGCGGAGCAAAAGAAGGTACGTTTTTCCGGATTGTTGTACTTTATTGCTGTTTTAAGCACATTATTTTTGTTTTATATTTACATGCGTTATACTTTTGATTTTTATCTTTTTAAGTACACTAGTAATCTATTTATTTGGGTGGATTGTAATATTTTTAGAACGATGAGCGTCGCAAAAAGAAGATCAAGTTGATCGCACACGATTCTCAATACTTTAATGATGATTCCGATGTGTATATTTGGGTTTACGATCCAACTCCGTTGTACAAAAAGATTATTGGTATTTGTATCAGTAAGTTCAGCGGATTGTTTACAATTTGTTTTTAGTTCTCGGTGTCATCGCTGGCTGTTTGTTCCCTCTTTGGCCGGAATGGATGAGACTTGGAGTATATTACCTTGCTATGGCTGGTATCATCTTCTTCGCGGTTATCTTGGGTATTGGAATAGGTGAGTTTATTTGTTTATTGTTTTGCGGGTTTAGATATTAAATTTCTTAGGTGGTCGATTGTGCCTTACGCAAGTGTCTACGCGTAGTTTTTTTTTGTATTTAAAAAACGTCAAGTTAATGTTACTGTCTTTAGCAAGAACAATCTTATTTGGCATAATTTACGCGTGCACCCTTGGCAGACATCACTTCTGGTTCCTTCCTAATCTATTAGCGGACGTTGGATTCTTTGAGTCCTTCCAACCTGTATATACTTACGAATACGTTGATCCGAATGCTCCGAAGGAGACTAAAAAGGAAAAGAAGAAGGTCAACAATAGTGGAGATGCCAAACCGAAGAAGGAAAAGTCGAAAAAACCTGAAGGTATGTCGAGTTTACGACGGTTATTATTTATCTATTTGAACATTCAACCATTAATGTGGTTTGTCTTGCAGAAGAAAAGAAGGTTGAAGAAGAGAATGTGGTAGAAGATGTACCATCAGATGGTGAGGAAAACGAAGATGCTGAGAAATACTCGAATCCGTCTTCGGAATCAGAAGGAAAGGCTGAGGAAAACGAATCAGGATCCAGCAGCCCAGTCGAAGCTAGCCCCAAACCAGCCACGGGCGACGTACGAAGACGTCGGAATGTGAGGAAAGTCGAGGACGACTACGTTCTTGTAGACGGTGAATAATTTCGGTGAAATATTTACTGCAAGTAATATATTGTAAATCATTCTAATCCCCCATGTTCGGAGACTACTAACCTATTTATTTGATAACTGATAAGTTAGATAAGATGCATTCATTGGTTTATTTGAAATGTATAAATTTGGATATTATAAACAAGTGCAGATACATCATGAACACAAATAATTTAATAGATAATAAAAATCTTCCGCGTAAAAGTACATTAATTACTTTTTTGATGACCCCGTACTGTTGTTCTTGGCCTTTGGGCCGCTTTGTCGTTTCGATGGTTGGTTGAGATTATTCTTGTTGTTCGGAAGTTGGGCTTTAATGTTCTTTAATGGCACAGGCTGTTTTGTGGGTAACCTAGCACCTAAAACATAGCTGACGAACACGTTCCAAAAAAATTTTCATTCTCTCGATTCTTCATATACAATATAATTAAGTAAGTTTAAAGAAAAAAATTGCCAAAAAGCTTACCTGTTGGCTGAGAAATTGAAGGTGGAGGTTGAGACATCCATTTTGGATTGTAAAACCCTTGTCCCAGAGGGGGTGGTGGATGTCCGTAAGGTAAAGGCGCATGATTGAGATCTATAGGCGGCGGAGGCATCCACGTTGGCGGAGGAATGAACGGTGGGGCCGCGCTCTGGGACGGGTACCCTTGAATGTTTGATTGACCTAAAACTATAAATATGTGAATATTTAGACTTACCTCCGTGCATCATCATCATTGGCGGGATCATTGGAGGTATCATTGGTGGTAGATCCATGGGCTGGTTATAGAAATGCTGTGGTGGGGGCCTCATATTGTTGGCTAAAATGGTCATTTCCACATTTTTGTAACATGCCATCATACGTAATATATTAGGTGGTGATTCAATACTAATGACTTACCTTGATGTGTATCTTCTGAAAGCATAGGAACATGGGTAAGATGATTTATGGCTTCTACGGTAACACCATTGGACCCTTTAGTTTTCTCAGCTTGCTTGTTCTTTTCACCGCTTCCGTTACTCGTGGATTCCTCAGAAGCCTCCGGCTTTTTACCTTCATCTGCGTTAAATATGCGCTGTCGGATCTTGTCGTAGTTAGCAATTCGTTCCTAAAACAAAAATATAAATCTAACTGAGACCATACAATTTAAAAGACTTTTGAAATAAAAAAGTCATGAGTTTTATGAAAATGACAATAAAAAGCCTAAAACATACGTCGAGTGTAAGTTGAGCTAGCGTCTTGGTGGCTTCTTCAGATTCCGAAGTCCTGGACTGCCTCGTTGGTTTTTCCCGTTTTAATAATCGTAATGGTTTCTGAATTATACTAAACACCAATTAATCAAGAAAATCAATCCCTACCTGCCGATTCCTTGGTCGTTTGTGGGTTTCTCATTCTGAAGGCACTTCTCTTCGGCCGCGGCACTTTTTTGTTGCCGTTTCAGAACGGCCTGTTTCTGTTGAGCCAGTTGGGAGACATGATCTGATGGCACGGACTCCCAGTCATCTACCACAGCATCGTTGTTCAAAACGACCGAGGTCATGTAAGGACAACACACACCAGTTTGATAACAACAACAAGCCCTGAATAATATTATTGTACAAAGTCAAAGTAAAGAAACGCTAAAAGTAAACAGTAAATAATGAAACGAAACAGCGTATTAAAGTGGATGTGCAAAACCAGTTGGTCAAGCCTGGAGGAAATCTTTTTTCAGTTTTCGGGAAAATAAATTGAAGTGAGGGCGCAGCTAGAAAGCGAACAAAGAATATTTCTTATGAAATTGCTCGTACAAGTAATATTGCAATTTATTTTAGTTTTTAAATACTCGTTTAATACAAAATTTTAAACTTACATTGTTTTTGTTTACGCGGTAATTTTGTGCTTACTATACTGTTTTTCTTGTAATCTCTGTGGTTTATATTACGCACGCGAATCTATTATACTCGCGGTTAATCGTAGTTCTTACTAAAATAACATAATGAAGACTTTGTTAAAATAAAGATCAATTTATAGGTTCAGGCACGATACTATAGGATCGTTTAGATGGTTCTATTCGTCCGGAACCCTGACTTCACGGTAGAACCTCTTCGATTGACTTCTTCCGGTTCCATTTTTGCCTTCAAGGCCTGCAATTGGAAACACATAACATCTAAAGCCGTGCAAAGTAAGTAACATTACCATAATATATATATAGGTTATCTTTTAAAGCTTACTATCGTATGAACTAACACTGATGCACAATGATCCTGAAGCGAATCGGTTTCTCCACTCTTGTCAGCGGTGTTATTGTTCGGTGGCTCTCCCAACAACCGACCAGTGCGGCACTGAAGGGTACTGTGCATTCGTCCCAATATCGCTTTATTCAAGAAGGCAAGGACTAGAGGAATCTGCACCGTGCAGTTGTAAAATTCTTCCAGACAGGCTGACTTTTGGGAAAATCGCAAGCCTTTGCACCATGCAGAGTTCCTCGCGACTAGCGTTTTTGCTAAACCGGCTCGAATAAGTTTACGTCCGGCCCAAAACAATTTTGGACCAGTCCGGATCCATATAAGAATTTTGCTTGTGAATAAGGTCCAAATCATAATAAAACTGTGCGCTTTTGATATAAAAATTTTCTTCAAATAGTGTAAAATCAAAATATTTTGTGTCTAAAACAATCTTATATTCACCTTACCAATGCTTTTTAGTTATAGCATGCATGGCATAGTTTTTAATTTGCGTAAAAATTTTGTAGGAGCTTGAAAGTTAAAATAAAAAATAAACATGGTCAAACTTTATTTTATAGTTGATACATGATGCAAAAATACCAGCAAAAATTGAAATATGTAGTATTTAACATGTACTTGCTAATACTAATGTAAAACTTTCAAAAAATTTTATAAAAAAATTAAACTTCTGTCCCGCTATTTTTGGTTCGACCCAATATTCAGAACCTAATAGGTTTATGTATCCCAGATGGTTTACATGGCACTGTGACCTTCGACCTTGAGTACGAACTTGAAGTACATAGAGTTCATCTGTTCCAAAATGATGAATGTGAGCACAGTGTGAGGGCCTAGTCTCATGTAGTAAGGTGTGAATCCTTTCCACAATGCAAAAAATCCTTCGTTTTTGACCACCTTCTTCAACACATCCACGGCTCCAGAGTATTCTGGCTTTCCGTCAATGACCTTCATGTTCTGGATTCTGGAAAAAAACTTAAATGTTTATGTACGGCACGATTTTTTTTTCATTCCTTTTGGGAAGTACTGATACAATAGCAACGTAAAAAAAACAAAAAGTAATATATAAATAAACAAAACCTTTACCGTGTCTTAGCAATGTCAACAGGCATGCTGGCAATAGTTGTGGCCAGTCCACTGATCATGGAAGCCACAAAGTGACAAAAGATGCCGTCTTCTAAGTACTGAGTAGCCAATATGGCTTGTTTAGCTTGCGAATATGTAGCCAGTTGAGCAGCATTGACAACCATAGCTCTCCCGATTGTTGGTATACATCCCTAAAAGCAATACTGAAATATGTTTATAAAACTGTACTCGCTATTTATTGCCGAACTTAACCAAAAACCCTATAATCAACTAAAAAACAACTTACTCTCCACAGAGCACGCAGACCTTCTTCTTTGTAGATCCTGGCAATAGCATTGAAGACGCTAGTGTAATTTCGTCGTTCTGCTGCTGGAAGACGTCCATCTGCTGTCATGCGAATCAAAGCGACTTCTGTTGGATTACCCACAAAAGAACCAATAGCACCAGCAGTCATTCCGAGACCAGCCTTCATCAAAAACGACGGCGTCTTGTCTTTGCTGCACATATTATCCACATATTATTCATTACAACACATTTTATATTAGTTTACATTTTAAGAAACAACTAATTAATTCAGAAAATAATAAATATTCTTACACAAGAACTATAAACATACCTAAAAGTTTCAAACAACCATGTGTAAATACCCAGTCTAGTAGTAGTGTAAGATGCCTGTCGAGCCAGTCCAGCTGAAAGCCCGTTATATACAGACAGAAATCCTTCATTAGCCACGATAGTCCTCAGGGCATGTAAGCTGGATCTATATTCTTTCTTCCCTGTCGTTCCCGAGAGCTGCATCCGATTTTTCACCAAATCCAACGGCTGTACGAACAATGTGGCCCCCATTCTAAACCATGAACAATATAAATCAGAGACTTACCCCGCAATACCTCCAAACGCAAACTTTACTCCATTTGGAATACGTTTCTGATCTGCCATTGTTCCTTATTTGCCGTTGATAAGCCGTTTCCTGAAAAAACGACAGATCTTCGACAAAATTTTGTTTTTTTTTGCGCGAAAATAACAAAACAAAATGACATTTTATACGACGAAAGATGTCGAAAGAATACGGTAAATGAATAAAAAATGTTTTCTCATCGTTTCTTAGTTAATAGTATTTTCAATTAGCCTTTTGTCGATTTTTCTAAAATCCAAAGGTAAGCATAGAATCACGGACAGTAAATTACTTCTTTCTTCCATCACCAAAGATAACAAATTATCAAAACAGTCACGAAGTAAACAAACGCAAAGAACTGTTTTTACTTTTTACAACATTTTGAACTTTGTCAGATAAAAGCCAATGTCAAACCTGCTTACTTTAGGTTTTCAAATTTAAAATTGAAGGAAACATTTTAACTTTTATCGCGGCCAAAATACATATATCAGATATTTCAGACAATTTGAGTAATTAACAAAACTGCACTGAAAAGCCCTTTTTTGGTTATTTTAAAACCCACAAAAGTGCAAACAGTACGTGTTATAGCCAGGAAAACAACAAGTGACCGCTTTAATGTCGGTCCTTTAGTTTGTTATTTACGTGCTTTTCGGAAACTGAAAAACGGCGTTTGCAACAGAACGTTCGCCCTTCCTCTAGCGTTCTTTTCTCAAATCACGTTTCAAAAGTTTTGATTTTATAATTCAAACTTAAAACATTATTTTGTACAAAGTAAAAGAAACTGTGAACGGAATACGACTTTTTCACAACTAAATTTGTTTCCTACAGTTCTTTGAGCAAGTGTACTTTAACGTACCTGAAGTTCATTTTAAGTAAACAAAAAGCACGTGTTATCAGTTTAGCTCACGAACAACCATGTGGTATTATCGCTGTTTAAAAATTTTATTGAACGATTATTGTGTCATAATTGGTGGGTCGGGATCCTCAAAAAGAAGCTATACACATTTTTTACAAATATAATTAAAAAATCTTACAAGGGAAGTAACTTAAATCGCCCCTCGACTTTAGGTCGAAACCTATATATTCTTAAAGCCCTGTACTCAATGAGTACGGACCTGAAAACCGTTTTTCCGTATGGCTTTTAGTTTTCGAGAAAATCGACTTTAAAGTTTGACCGAATCCCCATAAGGAAAGCGCGCGAGTCTACCGGAAATAAAGGAAAGAAACCAAGCGGCGGCGTGGCCCAGAGGGTAAGGCGTTCCGTTTCCAATTCAAACCACGTGAGTTCGATTCTGGAGTCTCTAAATCTTTTTTTTTAACAACACTTTCAATATGCAAATTTTTGTAGTTTTAAAAAATAAAAATTGACATAAGTTCTCTAAATAAAAAATCGTTAAAGAACATTGCCTAAAGGGGTAATATATTAAAATAAGCAAAACTCATGCTTTTTGTTCATTGTGCTTCTGGGCCATGCTGCCACTTGTTTTCTTCACGTTATTTCCGATAGCCTTTTCGGCGCGCTTTCCTCCTTATGGGGATACGGTCAAACTTTAAAGGCGATTTTCTCGAAAACTAAGGTCCATACGGAAAAACGGTTTTCAGATCCGTACTCAGTGAGTACAGGGCTTTAAGAATATATAGGTTTCGACCCAAAGTCGAGGGGCGATTTAAGTTACCTCCCTTGTTAGTTAAGTCTGCTAATTTGACATCATTAATCAGGTTTGTCATTTTTTAAAATATGGCATTAGTTCATTGTTTGTTTATGGTAATGGAGAGACCGTTATGGCCGCACAAGATGTTCACTCAATATGACAACTCTTTTACCGGCTAGGGTTTCAAAGACGGGCGGCGACAAGAAAAGACACTCTTGACACTTTCACCTGTACATCCCTGATCTTGGGATAACATATTCAAACACTTCTGTCCCGCACTTGACAATTAGATCCGATTGCAACTATTGTTTCCACTTTCGCATATTATTTTAAGTGCTATTGACTGGCGGGCATACGGTAGTGAATATTGATTAGCATGGGTACGGTTCGTTAAGGATTTACATTAATTAATTGTCAAACTGTACAACAAGTACTTATAGTACATATAGAAATACTAAATGCTTTTTATCATTTGTAAGAAAGTAAAGAAGCATTTAAAATCAAATACTATTAAACTCCTGTGTTCAAAAACAAGTAACCCTTTAAATTAAGTAACTAGATAGTTTATTAATCATAAGAAGCTTTGACTTCACCGTTCAGCAGACTTTCAATAGTAAAACAATGTGTAAACGAAGGTTTGTTAACAACATTAGTACTCTTAAGTTGTTGTTTATCTTGATTGATACGACGAGACTTAGCCCTCCGATTAGAAAACCAAACCTGGATTCTGGCATCTGGAATAGTCGTAAGGTGATACAATCGTTGACGCTCTTCCAACGTCGGGTACTGATTCTTGTCAAAGGATTCTTCTAATATATGGAGTTGGTCTGAAATTTCAAGTTTTAAAGAGTCTTTTTGGTGCAAAAATGTCATACAAGTTGTAACTTAAACTTTTTAGAACAAAATTTTCATTTTACACAAAAAACTATTTAAAAGAAAAAAATTAACCGTGGATTACGGTTAATTTTGACGATTAAAAAACTTACCAGCAGAAAAACTGCTTCGAGAACATCGTCGTGGTGTTGAGAACAAAGAGTATTTACATTGATTGGCCGTGTTCTTGTATAGCAAAGCCTGTAGTTGTAATAGTGCCGGAAGAGGAAACGAGTTCACTCCATTATCTGAAATTAAGTTTACAGTTTAAACTTTTCAAAAAAATTAAAGCTATAATATCTATAATATCCTGTTCATTATTATTTTTATTAGTATCTACTTACTTTGAACATTGCTCTGATTATCTGCATTGTGGATGCCTCTTTGAAAGCCTAAGGCGGTGTGGCTCTTTAATAACAAACTTAGGCTTTCAGCTGTTTTCTCAGCCGTTTTCGTCCTAATGATTCTGTTGATGGAGCTAACACTAGGCGGTTGTTCACATACGGCTACAATAATGTCATTTAGCAAAAGTAAAATGTAAAATAGTATTAAGATGACAATAAAAACAAAATTTTTAGAATTTATGTGATTTCACTATACCTTCGTTAATTAACCGTTCTCGAATTTCCCATGCGAAAATAGTCGGATTTTCTTTTTTGTATTGTTCAATTTTGGCGACTACGTCTGGTGTGGCTACCTAAACTGCTGTATGTTAATTTGAGTGACTTTTTAAATAAAAAGTTGAAAATTATAAAAAAATCTAACTAAACACGTACTTTAGGTTTAGTCCCAATATTGTGATTAGTCGGACTAAAATTGTTCATTGTAAAGCGTCTCAAAGATTTATTACCTAAAATATTTATGATTAACTTTTAATTTTAAAAGGAAACTACATTTAAAACAAAAAATAAGATATTATTAACTTTTTTAAACTTGAGACCTTATAAAAAGTATAAATTTTTCAAATTTAGCCGTTTATAATATAACCTTACTTGCCATTACTATAAAAATGTAAAGCAAGTTACTAACTATCAATTATCTTACCCCAGATATGCAGAAGCTGTTCCTGAGATAACTTTTCAACTCTCGACCGCTCTCGAGTCATTAAGCGTTGGCCGACTGCGCGAAAAACATAATATGACTTCGGCGGAGTACTGTAAGTAAAGATTGCGTCTTTGAAAGAGCGCCACTCTCAATTATACCTAACGAGCTGGCCAATCGCTTGGAAAGGCGTGACTTTGATCTCATTAGCTTCATAATACTTAGATTGGATTGAATAAAATTATTTGAATGTGAATTTCAATGCTTGTTTGACAGTTTCGCTGCTTCTTTTGCACTAATTTATAACTTTTTAAATCACTTAAATTGATCCAGATCAAAAGTTTTTGGAGACAATGTAGTTTTCACTATTATTTATAACTTTAGTTTATCATATTGTATATCTATCAGCAATGAAAAGTAACAATACCATGGTCACAATGCAAAGATATTGTCATTTTTCTCGACAAAACATTGAGAAGATCAGCTTACGGTAAGTTTCAAGTGATACGATATATTATCAGAGTATATATTTTTAATGATACACTGTTTGTACAAAATAATGTTTATTAAATATTATGAGTTTTCAGTGAAATAAGTTAACGTTCCACAAATGACATTTGTAAACAGTATATGTTTCGCACTCAGCGTGATGAGCACATTAGTCCACGGTGGGTTGGTGAGTGCTGCGATGGCATTCTCATGTTTATTTAGTTTAGATACCGTACACGATAGAAGGTAAAATATTAAACATCATAATCTCGTTGATCGTGATACATACAAGAAGGAGTAGTGGTGCTTTTGAAAAAGCTCTTTTCATTGCAAATACATATATTTTCAACAGAAGTCTTGCTCTGCATTATAAACGACTATTGTTTTTACCCACAACAAAACTCCACGTACTTTAGTTTTGCACAAAAAAACGAATGTCAAAATGCCATGCAAACTATCTATGACAAATTAATTTTTAAAATTGAATTTTTGGCTTTTATTAGAATAGTAGATTTTTCTACACATAAATACATGAACTCGTACTATTATAATATAAAATGTTAAAACCATATAATACAGTAACTTGAATAAATGTGGAATTTACAAGTAATTTAATGTTGCTCAAACCCTTTAAATTTGCTCTCGAACTCATCTCGCAGTTTGGGGTCTAGCTTCTCGTACAGGGCCAGAACACGTGGCCATCGTTCTTCATTTGGCAAAGCCGGGTTCCTCATCACAGCTGATATCTTGGCAAACTGTTCCTGAGCTGGATCTGACATTTCATTCACATAACTGTGCATTCTGTTTCTGTATTTTTCATCAATCTTATCGTTCTCAGACATAAATTCATGGTATTCCAGCTAGAAGTAAAAAGGTGGAGCATTAATAGTATTTTAGTCGTTAAAATTATAAAGTAGTTATTAACATACCTGATGTCTGTCGTCCAATGTCGCTACAAGCTTCTCCAGTTCCTTAACTTGTTCGTCGTAACGGCTGTTCGGCTTTCGTATAATGTCTTTGTATTTTTGTATCACATCGTCGCTGGCCCCTTCCAAAAACTTTGGCAGTGATAAGGAAGATTCTGGTTTACTTGGCTCTACAGATTCTTGTGGCATTCCGTGAATCACTTGAATTGGCGGTTCTGACTGAAAGTTGGCTTGGAAATGGAGAGGTCTGCCTCCGAATCCTTGATAATCACTTCTTTTGAATTGCTCACGATAAGGGTTACTTTCACGGTAGCTGTTCTCTTGTTGATCGTTGAGAAGATGTTGTCGTTGTAGCATGGCAGCGTTTTGGTGATAAGCTGCGTAATCTGACCCGATTCCGTAATTTGATTCTAATGGGTTACCGAAAGACATGGGGTTGATAGGGTTTATGGCTTCTCCGTAGATTGGTCTAGGTTGTCTGATGGGGACTGGAGCTCTTCTAACTTGTTCAAACATAGGCACCGGGTAGAAGTTCGAAGGCACAATGGGTGAGAAGTACTGTGCCGACGCTATTAACGGCAACAACACATAACCGAACCACATTTTGAAAGTGAATGTCATCCTCAGGATAACTACATGAGCTTGCTCCCATCCGGTTATCCAAAACAGGTAGAAGATCCGCCCCAACCGGTCAGAGGTTGAGTTACCTCAAACAAGCGCGGCTACACGCCGGAACGAACATTTTCATTTTTGCGGCACTTGACCTGAATCCAGTTCTGCAGAAACAACTAAGACTAATTTATTTAGATACTTGCAAAATACAACCTAACAATAGACTGGATTACTGTAAATTAGCTTATTAAGATTTAGGCTTGTGGGTTGCGAAATTTCTGACCAGCGTAGAGGGCGTCAGATCCCAACTCTTCTTCAATTCTCAATAGTTGGTTATACTTGGCCAAACGCTCAGAACGGCACGGAGCACCGGTCTTGATTTGTCCAGTGGCCAGACCAACGACCAAGTCAGCAATGAAGGTGTCTTCGGTTTCTCCGGAACGGTGAGATACCATCACTCCCCAACCGTTCTCACGGGACAAACGAGCGGCTTCAATCGACTCGGTGACAGATCCGATTTGGTTCACCTAACAACATATATTTATATACAGCAATCTTATAAAAGATTAATGACTCAAAAAAGTAATTACCTTCAAGAGCAAGCAGTTGCAAGCCTTCTTCTCGACGGCGGTCTTAATACGTTTGGGGTTGGTGACAGTCAAGTCATCTCCGACCAATTGGATCGAGGTTGAAGCCTGGAACTTAGACCAGTTCTCCCAATCGTCCTGGTCGAAAGCATCTTCGATAGAGACGACTGGGTACTCCTTGACAAAGGATTGGTACAGTTCTCCCAGTTGTTCTCCAGTAAGCCATTTCGAGGAGTCCGAGTTGGGGTTCTTGAAGTCGAGATCGTACTTTCCATCCTTGTAGAACTCGCTGGCAGCGACGTCCATTCCGATGGTTACCTTTCCAGAATAGCCGGCAAGATCGATGGCAGTCTTCAACAAGTCCAGACCTTCCTTGTTGTCCAAAATGTTGGGAGCGAAGCCTCCTTCGTCTCCAACGGCAGTAGCGTCCAAACCATATCGCTTCTTGATTTCGGCCTTCAAGTAATGGTAGATCTCGGATCCCATTCTCATGGCTTCCTTGAAGGTGCTGGCTCCAGTTGGCAAGATCATGAACTCTTGCATAGCCAGCTTGTTACCAGCATGAGAACCTCCGTTGATGACGTTGAAAGCAGGCACGGGTAAGATCACTTGCTTCACTCCAGCCAGTTCAGCGATGTACTTGTACAAAGGTAGACCCTTGTGAACGGCACCAGCCTTGGCAACGGCGAGCGACACACCAAGGATGGCGTTGGCGCCAAAGTTGGCTAAAATAGTTTCTATTAATTCCAATTATTTTATAACAATTAACCGTAAGCCTAATTTTAAAAGTTTATCACTATGTTTAAGAAGCTAAATACGGATCTACAACAATATAAATTCACTTACATTTGTTCTCGGTTCCATCCAATTCGATGATAAATTTGTCGATGGCGGTTTGTTCGGTCACCGGGATACCCTTGGCAACAAGAGCTGGGCCAATCTTCTCATTGATGTTGGAGACAGCCTTCAAGACACCCTTTCCATGGTGAACTCCCTTTTCCTTGTCGCGAAGCTCCAAAGCCTCGTGGACTCCAGTAGAAGCTCCAGAAGGCACGGCAGCACGGAAAACGCCCTTGTCGGTGGTCAAATCAACCTCGACGGTTGGGTTTCCACGAGAGTCGTAGATTTGGCGGGCGAAGACACGGACAATCGACATGGTTCAACTAAAAGAAGAACAGTTTAACTAAAACAACACAAAGTGAGAAAATTTAAGAGCGACAAACTTTAGGCGATTCTCGAACTTTATAAACTGCGACCAATAAAGACAAAAACGCACCATCCCAAGCAAAACGGTAAACACAACGAAACATCTGAAATTCACGCAAACAAGAGAACGAAACGGAGAGGAACGTTCCGGGCCAGCCTCAATAATGCCGCTGTCCGTTCTTATTAGATATTGAAGGGACGAGGAGACGGCGAAAGGACGAGAGAGATGGCCTTACAACTGAAGTGCTGCAATCAAAAATAATATCAGAGCCGGAAGCAATCACTTCATTATAAAATGATAAAACAGATTTTAGAAAAACTTATTGTAGATCTTCCTTTTCATAATAATTTTAAATTACAATGAAATAAAAAATGCATAACTATGATAGTATTCATATTCCACAAGAGTCCGATCTACAACAATATAGGTTACGTTTGCGTAGACAATAAAGGCAAAACTACCCAGACCAGGCTAAAAATAAATGTTGTGTATGGAAGTTAAAAAACTATAATAATAAAAACACACAAGTTATCAGTTCATATATATTGAGCTCAAAGTAGTTTGTACTTTTCTTGAAAAAACAACTCGAAAAACAAATCTGATGCAAGTTAGGCTAACAGAATCTTAAAATCTATAGTGTCATTTCGCGTTTATATTTGACGGAATGCAACAAAAAATAATATTTCACCAAAAAATATTTTTAATGTAATATATATTAATTTTTACTATTTCTCGCGCTAACATCAGATAAATATTAGTTGCTTTAATGAAATGCATATTATAGTGCACATTTTCAGGTTATGGGGCTCATTAAAAAGTATGGTGTTGTTATTGGTACAACTCAGGAGAATGGATCAGAGAAGTCGGCTGTCTATTGCAAAGATGCGAAGAAACTACTTGTGATGGAACTGGAGGGTTTTCAGCAAGGTGCTGTCTTTAGTTTCTCGTACGATAATGATGGTCTCATCTGTGACCTTCGCGTTATCGATGAGAATGCTAACATGGAGTACGAAGTATGTTTCGTTTGATTTAAATTTCATTGTTTAGGTGTATCTGAAATTTGTGACAGCTCTTTTTAGGTCAAGCGCTTAAAAATTGGAACAACAGTAGCAGAAGGAGATCCATTTCTGACAGGACAACACGAAATATTTGGAACGATTGGAATACCGTATGGACCTCACACTAAGCCTGGGACATATGTTGATGTAGGGATATAAAGATGAATTTATTTTTATTATCAATACCTTTGTTTTTTCTGACTTATGAATTAATGTAAAACATGCTTTAGGTGAAAGTTTCGTATAATGATCTTATCAGTGACGAGTTCTCGTGGTATGTCACAAAGGTATTTGACTATCGTACAAAGGAGTATGTTAATGTATGTTTTTGTGGTTTTTTATTTAGATTTTATGTAGCGTGAATACTTTATTAACAACATCTATCACTGTCTCGTAATGTCATTTTCAGTCTCTTGGATGTAGCACACCAATGTCTATTTTATATGATGACGTTCTTGATGAAGAGCTGTCTATCGATGTTCACAATCTAAATCGGACTATGGATTCGTCGTGTTTGAACCAGACATCTACTGATTTTGATGAGGAATTGGAAAACTCGGTGGACCCTGATATTTATGGCCAGAACATGATGGACGTTAATTTTTTAATGCGAGATTTCTATTTTACAGAGCCAATTCTACCACAAAGTGATGACATAGAGTTTAAGTTGTTGGAGAAATACAAAAGGCCAGACCTTGAAACTAAGACGTTTAAGGTTTGTTTTTTAAAAGACGATTTCTGAGACCGTGAAGCAAGGTGTGCACTAGAAATTTACCCCCTGTTTTTATTTGCTAAATCTATGAGATAGACGGTTTTAAGGTATGTGGTAAAGTGATTTCGGACAAAATGCTGTTTTAGCACTTTTATGCCATTTTTTGTTAACATACTGTTAAAATATACCAAAAAATCAATAGTCCGCCAAATGTTCTGAAAATTTGTACACTTACGTTTTTGACCATGCCAAAAAATATTGTAATTGAAAATTTTTTTCTATCGGTACCGTAACCTACCGTAATCCGACCGGTCGATTATAAAAGTGCAAATATCTAAAAAGTTAACACGGATCTTCACAGGCAATTTTTGCATATTTAAAATCTCCATGAAATTTGGATCAGCATAGGCTATACACCCGTTTCTAGTCCGGTGGGTTTTGGGGGTTTTTGGTCGATTCAAAAATTACGGTAGCAGACCGTGAAGAAAATAAAATTTTTTTAAAAAATCCAATAATGCATCAAACGTTTTGAAATTGTGGATAGTTATGTTTTTGACCATGCCAAACAATATTGCAATTGAAAATTTTTTTCTATCGTTACCGTAACCTACCGTAACCTACCGTAATTTGACCGGTCGATTATAAAAGTGCAAATACCTAAAAAGTTAACACGGATCCTCATAGGCAATTTTTGTATATTTAGAATCTACATGAAATTTGGATTATCATAGGCTATACCCCCGTTTCTAGTCCGATGGATTTTGGGGTTTTTGGTCGACTGAAAAATTACGGTAACATACTGCCTAAAAGTTTAAAATTTTACTATGGCTTTGCTAATGCACTGATAAGCCTAAAAATTTGCATACTTACGTGTTTTACCATGCTGACCAACTTTGTAATATAATTTTCTCCCTGAATGTACCGTAACCCACCGTAATCTGACCGGTCGATTATAAAAGTGCAATTTTCTAAAAATTTAACACGGTTGTCCTTAGTCAATTTTAGCATATTTAGAATCTAAATAAAAAGTAGACATTGATAGGCTATAAGCTCATCTTTAAAACTGCCAATTTTGAGGATAATCGAACGGCCGGATTACGGTAGGTTGCGTTACTTTTAAAAAACGATTTTTTATTACGAAGTTGTTTAGCATGGTCAAAAACATAACCATGCACAGTTTCAAAGCGTTCGATGCATTATTGGATTTTAAAAAAAAAATTATTATTTGCACGGTCTGCTACCGTAATTTTTCAGTCGACCAAAAACCCCCAAAACCCATCGGACTAGAAACGGGGGCATAGCCTATGATAATCCAAATTTCAAGTAGATTCTAAATATACAAAAACTGCCTATGAGGATCTGTGTTAACTTTTTAGATATTTGCACTTTTATAATCGACCGGTCGGATTACGGTAGGTTACAGTAACGATAGAAAAAAATTTTCAATTGCAATATTGTTTGGCATGGTCAAAAACATAACTATGCACAATTTCAAAACGTTTGATGCATTATTGGATTTTTTGGTATATTTTAACAGTATGTTAACAAAAAATGGCATAAAAGTACCGAAACGGCATTTTTTCCGAATTCACTTTACCACATACCTTAAAACCGTCTATCTCATAGATTTAGCAAATAAAAACAGGTGGTAAATTTCTAGTGCACATACCTGTTACAGGATGCTTCACGGTCTCAGAAAGTCTCTTTTAACTTATTTTAGATAACCGTTTAGTTTGTTCATTTAAGTCATAAAACTTTTAAAATTAAAACTTTAAAGGAATGATTTTTCAGGACAAAGTCATTGTGTTAGGCCGTTCTTCAAACTTTTCCATTGTTTTGTCGTACAGTGCAAAAGAATTTGGAATAATGTTTCCATCGCACGATTCCTTCCATCAAACAAACGTTGGTAATGTGTGTAATGCTAATTACTTCATGGTACCAGAGGGTTGCCTTTATGACTTTTACAGTTATATTGTTGAGGAAGTCAAGAAGATTTCAACATGGAAGATCGAATCAGACTTCCGTGCCAACGCTGGTTACGGTACACTAGCAGTTACGGTATGTTTATCCTGTTATATTGTGGTAAAAATCGTATAAAATCAAGATGCTTTTTAAATGTTGATGCTTTTTGTGAATTTTGTAAATAGTTAATAAAAGGAACATTTGTAGATTGGTTTGACAAAAGAAGATATTACCAAAAAGGACGGCAATCTCTACTTCGCCTTCGGCAACCTCATTGGAGACGACCGGTTTTGGGATTTTTGTAGTAAGTATTTTTTTATTAAAGGTATCTACTACTTTGAATACATTTTTTGTCTTAAATCTTCTTTTGTATGTTTCTTGATAGTTAATGGCAAATGATCTAAGCGTAAATTATTATTATTTTTGTAACTCTGGATTTTTAGGTAAAGAAGAATCGTTTTCCTTCAAAGCAAAACTCTTCCAGTTTAAACCAGAGGAGGAAGGCGATGAACGGGTCATTTGGAATGTGGATTCTACCTCAATTTGTCCAAAGTAAAATATCAATGTCAAATGTGAATTGTTGTACAAATGATACTCAAATTATAAATTTAATAAAGGTGCTGTAAAGGAATTGGTGTTTATGTTTTCGTTTTCAATCGTTTATATTTTTTAAACTTTAGGTTTTTGTCTTAATTATCTTAATTTTTGTGTTTGAAATATTTAACGGTAGTTGTTTTTGTAGAAAAATGAAGACCAAACTAAACCCGGAATGCTCGAAATGTGTCATTTCGTATTTCCTTGTACAAGAAGTTCGTGGAAGAGTTAAGGTTTTCATACGGTTGCTCAGTCGAAACTTTTACCGAGCTTTTTGGAAGGCAGGGTACTATTTAGTATGGAGCAATACCATGTTCCGGCTACACCATAAAACCAAGAAGTTTAAGCGGCCAATCAACATAATCAGCGAGGAAGTGAGGTTATTGTTGACCAATGCATGGTTACCAAAGCTAGAGCTTCATGGTGTATATCCACTGACAGAGCCAATGGAACCGTTTATAAAGTGGTTAAATCAGTTCACGATAAAAGGTAAGGTGATTTGCCACTTTCATTAAAATAGTACTGTATTTTTTATTAAGGACCTCTGGACTTGGTCTTGTCCGGACATTACTACTATTTTTACGTCGTTTTCGATAAACAGGTTTTTAAAAGGGAATGGCCTCTTGGATACATGGAAATGACATATGATAATACGGCCGGTGCTACAGTAGAAACTTTTGTAAACTTTAATGAATATTTGTTTAATGGTGCTTCAAAACTTTACGTACCTGAGCTGAGAATGTCATTTATGAGTAAGTTGAATTTCTATTCATTTTGGTTTTAATGTTTATACTTTTGAACTTTTTGACAATAATGTTTAGACGCAAGATTCGAGCTATTAGAAAGTACGGTGAAGAACGCCAAAACAGAAACTTTATTTCTATCGATCTCAACTGGAAGCTCTTTGTTCAATACTGACAAGTATATTGGTCAACCCGATGAAAACACACACATTGTTGATCTTGTACTTGATCTGAGGGAGTTCAATGGCATCCCTGACAAACTTATCAACTATATATTAGCATCGCTGGGAAAGCTGGAGAATGTCATAATTATCCGTACAGAAAGATGTGATAGACACAGTAGCAAAAGGCCAAAATTATCAACGAATGATGACATTTCTGACGAATATTCAAATGTAAACTTCATTTTTGTCACAGTATCTGATACAAACATGGTACGTTTTAAAATTTTCAGTTAAATTTTTAAAAATATGTTAATTAACATTCCAGCTATGAAATCGTATTAGATATCGTATTATGAACTTGTAGGATACGGCGGTCCTTTTAGCAGAGCTTTCATTTTCACGTCGAGAGCTTTACCTGATCAGACAAGCTCTCCCGAATACAACAAAGTTTCTGCCTAATTCAACGACAACTCGATCATACTACATCGATTCATAAATATCAGATAACAATCCTCTTGTAAATTACATTAACATATTGCTCTGAACATGTAATCTCATCATCATAATGAACAAGTTTTATTAAACAACAAATAACCTAAACAAATTTTGTGGCCAGAGAAACAATCTTGGCCATTTCGATGTTGTCCCTCTTTTTCAAAAGGTGACCTGGGATGGGGGCTAGAACACGGTTGCCAATTGGGTTGCCATCGTCGTCCTATTACTCAGAAATCGGTATTAAAACGGGAAACTTACCAGTAAAACAATATTATTCGTGTCAGTCGAAGGAATACCATGTTTACGGTAGTTAACATGTGTGTTTGCTCCAACGACGTACGCCTTCTTCATTTCTCCTTTGATGGCTACCAGGATCTGAAAGAGCCATGAAAAACACATTTATTATATTCAAAATTAGTCATACAACATTTCCTTAGATTCAAAAAATTTGAACAGTTTGAAAACGTAAGTTCTTACCTTGTCTCCAAGTGTGGCGTGGGGCATGTGCTTCGGCCGGTAACCTTTTTTGTACACGTGAATACAGTAAGCCAATCGACCACTACTGTTAGCTTCCTTCCCGATAGCAGAATTATCAACAACAACGCATCGAGTCCGTCGATGAATTCCAGGATTTGGAGTCCGTGTTCGATGAACTGACAACTCATAACTAAAAATGGTTATTCAAGTAAGACGTTAATCAAAATATTTAACAAATTCAAACAACTGCAATGTTTCTCAGAAACTTCTACTAAGGATATCGAATAAAAAGTTTCAACCAAATCATAAAACGAAAGCATAGGCAACTTTACCTAATAACTAACAATTTTATTCAAATATAATAAAAGCCATTGTACAACAAAGATTTCCTAGTGGATTCAGAACAGCCCTCCAGATCGTAAGGACAATGCCGGCAACCTTCACCACAACATTTACCTTCGTACAACAAAGCACTGTTAGTCTTATGTTCCTTCTTATCTATTGGATCAACATAGCTCAGTTTCCTGTCTCTAACTGCAATGTAATGAGCCATGTAAGTTGACTTTTCGTTGGCTGTCATGCCATTGTAAACCTTCCAGTGTGTCTCACACTTCCTTATTGAATCGACAAAGAGGTTGTAATCAGCTAACAGTTCTCCTTTTTTGCCCTTTTTTAGCTTGTACAAGTTTCCATTCCCTCGCGGCTTGGAAAACACTGGATATGCTTTTTGGCGATCTAGTCCTAATTCTTCGGCAGTGGGAATAACATGTCCAACTTGTTTCTCTTCTTCTTGTTTTTGTTCAGGACATTGGCTGTATGATCTTACTGATCTGAAAAAGTAATGTGAATTTACAGCCAATGTCCTAAACGACACATTTACAAACTAATCCTAGTCAACTATGGTGTTACACAAAGTTCCATGTTCAAAAATAATTTAAAAAAAACGAAGTTTATTAACTAAAAAATAATCTATTAAAAATAACGTAATGCTCAAATAAAAACTACGCCTTAAGCTTAATATTATGCAGCAACTCCACTTCCTGTTCCACTAGCAGCAAATTCAGACTCTAATAGACAAAATAACGATCTTCAAAACTTACGTTGGCTGTGGATACCATCGTCCTGACGCTTCTGCTCGACTAAAGAGCTGTGACAACTTCGGTATCAAGTTCTTCAACATCTTAATCAGGAAGATTCATTAGATTTTCCAGAGAAAGGGCTCTCAACAACAAAAAAAGAATCTTTTCCAAAAAGCCAATCTTAAAAAGGCGAAGTGTCACATTCAGAGTAGATACTATAGAAACGAAATGTCACTACTGATTCATTCGATTTCTGATGAAGATAAAAAAACCAAAAGATCGAAGTAGCTAATCATCAATTACGATTCACTTGTCGTCAAAATTAAGCTTCTGGAAATAATTAAATGTAAGTTAATTTTGTTTTTTAGATAACGTACGTTTTAACACGTTAGTTATGCTCGCTGTAGGCGAAGAGCCTCGTTGTTTAGATATTCTTCGCTTCTTTTCTTTAAAAATTTGTTTTTTGAAACTAGAATTTATTGGAAAACGAAACAATTTTATAGACGGAGCGCTTGTTTATAGAAGTAGAGCTTTAATAACAACGTTTTTCTTATTTTTCCAGATAGGCTGTAGCTTGTTTTATTCAAATGATTTAGGTATCAATTACTAAAGACTTGCCGTATATTTTTTTGGGAAACTTGCGCTTTAACACAAAAGTAATTAGCTTAAGTATTGGCTGAATTATTGGTTTTTTAGATATATGGGCACTGAATGTATAACATAAATGAGTCAGACGAGTTTCCTCAAGATTCTTCGTATTCCGTTCAACGAGCTAGACAATTCTACGAAAACATGAACAATACGAATCAAGGCTACGACCAAAGCATGTCCGTGCCATCACGACGACGAACAGCTCCAGCTCGAACTTATTCCCCAAGGACTGACATCCAATTCTCGGATCTCGCTTTGTCCGAAAGGCCTTCAGGTAATTAGATTTTTGTAATGTTATCTATAGTTTTAGTTCTCAATCATTCGCATGAAGTGGAGATGTATAACGCGAGTCGCATCCCTCTATCATATAACTTGAGAAAGAACATACCACCTGAATATAGCAACTCTCATATGGTTGCTCAGTATTACCCAGGGTCTCCCAATGGCTATCAACAGCAAGGATACCGAATTCCCAGGGCGAGCAGTCCAAGGAATGATTATATGTACACTAACCCACTACCACCTCACGAACTATCGACTACAAGTTCAGGTAAGGATGAATTTTTTTAGAATGTTAAATATAAAGTTTTATTTAAAAAATCTAATTTTATACCGAAACTTTAGTCTTTTTTACGTACAAACCTTGAAAAAATTGTAATACATATAAGGAAAACTAACATTCTATTTGAAAGACGTTTTATATTGTCTTAAATACAAATGCCTTTACCGTTTGGGATTAAATGAGGTTTCTATGGAAATATTGTTTTCGGCGTAAATAATTAACGGAAAACTATATTTAGAAGTGCCACAACAACAATATGATAGGACAATGATTGGAGCCACATCAGGAACCGTCGTTGCTATACTTGAAACAGATATATTAGACAGTTCTACGGACGAAGACGATGTCATAAAGGAATGTGAGAACGAGACTGTAGACAACGACATTGAATGTAGGTTTGAAATGTTATAAAAGGGATATGTTTACTAAGTTTGTATTGATGAGCTACGTAGGTAGGAAAAGATAGGTTTGAAACAGCTAATTTGGCTTTTGTCAACACTAGGAAGCTACAAAAATGACATTAACGTAATAAGATGTCTACTGCTTTGTTGTTTAAAGTACAAAAAGATTAATTTGGAGGCATTTTATGCGCTTGTTTGTCTTCCAGAACAAGCGGCATCTTTGCACGCAGTAACAGTCTATTTACATTCGAAAAAGAGTCGAATTACATCCATATACTGGACGAAATCTTTCTAATGTGGAGTTACCTAAGAGCAAGATTAATTTTCTATGGAGTTGTGTTTTGCTCTTTCGATGTTATGTTAGAATTCGAGCAATCTGGGACAATACATTCCTTCCTCGACTTGCTAAACCTATTCACAATAGGCTAATTTCGTATTCGCACAGCTGGTTTGGGTGCCGTTTTCTCCAAATTCGTCGACTTTTGGCGGCTATTTCGGTTGTTTTTTAATAAAATTGTAAGATAACATTGGGTTATGACGACGTTACAACGTTCCAAGTCTGTCAAAACAAACACCGTGGTTCGGAATCCACGACGACGTGTTTCAATCTACACATCAGCACCTCGCAAAAGCTCGCTAATAGATTCGACGTCGAGTGGAGTGAGGTCATGCCTGAGGAAGCTGAGTGGCCAGCTGAATAAGAACGTGCTGGTCAAGGAGGTGAAAGGGCTGTTCGACGATTCAGGTAAGCACTTCGTGGGAGAATGAAATTTGATTTGTGTAATCGAATATGGAAAGAATACCTACACGTTGTCGTAAATTTACACATTAAGTATAAGGACTAGAATTGGAAGACTTACATCGTGGAAAGAACACGTATTGGGAGTGAAAAGTTGATATATTATGAATGAAGCGCGCATATATTACTCCTACTTTAACACAATGCAAACCCACAAACAATTTGCACATTCGTCTTCACGTGCACTCGTATAATCTGGGGAAATGAATCCCGAGGCGAAAGAAAAAGAAGGATTTAATCCCTCTCATTGGCTCCTAATCAGGCCTCGGCCCGAGCTGGATGTAATATTGATGGGAAAAGGTGGTAGGTGCGCTGGTCGCACGACTTCTCACTCTGGGTTTGCCTTCTGATTCCTTTATTTTCGGCATTTTCTCAGCAGGAAATTTATTCTTCCGGTTTCTGTTTTTTATCTTTGGCTAAGAAAGCTGGGGTCGGTTGCTAAGCGAATACCTCTGATATCCATTAACTTTTGATTTTCCAAATGGTATTCTATATTTTTTCTGCGGACTCGTGGGATTAATGAGTTTTCTCGCTTTCTTCCACTAATGGTAGTGCTATGTTGGGCTAGCAGTTACGTTTGTATTTAATTCTTTTTAATTGGCTTACGGCAGTTTTACTTTAAATTTCGGGCTTCGTTTCGAAACGTTAATTCTCGTTATGAACTTTATGCTTTTGGTAGCTATTGTGTTTTGTTAACTTTTTCAATATAATGTCATTGAATAGGGTAGTAGTTGTAGAGAATGCCAAGTGCATTATGCGCGGGCAGTTCACTACCGTTGGACGCGCCGAAGCCGAGGATTCCAACTTCAGAATCTTCTCCGCGCGGTTTGAATACCGCGTCCAAGGTGCTGCACATGGAAGCTTTGAATCGGTCATTTCACAACGCTACATCTCTGGCCTCCGAGATCAAAGAAAGCGTTAACAATGTCACAAAGATTGACAAGATCCGACCGTCTTCTGTTAACAGTAAACGCAACCGAGAATCGCCGATTATGCACCACAGTCCCACGTCTATTGTGCGGCACTTTTCGATCAGATTCAAGAATCACGTCCAGACTTCTTTGAGTGATCCGTTGAAAAAAGGCTCTTTTCGGCGGAAACCGAGGAATGTCACTCCAGCTCAACAGTCAGGTTGTTAACTTATTTGTAGTTGGCCATTGACTGGTAACTGGTCGTTTCAATGCGAAATGTCATCTTAGTAATCTTGAGAAAACTGAAACGTCTAGGGCATGGGAGAAAGAGGGTCAAAAGTGAGAAGCTTTGGGATTAATAATTTAAAAGTTTCAGATGAAAACGAAGGTGGGGCTTCATCTAGCGACGAACTCGACGACCCAGAGGTTTTGGCATTGTTTGAAAGGGAACAGATTGTGGATAAATATGAAAAAGTAAGTTATCTTTGTTTATTTTGTTTGTTTTATGACATTTTTAAGTAAAAAATGTGTTTTTTTACTGTTTTATGTCAATTTTTATTTGGTTTTAAACAATTTTATTGTTTTAGGGGCCCGAACAAGCCGGCATCGATCCGTGGGAGAACCCAAACTTTGAATTGTACGAAAAAACTGACAGATTCGGCTTTATTCAGTACGTTTTATATGATTATTTAATTGGTTTATTGATGTAGTCGTAAATAATTTGATTTCTGGTTTTCAGTAAGGAAGGGTTGACAAAACAAGAAATAGAACGGAAAGAACAGATAAAAGAGAGGAAACGATGCCTGAAATGGGATGCCATGTACAAGGAATGGGAGCATCGGGAGCCTACCAAGATGAGGGAGAGGATATGGAAGGGGATACCCGAGTCTTACAGGATCAGGGTATGTTTTTGTAGACTGTTAAAGTTTTATTGGCAAAGTATATCATTTTTGAATTAACAAACATATAAAAACCTTGTAACTCATCAAAAAATATGTTTTTAAATTTAGGCGTGGTCGAAGATGTTGCACATAGAAGAGTACAAAAACGGCAACGAGAAAGTGTATCAAGAACTACTGGTCAGAGGACAGTTGTTGTCGAAAGAAGTGAAACAAATTGACCTTGATGTGAATCGAACCTACAGGGATAACGTCGCTTTCATGAAACGTTACGACATTTCACAGAAGCGACTCTTTCAAATTCTAACGGCATACTCAATGTACAATACAGAAGTGGGCTACTGTCAAGGCATGAATCATATCGTGGCACTTTTAATCATGTACATGAGCGACGATGAGGATGCCTTCTGGGGACTACACAGCCTTCTGGCCAACAAAAAATACACTATGCATGGTGGGTTTTTTAAAAATATTTTATAAAGGGATTTATAATAGGTATCTATTTGAAAAAAAGGATGTTCAAAAAATGTTTTGAATAATTTATTTCATAAAGTATGGGTACGATTTTGTTAACATACCTGTTTTAGGATTCTTCGTTCCGTCGTTTCCAAAACTGCGAAAGTTCGAAGATCACTTTCTGAACCGGGTATTACCTAAATATGCTCCAAAGGTGCACAAACACTTTGAGAAGCTGATGCTGCCTCCGATCTACTTACCCAAATGGTGGTTCGGCTGTTTTCTGGATAGAGTGCCATTCAAACTGGTTCTCAGGATATGGGATGTTTTTCTGTTTTTGGGCGATGGGGTCCTAATGGCTATGGCGCTAAACATCTTTAAAATGCACGAGAGTAATTGTTTAAAATTTCAAATTACATTAGGTTTTTTGCTAAAAAGTTTATTTATTTTTTGTACTACAATGACGGAAGTAGTATCCAAAAAATATTTTATGTTGCAAGTTTTTATAGTATGATTGTTAAATTATTGTAGTTTCCAAATTATTATTACTTTCTTTTATGCAATATTGCATTTTCATATTGATCTTTTGCAGAAAAAGTGATAAGAATGTCGATGGAGCAGTTCATGGACTTTATTCAACGCGGACTTCCTGCTGACTTCGGCTACACTGACGATCAGGTGATGGAATCTCTGAAACGATGGCTAGAAAAGCTTCAAGATGACAAAATGGCTCTGCCACCGAGGAAAGAAGACGACTTTCCGAATCAGCCATTGGGTCCTGTCTTGAAGCGATCTCTTGTTGATATCAGAATGGACATCGCCGAGATCCACTCCAGGTCTTCTAGAGCGAACTGTAAGTCGGTTAGGTAGTTGTTTTGTGTGCTTGTGTTGTTGTATGTGTCTCTACTTATGGTTATGTTGTTTTTTTGTGCTTGTTTTTGTTCCCTTACTGTAGCGTTAACTAATTATTTCCTTTACTTACTCTTACTGATCATTTCCAATACTATACTTGTTATTTCTAACCGCTTATCATTTAATACTTTGAATTGTTATTTTCACTAGTTTACAATCGGGTAATGGCTGCCGTTGCCGTGGACGAACGCCTTTCTCAAGTCTATCGCCAATCCTATCACTTCTACTCTAACTACTATCGACAACGATTTGCCAGCTTCTCTAACACTTGACAATGCTAATAAAGTATTACTTTTACTGTTTACAGCCCAGTTTCTTTTGGATCTTCCCTTTATTGACGAAGATATGTAAACGATGCCGATGCTTAAAGTAGAATACCTACCATGTCTACAGATATATCAAACTTGTTAAGTCTTATTTGTTTTACACCTTTTTTTGTCTTTTTTGTATTATTAGTTAGGTCAAGACGTGATTAGAAAAGTCTGGAGTTTTGTTAAAGTACTAAACTTTATGAAACAATAGCTATGTCTTAGTGATTAAGTTTGTCTGTTGGTGGCAGTTGTGTTTCCTTGTGATGTTGTTAATGGAATGAGTCTGATCTTTGTTTTCAGCGTTAGCTGGTCGTTCGCCTGCCCCTCTACGAAGTCGGCGGAGTCAGAAGCCGAACGAGAAGGCGTCGCTTTCTCAGTCGGTCACTGCCTTACCCACTCCCAATGCACAAGCCTTTAAAAATACCGCATCTGAGTCAGATCCCCGCCCTCTACGTCCGTCTGGAACCCCTCCAATCGATGGATTCAGAAGGAAGCCGTCTGTCAGAAACGGCCGAACTGCTGCACCGCTGCCGATCCCAGATGCTGATGGATTTGTACCGCTTTCAGCGACCAAAAACAGACATTCCTTATATGACAATGTCACCCCATCTACAACTCCATCTTCTGGGAGCCGGCTGCCTGCGCACTCTCGAGAAACCTCTTCGGATCGTGTTCATCGGGCTGCCAACAACGTCACTTACATACAGCTGACAGACGACGATCGTGTCCCCAGTCCTCCGCCTGACTACGACACTGACGATCTCCGGTAGTCTTCAGAAGGCAAGTCTGAACGCTACCGTCTAAAGTGTATGATAGTGGTATTCAACAAGTATATTAACGGGTTCACTCACTGGCACTCCGTCTTTCTGGCCGTATATCATTCGAATGTTATTTGAGATTGGAAACTTTCTAGAGAAGGGACTTATATTGTAGTACGTCGTTCTATGTTGTTTCTTTTATATTTTCAGACTTTTAACTCATGCATATTGTTGAATCGTTTATTATATAGATATAATTAATTTGTATTGCCAATTCTTATACACGTATATATGTCTAGTCGCTCGTTATAATATAATTTGAGTCATTCCCATGGCATAATAAATATTTGGTAATGTCGAGATCGTGGTAATATTCTGGGAAAGCATCATGTACGTAATACTTGATACATTAATAAGACGTTGGTAAAATAACTATGACATTATTGGTCAGACAGAAGGTCACAATAGGGTAGATAGACCTACCGAAGGTAGTGCTGGAATTGCAAACTGGTACTAACTTATCATTCTGTTTTGTCACTAAACAGCGAATTTACGTCGTATTTTCTGAGGGCAGGACGACGGCCATTCGAGCACGTTCAAGAACAAATGTGCTGGAGGAGCGTCTGCTTCCAGGTACTTTATCAAAGGTGACCAAGAGCTTTGCGACAACATGTTCCGCTCCATGTTTCCATCTTGGTAGGACATTGCCAAAGAATGGTACTCCCAAAAGGTCCTAGTTGTGATCATGTAGGCAGCTACTACATCTATTGAGTAGTGCTTTCTGGCCAACAGAATGCAAATAAGAGCTACAAACGCCAAGGCTTGATACACAAATCCTGAAAGTGTTTTGAAATTTAAAGATTTCAAAAGATTTTGAATTTCTATGCTTTGTCAGCACCCAAACTGTTATTCTTTGAGTGTTTATGTGCTTTTCTTCAAACAAATAAAATGAAATTGGCAGTGTTTAATAGATATGTTTGTCACCTTAAAACGCTCAATATATATGGCGCTCTACTAAGATAACCGGTAAAACATATGAAATTGTAAAAAAATTTGAAACCCAGTTATTAGAAAAAATGAATTTAAAATAAAAATATTCTTACCAAAACACTTACCAACTATGACCAATTTCCTCGGAGCATATGTTTTTACCACCATGGCCGATATGAAGATTGTGATGGTATGCCCGCTTACAATAAGATCACCACACAAAGTACGTGGGCGGAGTTGTTCGATGCCAGCTGACCAAAAGATACCCATGATACGTTCGAATATGATATTGGCACTCGTATTGACTTGGGGAGCACAGTAAGTGTTCACCGATGGGACGGGAACCTAAGTGGGGAGAGTTAGTCATGGATAATATCATTAAACAAATTTACTTTACCATATTATTGTAATTTGAGCAAAAATGTGTAGAAGTTCAGTAAAATGGTCTTCACCAATAATTTTTCTATATTTTTTGGACCAATATAATGTTTAAACGTTTTAAAAATCAAAAAATTAAAATAAAACAGTAGGTGAACTCACTTGAAACAGAAATATACAAAACGCGCGAAAAGTGTAGCATAAACCCGTACAGAACATGACCCGTCTGATGACGATCCACCGATGTTGATGTAGGATGAGGATGGCGATGCCCGACAATGTCAACAACAACATGATATACTCGGCGATGAACATGACCTCAGGCACTTCCGGGAAGATACGAAAGAAGGTGTCGGGTAGGGGGTCGATGGAGCGAGGAACGTGATCATGAACCCAAGCCAAGACCAACTCGTTCAGGACGGCGGCTAGAATCTGAAAGTGTTGAGGTAAGATATGATATGTTAGCTAAAATAGGATTATAGTACAAGCAGGTTTAAAATATTATGAATTTACTTGCAAAGTTAGTCTCTCCTGTCATCTTAAGACAAAGTTGATGATGACAATATTAACATACTGCATCATTAAGTCTAGTAACTCTATAAATGAAATGGTATGACCTTACCAAAAAGAGTACCGCCAGAACGGTCGGTAGCCGGTTGATTTCGAAGGTCTTGGGCGCGTCCATGCCGATACTCCTGAAACATTGACAATATAAAGAGAGGGTGTTATCGATGTCATGGAAACAAACAACGGTCCCACCAAACATTATTCATAACACATGAAACATGAGGTGATACATAATATTAATGTAGAGTTTATATAATACGGGTGGTATGTTCGAGAAAGTAAGTGTTTGCGGATACGGTAGAGTTGTCATGGAAATGTAATGGTTTACCGTGAAATCAGAGGTATGGCTTCATGAAAGATTTCCCCCAAATGTCAATTAAATCCAATTAAAAATGGCAGTGGAAGTGCAAACTGTAAGAGACTATTTAAAAGTGTATCTCTGCTTCTAGGAATCGCACAAAAGTAGAAAAGATTACATTTAGTCATCGTATCTTCTACGTCCTGTTTTTCTTATATTGAAGTAGCGGGAAATAAAGTTTTTAAACACTTTTAATTTGAAGCAACAAAAATTGAGAGAGAAAGTGAGTGAAGGGCAGGTGATAACCTCCCCCAAACAAAATTTCAAAATTAAGTATAAAATATTTAATTTAAATCACGGTACAGCCAAACACCGTATCAATAAAAGTCGCCAACTTATGGTAAAGGTCATAACAAAAGTCATAAATCCCCCCCCTCAAACATTTTTAAGACGATCAAATACTTAAGTGACTAATAAGGTACACATTGCACTTGGCTGATAACAAACACCGCCCCAACAACACCCCGAATATCAATTGTTCGGATTCTGAATAGAAGACCTCCAGGCGCCTACGATCTCGCTCCTAACAACGTAATCACCAGGACGACAACATTACCCCGCCCGAACTACCAAAAGGCCATCTCCCAGATTAGGCGTGTTCATTTCCGGCTTCTGATTAAAAATAGTGTCGTTTACAGTGGGGTTTTACCGGCGGTAAGAACGCTTACTTTGGAGTTTCGTTTGTGCAAAATTTTGAAATTAAAAAACTTTCAAAGCAGTTTCAGTGAAATTTCAAAATGAAATAAAGCATTTCAAAAGATTTTGAAAGAAAACAGAAAACAAATATTATAATGGAATATTGTTTTATGTCTTCAGAAGAAATGTGCTAAACACCGGTTCAATTTTAATGTAAAACAACAAACTAAGCAACTAAACGAGCAATTTTAAATTAAGATTCGAATTTTTAATGGTTTCAACCAGAAACCATGTTTTATGCATAACATCTTAAAACTGTCTGCAGAAGTTACTGGTTACTTATTATTGTACCCTGTAAGCCAATTTTATTAACGTAAATTTACAGTTTTATAATGTTACCCTTTAGTCACCATTCAAACATAAAAAACTATTAAAATTAAACTCAAGTTCAATATTTTTATACATAGAATGTATACTATTCAGTACCTTGGCTTTGGCACAATTGAGAACAAGAGTGCCCTTTTAGGATTAATGACAAAATACGTCGCCAAAGACAAAAGTACAGTAACCATGACTATTAGAAGGCCTTGCCATTCTTCTGGAGACACCACGGGATCGGCCAGTGTCTCCAGAAGGTACTCGTTGCCATTCTTCCATCGACAAAAGTCGGTTTCGTTGATGAACGAGGTCTGTTCGCTGCGATGACATGTGATTGACTTTGTCACATTCACAAACTCCAAGTCCAAAATCAAGTTGACGAATCTCTCGGGACACAGACTCGACACATAAAGTAACCCTTCGTTTACCGAGTTAAAGCCTTGGTATGATCTGAAAGAAATATAATTTAATGTCGGTATTTCAAGTTTACACTTCTAATAACATATCTAAATAGATTGTTTTTGAATTGATATCAATCGTACTTAAAACAACTATTTAAAAACGTACTTCAAAAACCCAGAAGAAAGAGTACTAGAAAGACCAGCCAACATAGTACAAGTTATGATGACAACATGACTGTCTTTGATGAAAGAAAACATGGTGATTACAGTAAACTTGTAGCTGAACATAACACATGACAAACCCATAATCAGTGCCAGTAGATGTTGAGTGTAAAAGGCTGGGTTCACTATCCATAAGAAGGTAGTAGAAGATACGGTAAGAACAAACAAGTCCAATGGTAATGTAGATACGACTGTTACTAGAGGAATCAGAGCTGCATTGTAAAGTGAGTTCGATACTTCCCAAAATATAAATGATCTGGTCGATTCGACTAAAAAAAAGTTTAATTTGACCTTCATGTGGTACAGAAACCGACGCGATTTCTAATAGTAACTATAATACCTATAGCTACTAAAACATGCACCTACATTTTTCCAAATATTAATTCCCAAACTGCAGTAATCTTACTTAAACTTACAGTTGATAACAGATTTGAATATTGTAATCAACGAAGTAAAGTAAACCAAGGTAAAGATAGTACCAGCTGTCGACAAAGGTATATGTTTAGTGTTGGTATAAAAATGAGCTCCAAAAACAGCGACAAACAGAAACACCATAAAGTACAGAGATTGTACCACCATGAATGACCATGATCTCAACAGAAAATTGACATTTCTTCTGAAAATATCAATATTTTAATTTGAGTTATATTATAATATACACGGTAATTTTATGCTTACTACTGTAATTTTTACCATCTATACCTCAAGCTAATCAAAGTTTTAAAACTTACAGTGACAGTAAATAACAATGTCTGAAGAAGGATGGCTGAGAGTAATAGTTTGAGAGTATTGGGTTATCACTCAAAGCGTTTGGTCGATAGATAGATATGTCAACATCTTTTTGACGTTTCTAAACAGCTAACTACAATAAAATGTAAACAAAAATTAATTATTTATATTGTAACAGTTTTACAACAACTTCTTTTATAGTTTTCTAGTACTAACCAATATCTACCTTGAACGTTTGTACCAATTCATTTGCCTTTTCTTGAGTTTCGGCGTAACTTTCTGGATTCTCACGGTCTACAGTAGCCAAAGACACTATAAATACACATACAATAATCCATATCAAATTAAGTAAAAACTTACAGTAATAAACAGCTGGATTCTCGGTGATCGGACATTTGTATCCAATCTGGCTAAAGTAATGAGGCATGTACTTGGTTGTTCCTAAATACGGTAATCACTTATTAATATACAAAGAACAAACCATTTAAAAGTGCATTTCTTTGTCACGATTAGATATAACATTATAATATATAAAATTTAAGTTTAAAATACAAACTACAGTAACCATACCAGAGTAAACGACTTCTCCATAAAACAGTAACGTCAAGCCATCCATAAGTTGGTAAATGTCAGACCGAGGGTACCTCATCGTAACTATGGCCATCCTCGAGTTCTCCTTAACATATTCTCTTAACGATGCCATCAGCTGATAGTTACTCAAAGCATCCAGCTTGTTCAGGGGATCATCCAACAGAACCAGTAGAGGGTCGCTGAGAAGATTGAGTACTATTATCAGTCGATATCGTGCACTCTGACTCAAAGTATCAACTCTCTTGTGAACATACGACAATAGATCAAACTTTTGCATCAACATTGAGATCTAAATTGTCATTTTAAAAAATATTATGCGTTTTTCATTCTGTAAACTTATTCACTATAGTAAACAAAAGGCAGTTAACATACCCTTTGACTCAGTACGTCTACTGTACAATTGAGACAGACCTGAGCGTGATATCGTATCAACTGTCCTAGTGTCAAATATGGCATTAGCTCCATGTTGAAGTTGATAAATTTGCATAATTTTGTGAAGTTTCTTTCTGTAATGTAACATGATGACAATGGTTACAAAGAGAACATTAAAGTTGGTCTTATTACTAGTTATGTTACTCAAAAAGCTTAAAGTTCAAAACTTTTGTATAAAAAGTTTTTTTTTCATCCAAAGTAATATGTTTTACGTGGCATAGTATTATGTTTTCATACGATTTACAGACCTGTCAACGCTTCTCCATTGAGTTTGATGCCTCCGGTCACTTTCCCATCGACTCGGTGGGATATAACCTGAAGTAATGTTGACTTTCCTGATCCTGAAGCGCCGATTACACCGTGAATCTCCCCAAAGTTAACTTTCAAATTGACATCGGTGAGGAAGCGGGCAGTCACTGGTAACATGTACATATTCGAAAACCTAAATTTCACAATAAAGATTTTAAAAACTTTAAAAAAATGTTATTACACATAACTAAATCCAAAAAAATCAGTCCAACATTACCTTCATCAACAAAAAACATTTTTTGACCAAATACCACGCGAAAAAATCATTTCCCAGAACTTTCTTACTTAACGATTTAAAGTCTATACCTAAAAACGATTTTCAAGCTTACCATGATCCCTTGGAGAAACTCCTGATGAAAGACAACTCCTGACATTCGAACTCGGCTTCGTTCCCCTCTACATTAACATCGCCATTACTTTGTTTCCTCATATTCCGAGTATAACTCCGAAGAACTACAATAATACTTCTCGCGACCTCAGTAAGTGACCTTGCGACGCTATAGATATTCCTTTTACCGAGTAAAATCGACGTGTACAAGGGATTCAACCGGCTTCGAAAGAACGGCTTCAATTACTTTAATAATCTTGGCTGATGGACTGGAGACGGCTGGCGGGAACAGAAGCGATGCTCACGGAACTGGTCGGTCGCTGTTTTTTCATTTTTGTTCCACTTTCCTCAAATGCCCTCCGGCGAAAAGCCATTCAAATTATTGAGATTTCAGAGTTCGATGGAACGTGGATTCGAGACGAACATACGACGACTACAACGCACCACATTCCATGAAGAAGACCTGTCCTCTACCGGCTATGTCATTAGCGAGCACATGTCGTCACCTGAATTCGAGCTCAACCACAAGTAAGTCTGAAAGTGTTAAGTAAGCCTAACATAACATAATGCAAGAGATGTTGTTATACTTATTGTTTTTCAGCTTAAAATTTGATGAAAATAGCTTATTTTGTAAAGATATTTAAAAATAGTAACATAGTATAATCTCTGGCCATCGTTTCAGACCATCCCCGATACGAATAAACTCTGGCTACAGTAGTGACACGAGTGACATCGAATACCTCCCAGATCTTAACATGCATTATGCAGAAACAGAGATACATCCGACAGAAGACCTAATAAAAGCACAAGACGAAGGTCTATTTCAGTCCCTAAGGCATCAAAGTCATTACTTTTCAAACGTTGACCTTTTCCAACAACAAGATCTCGACTTCAACTACTTAAAATACGCTAAAGCTGGCGATATACCAACAGCACCTATTACGTACGTAACAAACAAAACTGCAAACGTTTAAACATACTATATTATTTGAAAAATTTAAAATTTTCACACCAAATTTAATAAAAAACCTTATTTAGAAGCCCACACTTAAGAATAATGAATTTATGTTTTGATCTCGACTCTCGAAGCACTTTCGACAAGATTATGTTACGATCAGCCGAACTACAACGTGTTGTATCTCACATTACTTTCGAATTGTTCGCCGGTGACATGATGGCACTTCTTTACACGTCAGGTAATATAATACGCCACCAAACAGTAAAATCTTTGTCAACACCATACAACTGCAGATTCACTAATTGTTACCTAAAAACTGCAATTTCCGACGAATTCTCTGACTTATTACCTAAAACACCGCATTATACCCTTTTAATACACAAAATAAGTATTAGATTAAAAATCGTTTAACTTAAACGACGTATAGCCAAAATGCAACTTCAGAATCAGAAATCGAGACGTTCACAAGAGTTTTATCACAAACAAACTGTCCTCAAGGTCGAACGCTGGGAATTTTTGAATTAAACGGCCACAAACTGAAACCAAAGCAATTTGGAGAAAGAGTAGCTCATATAATGGCAGACAACATCAACAGTAAACTGACACTAGTAGAACATCTTCACAATTACTCTAAACTTGTGAAGCCAGCTACAAGTAGCTTCAAGACGGAGGACATGGTGAGTTACCACCTATTTACATAAAATTGGCAAGAAAACGACCTTTACATTACTAAATTATGACCTTCTTGCAAAACAGATTTATTTCGACTTTATTATTGCAAAAATTTAAAATTTATTACCTAAATTTTCAAATTTTTGTAGATTTGAAAAACGGCTTTTTGCCAAAAAAGATTATTTCAACTTACATTTATCCAGAAAACATCTAGCTGAATTCCAGATAGAACAGCTCATCCAGGACCTTGCTTTAGTCCCCTTCAAAGGTCAACTGGTCGAAAACCTTGGCAGAAATGAAATCAGTCGACTTAAAATAGCATCAGCCATGTTATTAGACACAGGTAAAGTTATACCATAATTTTACATTATCTATTCCTATTTTATTTCGAAATATCAGTAATTTGTTTTGATTTGACGTCTCTGTGTTTCGACGGAATTAAAATATTGATTGAACAAAATGTTGTTTTTGACACTTTGTTACAAAGAAAAGGCGACTTTATTTTGTGACGACTTTAGGTATGTAGTTGTAAAAATAGCAAATTCCATTGTTTTAGACATACTAATATGCGAGAATGTATTAAAAGACATGGACTTGTACGATCTGGCGTTTGTTATCAATTTTATCAGAGATTGGGCCCAAAAGAAGAAAAAGATTGTTATTATAGCCTTGAATCCTCCTACCGTCGAGATACTGTATATGTTTGGGAAAGGTAAACTTTAAAACTCATTAGTTATACCTTGTGGAATTTTTTTAATTGTACTCGTATTTTTAAAATGAATACTACGTAAGAATCTTGAACATGTAAATATTATATCAGGTTTAGAAGTATGAAATTGCATTTGTCTTGTTCTATATATAGGTGAGTGTTTTACTTGGTATTTCATTTTATTTTAGTTGCTTTGATGACCTGCGGTCGCATAGTGTATATGGGTGAAAGTGGAGGTATGTGTGATTACTTTGAGAGCATTGGCTATGCTTCTCCACCGTTTAAGAATCCTTGTGATTACTACGGTATGTTTTAAAATCTTTTATTTTTTAAATAATATGTAACATTTATGTAACACACTAGTACCATCTTCACTGACATATTCTTAACCGTAATGTTGTTGTAGTGGATTTGGTGACTCACGATGTTCTAAACAATGAATCTGCCAAAGAATCCATGATTCGGATTCGAACCTTGACAGAAGTTTGGGGTCACAAGATGGGGTCTCTGAACTCACCCAAAAACAGTATCATATCACCGAAAATGCATCATTCTGATGTTGTCACAAAGACTCTGCTTGTTTACAAGTAGGTTTAGGTATCATTTATATTCTGAGAGTTTGGTTATAGAATTTTTTTTTTTAAAATAATTTGCATCTTTTTAAAATTGTTGTTTAGATGCCTGTGGCAGAAAGCTTTGAACCACCCGATCTCGGTCTGTTGGGAAGTGATAGTGAACTTGTTGTTGTCATTGTTTGTTGGCTGGTTGTTTTTCCAAATACCACTAGATCGACGGTCTGGTATCAACGACAGACAAGGCTTTTTATGTACAGTAATGTTGTTAATACAGTATCCTCTCAGTTTGATCAGTACTCGGTCATGTAAGTTTATAACATATATTAAGGTAACTATCATATTACTTTAGCTTTTTTTTGTTACTAAAATGCATATATATTTTATACTTTATACTTATACGGAATATGATACCTACACAGTATACCTATAATTTATTTTTAGTGTTACAAGACTATAGTTCGGTAGAAAAAGACCTGTTACTATGTAAATATTCTCGTCACAACTATCTCACCTCAAAACTTTTGTTTGATTTTCCGTTTATCGTCGTATCTTCGGTCGCTTACTCTATGCCAATGTACACCTTGGTTAATCAGAACCCGTCTGTAGAGTCAGACTTGTCATCTTTGTTCAGTTTCTCTACAGTAATCTTGGTCAACATGCTATTGTTTAGGTACTTGGCATGGGTTTTTGTTTTTGTCAGCGACAAATTGATGTACAATGTTTTATTGCACTGTAAGTAACATGAGTAATATATGTTATTGCGGGTTTTTGTGTAAACAAGATAACTTTTATACTGTTTTTGATTTTGTTGTATTATTTAAATGTCATTTTTCTACATTATTATAAGGTAAAATACAATTATATTACACATATTGTTTCTAGGTACCTTCTTTATGACGATTGTGACCTTTTCTGGATTCACGGTGCATCCAGAAGATCAATTCTTGGCGATATTACAGTTTTACAACCCTGTAAAGCTGCTTGCATCAGATCTGCTGCGACTGTCGTTCCTCGGAAAGTCTAATACAAGTAGAATGTTAAGTGTAATATTCGAGTCGGCCAGTAAGAACAATACCCAGTTGGTCATTGATTGCCACAAAAAGAAGGTCCTGGCCACAAAATTGAAACAGGTACTGTAGTTTAACTAATAGTTTACACCAAAAGTTACAGTAAATTTTATTTTCAAACTAAGATACATTTAAACGTTACAGTACAGGACTTAAAAACATACTTGGCTTCAATGTTACAGTAACCTCGATTTCAGATCCCGATCTACACCGTGACCCAATGTCTGAAGACTTCTGGAGCCGAAGCCTTTCTCTTCAGCGGATTCAGTTTGTATTCGAACGACGCCAGGAATCTTGCTCTGTTTCTTACTGTATCTTTTGTCCTCATTTTTGTACTTTTAATTTTGATTTTTCATTACAAGAGAGAGAAACGATAAAACCTTTATTTTCAATTCATTGTTTTCCATTGTAATACCCAGCGACCGGTCGATTATGACGAAAAAGAAGAAGGAAATCGAGATGGACGATCTCATCCCGACAAAGCCTACTGCCAATATTACTAGTAAGTCAGAAATAGTATTTATTCTAACTATTGAGTAAATATCATAGTACTATATTTCACTTTATACTATGGTAATATATGTAAGTTAAAGTTCAATGCTAATACGTTTGCATCGGTCAAGAAATAATAGTTCAAATTCCTTTTTCATTAATATTTTGTATCGTTGGTCCCAAATGTTACCCAAAAAACTATTTTTAGGCTCGATGAGGGCTGAGAAGGTACCAGAACAGTTCGAGAACACCAAATCAGCCCCAAAAGAATCGCCAGAAAAGGGAAAGGCCAAAGCACCACCCAAGAAGAAATCTCCCCCTCTGGTGAAGTTAACTCCCAAGAACGAAGTGATCGAGTTCCCGGTTAACATCGTGAACACCATCTCTCAGAGCTCGGGTACTATATCCTACGATTCTTTCAAGGAACTGAAGCCAGAGATTTTGGAGTCATTGAAGGGTACTGCCCAGAAGGTAGGTTAATGTCAACAAATTTGACAAAAAATAAAGAACTATAACTACCACACAAGCGGTATAAGTTTACTTTTAGACACCCCAAACCGAGCCACCCCCAATCTATGGTGTAGATGTCCAAATCAAAGGAACAGACGCTATTCCATCCGTAGACATGATCGATGACGTCACTTTCAACCGGTCGATCAGACAAGACAACCCTTTGCCAGGTTTTGAGCCCTTCCCCATCCAAATCGACCACCAAGGAAAGCGAGAGAATCAATTTGCAAAAGAAATAGTGGCAGAGGTGATGAGGAGCTACATTGAGTCTGGCAGGGACAGACTGGAGCTGGTGGTCAACTTCTCGCCCGGCAATAACTATCCTGTCTTGAATATGACTTTCCAGAGGAAATAAACAGTAGTTCGTCATATCTAACATTACAGTTATTCTTCATCTGTAGCTACAGTAACATACATAAATATGTGGCTTTATACCTCTTACATATATTATGATAGTTTACATATTTACTCAAAACTTCCAGCAGAATAAATAAAAAGATACGAAGCTAAACACACAGCTGACCACTGATATCACTATAAACAACACTACTATGTTTTGCATAGAAGCACAGTCAATATCGTATTTGTCTACCATCTCCTGCTTTTCCTTAACCATATTACCCATGGTAACTGTCAGTTCGTTGTTAACATCGTAGTTGACAGATCTCGACCGTAATCGTGCAAATTTCCGGTCGAAGGCTACACCAAGGTTCTGGGTATTGTTTGTAGCGCGGAAGTCTCCAGAAGACGCTACAGACCTACACTGAGGTCGGGCACATTTGTGGTCGTTGGTCTTCTTGAATATCATGATCTGACACTGGAAGTAGATGGACTCCTTGTCCGCGAACTTGTACACTTGAGCACTTTGGCCGGCTACTAGGTCTTTTGAGTACTGTAGGTTGTCTAGTAGTACTGGGTCTACTGCACATCCATGCTGGTCTAGAATCTCCACGGTTTCTCCACTATCGTTCTCGGCTACACAAGAGTGCACTATCATACAATGTTCTTCTGAATTGTCAGAAATACAAGACCACTTGTGGTATACGGTAGTGCCTACTGATGCAAACGGGATTGGATGACCATGAGGTCCATTCTCCAATATCTACAACATGTATAATTAGTAATTATTTAATGACAGAACAAAGTTGTATAGGGAATCAAGTAACCTTACATCGTATCTACAGGTTGGCATTACATGTTTTTCGATTCTATCGACCGGTCGACTTCCTCGCCCTTCCAAAGCTCTGCTAATTAGCTGATTCTGATTACGGTATATACATTGTAGTCTAAAGGCACCATCGGACTCTGTCAGAAAGTAAGGATGGAAGCTGATGATGACAGTTGTGGTTACAGTAATCCCATCTGGAGTTCTGTTACGTAACAAACCACACTTGTGAAACAAGAGACTCAAGCTGAAGTCATAACTGGTTCCATTACCCCTGAGGGCGCAATTGTCATCTTTGGAGTGACCTTTCACGAAGATTCGGCCTACAAAAGGCTCCACCGTGCTCACAGCCACACTGATCGAACCCGAGTTACAGTAGATGGAAGGTCGAGAGTCTCGGATCCGGTTCGAGATTCTCTGTACGAAGCCGAGCGTAGGAGTAAGGAGAAACAGAAGGAAGCAGAGAATCATTTGTTTTTATAGAACAAAGTCACATTATCGATGATACGAGATTCCCCTCCATCCACACCGCTCCCCCTTCCCTTTTTAGGTTTGTTTAACCGACTTTGAATTGAATTGGGATTGGCGCTGATTAAGCTACGCTCCGAGAATTTATTTACAAACGGAGTTTCTAATTAAAACAATGTTAAATATGCATTAATTACTCTTTGGAAGAGGGTAAGACATTAAATGCTACAATATGCTACGTAACAAACTATATTTCATTGACAAAAATTAGGTTAAAAAAACTAGGTTTTTGTGCATTTTTCGAGTCAAACATCACTTATTAATATCTAAAACAACCTTAAAAATACAGTTCACTTACGTAGCACAGAAGTTAATTCAGTTACAAAATGGTTGAGACAATCAAAACACGTAAAGATGGTTAAGATCAGATGTGACAATTGACAAGACATGAGAAAGCCGTAAAGACCCGTAACCTCACAAACTATTAACGTATGTTGTGCGTACGAAGTTTGAGCGGATTCATCAGGTTGATGCAAAAATAATGGCACCTTTATTGTGAAGAAAGACTTGTAAATAATTTTTGACGCCATTGTTTTCCTTACAACCTAACAGTTACTTTGTACGCATAATACACGCAAGACGTGTTCATATACAAGACCTGCATAATTAATGTAGATCTACACAAACTGGAATACTAATTAACATAAGATACCTACATATTCTTGTAAATCAAAAAGCCCGCTAACGCCGCGACAGCTGCTCCAAATGTTATTTTAGACAGGATGGAAGAGTCGTGCAAAAAGTAGACGCGTTTCAGATGAGGATACGCGGCCATCGTCGCTAGCTGGGCAAAGACTTGAGCTTGAGAGTTGCCTACTTCAACAAACTTAAGCGGCTTCGGAAGTTGATGTGTCAGACAGAAGTCAGATGGTTGGAATTCGTACGTTTGTTCAAAATCGTATTTGCCCGTTTTCGATGCTACGAACAAGCATGGCACTTTGGTACGGTAAAAGTAGCGCTGAAAGGTGATGTTCAATGATATGTTAATCCAACAATAATAATTAAAGTAATTAAAATGTTCAAGATAATATTTCAATTTCAACGAATGACTTACCAAATACAACTTAGCGCAATATGCAAATGAGTTTGGATCGGTTCCGTCGTATAATAAACAAATAACGTCAGCATTCTTCTCGTAAGTCGTTAGCTGATCTTCTGGAGAATAAACATCCACTTCGTGCATCTAAAACACATATTTTAATAAAGGAAGTTACCAATAACTCAACACACAGGATATGCTAATAATTTTAAAAAACCTACAATCATAAACTTGGTTTGTCCTTTCACTTCAACTGTATTGATAATGTAAGATGGTTGATGTTGCGGCCTCATTTGGATGATATGCTAAAAGTTTCCGTATATAAAAAGATAAATCACTATAACATTAAATCAATAAGCATACGCTTATAATATTAAAAAAACTTACAAAGACAAAGAAAAACAACATAAACACTTACGTTTAACGTTTCGCTGAGAAAACTTCTACAAAAAACAGTTTTTCCTGCATTCTTTGGTCCAATAACATGACATTGAAACACAGTACGTTCTGTTGTCTTCTCCAACACATCTATCCTCCTGTCTCGTGTTACAACGACTGCTTCAAGCTGACTTTTATGTGCCACATTGAATCCCAGATAAGCTAATTGTTCAAATGTTTGTGGAAGATTCATGGAGACATTTAATGCCCAAAGATTGATAAATCCTTGTTCATCTAGCCATCCTTGTGGATCAAGAGCTGTAGAATGTAAGAATTCTTGGGGCCAAGGAGTTCCTGGGCATACACTTAACATTGCTTTTAATTCTGAAGGCGACAGCTTGCCATCACGGTCCTACAATTAAAAGAAATCCAAATTAGGTAATAAAAGTTAGCAAACACAAAATCTACTCTTAAAACCATAAAAAATACAAATAAAGACAATCAAATTACCTCATCAAACTTTTTGAACAAAAACCGAATAAACTTCAGCCCTTCTGATGACAATTCTGTTGAAGATCCGAATGGTATGTTAATCCTAAAAACAAAATGACATAAAAATGTAAAAAACTTACGAAGGATACAGGTAGTCGTGTCGTAGTTGTAATGATTTATCATATCCAAATGCCTTAAGCCCAGTCCAAGCAGTTTCTTGTCGTCCTCTTTGCATGAAAGCTTCGTGCAAAAACAAAAATCCTCTCAAAGTAATACCACCATCAATTACTCCAGTCGGTTCGTAGCTCATTACCACGTTCTTGACCTCTTCTAAAGCATCGTCAACCAATGGCATTCCAAAAGCCCGCATTTGGAATGATCGGAGGTCGTTGTCAGATAACAAACCATCGTTATCTTGGTCTGACAACTAAAAAAATTTAAAAACCTTTTTTAAAAACGGTATAGCAGTAAGTATGGATATAGATGAAATAAAAGAACTATTTTTCACATTTAGAGGTAATTTAATCCTTTTTATGCATAAAATTTAAACTTTTTCATACCTTGAATATCCTGACCAAAGCTTTTTTACACTTGGGTGTCAACTCTCTTCTGTTAACATCGTATAGTGGTGCCAATGGATACACAACTGCTCTCTGAGCATAGTAAAATACTTCCGACACATTTTTCTTTGCCAATGCAGAACATTCCACAACAGTTTCAATCTCACTAAACTCGTTCATAATAGGTACCATCTTATCAATGTTCTCAGACTGATCTGGCTTGTCAGACTTGTTAGCCACCACCAGAATTGGCTTTCGCTCATCTGGGCCAAGAACATCGTGAATCAACTTCATCCAATGCTGCTTCACCTAAACTTGAATTGTTTAGAAACTTTACACCTGAATTTAGATAACAAAAACAAAATTCAACTTACTCTGTCAAGATTCTCTGGCTTTTCGACCGAAAACACGATACAAATGACAGAAGCGTCGCTTATCATTCTCTTCAGTGCTTCTTCATTGTGCGCTCGTGCTGAAAAACATTAAACATCGTTTCATAAAAAATAAATAAGAATTTTAGGTAGTTTCTTACTTGAATAGTCGATTATAGCTGTTACCACGCCATCAGGTGATATATCTGGAGGTATTATCACGGTTTCCACGTTCGTCGGGACATTTTCAATAAATCTGTCTTCCAACAATGTAAATATTAATGATGTTTTGCCGGCATTTTCTAAAAACAACATCAATTATCAAGGACAGTAACTTACTATCTCCCAAAACCAAGATACGAACATCAATCTCGTCTTCGCTGAACTCGAGCTCTTCGTCGTTCTGCATACTTAATACATCGAGCTGCATCAGGTCGATGCTCGTTGCTCTCGACTTAAAAATCGAGAAAAAAATAAAACAATATTTTACGAGAATGTTTTCGTGGCAGGACGTCTTTTATGGCATTTCGAAGCAGCCGTTCAGTTGACATTTCGCAAAATTATCAATTTTAAAATTCGTAGACTTTTTTTGCACAATTTTGATGAAATCAATTAGCGAAATATAAACAGCTATCAAACAGACAAAGGTCATTTCGCTATCTTATCAACAAAAAAGCGTAAAATGAGCATTTGGGTACAAAGTGAAGTTGAAGATGGACGCTTTGAAGGAGGGCTGGTTCAGCGAACTCTCGCCGGACGACTTGGCCGCCATTAAGGGCCAAAGTAGTGATGATAAGCAATTGAAAAGTGATGGTGTAGAGATGGGAAGTCCTTGGCCTGGCCAAGCCTTCTCCTTGAAGGTTGAGGAAGTCTTGTTCGAAGGAAGGTCTGATTTCCAAGATGTTATCGTCTTCAGAAGGTAAGACTGTCATTTGGCAAGTTTACTTTAAACTACCAATATAGAAAAATCTATAGTTTTAAACCGTAATTTATGTTAATATATTGTCTTTAAAGTAATGTTAAGTAATCTTATAGCAAAGCTCATGGCAACGTGCTGGTGTTGGATAATGTGATCCAATGTACCGAAAGAGATGAGTTTTCGTATCAAGAGATGTTAACCCATCTGCCAATGTTTGCACACAAGAATCCGAAGAAAGTTTTGATTATTGGTGGTGGGGATGGAGGAATTCTTCGAGAAGTCCTGAAACACGACCAAGTTGAAGAGGTTCACATGTGTGAGATTGACAAAATGGTCATTGACGTGGGTTATTTGTAGTTAAAAGTAGAATGTCTTTAATTATTGTAGGATTTTGGTCACTGAAACCCATTGAGACCCCGGTCCATTGAGACCTCGAGCCCATTGAGACCCCAAACGCCCATTGAGACCTTAAAAGGAGGGTCGGCGGAGACTTTAGGAGGTTCGGCGGAGGGTAGGCGAAGGCTTTAGGGTATTTGGCGGAGGCTTTAGGGGATTTGGCGGAGGGTCGGCGGAGGCTTCAGGGCATTCGGCGGAGGCTTTAGGGGATTCGGCGGAGGGTCGGCGGATGCTTTAGGAGGTTCGGCGGAGGGTCGGCGGAGGCTTTAGGGGGTTCGGCGGAGGGTCGGCGGAGACTTTAAGATATTCGGCGGAGACTTTTATGCATTCGGCGTGTATCTACCCAATTTTACCCCTAACCTTTTTAGCCCTACACAACCTTACCCTTGCTCACTTTACTCTACCCAACTATACCATACCCATCCTTTATAATATACCATACTATACCCTATTGTACTTAATATACCGTATCCTATTATAACCTATCCTATCTACCATGCTAAACCCTACAATACTCTACCATACAATACCATACCATACTTTACAATACCATACCATATCATACCATAACATACCATACCATACCATACTATACCAAACTGTACCATACCTTACCTTATTCAACCTTATACAAAACTACCGTGTACTATTTGTGGGTATAGCAAAACTACCGTGTACTATTTGTGAGTAGAATAAGTAAGTAAAACAACATAAATGGTATAATATAGTCAAGTATAGTATGGCATAGTATGGGATAATATGGTACGTTATATTATTACTAAGTTCTCCGCCGAATCTCCTAAATTCTCCGCCGACCCTACGCCGAATCCTCTAAAGTCTCCGCCGACCCTCCGCCGAATCTCCTAAAGCCTCCGCCGACCCTACGCCGAATTCCCTAAAGCCTCCGCCGACCCACCTCTCAAGGTCTCAATGGGCGTTTGGGGTCTCAATGGGCTCGAGGTCTCAATGGACCGGGGTCTCAATAGGCGCGAGGTCTCAATGGGAGGGATTCGATTTTGGTTCAGGGGAAGGGAATTGTAATCTAGATATCATTTACAAAAAGTCTTTTTAGGTAAGCAAGAAGTACCTTCCAAACATGGCCAAGGAGCTTGGTAACCCAAAGTTCAAGTTGTTTATTGACGATGGTTTCAAGTTTTTGAAGAATCACGAAAACGAGTACGATGTGGTGATCACCGATTCTTCCGATCCTATTGGCCCAGCTGAGAGTTTGTTTGGCCAAACCTTCTACGAATTGATTAACAAGGCTCTGAAGCCGAATGGAGTTCTGGCTTCTCAATGTAAGTTATGGTATCTACTGACAATAGTTATTATGAAGTTTGTGTCTTCTGTCTTATCTACTGTATTTTGCAAGAAATACTGTAAGTTTGTAATAGCTTTCTACTGAAATAGTTATTGTTGACAGTAAATAAGATGATATTACATGGTTAATTAACTATGTCAATAGTTACGCTTAATGGTTGTTTATGAGTAATTGAATTATTTATGTTGAGGATGACAGACTAATTGGAAGTTTTGACATCTTTTTCGTTATACGGCACATATAACTAATCATGGACATTAAATATAATATATTTACTTGCTATATGTGTTTTTATACCAATCTATCTTTACGATATATATAGGTTATCTGAAATACATGTAAAAATATCATCTAAAGAAGCTAAGGTAACATTATGTTTTAGGCGAAAGCTTTTGGCTGCACTTGGATTTGATTGCTCACATGGTCAAGTTCAACCGTCGTATCTTCAAAAACGTGAGATACGCCAGTTCCGTCGTATCCACGTACCCATCTGGTGTTATGGGCTATTTATTGGCCTCGAAAGGCCCTGAGGTGGGTTAATTACGGCTGCTTTTGGGGGAGGAACGGCTGGTAATTAGATTATATACTTGTTTGTGTTACTGTTCACGGCTTTGTAGGGCAGTTTATGTACATATAACATTGTGTGCTGCTTACAAAAGAGGGTCCTATACAATTTTTGTTGTAAAATAGGTATTATTTTAAATGTAAGCGATGATTTTAAGACAATATACAGTTATATATTGACTGTTTTACTACGTGATTGTACTATAACAATGTAAGAGTCCTCACATTACCTAAAATATGTAAAATGTTTTGTATGCATTGTTTATTATTGTATGTACATGTTATTCAACATGCTACGGTAATGTTGCCTTGCGGGTCACGTTTTATGACTTTTATACTATGTTGTTTATAACTGTTATTCCCCGTATCTTGCAATGTCAACAAATTTATATTGTCATATTGCACATAACCTTGGATTTATGTCATGTTTTGTGTAATTTTATGTGATATTTGTTTTTACATTGTGTTTATATCTGTACATGACTTTGTTTTGGGGCGGTGAAAGTCATTTACAATGTAGTAATAGTAATTTAAATTGTAAATTGTGAAAATATTTGGGAGTATTAAGGTGTTTTGACATTGTTTCTCAAAACTGCTTCTATTTTTATATACCTAATTAGGTAACAATTCTATATAAATGGTCGGAACATATTGACACTTTGTGCTGACAGTATGATCGTACCTCCACAGAATCCCAACTAACTCAATTCGTATTCAGGAGAACGAACTGAGTGTGCCGAAGCGTGCGGTCACGCCCGCCCAACGTGAACAGCTCCGGTTCTACAGCGGCGATGTCCATTCGGCCGCCTTCGTGCTACCGGCCTTCGTACACGAGACTTTAATTTGAATTTATTTTGTGTCATTTGCAGGATTTTTGTTTTCAAGACCAAACCCAATTCATTCAGTCACGCTTTGACAAGAATAAAGTTTGAGTATTTGGTTTAAACTTCCTGGAACGGCCTTACAGTAGACTGCTTTATGGGTTGGGTTTTATTTCTGGAAGTGTTCTGCAGAGTTCTACAGTTAGATTTCAGATGGTTATGGGGTGGGGAGAGCGGTTTTATCAGGGAAAGGGTGTAAGTTTAGGTAATAATTGAGAAGAGGTTAGTTATAGGTAATGTTATGATAGCTACAAAAGCTTGGCTGTAATTTTACATTATTTGAAATGCTATGGCAACTTAAAATTTTAGTATAATTTTAAATTCTACATAGTACAATATTTGTCATAAATCTAAGGTGTTTTGTTCATAATAATTGGTGCTATCACGTGGATGATACTGCTCTTTTGCACGATATATGTTTATTGTAGGAATTAGCCTTTGATGTTTTTATAAAACAATGCTAATGGTTTTGTTTTTGGTGAAAGATATGTTTCTACGAGATACGATTTTTTCAACGTTCCAAATCGTCATAATGTGCAATTTTCTTGTCTTACCTGACGTTTACCTATTCTCGAAAGAGGTGTTTTTTACACTAAAATGGTTTTATATGTATGTAAGTCAATATTATACACTCAATTTTTAATAATTGAGAATATAGCTCAAAACGGCGCTAGGACAATTGCGGTTTTTGGACATTTGCGGATCTTCGGTTTTTGGACACTTGCGGATTTTGGACATTTGCGGATTTTTTAAAGGTTTTTTTTATTTTTTAGTTAATTTAGTTGTATTATGGTAAAATTGTACTAAAGTTTGAATTGGTACGGTTTCAACATAACAGTACCTTTTTGGGCTTTTAGTACTATTTAGTACCAAAAATATAAAAACAGTACCGATTAAAAATTTAGTAATATTTAACATTAAGAAATATTAAGACAGTGCCAATTTAAACTTTAGTACCATACTACAACTAAATTAAATAAAAAATAAAAAAACCCCTTTAAAAAATCCGCAAATGTCCAAAAACCGCATTTGTCCTAGCGCCCTCAAAACACATTGTAATTTTTAAATTTTTTACTGTAATGTAAAGTATTTTACAGTCTTTAACACTGTAACCGTTGTCTAATTCATACAAATCACTTTAATGTCTTCAAGTTATCTAACGCTAATATCAGACATCTAGTAGCATATATATTGGGCCGCAGTATCGTATAAATCTTCACATAAAATACGAACATGTAGTTTGTTTTTTATTTTATGACATTCCTTGCATCGTATGTTAATGGGGTGTATTTCCTGGCCGCTTTTTATGTTATTCTTTTTCAATTTGAATACCATGCATTCTACAATCTGACATACCATGTACTTTTAATTTGTTTTGTAACCGGTTTCCTGGAAGTGGTGACATGTTATGACATGATAGCGTGAGTTATTGTGGTATAGTGAGAGTGATGACAATTTATTAAGTTTTAGCTGGTACACTTGTTGTTTTATTTGTAGGTTCATATTTCATTACTTTGTCGTTATCCTTGATCTGAGATTATGTTCTTTGTTCTAAGATCACATTAAACATACTATGCATAGTTAGCCTTGACTTATGTATAATATGTCGTATGCTTTGTTAGTTAGGTACAAAGCCTAGAATATTATGTAAACAAGACCTTAATTCAGACTATGTACATATAAATAGGCACTAGGAATATTATTGTGATATGTTGTTGTTGCTATTTATATTGTAGTAGGTGGACTTGAACTCTTGAGTCATGATGACTGAACTAATCATTTCAAATGTGGGAAGCCGGCTAAGCCTCTGAGGCCGTGTGAGCCGCTTTAATTTGAAATATATTGTAAAAGTGGTAATATTCTCAAAATGTTACTAAAGGAATGTCATTTTTGGTGTTTTATATAATTGGCGGTAAACTTTTTTACTTTGGGTAATTCTTGTTATGATACACTTGTTGATACATGGTATTTGGCAGTATGTTATTAATTTAAACTTTGATTATTAAGAATTGTAATGGTAAACATATATTGTTATTATGTTTTGATTCAATTTATTAGGTTTGACTTAATTTTTGGGTAACATTGTTACCTAATGTTACCTTGTTATGTCTTGAAAAGAGTTTTAGAAGGCAAAGCATGACCTATTACCTAGAATACTGAAAAAGTTGTACTTATTGGACTTTGCTATCAGCATGTTTACTTACCATTGATTATCTTTTGTCACTTTGACTCGGACTTACAAAGAACTGGAAATAAAGTTATTGCCATAATGTAATTAAGCGCCTTTGAAGGCCACTTGAGGAATTAGAGTCAAGAACGTGCCGTGCTTATGAAATTATCGAACCGTGGTTCCCTTTGATTCCAGAATCCTATTTTAGGCCGGTTTATGCCGTCATCACAACATCGAGAGGCTTCACTTCTTTCGCCCCTCAAGTGACGGCGAATTACTCCACGATGCGACGGCTGAGTTGTATCCCCGAAGCGGTGGGACAAGTACGTGGTTTTAGTATCAGATTATTTTCTGGCATTCGGAGTTGTTGTTCTTGCGCGTTGTTGTTTTGCATAGTCAGCTGGGTTTTTGTAAATTACAGCACGTTTTTCGGTTTTTTATACAGTACTTATATTATACTATATATTTTGAAGAGTTAGACTAATTAAGCACAGTATGCAGGGTTGATTGAGGAGTTTAAAAAGAAGGAGCCGCTTTTTTAGGAAAGGAGGGAAGTGTTTTCCACAAATATTTTACTTATTTTTTGTAAAATTAGTAGCAAACCTTATCTATTCAAAGGTTTTTGATGGTATCTTTTGTTTTCTTTTTATTCTGTGTTTACTTTAGCAGTAGATTCTTTCTTAATTATTTTTGTATTTACTACAGTAAAATATCTTTTAGCATCGCTTTGACTTCCACAACGATATTATGATAGAGAACGAGCGACGAGCGTCTCAACAAGAAATCGACAGTGCTCTACAGTTTCTGGAGCGACGACAAAGTAGTGGATCTAATGGAGGTAAGCGCTGATCTATCTTGATTGAGTTTTTCAGATTAGTATAAAATTTGAAAAAAGTACTGTAGTTTTTTGGTTTATAGTAAATTTTGGCAGAATTTTAAATATAAGATCAGTTTATTACTCTAGCTTTAATTACTCTGTCATCAATCAGAGCGTGAATCTCACTGTGCTGAAAGTTGTAAACTTGTTTTTGTCTTTTATTTGTGTACCTTAACATAGCCATGTTTGTGTACTAACGAGCAGAAAGTGTGACGAGCAAATGAATTCAGAAGCTGTTTTCCCACCGCTTCTTTGAGTACGAAAATGAAGTGTCTAATTTAAGCTTAACTTTGGCTAATATTACTCGAGCACGCTCGCAGGGCACGGGATAATATAACGGATGTTCATGTCAGATTGTAATTTGCATACCGTTTCAAAACAAATGCATGAAAATGTATTTTTGTAATGTTACAGTATGCCAAGTGTACTGTAGTTGGACTTTTGTCAGCTTAAGTTGTAATTTAGCAAAACTAAAGTACATATTAACATACGACGGTCTAGGATAATATTTTTGAATTTGCTTTTGCCTACGAACTTTTGGGCCGCTCTAATCCAATAAAAGTATTTTCAGTGGTGGGTAACATCCAACCGGATCTGTACAGGAAACGAGGCTCCGTGGTCAAGATAGCCTCGTCCAAAGATACGATATGTGTCGGCAGTGTGCAATTACAATTAAGTTACAACTTCTCCAAGTCCGACTTTGTTGTTGTTTTGTTGGAAAGTAAGTTCTTGCGCTTTTTTGAATACAGTACTCGAAAATAATTTTCTAATAAGAGTACTGTAACATCAAACCCATACTGTATTTTCAGCCTCATTCGCAGTCCAGCTTGAGGAATGTCAGCTGATTTTCATGCTCGGCTTCAACGCTCGTCGAGAGTCGTCCAAGATTGCCTTAGGCACTGCCGTACCTATCCAGACCTTCAAATTCCCTCTATCTTATCAAGAACTGATGGAGAAGACATTGACCATCCAACTGGTTGATTCAAGAGTACCACGTGTGGTTGGTACCTCATCAACGCCTTTGTCCAAGCTGAATCCATCAGATGAACTTATGGTACTGATGGAGCTCGATCCGGTAGAGGCTGTGGTTAACATGGGTACAGTACAACTGTGGCTACAGTATCTAATTTCTGCTCAACGGTTTACTGTAACGATACAACAGAGTACTCAAGTGGAGAAGGCGGATTGTGGTAGGTTTAAGACATATACATGCTATAGTAATTAGTTAGGATGGTTTAGAAATGAGAGTGGGTAATATAGAGGTGGTTAAGTTATCTCAAAAACAATTTAACAATAGATACAAGTAGTATTACTATTAATAGTTTAAAAAATGTAATACGACCGGTTATGACATCAAATTCCGTCATTTACAACGCTGTAAACCCAGTTGTAAACAAGATACGATGGTTGTAAACCACATGCAATTACATTTTGTTTTAAATCTGATGTAATGATCATAACATTACTCTGAAAGTACATGGTGGAATGTGGCCTACCCAAATTACTGCAGAGTAAACTACATAAAAGTACATGTTCTATTTACTGCAAAGTAACTTTTAATTAGATACGAAGTAAAGCCTTACAGTACTAAATAAAGCTCTTAATTAGCAGATACAGTAATAAGATACGAACTATGACCTTTCGATACGATTAAAGTAATTGATTATGCACAATGTTGCTCTAATTGCAGGAACGTCGGTCTTCTTCAAGGCTACATTAATTATGAACGATAAGGCGCTCAAGAAGAAGAAGACCAACTCCAAGAAGGCATCCGACTCGAATCTAGTGTGGAACGAGGCCCTCATGTTCTCTATCGATCACAACACGATACTAAAGTAAGCCAGTTTATACTAAAGTACCAAGGTTATATTAAAGTACGCGGCTTTTTATTGATGAAGACAGAATGATATCAAAGTAGGTAGTATGGCTTCAGAAAGTGTAAGGTGTGAAAGAGGATACAGTCATATTATAGTAGATATCAAAGTAGATACCAAGACCTTAAAGTGGACAGAAATATATTAAAGTAGGTTAAATATCGACTGATACGAAGTCTATGATGTAGTTAAGCCTCTAGCTAAACTGTTTTTACGTTTTAAATAAAGTGTTTGGCTTTTCACGGTAGTAAATGTCATAAATGTGATGTATAACAATATTTGTAGATGTGACATGGAGATAGCGTTGGTGGAAGTAGACAGGAATCAGCGGGAGAAGACATTGGGTAAGATTCAGTTTGGGAAGAACAACTCAGTAGAAGGTCGCTTGTGGAAAGAGATTCTGGAGGGACGATCTCCGCCTCCACAATGGCTCAACCTCAGAAGTTGATATATTAATGTAAACCATGTTTCTACTACTATACAAGTAGTATAAACCTAATGTACATTGTAACATGTTTATTTGACTATTATGTAACCTGTTCATGTATAATATGCCATTGATTATTGTAAACATATTAAACGTGAAATTGTTTATATGACAATTGATGTATCTCTACAGTTCCAGATTTTAAGTAAAATCATGTTTAATATAACCTTGTTCATAATATACAAAGGTAGCCAAGTTGCGTTGATCATCTCCACTCCAAAGTATCATCATGTGTAACATAATATGTTTGTTTGTCGAGACTCTCGACTTTCAAATTCCCAAATCGCCTTTAATAAATCCAAAAATTCTTGGCAGAAACTTTGTTTACACATCGAAAAAGGAAGAGCAACAGACGGACAGGAGGAGGAAGGTGTTTGACCCGCTTCCATCGATGTAGACGACAAATAACATACGATTGCGTAATAGGATGAGCGAGCGATGATCGGACAGCCGGCTGGCTCCTGCGCTTCGCAAACTGGTTGTGGCCAGAGGCGATCGATTCTCTCTCTTCTCGTCCACAGGGCCATGCTCTAGACAGCAAATGTACATCTTTGTACTGTTATTGTATTCGTACTCGGTTTGTGTACGAGCGAAAGTAAGTGATACTCATCAGTTTTTTTACTTTTATCACCCAGATGTTACAGTAGCAGTCAAAAACTTAAAAGATAAATTTTAAGTTTACTTACTTAAAATGTGTAACATGTCATAAAGTTATAAGTAACATTTTCAGAGTGATGTTCCAGCCTCTTATATTCAAATTGACTGGTATAACTTGATTCCCTCGGGCGCGGTGTGCCGCCACTTCCAGCTCGAATACTACCCACCTACAGGATCTCCACCATCACATTCTCTCTTCGCCCCTCAAGTACTAAACGTCACCATCGAAGATACTATCCCAGCCACAGAATATTATGTCAATGTAACTGCCCTGGTCGAGCCTGGATACAAACGGCTGTTACTCAGTAATCTGCTCATATCTTGTAAGTTTTTTATTTTTTTGTTAACATTTGTTCCAGATTATTGTGTTACCTGTAGTTTGGTGTATTAAACTAACTTTTAGGTATTGAGCAATGTTACTTTATTAAGAATATTTTTATTTTTAGATTCAGTATAATAGACTGGTATTTGCAATCGTATGTTTAGTTACTATAACATCTTTTAGGCCCTCCCAAGCCAATCTTAGAGTATTTGAAGCCAGACTCGACCGGCGTGACCTTTGCCATGCTCTCGCCCATCAAAGCAGGTATCTCTTACTACGTGGAATACTACGAAGCAGCGGACAGCGACCAAGCCAGCTATGTCGAGACTAGCCAGAGTGCCCTGAGGATAAAGGGCTTATCACCTAACACAAGGTACGAACTGAAGGTGGTGGCCCTGTTCCGAGGAACTCCGTCCATTCAACCGCTCACCGTCCAATTTAAAACCAAAGGTAAACAGTTACTTCGTATGTTGTTTGCGGTTGTGAGCGACGCATTAACCATGTTCTTTTGTAGAAATACCACGCTCTAACGAGAACAAACACCGCCGACCGGTTAAGCCGTTCCAGTACAATCAGAATAGTCAGGTAAAGATAAAAGGGCAGTAAATAGGTGCAGTGTAGATATATATAGACAGTAGAAACAACAGATATATGCTTAAAAGGAGTATAATATGTAAATATTACTGTTCTATAACAGTACAAGACAAAATATACGTTTCAGGGAGTAACATCACCATTCACACTGTATCAACCAAACCAACAACCACAGTATCCTCAACATCACAGTATACCTGCAGCACCTTCTCAACAGTACGGTATACCATCAGTACAGTACCAAGTGAACCAGCCGACTGCTCTGAATGGGTACCAAAGTGTAAATCAACTCTCCCAAAAGATACCAAACCTTCAAAGTAATGTAGGCTATGTCATTCCAACAACTACAGTAAGCTCTTTAAATGAGTACGATCGAATAGTACAACAAATTCTGGGTACTACACCACCATACGTAGCTGGTACGACATCTTCCTATGGTACTACACCTTCGTTTGTTGTAGAACCAAATGTTCACAGTATAGTTGATAACAGCTACAAATACAGTAATCAGTCGGCCTTTTACAGTAACCCAGCATTACAGAACCAGTTATACGGTAATCCAAAAGCTGTAAGTCTTCAGACCGAGAATACTGTAAACAACCCTTCTGTCGACTTAAACCAACAACAGTCTAGTTATGGTACTGTAGAGCAGTCTACAAGCTACAGTAACAACAATCAACATTTAATACCACCAAGTAAACTACCTGACTTAACAGTAAAACCGCAGAGTGATGTGTACCCAGTGTTACCTAATCGATGGCCAGAAAGTGCACCAGAAGCCGTTATTGGAAGGGTACCAGACACTCCTAGTGCACCATTGTTCAAAGTGAAATCATTTCAAATAGTACCAGAAGCACCATTCGTTGAGAAAACTCAAGAGGTTCCAAACGTACCATTATACAAAGTAGAACCTTTTGACAAGACACCAGAAGTACCAGTTGATATAATAGTACGAGGACCAGCGGTACCCATTGATACAATGGTTAAAGTGCCAGAAGTACCAGTTGATTCAATAGCAAATGCACCAGCTATCAAAACTGTAAATCAGCCAAAGTCAGAGTCAAGTGGTACTGTAAAAGATGGTTACTTTGCAGTATTTGTAACTGCTTCATTAGGTACTACAACAACTACAGTACCCCCACTAGTCCAAAATATGGTTACAGTAACCAATCCAGAAGTTATTCCCAAGGATAATTTTGAAGATAAAGTAGAAGTAAAGGACAAAGCAGATAAAAACATAGAACCCTTTACCATGACATACACAGTAACCCAAGCCACTACTACCGTACCATTGATCGTATTCACAAAAACAACTACAGTAACCCCAGTGACAAAAGAGATCGATGGAGAAGATACCGTAGTAGGTAACGACTTTGTAGAATATACTACTCCAAAGAGTACCAGTACCACTGCTACTAGTGCCATTCTGATCGTAGATGCTCCAGAAGACCTTGGCTACGTAGACCCCAAAGATCCGAAGACAAATAAAGACAGTAAAGATGAGGTGACCTTTGTGGATGAAGATACCATCAATGACAATGTTAAAGATACGACGACAGACAAAGGTACAGTAGAAGAGAAACAAGATACTGTAGTCAAAGAAGAAGAGGACGACAAGATTACTGTAACACGAGAACATCAGAAGATACGCTTGGACTGGACTATTCCAGAAACAGTATTCTGCGACAACTACCTGATTAACACGACCGTCGTATCTTTGAAGATACCGAAGAGTTTCACCGTAGTATCTCAGAATACAAACAGCTATATCAAGATGTACAACGGCCATCTTGTCTTAGTCAGAGTGTCATGTATGTTGGAGAACTCGGTATCCAACACCTGGTCTGCTCAAAGATACGTCGACTTCAGGAGTAAGTTAACGCCTAAAGCAATATTAGCAGGAGTTCCGAAGTTAAATGTTTGTTATGGTTATTGCTATTCATAATTATGTCTATTATTCATAATAAAGTAGACTTTTTAATGGTTTTGCCATTTCAGAGCCAGAACCAGTAAAAGGACTTCACATACGAGAAGTTACTACGGACGAGTTCTACGTGGCTTCTGTAATATTGGAAATCGACGAGGTATCAGACACGAATAACAAGTACGATGTCATTGTTACATGGGGATTGGGAAAAGTAAGTGAAATACTCCAATTTACTTTGTCCAAATGTTTAGGTATACCACTACTTTCTTTTCAAAACGCTCAATTCCTTATTTTGAAGCAATGTTTAACGTAAAACAATATAAATCACAAATGTTTTACATCAATTCTGGTCGAAAACTGTTTTGCCAAAAACAAAATATTGTAATTGGAGCAGAATGCCAACAACTTTTAGTTGGAAAGTCGTTTCAAAGCGCAAGACAATGTCTCATGTCGCTTTATTTCTGAAAAAAAGTTAAAAATAAGGAACTGATTCATGGCCTAGTTAGTAATTTACATTTCTTTTACTGTTTACAGATTTATTATTAATTTACATCAAACGTTTTTTAATACTATTATTTTTAAACCGTGTTTTCGATATTATCCTTGACGTTATTTTAGAAAGTGATCTCCACAAATCAGCTCAGCTTCACAGGTCAATCTGTTTTCAATGTCAGTGGACTAGAACCAGCACGATTGTATACATTCTCTATCAGAAACGTGTCTCGAGACACCAGTATAGAAAGTGCTCCAATTGGGATTCGTCAAATTACTGGTAAGATCAAGTTACTTTTAACAATTTCAAAGACAATATGAATCCTTTGAAATTATACTTTTAAGCCTTTGTAATATAAGTGGACTGTACCCAAATCAAATTAAAATAGTTATTACATGTTTATTTCTAATGAATTGTTTCAGCACCAATAATAACATCGACTTTGTATCCTGGACAAATCTCATCGTATGCCATTAATGTCAACTACGATGACAGTGCGCCGGAGCATACCTTTGAACACTACGAGCTTATGTTTATTGGGAATAGCAAGAACATCACCAAGAAGTTGGCCAAGAAAGACCCGAAGACCTTTACCTTCAACAAGTTGATACCTGGCAAGACCTATACCTTCATATTGTATACTGTGTACAAGAATGTGAAGAGTCGACCGGTAACTCAGGATATAACTACTTGTAAGTCATATTTATTCTATTGATAATTGTGATTAGTTTTGTTATATTATTTGTTTTTGGTTTAGATTATTAACTTATATTGTAGTAGATTAGTGTTTTCGTATAAATTTATACATTTGATATTGTCTATGTTTAGATCCTTTGAAAGCGAGGAAGTTTAATGCTATGGTAGGCCCTGGTTACGCTACATTAACATGGGAAGTCGAGAACGTTGCCAACAATGATTGTCAGTTCAGATTAGAGTAAGTTGCTTTTGTGTCTAAAGTGTTTTTGTTTTGTTTATAAAGTATTGTAACCTTAAGTTACTTTACGAACTAATACTGGTTTGATGTACAATCTTATCTAATATATGTTTCTCAATATTGGAAATGTTGTTTTTGTTGCTATATAACTTTAGATACGCTTCGACGTCGAACAGCGGGATACAGAAGTCGCAGAAGGTGAAGTTACAAGACGTAAACATGTACAGGTTTACTGGGTTACACTTTGACACTTACTACACATTCACAATTACAGTATTAATGGGAAAAGGCGACGCTGTAGCGGAATCTGAATCAGAAATGATCACGGTCGGATTCAAGTCACGACGTAATACTTTAATTGAGTTGTCCTTTTTTGTAAAATATAATATATATGACAAATTGTAATTATGGTATATATGATAGTTTTATATTTTTTGTGGTATTTTTCATGGTTATCTTGTAATTGATATACAACTTATAATGTAAAGTAATATTGGTTTTTCAGCTACTTCATTCCCCACATTGAAGCGACAAGGGAGTCGCGAGATGTTGTTAACTTTTGAGAACGATCCTCGACTCTTCGCAGATACAAATGGTGTTGTGGATAACTTTGCTGTTATTGTCACTCAAGATCCAGAAGTAAGTTCATCTAGGCTAGAAAACCTACTGTAGAGAACTTGCATTGTAACCCTAAAGGCTTTGTTATAGTTGAGCTACTTAAGAAAATTTAATTAGCTTTGTCTTGACTTAATATGTGAATTTAGCTTGGAGGAGATGGATACGAACTCAAGAGTTACTATGACATAAAGGACGAGGAAGTGTGGCCAGCTTACCGTACCTCCCACTCTAATTACAATCCCTTTAAGCGAGGGTCTTCTCGAGTTGCCACTTTTGTCATCGGCGAAGAAGATTGCGACAGAAGGAAGTTGAACGAAACTGTAGGTTTTGTATATACTATAATATATATATATATTAACATTAGAGTTAACTGTGTATGGTACTGTATTTAATATGTTGCTTTAGTACTGTAATGGTGTTCTGAAAAGTCACGTCGATTACTACGCAAAGGTACGAGCTTACATGGTGACGAACATAGCGATGGAAACAGAATGGGTATCAGTGAAGGGTGTTGTCGATGATACTCCACATGAAAGTGAGTAAACTCTACTATAATATAATATACAGAACACCAGTGTAAACCTTTTTTTAAATACTTTGTAGTACACGAATCTAATACCTATAATATTATTAATTCCAGAAGGCCAACGCCGTCTCCCGTGCTACATGTACCTGAATGGATGCTCCAAGTCCAGTAGCGCTCAGATTCCAGTCAATTACATTTCCAGATCTCTACAACTACTACTATTGCTCATCATAACTTTATTGTAATATACACATGACTATATACATAACCGGTATTAGAGTTAAAGACACTTCTCTCTGCATTGTGCTGCTTTCTGGAGCATCTAAAGTAATATAATTGTATTTGATTACCAAAGTATTTTTAGATTTGTTTACAGTGTTATATTATAAAGTATTTATGGTTAATGTTAGAAATAAATATTGTTGTTAATGGCGGGTTTTTTTTGGCATTAAAGTCATTTTAAATTGACGAGTTATCTTTTTTATCAATTTATAATCATTAAAATATATTCTATTCAATTATGAAAGTAGACTTTTTTTTTATAATTAGGTATTACTATGTATCTTACTCTTTAAATGTGAATGAACTATGCTTTTATCTACCATATCTTATTACTTTTTGTCTCTTAACAGTAATAACTCACCGTGTGTGACTGCTACGTCGACCCGATTCTGATTCACTTCATCGTGATTCTCTAAAATGACTCATAAACAAAGACAAACAAAGTAATTTAATGTACTACTATTACGTCGCGACAACAGTAATACTGTACAGTAAACATATACAAACATGTTTACAAGTAATAGAAGTCGGTAAAACAAATTTAGTAATTGGTACTTAAATTGTTAATTAGTACCGTTAATCTTTAATTTTGTCGAAATGACCTAATAAAAGAATGGTTAATAAGTAATTAGTACACTTTTGGTAGTTAAATTGTAACATTTAAGTGTTGGGTAATAGAATAAATAAATAGTAAATTACCTGCAACTGTTGGTATCTTCTCTTCCTTTTCCACTGTCACAATCGGTCCATCCCATGAACAAGATACCAACACTAAACGACATTTATTGATAGTTAGAACTCCCACAAGCCTTCAAATTCTTAAACTACGCTCATCAAAAGTAAACCATATCATAAAAAGAAGATGTATATTGTAAAGTCAACAAAATATCAACCTGCATATACGAAATACCATGAAAATCATGGATATTATAGAATAATCGAACTCTAAACCTTCATAAAATGCTTCAAAATGGACTCACCGAGATGTGCCAAGTACAACCACAACACCGCCTTAAGCATGTTCGATCGATCAGATGGGAAACGAGGGAAAACGCGACGGACCCCGCTGCTACCCTATATTCGTATATTACTGCTCTCCCATCTCGCGGCGAATAAGTGTTTTCAGGAATCGGAAGAGCTGACGTTTCAAGTGAGTTCATCCACAAGATTCCGTCAAACCATTTTTGAAACGCTTCGAAGCTTTCGCTTGACCTTACTGTAGTTAGAGCTATGTTACTCTGTTATCTATGTCCATGTTGAAATACGAATTTTATAGGCCTCAAATACTTGATATGACTTTCGCAATATGGGTGTTTTATTTTCAATGGTTGTTTACTGTGTTCTGTAAAATATGTTTTATTGTACGCTTGTTGTCTTTTATGATTGTTGCTCAAATTTGGGTCTTACCACGAAAGCTTGAAATCATTCGACCTTTGAGCAAAACACCCAAAAATAGCTTTTTTGCAATATCCATCTCAAGTTTGCAATTTCTGCAATTACTTGTGACCTTTCTTTCGTACATTGCTTTACCATGGTGTGAGTGTGACTATGTTGATCAGCTGATCGACGAAAGACTGATAGCTGATTACATCATTGTGTTCCAGCTCTAAAATAAGATTCGATAAGGCGGAAGGTATCCAGAGAAGCAGCTATTACAATGTAATTGCAGCGCTATTAGTGGTAGCAGATCGTTTTAATAGTTTTGCTGAGCGGTAAACAGCACTGTAAACGTTGGCATGATGGATGTCATTGTTTTGGTTTGCGAACTTTTGCTCAAAATATACGGGTATTTCTAACTTCTTTTGTACGATAACTGGCGATTCATTTACATTGTAAATTCTCATACATTACAGTAGGATTAATATATTACAATAACATTACTTCCATACTTTACTCCATTGTAATTGTCTGTTATGACACTGTAAAGCACAGTCCACCTGAGGTCATAAATTTCAAGTGTAAAGTGGCAATTAGCAGAGAATGATTCCACATTAATCAGGCGGCTGTAACGTCCGGTCAGATGACATTGCTTCGAAATATAGCTTTGCTCTGCTCATAATTCGAGCATCGATAATGTTGTCATAGTTTCATAAAGATGATAATATCATCAATATAAATCTCATGGCTATAACTGAACATTCCTCAATATAAAGTATTATGCTGTGAAATAAGACAACAATACTCCAAAGCTATAATCATATATTTATTTACTCGTTTCAACCAATAAACAGGTCGATTCTAATTATCAATTATGCGCTACGAAATAGTTAAGAAAATACACAGTGTTAGAAATGTAGGAAGATGTAAACATGATAGTTAAGGTACAAAATAACACAATCGTTCTTCACATTGACGTAGATATATAGGAAGAAGGAGGGATGGGGGAGTGTAAGCTCTGTAGACATGTCAACAAACAAGATACAACGTCTATATAAAAGGTCACGACGTCAGGAAGTGTTGTCATAAAATGACATAATAATGTCAACAGACCACAGAGACCCACGAGAATGTCCCTATAACACGAAACACAAGACTGACACTCTGTCCTCCCCCAAGTGATAAAATGCAGAATCAGTTGAAGAAGTCGTCGTTGAAGGGATCTCTTCCCCCACTCGGGTTCACTATTTGCTGGCCTTGGACCGGTGGGAAGGCTGGCGGAGGTCCACTCAGAGAATTGAGTGACATTTTGGGAGGGTTGATAATGTGCTCGAAAGGGTTCTTCTTTGTCTCCGGAGGTGGGTTCTGGGTGGGAACCAGCTTTTCCATGTCTACCAGTTTCGAGAAGGCTTCTTCTAGTGTTGTCACGCGTCCGTTGTCGAAGGATCGTCTGAAAATGGCAAAAAACATTAAAACATCCTTATGATATCAAACATAACACTTTCCAAAGAATATAAAACTTCAATTTGCAACCTTAACCTAACTTCAAAACAAAAAATACAAACTCACTTGGCCAAGTCGTCGAATCCTTTGTCCTCGAACGATGGAGCACTGTTCTCTTTGAAAGACGAGGCTGACGATGTTGAGATTCCCCAGTCGATTTCTGGTGAGGTTTGACCGTTGGATTCGTGAGTAGAGCTTGCCCTTGAAGAGAACATGTGGCTACTGACATCGACAACTGGTGGCTGACGTTGTGGAGGTTGAGGAAGGCCGTACGATTGGGTCGTGTTGATGGCACTGATCACCCGTTGTGCACTTTGAGTGTCAAACGGGTCCGGGGCGTTTAACGTCGAGGCTACAGTGTTGGCAAACGGATTTGTACCCTGAAAAGATCCTTAGTAAAATATCATATTATACAATTAATAACAACACTATGATAAGATATTGTTAAATCCCATAATTTAAAAACACTTATAAAGTTACCCTGACGTGTTGAACATTATAAAAAAAAGTCCACCAAACGTATCAAAACTCACAGGGAAAGCGTTGAACTGTTGTTGCTGCGGTAACACTGGTGCTGGCTGATATGTCTGGACTGGTGGGTTAAATACATTTGGTGTTCCCCAGAAGGCGTCGCCGTTCAACGGCACGTTATTCACGGGCTGACGTACTGGCGTGGCGAAGGAATCGCCGAACGGATCGACAGAATCCTCGGGCATCGACGGAATGTGTTGTAGTTGGTTGCATCCTTGTTCGATGACCTGTAGTTCCGATTCCAAATCCAGAAGATCGGCGCACGGAACGCCGTCTTCGATCCGGTAGTTGTTCTCCTTCTTCAGATTCTGCAAACCGTAACTTATTGTAAACAAACAAGTCGATAAAGTTGAGAAACCTCAATATTTCACAAATTATTTAAAACAAAATCAAGGTAATTAAAATTCAATAATAACATGTAAAGAACTCACCTCAGCTGCTTCTTCTTCCTTCTTCTGTTTCATCTCCTGGATCTGTTTCTTCTTCATCTCGAAGACCACTTGAAACATGTCACGAATCGACAGAACAGCGTTGTCTGCTGTTTGAGCTGTCTTGATTCCGTAGAACTTGTACTTCCCATCAGCATTTCCAAAAATGAATCCAAAAGCACGAGCATCCGTGGTATCCCTGGCGATGAATGAAATCTTGGATACAGGGAAGTTGTACAAGATGGCCTAAACAGTAAAGCATTACATTACACTGCACTTACCCCGCTCTTCTCGTCCTTAATCTTCAACCCGTCGATTGAGATGTTGAGGATGATCCGCTGTTTGTGTGATCCCGCCTGTTTCACAGCCAACTTGGCCGCTCGCATGGCATCGGCACACATCCCATCGCCTCGAGCTTCAGGCACATCACGCTCTCCAATCAATTTGCCTTTGAAGTCGACGCCGTTGCCTTGGAAGCGAAACGGATCGTTGTTTGCAGCATCTAAATTTATTTCATGTTAGTATACTAATATTGTGTTGTGTATCAGTTCAACAAAAAGTCTTTCTTTATAAAAATTATTTTTTCAATACAAATCTACAAAAAATAATAACGAAAAAGCAAACAAAACTATTGATTTCTCTGGAATCCAAAAATAAAATTAATTTTTGGTCATTAATTATGCAAAACATTAATCAGAAGCCCATCAAAGTAACCTCATTTGTAAAATATCCTTACTGTAACATTTTATACCCATAAACGTCTATTTACCACCAATTTCATAAATAAATCAAAACTTGAAGTATCGATCGATCTTGACTTACTTTTCTGCTTGTTGGACCTCTTCAACATGGCCAGACGAGACTTGGGAGAGCCTGGTTTCACCGATCCGTCAGTGGCTTCAACAGAACTGTCCTTAATCTTCTGCTGAGCCACCATCTTCACCTGCTAACATGCGAATTGAATCGAAATTCGGGAAAAAACTAGTGTTGAGCGACTGCGCGAGACAAAAAAAGTTAATTAATCGCTATAAAATTTAATTACGTGCATGTCCGGGATCTCCACGGTGTTCTGATACTAGAGCATGGTTAATGTAATCGATTAGTTTGTATTTGATTCAGTTTTAATGTCTGGGTTCTCAAAAATGGGTATAAACAGGGACATCAGTCTAGAGTTTACGTTTTTAATGTTTTTTAAAATGCAAAAACGAGAATTCTCATGAAAGACAAGACGTTCAGACTAAAAATAACAACAAAGAAACATCGGGAAACACTAATGATAATTCACAGTAGCCGAAACACCCGAGTGGACCTCTATGAATCAACCCTTCCTTCTCTACTATAATATTTTCGCGCTCTCTTATTATTCCGACCATGGTAACTGGGTGATGATCGGGTAAAAATACGTTTCCTTTCCGAGTTTATTCAAGGATTGATCGATTACCAAAGACAACTTGAAAAATAGTCGTTCACAAAAAGAAGGTGGTAGCTATCATGGCAGGTATACCACGTAATCTTATTATAACTTTTACTATAAAACCGAAAGTATTATAGATCTGTGGGCAGGTTGAAAACAGAACAATAAAACAGTCAAAGGAATGTGTGTAACACAACGTTCAAACATTAAAAATTCACGAAATAGGTAACACAAGACGTTGATGTTATCGTAGTTATCAAGCAAGATAAAATTAGGTAACAACCCGAAAGATAACAGCTTCAACGTTATCAAACCTTCTGATTCTGTCTAAAATTTATCAAAGTTCAGAGGTGTTGCGATATTACTCATAACGCCTTTCATTATCTCTAAAAATATGAAAATCTCTGTGAACTACTACAATATAGAGTAAAACAAGTTATTTCCAAAGTCAAAAACAACAATTAACACACAAAACTATAAATAAACTCTCATATATATTATCATAAAATCAAGTTAAAGTCAAATATAATGTTAAAACAAGTCAACAAACACCAACAAAACCTATTACAAGTTCCAAACTCAATGTCTCGAGACTGAAAAAAACGAAAAATTAAGTGTTTTGACCCTTGAAAAACAATTACGAACCTCTGAATCAGATGGAGAAGAAAGACAGACAACAAATGTGCCTGTTAATGAGAGGCGATTGACCAAAGAGAGAGAAATCCCCTTGATTACCTAAAAAGGAACGGACCCGACGTCATTTTTATTGGGACAACGACGGAGAGTGAGGAAGAAGAGACGACAGAGAAAGTCAGAGAAAAGGCGAGAGACAGAAGAGGCGACAAAGAAAAAGAGCGTGCTTCGAAATGCGCAAAAACAAATAAAATAGGGCCAGAAGTGGTCGAGAAACGCCAAAAAGTGGAACAAAGACGTGGCTTTTCCTTATTTTAGATCTCGCCCTTCTCTGGAAGCTTAACAAAGGCTAATTTTCGGAAAAAATATTTTGCTCTTAACGAGATTTTGTTAGTTTTACAGCCAAAACTAATAAAAACAAGAGTTTTTAAATGCTAGCTTAAACCAGACTTGTTTAAAATTATTTAAAATGCATAATTAGCGTTTAAAACCTTTAAAAATTTTTAACGTTAGTAATACAAAAAAAGGAAATCAAGTTCAGTGAAAAATCAGAGATTTTCCACTAAAATAAACTTCATTCGTAGTAAAGTCCAGATTAAAAATTTAAGTAAGTATTCCCAAAATTCCTGATGTTTGCCCTAAAGGCCTAACAGAGATTGGTTAAAAATTGATAGGCTGTATATTTAGAATAGTTGAATAGACTAAAACATTTTGAAAATGGAAATATTCATGAAGCCATTTTATACATAATATAGCGTTCGTGAAGTGCTGATGCTTTTTTGTGATACCGGTCAATTATAAAACTAATGCTTTGGTAAGAGTTGTACAAAAGCGTGTTAATTTAAAGGCAAGATTTTGGGTAACAATCAAAATGAATGTCATTATTAATATAAGCATGAGTTAAGCCTCGATTTAAAACGTAAAATAGAATACAAAATGAATGTTACCTTCTTATTAAGATAACCATAAGTTGAGCCCCGATTTAAAACGTAAAATATAATACAAAATGAATGTTTGTAAAAGCGAAAACTCAAAAGTCCGAATTAAGTCAGTCAAAAACAAATCGGAGACGAGAATCGGCCGCGCGGCTAAATCCAGTTGACTTTGAAGAAGGGAACCGGTCCTCCGATTGCTTGTTTCACCCTCAAAATCCCCGCGCGCTGGTCGCACCTTGTGAATACAGTCCATCTGCCTGCAGGGCATCGGTTTGAGCATTCTTTCGAAGCTCATCCGAATCAAAGGGAGCCAAAACGGAACAATGCCTGCTGCTGTGGAGGAGATCTGACAGCGCAGCGCGCGGCTTCTTTGTCTTCTGAAGCGATTCCCAATCAAAAACCATCTTCTTTTTCCATAACTCGTGACTAGCAGCGCTGGCTGCCCTGAGGGGAGGGGTCGGAGAAGATCCCCCAACACCTGATCGGGTGAAAGTACGCTAAAGTACATTGACTGTCAAGTTCAAAGGACAGTTTTCAAGACAGATCTTGTTGTAATGGCTAGGTTAAGGTCATATTTTTATACTTATGAGCAGGTTTTGTAAAAAGTACAAGAAAGACTATTACTGTACAAAAACGAAAGTTCCAAAAACTTTTTGGCCGTAAAATAAAAGATATGAAAAAGTTAAAATCAGTGACTTTGGCGCCATTCATTAATAATGATAGTGAATGTAATATGTAGTTACGTAAAAACCAGATCTTATCACATTTACGAAATCATGTTCCAGTTTCAACAGACAAGAGGAAGGGCAGTTCTATGCTCTTTTTGACCGCAATAAGTAATGGAAACAGCTCTTTATAGTTTAAATAGTTAGTGCACTTTGAGCGGACCAGACTCCTTTCCTAAAAGCTCGTAAAGTGTAACAAAAGGTTATTATCCCAAAAAGGGTCAATGTGCTGTAATGAGCAGACTGTTATTGTGAAAGTTATTGTAATGGGTATTTACGGCGATGGACGCTGTAAAAGTCATCAAGATCTACAAAAGTTTTGAGAACGAAATGTCTTGAAACGAAAATGTTTTTGGTGTGGTACTGATGACAAATAACAAATGTGAAGAATAATATAAAATGTAAAACAACCAAAATTTACATAATGGTCGAAGAAAGAAGAAAAAGGTAGCATAACAACAATAACTTTTACTAAGTAACCTCAACTTTTATTTTTAGCTCTAAATTGAACTGTTTGATGGGTAAAACAAGCTCAAAATGTCGCTAAACAATATAAAAGTGGGTAATGAGATTTAAAACATAAAAACGCCAAAAATGATCTGCCCAAGAGCCACCGTGGTAAGATGAGAGTGACAAAAGTAATTCAACTCATCCCGGAAGAGCGGGGCGGAAGGGGGGGGGGGCTGAAGCGGGACGGACCGTCTTAAAGTATTTTAAAACAATTTTGAGCGATTTTCCAAAAAACCCGCAATCACTTTCGAAAAGCGCGTTAATTTACTGCAGAACCTTATTAACCTTTGTGGGCTAATGAATACGTCAAGGTCGTGGTGGATGGCGGCAGCTCTGTACCGGGCGAAACCAGCTGAGACCAGTCGATAATAAAAACGATAGAAACCCGTTTCACGATGCGACAGCGGCGTCAAGGTGTCAGGTAGACATACATCCCTTCTACACACTATAAACAAGCCACTGTTTATTCCAATAAACAAACACAGTAATTCGAGAAGGCCGCTGATATGATGCTGAATCATAACCCTGGCTATGTTAGCTCTGTTGCGTTAACCTCGTTATGTTTTGAGAGGATCCTTGATGATGTTTTATTTACTTCTTGACCGAAAAAGAACAATATTACAAGTAAAAACTTTAAGTAACTGTAAATGCACTATTATATTAAAGTAAATGCACTTTTACACTAAAGTGAATGCAAGTACGACCCATAGTTAGACGTTATGATGAAGGTATATTGTGCATGAAAACTGGCTCATCATGAGCGGGGTTTTGAAAGTTGTTAAAGGTCGGTGAGGTAGATCGGCCTAGCCAACCATTAAGTCTGCCACAAAAGCGACGCCAGCCATCAGAAATCACGTCATCTGAAATTACAGTATTTAGGAAGAGTGAAATAAATTTTAAAGATTAGAGATGAAAAGGATTGTTTAATACTTTTAAAAGTAGAGACAGGCATAATTAGGTGGATGAATCATGAGATAAAACTTTAATAAATTCCTTCTGACTCACCCACCCATAGCCTTTTACCTTTTGTTATGAAACTCAAACAATCAGAGGATTACGGTAAACAAAAACTGTTATCGACCACGTGGCAGCCACAAACAAGTGGTATAAACATACAATAGTTAGTAACAACACACAAACAAGCATATACTTGATATTATAAATAAACATGCTTTACACAACACAAATGTGGCAAAACAAACTAAACTACAACAAGCTACACTACTCCACTTTACCATAACATAGTCAAATATATACACAAACAAACACCACATTAATACCCAATGTTAAGTTACCATGCGACCACCATCTACCCGATGTTTAACGTACAGAACCATAGTAAAGGCAGTTACAGAAGCTGGCAAACGAAAAGTGCGAATTGTGAAAAACTTTATTTTCCTGAGAAATTCGAAATCTTAAGTGAATGTGATGAGTTCTTTGGGATGTGATTACCAACCTAGTCTGACTAGTCGATCCTGGGCGAACAGTTCGCGAGTCTCGCCACTCCCGAGGTCCTGAGGTATTTCCACGCTAGCCAAGAATTCCTGAAGCGACGATCGTTCCACCACCACGCCGCGATTCACGCTTTCCTAAATTCAAAATTTAAATACATTTAAATACAATAACAAAAGTTAACAATAATTACTATCACAGCAAAATCCAATGACTATTTTCACAACGTCTTCAACTATGTCAATTATGTATATAAACTCACCCTAACAACCTCGTAAGCGTCCATAATAATGGCGATGAAAAGAGATAATACCACGTAAATGAACAGACATACGAAGATGTAGATGTACAACGTTCCAATCAGTTTTATCGTAGCATTGGAATCGTTGATTGTGTAGAACGTTGCGAACATGTCATCACCGTTCATCAGAGAGAACAGCGCTTCTGATGACTGCGCCAAAGTTCGGAACTAAACTTGATGTATTATAATATCTACATTATAAAGTAAAATTACATTGCGACTTAGCAATGCTAGCAAAACAACAGTAAAATAAATCAAAAAATAATATAACAGCTTATACTTATATTATTTATATAAATATATACTAAATTAATTAGTCGCGCAAAAAATAAAAAACTTACCTTTATACTGTACGGCCCGATGATGACCCATCCAGCTATCAAAAAGCCAACGTACAATATGACTGTGCAAATCAAGAACCTGCCAATCGAAGGAATGGCTCTCTTCAGTGTCAGAATTAATACCTAAAATCAGAAGTTTAACAACGGGTTATAAAAAATGTATTATCATTTTAATCACTACAGTATGTAGGGACAGTTAACAAAACCTTAAATGAAAAACTTACATTATATTGGTTGAAAAAGCCGAGATACCTAAACAATCCAATATACACCAACAAACAGCCAATGCCTAATAGTACTCCTGTCAACGTGAACATGCTGTTATCAAAGTCTCGGAACTCAATGGCTATCTTGCAGACCGTACCAATCACTATACACACATCATTGACGACAATCATCACATACCACATGTTGAGGAAGGATAACTCGTCCTTCAGGTGCATTTTAACTTTGAATACCGTCTCGAAAAAATATTCTGTCATCTGCAATAAGTAGTTATGTATTAAAAACAATATTTCAAAAAATTTTTAAAGTAGATTAAAGCGCTACAATATATTTGAACTTACCGACTTCAACCTTTGAGCTCGAAAAAGTGCTCTACAGCATAATAACAACGAGAATAAACACATTGCAAGTACCAATATGTCCAACACCCCTACTATGATAGAATCCTGTGATATTCCATTGACTGAAAACATTTGATTATCTGTCGTATCTTCAACATATCAACAATAATAAGTAAAACCCAACCAAAACTATTCCTGATATCAATACTACCTAAAATTACAACCTACCTTGTAAAACCCTGCCATTGCAAAGATTTACGTATTTGATGACAGCATCAAGATGTATGAACACCTGTCCAGTATGTCTAGAGTTGTCAAAGTTGATGACAATCTCAATTAGATAACATTCTGGTTTCTGATCCATATTTCCAGGAGAGAAATGAATGGTCCTCAAGTTGAAAGACAATGTAGATTCCTGAATAATCAGAGCATCTTCTGGTCTGAATGTCACATTCATACGCTTAAAGTACTGTCGGATACTCATCGGATCTTGTTGTATGTCGTTGATCTCTTTCTTGGTGAAATTCAAGTATGAACAATCTAAAAATTAAATAAAAATAAAACAAATCTACATAAGAGATAATCGAATATAATGTTTTTGTTTAAACGATTGTTTAACACTGACCCGTCTGCATAGAAATGTCAAAGATGTAAGTGTGATTCTCGATTCGAACGTCTGCCAACTTCTTGACACAGAATCTCATGGCCGGAATCTGATCGAATTCAGTGTCCTTTATTGAAAACGGTCGTTCCTCTTCGTGCTGAGGAAACGGTCGTATTGAATCGTACGAAAAACTGGCAAATGACTCGTTTTGCAGTGAGTAGTACTGAAATCATGTAAAATATAGCTTAAATATCCAAAAGACATTAAAAACTTTTTAAAATCGAAACCTTGACCTCCTAAAACTACTGTGGATACACCAGTAGAGTTCACTTACTGATGACACGATATGACTGATATGTTCGATGATGTCGTTACTCGTGAACACCGAGTATCGCCCTGCTTCAGGTGGGTACGTGACTGCATCTCTCTCGTGATCCCAATCTTTTAAGAACTTGTGCCTCATCACTGTTACAGTATCCTCCAAGAAGTCGACATGATTGATTCGAAGATCTGCAAACAACATTAACTACACTTTTCCGTGATTCCACCTCATTTAACGTACCTGAACTGATACGAAGAGTACCTTAAGTATCTGCAGTGCCAATTTGAAAGGAAATTGTCGTCGTAACTTGAACTTATTTACTGGATCCAGAAAAAAAAACTGTAAATGTCGTCTGAGACGCTCGCCGTATGCCTTTTGTTGTGGTGTTAGTTCCTCCAAGGCAGTGTTGAAGTCAAATAGTATCCTAAAACCATAAGTAACATAAAATACTTTAAACATACCTTTCTGAGCTGCCAAATAATGGCGCTGCTGAGTTTACATCGCTGTGGTTTCTGTGTAACGGCATCTGAAAGTACTACAACATAAAAAAATCTACAATAACCAGGTTTTGTACCTAAAATGTAAAGAAAAAATAACAAGCAAAGTTCAATACCTTCTTTTACCCAGATTTTCCTTAAAAATTACATTCTTTACCTCATTTTTAGTTTTTTGATCATCTGCAACCTTTTTCGACGCCATCCCGCTTAAAGTTTTAAGAAAACTGAGAGCACGCTTTGGTCAGTTCATTTAAAAGCCCTTATTGATATGCAAATCTCTAACGTGAAGTAAAACTATTCAATCTCCGACGTTTACTCATAAAATAAACAGTTACAAACGCAAACGACTATATAAACATAAAAACTTGTACCTTTTGTTGAAATCAAAAAGGTTATTTACCTCAAACGCCGATATCCACTCTTTTACTAATCACACGTTCAAGTTCTTTCGCTGAACGGCAAAAAACCCGCTTTAAACCTTATCAAAAGTTTAAAAATATTCTTAATAATACCAAAAAATATAACTTTTACTAATTTCGGCCGCAAAATCAAACAAATACGAAAAATATGTAACCTGCACCCATATTGAAGTACACTATCACTTCAATCATCCTAAATTATTGCAAAATACAACTACTTTCCCAAAGTACGTTATGAATCAAAACCCTACCTCTCCAACCCATTCAAACAATGTGAGGCCCTCGATGGGATCGTAGTCTTTACGGCGTGGAGACCTGAGCAAAGGCATTAATCGCCGTGAAGATAGTCATATATATCCGATATCGAGAGGGGAAGTCAAGACTCAACCCATATCCTTCAATACTACAACAAGATCAACCGAGTTAGACAAGTTTATTGCCCGAATACACAAGAAGGGGATCTTATCAGTGCTGATTATTTTCAAAATAGGTCAGACTCTGATGTATTTGGTCGTAGATGACGCGAGAGAAGAAGGTGGCCCTGAGTTGAAGTTCGGAGCTGTGGCAGTGGTTGTTGGCTGAGCGGGCGGTGAAGGTCTCGGCCGCGAACAGCGACAGAATCTTGTTTACGATGTTGTGCTGAAAGGGAGCTGGTCAGTTGTTAATACGTTTATTTATGTTATTACATGGAACCTTATCAATTGTCGTGGCTGCCCTTAATGCATCAAAAAGTGGTTTTTGTGTTAAAATTGACTTTTCGTTTTGATGTTCTGCCAAGTTCAGCGTGAAAACGTCACAACCTCATAAAAATTAAAAACAAAGCAACAAACACAGCCTAAAAGTAATATTACATACCCGCAACAGAAAAAATCTCGAAATAATCTTACCTTATCCACAGCTTGTTTGAACTCGTTGATCAAACTTTGTCCACCATTAGACACTTCTTTCCACAGACTAAATAGAGATAGCACTACTACATTAGAAGCCACTTTAATGTCAGGTCTGTCTAATGGATTGATACTTAAGACTTCTCTGACCAACTTTTTAATAATGCTGGGCGTGATACCAGACATCCCTGGCAGCTCGCTTTCCCTGTACGTCTTGCTTGAATATCGTGAGTAAAACGGATTCTGTCTGAAGTCAGTAAATCGATTAAAACGCAAAAACTCCAAAGTTGACACGTAATGTTGTAATTATAAAATATCCAAAAATACAAAATAACTTAAACTTACTGTCCAAACATTTCGTATCCAATAGCTCCAGCTGACCATAAGTCTGCCTTACTGTAATCCAAAACCTGACCAGTCGATAACGTCTTCCTACTGATTTCTGGTGCTCTCAATGCCAGATTGCCTCCCATATCAGTAAACTCATCAACGTATGTCAACTTGAATCCATTAACTAAAGCTGAGCCAAAGTCACTCAATACTAGATGTGGTATTTCCTCTAAAATACTGTATATCATAAACAATAATGTAAAATATTTAATTGAAAAATATTTAAAATGTAAGCAACGTAATCAGACAACTAACAATAAGCCGCCTCTTAATTAAATCAATTACAATATTTAATGTAAAACATACCATCGCAGTCGTAATTGAGTAGAATGTTGTCGCTTTTCATATCTCTGTGAGTAATGCCATTATCACCTAGATACGCCAATGCCTCTAATAACTGACCAAACAATACCTGACCAGCTCTTTGTGTCATGTTATGCCGTAGAGTATATTCTCGCAACGTCGTACGGTACCTAAAAATAATTTTTCCAATAAAACTAATAATAAAAATTAAAATTTTAAAACATTAAACAAGAATTATGTTATCATAGGTGAGAAAAGAAGTGAAAAGCTTGTAATGTTCACCTTTTCATTACAACAAACAATGTTTTAGGTTTGTGAATAAGTCCGAAATTGTCAAGACTTGGGGCAGCTTCCTCAAACAGTTCGGCCGTTTCCTTGAGTTGTGGCATCAGGTCAACAAAGGCCGTGTGCATCTTTATAATGTTAGGATGTTGCCGTTTTAATGACTTGAAGCTGAAACATCACAAACTATAAAAACCTACTCATTTTTTAAATGTTATCCAAATTAAGGTCTTAAACATATAAATTACCCTCTCATTTGTCCCACTAGAGCCTGCTGTGGACATTGTTTTAGAGGAACCAGCTCTGCGCCCATGCCCTCCCAAATGTAACGTTCTGGTAGAGAATAGTCGTAGTTGAACATGATCTTCAATGCCAGAGGGTAGTCCTAACAATAAAAAACAAATCAACATTTTCAGATTAGACAATTTATTATTTCAAAAATTACGGTTTTACAATTGGCCTATATTATAATAAATGAAAAGATAAGATGTAAAGAGACTTACACCTGCCTGCTGACTTTGATCATCGACCCGTAAAGCGTAAACAGCTGCATTACAACCATGAGCAATATAATCACCTAAACAATAAAAATATCAAAGTTGATTTACTTACCTATTTCATAGCCATCAAGAGAAGACGGGTATCGTTCTTCCAAAATGCTTTCATTGTAGCGAGGATTTGATATAAAAATATTCTAAAAACTAAAATTAATACCTAAACTTCAGTAAAGAATTTTAAAAAAACTTAACAGAACTCATTTAAATCATTCATATATACATTTAACAAATCAACCTACCCTAATTCGTTCTAACGGAGAAAATGTGGTAGTGTTCCTCAACAATCTGAACTCTCTCCGATTGTATAACCTATGTACATTCCTATAGTGTAGAGTAGCAAACGGCCGGATCAAATTCCGAGGAACAAACGTTCGTTGAAACTAAAAACAAGAAAGTCAAACACACCTTATCTGACCCTTCACAAATTTAAGAAAAATAACCATTCATTAACCCACCAGCCTCAAAACTCGATTTCCATGAACAACTCGAGGTAATACTCGCCGTTCTGCCAACTTTAAGGCCACCTGTACCTGTTTAACGGAGACAAGCTGCTTGTTCCGGAACGCCAAAGAAATCTAAACACAATAGATTGAACAAAGACAACTTACTTGAGCGCCGAAAACAGCAATTCTCTTGAGCAAACCTTTCAGAGACATTTCAATTAACTGATAAAACTAACTCAACACAACATCTTACACAAATTATACGTATGTACACCAAATTTAAGATTTGAAGTCTTAAATTTACAAAATTTTGTCTTATTTTCGTCAAAAAATCCACAAAAATAAATAAACGGAACGCAACAAAGGTATTGTAAAAGTAAACGAAATGTCACAAAATTTATTGAAAAGCAAAATGATAAAATAATTAAAAGTGAGAAGCTAGTAAAACATTGAATGTAAACTGTAAATAAATATCAAAGTTGGTTAGTTGTCAAAACGTTAAGTTAAACTGTACAATTATCGATATCTAAGCGTTCAAAGACTTCATGGTTGGTTGAGCGATGTCAATAAATGGGCATCTGTTGACTTTAGTATGTTTCATATTTCTTTGCAAAAACTTTACTCCATCATCAGTTACACATCCGTATATGTTCAATACCTGTAGCCGGGTAAAACGCCTAAAAATGTTGTTAATGTTTCAAGCTCCCAAAATTGTAAATTGAATATGAAAGTTCAAAAAAGATCAAATAAACTAATACTTTTAGTAATAAACCCAAATTAAAAAAAACAGTTAAGCGTAGATACAGCTAAGGTCATATTTAAAACATACATTAACTTTTCAGGTTCGATCGCGTAACATCTGGCAGCTGACAATACCAATAGTTCTTCATGCTCATTAACATACTCAATGATGGCTTCAGTTACGTTGGGGCAATCTGAGATATCCAGCTCTCTCAAAACAACACATCTCTTCAAAAGTAACTGGATCACTAAAAATGTAATAAATAATTATACAGAACATCATTAGAATATTAAAGTATAACTCTGCTGTAGTTAAACTTACATGGATCGACTAGTTCATTTGGACTCCTGCCAGCTATGCTGAATCGAAGAACACCATCAGGAATCATTTTACAAAGTAAAGCCGTCCCTCCGCTCGGTAATATCGTCCAAGCAGCGTTCAACTCAATCAAACTAAAAAAAAATAAATGATTAACGCGTTAAAAGTTTAACTCTAAAAATAATGAAAAACAATATTCACACTATGTACAAAATACTCATATTAGTTTAAAAACCTACTTAACACATCTACAAAGCTTGGCAATTCCATCGTGTGTAAGACCTCGACATTGTTGAATATTCAAAATAAGCAAATTTTGATTGTTAGAAATCGCATCACAATGTTCAGTGTCCAAATATGGGTAAGATGATATGTTTAAAGCCTAAATATACTATGTTAACTTCGTATTTGTTTTTATATAAAAATGTATGATTAAAAATTCCCTTAAATTCATGCCTTACTCAATAATTTGCGACCAAAAATAATAATTTTTAAATATGTAATAAAAAAAATTCTCACCTCCAAATTTCTAGTTCGTTTCAAAATAGACAACAAACAGTTTGAATCGCTAAACACAACATTAGCCAAGTCCAAGTAAACCAATCGATCTAACATAATTTGTGGCTGAACTGTTAATGGAGTGTCCATCCAAACGTTACTTTTATGTTCCGTGAATATCTAAACCATCAAATAAAACAGACGAGAAACTTACAGTCGATGGCTGTTTGAGTTCAATTTGTTTTACATTCCGAGAAAGGATATTGTGGAAGGCGTCGATGTCTATGTTCGTTCTTCTCATGGAAAGCTTTTCCCAATGACTAGATTGTGATCTAAATAATACCTATATTTATCACAATTTTTGTTCTATATAAAATCAATACTAAAATAATTATTAAGACTGTATTCATCATAAAATAGAAAACCTTGTTGTTAAGTTTAAAGTAAACTTACGCTACACGGTTAAACCTCTTTGAAACCACCATTAAGTTAGTCAAATCTCTGACAGAAACATAGTCAAATATCATTGAGATAACACCATCACCAACGTTATATTTTTCGAACGGATCTAAAAGCTTAATCTACGCAATAACATCTTATCCATACCTGGTAGATAAGGTTGAGAGTTTCTTCTTCTGAATCCCTTAACACGACGTTCAGGAGAGACATAATTCGAGGAGATCTCTCGGAGCATTCTAGTTTCCATGAAAATCAGATCCATTTCATTTGAATTCACAAAAAATCCAATCCAAATTATACAAAAGCGGCAAAAAAGAGATTGCGAGCTGCGACCTCGCGTTTGAAATAAATAAGACAATATTATACGATGAAGTATAAACCGTCTGCGACAAAATCTTGTCCTTTATGTTTAGCTATGTATTTCGAAGCTTAATGTTAATATATATGTAGTCTTAAGCTATTTAAATCCATCAATTGACTAAGACTATTTTTAATGTTTATTTTGTGATAAAATAGAATTTTACAAGTTTTCAGGCTGATATTAATCACACGTTCCTATTTTCGGCTTCCAAACTCCATCACTGTCGCAGACAGTTTCAGAAGCGCCTTTCAATTGACTTCCATTATTGCATGTTAATGTAGCCATACTTCCTACCGTAAATTGTTTGGCCTCGTGTGGGTTACTGTACTCAATAGCTCCTTTTTTAGCTGGTTCTAGCCGTAGGCATTCTGAAAGTTTTCGATTACAATTTACTTGTCGTTAAACGTTTTTTTACTTTAAAAAGTTGTATTGACTTGTGACATTAAACAACACATTATATGTAAAGTTACAACAATATTATTGTAAAAACATACGAATAGGTTCGCAAGAACCGATGTGTACAGTACTCCATTCTCCGTTTACACAATTTGCTGTCCCTACCCCTTGTAGTCGTGTTCCTGGATTGCATATTGCAGTGGCTACAGTACCATTAGAGTATACAGTACGTGTGTAGCCTTGCGCATCTGTGTATCTTACATTTCCGTGATTTAAGGCAAAGTTGGAGCACACTGTAACTAATAAACTGTTTTTACTGTATATATTATAAGTTAATATACTTATTTGCACAATATATCTTACCTTTTGTGCAGCTACTTAACACGTTCGGTATCCAACCTTGTTCTGTACATACGGACATGTCAGCTCCACCTGTACCCAAACCATCACTACATTCTAGCCTTGCTTTAGTTCCTAAAGTCAATGACTAGTGTTATACGTATGTACATTACTTTCAGAACTTATATTTTCATAAGGTATATTAATGTCAATTATGTTAATTTACATTAACTCCTACCAATTAGATACTCATTCTCATCTACAGGTGTCAGAGCAACAATGGGGATGTTGTATTGTACTTTTCCGTTGTAATGCGCTTCTGTAAAAGCTTTACAATCTCGTTTTTTGCAGTAAATGGGTGGTGGTATCCATTGGGAAGATGATTGACATATGCTCGTTACTGTACTGTTACTGGGCGTGTAATTAGGCAAACATATTAAGGTAGCTGAAGTTCCTGGGAAAGCCTTCAGACCATTCAGAATGTATTCACCGTTCTCGACTTGAGGCAATGGACATTTTGAAATTCCAGAAATTAAAAAAAGTGCAAGCTTACAATAATATAAAAATAATATCTTTTTAATATGGTATCTATCCATGGTAAAAAGATATCAACAATAATATGTATATTCCTGAAATGTAATGATGTTATACATTCATTACCTTTGTCATTGTAGTTAGGTATAGGTGTGATATGTCTGTCTTCCGTGTTTTTACCGTCATCCTTTTGATCATACCTCTTGGAATCGACATTGTGATAGTTTTTGTCCCAAATGTAACAAATTACACCTTTATCGACCAGTCCGAGTTCTATCGTCTGATTCTCGTTAGTGTTGTATAAAGTGTCTACAAGTGAGTTACAATATAGCTACACATATTCTGAATGTAAAATTAAAAAAATTGATAACATTGTGGTATTGAGCAAGAATGAGTTTAGCATACCGTACTCAATTTCACTCTCCACTTCCCTCAATGGTACTGTAGCTCCACATTCGCCTTTGGTCGAGACACAGTAGAACCTTTCCCCTGTCTGTAAGTAGTTACCGTATATTTGGAGGATATTGTTCTCAGCTCGTTGTAACTTGTGATTCAGCTTTCCTACAATAATATTTGCATAAAAAGTAGTTGAATTGTATATTTACTTCAATTCAAAAGTAGTGCATCTAGATAAACTTCAATAATTACCTAACAATCCCGGCCGCCCTGGCCCTCCCCCAATGCCCATAAATTCATCGACTATCTGCAACACTTCCACGGCACAGTCGCACTCTTTGGCCCCATCACTCTTTAGTACCATACCCAGCACGGACAACTGATAGTACGAGTTCAGGGTCTTGGGGTGGGTACTGTAGGTCCATGTGGTTGTGATATGATCATGTAGGAAGCCAGGCCATTGGTTGACATACTCATTCAATGACACCAAATACTTGGCAGAAACTTCCTTTACAGCCTCGACTTCGTACCTTGACCCAATGTAAAACAATATAGTACTCAGAATATACGTTCGTATGTAAATATAAACCCCCATAACTATGTTGTTATATAGATATGTCAACAAAGCAATCATTCCAGTCAGTTGTACGCGATTACCGCGTCTCTCTTACCATGTTCCGGTTGAGTACACAGTAAAGTTAAACACAATTTATTATACAATAACAACCCGAAATGTTCAAATGGCGATTATAAAATACGAAAGGGAATGAGAATAAATAGGTATGTTGAGTACGACTATAACAAAACCATGTGAAGATACATCTTATATACAAGTCTGTAATGTTAATGTAGATAAAACTATATTATAGTAGATTGCGTTGAAAGCTGTTACCTATTCGACAGAGTAAATGCTACAGTACGATAATAGACACAAACTTCATACACAACATACGATCTGGAATGTTACTATTTACATAAAGTGTAAAACACCGGAAATACAGTATCACGTCATGACAGTAACCGAAATAGAGCCCGCTTCTGAACAAATAGAAGTCTTTACAAGCCGGATTCTGCGATGCCTTCGTCGTCCTCCATAAAGGCACCGTTCTGGTGTTCGGCGCCGTTCCATCGACCGGTCGTAGCGTGTGAAGCAATCGGAGCCGACCAGAACGGTGAAACCGGATTCGCAACTTCTGACGTCCACGATGACTGATTCAGAAGCCGAGGGTAGAAGTTCTGGAGAACGAAAAGAAGCGCCGAGTGGATGAAGATGTATTGTTGCTGAAAATATTTTTGGTCAACGAAAAAATACAAAGTTTAAGTTTAAATTTCGTAATTTTATAAAATTCTTTGAAATTTCGAAAATCAATGAATTTTGTGACATTTCGAGCCAATCGATAACTTATTGACATTTCGACGAAAATAGAAAACTGTCACAAAAAGAACAAAATTAAAAATGTGTTACAGAGTAATGGCAGTGAAATTACCTCGTTTTGGACCATGTGACATCTCTGCATCCTCATTTCGAACACCGTTCCAAACACATCCAACGCTTTCCCGATCTCAATGTTCTGAATCAGCCTGTCCAACGCAATGAACGTTCCACTGCGACCGACTCCGGCACTAAAAGGTAAGTTCAGTATTGTTTTATGAATATTACTTAGTTTTTCTAAGAATGTTGATTAGAAACATCATAATTATGTTAAATAATTACCTGCAATGGACAATCGACGGTCGATTGTGGCTACTGGGCGGTAGTCTTTGTCTGAATTGTCTTAGGAAGTTGATAATGCCAGTCGGGTTTTCTGGAGCTCCAAAGTCGGGCCACGCCATGTAATGTAGATGGTATAAAGTCCTACTTGGGTAACCAAACTCTGACAGGTGAGTCAGCCTCAGTTCCCTTATCACGTACTCGTCGTACTCAACAGATTCATTGACTAATGTAACCTCAACGTCAGCGTAGATGACTGACCTCTGGTTAATGTCAGGCCAATACTGGTGGCATTTGTCGCGCCCCTTCTCTACACACTTGGTCAGAGCTACAATGGCAGGACAGTTCTGTTCCCACACGATCTTCCAGAAGTGGTCCCTCGTACTGGGCAGCGGTCCTTGAGCAGCGATGAATTCTCTCCGAGAGTTGAAGCCGGGTATGTAGGAGGCGTTCACGTAGTCCGACCCATCTTCCTCGTCGCAAGATATTATTTTGACTCGAGAGTGATCGTAAGGTAGGATGTTGGTGAATCGGTTCTTTGCCCGATTCTCACCGTGATCGGCGGCTACACAAGACTGGCCTGTGCCCACAAAACGAAGCTCTTCGTACTCTACACTGTAGAGATAGTCACTGTCAGCTGATAACAGTTTCACGTGGTCAGGGAAGTCTTGAATCCGCACAGGTCGAGACTTGTTGGTGTCAGCGCCCTTCATCACCGTCCACAGCACGGAGCTAGGCTTGGAGCCTGGTGGTGGTCCACTTGGGAGTCTCTCCAGCTTTTGATCCACTCCAGTCCGTTCCCGAAGACTTCGTGATCGTCGGTGATGAGCGTTGAAGGTGTTTGGAGTAGTTAACGTGCTACTGGAGTCTGTTTTGGTGAGCAATTGGTTGGGGGAGGGTGTCATAGAGAATGGCACGATGTGAACGGCGTTTGTCTCCGCTGTCCCCGGCCGTGGAGTCATCGTGGTGGAGAAGATGACACTGGAGCCATTGTTGATGCAGTTGGACTGTGGCGGAGACGAGGAGTTGGTGTCGAGACCGAGCTTGGCGAGACAATCCGCGGCCCTTTCGGCCATTATCATCTTGAGAGCGCTCCACTGGCTCTCCTTGGTGGAGTAGGTCTGGTTGGTCGAGGTGAAGGTGTCCGCACCGTACAAATTGCTTCTGAAATTTTTCTAATAGTTTGATCATAATCGACTAAAAACATAAAACATGATAAAGTCGAATAAAAAGGTAATAAAATAGTAACAACCAAGTACTTTCCAGATTAACAAGAGTCTCAACTAAACGTGATTCCAGCTACCAAACTGATTATGGTTTCTGCAGATAATAATTGCAAAGACTAAGTGACAAATTACTGGATACGTTGGTTCAAATGCGTAGAAGACCACGCTTCAGGAATGACGCAAAACGTGGAAATCTTTGTTAAGACGTCTTAATGTGCACAATAAAGACCGTTTTATGGATTAACAAACTCAGGAGGGCTTAGAGCAAATTAGGGGTATTTTACGGACTTCAATATCGAATATTAATTCCCTAAAACTAATCACAACTCGTTGCGTAACTAATCAGCTTTAATCACAAATTAAAATTGTTTTAATTCTTCGCCTTAGGTGTTTAGAGCGAAAGGATATAATTTAAAATATAATTTCATCTAAATTACATACTTTCAAGTTCTTAAAAGACACCTCTTACACTATAATAACCAAACCCTGCCATTTCTAGCTAATACCGACCGTTTTAACGTTAAAACCCGAATTGTAACCAAACGTCGGCGGCTTCTGAATTATGAGATAATGAAGAAAAAACAACCGGAAGACCGTGATTGAAAGCGCAGAATTAGTTGACGTAGGCCTCTTGGAGACCATTGCCAAGAAGTTCATCTTCTTTCCTAGCCTCCCACAAAAAGCCAGCCCTCCCTCTCGACGCCGACAAAAAGGAAAAAAGTGAATCCACGTTTTCACGGCTCTCATAAAGGGGTTTCTGGAACGAATAACGTCCTCCGGATTACTTTCACAAGTTCTATGTAGTCAGAGTTATATTTTATATTGTTATAGCTTTTAGTGTAAGGTAATCAGTGTGAGGAAATCAGACATTACTTAAGTAGGACTTTTCTAGGTTTAGTAAAGCAGTTTGTTTAAGTTACAGTATGAAAAGCTGACAAAAGAAGCTAGATGGATAAAACAGCCTTAGGGTACTACAAATACTAAATAAGGTCGTAGAACAAAGTTTTAAACACAATGTATTCAAAGGGCCAGTACAAAGACAACGTAGTGAATGTAAAGTAATTAAGCCGGCTAAATCTTACCCTTTGCCTGACACAGGATCTCGATGACGTCGCGTGTAATAAAGGAGAAGCACAACTGCCAAAGCACCACACAAAGTGAATAAGGCCAATACACCGAACACGTTTCTGAAGGCCGAACTCGTGCGAAGGGGCTCTAAAAACAGAAAATAAATTGAACGGAATCGAGTAGTTTTAAGCCCTTTCCACGTTAGAATTAACATGTTTATGTCTACCTTCTCGCATCACACTTGCCGGATCCTAGTAGAAAATTTTGTTGAAACATCGAGGATTATGGATATTTTAAAATTTTTTATTTTTTACAGTGTTTATTAGGGCCGGGCGGTGGAAAAAGGGTACCCCTATTTTTTAAAAATAATGTTGAACATGGCACCCCCGCAAACTAAAGAAAGTTGTAAATAAGCCTAATCTTATGGTCAAAAATAGGTTGATTTGACATTACCCCCAAAAACCAGTACGTACTTGTACAGCCATGGTTTAAACAATAAAATTTGTACTCGTGTCAGAATTTCGAACGCCCCTCCCTCATATGAATATGTTATGCGAAACCGCGGGATATAGTTAGACATGCTGTTGTGAGAAACAAGTGCTATTTTAAGCACGACAAAGTTGACGCAAAAGATTCCAAGTACGTAAGTACACGTACGGTATAAATAGTTTGTCAAATACATAATATTTGTGTGACAGTGTGATCGTACATTGCCAAACATACAATACAGTATGGTAATATGTAAAAATATTTTAAAACAGTATGGTAGTACAATAACAACATAATACATTACCTATATGTTAAAACTAGATATTCTCTTAAAATGAAACTGTAAAAACATTAAGACTGAGAAATGTAAAAAAGTAGTAGATAATTGAATAGTAAAGTAACACTTATGTCAACGTCAAAGACAGTACCATATTATTATGACAAAACACTTCTTAATCACATATAATCACCTTTCAATTACCGTGCTTCGAAGAATGCATGGTAAACACAATACATGATGTGTAAGGTTACATAGACTATATAATAGTTGACATATGCTACAGTAACAATACAATATATAGAGTAACATGAGTTCTATTAAAGTTCACATACGTATAACAATCTACTAAAGTATATAGTTAAGAAACGATGACAATACATATGATAGTTAACCATACACAACGCTACAAACAGAAACGGATAAGAAAGAGTCAACAATTATGGGTTTTGTTGACTTTCCGTTTTTGGTTAATTCAATGATTTTATGGAAGAGTATTCATCCCCCGCCCGTCCCTGCGGCCTACTTAAAGAGGCGGGAGAAAAAGGGGGGGGGGAGTCCAAAAAATAAAAACAAGCAGCGAAACATGTGGAAGGTCCCCGGAGGTGTGGGGGCGTGAGTGCAGGGGGACGGCAGGGTCTTCTTTCATCTTCGGGGGTGCCTCTTCACCCCTCTCCCCCTCCCTTAACTAGTTCGCACTCTCAAAAACGGAAATCCCCAAAACATACACTCATATGGTGTGGTGTTTTTTATTGGCCGGAAGTGGGCGTGGCAGCGGGTCTCGCGGCCGCTAATCCCGTCCTATTTTTACACTCACCGGTAATTACAATGTCCGAGTACATCGAATCCGTCCACAGATGCGGGGCCGTAAACAGTCGCAGTTTAAATCTGTAATGTGTGCCCGGCTTCAGCGGTCCATTGCAAATCGTATCGGTGGGCCGGTCGAGGCATTCCACGTCCGCGCCAATCTCCTGCAAACGATTAATGTCATATTTCAACAAGTTACATTACATTTGCTTGAAAACATGGCATAAAGCAACAAAAACGACGAAATATTCAGAGGTAAAGGTAATAAATGACCAAAATAAATAGAAATTTCAAGGCTGGTCATCAAGATTTTTATTGATTAAACTGGTATCAGTTAATACCTATAACCTTCGAAAAACCACATTCATAAGCTCTATCAATGTGCTAGTGATATAAATTTTAATGTGACAACCCAATAGTTACCTGCGCAAACACTTGTGGCTTAAAGTGAGAATCAGAAGTCAATGGAATCCTCGTGGCCACGTAAGGTGGCCAGAACTCAAAGTTCTGTGCCGCTCCCCATGTCATAGTGTTGTTCCTCAAGTACTGTAAGGCCCAAGCATCGTCAAGGTTGACATCGTTCGGACGACCATCCGGACCGACTTGAGCTACGACCACAGCCACCATCTTCAGAAGACCGTGCTTTTGGCTGAAATTGTCACTACTGAACTTTATGGTCAACTCCGAACTCTTCACAGTATCCTTCAAGATCTCTATTCGTACTGATGGTCGAGGTGGTGCTGAAAACAGTACAGTATAGTATTGAAAAACTGGTGTTATAAGTATACCTATTACAATATTAAGCGAACTATAAACATTTTAAAAGAAGTATGGCTATCTTCAAGGTGATAATTTTGAAAAAAGTTACCTAAAATAGGCATTTTGACAGTTGGAGTCTGATGCTCTCCCAGTACCGTACTCATTCCAGCAGCATTAACAGCTTGTATGTCGAATCTGTACTCCAGTCCTCCGACCAAGTTGTCTACCACAACTGTGTTGATCATGTTGGTGTCGTTGTGTATGAGGCTGTCATTGGCATTTACAGATATTGTCCAATTCTGGTCTGTCTGAAGGCGGGGGACAACATAGATAATATAATGACTTAAAGGACCGTTTGACACTTTGGGTGGTTCCCATTTCAGTTGGACTGAATATGGATTCAGGACCTGGGCTGAGAATTTTCCTACGACATTAGGTACATCCTGTAGGGTTTGGAACGATTGGGTTGGCACAGCCAGGCTTCGTGGAGGACAAGGACTTTTTGGGACCATATTTGGTGCTCCACAGATGATCTAAATGACATTTTTAATAGAAATTTTAAATTTAAACATAAAATATTGTTAAAAAGAGTTTTTATCAAAAGGTAGTCTCACGGTGCTCTTAACGTCGTAATCATGGTACGGTAACAGGCCATTCAATCCCATAACTGGAGTGGTCAAGTCCACAAAACCGGTCGATTTCTCCAAAATGGTCGTGTTCTTGTCATCCACGACCATCAGCTTCAGAATACAATCGGTCAAATCACCAATTACAGGATGTGAAGGATCCGACATGAACGAAGTTACAGTAACCCGAATGGAGACTGCTCTCTTCTCCACCTTCTCTACCTTAACATCGATAGCCGGAGGTGACAATCTGATGAACTCTTCGAATTTATTGAGCGAAACAATGCCAGAACTGGTGACGGTATACATGTGTACCTTGTAACAGGTGCCTCGTCTCAGATGGTCTACATGAACTTCGTTGGTGCCATCGAAAGGAGAGGTGTCGAACTGCCTGGGGCCATCTTTTCTGTTACTTTCACTCAACGGGTCTACCTTGATATGCAGTTTCGAGGCATTTCCGACCGTTTTGGCCCACAAATCATGGATGTTGTTCATGTCAGACGGCCATGAGAAGATCAAGGTACCTTTTTGCTCCTAAAATGGTACTTTTACTTCAATTTGTAATTGTTTGGGCAAAGTAATGTTGTAGTATCAGACATTTTTTTCTTAAAATAAGCAAAGATCGTCTGCAAATCACTTTGCCAAGTGTTGTTGTGATAAAAAAACATTAATCACCAAGATATGTGATGGTATAAGAGTTCACAGACAAAAACAATGGTCATCTGTTGTTCGAGGAAGTAGGTAATGAGCATTGTTCACGGCTAATTGCCGGATTTAAAATAAATTTGGTTTGCACTGTTACTTTCAAGTCAAAGATTAATCGTTCAATTCAAAGGTATTCATTGAAATGACATTGTTTTAGATAACATATTGAAAAAATATCATTATAAGACATTTAAAGACAACTTTTAAAATTAAAATAGATTAAAAAAATTAAATAAAAAGCTGGCATACCTCCATTTTAATACCGAAAAACTGTTTGTTGAAGCTCGGTTCCAAGGCCGTGTTCTTCAGAATCTTTTTGCTCATCGTATTCTCACTCAACGCTGCCGCAGAGATGTCATATCGTCTGCCTGGCTCTAAATCCACATATGTTGCACACCTAAAACGAAAAGTTCCATTTTTCGGTCTAAAACCTACTACAATATGTATAAGACAGAACCATCTATTTTTAAAATTTATAAACCGAGCACAGTATTATTAAAACGCCACATATTGTTTGACATTTTAGAGTTATCTTTTTGTAAAACCAATAATGATATACAAATGTAAAACCCACAAAGTCTCGTTGACGGTCTGAGTAACAGGCAGAACCTGCTCCACCTTCTGGGCGTCGTCGATGATTCTGATTTGACATTGGTCGGTCTTGGTGACAGCTGAACTGTTCAAGTAGACCACGATCTTAAACTTTCCCATTTTGTAATCTGGCATTAGTGATATTGAAGTTGGTGGTAGAGGTCGTACTGTGTGTGTAATTGTAGTAGAATCTGACCGTTGATTGGATTTTACCGCAATAATTGTGAAGACATAGTTCTCTCCTGCCACGATATCTTCACATAGGTCGGCTTGTTGTACTCCAAACGTTATGTTGGTCTAAAATAGTACGACGGATGATTATTTGAAACAAAAACCATAGTAAAAGTTTATATTATAATAGGCACTTGTCTCACCTTTTTAACTTCAGTCGGCCGTTGTAACTTGTGATATGATAAGTTAAACTGATCTGCTCCTGATTCCGATGGCAGTAGCCACTTCACCCGTATACATGTGGCGTTTAGGTCATTTACAGAGAGGTTTGTTGGTGCCAGAGGCTCTATAATAATATATTCGAATATAAAATCATGTTTAATTGCCTATTTAGAGAAAAATTGACACCGTAAATTGTTACAGAAATAACTGTAAAAGTAGTTCAGATTAAGCACTTTTAAATATTATGTTATCAAAAATGACAGCAGGACCAGCATGGTCAACCTACTTGTAGTAATAGTCTTCCTCCACGGTGAGCTACTGGCCGACCCTTTGATAGCGGTTACCGTAATATCGTAGTCTCTGCCCGGATTCAGATTTCCCAAATATAATTCCACAAACTTTTGGTCCACAATGTCGTCGACTTGTAGTGTGGGGTACCTTTTGAGAGGATCGAGCTGGAAGTACTTCACAGTAAACCTATCCTGTAGGGCCTTTTCCGACTTGAACCCTCTAAAGGTTATGTTCGTGTGTCCAACGATGACACTCTCGCCAGAGTTGAACTCGATTGGAATCGGATCCATGACGATGCCTTCTTCTTTGATCGAGATCGACTTGTCTTCGACTCTGCCGAGGATGGCAACATTGTAGTGATGGCCGGGGTAGAGGCGGTCGATTCTGATCGAAGATGGGTCTTGAGGTGTGATCCGAAAGGTACGATTCGTGTCCAAACATGTATCGTCTCTAAAACTGATTGATATTAAACAGACTCTTTTTAAACGACATTCTTTTTGCATCAACATAAAATACTTTACTTACTTGACGTTACTGGTGTCAGTCACTCTGGCTATAAACTCCTTGAATTGAGAGAATTCTGAAGGAAAGTAGATCTCCAAGGACCGTGCTGGATCAGCCTGACTATTTTCTAGCCGAAAGTTGTGCAAAAAGTCGCGGGAAAAGGGTTGCGATAACTGTGTGATGGTCCCATTCCGAGATGGCACCACTACTTGTGGCAGCTCGGTCTGAGCCTCCAATTTGCATATTAATATAAACAAAAGGGCGAGAAGCCCACTTCGTATTCCATACAGCATCAAACCCGCCAGAGCATCTGAAGCAAGTGATTAATGGTCATTTTAATTCCCGTAAATCTCGTTTAAATATTTGATGCAGAGCTAACAACATGTGTACATTGTGTTAAGAGCTGTAATGTGGTAAGTGTCTTTTAAATAAAAATTGGAGTTAAACTAGGTACTTCAAGATACAATTTTAAGAGTTACGTAAAAATAGGTTCTTTCATAACACAGTGCCCAACTTCAGTTTAGGTAGTTGCATATTTGCACTACAATAGAAAAGTGCCGTACTATAATTATTCAAAACAATACGAAAGCAGTGCTACAGCCCAGAAGTGACACGTGACGAACTGGCTACACAAAAAACGCGTTCAAAGACGTAATGTCCATTAAAGGAGAGGGTAAACGACATGTAATGTGTTGCGCGCAAACATCTTACGCAACGGTCTCTCCACGAAATCAGACAATGGACTCAAATTAGCCAAAACTATCGTTCTCTATCAAGCTGTCGTTCTTATTTTTGGGAAAACGGTATGAAATAGTATATTATGAAGGAGGCTATAAAGAGCTGTTATACTAACAACTACAACAAAACGTTGTGCTTTTCTTACAAAAATATTGAAAAATAATCCGAAATCGACCCAAAAATGTTACTCTACTGCCACATAAAAGTACATAGAATAAAGTTGAATTCGAAATCCTAAATGATAAAATAAATAGCCAGCTGATTCAGCCCCCACCAAAAACGGCTGCGACCCCTGAGGGCAGAAACTTTTGGAAACGAAGCGAGATCAGTTGTCCTCGCCTGTGTGTCCCCATCCCGCGTTTGGCCACCGAAAAACAAGCGCAACAATCTGTTATGTGCTCTCGACCCTTTTAATCTCAAGAGAATCGACTGATGACCACAAAAAACGAAACGTATAGAGCCTCTTAAATGAACAACGCTCGCTAGCTTAAACGGTCGAATTAACAGCCAGCGGGGCCATTTGTCAAAATATATGCAAAGTGTCAGTAAGGTATATGTTTGGGTTAAGACATATGGGTTTAAACTGACATATTGGGGTCGAAATTGGACATCGTACTAAAATATATTGTTCTTTGGGCAAGGTGGTACGACGTGCGCGATATTAAATTACAAGATTAGATTGATCAAAAATTAATTGAAAATCCATTGGAAAAAGCAGTTTTACAATTAAAATCAGTTTTAAAACACGCCATTCTTTCTGCATCAAACCAATGATTAAAAATATTGTAAAATGTAAACTGAAGCACAGCCTCAAATTATAAAAAATATAGAATGTACCCCAAAATTCCTAGATACAATGCCTTCACCAAAACGAACACCTCCCCCCACCTTCACAGAAACAATTCTCATACTTGAAAATTTGCATATCCGGCTTCGCGACACAGTTCAAAACACTCGAGATCAAAAAGTCGAGAGAGACTCTCGAGCACCTTCTTCCTCTTCCTACCTCCAATTAGAGCGGGCTTAGTTCCCGCACTCTCGACTTATCGCTCGAATTTGAATATTAAGACCCCTTAATAATACGTTATTAAAGCCAGAAGTTTTCGAGCGGAAAATGGCAATCTCAAAAGACGGTGGAGAAGATAATTGATCAAGAGAGTGATACACCGCTTCTGTAGAAGTTGCAGTGCTTTAAAGGTACTGTAATTTTAAGAAAAACAAAAATCATAAAGAGGGAGTAAGGATTAGAGGTAAGTAAATAGAAATATACCTCTAACTACTTTTAGATTGACGAAAAACAAGAACAACAAACTAATAAGGCTGAAGCACTTTGTAAGTGGTCAAATACGCATAACTGCAAAGTCATACCTTGAAGGGTCATGGACTTTCAAAACTATTAAAATGACCATACTCAATATCATATAAAATACCTTTCCTCTCCCCCCCCCCGTACTAAATTCAGAACCCAATCTTCACCGTGATTATGCAACGGTATCTTCGTAAAGTGTGGAACCTAATATCGTCAAAATTGCAAAACGGATTCTCTCCCCCCCCTTCCAAATCCAATATTTATTATTACGAAAAGTGCGCGATGTGACGTTTCGACAAAAATGGAAAACGGTGCGGTTTCTGAATCGAAGAAATTTCGCCTGAAGGAAAGAAAGATGGTCGAAACCACTTAATTTAAAGCTCAAGAACCGTTTTCTCCGCCGCTATTTAAATGCAAATGTGATATATGCGGTGAGAGCCTTCGGGCATTCTGAATCCCCAAAAATCTTGGCGGTAAAGGTTTCGACGGAATAATTGAACAAACGGATTCAATATTAGACTAGAATGCGATATTAGACTTGAAGCTTTGATATTAGACTTAGAGTTTCGCTATTAGCCTTAGAGGTTCGATATTAGACTCGAGGATGCAATGTGAGACGTTTCATATTGTAATTAAAGATTCAAAACTAGAACTTTGAAAACACCTTCGACTTAATACGTACCCACACTGTAAAAACCAATAAAAGTAGCTGATTTAGCTAATTGTATTTATGGCAATTCTCATTACAAAAGCTTCGTAAATAAATATGTCAGCACACCAAATAAGTTTATAAATAATTTGTTTTTGACATGTCAGTTTTCAGCAAAAAGTTGTGGCATAATGTCAATAAAACAGTCCGTAAACCGCCATTAAACAGACGTTTTTATAGCAATATGATCGCAAGCTGTGAAGGAATAAACATAACCAAATAAACAACGTTTCCTTAATTAGAAGGGCATATCCAACTCACTACAAAACAAACCCTAAAGGAGCCAATAAACTCATTTAAACTCAAAAAGTAACCTTACGCTCAAAAACTGGTGTCACAATACAACGTCAACCTGACAAACTCAGCTCATAAATCGCGTCATCGTGACACAAAAACGGAAATCAGACGACATACCCTTAACACGAGCAAAAGTAGAACAAAAAACGGAAACCCCTAATCAGTACGATTGTGCAGTTATTCAGATGCGACAAAATTAATGAAAGAGAGGGGGGAGGGGAGCGTCGTTCGAAAAAGAAGAGCGACAAGGTCATCCGGCGCCGGCTAAGTCAAGGTAACCAACTTACAATAAGGGCGCTGAGGAAGAGCCAAAACAAACCCAACCCTCAATAAAGTCGACAGAGCAATTACTGCAAACTTCAGAAGCTAACAACTACCATCACAAACTGGAGCACACAAAGAAACGTTACCTTTGTAATTGAGAAGCAGTTGTATGACAATGCTTTATGACACTTTATAAGTCATTTATTTAGCTACACTTGAGTTTCTTCCCATCATTAAAACGTTTATAACTCAGGTATACTGACCAACAGAATCACCTAGATAAGGCCCAATTGGAAACAGTTACAATGTAATGCTCTGACGTTCTGCACTAAACCATCACCACCCTCCCTCACGTCTCTAATTATATATCTTGCAATGAAAAAAGGAATAGGTTAAAATTTTTTTGTATGCCAACCAACATTACCATATTTTTTACGGTTACATAATTGAAAGTAGTACCTCTTTGCTTGTTGATGGTCAAAAGGTTGGATATTATTTTAAAGTGTTTACAACAAAATGATTAAACAACTTTGTTTTGAAACAAGTTGTAGGATTGTTACACAAACCGATCACACAAATGACCATGGAAACATTGATCTTTATTAGTCAGTTACAAAGTCTACTTGCTTGTCATAACAGGAAGCATGCTTGTAGTAGTCACTTCCTACCTTAATATTCCCATTTCCTACCTATATTATATTGGCGCTTCCTACCCTTATTTTACTCGGGACTTTACTGAAGGCTTTCAACACAATTTCATTTTCAAAAACCTTGTTTTACCTTACACTTGTCGACCAAAGTGACCGAGCGAGCAAGAAAGAGCAAGTATAATATAATGTGCTTTGTTTTGTTTTGTTTAGAGTCCCGAGAGTGGGATTAAGACTGTTCGTGACTCCTTTCCCGATCGTCATAAATAAGATCAACGCTAATTCATTTCTTCGTCGATGAAAGGAAGAAGCCCCCGCAATAAAGCGTCTTCCGGTCTGGAACGGTCGCCGCTTTTGCCCCCATCTCCCCACTTCATCGAACACTTTTTGCAGGTCCTCGACTCCGAAACTGACACGGAAATCAGTATGCAACTTTGTTAACTCTTTTTCCTACTACCTTATTACTTTCCGTTCATATTGTTGTTGGCGGTACTTTGTCATCGAGGTCAGCGACGCGATATTGTAGTTGTTGTTATCAACTAAGCGCCTTTGTTTTTGCCGTGGGGTTTGATTTAACATTATTCTAGATTTTTTAAAGTTTTAAACGCCGTTTTAATCATTTTTTGCCAATTATTTAAATGTAAAAAAATTAATTTATTTGAAATTCGATTTGAAAATCATTTTTTAATTATATTGCTGATTGCCATTTCATAACAATGATTACACACAACTTCTCTTCACATCCCTCATACGTTTGCTTACAATTCGCAGAATCTTTTTTCAACTTTTTCAAATTCAAAAAAAGTCTTTGGTCTATCGTAATAATTAAAAATTCCGAATTTTAAAAGTACACCGTCTACTTTTTGCAGCAAATTGAACCGTCGCTGAAGAGACGTTTTTTGTGCTTTGATTGATCAAACTGTTTCAACAACCGTTTTACGTGTCACATCAACGGTTAATAATCTGAATATACTATAACAATGTCTTTTAAAATTAGGTGGTAACTCAATTTGAATCTAATATTTCTATAAAATACTCATGTCTACTTAGCTACAATATATGTAGAATTATATCAGGTAATCAGGTCTACAGTATGAGACAAGTCTTAATATCTACACACTAATAGTTAATATATCTACATTAATACTAAACTATGATATCACTGCCTTTCAAATGTCTGTAGCCCTAATCACTTGTAACAAAACTCGTATGACATTTAATGGTTTTCTGACTTTCCTCGCGAAACGTGACATCGAAAAGAAAATGCCATCATAATGGATGACAGACAACAACTCCACTTCCTCATCGAAAGTCGTCGGATCTTGACGATATTATCCATTCAGATGGTATTTTCATTAACTGAATGCGAGGAATGTTAATTAGTTAAGTTTATGTTGCCATTACCGACTTCCGATCCGTTTCACTTTAAAAGACGGAATCAAAGATTAGGTAACAGTTCGGACGACTGATACGGAATCGCTGGCCCAAAACTTTTGTTTCAACAACTATGCAAAAGCCATATTATCTAGTTTATTTAACCTACTGTCATAACAAATCGCTAGTTTGATATTTAGTTTTGCAATATTCAAACAATTACTTGAATTCCAAATTTCTGCGCGGTATTATACCTAATCGTCAGTTTAAAACGTGTACTATATGTAGTATTAAATTTTAGCAAACTCAACAATGAGATCATTACTATATGCCTCAGGGTATATACTAATAACGGCACTATTACTTGAACTTGGCTCCGACGCTGCCCCTACTGGATGTCGCGGATGTAAAGGAAACTGTAGCGCTACGTACACAATCAGTAACACCACTCTGTATAATGTAAACGAAACCGAGTTACTGTTCACAAATGACAACCAAACACTGTAAGTTTGAAAAAGTTATTATGAAAAGGATAACTTGATTATAGCAACCTCGAACAGGAATGATTCCTGTATATTACTATTGTAATAAATAAAACTGCAAAAAACATAAATTAGACAATATGATATACTTCTTCAGAAATCCAAAAGTTAACAACCAAATTCGTTTCAGAGTACAACTGATTGACCAAGACACCAATCGACCCAAGAGAGAGTCATCTGTCGAGAAAAGGCCATGTGGTACTCGCAAATTTCAAGTGGAACTGGTACTCATACCCGTTTCAATATTCATGATTCCCATAGCACTATGTTGTCTACTCTTCTGTGTCTGCTTCTGCGGGCCCAAAGAAACAAGAGGTAACATAATATCGAGTCATTTGAAAGAAATTACTCCTTAATTCAGTGTTGTTATGTTATCCTTTACATAAAATAGTCCTTTTCTTCATGGTTCTTTTTGGTGCTCTATACTCACACAAAACTGGTTATTACAATAAAATTTTTAGGCAAACTTCCGGAGAAAATGTGGGGCATAAAGCTGGCTTCTCAGAATCAGAAACGAGTACGACATGATACTGAGGACGAACTCGACTACGGCGACGGTTACGTACAAAGAAAAGACAGCAAGAAGACCAGGTTTGCGACCAACGTGCTGGTCATCGAACGGCGCCGAGAAAGTGCTATAACTATTGGATCTAGCTCACCTAAACCAAAGCAGGCTGACGATAAAAAGATCACCCGATTCAATCAAAAAGTAGATGTCATCGAGGAAGACGAGATCCAAACGACAAGACTCTAGTTACAAAACAAAGTTGTTCGAGAGGCTGAAAGATGAAGTAACGTCAAACCGAATGAAGCAAGATTCAGTAAAAACCATGAAATTGAATTTACTTTTACCTCAACTTGATGTTCGCTGTACATAACTGACCATTTGTTCGCCTTCCTCACTATAACCCTAGAATCTGATCATCGCTTGCCATTTTATAGGAACCTAACTGCCATTGCCAAATCCCAACGTACCACGGGTATCTCTGTAGCCGCATCTTGGCTACATACTGTTTAAACGGTCTGTGTCTATCGTATTTAGCCATTTCACTTTAAAGCCCGTATTTGAATTCGCTTTCTTGGCAAAATGTTATATATCTCTTACTGAATTATTATTGTGATAAGAACCTAAATTTCTACCTTACCATCATTAACACAACGAACGAAACGTACTGTAACATGATCTACTGTAAAGCAACCAAAATCTGTTTGTAAATAAGAATAAACAATAAATCTATCATAACGTACACCTAGCTTCCATTTCTACATGGCAGTATATTTTTTTAAATAACGTTTCCTGTCAATTACAGTTGTAAACCGCCTACCTCAATGTAACCTAACCTAAAACACGTCCCTCTCACTCCCAACAGCAGCCAAGCAGATGTAACATAATATAACTCGGTTGTAAATGTTTCTCAACACTTTCCGCAAGACAAAACTTTAACTACAAGAAAAGAACAAGCTTACCTTCGACTTTGAAGCTTCTGATTCATTTCGACGTCCAAATATGGTTGATAAATGTCGATTGTACCAGTTTGTTTGTTCGGAGCTTATACCTAAAATATCCATGGTTAAGTTTTTTCTAATATTTTAAGCTTAACAACTAAAAATACTGTCGGTCAACTGTTTTTCTATTTTTAGAGATAAAAGCGGATAAATTATTAAAAAAGCGTCATGATGACAGATTTTCTAGAATTTTTGATTTTTGGGGATTTCTTGTTTTTGTGTGACAAGATTTTGTTTTACCCTCAAAAACAACTTGAATTTTTTGTTTTTAAAATACAATTTTACGATTTTAGTAGACATGAGATTCCAGGCCGGCCTTGAGCAAAATTCCGATCGGGCCGGGCCTGAAAAATGAGCCGGGCCCGGCCCGTTTCCACGTAAAAAAAATTTAGGCCCGGGCCGGGCCGGCCCTGAGCAAAATTTCGATCGGGCCGGGCCTGAAAATTGGGCCCGGCCCGTTTTTTATGTCTAGTTTTTAGAGGTAGTTTTTGTGTTCTTTTTTGTAATTGAACGTTCTCACTTCTGATAATGTCACCTTTTTATTGTTTGGAAGCGATCTTCAAGTATTTTAAAGGGTTTAATATGATTTTTGAAGATGTTCCGCGGTAATTTGAAGGTTAACTGATTGCGCGTGTTAGGATGGTGTATAACATCATTCGAGTGAATTATGGATAACGTTTATCTTATTTTAGTGCACAGATGGACTTCACGTTGTTGTTCATAGCCACCCTAACAGTTGTGGTAAGAACTTTTTTCAAGTATTATAATGTGTTTAGGGTTATTTAATGTACTGGAAATTCTGTGTTTTGAAAATTTGCTAATTTTTTAATTGAAAATTGTTCTAGGCAAACGCTGATCTGCAAGGCATCTCGACTCAAGAAGAAAATATAGCAAATTTCTGCGATTGGCCATCTTTTCAGTAAGTAACTATTGTTCTATTATTTTTATAGGTTTAAAAATTGATTTTACGTTGATGTCAGGTAAAAATTGGTATAATTTGATGAATTTTACATGGCTTTTAATTGTATTCAAGATTATATTGTGGTTTTTAGAAATACATCGTTGTGTGTTGGTCTATATGGACCACAATTTTCTGGCACGCTGGAACCAATCTGTGACTTCGATAATGGGTGTTTAGTTACAAAGATTGACTGGGAAAAGGTAGGTGTCGAACTTCTGTTCACTATATGGTAATATAAATATATATTACAGAATGCGGTTATATTATCAACAAACTTTAAAACTAATTTAATTATGTTATTTTTTAACTTTTTTTTCCAAATCATGTTTTAATTCTGACTATTTCAGGTAGCTTGGATTGTGTTTCCTTTATCCGTCGTTGTGCTCAATGTTTTGGCCTGGCTCTTAATCTACCTCAGATTCATGAGAAGGTCCAATGTATCTATCGAGGAGTTTGCCAAGACCATTCTTGTTTGACAAGTTATCAACTTATTTTGTTTGTAATAACCTCCGCAACAACTCATCTAATGTACATAGTTATTAACAAGTTTTATTTTGTCATCGGTCCGTTTGTAATAAATGTTGTTATACTGTAATTTTGTTTTTTTTGTTTACTTTTGTATTGTTTTAGTCAATATATTTAGTACTACACTTTTTGTGGTTATTATCTTACTATAAATGGTACTATCTAGCTCATGAGTAGTCATCATCGGCAGAAATAATACAAGATTCAACTTTTAAAGCTCTTGTTGTTTCAGATGACATTTAGAGCCAGCTATATAGGCTTTATAAATGAAACATTGCATATTAAAAGAACAATGAGATTCGTACACCTGGCGGTTTGTTCACAATGTTTAAGAAACAGTGGGAGATCTCCATGGAAAAACGGCCTCGGGACATCGGCTTCAATTTGCCTGATGTTAATTTGCAATTGGCGTTGTAGTGGAGGAGCAGAAGGTGGGTGATAATTGAACTTGATGTTCTTGTTTGTGTATATCCTTTAAGGTTTTTTCTTAAGTCTATCAAATGGTCCTTATAATAAGGATGACGTCACTGTAACTGATATTACTCTCTTTATAATGTGTATTTTTACTGTATTATTCTTAAGGTTTGTTATAGTAAAACAGTAAAAGATGATAGAAATATACCTTAAACTAACCAAACTGACAGTAACGTTCAATAGGCGATAAGATACTTTGGTATCAACTGAAACCTACGATATTATACGTGGTATCAGAAACGTTTGTAAATGTTTTGAAACCGTTTTGAGTAAAAGCGGAATATAATAGGCATGTACAACAATAGAAACGAGGAGGCCATGATGAAAGTGAGAGCCGGGGTATTAGTCTAGGTGTGGGTGAACGTTACAGATCACAACGTTTTCCTTATGCGCCCTCAGGGCTTTGTTTCCGATTATTTGCATTTGGAGGGAATCACCACTCTCTCCGGCCTTCATCACGTTGATAACACATTCAATTTCCTCTTTTCTCTTACGATTTGCATATGTTGGGACTTGTGATAGGACTTTAATTATCACTTTATCAGCGATTTTATTTTAAAATACAGCTATACCTTTAAGGGGTATTATTATATATAGTTATTGTTGTACTATTTTTAGGCAATCTAGGGTATTTCGCAGCTGAAATTAGCTCAGGCATGTTTTGTGGACTGATAAGGACGTTCAAAAAAGATTTTTTTATTTTGAGCATTTCAATTTTTTAATTTTTAAAAATTTGAGTCAAATAAGTTTATGCAAATTTCACCTTTTTGAAGAAGTTTACTTAATTTTATTTTTGTGTCTTTTACTTCTATTTCCACGTACTACAATACACTCTATGAAGTTTTCTAGCAACTTAGTAACATCGAGCGATGCGATGAGAGGTATCAACTTCAGATGGCGTACGTTCTTCTTGGCATGGGGATTCGTTTACGCTTTCTTCGTGGTACCGTACTGGCTTTTACCTTCTAAAAAATATGAATCCAGTATGTTTTTAGACGTTTGTCTTAATTTTTTGTTACCTTTTCTAGTTTTAACTTTTTGACTAATGATTGACGATCGTTTGTGTCATAGTCAAAATTTAATACCTCACAGTGTAGGAAAATTTTTTCGTGAAGCTAAAATGCAATTTTTAAATTTCGAAATGTTATTCGTTGGGTTTGTCTGATTACGTTTGTTTTAGTACCATTTATAAGCCGAGCAAACCGACTAGGTGCTCTAAATGACACTTCTAATACAACTGATGATTTCACATATAGAATCAGTTACAAAGGGCAAACGTTGGTAGTAAAACGTATTTTAACTGATATATCTATGCCATCGTTGAAGGAGCGGCTGACACCACCATCAAACGGTATGTTAATATTATTTTAATGGGTCTTCTATAATATTAAAGTTGGAGTGTTGTGCATTAAAACAGAATATTTTAAGTTATCTATTGTTGTGTTAACCAATTTCTATCATAATAAATAAAACGTCTTCTAGGTTCTAAGAAGCGCTACATTTTGTCAGAATCTGATTTCAGAGAAGGTAACATGGGTGGATGTCCAGACTTTAACTGTGAAGTACATTCTGCGCCTGATAAGAACGTGGTGGGTTACTTATTTTGCTTTTTTAACTTTAGGTATAAACTGCTCTTATTTCTTATTTTTCATGGGATGACGTCATTACTACGTATTACGCTATAACTTGGCTTCAGGTATACGATGCCGTGATCAATGTAAAAAATGTGAAAACGAATTATCGTGTCTTTTCGACACAAGAAAGTCCACAGAATTCACAAGACTTTGCTGATGCCAACTACAATATGAGTATTGGCTTCAGACACGACAGTCCAGTTTCTTCACCGTACGGCTACGCTGCGGAGCTGGCTCAGCCAAGGAAGTTTGAGGATGTAGTTAACATCGCCAGTGTGAAGAATAAGACCAAAGGAGCCATGTGGTTGGTCAGTCATTGTGGGACTAGTAGCAGAAGAGAAGCACTGGTGGACCATTTAAAGGTGGGTCAGTTTGTTTTGACATTACCTTTCAACGGGTTTTGACGTATATAGTAAATTACGATTATTTACAAAAACATTGCTTTATGTTTCAGCTTTTTTTGTTATTTACTAAAAAGAAAACAGGAAACACGGAACAAAAAGTGACATTTCATTTCTGTGATTTAATATTATGTTTATACTATTGTTTTTAGGAATATATCGATATTGACATTTTGGGGGCATGTGGTAAGCCGTGCGCTAAAGGTGGTGAATGCGAGTCTACAAAAGAGTAGGTATCTGTAATATTCTAATACGATTACTTTCACTAATATTAATCTTCCGCTTTTGAAAATACATTAACATACCTAGTAGTAATTTACATTTACATGCCTACCAAGTAAAGTACTGTTTGCTTAGTCATTGTTTATATTGTTTTACTTTAGTCATCATTTTTACTTGGCTGTGGAAAACAGTATTTGCAAGGACTACATAACCGAGAAGTTGTGGGGTACAGGATTCAAGGACGATGTGATACCAATCGTTCTGAAAAGGTCAGTAGTAGAAGCGTATGTTCCTCCAAAGTCGGTAATAGCATTCGACGACTACAACTCGATAGAAGAGATGGGGAAACACTTGCAGGAGCTGCTGCACGACAAGGAAAAGTTTTTGTAGGTTTACGTTACAAATTCTGAATGTTTTGGTCAAAAAGTACACAGAACAATTATGTCTTGACATTTCATATCTGTTTCAGAGACTACTTCAAATGGCGAGAAAACTATGCCGTGATCTACTTGGACGGCCTAACGCACGATGTCCTGGAACGGCCATGGGGAATTTGCCAACTGTGTCGACTAACACATCTTGACCCTCTACCAGAGTATCGTATCACGGACATGAAGAAACACTGGACAAACACGTGTGAATCAGGCGTCGCATTAGTGGATCGACTAACAAAAACGGGTTAAAACGTCATTATAGGCCGGCGATACTTGTCATATATCAATAAGATGTCCAAACACACGTAACTGGACAGTGCATAGACGGTACGTAGCTGTAGACATGTATTTACATAGTTATTTATTGTTATTGTTAATTTATTCATAATAAATAAAAGACTTATGATGTTAACATAGCCAGGGCCGGGCGGGGACTTTTGGTCTGGGGGCAGGGGTCCAAAAAATCGGCACAGGTAGTGCCGATTTTTGGGGGGGGTACCCCCATCCCCCCCCCCTCCTTCGTGCCCGGCCCTGAACATAGCTAAACTGTTTTTTATTGTATTTAATTTGTTACTGCCATCCACAACTAGACATTAGAAAGGGACGGGCCTGAGTGTTAGGCCGATTAGGGTATCGAAATGTAATGGCTCAACCTAGATACGATTTACTACAGTATTAATTTGTCCGCGGAAGACGCGGCCAAAAGGACTGTTCACTTTACAACAGACAAAGGAATGTGTCAGGAGACGCCGATTCCGTCTTTCCTTCAGTTCTTCAGTCACTTTGCATAACTTGCGGTCGAGTCGTCAGTTCTCTCCCCACCTTCAGTTTTTCGTTATTTTGTTAATTTTAATTTTTCAAAATTACTATAAGTTTCTTACTGTAAGGTAGTCTCCTAGAGGGTTTTTTAAGTCAAATTGGGGCTTTATAGTTTTTATTGTTTTATTTTATTATTATTATATACTTTACATTCCTCTTAACTTTAATTATATAGTCCTTTACATTCGTATTATATTATATTACATTATACCGCGATTTGGTTTTATTCACCCAAGTTTGAGTTTGAGCTTTGTACCAATAAATCGAGTTGGACAACGCTTTCGGGTTAATAGTAACATTCCTGGAGGGAATGCTTTAGTAAATTAACAAAAGCAAAAGTACGTTTCGGGCGATGGCCGAAAAGACGCACGCGTAAATCACGTCAATCACTGTATGACAACCGCTCACTTTAACTAATGGATTGGTCACAAACCCTGACTCACCTCGAGGGAAACTATCGAGAAAAGTAAGGGACCGTGCTGTATCAAGAGACCCAGCGTACTCAAATATTCATGTTACTATTTCTAGAACACGATCAGCGGCCGAAGAACTTTCGAGACCCAATTAACTATTCTAGTCCAGCCCTATATAAACCCGGCTTTTCGCCGACTCCAGGTCGACCCCCCAGCTCTAAACACCGGTGTACACCTCTCCACGGATCCAGCTACTGTATTTTATTTACAGGGTTTTATTGGTTTTTGTATTGTATTCTCGCTCGTGTATAAATATTGTTGATTTATACTAGGTTTATTATTATCTAGAAACCCCAATTGACTCAGCGGCTTTACTAGGTCGCAAGATCCCCCAATCCTCCCCACATTCCTCCTAATCGTTAATTTAATCTTTTATCAGCGGCTGAAAACCACCGCTTGGAAAGTAAATTTGGAGTGTCCCCTGGACATAATTAAAGTACAATATAGCACAAGTACATGAGAAGTTTAAGTTCTGGCTCAAACTAATATGGTCGTTAGGTTATGAACAAACCTGAGATTTCTATGGATAAGATCGTTCGTTGGCCGAGTAACTTGGCGGAGAGTTGTTACCGTACCCATTACCGCCTTGTTCACCGTTATTACCATCTCCATCGCCAACCCCACCATCGGAACCATTCGGACCTCCGTTAGCACCCTCCCCATTGCCAGTTATGTCATTACCTTCTACTAACGTTCCAGAATCTTCGCCGCCTTCTTCGTCGTCAGGGCGAGGCGTAGCGTACGCTAAGATGAATCTGGAAAATATTTAAAATAATAAATATTTCGAATATGCAAATATTAAATAATGCAGCAGACATAATTTTGACAGAATATTGATGTTGTTATTGTAATGTGACACACTGTAACCACCTTTACTAACAATAAGCCAACCTACTTTCCTTCCCTTTCGATCTTGCAAATAAGATTACTGTAGAAATGGGACTTAGAGGCATAGTCTCCCACTCCACTGATCACTTCAAAGTTGGTGTTGAACTCTTTCTCCGCTCGCAACTGTACCTTGTGAGCTATCTGCTGAATGTTACACGATGTCCAGTCATCCCTCGACTGTTTTAGTTCGATGAAGGCTTCCTTCATATATTGTTCCAACTTATTATTGCAACACATAAAGTTACTGTCGTCCGTGTAGCACTCTGGCAATGGGTATTCTGGCCGTTCCAGATATTCCCCATCTTCTGGAGGTGGAGGTATTGTGGTCGGGGGTGGTGGCGGCGGAGGAGGCTGAGGTAGAGTGAGAGGAGGTTGAGCAACTGCTGGGGGTTGGGCTGGCACCTGAAAGCAAAACCTATATTTTTTAATTAAAAATAGTTTTACTAAAATAAAAAAAGTAAGACCGTGCTGTATTTTTTAAGCTTCAAATCCAATCTCAAAAGATAATCATTTCAAAATTGAGAAAACTTGCAACTTGAATAGGTTGTTGAAGGACTATTTGTTGAGGTATTTGGACTTGTGCTGGCGCTGGGGCTGCGCTTTGATAATATTGGTAACTGTACGCTGGAGCTGCTGCCGGAGCATAAGCGGCTGGAGCATATGCAGGGGCCGCAGGCGGCGGCGCTAAAAAACGTGAAATTAATTTCAAAAATTTAAATTCAAGTAATTTATAATTTTATATAATACAATAGACTAATTTTAGACAACTGTTAACGTTTGTGGATAATATTCGTTTCGGATTGATGTTATCAATAAGAAATTACTTATCTCAACAGAAAATCAATAGTTATTGTCTCAGTTCGCCACAAATATTTTAATTTTTGTAAAAACAGAATTTGTCTGGTTTTGTTCTTGTTTTACTTACCTGCAGCGCCAAACAGTCCAGGACACCGTTTCTTACGTGGGTTTAGTCGAACTTCTGAAAAAATTTACTTTTTTTAATTCAAATTTCACGTTTTTAATTTTTTCTGGACAAATTTCACATTATGTTGTATATCCAGTTTTTACGTTGATTTATATTCTTAAAACGAAAGATATTACCTGTAGATCGTGAGCTCCTCAACGGGGATACGAACATTTGTCTGATATAAACAGGACGACCATGAATGTATATTCTTTTTGTAGGTAAATGACTCGGTGGGGAACTGTAGATTTCCTGTAATATTGAGTTCAGACCTTCGGAGTGATAAAAATATGTGGCTTAGCCAAAAGGTAGAAATACTCTATAAACTAGTTTATCTTTGGAAAATTTTAGAGTAGAGAAAGCTTAGTGTTTGGTATCTTTACAACCATCAACTTCATTGGACGACCGTAGTTTAGGCCTAGCAGACAAATTGAAACCGCAACAACGTAAACACCTACCGTACGATTGCCGACCACAGTAAGAGCATAACAAAGATATAGGAACAAAACACTGAAGTACATCTTCCGGACAATAACTCAAAATGCGAAACACTTTCCGAGGATCGGCTGAAATATCCAGTTTTGCGACATCAAACACTGGCCTTTTACAATGGTATCTCGATGAGGAGTTGCAGTCTACAGTTAATTAAATGCCATTCCGTAAAGGCGCCAGAGGAAAGCAGGATGGAGAAGATCAACGACTCGCCAACTTAATCGCCACAGAGCCGGTCACAACCGACAGCGACCCGCTTTACGCAATAGCAACAACTTAATGGTGTCATTCCATCATAACTGTTTCGCTCTCAGCAAAACAAAGGAACAAGGTTGACGGATCAAATCCAACTAATAGTTTACGCAAATCAACAATTATATGAGGCATACTAGACGTTATAATACAACCTCTTCAGACTGAAATCAATTTTACAAAGTAAAATATATTTTATGATCTAATTACTAGTACATTCTGCAAGAAACGGATACGAAACAACACGAAAACAAAGCACACGACGATGCTAGGGATACAGACCAAATAGTTACATTAAAACAGTGCACAAAACAAAAAAATCAAAATAGGCCAGTAAGATTTATTGGATCAAGTAATCAGTTGGTTCCCAAAGGCATAATGAGCTGAGGGTAATTTCCTTCCTTCTTAAACAAAGTGGCAGCATCTTTGTCGTCGTCACCAGCCTGAAAATTTGTATAAAGTATTCTTGCAGTAAACTGCAAAAGTACATAAAATATTATAATTAAAACTACTGTAATAGTGGTCGGGAGTCAAACATCAACATACCTTGGTACTGAGGATAACCAGCTTGTCCGCCTTTTCGGCACCTTTCTGTCGAACGACTTCAATCTCGAGGTCAGCGTTGGCAGCACAGAAAGCGAAGACAGGATTGACACGGTAGAGGTTGTTGTCAGAACACTTGATCTTGATCGCCTTCCTTTCGGCATCAGCGTTGGTGATCTTGAACTTCTTGTTGCCTCCGTCCTTGTCGAACTTGAGCTCCTTTTCAGCAAGAGTGACTAAAAACATTGTCATAACCTTTTCCTGTTTACACTGTAAGTCTTAAAAGTTTGGCACAACCGAAAGTTAGAGCAAGAATCATACTTACCTCCTCCTTTCTTCTCATCATCTTTCTTCTCATCCTCTTTCTTTTCGTCCTTCTTCTCATCATCCTTCTTTTCATCCTTCTTATCGTCATCCTTCTTCTCCTCGTCCTTCTTCTCTTCGTCCTTCTTCTCATCTTTCTTTTCATCTTTCTTTTCGTCGTCCTTTTTCTCATCATCCTTCTTCTCATCCTTCTTTTCATCATCCTTCTTCTCTTCCTTCTTTGAGCCGTCTTGCTTAGAAGTCTCCTTCTTGGAGCTTTCTTTCTTGGATCCATCCTTCTTGGAAGCATCCTTCTTCTTGCTACCTTCCTTCTTTGAACCGTCCTTCTTGTCGTCCTGCTTAGAAGTCTCCTTCTTAGAGCCCTCCTTCTTCGAGCCTTCCTTCTTGCTACCGTCCTTCTTTTCTTCCTGAAAATATCTTAAATTATGTAAAAAATTTGGAACGAAATTCACACTACGAATCGGTTGTTATTTTCAATATTTTTAAAAATTTGGTTTACTCTCCTCCTTATTTTACATAAAATTTTACAAACCATAAAAACTGACCTTCTTTTCGTCTTCCTTCTTCTCCTCCTCCTTCTTCTCCTCCTTCTTCTCTTCCTTCTTGACCTCTTCCTTCTTTTCCTCCTTCTTTTCTTCTCCGTCCTTCTTAACTTCCTTCTGCGATTCCTTCTTGACTTCCTCCTTCTTTTCAATCTTGGAGTCTTTCTTCGACTTCTTTGATGCTTCCTTCGGTGGTGCAGAAGCAGCAGCGGCGGCAGCAGCACTCGGGGCACCCTTGGCCGGACTTGGAGCTGGTTTAGCAGCAGGTGCCTTCTGAAGTTGAAATAATGTATTATACGGAAAATACGGCATCACATGACAAAGAAAACATAAAAATCAAGATAAGTCATACGATAATAAGTTGATACCGTATATACAGAAGATAATTTAAAAATGAACATACCTTTTTACCGCATTGTGTAACAGCAAGCGTTATCACAGTAACGTAGAGCAACGTGGCGACACATTGAGAACCTATGAGCACGTCCAGCATCTTGACTATACCAAAGAGCACCGAAGTAGAAGCGAAGCAGAATCGGTAAACCGCACGCGGTCAGTGGTTTCTCACTGAATGAAATGATTTCATTCAAAAAAACAAAATCAACCATTTTCACCAAAATTTGCATAAAACGTATCTTATTTCTTGGGCGTTTTCCAAAGGACATTTTTTTTCAAAACCAGTCATTAACTTTTTAAAATAGGCCTATCCTTACAAAACTAAATCTCAACCAACACATTAAAGAACACATGGGTATTAAATACTAATTTATTAACACAAATATTTTTATAAGTAGAAAATAAAAAGGCTGAAGACTAAAAATAATGACAAAAGATGCATGTCACGTTGGAGATACCCGGAATAGGACCACAAAGATTTACGACGTTGTCACGTCGTGGAAACACATAAATTATATTATCACAACTTTAAAAGTCAGTTTTCGTAAAAGTATATTATACATGGTGTAAACAAACACTCAGTAATCGACAGATTACGCTATCAATTTTAATAGATATCAATCAAATACTTAAAGTTCAGATCCTTCCCTCATGAAAGACAAAACGTCCTTTTTGGTTATGATACCAAGTAACCGACCATCTCGTGTCACTAGAACTTGTCGCAAGCCCAGCTTTCTGAACATGTCAATGACAGTTTCCATCGGAGTTTGTTCGGTTACGGTAAGTGGAGCCATATCCATCACCTTCCTCAACCTCAACGAAATGGGACCGGCACTGGAGCCGGGCACCTCTTCATCGACGGAATGTGGAGTGAAGTACACCATGGACTGGGTGGTGACATTGGTATGGTTCTTCCGTGCTGCTCGTAGAGCACTTTCTAGGTCTCTTCTGGTACAGAATCCAATCACCATGTCATCTTTCTCCACTACTGGAAATCCACTGAAAGAAGACTCTCGAAGTTGTGACTCCAGATCTCCCACTGTCATTTTGCCATTTGTAATCACTTTCAACGGCGCTTGATCAGTGCCAGCTCTCATGACTTCGAATGCCGTAGTAGAGTAGGGATACTCTCCTTTGTTGTCCAAGAAAGGATAACCGTTCATTTCTATGTGAGCGTCATAGATACCCTGAAATATAACATACGGTTGAGAAATCACATGATGTTTCGCTATATAATAATCATAATCAAACACATACTACCTTTAAAAACAGTAATTTGTAAGACAACTAACCTCTTTGCAAATCGCATCTCCAACCCATTTAGCGAACATTACACCAGCCATTGTAGGTACGATGAACTCCAAACTGCCAGTCAACTCGAACATAATCACCACCAAACTGACGGTCATACGAGTCACGCCACCCAATACTGCGGCAGCACCAACCATAGCATACAATCCCGGCATGACACAGTCTTTTCCGATTTGACAGTTCCAACTCGAACTTCCCGAGCTCTGAAGAGTGCTGACGAAGGACTCTACTTGGATTCCGAGTAATCGACCGGCAATTGACCCCATAGCCAAACTTGGGACGAAAAGACCTGAAGGGATCTTGGTTCCGAAGGTCACTATGGTCAAGAACAACTTCATGAAGAGGGCCATGATCAGCTGCCAAAATGCTGTCTAAAACATTACTTAAGTCTGTGAGCACTATCATTAAAAATTTTAAATTTTTACAGTTTTTTCCACAATAAGCCTAGTAGAAGCAAAAATAAAATAGAAAAACCTCCGTACCTGTACTCCAAAACCCATCTGTCCAGTATGGTAATTGTCGTCTATCTTGTCAGCAGTAAAAGTTTTGTTTCTGTAGTCGCACAAGTCTTCCATGTAATCTTCGGGTCCACATCGATCAAACAATTGTTTGATAAGGGCACTTGAGCTCTTCCTTGTGTACGGATTCATGTACTGTATAGCACCAGTAATCGCAGCAACAATCAAAACTTCACGGATAGGGTTTTGACCCAAAAACTTGTTAGACTTTCGGAAGAGACACCATTTCACGTTGGCCCTATAAATAAATAATGCCAAATAAATAATTCTTGGTCATGAAATTAACATTCACTTTCAATTTTCACATTATTATCTTAATAAAATATTATACAATTCTACCACATGATTGTTATGCTAAACATACCAAATAAAGAACGACCCTATCATACCACCAAAGATTCCAAGCACAGCAAACGGTACCAATTCAAAGAAAGACCATTTCATATTGTAATCGACGTGGAACAACGATGTCTGTAAAGTATTTACATTATTTTGTACAATAATATATAACAAACAAATACTTATTTCATTTAAATTATTAATTTTCAAAATTTTTACCTGATCAGAACCAAATGGATTCACCATCCTCAATATGACACCAGCAACCAAAGCACAAAAGAAGGACCTCCACATTGTTTTCAAAGGAAAATAATAACTGGCCTCTTCCAAACTAAAATTACGGTAAAGATTACAACCAACAATAATATACAATGCATGCTCAATACCAAACAATTCGTAAAGTGCCAATTTCAAACGAATTACAGAAAGTATACCTAAATATGATAAGTAAAACAAAAAAGTTACCTGAACATAACACCCCCGATTGGAGCTCCAAAAGCTACGGACACACCTGCAGCTGCTGATGCTGACAATATCTCTCGCTTCTTGGCCTCGTTATGACCATATTTGGGGAACAAGTAGGACAATATATTACCAATACAACATCCCAGATGCACCATTGGTCCTTCCTTTCCCAAATTCAAACCTAAAACAAAAAAAACATAAAAGCTTAAACTACAAATACTACGTACACTTTCACTTACTTTCTTACAAAAGTCATGACGACTAACAATAATACGTTAAGAACATGACATCACTTACCCGAGGCTGATGACAGTATAAGGCCCACAGACTTGATAATAAAAGTCCATTTCCCAAGATATCCTCGTATCACAAATCCTGACAAAATACACTTTATCTCTGGAATACCAGAACCACAAGCATATGGGGCAAACGTCCGTACCAAACACGCTGCTGTTCCAGCCATTAGCACTAAAAAAGCAAATTAACGACTTAAACACGTCAAAATCCACGATATCGTAAGTTTAACAATAAGACCTAACGCAACTACTAACAAATGTTAAGCTAAAAGATTAAAAATAAAAATTTAGGTAACAAACTCACCGCCCCAAGAAACATAAAACAAAAACTCCAGCGAGTAGTAAAAGAAGTTTTTGTCATAATAATGTAGCATTTCAGGCCATGTAGTCCACGCACTACAATCATTGTCCTTATAAGCACTGTCGTTAGCTGACCAACAACAATGTTCTCTGTCCAGCCAGAATCTATCAGCGCATATTCCACTCTAAAATCATAAAAATACAAAAAAAAAACCACAAACCTTAAGATCACTCATCCACCGTGCACTTATGTCTATAATCCCAGCCACAGTTCCGGCTGCCAATCCAACTAACAGAACACAAATCCACCCTGATCCAGCATCCCATATACCATAGAACATACCAAGCGGAGAGTCCTGTCGTACTCCCTTTATAAACTTGTGCCTCATCCTATCTCTAGCCAAATCTCGCGGCCAATCAATCGTGTGGAAGTCATCGTACTTCCTGCAATAATATTCAACATAAACTTAATTTTAATCAAGTTTAGGCAATAAAGGAATCAAAGTAACTGAATAAGTAAAATAAAGTCTACACACCCTAAATTACTAAAACTTACGTCTTAATCTCGTTCCAATTTAAGGTTTGCTTTGCTTCATCTGTCGTGTCGTCTTGTGCTATCGACAGTTCTTCGAACCCAAATGACATCTAAAATATTCAAATAAATGTTCGAAAGACAAGAGAAAGACTGCAGAGACATTTCAATCTTCTAAATAAAACGAAATGTTTATAAAACAGTCTCGATTAGCGAACAAAACTAAAAAGTTCCAACAAAACGATGTTTTGTCGCATATCTCTTGAACTTGTCGTATCCCTTTCCTAAAAAATATATTTCTAAAAACTTCTACAATATTTTAAAATACTTATTTCTTTTATTTCAATCTTGTTACACACTAACTTTCAGGAAAGGATATGCAGACTCCAGTTCGATAAGAACATAAAAATTATTCGTTTATCCACTGGAAGATGGGCGCAGCTTGGGTTACAACCATTTTATACGACAAACAAGATTTTGTTTCCCAAAAATTGAGAAAAATTTACGTTTTGATAAAAATAGCTTTAGCTGAAATATGTATTGTATAACATTGAGATTTCGATCTTATTACAAGTTGAGTTTATTTAGTACTTAAGGTGAGACAACGTTTTGTGAATTTTCAGTTGCCGTGCTGGCGTATGATGGAAGTTCCTTCAAGGAACTTTTAGTTTCATGTTCGAAGGCTTCAAGGACTTGTTGGCGATGCCGTCCACCTTCTTCCCAGTCGTACGGGTCGCCAAGCTCGTAGCCTTTTCGATGACAAACATCCGTCAGACAGTTTTCAAGCAATTGGTAGTCAGGTCGAGAGTCGTACTTCAGATTCTGGAGATGCCGCTGGAACTTCCACAACTCGACGGGACATTCTTTCAGTAGGTCATCCATATGGCAGGTCTAAGAGCAATTTATTAGCTATGAGTGAAAAGAATGGCGGTATAATGTTATAGTAAGTAATGTAACTCAACCTATAAGTTAACATTTGCACTGTTGTGTAACATATTAATACAATATTAAAAAGACTACCTTTGCTTTAGCCAGCTTTTTAGAGCTCACATTCTTCCATGGCACCTTTCCTTTTATGAATTCGACCAACATGAATAACAACGACCACAAATCATCAACACGACCATGTTCACCTCGTCGATGTACGTTGATAGAACAGTAGCGATCAGTCCCAAGGTAAGGAGCTTTTTTACGTGCTGGTCTTATTTTCATGGCATTGTCATATTCTTTCAACTAAAATTTGGTTAATTTAAAAAGAGAAACTATGATTTTTGTAAAAGTAGGTAACATTTTTAGTAGTTACTCTTGTTTAACTCTAATATGATATTTATATTATAAGAGTGTGGATTAATAAAACTCACGTAAGACCTTGCAAAACCAAAATCTAACAAATATACAGTACGACAATCTTCTTCGTATGCTCCCATAGCAAAGTTTGAAGCCTTCACATCACGGTGAATGAACCCTCTTTTATGTAGCTCTTTTATCGCCTGAAATTATGTTTTTAATTGGTCTAAAAATGGTTTTAAATACTCGAGATCAAAAAAGTGGAATTAATTTTAAATATTTTAAACCTGGTAGAAAGAGCAGAACTTACTTCAAGACATTTTAAAGTGATTCTGATGGCTGTCGACGTTGTGAACCGTTGATACTTTGTATTTCTTCTCAACCAGGACAGTGATTTGCCCACCAAACTCATGACCATAACATTGATTGTGTTATCCAATCGACAGCTGAGGTACAACTTGCAAAAGTTTTTGCAATTTTGAAGTCGTCGCAACACAAAGGCCTGTAATCTTGTTATAGAATATTATAATTTGAGCAACAATGTCACTCTTTATATGATAAAGGGTGGAACTGTTTTGTACCTAACCTACCTCTCCTTTGACGGTCTGAGAAATCTTTCCTGCGGGATCGATGGTTTCAGCCTTCATGGCAGCAAATAAGGGCTTCTCGCTGTCTTCTGTGTCGATATCAATCACACTTAGCACGATCCCACATCCTCCTTTGCCGAGTTCTTGTAGCACACGGTACTTGTTGAAAATTATTTCGTCCTTGTAGAAGACAGGTTTTGGCAAGGATTCTGTAGAAGAATCTTCAATTTCCGAAGAGTTGTAGGTAGTCTCGGTCTCGTCCACCTCTTCCGTACTACTCATATTTCAATAATGACCAATTTTGAATAATTTTGTCTTTTTTTCTTGTTTTATTTGGAATTGCATGGAATTTCATTTTTTGAGAACATGTTTTATGTAAAAATTCTAAAACAATTTTTTTATTTTAGCCGACGAGGGTCTCACAAATCATCTTTTGATTTTGCAAATTCAAAACTTTTGAAGTTATGTATGTTTTAGGATTTATGCGTGCACAGTTTCATCCTGTGTTTACAACACATATATTATCATTCCACCCGAAAAGGTCTACGGGAGAAAAAAGGTCTACAAACCGAAAAGGTCTACGAGGAAAAAAGGTCTACAATAAAATACAAAAAAAATATTTCTGATATAATATAGTGTTATAATGTCTTTCTACCATAGTAACAGGTAAGATACCACAGTGACAAAACATGTTGGTTACTGTAGTACAAAACTATACATTTTTGTAGGTTCTGTGGCCTTCTAACCTTTATGTTATAGTAAAAATGTTTTTGGTATTATATTTACCATAGTAACGGGTAAGGTACCACAGTGACAAAACATGTTGGTTACTGTAGTTCAAAACTATACATTTTTGTAGGTTCTGTAACCTTCTAACTTTTCAAATGTTATAGTAAAAGTGGTAGGGTAGGGTAGGGTAGGGTAGGGTAGGGTAGGGTAGGGTAGGGTAGGGTAGAGTAGGGTAGGGTAGAGTAGGGTAGGGTAGAGTAGGGTAGAGTAGGGTAGGGTAGGGTAGGGTAGGGTAGGGTAGGGTAGGGTAGGGTAGGGTAAGGGTAGGGTAGGGGTAGGGTAGGGTAGGGTAGGGTAGGGTAGGGTAGGGTAGGGTAGGGTAGGGTAGGGTAGGGTAGGGTAGGGTAGGGTAGGGTAGGGTAGGGTAGGGTAGGGTAGGGTAGGGTAGGGTAGGGTAGGGTAGGGTAGGGTAGGGTAGGGTAGGGTAAGGTAGGGTAGGGTAGGGTAAGGAAGGGAAGGGTACGTTTGGTGCGAATTTATAAGTGTAAATTAAACCACATGAAATCGGTGGGGAAAGTTGTAATTTACAGTACCATGTGCTAAAAAGAACGGAAAAAGGTAAAGGACATGCAACCTGATATTTTACTACTTGATATTATAATAAATTAATAACAACTAGCTACTATAACATTTAGTAATCCTAGAGTTCGTAGCTGTCGAACAATCGTTCTCCTCTCACGTTGAATACAGGGTGTCTTCGGTCGTCATAGAACAGTACTGAATGAGCACGATATTAAGAAAAGTGGTAGTACAAATAGTACTCAATTTCCTAATATGTTGCTAACTTGGTACTATGTGTACCTCATTGGAACTAGTGGTACTCACCCAGTATCACAAGTAATCTTTGGCCAGTACGTTGGGCATGTAAATAGACTAAAGTGAAAAATATTACTACAGTAAATTTTTTACGGTAAAAATTCAAAATGTTTTATAACTCGTTTTTAATACAGTAATCAAAAAACTACAGTATGACTTACCGCTGAAGGTTTTCGTTCAATGGCGGTGTAAAAGCCGTCCAACTAAATGCAGTACTTCTAAAAATGTATAGTTTTGTACTACAGTAACCAACATGTTTTGTCACTGTGGTACCTTACCCGTTACTATGGTAAATATAATACCAAAAACATTTTTACTATAACATAAAGGTTAGAAGGCCACAGAACCTACAAAAATGTATAGTTTTGTACTACAGTAACCAACATATTTTGTCACTGTGGTATCTTACCTGTTACTATGGTAGAAAGACATTATAACACTATATTATATCAGAAATATTTTTTTTTGTATTTTATTGTAGACCTTTTTTCCTCGTAGACCTTTTCGGTTTGTAGACCTTTTTTCTCCCGTAGACCTTTTCGGAGTGTAGACCTTTTCGGAAATCACGATATATTATTATTGAGGCAAAGGTCGTGAGTCATTTCGGCCCAATGCGGGCTAAACGTCTTGGTTCCTTCGAGCTGAGTCAGTTCGAGTTATCAGCTGTCAAATTGAAAAAAAAACGGAAAAAAGAAGCATGTGGAAGATCAGAAAAAGATCTCGAGGCCTCAAATCTCGGTTGGTCATTCGAAGTGCTTTAGCCCGCTATGACTGTCAACCTCTTGAACAATGAAGCCGATATAAAGGAGGCCATCGAAGCCGCTTGTAATTCTGACAGTTCGTGGTACGATTTTAATTATTTGTTGATCACGGAAGTAATTAGTGTTTCTTCTTTGATTTTTGAATATTTTTTGTTTCAAGAGGTATTTAAATTTTTTTTAAATTTTATTTTACGTGTATTACATTCAGGTCGATTTTTGAATACGACGGTGCTTCAAACATCCTCAAGGTAGCAGAACGAGGAGGTATGGTGAATAACGTTGTTAATGAATATTTGATAATTTTTTCCATAAAGTTTTGATTTTTCGTCAGTTTTTAACACAAACTTTGGAAAAATCATCGTAGCTAATACTAAACGGTATTTCTCTATATAATAGATAAGCATTTTTGAAGTTAATATAAGATTACCGAATTTTAGACAGTGGACTAAAACAAATTCTTGAACAATTTGACACCTCGAAGATACAATACGGACTAGTACCAGTTAGTGTCGGCGGTCAGCGGAAAGTAATCTTGATTCATTGGGTAAGAACAAATAAATGGAGACAAATCGTTTAGCAAGGTGAAGGTGTTCCGGCCGTCCGCTTGGCTCAAATAGCGTCTCACTTGGAGGAAATCAAACGCATCATCAAGAAGATCAACCTCACGATCTACGCTAGGAACGAGGAAGACATCGACGTCAAAGTGATTTGTAATCAACTGCAAAAACTGGCCATGGCCCCTCCACCTCAGCTTCCAGCCAAACCACAGCCTTTTGTGCCTTCGACCCCGGCCGTTAATCAAGTCAAGCAGGTTAGGCCGGACAAAGAGATCGAGCTGAGTGAGCGAGAGAAGTTCTGGAACGAGGTACGATATTTAATGGAGAAAAAACATAAGTTGAACTTTTAATAGCTATAAGGCTTTTTTGATACATAATGAAATATAATTGCATTATTTTTCGTTTATAATAAAGAACAATCTTTCACACCTGTCCAGCTGAGAGCAGAAGAAGAAGAACGACGAAAGGATGACTTGAAGAAACAAGAAGAACAGCAAAAGCAATATGAATTGGAAAGAAAGTTATGGGAAAAAGAGTTGCACAAGATTCACATTAGTGCGGCGGCCAAAGCAGCTCAAGAAGCAGCCAGGAACCTCCCTGCTCCACCTCCAGCTCCAAAGCCAGTCAAGAAGAACACATTGGTGTCCGGACGAGCACAGATGTTTGATGACAAAGTCGCTGAACTGGTAAGACCAGTCAGAGATTAATTTACACGTCAGGTTTCTTTAAGTTTGACGAATACAATTTTAGGTGCGAACTACCCCGAAAGTGTTGAGCAAAAACAAACAATTCAAGTTTGAAGTAGCTCTTCAGCCTAAGAATCCCCCGCCTCCAGTTAATTCCTCAGCCAACATCGATGAAACCTTCATTCCTTTGGTCTTCGAAGATCCCACAAGGCCAGTAGCTAAGGTGGTACCACAACAACCAGAACAAAAGGAAGAACCAGTTCTAGAAGTCGAAAAAACAACAGACAATGAGATTCAGAAACCCACAGAAAGCGATATTCAGAAGGTCGCGGAAACAGAAATTCAGAAGATCGTAGAAGCAGATATTCAGAAGTCAGAAGAGAAAGAAGCTCCAAGGATCGAAGTAGGCTTGAAGGTGCACGATCAAAGTTCAGTGACACGAGCTTTGACATTGTGGGACTATCAGGCTGATGACAACACTGAAATCAGCTTTGACCCCAACTGGATTCTGACTGACATCGAACAGTTGTACGATGGCTGGTGGCGAGGTCGTGCTCCAAACGGCCAAGTGGGCCTATTTCCTTCAAATTACGTGAAACTGCTTTGAAGTTACTGTTTCGACAATACTACTTATTACTTTTTAGTTGGAGTTAAAAACTTTAATTTCAATCAGAAAGTAATACGTAATGTTACTTTAAGTTTATTTAACAAACTTTTAATATAAACACGTTATTATTAGTCGTCGTCGTCTTCTTTGGTACCTTCTGACACTCCAATTTGGAGCCATTTGTTGTTTGTAGGGATGTTTACGTCCAGAATAACTTCGCCGTCTGATTCTATTTGGAATCCGAACGCAAACTCGCCCTAAATATTATTTTAGGTACTTTTTTTTAACTTTTACTGATAAATTTAAAAGTTTTTGCCCAAAAGATAAGTGAATAGTTACAATGTGAAACTTATAGTCTACGTTTTCTGAAAAAAATATTAATATATTTTTTCGCAACGAAATCGCCTGATTCTGGCACAGAATGCCGATGAAGCTGAATGAGGTTCCTGGTTCTTTATACCCAGCTGCTTCGTACTGTCATTTGGCATAGCAAGGTTAATAATTAAAGACTTAATGCGTTAACTACCGTAAAAGGAAGCTGAGCCTGTCTGGCTGATAACAACTTTTCTAAAATTAACAATTTTAAAACTTTGCTTTCAATGTTTTGGTCAGAGCTTTCGAGGAAATTCTGCTAACTTCCGATTAAAGAATCATTTCCTTATGATGATTCTAGAATTGCGTCAGAATGGCCAAATTATTTTAGTTCTAAGGTTAGAAATATATTTACGTGGATTTTTGTATGAACCTACTCTTGAGAAGAACTATTTACCCGCTTCAAGATATTGTACTTTTATTTTGTGTTTGGCAAGGTTACTGTGACTTGTTGTCAATTATGTTGTTGAACTTACCGAAAAGACGTCTAACAACGAGATTCCCAGAAGCGACGGAGGTTCGGGCAGCTCCAAAGTCGAATTGAAGCCAATCTTCTCCTCCAACTCCTTGATCGTGTGTACTCCTGGCTCTTCGAACACTTTACAGATGTCTTCTCCAATAAAATCACATAGTTTCAGCTTACTAAAACAACATTAACATATAATTGTATAATAATTATCATATATGGAAGGAATGGTTTTACATAATATGCATTCTCTCCATACTCAAAAAGATTAAAATACGCCAAAAGTAAAAGTTTGTAGCAACATACCAAAAGCTACTAGGCAAAGCGAGATACTGGCTCTCTCCATTCAAACATAAAGCGTCGTCGAAGCCGTTTCCTCTCACTGTCAGTCGCATCATACCGGTCTTCAAGAGATCATAGTGCTTGGGGACGTGCATTTCTCCTTCTAATAATGTTACCCATCCTGGCATAGGCACTGTAGGCTTGCCGTAGGCACACGAAGGAGTACCATCATGGTTGTAGATGGTACCACTGAAGGATTTGATTATTGCTGGTTTTGGTTCTGAAAGTTATAACATAAATACAAGTATTTTGGTCAAGAATTTCATAGAATTAGCAAAACTTAAATATCTAAAGATTAAATTAAGGTTTTGTAATGTCTAAGCACTTTAATATTACCATAGAGCAATATCACTATAAATTGAAGTTTGAAAGAAAAAGCGAGCTTCAAATCATAAACAGGATCCTTTTTCATTATTACACCCACATTGGGAAAGTTTAATAATCCCGGTTTGATCTGTTTACTACCCTGTCGTATGTTCAGACCAACCGGAAGGTAAATGTCATCACTAGTGTTACATCGTCTTCCCATGGTAAAGGTCACTACAGTTATTGTTTTTGAAAAGTAGAAACGTATTTTTGATCATATTAGTCATAGTATTTGATAAACAATGTTATGTTGAAAAGTTTTTTTATTTTTTTTTAAATTCAAAAAATATTTTTGAATTTGAAAATGTTAAAACTTGTTGGAATAACTTACTTTTGAAGTCTGACCGTGCTTTTATCAGGTTTTCAACTTTGTCTCGGCATTTTCCTGATGCTTTAGTGGTACTCTGTGCCTGTACCAAACATACCACTGGTAGTAGCCACAAAAGCCTGTTCATCAGATCTGTAATTAAGTTCATGAGAGTTAATGTAGGCTAAAAACGCGTTAAAACTATGATTAACATCTGAAAAGGCATCTCGATAATGTCTTCCTTAGTTATATTAGACTGAATAGAAGACGCGCGACGTTTCTGAATGAGGTGGGGGATAACTCGTTCGACGTGAAGATGACCAGGTGAGGGGAACGGAAACAAAAAACACTTCCGAGTCTACCATTCAGGGTGTCATTAGGAGGTAATAAGTTGTTGTTATTACAGTTTAACCTTGACAAACACTTTTTAGGTCATCAACTTGATGGATCACAGCGTTAACAATAGTTACACGGCTTGTCTTAACAGTTTAAGTGATTGTAAAGGACGTTCTACACTTATAAAGCCTTGCAAAGAAACAATCTAATAATGAAACAGTAAAAACACAAAGACAATGGACATTGAGATATAATAATATAATGATCAAGAAAAGGAAGATGGCTAATTACCTACAGCCAAAACGCCTAAAAGTATCTTTCAAATTTTAAAACATTCAGTATTATTGCTAATAGAAGAACTAACAGACACTATAATATGTATAAAATTGCCGTTTAAAGGCAAACAATACTTTTAAGTTTCAATAACGAAGACAATTTACGAAACTTTGAAGGGATCGCTCTGTTTATTTACCAAACAATCGTTAAGGCTTTCTTGTAGTCTGTGGGAAGGTTTCTTACTATGAAACGAACCATCATTATGTTTATACTTTGTCGCTTAATTTTTAAAGATTAGTGATCAGCGACAACTTTTCTCAAGTTTGTGACAGTCGGCTGTCTTTATAGAAAACTATCACAAACACTTTGTAACAATTTAAAGTTTGTATTAGTAGAACACTTAATGATAGCACCACCTTCTAGTGCATCCAAAACGTGGCTTAACCTTGTGTGTACAAAGAGTTTAAATCAAGCAAAGCATCAACCTAAAACTTCAAACCGACGTCTACAATAAGGAGAACGCCTATTTATTTAAAAAGCGTACAAAATTTGGTCAGCATCCTTATGGTTAAAACAAAAGTATATGCAAGTACTGGGGGTGGATCAGGTAAGGAAGAAGATAAAAATTTCCGGATTTTTTGAAAAAGTTACTAATAACAATCTTTCGGCTGAACTGCTATATATACACAATATGTGTACTATGAAGCTTTTACTAAATAAAATTGTTCTCCATTAAACGAGTAACTTCTAAAGTGCATTCGAGTACTATTTTCTATAATTGCAATGTCCTTATTATTATATTCATCTGCTTTTCAGTGTTTTGAATCAATTTCAAAAAATAGAAGCCAAATCTGTCTGAATTAGTTATTTTAATTTTATTATCATTATAAATCACACGTCAGTCATATATTATATATCATAGTTAACTATTTATTGAGCTGTTTGTTGTTTTAAACATTGTGGTGATACCTATTTATAAAAATTGTGAAATGTCTTTTCTTCATCAGTTTCCTGATTTTGTTAGAAATAATTATTACGATATAAGAGATCGTCTACGTATATATATAAATTTCATTTTTATTATTTTGTTTAATGCTAATTTAAATTTAATTTTACTTTTCATTTTTTGATTCATCTGCTAATTTAATATCGTCATTATTGTCTTTAATCTTTTCTCTGCAGGCTGCGAGGGAAAACGCGGTTCGCGCTCTGTGTTCGCCTGGTTTTTAATTTTTGACAAGTTTTTGTCTTTTCTTGATGAATTTTATTAAAATGAATGATTCTCGATGTTTTGCACAAGTTTCTCTCTGAATTTTTGGAATTTTGAAGGTAATTTCCGCTTGATGTTATCCATGATCTGTTCTTTGTATTATTTTATACCTAAAAAGTTCTCAAATGAAACGGGCGGAGCTTATGATTGAGATAAAGCAATTGTTATCGACTCCTTTGCAAACATATCACGATAAGGTATTCCCCGAACTAAATTCGACCGCCAACTCAGTCTGAGTACCTTTGGGCAACTTTACAGTCGAGTAAAGTGGGTGGTATATAACATGTTGAAAGGTAACGTTGTATATTATCACTTTTCAACATTGTCATGTTTATTACAGTTCACTTCTGTTGGCGGAATCGTTTTTTTATTATTAATTGAGGTTCTAACAGTTAAAGTGTTACCTAAAATACTCTGATAGTGAAGTGAGGTGAGATAAAGAGGTGAGTGTTAGCATACCTGTTGAGTCTGTGTGACCTACCGTCTTTTTTGAAAATACCTTGATGATGTACGATGTGTGGTGATATTTTTTAGGCACTTTCTGGCGGTGACTTGATCAGGAAGGGAAACGTCTTGATGTACCGATGTTTTTAATTATTTTTTGTGTAAACTAACTTCGACAAACATGAATTACACTTTCGAGATCAAATGTAACGTCGTTTACTGTGATTTAGCGTGATGTCTGTAACAATATTATTGATGTCTATATTGTCTATATTAATATAGACTTGACTGGCTCGTCAGACGGGGGTTTCTTACTTTTGAACTTTTACCATTGGTTTACTGCTCATTATTAAGGTGTTTTATAAATTGGTTAGAGAATATTGTTTTTGGTCAACAAATACGGGTATTAGTAGTACTTTTCGTAACAATTTTGACATCTATAGGTATGAATAACAGTCCTTTTCTAATAATAAGAGGCTTCTAAATTATTTAGATCCTATTTAAAAGTCAATATTGTTACCTAAACTTGAAGTTATTAAAATTTTTATATAATATTTAAGTTTAAGGCGACAAATTTAAAACAATTTAAAATATTTGACGGGATTTGAACTTGTTTTTGATGCCATTTGAGAGAAAAGAGAAAGCGGGCTTTCAGCGTTCCTCTGTGTTCTTTGGACGTTCCGAATGCCGAGAGCTGGTCCCCGAGGACAAGATATTCTCACTTTTTGTTTGTTTTTCCATAATTCCGCCTAAGTGTTTGGGTAATTCAATATTGAGGTTACAAAGGATTTTATTGTATATTCACAAACATCTACAATAAGATTGGCTTTGTTTGATGGTAAGATACTTTGGAAGACAAGAATTGTGGCGTGGGAACGTGAAATGGAGATTTTAAATGTTTTAAAAGATTTGAAATATTTTAGAGAATTCTTTTGTTACGCTATGTTAAGGGTCCGAGTTACTATGCCTCTTTCACTGTTTGATGTTATTTGTAGTTAATTACTTGGCTTTAGAAAGGTCTTATATTTACAAAAATAACTTCCCCATGTCATAATACTTCATGTGTGCCTTTTCTCATACAAAATCATTTTTGAAAATCTTTCCTTGTCTTTCGACGAGAAGTTGACGTTGTAATGAATAGGGAGGGGTGACCGTCTGATGGCGCCCTGAGGGCAGAAACGTGAAGGGCTGTCCCGTGAGTCTGTGATTGAGCCAGTCTGGCCATAAATTATTTCAGAAAGGGCGATTTGGGTACTGCCCATCGCTCCACCTCTCTCCGTTTTACTTTCGCGTTTCGTTCTGTCGAGCGGGTCGATGAATTCGTGATTTATGTTGATAACGGGGGTTTGGTGCTGCTGGAGGGGTGATTCTGTTCGTGATTTATTTGATTTATATTGTGCGTTTGCAGGTGTCATGATCTCGCGGTACCATGTGTGCAAATTATTCATAATTTGCGCGGTACTCACGTGCATTACCAACTTTCCCTCAGGCTTCACCAACTCATCGGTGAACACGGCCGTTGATGAGCTGGAACGCTTCATCAACCAGTCGTACACGGACAGAGGATGGAACATGACAAAGGCTAGACAGTCGATAGTGAAAAGTGCCATTTTGAATTGCTGGTTCGTCGCTCAAGTTGCGGGTTCTTTCATATCGCCTTATATCACTGACAAATACGGAAGGAAGCGTAAGTTTTTACATTATTTTTTGAAATTTTTGGGTAATACTGCACGGTAGTTTTTAAAGAAGAAATTTTGGGTAATAAATTTTGAAGATTTTTCTCTGAGAGACCGCTTCAAACATTTTTATGGCTTTTTTCTCAAGACTTGTCATAAACTTCTCAAGAAACAAAGCTTTACAGTGTAAAGTAAATCTTTTTGTATTTGTTACACTCTGCCTTGTGTACTTTGTACACTTGGTTTCACATGTAAATCATACGTTTTTGAACTGATCTGACATGCTTCTTCCAGTCGCTTACCTTTTTTCCACTGCCGTTATGACTTTCGCCTCAGGGCTTCAATTCGTCGCCACCTTGACGGGTCTTCCTGAACTCTTGATGTTGGGCCGTTTTACGGCCGCGATCTGTTCTCCTTTGTCAGATGCGGCGCTGATTCTCTACTTGCAGGTAAGAGTGATCGATTGATGTAATCGCTTGTAAAACGGCGACGAAAGCTTAAAGTTGGAAGTTTAATGAAGGAAAGATGCGACGCAATGCTTTTTAAGATATAATTCTTATGTCAAGAAGTGTAAAAAGCATGGAATTCCTTTTATTTTGATGTTTTACATATCATAACAACGTTATGTTGTTGATGCTTATGACAGAAAACAATGACAGTAAACATGTGGTTTTAGGAATGCTCTCCACTTCAATATCGAGGCATGTTCAGCTTCCTGGGAGAGATTGGTTATTGTTTGATGTGTGTTCTGGGCATGGTAATGGGTATGCGAGCGGTGCTGGGGAGTTCCCTGCCGAAGATGCTTGGGTACTCCATCATTCCTGGCTTAGTTTCTTTGATCTTCTTGTTTCTGATACCTGAAACTCCAAAGTATTTGATGATTGTAAAGTAAGTTATACCGTTTGTTCTTTACGTTTCTTATTTGTTTTGAATTGACTTTATATGATGATGTTTAGTTGATGAATTGATGCATAGTTACTATTGCAATAAATTATATTTATTGTAGGCATGACAGGAAGCAAGCTCTAGAATCTCTACAGTTCTTCCAAGGCGACAAGAAAGAGAATGAACAATTACTCGATGCCTTTCTACAGGAGGCTACTCACGACAATACCAAAAAACGGTCATCCATCAAGGTAAGGAGAAAAATGACGTCAGTTGCCGTAGTAGAAGATCTTTTGATTGAAGTTAGAGATTATTGATAAAAGGGAAAAAAGTTTTGAGTAAATGTTCTTATGGTAGCCAAGTTTATTGAAGGGGTGATTTTTTTTCAAAATTTTTTAAATTGAAATGTTCGTACTTTTTTTATTTAATATTTTTTGGGGTTTTCTTAACTACAGTAGTTTACAAGGACTTTGCGATTTAAAACGAAGAATTTTTATCACAACCTGACAGCCTTCATTGTAATGTTTTACTTTACTTTAAACCGTTGTTAGCTACCGTACTCTTTTAAAATAAGCTTGTTACAACTTTAACTACTTTATACGATAGGTTTATACTTAAATTTTTAGTATTGTAAAAAATTTATGTCGAAAGGATCTGTAGATTCTTACTTAAGCTGCTTTTTTAATTTACGCTTTAAGGATACCTCTGCTAAATTTAATATCTTTGTATTTTAGGAAGTTGTAAGAACATGGCATCTGCGCTTTGCCGTCGTACTAGCTTGTACGGTGCTCATCTTGACAGTACCCTTCTACCCCTTCCTTCAGTCCTCTACATTGTTCTTCAGACACATTGGAATCAAGGCTGATCTGGCAGAGCTGTCCTCGACCTTGCTGATGATCGCTTTTACTGTCGCTTGTATTGTGGGATCATTCTTCATCGACCGATGGCCTCGACGCTTCTTGGTGATGGGATCCGGAGCTCTGGCTACCACTTTCTTGAGTTTGTTCGTGTTGTTCTCGGTCACGAGGTCGTTTGACTTCAGATTCAAATACGCAGCGTTGGGAGCTGTGTTCGGATACGCTATCACTTTTGGGTAAGATTTTAAAATTGTTTCACAAAGATCATTTGGTAAACTCACTTCCTTCATGTTATGTTGGTGCTGTTTCGGTTCCAAATAATCAAGTCATGTTTCAACGACAAACGACCCGGAGAAGTTTGTCGCTGATCGACGAACTGAATGAAAGGATTCCAATGTCGTCGATATTAATATTGTCGCTTTCAGAATGGTTTTGGGCCCGATCTCTTGGTTCGTCGCGCCTGAACTCGTTTCGCAGCGTCATCGGTCGACGGTCTTTTGCTTATGCTACGGTATCAACAACATTCTGATTGCGATCACCAACTTCGCCACTGTCCCGCTCTATGATGTAAGTTCAAATCGAGGCCATCTTCTTTGTTTTATGCAGAATTTGTGCATAATATGAATTTAAAAATGACAATTTTTGTTTTTTTCTCAAAAACTACATTTAATCTGTTGTTTATAATAAAAAGGTTTACAAAAGGTAAAAACATATTGTTCCTTTTTATATCTTTATACGTTTCAGTTGATTGGAGCCTACACCATGGTACCGTTGTTCATCATACCCTCAATCGTATGTCTGGTGGTCATCGGCCTGTATCTGCCAGAAACCTTGGGCAAAGAAACCCACGAGATCGTGCACGGAATCAGAGAGCGAAGGAAACAGTCCGTCGTCCACTCGGATTCCTCGTCTGGAACGGATTCTGATTCCGAAAACGAGCTTCAAGAACTCAAAGTTCACGAGAAGAAGCCTGACATTAGTTTACCTTAATTTCGTATTTTTCACCTTATATCTTACCTTAAAAGGTAATGTGATTTACAGATACTACTAACACTGATTATGTTAACAACATATCAGAGTTAGTAGTCCCTAAACTTTAGGCCAATTCTCTTTCATCTAGCTCTCTATTTTGTATTATTTCGTCATTTTCTTAACTTTATATCTTTTTGTAATGTATCTTCTTATCTATATATATGTATACTTATTGTAAAGGTATAACTGTAAATGGTGCATAATATCTAGTGCATTAATTACGTCATACCTCGACCAATCCCACGGGATGTTATCATTGACAAAGACAACTCTTTAAACATATTGTACATGCTTTTAAAGACGGATCTGCATTTGCTTTGTATGACGAGTATGACTAACACATTAAGGGTCTCAATCATTCGAATACTTTTAACTTTACATTTTTACAATAAAATGATCACAATTCAGGTTGATATAGGTGTCAAAGAGTTGTTAAGACCATTTCAAAATTATTTTAGTTTTTTAATTATTTTTTGAGCACTTTTCACAATATCCATTAAATTTTTTAGTTTCAAGTTAAAAATTTATTGGAATCAGCAAGACAATCGCATCATGCCGCTGGACGACCCCACCAAGAACATGTTGTTCAAGGTAAGGGGCGCTATCACAGATATTTGGCCCTGAATAAACTCGGACCGCAGTTTTACCTCGTTGTGACACTTCTCACCACGGTAGAACCTCATCCGGTTGGCGTTGAGAGTGAGGAATTGTTCGTCAGAATACCTGACAAGCGATTGAGCTACCTCGTTCAGTTTGTAGCAGGACTTGAGACCGCTGGCAATCTGCCATACTGTAACAGAATGATCGAGGTACAGCGATGCAAAGTGGGTCTCGTCCAACCATTCAATCTAAAAAAGCAAAATAAGTAAAACTGCTTGTATTCTGCAAGATCGTGATGATTTATCATATGATATCTTGACCATTTCTTAGTAATATTCATGTCCAGGGCCCGACATGGAAACAAAACGGGGAACTTACGTTATGCCTTATTTTAATTGATTAAAGTTGATTTTACCTTACGACACACGACTATTTTAACTTACGTTGAATAAGTCGGCGTTCTGTTGGAACGACAGTGCCATTAGTTTACCCGTTCTCGAGTCGATGAGTGATATGCTGCCATTGTTTAAGGCTACGGCTAACTTTTGCCCAGAAGGCGAAGCTGCTAGGCACTTTATCCCAATAGAATTACTTTGTTGGAGACCAGCCAGGTAGTGGTAACTCCACGCACCCATACGTATGTCCATTACCCTAAAACCAGTTCAATGTAAAAAGTATGTATATTGAAGTATGTAATAGGCAACGTAAACATTTATTGAAGCAATAAATGTTTACATTACTATAGTTCCTAACTTTTACAGTGACATTTTATGTTTTGCCCTTACCGTACAACATGATCGTGACTTGACCCTGCCGCAATCGAATAATTGTCAATTTTTTGCAGAGAAACAATCGACTGGTCGGAGGAGCCTGTTGGCCAGCCGGCTTGATGTATGACAGATCCTCTGAATGGATCCCAGACATGTACTGAACTGTCAGCAGATACGATTGTGGAGGAGACGGGCATAAAGAGTACATCTTGGATGGGTTTGGTGTGGTTACGGTAAGTCCACTGGCTTTGTGACGCTTCCTCCGAGGTCTTTATCGACCACACTTTCACCGTTTTGTCGGCCGATGCACTGATGAAGGAGTTCTCGTTGTCCAGCACTCGGATCTTCTTGATGGCGTTGGTGTGACCAGAGTACGTGACCAAGCTTATCTGATCGAAGGTCAAGTCGTCTGAAGTCGCTGATAAGGCCGAGCGAAAGCGTTGCACCCAGTTCTCTGATAAATGCGGTGACATGTCCGAACCCACCATTTTGGAGCTGGAATACGATCGATTACAACATTAAACAAACAGTAGATAAGGCTTACTAAATTAAACTTTTGATTCGATTTAGTATACTTTGGTCAAAAAGTGCATAAAACAACATCTTCTACAACTACCAACTTTAAGTGTGGTGCTAACATACTGTAACGAATTATTGGACCCTGGGTCGAAACTAGAAGGCATGACATCCCTCGAATACTCGTCGGACATGTCTTCTTGAAGGCATAATCGATTTCCACTACCAAACGACGCCACCATCGACAAGGATGGTGGAGTTTCCACAACTTGTGACAACTTCAGAAGCGATGACAATGATTCAAATGCAGTTTTGGACGAGATCACTACTACCTTACCATTCTCGAGATCAGCCGAGCATGTAGATGCAAGATGTGTCACTAATACTGGATCTGGTATCAGTTCAATCAGGTACTTCCTTCCACAAATTCTCGAAAACGCCTTCAGAAGCAGCGAAGCAAACTCTGGACAGAACGTAACGACTAACTGAGGTGGAGCACCTTCCCCCACCTTAAAAAGGTCTCGACCTTCTTCTCGTTCAATGTCATACAACATACTGAACGTGGAGAACAGCTTCTGGAGCACCACCTTCATGTACTTCTGGACGTTCTCTCCTCCCAATCTGCATGCCAACAAATGGAACGATCGTACTGCTTTGCACGCCAACAGTCGTCGGGCATCGTCAGATGAGAATGTGACATTTTGAGATGACAAAAGGCGTGACATTGGAATGAAGATCCTGTCCACAATCAGTTCGTTCAAGTCGTCCATCAGTTGTTTGTCACTCAAACAATCACAACAGGACTGTACCAACTCCATCGATGAAATTAACGCGGACTCTGAAGCCAGATTGAGTCTTCGAAGACCTTGATCGATGAGATCAGCGCAGTAAGGAAGGTAGTGTAGAGTTATCACTGATGGCCCATAGATCACGGCCAGGTCCACCAGACAGTTCACGACTAATTTGGCTGACTTGTCACCTTCAACGTGCAAGTCAAGGTTCATCTAAAAGAAGTAAAATTACTGGCAGTAGAAATCAAAGAAGGCAAGCTAATGATTGTATGTAGTAAGGTAATTAAGAAACATATAATAAGCAACTCGGTAGATCATACCTCTTTAGCGCTGACAACCGACTTCTTTTGATCCGAGAAGCACAGAGCCAGTAGCTTGAGTATATTTGGGGTAATGTGCTTTCCAGTAAGTATAGGACCGTATCTCTTGGACAACCATAGCACACTCTCCCTTGACACATCACTCAGATTCCTATCGATTGATAGTAAAGCTTCGATTACTCTAGGCAGAAAACTGTTGAAGAACTCTTTTGTGCCAAAACGCATCGACAATTGTATCAAAAAATGACGTTCGAACAGCTAAATTATTAAGATATAACACAGAATAATATATTAAAATATGGTAACTACTTTCCTTTCAAAAACGCTTACTTTGGCCAATTCAGGAATATTGTACTCAAAAAGCCTAGAAATCGGAGGTATCATGACCTTAACATCCTCAATACCAGTAAACTCAGATATTCGATAGAACAACTTTCTACAAACATTGACGGCGAACCTCAGGTCTTGCAGTAGGTCGATGAAGTAGTCGACCCACAACGACGAATAATCAGAAAACTCGACACAATCCTTTAGGATGTCTACTCTCTCCATGTAATACGTTTCTATTCGTTTGTCTGAAAACAATCAACATTAAGTATTGAATCATCTGATGATATTTTTTTATTAATATAACCGTGGTAAGAGAAGCATGAACAGTTAATTTTTAAGAAGTAAAAACAAAAAAAGCCAATAAACGCTCACCATCTTGATTGCAAATAGCATCCATAAGGTCTATGTCTATGGCATGATATGTCGAGAGCTGCGCATGAACAGGAAACACTTGGTGAGGCAAGAACAACAAGTTCCGGAGGCTTGAGGTAAGCGAGTACTTCTAAAAACATCATTTTAGCATTGCCATAGAACTTATAGAAACCATCTTAAAGCTAACTAAAAATCCTTATCACATAACGGCCATTATCAAGGTGCTATTTTACTACATTATTGAACATCGACTACGATATGTGTATATATACATAAAAGTAACAGTATTGTGCCCAACCAGCAATATCCACAAGACCTTACATTAAGTTCGTTGTCTTCTTCAGAGACATTCAATAGAATACGGATGGCCTTTTTAATATGTCGAGGTATTCTGTTCGGTCTGTTGATGACCAGTCCCTGAGCTCGAGCATAACGGTCTTCAAAGCTGGCATCCTCAGACAGATCTCGACAGAATTCTGGAAGACACAACTCCACGATCGTGACGCCAATACTGATTATACTCTCTTGGACGTACTCTTTTACTCCACCCTATAACACTTGTTGCCATCACTTGTAGAAGAAGTCATTTCAAAGCAGAATTCTCGAAAATTGAAACTTACATGTTTTTTGTAGAACTGTTCTAACAACTGACTCAAGTTGAACGATTCTCCAGGTTTTACCATGTCACACCGGTCGATTGGAAAGTATTCATCTGGGTAACCTAACGTAGCTTCATCTGGAGAAGCAACTTCATCCAACTCTGACCTCAGCTTCCTTTTTGGATGCGGATTCGTGAACAATTGAACAGCACCAACAGTCCTATCGGATGGTGCTACTCTCACAAAACATAAATGAACATTCAAAGCTTCCACAGCTTCAGGGCCTGACAATAGATACCCAAAAACAAGGTCGATCCACTTGTGCAGGTTGGCAGAAACTTCTTCAGATTCCAACATTGCACGGTGCCACTTTATGAAGTCTTCTGGAGTCTCAGTCCATTCTGGTATCTGAAGGTCGGAGAGGTCGTTGTGAATAGACTTGAAGACGTTCGGATCATCGTAGAATTCTGGAACACATTCATCTGGAGTCGTTTCGAACAACCGTCGCATATTAGCAGGGTAGGCTTCTGGAAGCCACTAAAACCATAATATAATAAATACTACCGTTATAGGTAACACATTTGTTGTAAATGTTAACCTGACATTAAACTTACCTGCTTTCTTACAAATCTGATTAAATTATCTTTGGATTCTATTCGAGCACGATACATAGTGTAACTCAGTTCTGACAACAATTCTGGGATGTGATGAGCCGGCTGTCGCTTATACTGCTCAATAAGCTGAGCATCTCCCTTCTGAATACGGTATTTACTTTTCGTAAGGTCACGGTATCCACCTTCAAACGTCGTGAAGTCTACTACCCATGGAAATATCGGGTGTTTGTGAGGGTCACCATGAACACGACCTGAATTAGTGATTTTGACGCTACACAGTAAGAATCTTTATGTATTAAAAATATAAACTATTCAACGTTAATATAAAACACAATAGAAAATAAAAAAAACTAAATTACCTGAAAACTGATTCAGAATATTAATATACTCGTAGTTAGATATCTTCCAATCCCTCCATGCCCGTGTTATCTCCCACAGTCTACTGTAATCCACATCTTTAACTGACTTCTCGACTTCAGCAAGTGTGTCTCCCAACAAACTAAAGTTATTCTGACGTAAAAGCTTGTCCAGTGATATCTTCAACCATAAGTTTGAATCGGCATTAATACTATGAGGTGAAAATATTGGATAAATCTTTTTTGATGCCAAAAACTCCTGGATATTCACCAGCTGATACAAAAGGATATTGAATACCTAAAATCACGTCTTATCCACAATTTTTAACATGAAAATAAAACAAAAAGTATTTTTATTAATGCTGACTTACTGGAGATTCAGTTTTGATAGTTTGAAAAGAGTGTAAAGCATAAGAATATAAAGACTCCAACTTGTCGTGGCCATAAAAAACAATCCTAACACAGTCCCAGAGCTCAATGAAGCATAAAACAGGTCTAAGATGGCTAGAACTGCAAGTTCTACGATAGGTAACATCGGTATTGAAGTCCTCAGTCACTTTGACCCAACTAACTCCAATATTCTCGGCTATCTTTTGAAATACTTCCAAATCACTATCAGTCTTGCGATGTTCATATTGACAATCCACCGCACCGTGAACAGACTCAACTCTAAAACTTAATTTCTAAAGAATATTACTTACAATGAACTAGATAACGAGGTATTGAACAAACTTTCAGGTTTCAAAGTCACAATCTCCACCACGAACTTTCTACTGTTTATCGTAATATCAACCTGACCATCTTCTGAATTCACACACTTCTTCACAATTGCAACGACAATCTGTATGTCCATCCATAAAATATGTTTCAAATGATGTATTATTTGTAGTTTTACAATATTATTCGCTTTTACAAAATTCTGTGAATTTATTTATTTTCCAAAAATTCAATAGAGTTTAGTACGAAATGTCACAAACGATCGGAAAATAATTCAGGAAAAATATACGAATAACAATCTTTTGTACTTTTTGGAGTCATGAGTGATGTTCTGCAGAAGGCCAAGAATCGAATACGTCAAGAGTTGGAGGTAACAATAAAGGCCATACTATTTGAAGGTGCTGATGGCCAAATTTCCGGGTTAGTTGAAGTTTTTTGTGTATACTTGAAATTTAGAGAAGTAAATCAGGCGGTTTGCAACACAATAGAAGCAATATTCATTCATGGTCTTAAGGACGCGTTTTTTCTCAAAGGATCGAGGTATTCAAAGTATCCGGAGCCAGTAAGTAATCTTATATTGTGTGTCTTGGAGCATCGACGTTTGAAAATACTGTTTCAGTTTAAGGTGTACGGTTTTTAAGTACTATATGTTATTTTAAACAAAGTTATTAAGTGTTTTTATTTTAGAATTTTTGGCCGTTTGTATCTAAATTCACTCATAAGAGCGTCAAGAATCAGATCAATGGCCAAAATCAAATTAAGAATGAGATTGGCAAAGGACGTGCTTGGATTCGTATCATAATGAACGAAGGAGCACTTGAACATTACATTTCTATGATATCAAAGGATACTCAGCAGCTGCAGTACGTTTGCTTTTATATTCTCTCTGTTTTTAGGGAATTAGCTTTCTTTGAATACAGCGTTTTATTATCTTGAATTGAATTTTAGGCAGTTTTATGGAGAAGCAGCTTTTCTACGAGATAGTGACAAAGTGGAGACTTTTATTGGGTATTTGAAAGCTTTATCTAAAGTTAAATTGAATGTGCCTACTAACTCAACATTTCTTAACACCTGGACGCCAACTCCACTGGTATTAGCCGGACTAATGCATGAAAAGAGCGTTAAAGGTAACTTCTTTAATTTCGTTTGCCTTATTTTATCATAAAAATTGAAGTGGCTTATATAAAAATTATAAATTAAAGTTTAAATTTTATTGTTCAGTGTCAAGTTTAATCACTTCGAAAAAGGAAATTGATGGAGGACACACGTCGTTCAGTTTATTGTCGAAAACTTCTGTTAAAGGTTCTCGGACGTCTCTTCAAAGTAAAGGTAATAAAATTGTGAATTATTTGTGAAAGCCTGTTTTTCAGAAGACGACGAACGTTCTTCTGTATACTCACATCCGTCTTTGGTCGATGGCCAAATGGAAGCCGCTACAACGTCTGATCTGAGCTCTGAGGTAGGTTAAATGAAAATTTTAATATTTTAAAGCTTCAAATTATCTATAATAACTAGGTATTTAACAGTCATGTTTTTTGAATTTAATTAAACTAGACAATAAACATTGTTTTAGGTAGTGGTTCGTCGAAGCAAGGGAAGAAGGAGAGGTTTGAGTCAGAGTAGCAGTGAGAGTCATTCTTTATATTCTCTGTCCAACGCTTCGTCCACTCAGAAGTTGGCACACGATACATTTGATTCTGTCGCCACTAACAAACCTAAAACTTCTAAAGACGCTTGTGAAACTAGTGTTGGTCAAAGGGACAACAACAATACTGTTACATGTAGTGATGATGTAACATCATCAAATCAAGAAGAGAGTGTTAACGAGGCTACAATAAATGATTCTGAAGTTAAAAAAGATAGATCTTCAGCTTCAGATCAATTTAACAAAGGAAAGATTAGAGGAGAAATCAGTGATTTGGGTAATGAAGGACATAATTCAACTAACAAACACACTAACATTGAAGTAACAGTGGATCTACAGGACTCTCCTGAAGTGAAGGAAGGCATCGAAGTCACAAAAGTGTTGGGAAGGTCAGAAGAACTAGTGGGATCTAGTTTTATAGTGAATACTAGCTTCACGGATGACTCGGCCAACGATGAAAAGTCATTGAAATTAGAAGCAAACGAGGATAAACTGGAACCAGAAGAAGAATTGGTACCTAGTAATTGCGGCAATTCGTTATTAGGTAAAGGATGGGATGGGATGTCTGGTCCTTCTGGATTATCTAGCAACGCATCATCCCTTACTAGCTCTGAGCCGTTGATACCTTTTGGAGAGGCTATGAAGGATGTTGTGAACAATCAAATTACTGTAGGTGTTGATTTTAAACATGGATTTTAGTATTCTTAAAAAATGTATTATAGTTTATTAATTTGATAATTTCAGCCTGATTCGCGAAGCGGAACTGAAGAACCTTCCGAACTGTTTGAGGTATGTTTAGTTACCTTTTGTAGTTTTACTACATGAATATTTTGTAAAGTACTGTAATTTTTAGAAGGAAGAGCCAGTGATAATTGAAGCCGAGAACTTGCCAGATTTAAATGAAGCTAACGAAATGGTAAAAGAAAAAGAGTTGTACATCATATTAACGACGATTCCCATAGAAAAAGGACTTGATTCTCAAGGATTCAGATGCCCGAATTGCCGACGATCTATTGGTGCTTCGTTTGGCAACTTTAAGTTGTGCCACTTTGATGGTTTACATTACTGCGATCATTGTTTTAAAAAGTTTGTTGAATGTCCAATACCTGCCAGGATATTGTTCAATTGGGACCATAGGTCACGAGTTGTGACGAGGACGGCGTACAACACGATTCAGAGCGTGTACGAGAAGCCTTTGTTCAAGATAGACGCGGTAAACAAGTTTTTGTACAACGAGGCTGATGATCTGGACAAGATACGACGATTACGCGAGAAGTTGAGTTTGGTTTCTATGTACTTACTGTCTTGTAAGCAGTCGGTGGCAGAGGACTTGAAGCGGAGATTGTGGCCAAATGATTACTTGTACACTGACATCCACATGTACTCTCTAAAGGTATGTTGCTTTAGATGATTTGGTATGGACTTGTGTATGTTATTAATTTGTATTTTATATTATTTTAAATAAAAGCATCTTTTAGGATCTAGAAAACGTTCCGACCGGTGTATTGGAACGACGGCTGAACACCGTGATCAACTTTGCTGTAGAACATGTTGCATCTTGTGTCTTGTGTATTCAAAAAGGCTTCATTTGTGAGATTTGTAACTCCAGAAAGGTGGTCTACTCATTTCAAACCGACGTAACATATCGGGTAACTTGTTCTGGATATACATTAGTTTATTTTTAACAACTTACTTTCGCTTATAAACTTTGTTTTGTGGGTAATATTACAAAGAATGTTTTTACAGTGTAAAAAGTGCTTCTCGGTGTACCATAAGACGTGTATGGAGGGTAAGGAATGCCCACGGTGCTTGCGACAACGAAGGAATGAGCTTCGTTTGAAACAGATGGAGTCGTTTTGATGTCTGGAGAAGATCACGTCTTCTTCTATGTTAGACAGAGCTTTTTATAACGACGAATACATCTAATTAGCCTGAACGATTCAACTATATTTTAACTCATTATGTACATATTTACAGTAATTTTGTACTATTTATGCTGCTGTCAACACGTTGCCGGGTATTTTAAGATAACATATCAATAAATGCTTCTAATGTAATGTTTGTGTATGTATACAGGGATTATAGAGTCTAATATTACTTTAGAGAGTATTATGTAAGGTTTTATGTTTAATTAACTGGTTATATGGGGAAAAGGCATACTCTAGTAATATCAATTTACTTTTTTATTGATATTGATGACATTTGGCTTTTTTTATGGTTTTGTAATGGACAGACGTTGTTTACTGTATGTTTTAGCTTCTACTGTATTCAGAACCATTTCACGTAATTTTTCATAAAATTGATGACAAATCGCCACGGAACGATGACTCACTGTGGTGGGAGGACAAACAAAACGGTATGAGTTACAATCATGAATAAGGTCAGAAGGTAGCGCGGGACTTAAGGGGCTCGCGCCGTTACCAGGGGGGACGGACAGTAAATGAAGAGAGATTAAGACCGCGCAGATCAAACACTACCCGTATTCAAATTTGGTCCGCTTCCCGGTCTCTGACTCACTCCCACGAGTGTTATTACTCTAATTGTTCTCGTTTTTCGACCTTAAACTTGAAGGTGGTATTGTTGTTCTTGGCTTATCTTTCTTACAACGATCAGGCTGCTTTTATACGTAGTCTTAACGTATTAAGAGGGGGGGGGGGGTGTTATAGTATTACTGAAAAGAATGAAAGTAAAAAGTCGTTTTGATTGTTAATGCTATGTCAAGTTTTGGTAAGGAGATGTTTTTCCTATTGCGCAAGATGTGTTTATTGAGGCAGGGATAAATAAAGGTAAAGAGTTAAATAAAAGAACGCTCAATGTATGATAGGATGGTAGTGTAGGACCAAATTGGGCAGGATATTCACAATAAAATACACAATGATTCTTAAAATCGGGGTTTATGTTACGAAAGTTTGAATTGACCTTGTTGCACTCGTTAATCAGTATAGAACTGTAGTAAAAGCACGTTTTTATGACTGGGAATGTGAATTACTTTTGGCTTGTTGTAACAGCTAGTTTTGTACAGTTATTTATCTTACCATTAGCTTCACTTTTGTAATTACGTCGTTCTAGCCTTGTTTGCAAGTTCTGTAGCACTCTGACATTGTTTGCTACCTTATATAGTAACCTTGCCTTAATTGGCTTTCGTCGTTTTTATGGCGTTCGGAACGATGGCTACGTAATCGTATTACGTCACAATGAGAGAGAAAGATGTATGTAAAGTTACTGCGGAGTCTTCGTGATAACAGGTGATGGATCTGAATATTTTGGGAAAGCTTCTTACTGTTGGCAGTAGTTTATTTGAAAGACTGGATTATGAATAGGAAGGTTGTTGATCAGCGTGGTGTTTTGTATACATTATCTTGTTGTAAAGGTTTAACTTCATATATAAGTTTACTGTTCTTTTACTTTCTTTTTACTTGGCTTTACTTTGCTTTACATTGACTTCTTTTTCTTCTTTCTTTCTTTATTTTATTTATTCTTATTGTCTTGACTATTAGTACTCTTAGTTCTGCTGATTGATCAATACTGTAAAGATCGTGGTGACGTAAAGTAGAGTTATAAACCAGTAACTTTGATGACTAAACTTTCTACAGATTGATAGACTTGGGGAGGAACAGTAAAAAGACTACGTCATTGTCAAGAAAGGGATCTGTTGTAGTTAATATCTGTAAAACGTCAGAGATGTGTTACTCCTTTACTTCAAAATGCTTTTCTGGCTACTTTAGGACAAACCTGGTTATTTTTTAACTTTTACATTACCTATTAGATGACCACACGTTTGTAAATCTTAGTGAAAAGCACAAAAGTAAATCTTAGTGAAAAGCACTGAAATGATTTATGTTTTGAACAAAATGAACATTTCCGTACCTCACCCTACTTTATATACCAGCCTCTTGATAGGAATACCTCGGTTGTGGTAGCTACGTTAACTTGTCACGATCAGCTGTTAATTAAATCACAGTCCTTGCAGCAAGTACAACATGAATACAAACAAATTTGTGTTTGCGATAAGGTTTTCTTGCTTTTCTCCTCCAAACAACGCCCTAAAGGTCGCCCAGGGGGGGAGAAGTCGGCTGGCAGCGAAAGGCGATGGACTGTCTTTTTCCGAAGAAGTCAATTTCCATAACCGGCTTCACACAAATTTTTATCTGTTCCGAGACTCTCGAATCGCGGATGACTCATTCATTTATTTGGTTACCTTTTCCTTCACCTGAGGGCCTTTCTTGGGCATCAACAACTTGTTAGCACGGGTTTAGGGTTTGTTTTTGGTCACAAAATACGAGAAAAATGACTTTTTGAATCACTCTTGATTTTATATTGGGGTAGGTGGGTAGGGTAGGGTAGGGTAGAAAAATTGAGGGTTTCATTAATGTTCTCCAATGATAATGTACAAAATATTGTCTGCAATTTACTGACCATCTTTAATTTACCGTGTTTCAGCAGGTTATGTCATGTCAGTCCCCAGAAAATAGCACGATAACATGCATTCTTTGGCTCCATCGGACCCGGATCTGAATCCGGTACGATCGGAGTTCGGAGACGTGTCGGATTCGATTCTGGGCAGAATCCTCAACTACAAACAACATCACCGAGCTGCTCAGCTGTTCGCGGTGTCTGACTATGACATCATCACTGAACTGGTACGTTTGGAATAAAAATTGAATTTATTTAAATTTTCAAGTTTAATTAATATTGTTTTTCATATTTTAGCATCCAGCATTGTCCAAGATCAAAGCCATCGTAAGTCAAGATGATTACTGTCACTCTGTACAGGACCAAAGCGTGGTAGAACTGGTACTGTCGAGGATTACTGCGGCTATACGGTAAGTACAATGAAAACATAAAAAGATGTTTTTGACTAAAAATGACGTTTTTAATTTGAGTATATTTCAGAGAAACGAACTGTATAGAGACATATGCACCATCCTTGATCGACCTGTTCGAGACTTGTCTTCTGAATGCCAAAACTCAAAAGCGACATCAGAATGCTCACGAGAAACTGGCTGGAGAGCTGATGAGCACATTGTTTTTGGTAAATTTAATATTTTTTTGATTTTTTTATTTCAAAATTTTTTATTATGATTTATTTTTAATTTACTTTGAGCGGAGACGGAGGTAAGTGAACGATGAAATAAAAAATTTTCAAATTTGATTAATTTACAAATTTAACTTTGTTTTTCAGTACCACAGTAAGCAGTCAGTGATGACAGTAACCATTCCGAGTACGATCGAAGCCTTGGACAGTAAAAACGTGGAGTTGGTCAGAAATGCGACCAGTTATCTCTCGCTCGGTGCTGTTCACAATGGTCGTATCTTGGCTCAGTACGCGGTTAGGATCATCTCCAAGGTTTTGAAAGGTAACATACGACACTATGGTACTTTTAAGTTTTGCTAATTGACTCTGATTTTCTATAAGTATTCATTGTGATAGACCTGTTTTAGTTGTGATAAAGTTGCTTCAAATTCATATTGTTTTAGGTAACCATCCTTTGGTACGAGTACTGCCACAGATCTACCCCGAGAACAAAGAACCTTTCCATGCCCACTTATCTCAACTACTCGAATTACTTTACAATGTTAATACCGACCAGTCGGAACAACTCTCTCTTCTGCAATTGATTTCAATGATTGCCGGCTTTAAACCTGATGTGAGTTTCCTATCTTTATATATACATGGTGTAGGCAGGGCCGGGCGGGGACTTTTGGTCTGGGGGCGGGGGTCCAAAAAATCGGCACAGGTAGTGCCGATTTTTTGCGAAAATTTTTTTCCGAAAATCCACAGGGGGGACCACGTTCAACTTTTTTCAAAATTTTTTTTCTGGGGGGGGAGGGGGGTACCCCCCCGTTCCCCCCCCTCGCGCCCGGCCCTGTTTGTGGGTATAAAGAGTTGGGGCAAAGACAGAATTTTTTATGTTCGAATTAAGTTTTAACTTCCAGAAAATGTTGTTATAACACGTATTGTAGTAGTCGTATATGTTGTAGTAGTTGTTGTATATTAATATGTTGTTATAGCTGATTGTTCCTCACCTGAGCGAGTTCGACGACTTCCTTCTCAACCCGAACACTTGCTCCTCAGCTCTAGTCATCTTCGTATCTTTAATCAGTTGTGGTCGTGTTGGCTGTATCACCGGCCAACTGGTACCACTCCGACGTGCAGTACAACAACATGGAATCTCGCAACATAACTTATTGACAATTGCCAAGATATTATCAGTCGTGGCACGGTCCAATCAACAGATGGCCTCCGTGGCCACACAAGACGTAATCAGCATCATGGGCAAGTTAAGTGCCAGCAATCTGCCTACTGTATTCAAGGAACTGGAAGGTTGGTTTCTAATTTCATTGATAAATGTCAAAAAATGTCTAAAATGCAAAGTTTTTGATTAAAAGTTATCATTAGAAGATGATAAATCCATTTTAAAAAGTTGCTACATTTTAAAAGTTTACTGTAACAAGTACTTATGGAATGACAAGACTAATTATGCCTTTTCTGCAGAAATAGCCAAAGTATATCCGTCCGCAGTATCAGCCTCAACAGCTCAAATGAGGGAATTTGTAAACTCTAATCCCTCGCTCTTGAGTGTCTACAGTAGGATTCAGACTTCTACCGCGTAAGTCTTCTTCCAAGAACCATATAAACCATATTAACCCTAGTTACATCCAGTTTTGTGCTTAAACCATATTCAGTTTTCGTTTTCTTTGAAGTTTGTAATGACTTTCCATGTGATACGTTAGTTGTCATTTTATTTTTTTAGTATTTTTCTGTTAAAATTTTAAACTTTAAATTTCAAGTATAATTTTAAGTTACAAATGAATTTTAAAATTCCAGTAACCTAATGAAGGAAGAAGAATGTAAAAGTATGACATCATCGTATCATCATATCACCCCTCCTCCCTTTTTATTGCCAAATGATCCAGCGCCCATGAGAGATCGAGTGTCAGTAGTGACATTACAGGACGAGAATGTACAGAATTTGGACAGGAATACCCAAACCTTGGCCGAGACTTATCGCCAAAGGAACAGTGGAACGTCGCTGAGGAAGTCACAGAACAGTATGACTGGGTATGGTAGTTTTTTTAAAGTAGGGAGGTTAGAGTGTAACTGTGTTTTGCTGAAAGGTGTAATATCTGTCAAAAAAGCGTTTTACTTATGGCAAAAACTTATTTTTGCGAATTTTGAACTTTAAAAACGCAAAATGTTCCTCCGAACCCTTACTACGCGGAGCGCATCGTCAGTACCCCATGCTACACAATCCGAAGACCTATTTCCGCACGTAAGAACGGCTACCGTATTACAGTTGAGTCTACGAAGCAGCTGGGGTGCGAGTGAAGTGAACTTACCTTGAGGAGAGAGGGGGCGCTCTTTTATTTTAGGCCTGTGAGAGTCAAAAGGAAAAGGACTGGGTTGCAGCCCGCGCCAGACAGCCAGAGAATACTCTCTCGCTTTCTCTTTCTTTCTCTCGCGTCTCTTATTTTTCGTTGTCTCTTCTTAGAACGAGGGGAATTTTTGTTATGAAAAGGGGGAATCTTGCTTGATAATCATTTTCTATATGATAACATTGGCTTTATTTGTGTGGTTATTGCAATTGACGTTGAAAGTAACTGAAAGGATACCGGAAAAACATAATAATATGATTACAATTTATAAAAATTCTTTAATTTTGTTAATTTTATCACTTTAGGTCGCATTATCAACCGGAAGATGGTAATAAAGATTATGAGAGTATGTCAAAGTCTGCCACCTTACCCCCAACTTTGTTACCTCGATTACCTGACAACATATACGATGGTATCCGGATACGTGAGGATGGTAGAGTCCGCCCGTTATCACATTACATGAGACCTCGGGGGCAGATTACTGATGCCAAAACTACTACTACATTCCCGGTATTGGACAAAAGAGGTGAGTTATCTTGTTTTAGATTCTGTAATGTATAAAAATTTTGAACCCAAAAGCTTAGAATAGATATTTTTTTATTAAGTTCTTGTTTAGTATTTGAGTTTTATCTCCAGTATTGTATTCTGATTAATCTTGTGTTGCAGGCCATTTAAGCGGATCGTCGGTTCGAATGGTAGATGAACATCAACGTGCCCACCGTGCGTGTTCTTCCGAGACCTTTGTCAAGAAACAAGACGAAGGCAACACGCTGACTCGAGAGGAACGTGGAGATGTTGTGAAGAAGTTCGTCGAGCATCGTCGTTCCAAGATCAAACGCTATGTGAACGAACTGACATATCAATATCCGATACCTATAAAGTGTACTGTGGAGGGAGTGAAGGGCTCCAAGACCAGAATGCGGGTCCACTTCTCGTGCCAACTGATGGGACCTCATTGCTTGTTCGACAACTTCGAGCAGTTGTTTGTGTTCAAGACCAAGTATCCTGCCATCTGGCTTCACCTCATGTTCCTCCAAGTTCAGGTTGCTCACATTTACCACACAAACCAAGTGCTGGACCAGGAGTCGGCGGAGTTCAAAACTCTTCAGAACTGCTGGGAGTGTCTGTCGAAGAATGTCACCAATTTGAAGCCATTTGTGACATTAGTGACGTCAGCCTTTCCTGGCCACAAAGAGCAATCTCAGATGCTGAAGGAGCTACAGGAATCCAGATTCTTCGATTCTTTCGTCTACATTGCCAGTGAACACAAGTGGGCCTGCTTCAGTTGTGCTCATCCTGACAAGACGAGGTAGGTAAACAGGGATTGCATGTTTAATTTCTAATATAGTGTACTTTTGACTATGTTATAAACATATTTCAGGACGTTGCTGAAAGCTCGCGACCCCAGAATCCCAATCCTGGAAGGACAGCTGAAGGAAAAGAAAGGGAAATGGAAGTTGTTCAACCGATGGCACACCAAATACTTTACTCTCTCAAGCGCTGCCTTAATAATCTCCAACGAAAACCAAGTATGTTACCTCTTATGGACATTCCTTATCATCGTCCGCTAAGATAATGTAAAAATGTAAAATTTCTTGGCCGAAATGTGGTTGAAAGACCTATTTTGGAATTTTAAAATATTTAAAACCTAAATAAAACTACAGTATGAGAATTCAGAAACGCTTACCATACGCATCTCCATCAATTGATCTGTGCAAAATAAAATCAGTCCGATCTCTGACCCGCGGCAAGAAAGCGCGGAAAAGTTTGCCTCGGGCATTCGAAGTCCTAACTGAGGACGACCACTCTTTCGTACTCAAAGTAAGTTGAATATGCTTAATATACAACATCGTCCTAGGTTTTATGTTGTACAGAAGGTATATAAACCTTAAACTATAAACATATAAAATCAATTTTCCAACTCTTACCTAAAGGTATAACATCTGTTTCAGGCAAAGAATCAGAACAAAGCCGAGGAATGGTTCCATTCCATCCAAATCGCAGTTGCTCAAGCCCAAAAGACCAGTCGATAATTCATTTCTACCTGAATCGACCGGAATGTGGTGGTTGTGGATAGTTTTGCTCTTCTCCTCAGTCCTCTCTGTATTAACCATGTGTGTATTTGCCGCGGTATTACATCTAAAATTAAATATTCTCAAACGATATGTCGCTTTGAATCTTGTTGTAAGTAAAGTAACAGTAATCTCTGTTTAAAATTGGATATAATTTGAAGTGAAATGTTTTTAAAAAAAATATTTTGTGACAAATTTAGTATAAAAACGTAAAATATTTTATTTTTTAAGTACGTTGAAGTTACTTTTATGTCTCTAATGTTATCTTAGCCTAAAAGTTAATCAAAAAATATTTTTCAACAGTAATACCTATATAATGGATTCATTGTCATTTATAATATGACCATGTAGAACACTTACTGCAAAAGAATGCTGAAACTACCCTATATGATATTAAAAGTAAAGTAATTCCAAAATTTAGCTTACATATTTGGAACAGACGTTGGCGTTCCAGACGTTTGATAAGGAATCCATGGAGAAGTTGTCCAAGAGATTCGGATGGGAAGAAGCAGAGATGGTAGAGGATAGGGACGCCTTCAAGACATCAGTCGGAGCCAATACTACGCTAAAAGGCAGGTTTGCATTACTTTATAGTGCTTGTCTTAAAAGGCAGTGTTTAAATTTACATTTTAGAGCGTGTCCAAACCTATTTTTTAAGAATTATTAATTAAATTTTGCCACGACTCGCCATGACATCCATATTATGCAAATTGTAAAAGAACTTATCATAACCATGCTCTATATCTCATAATTTACATCTTGATGGTCATTAAAACCCATTTTAACAAAAGTTCATTTCAGAAGATCCATTCGCAAGACCTGAGGACATTTACGACGAGAACACCAACTTGGCCAACGACAAGACTCTCGAGATCGTGGCAGCAGGTCCCGAGGTATTTGAAAAAAAGTAATCTGGCCGTAATAAACGTAATGTCATACCATGGTATACCACAGCGAACGTCTAATTCGGCAAACACCTTTAGAGTACAAGCTACTATTACAAATTTAAGCTTTTTACTGCGCGAACTTGTGAAATGGCTACAAACTAGTTTCGGAGTTTGGGAAATGTTTGGGATTTAAGCTGGATGTAAACTATAATATCGAAATTAATATGATTAAAACTACAGTAATTCCAATATAAACCACAAAAATGAATCCAGGACTTCTAAAATACAGTAATATATGTAAAAATACATCAGTAACAATAAAAATACAGTAATACTGACGTAACAAACACAAAGTTCAGAACGTCGGTAGCTCGCCTACGGTAGTTGTTATCCTGTAAATGGCTTTTTGGCCCCGTTAATTTAACAAAATTAAAATTTTCGTGAAATCTTCTAATTTTACATCACCGCTGACGTGTCGCCCTTAATCCGTTATGTATATCCGAGGGGTCGGTGGGCCAATTGCATGGCTATTATTGGGAGATGGGGCCACGTGGTTTTACAGGGGAGGGGCCGATTAGAGATTTAAACTTTTTGACGTCAAACACACGATTATATGTATACTACACATGGGTCTGTTTTACTTTTTGTTAAATTGCTCGAGTATTTTTGGGTCCGAGTACTGTACTCTGCATCGTGGTCTTTGTCTTTTTACTAGGGGTTCGGAAATTTAACTGTGGTGAGATGTGACTTTTTCGTTGTGGCAAGTCTGAACACGCTACACATGTACTAATTATTTACAAGTTGTCTTATCGTGCTGAAAATAAAGCAATTGTAAGTTGAGCTGTAGTGCGTCATATCTCCTATTAATGGCATTTTTGTAAGCTAATTAAAGCCAAGGACAAAAAACTGTTTTACTGTACAATAAACAGTTTTACTGGCTATTTTCTGATACTATATAACACCAAATTCCGCCCGTACAAGCCATGTTTTGCCACCTCAACCCTTCTTATTGACCTGTGTACCCTAACTAAACAAATACAAAATTAATATACAGTACCTCAGATGACTAAGACAATGTGTAACCTCGAAAATAACTCATTGATGACTTATTCGTTGTTGAGCTCACTCCGAAACATAACGAAATCGGCTGAGTCATAGAGAAAAATGGGATGAATCAGCCCCCAGCGCCCGCCCCTCCTCTCGATTTCAGTGAGTTTTACCTGATTTCCGTCATTTCCTTAACGCTGACGTCTACAACGCGCTGATAAAGGATGGGCGACATCTGAGTTCGGCTTGTTTTGATTTACTTTCACTCTTTACAGTTCTCCGAATGGTTGTAAGTTGGTTTTGTAGAGGTATTTATAGAAGACACGATGTTGTATGCTAATATTTACAGAGTTTTCATCTCTTTACGCTAATTATATTCAAATTTCTACACAGACTACTACTATATATTCAAAGCTTCCACTATATTTTGTGTTTTATATTCAGACGATGTCCCAAATATTATTTTATGAAACTACAAACAAAAACATCTTTTACTAAATACTACGATACTCATACTGTAACCATACTACTGTAGCATGAACATGTTTTCTTTGTACTCGCCAAGGTTTTCTGCGTGATTCTGATACAGCGGCAGAGTCTTGGTCAGTGCAATGGAAAGTCATGCCATCAAACTAATGTTATTCCCACGTCATCTTACTCGCCCATTGCGAAACAAAGAAGTAAGTTGTTTTTTGTTATCATTCACCTTAGATATGTGGTTTATGGTAGGCTTGTTGATTATAACTTTAAATTACTTTTTTAAAAGTTTTGCATAAACTTTCATATGAACTTCACACCTAAAAACATTGTAAGACAGTGTATGTTTCAACACATAATATTGTTTACCCTAGCCAATCTTATAGTTTATAAAAAGCTTGTTAATAACAAGATTTAACAGTGATTATTTCTTCATAACCCCAACATGTAATACTCCAATAACTAATGCCAAAAGTAGTTGATATAAACAGCTAATCCACCAACAATCTAAGTGTCATTGCTTGAGTTTATTCAAGAATTTGGCAGTAATAAAGCTTTGTACAATATAAATCCATCATATGGAGAGTTTTCAATTATGATATAAAGGAATATGCACGACTGAAAGACCTCTAAATATTAGAAGATACGACAATATACATAGGCTGAGCTTTAGCCCTTAGGCTTAAAATACTATTTAGCTTTTTTGAAAATTACCGTATAATGAATAGTTACCGTAATCTTGACATATGTACATATAATTAGAGTTTTGCGACTTACAATATGTATATGAGCACACATAACATGACTGTGTATCAGAAAAAAGACATACCATGATTAGCAATAAGTTACCTACAATATACCTTCCAAGAATTGTGAAGCGTCCATATTGCAGTCAGATCCGAAGCCCAGCAACTGGTCAGTCTCGATGTCTAGCACGCTTGGTACTCTTGATCTGTGACCATCTACATCCTTGCTCACTCTCACTATTTCTGATCTGAACACCTTCTCCAGCTGGTCGGCACATTGGTAGATCTCGTTCTGTTTGACGTAGAACTGTCGTGTGTTGTCGAATATCAAACAAGCATCAGCCACGAAGCTCTTCAGATTCTGATACTCGTTACTCTCCAGTTTCCTTCGCATCGTATCGAGATCCATGGGATTCTGAATGATCTCAAAGTAGCGTGGCAGCTTCTCTCTGTCTACAGCGTTCCTGAAGGGCCAACTGTGCTGATTGTTGACAAGTACATCAAGTAGTCTCCAGAGTAGAGGAAACTCTTTACGAGAAGCCATTCGTTGTTCTTCGCTGGCTTCTGAAGCGGCTTGAATATCATCGTGAACCTTTTGGATTACTTGACTGTTCTGTGAGCACGTTGGACACAAGTATCCGGCATTTGTGCTTTCGACTTCCTTCTGAGTAGTACCAACACACTCTGGGTGAAACCAGTCCTCGCATCCGTCGCACCCAACGTAAAACAAACTCTCGTCGTAGGGCTTCTTACACAGACAGTAGACAGCTTCCTTGGGTGGAGCGTCACATTCCTCGCACATCCACCCTCCCATCTTCTTGACCCTCTTCTCGGTCAGACCAATACATTTGCCATGAACTCGCTGGTCACAAGCTGGACATTGCACAAAGTAGCGTCGTTCATCACAGATTTTGACGCATTTAGAGCAGAGAAGCTTGCGCTTTCGTTCTCCTGTAGTCGGAGACATGATCTCTTTCTTGACCTTCTTTGGTTTCTTTTGTTCTGAGTTGTCAGTGGACTGAAATACGTTTAAATTAGAATCAATTATGTGGTGTTTTAAACTTATAAATCAACAATTTTAACATTAACTATAATCATACAGCTTATAAAAAGAAAAACATGGTACATTGTCTGAGATTAAGTACCTAAAACATTAATCTTACATTTTCCTTCTTCCGCGGTCGACCTCTAGGATTCTTATGTTCGATCTTGACCAACTTTTTAGTCAGTTCTTTCTTTTCCCCTTCGTCCTTTATCGTATTATCAAACAGCGAAAGCGACTGATCGAAAAGCGGTCGTTGAGGTGACAAACTCATGTCCATTGACTTGTCATCCATAATTTCTGACTTCATAGTAATGTCTCTGGATGGTGCTCCATCTGGGTGTAATGATATGTCCAAAGGATTAACCATGACCTTGTCTCTTTGATACTCTTCATCCATCAACACTGAAAATAACAAATCTCAGTTAGTAAAACACCTATGACAACAAGACAGAGACACAAACATACCCACAAATCAACTATCAACAACAACTTCTTGACTTCAGTATCATATAAACTAGTTCATCGTCAAATAAGGCTTCATAAACAGTTCTATCATCAGCTTTACTACTACCATCAAGTAACGGAAAAACAAGAAAAGAAGCGCTCACTTTGTCTTTCATGAAGTCGTGTACGTTTAGCGATAGGTTCGTCATCGACGGGGACGAGAGGCTTGGCCTTGCTTTTGAATTCAGAATCCTGAGAGGCGGCCTCGTCCTCATCGTCAGACACTTCCATCAATGACAACCTTCCACAATCCGAGGAATAGCCAGAGCACGGAGATGAGCATCCAGAATCGATGCGCAACTCCGTCAAAGGAATATCACAAGAGCTTACTGAGATCGTCTTGGCTCTGCTGTAAGAGGTACCAGCACTCGATTCAGAAGAATAGCCAAGATTCGAGGTTTCTGAGGTGTAGCCAACATTCTCGGTTTCGGAAATGTAGCCAGAAGAAGAGTTGGCACGGCTTAGCATTGTAGACCCGTCTGAATCGTACTGAGCACAATTCGATGACGGAATAGAATCTAATAAGTAGCCAAAACGACGGAAGTCATCGTCAGCCGTAGGGAACGAAGGAAGGTTAATAATGGTAGAATCTTCGTCTATCGTGAAACAGTCGTCTGGAATAGTTCCAAACAACGTTGAAGCAGGGTAATGTACAACCATCTCTTACTTTCAAATAGTCTTTATCCCGTCCGTCTTTCGCCTTTTATACTTTTCGCATACGACATTCCGCCCCGTTCGTGGTTGTTGTCGGGAGCGCGCGATATTTCTAGAAGCGCACGTGCAGTCTTTCGAAATAGCTGCGGAGTCAAACAAACAGGGCGATGGGGCGAGGGAACAAAGGCGGTGACGGGGAAGGGATGGAGACCGAGTGACCAGAACAGAGAACAGATGACCGACCTCCTTCGCCGCTCCAAAGAGCAAAGAACGAGCCTACGAAAAACAAAAACAACCTCATTTCGCAACAAAGACTACTCACATGAACATACGAAAAAAGACTCACATGAATGAATGCACTTTCCGAGCCTACGGGACTTTACGGATTTCGAAAACAACCTCAACATAGCCTACCGTAACGACCTTCTCTTCATCTCACATGTTGCAATAACCTGTTTGTGAACACTTGTTTCAAAACGAATACTGTTTTATGCAGAAATAAAATGTTAATTGTTGAGATATTTCAACACCAATAACAACGTCTTTACCTCATTTCAAGATAGGTAACCATACCTTTTAAAAAATGCAGGTACAAAGAATACTTGCAGAAAGCCACAGAACACAATAGCAACTATAATAACATGTTGATATCAACATCTAATCCAAAGTCAAGACAAAAGTAAATGAGGCTTTACCTGGTCGTCTGTATCGCGTTCTCTTCCATGGTGTAGCCAAGCCCAGATGATTGGCACATTCGATCTCGATCCTGTACCTTCTTTTGTTGATCTCCAACTTCAGTCGTTCGACGTGAGGTTGAACTTCCTCTTCTATTTGTCGCAAAGTGAAGTACCGTCGTACTGTCTGACTAAAAATTATTTTTGTTAATTTTTAAAATATGTATGTTCAACTACGAACAAGTGCCAACTTTCAAAATATTTATAAAGTTTACCACGTAGACATGAGAAATGGGCCGGGCCGGCCTTGGGCAAAATTTCGAGCTCATTTTTCAGGCCCGGCCCGTTTTCACGTAAAAAAATTTAGGACCGGTCCGGCCCGGGCCTGAAAATTGGGCCCGTCCCGACCCGTTTCTCATGTCTACTACCACGAACTTTTAATATACTATATTTTGTATACATATTACCAAAAAAAATGGTTTTCGTAAAATAAACTTACGGCGGTGATTGGGAGTAATATGAAGATGATATCACTGGCTCCGGAGGTGTTGCTCGACTCGTCGAATTTCTAAAATATTTTATTTTTTCAAAAATAACTGAAAAAAGCTATTTTTTGAGAGCCTACATAAAATGTGTCATAATAACACAATTTTTAGACACTTTTCATTGAAAAACCATCATTACGACTGATTTAAGAGCATGTTTTATAAAAAGCATAATGATATCAGATTTACTTTATATGAAAGGCGTTACAGTGACACGTTTTTTGTACATTTTTTTACAAAAAATCGATCATAACATCAGCTTTACAAAAATCCGTCATAATGAATTATGTAAAAGCCGTCAATAAAAAGTTATTCAAACCATTTTATATTATGTTTTCAACTGTAAATACCTACATATAGGAGTATTTGTTGGCGTGAAGCTTGTTTAATATAGTCTTGTGCCATCCTTGCTCGTTGTCTTTTCTCACTACTTCTTGTACTATCATACTCAAAGCCTAAAACATTTTTTAACGATTATACATTATGTTGTATTAGGTATTCTTACATTCTTGACATCACGTTCGTCCGGAGTTTCGAGGCCAGTTCTCCTTAAATGGGAAGGTAAGTTGATTATCCGATTGATTTCCTGATTCGTGAGTCTTTCCAATCGAGCTTGTTGCAGTCTGGATTGGTTTAGCAGACGATCTTCACCCACTTTTATTGTAGAATTGAGTTTGTTTTGGCGTTGTAACTCCACGGCAAATGGATTCCAGCTTTCAGAAGGTTCACTTCGGATCTTTAGCATTTTGAATCTTAAAATACGTAAATTAACATACCAGAAAACAGTTTAAGGAAAAGTACTCGTCCTTTCTTTTCAAAAACTGGATGGAAAATATGATTTCTGACGTTTCAAGACCTTTTATAAAATATGAAAAACATAAGTAAGATAAGTGTTCAGGCATGCCTTTAATAAACAACATTGCAAAAGGGTCAAGCAGCTTTAGAGCAACTATTTATTGCAATAAACAATAATATATGAAATAACAATAGTAAAATAAATTGGCATAAATTAAAAACAATTAACCCGGGTGTCTTTAGAAACATGAACAAGGTATGAAAGTGTTAATCAACGTGGTGGCTCCGGCTTCACGAGGCGGATACGCTTCTGTGGCGGAGTCTGGTCGACATCGTCGGGCATGTCCAGCACGATGCGGCCGTTCTCTTTGTTCAGCCCCAAACCGGAGTTGAAGCCGTTGCTGTAGACACGTTTGGCTGAGATCGGATACATCTGGCGATTGGGGAAGAGCCGCCGCCCTGGGGGTTCGCGACGCATCACCGACTGATACCTGGGCATGGAGGCATAGCCATTCACTTGAGCACCTTGCGAGTTGATCACAATAGTGTCGGGGGTGAAGTAGCGTACGTTCTGCGTTTGGGGCGGATTTCTGGGCGTGGTATTGACGTATCGAACCTGTTGTGATTGTACTGGAGAGCTGGAGTAGTCTCGTGAGTTTGATGGTGATTGGTAATGTGTCCCATTCGACCTTACCCCAATAGGCTCACGAACTACGAGTGACGATGGAGTGTACTCTCTTCTGTAAGAGTCGTTTTGAGAAATATATGAAGTAGAAGCTCGGTTGACTCCTCGAGCGATAACAGGAGCATTAAATGCTGATTTTAAGCCCTGCGCCTTTTGTGATGACATTATTCGTTGAGGAGGGACATTTATCGGTCGAGGCGGAGGAAGAGAGTTTCTGCTTTCAGCTAAAACAAAATCAAGTCCAGGTCAGCCCAGTTAATGATCGAAAATTAATGATATCATATGAAATTAAAAACCTACATTTTACTGGCACAGGCCTCCTCTGCAGCTCCTTCAGTGTCTCATCCTCCATCAGAACTCTCCTCCAGTAGCTCTTGATTTCGTAGAGTTTGAGATCAACCCCATCAGCCCAACTAATGGTCTCTCCTCGTGTCCTTATTGCCATCATCTGTGGAGTGGGTACCTGGCCCTTCTTCGGGGGTTTCTTTTTGTACTTTTTGCCCTTGCCTTCATCGTCGGGGAGAACGAGATCTTCTTCTAATGCCAACATGAATATCTTCAACTTGTATCGTTCATAGTATCCATCTGGAGGATACTCTTTATGACCTACAATCTGCCTGACTTCGTCATGGTCAAGGTGGTGTGTCATCACTCGCGAGTCCTGAAGATGACAATTTTGATATGACAGCGTTAATTTAAAGTTTTAAAATTATCTTAAATACAGTATTATGACACGCATACTTAAAGACTTACTTTAGTGTCTTCTGGCTCCAAGTCAGCCCATCGTACACACGAGTACATTATTCTTAACGATAATGCCAACGAGTGCAGCGAATTCGCATTCAAAGTGTTGTATCTCCAACAATGATCGAACAACGGCCTGGGACAAGGATAATGCCACACGATCGAATTGGTTTTAGCAATTTTGTTGAAACCGAATATCACAGTGGTTGGATTCAGACCCCCTTGCCGTGCCAGTTTCCGGAGATGAGGTTGGGGTAGCACCATAAGACTCCTTTTGCCTGACCCTCGAGATTTGAATTGAAATGGTTCTGGAATAGGGAAGGGGGCGTTTTCTCCGAGTACCTTCTGTTTGGTGGGCTTGGGTTTATCTGTTGTCACAAATCGCACTAAAAACGTAAAAATTATACCACATTAAATCATTATTAAAGCATCAATAAAATACGCAAAGCAGTGAAAAGAATATGTTATCCTACCTCTTCGTGCAGATTTCCGTGGACAATAACTACTATAACAATTGTACTTGATCCCCTCGATCTTGGAGTACTCTCTGCACAGATGCGAGTAACATACTGCATCTGCCGTCGTCGATGGAAACTTGATTTTCTGTACAATGTTCTCCAAACTTCTTTTCTTTTTGTTATGCATCTGTAGTCTTTCTTCTACAGGAATATCTGATACGTAGGTCCTCTTTAATGTGCACGAGACCCACAACCATCCTCCCATACCACCTCTGCTGACTAACCGGTACGACTCGTTCTTGCTCTTCCATAACTGAGACTGTTTCTTGAGGTATTTCACAAATTTAACGTCCGGCGGACAATCACTCGGGTCAGTGGCTAACAACGCCTGAAACAGCAACAATTACAACCTGTTAGAACTATTATAATACAATTAATTTTAAAACTGTAAAGAATAAATAAATTAACAACTATCTATACCAATGTGCTTACCTTTTCCTCCTTCTTTTGTCGAAGATCCAGCTTGGTGCGTCGGTCTTTGTCATCACTGGTCACTCGGTTTAGTCTTGTTATTCCCAGGGTATTCCACCAGACATTTGTAAACAACGGTTTTCGTATCACACATTCGAACTTTAACAACAAATATCTCAGCTCCATCAACATACTTTTGGATTCTTCGGCGTCTTTCGGCTGGTTACTGTAGTTTTTATTCATTCTCTGCAAATTTAGAAGTTACACAGTAAGGTATGTTATTGCTAGCAATTACAATAACCACAAATCGTATAATGTCCGTAAAATATCAAGTTCTTCCTTTAAATACTTCAAAAAAACTCTTACCTCCATAAATATTGACTTCTCTGCCCTCCACATACGATGGTACAGTTCATCCGGCAGTGAATCCATAAACTTTAGCAGACTTTGTTGTAGATTACGTCCTGTGTAGCATTCATTCATGTAGATGTCCTTGTTCTTCGGGCATGACCACTAAAATAAATTGTTCATACGAACTTTAAAACCCCACAACATATATAGGTATAGTAATGTATAAAATTCCATCAAAGTATTGTAGAACGCTAAGTAATTGCTTACCACGAACTCGTACTCATCCATCAGCGAGAACCTCTGGCTCATGTACCGTCGTTTGTCCTTCTCTTTGTTTCTCTGTTTCGATGACTTGGCCAACTCATTTGTCGTGTATTCATTTATATATTCTCTATAATGCCCGTCCGTGAATGAGTATCGGTAGCCCCTGTTATTGTTTGTGTTAATCTCGTTTAGTGTCGCAATCTCATCTCTCGCCAAAGCTTCTACAAGGTCGTTGTGTTTGGATATCAATTCATCGCCTGAAGGTTAAATATTACTCAAGATGTGTTACAGTATAACTATAATAAAAGTATTTTCCTAATATCAGGTACGAAGATACTTACTTGACAAACTACCCCCACTCCAAAACGTGTCTACCAAATTGACGTCATCAAATCCTAACGCAGTTAAAACATCACCCACCAACATTGAATGTTCTACCTTGGGGTCGTCTTCAGCTGATTGAATCAGTTCGGCCATGATCTGACACATCAAAAAGGCTAAAACAATATTATTGATAGCTTCAGTAAAGTCTCCTCAAGTCGCGTAAAAAAGACAGTTACATGAAAACATAAACTTACAATTATCCTGTTCCAAATACGATGGAGGTATCACTTTCTTCTTTGTGGGAAGATTCTTGACAATTTCATCTCGATGGTAGTTGGTCAACTTTAGTGTCATCCTCATATCAGAGACAATTCTATCCAGGTTATCCTTGATAGCTTCGCAAAGATCTTTCTCCAAATATTCTGAATCCATATTCTTCACGAGATTGTACAACTGAGGCAACGTCGAGTAGTAATATACTTCTGTTCTGTTTATGTTCTCCACAAATATTCGTCTGGCCACAAACCAATAGGTACGGCCATGCCGATCTCTCCCTAAGGCACTCAATTTGATCGGCTGCCGGTTGGCGGCTTCTCCCATTCTTCGAAGATTCGTGGCTCCAGAGAGATCGTGGGCTTCACAGACAGAACAGATCCAGCTGCCATCTGGGATCATCTCCATTCCCGTACATTCAACATGGTAACAGGCGTCACACCCATCACACAAAATCACCGTACCCGCTTTCCCACAGTTTCTACACACATCATCGTACTGAAAAGCGAAAAAAAATATTATTTTTACATACTCAAATCAAAAATAATTTATAAATTTATCTTAAACAAAAATAATTACATTATATCATTTCTAAAAAGCGAAGAAAGATTATCACATACCACTATCTTGCCTTCGTTTCGTATCACTTTTCTGAATATTGAAGTCTCCAGAAACCTGTCGCACAACCACTTCAGTACTTTTAATCTCTTCGTGCTATTTACAAAAGGATAGTTTTCTGACAATATAGGTAATATCGACTGGTCAAAACGCGGATCGCTCTCCACATACTGCCTCAATATCTAAAAATACTTGCTCATGATAACCCTGATTAAAAAATAATAAACAAAAAATATAAATTGTGAATACAAGAGACATAATTTAACACCTAAAAAAATAAAAAGAAAAGTAAATCTCACCTCGCCATAAGTCATGCCATCCAGCAACTGCAACGTGATATTGAAGTAGTTGTTGGTATCTTGAGCAGAATATGTAACAGAATCGTCGTCATCTCGGTAAAACAAACGGATGAAAGCAATATGTATCTCAGACAACAACCTCGACTGATCAGGAGATCGCAACGCACAACAAAAGTCCTCGAACAAGAATGGAGACAGCTGAAGAACTCGGTAGAAGTTGTAACACACTTCATAAACCTAAAAAAACATCTTTATAGTAAGCCGAAAACACTAAATGCAAGTAAATATAAAGGTTCTTTGAGATAGGTAAGTCCCATAAACAGAAGCAATAATAAAATAACAACAAACAAAATCTTACTTCAAGTGCAGAAAATAACAAATTAGGTTCAACAAGAAGATCAGTACTAGTGTTCGGAAGTGACAACAATGGTAGTTTGTCTTGAGGAATGTCTAGCCAAGGATGAAATTTGTGTTCTGAAAATATTACTTTTGTTACCTAAAAATTTTTTAAAAAATTCAAAAAGCTCAATATAATAAAAGAAAAAAAATTCAAAACTATTGCATCATTTCAAAATTTACAGCAAGTTGAACGTTTTATCCACTAACCTTCAATCCTCGAACATCCTTGGTTCGACTCCTCGTTTTCCGTGAGATCATACTCTTCTGATTCTGGGTCAGATGGCGGATGAACGTACTCTTCGTCGCTCTCCTCTTCAGAAGCCGTTTCTACTTTCACCTCCTCATCATCGCTCGTCCACTCTATCTTGGGCCTAAAGGCAAATACATTCCTTATAATGTTATCTTACTTTTTGTTAATTTTTAACTTTCTCGGAGGCTTCGTCGATGCTGGCGTAGATCTGTTAGATACTGTCCTAGTCGGTGTGAAACGAGAAGGCCTGGCCCGTGATCGTGACGTTCCTGATGCACTTAAACTTAGAGGCGTTTGGGATGCTTTCCGACGCCCTCGAGCCATCTAAAATACGAAATGTACACTTATTTGGTATTGTAATTCGTAAAACCAGTTTGATTGTCAAAAAAGTGAAGCGAAACGCAGAGACAAACACAAAAAATGTTCTTTCAGGGTCTAGCCAGGGAGCGCATTCGCTTCCTCTGTCTGGACCTGAGAGATCGCGAGAATGGGGAGACACACAGACAAAACGAGACTTCTTGTGCCTAAATCAATAAATCTGCATCTTAAAATCGTATTTTAGAGCTTGTACAAGCATTAATATTATACTTGGATGTTACATTATTCTAACTTTGCTATTAAAATTTTGTACAGAACAAACATCTGAAAATAAAAGAATTCTATAACGGAAAGCCAAGAATTCTTCTTTCCGTTTCGGGACCTGGTCTGGCGGGAAAATAAATAATAAAAAATTAGAAAAAACAAAATTTTGTTTCACCCGAAATTGCGCACTAGCGCGTAAAATTCGTGTTGATAAAAATTTAATTTTTATTCAAATTAATTATTTTTTAACTGGTTGTTATGGACCTTCAGACTCTTTTATCAGCGTTCGAAAATGTAAGGACTTATATCGTTTTGTACTATATTTTAAGTTCTGTAATTAATCTTTATTAATTTTGTTTTATCCTTTTCTTTTCAGAACGCTACGAATTATAAATCAACTTTGCAACAGCTCCAGCGTGCTGCAGATGATGTTACGTCTGGTAAGCTTATATATTAATATAGATTATGTCTTTGGTTTAAATAATTTTTTTGATTAGATGTATGTTTTTAAGTTCTAAGAGTATTTTATTTTTTAGTATATAGTCTGTCTAGCACGGACTTGGGGTCTTCCAAATCGTCGAGAGATGTGACAGTAAATCAGGACATATTGGCACGTTATTCCGAATGTAAGTTTAATATACATCTTTTAGTTATTTTTTAGTGGTAGTACAACTTGGCGCTATATCAAAGACGGAGGTGGAAGGTTTTAGAACTGATATCGATGTCAACTGCGAGGAACTTACTTTAGAGAAGGAACGGTATGTTTTCGTGGTATGATATATATGTTTATTGTTGTTTTTATACCAAATGAGGTGTTTATGAAAATTGGCTTGGGAAATCTGGTATCATTGAGTGTTTACGCCAAATTATAGAGATGAAGGTGCTATATAAATCTTTTTTAAACAAAAAACGGCATCGTTTTGCTGAAAATTATAGTTATTTTGGCTAAAGAAATAATAATGTTACCTAAACCTGAAGATTCTTTTATAAGCTTGTATGAGTATTGGTTTTTAACTAGCAACGAAAAATACGCATAATCTCAATTATTTTTTTGGTGTTAATCTTTACATATTGTGACAGTTTTGTAACAAGTTATAACAGCGCTGATAAGAGTTGTTTTCGCTCGCTCGACTGATAGTTGGCCTTTTCAAGTTTTTTTATTTTAAAATTTTACACAAATGTCATGTTTCAGGCTGGACCGGGAGATGTACAAGATGGACGCTTTAAAGCAAACTCTCACATGATAGACATCTTGCTCGTTTTGTCAATAAACTATTCGAAAACGTTACGGAGTTTACTTTTGGAGAAAAGACGGGGGGAAGCAGGGGGTTGTCTTTTATTTTCCGACCAGGCACTTTCTGATCAGCTGCTGTCTCATTTTTTGCGCGTATTATTCGGGCGAACATTACGTTGTCCTTGATTCTCTTTTGCGTTAGTCGAACATAAACAGAAGAATAGTAGCAAAGTAGTGTTTTCAGGATGTATATTATACTAGCTGGAGTGGTAGTGCTCTTTTTATTCCTTCTTTTCAAGCTTTTTAAGGCCGGATTCTTCGAAACAACTGACGTAAGCTTGTTTTTGAGATGGAAAGAGTTTTTAAAAGTTAAAAGATGGCCGTTGGCTATTAATAATTTGTTTATTAGTTAAAATTGGTGATTAAAATGCCATATTATACAGCTAAAAATTACCTGGTTTAGTTTGGATGTTTAGAAAATGTAAAACTATGTAAATTAATGCTATATGGCAGCAAATTTTAGATCGCAGTTGTCGAAACTCCAATATTTTTGGGCAAGACTGTGGAAGTCTTTTACAAATACTATGTGGGAAGCTACTCGAATGTCAGCAAATACATCAACGAGGTCAGGTCGATTCTGCCAAAGGAATCGCGGGTTATTGCTATTTACTACGACGATTCGAACAAGGTCGACGATGATTTGTGTCAGGCAGCTGTCGGATGCATTTACTCGGGTAAGGACGGGTTAATAGTCTGTATAATGAAGGTTTGAGTTTGAAAAAAAAACTAATTATTTTTATTGTGGGCTAGTTTAGTACTCTACTTGTGTCTGGAGGGATTTTGTATAAAAAATATTATAAATTTATGCGTATATTTATCAAATGTTGGTATAGCAACTTAAAGTACGGTTTCATATTTTAAATTCTATTATATTATAGTTGACGGAAAAGAGGAAATTGAGCCGAACTTCGTGAGCCAGCTGAGCAGATGGGGCTACGAGCGAATGATTATTCATAAGTTCGGTCGCTCGATTCAAATGAAGCAACAATACGATGGTTTCTTTTCTAATCTACGTCTAGTTCGTCGCTCGTACCCTCAGCTAGCTCAATTCATTCAAGATCACAAGTTTGAGACTTCTTTGAACGTGGAAGTGTACCAAAACAATGAAGTTGTTGTATTGTCACCACTGGATGACGTCAAAGAGCTTGTGGTGCCTGAGGTAAGGTTTAAGCTTCTAAGGGTATTAGCTTTAAATTTTTAAATTTTTGGTCAAAAAGTAAACAGAACGGTTATGAATAGGGTCACACATATTGCAAAATTGCTTTACTGAACTTTGAAGAAAACATGTAGAAAAGCGATGCTGAAAGTGAATGTTTTGTATTGTAACATACTTTAGAGTACTATAATAAACTGTTTTAGTATGTCGAAACCGACGAACTGATCCAACGTCAACTTCAAGCCCATGCCGAAAACTTCAACGACGATTCGGATTCTGACGATGATGACGAGGAAGACGACGATGAATCAGACGCCGGTACCGGAAACCAAGACGAAACATCCTACGCCTAAGACGATATTAATATGGGTAAACAAAAGAATTTCAATCTCAATCGCTGCCGCATTAATCTTTCATTCTGATACGGTTTTACCATGTGGATTATGTAAATTTGTACAATAAACATTGCCCTTTGCGTGATAAGTTGATATCGACAGGTTTCAGACGCCTTTTTTCTCTTTTTTGCGCGATTCCGAAAACAAAAGCGTAATTCCACTTGAATAGACAATCTTCTGGGGAACGGATTTGTGGCGGTTTCAAAGTTATTTCTGATATTAATGTTTGTGTGATGTTGTTTGTTAGGAGATTGTTGCTCTTTCTTGTTTTGAAACAACAATTTCACATACTTTTAACAAAATAAGGAAAGGTTTGGTAAAGCGGAGCGTGAACGACCATAAAATGCTTCTTAATTTGCATTTAACGTCCCAATGGTTTACATTTTGTTGTAATCAAGTTGTCCGCTTTTGATAAAGAGACTTTATTGAGAGGTTGAAGAATATTAAAATGTTTTGGACATCTTGAAGGGTAAAATAAAAGTGCAGATTTTAAATTTATGCGTGAGGCATAATGTTACTTTTGACTTTATTCGAGTTCTTTTTAACCTTTTATTCTTTGCAGTGTTTTGCCGGACCGGTCCGGTCCGGATTTTTAAAAATTGCAAGATTGAAAATAACTTTTTAGCTTATGGTTTGAAGTTTTAAAAAATAAATAACTTTTGTGAAGGTCCGTCTTTGGTTATCAAGTTATTACCGAAATGGACCACCCGGACCGGCAAGACCGATTTGGTCCGGCCGGTCCAAATGTTTAGCGAGGAACTTGTATACGGCAAAACACTGATTCTTTGGCTAAAATTAGAGATTTGTTCAAATAGACATTATTAGCTAGAAATGCGCGGCTTTCACTACAGTTAAAAGGTTCGGAAACAGCTTGATTGTTCTTGGCGAATATAATATTTGAACAGTTTTAGACGTTGAAAAGTAAAGAAAATAGTTTGGATTTCATATAGGTATCTTTCTGTGAAAAACACTTTTTTTTAACTCTAGGATTCTATTGTTTTACGAGTCTAGTTTTACAAAAGTATCGCCGCCTTTAACAACTTTGGGCCGCTGATACAGCTTCAGGAGCGTTATTCGTTAAAATCGAAAGCCTAATGAAAGGAAAAGGTCTCGAAACCAATATTCCTCACCAAACTTTTCCTCCCCCTTCATTTGTTTGTTATTTTGTACGATTATGCGGTCGTTCTCCACCGTCTTTCGACAGCACTGATTTCAGCTTTCGACTGAAGAATGCGAATACGAAGGCCGTGCCCCATCTGCCAGACGCCCGCCATTGAGAACTGGACATGGGTGGGGGTGCTCGAGGCGATCGTCTGCTTTCCATGCGGGTTATGTTTTGCACGAAAGGTTCTACATTGTTCTAAATGTAATGTTGATGTAAGTTTCTTTTCGTTTTGTATTGAAGGGGGTTTGAAAGTGGCTTATTGGTCTTTTGTCGTTTTTTAAAGGTAAAATAACTAGTTTACATTTTTTGTGTTAAACCTACGTTTTTCCGATTTTTTACAAATTAGCCCAGGTTTACGACAAGTTCGAATTTTAGAATCTTTTAGTTATTTTCAATCATTAGTTAGTATAAAGAATCATTTTTGAACGCAAATTAAGTAAATATACATGATAATTGTTTACGATTGTTTATTTTGTTTACGAGTTATAAGATAATACCGTTGAAAACGGTTTTCATAATGAAATTTGGCTTTTGTACCATGATTCAGAAGTTTAGTACGGTCAGACAGGAATAATTCGAAATGTTTTGAATATGAATCAGCTCGAAATTGTTGTCAATTGTACAAACAAGCCTCTAATTTACTATTCGCTTTATTTTATGTTAATTCTGATGATATTGTTTTAAAAAATGGCTTTTATAAACTTCTAGGCAGTACCTACATTAGAATGAAATGCAAAACGTCAAAACCTTAATAAATTTTAGTTGATAATTCTATAAAAACTGAAAATGAATCTATAATATCACACTTTCAGGTGATAGTATCAGACGGGACTATTCCAATACTGGTCAAGACTTACAAGTACTACAAAGAGTACGAGTCCAAGGATCATATCGTGCCACAATCACCGTTGGCTTCAGTCTCACCTTCAAAATCGGCCCAAACCAGAATGACCTCAGGATCCGTTAGCTCCAGAGTCTAACTCTACTACTCATTTGTACATAGAACTTTTTATTGTGATACCATTCATTCAATTCAGTCTTCAGCGTGGTCTTCCGAAGATATTCCAATTTATCGTAAATTGTTTTACAGTAAAACTAAGCTTTTCATTCCGATTGTTTTGTTACGGATGTTATTATAGTGGCTCTAAAGGCACTTTCATAATCTTACAGATTACTTCTACTAGTTTGTCAACTCTAACACACCCCATTTTTTATCGTATGTTACGTTTTAAATATTTTATTTATTAAGTATGTTATTACAATTAAACGATCAAAGTACAGAAGTTGGGCGTCTTTGGTGGGGCGGCGGGGGTGGCTGAGGTCGAGACGGGTTCAGGCGTGGCACGAGCGATTTGAGTTTGACCAGAGAAGGCGGCTCCGAACAACTCACCCAACTGCTGCTCGAGGTTGGCGGAGACAGACTTCTGGTAGACGGTCATCTCCTTGTCAAACTGCTTCAACTCTTCGATCTCGGAGTCGCTCAGTTTGCGGGCGAAGGTGCTGCCGACGTAGACCATGTTGTTCTGGACCTTGCATCCGTCGAAGATGTATTGGGTGGTGGTCTGTTCGCTACAGAAGGATGGCTTCTTTGGTGGTTCGGGGTTGGCGGTGGGCTTTGAGGTCGAGGCTGGAGCGGCTCCACTTCTGCGAGCTTCCAAGTCAGCCTTTCTCTGTTCGACCACGGCACGGAGTTCTTCGCGGAAGGCTCCCAGTTTGACTTGGTATTCCTTGAGTTCGCTCTGTTCATCGTCTGTCAATTCACGGCCTTCTAATCCGTTTACAAACAGTTTGTCGCCCTACAAAAATTACGGTAAAATAACAAGAAATTATTTTTTAAAAATTAGAGAAACGTTTAAAATGTTTTAAGTTCATAGTCAAGCTTCAGAAGTTATCGCGGAAAACATTCATGACTTTTGGATAATGCTTTAGAGAAAAACAATTTTGAATAGGAGTTTTGTCAAAAGTTTGTCGCGCTTCATAAATCTCATTTTGACGACAAGTATGACAACAAAACCATTGGAATACGGTGTTATTTAAGACATTAGTGCATAAATTTTATTAAAAACTTGTATCTTTCTGAACTTACAGTAACTACGCATCCCAGGTTTCCGCCTACTGTAGAGATTCCGAAGCCGGCGAATCTTTTCGATGGCTGAGAAAGGGCTAGGCCACAAAGAGCCAGTAAGATAACGTATTTCATCTTCTGAAAATAATTTAAAACAACTGTATCAATTTAAAACAACTGTACAAAGATGGTGTTATATAGCTCAAAACTCGTACTGAATTTAAAAAGTTTGAAAATAATGCCAAATTGGGATAAAATCACATTAACAACCTCCATCTAGAGTTACAGTAACCTGTACCTCAATTAAACGCGGAAACGGACGGAAATGCTAGTCGAAAAAGTTTTGGGCGGCGATTCGTTTATAAAGGCCCAAGTATTGTTTACAAGATCACCTAACAGTAGTGAGTCAGGCTGAAGACAAACGAAGTGAGAGAAGACTGATCTCGATCGATGTTTTTACACCGAATACCTTCAACTAGGTCATCTGAAGCGCCCGGATTTTGGGTTGGAAGAAGTGGAGGAGATAGGCGGATCATCTCCAGTCAATGGGGAGTAATCGACATTACAATGGTAGACTATTGTACTCCAGCAATAATCTGCTGTTGAAGTATAATTAAGTTATAAAACCAAATATTCCAGTATAATTTAGGTAATAACATATTGAGTATACAAAGTAAAAAAAGATATTTTATTGTAAACAAGACTATAATAAAGTTAAACTTTCTAAAAGTAGAATAATCTCAAATGAATCTGTTGAAGGTCAATAGGTTGAATCCTTTTATACGATGACTTTTGACATGTTTTTGAATCTGTTCCCATGACTCATACTTAAAAATAGCCTTTGTACACGTATATCTATCAAAAGCAAGTGTATGTGTACAAGTTTAAAGCTTTTTAAAGTACTTCAAACAGCCTTTTGCTAAGAAACAAGTTTAAACAACTCAAGCTTTAAACAATGACAAACTGTAACCCCGCTCATCCAGTAGTTGTTACAATTAATTATTAATCATCACAAATACAAGAAGTTTAATAGGAGTACAGTTTTAAAATATTCTTTACAAAAAGATACAACAAGTCAATTTAAAGTACCTAGGAGTTACTGTGAGCCACGTAAGTAATACTGTCAAACAAACAAACAATGGACATATTATATGAATCGCAAGAGAAACGGGTCCGGTATATATCTTTTATTCTCGTATTTACCTCCTCTACGTTGAGTATTTACCTTGCTTCCGATAGTATGACTTTTCTTTTTAACAACGAGTCAAGATTTTGATATTGTAAATAAACCTTACAGACTAATTTTTAAACTCTAACATTCTTTAAATACAAGTGTATCAACCACCTCAAACCCAGTATATATACCACCCAGACTGCCCTTCTATCTACAATAATATACCACCGAAACTGCCCTCCCCTCTACACTACAACGTCCCCTATTTCCCTCTTTTCCGCGCACAAAACCGGCCTGTAATCGAAAACCGAGGCTTATAAATACCTCTGTTAATACCTCCCTCCACTCGCTTCTGGAAGCCTCCAGTAGATGCCCTTTCGCAACTACAATAAACATCCCACTGTTTATGACATCTGAATCACCCATTGACATTGACAACCGAATCAGCGAATGATTAAGGGGTTTCGGCAAGTGATAAGTCATACCTTTATATAGAAGGATGACTTCTGACGCGACGAGAGCCTTCTAGAAACAGGCATTGAATAAGAAGCAAATTTTGAAAATCTTTAAGATTTCAAAACTTCAAGTCTTAAAATTATGGTTTTTGGTGTTTTAATGTTGCACCTAATTGATATAAAAAGGATAAAAAGGTATTACGGTTTATGTGCCTATCTACACAGGATATCCAAATATTTTTGTTCTGATATGTTATTGTAACCGGCTCTATTTTTTTTGTTTATCTTAGACGTTCCAATGTTGACAACACTATACCAGGCCATATTTGAAAGTACTTTTATTTTGTTAATCTCCCCTCCTGTCCCTGCTCAAGTACCAAAACAATATTAAGATTAAAAAAACAAATCAAAACTCTATAATAAATTTCAGGTTACGGTAACCGCTTACCTATATCATCAATTTCTTCCTTTTAAATAGTCAGCTTTAAACTAAAACAATATTTGACTGTACTATTAATAACATAAAGCCCTAGCATACCGTACCCCTCGCTCCAAAGTAGTATTGTATAACAAAAATGTTTAATTAATATTTTGTACAGTAATTACAACAAAAGACCCGCGTTCGGTGAGATGCCATCGTATCTCAGCACCGGTGATAATATTATATTAGGATAGGTTGATTGCATCGTTCAGTTTGACGGCTTGCACTTGCTGCCGAGGCCTAGCCTGAGGGAATGGGATCAGCGAGATGAGGTAGAACATCGAAGGTATGACCAGAAGACCGTGGATCAGTCCAATTCCCACCACCAGCACCATCGTCTTGGCAAAGACCTTGGCCATGTGCAGTTCGACCAGCGTCAGACTGAGCACACATATTATAGTAGAGATACCGGCTTCCAGAACGGGAAAACCAATGTGCTGCAGGCATTCTTTCAAGCGATCTTCTACTTTACTGTGCTTTCCGTCAATTCCTTAAACAAGTCGTGACTTTAAGGTGTTTTTAGTATAAAAATTCAATTCAGAAAGCACTCGCTTCATATGCAAATATATTTTAATTAACTGTTTCTTAATATTGCCATTTCATTTCACCTTAACCTACTTAAACAATAAACATATATGTTTTATAAGAATTGTTTTCTATATTTTCCTTTCATTCACTCTTATCGTGACTAACAACTCATACGAACGTCCTTAAAGTCAAACATAAATTACTCATGAACGTGTTCTTGTAGTAAACCGAGGAATTACGTACCTGTTTTGTAGTAATGATACGATATGTGAGCCGGGATGTCGACGGAGAAACCAATTGACATAATGGCGGCACTCATTACAATCGGGTCGAGATCCACGCCCCACAACGACAAGATACCGAAGACACCTGAAAGCAGTAAATAGATGTTGGAATATTGTAAAATAAAGACAGCTAAACTTGTAATATATTAGTATAAGATACCCTTACACCACTAGAATAGCTAAAACAATCTTCAATTTCATATCATAAAAGTTAACATAACATACCAACACAAGTACTGAAGATGGAGAAGTTGGCCACAAACACGGCAGTCGGTTGTCGTATAAACAAACAACATACGACAGCCATGCACAATAAAGTACACAAAGAAGACTGTAAGGTCTGTGGAATCATGGTCGGGATCAAGTCCAAGAACTTGGCATCATCTTCAAACACACTCAACTCGTACTCGGGATACTGAAAAGTGAGATGTCGACAAAATAATGCAACTTTGAATTAGCAAACGATAGCTAGAGCAAGTAATTTTTATACAATAATATTGTTTATATTGATTACAAATTCTCAAAACTCACGGAATCCCCGACTTTCCTCCATTCTTCCAGAAGTTTGGCCCGATTCGACCAGTCCCGAAGTTCATTGCCATGAGACGCTGTGGTAAAGAAGAACCTTGTCAGATTGGTATGAACACTGAAAAAATAGCTTCAGTTGGCGACAAAATTAAAAATCTTGTATCAAAAACAGAAAATGGGCGCAGACTGCGATCTAATTATTCTGGAAATTCAAATATTATGTTGGAAGATTTCGAAATTAAAAAACAAAATCTTGTAGCTGATTATTAAATTCTAAACAAACTAATGGAAGACTGTTAAATGTGCCTCAAATTAAGAATAAAAGGACAAAGTAAGTCTCTTATCTTATTTTTGGGTAAACCGAGAGAAAATTCGCCTTACTTTAGTATTCAGGGTAAAAATAAAGTTACCGTTTGATAAACTAACAAGGAAGGTACCCGACCTGCAACGCTGAGATTTCGTTCACATTTTTTTTATTAAAAGATCATGTAATTATAAGATCTTATGCAAGATTCTAAGTTGCGGTTTGCGGTCACTGTTGAGAAAATCAAGATCGAAAAATCGCGTTTTGAATTTCCCTCCAAATTGGCATAGTGTTTCAAGCTTTTAACTTTGTCATTTTTTGACTTTTGACAAATTTTATTTAATATAATGTTAGAAAAGCTTCAAATGAACCTAAAATTTTAAATTTGTAAGCGTATCTTATCATCAATTGGAACATCAAAAAAAGTGCTTGCAACACAATGCCAAAGTTGCCAAATTGGCGGGAAATTTAAATATATTAATTTTAAAACTTAAAACCGCAAGCTAAAATTTTTTATATGTGCTATTGGTACTACAAAGAATCAATGTAAAAATTTTGAGCTAATTCTGAGAGTTGAAGGTTGGGTACTTTCCTTGTAAATAGACCTACAAAGCTTACTGATTATCTTTGTCCATCGCCTGTTCCAGCCTCACGAATCCCTTCCAAAACTGGAACTCTGGCCATTCCAGGAATTGTGTCAGCTCGTTTTCCTTGCCATTCTCTTTGACAGTCTCTTCGAACTCTGCCAGTTCTTCTGACAGATCCTTGACCGTCTCTTCTGAAGATTCCACGAATTCTTCGTAATCTCGGAGGAAGAATTTGGTCGAGAATGGCCCTAAAGAGGATGGCAGGCTCTCGAAGTCGGCCACCATTTGTGACAGCCGTTGCATGTTGGAGGGGTCGCTGAAGTTGCCGGGGTTGTTGACAAACACGATGCAGATGGTGTAGAAGGGAGTAATATACCTGTTGCGAAGGTCGAGAATCTGAAAAGTGAGTTTTGGCATTTTATTAGTAAATATTGGTTATGTGTATGTTATTGGTGAGGAAGTTCAAAATCATATCTAAATATTGTGCTTTTATTGCGTTAGAGAAGATATTAAGATCACGTTTGTCGTATATTGAAATTATTTTTCATTTAAAAAACTAACATACTTTTATAACATCCGAATCACCAATGAAGAGTTGTTCTGGCTTCAGTTCAGCCTTGATTTGTAGCACACCGTACAAAGATATGTACATGTAACCAGCTACTACGGCTATCACAGCTGATACAGCCACGGTATTCGTTAGGATTTTACAGTATACATCCAGAAATCTAAATTTAAATTCATAAAACACAATTCAAAAAAAAAATTAAATGCGTATAGTGAAATGTTCTGTGGTAATGAAAATCATGACTGTAAAAGATATAAAAATACATAAGGCCTCTAACTCGATGGCATAGTAAAAGGTATGTTATCTTATGTAAGTACCTACTTGCTAAAGAACGTCTTAACAAAAGAACGCCATTTCTGGCCAAAGCTGGTGCCATCTACTGGTCCTAGGGCTTTTTCGTCGTTGTTTTCAAATCGACCGGTAATTACCATGACTGAGCCAAAGATAGTCCACTGAAAACAATTACTAAAGTGGGAAGATACTAAATTTAAGATTACCTGATAAACATAGTCAATAACGATGGCCAAAGCATTTCCTATCGAAAACAACTGAATTTCTGGCGTCGGAGTCATGGCTCCGATCAAGAAGGCCAAGACGTTGGTCAAGGTGGTGATGGTGATAGAAGCGCCAGTATCCTCCATCACTTGTAGCAGTAGTTCCTTCAGATCTACCTTATTGTGCTCTTTTCTCATTTTATGTCTAATCCTTTGCCAGGAGTTAACCATGAGATAAGCATCGTCCACTCCAATTGCCAATACTAAGAACGGCGTTACGCATAGAATGGAGCCAAACCTGAACCCACACCAGAACATAAGTCCTAATGCGGTACCACAAGCCATAAATGGGCATACACAGGCCATAACGGCTAGAATAATCTGAAAACAGTAAATTACGAAATTGGCAAAAATGAGTTTATTTGGTATGTTATAGATTGAACAGTATATGACGTAATATTGTAATTATATTAGCTTGTATAAGAACTACTGAGCTAGGTCTCGTAATAGGTTAAGTTTCATATTTCAAACTTCTGAAAATTTTACCTTTTGTGCACTCATTTGTCGCATATAGATGGCAGCGGCACTCATGGTGACAATAGAGAAGATGGACATGATGGTAAAGCCTATGGCCAAGAACGGCACCAATGACAATCCAGATCGTACCACTTCGTCTGTCAGAAAGCTTTCGCTCATTGCTAGTACTTCAACGTACTCACTCTTGTAGCTAAACGATTAATTTTCAAAATGAGTCAAAATATGATTGATGATAGTAAAACCTGTTTGAACTACATAACAAGTATAATATAATACTATGAAAGAGTATAGTGTAGTACTTTAAAATTTAGTAATCAATATAATTTGTAACTTATGATATCTTACTTTCTGGCATAAGCAATCACATCATTTTCCCATTTTCTAACAGCCTTTTTACTGAAATTTTTAGAAAATTCAGCCCGAAATTGTAGTCCAACAAGCTTGATTTCTCGCATGTTATTCTTGACATGGATCTGTAATTGATTTTAATAATGGCACACTACTCTGCTTAAATAATATAATACAGTAATAACAATTAAAATATTTTTTAAATTAAAAAACTACTTTATCTTGCGCTTACCTTTTCCTTATCAATCAAAGATCGACCAGTAGCTGATCGTAGCTCGTTCACCGACATTGTTTTAGTTTGGTTCCCAATCCTCGTGGCTATCTGAATTAAAATCATTTTTGTAAATACAAACACTACTGTAAGTGTAACTTATAAGGTATATGATAGCCCTTGATTTGACTTACTTTTACCCCAAAAAAGTTTGGATCCATATAAAGTTTTCGGCCGAGTACTGTAGTGATTGGGTAGCTGAGGTCGATGTGTTCAGATTCATTTCCAAATTGAGTATCAACTAGCAAACCGTTCTAAAACATAATAATTGTAAAGATGTTCTATTATTTTACAGTGAAATAACAAAAAATAAAATTTCTATATTTTACATTATAAGTTATATTACTTACATAGAAGTGTCGTACTGGTTCATTGATGGTGCAGAAGTTATTACAAAATTGATTAAAAGTCAAGTTCTGATTAGTGATTGGGTTGTCCAAAGTAATCTTGTCCGAAATCATATTTAAAATCTAAAAACGAGGTTTTAGTTACCTAAAGATAAAAAAAAGGGTCACAGTGCTCAATAAAGGCCCAACAATAACCTTAAAAACTTGTAATTAGAGAAATGCTTACTTTAACAGTTTCTTCAAGCTCGTGAACTCCTAACATATTGCCTTGGTTCTTGGCCACAACAAAAATAAATAAAGTCACTGGTTCCCCAGCATTTGAGAAAAAGTCTTTGTATACCTGGAAGTATATCACCAAATCTTTAAAGAAATACAAAAAAAGATTCTAAATCAAAATTGTAAGAAATACAATTTTCAAAAGGCTAACAGATATTGAGGTATGCATACCTGTAATTCCTTTCTTGCCCGTGCTCCATTTGGAGTGAAATCAGCGACATCGTTGGTCAAAGGAGTGAAGAGAATACTCGTAGAGCATATTAGGGTAACTAAGGTTGATAGGCCCAGCCAGAAAGTGGGACTTTTCGAAATCAAACTTCCTAGTAATCGGAATCCTACAAGAAAACTGTAATTGTCTTTCATAATATGGGTCACATGGTATGCAGAACCTAATACAAAATTACAGCCCCTGATATAAATATACATTAGGCACACTGTTATACTTAAAAACAATATCTAAAATTGATAACAAGTGGCACAAGCGACAGTACCTTTGTTGAGATTGGTCACAAACCAGGTGTCCGGATTCACCGGTTTTGGTTTAGTCGTTAACCCCAAATTCATTGTTCGAATCTGTTTACCACATTGTAAGCCCAGTTACTCTGTAAGTTTATGTAAGAAATCGGAAGTAACATCAAAAGTGAAAACACATTGTTCGACTAATTGATTATTTAAAGGTAAAACCGGCTATATGAACGATCAAAGTAATAATCGCAAAAGTTTACAAAATTTGATAATAGTGCATTACAAAGCCGTATTGTGCTACTGGTTGGACCAAAAATGGCAAAAGCAATATTTTCAAAAATCTTTTAATTTTTAAAATTCAAACAATGAATGAAGAATACTAGTGCTTATTGAATGGGATTAAGAGATCGTTTTAAAATAACAATATATGACAATAAGTAAAGAAAAGTTACAATAAGTTCGCAAAGAACCGTAAAAAAACAAAAAGTTGGAAAGTGAGGCTACTAATTAAAACCCGAATCCAGAGCCGATCCGAAGCCGGCTCTCCCCCCAATCAATCACAATGCCACAAAACCAGTCTACAAAAATGGAAATGTATTTGAGACGAAACATCATTCAACCTTAGCCCTGAGGGTATGACCGATCCATCCGCAGTCTAATTACGGATGAAGAGTCTGTAACTCAATCAAAGCACAAAAAAGTCAAAATTTGCGCGATTTGGTGGTGGAATTCCAGGTGGGGGAGAAAGAAACAAAACGCAACCAAAACTTTGCAAACTCTTGGCTAGCCCCAGCCCCGCCGGCCCCCCCCCCCGGCTACCCACATCCGCCCTCCCCTTCCCCCGCTGAAACAGGTACTTTGTTTTTTCACGCTTTCGCCCCTCCGGGGAATAAATGGTTTTTTAACGGGATGATCGCCCACGCCTGAGGCGCTTTTCTCCTCTCACCTGCGCGAAAAAACATTCATAAAAACACAGGGAGGTGATTTCTGGTGGAGAAGATCTAATCAGGCTCACCAACACCGAGACCGTTTCGTCGAGAGCCAGCTGAACCAGTCCAGCCATAAGAGTTCAAGTCAACAAATCAGCCAACTATAATATCAAATTTATAAAATTTCTTTCAAAAGTTGTTGTTTACATTGATGTAATGTTATATAGTTGCAAGACCCCCGGATATTTACGTTTATCGATAAGTGTACACAAGTGTACCAATAACAACGAAATTCAATCTTGATTATCTCGTTGAACACTAAAACACGTTCAATGTACAACAACATACACAAAACACTTTTCAAATAACAGATTCGGCATTAAAAGTTTATTAATTGTATATAACCTGAGTTTATGTGTCAATTGAGGGTAAAGTGTTTTCATTGAAAATACATGAATGGTATGTACAGTGTACTGTAACTTATTGTGGCTTTCCATCTCTTTTTGTTCTTGTTTTATGTTTCTGTTTTGCTCTTTGTAATCCACGACTTCTATCAGATCCGCTCCTGACTCAGATAATACCACCAATAAAACACTAAAATACAGAATCTCGTCATCAACCCCCACCCTACCGTTGAACAAAGCGAACGCTCCGGGGAAGGCCTTCGCCGAGAATGCGTCGACTTGAGCACTTAACGACGAGCTCTTCTTGGGCGTGGGTAACGGTTCGAAGGTAACGAAACTCGATCTAAATGCATTTCTCTCATGACTGGCGACATTTACCTTCTCGACTCCACGATCAACGAAGGCCGAGCATTCTTCCCGTTGCGCGGAAACGGGCTTTGTTCATCCCAAAGGCTGCTGTCTCGACCCAACGTCGTTTCGTGAGTCTGAATGCTGAGCTTCCGAGTCTCAGGTGAGGGTATTGTCAGTCTGCAAGATTCTTTGTTTTATCCTTATTAGGTGTTGTTCTTTGAGCGCGAAACATTACTGAGAAAGGTCTATTTAGAAGGCTGAGTGTATTTATAGTTTTGTCATCTATGCTAATGAAGATGACAAAGACGTAAGCTAACAGTAACTTGACTTACTAAAGTTTTTTGTCTTTTTACTATAATTTAAAGTTGTAATCTTTCTAGAGATTTAGTTTTTGTAAAAAATGTGAAATATTGAAAAAGAAGGAACTTAAGACAACATTACACTAAAGTTGAGAAATCGCCAAAGAAACTCTTCGGTTGGTCACTACTTGTACCTGAAGTGTAATCCTTGACGTAAATGTTATTTTAAAACAAGAATCAGGTTCCCACGTCTCACAAATGTGTGAGTTGATGACTATTTGCTGTATATCATGCCTTTGTTATTTATGCATTGTTTCAACTTACTTTGAAACCTTGGAAACATTGTTTTGTTTCATCCACTTGTCGTATTTCTTCAACTGATTCTTAGCCAGTTTATCGACGAATTCGACGACAGCTAATTCGACCAGCGACAGGAAGATGAACAAAATGCACATGAAGAACCACAAATCGATAGCCTAAAATAATATAAGCGGGTTACACGGTCTTTGCACGGCGTCAAAGCGGTTTATAACAACTTATAGTGAACGGCAGTAGTTATAGTGGCATAGCATGACGAACAACACTACATACTCTTATTCTAAAGTTAATACACAAAACTCTATCCCAAATAGTACTATTTTTTATAAATTCTATGCCAAACAGTACCAAAAGAATAATACAAAACTAACCTTGACAAAAGACACTCTCGGCAGATTCTTGACCACATTTCCCATCTGAAAACTGAGTGCCATCAGACTACTCACCCCCAACGTGATTCTAGCCGGCATCGAACCAGACCTGCTCGAGTCGATCCAGAAGGCAATCCATGATATGAAAACTGATAGGTACCTAAATTATTTGTAGGAGTAGAATTACATTTGTGAACATTTATATAAATTCTCTCAAAACCACGAACAAACATTAAAAAAAGTCGTAAAACTAAACATTGTTCAGAAACACACTTACTAGTTGCACCAAATATCCCTCGGCTTTTTGAACGGGACCTATATAGGATGAAAGAGCATAAAAAGTTACCGGGAAAACTGTTTTCAAAAACTGCTAAACAGATTCGGCTAGCGAGATATTAGCGATTAAAGGATTTACATAGGTTTTTCTATTTGATCCTTCTCATTCGTCTTGAGCAAAACGAATGGATTGAAACTTCAATGCAATGTGGTCGTGTAGTTAATAAGTTAATCTGGGGTGCAAAAGGGGGGAAGTTCGAATCCCGCCGGTTTCATTTTGGCGCCCAGCCATACAGGAATTTCTGGCTAGCCAAACAATATTTTGATTGAAAAAATATTTTTTAAGTTGTATTTTTTGCTTTTAGACACTTTTAGAAAAAAATAATTATCAAAAAATATCATTTTTTGAACTTTAAAGCTATACCCTTTAAACATATAAGGATATAAAGAAAACTGTAACTTGCTAGCCAAGTCCATTTAGCAGTTTTTGAAAACAGTTCTCCCGATAACTTTTTATGCTCTTTCATCCTATATAGGTCTTGTTCAAAAGGCCGAAGGATATTTGGTGCAATTCCCTAGTTAATTCTAAAAAAACACAAATTTGTTTTAAAAAAGTTTTTGTCCCAATAAAGCACGAACCAAAAGTGAGTCATCCTGTACTTGCAAATGGGTCAAGTGTTTCAACAACTTTGTCTTTGATTCTACTAGAGTTATGCAAATTAAAAAATCACGTAAAGAACAGCATAAAAAACGTATAAATAATAAATTTCGAGACTTGTTGACAATAATATTAACTAAGAAAGTACAAAAATTACGAACAACGTCTTAAGTGGCTTACGTGGGAAGATACATCTGAAGGACGTAGTAGCCGTAGAGACGCTTGAAGCTGGAAAGAAAATAACTTACAAACCATGTTTCACGTTGCAAAATATTTTTCGAAAAAAAAAACATTTTTTGGAGCTGCAATGCAACTAAATTTACAACTTTTTGAAAATTTTTTTACCCCCTTCCCATTCTTAAATTAAAAAAACGGATTAACTATTGTTACCTAAAGATAACTTTGAGCTGATCCCAGCTGCCAGCCGTGTAATCATTGAGGTGATGTTCGTAACTGACATTGGTAAACAAAAAGTCTGGCAGCTTCAAGGTTTCTTCGTCAGCTATCGTGACTGGATTCCATTCCTGCCACCTCAACCTGACTTCAGCTACGTTGTAAGAGTAACTCTCGAATACTAACACACACTCCTAAACAACATCATTATCGATACAAAACTAACAAAATCATAAAAAATCATGTTTAAGAATGCATAAGGTATACCTAAAAGCAATGTTATTTGCAAGTTAGTGTCTGCTTTGTTGCAAAGTAAACCCCATATATTGACACATATGTGTTACACATATATATATATTTCAAACACAAACATACTTGTTCGTCCAACGGGAATTTGCTGAGAGTGAAAGTGCACGGCCCGCTCACACGTACTCGATAGTTCAGCCAGATAGTACCATTTGGAAAGACAATTAACAGAACGTTGTTCGTTGGAGAACGGTGAACTTCGGTGTGCTTGCTGTTCACAACACATACCTAAAATATGTTGATGCCTTCATAATATGGGTCGCTAGCTAACAAGTTAGATGTAAAAATAATTTCTACTAGCGTAACAATAGTAAATTAAAACTTCATATTTAAAAATATTAAGGTTAAAACATATGTTAAACTAAAAATAACTTTAAAATGATAAGAAGCCTTTCTTACATTAGGAGTCCAAAGTCTATCAGCTACAGAACTGTCCAATGACAAGTTGGACTTGCAGCTATATTGTTGGTAGTTCAGTCGAGGATCGTTCCAGATCTGGCTGAACCAAACATCAGCGATAAACGAGCTCGTTATCTCTGATATCGACGATATGTCCTGAAACAATAATTACCATTTATTTTAAAAACTATCGTATTTAAAATAAATAAAATATCATCATTAAATAGACGTATCAACAAAACTAAATAATTAATATTAAATTACAATCACAATATTCTCAGCCTACAAAAAATAATAATACCAAAAAGTTACCTGTACAGTAAGTTCCACGTTGACAGTAACACTTTGGTTGGATGGAACGACAGTCTTATCGTACCCTCTCAGAATGTCAGACAAGACACTTTTACGATGATTCCAATCAGTAGAACAGGCCTCGTCGATTAGTTCGTAAGTATTGTGAACTGGAGAGGGTGTAGTTGTAGTAGTCTTTGGTGCATGTATAGAGTCATGCTTCCAGCCATAGTACTCTCGAGAAGATACGATGTTTATGAGATTCAAACATAGCAGGTGAAATAACATTCTGTAGCCTTGTTGCTAGTGATAATGTTATACCTAATAGTTCACTACTTGGAATAAAACTGTGATATTGAGGTTTGAAATGAAGTATAATAGTAAAACTATTGATTGTAGGAGCTTATTGAAGTTTAAATATAGAACATGTAATATCACTTTGTATAAAAAGTAATTATCTCCACAAAAATGACACTAAAACAGTAGTACTTCCTCACGTAACGACAACTAATTCAATATCAGCACATGAATGGACGTGACCAGCCAGGACAACAGAAGCCAGTCAGGAAGTGGTGGAGAAAGTCTTCTTCATTTGGTTTCAGTTTCACAAACTCTTGGGATTGTTGGAGAGGCCTTGTAGAGGGCCTTTCTCTTCCCTCGCCTACCGTACTGTGACGTACTTCACATGGCTTCTCACCCTAATTGTTTCAAACCAGTATTAAGGTTGTTCTGATTAGGAACGAGTATTAGCTGTCATTTGCAGATGTCTGCGTTTGTGCCAAAAAGTGGGTTTTCTTCCGAAAATGAGCATGTGTAATGTAACAGAATACTTTACAAAACAACCTTTACTTCCCGTTTTATGTTGTTGCATTGTTTGAATTAAAAAAATAACATTTATTACACACTCTCTAAATTACTGTAAATCTATATTAGTACCCAAATTAAGTTACTGTTGGAAACTATTGAGTATGTTGCACTTCCACTTCAGTTCCCTTAAGAGACCATCTTGAACTAATCGAATTGCCACAAACATGTGGGTTTGCTTGGCACCCATCCACATTTCAAAAAGTTCAAAGAATCCCAAACATCACAAGACAAACATAACACAGTTATCTAGTCTGATATGTTCGTAGATACGATGTTAGCCATCTTTCTCTATTACATTTTGTTTTTCAAAACTACAGTGTTTTGTTGTTTAAAATACATAAAACATTTTACAAAATTTCTAAATCATTTTCAAAATGGCATTATAGGATCTATATATATAAAGCCATTAAATTTGATAAAAGTGCCAGTATAAACATGATCTTTTTCAAAAAAACGTCATCAAGACAATTTATCTGACACTTTACATAATGATAGCAATGTTAACTACGATAAGTGTAGTCTATCTCTTTCCGAGCTTTAAAAATAAAAAATAAACAAAAAATGGACAATTACAAGTTTCTTCGAGTAGTCAGATCTGATGACAATGTCACTCAAGTCATTCTAAATCGACCAAAACAATTAAATTCATTAAACAGAGGACTTTGGAGGTAAGCACCTTCAACATTTTATTACTTTGATTTTAAAAATAATCAATGAAAAAGTTTAATATTAACAATGTTTTCCTATAGTTATATTGATATTGTAAGCCGGTAAATATAGTGCATATTCATATAAAACAGTGCCTAACCTCTGGTCTTTAATGACTCATTGTTGGTTAGTAAAGTTGACGTTGAGTAAACAATTTGTTTAGAGAAATTGGAGATGTCTTCAAACAATTGGACGAAGATGACCACACCAAAGTCATCGTATTTCACGGTGAAGGCAAATTGTTTTGTGCCGGATTAGACATTAAAGGTAAACTACTTTTCTCAAGCATATCAAACTTAATTACCAAACAGATATATACGAACATATTGAAAATTAAGATATTTACAAGATTTCTTTGACATTATTTACAACTTTTGCAAAATAACTGTTGCGAATGCATAAAACCTCATTTATGTGTTAGTACATGTACGTATCGTTCAGAAAGACAACAAGAAAACGTATTTGACACTTCAAAGGACGGCGCCAGATTCGGCCAACAGCTATTGAGAGACGTAACCTGGCTACAAGAAGCCTTTTCCAACATTGAAAAGGTAAAAATTGTAACGTGTAGTAAACTTAAGATCCGTAAAAATTAAGTTACAAACAGTACTAACTTTAAAAATAATCCCACACTACTATAACAATAAAAAACTGTCGGTCCCCAAATAAAGTTGTTTACAGTGCCAAAAGCCAGTCATAGCTTCAGTCCACAGTGCTTGTCTAGGTGGAGGAATATCTTTAATCACCGCTTGCGATATTATTTACTGCAGTAAAGAAGCCGTCTTCTCAATAAAAGAAGTCCAGTTAGGCCTGATAGCTGATGTCGGTGCTTTGAATCGTATGCCATTTATGGTAGGTAACATGAGTTGGCTGAAAGACGTCGCCCTGACCGGCAGAAACTTCGATTCCAACGAGGCTTTACAGTTCGGTATGTTTTGATATTCAGCTGAGTTTTTGGTTACAATTGTTGTCAAGTGCCATTTTTATTGTCAAGATCTGCAAATTTATGTCTCCTGATGTAATACAAGGTGTTTTTGCAGGATTAGTAAGTCGGGTCTTCAACTCTCGCGAAGAAACCTTGCAAGCAGCCTTAAACACGGCTAGTGACATCGCCCAACTCAGTCCAATTTCCGTTCAGGGCACAAAAATGACGCTGAACTACAGTAGAGAGCATACTGTAGCAGAATCTCTGAAGTTTGTAGCGCTTCTGAACATGTCACAGACCCAGAACGATGACTTGAAGAACAACATTATGATGTTCAAAAAAGCAAAACTGTAGAGTACTCATATATTACACTAACCTAATTTTTTTACCGTAGTACATGGTTGTAAATTAAAAAATTTACTGTATTTACGGTAACATGTTAGCTATTATGACAATGTTTAAAACATACTCTACTATATTAACCATGACAATAAATAAACTAAATGTTTTTAAACCTTTCGAGTAATATGGCCAAGACTTAACTTGAAATGGCCGAGAGTGACCCAAGAAATAAACCGCCCTGCAGCTGTTCAGTTATGTTCCTTGCTTCCATTTCCTCGGATCAGCTCCTTTGAACTTTGAAATGGATGGAAACACTGGAAATGCCTGGGATCTGGTGGGCGACGATGATAACTCCAGAGTTACGACTTCTGGCACAATGGAAGAGGAATCAGAAGTATGTCCAATTTAAAAAACTTTTTTAACCGTATTTTAAACAATTGTAAAACCAATTTAAAAGAAAAACAATAGTGTTTTAGATTAAAAACGAAAAAGATATATTGTAATAGCCTCAAAACTGTGGTTTATTATAGCATAACGTCTCTACTACACGTTCAATTTCCCAATATTTTTAGATCGACAGTCAAGAAGCCTCCCAAATCCTAGAAGAAGAAGAGAAAAAGCTAGAAGAAAGACGTCAGCGTAGCAAGTAAGAAGCTTGATTGAATGTTAACATATTTAGATCACCGGCCGTAGAATCCCTCCGTAAAGTCAGCAGAATGGTACTAGAAAGAGTTGGTATCAGAAAAAAGAAACAACCATTCCTCACTCTCAGTAGACGACCTGAGTTACCGTACTTCGACCTAGACCTGTTTTGCGACAAACCCAAAGAGTTCTTCTACACTCAGCAACACAAGATTATACCCAAGATCCTGTCGTCCACAGATTTGTTGTCCAAGAAGCTGACTAGTCTTGGGAATAAAGAAAAATGGTAAGTAAAATCACTTTACTGGATAAGTTCTTGCAAAACGTATTTTAGCCCTAGATTTGATAAAGCAATAACAAGAATTGGCACTCTTAAATAAACTTCTCTATTTTTATATTATTGATGCCTAACAAATCAAAATTGTAGTTCATACTTGTTCAAAAGCCAAGACAGTGAAGATAATAACATGGCCGAAGCAATAATCGGAACCATGGACCCAGAACGACTTCACATATACGACCCATACTGTCCAATTCACGGTTCGCGACGTGAAATTATCAAAAAACGACATCAACTTATAGATATGAGTGGGCTAGCCAGTGTTGAAGATGTGGAAACTGACCAACTTGCTCCAATTTTGTCAAGGTAAGTTAAAGTGAATATACTTCTTTACTAGTTGTATAATACTACTATTGTAGCAACACCTATGCAGCCAAAGCCATCAGAAAACGTCAACGAGCCTTGTCCGGCCTTAAAGGGATCCATGTGGCCAAAGAGAAACGCAAGATTCTGTGGAATCTGTTCACGATCTCAGCTGCCTTCCTCTTTCTGTTCACCGGCTTCCAAGGCCTTCAGAACCTGCAGACTTCTGTGAACGATCAGCTTGGTGGAGACTCTTTAAGCATCATGTACCTCTCCTTGGCCATATCTTCTTTGTTTGTCCCAAACTTTGTCGTCAATAGACTTGGCTCTAAACTGACGTTAATCACCGCTTTTGGAATCATGATCATATACATGTTGGCCAACTTTCTACCTCAATATTACTCTCTGCTGCCGGCTTCCGTCCTAGCTGGAGTGGCGGCTAGTTGTATGTGGTCAGCTTGTAGTTATTATATTACTCAAAGTGGCATCAACTATGCCAAACTGAACATAGAAGCTCAGAATACAGTAAGTGTGAGGTTCTTCGGAACATTCTTTATGATTGTGCATGTTGGACAAGTACTGGGTAGTTTGTTGTCATCAGTTATCTTGAGTCAGTCGGTTGTGACAGCAGTTATTGTGGACGAAGCTGATCGAACGTGAGTTTGTTACCAATGTTGTGATAATATTATTTGTACAACGAGGGTCTTTTAGCCTTTGTGTACTATATTTTAAAGATATTATACTTCTGTCATCAATATTATTGTGGAAGAAACAATTTTTTATAGGTGTGGAAGTGGATTTCCAAGAAATCTTTCGCTTTTGAGTGACCGCGCCAAACTCAACCTTCAACGGCCAAGTTTGGTAGCCTACCGTAGTGTAGTAGCTGTGTATTTATGTTGTGCCATGGTGGCTCTTATGATCGTAGCCTTCTTCCTCAACGCTTTAAAACGGGATGAAATCAACAGGTAAAACATAACAATCCAATTAACATTGATGCTGACTTTAGAAACATTATTTCAACTTTATGTTTTGTCATTAGTATGTACATTACTTTCAGCAAACAACCTCCAAAATTCTCTGCCGAAGTCTTAAAACAAACTCTGAAGAATCTTCAGAAGCCAAAAGTCCTGCTACTGATACCATTGACAATATTCAATGGCATCGAGCAAACATTCGCAGTCGGTATCTACACAAAAGTACGTTTTCGTATAAAGAAACATACATTTTCAGTAACTTTTTTTGAAAACATATTGAAGTACTTATCTCAATAACCTTCTGCAGGCATTTGTTGGCTGTGGTCTCGGAATCTCACAGATCGGCTACGTGATGACGACCTTCGGAGTGAGTGATGCCATATGTAGTCTAGTCTTCGGCCCTTTGATCAGGATGTTCGGCCGAATGCCATTGTTTGTGTTCGGTGCTGTCATGAACGTGTTGATGATCATGACCTTGATGATTTGGCCTCTGAATCCGGGCGACCGTGTCCTGTTCAATGTTATCGCCGGTGTTTGGGGGATGGCTGACAGTGTCTGGAACACACAAGTCCAAGGATTCTGGGTGGGATTGACCGGTAGAACGTCGCTGGAAGTGGCTATCGCCAACTACAGATTCTGGATGTCATTTGGAATGGCAATCGGCTTTTTCATCGCCAGGTTTACTACAGTAAACTCGTATCTGGCAGTGTCATTTGTGATATTATTGATTGGAATTCTGGGTTACTTTGCCACAGAAATGATGGATATTGTAATAGTAAGTCGTTATAATTGTTATTTAGTACTTGTATACATCTTGCGTTCAACTTTTATAGGTATTTTCACTTTTAAAAGTAGTAAGGTAAAAGTTTTTACAAATTCTTATTTTCTCAATGCTTAATATTGTAATAGTAAGTCATCAACCTTCTCAGCAACAATTTTATTCGACAAAATAACGACCTTTTGTTTTAGGCACAATTCAAAACACATCCGGAGAAGAAGTGACACAAATATATTAAGGTTAAGAGACTTTTGTACAATGTGAGAAATTGAGTAAAAGAAAGAATGGCACCCGTCGGTAGTTAACAAGGAATTATTTTGTTTGCGATTTGGGAGAGATTAACTTTGGTTTTATGAATTCTGAAATTAGCATTCGTATTGATCTGGTAGTCTTTCTGAATACTACTTTTAAAATTTAAAATTTTTTAAATTCCATTTTTATTTTAGAATACTCACATACTACACTCAAATTTAAAAAATGGAAAACCTGTTTTAGTTACTGTAACTATTAAAACTTACGCAAGAAGAGATCCGACTTCCGTGTCCATGTAGTAGTTGTGTCTGAGCTTCATCCGTTTGAGCCCTCTGAACTTCCTCCTCAACTCTTTCATGTTTTTGGTACCAAATGCCAGAACCATGGATTCATTAAGCTCTGGATCTTCTACGAACTTCGGCAACGGCCGTTTCTGGTTCACAATTCTGGAAGACTTCAAGGCAAACTTCTCCACTTCATCTTCTTGCTTACACGACAATCCATCTTCTTGAGATCCAGTTGGTACCGTTGCAGAATCCAGTACTCCAGTAGCACCAACACATTGTCGGTTCAAGTGATTGGCCATCTGATGACTAGTGTGACATTTAAAGCCACAATTGTGAGAACAGTTCAAGGCCAGTTTTTCACTTTTCACTGAGACCTTTGGTTCAGTTGTTAGAGTCCTGCGTCCATATGGTACTCTTTTCGGTATTTCTGGTCCAACAGAACATAATACTTTGTGTTGTCTTAACCCAACGGGGCAGGCGGTACTGTATTGACATCCAGCGTTTTCACACTTTCTAAAATAACAATATTAAAGTCCAAAACATCTTTTTATACATTTTATTTAAATTTACAACACTTACTTGACATCTTTTGCAAAATGACTTTCAACCGTCTTGAAGTAACAGTTACAATCAGGACATTGCGATGGCATAACATTCAGTTTGGCAGATCGCTTGCTTTTCATTTCAAGATCAAGAGCTGCGAGATCTAACGTAAGATATGTCAAAACACAGTAAAGTAACAACTGGACCCATATTTAGATAATCATAAATTGTGACTCACCTCTATCTTCAATCTTATTCTTCATACATAAATGGAAACTCTTGTGTTCGTTCATTCTCTTCTCCAAACATCCATGATCATCAGAAGAGAACTTGCAGGCACAACGTTTACATTTGGCTCGGTACATTGAAACTTAAAAACGACTTATATACATGGCTCTTCTTTAAAGCATCAAAAAATTGTAAAATAAAAAAACCTTAACAAATTAATACTTCGTATAACCTGAACAATCAAAGTTTACAATTTAAAAACATTATATTAAAACACTTACAATCAACATGGCTCTTGACATGTTTTATGAAGTTGTCAGCAGTAATGAAAACCCTCCTTCCTTTCGAGTACTGCCTCTTGGCAACAAAAACATCAGTACAGAAAGGGCATAACAACATTACTCCGTTGTTGTGTTTCTTCTCGAAGTGTCTTATCAACGCCATTCTCGAAGAAGTCTTGAATCGACAGAACTCACAACTGTATGGTAGATCAGTAGGACCATGAATATCCAAATGTAGCTTCCTTTCGGCCGAATGCACAGCTCTCTCGCAGATATGACATAGAGACTTGTCCTTCTGAACAGCAACACCACGAGGATTGTGAAGCTGACAATGTTCAATAGTCTCTTTTAACGATGTGAAGGTAGACACACAATACACGCAGTAATTCTGACTCTTCACCCTCCCTCGAATCTTCAGAAGATCAGCTACCGTCTTCTCCATGTACTGTAACTCTACTGTAGTATCCGAATCCGTCGCGATATCCTTTTCATGAGCAAGATGCGCCCAGATGTGATGCATAAAGTTGATATTCGTCGAGATCCGTTTGTAACACCCTTCCCAAGTACACTAAATTTGCATAAAACAAGAAAAGAGGTTGGTTACCTTAAATTGTGCCAAGTCGTCTTCAACATCTCTTGGCGGAGGTTTCCTTTCTTCTGTTACCAAATATTCTCCTTCAAATGGGAATTTACTCCCCGGCTTAAGTTTAAATCCCTGTTTTAACACCAGTGGCGGTGGCGGTCGGTTTTCATGTTTTGAGGCCTAAAACCAAATCAAAAATAATAACTTTAAAAAATGTTATAAATAGAAATATATTAAACTAATGAACTTACAATATGATAGGGTTGTCGTCTGATTGCTTGTGCATAACTAGTATAAGAAAGCGCCGACTTCGTTAGCGGTGCGGAACGTCGTGCTACATCGACCTAAAACAAAATAAAGATAAAATTTTGGTGCCTACATCATATTTTACATGTTTAACTCTAAAAATAATATTTTTTTATAACGCGGTATTTCTTACCGGTGAAGCAGAAGTAACAGGCTTAGCGCTAGTTAAGAAGCTTAGATCTAGTGCACGAAGATTCCCGATGGCCACAGTGGCACCAGGAACTGGCGATTGTCCGTCGTTATTCATATTTTCATCGCCCCTGAAATACAAAATTCACATCAACTTAAGGTCCCAGGACTTCGCGCGCCAAAGTTTTTAAACTGAATTTGCAATATAGTCTATAACAAAAAAGTTATATTACTCTTGAAGCTAAGTTTGACATTTCTGATATAACCGAACATTTTGCATCCGATGTGCAAAAAGTAAATCCGATATTCTAACGCGCTATAGCTTCAGCGTCAGATCGACGGAATATGTAGACACGCGAAGTGTCAAAAAGCAAAGTGTCACAATTGACTGGTAGCAGAAAAACTTGTCTCATTTCTAAAGTTCGAGTTAAGTGTTTTACTTTGTTGACTTACAATATTTTTAAAAAATTTTTAGGAAAATTTGAACAGTTCGGCCAATACTGGAATAAACCCGAAAGTTCTGCTTTGTAAGATGTGGAAAAAGAAAAGGAAGCCCGATATTACCCATCATCCAAGTGTTTTCCCCAAGTTCGAACACATGGATGGGGTGAAGAAGCCGAGGAAATGTACATCTACAGCAAGATACGACTTTACAATCTCGGCTGAAGAAATGAAGCGTCGTACAGTACAAGATATTGTTGCTTCAACAATCGAATCGAGTAAACAGTTGTCTGTGAAGCCAAACAAAGTCGAGGAGGTAGGATAACATTGGGTTGTCGTTTTTAATAGTGGTATGTGAGATAGTTTTGATGTGTAACTTAACGTGATCTGATTTTTACACGGCTTTAGAATGTTTTTACTTAATACTGATATATTTATTAACTGTTTTGGTAACATTTTCTTGTTTCAGATCAGAAAATGGCTGTGTTATGAACAACCTCGGCTTCGTGTGTTGTTGTTAACTGGACCTTCTGGATGTGGAAAGTTCACAACACTCAACGTTCTTTGTAAAGAAAACAACATTGACATTGTCGAGTATGTGGAGAATCAACATCTGTCCAAGTTTGTTAAGGAAGATGGAGTTGAACTGGTGGAAGCAAATCAAGTGACAGCATTTGAGGACTATCTTATCCATGGCTCTAGACGATGTTTAGGACAGCCAAGGAGAAAGAAGATTGTTTTGGTCAGGGAGGTACCTAATGTTTTTGTTTTGTAAGTTTCCTTTACGGACTTATGTTGTAATACAATATTAATGCTTTTCAATGTATAGAATTATAAATTAAAATATGGATTCTAGGAAACCTGATAAACTGACAAAGCTGCTGGCAGAACTTCCACAATCTTGTAAAACTTCGGTTGTCTTTTGTTTGACTCAAGTCGACGGTAATTGGAATCTGAACCCAAGGAGATTCTCTTCAGCAATTCCATCTATAATTCCAATGACTCAAGTTGTTTTGAATCCCATCGACAAGTTTAAAATTACTAACATATTAAAACAACTGTCGGGAACGTTTGGGTACAATGCTGATCAGAAGTTGTTGGATGCTGTGAAGGATAAGGCGAGAGGTAGATTTTAAACTTTTTTGTAGACTTGTCTTTTTTAAGTCTGGTTTTATATAAAACAACATAAAATCTATTGTTTCAGGAGACATAAACTCGGCTTTAAACTTCATTGAGCTGTCACGAAATCAAGGAAAGGCTGATATGTGTGAGATTCTTCATTCGTCTGACCTAAAGTCTGATATTTTTCATTTCCTTGGGAAAGTAATGTATGCAAAGCGAGAGACAGTAGAAGATAACATAAAAAGGCAGGAGATAGAAGAAACAGTGAAAGAAAAGTACAGAAGGATCGTTCCGCCAACCCATACGCTTCAAGAACTTTTGGATCTGAATCCGCTCCAAAGCCATACTGTAAATTGTTTTATAGTTTTGATATTACAGTTTTTTTATTTATTGTATTAAGTTTTCTAATGTTTTTTATGTTTAGTTTGAAGTACTTTACATGTTTTAGGTATTTAAGCATTACTATTACATATATTTATATTTTTAGCTAGTGAACTACGTTGCACATTATAAGATGATGTTGGTAAAGGACGTCCATGCTTGTGCCAATATGTATAGAGACTTGTGTATAGCTGATAGATTGGGCACTTACTATGACACTGTAAACGAAGGTTTTATGGAACAGTACGCGCAAAAGGTAAGAGAAAACAAGTTCGGTTTTGTTTTAGTTATATTTGTTTTGATTTATATTTTTTTAATGAGTAATAAAATACATTCTATGTCATAATAACTTCGTCTTTCTACCACTCTGCTGGAAAGGTTGTCCCTGTAGGGCTGATGTCCTTCTCGAAGCCTCCAGTACCATCTAAGGAAAGATTGAAGGAACGAATTCTAGAAGTCAATAGAGTCTACCCGACTAAATCTTCCACTGATCTACTCACTAGGTATGGTAGATCCTTATTTTATAATATAAAATTTTATATTGTAACATTTTTGTGTATATTAGTAAAAGTGATTACCATTGCTTTAATGGATATTTGTTTTTAGTTATTTCCCTTTGCTGTCGCTTATGCCATCGAAGGGAACACTGCAAGAAACGTCACTAATGAAGAACCTCAAATAAAATGTAAACGAGTATGTTCTCTGTTTGGTTATATGGTCTTATCACCTTTGGAAAACGTATTTAGAGATATGCTAAGCAAGTTATTAGATTATATTTATTTAAATCTTTACTTAAATTGATTATAGATTTTTAATAGGATGTTTATTGCTTATTGTATATGTTAGGTTTTTGAAATTAAACAAAATTGTACTTTAAATCGATTTCTGATCAATTTCTTTTTATACTTGCCCCACGACTTTTCAACTTATTTAACAAGATCCATCATGTTGTAGTACTTTTGATAGTGGTTTATTTGCTTGTAATTCGAATGTTTCTAGTAATCTTCATCGTCGAGGTCAGAAGGAGGATTGGAGTCGATTCCAACTTCTTCATAATCTTTTTCTAACGCCGCTAAGTCTTCGCGAGCCTCGGAGAACTCCCCCTCCTCCATCCCCTCGCCCACATACCAATGAACGAAAGCTCGTTTAGCGTACATCAAATCGAATTTGTGGTCTAGCCTAGCCCACGCCTCCGCGATGGCGGTCGTATTTGATAACATACACACGGCACGTTGAAGTTTAGCCAGATCTCCTCCGGGAACGACGGTAGGAGGCTGATAGTTGATACCTACTTTGAAGCCAGTGGGACACCAGTCCACGAACTGAATGTAGCGTTTGGTCTTCATTTGAGCGATGGAGGCATTAACATCCTTTGGCACAACATCACCTCGGAACAGAAGGCAGCAAGCCTAAATTTAGATTTGACAGTATGAAACCATGGAGTTGTTGAAGACCATCAATATTAGAGTTACGGGTTGAACAAAAACATTGTAAAATTAATAGTCATTCCTATCAGTACACCTTAGCATACGTATCTTAACGTACCATGTACTTTCCATGCCTAGGATCACACTTGACCATCTGGTTTCCTGGTTCGAAACATTGTTGTGTTATCTCGGCTACATTCATTTGTTCATGATAAGCTTTCTCAGCTGAGATAATTGGAGCGTATGTTGTCAATGGAAAGTGGATTCTTGGGTATGGTACCAGATTGGTCTAAAAGTTTCAATAAACATACTGTATGAGTAAGTATACCTGGAACTCAGTAAGATCGACATTTAAAGCACCATCGAACCGAAGAGATGCAGTTATCGAGCTGATGACTTGAGCTATCAGTCTGTTCAGGTTGGTGTATGTGGGTCGGGAAAGGTCGAGGTTCCTTCTACAGATATCGTAGATGGCTTCATTGTCTACCATAAAGGAACAGTCGGAATGTTCTAATGTGGTGTGGGTGGTCAGTACAGAGTTGTAAGGTTCTACCACAGCTGTCGATATCTGAATATAGAATGGTTTGCTTTCGTGGCATGATGGGTTACTTGAAAATGTTTTACACAATATTATAATGTACTATTACAACGTCAACTTCTGCTATTAAAGAGCCCTAAAACTACTAATCTTAATTCATGATAACTTACTTGAGGTGCTGGATACACACAAAACTCAAGTTTGCTCTTCTTTCCATAGTCAACACTCAATCGTTCCATTAGCAACGCCGTGAATCCGGAACCAGTTCCTCCGCCGAAGCTGTGAAATATCAAGAATCCCTAAATTATTTTTATACATCAACATATACGTCATCTACAATAACAAATCAAATAACAAGGTTGAATATTTAGAGTTTTCCTAAAATTAAAATACAGTTACTGACGTACCTGAAGGCCCCTACAGTTATCTGCCAGCCGTCTGACTCTGTCCATACAAACATCGATGATCTCTTTTCCGATTGTGTAATGCCCTCTGGCATAGTTGTTGGCCGCGTCCTCTTTACCGGTCAATAACTGTTCTGGATGGAAAAGGTGACGGTAAGTGCCTGTTCGAATTTCATCTACAACAACATGTTATCAATATAAACATCAATTTCATGTATGTATTATGTTCCAAAATAGGTACAGAACAATGTAATAAAGGATCTGCTTTCAATATTTTTATAATAAGGATCTGCGATCAATTTTACCACTTACCGACCGGTGTAGGTTCAAGATCTATCATTATAGCCCGAGGCACATGCTTGCCAGAGGAGGTTTCGGAAAAGAACGTATTGAAAGAGTCGTCCTCGTAGCCTTGGGACGAGTCTGTGGGCATGGTACCATCTGGTTGTATACCATGCTCCAGACAGTACAACTCCCAACACGCATTGCCAATCTGGACACCAGCTTGGCCAACATGAATCGAGATCACTTCTCTCTGAAATTGAAAAAGTTACAGTAACCTTGAGTTATACATATTTTACAAAAATCATTTTTACTTTACTCTGTAAGGAATTGTTTTTAAAATTTTCCCAACTTACCGCCCGAGTCGACATCGTACTCATACTACAGCGAAGCACGGAATGTAATAGTATTCGGGCGAAGAAGTGTGTGGCATCGTTGCCAACGGAGCCGACAGTCGGTTGCCATGATGTTTCCGGCTTTGAATGGCTACCAATTATCCTGATATTCTCCTTTGTTTAAAGTGACCCCACCATTCCGAGAGCATTACTATGATGTACTACTAAGCTGTTATTTTACCATAAAAACGAACAGCAATACACGTCTAGATGACATTTTACAGGCATACGTAACATAACAAACGATACCTACAAGACAGGATGTCCTCGTAGACAATATTTTTTAAAAAGTTTGGAATTTAGTTTAAAAATTTAAATTTTGATGACTTTTTGTGATTAAATTGATGTAATCTTGTGGATAATATTGCTTTGTAAGAGTTCAAACTTGCACAGAAGTATTTGAATTTAATATTTGATTTCGAAGTGCGAAACGAACGGTCGTTCGTCATAGTCGATCAACCCTTACACAAGTACCTAATATTAACTATAAAAACTGAAAAAGTCCTCATGTTAACCTTTGACTGTTTGAACAAGCTCCTCACACTCCAAATAGCAGTGTTTGCTTTATTAATCAGAACCGGAACTGAACCACAACTATGCTAGCCATGTTTGTCATGTTCATGTGCATTATATTATGTTTGGCAGCGGTTTGAACCTTTTGAGGAACAAAGTTTGCTCAAACACCGCCAAACCGCCTCGGGCTAAGCGCGGCCGAATCGCGCAGAGAGGGGGGATGGATTGTTTTGTAAAGTCGTGCTCAGTGGATTCGAATGGTCGAAGACAGACACACAAGAGGCGACGTGTGAGAGGGCCAAGTCCACTCCCTCCCCACCACCCCTCCCTCGGCTGACGTCGAAATCCGAGAGAATCGTACAGTCCATTATATTATTATCTGTTTGCTTGGGTCAAGGCGTAACATTGTTTCAGTTCACGTTCGGCGTGCTTGTTTTACTGTTATTGTTAGCGTCCTATCTTTAGTTAGGGGCCACGGATCTACTTACAACGCCAAGATCGGTTGTTAAGGTCATTTACTTACTAAACTACATTTGCATACAGGTTTGAGCGACTACTACTTCAATATTTGATCATATAATTACTTAAAACTACCATTCATTACTTACAAAGCAATATCAAGCCTTCAAACTACTGTTCCAACCTCTTAATCAACTACTCAGTAACAGTTAATGAATGTCAGTTCAGCCATCTCGAGCCCATTCTGAGGTGTTCTCCGCCAGCCAGTATGGCGGAGGACAGCCGATTGTCATGCCGGCTCCACCACCCCCGCCGAGATATGCCATCAACTACTTTGCCCTGCCCACTTTCATCATCCACATTGTTGGACTAGCTTGTTTATGGGCCTTATGGTACTACTTACGGTAGGTTTAACTACTTTGTTAATTATTATATGTTTTTCTTGACCTAATTATATACTTAATTATAGTATTAGTGTTAAAGTTTAAATGTATTACGATATTGTAAATTAATATTATTTTTATTCCAGATTTACCACAGTCTTCCCATACCATCACCGAGTGTTTTACTGCAAAGATATACATCTATATAAACCAAACTTTAAACCAGAAGACTTCGAAGTCTACGTGTCGTACACTTTACTCTACATCCTCGGGTTTTGTTTGCCTCCTCTTGTGGTAAGTCAATATTGTAATCGCAGTAAACTATTGCGACTAGTGCAGGAATTGTTTTAAAACTATTGTAATCTGCTTGAAGTCTCAAATTCAAATCTGATGTTGTAGATGTTTATTGGGGAAATCGGCTTTTGGTTGTTCTCCACCAAACCTCGGAAGACGATCTATGCCACTTGTGGAGAATGTCCTGTCCATCTCTTTACCAGACGACTCTTCCGTTTCATTTGTAAGTTAGCTAGAAGATACTTTCTAAACGTTGTCGCTAAAGCATCAGTATATTAACTTTTTCTGTGTTGCACCATGGTTACATTATATTTGATTATATTTGAGATAATAGTAATAGTTTACTGTAATGTTGCTCTAGGTAGTTATTGTTTTATGATGTCGTTAGTAGTGTTATGTTTCCGTTACAGCTGTGTTCATGTTCGGTGCCCTTATCACCCAAATATTCGTTGATGCAATCAAACAGATGACCGGTTACCAGCGTCCCTACTTCTTGTCGTTGTGTAACGTTTCTTTACCGTATGTTTTTAAAAATTACTATGTAACTTAAAATATGCTCGTGTGTATCAGTTACGTAAATTTATATGTTTTCTGTATATCATAAAAACATACACCATTCACCTTACTTTAGATCATGTACAGCCCCATTAGAGCACTCCCCCCCTCCCCATCCCCCCCCCCACCTGGCTTGTAACTACAAGAACGCTGATGAACTGAGGTACGCCTGGCTTTCGTTCCCATCACTCCATGCTGCTTTCTCCGGCTACTCGTGTATCTTCGCTGCTTGTTACATCTACTACATGATTAACTTGAGAGGAGCGCCGTTACTGAGGCCGTTACTCATTTTCGGTTTCCTCGGCCTCACGTTGGTGGATTCATTCAGCAGAATCAATGGCTACAAGAACCACTGGAGAGACATCTGGGTGGGATGGCTGATGGGATTCTTCATCGCCATGTTCTTGGTATGTTTTTAGTACATAGAAGAATATATTTTAGTATTTTATTCTTGATGACACTATCTTTTTTTAATGGCTTTTACTGTTCTAAATCAGTTTTTAAAGATTGTGGTACTAAATACCCCAAATTTTAGTGTCATTGCGTTTTGTGCTTCCAAGAAGTGTACCACTTTGTGGAAAAAGCCCCAATTGCTATGGCCGAGCACCACGAAGAAAGAGTGTCACCATTCTTCTCGTGGTTTAGGTTACCTAGAGTACATGCTCCATCAGTTAAAGAAGAATATGTGTAAGTTACTACTACTAACGTTGTGGCATACATTGTCATCAAAAATATTATAAAACTATTTTAAAAAATAATACAAAAGGCGTCTTTTAACCGCACAGTTCTTTTGCAACACTATATTTCTTATCAATCTATAAACTTAAATCTTCAGTGTGTACGAAGAAGATGTACCAGCAAGACCACCAAGTCAACAAGGAACCAGACGGCGGAACCAAGACCGAACATACGAAGTCACGACGACTACGGAATCCTTCCATCGTACGATCCACCCGCCCGGCACTCAATCGCCCACGCCCAACCAACAGAACACTTACTCTGCTTACTGACCTATTTATATACTCATTACTGTATGTACATAACAGACCACACATTATAAATCGCTCAAGTTTACCATTGTACGACATGTTACACAGTAAAGTAATAAAATGATAACACGTTGCCCTTTAATAGAAACTTCTGTAAGTTACGTAGTAGAATAGAGTCTATATCCGATATGTCAACATAAATCAATAGTAGAGAGTCGATGCGACTGTTGCGACAACTTGGCCTTGTTGTTGGTACGTTGAGATGCATTCCTAGATGCATATGCATTCTCTGTAGTCGAGTTGAACTTTTCTTTATCGGCAAAGTACTTGTAAGTACCAAATGACAGTACCAATAGTCCCATTTGAACAAAAACTATCGGGATAATATGCCATGCCCAACTCATTTTTATAAAACCAGTAATTACAAGTAACAGGATCATTATTACCTAAATTTTCGATTTCTGCTGAGCAAATACAGTTAACGTAAGAAAACCGTCGTCATTTTACTGTAATTAAAGTTTTCCTTGTGATAAGTGAAGTAAAACAAGGTTCAACCTACCTGACGTAACATATACGGTATCACAAGTGTACTTTCTTCACAACATACGCCCATAAACAGTAACGCCGTGCTTATAGCAAGAGCTATCAGGCCCACCAATGTCACTCCTACTATTATCAACACTTCTGTACTCTGCCATTCTTTGGTATTATAACTGAAACATTAAGATATAAAATAATATGCTCAGACGTATTTTTGCTATCTTGAATGATTATTGACATCTCAAGCGTGACGGCTAACTAATGTGACTTTCTTTATTATAATATACGTTGTCTTACCGACAATTTTTGACAGAATAGTAACGAAATACGCTAACTTACCTTGCAGACTTTAAAAACAAAAATACAGCAGAACTAATCAGTTCTATCAGCTCGAACAGAAACACCAGTACACCGACAGTCTGAAATTGACATTATCAGTAACAGAATACCATTTCATAATGTACGTCATATTAGAAACATAAAATCCATGAAGATAAATGACAGTAAAAAGACATGTAAAGTGAGTACATGTACTTTGACCACAAGTACAAACACCAATAAACATACTTTCGAATGACAAAACCCAAAACAACAAAAGTAGTGTGCCTCAGAGGGGTTGAAGCTCTCGAACTGACAGCTGGTCGAGGACTGTTGCCTATGTAGTTGGTGTTGCGGCATGACGAACCAAAACTCGGGCCAATTCCGGAAATTAGGGTCGATTTAGAAATGCGTCAAGACCGCTCAGGATCTGTTTGGCCTCATTTCGGGAATGGCTTCGAATGAGGAGTACTTGGCCGCCATTGTTCATGAAATTCTCCCAATTCCGCTGCCAGCCGGCTCGCTAATTAACCAAAAGTCACTGTTGGAGCTTGGCTTTGATTCCTTGTTGTTGGCTTCATTAGAAGGCCGGCTCCATGCCCAATTCGGATGCGATTATGGCACGATTCATTTGGGAATGAGCATAGATGACATTGTCAAAGACTTGAAATCAGGTAGATTTTGAAAGTTTGAAAAGTTCAGAGCACGATTTCATGTTAATTAGATAATAGGATAAAAATAAAGACACATAAAATATAAAAAATAAAAATCAAGTTGAAAATCGAAATTCCAGGTCAAAAAACCATAGAATCCAACCTAAAAATCGACAAAAACTTGAGAATCTTCCCCTTGAGCACGCTACAAAAGCGGATTCTGTTGGAAACACTGACGAAAGATGACAGAGTATTCGATGAACAAGTTAATATCACAATAGATGACCTAAACCTTGATAAACTAAAAGCAGCATGGAAAACACTGAGTATTCGACATTCGATATTGAGATGTACAGTAAACAGAGGGAGGTTATACGAAGGTGACGATATTGTAGAAATTACAAATAGTTTAGAAGAATCACCATCAACAGAAAATGCCATACCCATTAATGTTAATGCGATTAGAAACACTGTAATTATACAGTATCACCACATGATGTTGGATGGCAGCTCACTAAGGATGCTGTTAGAAGAGTTGTTATTGTTATACAATGGTAGAAAACTAGAAGGTACAGTACAATACCCAAAGTACGGTAATTTTTGTATATACGAAAATGAGTTTTGGAAGTCGAAAAACTTGGAAAGAGAAACCAATTTTTGGAGAAATTATCTACAAGATAACGACCAAACATGTAGTCATATACAAGGTCCTCAACAAGGCAATAACAACAATAAAGTGAAAGAGAACAAAAATGAAATAGTTACAGTAGGAAAGTGTGATACTGTAGAGTATCTACTGGATCCCAAAACAAGTAAAAAGCTAAGAACAAAACTATACAGTATGAAGATACCATTGTTTACCTTTCACTGTACTGTAACTTCAATTTTACTGTCAAAGTTCTTAAAACTTGATAAAATTACAGTAGGTTTCCCAATGTCACTCAAATTGTCACCAGAATTTGACAAAACTGTCGGATTTTTTCTAAATCAGCTGGTTTTCAAAGTAAAACCAAACGAGTTCAACACTTTCACAGAGGTACTACAGCATGTTAACAATGACATGAACAACATAAAAGAACACTCTACTATACCATACAATGTCATTTACAACGAAACTGACGTTAACCATCCTGAATACCTCGTGATAGACGACAAAATAGCTGAACTCCCTAAAGGTATTACCATCAAAAACGTAAAGAAATTGATTATACACAAAATGATGATCTACATCAAGCATGACAACAAAGACAGTATTTACATCGATTACAATGTTAATTACTTCACAGAGTACACGATACGATTGTTCTTACAATGCTATGTCAATATCTGCAATGAGTTCTTAACCCGAAGTGAAATTAACCATCAAACAATCGACATACATCAACCCTTACTATCAAGACAATCACAAGCTCCAGACTTTATGGCTGTGATAGAAACAAGGCTATCCCAACTAGATGAGGACAAGGTCATAGTAAAAGACGAAACCACAACCATCTCAGTAATAGAATTCAACGAAATGGTATGCAAACTATCGTATGTTCTTCGCAAAAGCATAGTAAAAACAGAACAAGAGCCAGCAGTTGTGGTACTAATGGACAGAAATGTGTACCTTGCCATCATGGTCGTATCTTTATGGAAGGCTGGTTATATACCATTAATATTGGACAAAAACTGGGCAGATGACCGTATCCAAGAAGCCATGTTGATAACACAACCATTAAAAGTGGTAACGGACGACTACAACACAACCAAGAACGCTCTGTATATGAAGGACGTGCTGTCGTCGTATGATTGTGATCACAGTCAACACGTCGAAAATCCTTTCAGCTGTCATTACGGCTACTTCTCATTTACTTCTGGTTCCACAGGTACTCCAAAGCTGGTCAAAAATCCCAGATCTGCCCTGAATAACATGTTGAACAACTACTTATGTTTATTCGAATACGATGAAGATAGTGTGGTGTACCAAGTTGTAAATCCCGCATTCGACATATTCTACGCAGATATGTTGGTATCTTTGGCTTCTGGAGGTTGTCTTGTGATGGCCAGAGGAAAAATACCTGACTGGAAGGAAGTAGGTGAGTTAATGTTAGAGAAATGAAGAGTTTGATATCTAAAATACCTAAAAAACACAAAAAAAAGTATTGCTCGGAAATTTATCCCATTTAAATTTTAAAAATAATTATGTACTTCGAAAAAGTTCGGAAATCCTGTATTTCGAAATTTTAAAGTTTTATCGGTTTCGAAAGTTGTTTTCAAAAAATACCGCCAAAAAAGTGGTTTAGTCCCGGCACGAAAGTCTTGTTTTGCCAAACGATTGGCTTTTCGTTGACGAAATTTGTAAATTCTACAAAAAGATAAAAACCATTTTGTAAAGTCCACAAAAATATATTATTCTTGTTATTTTCAGAACAAAACAATGTCACCCATGCCTACATCATGCCAGCCTATCTCAACTCTTTCCATAGTAACATCAACGTCTTTTCCAAGCTGAAGTTGTTGATGTTTGGCGGGGAGCGGATCATACCTCAGTTAGTTGAGCAGCTTCTGAAGTACGATATGCGTCTGTGTCAGTTATTTGGATTCACGGAACACGCTATCTACACAAACTATCAATGGATTAATAAGGTAGATGACATTGTTTATGTTGGGTGTCCATTCGACAACACAAACGTTTACTGTGTGAGTGAGGAGCTGCGTATGTTACCTTATGATACAGTTGGGTATTTATATACGTCGGGGATGGGATTGAGTGAAAGCGATGAGAGCGACAGATATCTCAATATTAATATTGGTGGTGCTACCCAGGGTGACGTGAGGTTGATGTATAAAACAGGCGACTTTTGTGAGTTTACTGTGGATGGGATACGCTTCAAAGGTCGAAGTGATGATTGTGACAAGATAAAAGGTCACATGATCAACCCAGTGAACATAGATGACATTGTAGAGAAGAGCGGGTTATGTCATGAGAGCGTGACCGTGATAGCCAGGAGTAAAATGGATGAGTTACAGAAGATCATTGTGAGTTATGTGCAGCTGAAGGCAGAGAATACAGTAGACCAGGTGAGAGAGTATCTGGACACGGTAATGAACAGGTATATGATGCCAACCTATATTATCCATATAGACGACTTTCCTTTGAATTCGAATGGCAAGGTGGACAAGAAGTTGTTGAAGAACAGTCATCAGAAGTACGTGGATATGCATTATCATATGTTAGGTTCAGGTGATGATCAACATAAAGAGGTTACTGAAGGTACGAATGACACTGATAGTGTTACGTTGAAAGTGATTGACAGTATGAATGACAGTGTCTATAAAGAGGGTAATGTGAATTATAAAGATGTGAATGATGAAGATGACACCTTACAGCCGTTTGAAGAAATATTTGGTCCGGATATTACACTTGACAGTAATCTCTACGACTTTGAAATGGATTCTTTGAAACTTCTAAATCTGATGTATCTTCTGGAGGACAAGTACGATGTAAAGCTTGATTTTAAAAGTTTAAGTGGGGCCGGAACACCAAGCGAAGTCTTGAATAATATAAGGAATGTAAGGCTACTACCAACATACAATCAAGAACATATTTGGTTATTACGAGATCTGAATCCAGACATTGTCGATTACTACCGGATTACTGTGGTATTAACGTTCACTAATACGTTGGACAGAAAGAGGTTTGAAGACTGTGTAAAGTACATTGTAGAGATGAATGACAGTTTACAGTATACTGTAGACATGGACGATGAAGGGTTGTATTTGAAGAATATTGGGGATGGTAAAAGTAGTAGTAATGAAGAGGAATATAAGTCAAGGTACCAAAATAATGAAGATAATGTTAAGTACGAATATCTTGATGAGAAGAGAGTGAAGATGATGTTCGATCACATTGCTGTAGATGGCCATTCTTTACGATTGTTAATGACACAGTTAACTGAATTATTCAGTTGTGATGATATAGTAAAAACCTACAATAACATGTCTTTGAAACAAGATTCATTTATCAAATACGCTCAGAAGTCACGATCAAAGGACTACAGTAAGCATAAAAGGTATTGGGTGAGCAAACTCAGGAACAATTGTAATATACCTTTACCATCACAAAGTGAAGGTTTCAGTGCTTCATCTTACAAAGTAATATACGACAGTTGTACTATTAAACAGTCTAACATTGCTACAATATTTCAATCTTTAGTAGCTTCGTACATACGACAGTTACGCGACGAAACTGGTCTACAGAAGTTTATTATTGGCATACCGTACTTAAATCGTGATAAAGATACGATGAACTTGGTCGGGTACATGGCCAATACTCTGCCTTTACTGTTCGAATACAAACCAACATACGACGATCTTTTGAAGCAGGTTAAGGAAGCGTTAACTAGTGCTACGGAACATTCACAATATCCGCTACAACTGCTGAAAAGAGATCTAGGCGTAAAGGAAGACATTATACAACGTATGGTATCTTTTGAGGACTTTCGTATGTCTGGTAATGATGTGTTTACTGTAACGGAGGTAGAGCCATCGTATCTCAAGTTTGAGCAATGTTGGTACTTTTGGGTGGAAGATGGTACTTTAACTATTAAAGTGGAATACGACGGTAACAAGTATGGTAAAACGTTGATTGAAGGATGTATTGAGAGGTTAAAAAACTATATTACACTCGGTAATACGAATGAAGGTCCGCGGAATAACTTTAGGTATATTAAGCATGATGGCGATAACATATCTTATGCTGAAGGTGCTGTTAGAGGCGAGGTAAATGATGATTTTATTGAAAAGGTATTAGAAATATACCGTCGTGAACTCAGTAACCCTAATCTTACTGTGAATGATAACTTCTTCGACCAAGGAGGTCATTCTTTGTTGGCTTCGAAGATATCCAACAAGATACGAAAGACTTTACATTCACAGTGTTCTACCAGACATGTATTCGAATATCAAACTGTAGCAGAGCTACGTAAATTTTTAGTAGGGCAACAGAAAGTTCAAGATGAGACTACCATGACATCTTACAGTAAGCAGAAGAAATACTACAGTAATCAGAACATGTCTTACAGTAATTCTAAAGGTATATCCGACTTTGGAACTGAAGAAATGTACCATAATCTGAAGCATATATGTTTTACTGAGCAGTCACTACTTTACTCTGTTCTTCGAACTTCTGAAGATATTCGGAAGGCATATTACCACTACATAGCTGTTGACATTACTGACCTTAACATAGCCAAGATACGACTTCTAGAACTAATAAACAGTCAAGAAATACTGCGGACTGAGTTTGTGGAGTACGAAGGAAGATACCAAGCATACGTACATTCAAACGTGGACTATCTTAAGCTACCGTATGTTATGGTATCTAGAGGTTTGGGCTTGGAAACAGTTAACATCAACATCAAGGATAATATGCTGGTAATGAAGTTGCACCATGTGTGTGCTGATGGCTACAGTATGACTGTGATGAAGGATATATTGTTAAATGAGGGTTTAAAAGATAGTAATGGTAATATAAAAGAAGTTAACACACCTTTACATGAAGGAAATATAGACGAGTTGAGAGGTTTACTTAACCAAAGATACGATTGCAATGACAGTACTGTATTCTGGCAGAACATACTACAGTCGCAGGGTAATTTACTTTTCAAAGACACGAACAAGGCTACGGAAACATGTACAATTTCGTGTGTAATAGACAAAAAAGGTATCATGAACATGGCCAAAGAATGTAAAGTATCGTACAATAGTATATTCATGTATAACCTTCACAATACGATGTCTCATTGGAAAGTAAACCCAGAGGACAACATATACATCAACTTGGTAAAGGACATACGAGAACAAGAGTGTGGTCATGTAATGGGACACTTTGTACAATTACTACCAGTACCATACTACAGTAATCTAAACGACCTCTACGATGCAATGTCACACATTGAAGACCGTTGTTACTTTGATATTACCAGGTATATGGCCGGACATAATATCGTATCTGAGGTTATGTTGGTATTCACAGACGATGATTTAGATATGGAACATGATGCCAAATGTCCCATAACGTTCTTTGTTAAGTTAGAGAATGACACCGTTGTTATATCATGTGTTTATATGAATTACTGGCACAAAGGTACCATGCAAAGTATGCTGGACACATTCGTAACGTATCTTCAACAACAAAATGTAGCAAGATTACCATATACAACAACTGATCTTCCTCTTGTAGACCCTATATCATTGATAATGTCACGATGTCTACAGTTCCCTACCAACATCGCTTTACAGTCACCTCAAAATACCATGACATACGATCAGCTGTACAAACAGTTACTTCAGACGTCACGCAACATCACTATTAAGTACATAACACTTTACGGTCGGAATTTAATTAGCGACACGGTAATTGGGATCATGATTGACACTCGGTATGATGCAATCCCTGTCATCCTGAGTGTCGTATATCTCGGAGCATCGTATCTTTTCGTCGATCCTGACACACCACCTCTTCGTATCAACCAGATGATGGAAGATACGAATGCAGCCATGTTGATAACCCAAAAAGACGTACAACATACCAAGGCTGTGAGATACGATGAATTATTCAGAGATAACTTTGAAGATACGTTTTTCAGTACATACGAAGGACTCAATGTTGATGGTGATTTTAAAACAGTGGAGGAAGAAGGTACTGATGTTGAAGGTGATTCTGATAGTAGCAGTAGTTACAGTGGCAGTAACATTAACCGAGAGGACTATAAGTCAACTTATAGTACTTGTTCTGAAGGTAATGGTGAAGATACGATGAAGCCACAAGGCCATAAGGCTAAAACGTCGGAAGAAAGGGAGATTACTATAAGTTTATATAACAAAGAAGATATGAAGATGTCACAAGATACGACAATCACTGATTGTAAAGGCTTTTTATCAGATCTTTGCTACATTGTGTACACTTCTGGATCTACAGGAACACCAAAGTCGGTAGCAATTGAAAGGAAAGCGTTGGCGAACACTTTAAATGACGCTACAGAGTTCTTGAAGGTGGATGAACACAGTGTCATATACCAGTTCACCAAACTTTGCTTCGACAATTCTGTTCTTGAGGTGTTTCTGGCTCTAACTACTGGAGCTACACTCTTCGTCAACGATGATATGTTCAGTTCAGAAGTGTTTGCTTCTCATATTAAGGACTACAATATTACTCATGCTTTTCTGTTTCCTGGCTTGGTATCTACCTTTGAAGATAACGAGCTGTTTGCTATGTCAAGGTTGAAGTATTGGATAGTGGGAGCTGAGCCTCTATCACAACATCTGCTGGACAAGGCCTTATCTAGCAACATCAATATTTTTCAGAACTACGGCCCTACAGAGACGACCTGTTACGCGATGCGTCGAGTGATGACAGCTGGAGACACAGCCAACAACCTGGGGTCATCGGTGGCCAACATGCGATGTCTTGTCGTCAGTGACCTCAGCCGTCAGCAGCCATTGTTGTCGCCGGCTTATGGAGCACCTCGCGAACTTTTAATCTCGGGCGTGGGTCTGATGAGAGGCTATTTGGGGCCGGCCTCACCCGTGGCTTCGACAGAGCCTTTTGTTATGGTCGATAAAGAACGGTAAGAGACATAAATAAGGTAATAAGCACCCTTGGTACATGACATTATTCATTGCCATTATGTAGACAAAGTGACACGGCATGGTTAATATGATTTATGTCTTTTCAGGTATTATAAGAGCGGAGATATGGTGCGGTTGACGCGGCATGGTGATGTATTGTTTTGTGGTCGGTTTGATGCTCAAGTCAAGATACGAGGGTTTCGAGTTGATTTGCGCGAGATCGAGAGTGTTATCAGTCAGATTGATGGGATTGTGGCTGTAAAGGCGGTGGTAAACAATGATGACATTGGTGTATATTACACGTGGAAGCAGGTGAATATTAGCTACAGTATGCCTACTAAACTCTCAAGTTTAGCTACAATCACTTCAAGTGTTACTTCAAGACAAACTTCTAATCCAAGTTTATCTTTCGGTAAGACTACAAGTGCTTACTTGAGAGATTACTGTAGGCTACGGCTGCCTTCGTATGCCGTACCCTTAAATTATATTAATGTAGACCAAATGCCTTTGACCGCCAATAGTAAGATCGACGTAAGAGCACTCAAAGAGATGAAACAATACACTTTTGAGAATCAAGATGGACAACATCTGAAGGTATATGACATATGGAGAGAAGTGTTACGGTATGACAAAGTAAGGATTTATGACAACTTCTTTGAAGTGGGCGGCAATTCTCTATCAGCTTTTACATTATTGAGAAAAGTTAAAAAGGAGTACGGTATTAGTATTAAATACGACAAGTTTTTGAAGAATTCTACAATTGAAGGGCTTCTACAGTATCTCTCTGTAAGAAATGACAATAATCAAGTATATCATGAAGGAAATAAGGAGTCAAAAGACGGTTATATTGGCAAAAACTACCAACAAGATGGAGGTAATGTACTAGAGGATGCATCCAACAGTATAGTACTTAGTGATGTTACCAAAGGAGTACTAAGTTACCAACAAGAACAAATATACTTCCTGAACTTACTAAACGAAGACTATGACGTATTGTTTGTTCAGAAGTTTACTTTACAATTAGACATACTACGGTTACAAAAGGCGATTAATACTGTAATAAAGAACCATGAGGTACTACGAACACAGTACCTGGTAGAAAACGATGATATACTACAACAAGTTATTGAAGTACCGGATATTACGCTTGAAGTATTGAAATGTAAAGAAAACGAAATTACTACAGTAATCGAGTCATTTAAAAGCTCTAAAACAGATACTTACAGTAATCCAATCAGGTTACAGCTTTACAGAACAGAATCGTATTACTGTTTACTTCTACTGGTTAATCACATTGCTACAGACGCTACGTCTACTATGTTACTGGAACAATACATTAGTGATGCGTATAACAATGTAAACAGTGTCACACCAACAGTACGGTACATCGACTGGTCGATTATGGAGAAGAGAAAGAGTTATGAGTACAAAAAGATGTACCAACATTTCAAAACCTACTACAATATTATCAAAAAGGATTGTTTTAGAGAGATATCTGTTGCTTGTGATACTGTGTGTCTTCAAAAAAGTTACAATTACATTCCTACATCACATTCTCTCTTTTCTCTACTTATATCTTTGATTTCAAAGGCATTTGCTTCTTATTACGACATAGAAAAGATCAGAGTTCTCATAGGAGCACCTCACCAGAACCGTACTGAAGATACTCAAAACACTCTTGGCAACTTCCTCAATAACATTATAGTACTATCTGAGTATGACAACAAGCACAGTTGGGAAGAGAACCTGCGATGGAACGGTGAGAACATTGGGAACGGCATTGCTTTCGGGTCACTGCCGTTCTCTTTCGCCAAACAGATGGAGCCCTTCGACGAGCTGTTCCAGGTCTATGTCAACTGCCGATACCATCTCGAGGATCAGCAATCACTTCGAATTGGTTGCGCCATCAACACGGATCCAATTACACCGTCACGCCAGTTTCCATTCGAGTGCCATGTTGATGTTGTGGATGACAAAATTAATGTGCAATGGCTGATTGGGGCTGATTACGGCGGGGTAATTAAGCAATTTGATGCGGAATATGTTAATGTATACGAAGAGATGGTCAGGAAGAAGGTGAGGAACATGTTTTGGGAGTTATTGGATCTGAAAGATGGTATACCAAGCAAAGTAAATGGTGATGATGCAGTGAGAAATACGACAAAACATGGCCTAAATAGTAATAAGGATGAATTATTGAGAAATACAGTAACTCTTAGTGATGATCAACAGTTTTTCGAACTTGGAGGGAACTCTTTGAAGTTGATTCGGCTTCAGAATCGAGTAAAACGAGAAATGAATATTACTCTTGATCTGAAACAACTATACAGAGATTGTACCGTCAATAAAATATGGTCTTACTGTAACAAAAATACCAAATTTAAGCCAGAAGATGCAACAAATACAGTATACATCACCCAAGATACAGTAGATATTCTTACCAATCATTCTACCATATCTGATCAGTCTACTGCTAATGGCTCTTTCATACCTAATCATGTAGAGATTATCAACAAAGGCAAGAGTAATCTATTAGTACTGTTTCACTCAATTGTTGGTGTCTTTTGTTATCGTAAACTCTCCAAGTCAATACTCGATGACAATACTACTGTAATGTTAATCGATGTTCCGGATACTGTTCCTGACACTTTAGAGGAGCTAGCTTTAAACTACAGTAACATTATCACTGATTACACTGATAATTACACCAATGTTAATGTTTCTTTGGCTGGATTCTCATTTGGCGCTGTTTTGGCATATAGTGCCGGACAGAACCTGAAGTTTAAATATTCAAATTTGATTTCACTTGATGGGATAGCTAACTCTGGAGAAGTTAATCGAGAATTCACGTTTGAGGAGCATCAACGACAAATGGTATCAACAATGAAAAGATTTGGTATTGATGGTGATGTTGAGTTAGTGGACAAAAGTTGGAGGTTACTGCAGTTGGCTGTCAACTACAATATCATAACTTCTGATGAGAACACTCATAGAATCTTGACGTCTGCCGAGACCTCGCCCAACTTCACCGACTTCCACCTTGTTCGCACCGAACGCAAAGATTACGGTTGGCCTTTCATGAGTAATATCCGATATCATATCCGAACCTTGCCAACCAGCCATTCGGCGCTTCTGGAACAACATCACCATTCCCTGGCCTTGATTATTCGAAATCTGTTCTGAAGCCGGCAATAAAAGTTTTTTGAACTGTTAATCGAGCATGGGTAATATAATGGGCTTTGGATATCCATTTGAAGAGTGTGCCGGAAGTTTGAAATGGGAAATTCGAAAAAGAAGCTACTCGCATCACTTTTATTTCACAAAGAACACATAATATAAAGATTGGAAAAATTTGCATATTAATTATAATCAGATACTAGAGCGGTCCAAAAGTTCATAGAAAACATAAATATTGTGAAAAAATTAACATTTTCCAAATTTTTGAACAAAAACTTTTAAAAAGTTTTTAAAAATATAATTCTACGAACTTCTTGACCGTACTAGTACCTAAAACAAAGTATTCGAAATGGGCCTTAGTTTGACTAATCACAAAACGTTCAGTGACAGTCATATTCTCCTATAGATCACGTATATAATGGTAGACAAGGTAAGATGTATACAATAACAGACAAAGTACTCGTACTGTAAAGTATGATTCGTATGAATATAAACGTATACTATAATATTTGAACGTATTGATGGTAAGACAAGAAAATATTTCTCAGCAATTGCTACTATGCAGTAAGAGACGATACCATGGTAGAAAGTATATTATACTGAGTGATAAAATATTAATAGATATTGACATTACATACTCAAGGTAAACCATAAAAAAGAGTACATTATACTCAAACATGACCATGGCGAGAAGTATATTATACTAGAACCATAGTAAAACACAATATGTACAGAGCAAGATAGTTATTGAGGATCGGGAGAATATACTGTAACTGACTCGTGGGAAGGCAGTGGAGAGATTGATAAGAGACACAACCATGACTGTGGCATAAACAAGATCATAATATTAACAACAACAACCGGGACAAGATATTTAGAGCATATTAAATTAATTAAGCTATGATAATATATTTGGTATTCAGAGGCTCTCCGAGTTGGGCGTGGGTGGACAGCCGTCTGAGTACGTCGACGAGGTCGGCGATAGTGGTGCTGGTCTGAAAGTACTATAATATAAAAAAGAAAAATTGAAAGTAAGTCCTGGTACCTAACAATGACTGTAGTTAGCACAACTTGATACATTTAAAATTTTTTATTTTGTAAAACCTGCCTCATGGTTCCATGTAACAACATAAGGTTGGCTTGAATAACATCAGCATCGAGTTCGAAGTGGGAGTAGATGTTGTCTTCGATTAGTTCAAACTGGTACATGTCCCTCAGGTAAAAGAGGACGATGGCCATTTGTTCTGATGGGTATAACGAGGCAAAGTGCAGATCTATAACAATATCAATATAATATATTTTTAATTTTTTGAATTTTAAAACGGTCGAGTTTAGTATAACATGTTTTGTACGATAATTTACTAGCCTAGATCTTATTATTCTTATATGCAAAAACTTGCGTTTCAATTTCAACTTTTCTTTACAGTACAATTACAGTATTTTTTAGTAATAATAAGGTTTTAACGATCCTTAATTGCATTATGACTTTCGTGCCATTTTTGGTTACAGTAAGTTCATGAGACTTGATTATGCATAAATTTCTAATGTCGGCTCAATCAATCAGATGGGAGTCGCTTAATTGAGTCGTTAATGGCTGGAATAAAGCCTAAGCCAGATGGAATCCAGCCCCGTGTGCCGCAATGCAGCTGGCGTTATAAGATCTGCTCGAATAACTGGGATTAACGCAACACTCAACAAGGAGGACAGTAAGCATGCCTCTACAGCGGGGTCAGCGGGGGGCCTCGGACTGCACATGTCATTCGGTAATTGTGTGCCTAGATAAACAGCCAACACCGTGCCTTAATTAATAGTCAAACAATGTAGTAATCTTTTCGAAAAGTGCTGTTTTAAATGAATGTCAAGTTACTCTAATACTTGCATTCAAAGACAGTAGACAGCGTCTTAAAACAGAATTCAAATTATAAGAAATATTCGAATTCAAATATTACTCAAAACAATATTCGAACATTTTAAAATTCAAATTTCCGAAATGGTAGCCGGCTTTGAATGGCGGACAATTAGTCTTCGGGGTGACATTTGGCCGTGGTAATGACAACAACTGTGCATTCCATCGCTGCTCATATGCGCTTTCATTAAGACAGCCATCAAACACGAGGGGCCTCGTTTAAAAATCACTTTTCGAAAAACAGAATTTGAATGGCCGAGGAACGCAAAGCCGGCTAGCTGATGACTGAGACGATGAAAAGGACCGTGCCGCACCTCACTAAAATGCACTCACTCCTCGTAAACCACTCTCCGCCACGCAACATTCCCGCGTCTATCGGGCCACTCAAATTCAAATTCTGGGTCCCCCGAGACCTGAATCACCATCAGGAGGAGTCCACCAGGAGAAGTCGGATCATCGTAACATATTTATACGATTACCGTAGAGCCCACTGTCATAAGATCGGAAGACAGTAAAAAGAACCATGATGAAAGAAGGTGGATATTCCAAAAGTCATAGTACTAAAGTTAAGACCATATAAAACTACAATATGTTTCAAACGATAGTCAACCGTATCACATTAGCACTATTAAGACCTCACTTTTATGGCCGTAGAAGTAACCCAATCCAATTGCGAAGATATCTGCCCTATTAATGCTACTCCATTACCTAAAGTTAGGGCCAAATAAACAAAGAGTGATGGGACTGTCAGTCATTAATTTTCTTCAATTCGTCTTTGTATGAGGATCGGTTTCACCAAAAAAGGAACTGCGCCAAACAATAGTGAAAGCGAGAGGACCGGTTCATCATTCCATATGGCGGCAGACGCCAGATCCCCTTTTATCTCCAGCATCTTGAGACAACCGTTGCGCAAACACAACTTGGCTAGTTAATCGATCATGCCCCACATAAACCTGACATCTAATAGGCTTTGATGTGTATGGCAATGTTGCCACAGAGATATGAACTTTCGAGACCAGTTCAAGACTAAGTTACAGTAAATTGAGGAAAGTTGCCAGAAAAAGCCAAAGATTAAGCCAAAAAAAGCCAAGGATTGATGCGTTTCATACCTATTTCAACTCGATTCAACTGTACAGTAACCTAAAACAAGACCGGGATCTCAGAAACTACCTCGGGTTGCAATGCACTTTTAAATCTAGTTCGAACAGAGGTAACCTTCAAGGTTATCAGCAGTTTTATGTGCTTTTCAAGACCTCGACCGTCGTCTTGGCTTCTTCTTTAGTTGATTGCGCAATGAGTTGGGGTTGGGGTCACCGTCTGACCTGACTCTCAGCCCTCGTTTTTTGTTTAAGTCTTAGCCAAATGTGTTAAGTGCCGGTCCGAATAAGCTGTTTGGCGACGACAAAAGAAACATTTCTTATAATTTTGTGAACCATAAGCCAATTACAGATAGCTACGAGCAACGGTCACTCGTTGCCGAAAAAGATGCGGTATAACGATCTTAATATAGTATAAAGTATAAGATCGTTATACGATTAGCGATATGCCATATACATGTATAATGGATCATCATGCAATTATTTTGCCAATAATAACATATAACTGATTTTTGTGACATTATAGTCCATAGACAATTATTGTTGCCTAGAATGCCGGTATAATTAGCTTCCGACAATTACAATCATCTTCATAGTCGGCAACAAGAAGAAGCCCATGTTAATTATGAGGTAATATCCCGTCCTTTCCCAGCCTTAAGATAAACCCGAGAGTTGGTAATAACTGCCGGCGATCTTGTGATCTCTCGCGCGAACCAACACTAATAAAAACGTCTGTCATAACGGGCTCATACGGTCGGCTCCAAAAAAAGAACGCGCCAAAAACGCATTCAAAAGCCGAGAATAAACAAGAATGAAACAGTCTCGCGCAATCGCGATGTTATCAACGGGTCATGGTGTCAGAGAACAAGACGAACCGAGCCGATTTATAGCTAATAACCTTATAACAACATTGCCATCTGATAATAACCGTCAAAGACTGCATCTGCATAAAAAACGGCTGGTTTTATACCTAACTCAAACAACTCAAAAGTCATGGCAATTTCTGTTTTATAATTATAAGCCTACGAATTACTTTTTTAAAGGTCTGAGAGATCGAAAGTTGGCAATAAATAAAAAAATGAAATAATAGAAAGTTTGAAGCCAAAAAACGAAATTTTGGGAAAAAAGACAATTTGAATAAGGTCTCAGTGATTTTTTTGAAAATTTTAAAAAACGAACGGAAAGTTCGGTGAAGTTTAAAAGGTGCCGCTCAAGTAATCCATCAAACAAGTTGACTCGATTCGTGGAGGAAGCCGCCCAAAAAACAATTGAAAAAAGTTTTTGCCTCGCGCAACTTTTTTTGGCTCCACAGTAAACTCTTTTTTTTGTACAGTTGGACACAAAAAACAGACAAAGAATTCTGAAGGCTGCTGTTTGTGGCTCATTAAGCGTAAAGTTTTTTAAACATTGTATTATACACTTCCTATAGTAATTTTATCGAAAAACACTTCCTATAGTAATTTTAAAGATATGCTGATAGACTGACATTAGTGCCCAAGACAAGTCCTTGAGCACATTCCATTAAATTTCAAATCCTTCTCTATCTCACTGATCAAGACAATACGTTTACAAACTCATTATGCTAAAGCCCTAAATTACTATGCTAAGATCGGAAAACACTTCCAAGTGCACCAATACGTTTACCGCACTCACAGCACGACGCATCGCCACCCTTTTCATATGTAAATTACGGTAAACACTGTGGAGGGTACAAGACTAGGGCGAGGTCGATATCACACGGCGACGCAACTCTTCTCATGGCTATTTGGCGCTACGCCAGTTAAAACAGATTCCAGAACGCCCGGAACAGCCACCCTCGTCGTCAATCGGCTCATTAAGGGAGGCAGAAGGCTTGATCGGGTCAATTCAATTGCCTCATCATCTTTACCGCATGATAGGTGGCTTCTGGAAGACCCCTATTCGATGTGAATCCCAGGTTAAAAGACCGATATGAATTTGGAGTAAAGAAGTCCTCCTTTAAGAGTTAAAACACTAATATTCAAAAATGTCTTAATACCTAAAACTATCAGTAAGAAAGTGTATGTCAATGTAAAACTTCCCAAAATGGGTTTCTCAGGTTGGATATATTGCTCGCCTAATTATCAGAAGCCAGTTTCTCTCCGTCCTCCAGAAGCCGACGTAAAAAACGAATTTAAATAAAAAAAAACATCTGCTGCTACCCTGCGCGCAAAGCCTGAAGTCAATTGGAGGGACCACCCAGACCTCCGTGAACAAAAAAAACAGCCAGCGAGAGGATCAGAGAAGCTGATGAACTCGAAAAAACTACTAATTTCAGCATGATCGCTTGAAAAATGACATAAAAACTGAGGGTTTTTCTCCCCTTTTCGAAGTATAAAAAATATAAACTTTCAAAATGGCATACTGTAGAAGGGAAAAACACTAAAAATAAAAAAAGAAGAGAAATAATAAATGGCACTAAAGCAAAAATAACCAATAATACAAAAATACCGTAAAAAACACAAAAAAAGTGCATCAAAAACTATGTAATTTGAATAAAACCAACCTCTTTGTAGGTCATCCAAAACTGTAAAGAAATCGTCTCTGAGGTCGGCCAATTCTTCCGACTGCGACACCAAACAATCGAAGAAATCGACAGCTGTAGGATTGTTGAAGTCCCATCGAAGAATAGCAGCTATACTTTTCTCCCATTTCTGAAAAATATTTTTTAAATTAACATCTTTAACGTCTTCATATAAAACATGATAACTAACTACAATATACACAAACATAGCCTCCAGTAACCAAAAATACTAATATACAGTATAACGAACTGACCTGAATCGTAACCGTATTGTAAGTCCTTTCTTGAGCCAATATCTCCGTCGTCAGTGGTCTAGTCGACTTCATTTTAGACGCCAACAACAACGCTGCTAACCCAACATACATTCTACATCGTTGTGGTACCATTTGGACACTCAGAAACCGGTCCAAGATTTGAACGGCCAAAGGGAAAACTGCGAGGTCAGCCTTGTGTTTGTTGCAGATTCTACTCATCATGTGGGTGACCAGACATCGCTCCTTAATTATACACCCCTCCTTCTGCAGATGCTGCATCTTGTAGATGTTTATGTCCACATTCTTTTGTCGATTCAACAGCTTCTTCACCAGTGACAAGTTTGACTGCAGAGCTCTGTCAAAGTCGACCACAACGTACTCCAAGTTCACGGTCTCCAGTTTCGTTTCTGAATGTAGCCGTTTTGGCAGAGGGCCTTCCTGGAATCACAATTGTTAAAAATTTGTATGAAGTTAAATTTTAGGTAAAACTTAACTAGTAAACAATTATATTTAAAAAAATTATAAAATTTACAATTTTAATGTCAAAGAATATACTATCTTAAAAAATTAAAAATTTACCTTGGACAGAGAAAACTTGTTTTCTAGTACAGCTGATAAAGGCCGTTTTCGTGAAGAAGATGTCCGACTAGATGTTGTAGATGGAGCAGCACAAGAACCATTACCACTGTCTCTGAAAACTTACAGTAAATTTAAAAAAAAGAACCCATAGCTATCGTATATTAAAAAACCAAAATTTGAAAAATTAAAATTACAGTACAACTTACTTGGATGTGGACGGCGAATCGAGTAGGTATTCCGAGCACCAGAACCCATCCATTCCCATGGTCGCGCTCTCGGTAAGCATGTCCCAGTCAGCCGACTGACTAAACGAAAAAAATACAGTAACACTTAAAGAGTAAAAGCTGTGATGCAACACGACCAGTTGAATAGAACACGTAAGGCTATTAGCGGTAAATGCGTGTGTCGAGATATGTCTCGGCTATTGAATGTCCAGGCAGAATACACAACGGCGCAGTTTCCGACTCGGCAACAGACGACCGGCCCCGCCCCCTTCTCGATCACTTCGCCTTCGCCCTCCCTTCGTTTACCTCATTCGACGGTCGCCCCAAAAACTGATTGCAAAAACGTCACAAGGCTCGAAATAACACCTCGAGATGGGCAAAACCCACAAATAGGTGCCTTCGCCACTCTCGCATATCATATAAAACCCCAAACAAAAAACGACGGCACTGATCGAACTGCCCGATAACGCGGCGGGTGTGATAATCAGATAGCAAAACAAACGTCTTGCTGCCAAGGCCGCAGCCCATTGTTGCTGCGAAGAAACGGCCAGATACTCTCAACACACCTCAGATTCAGATTAGAGAAACACTTATCAGAATAGTCAAAACTTAAAAAACATTTCTCTAATCTCAATTTGACAATTTTTACAGAAATTTCGACCAGAACGATGACCAAATTCTGAAGAATTTTCAAGCAAAAAAAGAAAATTTTTGTTTGAACCAAAGCTAACCTACCCTTGAAAAAAGTAAGAACTAAACTTAAAAACGGCCAAACCAAAGAATAAAAGGCCATAATTAATATCTAGATCAGGCAAAGAAAAACAATAAAAAATCCAAAAGCAGGCCAATTTTGTAGCTACAAAACGGCCAAATCTGATCACACCTCAAGCATCCGATCCGATCTGAGGCTAAAACAATAGAAACCAGGTAACCGCAACAGGCCAACGACGGAATAAATTATCGTCACACAAAAAACATGTGAGAACTGTTGGACAGCGCAAAAAAGAGTTGCGCAACCGTCTCTTTGAAAAGATTTTGGGCTTGCCAATGAATCGGTTTAAAGGGCGCCCCAACACAAGCCGAGTCTGGAGAACAAGGAGCCTGATCATCACGATATACGGGGGCAAAAAGTTTAAAGACGAACGTTAGTTTAATGCACGTTGAAAAGAGGGAAAACTGACCGTGACGCTGCTTGATAGCTTGGAGAGTTATCAGATGTCCTTGCGAATAGTTAAGCGAGGCACGACGATCGCGACCGTGATTGCTGACACTCGAGTGATTACTTTCGCCGAAGTCCGCGTGCCTCAAGGCCAGTAATCAAACGAGGATTTTATTACAATATTTAGGTCGAAAAATTGATATACTCACCTATCAATGAAACCAAACAAGACTCGAAAAACGAATAGAATGTCACCAAAGAATTCGAAAGACAATAGACCATTCTCAAAAAGTAAACGTTGCCTGACCGTTCACAGAAGCAGAAGTTGGCCGTGTCATTAATCTTGTTCAAGCGCAGATGATTAAAAAGATTCCAACAATGTTTATGAACACCTGGCCTGCCCTTCCTCAAAACTGTGTTGACAGGCAGCGTGCGCGAAGGCGACGGGTGTCAATGCTTGACGGTGCCGTCCCAGCCCATGACGCGGAAGGAGAAGATACCTGCTGTGATCCATACGATTATCAGGCAGTGTTTGTTTTGCAAGACGTGAAACTTCCGGACCGACCTTGTCGCAACGAAGTGCTTATAGAGGGAACAACACATTTGGCGCACAACTGACCGTTTCCTTATTGTATTCAATTATACCGAGCCATAAAAATACGAAACCAATTGTAAATTTGCGCTAAAAATGCGTTCCTTATATTATAGACGTTACTGCGCCTCGAGATTGCTCTTTTTGAATAGAATATCAATGAGTCTAAGTCGCCTTAAGTTAAATCAGTAACAGCACAAAGTAACACATATGCAAACGTACGAAATACTGTTGCAGTTAATAGGAAAAGATATTAAAACCCACTAAAAATGCTATCAGTATGCTCTACAGATGTTATTGCAGCATATTCTAAATAGTTAATGCCAAACTTGCAACAATAGATTAACAAATCAAAAAACTTTCAACTAATAACAATACTATAATTTTTTTGACTAACCCAGTACCGCAAAAGTACGAGTTTATCAACCAAGGTATAGCCTGGTACGACATAAACAGTTAAAAGGGCGCCAGGCGAAACTTTATCGATAACAGGGTAAAAAAAGTAGTGATAGTGAATTTCTGTACTTTTGGCGACATAATTAGTCAGCAATTTTATGTGAAAGGGAATTCGCCCGAAATGTAAATAAAAATACATGTTGCGATTAGAACTTCTGAATGCCGCAACACTTTTGATCGTCAAGCATTCCGCCGGAAGTTGAATGCAGATAAAAATTCAAAAGTTTCAGGCATTTTCTATATGTAGTTACCAGTTTAGTCACAAAAGTAAATAAAAACGTATGCAAAAACTAAAACTATGCAATTCCCTGATTAACCAACAAGAATTATAAATTATAAAACCTAAAGAGCTGCAGCCATTACAATCCCCTCATATTAAAACGCCAAAAATAACGAGAAACACACAACCCCTAACTAAAATACTTTAAAATAATTTAACTTCAATAAAGATAAGGTATAAGATTAGACATGAAGACCTTTAGAAGTGTAAACGTGCCCAGTTTAAAGACGTTACTTTATTTAAAACAACCATCATTACACAACGACAACGAATCAATAAAATTTAGTTTGTCAACAACTTTTCTTGAATGGCCAGCTGGGTCTTGGCCAACTGCGACAGGTAGGATACCATCATGTAATCACGAATGCTGCCCTTTACTAGCGTGTCCAGCTTCTCGGATTGCAATTGAGTGGCGGCGATGTTAACAATGTTCATCAGCTTTCGACCAAAAGCCTGGTCTTCGGCGGTTGGCTCGGCCTTCCCTAAGACATCCTCTACATAGCTCAGGATTCTCTCCAGCCATTTGACCAGGTTCTCACTTGTCTCAGTCAGATTACGTAGATCATCGTCACCGTTTAAGAACACTTCTCTTCTGTCAGTGTAAATTCCATTCTAAAAATGTAAGTTTAAAAAATATAAATATTATAAACATTCCTGTACATAAAGAGTGGTTATGCAACAACCGAACCACTTGAACATGATTAAAGCCAATGTAAACATGAATAATACACTAATATTACCTGAATAACATTAAGAGCAATGCTTTCACCAGGAAATGCGTCCATTTCAACTTTCAAAGGATGGAAGATGGCTGCATGCGGACTCTGGCCAGGTACTCCACCATCACATCTAAAACAAACAAATGTAATCATCAGATTAAGAACATTATAATTCGAAAACAAGATAAACAAATATTGATATTATAATCCAAAAAACACCTATAATTCGCACAATACGCAAACAATGATAAAGCATGACTAAGTGCAACTTTCCCTCAACACGTTACTGTAAAATTTCCAACAACATACCTAGTGTAAGCTCTAACCGGTAGCCGTCCTTTGGTAGGACCTTGGAAAGTGATATCCAAAGTCAACAAAACAATCGGAGGCAGCTCCTTTTTAACAGCGATTTCATTGACCAAGTTGGTGTAGTAGTTGTAAAACAAGTTGCACCCTTCGGTCACCTCCCCAGTCGTGACAAACCATCCTACAATTTGTTCAGAAGGAGTGGCACGACGACAGAAGTTCCACATCTGTTTGTTGAAGACGTCGTCCAACTCTTGGACTTCCGGAGTATCTCTGAACGGGATCGAGTAGCAGTTCGTTATCTGAAAACAAAGCAATCGTGATTAATCGTAATTTATCAGGTAAAAAAATACTTTAAAAACAAGAATTATTTTGAAACTTTATTAATAGAAACTCACTTGAACAACATTCTTCTCGTAGAAGCCCAACAAAGTACCCAGAGCTTTGTCACTTCCTTTAGAACGAGCTCTTCGCTCATACGAATCCACCATAGTCATGTAGACCACTGGGTGCACTTTGACTGTCAGACTCGACGCCATCTAAACACTGTGTTAAGTGATTGAAAATCAAAAAATCCAAGGTATTTGAAAGATATCAACTTCAATGCACATCACCAATACAATCTATTTAAAATTTTATAATTATGAAATATTACAAGCAAAATACAAGGGTCCTAAAGCAATAAATGCGGCAAGATTGAATTATTTTTTCTCCTGGTGCAACCGGTGCATGAATTCCTCCAACTTCTCCTGAATATATCGTACTCGTTCTGAAAAATGTAAAATTAGGCATTAATTTGTATAACCTATATAACGATAGAAAGTAGAACAAAAAATAAATAGAACCCCTTGAAATTTATGACAGTTATACTCACTTAAGTTTTCAGCCAATTCGACTCGTTTCCCTGTCAAGTAAGTAGTCTTGGCATTCTGATCTTGAGACCAATCATCCAGAAGGTCTTTCACTTCCTTCTCGACTCTTCTCTGTTCTGTATTTGTGACTTGTTGCCTGAGGGCATTCGAACTTAGATCCAGCATCTTCTTAATCCGGTAGAAGAGTGCTACCGCTTGACAGTCGAGATCTCCTTCCTGTTCCAATCCTTGTTTATAGTGCTGATAGTACCCCATACACTCTTGACTTGCTTGCTTCAGACGTTCCAAGTAAAATTCTCTAAATACATATTGCCATTCCTTGAGCATCACGTTCTTGCTCACGTCCTTCAGTTCTTTTGCTTCTAAATTACGTCTGACTACTGTAACATCCTCTTCGTTCAATGCCGGTAATTGATCCTAAAAATATACTTTAAATCAAACAAAACAACAAATGTGTAAATCCATAGCTTTACAGTAAAGTCAAAAACTAAAAACTTACGACATTCTGATGAAGAATCTGTCTGAACTCCTTCTGCAGATTCTCTGATACAATGTTGTCATAAGACGGATTCTTCCACTTTACCCATCTGTCGTAGAACCCAGGTCCTCTAGCTTCACTCAATGTCTTCTTGGTCTTCTCGAGGTATTGATCAACGGCTTCTCCCATAAATCTACATGCACTTTCCCATGTCTTTCTGTCAGGTATGTTAGGATCACTGATGGCATTCAATTGAATCACCTTCTATAAAAGTAGCATTCTTAAGTTACCTATATTTATTCGATTTAAAACTACCTAAAAAATAAAAAATAAGACAAAAACATACCAAATAATCCACAGCCTTCATATCCCACTGATGTTCCTTCAGAATCTGATCAATGACAGCTCCTTTCAAGTCATCAAATATAGCATCGTGCTCCTGTCTACCTTGATTGTGACCTTCGCCAAGTACTTGTGTCCTAAACACTTCAGCTAAACTTTCCCATCCGACTTTAACAGACAAATTTGACAATTCCTTTTCAGTCCAATGCTTGAGTCTAATATCGACAGCCGTATTGAAAGCCCCAGCGTTGCTCATTCCTGATGTTGGTAATAAGATCTGGTCAAAAATTTGTTTAGAAATCGATTCCAACAACTTCTTCTTGATCAGACTTTCCCATTCATCAGCAGAAACAAGTGACAAGTTCACGATTTGATCGAGAATCTCCCCTCTGGCCTTGTCGAACAGTTCGTCTCGATCAAGTTCTCTTATCCTTGGAAACGTGTTCTTCCATTCCGTTTCCAAATTGAATCGTGCTGCTCTAAAGGCATCACATTGAGCATCAATTGTGTCTCTGACCATTCTCCAGAAGCAATCCGAGACAGCCAATGACATGTTACGTGTGGTCATCTGAGACGGCTTCAATACTCCTTCCCTGAAAAAAATGAAACTCATAAAATTACATATATCATCTTGATGCACTAATGAAAATTACAGTAAAGTAGCTTATTATATGTAAAGCGCATCATAAAAGTACCTATATAGACCTTTTCAAACTGTAATATGTCCTGTTATCCCTAAAACCTTACTTGAATAAGCTTGATCCTTCAAAGAACTGCTCCTCGTATCTCCGTATTTCCTCTATCGTGGCATCTTTTCTGTCCATTCCTGTCACAACGCCAAAATAACCTATAGCCTTCATTGGAAACAGTTTTCCTTCAAGTATCTTCCTTATCCTGTCTGGGTTGTTCAGATTCTTTTCTGCCAGATCAACTTTTGTTAATACTAGAATAGTTCTTTGACCAGCTGGATCAATCCGGCTTACAATGTCTGTGACATTACTTCTTTCGGCATCAACAGAACCGTCTAAAATACAGTTTTTTGTTTAAATTCAAATTACAGTAAATACACAAAAAAAAATAAAAACTTACCCTGAATGCACAATATAATAGAATTGGGATTCTCCATGTGTTGTCTACACATATGAATAATGTCGTCCTTGGTTTCTCTAGCCATGTCAGCTGTAACTGTAGAGATAACACCAGGCAAGTCCACCAACACAATCCTTGGTAAGTTTGGCCCCTTCACAGTCAGAGATATGACATCGTTCGACACTGTCTTGCCTCCTTTTACAGAATTCCTCATTCGCAATTCTATCTCGTTTCTGAGCTTCTCCAGATCATCTTCTTTAGTCAGGTCAAATTCTCGATTACTGTCTCTGAACTGTGCCACATGATAAGGCCCTTCACTTAAAGTAACCTTAACCGGAGCTCTCGTCATCATTTCACCTGAACCTCGAGGAAAGATCCTTGCTTGAGCTATCATTTCCAACACAGACGTTTTTCCAGCAGACTGATCCCCTACTACAACCACACGAGGCAAATTGTCTGTAGTTGAATATGACCGGTCGTACTCGTTCAAGATGTCCAGCATTTCAGAGTACATGTCGATCAAAGACCGCTGAAAATAAATAAGAAAATAAAAATTAAATATACATACCTTACTAAAGTGTTCAATTAACATTTACTAATTAACAAAACTAATAGTAAAAAATAGAACCATAAATCTTGAGAAGCTCGAGCTTCCACTTACCTTAAGCTTCTTCAGCCGTTTCAGCTCGCCTTTGTCTTTCAACAGCAATCTTTGCTTCAGTGTCTTATTCTCCTTTTCTAAACTCTCCAGCTCACGTTGATATTGCATTTGAGTCTTCAGAATTTCTTCTTGTAAAGCTTGAATCCTTTCTTCCGGAGTCTGATCCTAAAAATAACATTTTCAACACCAAGAACGGTTTTATAACCTAAAAATCAACAAAAATACCAAGAAACACTTACATGATGCTTTTCCTTGTCTTCGCTTTTCCGTGAGAACATTGAGAAGAACGTGCTTGATTCTGAAATAACCACATTTTATTCTATGGAAAAAATATTTAACCCATCTTCCTCAATAAATAACCAAAATTAGAGTGTTCGTCCAACGTTTTAAAATTAGATTGACAAAAAAAAGTCATTCTTACCAGCTCCTCCTGATGAACCACCATCTCCAGAATTCTCTGTACCAGAAGTTTGTGTGTCGCCAACTGAAGAAAAGAACAATAAACGGCCCATTTTACTAGAAGGCCAAATATCCACAAAAAGCTGACCTGATTTTTGCTTCATTTCAAAATGAGGTAAACTAGGAAGTTTTCCCTTGAAGTCGATGTTTTCGAATCGCTCTCCTAGTTGTCGTAGATCGTCAGAGAAACTTCTGAATGTTCCTTCTTCGAATTTAGCCCATTCTGGCAAAGAGAAATCCGGCAAACTCTTCTTCCATTCTTCATACCACTAAACTAACATAATAAGAAAGAAGATAATCACTTACATTACCTGCAGTGATGCCACCACCTATAAGTCCAGTGGCAACCCAATACCTCAACTTCAGAGCATGTCTAAGAAGAACAGTGACAAAAAATCGTCTTCCAGTAATTCTGTTTACCGGCTGAAGCAATCTAAAATAATGAAAATTATAACTGTTTACTAAAAGCACCAATTCAAACAAAAACGAAACAATGAAAAATCTTTATTAACCTAAAAACAGAACAAAACAAAAACTGATAAAGTTACCGAGATGGTCGAGCTGCATAAAAACTTCTGATAGGTATCAACCTATATGATCTCGAGGCCAATATACCATCATTTTCCGTGTCCTTTTGCATTTCATACAAAAATCGTTTAGAAAACAATATAAAAGACATATTATTTGGCTTCGTTCGTTTTCGTTGCGGGACCCAAGTCGGGACATAATGAAATGTATTTTTAATTTTAAAAATGTCAGAATCAAACAGCCCTTTTTTTGTTGTACTTTTTTTGCTATAATGCAGGGATGAAAAAAATGAAGAAAAATCAGACGTTATATGTTATTATTGATCATGTGCCTACCCACTGAGTAATTAATAAAGTTTGTTTTGTTCTTCAACAAATTCCATAAATAAATTCACAGTTTAATTTCGAGTATCATTCTCATCATTTTACAAGTAAAATATATAAATATGTACAAGTTGTATATGGTATACAATAATTAACATTTTTAACTTTAGAGTGGTAGCCAATGTTATTAAATGCAATGAGTAGGTTCAATATCACATCGGTAACAGTTGTCACGATCGTGTCCTGGCCCTCTGTACCACAAACACACCAGTTTATGTAAATTATGTGCTAGGCCTTGTGCCGATGGAATGTTATGGCCATTTACAATGAGCTGGTAGTCTCGAACTCTGAGATCGACTTTGTAAACAGATTGTAGCGTAGTCCTTCTCATCGAGTGTTGATACCATTCGGCAGAGCGCGAGCATTTACTGTAATCAAAACATTGTAATCAAGGTGGTTCACAGTGTATTAAAAGGTCAAGATAGTTGTTGTTAAGGGTTTATAAGATAGTTCAGATGCTGTTGGAGTTGTGTTCAAAACAGATAAGGTTGTTTGAAAAAGTTTTGGAAATAAGGTTTTTAATGCTTTAAAAGTGTAAAGTGGTATTAAACAGAGTACTTTTCGCTGATTTAACGATCCAAGATCGAATTCTGCTGGAAATTAGGACAAAAGATTCGCGACAGACACAGAGGCGTCGCTTCAGATAAGGAATGTGTTACACTGAATAATCACATTTCGGAAAGAAAGTAAATTTGTGATTGGTAATTGAACAGCTATGATTAGAAAGGATTAAATGAGTCAGTCCGAAAATTGAAAGAAAAGTTAAATTCAAGATATTTACATCTACCACAACATTACAAAAACTAGTTTATATCCTCCTATATTGGTTTTGAACCTTACCTGATGCTGTCTGAGAGCGCTGTTGTCACCATTTTTTTGCAAAAGCCATTCCAAGCCCTGTCAGCCGAAGGTCCGTACTCTATCATACACAAAAGAACATTGTTTTTGTCCACGACGTTCAACTTGGCAATAACACATTCAGTAATAGCTGCATCTGCACAACTTGAACTTTTACATTGATGCAACGGTTCAGGTACCGGGTCGAGATCAATCACAACTTTGCCAGTGTTATTCTCAGTTCTCATACTGTCAGTTGGTGTAAAGTGTTTTTTGACGTAGCCGACGAAGTAACTCTTGATTCTAGGATCATTCTGTTTGTAGATAAACTTGAAGTTGACTGGTTGGCCATAGATGTGGCTGTTGTAGGCAGTACATAAGGTCTGATCAAAGCAGGTGGAAGTTACTTCTGGAGTTGAACACCAGTAATCTGGAGGAGTCATACAACGGGTTGGGCGATGAATTGCGCTTAATGGGTAGTTCTGAAAGTTAATTTACTTTGATAGCTGAATTAAAAAAATTATAATAAATGAATCTGAGTGAAGGACTTAAACATATAAAAATAATATAACGTGGTGTTATTACGACTTACATCTAAAGTTTCTCCCCACGACCGTATCTTCTCTGGCAACATGATCTGAGCAGCTTGCATGTGTTGGTGAGAGTTACCGTTGATGGCAATATAAGGGACAAATCTGGGGCGTTTCAGAATCTGCTGTGTCCTTTGCTCATCGTACTTTTGGCTCACTGTAGCTTCCAGCCCATTAGCACACGGTCTAAAACATTAAGTTAGGAAAGATATTTTTTTATATATGTAACAACGTCATTCCGTATTGTAAGTATTATAGAAATACCAAAAGTTTTTAAAATTAAACAGTCTATACCAGTACTTTTTGAGAGAATAAAATAAACTTACTGAATGACGATCGAAAAGATGTTGTTGCTGGATTGTTGGAAACATTTGTACATGTTAGTTGTAGGATCAGATTCTTTGTCTTCCATCCTTGACATAAAACAGTAAAGTACTCGATCACGTTGTTCTAAATCGTCTTCCATATGCTTCATCAAGCAGGTCAAGAGCCGGTTGCCAACGCAATCTCTTGTTCCATGATGACATTTCAGTTTTCCTGCTGAATAACGTATTACATTAGTACAATATTTGATTGTTTGTTTCGCTCCCATACGTAACACAAAACAGTAATTGTAAAACTTATTTTTTGTTAAATTCTTACCTTCTTCGTACTTGGACAGCCCCCAGGCAATTGGTTGGAAGTCAACTTTGTCATACAAAAATGGCTGTGCCAGGAGTCGTGGATAGATCCTTTGAATGAATCCTCTCGAATCCGGACAAGCGGCTTCAAAAGATAGCTCAATCTTTATTTTACGATCCTTTTGATTCCTAACGTAGTTCGAACAGTAGTCCAGAGATCCAGTACATTCCAATGCAATTTGAGGGTTTTCACACCAAAAGTCAGGCGGGACATTGCAGATGGAGTAGGCTTGTTGTAGAAGGATTGTCAGTATTACTAGACGTAACATATTAGAAAAGAATCTTTGGCGTTAGCTACTAGTAAGTCAAATATCAGTTTTGAAGTTGTAAAGCCTTGTCTTTAGGTATCAAGTAGCTTATTTATAAGTTTCGAGTAATGATCTCTTAGTAACAGAACAAGTTTCGAGTAAACAGATTCCGAGTAAACAACGTCAGATTCTGACCAGAAGCACGATTACGTAAGACTCGAATATGCTGTTATATATTACCTCCATCGCCCGCCCATCGTCACAGGTTCAAGCCGAATGACCAATTACAGATTCTATTTCTGTTTTGATTCCACTAACAGCTGCTGGACCCGTCACGGACTTTACACCGTCAACAATATAGTTTTACACCCGTGTTCGAGTGCTGTTTATGTTAACGCTCGATGGCAAGTGTAATATCATCCAAATTCCAAAAATTTTTTAACTGTAAATAGAGTTTTTTGATACTGGTTTAGAAAGACGTCCTTGTTACAATTCAGTCTTTCGTTTTGCTTTGATAACAGTTTTATTTTACACTAATTACATTATAATAGGAGTGTGTTACACTTGGAAGACTATCTGGAGACAAGTTTTTATCTAGAGAGTTATGGTTGTGTCAAGGATTCGAAAGTTGCAACCTCCACCTGCGACGTTTCTTGATGCTTTAGTGTAATTTGATTGGAAATTAACTTAAAATGCACTTCAATTGCAAAACTTGTGCCTACAGAACAGTGTCACTGATATGTGTTTACACAAAAGTTGCTACAACTATCCCCTATATAATCCAACCGTTAAAAAACTAATAGACTCCTTAGAATCAGTTCAGAAACTGGCAAGTAAAACAATAATCTCACGTTGTTTTCATCATGTTCACACTATACCTATTCTCTTCGTCTTGCCAAACTCGGTCTTCCCACATTGAAATCACGACGTGATAAATTAGATATAAAAACTTTAAGTTCTATAATAAATAACAAGATAGTTGTATCGTCTGCCCAAAAGCCTGTCCTGAGAGATTCTAGGTCTAGAAGTGGGGCCCAATACCACGTTCCTTTCTCCAGGACGTGTGTTAAGGCCAACTCTTTTTTTCCTAGATCGTTAAGACAACTAAGGGATCAATAGCTATTAAAACGCTCATCACTGTACTGTCATTTATCTTTAAAAATTTATAATTTATATTATATTGATTTTATGTTATATTATGACTGTACGAGTGAATCCTTGAAAATAAAATAAAAAATAGTATCTTACAAAGAAGTTGTGAAATTAAAATTTTATTTGAAATTAAATAATTAATAAACATCGTTTATCCTATTGTGAAAAAAACATTGCCTTAACTCAGAGTAATACAATATCTGTAAAGCTATGGTCATAGCTAAGACATAGTAAATTAAGGCAAACTGCACAAATCATAAAATGAAGATTTATCAGTTTTTTACCAAGTCTAGTCTTGGTAAAGTGCTTGTTCACCAAACATCACAAAGAACCGATTGACGCAGTTCAGAGACTTGACTTCTGATGTAAACACAAATGTTATTTTAAGTACTTTACACCCCCGATTCTTTTAATAGCCATCTTTCCATCACCTCACAAAATATGTAAGTCATAATGTCTACTCTTTTTGTGACCAGTTGCTTGAAATAAATGTGCCTTTTTTTTAATTTTGTAATCTAAAAAAAATTTCAAGTTTGATAATGCACACATATTACCTTATATATCATATTATATTTAATGATTCAGCGTATGTCGCTTCTTGATCATCAAATTGTGTTATTGTTATGAGCTATAAATAAAGAGAGCCATTTAACTCATAAGGATACAAATACCACCCTCGAACAATCTCTTAATGTTGTAGTATCTTTTCAGTAATTGACGACAATTCTCGAAAGATGTGCTCCCTACAATCTCCCTACTGCGCTGTAACCAAGCCGCTTTGGCAATTATGCAAGGCCTCAACGTGACGGTAGATTCTCCCATAACAACGCTCACGAACACATTCGAAACCTTGGTTACAGTTTCTACAGAACGCGTGCCAACCGCTTATTTCCCAAATCGGTTTGATTATGTGTACATCCCTCATATTAAAGCCTACCGTATGCTTCGGCGTCTTTATTGGGACGGCGCTTACTGCGGTAGCCCTGTTTACTCCCGGGTGGTCAACGTACAAGGGCAGTGGCAATGAGACAGTACATGTGGGAATAATCACATACAACTGTGGCTCAAACGACACTTCCAGTCTCAGTGCAGTGTCGTCGGCATGCAAGAGTTATGTAGACGTAAGTAAAACGTATTTTACGTTTTAAAAAAAATGTTTTAAATTTTCCACATTATAGCGTCTAGCGTGCTATTTTAGTATACATAACGATGACAAACATTGCAATGTAAAAAATTTTTAGCTACACTTTTAAATAGACAAAAGTCAACTTTCAGAGTCGGCCAACGTGGGAAAAAGCAGTGATTGGCCTAATGTTTGCGGCACTTATACTAGAATTGATCGTACTGATTTGGGCAGTTTTCAGTTGTTTGGCCTTCTGTTTACCTAATTGTTTCCCTTTGATTACAATATTATGCGCACTGGCTACTGCATGTTTAGTCGCGGCTATCGCGGTATATGGCTCCAAGAACAAGGACACATCAAATTCGTTTAGTACGTTTAAAAAATTGCTTTTAACCTTGCCTTTCCTACTTTTAAATAAGCATTTGAATGTACCATTTATACGTAAAACTATAATATTTTGTATCTTTTGTTTTATGGTGTCACATTATTTTCTAAACCATGTCACAAAAATAAGTATTTACCTTACTTTAGGCGACCTAAACTTAACGACAAATGTAACAAAAGATTGGGACAACCTCGTAAACTTGAGCTACAGTTTTTGGCTAGCCGTAGCGGCAGCCATCGTGATGGCCGTGGCGACGCTAGTGTCAGCCGTTACCTCGCTCATCGCTGCTGTTACACCTTTTTAAGTTTTACTCAATAAACATGTACAAAATTGAAAACAATATAAATCTTAATCACCATTAATTTGTGGAGCAGGAGCTCGATGTTGTTTCGTTTCCACTTCCCGGATCAAATTTAACGACTCTTCCTGCATCAAAATGTCCTTGATCGAATTTGTTACCTAAAAATCGAATCGTTTTATTATCACTTTCATTTCATTGTTATTTTGCTTATTATTATAAATAATAAAATACCTAAAACTACGTTTTATTAAAAAGTGCAGCTTAAAAAGGCTTTGAACTAAACGTGTTGCCTAAAAATAAAAACTTCGAAAACAAAGAAATAAAACAGACATACCAATAAAACATCAGCAGTCATGTCATGTATCGCTCGTTGATGTATCGAGTCCAACGCCCTTAAGCCAGAGTTGGCAAATCCATTAAAAATACAAAAATTTACAACAGCCAGTCCCTCGATATAAAAGTAAGAAGGTGCGAAGATACGACGCCGCCTAAAATATAATATTCACATGGCAGTTAAAAATTGTCTTCTAGAAATTGCAAAAATAATATCATACACAAAGTATTATACAAAAATATATCTAAATGTCCTATTAGATACTGTTAGAAACACGTGATCAGAATATACATTTAATGCTTACTTTATCAAGCTCGGGTAAGCGCTCTCATTGACCAAACTTCCCAATACTTCCGTCCTTAACACACTTTCAGTAAAAGTAAAACTACTCCTTGAAATGTCCGTCATCATATCGCAGAAAGCATTGCATACCACATCTAATGCCAAGTATTGCAAACTACTACTTATCTAAAAAATATATTATATTACCTAATTCATACATTAAGAAGCTCTTTTCAATAAATTAACAGCATCGTAATAACTTTATTAACACATAACTTACCATTTTAATAATCCTTGACAAAACAATGTACCGATTTTCCCCAACCAAACTCTCGACTGCAGGATAAGGACCAATTTGAATCGAACACAATATTCCAGAATTATTTCCTGTCCTCAACTCGGCAATATCAGGCACAGCATCCAGTTTAGAAGGGTCGTGGTACACGCTTGGAGCTTTAACTGAAGGAATCCTGACTTGGTCGACCTTCTTGTTGTAGTTCTCGGCTCCTGGACCTTCTGCTAATATCTCTTCATTGTAAATGGCAACAAACAGCATTTCAAATATGGAAACCAGCGAGTCTTGACCCAATTGAATAGCAGATAAGTAGATATAAATAAGTGATGGCAGTATTTGGATAACAAAGTTTCGACAAACACCTAAAAACAAAACATGATATTAAAGTCAGAACGCTTACCTAACCTATAATAAATAGCTAATAGCTGACCAACTAGTGGCTGGACGGCTTCCGTCTGTTCATAGTTACACACCAAATAATTTACGAGTATCTTGGTCGTTTCCAACACGCTCTTCAAGGCTTTTCTCGATTCAGATGGTCCAACATCCTTATTCCTGTTGGTTGATGGTTTTATCACTTTGTCAAGTCCATTCAGCCATTCCTGTAGCTGAGCACTGTTCATAGCTCCTACGATAACATGCTAAATTTGTGGTATTTTAGAAAAGATGAAGGTCATTGGAAAAAATAAAATAATTTATGCTTTCCGTATAAAAAAGAGCCCGCCTGCTGCACCAAGTGTGGGCGCGAGTCAAAAATAAAAAATAAATTTTTGCGTATTACTCATCGAACTTTAAGAAGATACCTTTTTATTTGTTTTGGATTTAGAATAATATGTGGAAGGCAACTATTGGCGTGAAACCACCGGTGCCAACAAAGCCATCTGATGATGATGATTGGGATACTGATCCAAACTATAAAGTAAGACAGGATAATTGTTGGTGGTGGTCATATATGTTTAAATGCTTAGCCTTAACAAATAATAAAAAGTCATTTGAAGATGGTAATCTCTCTTATAATGCTTTGAGCAATTGCTATGAAGCTGTTTTGCTGATTTTTTAAACGATGTTATTAACTACTATTGCTGACTCCTTTGCAGTAACTTTAACACTTGTCTTTTAGAACGATATCTCAGAAAAAGAAGCCAGATGGGGCTCGAAAGTAATTCAAGGTTCCGGCCATCAAGATGCTTTGAATATGGCAGAACTGAGAGCTCAGGTAATGAAGAATGACGAGGTAGCTCGTGAAAAACGACTAGCTCAAATGCCAAAGCCAAGCCAAGGTTACGGAGGAAAGTTTGGCGTAGAAACTGACAGAGTTGACAAGAGCGCTGTAGATTGGTCTTACCGGGAAAAGACTGAAGCTCACGTCAGTCAAAAAGATTATTCACATGGGTTCGGAGGAAAGTACGGTGTTCAGACGGATCGTGTAGACAAATCTGCTGTCGGATGGGAAGAAAGAACCCAGCTTGAACAACACCAAAGTCAAAAAGATTACAAACAAGGGTTTGGAGGAAAGTTTGGAATTGATGAACGGAAGGACAAGTCTGCAGTGGGATGGGACGACAAGGAGAAAGTGCAACCTCATGAAAGTCAAACAGGTTAGTGTAATGTTATTAGTTTTAATGTTGTAACATACTGGATTAAAGCTTAAATTTTATACATTAATTTTTGATTATAATAAATTTAATTTTTAGATTACAAGAAAGGCTTTGGAGGAAAATATGGTGTACAAACAGATAGAGTTGATAAGTCAGCAGTTGGATGGGAAGAACGAACTCAGCTTCAACAACATGAAAGTCAAACAGGTATGTAAAAGAATGGTTTGCATATATTTTTGCATTTAGATTACAAAAATGGATTTGGTGGTAAATACGGTGTCCAGAATGATAAGAAAGATAAGTCTGCCGTTGGGTGGGACGAGCGGGAGGTTAAGGAAGAAAAGAAAGCACCTGCGACAGTTCCAAAAGTAAAAACGGCAGACTTAAGAAGTCGTTTTGAACAAATGGCGAATCAGCAAAGTGAAGATAAAGTTAAGGAAGAAAGGGAAAGAAGGAAACGTGAAGATGAAATGTTGAAGAAACAACAAGAAGCTGCCGAGCAAAAAAGGCAGCAAAATTTAGCTGAACAAGATGCGCAAAGGGAGCCTGCAAAGCCAGTCGAAAACAACTCCTTGCCATCCAAGGTAACAGACAGTACTATTAAAGTAGATGAACTTCAATATAAACCGCCTCCAGCAAAGGTTGCTCAACCTGTATCAGCTCCCGCTCCAGCTGTCGAATTGGAGGATCCAGTAGTTAACCCAGTTGTTGAACCGAAACAACAATTCGAAGATAAAACTTTGTCTCAAACTGTAGATGAACAAATTCCTGCCGAGCCTGAACCACCAATGCACGAAGTTCGTAGAGAGAGTGTAGCTTCTAAAGCGGACGACGAGTGGGTAGACGATGACACACCAACAGTTCGTGTTTTACCTGCTGCTGAGATTCCAGCAGAACCTACCGATAGTAATGCTGGGTCCCAGTCCTACGATTATGTGCCTTGTGAGCCTAGTCAACCATCTAGTAATTATGACTATGTTCCTGAAGAACCTCCAGCTGTTCACTACGAAGCTGCTCCAGCTGAGGTACGTCAAGAAGTTAGCCAATCAGTCGCCAGCGCTCAAGAATCTCAAAGCTCTTATGAAGAGCCGCCAAGACAAGAAGAGCGTAAACTGCTAGCAGTAGCTTTGTACGAATACGAGAAGCAAGACGACGATGAGATTGGGTTTGAAATCAATGACATTATTACGGATATTGAACAGGTAAGCCTAGTCTACACTTGAAACTAATGGTTGGAAACGCATAACCTTAGAAAAAAACATAATAGGCAAGGTCTCATTAAAAACTTTTATTTTAGATTGACGCTGGCTGGTGGCGCGGGATGTGCCGTGGTCGTTATGGGCTGTTCCCTGCCAATTACGTTCAATTACAACTATAATAAGTTAAGAATCATAATTATTTTATTTATCATTTATTTTACGTACATATTTGAACATGATATCTTGTATAATACACATAAAATCGTCTTGTAAATTACACTTGTATTACAAATAAAGCCAACTTTATATTACTGTTATCGTCTTCAATACTGTTTTGATCAGATGGTTGTTAAAATAAGATATTTGTGCTTGACCAAAACAGGTTTAAAAAGATTACAAAAGAATCATATTTGATATTACAATTCTTAAAGACAAATTCATCTCATATGTCACAATATTTACACATAGAACAACTTAACCTTGGACGTGCTTACTAGAAGTGAGTCGTCGTAGAAGTTGGTTTCAATAGTGATGTTGCCACTTAATAGTGCGGCCGGCAGCATCTGACCCTCGGGCGCTGCTTCGATTATGCTTTGCCAAGTATTTGTGGACGTAGGCATGACAAACCCAAAGTCGAAGAACCACTCTTCTATCACGGTGTTCTTCAGCCACACACGTTGTTCTAGCCTGAACTTCTCGATCGAGAGTTGTGAAGTAAAGTTTATTTCTCTTGATACTGACTTCTTCTCAAGGATCTCTTTCGGAATGTTGGCTAAAGTGGTGTTTGTAGTTTTGCTTAGAAGTATATTTAATATGTTACGTAATAAAGCATTGGTTACCTTTGTGGACTTCTGTCGGACTAGCCAAATCTTCCGTGCTTTGCCATAATATCTTGCCTGTATCAGCGTCACGGAGATTCATCCAATTTCTAAAATATCATTTTTAACTTTAAAACTAAAGTTAATGTCTTCAAATTGAAGTAGAGACAGTAATGTAAGCTGAGGTTTAACAAGGCAAAACTTACAGTTTAAACCCATCCATAATGTCCGCAGCCCGGTCGGTGACCTTAAGATTTTCTACAGCACGTTCGACTTTCATTACAATATCTAAAAATGGACGGAGTTACAGCAATCTCTATATGAAATAAGCTTTACTATAATCAGCCGTCACGCAACCAGATCCCATCTAAAATTTAGATTCCATGGACAACGCTGAATACTGGAGCTTAAAACTTTCATATCCCTCATTAATTAGGTCCGTGCCGTTACGTTTAATGTCGCCATGACAACCATAACATTCCTGCGGAACATACTACAAGGACAGGCTGTTGTAGAGGGAAGAGCTACATACGACGGGTGTTTTCTCAAGAATTCTTGTAATTACTGTCTAATAACACGTCTATGGGATGAGTTTTTCTTCTTCATATACTCTGTAATCTATTATATTACTCTTGACTTATGTTTGAATTCGACATACAATTCGATCAAAGCCCCATTCCACTTGAGTTTCACATAAAATATACATTATTTTGCCAAAAAAACTTCCATTACAGATTGGGGGTGAGCTTGTTTATTAAAATACAATAAAAAGTGATATATACATGAAATCAGTTGATTACCACGATTACGACATACAAAACGTTGAAAGATTAAAGAAGCCCCGGCTACAGTACTACAGTGTATTTACGAGAGTTACAACCGAGACCAGTCGGCTTTCCTTTTTCATATAACTGCTTATTCGTCGCTGTTACCGTAGACGCTTTCGTCTGAGTAGGCCAAGTACATGAACAAGTCCTCTTCGTGATGGTCCTAAAAATACGACAGAATAGTTCTTGTAAATGCAATATATCTTTATATTGTGCATTTTTATAAGAAGAAAAGTAACTAGTTTAGTCAAAGGGTTAGCATAATCAGTGCATTATTTTAAAAGATTCTCCAGTTTTCTGTCTACTTTTTGACCGAAGCAGTATCCACTTCCCTTAACACAAAAAATATGCCAAAATGAAAGCCTACCTGATACAGCTGTCCCATCGTTGTCGTGGTTTGTGGAATGACATTGTTGATGAAGAAGAACAGAGCTTCTTCAGGTCTCAAATGGATTCGTTTTCTGATCAAGAAGTAGAATTGTCCAATGGTCAAGTCAGATGGTACTAGGTACTTCTTCTTGTCCAGGTCTTGTAGTCTTGACTTGGGTGCCTTCTCCACGACAACCGGAATCCGGTCTGGGTACTTTCGGCGGATCTTCTCACCTTCGGCGCGGCGCTTCTCGAAGCTGTTATCTTCTTTGTAGGTCCACTTCATTTTCGTTTAATCTGAAGGAAATCGATATTTAAAATCCATATGATCATATTACACTCCTCGTATATTATATACCAAAAATCGATATTCAAAACACGTAAATTACTGTGAAAATAGCACGTTTTAGAGCAATCAATAAACAATAACAAAATTTGAGCAACAAAACATCAAAAAATGGTTATCTTGAAGAACTTTTAGTGATGACTATTTTTAGACAAAGGTCAAACTAATCAATGAGAGCAGAACACAACATCATGTTCCCAGGTTCGACGACTGACTGAAATTCCCCGCGTGATGGTGATATATTCAAACAAAAAATGGTTGCGCCTTAAACCGGTATACTAGACAAAAAACGCTGGGGTTATACATCAGAACGGGTCGAAGGTCGGTTGTAAAGTACAGTCTTATCGATACAAACATAGGAGAAACAGTGTAAAGCACCATGTACAACATCGCTGTACCTTCATATCAAACAGAGTAAGATAGTTGCCGATTAATATTCAAAAATCGTTCAGAATGAGGCGCTTTTCGGTCTTTTCTCTCCGTCAGTCAGCTGACCTAGCTCACACACCCCTTTCGTACCATGAAAAAGTGCGTCCTTCCACTTGCACACGCCCCAAAGACGCTGTAAAATAAGATACGGGTCAGTCGCAGTAAGGAACAAACAACCAAACAATACAGCCCTGCTTTACATTAGCAACGACACAGACAAAAAACAATGGGTCACATAATAAACGACATTTTTATAAAAGAATACAAAACGCTGTATAACATAGTTTTAGATATAGAATAAATCAGAGAAGCATATACTTCAAAAATGATAAAAAAGACGGAAAATATCAAAATTTGTATAAAAACACTACTAATAACAAAATTCTGTCTGATCCAGATCTGTTTTGCAACCCATAAAGGAAAACCAAAAGGTAACTTGATAATCAATGTTGACATTCCGCTTATTTAAAAATTTTGCGCGCCAAGCAAGTTTTGAAATCACTCAAAATTTTTCTGCAATCGACAAGTAACAAAAAGCAGTATCATTTTGGGTCCCATCTATGGCGCAACCAAGGTAAGAATTCTTCTAATATATATCAGATAGGTCACTTACAAAATTAGTGCTCAAATTAGGGACAGTAAAAACGGGAACATCATATTACAATACTTTATAAGTTTTAACTCTCAAACCATTTCTACGCGAATATTTGTTTACACCTATGTTTACACGTTAACAATATAAAAACAAGACCAGCTGTCCAGTTGGACGAGAGGTAAATGTGGTCACATGGCTTCGTATCGTTCACACTCGAGTCTGTCACGGACAAAACAGTTTATTCATTCACAATTTACAGCCTTTATAAAGATTGTGATCACCGGGTCTTTTCGATCCATTGCGAAAGAGCCACGCGGGGAGGAACACCCTGTAATGAGTAATATTATTAGATCCCCTAAACAACGTTTTCTCTCTTATGACATTTTCTAAACGATCACTTCAAAGAACGGTTTTGGCGATCACTTAAAACAAAATTTCCTTAAGATGACTTACGGAAACGTCAGCTCGAGCCTCGTGAACTTTTTCTCCGTTCTTGTTTACCAAAATCAGGGCTGGAATACCTTCTACTCCATATTTGGTGGCCAGTTCTCTGAAACGGGTTTGGTTGTTTTTCAAATTAAAATTTAAAAACTGTTGGCTGTTTTATCACGACAGTTCCAACAGTCATAACGTTGTGGTATTATATTGTCATGTTTGGAAAATAAACTCAGGTTTTGCAATACATTGGTCAAAACGTGAATTGGAAAACAAAGTTATAGTACACAGAGATTTTTAAAAATCCTTGACCTGTACTTACTCAATCTTGGGGTCTTCGGCTTCTATGAAGAGCCAGTTACCGTGGGCTTCCTTCAAGTACTTGTGGCAGTCTTCTTTTGATCGATCGAATGACATAAACACGATCTCAAAAGTGGCATCCTCTTTGTTGGCCTCGTTGTAAAATTCCTTCAACTCAGGGGTAAAGGCGCGACATGGAGGGCACCAGTGAGCCGAGAAGTAAAATGCAATCACATCTTTACCCTAAAATAACGTTCTTTTCAGTTGGCACTTAACAGGGTGCTTCTTCGCTTACTATTCGACTTAAAGTTGTATATGTTTGTCAGTTCTAAAGGCAACAGAAGCTGTGATAATTTTTACGAGCTTCTTGATTAAAAAAGTAATGAAACAAGTCATAAATCATCTTTTTTTGTTATCGAACCCACTTAAAGACGCTTATTTTACCAAAAACCTTTTTACTGTTTTTTAAGATCACATATTGTACTTTTAAGAGTAAAACCTGTAACTTTCATATAATCAAGTCATAAAACCGACCTCAAGTTCACTGACGTCAGCTGGGCTGAAGTTTCCGTTCGAGTTTCTGAAAAGCTTGGCGTCTTGTAACACGCTAGTCATCCTTGAAAAGTCTGAAGACAACACCGTTAAGTCAACAACGTTATCAGTTTTGTCAAATATAAAGAACGTTTCGTAACGTCTCTCGTCAACAGTTCAAAACACGAAATATTGTGAATGTTATTTACAGAACCTAAACCAACAAAATAAAATATTTAGATTCCGTGTTGTTCCCTCAGCTTTCGAGACTCTTCGAAGGCCATCTGTTCGCGGAGTAACTTCTCGTACTGGTCTCGTCTCCGCTGCTCGGCCATCTCTTCCTTCCACTCTTTTAGTTTTAGTTCTTTCTCGGGCTTATAGGGAAGTTTGTAGCTGTCCATCTAAACAATGAATCATCATGTTTTCGCTTATGAGGTGTTTACGTGCATAATTTACACAAAATTAGATGTAGAAATATTGTAACTATGTTATACACATTACCTAATCGTACAAAGATCAAAAGCTTTGCATAAATTCAAAATGCACTAGATTCGGTAGGTAAACATAATGGACAACCTATTCTTAACTAATACTATATAGCTGTAAACTTACAAAATACGTGAACACATTGGACTGATTGAAGGCCCAAAATGCGCCCACCGGGAACCCCACCAGAATCATGAATCGGCCTGCTTCTAATTTCCATCCACCCATTATGTCAAGAAGCTAAATTGCGGTGTGAATAACAACATTTCAATATTATTATAGATAGAAAAGGCCGTGATTAACACGAAGGGGTGTGCAACGTCGAATGACAACATAATATGTATACAATGGCTATATTACCATTGATTTGTAAAAATTTCGAAATTTTCTAGCATAAAAAACGCAATAACTATAATAATATAATAAAACACTGTGCTGGTCAAAAAGTAAGCACTATCATCAAAAAAGTAAAAAAATTGCCCTTTAAAAGCTCCTCTGCGGACTATTTGACCGAGTTAATACCATTTCTTTTAATAAACTAATATATTTTAAATAAACCATGGTTTATAACCACTAAACAACAATGACTACCACAGCATAAGAGTAATAATTTATTAATCCCGTTGCAGTTCACTTTTCGATTTACCCATAGACTTGGGCATCTTCTTCTTGGCCATCTCGTCCAGATTGAAAGACTTGTAGTAATGTGGAGCGACTTCGTTGATCCACCCCGACTCCACTTGTATCACTTCCCTCATGTACTCCTTTGTGGTAGCCATCAGCTGGTGGTATATCACCCATCGAGGTCTGTCTTCGAACAAAGATGAGTGAGGATGAATCTGTACTGTATGTCTGTTTCGTACTGTTTTGTAAGCGCCGGTCTTGTCTAGAGCAGCGACATTGTAAAAGTATCCTGATGAGACAGCTTTTCTAATTGGAGTTGGATCATCGTTTGAGGTCTGAAATAAGTAAAATTAGCATAAAAACGTGAAAATTCTTAAAAAATAAATAAAATGAATAAAAAAATAATAACTTACTATAGCAATTTCGACTTTCTCCAACAAAGCCTCCAGCTGATCTCGGATATCTCTCGCCCTCTTCAACGTCCTATATTGTACAAAGTTGTCCACGCACCATTGAACAGAGTAGTCGGACTCCTTCCAACGTTCGTATACATTAAGTAACGTCAGATGATCTCCAGCTGGAGACCAGAATCCTTTCCTCGCCGTATCTGCATGAATGATCTGATTCTTGGGTCTGTAAAAGATGGCAGCATTAACTGATAACATGGCAGCGATACTGATGATCTCAGAAGTGCACTGGTACTTCTCTGCCATCACGATCATCTTGGACATGGCTGGGTCGCAAGGGAACTCTGCCATTCGTCTGCCAAGCTTGGTTAATATGCCTTTGTGATTGAGAGCTCCCAAAGCAAAGAGATGCTCCAGAGCTGCTGCCACAGTTTCATTTGGAGGTGGATCGAGGTAGTCGAAGTGCACTACATCATCGATACCCAGTGTGAGTAACATGAGTATAACGTTGGCCAAGTTTGTTCTCTGAATTTCAGGTATAGGCTGGTCGTCCAACTCGTTCTTGTAGGCATATGGAGTATACAACCTGAAGCACTTTCCTGGCCCTGTTCGACCAGCTCTTCCTGCTCGTTGATTCGCTGCTGCCTTGGAAACTGTCACAATCTGAAGATGTTCTACACCACTTCTGGAGTCGTAGGAGTTCTGCTTCACAAACCCTGGATCAATGACGTAAGCAATGCCATCAATTGTGACAGAAGTTTCAGCAATGTTTGTAGCCAGCACAACCTTCCTGGCATCTGGAGGTGTTGGTTCGAAAATCTTCTGTTGTAGTTCTGAAGGCAGATTGGCGTAGACTGGAACAACAATCAGCTGCTTTATACGCTTTCCCAGATGTTTTATCCTTTCGTTCAAAGCTTCCTCCATGGATTCAATCTCCTCTTGGCCAGTCAAAAATACTAGAATGTCACCAGGCAATCCCTGGGTTAAATGAATCTGAAGTACGGTAGTTTCAGCTGCTTTCAATGGATCGGCTTCTGGAGCCTTTGTGTAAAAAATGTCGACCGGGAACCGTCTTCCCGGGATCTTGAAGATGTTGGCATCGTCGAAGAATTGGGAAAACTTGTCCGCGTCTAAGGTGGCTGAAGATATCAACAACTTGAGGTCTGGACGGAACTTGGCAATATCCTTCACTAAGCCAAACAAGATGTCTGTGTGTAAAGTCCTTTCGTGAGCTTCGTCAATCATCATCACACTATATGAACCTAGATCTGGCTCGTTTAACAGCTCTCTAAGTAACATTCCGTCTGTCATATACTTGATACGGGTCTTTTCTGATGTACAATCTTCAAATCTAATTGTATAGCCAACATCATGTCCCAATTTTGTACCAACTTCTTCGGCCACACGTGTTGCTACACTCATGGCTGCTACTCGCCTCGGTTGTGTACATCCAATTCGCTTCCCGTCCTTGCAATACCCCTGAATTTAATATATTAACTTTGAGTAAATAAAATAGTATTAAAAATAATATATCCTTAATAAAAACACATTTTTACATTATATTTAAACTTAACATATTTTAAAAATACAAAACATACGGCTTCATAAAGATACTGTGGCAGCTGTGTCGTTTTGCCAGACCCTGTTTCGGCTACAACAATGATAACTTGATTCTCACGAACAGCTTCCAAAAACTCCTCACGAAACGAATATACAGGTAAAGTCTTTCTAGTTTCGGCTAATGACAACTTCTTCTTCTCCATTGCTGATAACACCGGCTTCTTCTCCTCATTATCACCACCCGTAGTAACAGCCTCAGTAAAATCCACTTTCAAGTCTTCTAACAACAAATCTAACTCATCAGCCTTCTGAAAACAAAATGTAAGTATCTTAAATAATGTAAATAGTACATAATAATATAACTATAACATACTTTAATATACATATGGAATAATAATAGTAATATGACTTACTCTGTCCCTTGCACCCGTTTTAAACATAGCCGAACTAAGTTGTTCATCTTCCCATCGTCGAGCATCTCCAACTCTTCGTTCTTCTTCAGGCTCGTCAATCAGTTTCTTTGAAGCGTCTGGAAGGTGATACCTCTTCTGTTTAACCTCCTTTCCAGCGTTCTCAAACCGCTCAGCGTACTCGAGAATCTTCCTTTTATTCTCTAAATCCTTTCGCTCTGTCTCTGTTAATTCTTCAGGCAAGAAGTTCTTGCCATCTTCCTCGACAGCTCTTTTCAATTCATATAATTTGTCTTCTTTTCTCTTAGGCAAGTACCGTTTTCGACTTTCTTGTCTCATCTTGTCAACCATATCCTTCTGATCTTTCAATGAACCAGACAACACCTTTAACCGTCTTAGAGCTTCAGCTTTTTCCCTCGCTTCTCTTGAAGACATTACCTTCTTCTGACTGGCAAGATTGTTGGCTCGAATTCTTTTATCTAACTCATCCCTTTCTCTTATATCTTGATCTTCCTCTCTTTGAATAGCATCCAACTCCTCATATCCAGTAGCTTCTCGCGATTTGTGTGACGATGTTTGGGGAACCTAAAATTAGACACAAACGATAATTTAAAAACCATAAAAATTTAAAAAAAACGCTATATACTAAATAATGAAAAGAGTTCGTCCAATTATTACCTAAAATCAAGAAAAAAAACAAAAATGAACTTACTGATTGATCATCATCACTTTCACTCTGTTTCCTCTTTCGCATATGCTTCTTCGAAGAAGATTTGGCCTTCTTAATGACTGGAGCATCGTCGTCACTATCAGAATCTGCTATAACTTTAGCTGTTTTGTTGAGCCTTTTTATCGCTGCTGCCTGAAAAAAAAACAAGATTAACATTATATCAATACCTTAAATTAAATATTTCAATAGTTTTTAAAACCTTTACTTACCGACATAACTGCAATATACGATTGTACTTACTGAAAAAAAGTATCAACAAGAGTAACAAAAAAACAGAAAATAGTTTTGAAATATTATTTTTTGCACGCATTTTCATCGTATAAAGTGTCTTCGGCGCTCGCAAAGTAAAGGGCGCAGAATACTGTTAAAATTATTTATTTTTCAGAAAAGTTTATCTTTTTCGATCAGCTGAGTAGTTCCATATATGTAAATAAGGACAAGATGGGCAATATCCAGAACTCTTCTATTGTGAATCAGATTCTGCCTATGGAATCTTATCTATTAGATGTCCCAGAGTTGAGATTTCTTAAAAGTCTCGGAACTACACGATTCATGAAGACTGGACTAGCCGAAAACAAAGATGGACTCACTGCTTTTAAATTATTTGTATATGACAATCAGCTGATGAGCATTGACAACTACATTGAGTTAATAAAACATTTAAGACGACGATCTAAAGAGTTGTCTAACATACTACCTTTTGTGAAAGTCAACGTAAGTAATTACTTTATCATCAAATATGTTATGTATGGAAGAGGTTGTAAATAATATTCATTGAAGCTCAAGGGTATGAATATTTGTGTTTTAGACAAGAGAGAGGTTTGTAATCTTACATCGACCTTATCGTATGTTTACTTTGTACGAACGTCTCAGTACACGGCCTTTTCTATTGAACATAGAGAAGTTATGGATAGCATTTCAACTCATCAAGGTATTGGGACAACTAAGAATGGCTATTTTAACACACGGGGATATAAAGTCACATAATATTGTACTTTCAAGTACGAATTGGCTGGAACTCACTGATTTTGCGCCATTTAAACCGGCTTTTGTGCCTTATGTAAGTGACAGTTTGAACTATTGGTTTTTAGATAATGCGACCGTACAATAGTTAGGTTAAAACATGATTACTTTTCAGGATAATCCATCTGCTTTCACCTACTTTTTTGACACCAGCAGACGTCGAACTTGTTATTTGGCCCCAGAACGTTTCAAACGTGCTGAAGACTTATCTTATTCGAACAAGAGTATCAGCGACATTGCCAATATTTCCGAAGGTCTTACTCATGAGATGGATATCTTTGCCATGGGCTGTGTTTTGGTCGAGTTACTGACAGATGGCAGATACGTTGCCTTCAACTTGTCACAGGCCATTGACTATACACGATTAGACGAGCATGTCACAAGAGACTACCTCGAGAATTTACTGAGTGTATGTCCACCGGACTTTGCTGATGTTTTGAGGACAATGTTGGACCGAGATCCTGAGAAGCGACGGAAGGGATTCGAGGAGATGGCACCATGTTCTTCTGATACATTTCCAGAGCTTTTCGAGTCTTATTTGTACAACTACTTTAAGGAACTGTCACAGATTAAGGATCCTGATCAAATCATTGTACGGTACGTTTTGGTTTTTTGTAATTTTAGGTAACAATTTTTTACACGAAACGGAACTGTTGTTTTAAAACAAACTAGTTTTCAGATTATTCGTGGAATATCCAAATTACAAAGAAAATATGGAGAACGACAAGTCGAGTTGTGTTGTCTTACTTATTGGTATGGTAACGTCGAACATGCGAGCCTGTAAAGCCCTAAGCACGAAGATGGATGCGGTTCATTTACTGAAGAGAATGTGCAAATTGGCTACGGCTGATGTCATTACTGACAGGATAATTCCTTATTTGGTATGTTTATGCGTTTATGTGTTTATTGGTTCAATGTTTTGTATTTTATTGTTTTTGTAATTCATTTTTACCTTTTTTGTTCAGTTTTAATGATTTTTATGGTTATGACCTTTTTAGGTGAACTGCTTGAACGATAACTATTCACAAGTACGAGGTGAGGCCTTGTATATAATTACAGACGTTTTGGAAGATTTGAATGATATACCTCAAGATGAAAGCCGATTGTTGGTTGACTACATATTTCCACGAATGGTAAGATTTCAAACTCATTATTCTCTTAATATTGTAATCAAATTATTTAAAATTTGATGTTCAAACTAAAATTTTTAGAAGCAGTTAACAGAAGACTCGTCAGACTATGTGAAGATGGCGTTAGCCTCATGTCTGGGTCGTTTGTCGATGATTTCTCTGAAGTTCTTTGACGAATCTTTGTCCAAACTGACACAAGAAGCCAAGTTAATGTCAGATCAAGATCGTGAATCTCAAGAAGAGGCTGTGGATACTTTTGCTCGTACTGAAAGAGTGGCATTACAAGAAGCTGTCAGTCGAATCTTTGTGAATCTAAGTGATTCTTCGAATACTGTGAAGCAGTGTTTGTTCGACAAGGTCAACCTCAACTTCTTGTGTTCTTTCTTTGGCTGTAGTAAATGTAAGTCATGCTTTGTTTTTAATTGTTAGGGTTACAATAATGTAAAAAAAGGTCGGTATAACAAATATTGTTTTAGCGGTAGATGCGGACGTTTTGATGCACATGATAGCTCTACTCAATGACAAATACGATTGGCAGTTACGTGCTGCTTTCTTCAAGAGCTGCTATACTGTAGCCAAACATTCAGATCCTCTCCAGAATTCAACATTGGTACCTTTTATTCAACAGGTAAGATTATACTGTTATATTTGGGAGTACAAAATGCGTTTTACATATAAGTTTATTGTTTTAGGTAATAATTTTTTTAATTTCGAGATTAGTGAATTTAAAATTACGTTTTAGGGACTGAAAGATACGGAGGAATTTGTGATTTATGAAACATTGCACTCACTGTACTCTTTATGTAACGATAGCAAGTTGGAAAAGCCTGTCATCGTGGAGATTATGAAAGAAGTTTGTCCGTTTTTGGTACATCCGGTAAGCTTTTATACTTACTTATGGCTCTTTGTACAAGTACATCATTTTATCATAACTTATTTATTTTCTCTTTTTCATGGCAAAATTATTTTAGAACAAATGGTTAAGAACTCAAGTGATAAATTTGCTGTCCGTACTTGATGCCAGTTTCACATTGGCTGATATGTACTGTAAATTGATGCCATTAGTTAAGAAGTACCTGAAACAACCGCTGATACGATTGAATGAACGTGCCGTTGTGTCATCGTGCTTGATTAATCAAATTTCGCGACAAATATGGGATGTCGTAATCAGTAAGTCTAGTTTTATTTACTGTATCTTTTATTTTTGCTTTGATAAAACATCTAGTACAATTTTAGTGTTTTGTTTATACTTTTTAAAGAGTATAAAGTTCCTATAAAATACAAGTCTTGCTATTTTTAGACATGGACAACATCCAGCAATTTATCAAAGAATTGGACGATCGAAGAACGTTGGAAAAGTTGGGCGGAGGCCGGGCTTCGATCTTCTCAGCTGGATCTCCTAACCAAGATACGATGGCTAAGAATGTTAGCTCACAGATGGATATGATGATAAAGAAGCTCAAGAACTTGGGTCTTAACGAAGAAGTTGAAGAACAACTTTTGTCATTCAAGTTTGCCTTTAGCAAATGGGATCAGTCCAAGAAACGGTGTGTTTTAAGGTTTTAATTGTAATAATAGTTGTGGTTTGTATGTTATATTTGATGAAGTCGTGTAATGCGATATGAAGTTATTATTCGTAATTTGGTTTTAGTGATGTAAGAGTAACAAAGATTGGTTCAAAAGTGCGATTACGAGAGTTGGACGGCGTCAAACCAAGGATTTTTGACCTGGAAGATGGAGTTCACAAACTGAGTTCAAGAGTACGGTTTTAAACAACGCTATGTTATTTTAAACTAGATTTAATTGAATATAACATATTTTACTGTAGATTTCATTCTTTACTTATTGCTTCAGAGTGTAGGACAGATGGTGTTTGTAGGTCAAGACATAAATATGTCCGAAGACGACGATTTGCACCTGGATCTACATGATAGGGATGCTGGTAAGTTAAATATTGAAGTAATTAGGGTTTTTCGTATTTTTAATAATATTTCTTATTTTTTTGTGGCTTACATTAATATTTTAAATATGTTGTAGTTGGTGGTTCGAAAGTTCACCTAATTGAGGCTTTGGACCATAAAAGAAACAGGTATATGGAACAGAAGAAGGTGACCAGCAGAACATTATCTCGGAAGTCTCGCGACAAAAACGATGCAAATGCAATTCCAGTTCAAAGAGGTACTGTCTTGCACAACTCGGCTAAAACCATGAATGCCATGGCCAATGCTATGATATCTACCAGAGCTGACAGTCCTACTTATGCCAAACGACCAGAACTAAGGCTTCAAGCCAATCTACATGAACATTCAAAGGCTGTTTTGAAGTGAGTGTTGGTGTTATTATTATTTATATTATCATTGATCAATTCATGTAGTGTATTTTTCTATGAAATGTTGTCTTTGAAGGTAATTGAGCTATGATTAACGTCATCATTTTAACGTTTCGTTTTGGAAAAAGTATAATATGTAATTATGATTTTAGGCTAGCCGCACATCCTCACAAAGAAGTGTTTGCTAGTTGTTCTGCGGACAATACAGTCAAGTTATGGTCTTCACAACAGTTTCATATGCAATCCACTCCGGCTATTGTATCCACCGACACCTTGGACAATGGTAAGTCTTCTTTTATAGTGGAGAGCCTGAAATTAGGTTCTCACTCACTTAAGAGTTACCTTGATTTGTCATAACTTAATTTTACCTTTAGCTAACGGAATAAACTCGCTGCACTTTATGAGAGAGGCCAACTCTTACTTGATAACTGGATCTTCCAACTGTGAACTCTCCGTGTACGATACGAATCAGCTAAGGCTACTACGTTGTTCTGTCTTGGACAAAGAACAAGAAGGTCAAATTGTAGAAGTTTACGGAACTGACAATCTGGCTTTTGCTCTGACACATCACAGTTCGGTACATTGCTTTGACTTAAGGTAAGTTTTAAAATTAAGGAATCTACGGGCGGGCACGTATGAAACAATTTATTGTTGTTAGATATACTGTTGCTAAGAGCATTTTATCGACAAAAATCTAAATAATAGTAAGATTACAATACTATTGTATTTTAGATGTCATAAGAACGTACGTGACAAAATCTCCTTGGAATCCTTGTATTCGAAGAAGGCTCGAAACAGTTGTGGGTTGATAACTGGTTTCACCGTGGATCCAAACTTTGGTCATTGGATGTTACTTACCACTAGTTCGGCTACAACGTGCAACATCGTCTTGTGGGATTTGCGGTATGGTTGACAAGCACTATTATCTTTTATTTTCTTACTCTAAATCTTCTTGTCAGAAAAGAATAGATAATAAATTCGGTTTTAGGTTCGGAGGACTGGAGGTGGCTAGCTGGTCGCACCCTTCACAATCCGCTACACCATTCAGAAGTTGGTCGTACGTCTCTTCCACAGACACTACAGCTTACTGTAGCCAAATAATCACCAACTCTGCCAAAGATGGAGAACTTTCGATATGGGAGTTGGGCACCAAAGATCGAACTGACGTTTTGTGGCCAAGTCAAAAGCAACCCTTCTCTTACTCGGTAGGTTTTACTATAATTGTGTCAGGGGGTAGACAATGTTATTTATCGTGAGTGTAAAATTCGTCTATTCTTTATATCACGAGGTTTTATACACGTGACAAAGTGTGTAAAGTGGTCAACTTTCAGACAGACTTATGTACCACAGCTGTCGTATCTTGCCCTCAACTCAACGGAATCTTCACCGGAGATTCAGAAGGCAGTCTGAGGTACTGGAATCTGGGGGGTCATTGTAGCGCGTCAAATTATCTTTGTGGACCGTATAGGAAGCTGGTTGATAATTGGGTACCACCTCCTAATGAGAAGTCGGTGGACAGAAAGTTACCCTCCCGTTTCGAGTATTCGTACATTGACATGCCCAACATGAATCCTCGAGTTCAGATCGAGAACAGGGTACCAGGTGCTTACGCTGAATCAGAGTTCTTGTCGTCGACTCAAGTTAGCGAATGTCATCGGGACGCTATTACGGATCTTGTAGCGGTAGGATCAGATCAGTTGGTATCAGCTGGTCATGATGGTGTCATCAAAGTGTGGAAAACGGTCGTTTGACATTGTCATACTACTGTTGGTGGTTTACTGTACAAAATATTTTGGTTCTTTTAAGAATTGAAACGATATTTGATAGTAATGCAATCACGTACTCTGAGAATATTAGACTGTACACTTTTAAGCTTTTTCATATTTTTGTGGCACAACTTAATCATTAGTTTCTGTACCCATAGTTGCCATCTCTACTCAAAGTTTCATATCTTGTCATGCATATTTATCGGGTATTTTTTAATAAATTATTTCGTATTCAACCCTTACAGTATTTTTATGTAACATACGTAATATTTGTTTACTAAATTGTTAAAATTTAATAATTTGTAAGGATAAGCCAATAAGTTGTTGCAGAAATTTGAAGTTAGAGTTCAAAAACTCAAGTTTACACTTCTTTTTTGGTCAAACTGAAAAGACGTTTTGTTTTAAGTCGACTCAATTTGTTGAAAAGTCGAAGTGAATTTGATGTTTCAGTTACAACTAAATTCGAAATTCCATCGCAGCGTTACACACCGCTGTCAACTAAAGGGTCGGCGGTTTAACAGTAATTATTACAACAACAAGCATGGGCCACTTCCCTTTCACAATATCCTTGAAGGTCGTCCGACTGCCTATGGCGTTACTCTTTTTAATTTACCTATCTTTTCACAAGCGTTATCGATCGACTGCGCGGCTTTATCACTGTGATTAATTCGAATTAACTTTGCAAGTTGCTTAGTTTTTTCAATTGAGATTGAGATCAGTGTTGCTTCCTTGAAGTTAAAACCAGACTTTTTCAATAGATATTCAGATGTGTTTTATGGTTAACATTTCTTTAATCCAATATCTATTTTCTTGATTCAAAATAAAAGTTGTGACAGAATGCCCTTACTCATTCCGTTTTTAAAAAACTTTTATCAGTTAAGCCGGCTGATGATCGAACAGATGTATGATAAGTGAATTAACCTTACGCAATTATGTTTTGTCCATCGTGGGAGTAAATACGAAGACGATTGTGATAAGAAACAATAAACTTTTAGCGCAATGTCATGCCTGTTCAAGTTTGTTTTTAAATTCGAAAGTAGTCGGATGATGTTTTAGTGCTTGTTTTGTCTCATGGTTTGTCATCATAATTTTTTGAACAAAAATAATTTTACAAAAATTTGCAGGGGGGATACAGTAGGTATCAGTAGATCTATTATCTACTGTTTTTAGGTTACTTTGCAGTAATAACGAAAATTTTGTTGCTAATTTCAAAAATATTTAAATTTTTTTAGATGTTTATCGACTTTTAGTCATCATCAATTTTCTCTTGTCTTGGTACTAACATAAGTAGAGTGTAATACTGAAAATTTTGAAATTCCGTAAAACAAATCCTCATCAAAGGTTAAGCGATGATAATTTATTCAAGTCTGTAACAAAGTGCGATGGAGACAGTGAAGATTATCGTGCGATCAAGTTTTAATTTCGCGAATTTCAAACTAATTTTTTCAAGTTTTAAGTAATTTTTTTCAAGTTTGTACTGATCCTTTGAACGTTCAAACTAACTTTTATTTTGAAGCAATTTTTTGATAAATATACATCTTATTGTGCTTCACAATTTTTAAAATTCACAAATCCTATAGCCATGACAGTGACATACTCGTTGGATGTAGCATCCTCCACCTTTTGCGGCTTTCATCGACTGTTATTCAGATGGAAAGGGTCGATTTGGAAATCGATATGGCCAGAACTGTCGATCTGGCTGTTCGCCTACTTCCTGATCAGCTTCTCCTACAGATATGCGATGAGCAAGGAGCAGCAAATGTAAGTGTGAACAACAACTTTATTGTTAGAGTATTTGAGGAGTTGTCAGGGTTTTTCCAACAGTACAGCGAGTACATTCCCATAACGTTCCTGCTCGGCTTCTACGTGTCGTGTGTGTTCAATCGATGGTCAGAAGTGTTCAATAACTTGGGATGGGTAGATACGTAGGTTAATTTCTACGCTAGGTAGTACCAATACCAACATAACCAAAGGTTAAAAGTCGTAATAAAGATAATATCAAGATAAAGATACTAGTTCTAATGATATTTCAGACCATCTTTGCTAATCACTACCTACATAAAAGGTACCGATGAGATGGCTCGTCGTACAAGGAGAACTCTTATACGATACTTGGTGTTAACTCAAGCCATGGTATTCAGAGATGTTTCTACTTGTGTGAAGAAACGTTTCCCGACCATGGATCACTTAGTTACAGCCGGTATAATGACCGAAAATGAATTGAGAGAGTTTGATGCTATAAAGTCTCCACACATCAAGTACTGGTAAGAAAAGTCTAAATTAAATATAGAGCACATTTATAAAGTGTTTTACATTGTTGTAGGCATTGTTATACTATATTGTTTTACAGGTTGCCAATGGAATGGGCCTTTGCTTTATGTAGAAAGGCACGAGACGTTAAAATGATCGAAAGTGACTATATATACGTTGATCTACTCGAGGTAACATCTTTCGTTGTTATTTTGTATAGTATTGTGAACTTAACTTCTTACAACTATTATAATTCATTATGTGTATCAAATTTTATCTAAACTTTTCCAGAAATTCCGCCAGTATCGTGTCCAAGTCCTGCAGCTGACATTATACGATTGGGTTCCCATTCCTTTGGTAAATTATTATAAAAAATTGTAAACAGCCTGCGGTAAACATTATGATATTGTTGTTGTTTTAGGTATACACCCAAGTTGTTCACATCGCTGTCAGAACCTACTTCTTGATCGCTTTGATCGGAAGGCAGTACTTGCTCAACAATGACACGGTAAGTGTATTATGAAAGGTTTAGGTGAAACATGTATTAGCTTTGCTAGTTTTTTGTAAATTTTTTCAATACAACGACTTTTAGATTGATCTCTTTATACCAGTTATGACAATCTTCCAGTTTTTGTTCTTTATTGGGTGGATGAAAGTCGCTGAAGTGTTACTTAATCCTTTAGGTAAAGTTTGGTATTTTATTAGATGTTATTGCCACATTTTGTGTAGTATTACGTTAAAACTCTTGTACATAAAACTTTATATTTATAGGAGAAGATGACGATGATTTTGAAACAAATTGGGTAAGATTCATGATGTGGCGAGTGTAAAACCCTAGACAAATTATAATGTATTAAAATCGTTTTCGCAAAACACAATACTCTGTTTATTCTGTTCGTATCAGTAAATTCAACGTTTTTAGGTACTGGACCGTAATCTGCAAGTAGGCTTGTCTATCGTGGACGATTGCTATGGAAAAGTACCAGCCTTGGAAAGAGACGTCTTTTGGGAAGACATGGTACCTCAACCTTTGTACACGGCCGAAAGTGCAGCTCGTCCTCACAATCCGATGATCGGGTCCTGTAACGATCTGATCAGTGTAACCGAAGATGCTCTTCTTGTGAAGCCAAGAAGACGGTTAATGTCTACAGTAGCCATGGTGCCAGATCCACAGGAAAGTAAGGATCAGGAGGTCGATGAAGATGGAGAACCGGTTATTCCAGTAAGACAACACAATCCGATGAGAAGAAGCATGAGGTATGTTTCTGATTAGTATTACTTTTATTTTATTTTTGCAGATTGTCAGTGAGTAATAATGGAGCAAAGGTAGAGAACGCCACCAAAAAGGTACTCGGATCGATTAAGAGAAAGTTCACAAAGAAAGTGTCGCCAAGCACGAAAAGAAGTGAGTATAACAATGATTAGTAATTATAACGTATAGTTAAAATTGCAAAGTAACCATTTTAAAATCATTTTTACAAAAAGTGTAGAAATGCCCGATGGTAAAATAAATGTAAATTTTGATTGTTACAGGAAGCTCTGCCACTTTGTCCAACTTTGGAGATTGGTATGAACGTGGGCCTGTACCTCGATTTGCCATTTCAAAACCAGAAGGACACACATCAAGGAATGGCAGCCTTGGCAACTCTTTCCACAACACACATAATGGCAATATCTCAAGGTATAACGATATAAAAATTCTCGTATATACGAATGACAATGAAAACATGTTCATATATACACATATAAATTGCAGTAACACTCAAAATGTTACAATACCAAATTACCATCTCATAACGCTCCGATACTCCTACCATAATATAATGTCAATTTCAGTCGCCAATCCTCCTGTTCGTCGATAATGTACGATGGCCTTCACTCACCCTTCTCTCAGTCACTGTCTCACAACGCCTTCAACCAGGCGGTCAACCGAATGTCAGAATCCAGTGACACGATGACATTCGACGCCAAAAAAGAAGATGAGTCAGAAGCACCAGCTGAACGTTTGGGACAAAGTGGAGCATGGACGGTGAACGAGATGTTGCCAGTTATTCACGAAGAACGAGAGAAGAGTAGAAACTCATCCAATTCTGCTGACAGCATCTATTCGGACTCCAATCAGAATACGCTACGGAACGAGGCCGGTGAGTAAAGTTAAAAGTTTGTGTATATATTATTACACTACTTTGTCGTACTATATACATTATAACACTCATAAAGACGCCACAACATTGCCTATATATGGTTAAATAAAGAAACAACTGAAACATCTTTTCAGAGATTCGTTCCGGTCTCCCTATCCTAGAACCCATCGACGAAGAATGTCGTTCAATAGGGCGCAGTTCTCAGAACCCAGAATCGCCAAATAACTTGAATTTAGACGCCAAGTTCAGTCAATCTCTGCCACAGAAGATAAAGGAAGAAATGATAAAGATACGACAAGCTTCAACCGATGACAAAAAAGAAAAGGACCAGAAAAATGACTCAGATTCCGAATCCATCCAGACGGACGTTGAAGTTGTAGAAAGCGAATCTGTTGGTGTAGCTTCAACAGAACAACTCCATGTAGACGAACAGAACTCAGAAAACAAAACAGAAAAACAGAACGAAAAGTAGATTACGTGTAACTTACATTAATATACACAAGACGGGTAATTACGATTAAAATTTTAAAACTAATAAATTCAATAAAAGTTCAATTTTTAAATAAAAGGGATATTACTATTACGACAATAATCCTACTACAAGTCCTATTTTAACTTTAAACTTAAAAAATCAAAAAGGATAAGCAGTAGTTTAGCCAGAGCAAGCTATATTATATACAGCTGCTTTGACAATACATAACAGCTACGTAACAACCGAAGTCAATGAGCCGTACCGCGAAGTAAATAAAAGGCAAACTGATATATCCACATGGTAAACGTTGTTATTACAACCTGTACAATGGACTGGTTTCTGAGTTTTGTTTTATTACCTACAGTTTGCTCATTCGAAATACCACGGCCAGAAGGTTCGTAAGTGTAAAATACTACATTTTTACATTTTGCCATATGTCTTTTTAAAATTACATTGCTTTTTATGCCAAAGATGCAGAATTGAGTTGTTTTAATTCAAATTTAGACTACAAACCTTCGAGTCAATGTGAAACTGGTTATTTCGATTGTGGCAGTCCAAATTCTACGTATTGTATTCCTTTTACTGCAGTAAGAGACTGTGTAGTAGACTGTGAAAACGGCAGTGATGAAAGTAAGACATAAAAAAGTAATAAAAAATGCATTTGATACAAAGATATCCACGATGAAAGTATTATTTCAACGTAAATTAGTTGCTTTATAGTGTGTGGAGACGGTTTACACTTATGTGACACAAATGTAAAACAAAGTAACTCCAGATGCGGCAAATGTGTCAGAAATTCCGAGCTGGGGAAGTTCTGTATTGACCACAAATGCAAGTGAACATAGATAATATTCTTGTAATTTATACTTAGCTTTCAAATTGTAAAGTTAGTACTTAAAAATTTATCTTTATTAATTTACAGGGGAGAACCTCTGTAAAGAAGAAAATGTAGTCAAATGTCTCACAAATGACAATTGTGTACATAACACTTGGATCAACGATGGAGTCAACGACTGTGGAGATGGATCAGATGAAAGTAACTATAGTCTTATATGTATAGTTTATCTTTTAGTACCTGGCACAAGTTTAATGTATACGTATTTTAGATTGTCCTGGTCCGCAATGCCCAGTTACCGGGTTCAAAAACTACTATTCCTCAACAATGAAGACACCTCAAAGATACGAAAACATAAAAAGTATGCCAATTTTTGTTAATCTTTTGCTTTAAACTTAAAAATTTTTTCTTATTTTTTAATGTGTCCCTTGTCTAGGTTATCAACATAGATCTCAACCCTACTACAATATACATAATTTTAGAAAATGTATCGTACGCCGCCGATTGTGGTGACAATTTGTTGGGTAACCCATCTTTGACCGGAATCTCTGTACGATCTGTATATGACACAAGATGTCACGACCCGCTAAACTGTCCCTTCACAGTTTTGTGTGATTTCGACCTATTTGGGGGTGGATGGACAATACTGTTCCAACGCAAATTCCCTCCTCAAATACATTTTAATCGAACATGGATAGAGTATAAGAATGGCTTTGGTGTCATGTCGGCAAATACTGAATTCTGGGTAGGAAACGACCAATTACATAGTCTAACATCACGGCCGTCTTGTAACAATGAAATGATTGTCGTGGCCAAAACCTCACGTGAAGGTGTGGTTAAATATACAAAGTACAACTCTATCCATGTCTGTGATGAGACCGAAGGCTACAAACTGCAATTAGGAATTCTTTCTGGGGCCGTGCCTTATTTTGAAAGTATGTTAATATAACACACTTTTATCTTAAAAAGTTTGTTTTATAAAAAATGGTCAAAAAGTTTGTATAATCGCAATTTATGAAAGATTCCAACCGTTACGATAGCATTACTCAATAATTCACCGTTTCATTCTGTTTCAACTTATTGTTTAGATATTGATGGGTTCCTGCTCTCCCGTGACAAACCTTTTCAAACATTTGATTCGAAGAAACGACAATGCCCTCAAGCAAGCGGAGGTTGGTGGATGAGAAATGACGAGTGTAATATGGAAATACCAACCACCTCGTTCTACGCATATCAAAACAACAAAGGAGTCATTTGGAATCGAGAACGAATAATCGAGTTATCATTGTTAATACGGCCTAGGGGCTTTACTGCTCCTTTGAAAAATGAGTAATTTTGTGGTCAAATTAAAGTTTTAGGTAAACTTCTCAAAATTCTTGTTTTAAAAATCCTAATATGTTTTAAAATTCAATTTAGATAATGAATAATTTACAAAATAAAATTGTTACTGCTTTCAGCATTTTATTTGTAAAGTTAAGGCAATATTAATATTATGGCATGAGTCATAAGAGATCGGTAAGAAATTGTTAAAAGTGACTATGATTTTAAATATTCTTGTACATAAGTAGACTATATAAACTATTGTTAGACTAAATTAAAATCATGCGTTAGTATCCCGTATTCGTCTACCCATTACGCATCTACAAATCTAGGACTTTTGGAATGCAATTTTGCTAAAACTTTTGGGAAATTACCCTCGGGGAACAAGGTTAACAACAGACGTTCAAGGAGAACATAACATAACCGTCGATTCAACGATCGTTGCCTTATCATCGTACTCAAATTAGAAACGGCATTCAAGGAAGAGGAAGAACCGAATACGAACTTCAGCTCTGGAGGTAGAGCAGCGAACATTAAAGTTTGGGACAAAATACGGGTTTTGGTACTGTCGACTTTGTGTTGGTCTTTGCGTTTGTGGGTTTGGAGATTATTTCTACAAATTTGGGTTCAAAAACTTTTCAATTAACTTGTTTTAAAGTTTTGTTACTCTTGACTTTTTGATATAAAAAAACGTTTAAAACCTACCTCAACATTGTCAAGTACTTGGCTACATTCTGTTCTGACGTCTTTTGTTCCACAAATGAGATAATTGACCGATTTAAAGATGTTCCAAAGGCAGCGTGTAAAAAGTGTCGTACTGCTGCTATGACACGGCTTTTGAACCATTGGTTTCGACCATCAAGTCCAAATAACTCATTCACAAGTAACAGTAACACTCTCAGCGGTATACTTTCGTCGTCACCCTAAATCAATTTAGTACTGTACTATAACAAAGTAACATTTTCATAAAAAATAGTTGTTTTGATAGATAAACAAAGAAAACAGTTATTTTTAAAAAATTACCTCCAAATCCAAAGTCGCTGCCACTCTTCTTAAATCCATTTCAGAATACCGTACATTTGAGTTGCTCTACAAAATTATAATATAATAAGCATAAAAAAGGACGTAAAAATACATCATTATTATAGCCTTTCCTAACCTACCCTCATAATACTAGAAGCGGCCCTATTGATCTCATTTCCCATTTTAGACATCTGATCAGGTACATTCGTCACCACTGTCTTAATGGCTCTGACTTTGTCCATGATCGGAGTTACCATGGCTGTAACAATCTTTTTGGGTAGTTTCGGACTCATTCCCATGTAGGTCTTCTGATTCAAAAAGTCCAACAAATCCTCCAGAAGGCCTGTGGTCTCACTTAAGATAACAGGGCTAGTTATCTTTTGCATATAACCGTTCAGATCTTTGCATCTCTTCTCCAAGAACTTTTGTTTCAGGTTGTTGAAGGTCTTCTTTCCAGGAAAATCAATCTTCCTCAAGCTGGGGTACTAGAACACAATTGTTAAATTAAGTCTTAAAATTAAAAATTAATTAAAAAAAAGACAATAATAATAATTATATCAATTAAAGTAAACCAACTGACCTTATTCTGAATGAAACTGTTAAAGTTGTAAAAGTCTGAATATCTTCTGATCACATTCCACGATGATATCACCTCCCCATTGTCACTCGCCCTCGTTACTCTAACATTATATACAGCATAAAACTGAACTCCAGACACCTTGTTCTGTCGCCCAACACCTAGCATTTCCACTTCGGCTACTAAACGATATCCTTTTGGCAATATGTACATATTCTCGTGGTCTTCATGCTGTTCAATATTATTCGAGATTTCGAGCTCTCTCAACATGTTATCGTAGAACTCTGATTGAGTAAATGCTATGTAGAACAACTTTTCTGACAGCAACATGTTTATTATCTAAAAAATTGTTTTAATAAATTGCAATCTTAAAAAATATGTCTAAATAATTATAAACATGAATTCTTTATGTTTTCTCATAAATTTCTTAAAAATAACTCTACCTCCGTTTGTATATGATCAAACCAACTGTCAGACGGCTCATCGTTCCTCATCCGTACTAAAAACGTGTTAACCAGGACGTCGTCTAATGGTACCTTTCTTGGTGCCTGTAAAAATATTTTAAAACTTTAAAAACATCCGGCAACTCTATAATAAACCTTTAAAATTAAAAACCTTACGTTGTCAGCCAGATATTGACTGTACAAGAACAAAGAAGCTTCCTTCATAGTTTCCTGAAAATCTGGATCTCGAGAAACCCCTCCGGCCATAGCTCTCAATTGATGTGCTACACTGGACTTGAATCCTTCAATAGCCAAGTAACAATCAAGATAATGCTGATAACCAACTGATGCCAGATAATCTGAGAAGAAGGTAACTGCGGTAACATTCGTCAAAACTACAGTAATCGGCAGTATAACTCTGTCACTGTCGATCAGCTCGTTGAGTATTTCCACTGGTTCTTCAGCTTTCACAACAGTTTCTTGTAGTCTTTTCATCCGACGTTTGATCAGATCTATTAAAGATGTTAGAGCTTGTATCTCCTTCTTGATGTCTTCTACTTGAGTCGAGTTATCTCGAGAACAAAGAGCTGACTTCTCATCGAAAGCGGCTTCTAAGATCACCTCCAGATCTTGAATCGACCGACACCTTTGGACTACCATCAAAAAGTCATCAGCTGTTAGATTCACGTCACTTAACTAAAAATACATCTATATCAATTAAATAACTTACCATAACCATTATACACGAGTTGATGAACGTGGGATCACAGATCTTATTCAGTAGTGGCACAATAACTCTGCCAATCAGGATTTCTCTAATTAAAAACCTTAAAGGCCTCGATCGAAAGTCTTCTGATGGCATTAACAAGAACAACAAAATGTCTGTTAAATCATGTAAACAAGCACTTTCGTATGCCAAAGACGTTGATATAAGATCGCGACAATACATTACTTCCATTTCTAATTCCAAATCAAAGAAGATTGATTCTATATCTTCAGCTTTACTCTGTAACCCATCTTTCACTTTCTGTTCTTGCTCCATCCTCCTTTCCCGAGCTAATCTAAATAATCTGAAGTGTGATGCTACATCGTCAACCAATTGTCTGGTCAATAAAACTGTCCAATCCACTCGTTTTAACCTAAAAATATAATTAAGTAATAAAATTTTATTACAAAAAGTTACTGGTAATAAGCTACATAAACTTAGTTTCGTCAATCAAAAACAAAAGTATACAAAAAGCTTCACGTACCGTTCGCTTAAAACTGCTAACGCCCTACAAGCACATCTCTTCAAACTGTTAGGAAAACTACGGTTTTTAGACAACTGGGTATACCATGGGTCAATATAAGACTTGATTAGATTATCCAGTATCTAAAAGTAACATTTTTATAATCAAATAATCCACAGTTGAAGTAATAAAATGTGTCATCCTAAAAATCAAACAGTAATTCGAAAAACTACTCACCTGATGAATTAGATCGTCAAGTTGAGGCGATCCTGTAACTACAAAATAATCTATTCGATCACTAAGATAAGTTCTTTTCTGCTCTACAAAGTCCTCTAAATAACTTCTAAATTGTGAATCCTCTACTATATTTAATGATACATCCTTATCGGTGTACTTTCCAATGTAAAATACAGACAATATAAACCTGAAAACAATTTTAACTAATAAACAATGTTATCAAATTTAAAAAAAAAACTAACCAAAAATTCTAATATTTCACCCCATAAACTATAAAAGGCTTATAAGTAGAGTAAAACTGCTTTATAAACTGTTATCAGATAGTTAAAAACATACCCAGTTACAGCTAAAATTAGTACAAAGCATATGATAAGCAAGTTGACAATCCAATTGTAAAATAAGACACATAAAAGCGAAACAATGAGCAAGTACTTCAAGTTCAATACGTTCATTTCCATTATTTGACGATCTCCATAGCTAAAACAATATTTTCTCATTATATCAATCAAAATTCTACGAAATATTACTCTTTTTCCAAAGATTCAATTGAACAAGTTTAAAAAGTCAAACTGAACGCCAATTGAAGCATCAAAGATGGTTTTTTCCGATTTTTTTATTTATTTTTTCGTCTAGAAAATTAGTCATTGCTGACGCGTTTTGCGTACATTCGTCGTAAATTTATTCGGTTTTTTAAAGGTTTCCTCGTTTATCGATCGCAAATGAATGTGAATCAAGCAATCGAAGTAGAACTGACGCTTCCCACGTTAATCGAGCAATACCTTCAATATTGTGTTAGAGATGTGACGATTCAGATGTCGATGAAAGCTAAGATCAGGCGAATCTACAAGTAAGTAAGCTGCTTCTTGGCTATATTTAGGTGGACTAAAGTTTTGGGTAACCTCGTTGTGAGGAATGCCATGAAGATTGTAGCCAACAAGAGAATTGCCATCTTCCATGATCAGAATCGCAAGAGACAATCGTTCTTCAAGGTGGGGAATGAGGAGAGCTGGCTGCCCGTCAACAAGATCCATCTGAATTCAAGGCATTGTAACTGTGCGTACTTTAAGGATATTGGTAAGAATTTTTGGCACTTTTAATAAATGTTTTTACTAAATAAAAATGTTTTTAAATCGATTTAATCTAAATTTAGTTAACGATTACTAGCCTGAAGGTACCTAAAAATTTGTTGTCGGATTTTATTAAAATAAGGAGATGTTTTATTTAATAATTTATTTGTTTTTTTAGTTATGAAGAGTTCGAAAGGATACCTGGTAAGTTTCTTGCAATGTTGTTGTACTTCCTTGTTTAGTGTCAGCACCTGACAGCTTTGAGGATTGTACATGCACTCAATATTGCTTATTACACTACGACTAAAGACTTATCAACGGAAGATTAGTTTTAAAATCATCTGTATTTACCTTTGGTCTGTTAAGACCGTTTCATATTGTATATAAAAAAAAGATTTTAGGTAATAAATTATAGAAAAATCTGAATTGTTTAGTAGTTGTACATTGTTTGTCATCAATTTGATACTTGACGAAATTCTGAAATTTATATCTTTTTGTCGGTTTTAGTGAGAGTAGTGCACGCAATGACGACGATACAAGAAACTGTAAGTTTTGTAGTACTGTAACTTTATTTTGTTTAGAAAGCAAAACGTGAGGGAGTTGTGGGTAACTTAAAATCGATTCGTGTCGGTAAGACAAAGTTACTTGGGATGTTAGGCTCTCTAAAGGACGCTGAAGAACGTGGTGAAGTAAGTTATGACAGTATACTGTAACTTTATTCTTTTATAATAGAATATGTAACTTTAAAAATATATTACTGATAGTAATAAAATAAATTTTCATAGTAAATAATAATAGTTATTAGTTTAGGATGTAGACAAAGCGTTGACAGTACAATTAGTGGAGGCATACGACAAATTGAAAATCCAAGAAGACGAGTATCTTACAGTATTAAAAGACATTATCCAACAGCATTTCGGTGAGTACCGAGCCGAGAAAACGAAAGTTGAGAAGGAGAGAGAAAGGGAGGAGAACGGAGAACCAGTAGAACGAACAGAAGAAGAACAACGTGCTCTAGACGAGTTCTTGAAAGAAGTTGATGAAGTTGAATCAAGCGCTAAAGCTGCTTATGACAAAAACGAAGAGTTGATGGCAAAGTTGAGGGAAAAATTGGAACAGGTACAGTTTAAATAAAGCCGGTAGTGAAAATTTATATAAAGTTATATATAAAGCATGGCTCAACTTTCTCTTTTAATTCTAATAATAGTTATTTTTAGAAACAACTTATCGACCATCTGAATACTGTCAAAGAAAGTGAACTGGAAAAGGCTCAAGCTGCCAAAAACCGCAGTAAGTTTTATTATCTTTTTAATAATTTCTTTTTCAATTTTAAAAAAACGATAAAGATACCACACCGGTTAAAGCAAATCAATTGCTACAATTCCTACTTTAAAAACAACTGAACTAATTGAAATCTTGTAGTCTTGGCCGAAAAAGAAGCCTTGTCACGGGCCGAACAAGTAAGAGATCGTCTGAAGAAAGTAGTTCTTAAAAGAGAACTGGCAAGAAGTACTAATGAACCATCAGCAGAAGAGATATTACCAGGAGATCAAGAAGAGCGCGTACCAGAACTTCCAAAGCTGGAAATGCCAGTACCAAAGACAGAAGAAGAAAAGGAGATGAACGAGAAAATCCAGAGACACATCGAGTCGATAAAGAGCAGAAGACAAAGGATGTATGAGTGTGGGGCCAGACTTAATGAAATGGTGGATTTGGGGGAGACTATTAACAACGCTGTCAAGAGGACAAAGTAAGATATCTTAATTATAACAAAGCGAATATGAGTTTATAACAGCGTTGTGAAGTACTGCGAAGTTCTGTCTGTGGCTTTGAAAAAAGTTTTTTTGACAATGCCGGTCAAAAAGTAGAAGGTAAACGTGATAAAGCTGGGCATGGCTACAAAACGTTCAATTTTTGCTAAAACGCAACATGAAAGTCATAAATGCTTCAATCATATTTTTCAAAAAACTTTAAACTTTTTGAAATTTATTATTTCTGTTACAGTAACCTGGAAGAGCTGTCCAAGAAGTTGGAAGCCCTGAAGACCGAGGAGGAAAGCGAAAGGTGAGGACCAAACCGATTTGTTTTATTGTCAGAGGTCATCTGGGAGCTAGTGTAAAGTGAATTACATCAAAGGCGAGGGCAGTGAGTGGGGGTCGATCTGTTCACATTCTGAGACGTCATCTGTTCGGGGGAGAGGCGAGGGTAACGGAGGGGAGGGAATGGTGGCCAGATGACGACGAAATCTTTTCTGGGCAGATGCGGCTCTCCCTCTCTCTTTTCGTTGTGATCGGCTCTAATCCGGCACGCCTGTTACTTCCTTAACTCTCGATCTGGTCATCTGACTCCGCCCGGTTCTCGAGGATCGGTGCTGGGTCGTCGTTCTCGAAAAGTTAGTCAGTCTATTCGGGAGAAGGCGAGCCGATCGGCCGCTTTGTTTCTATTGTTATTCGATTTATGTGCCGATATTCAGCTAGATGTACTCTTGAAATATTGTTCTAGGTCTACCTAATGTTTGGGGGTTTTCTGAACGTACTAGCTATATTATACTAGATCTACGCTTATTGGTCATCCTTTAGGTGAAATTAACAATATATTCTACTTTTCTTCATTTTATTTTTAAATTTATTTTTTAAATATTTATTTTTATGTAATTTCTATTGTTATACAGTAGTAATCCTGGTTAAGTGAATACTTTGCCACAGTCTTAGAATTTGGCATAGCTGGGCTGGGGTTCGCTTAGACCGGTGTTACTACTTTCTTTTTATATGTCCTACTACAACATTAATGATTCTTTTAAAGTAATAATCTGTTTTCAGCAAGAAGGAGTAAGCAGCATGGATATTCAACTTACAAACATTATCTTATTCACATATTAACTGCCACATATCTGCATATATCTTTACTAACTGTGATAAACTTATTTGGTTGTATTTAGGTTGTTTGTTAATATGTAATATTCAAATTTTATATTTGAATAGTTTTGAATGTAAATTAAGATTTGTCGGGGATTATTAGGGACAAAAAGTTTTTGATAATATCTACTAGGCTGAGGAAGTAAAACTTAGATGGTCTAGATACACAAGTTTTGTAGTTTTTAAAAGTATATTAAAGTAGGCAGAAATAATGAGAAAGGTATACTTTATCAACTTATTGTAAAAGCTGATTCCCGACACGAAAATAAAGAGTGCAAAAAACGATTGGCATTCAGCAATAAATTAAAACTTTTGGAGATGTACGTCTTTTTTATTTATATCTTTAAAAAGTGAAAAATTTGGTTTTTTTTTGGTTGATTTAATAACGAAGTTTTACGTATTTTTATTGTGGATTGTATTAGTTTTTCAATTTTAAGTTAAAGAAACCAAATCGTGTTTTAACAGTGAGCTTTATTGACTAATATCAAATTTTAATGTCGTTGCTGTCAAACTCAGATGGTAATACCGTAGGGAATGGGTAAGGGTTCTCTTTTTCTTTTTTGGAGCCGGTGAAGGTGGAGCGGGCATCAGCGCTGGACTGTGTACTGCTTTTCTCCCTCGTCGTCTCCTTGCTCTTGGCCTGATTCTGAATAATCTCCCAGTCGTAAAGGTCCGAAAACGTAGTTTTTAGCCGTGTCATTGTAGCGATGAGCTTGTCGTATATTAGTCGATAGTTCGGTCGGTCTTCGTAGGTCAGTCCGCGTATGTGCGCTAGAATGTCCGTCCATTCAGGAGGGCAGTTCTCGAGAAGTTTTTCGTCTGGTAGCTCATTCTTGATCTTTCCAGTTTCGGGCTCCTTTTTCCCGGTCCAGACGAGTCGGTCAGCTAGCTCAACCATCACGTAGACTAAAAGTTTAGGGCATAGTAAATATTTAATGGAAGAAATAAGTTATTTTAGTTAATATAATATTTAATTTATCATTTTTTAATTTATATATGTAGTTTTAACATTGAACTTACTGAGAGAAAACATGTCATCTCGTCGGCTCTGTTCTTGTCTCATATGTACATAAGGGGAGCAATATCTGCTGGTACCTCGTAGAAGGGCTTTTTCTCGTGCTCTTCGATGTCGTGCTACTCCGTCCTCCCAGATGGTGTAAGCGCGACACATTCCGAAGTCGATGAGGAAGATCATTCTCTTCTCGATGCCCTGTCTTCCGATCACGATGTTTGACGGCTTCACATCTCGATGTACGAACCCGATTTCGTGCACTTGTTTCATGGCATACATAGTTTGAACGGCGATCTTACTCACACAGCCTGGAGTGAAGTTTTTGAGTTCGTATTCTTTTTTTAATTGATTTAGATTTTTCCCATAAAGTGTCATGACGACATACGAATAGGTATCTCGTCTGCCGCAGTGAATCAGACGAACCACGTGCTTGCGTTGTTGTAGTTGTTTGATTACGCTTGATTCTTTCTTTAGGACGCCCAGGTCATCGTTACTACCTTCAACCTGAAATTTTGATTTAAAAAAGATATTAGATTATTAGTACGTTAGGAAATCTAGGATAATATACTCAAGTTCTTGGTCTTACTTTTAAAGCAGCTTTGATCTTTTTGTTCTCAACGTCGTGAACACGATAAACAACTCCACAGGCTCCTTCTCCAAGCTTGGCTTCAACAACCCACTTTTTGTTCACTGATTTCCCAATATCGAGATCGACTAAATCCATATTTACGCGAGCACAACCGTTTTATAAGCAGACGAATAGAATAACTGATTTGATTTCAGAGATTGAATTATTCAAATTTGGAAATGGACGACTTTTCGGAAGTTGAGGATGGCTTTGCGGACGACGATCTTCTTTCGCCAACTGAAGTGGCTGGTATGTTGCTTTAGTTTATATTGTGCTTTTAGAGATAATAATTGGGTGCCGTAAGATAATAATAATTTAACATGTAGTACTCATACTATATGAGCATTTTCCAAAGGTGAAGCTAAAGTTTGTAAAATCTTATGTTAAGCGTTGAAAATAAGCGATGGTCGAGGTGACAATTCGATGCAAAGGTCGTTCTTGGAAAGAGACAACTTTGAGAACGAACTTGGTATTCAAGCTGATGATCCGTTTGGAGAAGATTTCAGTGACATTCATCAACTTGAAGTGGTTTCTGTGATTGCAGAAGGTGATTTTGTGAGCCGACCGGTCATTATGATATACGCATATCGACTGCCTTCGAATAAAACTTTTAATCACGACAAATTCTTAAGGTGAGTTAAAAATATACCTAAAATCTATAAAGTTATATATAATGTGAATATTGTTTATCTAAATTATTAACGGTTTTATTTTAGGTATTTAATGAAGACGTTAGACCGTGTAGTAGACCTTGACTATACGATAGTCTACTTTCACTACGGTCTTAGAAGTCATAACAAGCCGCCTCTCAAATGGTTGATTCAAACGTATCAGATGTTGGATCGACGGTATAAGAAGAATCTGAAAGCCTTGTATCTTGTACACCCGACTAGATTTATAAGAATAGCATGGAAGATATTCCAACCTTTCATATCCTTTAAGTTCGAACGTAAAGTACACTATGTAAACTACGTCTACGAGCTGAAAACTGATCTACGGTTGTCGAATCTGAACATACCACAGCCTATTTTGGAGTAAGTTTTTTTACTTTGAAGGTATTAATTTTTGAAAATGGTTTATCATTTCTAAACTTTAGGTATAAGGTTGTTGTTGGATAAATTTCTTTACCGGTAACTTTGTTTTAGTCACGACGACAATCTGCGGTCCACACAGAAACAAACAGCCTCTGTATCGTCATCTCCTGTTCAGCCACCAAGGCCTACTCAACAGTTTGATGTTTCTTTGGAATTGTAAGCGATTTAAATATTTTTTTTAACTTTTTTAATGTCTAATAAATATTACCTAAATTTTAATTTTAGTATACTAAACCACAATCGTGACTGTGATATACCTCCGATAGTGTCCGAACTTCTCGAATTTCTGAATGAAAACGGCCTAGAAGTGGAAGGAATATTCAGAAGATCGGCAGAGATCACGACGATCAGAAACCTTCAGGATCGCATCAACAAAGGAGAGAAGATAGACTTCGTGAATGATCCAGAATACAAGGGGAAGATGCAGAAGGCTGTGATTGATGCTTCTGTATTATTGAAGACATTCTTCAGATCTATGGGCGAGCCTGTCATTACGAATGGTCTTTATGGAGAGTTAGTCAAGATAAGCAGTAAGTTTTGGAGTTTATAATGGGGATTTTCTGGAAGGAAAGTTATGGTAAACAAAAGTATAAAAATAATGTTTTGAATACATTAAAACGACATCTATATTTTTTTGTGTTTTTTGGCTGCAAAGTTAAATATTTTTGAGAATCCCCGGCTCTAAATGCAGACAGATGGCGTCATGTGAGCAAAAAGTGAAGCATTCTATTTTATTGTTAAAAAATTGCTCAAAATCGAGCGGTCGGAATTTGAAAATGAGAATTTTGAAAATTTTCAAAATGAAAAATGAAAATAAAATGCGACCGGTCAGTTGCATTGAAATGTTTGGCGGATAGCGGTTGGTTTTAGGATATGTTGAGGAAGATAAGATGGCAAAGGGACGTGTATGTATGTTTTTCGATATTGTTTTGAGTATGATACTGAATGGTGTGTAAGATAGATCCTTTGAAAAGTTTTCATTTTAAAATATTTTTTAATAGGCGTGGGGAAAATATGGGTGTGGTAAATTGAGTAAAGGTAAGGCGTATCATACTCAAAATAGTGTCAGGATTCATGCTGCGTTCCAATAGCAAATTGTGATTAGCAACAGGTTTTAGAATTTGAATTTGAAAACGTGCGAGGGCCGCAGGACCGAGCATATTAGTTTGAATAATATAAAACACATGAAATTTCAATGTCAACGCGCGAGGGCCGCAGGCCCGAGCTCATGATATGGTATCTTCAAATAAAAATTAATTTTAATGATTTGTGACAATATAAAAATCAAAAGGGGCGTGCGAGGGCCGCAGGCCCGAGCCTATGATTTTGCATATTATAAATTGTATTGAAACTGGTATAATAAAAATGAAATAACATGAGATTGCAATGTCCAGATCATAGGAGGCTCGTAGGGCCTCCGTTGATCTGGTCCCCCTTTCTAAATGGAGAGCGTGGTATCATGTGACAGAAAAGTAAAGCCGGCAAAGTGAAGCATTCTATTTTATTGTAAAAAAATTGGTTGAAAATGAGCGGTCGGGATTTGAAAATGAAAATTTTCAAAATTTTTAATTTGGAAATGAAAAATGATAGTAAAATGGCAATAAAATCTTAAGTTTTAAAAATAGATGCTTTTCAACGCGCCGAGGGCCGAAGGCCCGAGGCATTTGCATTGTATAAAGTTCGTCCTTTTTTGAGTACGATGCTATTTTCTTATGATAAAGTTACAAAATGATACTGTACTATTTTGAAAAGTGTGACGATGTGCGAGGGCCGTAGGCCCGAGCCCACGAGTTTGAATATTATAAACTGTATTTAAATTAAAATACAGAAGACCAGATAACATGATATTACAATGTCCAGATCAAAAGCAATGTGCGAGGGTCGCAGGCCCGAGCTAATTTGTATGAATGTTATGAAATGTATTGAATTTAGTAAAATGAAAATGAAATTGCAACGTCCAGATCATAGGAGGCCCGTAGGGCCTCCGTTGATCTGGTTTTAATAATTTAAAGGCTTTATTATTTTTAAAAGACGATTTCTGAGACGGTGAGGCATGGTGTGCACTAGAAATTGACCCCCTGTTTTTATCGTCTTAATGCATGAGATAAACCGTTTTAAGATGTATAGTGCAGTGTTTTTGCACAAAATGTCATTTTGACATTTTTATGACATTTTTTGTCAAAAACAGTGAAAATTTATAATAATTTTAAAAATTAGCCGAATGTTTTCAAAATTTGTACACTTATGTTTTTAACTATGCTGATTAAAATTGTAGTTGAACATTTTTTTCTAAAGTTACCGTAACCTACCGTAACCCAACCGGTCGATTAAAAAAGTGCAAATAAAAAAAAATTTAACACGGTTAGTCATAGTCAATTTTAGCATATTTGAAATCTACATGAAATTTGGGTTTGAATAGACGGTACGCTTAAACTTAAAGCTGCCAGTTTTTGGGGTTTTTGGTCAATCAATAAATTACGGTAGGATACGATCAAAAAATTAAAAAATTACTGTGCACGTCAAACCGAACTAATAGAAATGAGTGAAATATCAAAATGTCTAACCGCTCTCTCTTCGTTTGCGTGACGCTCTTTTTTTTATGCGCTAAACAAAACGTCTATTTTTCTCTCTGATTTCACGTTTCGGTTTGACGTGCTGTGCCATTATTAAAATATCAAATGCCGTGTAATTTGTTATACTTACGTTTCAAAACACGCTTATTAAAATTGTAGTTGAACATTTTTTTCTAAAGTTACCGTAACCTACCGTAACCCGCCCGGTCGATTATAAAAGTGCAAATAAAAAAAAGTTTAACACGGTTAGTCATAGTCAATTTTAGCATATTAGAAATCTACATGAAATTTGGGTTTGAATAGACGGTACGCTCAAACTTAAAGCTGCCAATTTTGGGGCTTTACGGCCGATTAAAAAATTACGGTAGCACAATGTCAAAAAATTTAAAATTTTACTGTCGCTTTGCTAATGCAATTACAAGTCTGCAAATTTGCATACTTATGTTTTGTACCATGTTGAACAAACTGGTAGTTACAAAAAGTTTATAAAAGCACCGTAACTTACCGTAGTCCGACCGGTCGATTATAAAAGTGCAAATATCTAAAAATTTAACACGGTTAGTCATAGTCAATTTTAGCATATTTAGATTCTTCATAAAACGTAGATATTGATAGGCTATAAGATAATCTTTAAAGCTGCCAATTTTGGGGGCTTACGGTCATTTTTTGGATAGTATGCCACCGTAATTTTTTAATTTACCGTAAAACACCAAAACTGGCAGCTTTAAAGATGTGCTTATACCCAATCAATATCTACGTTTCATGTAGGTTCTAAATATGCTAAACTTGACTATGGAGACTTGTGTTAAATTTTTGGATATTTGCACTTTTATACTCGACCGGTGGGTTTACGGTAGGTTACGGTACTTTTAGAAAAAAATTTTAAACTAGAAAGTAATTCAGCGTAACGAAAAACGTACGTATGCAAATTTGCAAACTTGTGATTGCATTAGCAAAGCGACAGTAAAATTTTAAATTTTTTGACGTAGTGCTACAGTAATTTTTTAATCGGCCGTAAAGCCCCAAAATTGGCAGCTTTAAGTTTGAGCGTACCGTCTATTCAAACCCAAATTTCATGTAGATTTCAAATATGCTAAAATTGACTATGACTAACCGTGTTAAATTTTTTTATTTGCACTTTTATAATCGACCGGGCGGGTTACGGTAGGTTACGGTAACTTTAGAAAAAAATTTTCAACTACAATTTTAATAAGCGTGTTTTGAAACGTAAGTATAACAAATTACACGGCATTTGATATATTTATAATGGCACAGTAATTTTTTAATTTTTTGACCGTATCCTACCGTAATTTATTGATTGACCAAAAACCCCAAAAACTGGCAGCTTTAAGTTTAAGCGTACCGTCTATTCAAACCCAAATTTCATGTAGATTTCAAATATGCTAAAATTGACTATGACTAACCGTGTTAAATTTTTTTTTATTTGCACTTTTTTAATCGACCGGTTGGGTTACGGTAGGTTACGGTAACTTTAGAAAAAAATGTTCAACTACAATTTTAATCAGCATAGTTAAAAACATAAGTGTACAAATTTTGAAAACATTCGGCTAATTTTTAAAATTATTATAAATTTTCACTGTTTTTGACAAAAAATGTCATAAAAATGTCAAAATGACATTTTGTGCAAAAACACTTCACTATACGTTTTAAAACGGTTTATCTCATGCATTAAGACGATAAAAACAGGGGGTTAATTTCTAGTGCACCTGCCTGTTTCAGGCTGCTTCACTGTCTCAGAAATCGTCTTTTAAAATATATACCATGATGACATATTTTTTTTATGTTTTCAGGTGTCGAAAAGGAAAAGAAAACTGAAGCGATCAAAGAATTTGTCAAGAAGTTGCCTCGAGAAAACTACGTTTTGCTTAAAACGATATGCAAATTTCTGACAAAAGTGGCGGAGAATTGCAAGGTCAACCTGATGGATGCTAACAACTTGAGTGTGGTGTTCGGACCCAACTTCACGTGGCCAACAGATCAACATGTTCCGATCAATCAGCTGCACAACTTGAACAACTTCTGCTACAAATTAATCACAGAGTACGATCAAATATTTGAATGAATTTGGTCAAAAAGTAGGTAGTCTTAAATTTGGATTATACTATTTGTAAAATCTTTTTGAAACCTTGGACCAAATCATTGTTCTTCTCATCAATTGCCTTTATATTATCAACAAGGATTATATATCTTCAAGCCTTATTGGTGTTTTGCTTTTTACAACTGGTAATTGTAATTTACTGTCTTATCATATGAAACACTGTATATAAGGTATTATTAAGCTTTTTATTTGAATCAAGGTTCTCATTGTAATATGATTGGCCCATTACTTTACTGGGCCCATTTTAAGGTTTTTAGCCGCCGGTTGCTTTTTTACTTTTACAGTAATACAATATGGTTATTGTTATCACGTTTAGTCTACATTTTTTAGCTAAAGCTTTGTAAAGTACTCTTTGTTAACTAAAGTACTGTAAAGTCGAGTGTTTGTTACCTAAAACGCTGTAAAAGGTGTCTCTCACCCTGGAGCCTTACGAAAGCTGTGATATTGTTTGTTTTTGTGAAGCAATTTGTTTTTAAATTAAAGAAATTTTTCGAATATCTGCCGAGTTTGTTTTGCCTGCGGGGAGAGTGTCAAATTTGAATTGCGAGGAGAGGTCGTCGCTCAATTTCACGCTAAAAACGGCGTGACCCGAAGCCCATTCCGAAGCCTCTTCCTTGTGCTCATTATACTGACTTCTAAACAGCTACAAGAAGTATGTATTTAAAATTTGGCGGAAGTGTGGGGGGGGTATAATAGGAAGCGCCTCTTTCGCGCCTTGTTGTTCGTCGTGCCTGGTAATGACGACTGTATAAATAGCACGTTCCCGAGATTCCCTCTTCCCAATAGTATTAACTTAACCCTCAGGCTATGTTTATGTTCGGTCTTCTTCTCGTTAATTAATTTCAAATAGAAACTCCGAAGAATGTTTCCTCTCCCAAAAATGAGTTTGTCTTCAGTTTGAGGACACAAGGGAGGGGCGGAGTCCGCAACAATGTGGATAGTTGCCAGATGGAGAACATTACGGGAACGCCCAACCCGCTCCACGCGCTGCGTATTTTATGGTGGACATGCTTTAAATGACCGCATGAAGAAGCCCACACCGTCTGAGCGACGTCGCAACTTGGAACGGTAGGTCATCGTCTTGGGCTCGGAGTAAGGATAAGTTAGTGAATTTTTATATATAAGTTTTTTAGCTTATCATTAATTTTCAAGGAGCCTTTGAGTACTCTTACTAATTTACATTAGCTTAATTAATAACTCGTATTAGAAAGTAAACAATAAGAATAATTTATTTTAGTCACTATGGTACGGTCGAATTTCACTGTCGATTTGGGAACTCGTTTCTGGCTTCGCTTTACTGGGGCTTCAGACGGATCCATTACTTTTTGTGCTTTTATGACAACGGTATGTTCTAAACCCTTTGCCAATTAATCATTTGCACCAGATGTGGAAGTCGACGTGGAGGATCTTCTAATTAACCCGTTCAATACACAGCCTCCGGCGTTGGACGATTTGCAAAGGCTCACCGGCTTCCGAAGAGACTGGATCATGTTTTTGTACAGGAATTTTAAACAGGTAAGAAATGTAAAAATGAGGGTTTTAAGTTTAACATAATGCAAATAGCAACTGAAAAGATCAATTTAACACATGATTGTAAAGTTCTATGACCTGAGCGATTTGAAGATCAATACTTTCAAGCTCGTTATCTCTTTTTGAACGTGTAAATTCACGGAGCGTCGGCGATGTATGAACGTACATCAACATAATAGTCATCTGAAATAGCCCAAACTTTAAAAATTCGAAATTTTAAACTTTACATCCTTTACACTTTAAAGAATGTCACAAATATAAGCTATATTTTACTCCTATATTAAACTTAAAAATCACGAAATGTAACTTACGATAACAAAAATGAACGTGTGTGCAATCATTTCGTCGATAGCACAACAACAAAGTAAACCCTAACCTTGCTTTCACTTTTTATGTTATTGTTGTTGTAGATCTCGGCGAATGGTCGGATGTCCCAGATGCAATGGCGACAGATATTCAGGTTAATATTCAAAGGAACCACTGATTATGAATTCGCTGACCGCCTTTTTAACGCCATCGTAGGCACTCGCTCCCATCGTATGATCACATTTGAAGACCTGATTGTATGCATATACGATCTGACTCAGTCTTTCCAGGCATCGAACGATTCCATCGATGATTCTGTTCCTTCTACTACTAAAGCTCAATTTACGTTTTGCTTAATGCAACCGGATGATAAGGTATGGCATTATTTGTAAATTATGACAAAATTTAAAGGATGTAGCCTTTTCTATTTAGTATAGTATTTTTTAACAAAATGACACAAATTTAGTTTTAAAAATGAGATTTTAGCAAGTATATATGTTACATTTTTAGGGTCGTGTTGACATAGAAACGTTTACAAATTACGTGGAATGTATATATAACCTGAATGCATCGCTCAAAGGCTCAGCAGCTTCTGGAGACGCTGCCACTCTTGGCATCATTAGTGGAAGCACACATGGCTCACAATATTACGGTGATAAGGGGAAAAAAGAAGTCTCTCAACCATGGGTTCAAGCTATGGCCAAACAACAGTTCAAGGTATGTAAAGTAATCTAGGTTGTCAATTCCCATGTGGATTACGATTATTCTTTACAAAAATATACCAATTTTGTAAACAATTATAACATTGACGACAGAAAGTCGCAAAAAATGTTAGTTTTTAAGAAGAATTGACTTTTTTGACAGTTTCAATTAAACAAAACTGTCAGAAAAACATAACCATTCCAGGCTATTGATCTTGATGAAGACGGATACATTATGCTAAAGGACGTGCAAAGGCTATTCAATGACCGAGAAGACATTTACAAAGGAATAATTCTCAAAAAAGAATCTCAAATCGACTTTTAATTCAAATCAATACCTATTTTCTCAACTTTCAAAGATATATCAAATAAAAGCTTTTAAAGTTTATCGAATTAATTTAATTTGATAATTCGTTTTAAGTAACGGCAAAAGAATTTATTATTTTCGGTATATTTCGGCCTATGAAAGGAAAAGTCAGAGAAACAAAGAAAAACACCAAAAAAGCGCGAGAAAAATGCTCTCTCGCCCTTCGCGAACCCAGTCTTTTGACTACTTTCTCTTTTTATCGGTCCCAGGCTGGAGATTGTTCTTCGGCTGTGATGATCTAGATTGGTCCGTGTTACTGATTTGTTAGTGATCTAACCTTACAATCAATCTGAGCCTAAAGTACATTTTTAAAAGATTAAATTATTTATATTATTACGGTAACTCCTCTGCTATACAAGCAACCCGAAGGGACCAAAATTTTGTGTTTACCATAGGGGGTTTTATCTTTAGAGTGATTTTTACATCAAATTGACTCGGCGGGGCCAAATTTCTTATTCACTATCATTGACGGTTCACTATATAGAGGGACCACTGTGGGTGTCTCAAGAAATTTGCAGGATTTGAAAAATTTTTTATTCAGCGATAAAAATCGCTATAGGTACCAAATTTGGTACAGCGATAGTAGAGCAAATATATATTTTTTATAAAAAATTTTGGATTTTAAAAGTGCATTTTAAATTTTTTATGATTTTTTAAAAATAGGTATTTTTCACCAAAAATACACATATTTTTGGTTGAAAATGCTTTTTTCTCCGAAATTTGCGAGAGAATCATAAAATTTATCTATTTTCAAATGAAAAGACTTTCAATTTCGGCGAAGGCTCGACGGAGGCCGGCGGACGCGATATCGGCGAAGGCTATAACTCGCTTCAAAATTGTCGTAAAATTATGAAACAAAAATTATTTCATTTGAAGTTATTAAGTCTACAATTGTAGGATATAAATTTTTAATATTTTAATATTTTTAAATTTAAAAAATGGGCAAATGATAAATATTTATTTATTAATATTACTTATATTATCTAATTTCTACGTTATTACCGCCGCCCTCAATACAACGACGCAGCTTAGGGACAAACAAATCGATAGCATCGTTAACCATTTGTTGTGGAATGCTATCTATTACAAAATTAATACGCTGCTCCAACTCAGCAATCGACGAAAAAGGCTGTTTATACACCTGCGCCTTCACATGGACCCAGAAGAAGTAGTCCATCGGTGCCAGATCAGGGCTGTACGGGGGCCATACCACTGGAGGACCATTGGTACTACTTTTCCGGCCAATCCAGCGTCGTGGAAACTTTTCATTCAAAAATTGACGTACCGGTCCATAAAAATGGGGCGGTGCGCCGTCTTGTTGAAAGATGGTTCTTCCTATAAAATCACAATTCTTATTTCAATTTCAGCCATAGCCGAAACAATCAAAAATTCCGTGAGTAGTTAGCTCAACGTACACGAAAGCTTCCCAACTTATTGGTACAACTAATCGTTTAACAAAATAATAATGATTTTAATTTGCAATTATTTTATAGTTTATATTATTCTATTTTTATTGAACATCAATTAACAATTTTTATTATAAAATTTTGAGTGTTTTTGTGTTAAAATTTATATCTACAATTGTTGACTTAATGACTTCAAATGAAATAATTTTTGTTTCATAATTTTACGACAATTTTGAAGCGAGTTATAGCCTTCGCCGATATCTGAACGCGTCCGCCGGCCTCCGCCGAGCCTTCGCCGACATTGAAAGTCTTTTCATTTGAAAATAGATAAATTTTATGATTCTCTCGCAAATTTCGGAGAAAAAAAGCATTTTCAACCAAAAATATGTGTATTTTTGGTGAAAAATACCTATTTTTAAAAAATCATAAAAAATTTAAAATGCACTTTTAAAATCCAAAATTTTTTATAAAAAATATATATTTGCTCTACTATCGCTGTACCAAATTTGGTACCTATAACGATTTTTATCGCTGAATAAAAAATTTTTCAAATCCTGCAAATTTCTTGAGACACCCTGTATATAATTTTACCTATTTTTCACAACAAGACTAGCCTTTCTTAATCCAAAATGTCATTAACTGAACGAAACAGAACATAACAACTTGACCACCAAATAAAATAATATTTATTGATCCCGAACTCTAGAAAAAGTTGACAAACAAGATGAGAAAATGCTAGAAAAATATGGAATGCACGACAAGGTAAACTTTTACAAGGATCTAATAAGACCGGTAAACGTGACTGGGGTCTGCCAAATATACATGTGATATAGTCATCTTGTGTCGAACCAGAATTAGTTATTGTAAAAATGGGTGGGTACGAAAATTTAATAACAAAGTTAGGAAGAGTCAGACGAGACAAGTGTGAACATGAGACCATCGCAGGGAATATACAACGGTTAATATGTGTGTGTTTTCACCGGTTTGAACCGAAACTGTCATCCAATGTCACCTTTTCGAGGGCCTTTTCAGCTGCCGATATTGCTGTAGCTTCGGTCTGCTCGCGCATGAACTGTTCGTAGTAGATCGTGTCTTGGGAGTCGGAATCCGTGTAGTCTTGGCAGTTTTCTTCCAAGAAGGCCCATTCTTCTTCGCTAATCGGCTGGCCATCCGGGCCGTACACGGTGGCTTCGGTGGACCTCGGTGCGGCAGAGGAATGATCACCATACCCATCCTGAAAAATCTACAAATTGAAACAAAATTTAAACTTTGATAAAAAATCTTCAACCTTTAGTGTGTTTAACGTGACATAAACATTAGATTTACATCACGATTCACTTGTTATCTACCGTTTTTCGTAATAACTCGGTTTACGTGATGTTTTATCAATAAAAACATAAAGGTTTTATTGTTGCGAAGCGAAACTTGCTTTTTAAAAACATAATTCACCTTTTCAATCGAATAAATCAAGTTACGTCGAAAAGAAAACCAGATCAACTGTAAACAAATTACACTTACGAATTCAGTTTGAACACCCCATTGTTTCTCTCTGAGCGAGTTCAATTGTCTGATGTTGTGTTTGGCTGACTCGCTAATTGACCTCGAGTTGCGGCTGATAAACTCCAACTTGTCGAGCACTTCGTTCAACAACGCCGGGTCTTGATCATCCTCAATATAACGTCCTGTGAGCTTCAGCACTTGAACCACGCTTTTGATGATGGCATCGGTAACAGGGTCAAATTCCAATAGTAGTCGCATCAAGCTAATCAAATATTGGCCCAGACGAGACATCCTCACCCCATTCACTTCGGTCTTATCGTACAATTCAGCAATGAAAATAGAGAAATGCCCAATCTGATGGGCGCTCATACGATTCAGTTCATCACTCATAATAGCAGCAACCTTTGGAATAATCATTCGCGATGTGAAGTTGGGGAATTCACCATCCAACACCTTACACAAGCGAGAGAAGTTATATTGGGAGTTTGGGCAGAGGTACGACATTTCCACTATCACAGAGGCCACAAGTTCGATGTCATCGGTCGGGAAGCCACTGGACAGTCGATGTTTGATGGCATAACTCCAGATCTCGTACTCGTGAGGGTCAGCCACCAACTGTTCCAGACCAATTTGAACCTAAACATAAACAAGTTAAAAATAGATCAGACACCTACCTCAATAATAGCCTTTTTGTTCCGCGAATTTTGAATTCTCTCCACCAATTCGTCGGTCAATGGGTATTGACAGATGAATTCTTGCGTCGGTGGTGGAACGGGTTGTTGGGCGGCCATTTGGCCGTTCTGGAGTCCGTTCTGCATATAATAATTCGAGTTCAAGTTGTTAGGAAGGTTCTGAAAACCAAAAAACTTCAATTAATTTTTAAATTCCTAAAAGAAAAGTTTTTTTATGCATAACTTAAGTAATTTTAGCAATAAAAGACACGAAAAAATATTATTTTAAAGAAAAACTTTTAAACAACCAACTTCACGTTATAAACAATGTAAACGACTGCTTAATTGTTGAAAAACAAGACTTTCCTATACAAATTTAAAAAGAAATTTACTTTAAACTTTAGTTTGGTCAAAAAGTACACAGACTCCACTAATGTCTGATTTTACTGTTCATTTTTTGATTATTCTATTTGTTTTTTGAACTAATTAATAAAGTTCTGCACCCTTTTTGACCCAAACAGTAAAGTTAAATCCACAAAAAAATGAAAAATTATTCAAAAATCCAGCTTTAATCCAAACATGCAAAAGCACCTTTTTATTCAAATTTTCTCAAATTCAATTCAAAAATGACTTACCACTTGGTTGTTATAGCCGTTATATGTATGGTTGTAGCTGGAACCGTTTTCGAACCGCCGAACTTGTGGATTGACTGGAGTGCGGTCAGTGTTGACGAAAACGTTGGAAGAGGACTCTGGCGGCTGAAAATTTCAGAATAAAAAGAGAATTTGAAAAAGCGCCCCCAATCTGACCTCAAACTCCTTTCCTCTGAGCAAAGAGAAACAGGAGATCAGGTCGAGAGTGCGCGTCAACACCAAAAACCTTACATTCATATAGGCCGCGTAGTTCTGGTATCCATAAGGAACTTGTGGAGCTTGGTAGGCCATTTGAGCAGCTCGAGGACGAGGGTGGAATTCGGCGGCATTCGGATTCAAACGACGCGGCCCAGAATTCATCAGACCAGCTGAGTAGTTGTTCATCATCGATTGCACGATAACAGCTAAAATTAGACCTTATTATCATAGCTCAAATTTGGCATTTCACAACTAAATTAAGGTCATTTATAGCTAAAATAAGACCTTAATAACGGGTAAATTAACAGCTCATAAAGATAGCATTAATTCACTTTAAAAAAACGCAAGAAAAATGAGTTATGCCGATCCGAAACGGCCATGCAAAGCACGTTCCCTCTCCCGTGAAAACCTCACGAAAAGCGGCACGTGAGAGAAACAGTTGTCCCATTGTCAAGATGTGTCAACACTTAAAATTCCTCAAAAAGCAGAAAAATAAACAAAAAAATGAAAGTACCATATTACCAGGACAATAACTTGGCAATGTGCTTCTGGATTTTACAAAAAGTTGAGTTTTTATGCGAAATCCAAGGGATCCTCCCTTTGAAATTAGTTTTTCCCTTCTGCGCCAGACATTGTCTGTAATATCCGACCTTGGATGCAATCTTCATAACACATTCACAGGATACAGACAGAAAAGATTGTTGAAACATACGAAGAGCGAGAAAGACGTTCGCTTTTCGAACTACGGCATGTTTACTCAAAGTAATCTTACACAAACAGCGCATGAAATAGTAACTCACGCCCTGACTGCATGCACAGCCTGTTCTGGTAGTATTCATTGTATGGCATAGGATTAGATTGTAACCCGTATGGTCCGACGCTGGTCTGGTTAGTGTTGTATAAATTCTGATTGTAGTTGCTGTATCGATCAGACATTCGTGCTGGCCGCACTGTCGGTCGGACGGAATGGGCGGTCGGATCGTCTGGCTGGAGGACGGTCGGCTGGATCTTGTAGCCCGAAAAGGTGGGCAAGTAGGGGATGAAGGGGTCAGTAATCCAAAGACAGATCTATCTGAAACCGAGTATTATCATATCATGTGATGACAAGGTGTAAAAGACGCGAAACCTTCACGTAGATTAGCAGATTCCTTGGTTTCTTCTTCGTTCGTCTGGCGAGCGGCGGAACGCCTCCTCTCTGCTCTCTCTGCTCAGTGTCCGGCTCTCGCGTGCTTCCTCGCTTTTCGCCACCGCTCATTGTTGTTTTCTACTTCTTTCTCGTCCCGGTCCCGAAAACCCCCTTTTCTGAATCAAAATAACCCCACATGACCTGTAAAACTTTTTGACTGATTGCAGAAAATGTGATGTAAACATGATCTCGGTCAATGTGAATGGTCTGGTGATTAGGCAGGTGAAACAATTAAAGGCGACACAAACAGTAGTATGTCTGTGATCTTCATTAGCGTTGTGTAATGAGTAGTATTTGTAATAGGCAGATTATAATATTCTAATTTAATGCACTTTATCAACCTAAAACAATTTTAGTGTTATAATTGACATGTCGGTCTTATGGCTGCTGCTTAATTGCCATTGTTTAAAACGATGCGACACTTTAAGTATATAATTGTTTATTTGAATAAAAGATAAAATAATATAGGGAATAAAAACGAGGATACCCGTTTTGGTCAACGATGTTAGACAAAGACATTACTTGTTGAGCTATTCATTAGACTTAAGATACAACCGAGATTTCCAAGGTTCGTAACCGCAGTTACTGTAGTTGAAAGACTGTAGAGTACTATGGAAGTTGAAAGGCCATAAAATGAAATTGAAAGAGATATTCGAAGTAAAGATAAAAATTTAAAAAATATCGTAGTAAAATTCGACACATACTATATATGTAAGTCGTACGTGTAAGTTGTAAGAAAGGCTATATAACACGAAAAATACTTTAAACTTGTTGTGTTCAGACATATTATTACAATGGCACTGTTTACATGAACACGATGGTTAAGTAAAGACGTTGTGATCATTATCGCACGTTTTCGTTGTGAGAACCAAAAATAATTACCGAAAGACTACAAAATTAATAATTTACAAGAGATTACTGTACACTATACTCAGCCACGGCCTTGGTCGAGTCGCGGTTTGTTCTCCTCAATTTCGAGTTCCTTCTTCTTCAGCGACGTCAGGTAGGCTATGGGTGAGAGGCCTTCTGGCTCTGGCGGTCGGATTGCAAGTTTTGTTGGAGATATCGAACTCTGTCTTCTCACTATCTTCCTTACGGATGCTGAAGTACCAAACTTATTGAAGGGAATCCAAGCGAAAATGATTGGAAGTATGATTAATCCATGGATCAGTCCCAATAGTACTACCAACGTCACTACTTTCACAAACACTTGCACCATGTAGGCGTGGATGGTAGCCAACACGAGAAGAGAGAGTACTGTAGATGATCCAGCCTGAACCATTGGCCAAGCGATAGACACCAACGCGTGGCGGAGACGTTCACGTTTGTCCTGAAATCAAAAGTTGATAGTAATAAAACACTAAGCAGAGTAAGTTATGATGATTATAATGCTAGATTGTTTATAATTTATGTAACTAGCTAATAATGCAATGACTTACAGCGATTTCTCCTTTGTAGTAATGGAAAGTGATATGAGCAACAAAATCTACTGAGAATCCGATGGCCATTAAGGTGGAAGCCATGGAAATGGGGTCCAAATCGATTCCCCAGTAGTAGATCAATCCGAATACACCACAGTTAATAGATAACACACTACAAACCCCGGGGATTACTGTACTCAAGTTCGGAGTGAACAGAACCAGGACGACCACCATGCAAGCCAAAGCGAAGCCGACTGTCTGGATGGTGACTGGAGGGATGGTCAAAAGTTGATCAGCATACATGCTGAAGTCTTCGTACACGGTCAGGTTGAATTCCTGGTATTCTGAAGCGATGGCACGCCAGTTCTGAAGAAGCACAAAACGATCCTTCCAGGTAACGGCATTGTGGAAGCCGGTTGAGAAGAAGAACTTGCTGATACAATCTGGTTTCTCGGCCAAACAGTCACTGAAAATTCAAGTTTAGGTAGGTATATTGCACGGTAATAGTTTTTAATCTTTTAAAAAAATATTTTAATATCAATCTTAGCATATGTTTGATTTATGAAACTTACTTGTCAGCTCCCAAATTCACGAAATGGCTCCATCTGTGGTACTCTTGAAGACTGAAGAACTCTGGCAAGTATTTGTAGTTAAAGTCAATTGAACCGTGATTCTGAAGTCCAATGAAGGGTAAGTAAGTGTTGAGCCACATTTGAGTAGATGACGGTCCCACACTGCCTTCAGCACGTTCGAAATGTTCTAGAATCCTCATGATCTTTGGAATCTTGTCAGGCTCACGAAGATCTCCTGGACTGTTGATGAAGACTGCCATCTGAAAATAGGTTTTTATGATTAGATTTTAGTTATTGACTAGTTTTGAGAATGATGAGTATAACTTTGCTTTGGATTCTTGTTGTGCATTTTAGTACCTTTAAGTAAAATATAAGTTTTTAGAGATTAACTGACCTGACCACCTTCTTTAAAGATAACATTTGTCTGTAGCCTGACCAACTCCAACAATGGTGAATCATCCAAGAATAACTTCTCTGACGACAATCCAACTTCAATCTGACTGACTCCATAGATCGAGATAGCCCAATAGGTTATCAGAACGGTTATCAACCCAATTCTGGCACTCCAACTCATCGAGAAATCGACCCAATAATCGACGAACTTGGCCCCAAAGGCCTCAACGTATCTTCTCCAATGTGGTTTCTCTTCTAACGACGCTTCACGAGCTACACGTTTCTCGTCAGGCACAACCAGACAGTAGCAGTAGGCATTAATCTTCTTCTCTTCTCTGATTCCACCTAACATGATGATGGCAGAGTAGAAGACAATTTGGTAAATGTAGTCGAAGATGACGGCTACCGTAGTGAAGAGACAGAAGACCCGGATGGCTGGAGTTGGAGTCCAGATTCCGATGCCAAAACTGAGCAAATTGGTCAATGAAGTGATGGAGATTGAGGGTCCAGCATCAGCCAACATGTGGGCTACACGTTCTCGTAACGGTAGCTCGTGGTCTGTACGATGCCAGGAGTGAAGGAAGATGAAGACATCATCTACACCAATGGCTAGGATCAGGAATGGTACGACTGTTACGATGGGGAGGAATTCTACTCCAAGCTAAAAGTCGGTATATAATTATGAGACAATATAACACTATTTATATTCCAAGTTTAATTTTTATGTTATTATGTATCATTCGGGTCGCTAACTACTAACTATATATAAACAGTATAATATAACTTTTAGTGTAATATCTTACCCAAAACAGAAGTCCAAATGAAGCACACAGTGACAAAATTGGACATATGACTCCGGCAAACGCTTCCCAAGGTTTACTCCTAACTGGATCTTGTTTCAGCGATGTTAATACAGTAAAAGCCAAGATGACGATGAAGGTAACACTCATCAATGGAAGTGCTTTGATTCCAGTTCGCCTAACCTCTTCTGACATCAAGCCTTCTGAAGTCGTGTGTAGCTGAATCAAGGAATCATTGTGGGTCTTCAGACAGTAATCAAGAACAGCGTGTTCCCACTTTGACATCACTTCGTGGATCGTATCATTGCCCCAGATGGCGTGGAAGTTAATGGTGATCAGCCCAGCTCCTTCAATCAGGTGAGATCTGTTGTTGAGTTGAACTTTGAAGATATTGTTGGCCAGGTACACCCTGTGACCAAACACATCCATTGTGGGGAAGGTAAGTTTGACATTGGCTTTACCACGATGTTGGACGTCACGGTACATGTTCAGGAAGATACTCACAGCGTCACTGGTTTCACATTGAGCTCCACAAAAGTCAGAGTAGGTATAGTACCTGTCTTCGTGTTCTACACGGAGCTTGTACTGTAGATATTCTTCGATTTCCAAAGCTCGGTCGATATAACTGAAAGTGTTTTAATGTACTATATTGTCAATATGTTTAATCTATGGCGATTTTACATATTAATTAAAATATATTGCGTGATATTCAGTAAATCCCGTATTTTACAAAACTATAAGTAAACTTACTTCGGCCTCAAAATAGAGCCTCCATCAGTGGCTAGCATGGCTACAATAACATGGAACGGTGAGCCCAGCTCCTGGAAGAACTCGAGCGCAACTTTAAACTCATATCGACTTGGGGAGTTGTCGGCACTGAAGTGATCTCTGACATCGTTTACTTCCTTGAAGTTGATCACACCAACGCCAAGCAAAAGGGCTCCAATTGTACTAAATTGCAACATTATGAACTAACCATACATATGTGCAAAATATCAATTTTTTGTATAAAAATTTGAACAAAATAAAACATTTTTAGGTAACAAAAATTTTTCTTCAAGGTGATATTCTATTATACTTTTGTACCGTGCAACATGGCAAATAAAATAAAATATTATTCTCCATACCTGATGGCCAAACACCATATTGGAAAATCAGCCACGAATAGTCCAATTTTGTAAAAGAATTTCTGAGCTGCCGCTTCGATTATTAACGCCAAACTTCGAAGTCCCCAACTCTTTGAGGACATTTCAGAATCGAGATTGCCTGGGGCGTCCAACAAACGAGGTTAGAGCAAAGCTGAAAGTTAAAACATTACTTTTATCACAAATATACATTAACTTGTTTGCAAAAGTATTAAAATGTTTTCCAATACACTAATTGTATAACACATTACAACACAATACGTTAAATTACAATAACATATAGTACATTGATAAACATTAATACGCCCAATGTAAAATTAGTATAGATACAGTAAAAACACGTGTAGCTACAAAACAATGTAAAAACAAATATAATATTTAATCAAATTAGGAACCTAGACTCGAAAGGTATCCCCAAATAGGTAGTATTCAAATAATGTATATTTATATCCGGTATGTATAATAAAACCCAAATCCCTCGGAAAGCTTGATTTCGCGCAAAATTAATAAAAGCTTGTAAAAATATGGGAAAAGTTCGTTCTCTGATATAAAAAATGGATTCAGATGATTTTAAAACAATCTTCTGCGCATCTTCTCTCCCCCAAACCGGATTGATAAGACATAAATTACATAGCAAAAGTTATTGTGACGACCGAACATTACATGGTTCAACTCGTTCTTAGCTCGGTATCTTGGTTTAGATGTAAAACGTAATTATAAAACGTAAAATTGCATAAAAATTGGGAATAAAAGATTTTTATAAGCAGAAAATTGGCTCTCCTGCTTTTCGTACCAAGACTTACAATTTCAAAATATTTTTTAAATTCTTAAAACCCCTTTACTAGTAAAAACACCGATTTAACGCTACGAAAATTACCAAAACTTCCTCCACCAAACGCCGAAACCACCGAAAATCGACCAAAAACACGAATCCGACGTAGATGAAGAAGATGCTCACGCCAACGGAATAAATCGCTTCAGACAAACAAAAGATGGTTCGTTCCGTTTCATTACGCCGAAGGCTTCGTCAAGTTACAACTAAATCAGCTCAATTTGTAGGCTTTGGCACTGTTTTGCTAATACTTGATGTTGCACTAGTAACGTGTAGTAAGCTTGATTCTATCAAGCATACTGTATTTAAAAATGAAATGAGGTGTCAGGGTTAACACTTTTTACTTATTGAGGCACATATAACCAAAATAATAGCCGCCTGCCACGTATAACCAAAATGTTCTTTTTGCTCCCCCTAAACCCAAAACTCTCAAAGAACAAATCACAACCGTACACCGCCCTTTAACAGTTCACAACTTTATCCAAGCTTAAAGTGTCAAAAACTTTCAAAATCAGATTAATCCCCCTAAACCGCTCAAAATGTATCCACCCTTCCAGTATTAGCCTTCCCCAGCCCAGTAGCATTCCTACTGAAAGTAAAAAACCCGAACGGCGGGGGCGAAAGTGAGATTTAGCAAATAAATCGCTCGGAATCTCCCCAAATATTGAATTTGCGGTGGAGAAAACCGGTGCCGCTTTCTCATTGTCGCTGTTGCCGGAAGAAGCTCGCAATTCTTGAAGGGCAAGAAGTAAAACGCCGCGACGCATCTACATTTCATATAATTGAAATAGCGGATTCACCAAGTTGAAAGTAAAAATCACCCGCCGAACCCAGAATTCCAAAAACTTTTTTTTTCTAGGAATTGTTTTTGAAACGACAAATTTAAATTTTGAAGAAAAAGTGTTGACTGAGGATTGAGACAAGGATAAAATAAAAATGCAAAAATGTAATACAACTAATGGTATTGTTTTCAAAGACTACTGTTCAATTAGGTTTGATAAAAGAAAAACTAGAGGACAGAATCATCGATCCTTATTTACTTTACTTTACCTTATTATCTAAAATCAAAAGTCTTCCTATAACAATATATTTCTACATACAAGTATGATCTTCAAGAAAAAACTGCCTGTTGAGTACAAAAAAGTCGCTTCTGATGAAGTTGCTTATAAAGCGTTTCCCATGTTCGCTATCTCTCCCAATTGCTAGCCAAGTTCTCACTTTTCTATACTAACACCATATTTTATCTACATTATTTTTGCATTCCTCTACAAAAAACATTCAAAAAGTACCCTTGAATGCACACATCACTGACATTGATACCCAAATTAACTCGCAATCAGGTTCAAAAGTTTACGAAACCACAATGACCTTGCACGGCGACGAAGCCGGCTTACAGAATCGGGTAAAACCGGATCACCAGACTTGATCTTTCCCTGCGTTTACTGAGGAATTATTGTAAACAAACACATATATGTGCCGGAATCCTATACATGGTTCGTAATTAAAATTTTATGACGTTCCAATTATAATTTGCATAAAATCCATAAAATTATTTGAAAAAATGTCATAAAAAAAATAATAAAAAGTAGTGTGACAAAAGTGATGTTATAAGTGTGTTTACCTTTAAAATAAAGCAGCATTTTACAATTTAAAAATATCCTAAATGACCTGTGAAACCTGTAGGTGAAATCAGCTCGTAGTGATAACGGCTACTTCTGAAGGTAATAAAACCCTTCGCCTCAGGAAACGATCAATCAAATCGCGAAACATCCAAAACCTGTAAATTGGCTGCGATGGTCACTTTCTACACACCTACAGCAATTCTGAAGGTAATTTTGCAGCTGTTGCAGAAATGGCCAAAATACAAAGTTGGATTTTAGGAAAAATTGTCAAAATTTGTATGTAAAAATGCTAAATAAATTAAAAAACTTTTGTTTATTTTAAGCTTAAAGTACATAAAAAATGACAAGTAATATTAAAGTAAGTATTCAAAATTAAAAGACCAATTTCTTCAAACAAAACTTGCTACGTCACAGCTACCCTGACTGTGTAGCATCACATCTGCGTAATCTTTGAATTAGCACTCGACTTGTTTTTATGTTAGTACTTGACGCAAAAATCAACTCAAAAAACTTAAGTACGAAATTAAATAATTGCGCGGCTCTTTAAAACAAAAATCGAGTGGACGGTCAAGAGAAAAAACACCGCCTGAAGGCAGAAACAGCTTGAGATGAACTCGTCGCAAGTCTAAACAATTCTGATACTTATAGTTGCGATACTTATACAGGGGTACCAATATAACAAAAAAATTTTAATTAAATTTGAATATTCAACAGCTCCATCCATAGAAGTTTAAACTTAAAAAAGGCTGAAAGAAGAAGACATTTAGAGATCAAATTAAGTTTTTATGCGAATTTCAGACTTGTTCGAAAAGGTTTAACCTTAATCCGAATTCGAATTACACATGTCATAACGTTTCCAATTTTTTTCGTTTACAGAGTACCTAAATTCAATTTTTTCATTTTTACTTTTGTGAATTTTCATTAAATTTAGCTTGCAGGTTGTTCAAACACAAAATATACAAAGCATAAACACTATTGGTAGACTTGACATCAGTCAATAACCAAAATATTGTTTTTTTTAAATAACACTATCTTACTCATCCAAGACCACCCAAACCCAAGTCAAAGCCTTCTGTACGAGAGAATCCCTACATCAGATCTCAGCCACTTTGAAGTGACGACAGCAACTAACTGGCTACTCTTCTCCCCAAATCCCGTTTTGTCACTTTGACGCGACCTTCTCTGATCCATCAAGAAAAGGTAAAAAGTAGAGCCGTGAAAGTTCTGAAGTCATAAGTCTTGCTTTGAACGTCACGCTCTCCAGAATAAAAGAGAAAACAAACTTCCCCGAGGTTCCTAGATCCTCACTTCAGAAGTTCAAAATTCAGTGCGAAAAGCACGTTTTCAGTTGGAAATCGACTGTGAAAATAGTTTTTGGGGGTAGTGACTGTAATGTAAGAATGTCAAGTATTGCGCAAGAACATTCGATCAACGTCTTGATCGGAACGGCTTCATAGACTTTCACTTTTGAAAACAAAATTTGGAAATAAAAATTAAGTTTTAAAAACTAGTGACTTATATCTACAAGATGAAGTTGTCTACATAGAAGTTAAGCCTATTACCTATCATCTCCAGCTACCTTAAAAACCTTAAAAAGATTGTGTGGACGGTCAAGTAAGTTTTGTTGACTGACCACCCGACTTAACCCCACCAAACTCCTCTAATCCAACATTAAAACTTGTAAAAACCGCTACGTCATTTCTTAATATGGTGTCTGCTATCACCAGAACGCCTTGATCGCGGACTTATAGATTTGTCGCTGCTATAAAAATTATTTGCAAACCTTCCACTTCCGGTCACTTTTTCAACTTTATTTTACTCTTCCAAACTGCTCTAGGGTAAAGTAAACAAAGAGAAACTGTTTGGAGGAGAACATGATACCGTTTGCAAAACAAAAGTTAAGTCAAAGTAATTGGAAAAGCTAAAAAGTAAAATAATAAATTTAAAAATAAAAGATTTTTACAAAATTTTAGTATTAATTTCCTTCGCTTTCGCCTATGAAATGGCTAACATTTTTATAAAAGTTTTTTAAATTTGTTTAAAAACTGAATTAACAAGGAAAGTGCCCGACCTGCCTCGGTCTGATTGACTTCAAACTTTTTGTATAAGAAGATCATTTAAATATAAGATCTTCAGCAAAGTACTAAATCGCGCTTTCCGGGATATCTCGAGAAAATCGAGATTAAAAAATGACATTTTGAATTTTCCGCTAAATTGGCATTGTGTTTCAAGCTTTTAACTTTGTCATTTTTTGACTTTTAATTAATTTTCTTTGATATACTAGTAGAATATTTTTAAATGAACCTACATTTTTAAATTTGTAACCGTAGCTTGTCTGGAAAGCCAAAAAAAGTGCTTGAAACACTATGCCAAATTTTCCAAATCGGGGGTAAACCCAAATAATTTAAATTTAAAACTTAAGAGCGCGAGCTAAAATTTTTTATGGGTACTATTGGTGACACAAAGAATTCATATAAAAATTTTGAGCTGATTCTGAGCGGGTCAGGTAGGGTACTTTCCTTGTAAAATTAAAATTTTTAAATATTTTTTTAAAGTTTCTATAATTTATTCATACAATTTTAAAATATTTTTTTGTGTTAAAACTGTCAATTGATAATCTTAAAGGTAATTACTAGTTTTTAAATGAAAC